AGCTATCTTAGCTACGATCAAGTCAACCACCATTGCTCAGCAGCGCCCATCACTTACTGCTTACATAAACCCACACGCTTCCGATCCTACGAAGTAGTCTTGCCTCTTGGGATCAAGGATCGTCACAAATTAAAAACTATCTATACTTCTATATCATACCCTTAATCTCCTTCTAATTAATTTAAGATAATTAGTTATCTAATTAATACCCTACTGTCTAGATGACTAATACACTTTTACTAGGTCTCTTAACCCTAACCCTCTAATTATAACAAAAACTTCAACCTAGTTATAATACTATAATTCTACATTCTACACTTTAAAACTCTACATACTTACTCTCCTAATTATTACCTTTCCATACATACCATTTTTATTGATTTTCCTGCCTAGGAACCAATTCAGTTCTACCCCCTGCTTGTCAATTCGGTTCTACCCCCTATAATCATAGCACCGTTTTATTTTGTATGGGGTTTCAATTCAGGTCTAAGAACTGAATTACAGTTTATTGTGAGAACCGAATTATAGTTTATTGTGAGGGAGATCCGCACCGAGGTGGTCGACGGTCGGCACATCCTTATCCACCACCTGACGACAAGCCACGTCGGCACGCTTGCCGGCGATGCCCTCCAATACGCGCAAGAGAAACTGCAGAGCGGCGCCTACCTGGCCAATACGACTGAGACTGACGGCGCCCTTGAGGCCCGCCAAGGCAGCTGCGTGCACCATGTCTGTGTCATTATTGCCCAGTACGGCGCCAATTGCGCCCTATGTTACCCCATCTTTTGCATCTAGACTAGTTATCCATAGGACCGGACTGTGTCTATTTCCCTGGGAACCGTCATAGGGTCTCTGGAACACGGCTATTGGATTCTCGTTCGTCTTGAACTGTATCTAATTTACAGTGTAACTCGGCTTGTACCTAACAGATAGATCAAGAACCAGGTTATCTGAACCGATCCATAGGGCCTGACCGAATCCGTCGTTGTGAGTAGCGTGTTCAGTTGGATTAAATGATTGTCCAATGGAGGTAAAAGTATTGATTAGACAGTATACAGGATTGGAATAGTAATAGTTAGGAATAGTCTCTTATTCTAAGTTTATGTGACTGTTATTGTAGGGCACAACTGGGCATCGCTAATTGTAACAGCCCCAGACCGGAAACCATATGCAGCCTCTAGACAATCAACGATACTCATCCCGTGTGTCTCAGCTGTTATGTTCTTATCATCTAGGCAGGGCTTAGCTGTGCCATGGACGAACAGCCCGAGCGCCTTGCGGCACTGTAATGCCCCGGCAAGAACAGCCGCCCCAGTTGCGCCTCGGAGACTGCTGCACGCTGCGGGCAACTGCGTGATACAGCAATCCTCAAGCTCATCCATTAGACAATCCGCTATGTTTGTTCCACGGGAGTCATCCGTTACCTCCCCTGCCCAGCAGGCCCGCATGTCACTGGTGGTGTAGTTCCCGATGGCTTGTTGGCAGGCCGAGATGACGGGTTGCAGGTCTTGTCCGTTGCTGGTTCTGAGTGCCTTGCAGTCATCGGGCAGCTCATTCATACAGCATTCGGCAACTGGTGTTGCGGTCACGATGCATAAGCTGGTAGAAGTTGTGGAAGTTGAAGTGATTAGGCCGGCAGTTGTTGAGGTCGACGTCGTAGTCGACACTGGCGGTGCGCCGCTAGATGCATCTATGGGCGAGGTCTGCAAGGTGAGACCCCCAGTGGTTGTAGGGCTCGTAGCAGATATTGAGTCCCTCAACGTAAGATCCCCTGCGGTGGTAGGATTGGTCTTAGAGGGTGAGGTCGTTGAAGTCATATCCCCAGTATTCATAGGATTATTATTCCTAGAGGTCGTAGGACTGATAGCAGAAGGCGAGCTCTTTAAAGTAAGATCCACAGTGGTTGTAGGACTCGTAGCAGAGAGCGAAGTCTCAAGCCCAGAAGGTGTAATTAAATTTAGGCCCCCAGAAGTGTTGCTAACCGAAGGAGTACCTTGACGACCCGGCCAGAGGGTGAGAGTGTCTGACTTAGCAACACTTAAAGCTTCGGGTGATGGAGCTGCGCTAGAAGGCGATTTAGCTGCGGTGATGATTGGCTGAATCGGGGCCGGGGCGTTCTGGGTAGGATTTTGGACAACCAGAACAGTGCCTCTTCCACCATCCTTGACAGGTATTGTTATAGTAGTGCAAAATGTTCTTGCCCATGTCTGCGTCAATGTGTCACAAGGTCCGGTGAATGGGGGCGCGGGAGTAGTGATTGGGACTAAGATGACCTTTGTACCAGGCTGGTCTCCGACTGGGGGAATGACAAGAGTGGAGGCGACGGCTTCGGTGCATGGGGCAGTTAGAGTCACAAAGCTGCCTTCAGATGAATGGAAATCATTTGCATTTGTCGCAGGAGTACCGCAGGTTGAGGACCTATAGGCGGAAATTGTTAAAAAGGAAGTGGCTTGAGCACCAATGATGGCCCACTCACCAGGTAGAAGATTGCGTGACTGTGCTCGTGACAACAAATCTAGTCTCAAGGAGGGTCGGCACTTGGGGTACAGGGATGGTCCTCCCACCCACAGTAAGTGTTGTGACCTCGCAGATCTGGGCGCTGACATATACTGGAGCTTTCTGTATGAGGACTAGAGATTGAATAATGATGGGAAAGGGGCAGAGAGGAGCAACGGGATTCAGCCCTTGAGCTGCCGCTAAGGCAAAAGAGGAGAGTGCAAGTAGAATGTGCATAGTGAGTGACTTGATGGGGATTTTATCAACGAGGGACTTGTTTTGAACTGGACTAAGCCATGGCTCCCTTCTACAGCTTCAATATCGCTTTATACCCGGACATTACTGTGCTGATTTCACATTAATCGTACTCTTGATCAACAACACTTTCGGTCTCCTGAACGCATTAAATTTTCAGCCCTGTCTTGCCTTTCACTGGTATGAGCAAAATGCTGATCATTCACACCGAATACGAAAGATCAAGTACCTTCTATTCACGTCTATCTATTCGCTCTTATGATGAATGCGTTCTTATTCCGCCGACCCCAGTCATTCTTGCTGAGAGAGAAAAGTCTAAAGCTGGTAGTACTTGATTATATGTTGACATGCTGAATTGAGGGATGTACTACTTCTTACACCCACCTTCTGTTTTGGGATTTCTTGCAGCCGATCCCATTCTACCATTAGCTGGCTTGGCCTCCAACCGGAATTTCAGCGTTTCTTGGAATAATAGACATGTCTGAGTGTTGTTAGCAAATTCCTATGGTGTATGATCTCTGGATTATCATAGCGAGAATTATCTTCATCTACTGTCACGAGCGACGAGATCAGCCAAGAGGAAAGGCCCCCTGGCATTGTTCCCATCATGTGTACAAATGGGCTACAAAGAAGCCACCATGCTCTTCCTGATGTCCTTAGCACTGTTCAAGACACTCGCAGGCTGTTTACCATACACACTTTAATTCAGTCTTCTAACAGCAAACCTCCTACGCGTCCCCATGTTTGCTGCGCACCTCATTATGCAAGCCTTAGCCAAAGTACCCAACTATAACGCTGTCGTTGAAATTATACCTTCAATGACAACGACAATAATCCTACCGGAAATGAAGGTTTCTCACAAAGCCGATTGCCATGCTTCATTTCACAATTCCCTACCAGTAGTCGCCCCCGGATTCCCCGGACACACCAGTTGCAGCCCATTTACCATCGTCCAGGAGCCAATCACTTGCACACAGACCGCCCCTGGAACTAGTTTCACCCAGTCCGTTCCAGATGGTTGTGGCGCTGGCTCTGGAAGTCACCAGCCGCCTTCAGATACTTCGACCCCAATCACATCCTCTCAGGGAAGTACCGATGGAAACGCGTACACACTCATCTGTATTGGAACCAGTATGTTACTAGCTGGATTCATGGCACATATCCTTCAGTGAAATATCAAGGATATTCAGGAGGTTGGAAGTTAAGATCCTGTCGGGATTATTTACGTGGCATTTTCTCGTGAAGGTCACTTATTGAAAATGGCCGAACACGAGGTGCTTGGTGGGAACTGAAATAGCAAGGAGTCATTTGATTCGTACAAGATTCTGCAAGGTAGCTAAGTTGAAATAAGATTTTCTTACTGAATCCATATAAACCCTGCCGATCGTTCTAGAGGCTGGCGTCTCGCTCATCTTGACAGCTGAAGGGTGAGACACCACTCTATTCGGCTAATCATGTCTCAACGTTGCCAACTGCCGCCAGGTAGTTCCAGCGTGGCCTCCTCCCGAAGATGGAAGGCGGCTAGGCTGATCGCCGTGATGGCTCCACTACAGGGGCTGTTGAAGCTGGGCGTGGAGAATACTGTCTCCGCCTATGATACACTCGTTTGCCTTTCCCGACGTTTATGTCACATCCAGGCGAACTGTTTCAGCTGTATTAGCCCAACCGGCGGTTTCAGGCGCTGTGGGATTTCTGCGACCTGACAAAACAAGCAAGTCTTACCGAGAACCCAGTGCCTAATGGAGGCCATGAGAAAGGACAATACGTGATTTATACTTTCACAAGCAAAAACAATAATGTAGGATAAGTGTCATCAATCTACGAGGCAGCATGGATACAGGCGATATAAGGCACACAATTAAAGATACTTGTTGGCTCAGATGTGTGTGAGTTCCAAGGGTTGCGCGATGCATTTTGCGCAGTAGACCGAGATGCCTATCAGTGAGGCTTTTGTCGAATGTCCACAGCAGACAGGAGCTGAGACTGATATCCTCTGTAAAAGTCCCACCGTGTGGCTCTGAGCTTACTTAACATTGCTGCCGTACATCGCTGCATGTATACCCTGAGCCCATTACAGGTATGTCACTGCGACATCCAATCAATGTCATCTCCCTTAATTTGATCAATGAAAGTCTCAGATAAAAATTCCACTCTCTTGAAGTGCCCAATGCATTCCTGACTAGACGCATTAAGCAGTAGGAACGATGAATAAACGAGCGCTTTTAACTGTCTATCTTTGTAGCATTCAGCTGTACTTGTAAGAGAAAGGAGGTTCTACTTGGACTCATTCAGATACGTCATAGGATAACAGTATGTCGTCTGTGGAGCTGAACCAGTGGAGAGCTCATTTGCCTCCCCGAGTCTTGCCAGCCCTTAAAGATTCTTCACCCACCCACCACAGGCTTCGTTCACATTCGTCGAACGAAACAAAGTCTCAGTCTAGGAAGGCCGGTTCTCTTGGCTCCTTGAACTTTAGTACTTTTCAAATTATGTATCTCCTGCCAGGAGGTATCGACGCATTCCACTCGTATTGTGGAGGTGTTTCAAACGTAACTTGTACGATGAATGATCACCAGGATGGAATGTTTTCATGCCGAAAATCTCGAGAGATTGTATTCCAAGGTTACTGATTAAGTAGCTTCCATCCTAATGGAACAAATATTTAAAGGACCGACGTGCACACTGAAAAGAAGACTGACCTGATCATTGAACCACTACTTTAACTCACAATCATCAGAAGCTCACCTATTTCAACTTTTACAGTTGTCCACACTCATTTCAAGACTTTTCGTCAATAAAACTCATCTCTTTTACACAATGAAGCCCTCTTTCATCGTCCTCTCGGCCCTGGCTGCCCTGGCTACAGCTAACCCCATGGAAAGGAGGCAGTGTGCTGGTTGCGAGCCCCCGGCAGGCAAGGGCAACTCAGCCAGTAACCCGAATGTAAACTCGAGCTCCAACGCCAGCAACAGCAACAGTAACTCTGTTAACGTTGTCAACCAGCTGCCCGGCGGAACCGCCCCTGGTGGAACAGCCCCAGGCGGATCTACTCCTAGCGGAACCCCTCCTGGCGGAAACGGCAACGTCAAGCCGAGGTGCCAGGACTGCCTTAACTTTTGCGGTGAGCACGGTGATCTTGGCAACGCGCTTTGCAAGATTTTTGCGTGCGGCATCGTTGTAAGTATTTACTCTCTGGAATCAACCAGAATCAAAAGATACTGACAGACTTTGCAGTGCGTCGGCGTCTGAGCCGTGAAGGAGAGTCTCGGGCTTGACGTTTGTCTTGGCACAGTTGTTGGAGATAGCTGTAGACGATGTAAGGAGTTCTCCAACCATCCTAGGTCGGAGTTTAAGCTCGGCCGTCTACTAGCGGGTTACATTCTTCTAGTCTCACTTTCAGACGTTCCTACGCCCGTGGGCATTGACCTGGAAAGGGCAACTTTCAATGATATTCATATTTTGAAGTCTGTGTGTCTTGTCGTATCTAAAACACGTCTAAGCAAATTGTTAGAATCATAAAGGATGCAGTCTGTGAGGCAGTGGTTATACATATGTGCGATTCGTTTGTGTTAGGGCCATTAAGAAGCAATTTACTGTTGTAGGGGTTCAGCCTGGCTAACGCCGAGTCGCTGGGTTCTCAATACCAAAAGAGATTCAATTAAAGGAAGAAGAGAATTCTACTGTACAGCTTAATCCATCCCTTTTCCACTTAGGCCCCTTTGGTCGGACCGAAGCCCCGGGCTTCTGGAGCCCCAGGCCCCTCCGGACCCTACCGGAGCCTCTCTTTCATGGCCGCTCCAGCCTTCCAAGGCTGATTCCACTACCCCTATAGCTATAGGGTATTATAACCACTAATTATAACCTTACTTATAAGCAAAAAGTAGTATAGTAAAATTTTAAATCTAACTAATGCTATTTCTATTCCTAAGTTTAATGGGTTAGTACCAGTCTTAATTAATTAATCTAGTACTATAGAATTATATTATTATTATAACCTCTCTAGAAGACAACCTTAGATTATATTATCCCTGTAGTTATATAAAGCAGTCCTACCTCGTGGGATTAAGAACTTAAAAGTCCTCGCTGTTAGAATAGTTGTACATAGCGCCCTGCTCTATTTCCTCAATGCTTTTACCTCTGGTCTCAGGAATTAACAGAGTCAAGGCAGTACAGACAGCCATAACACCAGCAAAGAGGCCCAGGATGCCACTAAACCCTATAGCCTGGGTAGCAGTACCGAAGGCAAAAGAGGTCAGAACCGCACCGGCTTTCCCGGACGCGGCTGCTATCCCATGAGCCGTGGCGCGGACCCTTGTGGGGAAAACCTCGACAGGGATCAAGAAGGTCGAACTTGCGGCTCCAGCGTTTAGTGTAAATTGTGAGATGACAAAGAGCGCGAACAAGCCCCCTGTGCCTGTGTGGCTCTGGACACCGGCCCACACAGCATACAGGATAGAAACAATTGCGCAGCCAAGCAGCTGGTGGCGAACGCGACCGATAAGATCGGGGAGGAAGATGCCGAGCCAGTAGCCGGGCATATACCCTGCAATGACCTGTATCAGGTTGCCCTTGGCCGTGTTAAACAGCGTCTCCCAGACCGTGTCGCCGGCGCCGAAGCCGAGGTTGGAGAGAATTGTGCTCTGATTCAGGTTGACGCCATAGAAGGCTATGTCAAACAAGAACCAGATTGCGGAAACAGCGAACAGTGTGCGGGCATGTTTCCAGTTGGAGAAGTACTCACGGAACTCGCGCCACTGGTCGCCTAGGCCGCGGTGGTCCTTGGCAACGTACTTCTCATACGGTCGGGTTTCAGCTATTCGTAGACGAGCGTAAATCGTGGCGGCGCAGGGTACGAGACCGAAGCCCAGTAGCAGGCGCCAAACCCATTGTAGGTACCACAGGTTGCTTTCAATGGCAGACTTGAAGCCGGCTAGAAGAATCATGTAGACAATGGCGGCGCTGAAGGCCCCTAGACTGCCACAGGAGAAGATGGCCAGCACTGTCTTTGCACGTGACCAGCCTATATTGTACTCCAGAGCCAGGGATGAGGACATGGGATAGTCTATGGGGAGTCGTCAGGTTTAGCAAGAAGAAAACATACGTCTTGATCTATTACGCACCTCCGCCAACGCCAAAACCAGTGACGACGCGAAAGACAGCCACCCACGCCACGATACCCCCGTGACCCAACTGGGGCGGCGCAGTGATAACAAGCAGGGTTCCAACCATTGTGAGCATGAGTTCGCGGCCATATATGGCATGGCGGCCAAACGCATCGCCAAAGACGCCAAACATGACTTGGCCTAGGATCATGCCAATAGACAGGCCGCCCTTCATGATATTGTTGCTGATGGTCGGGATCTTATAGTTGGCATCTTGGAAATACACGTAGGCCAGCATCGGGACAACTAATTAAGACAAACGGGGTCAGTCTAATGCAAGCCGTGTTCTGCACTGACCGCACGTACCTAGGCCTATGGTCGTGTTGAGATAGCCATCGGCGAATTGGCCTACACCGGTAATGGTGAGAAACTTGGCCGAAGAGACCCAAGACCTAACCATCTTTGTTTGAAATGCTGAAGTAGAACAACAAGTTGTAATTGGCTTAAAGCTTTGTTAAGAGGTAAGAGTGTGATGGGAATTGTTGAGTCGCGCTGTCTATTGTCAGAGAATCCATTGATAACTACTCCAAGCCTTAAGTATCCTTCTCGCTTCGGCTCCCTTGAAGATGCCTTTTGACATCATGTTGTGCGGCAAGATACGACGGCATGGTTGAGGTCGTCAAAGATCGGTTAGCGGAGGAGTGGAAAGCGAATGAAGAGAGCACGTGCGGTGATAGTGAAGTCCGATAACACATAGAGTTAAGCAAATCTTCTAGCCTGGACCGGCAAGAAGACCGTATCGATCGCCGAGAGTACCGGCAAGAACGCCGTGGAGGGGCCCAATAAGCGCCAAGGACAGATGTGTGGAGATCCATGGTGCCCGCTACGAGAATAGGCCAGAGTCATCTAAAGTATCACCACGCCATGCATGTCACGTCACTTGGCTATTGCTGTCTTGAACATCGTTGTTCATAGCAAACAGATTAGCATTCGGGGCTGAGAATGGACACATCGACCAACCAGACATTCATCGTGAACCTCGGATCGCGAGGCTTCATCCAAGGCCGTACGATGAGGACCGAGGCCACAGACGAGGTTTCGTGCCACTATGTCGGGGGCATTCCATATGCGCTTCCGCCTATCGGGCAGTATCGCTGGCAACTACCTCGACCGCTTCCTGAGAACTACACTTATGGATCTCTAGAGAAGCCAGGCCACTATACTGGCACAACGAGCATCTGCCCTCAGAAGCCGCCCTTCGAGGACGTCGACCATTCTATGGTTAGCGAGGACTGTCTGCAGGCGAATATCTGGGTCCCTGCGGCTATTGCACCCAGAGCTGGATGGCCAGTGTACTTCTATATTCGTGAGTTGCTGCGAGTTCAATTCTGGTCGGCCTAGTCTCGCTGTCTCTGACTCCAAGTCAGATGGGGGTTCTCTCCAATTTGGAAGCCCTAATCACCTTAATTACACCGACATGCTTCGCGAAACCAACTTCCAAGCCATCATAGTTGCCCCAGCCTACCGACTCAACGTCTTTGGCTTCTTGGCATCTAAAGAGTTCCTCGCAGAGAGCAAGGAAAATGGCCCCAACCGCGGTGAGGGGCCAGAGGACGAGAACGCCGTCGGCAACTTTGGATTATGGGACCAGCGAGCCGCCTTGGAATGGACACACCACATGATCGGCCATTTTGGCGGCAATCCTCACAACATCACGGCCGCCGGCTACTCGGCCGGCGCCCATTCCGTCTTCTACCAACTAGCCTACGATCTCTGGCTCCCGCCTTCCCGCGCCCTTATCTCGCGTGCAATCATGCACTCAAATTCCTGCGGCATGCAGCCCAAATCGCTGCACGAGGCCCAACAGCACTTTGACGAGCTGCTCCTCCAAATAGGCATACCCTCATCTCTATCCACCTCTCAGAAGCTCGCGGCCCTGCGCAACACCCCGGCCGCTGATCTTGTCGCGGCAAACTTGCGCATGATGTTCCACGAGATGCGCTCGGTAAGTGACGGAATCTTCGTCCGCAAGACCCTGATGCGCGACCTCATATCCGGCGAGTTCGCGCGGCGCATGCTCACACGTGACATCCATATCATTCTCGGTGAGTGCCGCGACGAACAAAATTTGTACGCACACCTGCGCCCTCCCGCGGAGAACTCGCTGGACGGGCTACGCACGCGCATGTTGGCAGAGTACCCCGCGGTCGCGGTGCACCGGCTGCTGGACGAGTACTACTTTCCTGCGGGCAGGGACCGACCAGCGGACTGGAAAGGTTGGAGCTGGAATAAGGAGATTTACGGCGCGATCTTTGCGGATCTACAAGTATACATGCTCACCCGGGCGTTCATGTACTGTCTTGAAACGGGCGGCGCAGGACACCTGGTGCACCGGTACCGCGTTGAGTGGCGTGCGAAGGAGACGGACGTGAAGACGCCCGTAGAATGGGGCGTGACGCATGGGACGGATAACTCCATCTGGGTATACGGCGAGGGTCGGGGCCTGAATCCTGCGGAGCAGAGGGTGGTCAAGTCTGCGTTCCTGGACGCATATGCTGAGTTTGTGGCAGGCAAGGACATTGTGGCGAGATGGGGTGCTACGGGGGTGAGGGTGGCGAGGAGGTTGAAGGCGGATGGGACGGTGGATATTTGGGAGGATGACTTGTGGGAGAAGGCGATGGGATTCTGGAATGTTTTTGAGCCGGTGATGACGGAGTTGGCGACGGTGGAGTGATAGGACTTAGATGGTAGACTCTACTACATGATCCTTAGGCTGTGAATGCCGTATAAGCAATGTGGTTCACACACACAGCAACATCATAGAGCCATTTGCTATTAGTCTATACGAATATCTTGCATGTTGGTCTCTTCTATGGCTCCTTTTCCATAGACCTTCACCGTAGAATGCACCTGCGCCTGCGCCCGCACGTTTGACTCTGCAGCTATTTGGCATCAATGGGACATATGGCCTGCGAATGTGTCGTCGCTAATACCAGGCATTCACCACGTGTTGCTCGTATTATTGATTATATTGATTTTTATTGGATCACGGAACAGCCACGTGTTGTGAGGCGCTCCGGTAAGTTCCAAGGGAGCGAATATCGCCAGGATATCGGACTTCGTACCGGCGCAAGGGTTGTATTTGGCGACACTGGTCTTCTTGCCAGTGGAAAGGTCCCGTCCTCAGAGCAAAAGGATCTTGGGTCAGAAAAGCTAAGATCCTGCCATGGTGATCTACTTTACAGGTTGTTACATAAATCTCTTGACTCGGTCCAACACGGTTGTTCATCTTGGCCATTCCTGCTCCATCTGTTTCTTCATCTTCTTGTGGAACTACGTCTCCGCTAACCTGACTCTCTGTCAAACGTACTGGCTGGAGCTGTAACTACCAGCAAATCATTTGGAGCACCGGAGACACAATTCTCGACATGGCCATCGCCTACCTCGACCGGATCTCCCTCCACGGAAAATCCTACAAGTTGCCCACGCGACCAACAGTTGTCGTCTGCATCGACGGTTTCACTCCAGCATATCTGAATCAGGGAATTAAGGATGGCATCCTGCTGACATTGGCCGAGTTTGCGAAGACAGGCTTCTACCACACCGCCAAAGTTGCCATGCCCAGCTTCACCAACCCGAACAACGTCTCCATCATCACCGGCCAGCCAACGGCCGTCCACGGCATAAGCGGCAACTACTTTCTTGATACTGCCACAGGGACCGAGGCCATGATTGTCGATGACGGCCTGCTACGTGGCTCCACCATCCTTGCCGAGATGGCAGCCGCCGACGTGCGTGTCGCAGCCATCACCGCCAAGGACAAGCTCCGCCGTATCCTGCAGCACGGCCTGCCACTCGGGAACGAGAAGTCCCGCGGTTGCATCTCCTTCTCTGCAGAGGAGGCCCCTGAGGAAATATTATCGCAGCTCCCCGCATATGAATCTCGACCCAGCTAGTACTCAGGCGAACTATCACTGTTCGTACTTGACGCGGGCCTACAGTTGCTCCGCGATAGCAAGGCCGACCTTTTCTGCCTAACGCTCTCTGACTTCATACAGCATAAGTACGCCCCAGGGTCTACTGAGGCCAATAAATTCATGGCGGCCATAGACTCACGCATTGGGCAATTAGTCGAGCTGGGCGCTGTCGTGGCCGTCACAGGCGACCATGGCATGAGCGATAAGTGCAGCAAAGGGGGCAATCCCAATATTGTGTTCGTCCAGGACGAGCTGGAGGCCAAGTTTGGGGTGGGTTGCGCGCGGGTCATCTGTCCTATCACTGATCCTTTTGTACGCCATCACGGCGCGCTCGGTGGTTTCGTCAGGGTGTATTTGCCTGTGTCTAGGAGTACCGAAGCCGCCGAGATGGTGGCATACTGCCGGACACTGGAGCATGTGGAGGAGGCGCTGTTAAGGGATGAGGCGGTGAGCAAGTACGAAAAGCCTGCAGATCGGGAGGGCGACTTCACGGTTGTGTCGAGGAAGAACGCTGTGGTGGGGTCCAAGGCTACGGAGCACGATCTTGGTAGCATCAGTGATCACAGATTGCGCTCGCATCGTGGTCTGTCTGAGCAGGCCGTGCCGCTTTTGATGTCAAGACCTGTTGAGGGGCCGATTGAGTCGTTGCAGGGTAAGGTGTGGAGGAACTTCGATATCTTTGACCTGCTCCTGAACTACGGGCAGTGATTCTATGGAGGATGGACATCGTGTTAGTGGGCAACGGGCTGGATAACAGAAGAAAAGATATTGCATCAAAATTTCGCTGAAATACTGAGAATCATGGAAAACCAATAGCAACAATGATGACCATCTGACATGCATGATTGAGAAGAATTGCCCCTTTTTGACAGGGGAATGACTCCTTACCTGGATTCATTCCTGTGATTCATATCTTGAAACAGGAACAGGTCATCCTCATTCTTCAGAAAAGAGTTCCATGGGGGCTCGCTGCTGGTGCCACTGCCAGTTCCGTCAAAAGAATGGATCTGTGGCGGGGCTCGGTGCCCTTGGACCGGCAACAGCAGACGTAGTTGTTTCAAGAGACACAGCGGATGCGTTGTTGTTCGCGCTGGAGCAACACTACTGTAAAAGCACGTTGATGCGTTTGCTGATGCTCACAAGCAAGTGTCGCGGGATGCATACCCGCAATGACGCACGTGAGCGTCTGAGCCAGATCCACCACAAGCTGGCGCAGCTCGCGGGCATTAAAGTACTCTAGTCTCGAGAACCGCGCTGTCACCTTGAGCAGGAAGACAGCAAGCGGACACGACCATGGTGCGGAAGGAGATATGCAGGCCGTCGAGGAATGACTGGATCTCGGGATCCAGCACGACAGTGCGCAGGGCGAACAGCGCCGCCAGGAAGGCCGCATTAGCCGCGTCCTCCAGCTCAATGCTCACGTCGGATGTTCGCTCCGTGGCCGGCGTCACGAAAGTCGTGCACGTACAGATACAGTTGGGCGAACTGACACTACAGCCCGATGCGCTTTTTAGGATAGCTGCCGACATAGAAGTTTGGCCGGAATCGCTCGGACATTCGGCGCGCAGGGTGTCGAGGGCGGAACGAAGGTGCGGATCTGTGGGACCTAGTCTTCGGACAGAGGGCGGTCGACGCCGAGGTCGAAGGCGTCGAGGATGGCGGAGCAGAGGTCCAACGCAGGACCTGGCTGGCAAGCGGCGAGTCGTCCTCGGTAGTGTGCGGAGAGTCGAGCATGCAGAGCACGTTGCGGACTGCCTCGCAGTGACGCGTCATGGGCTTGCGGCCGTACACGACGGAGAAGTGGTGGTCAGACACGTAGGCCAGCAGCCGTAGCCGCGTGGATAGATAGTGCGGGCAGTCGCCCTGGATGGCCTTGAATATGCACTTGCAGCTCGGCGGCGATGCGCACCGCCGCGCCCGACAATATCCACGAGAGCTCACTCGACCAGAAATCCCAAATAACCACTTGAACGTCTTCGATGGTATTGGTTTTGAAAAAGGTTCGCTGATTGCTCAAGGCCAAGAATTCGGGGTAAAATGTGTCGTAATCGCCGGTTGTCGAGTGGAGGGCGCCGACAGTGCATGCTGCCACAGTCAACAGTGCTGAGGCTCCTCGTATCAGGTCCAGGCTCCAGTTCTCGTGACTACCGAGTATCTAGTAGGGAAAATGGTCAAGCCTGTTGATGTGTATGTACGTGTTGAAGTATTTGTCATCCTTGTCAAGGCTGATGACGTTGTTAGAAACCAGGTCCTTGTACAGGCCCTGGCCATCACTGGTCGGCGCGTCCGCCATGAAGAAGCGCGGCCTGACGCCGGTCCCGGAGTCCATGTCCATGACAATATCACGATGATTCGTCGCCGGCCCACCTGCCTCCGCGCGGCTTCCGGACACGACATGCTCCTCGTCGCTGTCACTTGTCCCGACCTCACTTGATGGACCCACATCTTGGGCTTCATCACTCTCCTGCGAATTGCCTTCCGGGCCAGCGGCTGCTCATTTCGCATCAGGCATTTGATCTGACAATATCAGATTCGATCCGGTCAGCAGCCGCATTGTCACATGTACTCTGACCGTGCTATAATTACATACCTTCTGCTTGCGACGCCACACAGGCGGTGATTTTGCGGTTGATGTTGGGTGGAGTGCCGTAGTACCTTCACCAAAGGCCTCTCGCATAGCTTGCGCCGGGGCCGTTGTAGTTGTAGTCTCATCATACATTTTGTTTGTGGGGGGGAGGGGGGGAAGAAGCTGGTTCCAGCCAAGGTAGTCGGCTAAAACATGTTGTGCTCGTGCGAACCGACTTCCTAATGCTCCCCTTTCGTATCTACAGACAAGTGATGAAAGATGGCTTAGGCTCAGCGCGGGTGTCCACGTGCAAGCGGCTTAAAGAGTGATTTGCCCCGGGGAACAGCTCCATATCCGCTGCCCCGGCTCTCTGGCTGATGTTTGTGTTTTAAGATAAATGAGGGTTATGACAAGAGTCACATTAGCAATATCATTATAGATATCTGTACCTCGTTTTATTTTGTTTCCACTACCTTAGCAGCAAAACAAACCAAACTTCAGGTCACAACGCCAAAGCAAATGTTCAAATCCACTGAATTAAAATCTCGCCAGGATTGATGCACCCAGCAAGGCTATACTAGTCCTTTAGCCCGAGCCGACAAAACGCGATGATCAAGTTGTCTTACGCAATATTTTTCCATTCTAGTAAGTGCCTTATCGTGGTATCAGAGAAGAACTACACACGCATCGCTCTCAAGCCCGCAAGAAAATGATTCTTCAGTTTGCAAGGTATAGCCAATCAGCGACTTCTAAGATCGGCGCTTCCAGTGAAGCGCAAATCTAACCGATTTCCCGGTCAACATTCACCAGCAGCCGTTCTATGTCTACCCTTAAAGCGTACCGTCTGATTGGACCTGCTCTTCTTACCACCTTAGTATCAACTGCCCTTTCTCAGAGTCGGTGCGGCTAGAAAACACTACTTAGTTATATATTCTATACAACATACTTAGATAAGCTAGATCGATATACCAGCTAGAATCTAGTCTATCAGGACGTAATAAGAGGAAGAGAATAATAATTAAAATTAAACCTCTAACCATTCTACAATCTTTCTTAGGGCCATTTCATCACCCTCTACAGTCCCGCTCAACTCCCTTTCAACCCATCCGTCTGTCCACCCCCCACCAAAGTCAACAACCCATGCGTCATCAGTGTCGCGGTCGATTAATACGTTTGATGCCTTGCCGTCGCCCCAGGTCAATCCGAGCTGGTGGAGGAGACGAACTGTTTCCTCGACTTGCGATGCCCACTTCTTGCGCCGGGTGTGGTCGATCGAGGCCGGCGTCTCCACATCTGCGAGGCTTGATAGCTCAGGGACGTCCGGAACGAGTCGCTCCAGAATGCCAATGATTCTTCCGTCTTCCGGCGTCTGCACCAGGCCAAGCAGCTTTGGGACGCGGAGTATATCCACGTACCTGGAAGCGCGGATCTTGGCCAAGGTGGAAAGTTCGCGTTGCATGGCTTCCGCGCTGGTGTCATCCCCGACTTTAGCGCACATCTCCTGACCACCCGCCAGAACGTGGGCGATGTAGCCATCGCCAATCTGCTTTTGCAGGACGCGAATATCCTTGGTCGAGAACCCAGGGGCATCTATGTCCTCGCTAACGGTGAGCTGAAACAAGCCTTGGGCCTGTTTGAGTGACCCTCCACTGTTTACGAGACTCACTTCCGACTTATTGTTTAGCGTTCGAAAACGAAAGGTGAACTCTTCGGGGAAAAGAAGGGAGTGGAGGTCAGATGAGGAAGATGATGTAGGGGAATCAGCAGGCGGGGCGAGTTCGTCAAACGCTGCCCTTCCAGATTCAATGATGGCATCGAGGATCCGGTCGGACATGGTCTCCTCCTCGTCGTAGTCCTCGTTTATGCACGCGGCGTTGTACTCCTGGATCAAGGAGTCCTCCATAGTGCCCCCTGTAGGAGAGGGATCAAGATGTACAACTAGACGTGCCTGATTCCAGCGAATTGATAGGGACACACGGTCCCTGCAGCCGCTAGATATCTCCTCGAGGTAGTGCACGCTCATCATGTTGACTTGTAACAGGACGTGGTTTCTCTCGCGCAACTCAGGAAGGGGGGCTGGTAAAGTGACCAAAAGCTTCTCATGCATGGGAAACTTCGTAGGTGATATTACGCGTAAAGCTGGGGGCTTGATGCCTAAGTTTAGAGTTTTGAGGTTTGGGGGAAGTGTGCAGATTAATGGATGGGAATGGGGACTGTGTGATTGGGCGGTGTGGGAAATCTCCTTATTGGCGGTGTGGGGTGGTAGGACCTTGGTTCGTAGCTTTTGTTTTACTTTGTAGTGGGCAATGCGGCGTCCTGTAAGACGCATTCCAACCGCGCGCATAATCGACAGTGATGCAACCGATAGGCTCAACGTCTCGCCGCCCTCCCAGACTCGACCCAGTACTACCAACAACTCAATTCGTGGAGGGATCAGGTTTGGTGTCGAGGAGAGACCAGGCCTACTAGAATAGTCAGGGCAGAGACACATTGTGCTTAAGCAATTGCCCCGACAATACAGAAAACACTACCGCGTACCAGACCTCATGAACAGAATGTAAATCAGTTGCAAACACTGAGGTACTGGCTTGTCAACTGGTATGTGTTGGGCACGCTGTGTTCATAGGCTTCCTTTGATTCTTCTCGATCTTGATCTTGAGTAAAAGAGGTCTTCCAGTTCATAAGCGAATTAGAGGCACAAGGTTCGTTGGTTTATTAGTTCAGCCAAGGCAACCTACTTAGCCGTGATGCTCCCGCCAAAGTGACCACACCGGCAGCTATGCAAGACCTAGTAGAGTGCTTCCTAGGAATCAACGGTATAAGTCCTCAGCGTATCCAAATGAATCCCCGCCAGTGAGGAACCCCAAAGGGTTGAAATCGACCCGATTCCTGGACCAATTTGCCCATCTCCATTGATAATAGCCTGTATATTGTGTCGATCCCGGTTCACGATGTTGGGCTCTTGTGCCAATGACGAGCTTAGTTGTGTGAGATGACGGAGAGCAGCACTCAACGGGCGAGCACTAGAGTTCGACAAATCCATCTGGGTATTCTTGCCGCTCGATCCAGGCTTTGACAGTCTCCGCAAATAATCCAGGTTCTTGCCGATTCCATGGATGTCTCATGCGAGGGTGCGTTACGGCGATAGTCGCTTCATTCTTCTCCCTTCCAATCTTAGCAAGCTTCTTTGCATCGTGAGGATGGTCAGCAGAGGGAATGATGCCTCCTTTGCCGGCAGCGATAACCAATGTGCGCGCAGACCATGGCAGCGGCCATACTGTCTCCTGCATTGGGCTTGTAATATCGCGACATAGTGCTAAGGTGCTGGTGCTAATATTGCTCCGTCTGACATCTGTGCCGTCCATCAACCACCGTATAAGCGGGCGCGGTATAGCATTCTCGATACGCTGGTCGGCCCAGACAACATAAGGCAAGTATGGTGTGAGGGCATTTGGCGGGTAAACCTCGAAACCAGACACTATGACGTCCTTGACGATGTCAGGGTGGGCAGACGCTAGCGCGATGCCAATCTTGGCACCTAGGCTATGCCCGACGACATGAGCTCTTCCGCCGAGTGCTGTAAGGATGATCAGTCGAGCCAACCGATCGACTGCATCATTCACAGAGAACGGTCGAAATTCTTTAGACTGGCCATGTCCGGGAAGATCGGGCATGATGAGATGGTAGTCAGCTAGATGCGGCACAACGAGGTCCCAATCATCTCCATCGGTGAAGGCTCCATGGATGAAGAGGATACTTTCGTCCGACATCTCGTTTAGAGAACGATGGAAAATCAAGCCTTCTGTACTGGCCATCGTCTGCTTCAACTACGATCTCCGTAGGGAATAGCCTGTTAGCCAAGCTGGCAAGAGTTGTCGTGGTTTAACCGTGATTACGCGTCATCTGGCCAGCACTAAACAAGGCTAGCTTATCTCCTATCTCCGCCTCTTCACTTCTAGGTTGTGAGACTAGTCTCAAGGATTTATTTATCTAAGGCAAGAACCCATATTCCAGGCCGCCTCGACTTCAAACAGTTTATCTGGAAGTAAACCGCATAGACAATGATAATAACCTAGGTATGGCAATGGTCTGAATAAACTTTACAAAAGAGATTTGTTTAGACGTTACAGAAGTAGCGACTACCCCTCGTTCTCACACTGTTTCAACAGTCTAGATCAATATCACAGGCGAAATTACGTGTACGGATGAATTGGCACGCATCAATACCTCAGAAGTAGGGAAATAGTTCGCCTTCTCTATTGTTCAACTAGTAAACATATACAAACTCGTCGTTTTTCGAGTCGGTCAGATCTTTGAACGCATTGGCACCGAGCTGAGGTCCGCTTTCATCACTATCCGCATTGATATACCGGTGCTCCATGCTGAGGTCGCGAATCTTAGCGGGTTTGCCGTTCCTGACTCTCTTTCGTTCCTGCATCTTGTTGAGGAAAAGCAGGTTCACAACCTGAAGCGCGATGACTGCAAGGAGTGCGCATGTGATGCCCATGGTCTTGGTTAAACCAGGCTTGTACTCTGGTGCATCGGCCGAGCTGAAGAGGAGGGGGCCGATGATATTACCTGCAGAAGAGCCGATGTTGTACAGTGACATCACAACGGACTTCTTCGTCGCTCCGCCAAGATTTGAAATCATCCAAGACACGATGAGGGGGTTGCCACTGAAAACAAAGGCAAGCATGTAATAGGCCGCGAGGAGTGGCGGGATGTAACCACGTGGCAAAAGATAGAGCATGACAGCCCCCGCCAACACTGGTAGCATGACCAGAGCCAGGAAGACCGACTTGATGCGGAATCGGTGAGCCAAATAAGAGGCGGGGAAGATAACCAGTAGCTGCACCGCTCCAAAGGGGATATTCAGTAAAGACGTGCGAGCGCTGTCAAAGCCGAAGCCACCGATAATCAGCGGGCCAAAGGTGTTCGTGACAGCGGCGGTTACGTTGAGGCAAAGCGCCATGCCAATGAATAGCCAGCTTTTTGGCTCGATGAGAGCTTCAAAAGCCTGACCCCATTTAAAGTCGCGGCTGCCAGTTCCGGTCTGGTTGGCTCGAAGACGCTCGATAGCCTGGAGTTTCTCGGTTTCCGTGAAGAACCGCGCAGAAGCGACATCGTTGTCGAGCCGCCAGTAGACAACGGGGGCAGTAAGCACCGTCAGGACTCCAACAAAAATGAACAAAATTCTCCAAGACGCGATGTGGCTGTCGATTTGACCCAGCCCATACGACACCGCGGCCGCAAACATTGTAGCCAGGCCATTGGTGCCGTACCAGCAGGCGACCCGCATCGGCTGCTCGGCACGACGGTACCACTGGGAGGTGATGACAGAAAATAGCGGCAGGCAGGCGGCCTCGAATAGGCCCAGCAGGAAACGCGTTGCAATCAGTCCTCCATAGTTGTGACAGGCAGCCATGCAGGCCTGAGAGGTGCCCCATCCGAAAACGAGTGCCGGCATCAGAATCCGATGCGGTACTCGGACCATGATCCACGATGAAAATGGCAACCATACCAGCTGTGCAATCGCAGCAATAGAGCCCACCATGGAGTATTGATTACCGGTGAGATTAGTGTCTTTGCGCAGTCCCCAGACGGCACCGTATCCCAACACGGACTTGTCGAGGATTTGGAGAAAGTAGACCCTGTGATACAACGGGTTATTATTAGTACAAGAGCGATCGCAGATGGGTTGAACTGGGCCGGCTTTTTACCAGACAAGGATTGAGAGGATATGACGGTCAGTCTTGCGGCGGATTCGCTTGTTCTGGGTAGGATAAGGATGTTAGCGGTGACGAAATGGGGCGGATATATCCGCTCGCTGTCATGTATACGGATTGCTTCGCTTACATCTTCCTCTGTGAGCTCGACGTGCTGCGTGCCGATGAGTTCCGCGGCACGATCACCGTCTTTGGTCACCATAGCATGATGCTTCAGGCTGGGGTCGGCATCATGTTTGGCATCTTCAGCTCGATGCACTGACGTGTCGTCGCCAGTCTTGGAGATGTCAGTCATGGCTCCGGAGGTCTGCGTTGTGGGGTATGACTTTTTGTGTTTACGTTGCATGAATTGGATCAAGAGATGGAAGGATTGAGGTTTATATGTATCTCGCCGCCTTTCCTGAGGCGCTGATCTTTGCACCATCGCTCTCGGCAACGAAATTAACAAGTGGGGAACCCCCCAGATACTTCCCCGGAGAACTTAACTAGATGTTTGGATGTCTTCGTGAGGGGCTCTGGGGAGGGGTGGGGGGCGCCGACATCAATAGCCGTTGCGCCCTTCATTGGGCGGGCGGAGACTCCGCCCAGGGGACAAAGCGGCTTAGCTCGGCGTTTGGACCCGGGGTGGGAACGCGTCTCAATAGCCGATCACTCCAGTCATCACCAACGAACCTTTCAATCACAGTTAATAGGAACTAGAGCTGGTTGAACTTCAGGTGATATTTGTGGGATATGGCGACTCATCAGATGATTGCATCCCAAGAATGCACCATTGCCACGATGGGACAAGAGCATGTCTCTCCTTGGTGTCATGCCATTACTTGCCTCAACTAGGAGTACGCTGAGAACGCCATTTAGCTAATATAATCAGATCTATGGATTCAAGAGTATTGCAGGTATCAATGTCGCTGCCCATGTGGCCAGACCCTCGCTTCTCAGTACTTAGCACCTTGTGTGAGCCTCAAGTTGAGCAGGTCGATGGCCACTCCTCAGAACGTGTAAGGCCAGCGAGTCTTGTTTTCTAACAAGCTTTCAAGCCTACCGAAACCAAAATAACTTTGTCATTTGTGTGTTGCTAAGGGCACACAATTTCCGGCTTGAGAATTACAGGCTTGATAATTATGTATCACTGAGGTAGAGGAACTCCAATTACATACATGGCCCGATTAAATCACTTGCGATGCCTCTCCGGCTCTGCCTGTTGACCCCATCCAGTCCATGTGCTCCTCAACAACTTTCTGCATCGCCAATGTGCCCTCCTCTATGATGGTGGTCAAAGGCACTTTCCCAGCCCTATCCCTCATCACATCTGTGAATTTGTTGTTCATGGCGTCATTGATATTACACTTCGCCATTCCATGCTTGATACACTCTTTGAAGAGTTTTTCATCAAAGTCACCGGCACCATGGAGAACGAGGTGGATTCTCCCCTTGGTCGACTCATGTATACGGCCCAGTCGGTCATAGTCTAAGCATGGACCTCGAGGCCCATACTTGCCATGTACATTACCGAATGCTGGAGCCAGCCAGTCGATACCCAGTTCAATAAATTCATCCGCCTGCTCTGGTGTGGTTAGGATTCCCTCAAGATCTCCAGTGTCTTCAACGCCGTCTTCACCACCATTAATCCGCCCCGGCTCAGCCTCGACAATAATGCCTTTCTGGTGAAGAAAGTGCACAAGCTCCTTTGTCTTTGCCATGTTTTCCTCCTTATCATAATGGCTCATATCAGCCATGATACCATCAAAGCCCCCAAGCTCAGCTGCGCGTCGGATGATCTCTGGGGACTGAGCGTGGTCCATATGCACCGCTACTGGAACTGTCGCGTTATCCGAAGCCTCCTTTGCGGCGTGGACAAGAAGGCCATTGGCGTATTCGATAGCCCAGGGGAAGAGCTGAATGATAACTGGGGACCTCTTGGCCTCGGCCGCTCGAACGGAGGCGATGATGCCCTCGATGTTGTAGCAGCACATCGCAGCCACAGCATAACCACCCTGGGCAGCTGCATTGACTATGGCCAAAGCCCGATTGCTTTTGTGCTGGGCCATGGTGGCGAGCACGTCGAGGGTTTCGAATTCCAAGAGATGCCTGGTATTGGCACAAGCGTACAGCGTACTATTGATTGTCTGAGCAGAGTTGGCACTCAAGTCGCGGACTTTCGAAGCAATTGCACTCGGGTATTTCGTACATGAAGTGCCAGGCTGTGGATGAGCTCGGCCATCAGCTCCCTTGGCTCGGTCTCCTGCCGGTGGATGTTTGCTTTATTCCTTCTCGGCAATTCCCTGGGCAATACACGACTATGATGGAGACACTGGAATAATGGCGTGGGGGTGGGTTGACAGACATGGGGCGGCTTGTGCCGTGGGGGGGTCAATAGCCGACTGCAAGAGTCGGCTATTGAACCGGGCTCATGGCGCCATCCAACCAACATTCTCTCGGTCTCAGATATTGACGCCAGGCCGGTCCAGTCATGATACTGTACTGTCAATTCAAAGGAGCACGCACGCGATGCCACAGTCTAGCCAGTGTTTTCAACGATAGATCATCTCGAGATATATCGAAAGTCGCCATTCCTTGGTTACCTCATTATTTTCTGTGTAGAGTCACCACATTGCCAATCTCCAGTTGGTTGCTGCAGCGGGCCAGGAACTCTTTTCGCCCCCCCCCGCCGCCGCCTCAAGAATGTTTGGGAGAAGTGGCACTAGCCAGGATCTTCGATCAGGCGTGACGGTTTATGGCGCACCGCTCTAAGGTCCATTGGGTTGGCCTTCCATACTCGTTTCGCGCCTTGATCTTTCAAAGAAAGAAAGTGGCGGAAAATGCTACAAGGAGTCCCTCTAGCCTCGAATCGATCCAAGGCACGAGCTGTTGACATCATGGTTACAGAAACTGTTACTCAATTTTTGTCACCAGTGTCTTTGAAAGGCTACCTAGGTCCAGGACATAACAAGGATTAGATTTTTAGCTTCGGAGCCGGTACGTGGGGGTCAACAAACTATCGCGAAGCTGTGTGGCGGGTGGGCGAGAAGAGACTAGGAGGTGCCGTTCTAGTTTACCGCATGAGATCACTTGATGTCGATCGTGTCGGTGATTGGAAATTAAGCCCCGATGGATTCTATAGCCGATCGCTTCTGATTGGCCAACACTCCCGAACGCTGGCTACACCGCTGGCTACACCGCTGGCTACTGTCTCTCGACGAGTCCACCTTTATGGTAGAAGGCGTGAGGCGATAGAATGCCAGACAGGTAGCCTTTCCCTCTATCCCATCTAAATCGAATATGCTAGACGGAGGTTGCTTTCAGTAGGGTGACAAAAAAACAAAAACAACTCGGAAATGTGTTGCATGAGTCAGCTCCCATAGGTCCTTAGGCGCGGGGGGGGGCTGCTTGGCGAGGCCACCATTGACTGGTTTCCACACATTCCCCGCACGATTGAACAAATAGACCCGTTCCACAAGATCGTTGTCCCCGTGCATTTGATCGGCTTTCCATGCATTATCAAGGGCCGAAATCACTGATCTCGCCCTCAGCATTTGCACCTCGTGCCCTGGGGCCCATATTATCTCCATTGCTTTGCATCAATAACCGCTCAGGAGCAACGGCATGACCTCGGAAAAGGAGAGACGCATCTCTCGTGCGTGTTTCAATTGCCGTTCGAGAAAGACCAAGTGCGATTTGTACGTCCATCAATCAGCCCTTGCTACGCTACGCTTATCCTCGGCCATCCCTTGTCTTCCTTCTCACTAACTCTTGGAATCGGAAGAGACTCTAGCGGGATCCCTGGCCGGCCGCCATGTCGCAGATGTACCGAACAACATCAGGAGTGTATCCTCGCGACATCAAAACGCGGCGGTCGTCGTGTCAGGCGGACACTGACTTCCCAACGCATTACCAGCGAATCTCTGCCTATCTCGCCGGCGCCACACCCTACTCCAAGTTTCATTGACCAACTGCCCGAGCAGGGCCCAGTTACCGATGTCACGGAGGAGCGTCCGAGTTTCGAAAAGGAAGCATATGGACAGCTTGGTGCTTGGGCGTCCATGCGGCCCTCGTCGGCCCGGCATGGCCAAAGTTTGATGTCTGGTCATACTCTAGGGGATCCGGCCAAGGATATAAACGGGTTCCAAGGTCACATTGCCTCCTCCGATCTCCTCAACCCCTCCGATGCCTTGGACCTTTTGGCACAAGTAGCCGATCTCGAACAGGACGACCAGCCTAGCTCTACATCAAGACAGACAGAAGTAGAGAGGCCTTCTTCGACAGGCGAACTCGAAACACAACCTCTGGATACCGATTACCCTCCTATGGCGACTGGTGCTTTGAGCCTTTCGGATGCTTCATACCTGCTCAAACAGTAAGAGCCATACTGAGCTAGTTCTGGACCCTGCCGCTTGCTGATTCTTATTCTGCAGATATCATGAGCACCACCATCCCTTTTTTCCAATAGCCTACCCGGCGATTTTCGATCCCGGACATGCCGCAAAATGGTTGAAAAAGGAGGAACATCTAGTGACAGCCGTCTTGACAATTGCCTCGAAGGACGATTCAGCTTGGTCCCGGGCATACGAAGCCTGTTCACGGCACATGGAGAGTCTGATCTCGAAGCTTGTATACACTGGATCTACCACAGTCGGCGCCGTGGAGGCCCTTTTGATTCTCGCCGAGTGGGCTCCCCAGCCCCCACCGAACGACTCGGTCATTGGTCGCGGCAAAGAGGATCAAGGAGCATGGATGATGGTGGGCATGGCCATACGTCTCGGCTACCTACAGAAGTTGGAACAGACCAGTCTGCTCAATGGGCAAGGGCAGCTGTCGGAACAGGCCTGCAGACAGCGCATCGCATGGGCAGGTAAGAGATGTCTTGACGGTCCTTCCCCAATCCCCACAAATCACTCTAGGGATAACTGATGGACTGTGAACATTGCGCTTAGCATGCTACATGAGCGATAGACAGGTGTCCATTCGCTTAGGCAAAGGGTTTTGGTCTCGGGGACCCAGCCCGTCCACACATTTAAGAGAGGCGGATTTTCCCTCGCTACAGGCGCAGGCTATAGGAACTGACAATCTTGCGTTACTTTTTCAAGCGCATCTTGAGCTTACTCAGCTCTTCAGCAATGCCCATGACATTCTCTATTCTTCGACACTTCATAGGGAACAACTCTATGTGGGCGGAGAATATGTACGGTACATTGTGAGTTTGAAGTCTTAAACATTCTATGGGACTATGTCTGACCCAACAAGGACGACTTTTCCTCTGTTCTCCGAAGGTGGAAACTCACATGGGGTGGTTTGAGTTGTAAGTACTGGCTAGAATGGATCAAGGTCCTTGAACAACACTGTTGTTAACATCATATCTGAACTCAGTTACTCCACTGGTCAAAACGTCCTTGATTTTGACTTACGATTTCCTTCGCTTGTATATCAACGCTTTCGCCTTCCAGGCAAATCTCAATCGAGCTGTTCGGCGAGCTTTCTCGGAGTCACCAAGTCCTCAACTCAAAGGCCCGTGGTTTGTGGACATTGCCGGAGCTCCAGACGCCAGATTCATTTATGAGTCAATTGACGCAGCTAACTCCTTTCTCGGCATATTGAATGGCTTCGTCAACCCTGAGACTGGGCTGAGATATATGCCCCTCAAGTACTATCTATATGCCATATACGCCGCGGTATTTCTGTTCAAGGTATGTGATCCTGATAACAGCGTATGGCACCCTTTAAGAAGTGGGTTACACAATAGACTTACACAAGCACGACTGCTCGTAGGCCATCATGGCAGGTGCAATTCCTTCTACAGACGCATCCTGTGTCCGTCGTACAGTTCAGGAAACTATTCTCCGCCTACAAAGAACATCATCTAATCGCCACAGTCTGGGTCACCGATACGCCCGCTCCCTCCGTCTATTCTGGCGGAAGTCTTTCCGGAACAAACAAACAAGCGAGAACATCCCTGGCCGTACCTCTCCGACCCCTGGGCATGGCACAACATTCAGACATAGTTCGGTAGATGCGAGTCTAAGGGGCGAGGTGGGAGAAGGAGGCCTCGATCCAACTTACTGGAACTCGCTAAACAGCTTCTCCTGGAGGGATCTTGATTCTCTAGGGCAGTTCATTGAGAATGACATCTTGACCGGCACCACCGATGGAGTTTTGACGACACCTGAATTCATTCAAGAACGGAGCTCTGTCGTCAGGGACAACCTGCCTGTTGGATTTTGGAATGATGTGTGCGATAATCATGATTTTGTATTTTAGAAAGAGACGTAATGGGGACTGAGCCACATCTCCATAGTCCCACAGGAGCTGTAGAGTTATATGCATCTTACACGGTGATATGGTTACCCAGGACTATTACAATAGGTTCAGAAGTTTGCAATGACCCGGGCCGTGAACTTTGATAGACTACGTATACAAAAAAGCGTCTCCAAATTGCTCTGCAAACAGAGTAATGGCAATGCCATATGTAGCATGGGATCCAGCAGCATTGCTTATGCCACCATTTGGGGACATCAAGCGTGGTACTGTGAACGAGGAGGGAAAGCACCTAACAAAACCAACCTAAAACATCATCAACTCTTAGATAGAAGCATCAACTTACCTAGTCGAACAACAGGCTCAACTGGCTGATTAACCTAAGACTCTGCTCAAGCACTCCAGCACTCAAACAACACTGTCTCTTCTTGATCAGAACGAAGCTGGATTGACTCCCCTAACTCCTACAAGAACGTCCTCCCCTCTCTCTATTTATTTAGGTGCTGGGACTCCCCTTAGTCTGTGCAGGTCGTCCAGCCAAGCAGTGATGAGATTGATCAAGTGTTTGAGGAGTCCCCGAGCCCGGACACAGTACAACAGCCGCATCCAAGATGCCTTAATACAAATGATTTTGATTTTCATTGTCTTCAAGGGATGCGTGTGAATGATATCATAGCCACTTGAAGTTAGAGCAGCTGCGAAGAAGTAATGTGGATTATGGGAAAGATGCTCGCGAGTGCCTCGACTCGCTATCCGCTTGTCGCGGAAGGCAAGGATGCCGTCTTGCATATCACATATAGCAGGGACGCCGATGTTCAAGGGAGATATTAAATGCACCCGACTACGAAATAAATGATATAGAACCCAGGATTAATGGTTGAACTAATGATAGAGGTCTTTGTGATCGTGCTTGATGGCATCTGCACCCTTCTCAGCCACCATGTAGACAGAGTTTTGAATACGACAGTCAGGAATGACGGGAATGACAGACGCATCAATGACACGGAGGTTCTTGATCTTGTGCACCTTCAGACTGGCATCCACAACGCCCTGCTCGATGGTTTTCGACAGGCGAGCAGTACCACATGGATGAAACGAGGTCTGAGAACGGTCTAAGACTGTTCTCTTCATTGCCTCATCATCGTGCAGTGGCATGTCCCATGGATACTCATCTTCGACAATATCCTTGAATCCTTCACCATTTTTGAGAACGTCGTAAGCGAATCTGATTCCTTCACGGATAGCAATGATATCAAGATCGTTGTTGAAATAATTCAAGTTGATAGAAGCTTGTTCCAAGGGGTCGTCGCTGTTCAGAGTGACTTCGCCACCCTCGGATACCGGGCGAACAAGGTCAACCATGACAGTCATGTAGCTACCCTTGTTGGGGTGCGGGAAGTGCCACTGGAATGCACTACCGAAGAGCGGGATGAAATCGAGCTCGAAATGCGGCTGGCCGTATGGACAAAAGGGATCAAGGCCACCATTCGCAGCCTTTGCCTTGCGGTACTCAGGTGACTTCTCCAGGTATTTGTCGATGCGGGGGAATCCGATCATCTCGAGGAAGGGTGACCCCATGGCGCCAGCGTGGCCCTTGGAGTAAGTCGACAAGACCTTATCATGAAGAGGGCCTTTTCTAAGGACATGGCTATCCATAGAGAAATTGTCCTTGACCCGAAGCGCGAAAGGAACACCGGGATGGTCCAGCAAATGCTGGCCAACATGAGGCGAGTCGACCACCAGAGGGATGCCATGCTTAGCCAGCTCAGAAGCGGGTCCAATGCCGCTCAGCATGAGGAGTTTGGGGGTTTCAAAAACACCCTGAGATACGATAACTTCACGCGTGGCGTAGAAGCTAAGCTCTTGCCCCGAGCTCGTGATCACAGTCACTCCCTTTGCCGCCCGATCGGCATTGTCGAGAATTAGCCGCTTCGAAATGACTTCAGGTAGGATAGTGATATTCTTCTTATCGGCCACCGCAAGGAAACTTCCTGACCGTCGGCCTTTGTAGATTGTATTGACGCTGTGAACAAGGCCACGCATCTCGCCGTCAAATATGTTCTCGGAAATAGGCTCGCCAGTGGACTTCCAAGCTTTGATAAGGAGCTCACGGAAACGGCTCATTTCCGGCATGAGGTCCGCATGGGCGATGTGAATCGGGCCGCCAGTGCCAATCTTCTTCAGTTCCTTCGGAAAGAGGCCCGCGTCATCATGGTAGGTTGCACTCTTCCGAAGATAAGGGACGAGGGGATCCCATGTCCACTCCTTGCCCCCGTATTCCTCCCACATATCGAAAGTACCCTTGGATCCAGGCACCCAGGAAAAGTAGTTAAGTGATGAGCTACCACCAAGCGCTTTCCCACGGGTATTGGGTTTCTCGATACGCTCATAGTCATTGCGCTTGACCATGGTGGTCTTGTACGCCCAGTCGTACTGGCTACCCCGGAGATCCATGGCAAGCGCAGGAGTGCGAATGTCTTCATTAACAATGGAGTTGCCGATCCCAGCTTCAACGACGAGAATATTGACGGTCGGGTTCTCAGCCAAGCGTGCAGCAACGATGTTGCCAGCTGTGCCGCCACCCACGACAATGAAGTCAAAGCGTGCTCCGTCTTGAACCGACATGTTGGTTGAATATGATGTCTGTTTTTGGATGGAATTGGAAAGTGTAGAATGTAGATACTGTCTTGTTGGTGTCAAACAGTTGTTGGGATCTCGCAAGGTGCATGATATTCTCGAGTCTTATATACCCAAGACTGAAGCACTTCTTTCCTTCACCTCCAGAGCCCGGACACCATGATATCATGTTTAGGATTGAAGGTGATGTTGGATGAGCTCTGTGAATCGATCCTCATTCGTCCAAAACTCTTTCCTTTTTGAGCTTACAACCACAAGCTGCAACTTTAAACTGATGCATGTCAGCTATCGTATTCTTCTACCAATGAACGACGTGAAGTAGAACATGCCGCCATAGGCTATCAGAACATGTGAGGTGATTGCGTGTTCTAAGGTTCTCTAGACTCTTAGTCTTTCGATGAATGTGAGTTCTTATTCGTTGTGTAGTTACACTGAAAATGGCAACAGAGTCTCACATGGCTGGCTGACGGTGATCGGGGGTCTCGGGGTTGAACCGGAATGGCTGCTCGGCCAGCTGTCTGCAGGAATGTCTCCACTTTTCAGCTTGTTTCGCTACCAGATGGGGTAATTCGGCATTTCTTTGGCATCCCGCATGCCGTAGTTTTGAAGTAACCGGTATAGGAAATGCTACTCAACGAATCAGTGATGCGTATTTTCCCCACTTGGAGTAAAATCTAGATCACCCTTCAGAAGCTCACTCATTCTAATACACGAATCTGATATCTTTCGTATTATTGAGCTGGGTGAGCAAAACAGGAAATGAATCCGGCGAATCATACCTTGCAACCCGGCCACACAGGATCAGAGTTTCTGAGGGCAAAGTTTATTACAACTATATTTTACAGAAGCAAGGTGGCCTGATCATGGAAACGACAAGCATTAGAAGCATTACAAATGAAGAACCTACAATAGATAAGAGGCTCAGATTGTCCACCCATGAAACTACACGCTTCGAATGACGATTCTGTAGTGTCTTCGTTCTCATTTGCATTTCAACTATTCCTGAAGATGTCCTCTTTCTACACACTCGCTGAAGGTACAGAGTCCTGTGTAATATCGAGGTTCATATTTGCTGAACACAACCAGGTTGTCCTCAGCAGAGGGATGATACCAGTATCCAGCTTCGCAACGGAAGTGGCGGTGGTCTTGTTTTACTGCAAGACACACAGCTCATTGAGACATTGGCTCACTTTTCAAGAGAGCGCATTCCCGAGAGGTAACAACCCCATACTACAATGCCAGATCAAGCATTTCACTAACGGCATGCAGGGTTGTTCACGCCAAGGCTGCTGGGTATGTTGATTTAGCTCCTTGCAGGTTCCTTGTCTGACTCACTCCAGCGCCTACGGGGAGTTCGAGGTTACCCACGAATGCACAGACATAACCTCTGCCAGTTTCCTTAACGCTGTTGGAAAAAAGACACGGTGCCTGGTGCGGATTTCGACCGTGGGCCCGGAGCGTGGTTCGGCCGATACCATTCGCGATGTTCATGGATGGGCTATGAAGCTTTACACAGACGAAGGCAACCTGGATTGGGTCTTTAATAACACGGCAAGCTGTGGAACTCTTCCTGTCTTAATTGACGGATACTAACCATGTAGCTTTTAGCCTGTGTTCTTTGTTCGGGACCCCATCAAATTTCCTTCGCTCAATCGATCACATAAGAGGCATCCGAGTACAAATACTCCTGATGCCAACATGGTAAGTGGTAATACTATCCACTCTATACATTTGATCAGCCTAACATACTTGGATACCAGTTTTGGGAGTAGGTACTCTTAACAAAGCATATCAGAGAATGATGCAATCTAATTACCACTAGCTTTCACGTCGGCAACCCGGAGGGTATTCATGAACTCATGCACTTGTTCAGTGACCGAGGAACTCCGGCTTCGCTGAGAATGATGCCCGCATTCAGTGGCCACAGTTAGAAATTCACTAGAGAGGTGAGTAAGAGTCTCGCTTGAGGGTTATTCACCTGACCTGCTCATAAGACGCAAACAGGACGGTACATTCAGCTACGTCAAGGTTCATATCAAACCTCAACTGGGAATCAGAAACTTTGACCGTGAAGCCGCCAAGCAGGTCGCGGGTGAAAACCCTGACTATCTAGTTGATGACCTCTATCAGGCAATCGCTAAAGGAGATTACCCGAAGTGGAACGTCTACGTTCAAGTGATGTCTCCCAAACAGGCCGAGGGATACAAATGGAATATATTTGACATGACTAAAGTCTGGCCTCACAAGGATGTCCCCCTAAGGCAGATCGGCGTCTTAACTCTGAACAAGAATGTAAGTCCAACAAGCTTCACACTCTGATTTGATTACTAACCAAACAGCCCGACAATTATTTCACAGATATTGAGCAGGCTGCATTCTCGCCATCGACAATTGTCCCTGGATGGGCACCTTCTGCAGATCCGAGTACTATACGTCCTGCTTGATGGTTTTGCTCCAAAGCTGACATGAATCTAGTGCTACAAGCTCGCATGTTTGCCTATCCAGACGCTGCACGCTATCGCCTCGGGACGAACTATCAGATGCTTCCTACGAACCATGCCAAGTCGCCTGTCCACTGCCCATATCAACGGGATGGGTTTATGAACTTCACCGACAATTACAACGACCAACCAAATTACGTGGGATCCCAGCTCGAGCCTATGACTTTCAAAGCCGGTGGAGCGCCTTGCAGCAGACTTTCAACCTTGACCGAACACGAGAAGTGGACTGGTGAGGTTCTGAGCTATACCAGCAGTGTGACTGCCCTAGACTTTGAGCAGGCGACTGCTCTGTGGAAGGTCATAGGACGGGAACATGGCCATCAAGAAAGATTCATTTCCAACGTGGCTTCCAGTATATCTGGGGTTACAGACAGGCGTCTCAGATCTGCGGTGTACCGTAAGTCACCCTGGTCATCCCATCTGAAAGGTTTGTCCGCTGCTAACAAAGCGCAGAACTGTTCGCGCATGTTGACAAGGATCTTGGGGCTCGTATTCAGGAGGCCACGAAACTGGATAATTAGGTAGGTAGGCCCCATTGCTTCCACGAGGTCGTGTGTCGACTTTTATGAAGCTCTAGCTAGGAACTAGATTCTGGAGAGACAGGTGGAATTTGACTCTGCATCGTTTCAATTGCACTTCAGAGGTTCAAGCTATCGCTCTTAAGGGACGAGATGACTTCAATGCGGAAGCGTCTTTTCGGGTAGATCCGTGATAGTAGGAATTCCATTTAAGCAATATGAACTCAAGGACTGCCCGTAGGGCTTATGATATTTGTCATTTGATGTATGGAAGGGTTCATCACTGTGGAATGCTGGGGTATGCTTTGCAGGGCCCATCAAAGCTGAGGGACAAGGGGGTGGAATGCACCCCACACACGTGCTCCTCCACCCGGCTGTGCCGGTCTAGTTCGGATTCTTACCGGCGGAACTTTGGGAAGTTGCAGCGGTGGAGGGGCAGAGAACAATCGAGAAAAATCGCTAATAAGCTTTTCTTCGGTCATGGCCGGGGGAAGCCATCGAAGGTTTTAAAGCGTCGAGCATCCCTTCAAGCAAGCAACCCCTCCGCACCGGCCGACCATCAAAGTCTTTTAGGGCTTGAAAATAATAGCGATGGCTTCAACTTCGCCGCCTGGAATGTCCTTTGCATTTGTTGACAACCTGGACGAAACCGGCGGAGCTCGCAGCCATGTTATGCGCGAGCATTGGAAGCAACGGCGACAAGCGAAGCACGAGAAAAAACGCAGGGCCGAAAGTGCAAGGCAGCAGACGCGACCAATCCTACCAAACGACATCCCTCGGGTCCCGCAAATACCGCTAGAAGACATGGCAACGCGGTCCTCTAGCGCCAGCACACCTCCAACTGAACGGCAGGGAATACCCACGCAAGCACTGGCCGGAATGAATCGTGCCTTGAGTTGCGGCCGCTTGGATCCGTTTGATATGTTCCCTGTCAAACTGACCGCACAATGTCATAAACTACTACACCATTGTGAGCTACCCAAGCCCTCATGTTATGCTCTTCCCACACGCTCGCTTGTGCGCGTCAACTAACGCGGAGCAGGGCTTAGTATGTATGCAACCATGATGTTCGCCGAGAGCCGAGTTTCTAGTTTCAACCCCATGCGCGACGTTTGGCTGCCCTTGGACATGTCCAATGCTGCATCTTTCAACGCGATCATGGCACATTCGGCAGCACATCTCGCACGAATGCAAGGCTTCTCTACATACAAGGAAGCTTTTAAATTCAAAGCCGAAGCCGTACGTATTGTTTCGCAGTGGATGTCCGATCCTGCAATGATTCTAAGCGATGACCTGATCGCCGGAGTGGTGCGATTGTTGACATACGAGGTAATGCCCAGACTCAAATTAAACCACCTAGCTCGTCGCTAACGGGAGCAGAGGTACTGGGGCACAGAGAGCGAGTGGCAGATGCATCACGACGGCCTGTTACGTTTGATTGAAGCACGAGGGGGCATACAGTCCTTGCGGGAGAATTGGAGACTTGGCTTGCCGGCGTATCTGTGAGCACCCCGCGATCGATTCAAAAAGCTTTAACAGACATGATCTGATATCAATTTTATCCTAGTATATGTCTGATGGTGAAACCTACATGGTTTGATAGCTCCAACCAGATCTGGGAAATATCCGCACAATCAGCCGCCGCCGCCGCCATCAACCCCATTGTTGCATCCCTGGGTGGTCTCTATCGAGTTCGAAGTCTCTGGTTACTCTCGTTTGTTCAAGATATGGGCACATTCATGTCCAACACCAGAGGGCTTGATCGCCTTCTGAACATACAAGAAGCCCTACGTGTCGTAAAAGACAATCGGGACCAGCGGCACGCCCAAAACAATGAGCAGGAGTTCACACGGCTGGCTTGTCTATTTGCAATCTGCGTGGTGCTACAGGGGTCAATGTGCCATGAGCAGGGGTCAACTTATCTCGAGTCGTTCCTCAGGGATAGACGAGAATCATGGTCAGGGTCGGTGGACGGATTACACCAAAATTTATGTGAGGTTCTCGATCCTGAAAAGAACGAATACGTTCTTAATGTAACCTCTGTGCTGAGGTCAATGAGTTATGAGGCACAAAGAGGAGTGGAGGCATGTTTACTGCAAATTCTGCATCCAGAGAGAAGGGACCATTTCTCCATGTCGGATGAAATAACACCAGACATGTTATTATCATCCTTACATGGACACTGAAAGTAGGCAGGAAGCGGCTGTCTCTGGAGACTATACAATTATCACAATGGTCATAGCAATACGGCCTCGGGGCTAAGATATCCCTGTTGACACGACTGCCTTGTGCGGCGCAAAAGCTCATCTGTCAGAACCAGCTTCAGGTCTAATGATGATCAAACTTGGCCAGTTTCACATGCTTGCACCTTTATTGGAATAATAACCAATGTCATTGTAGTTCAAGCTCATCTTCATAATGGCCAATATCACAATCACAGCACATACTAGCCTTCCATGAAGGCATACAGGTATTAATAAGGTCGATATTGCGCATGCTTCTGATAGTTATATGCACGAAGAAAAACTCGAGCAAAAGCGAGAGCCTCGATCAGCTTTTCATCCGGCCGAAACAGCAACCACTCTACTCTATGGCTAGATCTCGTACCCAAAGGACTTCCTGTGGTCTTTTCCTAATAGCCCTACTTTGCAAGAGTAGTATTTCCAAACCGAGTTACCTATAACAGAAACCGCACTGTCGTCAACGCCGCGCCGCGCTTCGCAAAGCTTTCCTGGACACTAAAAAGACCATGTATGGCAATACGATGGTCTATTCAGCCATGTGTCGGTGGCGGGGTGATAGCCTTGATCAGACTGTATTTCGGGTTGTTTTTCCCACCCTCTGGACCCAGGATGGCGGCGACGATGGCATAATCATTGTAATTAGCCTTGGTGTTTATTGCCACCTCAATCCACATAAATAGACCTTGAGACAGGTCCTTGCCATCCAGGAACACGTATTCTGGGAACGGATCGTATGCCTCGGTAGCGGCATAGCCCGAATACAGATCCCGAGCATTTGTGGTCAATGGGATGCGATTCGTGTTGTAAGGCGCTAGCTTCTCAACAGCAGAGATCAAGGCCTGGTCGAAGAATAACTGCGAGATGTGGTTGACGTCACCGCCGGTGAACGTATTGTTAGGTAGAATACTGGAACCGGTATGAGCGGAGACATGTATGTGAGTCGCACGGCCCTGGTAGTGGCCAGGGAAGATTGTGTCGAATTCGACGACGCCATCCTTGTCCGTCTGCTGCACTCCGCGCAGGAATGTCGACTTGAGCCCACCCTGGCCAGCTGCACTCACTCCACTATACACACCCGTTGCGTTGCATTGCCAGATGTCAACCAGCAGGCCTGAGACCGGCTTGCAGTCTTGAACATCCACAAATTGAATTTCGAGGTGGACCGGGACGCCTCTGTGACCCTCGACCACGTTGGAGCGGATCTGCTCGCCGAGAACATAGTATGGGCCTATAATATTATCCGGAGTCATGATGCAAGTGGTATTTGCCCCGAAAACCTCAACATGGGGCGTCGACTTGGTGAAGTCCACTTTCCCCGTCCTGTCGTGTGAGACCTGCCCCCACTTTGCGAACTGTACATTGTTACGGCGGTAAATTTGCTGGTCTGAGTTGATCACCCGTTAGCATTGAGCTCAAATTACAGCAGGTCGCGTGGTATTGACCTATTTTAATGGAAATCTTACCATTTACGATGCCTCTATTCGCTTGCAGGTTCCGGAATGTGTCCATGCGGCGCTCCATGGCACGCTGCTTGCGATCCAGTGTCTCAACATCGTTGACGCACTGCCCAACCGCATAGCTATTGATATCCGCTATGGTGTGTCGCAATGTGGCTTCCTTCACCACTTCAGTCGCATCATGCTCCTCTCCGGGGTGAGCATGAATCAGAGACGTGAGCGCGGCAACTGCCGCAAACACTGATAGTCTGGGTAGATTCAACAACATGATCATTTGAACCAAGGTAAGGATGGTTGTTAAAGATGACAGTGAGCCAAAACAGCAGTGGTGGGCAAATGCTTTCTCCTTATAACACGTCAACGTACTCCGGGGATGCGGCGTGCTGTGCTCCTTGTCAGTGGCTTTGAAGGGAACATTAGATTTGGCAAGAGACATGACTGCCCACCCTAGGGCAGATGCAATTACTCTCCACAACTTTTATGACATGAGCCTAATGGCATAAGATCATGAGATTACGACGCTTGCTGTCTCGGCCGCAACTTGGCGCCGTCCAGCGAGCCTTGTCTACATGTAACCGAGACTGTGAATCGGCGGGAATGTCTTTTGGTTCGTAAATTGTATCCATGACTACTCTACCACAGCTAAATCCTGTATTTTTGGGCATCGCTAATGAAATAGGAACTCAGCCACCCGGGGCGAGACATAATATGGCCTCAATATAGAGCACGGGAAACCGTTATAACATGTGCCCTCGTCTCGCGAAGCTAACTAGCCGCAAGTAGATCTTGCCTAATCTAGTCAAGATTTGGACTGCGGGGAAGATTTGTTGTGGTGATGTCCGGATAAATGAGACGTTGATTGGGGTCACATTTTGTTCAGGACAGTTTAGTGAGGGCTCACCCATCTAATTCCACATCGAAGTCTATGCTGTCCCCTGCTAGGTTCGGTTGTTAGAAAGTAATCGTCGGCTATGATCGATGCTTTTGTAATGAGCCGTTCCACGTGCCGTGGATAGAGTTACCAGATTGTGGATGCGGCGAGGCATGCGAATTATAAGATCTAGCGGCAAGGAACGAAGTCTGAACCAAACATGTAAGTTTGTGAACAGGAGTTCTCGTCATGGCTCGTTTTTGGCAGTTCGTAGCTTTTTTCTTCTGCGCGTGGACGGTAGCTGCCGAATTGTGTACCAAGCCAGCTCAACGTAAAGCATGGTATACAGTCCTTTCATCCACATCTGTCAAAACTTTCGTGAACTCACTCTTGATACAGGCACACTTTGACAAATACGGAGAAGCTCGCATACATCAATGCTGAGTTATGTCTCATGCAGAAGCCAGCGACTCTGGGAATGCCAGGCACCAAGACGAAATTTGATGAGTTTCAGGTGCTTCATCAGCGGCAGGCATACTACAACCACTTCGTGGTATGCGATATACTTTCATTCTCTCCAAGTCGACCGCAGATTGAATCACTGAACATCTTGCCAGGGATCATTTCTTCCCTTCCACCGTCTCATGCTCCATACCCATGAGACGAGCCTTAGAGAGCAATGCAACTACACTGGCTACCAGCCGTGAGTTTCCACCTTGAAGTCTCCGGAACATCGTCTCGAGCTGACCAGTTGCGCACCTTCCAGTTACTGGAAAGAGGAGCGAGATGCGGGCAAGTTCAGCTCCTCGGTGGTTTTTGATCCCACGTACGGGTTCGGCGGCAGTGGCTCGGGGCCCAATTCATGTATTACCAACGGCCCATTTGCGAACTATACCAACTCAGCCGGGCCCGGATATCAGGTTACCAGCCACTGCATTGACCGCAGAATTAGCGAAGCTATGAGTGCCCTTTCTTCACAGAGCCAAGTAGATGCTTGCTTGAAGCTCGCAGACTTCAGTACCGCATGGCCTTGTATTGAGGGAAACCCTCATAGCGGGGGCCATGCTGGCGTTGGTGGCCAGGTGAGCATTGATAGTCCTGAGAATGAGCTTGACTCAGGCTAACAAGGTGTTGTAGATGGGGAATGGCGTCTCAAGTCCTGGAGATCCGCTGTTCTACTTACATCATGCATGGATCGACAAGATGTTCTGGGACTGGCAGAAGAGGGACAAGGCGACGCGAACGACAAGTATCACCGGAACAAATATCGGACGGGACTATGCTCCCGGCTTTCCACCCAGGCCTGCCAGCATACCGTAGGTGCCTCATATCTCCAGCTGGTCTCTTGCAGAGATAAGCATGCTTGAGATGCTAATTCGACAATAGCAAAGCAACCGGTGCAGCGGGCGATCCGGGAACGACAACAACACTAAACCATGTGCTCTCTATGGAGGGAATCGCACCCAACAAGACTATTGCTGACGTAATGGATATTCAGGGTGGTTTCCTCTGCTATGAGTACGTGGACGCATCGTGAGAGAATGACAAGCAGCCTTCTGCAGGAGCAAAGTTCCTGAGTGGTTGGAATGGCATATTCAGGAGAATAGCGCATTTCATCATGAAGCAATACTTTCGCCTTGTCCGACAGTTCTTTGCGTTGTAGCAACTTAACTACGGCCTGGGCTTGTCAGATATGTGACAGGTTAGATTGGCCATTCACTACACCCATCTGAGAATCCCGCTTTGGCCTCCATCTTGACGATCTGGATCACCGTAGAGTACCTGAGATGATATTGCTCATAGTGGACTCAAAATTAAGCAACAACAACTGCACCCTGCCGAGACCCACGTGGCCAGCGACCCGGATCCATGTCCTTTCCCTGCATCGGCTACCTCTCGGCTAATAGCAGGTTCATGCAATAATGCGGGGAGAGCTGATCAAGAGTGCGTCGCCTAGTGCAAGTGTCAGGCTAATTAATACTTGTTGTAGCTCACCTACATAGGTTTCCCGGTTCCGCCTACGTGCCCTATCCCGGTCGTTTCAGGCATGGTGGCGAGACAGAATGCTTGAGCAACAGGGAGGGCGGTTTTTAAGCGGAAACACAGTCTTCCAGTGGCATTGCGCGGACCGTGAAGTGTTGAGATATTGAGATCTGACGGACCAAGACAACCGGGTATTGGATCCCTGCTTGAATGGATTCTTCTCGACTGTATCGGAGGCAAGGGCCCCGAAAGTGATAATGAGAAGCAACGTATCCTTCACCGCTTTTCAGACGATACACCTTCATCTGGAGCACAATTTTACCATTTTGATACCGTCGACTCAGAGTCTACTGTCACCCAACCGCGCTCAAACCAGAAGCAGCTCTCCGAACGCAAGTTAGGCAAGGATATTCAAATAAGAAATGCCAGTCTTAATATGCGCTAAATGATCAAGAATTCACCCAACCCCAGGCTTCCTACCGTTAGCCAGGGAGGCCATACCCCGCATCATAGCTTTAGCTGTACCAAATGGCGTTTGCACAGCACCCACCATCACTGATCATAGTATTGGCAACCGAATCGGCTGCCGAGAACTCAACCCCGTGGTCACTGTTCGTCTTGCCTTTCAACTTCAGCACTTCGACGGTTCCACGAGGAGCTGCCGTGAAGACTGCAAACTCGTCGCTCCAAAACGCGGGGTGATGCATTTGTGGTCTGGCCTGACGAGGTGGGTTTCATGAACATCCTTTTAAGTATAGATCCGTCCTCGTCAAGTAGAAAGCACGAGATGCAACCCGGTTTAGAACTCCGTCCGCGTGATGTAGCCCAGAGGTAGCGGCCTGATGGGGGAATCATAACATCGGCAGACCAATAGCTAGCAGACTGTTCCCCTAGATCATGTCAGGACATACAACAGAGGCAGAAAATGTCGATACTTCTCTGGCAACCTACCAGTTGGGATGATTGGATAGGCTTGGTTGTCATGGACAACAACTCCTGCCTCATCTATACTGATTTGATGCAGTGTGTTCTCGGCCTCCATGACCACATACAAGAATGTGCCGTTCGGGTACCTCGAACCATGACAAAAGTACTGGCAATGGACATTGTTACAAGGCGCTCCATCGTTACTTTTTGGCTATTTCCGACCTCGCCCTTTCTTCCCCCTTCTCACGTGGCTCTTGATTTAGTCCCTCTTACTCAGCTACGCCTAATCTGCTCCTTTTGTGCTGCCTTTTGCCTTAGGTAAGCTGTACCGGGGAGTTCAGAGGATCTTGATCGGCTTTGAGGGGTTTTGTCGGTAGGTAGCGCTACTTGTAGTAGCGGATGTGCAGCTGATAGTATCCGAGGTTGACTACGGATTTGGCTGCCCTCGCTCCTGCGGAGTACGAGACTAGAGTGCAGATAAGCTTCTCCACCATGGTTTGTCCAAAGCTGACAAAATGCCGTCACTGGTTCTGAAGGTAATCTCCTTTCCGAGAAACTCAAGCCAGAGTTGTTCCGATTGCCTATATGAATATCGCCATGGCCCAATTACACGTTTTGGATGATCTTGGGCTCTCTATCACTGGTTTGGCGAGTAAATACCCATCTCACTCAATCACAACAGCATCATTAGAGCGAATCGGCGCTCGTCACTATCCTGACTCTCCATTGTGAGTAGCGATGTTGCATCATAGCAATGATGTAGTAGCTGATTCATCCGAGCTGATTGTATACCACCGTAGGACAAAGAAGCTCCTAGCCCTGAATGATTCGTCGGGCATTCTCAGCAGGCCATCAGTTCATGATCCAGATGATCAGCTTATTAACCAGGACAGAGCACCATCCATCTCCGAGGTACATCAAAGATTTCTTGAAAGAGGCGTGCCACTTGCCATCGAGGCAGCACAATCTGCTATTACAGAAGCACAAACTAGCCCCTCCTATATCACTCACATGGTCTCGGTGACATGCACGGATAGTGCGAACCCGGGCTATGATCACTACGTCGGAAGGGGCTTAGGAGTTCCAAACTCTGTGGAAAAGGTGCTTCTGCATGGTGTCGGCTGCAGTGGTGGCCTAGCTGCTCTAAGAATGGCTGCAAACCTAGCCCTCGGACATGCCAGGAGAGGCAAGCCCGCCAGGGTTCTAGTTGTTGCTCTTGAAGTCAACTCGACATTGGTCCGAAGTGAGATGGATAGCATGAGCCAGCTCGGCGAGCTGAGAATAGGTCTGGCGCTCTTCTCCGACGGTGCTGGTGCGTTAGTACTGAGCAACAGCATCGACGAGTCTACTCGTCCCGTCTATTCTTTGTTGGGATGGCAACATCGTATCATACCCGATACAGAGGACGACCTGGGCTTCAATGTGGATCCTCTTGGTAAGGATGAGAACATCTTAGCTCACCCGAACTGTGCAAGAAAGCTGAATGAGATGTTAGGGTGGAAAGTTGTCCTGTCTCGCCGCATTCCCGAGCTCACAAAGTCCGCTCTTCAACCCATGTTTTCAAGCTTACTTGAGAATACGCCATGCTTTTCAAGCCAGCACGCCTCGGCCTGTGACTTTGACTGGGCTATTCATCCAGGCGGTGCAGCTGTCTTGGCTAGCATACAAGAGGCACTGGCCATCCCAGGTGACGAGATGAGAGCCAGCTACGATACCTACAGGGAACACGGAAATTCGAGTTCTGCGGCCATTTTCACCGTGTTAGATCGCCTTCGGAGTAAGGAGAGAATTGATGATACCCAAAATGGAAAGAGAAAGGTGTATACTGTTGCTTGCGCGTTCGGGCCGGGGGTCGCTGTTGAGATGTGCATGCTCAAAAGATCCGATAGCCATTCTGAGCTCTAGACCGATGGGCATGGTGAACAAAGGAATTTAACAAGGCCGTTTGGGAATAAAACGAACCCAATGCCCCTAACGTTCGTGACGTCGTCCAAAAGTTCTCGTCCAGGCTGTTCTTGACATCTGTGCTGGCGCGGACCCGCCATTCTTGCGAGATGTAATATTTCGTCTACTGCATATTCCGCATCCTCGATACCTTGGGGAGAGCGCGGGCCGAGATCGACAATGTCCGCTCCATTGGCTAGTGCAACGACAAGTTCGTGTCGTTTGCCGATACTTAGACTTCCACTTCTACAGAGACGCCCTTCGTTCTTTTCTGCTGATGTTCCTCAGCGTGGTTGGTTGGTGTTGCACTGAAGGACGATTTAAGAATTGGAAGCAGGGAATCTCCAGAAGGGATATTCTCTCCGTAAGTGCCACGGGTGATGCCAATAGTCCAGTCATTCCGTCCTGATAGGCATCGACCTCAAGTTGGGGGCCGGACATGCCTTCTGCTCGGACATCGGCATATCGAGGATGGAGTCATCCAAGGTCTTGTGTACCGAGTTGACCTGTTACCCTTCTTCTCTCTCGGTCGGTCGCGTTCACAACATGAGACTGAATGGTTTAGTGCCGCCTGCCGTACGACCGTATCTCAACCTACATCTTTGTATGCTGTACAAAGTAGTAACCAAAGTCAATGGGACGCGTCTTGAGACCATGAAGCGCCATTTGGCCCCTCCCTTAAAAGCTAGGCACCGCGGCACGATTTCCGCTGCCGAGTTGAGTTCGGGGGAACACGGACCAAATTTATGTGATTGGATCGCTAACCTCCCCACGCTTCCAACGTTCTTGGCTCGATCGAAAACATTCCCACCTTCCGCGAATGACCTTGCTCAGAGTGCCTCTACACTCCACCTGCGACCATGGCATGATGCAGCTGAGGAGGATGTTACCTTGCGAAAATACCTAGGTGGCGTGTTTCCGGAGCCTGCCATTTTCACAATGTTAATCTCTCTCTGCTCACCCAGGCATGGTACGCAAGTTCCGACAAAACATACTTCGATCATCGTGCGTCAAGTAGCCATCATCAATTACCATGACAGACAGTAATCCCACTGCGGAGCAGCCTCGAGGCAGCCCTCCAGCTCAGAAGTCACCATCGGGGGCTCAAGCAGGCTCACCGGGCGCGCCATCCCATACTGAAATACTCCCGGCGCAACACTGGACTAATTTGGCGGAGGTGGGTGGTGTATTCATACCTTAGAAGCAGTCTCAAATAGGCGTCGAAAGAAAGCTGACCAGGCGGTCTCTACATGTGGGCGTGAAGAGTCATGAGCGTGATGACAATGCGGATTTGGCTGTCGATGACAAGCAGAGTTCGACAGCGTCGATCAGCTCCAGCATTATCGAGTACAGAACCATCCAAGGGAGAACATTTCATAGCAATCGCGGCAACGCGCAGTATTGGTCAGTCTCTGACCTAGATCTATGTGGCGACACGAGTACTTACCACGAGTCAAGGGGTGCGAATGACGAACGGCAGAACGAAGCCCTGGATATCGCGTATGACCCGTTGGACCCATGGGTGATCTGTTGCGAATGCTAAAACGGATCAGTCACCACTTTCACACCCTGCTTTTCGATGGAAAGCTTCATCTGGCGCCACTGGATAAGGACAAGGTGCAGGTATGTCTGAAGACAGTTGCTGTGATTCTGCTACAGAGGATTGACAGGCTCAGACCGTGCTTGATATTGGAACCGGGACAGGTAAGCAGCAGAGGCGCTAAACAGAACGGAAGCAACGCAATATTCACGCGCGCTACACCAGGTATTTGGGCAATGTGGGTGTCTCTAATGTCCCGGATGGGTTCCAAACTAATATGTGGTAGCGATTTCGGCGACCAGTACCCCAATGCCACTGTCATTGGAACTGACATCTCGCCCATCCAGCCCACATGGGTGCCACCAAATGTACAATTGTGAGCATTCATACAATTGAACCCGTACGATACATCTAGTTGACAAATGCGTATACACTTTATAGCCAGATTGACGACTGCACTCAGGAGTGGACCTTTGCGCCTAATACTGCCGACTACGTACACATGCGTTGGCTGGTAGGGAGCATCGTGGACTGGACCGCTCTGTACAAAGAGGCGTTCAATGTACTGAAGCCCGGAGGCTACCTCGAGGATCACGAACCCTCGCCCTACATCGTCAGTGACGATGGCACCGTTCCCGACACCAGCGCTCACGGTCAGTGGGGCAAGTTCTTTGTCGACGGCGGCCGCAAGATTGGCCGCTCTTTCACTATTTTCGAAGATGACACGCAGAGGAAAGCGATGGCTGATGCGGGCTTTGTTGACATTGTTGTCACAGACCAAAAGGCAAGGAAGGCCCTTCCGGATATTGGCAAGTCGTCTTGAATAGGATACTGACGATAACATGTCGACAGATTGCACTTGGGGGCTGGCCCCGCGACGAAAAGTCAAAAGACATAGGAAGGTACTCGCAATTCGCTTTGGAGCAGGATATCGAGGGGACTATTCTTTTCATGGCCAACATGCTGGGATGGAACCAGGAAGAGATCGGAGCTTATGTAACTCACTTCCGCCGCGAGCTACGTTCTGGGAAGTTCCATGGCTATTACCGACACCGTGCTATTGTTGGGCAGAAGCCTCTTGCTGGCTAAGCAGGAATTTCCGGTTGTATCATATTTTACTATTGAAGCAGCTGGAACAAGCAGCGGCGCTTTTCGTTCATTCACCCCTCTGTTGACCTGACCTGAGGTGCTTCTTTCATGCCTGAAAGCTTTTACATGCACGGGCCAGACTTCTGAGCCCTTTGGAAAAACGAAGATTCGCCTGTTGAAACCCAGATATCGGAAGGCTTTAAGCCATCTCATCCAGGTTATCAGTCTGAACATGCCTCTGGGACTATATCTTGCCCCGTCGCCTGTATCTTGGCCATGGACCATGCTCTCAGCGCCGAGGTTCGTGGGTTCAGGCCGAGCGAAGTTGCAGATACTTATAAACCTCGTCCGCTAATACCTCGTGTGTTTTGCTCGTCCTGAACACGTAAGTGAAATGCCAGAAGACAGCCAATGAATCTATGATATTGTCTGCGAGATAAGTACTCACATATGCCCCGAGTTGAACCAGAAATACTGGCTCAACGGTACCGGACACCCATACTTCTCCCATTCTTGAAGAACATCCGCCTGTCCATAGCCAGCGCAAAAGTCGGTCGTGTTTGTTATCCGATACTTGCCAGCGTTGTCCATCACATAATTAAGGAACGTGTTTGCGTCAAAGAGCATCGATGTCGACCCCTCATGTGTTTGCTCAAACATCTCGCTGCGCCTCTCGAGCACCCCGTTCCACCACTGTATCATCTCCTTGCTGGGCAGCGGGCTCACTTTGCGCTGGTTGCTGGGTGTCCTATCGAGTGGGGGGAGGTTGACGAACAAGAAATGGCGGTACCCTGCGCCGTACAGCGGGTCGGCGCTTTCCGAGAAGATGGCGCTGATGATAGAGTCATAGAAGTGGGGAAAGGAAACATTGTATTTGGCTGAGTCGTTGATATCGTTGATGCCGATCCAGATGGCCACGAGGGTGCGGTCCGGATCAACGCACAGCTTCTTCTTAAAGACGTCTTGACCATAGGCTAGAAACTGCTGCGTCTGATTGACCAGCGGAATAGTAAAGTCATGATGTAGCGGTGTACTTCATTCTCAGCACAGCCCAGTCCTTTCTTCTCGTGAATAGACTTACAAGCTCTCTGAAACGTCGGCTCCCGCAAAGGCAAAATCCCAAAGCTGCTTCTTGCACAAGAGAGGTGAATGCAGGCCCTTGTGCACCCCACAGCCCGTTAGGAACTCCACCCAATTGGGGCCGCCCTCCGCTGTACCCGTGAAGTTTTGTACGATCCTGTTGGAAAGTAGGTCTTGTGGCGTGTAGGCGAAGTTCTTGGGCAAATAATCGCCAATAAAGCTGAAGTTCTGATGTCCATGCGTGCCCTGGACAAAGGTGTACGAGTCACCAAACGCGAGACTGTTCATTTTCGATCAGCGATAAGCTATGAACCAATGTGCAACGCAAAGAGCTTTAAGTGACTAACATATACTTTGTCCTCGCCCAGTTGAAAGTAGGAGCTGATCTTGACCTTCCTTCGCTAACACCCACTAGGGCAGCGAGGACCAAGACCGCCAAATGGCTTTTGCATGACAACACTGAAGCAATCATCTTGATGTCTAGAACCACTCCACTCGCTAACTTGTGTAAACGATTACATCCGGGGGAAAGCCCAAGCCTTTCCACCGTGGTTATTTAATGATTTTCCAAGTGGAAAGGTCATGCGGGGTGGGAGACGGATATGTCATATCCATAACACATTTCCGCTCGCACTGGCACCTATGATTGGTGGAAATTTCCTTCGGCTGCGGGAAAAACAAGATCTAGATCTAAGGTCTGCAGAAAAGCGAATAGAGGTCACTCTCCCAGTGTAGATCTTAAACTCGGGTAGAGAAACCATTCGAATGGACTGTACTCGCTGTACTGTCCTGCAATTACAGGCAAAGAGATTCGGGTATCGATCGAATGAGCCTTGTCTCCCAGTGGAGCCCATCGAATGTGAGTTGATGAGCGAATGCACTCCAAAAGGTCGGCTCCCTATCGCATTTGTGCTGGGCCCAGGCCTGCCTAGCTTGGGCTTTGGTCTCTTGAACTAATAGCTGGGCCCGTTTCACGAGTCTGACGGTGTCATCCTGAACTTCTCATCATTGCCATCCTGAAACAGATGCTTGGTCTTTCCATTCTTCAAAACAGCCCGCCCATTGGCAAAGCAATTACTCTGGATACGAATCTGTAGTGTGTATATGTGTAAAGCATTGCCGAGCCAATGTGAATCTCTGTCAACTACACAGATTTGGAAATGGCTTTCGCTAGAATGGTAAATCTGCTCCATGACTTTTCCCATCTTTCTAGGGCTGGGTTGATTCGTCGCCTTTGTATCCCTGTCCAGTTTCTTTTTCTTTTCATGTTTATGTGAACCGGCAACCTTTCCCCAGTCACATCTCTTCCCAGTTGTCTCCTAAACCTTTGCCTTCTACACTTTCCCATCTTCATACATTTGTAGATCCGAAATCGTCCCCAGCTACACCCTAGAGAGAAACCGTAGTCCATCCCGTCTAATTCTAAAGTGTCGTGCAACCATCCACCAGATCCCGCCCAACAGCATCACCGCTCCTCCATAGCCCTGCGCGCCGTGATAATTCCCGCCTCCGGCTGAGATGATCGCGCCCGCAATGGGCGGACCAGCCAGACACGCAAAGCTCACAATTGTGAACACCATGCCCAGCCTGACCCCGGCCTTACTCAAGTCCGTGTGCAAGCTCGCCACGCCCGCGGGAAACAAGCCTTGAATCCCGCCCGCCGCGATCCCGTAGAACACGGTCCAAGCGTACAGCGCCCCCGGGGTATTTACTGCCATCCATGACAGGGATGTGATGCCCGACAGGAATGCGAAGACAGTGATCATGTTGACAGTGCCCACCTTGTCGGCAAGATAAGCCGGGATGATTCTGCTGGGTCCGGAAACCCCGTTGAGCACGAGGATGAGGTTGAGCGAGGCCGAGTAATCGAGGCCGACGATGTCGCGGGCATAGGAGCTCAGGTAGAAGAAGGCGATGAATATGCCCAAGAATGACTGCGTATGGGTGGAGTGTGAGAACGGGCTGGTGCGGGAGAAAGAAAAGAAGGAGACTCACACAAAACGCCCCCAGGGCATAGAACGTATAAGCTCTATCTCTGAACGATGCCCAGTCCACCAAGCCCCCTCCTTTCCGCGGTGGCAGTCTCGGCCGTATACCTAAATTCGCACCGACCATCGTGACGATCTGGATCAGTGCCAACGAGCGCATCGTCCACCCAAAGCCGATTTTGGGCAGCAACTGCCTGACCATACTGGGGTACACCAAACCGCCCGTCACGCTCCCCGCCGCCGTGATGCCCATCGCGAACGCCCTCCTCTTGTGGAAGTACGTACTCAGTATCGCCATGGCCGGGCAGAAAAGACACCCGTTACCCAGGCCCATGCACACCCCCTGCGCAAGGAACAGCTGCCAGTACTGCGTGCAAAACGAAGCAGCGATGCAGCCGCCGATGGAAAGAACCGTACCCAGAGTGAAATTGGCTCGGAAGTACCCGGCGTCGGTCATGCGGCCTGTGAAGGTGCCAATGAAGAAGAGCAGGAAGGTCTGGAAGGAGCCAATCCACGCCACGTCGGAGGGCGGCCGGTGGAGTGCTTCGACATAGTATGATTGAAACACGCCGAAGGAATTGATAAAGCCCCACGAGTTCATGACGGTGATGTGCGTGCATAGAAGAACGATCCAGGCCCGGGCCCCTCCGTCCGGAGGCGGGCCTGGCTCCAGGGCCCTAGCACTCGTACGGCTGAGTACCCGGTCAATCACTGCACGTGTGCCTGTCGACTCGTCGGCCGGTCCTATGCCGGGCAAGTCGTCCTCCAGATGATCGTCATCGTCTTCTGTTTCGTATCCCGTGCGCTGCGGGAGCTGATCCCTTTCCATCTTACTCGCCACGGCGATGCTATCGTTGTCCGGCGTCGTCGCCCCTCGGCTGTCGCTGTTGTCGTCCGCGGCATGCTTCTCGGGGTCGGCGCGATAAGCGAGCGGCACATCCCGTGTTGTCCCTTCATTTGACGATGCTCTGTGCCCGGCACCTGACTCTGGTCGGCTGGCGGAGCCGACGTCATTGCCTGCGGCCATGTCCTCGCGATCGATCATAACGCTTCCGACAATAAACACAATCAGACTCGCTGCAGTCACAGGCCGATTGCCCCCTACTTTCAATTGTCGACTGGTTGGCCACCTCCTCCCAACAAACCCTTAGAGACACGCAGTCCACGTCAGTGCCGAGCATCAGCCAACGGGTCGGTCCACGGAATGGGAAAGATAACAAACGCCGATCCACGGGGAAGAGCCGATAACTTAGCTCGAAAACAAAATATGATTTAGTCCCCTGTCAATAAACTGGCACTGGTAAGCTTCTATCAGGACGTCTAGGCCTGTCCTTTCCTACAGACCTGCCATGGATTACCAACCAAGCCCGTTATCTCCCACTGAGAGCGCTTTGTAAATCAATGAGACTAGAACCCAAAAAAAAAAAACAGGCAGATTGCCATCTAGCCCGGCATAGTACTTTGCCGACTGTGGAGTCGGCGCGGATGCGATCCGGCAAGGGATCCGCCGCCGTGTGGAGGTAACCCAAGGCCACCAGCAAATCAAAATGTGTTGTTGGTCAACCTTGCTCCGTTGCTCGGCATCGCTTCCCCGATGTCCGGGGCCTCCTCACGTTCGTGGTGTCTGTGTAAAGTGGCGTCCAACTGCCCTCCGGAAACTGTTGCATTCAATGGCTTTCATGCAACTTGCACTATGAATAAGCAAATAGGCACACCTGAAAACCCAATACACTGAATCGGAGCGCTCTCGTGCGGCCATGCCGAAATTGCGATAGGGAATGCGCGGGCCAAGGAGAGGACACAGCACTGAGCGTACATACGCATTGGAACTAACCATGTTGCAAAATCATCTGCCATTATTCTATTGCTACATGGGTGAAATAACTCAGAGCATTGTGATTACAGTAGTGACAGCAAAAACTCGACATTCCTCCCAAATTAGCTCGACTCCAAAGATTTCCCATCTCCGACGATTACTAGCATCCATGCTGATCAAAGACACCTCCCAAAATACATTACGTCGAATATGAAGCCATACAGTCTCGAAATTTGTGGGCGCATGTGGCCATCAAGACAAAAAGTAAGCGCGATTGAACGGAGCAGTTCTCTCAGAGGGCATCGACCAGTCGGCGCCACAGTCCAACAGACTTCATACGGTCGCGTCGCCCGAAGACACTATTGCGCACGTTGGAGCGACACTTACCCGCGGCGCAGCTATTGTCAGTCCAGCCCAGAAGCAGGTCATCGCCCCACCAAGTTGCTCCAGTGCTGTTGCCCGTTGTGAGCTGAATGCGAATTGATGTGAGATCCGAGAAGGCGCCCGGATTTGCCACGATGGGGACCAGAGAGCAGTTGCTTGGTGCCAGACATGCAGTCAGATTCCACAAATTAGAAACGATGTCGACATCCGGCGACACGCCATCGGCCGGGGTGCGGGCACCCGTGATGTTGAAGATACAGCTCGGGCCGGTGGAGTTGCATCCGAGACTTAGCCCGAGGAAGTTGAAGCGCATGCAGCTGTCTGCCTTGCGCGGACCCACGGTAATCTCCGCGATGCTGTCGGTGACAGAACCGTTGGGCAGAGCCGCTGGCGTCCACTGCAGCATCAGCTTCGGAGATGAGGGCTGGTACTTGGACGTCGGTGGAGGTAGGAAACCAAATCCTGATGAGAACCAGAACCGGTGGTAAGGGCTGAACATCGGTACTGGATTGAGGCTATTTGGATCTGTGTTGTTTCTAACACCCTGAGGGGGCAGATCATCAAACTGTAGACGGGTTAGCTAAAAGCACAGGCCATGGCCACTAGGGAAGGAACCTACGTTCAACGTAAAGTTACCAGTGTCTGCCGGACTGCCGCACGTGGAAGTGGGTAGTGGGGGAACTGTCATGCTTGATGATGCTGAAGACGGCGGGGGCCAGACTCCAGTCATCGACGACAGGGTAGAATTTGCTGAAGCCTCGAGGGTCGGCTCAGGGCCGAAGCCTGTCTGGTGAACCGGTTGGGCGGGCGACTCCTCACTAGTCGTGACGAGCGCGGCAGAGCTCGCAGCATTTGAGACGGGAGCAGCAAGGGAGGCTGCTGACGACGATGCAGCGAGACTCGAAGTGTCTGGTCCAAAGGTCGGCTGTCCTGGCTGCACTGGAGCTGAAGTGCTTGACAATGCGGAAGTCGCCACTGTTTGGTTGGTGGAGGGTTGCACAGTTGGCGTGAGAACAGTCTGGCCAGGGACTGTTTGGACAGGAGCTGACTGCTCAGGTCCAGGAACTGATTGCCCGGGCACAGATTGAACCGGAATTGACAGCCTAGAGATGGTCTTGCTTGTGCTCGAGCTGGTTTCAGGGCCAAACCCGCTCTGAGCCGGGAAAGGAGGTGCGGAAGTGAGACTCGCAATTCCGGAAATTGTCCCCGTCCAGTTTGCAATCGTAGAGATAGTCGTGTTGCCTAAATCAGTTGTCGTGGAAAAGGGGCCCGACTGGCTGACTTTGGTCACAGTGATGTTGCCGCTTGCCACTGGCTGGGTCTGATTGGGCAACGCAGAGGTTGGGGGCAGGAGGCCGGTCTCGTTGAGCGTGATTGTAGACAGTGAAGATGGGGTACTCGACAGAGGTCCTAGACCTGACTGGCTGGGGGGAGACACAGGGCCAGTGACGGTACTATTGGGGTGAGCTGTTGGGCTTGAGAATGAGCTGGTCTGGTTGACAGGGATTGAGGTCGTGATGTTGAGTGTTGATGATGGGCCACCACCAGACTGAACTGGTGCCACTGAAGACTGAATTGGGCTCGGGACAAAGCCACTCTGTGTCTGAACCGGACCAACTTGTGAAAATGTAGTGCCATTTGCAAGAGCGAGTGTCCCCGACGGAGCTGCCGGCGCTGAAGTACCGTTCAAGACAGCAGAGGAAGACAGCGGGCCAAGACCACTCTGAGTCAGAAAGCCTGGGGAGCCAGTGGCACGGGACTTTGAAGCCGCTGTGGCTGTCAAATTATGTGATGCCCGCGAAATCCGGCTTGAATTGAACCCTGATGTCGGCCATGCACTGCTGATGATGGGGCTCAAGCTTGAGGAGATAATTGGCGGAAGCACGCTGCTAATTGGGAAGACAGACGGCGCTGCTGTACTATTTGCCGCTGAGGTCACAGTCCATTGGCCTTGAGTAGATCGAGCTGATGTGACGTTTCGAGTTGAGGAAAGGGGCGCTCCAGCTGAGACCATGGTGCTATTGGATGGCACGACCGAACCAGTTCCCAAGGCAACCGGCGTGGATGTCAAGGGGGTGACAAACGTCAATAGTGGTACTGTGGTGTTTGGAAAAGTCGGTGATGTTGTATTCAGAGGCAGACGGCTGCTGGAGACAAGTCCATTTGTTACCCATGACGAGATAGAAGGCAGCAGACTTGTAGAGACCGGAGGAGAGACAACTGATGGTGAGACGACGCTCATAGAGGTGCTCTGCACGGGAAGGGTAGTAGGAATAGGAATAGGAGCCCCATATCCAGAGACTGTGAATGGAGGGGTAGGCTCCGCCGAAGAAGAGGCTGTAGACAAGGTAAACTGATACCCACCCACAGAAAAGCTTGACGGCCAAGCCGGTTGCCGCGCCGACGACCACGACGACGTCAAGGCCGATGAAGCCAGATGACCTGAGTATCCCGAAGGTAAAGGGTTGATCGGGCTGGCCAGATCTGGCGATGAAGTAGCTGCGGTGCCTGGCTCGCCAGCTGATAATGAACGCGGAGGAGACATGATCAGTGAGCTTGGAACCAAGCTCGAAGACCCCTCTTCGGAAGTGCATGATGTCTGCTCACCACTGGAAACGTCGATGGAAGATCCAGTGATGAGAGGTTCAGAGGACAGAGGCAAGGGCGGAAGAGTCACCGTGAGAAGTGGAGGTCCCGAGAGAACACCGGGTGAAGTGGTGGGTAGAGTAATAGTATCTGTCTGGCCAATCAAGGATGCGGTCCACGGCCAGAGAGTGACCTCTGGAGGGTCCTGTGATTCAGACAATGAGATAAGGCCAGACGGTACAGCAATCGATGACAGACCGTCAGTCTCGGACTCTAGTCCAAAAGAGAATGGACCAGCGGGAACATCCGTGGTCAGAGTGACTTCTGTCGTCCCATATCCATATCCTTCGGGGACGGGCAAGGTAGGGGTAGGGCCGGCTTCAGTGGCAGCAGGCAGGGACGCATCATCGGGGGAGACAATGACAGCCGTAGTCAAGGTGATGGTGGTCTCTGGTATACCGTTCACGCTCGGCACCGTGTATGTGAGGGTGAGATCCGATAACACAGGTTCACCGCCCAAGACCGTGAAGGGTGCAGGCTGACTCAATGGATCGTCGGTCTCTGTCCACGACGCTGGGAATGGGGATAAAGGCTCAGTGCTCGTGGGAACAAAGGCAACAGTGTCGGTGCCCTCAGGAATGGTGAAAGCATCGCTGTCAGAAGGCTCACCACCATATCCAAGGGGAACGGATGACTCCGGCGGAGGGAGTGTAGCCGCAGGTGGGTAGATGAAGGTGCTCTCTTGGACTGGAGGTACATCCTCGAGGGTGTATGTGACAACGTTTGGTGGAGAATGAGGGACCACAGACTCCAGGGTATATGTGACAATCGGAGGATGGAGGGTAATGACTGAGACTGTGGGCTTCTCTGGGAAGAGCGTGATCTCCGAGAGAGTTGTAGGAGTCACCAGAGAGAGTGTGATCTCAGGGAGTGTGGTCGCCGGGATCAAAGAGAGCGTAATCTCTGGCAGAGTGGAATGAGTTGATGGGCCAGGCGGTGCGCCAGGGGCAGAAGGCGCTGATGCGTAACCCGGGACACCAACGGAGGAAGGTCCATGAAATGGCATGGTCTCCTCGGGTGCTAGAGTCGGCAGAGAGGGAGACCCGACCCCTGGAGGAGTGAGAATGAAAGTGAAGCTCGCCGTGACCATGGATCGCGTGACCAGATCAGGAGGCCCAAGCAAAGTAGTCAGGTCTGCCGTCTCTGCGTTTGTTGGAGCTGGTACTTGTGGTTTGTGCACCGTCCGTGTCAGAATGACATGAGAGGTCGAGCCGACAGGAATGGAGTAAGTCACGAGGACGGGTCCTCCTGGGACTTCAGGGTTTGGGATCACAGTGTCAGGGATATTTGGTTCGGTGCAAGTCGAAGGAGGAATTGAGCCGTAGGGACCGGAGACAGAAGTGGGAATGGCAGTCCAGAAGTCAGAGTCGGAGGAAGGGCAAGAACCGGGCACCACCTCGGCCGTGACGGTGATGGTAGAAGCAGCCACAGTCTCGGTGCTGACGATTGAGTTGACAATTGTCTCCACAGTGGTGATAGGAGGAGCTTCGAGAGTGGGAGTGACAGTGACCATGACGGTGACAATGTCAGGTGCGCAAGTTGCATTGGTACCGCTACATAAGCATTGTGTGTTAGTAGGGCGCCGAGAAACAAATTCGAGAACTTGGCTTGGGCACTCACTCCAACGGCATGCCCATCACAGCGGACAGCAGACCGGAGGCCACCACGGCGCCCATGAGACGTACAAACGCCTGCATCCTGGCGGCCGGAGAGAGCCTGAAGCGTGGACAGTCGTTGACGACGGCAACGAATCTGAGGTTGGGTTGAACGGAAGGTGACGCTGGGCAAGTCGGCAGTATCTGAACAGCCGGCAGGTAGGCTTGAATGAAGGTAAGAATTGGGATTTTGTAGTGAAAAGAATGACTACCGATGGCAGATGGAAAAGTGAGAAAGTCATGAGGGGAGAAGACTAGACGAGTGCCTCGGAGAAGAAGGGGATGGTGACGGGGAGTGGATGGTCGGCGAGGAGGAGAGGAAAAGCGAAGGCTTGGTTTGAAAAAATGTGCGGATGGCACCGCGCTCTCGAGGAGCTCCTGCCCAGAGTTCACAGAGGACGCGGTGCTGCCTTGCGGGAGGGGGGATTGCATGCTAGATTGGTAGGAGAAGAAGGAAGGCGCAGGGGCGCGCAGAAGGTAAGGTAATATCGATATCAGGGCACTCTTGCCAAATGGAGGATCCACGAGCAAGACGGGTGACCAGGAGAGAATGCCCGTGTGCGATATGGCAAGTGCATACGGGACTTCACACTGGACGAGGAAACAGGCAGTACGACTGTCGGATGCACAGAGCAGAGCTGACAGGACCGTCGCATCAATTCCATCTCGCCGCTGCAAGATGTAGCTCGAGTCTGGTATCATGTTCAGATTTGATCAAAGCGTACTGGAAGACCGACTCCTTGTCACACGGGAGATGGATGCGAGTGATATCGAAGCTGGAAGAATTGGAACTTCCTACCACCAGGTGAAAGCCTGCAAATACACTCTGTATTTCGTTGAGCATTCCCTCCAGATTCCTTTCCTGCCGTTCCCACGGATGTCGTGCACGCAGTTCCCTCTGGGCAGCAACTGCACCCTTCTTTCTCGACCCTTCCAGGGGCCCCGGCCTATTTGCCAACTCATTACTGCTTTCTGCATCATTGCTTGTTGTTTGCAGCACCGACGAGCTCTTTCTGCGTATCCTTCCGTGCGACGATGTTGCATCGGGCACACAGGCGTCAGGCAAATCTCCGAGCCATAGACGCGTGCAAGGCGAGTCAAGCAAGAAACCCCATCGCACAAGGTTGCCCACGTCTCATGGTGGACAGGGTCTCGGTTTTCAGCAAGGACAAATCGTCAAGGGTCCAATTGTTATTGGTTTTCTGGTTGTACAGCGAAATCAAACCCTCCCAAAAGGGAGCGTGCAGCCTCTGGCAGATGCAAGTAGCACGCGCGATGGTCTAGCTGCATGCTTGTGGAAAGTGGAGTGTTGACAGATCACTGCAATAACCTCGTATGTCCGTAAAGATTCGTAGACCAAAATAGCTAGGGAAACACCCCGGGCGGCGATCGGACCCCCAGGACCTTCGTCGGAGACCGCTCCTGTGTGTTTGGTTTGCCATCCCATCAGACGGGATCATCCTGATACTGCCCATACGGAGGCGGTGCCGTGCCCTCCTCACCACCATCCACAACGGCCGTCACGAACCCAGGTCTCTGCGCTTGCACGTCCTCCCGGGCCTCCCTCTCCATTCTCGCTACCCACATAGCCGCCCCAGTCGTCGTTGTGAGCAGGAAGAACAGCGACAGCACCGGCACCAGCTCCAATATCATCGCCACCGTGCCGAACCAGGCATACTCCCACGACCGGCTGCGTATCTCTGCGTTCCGCGCGGACCTGTCCATCCCCCGCAGTTTGAACCACCGGTAGTGCGCGAGCTTGCCCAACCTCGTCCCCGTGATGATGATGAATGCCGGAGTGCCGACATACGGGACCAGGTTGAGGGGCAGGAAGAAGATGAGCTCGGCGATCTGGACGAGGCTCCAGGGGGAGTAGGCGGCTGGGCTGGTCGGTTTGCCGAGCATCTTGACCGAGTTGGGAGCGTCGAGGAAGAGCACGCGGTGTGGGGCGATGAGGTCCGTCAGGGAGTAGTTGATCAAGGTAGCCTGTTCATAGACCTCGTGGTTAGCTTCTGAGTCTTGTCCTTGTAGCTTAACATGGAAGGAATTGGGCTAGAGGGAAGCGTACATCGAAGGCATCAACCCGGCATTCGTCCACAAAGAATCCTTCAAACAGACCCTGAATAATCACAAGCCCCTCTCCCAACACGAGCACCACGGCGTTAAACCAGGCGCCCCAGCCGTGGAAGATGGCGAGGAAGGCATACTGCGGCAAAAAAGCAAAGGCAAAGAGCAAGAAGTAGACGAGAAAAGAGATGAGAGACAGCGGCAGCAGGCGTCCCCAGAAGAGCGGCCAAAAGTACCGATGCCGCACAAAGTAGAAGATGCCTCGTAGCGGGTAAGACGCGGCGACGAGTCCGGAGCGCAGGTAGCTGACAGGTCTGGTGGCGGGACCAAGCCGGATCGCATTTCGGTGGCGGTCGTAAGGGGCGCGCGATGCTTGCGATTGTGGCGTAGAGTCGGGCATAGTGGAGAAGAAAGCAGCTAGAGACTGGCTATCATGCTGTGAGTGAGAGAGAGGCTGGACGAGGTCGCGAGGAGGGAGAATGCAAGGCAGCAGAGGAGCGGTAGCGCTCGTTTTGAGGGAACACTTGTCTGATGACGTTGCGGTTTTATGGTGGGGCAGATCCCCAGGGGCAGATCCCCAACAGAGCAGCAGCCCGTGCCAGATTGTTAGTGAGCGGGAAGCCCCGAGCCCCTTTGTCAGCTGCCTGCAAGAGGAGCCAAGCCCGCGTCAGCAGTAGAACCACCAGACAAACACATACTAGCAGGTAGGGTGTTTATTGCATCTATCATGAGCTTTCGTGCCTTCGGGAACGCGCCGTGGAGCGGTAGAGAGGTTTAATTTCTGTGTATCAGGACCAGAACTGCTCAGCTGTGGGATCGATTCACCTTCTCTCGGCGGCGAGGCATAGTGTGGGTTCGATTTGGAGAAACACAATTACACCATATGTAATTACAAGCAAATGTAGCCGATTGTCTATTTGTCTATGTTCACCGGCCCGAGGCCCAGGTGCCTCGCCCCAAGCCCCATGTCGGTCAAGAAAAATGCCAGTATCCCGCAGACCCCTTTATGTGTATCCTATGGACCGAGAAGGGGAGAAACAAAAAGGAGAAACACATTTGCGCTGTATGCTGAACAAGAGCATCGCAGAGGTCACAAGCGACCATGCACTGGATGCTTTACAGTAGTGACCGCAAAACACGGCCGTGGGCGGCGCCTTACAGCAGGGCATAGACACCAGCAACAAGAGCAGCGCCAGCGAAGGAGACTTGCAGGCTGGTAGCAGCGTTGGTGCCGCTAGCAGTAGCAGGCTTGGTGGTGCTGCCGCTGCTGCCAGAGCCCGAGGTGGTGGTACCACCAGAGCTGCCAGAGTTGCTGCCGCCGGAGCTGTTGCCAGAGTTGTTGCCGCTACCGGAGCCGGAGCCGGAGGTGCTGTTGCCAGTGGGAGTGGGAGAGCCGCTGGAGCTGGAGGTAGTGGTGGCGACGTCAAAGGTGGTGGGGCAGGTCAGGTTGAAGAGGGGCTCGGGCGACAGATCCTTGGTGATGGCGAACTTGGCCTCGTTGTCCGGGTTGGAGTCGCGCAGGGTGTACCAGAAAGTCGGGGTCTTGTTAAAGAGGCGGCGGCAGCCAATATTGGCCCAGTAGTAGCGCGCGTTCTCGACGCTGGGCACAGCCTCGTCCCAGTTGGGGCCCGTCGCGGGCCAGCCGGTCTCGGTCAGCCAGACGGGCTTGCCACCAGCGGCGGCGATGGCAGCATCGTATGCCTTGTCAAATAGAGCAGGGGCGTTCTTGATGCTGTTGCCCTTGGCGTTCTCATAGTAGGGGTACTCGTCGACGCCGATCCAGTCGACGGCGTCAATGACGGCCTTGTTGGTGGCGTTGGGCCAGACGTCCCACGTGTCGACGTGGCCGATAGGGACCTTGGACAGGGGGCTGTCCTTGAAGGCCTTCTTGTAGTCGTTGATGAACTTGACGATGGCGTCGGGCTGGTTGCCCACACCGGCCTTGTTGGCAACGCCGGTGGCCGAGTTACGGTACAGATCCTCGCTACCGATGGACATGCCGATGACGAGATCAGTGAACTTGCTGCCGTACTTTTTGACGGCCTTGTTCAGGGCGCTGATCTCTTTGTCGATGGTATCGGTGCCCGAGGTCCAGATACCGAGCAACAGCTTGGTCTGGGTGTCGATGGCGGCCTCGAAGGCCTCAATGGGGTCATCCTGGGAGTAAGCCTGGATGTTGGTGTAGAGACGGACGGCGTTGAAGGTGCCGGGGGCGCCTTGGAGCTTCTGGGCGGTGGTCATCTCGGCAGCAAAGTCCTTCTTGAACTTGGCGGAGCGGTCGGGCAAGGTGGCTCCCGAGTTGAAGCCCAGGTAGTTCTCGGCAGCCGAGGCGCCGGCGGCGAGAGCACCGACAGCCACCGTGGAGGAGAAACGCATGTTGGGCGGTTAATCTGTTGGCTTGGGGGATTTGAGACTGGGAGGGAGTGTCGGGTCGGAAATCGGATGAGAAGGGGATTTCCGTAGCGTTGAATTCGCGAAAATCGAGGTTCGACGCGTCGTCAAAGGAGTGTGGTGTTTGCTAGAAAGGCGTTGGCCGGGTACGCGACGGTACGCCGGATGCTGGAAAGGACAGACGGAGAAGGCGAGAAAAAAAGAAAGAATGTCGGTACCAAAGAGCGGAAACCGTACAACAAGAGAATGAAGATTGAGGATGGGAAAGGGAGAGGAGAGGAGAAGGCAGAGGAAAAGATCTTTAATGGCGACCAGGCCATTCGACCATCTCTCTCATCTCAGCACTTGGCTGCTAGCATGGATGGGGCTGGAGCCAGCCGTAGTGCGCCCCCAAATACCCCCTAAAAATGGCCTAAAAATGGGGCGAAACCGTCACCCAGCTGCCTAGAAACACGCCCGAGGTCATGCCCAGAACATCAAGTTCAAGCATTCACGGCACGTAAATGCAGGGGGGAACCATGGGAATGGGGTTGCTAAGAGGTCGGGTTGGCTGGAAGCGCTCGCCTGTGAGCCTGTATTCCCGCACCCCCTGTGGTGATCTGCGCTTTTGGGGGCTGTGCAAGCATTCCATTTCCCGGTTGGCCAGCATTGTTCTGCGACTCGACCAGCACTTGACAAGCTAGGTACATTACCCAGCGCACTTGTTTGGAGGCCATCACGAGCCCACAGCGCAGCAAGTGGCCTGTGCTCCCTGCCCCTGGCGTCTGCATCCCAGCCTCTGGCGAATGAGGTTCCGGGGACGGCCGGGGGCCCCGAAAAATACGAGACGAACTAGCAGAATTAGGCGAAATTACAAGACGCATCAGAGTTGCTAGTGTTCTCATGGTTTGGACAGTGAAGACACTGTGCGAAGACTTTACCGTGCTGACTGTTGTGGGCATCCATGGATTGCTGGTGACGGAGAGAACCACCCTGCGGCGCGAGGCTGTCAGCGCTTGACGACCTGGCTGATACCGATTGCCGTAATGTGTTGTCTGTTAATGGAGTGGGTTAGTGATATGGCTTGTGTGGTTCCGTCTCAGCTCGAAGGTGTCATCCAAAATGTGGATTGTCAGACGAGTATGAGGGAACCAAGAATCATTCCCATTCTTACGCCAGTACCTACACCGAGGATACCATCCTTCCACCTTACTACCGACGAACGTTCACGATACGAGTAGTCTCTCTTAACAATGGCAACTAGCCCATGGAATGTCTGACGGGCTGGACTTGAAACGAACCCTACGACCAGATGGCATCCTGGGACACTGGCCCAATGGTTCCATACGTGCAGAGATGTTTACCAAGATTTTAAGATGGATTTCGAGGCAAATTCCACTTAGGCATATATCCTCGAGATCTTTCAGGGGAGTGAACCAGATTGAAAGCTTTCAGAAATGCCGGGAACTTCACGGAATATGATGATATGTCTTCTGAATGTCATCAAGTAATTTATGCAGTCCCCTGTCTGATACCTAGTAAACAGAAGTTGCTCATCCGAGCAGCTGTGACTTGACGTTATCATTGATGTGTGGAATAATTTAAGGAGGACGTACGCACGGAGTCACCAGCAGACAGGCACAGCGCTGAGCTGTCAGACATCAGTTGTCCACTCCATTTGATATTTTGCCCCTTTTCAAATATATACATGGTGAATTAATAGTACAAATTTCAGGACAGGGGTAGCTGTATACCACCCCGATGGTATCAGACGACCCCTTCTCAATTAACACTTCGATTAGGTGAACTGTGGTCTCGAGTTCAAACTTGTCATTATCTTGGCTTGTTATGAAACGAATTGTTCACAACGAGCACCTGCCAGGGTAACCTAGGCGCGAGTTTAGACCATGAGGGCCGCGACGAAAGCACCGGCGCCGAGGACAACAGAGCCGACAGCCATACGGGAAGCGCCAGCAGTGACAGTAGGGATAGGGCGGGAGGTAGTTCCGTTGGTAGCAGTGGTGGGGACAGCGGTGGCCTTGGAGGATGACTGGGCAGCCGAGGACTTAGCAGCCGAGGACTGGGCGGCAGAGGTCTGGGCCGCGGAGGTCTGGGCGGTAGAAGACTTGGCGGCTGAAGACTGGGCAGCGGAGCTTTGGGCAGGTGTGCTCTGAGCAGCGGAGCTCTGGGCTGAGGTGGGGGCGGCCTGGGAGGACGTGGGAGCAGCGGCAGAGGAGCTCGAGCCGGAGTTACCGCCGCCTGGGACAGCATTGATGCCGCAGCCCTTGGCGGCAGCGCCGACTCCGTTGCCGTAGTCCTTCCACATGTTGTAGGTGTTGGCGCAAGCCAGGCACTTGTTCAGGAGGTCCTTCCACTCGGCCGAGTCACAGTAGCCAGGGGTGCGGGAATTGATGATAGTGTAGCCTGTCGCAGGTTGTCAGTATTCTATTCACGTAGTGTGAAACTCAATCCCACTACGCGCGGGTCGATTGCCGCAGATCGAGGATGCCATGCTTACCGCAGTCAGAGTGACACTGATACTCGGCGCTGCCAGGGGCCTGGCGGGCGAGCATCTGGTGGAAGACTTCGGGCAGCTCGGGGTTGGCAGCAACGGTACTGGCGAGGGCCAGAACACCGGCGGCGACGATGGTGGTGGAGCGCATCTTGAGTAGGGCGAACTTCTAACGACAAGTAACGAGTGTTTATCTTGCAAACGAGTGTGGAGTTCACGAGAAGAGGCCGGTGGCAAAAGGGTTGGTTAAGGGGGAGGGAAGTAGGGGAGATGAGAGATCGGATTGGAGGGGGGTAGGACGCAGGCTAAATAGTCAACTCGGTGATCCGTGGCCGAGCTGTTGCCAAGGAAAAAGGACGCAAACAAGCATAAAATAACAAATGAAATCCACTTGGGATGGCAGGCTGGGAACAGCTCGACTATGATGAGTTCCTAGCCATGCAGAGATCCCGGCCCAGTCGGATGTTAAGTGCAGCCATTTTGGTCTGACTGGCGTGAGCTGCTGTGAGATTCTCCCCCGGCAGAGTGACGAGACCGAAAGCCGGGATGTGATGGGGATGGGGATTGGGATGACGAGGCTAGAGCGACATCGGGGAACAGCTTGAGCTAGGGCCGCTCTTGGCCAACGTGGTTCTGTGGCTCTTGGGGATAGAAAGTTTTTTTCTTTCTCGAAGCTACCAGACACCCAGACCACCTAGACCACCTTGGCGATGTAGGATGGATGGGTTGGTGTGAGCAGGTTGGAATAGCTTCAGGCCAGAGCCAATGAGGAGGGAGCATCGCCAGGGAGGGGTGGAGGGAGAGCTGCCGGAAGTGGCCTAGACTGCCAAGACAAATAATCTTATCAGATTATCAGATGATCTGATAAGCGTGCATCCCGAGGTCTGTACTCCAATGACTCCATCCTGCGCCCCAAGACTGCTCAAGTCCCAGCTGATTTGTGGCTAGCGGCCCCATCTGCAGCGATATTGCATACTGCCCATCCAACCACAGGACTCTGGCTCCGAAACCTGGCAAGATGGTGGCGTGCCACGGCGCGCGAAATGGTGGATGTCTTTCTAGCTTCGGCCAAGGTTTGCTCCGTTTGGATTGAGTTTGCCAATCCATTGTGGGCTACTTCCATCGGCGCCCATCTGAGTAGACACTTGAGGAATGTGTCAGTCCATCTCATGGCGTGGATGTGTTGGGCGTTGCTATACGACGAGGGAGAGATGTACTCTGTAAAGGCGAGTCAGCTGAGCAGCGGGAGAGCAAGCAAGCTGACGAGGATAACCTGTCACACTCCCTTCCTGCAATGGCACCACCCCCATACAAATCCCCTACACAGCACATCCTCTCTCGTCCTTTTGTGTGTCGTCCCCACTTCCTCTTCAGTAGTTCCACCCTGTGCCAACCTAGATCCTTGCCTGTACGAAGTAGGTAGGTATGTAGGCATCGTATCTCCGCAGTTCCTAGCCCCTCGCATCCAAACAGGGGCCATACACCATCTTTGACTCACCGTGGACACCAGCGCACGTCCTTGTAGGCCACGAGTATTGTAAAAGAGAGAATGTTGAACAGCCAATGAGTTGTCCCCGGCCCAGTCTCTGCATGCTCCTCGTGCCGAATATCGGCAGAGCCATATTCCCCTCTCTCCCAAGCGAACCATGGAGGCATTTTCTGGCTGTTCATTCTATGCCTCCTGCAGTATTTAAATAAAGCTTGTTGTGTGTGCTTGTCTTGGCATTTTCGTTCGCGAGCCACCACCTTGCCAAGCCCGACTCATCTCTTTTGCCGCGTTGAACAAACGCCCCAATTCCCAAGAAATACCTTTGGCGTCTTGGCCCTGAGCCCATAATTTCCATTTAGTTCCAAAGAATAACTGCCATATCACAACCGCATCCGCAATGCACGCAACACTCTCCACTCTTGCCCTGCTTCGCGCTGCCGCCCTCAACGGGCAGGTTTGCGCTCAGAGCCAGACCTCCAATGACATGGGTCCCGGTGCCATGATGTGGCCAACCGACCGTCCCTGGACCGCCGACGCCGACAACATTGCCCCATGTGGCTCTCCTTCCGGCCCTGGGAATAGGACTGATTTCCCTTTGAGTGAGTGCATTCTGCACGAGTCGACTTGCAACGTGCTTGAGCCTCGTAGCTACCGTAGGACGGATTTGCAAACGAACAGAGGTTAATCTCAGACACAGCTGGGGGTCTTGTCGCCCTAGTTTACCAGAAGGAATCCTATAATGTCCAGCTAGGCATCTCTTACAAGGATAGTGAGTTCCTCCAAGCCATCTGCTGAGTCTTTGCCACTCAACTGTTCAGTCATGAACAAACAAGTGTCCAACACCAAAGAAAATGTGTCTAGCTAACTCTCACTACTGACAGATCCTCAGTCCAATGATGATTTCTCGGTTCTCATCACACCAGAGCGCATGGCTGACATAAACCCTGGCCACGAGTGCGTTCCCATTCCCAATCCACCCTCGGACATCACCGCTGGCAGCAAGGCCACCTTCCAGATCAAGTACATAGCCCAGTTCGACAACCCCTTTAATCAGACTTTCTATGCTTGCGCCGACATCACCTACGTTGCCCCGACCGACTTCAAGACCACTATACCCTGTTTCAACGCGACGTTGCCAAAGTCGGGTGCCTCAACGACATCTGACACCGGTACTGGGGGGACCAGCAGCCCGACTGGCGCAGCTTCTTCAGCCCCTGTTCCAGTTCCCTCTACCGGTGGTGACAAGGGTATGTCTGGAGGCGCTATCGCGGGCACTGTTGTTGGCTGCGTTGTTGGTGTTGCTCTTCTCGGCGCCGTTGCGTTCCTCTGGCGTCGAAGCCAAAAGCTCGAGCACAAGCTGCGCCAGAGCAGGTCGATGCGAGGGGTTGCCTGGGAGGACCAATTCAAGAACAAGAAGTCCACCGCTGGGAGCGGGCCCAGTATACAAATGGACAACCGAAATGCGACTAGCAACTAGATAAGATAGTACGAGATACCACGAGAATTCAATATCGGGTACACGAAGGGATGTCTCGAATAGTCACAGTTCTAAGACTTAAGGTATCGAGTTAATAAGTGCGTTGCATTAATGTAAGCAGTGGGGTGGATTTCTCCTCCTTATTTACCTCTCTGAAGCAATTTAAAATCCCCGTAGCTCCAAGTCCCAAACAGATAGCTCTTTTGACAACCACAGGAGGGAATACCAGTTCCTACTCAGAGCAAGGCCTTACAGGCCCTTTCTCCAAGACTCCTTCAGCAACATGAATCTCGGTGGCTTTCTGTTTCGCAGCGACTCTTTTCCATGTAAGTTCGGTGGCGATGGAGTTGAATTGAATGCAGGTCGTGTGGGCGGCTTCAGCATGTGCTCCCCACTAGCTCCTGTGCTGTGGCTACCATCGACCTGATTTGAAACTTGGCGAGAGATCGCCACCATGGTCAACAAAGGCTTTGAATATCCCTAACATGCCGCGGTCAATCTGACCCGATATAGAGCGATTATCCTCACAAATTAACAACAAAAACGTGCCAAGAAAGACAACCCGTATAGTGAAGGACTGACCGGCGATCGAGTAGTAGGCCGCATTTAGGTTCACGCTAGGCTTGAATATTGCTTCTCTTGGAGAAGACTGAAAGGCTACATATCGCAAAAGGTATCAATAGGGCTCGGTGAACAGATAAATAAATTCAGCAACAGATCCAGTTCTTCTTGACCAACCAACGTAATTTTGGGCCCCACGTAACTGGATAGCGGAAAGATTGAGGCCATATAATTGATTTCCGTGTCCCGACTACCGCTGATGGACCTTTCGGTGAGGATGGGGGGTTTCTTGGTGTGAGCTATGAAATTTGGCCTTAGTCATGTGTTGAACTCACCATCTAGAGAGTTGGAATTGTAGAAACGGCTTTCCAAGTCATGTCTTTCTAGGGATTCACCACCAGCGTTGTCACCAGGTTTATACACGTCAAATGATACAGAGGTAGCGAGGCCATCAAGGCTTTGAGGTGATGTGTCTGATGATGGAATATCTATGGGACCAACTACTTTTTGAAAGATGGCTCAAGCAGTAACGGGAACTAGCGATCGGAGATATCTTCACTGGACATGGTAACGTGCCAGGGGCCCTGGCTGCCCTGGTTGCCCTGGTTAGCGTGAGACTATCGCCGATGCTCTTCTAGACTCCTGTCTAGCGCATTGGAATACTGTCAGCGGTATAGGGCTTATAGAGTACACCGACCACCCTGGTATTAGAGATTCCTCTTTTGCCAGTGTGCCTTAGGCGGATGTGCCATCTGACAAATACGCTGATGGAAGTTACGACAGTTGCAAGTCTGAAGTGTTGGCAAGGAAAGAGGATAGATGATTCAGCCGTGGGGGATCCCGAAATCTCTTTCGACCAGGTGGGTAATTGCGTTGTATCTTTCTATCATCCAGAGCGATGACCGGAATAAAGCTATAGACGGCCTTATCGAGCTGCTTCGAGACAATTTGGCCATTGAAGAACGCTATGATGGTTAAATGTATGAACTCGACGGAATGACGGCAATATTTGTTTACCACGCCACTGCTTTGTTGATTGTATTGTACTTCAAGCAGGCTGAAATAGTGACTTTCCACGCGTGCATCAATTTGATGGGTTCTTCATGCGGCCACTGTACGTGTGATCTCCATATTTCCTTTTCCTTTAGGGCATCCCTGCTTATTCCAAGGGCATAAAATAGCTGGGTGGCCGGGAGGGGCTGCATACAGCGACCATCCGGTAAGCCGGATCCCTTACCAAAGTTCACTGATAATATGAGCCAGAGCATCTCGGCTGCTGCCCCTCATATCTTTCGGGGATATGCTCTTGCATGTGGCGATATAGAGGTCCAGTTCCGATGGAATCTCGGCGAGCCGTTGACTGAGCTCATCCAGCGTGTCGATGCTTCGCAACCCGTCCAGAAGTGATCAAACGACAACCGCTACCCATAGGAACACAATTCAAGATTTGTCGACGACTTTACTTAGCAGCTGCTCGTGCCCCTCGTGCCCCATGTGCAGGGTCCTCTGTGCTAATAGATGACAGCATAGTCACAGATATCGAAGCATAGACTAGGATAGGCACATAGAATGCCGACACATTCGGGGATGGGCAAGATGAACTCGATGTTTCTTGTCTTGGAAGAGATGTTGAGACAAAGTTCCATCAGGTCGCTTTGATTATTGATATGCTCGTCGATGCCGTCAATGAAGTAGCAGGTACGCTGCTCCGAACCGTTCTGCGTCTCATCTTCAAGCCGGTGATACCAGCGCATTCGCTCGCTCCTGCACGGAGAGTCAAAGCTGGAATGTCATGCGCTTCTGCACTCCCCCTCGTGGAAAAGGTGTGACAGAAAGGTTACCCCTGCAATCACGACATAACTGGTCAAGATTTACCCTGTGGCTGCCGTAAACCCGAGACAAATCGACATTATGGGCTGAAATAAGTCGCCATAGTATCAATATGGACTGCATCTTTGACTCACTTGAGCTATTAGTCGCCTTAATTATCTGGAGGAACGCAGTCATTCAGAAGAGCAATGAAAGGTATCAACATCATTAAAACCAAGATTGAGTGTCTACGGATATCATATGCCACTGAGTCTGGTCAGTGGTGTGTCGTGACTGAAGATCTGAACTTCCCCTCTTCACACGCCGCATTCTTGGGGACGAGAGCAGGGAGGATTTTAATAAGAATGAATGAATTTATTTCTCACTCCCACAGCTAGCAGTTTCTTGCAGCAAATGTATAAGTCGGATATAACCATAACTTCTGGAACCTCACGACGTCTGGACGGCGTTCCCATTCCGGAATGGGTGCAAGATTGGGTGTATGCTGAATCATTTTCGTGCGTGAGGCGGCATGCAAGGTTACGATGATGGGAACCTGCTTAGGGTAAGCGCCGAACGGGCTAGCAAGTAGAAGGAAATTGTGTAGGAAGATCCAACTTTCCAATGAGACAGACCAAAGCTAAGCAAGCATGCAGAGGGGCAAAGCCGAAGCTGTGTCCGTGGGCACGGCAAAGAAAATTTCGGGAGACGAAAGGCCTAGTTTTGGGCGTGATTATGAGTACAAGGGCGCTGCATCTCAAGCTTGGCCAACCAAAAGCAACCCTATCGCCTGACCAGCTTTTGGGTTTTTCGAGTCTGAAGATCCGGTCGTTTGGGTTCGGACAAAATCCACCTAGCTTAAAAATGTCCCCTCTCCACCTTCAACCGGGAGCTTAATGCGGCCTAACGCCAAAACGAGACAGTAGGCCAAGACCCCGTTTTTATGTAACCGTAGGGCAGACTGGGCAGTGTTGAAAGGGTCGGCGTGTGTCTTAAATTTCCGCATTTGTACGGCTTGATACGACAGATCCGCGAATATAAACTACCCATTCAAATGTTCGTCCCTGACTCCAACCTAAGTACCTAAGTGACTCTAACGAACAAACGAGCCACAGATACCAAACACTGGTACAGTCTCTCGCGACATTGATACATAGACTCCAAGATGTCTTCCTTTCTCGCCATCCCCGACCCCAAAGACTCTATCGTCAAAATCACTGCTACCTGCTACAAAAGACCGGATGTCTCCTGGGATTATTTCATTCAGTATTGGCGAAACACTCATGTCTTCAAGTTTACGCGAAACCCTAAAGTCGAAAAACTCCTCATAGGCTACGTTCAGGTAAATACTAACATTCCTACATGGCCGGAATCTTTCTCTCAGCTAGCTACTAACGACCTTGGAAGTGCCATCGTGACGAGGAGTCATCAAAGAAAATGGGACCGGTTCCTCTACTAGACTATGATGGACTAGCTGAGTTCTACGTCAGGCGCATCGAGGACTGGTTGGAAATTGCAAGTGAACCACAGCATCTTGCCGAGTCAATGGTGGATATGGAGCATTTCTGCGACAGCCCGCGAATGAAGCTTTTCATCACCAACTATGAGCCGCGATTCTGGAAAATTCCTGCTCCTCCTTCGCCACCCAAGCAAATCGAGTGGAACCACCCAGATCCTGAGCAGCTGAAGAAGGACCTGGACCCCAAGTACAACTAGGCGATAGATCAATCTCATGACAATTGACAGGATCCAAGCACTAGATCTTTCACTTTACCTTCCTGTATTGCATCTATATCATAGAGCAAAGTAGCTGGAGCTTTCTGACACCTTTCTTCCAACCAAGTCTGACGGTAACCACTGGTGTCAAAGGTCATCAATGAGTTGTGCGCTGCCCACGCTAATATTGAACATACGAAAGGTGACATGATCCAAATCGGCTCCAATGCGACTAGAGTCATGGCAAGCTGGGGCAATGTCGTCAAGGATATCCAAGCCATCTCCGCCCAGCCTCCGACAATGACGATGTTCAATACTGAAGGGAAGGAGCTGCTGACTGCGCCTTTGCCGAGTGAATTTGGCGGCCACCCAGTCCTCTTCTCCAATAGAGGTTACATCCAAAAAACGATATATGAATATGCTTGTTCTATCGGGGTAAAATTCCGCTTCAACTCTCGTATCAAGTCTTATTTTGAGGACGCACATGGTGCGGGTGTCAATATTGGAGACGAGCGGATGACTGCAGACGTCGTGATTGCTTGTGATGGCATCCACAGTGCTGCGAGACAGTACATCACAGGAGCAAAGCATTTGGCTCGTACGAGTGGATTTGCTGTCTACCGGTCGTGTTTCTCGTTGGATCGTCTGGCAACCCATCCTCTTACGAAGCGCTTCGCCGAGTCCAAAGTCGACGAGTTTTACGTTTGGATTGGCCCTATGATTCATGTCATATTATTGACCACCATTGCCGTGCGCGGTGCTGTAGTCTTTGTCACTCACAAGGTTGGTTGATCTTCAACCTGGAACAGCTGTTGCCCATTCTGGCCGAGCACTAACTATGCCCTAGGACACGTACGAAATGGAAGAATCCTGGAGTTTCCCTGGAGATAAGAAGGATATGCTTGGAGTGACAAAGGGCTGGGACCCCGTCATTGCAGCTGTCATAGAGGCAATCCCCCCTGAGAATATTATTGATTGGAAACTGCTATGGAGAGACCCCATCAAGAAATGGGTCTCGGAAAACGGCCGTATCGCTATAGCCGGCGATGCCGCACATCCTCACCTTCCGACTTCTGGGTCCGGAGCTGCACAAGCGATAGAAGATTCTGCCACTCTCGGGGCCTTACTCGACAAGTTGGGAAAGGAAAACCTTCCACTCGCGTTGAAAGTTTATGAGCGACTCAGGTGAGTCCCTTCGAGTGCGGAAGGGAGCAGCAAAAGCGTCAAGACGTCAAGGCCACGAGGGAACACAGAAGACATTAGCTAATACGGAGGATATTACAGGTACGAGCGTACCAGCCTCACACAGCGGATGGGCTGGGAGACACGACACCGATGGCACCAAACGGATTGGGAAGCAGTCAAGGAGAACCCAGAGTACTTGAAAATGCCCCAGCCATTTTGGTTGTACAATCATGACGCGGGCAAGTACGCCTATGATCGATGCGACGATGCCGTTGCTAGCCTCAAGAACGGTAGTGAATTCACGTCGACGAACCTGCCCGAAGGGTACAGGCATGAGGAACGGACGGTGGAGAAGATGCTGGCGTTGGAGGATTCCCAAGTCAAGGAGCATGTTTATAAGATTGCAAATCGTTAAGTACGAGCTATAAGCAGTCTCACGATATGAACGCTGAGCTCGACTGCATCACTTACAAGCTATGATGGCATTGGTCTTGAGGATCTCACGGGCGCCTAAATATGTGGGGCCAGCCCAGTATGTCCTTCAGGGGATGATTCCCCATAACTAAAGCTAATTGTGTACTTCCGCCGCCGCTTTGGTTCGGTTCCGCACACTTCACCAACCACTAAAGCGGGTGTACGACGGTAATTTGGTCAGTTTTCGTACCCGTGGAAGTAGGTATCCGGACAGCAGTGCTATTGCTTTGTCTGCGCTTGCAAACAGATTCGGAGTGCGAGTTTACCCCATTCAGCCACCCCGGACCGAGCCCGGCTGGATTCGGGCAAGCTTAGCTATCCGCCACTCATCACATGCTTAAAGATGGAATTTGGATAGGAAACTCGCCTCAAATTAACCCAGTAATGTAAGAGCAAGGAGACCTATTTTCTCTTTTGGCACTCGATCAGCAGGAACTCAGGCCCCATTAGCTGCAATTAGCACCGGCGACATGGGATACAACACTCAGGACACAGTCTGGCCGGAACACCCTGTCCCAGATGCGGTCAAGGTCCTGATTGACAGATTCTTCAACCTCCTAGACAGTCACGATTCCAACGTGGGAAACATACTCGCTGATGAAATCTTCGCGTCAGATGCTGAGGCGCATTTTGGAAACGCTGCCTTCACCGGAAGTGACGGTACGTAACTCATGGGCGGAGGAGTGAAAAGTCTCACTCAATGCCATCAGTTTGTCTGACACGGAGAAGAAATCCGCAAGAGCAGAGACAATGCATGGAAATTATTCAATACACGCAAGCATACTGTCTTGAGAGTGTTTTCGGCCAACAAGGAGGCAAATGACTTGCTCTTCATTGCTTGGGTTGCTATGGATCTCAAGAATGGGGAACATGTGGCAGGCGAATTCATTGGACGTCTTCGATTTGATAACGCGCGGAGCTCGAACCCTAAGATCAAGCAGTACAATCATTGGGCGGTAGGTTGGCCGGATCTTTCGTGGCGATGGGCAATGCTGATGAAGACACCAGGATTCTGCTCCCTTAGTCAAGGCAATGCAGAAGAAGTGAAGCATTGAGGCCCGCCTCCAGCTCTCAGTGAATCGTACAGTTTGGAGGTAAGGACTGGGTACCGGGGTAATGAGCGTCGTCTCCAGATGGTATAGATCTACTAAGAAGGGCAATCCCTTTCCAAACCATATTGCATTTCGTGATTTATGACGAATCGAGGCAGGAAACATTTGTCGAAAGCATAGAACTACTGAGAATACCGCGTGCCAAATTCTTGAGAGATGAAAGGGAAGAGCATTGCTATGTACGCGGTACAACAGACCCTGCTACTCCAGACTGACCACCAAACCGAACCTCATAGCGAAAGATTTGCTCACTGTCACTCCCATCTCTCCTAGCTAGGTCTATAAATTATCAAGTGCAGCTAGAGCGATCGATGAGAAGTGATGGACTACGCCTTCACTGATCCATCCAGCGGTTTCGGAGTCAACCACAATCCGCCCTGAGGGCGAAGACTTGGACCTCCTCGTTGGAATTGCATGCGCTTCTCACTAGGAACAAATTCAAAAGCCTTTAGTAGCTCGATCAAGTAAACCTTGTATTCGAGAAGAGCGAATGCTTTGCCGATGCAGATTCGAGGCCCATTCAGGAAACTCCCGGCTGCAAAAGGGTCGGAGGCCTCCTTCGGAAGATTGTCCCAACGGTCGGGGATGAACTTGTCTGCATCGGGGCCGAAGATATGAGTGTTGTAATGAATCATGGCCGGGACCACATGGACCAAGGTTCCCTTGGGCAGCCGGACACCATCAACCATGACATCCTTCGCGGCTTCTCTATGGGACAAAATCGCTGCAGTAGCACATTAGCTTGCACCAAAGATCTTTGAATGAGTTGAACGTACCTGGAGGATATAAACGGAGGACTTCCTTGACGACATTTGATAGGTAGTTTATACTATTAACCGAGTTATAGGTCAGGTCGTTCGGCGTCGGAATTGCCTTGTTGATCTCCTCGCGCAGACGGGTTTGCACTTCAAGATGATCAGCCAGTAAGAAGAGCGTCAGTGTTAATGCTCCAGCCGTTGTCTCGTGACCTATGACATGTTAATACAACCCAGGCTCCAAGTCTTCACGACTTGGACATACCAGCTGCCATGAAATTCAATATCTAGTGGATAAAAGATCAGCTACCGTTTGGCTAATGCCGGAGTTGTCAGAAGGAAGAAAGAGTCGACACCTACGTGATTCACCATTTCGTCCTCAGTCCATGGATTGACACCAGAGACCCTCTCTTTGAGTAAGACGGCCAAAAGGTCGGTGGCGCTGGCCCTAGCTTTCTCGTCTTCGAGTTCTAATTTCCGGCTTCGGATTCTCTGTCGGACATGTTCTCGGATCTTGGCATTCGCAGCTAGGTACTCTCGGTTCACTTTGATGGGGAGGATCTTTCGTATTGGCATGTAAATATTAAGGACCGACATCAATGTAGACATCAACGAGCGCTCCATTTTGAATACATCTTCGAAGGCCACGGCAAATTCGGTCGGGCTGTCGAGGTTGTTGAATTTCAAACCGAGTGCAGCCAGGCCGATGGCATCCAGTGTAGTCTGGGTCAGCAAGGTAGAGACTTGAATAGACGGGTCAGCCACGATCAATGTTAAGAAGAAGAAAAAAATACATACTCTCGATTGGAGCCCCGGGGGTTTTATCGGCAACAGTGCGTATCGCTTTTCGAAGCTCCTGGGCCTTGGTTTCGAAGAAAGGTAACAAGTTTTTGATGGTTCCATAAGAGAAGGGGCCTGGCAAGTGAGAAGGATGTCATTCCAATGAAATCGAGAAGGGGGCAGTACCACGGGCACCTACCTGCCAGAAGCCTTCTTTGCGCTTTATGGTGCTCGCCCTCTGCAAAGAGAAGCCCAGTGCCTGTGATCTCGCCGAGCACACGGTGCAAGAAATCCGGCTTGACGAATGAGTAGCAGTGAGTTTGCAAAACGTCTTTTGTGGCTTTCACACTGTTGACGACAATGACCTCGCGATTTCCGACGTCCAGAAACCTAATCAATGGCTCATCCGGCCACTGTCTCATCCATCCGATGTATTCCTGAGGCGGGATAGACTTGAACAAATTGATAGCCTGGCCCAGTAGGAAGGTATCGTTCTGCAAAAATAGACGATGTAAGCCAACAGGCCGAACCAATGTGTAAGATGGCACCTACTTTTGGTCCCGGCAAATTTCTTAGAGGCGACAGCCATGTTGGATACAGCCACAACCGATATACCTTGAGCAAGGCATAGATTCCAAGAAATGCCAGAACAGCCTCAAGGGTGGACACTGGAAAATCGAGGCGAGGTGCAACAAACCGGCTTCCAACTGCAGGGATCAGGGCGGAGATGAGGAGGTCCATGCTTGAAGAGTCCTGAAGGGGGAGGATGTGATGAGGGAATGATTCTCAGTGGCCTCTGGCTATGGCGGGTGTCTGGGGCTCGAGGCGCTTGTTATGTCGTATACATTACAGTCGCGTGCATATATAGCAAGAGAGGCCTGCGTCTCCACGAAGATACGGGGGGCGGCAACGCGACACTGGGTCAAAACCATATATTCAGAGATAGATGATAAACTGGTGTGGTGTGGTTGGCTGTCGTGTCTTGTGGGTCGCCCCAGGAGAACGGTCCGATCACTTCTGTCCGGTGATGAGGTGATGCACGGTCCCAGAAGGCCATTGTTTCCGCATCTGCCTTAGCACCGATCCTCCTAATTCGGGTGAAAACAAAGTGGCCAACATAACTCGAGTGCAGGACGAAATAAAGATATACCAGATTATAGCACTTAAGGACTTATCTAGTGTTCAACCTGTTCAGCAAGCTCTGTGCTCTTGTTTTAATACGCTGTCAATCTTCCCGAAGTCTCGCACCAGCACGATGGCGTACGTTGCCTTGGCCGCAGCTGCTGCACTTGGCCTGTTCCTATACGTGGTAGTTTTCACCGGACGGCGAGGAAAGAATCTACCTCCAGGTTCGTAAGCTGTGAGAATGTTTTGGGCCCCCTAGTTAACACTAGACAGGCCCTAAAACCTTGCCTCTGATTGGCAATATTCATCAAATCCCTAAAGAGAAGGCTTATCTAAAGTACGTCAAATCTTCTTGAGTGCTCGGATTCAAATCGCGTGAGCGGTCGTACTAATTCGTCAGGTTTAACGAGTGGGCCAAGGAGTATGGAGGCATCTACTCCATCATGGTGGCTTCCCACCCGACCATCGTCTTGACGGATAGACGCTTGGTAAAAGAGTTGATGGAAAAGCGGAGTTCGATTACCAGTAACCGACCGAGATCCTTCATCATGGAAACTATGGTCTATGAAGGCGACGACATCATTCTCATGCAGGGTGATAACCCTCACTGGAAATTGGCCCGCCGTTTCATGCATCAAAACTTCATGGCCTCCGTGGTCGAAAAGAGCCATATGCCTCTGATTGAAGCAGAAACTACCCAGATGATAAAGGATATGGTGGAAACTCCAGCAGACTTCATGAAACACCCAACCCGCTTTGCTAATAGCTTCATGATGAGCATCGGTAAGTAGCCACCATATACCACATGGACTTTTCAGAAAAGATGATTGAGTTGTCATATCAGCATATGGAATCCGCACTCCACACCGGAAAATTTCGCATATGGTGGAAATCAACAAAGCCTTACGGAACACCACCGAGTTGCTCGCACCTGGAACATTGCCACCAGTGGACCTCTTCCCGTTTTTACTTCACGTGCCCCATCAGCTCTTCGGCCGTTGGCGCGATAAGGTCGCAGAGACACATAAGACGATGAACGGGCTGTACTCTAAATACATGGGCTACGTCGAAGAGAGACGAAGTTCAATCGGAGAAATGGACAGTTTCGCTGATAAATTACTTCAGCAGGAGGAGAAGCTGGACTGGACGAGACACGGTCTGAACTTCATGGCTGGCCTTATGATGGAAGCAGGTTCCGACACAACCTCCGGAGTGATCAACAGCTTTCTGCTCCTGATGACCAAATTTCCTGGAGCCTACAAGAAGGCGCAGGAGCAAATCGATACGATTGTTGGGGACGATCGAACTCCTGTCTGGAATGACTGGCAGAAATTGACCGAGGTCAATAAATTGCTCAAAGAAACTATGAGAATGCGGCCTGTGGCTCCTATTGCGTTCCCCCATGCATTGGCAGAAGGTTGGTTAATAATGGACGTCTCTGGCCGCTACGGATGGTTCACTCACTAAACACTGCAGATATTTGGCTTGATGACATGCTTTTGCCAAAGGGCAGTGACATTATCGTCAACGTCCTTGGCCTCCATTTCGACGAGCAAAGATTCCCGGACCCGGACACGTTTGATCCAGAACGATTTTCAGGGAAGCCTCTTCTAGCTGATGGCTATGCGAATGCAGCTAATTATGAAGAGAGAGATCACTACGCGTAAGTCCATCACCACTTGCTATCTTGTCACTTCGAATCCAGCAGTCCTTCTCTAGTTCGGCAGTCTGTTCCTGAGCTGACCCCACTGTCTAGCTATGGAACTGGACGCCGGCTATGTGTTGGAATTCACCTTGCAGAGCGAGGTGCCTTCCTAGCAATGGCCAAAGTCCTGTGGGCTTTTGATATATTGCCTGGTCGTGATAGTGCTGGCAACATCATCGACAACGATTTAAGCTGGGAGACTGGTACAGATGGAGGTATCATTGTCTCTCCCAGGCCTTTTGCTTGTGAGCTTCGGCCAAGATCGGAGAAGAGGAAAGAAGTTATCTTGAGAGAGTTCAAGGATGCGGAAGACAATGTCTTCCCCAAGTATCTAGTCCCAGAACAGTAGAGGTCGAAAAACGCGTAACTCGAATCTATACAGATTAGCCTCTAAAAGTTTCGATATGTTTCTCGCTCCAATGTCGAAATGCCTTGTTCGCTGTTTACCAGTTCTCTAGAAATCAGTGGCCCGACGGGACACCATAATCAATGATACAGAACGAATCAGGTGGGAGAATCGATTAGCAAAGGCATAGACTTGAAGGCCCATGTGCTGTCAAAGGACCAAGGGCACAAGGACGATTCTCCGATCAAGCATCAAGGTCAACGTGAAATGATAAGCACGAGAAGTGCCTGCGTGCGAGGCTTCAAACTTGCATCTGTCCTACATGCCGCAGTGCATCTAAGCATATATTTGAGATGGAAAATTATGAGTGCCTGGTCACAGGTCCAGACAAGTGCCTCCCCCGCACAGTCCCAAGTCCAAGCTCATGACAATGCCTTTACCAATCCCGCAAACGAGTCGGCCATGAATCCTTCGTAGATGGGCTTCATAACCGCAACACCGGCGTCATCGATCTCTTCCGCGTCAGCAATCCAGGTCACTTCGGTCTTGTCCTCCCCAATGCTTTTCAGCTTCCACGTGCCGAAACCTCCTTTGGCGGGTAGGGGGGTTGGGTCCACAATTCTGTAAGAGATGACATGGTTCACTGGGTCCAGTATCTCCAGCTTTTCGTCCACTGATCCAGCCATGGAGTTGACAGTCCGAACAGCCCCAACCCCCTCACCCTTGATGGTAACTCCTTTGACTGAGGGCATCCATGCTTTGATGGCGCCGAAACTGGAGGCCAGACTCCAGACTTGCTCGATTGGAATATTGACGGTCTCCCGTAGTGTGTGAATTTCTCGTCTACCCATCTTGGTGGTGGTCGGTATTCGCGAGCGAAGGAAGGATGGTTGAAGATATTCTAAGAGGCTTTTCAGATTTCGAGTGAACAGAGACTCCAAGTCTTGGAAACGGAAAAAGGGATGGATATGGAGATCACCAGTACGGTCTTTAATCTACAGTGGCCATCTCGACACTAGTTCGGAAATGCCGAAAACGATTGATTTTCGGACGCAGTGGGGCGTGTAGACTTGATTCAGCCTTCCGAGGCCGATCTAACCTGGCACTTGTCTCCGAATACTTTTGGCGCGAGCCATCCGCGGCGGAAACCTCCCACACCTACGGCCAATGCGGTGCTCAAGGAAGAGATAAAAGAACCCCATTCATGGATCCCGAGACATGTTTCTCCCCAAATGCAGATAACAACAAAAAACTGAAAACGAAAACTCTAACGACAAAATGTCTCGATTCGCGAACAAGGTGGTGTTCATATCCGGGGGTGCTTCCGGTATGGGCCTGGCAACAACGGAAAGGCTACTGAAAGAAGGAGCCAAAGTTGTCATCGCCGACATTCAGTTCGAACTGGCCCAAAAGGCTGCCGCAGCTTCCAATGGTGCAGCAGTTGCTGTCAAGATGGACCAAGGAAGCCCAGAATCTGTCAAAGAAGCTATTGCTTTTGCTGAGGCGCACTTTGGGGGTATTGATCACGCAGTGAATGCTGCTGGTATTCAAGGGCTACAAGGATCAGTCGAGGATGCCCCAATCGAAGACATGCAGAGGGTTTATGCAGTCAACCTCATGGGAATTGCGTACTGCCTCAAGTATGAAGTGGCGGCAATCAAGAAACGGGGAGGGGGCGCAATTGTCAACATTGCCAGTGCTGCAGGCATCAGAGCCATTCCGTACCTGGGAGTCTATTCTTCGACCAAGGCCGGAGTTATCAGCATCGCCACGGCTGTCGCGCAAGAAGCCGGGCCCTACAATATCCGGGTTAACACTATATCCCCTGGATACGTCGACACACCGCTTCTTGACGCTCGAATTGACCGAAAATGGGCAGGATCACTAGTACCGACGGGAAGGTGTGGAATGCCTTCTGATATTGCTGATGCTACGTCTTTCTTACTATCGGATGACGCACGGCAGATCTCAGGAGTGAACCTGCCTGTAGATGGAGGATTAACTGTTGCAAATGGTGTCAAACCTCCCGGATTTTAGGTGTGGACAAGACCCATGTACTGAGTCAGCCTTGTGGCTTGTAGTAGCAAACAGAGTCATTGTAGCTTGATCTCAAATGATACTGAGGCCACACAATGAGTTTCTTCTATCTACTGTGCATATTAGCCTAACGTGGCTCGTGAGGTCCTGAGAGATGGTGTACCAGTTTCAATTTGACTATTACTTGTGCGCCGCACATCCGCCAGGTCCTGACGTCCTCTGTCCTCTGTTCGGGTTTCCAGGTATGATCTGTCCTCTCTCAATGCGTCTACCAGGGGCATGAGGCATGCACAAACCTAAAAGAATTTGCGTCACTCCTCTCTGGCCCCCGTGACGCTAACTCTACAAAAGCGGAACAGATTGTCAAAATCAAAAGCACATCGGACATTCCACAGTCAGGTGTAGCCTGGCTAGCGCCGTTCTGCCCAGCCGGAGCTCCAGCTGTAGCAACACTTCACTGTCTACTTGGTGTCTCCTGATACAGACAGACATGAAAGCCTGTTACCCATCCGACGAAGCCGGGATACATGCGGGGTTGGGAAAAATCATGGGGTAGAAGATTAACTCGATCTTCCGTCCCAATATGGTCGGATGATCTTAGTTTGTTTAGGTATCTATACAAGGCTGCCAAGACAAACGCCTACCCCATGGGGCCCCGGATACTGACACCAGCAGCTCGAGAGAAAGTATATGACCTGCACGGCATTGCCGCTATGAATAATTATTCGAAGGAGTTGATTGTCTACTATCTCACTCATGACATAGGAGAAGAACCTAGAAAACGAACACCAATATGCCCAAGACAAGCTTCTTTTCACGTACGGCCGATATGAACCCCTCTTCCGGGGTCTCTGAGGCTCCAGAAGACATAGCTCCAGAAGCCATAGGTGGTCACTCAATTGCTGACCTACCGCCCGGCTACTTCAGAAGTTTGCCATTCCTCGCCACTTTCGTGGTAAGTTTTCAAACACTCACATTCTTTGATTTCGAATGTGTACTTAATATTTGCGGTGTTTTAGTCCGTATCGCTGGCGTACGTGGCTTGTCTACTCCTCTATGTGATGATGGCTACCACTGTCCCTATCATTGCTCAAGTTTTTGGTAAGACACCTGATGGCATTGCGGTTGGTGCCAAAGATCACTTTCAAGATCCCCCTCCTTTTTCCGTCAACGGGACAAGAACTAATGCTCTATACCGGACATTAGGCCCCAGTTCGTCGGCCATCTGGGTTCTGCTCAATATTGTTCTTGGACAGACGGTTGTCTTCACTTTGAACGGCCGACTGTCTGATATTTTCGGACGCAGATATTTCTTCATCGGTGGAGCTGCCCTTGGCGTCATCGGTTTTGTAATCAGCGGCAGTGCTCATAATCTGTCGACCATTATTGGAGGTGTAAGTCACTACTCCTACACAGTTAGCAGACTTGTGAAGGAATGAGCTGCTGATTTGATACAGAACTTCGTCATCGGTGTCGCGCAGGGAATCATGCAGACTGAGGGAATTTTGTTTGGAGAGATGATTCCGAACGAGTATCGCTACACAGTCTTGTCTGCTGTATTCGCCTTGTTCGCCCCGCTCATTGCTGTTGGGCCAGGAATTGGTGAGTTACGTGGCCCCCTCTTTACGAAGGCGGCAAGTCTGATACTTGGGATACAGCCAGAGTTATGGTCGTCAATGTCTCGTGGCGATGGGTCTACTACCTGGGCGCTATCATTTCTGGCTGCAGCGGCCTCCTTCAGCTCTTTTTTTACTTCCCGCCAACTTTCCATCAGTTGCATACGCGGACCAGCAAGCGCCAGGCCATTCTATACTTCGATTATGGCGGAGCAGTTATTTTCTCTGGCAGCTTGGTATCATTTGTCTTGGGCATGTCCTGGGCAGGACAGAAATACGGTATGTCCAAACCTTGACTCTCGTGACCTTTACTGACTGGTCGTGCCATAGAATGGAAATCCGCTGCAGTGATTGCCCCAATAGTTCTGGGAGCTCTAGGCATGGTTGCCTTTGGGTTCTGGGGTATGTTTGGCTGCAAGGTCTTTTGCCTCATGCGGCCGTAACTAATCCTTTCGCCACAGAGCATTTCGTCCCCGTCAGAGAGCCACTTGTGACAATGCGCCTTTTCAAAAATCGCAACTTTGTTGCGCTTTCTATGGTCTCTGGAGTTGGAGCTATGATCTTCTACGCAATGAATCTGACATACCCACAACAAATCGCCGCAGTCTGGGGAGAAAGCACCGAAGCCTCTGGCTGGTTGTCGGTAAGCCCTCATTTCTTTTTGCCCCTGATTCACATGTGCATGCTTGCTCAGACAACTTAACCGAACCCAGTGCACTATCATCGGTGGTGTAATGTTGGGCCAATTCATGTCGTTGGGGGTTAAGTATGTCTCGCGCTGGATCCCCATGAAATGGATATTGGTAGCCACTTGTGTCATCTTTACTACCTTCATCGGTGGCATGGCAAAGGTAACAGTCGACCACAAGGCAAGGGCAATCATATTCAGTATCATTTCCAGTACAATGGTCGGTGTAATGGAAGTCATCACCATGGCCGGAGCTCCATTGATGATCGATCCTCAAGACATGGGCCTCGCCAACGGTATCGAATTTACCATGCGAGGTATTCTTTCCTGCATTTCAAGTGAGTAATATGCCTTCCCTTGGTCGCTTGCATGTTCTAACAGTTCACAGCTTCGGTGTATTCGGCGATTGTAAGTGGCTGCCCAGAGGCATAATAACTGATCGTTCTAACCGTGATACAGCTCTCTAGCAAGATAAAGCACTATTTTGCCACAGAAGTAGCCCCGGCAGCTTTGAAAGCTGGCCTGTCTGTGGAGGTCGTTCCAACCTTTTTGCAATACCTTGCTGCTGGCAATAAGCAGGGCCTCATCAGTCTGCCTGGGGTAACCCCAGAAATTCTGCAGACTGTCTTTGCGGCCGCAACTTCTGCTTACGCCAAGTCGTATCAGCTGATTTATCTTGTCAGCCTGGCTTTCGGAGGCACGACCATTATTTTCGCTCTGCTGGTTGATGGCAAGGCTTTGGATGCTAAAATGACGAGCGATATTGCTCGCAAGTTGCAGAGCGGGTCAGTTCTTCAAGGTGTCCGTGAACAGTCGAACCATGAGTCGAATAATGAGTCGAACCGCGAGTCGACCCACGAGGCAAACGCCGAGAAGGTGTAATTATGCGGAACGCGGCGTGGCCTGGAAGACTAGCAAATACCGGCCGGAATGGGGATGATGAGTGTAAGGAGGGCAATTGAACCCGCAATACCGACTCAACATCGATATAGTCCTCTTTTAATAGTCTCGCTCAGAATAATCGTTGAATCAATTACAAGAATGATACTTTCAATCTCGGCGCAATCGTTGGTACCTGTAGGCTTTAACAGCTGCTTTCTCCGGGGCTTCACAAAGACCTCTGATTTCCGGCTTCCAGCCAAACTCTGTCCATCGTGCCGTGCTACCACAGCCTACCGGATACCGAGAGGCAGAATGGTTTCCATCTAAAAGCACTAATGGATATATGTGCTTCTTCTAGCACAGATGCCCGAACGGAAAAGGTAAGGTCAGCTCCATAACTTGTTATATTGATCCAAGTATTTCTTCTGGACTCCACGGGTTCGCTAGATCGATTGTTGACCATATCGCCAACATATAGACCCCGCGTGATTTTCTGGGTCTCCCATTTCAACTGAAGCAAACATGGATGATAAGCACCTCGGTTAGTGAAGATTCCAAGCCTTAGCCGTGACCAATGCAAAAACTGACGGGCTGACAAGAGATGCAGGAAACAATTTTACAACTACAATCCATCAGGATACCTATCCCTTAATTCAGTCGACAAAATGCGATCACAGAGGCCGGAATGTGTTTATCACAGGCGCTTCAAAGGGAATTGGGCGTGAGATGGCACTCTCCTTCGCCAAAGCGGGGGCGGCCAACGTTGCTGTCGCGGCGCGTTCAGAGTTCGGCAATATTCGAGATGAAATAGAGCAGGCAGCGAAGTCAGCGTCACGGCCTGTACCGAATGTACTAGTTCTCAAACTGGATGTGACAGACGGCCGTAGCGTACAGCATGCCGCGTCAGAATTCGAAAAGCACTGCGGACATCTGGACATCTTAGTCAACAACGCTGGCATTGTCGAATCGCCGTTCCAGCTGATTGGTGACATTGACCCGGCAGTGTGGTGGACAACGATGGATGTCAATCTTCGTGGGGTCTATCTCATGACGAGAGCATTCCTGCCGCTCCTGCTCCGTGGAGACACCAAAATCATTGTCAATGTTGGAAGCGTGGCACAGAACTACATAACACCGGGCGCCTCGGCCTACGGAGTCTCCAAACTCGCTTTGGCTCGTTTCACCGAGTTCATAGACGCCGAATACGGCAAACAGGGCATCACAGCAATCACAATACACCCGGGTGCTATCCTGACCAACCTTGGTCGACGGTTACCAGACTACATGGCCGAGAATGGTTGGATGACCGAAACAGAGTACCTTCCTGCTGACACGGTAGTGTTTCTGACTCAACAGAAACGGCCGTGGCTGTCTGGAAGATACATTAGTGCCACATGGGACATGGAGGAGCTGATGCAGAAAGAAGATGAGATTGTGCAGGGAAACCTGCTCAAGTTGAGAATGCTGGTATAGGTAATCTGGCTGACTCTGATTATCCGGAGCATATCTATGTTTGATGGTACGGGAGTCTGATTTAAAGCTACGTAGAGGTACTTAGGAGCTAATGCGGTCATTTGAGGCATAAATGTGGCAGTGAACTCTTGACTCTAAACAAATGTGATTTTGCCATGCGTTGCGATACAGAATCGCCATTCCACTGTCATGAGCTGTGCCCTGGGGCATTTGTAAGAAAGGGGGCTGAACACGATTCATATCAGCGGCTGTCTGCTTAGAATAATATAACATGATACTGCCGCAAAAGACTCATCACCATGGAGTAAACGCTGTCAAGTTTCAAAACCACATACGGCGTGGCACATACCAACTCCGTCTACAGCTATCGAAGAATCATGACACTAATAGAGTGTGCGTAGTTTTATTCTACGAAGTGACGAATGTGGTGCACGGACTGCAAAGGTACTGGTTGCTCGCGGACAAGTTCACTCAATGAACATGGACTGAGCATATGAATGCAATGCAAGCACATGTTCATAAGGGATATTCCCTTAAGCACTATCATGTGCTGACTCATCCCTGCAAGGATTGGCTGCCTCGGAGCTGGATGGACTCGATGCAAGTCTCCATCATCTCACATCCTTGAGCGATGATAGGATTTGCATGAGATAGGGAGTCGCCTATGTGGCGGCCCAAAGCAGACTCCGTATTCGGGAAGCCGACTAGCCAACCGGATGAGAAGACATTCCAGCCATGAGCGGATCGTCGATGCCTTCTCTGGGAATCAGAGTGCTTCAAATTGCCTAGGAAACCCCATCTTCTTTACCTCCCCACCAGCCGCCTCGGTTCTTGGTCTCGCTATGTCACAACCTCTCGTCCTATCGGAAGTGAATGTTTACTGGAAGGCCCTGAACAGTGCCGATCCGGGCTGCTTGCATGTGTTAAGTGGGTGGGTCCAGACGCGTCGGGTCCATGTTGGTGGCCGGCCAATACGGCTAATTGTTGCTTGGACGAATCCGTCCGGGACGTCCTGCTCAGGTTTGATGCTGCAATGCAGGGTTGCAGTGTAATGTCGTATGATTATGAAAGCGACTATATTCGATGGCGAGCCTACTCAATTCGGCATAGCATCTTCTCCATGCTTTCATATACTAGAGATTAGACATCAAGAGCTGGCTAGAAGATTACTGCTCGTCTTTGTCCACTTCGTTCTATTCTTTTTGAATCTTTGAGAAACATGAATGGTAATACATTATCCAATATGAACGGCCATACGACACCTTCGACATCTAGTGCCATCCCGGAGGAAGTCGAGATCCTTCCACAGGGGACTGTATTGATTGCAGGAGGCGGACCCGTCGGCCTCACTCTTGCGACGGTGCTGGCATTCTATGGCGTGAGGAGCGTCGTCTTGGAGAGAAATGCAACCACTACAAGGTATAAGATGCGTTAAGAAAGCCTCGAAGCAAGACCTCTACTCATGAACTGACATACTCAGATGGCCCAAAATGGACTTGACCAACGTCCGGTCGATGGAGCTATTTCGAAAGCTCGGGTTGGCTGATGAGCTCCGGAAGCAGGGTTCGTATAACGACGCTAGTGTCTCACAGACTAGTTGACGCTGACGTACCCAGGTGTCCCTACTCACTTGCCGTACCGCGTTCTCATGTCGACCGGGCTCGGGGCTCCCAAACCAGTCACTGTCTGGGAACATCTGGGAGTCGACAGATATCGCGCAAAGATCGCCGAGAATAACGATGGTACCATGCCACTGGAACCATGGCAGAGGCTGTCCCAAGCAGTGTTCGAAAAATGGCTCAAGGGCATCTGCGACCGAAACCCTTTGATCGACCTACGATTTGGCTGCAAGTTGGAAGAAGTATCAGAGGTCCAGGATGGCGTGCGTGTAACGGTCACCGATCTTCACAGCGACACCCGACACCAGATTCTGTCTAAGTACCTTATTGGCTGCGATGGAGGGTCCAGTCGAGTGCGACGCAGCTTGGAAATACCTTTGGATGGTGGTCCCATGTAAGGATCACCTTTCATCATATGGCAGTGCAGGTATCTTACCAAGAGTTTAGGCCCGTCTATGTTCTTCTCGTTCACTTCAAGTCTCGAGACCTTACACGCCTCCATAAACATGGACGCTTCTGGCATATCTTCGTTCTCGGTCCCGAGGGGTTGGCTTCGACCTGCATTGCCCAGAACGAGAAGGACGTGTTCACAACACATCTGCTGTTGCCTATAGGAGAGGATTCGGATAAGATAACCTCTGAGGACGCGGTATATCGTGCTCTAGGAGGCATCCACGGCCCATACCCGATCAAGATCGACGAAGTCCTGGTTCGCTCGACCTATCGGCCGAACATTGCAATTGCACGTCGATATAGCGGAGCCAGTGGACACGTATACCTTGCTGGCGATGCTGCCCATCAGAATATTCCCACAGGAGGCTATGGTAAGGGTAAAAGATGTACTCAAAAGCCCAAGGACTGAGCTGATATCGAACTCTGCAGGAATGAATATGGGCATTGCCGATGCATTCGAACTTGGTTGGAAGCTGGCGGCTACCGTCAATGGATACTCCGAGCCATCTATCCTACAGACCTACGAGCAAGAACGCAGGCCGACTGCACTAGTTAGCATCGAGCGATCCGGGGTGCATATGCGAGTGCATATGGAGGCCAACAAGCTGCTCGGCGGACGGATTGGAGAACTCGACGCAAACACCGAAGCTGGGGACAAACTCCGACGGAGTCTGCACGACTATTATGAGGCCAATGACGGCGAGAATACGGACCATGGTATTGAGATGGGCTACCGTTACAAGTCGAATATCATTGTGCCGGATGGCACCAAAGAACCTCTCTGGCAGCCGGGCGACTATGTTGCGACAACCTTCCCCGGAAGCAGAGCTCCCCATGTTTTCCTACGCGACGGGAGATCAATCATCGATTCTTTTGGGCCATATTATACGTTGATCGAGTTTCAAGATGGCTCAGAGCGAGGATCGACCCTGCTTCTCGACGCAGCGTGGAAGCACCGCGTGCCCGTCAAGTATTTGCCTCTGGCCGAAGAAACGCATGCACATGCAATTTACGAATGTCACTTGGTGCTGGTTCGGCCAGACGGGCATGTGGCATGGAGGGCAGACACGGTCAACGAACAGACGGAAGCCATGCGCGTTCTCGGTCTCATCTCTGGCCGCACGGTTCCGGAATCTGAGAGCCAAGAGTCCAAGGAAGTGCACCTCACCATGGACCCATCAAAGGTTGGCGATGGCGCCTTTGCATTCACGTCAACCTTGACAACCGAATCACAGACCGCCAAGTTCGAACTAGACAAGATGGGCGAGTTCCAGACATGAGCCACCGGGCCTTGTCCCATAACCAACGGCGCTAGGCGGACGTGCCAGTGCAAGATGCGACCATTCCGAAAAGGTTCGGAGACGACACTTTGTCCGGCTCAAAACTGCAAAGGGCCGGCCTTGGGGATGACCAGTGCGTGCGGGGTAGTGTTGGTAGCCCGATCTGTACGCACTAGGAGGTACCTATCTTTCCACTAAATTCGCATCCAAACTAGAGCATTTGACCTATTCATGATGATTTCTTGATGCCCTGCTAAGCACGAGCCTGCCATGTCTCCTTTCGATCCCATGTGTTGCCTAGGGATGTCATAGGTGTAAGCAAGAAGCCCTTGTGAGAGTTGCTACTGCACTAGTCGTTGCCATCCTGGTCGGTATTATGCTGGGTGGCCTAGTGGCAATAGTGCAGTATGCTGCAAGAGGGCCAAGAGCACTATCCTATCTCCTTGTCCAAGGCTAAGGCTAAGGTCAGAGACAACCTGAGGGGTCAGCAGTCCATTACCTACCCCAAAGCTAGGTGTAAGCTAGGTACCTAGGTCGCTCTAGGGGTAGGCCCGGGGTGTGTTTGGGGGCCTGGAGGAAGTTCGAGGCACTTCCATCCAGTACAAGTACCTGTAGTGCGGGGCCCCACGCCCGCCAAGGACCCAGGTCCCCGGGTGGGGGGGGAGGGGAAAGCGGGGAACGACAGTCGCGAAACGACAGGAATGACTTGTATTTCCATTACATCCGGTTGGTGTGGCATGGCTTCCGTCCATGGCCCCCGTCCAAGACCCAAGATCGATCTTCACCTTCATGTCCAGACCACTCACTACATTTCGCCGTGGAGAGGTGCTCGGGTTCATAACAAGGCGCCATTCGGCAAAGCAAAGCCAGTAATCCTTAACTTGCAAACCCGGGGTGTATGAATCTACCCCACAAGAAACTCTTTTCAACCAGTTCGAAGCGGCAGGTCAAACACTCCAACCTCACCGCGAAGCCCACCCTTTTGGATATCGAGCTGCAGTCTTCTCCAGGTATATCACCTTATGAACTTGACTGCGACGGGCTTTCATGTCGACTATCTAGCTGCGCCGGTACATGCGACCAGATCTAGATCAGAACGGACACAATGAGGCCAAATACAAAGTCGGCGATGGCGTGCAACTTCTGCAGATCGAAAAAGATAAAATGTGAGAAGATGAGATTCCCTTCCACCTCCGCAAGCGGAGGATGTATCTGTTGTGCTATCAGCGAACTGACCGTTGGTCTGCTACGATAGGTAACAGCGGGCGACCTTGTCCAAACTGTGTGGTGAGTGCATATCACCAATTGAACCGCAAATACCTCTCGTGTCCATGAACTGCTGCTGAATATTGGTTGCGTTTGCGTTAGGACCACAAGGTAAAATGCGATTACTCTGAAAATAGCCGGCGAAGGTCATTTCATACGCGAGGCTTCAGAGGGCTGCAGGATCGCTTTGCTCATAGCGATACTGCGATTTCAAAATCGCCACCGAAATCGGGGCCATCGACTGCACGCAGGGTTTCAGTCTCCGCGGTGCCTGGTGAGGGATATGGACTATTCCAGTCTTTCACCCTTCAGATGGAGAGAATCGACGATGACCCTCCACCTGAACAATTTCCTACTGCAAATAGACCTCCTGAGTCCTCGACTCTTGAAAGTCAGCCAAAAAACCCTGACCCGACCGGACCCTGCTCGACCAAAAATGTCTTCAGCGAACAGGACAACATCCCTCAACAGTTTACCGCCACATCACCAGAAGCGCCCATGCCATACCCTGTCGGAGACACCGGCGTTCTTGCACCACCGCCAGATGCCTTGATCACGGAAAGCCTAGAGGCGGTTGACCCCGACCTTCTGATGCCTCCACCAACACTCTCGTCCCACCATGATGACGCTTCAACTAAAGTCGCTTCCATCTACTCCAATACTCCTCCTTCGCACGCTCCCACTAGTCTAAGCTCCGTCGAAGACGACGGCTCGAGCACAGCCCCTCCGGAGCAAGAAGTAGGTGACTTCCTTCTTTGCCAGGCGTATATACTAACCTTTTCGTTACCAGTTGACATATGAATATCACGGTACGCTAGACTGCAGCTCCTAATCCAACGTCACTAACACTGTTCAGGTCCCGGGTCGTTTCTTTCAATCTGCTCCAAGTCAGGAATAGAATGGGTCAACGAGAAGACTGGAGTCAATGAGTTTGGAACCATCGCGCGGGGTCTCATATCTGATATCTCCCGTGCGCTCAAACTCAGTGTCCCAAATATCGGTCCACGAGAGCCTGAGCCGGATGAGTCTTTGGCGTGGAAGTATAGCCGCATCTACTTCGACACGGACACCGATGCTGGCTTCGGCATTATTTCCCGGCCCACGTTTGAGAACGCCTTGCGCGCCCACTTTCAGAAAGAGAGCAATCCAGGGGATATCGAGACTGATCCCGGGTGGTATGCTCTCAGAAATGTAGTCTACGCTGCTGGATGCCGAATCCTCGAAACGAAGAGTGCTGTCAAAGGTTTCAAGATCGACATGACGGCGACAAAGAGCTGGAAGTACTTTGCGAATGCACTGTCGGTGCACAACGATATCCTATACTTCAGAACCAGCTTGATGGCAGTCCAAGCTCTAGCAGCAATGGTGAGCCTACTCGTCACAAACTTCAGCATTCCTCAAACTGACCGAAACGCCAGGCGTTCTTTGTGGAGGCCATCGGCTACCCCTCTATCGATTACATGTTATGCTCTTCTGCAATGAGGCTTGCAGTGTCGAAGGGTCTTCACCGCCAGCCCCCAGCCTGTTGGAATCTCAGCCCGGAAGCGATAAAGTCGCGGAGCTTACTATGGTGGTCCATTTATGGCTTCGAGCGAGTCAACGCGAACAGATCCGGTCGACCCTTGGTACACAAATAATATCTATTTCGCGATGAACAAACGCTAACCAGGAGACCTGCAGGCCATTGACGATCGAGATATCACATGCCAAATGCCTGAGGGTATCGAAGATGCCGAAACGAATTTGGCTCACATCAGGACGGCCATTGAACATGCGAAACTCTCTTCGAGTTTTAGCCGGAGAATTGCAGACCTCAAAACAAACCAAGCCAGTCTGCAAGAGGTAGCAAGCAGCATCGCAGAAATGACACAACAACTTGACACCTGGTGGGACAGCCTTCCTGACTATATGAAGCTAGACCTACGGAACCCTTCACGTCAGCTTCCTCCATCTCTAGATTTCCAGAGTGTTCTCTATCACCATTACGCCTATTACGGAAGCGTGGTGGCCATCCATGCTGTTCTAGTCCATCCCTGGAACAGTACTGCACTTAAGATTCTGCCTCATGAACGCGAGGAGTTTGCTCGGATGACAGCAGAGAGTGGAGAAGTCTTCATCAACGCCACAAGGAAGTTTGTTCAATATCTTCCGCAACTGAATATCAACCCACTGTCACCGAAGTGGTGAGTCATTTTCAGATCTCTTGCCCTCACCTTCTTCACCACAACACTGATTAATCAATGCTAGGCTTGTCGTTGTCTACCCACTCATGGCACTGGTCAACTTGTTTATCTACGTGTTACAAAATCCACAATCTCCTGCCATAGAGTCAGACGTGGGGTTGATGTACCTTGTCGCCGGACACTTCAGCTACCTCGAATACGCCGTTGCAGATCGTGTCTTCCCCTCCCTTGGGCAAATGGCAAATCTAGCCCGGTTGACGGCTGACAACGCAAGGAATCGATTTCTGGGAATGGACAATGATCTCTCCGCGGAAGTGATCAGCCATGACGCGTCTTTACAACACCTTGACCTAGGAAACCCTGAAGATGTAAGAACAAGCTCAATCAACCCTGACAACTGTCTCAAAGAGGCCAGGGAATGGTGCTAATTTTGATACCGGATACAGTTCGATCAAATGCACCTTGACAACGAACAATGGGCGACCCTAATAGGTTGGCCTGATAATGACGATCTTATGGTGCCAGGCATGTTGTTGGGATCACAAATTTGAACGCACTGTATTTCTAGTTGATTGGCTATGATATCCTTTGTCTGTATCTAAAAATATGCAGAGAACTCGGATATGGGTCACGGAATTGGAACATTTCGCGATGGTCCAGTTTTGACCGACATCAAATGATCAAGGCACAAATACCTAAGTGGCTTCCCAGAGCTTGAAAAGGTAATAGTACCGAGCTGTTGCTATTTCGCTGGACACGTCCTTATCTAGTAGCCTCCATCAATGCTTGCTATATCAATTACATCAATGCAATCGGAGTGCGTCTTCTCCGATTCTGGTTTCTGGCTCGACAGTCCGACCTCCGGTTCTTGATATCCTACTACGCCAACAGCACGGCATTGGTGATTTCCACCCCGCACGGAGTGCGGGGTCGGCCGGGTTCGGCACCAATTTGGGTAGTTCCGAGCAGAATTGGTAACTTAACTTATGAGGCTAGACCAACCACTTTGAATACAATCATTCGTCACTCTTTTTAATAGACTAACTTACAATTTCAACTGACTAGTTAATGATTATATAACAATCTAGTAGTTTATATCATTTACCTTTTTGATTACTCATATCCTTTGTTCTCTCTTTGTATCCAAGGGGGATTAAGCATGGTACAGAATAGTGCCCATACACACATACCTAACATCTTCTCACTGTGGTCACTGCCTATCATGTCAGGTGTGCGAGTTCCAATTCGTTAACCATTCTTGACCTCCCTTGGTACCTTGGTAAATACTATTCCGTATCTGGTAATAGACTAGTATCTACCAGCCGGTCGGTCCCACTGCGCCTCCGAGAAGTCCGAGACATAAGCTCGTCGGGTTTTTATGTTCTCGTAACCTTCGGGACTGATCCTCCACCCTTTTTGTCGTAAATCATCAACAGCTCTTTTGGAGAAACTACTCAAATATTCGTGAAAAGAGATGGCTCGCTTTGGCAAACTACTTCGCTTCAAGAATACCTCCGGGCAGGTATTCTATGGAGAGGCAAAAGACTTGCCGCAGATAACAAAGGACGCTCTGATAGGTGCTGAAGTTCCTGTCTTCAGTGCTGGCCAGGAGCCCTGGTCGGATGATTTCAAGCTTTCGGGCTCAACAGAAAAGATTGCAGAGGTGCGTATTGTGAGGGAACACAGTGAAGGGTTGGCCAGAAGCGAGAATGTGGCTAGACTCCGTACTTACCTTTCTTTTGACCTCTAGGTCCTTGCTCCGCTGCCCAAAGTCCCGATCTTCCTTTGCATTGGGCTCAACTACAAAAAGCATGCGGAAGAGGGTGGTGTAAGTATGATTCTCTGCTGTAGTTTGATGCACCTCTCCAAGCAGATCATGAGAAAGAGACGATTGACAAGATTGGGAACACCAGATGAAAGTCGGAGAGTATCCGCAGACCTTTTACAAGCCTGCAGGTAAGTTCAATATCGAACGACTCCCGTCATCGCCGGTGCCAATACTGAACCCTTACGCCCAGATGCACTCGCTGGACCCTTCGAAGACATACCCATTCACCCCGCGTGCCAATGGATGGACTACGAAGTAAGCAGTTACATGGCTCTGCTTCTCTCTACATTATTATCACCTCCCATTTTCAATCCAGGAATCTGACGTGGATTGCTTCTTGGGGAAATAGGTCGAACTCTGTGTTGTCATTGGCAAGGACTGCAAGAACGTGAGCGAAGACGAAGACGTCACCCAGTATATCTTGGGCTATACCGTGGGTAACGACGTGTCGGCTCGATGGTGGCAGATGCCTGAACGGTCGAACAACCAGCCATCGATGGCCAAGTCTTTCGACAAATTCGCCCCGATTGGTCCTGTTATCACCTCTCCGGACATCATCGCTGATCCCAAGCAGCTGAGGATGCGGAGTATTGTGAATGGAGACCAGAGACAAATCACTCAGACGGACGACCTAATCTTCGACATTCCCGCCATCATCCGCCACTTCAGCCGTGCCATGACCATTAGAAAGGGAACCGTTATTATGACGGGTACCCCAAGTGGTGTTGCGGCCTTTATGAAGCCGCCTGCGTGGTTGCAGGACGGCGACGTGGTGGAAATGGAGCTTGAACATGTGGGCACCATGCGCAACAAGATGGTATTTGAGAAATCTGAGTAGACGACACCAAATATAGTTCCCTGTCGCCTGGCAGTTATTACATAACAACACATTTAAAACAAGGAGGTGCCTGTGGTCAAGGAATATCGACAAAAGCAGTTTGCATTCAGAGTATAATATTTTGTTCTCGCTATGACAAGAGACCTTCTGAACGCCCACAGGCACATCAATTGACTTATCAATCCATCTCAAGATAGTTTTAGGCGTGGAGCAAGCTCTGATATCAAGCATTTGTTGGCAATGCTCGCGGTCCAATCTCTACCCTTCGCTGTAGCTCAGACTCGCTCTCCCCAGCAGACAAGCGCTTGATAAAATCCTCTGGATCGAAATCCACACCAATAGGATTCTCAGCAAATGCTTTGGACTTCATGAACTCAGTGGCCGATTCGGCATCCTCATAATTGTCGACCTGAGTTTCGATCATGTTTCCATCTGGGTCCTTGTAGTAAATGGATGTAGTTGGCCCGTGGTTGATCGGCCAATAAGGTTGGATCCCCTTCTGCTTACGCTGCCTGTAAGCCAAAAGAAGATCAGTGAGGGTGTTGTAGGTGAAGGCAGTGTGCTCCAAGCCGCAGGTCTGTGGGTCTTTGTTCTTCGTCCCTGGCATCTGAACTATCGCGATACGATGGTGTTCCTCATCGTAGGTCAAGAATGCGAGCACGTCGTTCTCATACATTGCCTCAGCCCCGAGAAAGGTCTTGTAGTAATCAACCATGGCTTTGAGTTGGTTGGTGCGGAGCACGACATGAGCGAGTTTCACCGGTGATAAAACCTTGGCTGCCGGCGCATCCCAGTCGACCGTCATGTTGACAGGATAGTATGAATCAGTGTTGGAAGTTTAGAATTGTTTGTTCGGCGTTGATTCTCGTTAGGGGGAGACACTTGTCGAGTTGCAGCTGAGCAGCCGTGGAAAGAAAGTGGTGATATGGAAAATAATACCGACAGACATAATTTCAGGACATACCTGCTGCCGGTGATTTGTCTACTTAGTCCAGTTGGATCAACGATCCATATGACTCACCTGAGAGAGTGGTTTGGGAATACTCTGCGAACGAAAAGGTTCGGCGGCGCGAAACGATTAGTCGGCCATCCGAGCCTCTACTATTTGTTCGGGCACCCCGCTTTGCGGATCGGAGATTCGAGGCATCCCACAAGCCCTAGCTTCATTGTGCCTTGTGTCCGTGCCTCCACGGGTTCATGAATAATAATACGGAAATGAGAAGATCATTGACTGCTAGCGAGCCGTCTTCAGACAGGTTGGGGGTTATAGTTGGGGGGACATTGCCATTTCTCTCGCGCTCGAAGGAAAGGAGTCTGTAGTGGTGAAACCTGGGAGTCCTTAGAAGATGCATATTCACGGAACATAATTTGGATTTCACATTCATTCTGCAGAGCCATCAATATTTGGTCTAATATAGATACATGCCAATCTTTACTGACATACCCACCTAAGTCTTCAAGCTGTTGTCAAGTGATGTTCTAGAAAATGCCCATGGAAGAGCCTCACCTTGTGCAACATTCCCAACGATCTTTTCCCTCCTCACCACTAGATGCTTGTGAAACCACTGTTGAGCAATCAGTATCATGTAGCCTCCAACAGGTATGATCGGGATGCCTTACCCATCCACCACAACGGCGCTGCCAGTCATATAGCTACTCATCGGCGAGGCCAAGAAGCATATCACTTCTGCTAGCTCACTTGGTTCGCCAAAGCGGCCCATTGGGACCTTCTTCTCTTCCTCCTGAACGAGTTCACTGGAACGAGCAGCCGCTCTCATCGCCGGCGTATTCACATAGCTATACTTTCAATTAGCGTGCTTCCATTTCTGACAACTCGTCAAGCAGAATTACCCCGGGCAGATTGCATTAATACGTATTCCATCTTTCGCGTATGTATTTGCATCCTGTGCTTCATTAGATACATACTCTCGATTACGTATTGTTTCTCGGACTTACAGTTTTCGTGATGCCCAAGATCCCATGCTTGCTGGCGCGAAGGTCAGAAGAGTGTTCTTAGCTCAACAGGAATTGATTATCAAATTTGACTACCTTGCAACGTAAGCGGGCACCGAGAGTAGTGCGGGGGGCGACACAAGGCCGTATGTTGATGATAGATTGACAATCACCCCCCTCGAGGCTGGTCCTGTTCTATACGCAAGTTAGCATGATACGAGGACCTGGAAGGATATAACAACCGTTGCTTGATGGGTTCCTGCTGCAGCATGCGCTTAATAACTTCTCTCTGGCAAATCCAGAGTCCAACCAGGTTAACGTCTATGATCTTGTGAAAGTCCGAGGTGGCGACATTGGTCGAGGGCGAGATTGCACCAGCAATAGCGGCGTTGTTGATCAGGATGTCAATTCTCCCGAAATGATCATTTGCCTGCTGAACACCTGAAATGATAGAATGTTCTTCGGCCAAATCTACTTGAAGCTCCAGGACATTGACCTCCCGGACTTCGTTGACAAGACGCTTTGTCTCGGCGAGACCATCCGCGTTGATGTCTAGCACCGCTAGCTGCTTGATGCCATGTTGTACAAGAGCGATGCATGTGGCCTGTCCGATTCCTTCTGCAACTTGAGCGCTGGATTGATCGCATGGGCTGGAAAATTACACCTACCTGAGCCAGCACCAGTGACCAAGGCCACGCCTTTCAGTAGGTCGCCCATATCTCCAAAGTCCTCGGCAGAATGGTGAGTCCGCGGAGACGGGATTAGGGGGCAGGTCGGAATTAAGGAGGAATACACTACGGAGCGCACGCTTTCAGAGAGATGGTTTGAAAAGTGTGTCTCCATATTTAACTAGTGTCCCGGGGCCCCGGAGTGATTGCCTCCGGACAGGAGAGAGTCGGAGCCAAATCCGGAGTAGGAGCTCGGAAGCCTCTGTGCCCGACCAGTCCTGTTCGGGGGATTATTTAGTAGGAGAACGTTCATCAATAGAAACAACGAGATAGCTTGGCACAAAAAGGAACAACCTGCAGGACAAAACTCACCAAGAACATACCAAAGTCATTTCTAATCTACAACCGGGTGCTTTCATTTTCTTATCCACCTCCCCAAGGTTTGAAGCGAGTAACGAACCATGGGCTCACTGGATTATCCACGACCTCTACCGGCCGTGTGGGACCACATCGCCGAGACTGAGCCTAATAAAGTCCTATTCAGCATTCCAATTGGCTCAGAGGTCTCTGATGGCTATGAGGATATCACGGCTCGTACCTTTGCGGATGCGATCCATCGTGCGTCGTGGTTTTTGGAGCGCGAATTGGGCAGGTCTACCACCTTCGAGACTCTTGCCTATCTCGGCCCAAGCGATCTCCGGTACATCATTATTATGTCAGCAGCCTCAAAAGTTGGTTATCAAACCTTCTGGACCTCTCCGAGGAACAGCTTTGAGGGCCACGTCAAGCTTATGGAGGCGACGGAATGCTCAATCTGTCTCACACCATCAGCAACTCCCCCAGGCCTCGAGCCAGTGATCGAACGCTTGCAAATGCGGCATGTAACTGTTCCAGAGCAGAATGTTTGGCTTCACTCTCCCGAGCCGGTCGATCCGTATCCCTTCACAGCAACCTATGAGGAGTGCTGCCACTTACCTCTCACAATCATTCATACATCGGGATCCACAGGTCAGGCTTCCTAACCCGTGATAATATGGTATCCAAGCTCACTGAACTTAGGATTTCCAAAACCCATTTTCTTTCCCCAAGGGTTCGGTTGCTGTCTGGAGGCAATCGTGAAGCAGCCTCATCCGCCGAATAAGACAAACTTCTGGCGATGGTTTACAGAACACCCAGGCAGGCTTTACACTCCGTTCCCCATGTTTCATGTAAGTGTTCCACACCCCCCAACGGGAATGCTCAAAGATCTCATCTGACTGGTTCTTTAGGGGTCTGGCCTGATGCTAGCCCACCATTTCGCACAATTCCTCAATCAAGTCGTAGTCTTACCGCCTCCAGATAAGCCTGTAACTCCAGAGCTATCAGATGAGATCGTCCGCAGCGGGCTGGTAGACGGTGCCTTCCTTGCTCCAGCGATCATCGATGCTATAGCCAAAGAACCGGAGTTCCTAGAAAACTTGCGGAAGTTAAGATTCGTCATCTTCGCTGGCGCGCCGTTATCAACCGAAATCGGCGATGTGGTCCGCAGCAGGACCAGGCTTCTTAACGCATATGGCCAAACAGAGCTCGGTCTCATTGATGAATATCGCCCAGACGACGAAGACTATGCATACGTCGAGTTCGGCCGGCTTTCCAACATGGAGCTCCAGCACCACTCGGGCGATCTGTACGAGGCCGTCATGGTTAAAAAACCTGAACTTGCTCAGTTTCAAGCAGGGTTCATCGCCGACCCTGAAGCTACTGAGATTCGGTCTCGCGACCTATTCGCGAGACATCCGGATCCGAAGAAGCCAAATCTCTTCATCCACCGCGGGAGGGCGGATCATGTCATTGTCTTTGAGACGGGCGAAAAGATCAACCCAACATCCATGGAAGCCTTGATAAGCACGCATCAGAGAGTCAAATCGGCACTAGTGATAGGGGAAGGTCGCTTCCAGTCCGCATTGTTGGTTGAGCCCCGACACCCTGTGGAGACAGACAAGGAAAAAGAGGAACTACTTGAACATATTTGGCCCATCATCGAAGATGCCAATAGGGACTGTCCTGCACATGGCCGAGTCGTAAAAAGCCATGTGCTCTTTACAGAGCCAGGAAAGCCCTTCCCCCGGACAGGCAAGTCAACCATTAGCCGTCCCGCTACTCTGGCTCTGTACAAAGATGCAATCGACCAAGTCTACAATGCTGCCGATTCGATGCTTAGTGAGAACGCGCTCAGCATTGATCTTGCCGAGTCCCCGGAATTTCTGCTGAAGCAGTTACGAGAATTGGTTCGAACAACTACAGATCTCGAGGTAGGCGGAGACGACGACAACTTGTATCAGCTCGGTATGGATTCTCTTCAAACCCTGCAACTCTCTCGAGCTCTCCGGAGCAGCTTGGCAAAATCTCACCAGAAAGTCGATAAACTCGCCCCAAGCTTTATTTATGCTCATCCGACCCTAAGAACATTGAGCGAGGGTCTGCACAATCTCTATCATGCAAATGGTACTCATGTAGATGCAGAAGCGCACCTGCGGGAGATGGAATCAATCCTGTCAGAATACTCTCAGATGCTGCCGATCAAGAAGGCGAAACCGAGCCCTCGCTCCATGCGGTCAGAACGTATGAGCGTGCTCCTGACTGGGTCGACTGGAAGCTTGGGCTCATACCTTCTTCACACGTTGTTGCAGCAAGAGCGTGTAGACCACGTCTACTGTCTGAACCGTTCGGCTGACGCAGAGTCTCGCCAAGCTTCGGCCAACACAGCACGTGGCTTGGTCAACTCTTTTGATTCCTCTAGAGTCACATTCTACACTTGCGATTTCTCAAAGCCGCTCCTGGGACTCGATGAGGCTGTGTATGGCACCTTGCTGAACCAAGTCACGCATATTATCCACAATGCGTGGACCGTCAACTTCAATCTGTCGCTTGCGACCTTTGCAAAGACGAACATCGAAGGCATCAAGACTTTGATCGAGTTCAGCGTCGACTCCGCTCGGCGAAGTCAGATCTTCTTTGTGTCCAGTGTTGGGACCGCGGTGCGCTGGAAGAAGGCTGGCCACCCAGGCGCTGTTCCAGAAGAGGTGATGCCTGATCCCAGGACCGCTGAAGAACAGGGCTACGCGCAATCCAAATGGATCTCGGAACAACTGTTGCACACTGCTAATGCCAATAACAACGTTGATGTATGCAGTCTCCGTGTTGGCCAGATTGCAGGTCCAGTAGGAACAGACAAAGGGGCCTGGAACAAGACCGAATGGTTCCCACTGTTCTTGACTAGCTGCAAGGTGCTGGGGATGCTACCAAAGCAACTCCCAGTCTCCAATACCATCGACTGGATTCCGGTCAACATACTCGCCGAGGTTATTGTGGAGCTTGTTCAGCATGGCGCCAGTGGCGAGGGCAGTCTCGTGTACAATCTGGTCAACCCGTCTTCGAGCACATGGCAAGAGCTTTATCCCATCGTACGCCGCGCACTTGCAGAGTCCGGCGAGAATGAAATCAAGCTCGTCGAGTATGCCGACTGGGTGCGAGCCCTGGAGAGAGTGGCATCGGAGAAAGTCACTCAAACCGAGGTTCAGACCAATCCTGCGGTCAAGCTACTGGAATTCTTCCAGGCCGTGGCGATAGACGATGACGATGAAGCCGAGTTGAATATATCAACTGAAAAGGCAACAAAAAGGTCACCGACACTGCGATCGTGTTCACCCGTAACGGCGGAATGGATGTCTCTGTGGGTAGGTCAGCTAGGATTAGGGTTGCGGAACTAGTCTTTCACTCAAGCTACTAAGATATTTCAATTCGCTTCAATATACTTGCAGTTCTCTACCCTGATCTGAAGTGATACATTAGGTAAATCCCGCCAACATAGCATTTATGATCTTTGCTTGGAAGTAGCTGGGTGAAATGGCAAAGATAGTAGCATATCTAGCGCTTGATAAAAGAAGGTGTACTAGTACTGCCTCTGGAGTAGTGAGACCTCGTTTCAGCACTATTCGGGGATCAGAGCTCTATAGCACAAGTCGACGAGACCCTTTGCGACTAATGCTTCGCTTCGAGACTTGCTCATTTACTCTATATCCCGAAATGTGCCTCCCGGGATGGGGAAAGAAGCTATTGGATGTCTCACACCGTCCTTCGATCATACAGAATCCATTTCCAGCAAGTCCATTACTTTGCCTTCTGTGCAGCCTCAGCTTCCTCAACCCATTGCATAGCCTGCTTTGCAAACAGAGTGTCCAGATAGAATCTGGCAGCTGAGATCTTCCCGTCTTTGATCTCAAACAACCAGTGATAGCGGTTACAGTAGCTGTTACCATTGATGTTCATATCCGAGCTCGCCTCCACGGCCAAGCGGTCCTCGCTGGCCGTGATTCCTTCAACCTTGACGCTGACATCGCCGATCCGAGACTCCTTGAACACCCATGCTCGAAACTCGTCTTTGGAGAGCGTCCCAGCTAGAAGTGGCAACATGCCCTTCTGTGCAATTGTGGTGAAGGTTGCATCGTCATGGAACAGGTCAAAAAATGGTTCGACGTCGCCGCCCTTCTTGACGGACCAGTGCTCACAAATCTTGTACGCAAGCTTGTGGTTCTCGTCGATCTTTCGCAGCCTCTCAGTCATGGTGTCGTTGATGGTCATTGTGGCCCAAATTGCAAGCTAGTAGTCCGGAGGTCGTACTTCTGATTCAGGTATGTGTCAAAAGATGAAATATATTGGCGACAAGATGAAGCAACTGGTTCCGTAAACTTGCAGAGTTCTGATGTCTAGTGGAAAGTTCCCGGGCACATCCCTTTTCTTTGCTTTCGCTACCGCCTTTGGCTGGCAATATTTCCACGGGGAAAGGTTCCAAACTATTCCGGGCGGCTCCCGAACACATTGGGAAATGTCGACGTCTCGGGGTCGGAGCCACAACGGTACGTCCCCACCTTCCCCGCTTCTTCCCCAGAGTCTCGTCCCGAACCCCGGGAGAGCTCCAGACAAGCACGATCAATAAGATTCGTTGCAATGGGAAAGGCAATTTTTACCCCGAAAGAACATGCATTCGTCAATCTGGCCCACGCTTTTGACAACTTGCATTGTCTCGATCGGTCTTCTTCCATCTTTCGACTGCCCTTCCCAAAAGATTGGTAGTCGTACATCAGGGGATGTCACCATGCGTTTTGAGCGTTCGAGTTTATATCTATTGGGCCTGCATATGCAGTCATCAACCATGAAACTCGCCGAGCAAATCCGTATCCCAACCTGTAGGTCTCGAACTGTTCATGATCTCCGACGCTTGCTTTCGAAGAAAGTGGGCCTCATACGTAACTTCGGGCCGTGGCCGTACTTAGCTAGGCAGGTATGATCCGAAACATGCCGTCGAACAAGTCATCTGCCCATCCCAGGTCGTTCGAAGGATGTTCCGACGGGTTGGCCTCGAGGCAGTCATCCGCATTGACCTCCACCACTGTCCCGGTAACATCGCGGTTGTTCTCGGGGGTGATGCTGTCTACCTCCGCCACATCATACGCCAAGTCAAAAGGCACGGCGCCAATGCCGAACATGTCCGCCGTGCTGCCAGCCAGCTCCTCATCACCGACTTCAAGTACAGGAGCCACGCCCTTCTCCTCGGCGGTGTCTCCCCGGCCGAAAGCGTAGTCCAGAGCGAGCGATATGTGGAGGTAGATGCGCGGCTGTCGTAGAAATAACTCACGCCAATTCTTCACATAAGGCCAGGTCGTCGGCGCAGGTGCCGCGATGGCGCTGGCAATGTCTGATTCGCCCTGTGCCTTGAGGCGCTTGGTGTGCGGCGTAGCCTTTGTCGAGATGCCGGCGAAGGAGAGGACGCGGTCGATGACCTGCAGCACACTGCCGACTCCGTACCGGTTGTTGTAGGAGCTCATCAGCTCTTCGTAGTAGTCGAGGGCGTCGTCCTCCTCGGCGGCAGGCATGATGGCTGGCGACAGCCTAGCATCCAGGGAGTTGAGGAGGTAGGGCATGGCGACACACGAGAAGCTATAGATGCACGTATTGTCAGACGAAGGAACTTATCCAGGAGGGTGGGAAAGCGCAGCGTCACTTACACGCTGATAGGGAGATGCTGCGCGAGGCCGTGGGCAATGCAGCGCCGGACGAGTTGTGTGATTTCCTGGCTCGACTTCTCGATGTCTTCTCCAATTTTGTCAATGCTCTCCTCGTCGTGACTGATCTTTAGACCTTCAAAGGCGTCGACAAGTGAACATTCATGGTGATACAGAGCTACAAGAGCAGCGCTAAGAAGGTTGTGAGTACGTCGACTTTTGATTGAGTTAAGTTCAAAGATGCTCAACTCACTGGTAATGGATGTATGGCAAGTCCGAGAACAGGACCACAAGCCGATGCACTCCTCTCTCCTCGGATATGAACGGCAGACAGGCGTCCGCAATAGCCTTCCAACTCGCTAGCTGTGCCTTGGCTTCCTCGACCTCCTTCTTCCGCTCCTCGCTGTCATTTGCCGAGACTGGTGGATTGGAGGCTTGTCGATATGACGCGGACACGACTGTTGTCAGAACGGTTGCTAGCCGGCAGTGCAGATTAAAAATCTTGGCGACGTGCCTTTTGGTCTCGGCATTGTAGACGGCAGAATCGTTGATTTCGTCACCAAAGTCTTCTTCGCCTGGCAGGGTGATGCCAAAGCTACTGTCGGTGGGATAGACCTGGATCGGCCGGCGTAGCCCCAGGGATGTAATCCTATCGCGAAAATAAATGGACCACCAGAGTCGCCTTTCAACCCCAAGGGCTGGGGTCTGGTTTGGTCGAGTGGAAAAGTACATCTTCGCGTTCAGTCGTGCCGCTTTGAGCCACCGCCGACTGGCATGAATGGTCTGGAACGTGAACTGGTAGGTCAGGAGGACGGAGCCTTGCGCCTTGGCCAGCGGATCGACTTCGGCATTCAGATCATACAAGAACTTGGCCTTGGAGTAGAAACATTGCCGAGCCTGCGCGACATCGTCATAGCCAACTCCTCGGAGGACCTTTGGTGGGATGAAGGGGCAGACTGCAAAAAGCATGGCGTGGAATAGGAACAGAGAGATTTGGGGCGCGGTGAGGTCCCCCTTGTAGGCTCTCCAGAAGTCGGCCTCGGAAATGACGGGAAGGCCAGGGTGGACGTTGAGGAAGTATTGATGCATGAACTCGTCAAGAGCTGGGTTTCGGGGAACATGAAGGCAGCCACTCTTCTCGAGCATCTTGGCTTCGGTCTCGCTCAGGTTGGAAAAGTTGTCCAGCGACAGCCATCGATGGTAGAAGAACAGCACACCAGGTTCCCCGTAGAAGTAGACGGGCTCAACCGGTTGAGACTGTGCTGTGGTGGCCTGCTTAGCATGCGGCGGGGATGGTTCATTTGCTGCGGTGGACGTGGTCTCTGGTGGCGTTATCCGGACTGCCATGCCCTCCTCAGGCTGTGGCATGGGTTGAGGATAGCTATATGGCCGTTTCTGTCCTCCCGGGGGCGCATTTGTTTCGACGGCCTCTAACCTGTCCAGGGACTCTGGCACTTGCCTGCGGTCGTGTTAGTAGCAAGTAGCGCAAGATTGACAAGGAAGATGGAGGGCGATGACTGACTTCTTCCTCGCCCCATCACGCATGGTGCAGGTGCGGCCATCAAGCTTGCAGTTGGAGCAAGGCATGCCCAGCCTCGAGGCATCGCATCGGACGCGTCGAGCATGGCACGAGCTACAGGCAGCTGATGCCCGCTTTGCGCGCCCGTCGCTCCACCTGTTTACCCCGGACATGGCTGAGAATGAGGAACGGTAGGGATCGAGAGATCAGGGACAGCGCCGAATCTCTCCGCGGCTCCGGGTACCAGCGAGTTGCTCGGCCCGTGGCATGCAGACCTAAGCGGCGGTCAAGGCTGGCTCCGGTAGATGGCGAATGCAAGAAACGTGCCCGGGGACCACTTTCGGCCGTTGAAACCAGGGTTCAACAGAATCTGGGGTCAAAAGGCTGTGCTGTACCCGGGGTGGATTGGTCTGGGGAACTTGGAGGCTCGACAAACGAGTGGATCAAGTAACGCCTAAGTAGTGTGTGTATTCACCAATTCCCCGACGAACGATACCTACGTCAGGGTCGAGATTTCAGCCGGCTGACCCGCCTTCATAAAATCCCGCAGTTGCTTGGAGGCTCAAAGTGGGCTCAAGTCCCAAGCTTGGCATTGCTATTGGCAGACCATCGTCCCGAAATGCCGGCGCCATCGCTGTGACTGGATGGGGTCAACCTTGAAGTGCTAGCGCCGTGATAGTTAGCTGCCAGAGCCCTAATGGAGAGACCTAAACCACCCCTACCTTGATCAATGGGACAGTGGCTTGTGCCTCTTGCTTAGCTGGTTTTTCCAGCGGGCTGGCGGTCGGGTGTTGAGCAAGTTAGGTAGGTAGGCAGTGTCTGGCATCGAGGAGTCTGCCTCTTCTGGCACAGATGATATTGAGCAACTTGGAAACCAGCATCAGTTGCCCCGTTGTCACACTTTCAATTGGGTACTCATCGACACAGATGCATGCACTTTGACAATTTTGCGTATCTCCAAACGTGTTGATGGTCCGGACAGATTGATACCGGAGCATCACCATCGGCAACCAGCAACCCGTTGATCTGTGTGTTGCTCACGGCTGTCATGAACTTGGCATAGCCGTAAATTATTGGCTCTTGTTTTGGATCATGTTCATTCTGAAGATAGCAATCCACTATCCAAGATGATCTGGTTATGCTTTTGCACGTTGAACCTCTCAACCGGAAATCGGGCCCTTGGCTACAGGCCTACGCTCGCTCAACATTACAGCTGGTCCCCCGCTCGTACGAAACCCGCTTCTCCAGCACCACGGGATCCGTCGTCGTGAGGTCCACCTTGGCCCGCCAGCCCATGAACCAGCGGCCCGCGAAGAGCTCCTCCATCCGCTCCATCGGCACGCCCTTGGTCTCGGGCACCCACAGCCACAGCAGCACGAGGCCGGCGCCGCAGACGCACGCCCAGAACACGTAGGCGCCCCAGACGTGCAGGCTGACAAACATGTTGGGCGTGACGCGCACGACGGCGAACTGGAAGAACCAGTGGATGGCCATGTTGGTCGCGTAGCAGACGTTGCGGATGCGCGTCGGGTAGATCTCGGTGCCGATGAGCATCTGCACGGTGCAGAGGCCGACGGACCAGCCCACGGCGTAGACGAAGACGGACGCGATGGCCGCGTCGCTGGCCGACTTGTTGCTGCCGTCCGAGAAGATGGACATGTACACGGCCATGTAGATGTGGGTGATGCACTGCAGGAACAGGCCGACCGTGAAGCAGGGGCGGCGGCCGAAGACGTCGACGAGGCCCCAGGTGAAGATCATGGTGAAGACGAGCTTGACGATGCCGTAGGCTCCGCTCGTGATCAGGGAGGTATTCTGGCCGACAACGCCGGCGTACTTGAAGATCTCGGGGATGTAGTAGGTGATGCCGTTGCCGCCGGACCACTGCGCAATCGTCTGCATCGCCACTGTGAGATGACACGTTAGTATCTGTAACGACCTGCCCCTACGTTGAAAGAAAAAGGATCTGTCAAGCTTACCTCCAAGAAGAAACCTCTCACGATAGGACGGTGTGGTTGCAACCTCCTTGACGAGGGCCCAGATCGGAGTTCCAGCCAGCGCATGCTCCTTTTCTCGAATATGAACTTGTATCTCCTCGTACTCCTGACCTAGGTCCTCCGCCTTGGCTCCACGGAGACGTGACAATGCCTGCAAAGCATCTTCGGATCTGTCTTTCGACATGAGCCAACGAGGTGTATCGTTCAGAGTGAAGCTCAAGAGGAAGGCGATTCCAACCGGGATCAAGGGGATAGCCATCACAAGCCGGTATTGCATCCGAGTCGATGCCATGGTTGCGTTAGCAGCGTAGTTGATGAAGAAGCCTGGAGCGATCTCTTAGTCAGCAAGTCACCACTTCCAAGCACCTAAGAGAAGAAGAGTCGGAATTCTTACCGAGAGTGAGGAAGGTCAGCAGCGCCACCATGTACATGCTAAAGACCGTACCCCGAGACTTGGCCGGAGCGATTTCAGACAGGTACAACGGTGCAACCACGGTCAGACCACCAGCCCCCAAGCCACCCCAAATACGAGCGAACAGCATGAGGCCCAGGATGCCCGAAGAGAAGATCTGCATGAGCAGGCCGGTCATCCACCACGTTGCGAAGATCTGCCAGCATCGAAGTCGCCCAAGCCTATCGCAGATACCGACCGCGATGATAGCGCCAAAGGCTGCACCCAGGACACCAAATGACGAGATGTTAGCCTTCCTGTCGGCCAGGCCACTGGGGTCGTTCTTCCATAACGACGAGTCGAGGCCAAAATCATGCTGGAAAGATTTGAGTCCCGTCGAGGCGCTGAATCCTCCTTCGTCATAGCCTGAGGGGTCGCTGGTTAGCAGCGTTCTTGATACAGAGGGCACAGAGAGGCAAGATTACCTTTGGGGATACCGCCACAGGCTATGACCACGATGGTCATTAGATAATACGGGTTGAGATCCCACATCGTGATGAGGATGCAGACGAGGCCTTGCGCAGAGGAGACAGGTAACCGCAAGAGACCAAAGATCACCCAAGGGAGAGAAGACCAAGCGTTTCGACGACCAAGAAAGAGCAAGACGATGCCCAAGGTCTCAAAGAGGATGGGATCATTGGGCGCTCTTATAGATCGCCTATCTCACCTACCCACAGTGTGGGGTGAGGGGTTTGGAGGGCGGCTTGCGGGGAAGAAATAAAGGGATTAGGTAAAGGGCCACGAGTTGAAGAGAAAAATCTAATCAGCTATTGGGCTTTGTGGGAAAAGAGGTAGCTTTGCTGAGATGGTCAGAGGAGTGCAAAATCCCCAAAGTCCCCGTCTCCATCTTCAACTTTTGACAAAGTGGAGTCTCGGTTGGGGTCTGGCTCAGGAACTGCACTCGGAAGTTGACCGAGCCTAAGCATTGGGTGGAATTGCTGGCTCCACCACGCCTGTTAGACTCGGTGAACTTCCGTTGCATTGACGATTTGCCACGTCAAAGATAGACATACGAGCTGGATATGTGGTGCAACCCCAACCTCAGCCCGTAGCGGCAATGATCGATGCTCTGTCCGGCTCGGGCGCCCGGCAATTCCTTTTCAACCCCCTTCGCTGCCCTCTGTGATGGTTGTCGGCATCGCGAATATTGGCTCTTTGTTCAACAGCAATTCAACCTGAACATTGAAGACTCGACCTAGTATGGGGCAACCTCCGAGCATTCGATATCTGGTCCTCAGCTGGCTACGGAGGTTGTCGACACGATTGAATCAGACTTTTAGCCAGACACTCGCTCTTCTCCTGCCGCAATTTCTGGGCAGCCGAGCTTCCGCTGCTCTCAATACCAAGACCCTACCACGATATGAAGCGATCAGAAACCGTATGCCACCTGGGTCATGGGACTCCCACATGCATATCATGGACGGTGTACGATACCCAAACTATTCCAGAAAGCACTACACTCTCAAGGAGCGATACACGTTAGAAGCCGCGTTGTCTTTCGAGTCCACGATAGGCATCAAGAACATTGTGGTGGTGCAGCCTTCCTGCTATGGCATGGATAACTCATGCGTACTGGACGCTTTGAGGGATCTGGGGCCCAGTCAAGGCCGTGGTGTTGTCGCATTCGACCCAGATCAGATCGAGAAGCCGACTCTGCAAGAATGGCATCGGCTCGGAGTTCGGGGCGTGCGAATAAACCTGCAATCTGTAGGCAAGAGATTGGAAAAACAGGAAATGGAGCAGACGCTGAGGAGATATGCCGAGGTCATCAAGCCCATGGGATGGGTGATGCAATTATACGTGCCGCTAGCAATGATTACTGAGCTCGAAGATATCATCTTGACCCTTGGAGTCCGGGTCTGCTTCGACCATTTCGGATCGCCGACGCTCCCAATTCAGCAGCATTCAAGCGACGACAAGGCGCCTGGACTGCAAGACCCATACACTCTGGCCGGATTCTCATCTCTGGTTCGGTTGCTGCAAGAAGCCGACGTGTTCACGAAATTCTCCGCCCCGTACCGGATCAGTGGTCAAGCGCCTCTGTACTCGGATCTCGACCCCGTCTCGCAGGAGCTGCTGAGGGTGGCTGGAGGGAATAAACTCGTCTACGCCAGCGACTGGCCGCACACACGATTTGATGGCATGGACATTCGACCCTGGACGGAGAAGGCGCTGGACTGGTGCGCCAACACGGAAGGTCTCACAGAAAGACTGTTCCGAGACAATGCGAAGGATCTTTGGGATGTGAAATAGAAATGGGTGCATGGGGAAGCGTGGTTATGTATATCATAGCATGAATTGGTGACTCAGTAGGACATTGAAACGCCTGCTCCCGGATGGAGTGTTTTGCTTGTGTGCTACAGTAGCCCTGTGCTGAGGAGACTTGGATCGATCGTCTCTTGATTGCCACTATCGTGCCCTCTGGTGCACCCTGCGATCTGTTCTATCCCTCCGAGACTGACACTCAGCGGCTCGAAGGAGAGCAATCTGGACCTCTCTTCCGTGCTGGACAAAGCTTGCGGTGCATCCTCGCGGAGTATCCTGACGTCCGCTTGCGCTGTTGAATGCTCTGTGCCATACGCTGTGGTCATGGACTGTGTATTAGGCTGAAGCTCGGTCAATTTGCTGGCTTGCGAAACATCGTCTTCAATATGAATGTCCATTGTGTTCAAAGCTTGTACGATGGTGTCAAGTGCCGTGCTCATTACTGCAAGAGGGCTTGGGGTCAGTAAACTTGTCAGCCACTGATTGGAAAGAAGCACCCGACCTTTGTTTGTGTCTGCTAGCCTCTTGAGGGCGTGAAGGCAGTACTCAAGACGGGAGAAGTCGGCCATGCTCTGCGGAGCGGCCTGGAGTTGAAGGAGGAAGATAGATGCAGCGATGTATACGCAGTACGACATGGACATGGTGCAGTAGCGGTAGCCGAATGTTCGGCTAAACAGGTCGAATATGCTGAGAGTTGTGCTGGCCGAGACGACGCATTTGCCCAAGTGGTCCATCTCGCCAGTAGCCTGGACCATTCGCTGGGTTAGGAGTGGGCGGTAAAGGAGGACTCGAAAAGTGTGGTAGAGGCAGCTTGGAAACATGGAAACATGTCAGCTCTTGAGCCCAGCGAAAGAATAAGGACAGACGTATTCGACCTACTTGAGTGTCACAATGTGTGACGGCGGTGCCAGGCTGGGCAATGCGTCTGGGTCGAGTCGAAGTGTTTCGGGCAGCTCTCGCCACCATTTGTCCAAAGCAACCTCCTCTTGTGACATGCAGGCTTGGATCTCAGCTTCAGTGTTTTGTTGCAGTGGGTCGTACATGTGGATGAGGATTTCGTTGAGGATGACCGAGAGTTCACACATCTTCATAAAGCAAGACGTCGAGCGGGCGGGTGTAGGCGGGTACTCAATCCCGGTAGGTAGAGTGACTCCATGTGGAAGCCAAAGATCGTGTTCCGCAGAGTCATCGTCTAGCCCCAAGTCGTCAATAACGGGAAAGACTGTGCGCTTTTGGGGGGTTCAATAGCACTCACTAAGCATTTGAGGGGGGGAGACCGCAGAAGACTTCAGGGAGGGCGACCTGCCGAGGTAAAGGCTGAGCATCTTGTCCCAGAAATAGCAGCTCCAGAAGAGACGATTCCTGATCTCAATGTCTTCATCCGAAAGATGTGCTGACCCGGCGTAGCGCTGCCCGTCAATGCAAATTCCGAGCTGATCAATGAGGCGGAAGGCAATACCGCTGTAAACCCATGCTTGAGCCGCGTTTCCGCTGCTGCATTCGTGGGCGCTCAACAAGAGCATAGTTTGCACCGTAGGAATGGAGAAGTCGCCTCGGCTGATCTCATCAAACACCAAAGTGCGCACATGCCGACCAAAGATGCCTCCTTTCTCGTAAGGTTCAAGCTTCGACATCACCTCAGGATCGTTCTTGACCCACCGCACCGAGTGCATGAAAATGGCGTTCATGAGGGTATGTGAGTAGTAAGGCCCAAGCGACTCTATGTCTCGTGTAAAGGCGGGACGGTAGATGAAGTTGAACAGCGGCTGGACCCAGCACCAGTGGGTGTCGAGCAGATGCTGGAACAACGCCGGTATGTCGGATTCGGTCTCCCGCGCCCGTTGGTACCAGGCATTGGTCACAAGCCGTGCTCGCGTGTCGCCTTCAAAATTTGGCAATGCTCCTTCTCGAACCAGCGCCACGTCGGCTGGCTCAGTTGACTCTTGGTGTCCCGCGATAGGATGGAACAGACTTGTCGGGCCATGGTAGGTGATTCTCCCCTTTTCATCCAGCTTGAGGCCCTCGAACACATGCCTGAGATGCGACGTGGACTGCTCGATAGCCGTGGATGGTGATGGAACTGGTGATGACTGCCGTTGAACTCTCAGAGCCTGAACCTCAGCCTCAAGGGCTTTGACCCGACCTTCGAGGCGCTCCGTGTACGAGAGGGTAGGGTTGCTATGACAAGGTCAGCGCCAGCTTTGAGGACCTACCAGTCCCTCAAGACACATACAGCTTGTAGACGCAAGGCTCGTCTCGGCCAACGCAGCGTTTGCAGACAGGCTGTTCGCCGCCACATTTAACCTGTGGCATCAGTCATTAGCATACCTCGACGACTTGCGCACATGGTTGACGCACGCACCTTTCTCTTTCGGCATGTGTCGCACGAGAACGCGCTCTTCTTGAATCTCCTTGCGTCGCCAGCAGAGGACATTGCAACAATGTTTGGGGGTGAGACTGGGAGTCACCACCACAGAACATGACGCAGGTGGGGAAAGTTGAAGGAGCCAACATTGAAGTGCAGCTTATGATCCCCAGTCATCCACACCAGCTGGAGACAGACCACAAGAACCTGGAGCTGGCGCTAACGTCGCTCCGACGAGATGCCGATCCACTCCATGCGGCATGTCTCTGTCCATCACTCCAGTCGAAATCGTAGCACATTTCCGCGAAGTGATCGTAGCCCTGGCCTTAACAATCTGGTAATTAATTCCATCGCTTGATCAGCCGCTGGGGGGAGATGAAAGATCCCATGCGCGGGATGGCGGCTGGTGGAGGAGAAGTAATGAATCAAGCGAAAGCATGAGATTGAAAGAAATAAAGCACATGCATGTCACAATGCCCATCGCGGTATGAAAGTTCAAAAGTCAAAGTTCATTGATTGCTTTCCATGCCAGAGAGCATGCTATGGAGCTATCTCAGCCTTGTTACTCTCTGGTAGTCGAAGATGATGTATTCCTGCGCGCGCGAACACTTCGTGACCCTTCCCTCCATGTCCGATATTGCGTACACTCGAGTAGACGATGATGATATCAGTTCGCAATGGAGGTTCTCGATGCCCACAAGCAAGGACATCCAGCCATTGAAGACTGCATGCCAAAACAAACGAAACACTAGTCCATCTCCGTGAAATACACAGCAATTCAGACCCCATCCTCCGCCATGACATCCTACTCCTCCTTGACCTTGACAGCCTCAGAGGCAGCCTCGGTCTTGGCCTTCTTGGTGGGACGAGCCGAGGGCTTGACCTTCTTGGTGGGACGAGTCGAGGGCTTGACCTTCTTGATGGGACGAGCCGAGGGCAGAGGGGTGCGGCCGTTCTCGTTCTTCGGAATGACCTTCACCTCCTCCTCATCATCTTCGTGCTCATCATCCTCGTGCTCAGTCTCCAGGGCAACCTGGTCGATCTCGGCGTGCTTGCGTTTCTTGTCGGGACCCTTGCCATTGACGGCGGGGTCGAAGACACCCTTCTTCCGGACGGCAGAGAGAAAGTTGGTGCAGGTGCCCTTGGCCCAGCCGGTAGCGAGCTGAAACTTCTCGTAGTCAATCTGAAAATGTGCGATCAATTTACCGCATCCCCCGAAATGAAGCGTGGTGCAATAAAGATTGCGCAGAGCATGATGTGATGTCGATGAGATTCTATGGAGAAATGGATGACAACTTACCTCGAGCTTGTTCTTCATACAAGCAAAGATCTTGATGAGGCCACGCATCTCTTTCTCCGTGAGGGTATCGAAGACCTCGGGGTTGGCATCGGCCGCCTCGGGGGCAGGCGAGACGGTCTTGTTCTCAGGCTTCATTGTCGTTTGAAGGGGACAAATGGTGGTAGACTGAAAGAGCTCTTGATGAAAACAGAGGAGGAGACTGGGGGGTGATGGAGGTTATTTTGAATTTGTGCAGTTGAGGTGTGATGTGGTGGAAAGGATGTGAGGAGGGTGCTTGGGCTGGGGATTTTAAGGCAGAAACCACGTCGAGAAAGACGACTTGGATGACTTTTTATTCACCTTTGGATCGAGGGCCCCTGAGCAAAGTTCACATTGATTTAGGAACAATAACAGGTGAGGTCGGCCGCGGAATATCACGATTGAGGATTCTCAAGTTCTGACAAACACCAACATCCCTTGAGGGACCAACCCTGCTAAGAATTGTCTATCATAGCCCTGCCCTCGCCTGCCTTGATACCGAGTAGTAATCATACGTCCTGCCGTTTTCCTTCTCGCATCGATTCAATGACACCACATTACCTTGTTCATCGCAAGAAGAAAACGATCTACTGCTTGATGAAATGCCTCGGCTTCAAACTGTCTTCGAATAAGTCTCTCATGGTGGGCTTGACATTGTAAAGAAAGCCTGGCTTTTGCTCAGTTGATGATACTTTTCTGCGAGTAAACATTACGACTCACCCTCCTTGGCCAGGTCGACCTCATACTCTGCATTGCCAGTGCGTTGAAACAGACGGTACTCGATGAGGTCAAGGAAAAGTAGCACCAGACGCTCTCCAGTTCTCGTGGGCCAAATAGGGTTTGGATCCGCCGGGTGATCTGGAGATTCAAAGTGTTTGAGAGCCTTGGCGATTTGGTCATGCTTGACTTGAAGCAATTCCTCGTCATGCTGGCAAAGGGAGACATTGGCGCACTCGGGAGTGACGGTGCAGACACGACGAGGGCTGAAGCTGAGGCCAACCAACTTCGTGAGAATGGCGGCTTTGCCAAGGGGAGTGATGCGCGGCTCGTCCTGAAGCATGTCAAGGGTGGCAAAGACCTGAAGCTCCAACATTTCCTTCTCGTGGCCATCCTCGAGGGCCATGGAGACCTCAATCAGGTCAGAGGCCTGTGCAATCACATCGTCAGATTATGGGCGGCACTCCTTGCTTGACAATTAAGCACAACGCACCTCCTTGAACTGCTTGTACACGAACTCGACCACCTTCTCTGGGGTGTTTCCCCGATGCTTGAAGATTTCGCCCAAGCGACGTTGGATCTCGTGCGCGCTCATCTTTCCTCGCGTTCTCCCTGGAATCCTTTGGCTCTGCTCGGCCTTTTGCGCTCTGTGAAGATAGAATTAGTCCTGGTACAAACTCTCTGAATCCCTTTCTCGCAGTCGAAAGTCCTTTTGGGGGGATTCGTCCGTTCCAGGTATTGTCAGGAGTATTTGTGGCCAACAGTGCCAGTGGTGAAGAGACGGGTGCTCACTCGTGAAATCGTTGTTGGAACAGCAGAAGGCTTTGCAGTTCACGTTGAATGTAAACAGTGCAGGAAAACGGTTCTTGTCTCGAGCGGGCTGCAGCTCTAGGGAGAATGGCAACCGGGACAGGGCCCAAGCTCGAGAAGAAAAGGCGCTGAAGCCAAACAAATTGGCATTCTGGGAATACACTGATACAGTGGTGCATCTCCTCCAGGCCACGCCTTTGGGTTTGAACAACGAGAACACTTACGAGACACGGCCGACCTTTCTGCTGGAACTACAATTAAGCAGCGCTGCCATTCTCCTCAATGGAGTACTAGACTAACCAACACCTTTTCTTCTTCCTCTCCTCCTCCTCCTCCTCCTCCTCCGTCGTACGGCTGCATGATTTCAAAGAGCAAAGGCGACTACACGTTGGATCATTGTTGAGTACCAGCCTCCCTCATTGCTAGCAGAGAGTCCCCTTACTTCCGAATGACCAAGCCAGCATGGTTCACTTAAACCAGAGGTCCAAGGCACACCGCAATATGAACAACTCAATCTTGCCTGCATACATCCAGAATGCTAACGACAGCACCAGATGAAACCAGGGCTTCCATGCGCACCATATAACCATCTGCACCTGCATCCTCAGCGTCCGCATCCGCATCGGCTTCATGTGGCACCCGCCGTGCTCACCGTACGCAACAACAAATCAGGATCATGCACGCGAAGGAGGGTCAGTGGCGCCGGGTGGGAAAGACAGAAGGTCCGGTCTGGGGTCAGTCAGGCATTTTCAACATTTTCAACAACAAGCCCAAGAATGCAACACCAATCATCCCCACCGTTCGACTCAGGGAAACACAACAGGCAAGGGAAGCAAGCCAAGGAATAGACTTTCCGGGCAGCTAAGATTAAACACGCTAATCACCGGGACTTGGTAGGGGGTGGACACCGGCATATTTCAGGGGGGCCACCTTTCGTCCAAGATAAGCCTCGTTCTAAAAGGCTTGATTTGCCCGCAGCGCCCTGGCCCGTCCAATCCCGCACGCCACAGATTCCACATTTCCACACCATGCCAGGGGATGCAACCTGGCCCGCCGATCGTGCATGGGGCACACTGACGCGGTGCTGCGTCGTTTGATTGTTATCTGCAAGGGATGCCGCACCATCAGAGACAGCATGCCGGCTTGGCGGCGGAGCCGAGACCCGCTGAAGATGTTGAAAAACAGGGTTGGGGGATTGGGGATGGAGGAAGATTGGTCAAGGAAGAGGAGGAATTTGCATGTGGTCCCGTCTCTCCCTCTGTACATCCCAGCTCGCTGTTATTTTAAACAAGAGGATCCCCAGGCCAAGAGTCGAGCGTCTCCTGCACGCTGGCTCCCTCCTGCTTCACACCAAAGACCTTCTCATCAGAGACCTTCTCATTGAAGACATGCCGCCTTGAGCCCATCATGGGGGCAAGCCGACGCTTTCGAAAGAGATCATACCTGGCGATTGCCCTTCTCGTCCTCCTCATCTTCGCCTGGATCGATCGATGCTGTCATGGCACCCACACAAAGCAAGACTCAGCATCCTTGGACGCGCAAACCGAGACAAGAAGCCACGACAGCCAGCCGTCCAGTCTGGTCTCTGAAAAGAACCAGAACTTCACCGTCAACCTGGTGATCGCATCCACCAGCAAGGACGACACGTAATGGACAGACCGGCTTGATCTGGGACCGAACCTGCGTATCATCCGCTACGTCTCTGACAGCACCACGGCCCAGTACCGCCCGCCCGTCCCCAGAGTCGGCCGCGAGGCCATGATATACCACACCTACTTCCACGACTTTTACGACTCGCTCCCGGACCTCTCCATCATGATCCACCCCCACGAGAAGCCCTGGCACATCGAGCCCGCGCTCGCGCAGTCCATGCTCTTCGCGCTTAACAACCTCGACCTGGGCGTCGCGCACCAGCGCGGGTACGCCAACCTGCGCGTCGGCTGGAAGGAGTCGTGCCCGGACTGGGTCGACACGAGCCGCGAGTACGGCGACGAGCGCCGGCCCATGGAGGCGCCCTACATGGCCGGCGCCATGTATCACAACTTCGGGGTCTACGGCTCCGACCTGCCCCGCTACTTCGGCGGACCTTGCTGCTCGCAGTTTGTCGTGACGAAGGAGGCGGTGCACCGGCACCCTCGCGAGCAGTACAAGCGGAGCACGGACTGGCTGGCGGAGACGTCGTGGCCGGACTGGATCACGGGCCGCACGTGGGAGCACATGTTCCCCTGGATGTTTACGGGCAATGCCGTCGATTGTCCCATGGAGTGGAAGGTGTTTTGTGGGATGTACCACGTGTGTTTCAAAGACCCGTCGACGATCACGGACATTAATGACCTGTGGGAGGAGAGACAAGATCTGCTGGACAACATGGATTTGTGGCAGTGGATGCGACACCCGCAGATTGTCATGCGGTCGAACTCGAGGGTTCGAGAGATTGAGGATATTGTTCGCTGGGAGGTTGCACGCGCGATGGCAAGGGGGCAGGATGAGGATATTCGACGGGCGGCAAGTGTTAATATGTTTGAGGACTGAACCTCCTACCTACTCAACATGTGTCTCGGCCCTTTTTGCGACCTTTCCCGTACCCAAGCAATGGCTCTGTGGGGTCCCAGTCGACGATGGGGAGTCTTTTTAAAGACCAGACAACTCTGCATGAGGAATCTCAACTACATCCACGCCCGCCCCTCCCATGTGTCGAGACTCTCTTGATTGTCGCGTCTTCTAGCGGCGCTCTCCTATTTACAATCATCCGAGAAGGAAGGTCCCGAAATCAATTGTCGAGAAGTCAATGTTGTCGGAACCGGCATCCCAAAACATGTCATCTGCGCTTTCTTTGATGGCGGAGAGGCAAGTTAATGCCACGACATCAGATGCAGGAGACGCATCTGTGCAGATTGACGACGACGCAACAGTGCTGGAGAGATATGCGTCTTGGCCGTCTTCATCCAGCAGGGGGTCGTATGCCCAAGGGTCTTGGAATACAAGTCTGTTGGCAAGCTCCCCGCGAATCGACTTCTTTTCTGGATGCTCGTCCGTCAGTGCACCCTCGGCGGTCCAACGTACCCTAGATATACAATGTCAGTCCTTGCAGATCCCATTTCGGAAATGGATAGCTAGTATACGAACACTTTCTTAAATTCTTCATGAGAGACACTTTCACTGCCTATAGCCTCAAGAATGGCATCATATATCAAATTGACTGCCGGATAGAAACTTGAAGGCCGCCGGAGGATCTCTGCACATGGACGTAGATACGACTTCCACAGCTGCAGGTCGTTTGCTGCCGGCATGTCGTACATCCTTTGCTTAAGGATGGTGGAGACTGCATCTTGTGCGCTTTTCGCCAGCCTCGGGTCGGAAACACAGATGTCTGGATCGATGTGTAACGCTGTAGCAAACAGCGAGGACATTGAGACGGCATTCCGGAATGCTTGTCTTCGCCAATGGTTAAGCTCTTGTGTAGGCTGAACCTCGCCAACGAGTGACTGAATACGGAATCTGTTCTCGACAGAGGCAGCGGCAGCCTTGTATAGCTCACCACGTGTGTGTAATAGCCATACGTGAAGCATGAGAAAGGTTGTCAGTTCTGGAGAGGAAATGTATCGACAAAAGTTTCGTGGTCCAAGAGAGTAATGTGGAGGGAGAGAATCAACGAAGGTTGACAGTTCTTGCTCGAAAGGGGCGACAAAGCTGCTTGATATAACCATGCTGCTCATACCTGCTGTTTCACTGAGCTGTTTCTGTTTGGCACTGTCATTCGACCTAGAATTAGCATCGAGATGCTGCTTGAGCAAGAACAGATGACTGTCATGCTTACCCTCGTATCCTGCGTCGGATATCCAGAATACGGACGAGATGTGCGTACAGGCCTTGATTTTGAGTATCACTAGTTGTCCGAGCGTCCTGCAGGGTGGAGGTCGTGGCCAGAGTGTCCCTATCAAAGGAGATTTCGTCACAGGGCAGGCTTATATGGATCGTATCCGTCGAGCAGAAACAAAGATTGGCGTCGTCACTAGAGTAGACTGTGCCCAGCATCCACAGAGCCCACATCAGCCGCCTTCTCCGCTCCGGTTCCAGGTGGCCTTCGTTCACATCCTCATAATTCATCAACTTGAGATAGGCCTGCTTGGTAGCATAGTTCAGGAGGTGCCTGAGCCTACCAAATCTGCCCGAAGAGCCATGGTCGAAGGCTATCAAAATCAAGGATTCGATGTCAGTCTCCTCTAGAGAATCAGTATTCTGCATAATCTGCTTCTCTGCCTCGTTGATCCAGACTTGACCGTCAGGAAGAGTACGGCGTTCTCGAACCGATATAAAACGAGATGCCACACCACAAATGACTCGCAGCAAGCGAGGGTCGTGCCGACCGTCAAGCCAGAGTTGTAGCAACTTAGGTCGGTGAATGAATCCGAAGCCTGGTATTGGGTCGATATATTTGAAGAATATGTCGAGGTACCTTTTTACCATGGTCTTAGGAATGTCAGAGTTCCTATAACACTGGCTGGTTAGATCTTGGGGCTTGAGATGCTGTGCTGGATTTGAGAGGGGTTGACCTACGTGGGATTTTGATATGGAATGCCCGACAAACCCTGCGGAGAAGCTTCTCTTGTCAAAGTTGACTCTGAGCTCGCCAATCCACTACCATTCTCCTCAGCTAATAGCTTCTCTGGTGTGCTTATTGTCGCAGCAGAACCTTCAGTGGCCGGACACTCGCTGACGGCATCTTCCCGGCTAGCCTTTTGGCGACGAATCCTACGATTTGGGGGATAGTGGCATTTGAGACCAAGCGAGAGGCAGCGCTCGCAAGGAGGCGAGTCTCCAGAGCAGCGAAACTTCTTCACGCGGCATTCAAAACAAGCGCGGCGTGCCCGAAGACGTGTTGGGTTGGGAGGCGTGCCTTGCTGTCCAGAGAAAGAGCAGGCAAGGCTAAGACTTTGGCAATTTTCACAACCCCCAACACCACCATCGCAGCGCACCTACTGATGCTGGTGAGTCTTGTGCCCGGACAAGTGCCATAGGTAAAACAATCCATCGAAGAGAAGCAGCGGAAAGCCCAGAAAGATGAGGGTGGTCACGAACCTTTCGACTGCGGCATTGGTCACATAGCACTGTTCCGAATTTTCGACCATCAACAGAGGCAAGGAAACACCCTTCCATGCTGAAGAGAGCAGCTGTCAACAGTGACCATCTAAGGTTGATTCCAGGGATCGATGTAGTGATGTAGATCGAGAGGTCAGACCAAAGCAAAAGAACAATATCCAAAGAACTCGAAGAGGGGAACCCCATCGAGGAAGCTTGGACATCCACATACAATCGGTGGATTACCGCACGTCCCGCCGGCAGCTAGACCGGGAAATCCGATGGAGCCCGGCTTCGAAACTCGGTAATGGGGATCCCCACTTCGCCGATTCAAAGGTTGAAAATCATTGGTTCTTGCACATCGTCAACTTCTGGGGCCGAGTGTCGCGCTAACTGATTCAAGATTCAAGGTAGCGGTCATCTGATGTGTTGTTCTTCCCAGGGGAAGATGGGCCTCCTTACCCAGATTGTTCAGCATAGTTGACTTGGATGTTGATGCTAAATGGTTCCCGGAATTCTGGAACGAAATCGCGCATCATCCTTACCAGATCGCGGTATTGGGACAAATTTCTTTCTAGCACAATATGCAGAAGAGAAGTTCTTTCAAGCTAGTACAAAGAGAGAGAAAGGATGATAGATACTTTCTTTTCACGTTCAACTGTGATTAGCAAAGATGCACAGAGTGTCCTCATTCATTGGGGAGATAATGAAACAAAGTCTTCGAGAAAAGAGTGTTGAACTCTGAACTATCGCCTATCAAACACACAGTAAGGTAACATTGATAAGAGACCAGTCCCTGAATGCCCTCTCCATCCTTGCCCCTGTCTCCCATTGTCCTTCCTATCATATCACATCATGCGCCCATTTTGTCATGTCATGTCGTCTCCAGATGATCTTCGTCACAGCAGGACCCCTACAGGCCACTGATCGCTGCAGTGTCGCCATCTTCTTAGTTAACAAGGCCCTGAGCCTTGACGTTGGCAACGAGGTTGTTGATAAGGTTCTCAGCCTGGCGGGCCATGTCAAGCTGAGCGTCGGTGACCTTGATGTCCTGGGCCTTGAACTTGCCGCCGATGATGGGAAGACCGCCAAGAATGCCACCGACGCCACCAGCCAGACCGGTAGGGACGACGCCAGCAGCGCCGCTCACTGGGGAGCCGTTACCGCCGAGGCCGGGAATGAGTCCAGAAAGTCCACCGGTAAGACCGCCGGCAGCGCCAGTGAGCCCGCTAAGACCGCCGCCAGTCAGAGAGCCAAGAAGACCCTGGAGGAGGGGGCCGATGATGGGCAGTTGACCCAAGATGCCGGTGATCGGGCCGAGCTGTCTGCTCTCGAGTACAGTGGATGGGACAGCTGCGGAAGGAAGTGCCGCTGAGGGAAGTCCCTCGGAGGGGAGAACCGCGGACGGGAGAGCCGCGGACGGAAGACCCACGGAGGGGAGACCCACAGATGGAAGACCACCGGGAATCATCGATCCAAGCAAGCTCTCGAGCAGCTTATGGATGAGATCGATGATCTGGTTCAGCAGGGATTCGTCGATGGGGGTGAGGTCAGAGAGGTTGACCTTGGCCAGGGTGCTCAGGGCGTCATTGTTGGCGAAGGCAATCTTGCTGCTGCTGACGCCGAGCATCCGGCTCAAGACGTCGGGGTCCTTGACAGGGCTGGTGGTGTTGACGGGCAGCTCGCCTTGATATGCAGTTAGAATAAGCTCACGGAGGTTATGTCGGGAATGACCTACTAGCAGTGGCTGTAGGGACGCTCGCGACGGTGCCGTTGAGAGGGGTCGCGGTGCTGATAGCCGAGGTGTCAGGGGTAGAATAGGCCGGCGCGGCGATCGAGATGGAGGCAAGAGCCAGACTGAGGATGAACGACTGCTTCATTTTGAAATCGAAAGAATGATCTGTTGGAGAGAGCGTGTGCGGTAAGAGTACGATATCGGCGCCTAGAGAGCGATAGAGAACAGGGTTCGAGAATGAATGATTGTTGTTTGATGCTGACAATCCAACCTGCCAAAGACTCGGCCATGTGAGGTCTTTTATAGTTGGATTTTCTTCATAATTCTTGCCTCAAGATTCTGATTCTCCCTTTGAATAGCTTGGACATAGCGGAATGGAATGTCAAACTCCCTCTGCCACGATGATCCGTTGCAGAGAGTTGTAGATCTTTGGCTAGGATCGAGTGCTGTTTGAGGATCGATCTGTTCCTCAAGGTGAAAGTGATTTGCATACCCACATAAAGAGGACGCAGAGGATCCGGCGATGTCTCAAATAGCCAAGAGGCTTGCATGCCATACTCGATAGGTGACTCCACCATGAGAGGGTTCGCGAGGATGGCGCAAATTTACTCAGTGGTCCACTCTATGATGACCATGGCATTGTCGGTAATAGTTCACTAAGGGTTGTTTGAGGAACTGCGACGGAGACGACCTCTCTCTCCAGCACGCAGGTTGCCAATACTCGGCCATGGTTCCAAGTTCAGCGTAGGAGGCATCAGTGAGTTATCCCTCGTCAAAGCCCTCAACTTCAAACTCGTGCATGAGCGGCTTTTGACTAAGAGTTCCATGCGGTGGGAAAAGCGTTGTTGCTGCTTGTCCTCGACAATAGATTGAAAGGCTTGGCACTTTCGCGTCGCGCGTGTCGGTTCCTTCATTAGTATGGAAATGGATCGACAGCAGATCGGCAAGACCCAGTATTCTGGACGAGTGCGAGCCACCAAACTGCCCACTACCCGATATGAAGGCCGGAATGTCAAAGATTGCAAATGCAGGCCATGATGAATGTCGAAACAGGCGCTGACATTGTAAGAACCGCCCCATCTTGGATCGCAGTGGGAAAGTTTCTCATACTTGGTGACCAAAGAGGAAATGCATTGAGTCGCATTGGTAGCCGGTGAGTGACATCCATTCCCACGACAGTATTGGAAATACCAGCAGTAATCTGTACCTATTGTCGATTTGTCTCACTGGGGCCCATAGCTCTCCACTGTCATTCCGCTGTCAATCACGGCAGCTAAGGGAGCGCTTTCCAGCCTCATTCCAACCCCTACCTATCTATCTCACACCGGAAACTACAGAGATATCAGTGTCAATCTTTTACTGGGTCTGGCACCCAACGTTCCAAGTAGAACTATGGTATGTGACATACTCCAGAAAGCCGTCGGGAAAGATCACTACCGAGACAGATGGAGTAATCCTTCAAGAAAGAGAATCCGGCAGTGGCTGCTGGAAGTCTGAATGAAAATAACTTCGGAACAGAGGGATTGGGCTTTCCAGAACGGAACCTATGCCGAAACATGAAGCCTTAAAGTTCGAATGAAGTTAAGTCGCAGGGCTATCAAATGCGGGCGGTGACGTCTTTTCGCTGAAGAAATCAAGCCTTTCATTCCCAATCGAAAGACATTGGATGCATTGTCCAACGCTTTTCCCATGCTTAAGTTCTGTGACGCCATGCTGCGGATGTTGGGAGTCTTCATTTCTCACAATCAACGTGACAGATGATGCGAGCCATGGCCGAGAGTGTGCGTCTGTATTTGAGAGGTTGGCGTTGTAAAGCCGCCCTTCAATGAGCTTGCAGAAGCAAAAGCCAGCGGAAACATAGGTAAAAGTAGACTACAGAAGATGATAGTGAGCCTAACATGTGTCAGCCCTACCAGAGCCCCGTTGGATCCAACGAGTTTCCCATTGGCTCGGAAACTAGTACCGTCCTGACACAGCACTAGCACAGGCACCAAAGCAAGTGAAACTCGAGTATCTAGTTAGGCGTGAGATGGGCTTCATTGGCGAAGCGCGTCCTGGATGGTAGCGCCAAGTAGTGGCGGGTGTTTGCATCAAACTGAGACCCGGCACTGGCTCGCTCCGAGTGCCCGCCGCTATTCGGGAAGCTTCCGCGCAAAGGATGGTTCTGGTTGTTTGGAGCAACTGCACGGCAAGAGGAAAGGGATGTCTCAGCCCAGCTGAACGGAGCCCAGGGAACAGACTGATCGGCGTGCTGGATTCCCGAGTGCTTGATTGCCTAGCCTTTGTTCACACTCGGGACCCATTGTTGGACCCATTTCCATTCCAATCGGCGACTATCCAATGCCAGTTCATGTTCTCCTGACCCGGAAAGTAATCACAGAATGGTTCATATATCCGATCTTTGATTCTTCGAAGTTCTGAACCCAATCATTCTCGACTGCATGGCACGAGGCTCGAGTCCAGCATTCTACTTGGCCTTTGTCATTCATTGGTGCGTCGATGCAAAGACTCACAGTCACGCCGATCAACTGCAAAATTTCGATATGATCCCCGTGCATTTCAAATTTCGAATGGTACTCCTCCGCGATATGCGCGTCTCGAGTTGTCCCGGTGCCTCCTGTCTTACATCATGTATGAGAGCTCCCATCCTGTGAAACGGAAGGAACAGGATTCCGCGACTAGAGCAGGGCACCGAAGGTCAGGAGGAAAAGAGTGAAATTGAACCGAAGTTCAGTTGCAAAAACAAACAAGTCCAATCATGCTTCCCAACATATTTGCTTTGAAACTTCCTTCAGTCAGCGCAGCTCCTTGCCTGATATCCGCAAAAATCCATTGCTGACAGGGACAAGGCTTTGGACGAAGACATTCCAAGATTGAGAGGCCAGGCGACCACATGCCGTCAGTGGAGGGCCTAGCATTCACGGTAGCCGTAGCCCTTCCTCGAGCAACAATCGACGAAATCTTGAAAGTTGTCGTTGGCGACCATGAAATACCATGCTCGGTGGACACAATAGCAGTCCTTCTTATTTCCTAGTTCTCGTGCACAGGCTTCCGTGTTTGCCCATGCGTTGGCTTGGCTGGAGCCCATGCAGCGGATTGTTTTGTCGTCGTCGCTGCAGGCGTTGACCAGGAGGGGAAGAAAGAATAGGACTGAGAATCTCATTGTAGAATAGATTTGATTGAAGAAGAAGCTTCTTGCGATGGTGGTTTGAACTTGGTGCTTTGGAGCTATCTTTCTCGGCTTAATGGATGGGAAACAAAGCAATATTTATATCTAAAATGAAACCAAGTGTCATTAGATCAGTTCTCATAACATCTATTCATTACGTATTAGTTTGGAGTGAGTCTCCTCTTGAGAATCCCGACTCTCATGCAAGTGCGGTAGGACAGACAGACCAAGCTTTTGACCGCTTCTCCGGGGTGTCACAGCCCTTCCCGGACGGCTGTTAGAGCAGCACCTTCGGAAGCATATAAGGCAGGGATCGACAAGCTGACAATGAATTATGCATTATGCGGCTTATGTCTCGGACGGGCTGCGTCTCTTCGTTCCGAACAATCGTGCAATATATAATCGTGGCACCGTCAAATGGCCGAGCCCAATCTAGCCTAGGCCTTTTCTGGTCTTATCCAGCTTGTTACAATTGCGGTGGCTTGCTTAAACCGTGCATCTTGCGTCTCATCGGTCAGCATCCGAAGCCTGAGGTTGTTGTCATTCGTTCGGTAGAAATAGATTCCGCTTCAGTCGGGAGAACTCTCTTGTCGATCCATCACAATCACCGATTGGCAGCATATACAACAACGTACATTAACTTGGAAATGTTGAAGAATACTACTAGAGAAGATAGCGATGTTTCGTGCAGGAAACCAACCACTCTCCAGGCACCCAAGCACAGTAGTCCTTACCGATGGTAATACCTCTGAAGAGTGATTCCCTTCTCAGCAGCTCCCTCGCTTCAGATCTCGGCCCAAAGTAACGGCCATAAAATGGCTTATTCCATAGCTGGTTGTGTAACCGCTCGGAATTGTGTCTCCGATCGACAAAGCCTCTGTGCCGATGACACTGGTCGCTATGGGTCCTTACTCATGGCCTGTGTTCGTGATGACGAGGTGGTTCTTCCTTTATTTTGCAAAATTAATGCGCATTATGGCTCCATCTGCAGGTGGAAACCTATTAGAGATTGGGGTAGGATGGGAAAGTTTCGTGAACGATTCACCAGACTGGTTCTGACACCACAGAGCCATGATATTACCCAGCAGTGGATATACTGCACATAACTAGCTAGGCCGGGGCTTGAAGACGTTCCCTTCTATATGTATGCATCTTGCGCTTCAGGGAGGCATAATCTTCTCTTCTGCGCCTACGAGGCTTCTGCGTCATATGCCAGGACCTAGCAGACTGATCCCATGACGAGAGTCATAACTAGAGGACCTTCAACGGCTTGGCCCGGCATACTTGTTATCGGACTTGTTATGGGAAGAACTGGACTTACTTAAATGATTACATAACAATATTGTCTATTCTTCTCCTTTACCATCAGATTTACCTGCTGGAAAACAGTAAGTTAAGGATGCAACAGAGTCACAACCATGGCGTTTGCGGCTTGTTGTTCTTCAATAGCAGAAAACACCGCCTTCCTTTCCCACGATTGTGTATTGATTTTTATTTGTAAGCTTCATAAGTTGAATGGGTGGATGCACCCGGCCATATGACGGGCGATATCGTCACCAATGCTTCATCCTGCCGCTGCTGCGATTGAGGCCCACAAATGCTCATACCCTTTGACGTCACTGCCCAAAGGCGACTTTTTATCACTTCTTTTTCTTCGAGATGCATTGTTAGAGAGGATTAGACCTTTCAAGTGCCCTTCTCACATATAGATCTGCTACAAAAGCACACTCTATCAACAATGACCACCAAAGGCTCAGTATTCCTCATCGGCCCGGGCTTCATCGGGCTCCAGGTCCTGAGCGAGTTGCTCCAGGAAGGCTACGAGGTCACCACGCTGGTGCGCAGAGAGGAAGCCAAGAGGAAGCTGGAACAGCTCGGGGCCAAGACGGTCGTGGGGACCCTGGAGAGCGCCGACATCATCCGCAAGCATGCCGCCGCTGCAGACATCACGATCCACACCGCCACCGCCGATCACCTTCCGTCCGTCGCGGCCGTCCTAGAGGGCCTCCGCGAGAGCGTGAAGCAAGGGAAGACGCCGATCTACATCCATACGAGCGGCTGCAGCGCCATCATCGACAAGTCGGACGGAGAATACGCCAGCGACAAGGTGTACGAGGACGACAAGCCGGAGACCATCGACAGCATCGCCGACGACGCCCCGCACCGGGAAATCGACCTGGCCATCCTGAAGGCGCGGAAGGAAATCGGGAGCAAGGCCAAGATCTCGATCGTGCTCCCGCCCGTCATCTACGGCCTGGGGCAGGAGAACCGCCTGTCGATCCAGATCCCGACGCTGACCCGCTTTGCCCTGAAGCATGGCTATGCCGGCTACGTCGGGAAGGGCAAGGCGGTCTGGGGCCAGGTCCACGTGGCCGACCTCGCTCGAGGCTACATGACCGTACTGCACCACGCGGAGCAGGCCTCGGGCGAGGAGGTCATGAAGAACCCGTACTTCTTTGTCGAGAATGGGGAGGAGTACTCGTGGCTCCGCATCGCAGAGGAGATCGGCAAGGCTGCTCACGAGGCAGGCCGCGTCCAGGACCCGACGCCGAGAGAGATCCCCCCGGAGCAGTGGGGCGACCTCTTCGGAGAGGGGTCGCTGGCCATGGCGGGCCAGAATTCGCGGAACCGTGCGAACAGGCTCCGGGCTCTTGGGTGGAAGCCCCGCGAGAAGTCGACTTTCGCATCACTGTCCGAGGACGAGCTGCCGGTCATGCTGGCGGAGAAGGGAGAGTTCAAGGGCTACAAGGTTGCAGGAGGATCATGAGATGACGTAGCCAGATGGCAGTCCAGGTGCCAAGTTAATAAAAGTTGTAACAGATTTGTACAAAGACAAACCGATCAAGCCGCCTCCTTAGCCCACTGCTTCCCCGTCCACAGCCCGCCGCTCACCCAGAGCATGTAGTCCCGCCCCTTGAGCAGCCACACCAGCCAGCCGGGCAGGCGCCACCCCATCAGCGCGCCGACGGCCCTGCTCCGCCCGACGACGACCATCTGCGCCTCCCGCGTGTCCTCCACGTAAGTCTTCTCTGCCGGCAGGGATGACGATGCGATGCTGCTGCCGTCTGTTGCCGCCGCGACGAGCAGGTCCCGCTTGATGTTGGCGCACAGGGCCGGCACAGCCTCGAGAATCAAGTGCACGGCCGGTCTGAACGCCGAGGACGCGTCGCCGATGGCGTAGACCCGCTCGCCTGCTCCATCGACGCGCAGAGTAGCCGGGTCCGTCTTGACTCTGCCGTCGCCACCCAGCAACGCCGGGTCGGTGACGAACCCCGTATTGGGCCGCGTACCCGTCGCCGGGATGTACAAGTCCGCCGCTAGGACGCGACCGTCCTTGAGCGTGACCGTCGTCGGCACCACGACGTCGTCCGTCCCCGCCGTCGGCGGGCTCACACTCTGGACGCGGGCGTTCTTGATGACGGTCACACCGACCTTGGCGAGCAGCAGCTCGGCCGAGCGGGCGATCTCGGGCCGCAGGACGGGCAGGAGGGCCGGCGCGGCGGTGACGAGCGTGATGGGCACCTTCGGATTCGCGAGCCGGGAACTGAACCACCCCGCTCGGCCGTTGAGGTGCTCACCGAGCTCGCCGGCCGTCTCGACGCCGGCTGGGCCTCCGCCGGCGATGACGATGGACTTGGCGGAGGGGAGGGCCCTGCGGAGGGCGGCCCAGCTCTGCCGGAGGTGCTTCTCGTCCCTGGTGAGGCCCAGCAGCGGGGAGGCGGTCGACGCGCCAGTGGCGATGACCAGCGCGTGGTACTCGAGCACTTTCTCTTGGCTGTTGCTACCGCTGCCGCCGATGCCGGCCGCGAGGTCGACCGTCACCGTGCGCGCGGCGTGGTCGAGGCTCGTGGCGGCGCCGTGGACGAAGCGAAAGGAGCCAGCGGGGTACTGGGCGAACATGGACCTGATGTCGTGGAAGATCTTATCCTGGGGAAACATGTCGTCGGACAGGAGAGCGCGGGGGCAGGCCTGGCGCCAGATGGACTCGGCGGCGGGACTGACGAGCACGACCTGGTAGGAGGGCTGGTCCGGGAGTGCGGGGAGGGCGTGGCGGAGGAGGTAGTGGGCGGTGGAGAGGCCGGCGTAGGAGCCGCCGAGGATGAGGATGTTCTTCTTTTGGGTGGTGGTCATTGTTGGTGCAACTACCTAGGTATGGCAATGGCTCGGACTCGGACCTGCTACTTCTGAGTGAGTTCGGGATCTACAGAGATTGTGCATCAGATCACAGCAGGTACAGAATGGTAAGTAAGAGTGCAACACGAGGATGTGGTCAGCAGACTGCAAATGCATCATTCGGGAGAGAGAGAGGAGAGCAGGCGAGAATCAATCTGGTTTATGAAGTCAAGATGGCCGAAAGCCCGAAGCGTCAGGCCGCCTTCCAAGCCAATCAAGGAATATGCCGTCGAAAAGGCCGCTAGAAGGTTGACGACGCGTATTCATGATAGCACGTCTTGCTTTTGCGGGCGTCAGAGCACGGGTCAAATGAGGATGAAGGGCTAGGATGTTGTTGAGCACAATGAGTGTGAGTGAGTCGGGGCAATTATTCGAGCCTGATGACAAATTTGGCAGCAACTGTCGGCGCTCACTACCGCCGACCTGCCGACTTTTACCCGATTAGGCAATCCGGGCATCGCACCGTAGGACGGCCAGGATTGAAAGAAGATTGACATTGCTGGCCGTGATGTTGCGACAGCTAGACCAGTGAGACGAGCAAAGACCGAATGACTGGTTCAATGAATTGCGGTAGCGAGATGGTGGTTCGGACGAGAGGACAAGCGTCTGTGGAGAGTAGCAGATTCAAGACATGGTTGGGCAACCTCAATCATCCTGAGGAGAACCGGGAAAGTTCCGCGACTGTTCCTTGTGTAGCTAGTATTTGTACCGTATCGGGCCCGGTGTGTTGCCGAGAGGAGGAGGATGCATCTTGCAGCGAGGTCAAGGTCAGTCAGTCCGGGGCGGCGCTGGGCGGGCGGGCGGTCCTGGAGAGCAGTCATCGGGGATCAGCGGAGCCTGCACACACGCTCCAATTGCGAATTGCGATAGATGGTTGATGGCACATTAATTACATATGCAGGGGAAGTGGCCCAAAATGCAGAGAAACCCGGGACCACGGATAGCGACACGGCTCGCGCGCTGCCAACACCGGATACCTAATAAGCTTCAACCGTAGTGTGGGAGGGAGGGTATGACAGGTGCATGTTGTGTGTAAGATGGATGAAGGCGTGTGGTCGTGCATGTGTCAGTATCAGTGCCAGTGTCAGCCCAAGTACTTGGTGAAGTCTGTAATTAGGTAGGTACTCAAGAAGTACCACCACCAGACAGGCTCAATCCATCAAAAGGGACAGCCAACCGAGTTACTCTTGTGGCATGTAGCTTTCCAATGGACACACAGGGCAGCGGCCGGCAATCGGCAGTTCCCAAGACTCTCTCGTGGCAGCGGCAGGAAGGGAAGTGCCAGTGCCACAGTGAGACCAGCTCACAAAGCAGAGCTTCGGTTTGGGTGTCGCGGGTGCCCGCGTCTCCTCCGGCCCTTCTCCATCAACTTGGCAGAGTCAAGTGTGGGATTTCCATCAAGAATCCGGGGGGGGCTGCTGGAGATGCTGCTGGAGATGCTGCTGGAGATGCTGCTGGAGAGCGGCTGGCATCGCTCCAGTCAGCTATCTGGTCCGTCGTGTATGTATGGGAGGGAGTACTGGGACTGTATCTGTCGTTATTCCTCTTGGTAATGAACCGCGAATCCTTATCTCTGGCTGTCGCGTGTGGCCTGGCACTGCTTAAACCCAGTACGGTCCCGTAATGTCCGGATTGGAGGCCGGCAAACCCATGCAAAACTCTGCTAGCGCCGGGTGAGGCGATTAGCGGCGGGCTCGAACGCTGTGAATGGCCTGGCGGCGGGGCGCCACCGAGTCGAGAGAAGGGTTAGGAACTGAGAAGCACTGGAATGGCGCGCTGGGAGAGCAGATCCAGGGTCGACGATTGGCTGGCTGGATCGAGCTGCCTCAGTCGGACGAGCCTAAAATCTCTTCCGAGTCCGAGTTCTCTTGTGTCAAGGCTTTGTGGCATGGCATGGCATGCAGGTAAGAGATAACTACTTGTACCTAATAAAGCCAGTGATTGATAAGGACCTCTGCTGGGATGGGATGGCACCGAGATGGATGGAGACCAGAACCTCGGCAGGTTGGTCACCCCATGCCCATGCCCATGCCCATGCCCATGCCCATGCCAATCAATCCCATCCGTCGTCCATGTCGTCTGCCCTGCATGCATGCAATGCACTCACACGCAACCCTGTGCCATTGCGCGCATGCGGGATGATGCTGATGGCGGGCATGGTGGACAGGGCGTTCTTGGGAACTCCATCTCGCCCGTCGGTTCCCGTCAATGGCAGGCCCTCCTCTTATCTCTGGGGCTGAGGAAAAGAGGCAAACGAGGGATGAAGCCCTCGAGATGGGCTCAGCTAAGGCTCTAGTCTATCTCCAGCTCCAGGTCCCATCGCCGGATCGAGCAAGACATCTCTGAAGAACAATGGAACTGGGATCTCCAATTGGAAGATGGAGATGGGATGGAGTGCTGATCGGCCGGCCCTCACTCTCGCTCTGATGCCCACCTCCACCTCCACCTCCACCACCACCACCACCACCACCACTCTCCGGATCTCCTCTGCACACCCAGAATCTAAGTAGGTAGTCCGCGCCACTGAGGAAAAAAAAAAAAAAGAGATGGATGTCACCATATCCTGACCTCTCAGCCGTTAGTTCTTGGCTATCTCGACCCTCATTAGTGTCCGTACATCTCCACATTATTTTCAAAAAGAGGTACCTGTTACCCTCTTTTTTCTCTCGGGTGCTGGTTGGTTTGACAATTTTTGAACTCGCGCTCACCCGGTCTTGGGAAGATCTGCTACCTACTTCTCTCTCCTCCTCCTCCTCCTCCTCCCCCTCTTCCTCTCCGCAGTCAATGTCCAACGAAGAAACGGCCCTGCTGTGAAACCAGCTCCAGGTTCAAGCACCCCCTTCTCTCTCTCCTCCGGGTACCCATGAGCAGAGGTGCACCTGTCAGACCTCGCTTGCTCTTTCCAAGCTGCATGACCTTGCTACCGAGCACTTAAAGGAAAGAGCGTCCCCACCACCTCACTCGCGCCTCACCTTTACATCAACATCAACATCAACCACCCTCCCCCGTTCAACTCCTCTCAGAAACAACACCAAGATTCAGATCCAGCAACCATGGGTTTGGTCGAGAGGATAGACCAAAAGGTCGCTGCCAGTGCTGTCGGCCGCTGGTTCCGCCTCGATGGCTCAGGCCATGTAAGTCAACCCCATCACAGACTGCCCTTACCCTTGTTTGTTGCGCCTCGAGGAGGACCCGAGGAGTGAGAGCGAGCGCAAACCGAATAGACGAGGCGTTCCCCTCGCCAAAGCTTCGCATACAACCATGCTGACCCTTCTTGTTGCCACCAACAGCGCCGCGAGCGCAAGGGCTCCCGCTTCTTCACCGAGGTCCGCGCCGGCCTCGCCACCTTCTTCGCCATGGCCTACATCATCGCCGTCAACGCCTCCATCGTCGCCGACACGGGCGGCACCTGCGTCTGCAACGGCGGGCCCGCCGACCCCATCTGCAACAAGAACAACGACTACGCCCTGTGCCAGGCCGAGGTCAAGCGCGACATCGTCACCGCCACCGCCGCCATCGCCGCCCTGACCACCTTCTGCATGGGCCTCTTCGCCAACCTGCCCGTCGGCCTGGCCCCGGGCATGGGCCTCAACGCCTACTTCGCCTACACCGTCGTCGGCTTCCACGGCACCGGCACCGTGCCCTACCAGGTCGCCGTCACGGCCATCTTCGTCGAGGGCTGGATCTTCTTCGGCCTCGCCCTCCTCGGCATGCGCCAGTGGCTCGCCCGCGCCATCCCGCGCTCCATCAAGCTCGCCACCAGCGTCGGCATCGGCCTCTTCCTGACCCTCATCGGCCTGACCTACTCCGAGGGCATCGGCCTCGTCGTCGGCGCCCAGTCCACCCCCATGGAGCTCGCCGGCTGCCCGCCCTCCATGCGCAAGGCCGACGGCACCTGCCCGGACAGCGGCAAGATGCGCAACCCGACGCTGTGGATCGGCATCTTCTGCGGCGGCATCCTCACCGTCATGCTGATGATGTACCGTGTCAAGGGCGCCATCATCGCGGGCATCGTCCTCGTCAGCGTCATCTCGTGGCCCCGCCCCACGCCCGTCACCTACTTCCCCTACACCGTCGTCGGCGACGACGCCTTCAACTTCTTCAAGAAGGTCGTCGACTTCCACAAGATCACGCGCGTGCTCAACGTCCAGGAGTGGAACATTGGCGAGTACGGCGGCCAGTTCGGCCTCGCCCTCATCACCTTCTTGTACGTCGACATCCTCGACTGCACGGGCACGCTCTACTCGATGGCCCGCTTCGCCAACCTCATCGACCCCGTCACGCAGGACTTTGAGGGCTCGTCGGTCGCCTACATGGTCGACGCCATCGGCATCTCCATCGGCGCCATCCTCGGCACCCCGCCCGTGACGGCCTTTGTCGAGTCGGGCGCGGGCATCAGCGAGGGCGGCAAGACGGGCCTGACGGCCATGGTGGCGGGCATCTGCTTCTTCATCAGCGTCTTCTTCGCGCCCATCTTCGCGTCCATCCCGCCCTGGGCCACGGGCTGCGTGCTCGTGCTCGTCGGGTCCATGATGGTGCCCGCCGTGACCGAGATCAACTGGTCCTACATCGGCGACGCCGTCCCCGCCTTTATCACCATCGTGCTGATGCCCTTCAGCTACTCGATCGCCAACGGCCTCATCGGCGGCGTCTGCTCGTACATACTCATCAACACGCTCGTCTGGCTGATCGAGAAGGCCTCGGGCGGCCGCGTCGTGCCGCACAACAAGGCCGACAAGGACCCCTGGACCTGGCGCATCCCCGGCGGCATCCTGCCCCCCTGGATGAAGAGGCTGGCCAAAGGCCGCAAGGACTTTTGGCGCGAGTCGGATGACGAAGCGGCGGCGGCGGCGGTGGAGCAGCGGGCCGTCGGCAGCACGGACGGGTCCGAGGATGCGGCGGGAGTGGGAGGCGTGAGGAAGGAGACTGGTGGTGCGGACGTCGGAACCCCGTATCCTCACTCGGTGCCGGTGCAGGAGAAGGACGCCTAGTTTGCGGTCCTTACTGTGGCCTATGACGAGTGAGGGGGGATGCCCGCCGAGGAGCCACGGTAGAGGGTTCTGTTGCGTCGGAGTTTGAATTTTGTTGAAAAGGGGTTCGATCATATCATATGATGGGCGGTTTGGGAATGACGGAACAAGGTGATCTGATCAAAAATTCTCCCCGCTCCCCTTTCTGGGCTGGACCGACAGGGAGAGGATACCATGATGCATGTTGAAAGGGAGTCTTACGAATAGCGATGAATTAAGAGAGATACAAGCCTGTGTGGTGTTTTCCAATCCAGAAGTTGGCCAAGTTCGATGTTCGAACCATCTGCCGAGACGGCATCGAATTACTGGCCCCTTGTTCAGTCCGGGACGCAATCTGTGTCACGCCGGGCTTGGTATCTGCACTAGATTGCGTCTCCTCGAGACAAACGAGAAGGTTTCTTGCATCTCCCTGTGCGACTCTGTCCCCGTAGGAACGAGTAACCCCCGAACAGTAAAGCAAACGTGTGGTGATGGAGGGCCTGCTGCGAGATTGCGTCACCTCTCCATCCACAGGGATGAGGACCATTTGGAGGCCACCCATGGGCTTGTCTCCGTCTCCAACTGTTCCCTGCAGTTGCGCTGGTGGGCCCTCCCTCGCCTGTGGCGGCCGCTAAACCAGAGCGCTGGCGCTCTCTCAGCTGCCGAGACAACCTGCTACGCGAGAAATACCCCGCTGTCAAAGGGCCCCCGAATGGCCCAGAAATAGCTGGAGCTCTGGCGGAATGACCCGAAGGGAGGCCCTGGGGTGCCGTGATTCGCTGGGACGTACGTCCGGGGCGCCAGATCATCAGTGTTTCAGGGTCTGCATGCAGGAATGCGCAATGAGCAATGATGAAGGATCTCCATCTCCCTCATTGCCGTCCTCTGATGGAGCAGTAGGTCTAGAGTTCTGAGGCAGGAGGAGGATCAATTCAAGGCGAATCATTTCGAATAAAACGGCCGCTACTCTTTTTCCCCCCTGACCTGACCCCTCCTAAGTTCAACTAACGCATCGCCAACCACCACCACAAAGGAGGCACAGCCCCTCCTGCTGACGACAGTCTTTTGCCATCTCATCTCGGACATCTCGTCTCGGATCCGCTTTCGCTGGCCTTTCGAGCTGGAGTGGTGTCCGCAGAGCTCCCACGAAAGCAGGCACACAGTACTATTGAAAGGGCACTTGACCACTTGAGCTGAGCTGGATCAAGCGCCGGGCGCAGCCACAGAAGAAGGATACGACGCGGACCTCACTCGCCTCCCAGCTGGCCAACTGCAGCTAACTGGTGCAGCTACAGGTACGGCCGTTGAAGTGCTGTCGCGTGTGTGCGCCGATCTTCTGTCATCTTACTCATCCGTCAACGACAAGCGCTGCTCTTCGTGATACCAGTTGACCTACTACTTCTATCCCAGACCGGTTTCCGTTGATCCTCGGGGCCCGGTTCCCTTCCCACTACCGGTCTTTTCCTCGTTTTCTTTTTTCAAATCTCCCGACCGCTTCGTGATCACTCGTTGATCGACACTCGTTTGCACTCGAAAGGGAGGCTCTGGTTTGAGAGGCCACACATCTCATCTGCCTGGAGGAGCGCCAGTTCGGCTCGTCTCGTTTCAGAGCAGGCTTCCGCATTTTCCAGTGGAGTGGTCAGGTGGTGGTGTGCAACTGGATGCATGCGATCTGTCTGAAGTGAGCTCGTGAGCTGGCTGTTGGGCTGCAAGCAGAATCCGAGTCGTCCTTCTCTGACTATTCGTCTCCTTTCACCGCTCGTTTGCATTTTCTACACATATCGAGCATCTAGCATTCGCTTTCCTCCTGCCGTCTTTTTTTTTTTTTTCCTTTTTCCGTAGTTACTTACGATACCCTCTCCCACCATGCCTGCCGAGCAGCAACAGGTCGAGGCGAGGTCCCTCGCCGCCATCAACTACCTTGCCGCGAACCCTCCGCAATATCCCGTCAACCCGACCGAGGAGAAGCAGGAACCACTCACGCTGTACATCTCTAGGGTGCCTGGTACTCGAGGTGAGCTTGCTATATCGCAAAAGGCCCTTTTGGCTTAGCCCTTCCGGGCTGGTCGCGACTGACCTTCCTTCGCAGATGTGATCCTGTCTACTCTGAAGCCGCAGCGCAAGAACGTCACGGCAGAGGACGTCGCCAACTCGCTCTACTACATCCACCTGGACCAGCCTGCCGACGACCACCTGCTCGCCTCCGATGCGACCAGAGACCAGCACTCGCCGAGGGCGAGCGGCGAGATGGCGAGGGAGCCGCCACCACCCGTCACAACTATCCAGAGGAAACCCGTGCCCTCTGCTGCTGCTGCTGCTGCTACCAAGTTGCCCCAGCCGGAGACACCAGCACCCGAGGCCGCGACCCAAGACGCGCCGATCGAACCTGCACCGCCAACACCACCACCGAAACAGGATGACGGCGTGCCCATTCCGGAATCTTCAAACCTCGTCCCGCCGGGCTTCAAGCTCGAGCGCGGGCCCAGCATGGACGGCATCTCCGACCCCTCGGCTCCCAACTTGCCCCCGCGCCCGCCCCCGGGCTACGTCGCGCCGATCCCCCGGAAGCCACTCGGGCCGCGCGCTATGAACGCGCCCGCGATACTGGACCCGGAGGCAGCGCAGAATGCACCACCGCCACTCTCTGCAGCAGCGGACAGCCACGGAGCGCAGTCATCGTCGTTCGCGCCCCCGCGCACCCTCAGCCCTTCGAAGCCTTACACCCAGAGCCCGCTGGGCTTCGCGACCCCGCGCTCGCCCTCGCCGTCCAAGGCCCTGCCATTCACCCTGACGCTGATCCGCCGCGACCGGGCGGCGGGCCACCAGTGGAACGTAGGCAAGATCTCGTCGTACCAGCTCAACGAGCCGCTCCCGCCCGCCTCCCAGCACCACGACGAACGAGGTGGTGGCGGCGGCCACCACCACCACCATGCGGACCCGCCGCCGCCCAACGCCCTGCAGGCGGCTAAGCAGCCCACGATCAACATCCACATCGAGACGTCCGGGTACGCCAAGTTCCGCGGGTTCCCGGCCCTGACGCAGAGCCTGGACCAGCTGAAGCTCAGCCTCGACTCGTCGGCGTCATCGTCGGCGGCTGCCGCTGCTGCCGCTGCCCCCGGCCAGCCGCGCCTCAACGCCAAGAACGTCGAGGATCTGCTTGCCGCCGCCGCGGCTGCGGCATCGGGTGGGAACAGCAGCAGCAATAATGCTTTTTCTTGGTCGGCGGAGGAGGGGTTCGCGAGGCAGGTCGCCATGGCGTACACCAAGTCGTGGTCGTCCAACTTCAAGGACGCGCTGCACCGGAGGGGCCGGTCGAGCAGCCTGGACGGCCCTGGCGGGGGGTCGGCGGACGAGAATCCTTCGTCGTCTTCGCCGCAGCGGCAGCAGCAGCAGCAGCGGCACGGTCGGCACGGTAGCGTCGCGTCGACGGGATCCGCGGAGGACGGCGGCGGCGGTGGCGGTGGCGGTGGTGCTGTGGCAGACGACGGCAGCAACATGCTCATCACGCGGCCCGGCCCGGGGCTCAAGCCCAAGGGGTACTTCTTCGCCAGCCCGTGGGACGGGCGGTGCGAGTTCCGGACGGGCAACGGCGGGCGCAGCCTCAAGTGCCGGCACGTCATGGGGTCTGCGTCGGGCGGTGCCGGCGGCGGCGGCGGCGGCGGGATGAACCCGCTCGTGTTCGCGCAGGGCCTGCGGGACGGGCAGTCGCTGAGCGCGGCGGCGACGGGCGGGCGGGCCAGGGGCGGCTCGCTGAGCAGCGTCATCACGGGCGCGGTGGCGGTCAGCGAGCTGCGGTTCAACCTGCCCAGCGCCGAGATCTTCAAGACGCGCAAGGACCCGCGCGAGCCGCTGAGCCGGTTCGAGAAGTTCCTCAAGCTGGACCAGACGGCGGGCGGGAGGAGGATGATGACGGCTGGAGGTGGAGGCGCGGGGGCGCATGGGAGGAGCAGCAGCGAGGATGACGGGTGGGGAGCAGGGGAGTCCTTCTCCGAGGAGGTCGTCGAGGATGATGGGGCCGGCGGCGGGATCGGCGGGATCGGGGACCTGGGCAGGGAGAAGGCCGGGGGTGGGAACAGGGGCAAGAGGGCGAAGCTGGGCAAGCTGATTGTCTACGACGAGGGGCTCAAGATGCTGGACCTCGTTGTCGCTGCCAACATGGGGATTTGGTGGGGGGCTTGGGAGAGGAGTTTCTGAGCCGAGTGGGGGAGGGGAGGGAGGGAGGTGGGACGGGGAGATTGACTGATTTGCACTTGAGCGAGCGATCTTTACACGGTAGTACTGGCTGGCATTTGCATTGACGATACGATGGGATTGCTAGATTGATACCAACCAATACTTTAATAAGAAGAAAGGATGAGATGGGCGAATGTAAGGGGTCCTGTCGAGACGTGCAAGTTGGCTGGCTGCAAGATCTAGACTGTGGAGGAGCATCGTGCTGTGATTGAGCATCGTTTCTGGGCTAATATTGGCCGGATACCAACTCAGTCCGAATCTAAGCGATCTTTTCTTCTTATTTTATGCCGATTTAACTCCAAACATTGTTTCTCACAGCCATTTCTCTCGTGGTTCTGGTCTCGCTGCCGGTCTTGATGCCAAGAGATATCACGTGCCCAGTCACGCCTCGCTTGCTTTTCACCAAGGAAAAAGCTCAGACCAGTCCTCGGCAGAGCTCCGGCCAATCAGATCCCTCTGAAAGTTAATCCCGCCAAACACTTTCTCAAACCCGGGCGCTCGGTTGGCCACTTGACCTCACCACCCAGCCAAGGAGAGATCCTCATCCATCACGTCAAACCCGGCCCCAATTGACCTCCCAATTCGACGTCAGTCACTCTCTTGCGCCCTGGGGAGTACACCACATCTGCTGTATTCCTCCCGGACCTCCCCTCTCCTCCCCTTCCGTTCCTGACCTTGCTCCCGGCCGACGAGAGAAGACGACGAGAAAAAAATAAAAGATGGCACCGCCCGCCACGACCGCCATGCTGTCCCGACAGCTCGTCCGCGCCGCCTGCAGGACAGCAGCCTCCTCTCCGGCCTCGCGCCCTGCCCTCGCCTCCAGCAGCACCGCCGCCCTCCAGCAGCAGCGGAGGACGTACGCCACGCCGTCGGGCCCGCCGCCCAAGGGCTTCCGGCTGCCGGCCCCGACCGAGTGGGACCAGGAGAAGGAGGGCACGATGGACCGGGTCGGCAAATACTTTTTGCTGACCGAGATGGCGCGGGGCATGTATGTCCTGATGGAGCAGTTCTTTAGGCCGCCGTAAGTGCTTTTCTTGTTTCTCGGTGTCGGGTGGGATGTGTTGTGGGGGGGCAAGAGACGGATAGATGGATGGATGGATGGGGGGCTGTGGATGGGTTCAATGCCGGTGATGGCTGGCCTATTGGATGGGGACTGTGGTTTTCATGCTTCCTGAGCAATCTTGCTAACTGGATTGATCCCAGATACACTATTTTCTACCCCTTCGAGAAGGTACGTCGGGAATCCGCGCAGCCACGAATCGACCTCGCACGTCGCGGAGGAATTACACACGCTGTGCCAGGCAGATTGAACAAATAGAGATTGACACTATCGAACACACAGGGCCCCATCTCCCCCAGATTCCGCGGCGAGCACGCCCTGCGGAGATACCCCTCTGGCGAGGAGCGCTGCATCGCCTGCAAGCTCTGCGAGGCTGTACGTTTTCATCTATACCTTCCCGACCCCGACGCCACGTTCTCTCTCTAACACGTGCTCAACTCTGCAACACAGATCTGCCCTGCCCAGGCCATCACCATCGAGGCCGAGGAGCGCATGGACGGCTCGAGGAGGACGACGCGCTACGACATCGACATGACCAAGTGCATCTACTGCGGCTTCTGCCAGGAGTCGTGCCCCGTCGACGCCATCGTCGAGTCGCCCAATGCCGAGTACGCCACCGAGACGAGAGAGGAGCTGCTGTACAACAAGGGTATGTCTTGGATTTCGCGATTTAAAACACTCAGCTAAACTGGTACTGACGACCTGGCTACAGAGAAGCTGCTGGCCAACGGAGACAAGTGGGAGCCGGAGCTGGCGGCTGCCATCCGTGCTGATTCTCCCTACAGATAAAGAATGCTTGAGGGGTTGTATAGTGCTACGGGGAAGCGGCATTATTGAGATGAAGGTGTCTGCGAGGACTCGGACTGCCCGTCCAAGAATGGGGGCTCCAGGTCTGTGTCCCTTGCGTGTAGATAGAGGCTGTATATGAATACCAAATCTTTTCATTTGTGCATTTTTGAAGATTCAGACTATCGAATCATCCATCCATATGGTCTTGGATATGCAATGCTGTTCCAATTGACTGCTCTGAATGACTGCTCTGAATCAACGCATGTCCCGGATCGTGAGTGAGGCTGCCTTCGGCAAATAACGGCGATATCACGTGAGCCGGCTCAGCTCGGAGCTAAGCTTCCCTGCCCGCCCTGGCTCCAAAAAGCTCACAGAGTGCTCCAGCCAGTGGATGGCCCCGGATCTGGTCTGGCAACTGGCAACTGGCAAATCAATTGCTAGCGAGAAATTTATCACGACCTGCAGCCGACCTGTGCATCATCAATCAACTTCTCTCATTCACCTCGGTTCTCCATCCATCATCTCTGCCTTTCTTTCCCGCCCAACCCGGACCCTCAACCAATTGATACCCCGTTCTATTCTTCCCCCTTCCCTTTTGGTTCGTCCAGGTCCCCCCCGGAAAAACAAACAATACCGCAACCATGTTCCGCACCGCCGCCCTCCGATCCGTCGCGCAGATGGCCGCCCGCCCTGTCGCCCGCCACGCCGCCGTCGCCCTCCGCAGGAGAGCCGCCGTCGCCGCTGCTGCTGCGCCCCGCGTCCAGATCGCCCCTCGCGCCGCCGCGTGGACGGCCGTCCGGTGCTACGCCTCGGGCGGTGGCCTGAAGAAGGAGGAGGTCGAGGGCCGCATCATGGCCCTGCTGCAGGGCTTCGACAAGGTGCGTTTTTTTTTTTTTCGTAATTCTGGGGGCGGCCTTGTCTTTGTCTCCCTGCTTCCTTTCGCTCTCTGCTTGGGAGGGAAGTAGCAGAAGCGGGAATTGGATTGAACATTGTCGAGATCTGAGAGTGTCTTTTGGGTGGAACCAATGAGGAAGGCCAGATTACTAACTTTTTCTTTCTACAAACAGGTTAACGACCCGAGCAACGTACGTGATTATTTCGCCCTGTTTACAGCCTCGAAAGAGGGAAAGAGACTCGGATGACGGATTTACCCGCGAGATTGAAGTTGACACCATAACAGATCAAGCCCACCGCCCACTTCGCCAACGACCTGGGCCTGGACAGCCTGGACACCGTCGAGGTCGTCATGGCCATTGAGGAGGTACGATAAGAATGCATTGATGCATCCTGCTATGGAACAGACTGGCTAACGAGGTGGTCTTCTCCCCGGATACAGGAGTTCAGCATCGAGATCCCCGACAAGGACGCCGATGCCATCCACAGCAGTAAGCTCCAGTCCCCTAGTCGACCTATCGTCTTGAGATCTCCCTACTGACTCCTTACTGCAGTCGACAAGGCCGTCGAGTACATCTGCGCCCAGCCCGGCGCCAACTAAAAAGGCACACCATCCCACTACTCGCCATCACCCGAGCAAGCGAGTCTCCTTATCTCCTCTCCTCCCCCTTTCCATATGTGACCTTGTAAAAAATAGCAAAAGATATAAGAGAGAGCGAGAAGGAGGGGGGTGTGAAAGGGTGAAACCTACGCTTTTTGTACCATAGATGTCGGGGGCCCGTGTGTTGTCAGTTTGCGCGTGCGAGAGCAAGAGAGGTTGAGAGGGGACGGGGGGGAGGGAGAAACGCCACTCCTAATTCTAGACAAGATTTCGAACGGCGGGCTAGCTGAGAGCCGGTGTATGTTGCCGGAGGACCAGCGACGAAAGGCGCAGCTGAATGTCAAGATGTGAAGCTTTATCTACCTTGCTTTTGGGATGTGACACGAGTCTCTCAAGAGGTGATGATGCATGGCTGTTCCATTTCTCACAAACCAATAACACCGTGGAAATACATTCTCAGGTCCTTCAACGCTGCTTGATGTGATACTGGGTGAACGTGTAGATGAGTTTTGTGTATTGTGGACTCTGTCTCTGTGCAGCCTCCCTGCCATCTTGTCCATGAGCTTCCATCATCAACGCTCTTCCCCTCCCCTCCCCACGCAACAAACGAAAGCCGCCAGACCTTGACTTCCCAAAGTCCGAGAGGGTAACACCAATCGAAAAGGGCTCCCAGCATTACGGATCATTGTCTCACAGTATCATAGGACCCTATGTATCCCTGAACCTCCCTGATGAAACTCCCGTTGCGCCTCTTAAAGAAAAGGGGGGGGGACGAAAAAGACAGGTGAGTCTATCCGTTTCGCGTATTGCAATTGCAATTCCCTTAGGTACATTACCAATCATTCATGCATGTCCTTAGGTCCTCCCTCTCCAACGGGATGACAAACAAGAAGCCTGGTGATGGGAGCTGAGAACCAGAGCAAACAAAGCTCAAACTGAACATATGACGACAAGTCGTGTATTCAAGAGAGAGAGAGAGAGAGAGGAACGAGTGGAAGAGGTTCATATAGGATTGATTAAACGCGGAAGATAAAGGCAAAATGCTGCTCCATTACGCAATGCGCACAAGCCGAAAATAAATTATTCAAGAAATCCCAAGAAAACAGATGATGCAGAGTACAAGAGATAGCGTATTTTTGAATACCGGTATTGATGCTCCTCATAAAAAAGGGGAAAATGAGAACTCCCGTCTCTATCGTCTTCGCTTTGTCTTCGCTTGAATAACATTCAAATCACCCAGCCAGCCCAGCCATCCAGAAAGCAAACGCTTCTTTTCCTGTTTTTGTTTTCTCTTGCCGTCTGGCCCGTCCGCCCCGAGAATGCGACGGTCTGTCTATCTTCCGAGGTGGGTGTCTCGTATGCTATGCATGTAATCGTATCCCAAGTGATGTCATGTACGCCAGGCGCCGTCGGGTCGGGTGTGTCTTGGGTTTTTGCGGTTTGGAAGAAAACCAAACGAAGCGGGCAAACCTGCTCTATCTTTCCTTGACTCAAAGGAAGAGGGCTTCCAGCGACCACGAGACGAAAAGGCAGCGAGCTTCCTTTCAAAGCGTCGTCGACCTAGCCCGCCACGGCGATGGCTGCGGCGGCGCATGGCCATCAGGTATCGTTGACTCGGCATCAGCACCCACCCGTTCCTACTGGGCAGGTGCCGGCCGACTCTTATTCGCACCACTACCGCCGCCGTTGGCCGACGAATGCTTCCCCGCCGCGATGCCAGCATAGCTCCATCCTCCGCCACCGACACCACCGCCTGAAGCTCTCTTCCTCGCCCTCAGCTGCGCCTCGTCCTCCTCCTCCATGCTAAACACAAACGACGGGTCCTCCTCGTCGATGGGCGTCGTGAACCGCCCCGTGACAGAGGACCCGATGGACCCGCTGCTGACGTGCCTCTCGAGTCCCCGCTCCCGCTCCCGCTCCTTGCCGATGATGCCCACGATGCCCGCCTTGGCCGCCGCCGCGTTGGGGTGCAGGTGCGGGCTGCTCGACGCGCCGGCGGCGCCGCTGCCGTCGTCCGAGAGCCGCGTCCGCTGGAGCTGCTGGGTGAGGGCCGAGGTGGGCTCGCCGCCCGAGCGGCTGCGGCCGTTGAGCCGCATGCTGTTGAGCTCACCGTCGGTGGCGAGGCTCGAGTTGCGCAGCGGGCTGCCGACGTGCCCAAACGCCGACGCCGCGGCGTGCTTCATCGACCGGCCCATGCTGCCCGACTCCATCTCCTCCTCCCTCTGCCGCTGGAAGAGCGGGCCCCACCGGCTCGGGCTGCCCGAGTTCATCGGACTCCCAAACTTGGTGAGCGACGAGCCGGTGGGGATGTCCCTCGCCTTCTCCTCCTCCGTCAAACGTATCGAGCCCCTCCTGGCCTTCTCCTGCGGCGTCAGGACTTCGTTAGCGAGCGAGCCGGGGACGTAGTCCTCCTCCAGGAACATGAACTCCTGGTCCCAGTCGCGGTCGACCTTGGGCGCGCTACTGCTCATGAGCTTCGGCTTGGCGTACCGGAACGAGCTCGAGTGCATGGCCCGTTTTCCAAAGTGCTCTTCCACGCCCCAGTTTGCGGGCGGACTACTTCCGATGGCGCTGCTATCGTGCGCAGAGGCAAAGGTCGAGAATTGATCGCCGCCAAAGGCGGAAGAGCGCAGGTTCTTGAGCGTCTCGGAGGTGCGGTCATCCCTGGCGTTGTGCAGGGACGGCGAAGGCGACTCGAGACCGAATTGGGACGGCACCGAGGCCGGCCAGGGACCGTAGCGTGCCGCATGAGAGATGCCGTTCGAATCGAACGATGCCGGCAGCGGCGCGTCCATCACAGACAGAACCTTGGTGTTCATTGGCGACAGGCCCAGGCCGAGCCGACCAGGGTCGTCTTCGCGGGGCGAGCCATAGTTGGAGGTGGGGTCGGCGGAATATGTGGTATCAATGGTGGGCAGACCATTCTCCATGCTCGGTTGCCGGTCGAGCTGGTGGTCAAATCTCTCGTCGCCGTAGGGATTCGCAGCAGTGTAGGGTGGGACGCCGTCGGCTCGCATGAACGAGTTGGTGAGGGCGCTGCTGGAGGATTGCGGGAAAGTCGGGGGGTTCACGCGGCTGCCCAGGTTGATCGAGGCATTGCCTATCGTGACTCCGTTCTTGTGGTAATTGATTCGGCGGCCGTCGGGGAGAACATGGATATTGGCACATCGGGGGCCAAATTTGCAGTTGCCCTGTAGCACAAGATTGATCAGAATGGAATCTCGTAACGATTTAAGGCTGTCCTTGTGTCACAATCTCGGACGAGGCTCCAGTCCGGCCGTCGGTGCAGAGGCGAGGAGGAGGAGGAGGGGCTCATACCTTGGCAAAGTACTTGCAGACGGTCTCGGTGGCGACGCCGATGTCATGGCTGAACGGGCACGCTGACCCAGCCTGGCAGGCGCCTTGACGGAAGAACTTGCAAGGGACGTGGGAGGTGTCTGTCAAGAGAGAGGGCTGTCAGTCAAATGGCGGTTGCTTTCTCCCACGCGACATGATGGCGCGTGTGCGCTCGACCCCGATTGCGGCTCCCGATCGGCAATTCTCGTCGCACAGGCGGGACGGAATGAGTCGAGGGAGAGAGCAGCCTAAGGCCGGAGGGCCAAATCAATCCGGGCAGGGCAGGGGATTGCAAAAACTCACTGGGCGGGCTCCGAGGCCCTTCGAATCTCTGGGAGGCGGGCGCGGGATTCATGGTGCCCTTGTGCGTGGTGGTGGCCTGGGGTGGGATGTTGAGGCTGCCAGATCGCATGTGCCGGTATTCAGGTAAATTCGAAGCAGGCATGGCTTTTTGTGGGCGGCAACAGGCGACAAGAGCGCCGTCGGGTGGTGCGGGTGTGCGATAGAGTAGCGGTCGATAGAGAAGAATTGCGTTAACCGGCCGGTAGGTCAGGTTGGCTGTAGTTCCAGACGGACCGACGCCAGGGCAGCAGTCAATCCGGCCCAAAAGCGGGCGACTCAGACGAAACGCGCGACACGCAAAAGAGCTCGAGGCGTTCCAAAGTGACGCCCGCCGCTGGAGTTTCCGTCTTCTTTTAGGCTTGATTTGGAGAGGGGCACCGCAATTGCTCGGGGGCGGCGGGTTGCAAAATAGAGGGGTCGGGGGTGGCCTGCGGGCGGTGGAAGATAGCAAAAACGAGCGAGACCAGACCAGGCACGACCTAAAATGACGCTATGCTCGCTACCACATTCTTGAGTTTCTCGAGATGCGGTTTGTGGTTTGAGGGATGGGAAAGTCCGTGGATAAGGTTGGAAAGTTCAGACAGCGGATAGAGCCGTCAGAGGAGTTTGAATGGCACCTAATGGGTCCAGATATCCAGGTGTCCACGGAGCTATGCGAGTTCAACTGCGTCGCCCAACCATGGGAGAGGAGTGCATAAGTAAGGCCAACATGGGTTTGCATGTAAGTACGGAGTGCGGCAGCAGCAGGAAGGCGGATCTCCGAGAGGCGTGGCGGTGGACGCGCCCAGGCAGGCCGTGATGGAGGTGAGGGGAAACAAGAGTCCGCCTAGAGACTAAGAGTATGCAGATTCCAAGGCAAGGTGAAGATATCAGGCCGATAGTAGCTAGATGGGCACGCAGTCGCGCCGCTATCAAGTGTCAAGGGGGCTAGCTTATTGCCGAATGTGGTTGCGTGTGTGCGTTCGGTTCGCCTTTGGATATCCAGCTGCAGCCAGGGATGTCAGGGTTTAGGTCTGATACGTGATGCGGTAGAGGGAGAGGAGGAGCCTGCGAGGGGAGAGGTCAATAACCCAGACCTGGGTAATAAGATGGAAGTGTGTCGGGAGATGTCTACCAGGTTTATCTAGAGCGGAGTGCTCCATCCAAATACCTCTCGGGTCGACCTCCTCATCTTGCTTCTCCTCCTCGCCATCAGCAGACTTGACCTCCAAAGTCCGGCTGGTTACGAATGCTCTGCGTCTTGCTGTCGTTGTTCTTCCTGGGGTACACCTAGACACACAGGAGGCAGTGTACACCTGAGAGGCAGTCGTCCCAGAAGAATCCTGGATCCGGGGTGTGCCTGGGGTTGTGTCCTGGCCAATCAACAGGTGTAAGCGACATGGTTTCGTGCCGTGGATGCTGGGGGTGCTGGATCAGGCCGCACACCCACCCACCTCCCCTTCTTGGATGTTCGGAGGCAGAGGCTAGGTACAACAACTAGATTAGATCCGCACCGTCTTTGATCACTTGTCTTGAACGCTGCAGTGAGACGTGAGAGTGAGATGGGATGGGACGTTGAATGATCAGTGGGGAGGCAGTGGGGGTCAGTCGGGAGCAGCTCGGTTCAGTTCTGATCAATCAGTCAGTCGCCGTGCCGGGAGAAGACCTGCTGCTTCTGGCTGCGAATTCACCTCTTTCGTGAGTCCGTCGCCGCACGTATGATGGCGGTTACCGAACCCAAGGCAAGCCGGACGGCTCCAGCCAAGTTACCCTCAGCTCGAACGCAATCCTGTTTGTGGCTCTCAGCTTGGCGTTCTCCGAGTCGGATCAGCAACTAGCTGGAGCTGGGGCGAAACTGGCTGGCACGGTGCGCGTTGTGTGCGGTTGTGTGCGTGTGTGTGTGCGCGCACGCGTCGGTCCAGTGGGTGTGGTGGAGAGGCTCTCATGGTGGCTTGGCCTGCTGGATCCGGCCATGATGGTGTTGAGGGGATTCAGAGAAACATGCATCATGTGGTGCGCCATGACAAACGCACCCAGGTCTGGGGACAGATCAGATATCGTTATGACTCTGCCATGACGCCCGGAGCAAGAGCGGAGGACCTCAAGTCTACACCGCCTCCAGTCTGGTCTCGCCGTCTCTTCCGGCCTGTTTCAGGCAGGAGCAACCCCACGATGCGATCGACTCGGAACATTATGAGGGCAAGGGCAGGCAGCCCAGATACTCCTTTCCTGGGCCATCCCCAGTGGCAGCCGCCTTTGATGGAATAGAGGGAAAACCTACGGGGGCAAACCCAATCACAGAGCGTGCGTCCACGATGATTCTCAGCCAACCTACCTTACTTCAGCTATGGCTGCTTTCTATTGATGCACTCTAGGCCCGTTTGATATCACATCCAGACAAAACGGGCCACCCTAACTGTCCAGGCCATGCCTCCTACGGCTCCCATGACCTCCGGAACGGCCCACTGAGAGGCCAAGCCACTCCGTCCTCGCCGGCACGCCAGCATCCTTTACGTACAAGTAGTTGCTGTTTGCTACCATGTACTTGTATCATGGATCCGAGATAGTGTGCTCATCCCTTGCCCTTCAGAGCATTACGTACTTGACGTGCTTCCCCAGGGCCCATCAGCAGGTGCGCCGTTTTGACGCAGCACGGCAGCACTGCGGGATGTTTCGTCTCGGTGCGGTTGCACTCGCCGTTGATGGCAGGTATCGTGCCTCTGTGTACTTGCGCCCGCGTCTTCCGGAGGTGCGCCTGGCCAAGCAGAGCGAGACTGGAGGCTCACCGATGGCTCGTCTCCCTTGGGTGTAAGACACGAGGCAGGAGTGTGTGGGCGCTGGTGGGCGGTGTGTGTGCGCTTAGGGAGCGAGCCAGAGTGGACGAGGCCGAAGCTCAGACGATGGTGGCGTTGCGGTCGTAGGGTTCGGTAGGGGAGGGGATCCCTGTGACACCCCCTGTACGGACCGTGCCCAGGTGGCTCCACCACACTAAAGGCCCGCCATAGCGGGGAGCGGCTCGTACCTTTTTAGCGGACAGTCGCTGTGCAAGCTGCCACAGTCTGAGGGCGGATCCTGTGAGGGTACATTGATCCGTGAATCAAATGCTCTGTCACCGGAGAAAAAAAAGAAGGACAGGAGACCTCCATGATGAATCATCTCGCTCAAAGGGCATACCCATGTCCTCTGTATCGCACAAGTACAAGTACATGAATTCTTGCCGGCATCCTGGTCAGCTCTCAGCAGCCGAGACATCCAGACACCATTCAACACCATCCCACCAGACCAGGCCGGGGACTGTTTGGAGTGTTGCAGCGACGGCGGTGAGGACATCGCCGGCTCCAACACTAACTAAGTAGAATACGACTTTACTTTCTGTCTGTCTGACTCTGTTGCGGCTCACCCCGCAACTGTTGAGAGTACGAGCGAGGGAAATGTTTTGGCCTACGGACCACACCCCTGCTCCGGGCGGCGATCGTCTGCCGCAAGTGCCGCGCACGCAATGTGTGCGAGCCGGGATGTGTCACAGGGCGAACAGGCTTATCTCGACTGCAAATGCACACTGATCTGCACTTTGTAGATCCAAGGGTCCGCAACATCTCTGTCTCCCCGGTCGGCATCAACCTAGCAATCTCGGGATGGGCTTGTTCGTTATCGTTGACTCCCTCTCCTTCCTCCGAGCATGCATCGTGCCAGAATACCTTTGCTCTCAATATTGCTCTCCTCGAGAAAGGCCCGTCACATCTCATATATCCCAAGGCGACCACCACTTGCACACTATATCCAAATAAAGAACAGAAGCTCGCTTCTCCACACGTTTCCTACGCCTTGGCAATCGCCCACACACCCTCTCCCTATGTACAGCCCATACCACTCGTGTTTGCCTCCCGGTCTGGGCCACCTACAGGACGATAGTTTGTCTGTCTGCCTTGTCCTATAGCATGTACTTCATTCTTTTGCACCAGATGACTCCCTTGACCACACCACTATGCTCGACACCACTCTATCAATCCCACATGCTCACTTGATCAAGACATGGTTGCCCACCAGATGCGGGCCCACCACGAAGTGACGACATCTCTTCCCGATATGGCCTGTAGCTCAGGTAGTCGCATTGAAAAGCACACTAGGTTCCCTGTTTCACCTGACTAAATGTCTCCTTTCGTGCGCCATGAACTTTTCTAGCTGAAATACGATATCCAGGCGATTCCATACGAATGCTGTGGAACAGCCAAGGTCTTGATCAAGAGCACTGGAAAAAGATTTCCCCAGTACGTCTCTAGGAAGGGGGATGAGTTCGGTTGAGTTGAGTGTGGTCTGCGGTGCGATCAGTGTACTGTATCATTGTTGCTGCCAGGAGAAGAACGATAGAGAGAACTTCGTAGAACACCAAGCGCTCTATGTGACGGTGGCCAACGTGAGGTCATTGCTACGACATGGGCAGTCTTTGCTCCTACGATTTCCTTAGTTGCCCGGGCTCAATGATGTTTCTGAGCACGACGAAACCAGATGCATTATGCTACCTTGTCAATGTCACCATCCCCCACAGGTGCAACGCCGTATAGCTTCTGGCTGTTTCAGATAGGTTGGCAAGCACACTATGTCCCCTAGGACAACTGAGACTCTTGCGGGCTCGTCAAAGAACTTCCCATCCAGAGCAGCAATGCACACGTTCCATCCCGCGGAAGCCGCCAGAGCCAAAATAATGTCTCTTCCAGTGGAATTGTTGCACGTGAGCCACCTTACAATGTCTTGATAGCTCCACATGCCTCCCCTAACGAGTGTACGCTCCGAGTTGTAGCACGAGATAGCTCGCTTGACTCCTTGCATATCGTCAGAAAATGGTTTTGGCAGTGAAGATCCCAGATCAGAAGACTCGACTGACCATCCCTGATAACCGCGATCCACTGAGCAGCTTCAAAAGAATTCCGCTCAGCGACATTTGCCGATGGTTCCTCCAGTCTTCGTGGCGTATAATTCCAGAGAGCGTCTTCAGGTCCTCCTGAGCCATAGTTAGCACGAGCCCCAGGGTGTCATTCTTATCCACAGTGATGCCACCGCCCAAGCCTCGTGTAGAACAATGATCCCAGCCCAACCCTATGTATATCTATTTACTCTTCTCACGTGGAGCTTTGACGGCTATGCCAGCATCACCGCCACTGTTGGTTGTGAAGTTGGACTAGCAGCCAGTGTATCTGTTACCAGTATCGCAGTCGCCATCCCAGGGGTGGGCTGGTCTCCATTCTTGTTGGTCTGCTGTGCTGTTCCTGAGGCTTCCTGATCAGCAGCAGTCATCGAGACAAGATGCTCCCACAAACGCCATCGCACAATCGGCAATCCGAAGACCCGACCTCTGGTACATCTTGCCGCTACTAGAACCGCAGCTTCTCCTCCAGTCTCTTTATCAAGTCAGTGCCAGGCGAGAAATGGTTGCGGTGAAGGGAGACGAGCCCGCCACAGGCGATGACATGGTATTATGGTTCCTCTTAACCCGAACTACACCAACGATATAGATATTGACACGTCCTGAGCCATGAGATCGAGGGCAAGTATTACTTAGTCTAACCATGATTCCGGCATCCGAGCCTGACTGCTTTAGCCCCTTTCGATCTGCTGAGATTTGCGAAAGATCACCTTTATGATGAAATACATGGTAGCTCTGGGATTTGTGAACCTTCGCTGTTGCACACTGATCTTCACTTTAGATGCAGCCCATGTCCCAACTCTTACAACGTCTCTAATAAGATAATAAAGGACGTGACTACAGGCGCCGCCAGAAGCCTCAATGAGAGGCTTACCGGACCAGAGCCTTTCTCAGCATGAGTATACCTAATCGTCCCTTGGTACTGCAGCCATGTTGGCATCGTCACTGCCGTGATCATCGATTTCGGCGGGATGTGGCGTCCGGATCCAGTAGTCGACAGCGAAATCGACCAGCTGCGGCATGGGGGCGATGAAGCCTTGGGCCATTGCGACGGTTCCCAGTCTTGCCACGCCAGAGACTACGGCAGCAGCGCCGACGGCAAGAAACTCGTCCTCATCATCCATGACCCTCGGGACCTTAAACTCCACCCAACGTCGCTGTCCGTCCACGATGAGAGGTGCGCCCTCATCGACGGTGAGCCGATTCGGCCATCGAATGTGCTCTGCAAGATGCAGAGCAGTGCAACGGTCAAAGCCCACTCCGATCAGTAGAATCTTGGCGTCGAGACGATAGAGTACGCCTGAGGGCGACGTGGGTCCCAGCGGATCGCTCAGTTTGTGACGCGCCGTGATCTCCTCCGCGTGTCGGCCCCACGCTGCCATCGAACAAGAGGGGTGGGAACTGCGCAGAGTCCCCGGCCAGGTACGAAACACCTCGACGACGGCTCCCATGTCGCGAGTGGGTGTCGTGGCCGGGTCGTATGCGGGCATGGTGGAGCGAATGATCTCTTCCCAGTCCGTCGGGACGGGAGGATCGCACCAGTTGGCCGGGTCCGTAAGGTCAGCAGAATGGGCTGGCATCGCTACGGTTCCGTCCGACCCGACTGCGTCGAGCAGCGTCTGGACGACGGCCACGGGTCCTCCGCTCACCCATCCCAGGGATCGGAGCGAGGAGTGGACAAGCACGACGTCGCCCGGTTCGATGCCCAGACGTGCGAAGTCACGTTTCAAGGTTTCCCGAGTAGCGGGGGTCTTCGTCCGTTCAATTAGGCCAGAGGTGCTCCTTTGCCGAACAGATCCATCATCTGGGGCCGTGGGTATTCCCATTCTTTACTCGCTTTTGATGACTGCGTGTGGGTGATGGTCCGATCACTGGCCGAAGTGTTGAAACGCAGGGCTTATGTTTTCACCCCCACCATTTCGCTGGTCTTTCGACACAACACAAGAACGCTCCAGGCAACAAGAAACTCGACAAGTTGCGTTTGTCAATCCACGACTGCGCTTCGATGATGGATTTGATTCACAATTTGGTTTGTCCAGAGCGCAACAGGATCACCTGAATGGTGAAATATATGGCCATAGCCCCCTTTGAGATGCGTATGTCTTCTCTGTTGCACAACTCAGCGGTCCAGTTATACCGTGCTCTTGAGTCCTTGCAACTTGGGATCTAGAATGAAAATGAACGTTCTGCGCCATTCTCTACTCAGGAATTGATAGTAGGTTAACTGGCTAGCCATGGAATACATATCAATCATGATGATGGATCTGCCTATACCACCATGTGTAGGAACCATCAGCCTGCAGCGCAACGTTGAATCCAATTCGACCTCGATCAGGCACCCAGTAGTGTTTGATGTTCTCCCTATCTGTAATCAGTCCCGCAATTAGAGTGCCAATCGAGGCCAATTCGTGGAACACCAATATACGGGCCCGATGCGGCTCAATCTCCGGACGGTAGCCATTGACCAACCAGGTCAGCAGTTACATCATGCTCCCATGTGTTGATCATGGCTATTGTCGATTCTTGGATCAACAACTCTTGCAAATATGAGAATGAGTCAGGTAGGCGTCTGTTGTTGAGGTTCTTTTCCGGAACCACGGCAAGCAACGGTTGGGTTGGAGCACGTTGGAGATCTCATGATGATGCTGGTGACTGAATTGACTAAAGCACCTACTAGGTAAGGTAGGCCCTGCCAATTTCTGTGCTGAGAATGGTCTCGGCTATGGTTGGTGTTTGGCGCGAGGGAGAAAGTGGAGTGACATAGAAAAAGAGGGCCCAGCTGAGGGGGAGCTTGGCCCGTCTTGTGGCCTGTGCGCGACATGCCTGATTCACCTCATTATTTAAGTAGCCGGGAGCACCTGCCCTCTCAGCGAGCTACCCCTCTCCACCGAACCAGGAAGTTACCACCAGTTTCAAAGTACCCGCCTCTGCCTGATCTACATTAGCTGTAGGTAGCTCTGCAGCCCTCTTGACGCCAACAAGATACCCTTCGCGAGGGTACCCCAGGGCAACCCATCAAAGTCACTTCTGGAGCCCCCAAGCTCGCACCACTGCTGGTGCTGCTGTTGTTGCTGCTTGCTTGTTTCCTGCCCATCTTGCCTGTCGCGAGTCGCATGAGCCGCCACCAGACAAAGAAAGAGCCGAGAACATCAGCATCACCGCCGTCTTCAACGTCGCCAATCCCCAATCCGGCCACTCCAACGCGCCCAAACTGCCACCTCGCGCGCTGCGACGAATCCAATTGGCACAAGGACCGCCGCTACTACCAAATCGGATCTCCTTCCTCCATCCTCCAACTTCCCAAGGCCGATCCGCAACCACGCAAACCAAGCCCGTTTGCGCCATTGCCGCCTCCGCCTTCGATCCCGTCTTTCAACAAAGAGGCCGCCCTGCCATGGGAATAACAAGCCGCTCAGTCGCTTCCTTCGTCATCCCCTCCACATCGCAACTTCCACCGTCCTCGTGATCGTCCAGACGCTGGAAGTTTCTCTCTAACTTGGTGAGTTGCGACTCCGCATCCGCATGTCCCCTGCATCATCGCCATCATCATCGCTTTACGTCTTGGTGTTTTGTTTTGGAGAGCATGTCTTTCATCCCGGCCTTTACTACCAAAGCATCATCACCACAAGACCATCCTTTGTTGGTGGTTCATCCTATGCCGGTTGCATTATGCGCCTTTCTTCATCGATATAGATGTCTTCTTGTTGTTCCTCATTACCCTTTGAACTTCAATACACACACAGCATCTCCATATCTTGATCTTCAGCAGCGCCATACCTCCACTGCTATTCCCCATTGCATCGTGTTATGTGTCCTTATTCTTTGCTGACAATGGCACCTCTCACAACAGGCGACACCGCGCTTGAGCGCAGACTTGCTTCCCTCTCCATTCGAACCCGATACCGGCGCAACCCTGACACTGCCATGGCCGGAGGCAAGAAGGGCGAGAAGCTTCTCACCCTCGGCTCCCGCCTCAAATACCCCATCAAAATCACCAAGCTCTACAAGAGCGCTGGCGAGAAGGTCAAGAGGCAGGAGCCCGTATTACAATATTCTTTCCAGTGGCTCAAGGAGCTGCACAACAAGGACACCGGCGAGCTAGAAACCCAGGAGCTGACCAGCCTCGCCGAGTGGAATGCTCCCGAAGACGGACAGCTCATCGCCTGGCACCTCCAACCGGGCCAGGTTGTCGCCTCTGACAGCCCTTGCATAACGGTCGAGGAAGCATGTACCCACGAGATCCAGTTTCAAGGTCTTTGCGCTCTGTGCGGCAAGGACATGAACGAGGTCAACTGGGCCAGCGAGCACCGTGACACCGAGCGCGCCCCCATAAACATGACGCACGACCAGACTAGTCTGACGGTCAGTCAGATGGCCGCAGCCAAAGCAGAGAACGAGCTGCAGAGGAGGTTAATACAGGACCGCAAGCTGAGCCTGGTTGTCGATCTCGATCAGACCATCATCCACGCCTGCATCGAGCCCACCATTGGCGAATGGCAGCGAGATCCCTCGAATCCCAACCACGAAGCCGTCAAGGACGTCAAGAGCTTTCAGCTCAACGACGACGGTCCCCGAGGCCTGGCCAGCGGTTGCTGGTATTACATCAAGATGCGGCCGGGCCTCCACGACTTCCTCAAGCGCGTGGCTGAAAAGTACGAGCTGCACGTCTACACGATGGGCACCCGTGCGTACGCCATGAATGTCGCCAAGCTCGTCGACCCCGACCAGGCGCTCTTTGCCAACCGCGTCATCAGCCGTGACGAGAACGGCAGTATGACGGCCAAATCCCTTCAACGACTCTTCCCCGTCAGCACCAACATGGTTGTCATCATCGACGACCGTGCCGATGTCTGGCCCCGCAATCGACCCAACCTCATCAAAGTCACACCCTATGATTTTTTCAAAGGCATTGGAGACATTAACTCCAGCTTCCTTCCGAAACGAGAAGATCTGCTCAAGGGACCCCCTGGCGCCCCGCCGCCCGCTGCCAATGGCGCACAGGCGCAGGGAACACCAGAGGCCACGGTCAACGGCACTCCCGATAAGATGTCGGCTCTAGAGGAGCTTGCCCGCATGAGCGGTGGCGATGACACCATGCTCATTCAGAAGCAGACGGAGGAGCAGGAGCGGACCCTCGAGAAGCAGATTAAGGATCGGCCTCTGGCGCATCTGCAGGCTGAGCTCGACAAGGAAGACTCCGAAGCCACTCCCATTCCTGCGCCGAACGGCGATCAGCCTCAGCAGACACCAGTGCCTCATCGACATCATCTACTACTTGACAATGATCAGGAGTTGGCCTTTCTCGAGAAGCATTTGCTCGGTCTACACGAGACCTTCTACGAGGAATACGACGCTCAAAACCGAGGCAGGAGTAGTCGCGATATACCGCTCGTTCCCGATGTTGGCCATGTCCTGGACAAGCTCAAGGCCAAGGTCCTGAAGGGAACGTCAATAGTATTGTCGGGCATAATCCCATTGGGCTACGATGTGAGGACGTCTGAGATTGGCTTGCAGGTGCAGAGCTTTGGCGCTTCTCTTCATACAAGAGTAGGCAAGCACATCACTCATCTGGTCATTAGCAGTGACCGGCCGAGGACGGCTAAGGTCCGACAAGCCGCTCAGATCCCTCACATCAAGATCGTCAACCAAAATTGGCTGGCAGACTCGTTGAGCCAGTGGACAAAGTTGGACGAGACGCCATACCTAGTACGCCACCGTTATATCAGCTACTTCACCGCAGCCACAATCACTAACACACAAACCTATCAGATTGATGTTCATCCAGCCGATCGTGCCAAAGCCGCCGCGACGAACGAGACCACAGATGCCGAGACTATTTCAGACGCCGACGACAGCGACGATCCGACGGGACAGAGCAGGAACAAGTTTCGGATTATCGTATCCGACCCGTCTGGACAGATGGGCGAGGACGATGATGACGAAGACGCGGATGATGGGGACGACGATGACGATGGTGAGGATGAGGAGGAGGAGGAGGAGCGCGAGCTCGATGACGCCAGCAGCCCTATGGATGACCTCAAGACGTTTGACTGGGCCGATGCTGATGCCGAGCTGGCCGAGTTCCTCGCGGACGAAGACGGAGACGAGTCCGAGTTTGCCGAAGACGGCAAGTCGGAGATGGAGAGCGAGGCCGAAGGTGAAGGAGACACGACGCTTCTCTCGGCCGGTGGCACCAAGCGCAAACACGAAGAAGACAGCGAATCTGACGGCGACGGGTCACGGACGGAAAGCCTGATTGCCAAGAAGCAGCGAATAGCCAGGAATCGCGGCGCATCCGGGCTCAGGGAGGTGCAGACTCCGGGCGGCGGCGATGGAGCCCCTAACAATGGTGCTGACAGCCTGCCCACGCCGCAGGTGAATGGCGGCGCCGATATGGATCTGCGGAAACAGAAAGCGGGCATGATCGTGGCCGACAATCAAGACGACATTGATGACGCGCAGCTCGAGGCGGATCTCATGGCTGAGCTCGAGGCCGACGAGGCGGAAGCGGCGGCGACGGCGAGTGCGGCGGCAGAGCAGAGCTAGGAGAAGCTGTCGCGGGTGATCCCGAGCAGTGTCATACGGGGCACGTGCCTCTTCTGAACAAGGAGCGTTCATAAAAGGCATCGTTTCATATCTTGTAGAGTAGCAAAGCCGGTGGAGTTTGTCGGGCAGGCGTTTTTTTGACCTCGAGTCTCGGGTGATCTCATTGGCGAAGCAAGCACAGCGGCGGCCGGGAACTGTGTGTTTTGTTATGTGAGGGGCTCTTCGTCGGTCAGTGTACTTCTTATTATTACGACGACGGTGTTTTTGCTGCTTGGAGGCAGGCAGTCAAGGCAGGTGGGCACGATAGGGTGGTCTTTGTAACGCGATACCCTTCTGATTGTGCGGAGAGGAAGACATTGAGACAGAGAGCAGATTCCATGGGCCGGCGTTCTTGACGATGCTTGGCCTTTATGATATGACAATACAATACAAACACGGCAGAGTGTTGCCCTTGTACATGAAAATGAATGGATGGTATTTATGTGTGATGCACTGCAATCGTGAGCGAGAACTACTCTGAATTGGGAACGTCATGTCATGTTGATGTATCTTGGATGTTATTCCAGTATTATTTTAACATGGTTTGTAATTAACATGCTAGAAATAAAAATACCATATTGCAACATCCGGATTTTGATCTCTACTAAAGCTGCGATGCAGATGAAATCTGGAAATTTTTATTGAATACCCCTTGCAGATGCTACCAACATTTACTGTGACCTTTATTTTATGCCTGTTGGAAAGCAATCCGCTCTTGAGTTCGTGAAGGCAGCTTTGCTGGTCGCGCCTGCGCGCCTCCCCAAGCAACTGGTGATGCCGCATGAGTGGAGCCGGAAGTCTGGCTTACATAATATTCTCTTGGTCTTGAACCAATCAAAATCCCCATGTTTGCAAAACGAATGTGGGTCTCTCTGCCCATCGAAAGCTACGACACTTTCGCTTTTGCCGACGTCGAGCGAAGCCATCCCGAGAATCATAGCAAGCCATCCGAACCTCCACGCTCAATTGAACACCCCCTAACCCCGCAAACAAGAGGAAGGGGCGAGACGACAGACCGAACCTCACACTTTCCCTTTTATCGAATCGGAGGAAGGGTTCCTCAGCGCGAACCCCCGAGAGACTCGCCCGCCATGCCGCAGGACATGCCGCCCGTTGGCGGCTACGGAGCCGTGCAGTACAAGGTGAGTCAACTCGTCGAGTGATGTCAGGCCGGCTGAGTGGTGGACGGTGTCTCTGGGGAATGATGGAGGGAGGGGGATTGGCCTGGGATTGTGGTGTTTGGGACAGTCGCAGTCAACAACGGAGAGGGCATGCGAAGCGACGGGGAGATGGTCAGGACGGGTCAGTCTACAGAATGGAGAGAGCCATGCGAGCCATTGCCAAACGTAATCGGCAAGAGGAGGAGACGAAACATTGGGACCCGAACATCAACGGCTGGCCCGGCTGGTGTCTGGCTTCTCTGCCGCTGGATTGCGTCGTTCCTAGAGAACAGGATGCGAGGAGGGAGGGGACAGGCGCGAATGGCAGACGGGCAAACACATGACTGGAGACACCAGGGCCGTTGGCATCATCATCATCAAAGTACACACAGCTAACCATCTCTCCTCCTTCACAACAGCGCAACCTCCCCGCCCGCGGCTTCCGCCCCGCCGCCCTCCTTCTCGGCGCCGGCCTCGTCATGGGCTTCGGCTGGTACAAGCTGACCCTCGGCATCCGGGAGCAGAAGTAGGTCTTCCCCTCCCCCCCTCTCCCGCTTTGAGTCGTCTGTGCTCCGACGACACCACATGCACAAACACAACGTACTCCCGCGAAAAGGGCAAGCAATGGCTGACCCCATGCGACAATCAACCACAGCGAGCTCGCGCGCGAAAAGATGTGGTCCCGCATCCACCTGATCCCGCTGCTGCAGGCCGAGGAGGACCGCGACCTGGTGCGGCGGCACCTGGCTGACCAGGCGCGCGAGAAGGAGCTGCTGGGCGAGAACATGAAGGTCTACAACTCGGACCGGTACGTCCGGCCGACGTTTGCCGTCACCCCGGAGAAGGTGACCAAGTAAATGTCGAGAGAATCTGGCGAGATGGAGGGGGGTCGAGAAAGGATAGGAAAGGAAGACCAGCATACCACGATGGCTTTTTGTGGTTCTGGGGAGAGCCCGTTGTAAACACTGTACATAAAGAGAATGGCGGTGGGCGGAGGAGGGCCCGCGTGACGAGATAGACTGGAAAAGAATCAGTTTCAGAAGAAGTTGCAGAGCCTTGGTCTGGCGAGGTAGATGATGCAAGGTTAGAGGTTCGCATGCACGGAGGTCTGGCGACGACGGCACGCAACTCCAGTTGGCCACTACGCACTGGACAGTTGTTCAGTCTTTCCAGAACACATGTTCTTCGTAAATTCTCAGTCTCATAATCTCTCGCAAGCAAGCCATGGACATTACAAAAATCAAAAGAACACTCCCTGCTCCCAGTGGCTACGCCCGAGTTTCCAACCCAAAACAAAAGCCCAGCATGCAACCTCGTTTGCCAACCCGTCGAAACTATGTACACATGAAACGTCACACCAGTGAGACCTGTGTATCGATCCCAAATTAAGCAGGCACCTGCACAATCTTGAAGCCCTCGGCCACCACCTTGGCGATGTCCTCGTTCTTGTGCGGCAGGAGGCCCAGCGCGAACGCGACGTCGTTCCACTGCCTCTCCGTGTCGCACCGGCCCAGGCGCGCCGCCAGCTTCTCGGCCAGCTGCTTGGCATGCTTGTCCTGTTTTTTTGTCATAAGCATTAGCACGATTCCCACACACACTTCTCGTATTTCCTTCCTTCTGGTGATGATAATAATGATGGAGTAACATACCTTCTCCACAAACCCGAGCAAAAACTTGACGATCCGGCGGAAGCTCTCCTCGTCGAGCGCCCTCTCGGCCGACAGCAGGCTGAACATGTCGACAAAGTGGTTGTACACGGCATTGTCCTTGGTCGACAGCTCCGTGAAGAACATGCGCGCCAGGTCCGCGATCCGCTTGTCCTCGTCCTCGAGGCACTTGGCCATCTCGCCCAGCTGGCCCTTGACCTTGACCTGGCCCGCCAGGATCAGGAACGTCAGCGTCATGAGGCACGTGCGCTTGACCGACGCGTCGGCGTCGGCGAGCCGCCTGTACAGGAAGTCCGTGTTCTCGTCGATGAGGTGGTTGAAGCACACGGCCATGTCGCCCAGCGCGATGACGGCGTTGGACCGCACCGTCGCGTCCGTGGACCGCTCCATGATGGTGATGAGCAGCGGCAGGTTGGCCTCGCAGTACTCGGCAGACACGCACATGAGCTTGGCCAGGCACAGCGTCGCCGCCGCCTGCAGCCCTTTGTCGCGGTACGTCGTGTTGTTGGCGCAGATCTCGCTGACGAGCGGGCCGAACATGCCCAGCAGCGAGTTGGGTCCGTAGAGCAGCTCGCGCTCGCGGATGTGCTGCATCGCCTCGGTGAAGTCGTCCTCCGACGTGCCGCCGATGAGGTCGAGCTCGTCGGCCGGCTCCTCCTTCTTGGCCGGCTCCTTGCTGGCCTTGCTGCTGCGCCGGCTCTCCTCCTCGGCAAGCTTGGCCGCCGCAGCTGTCTTCTCCTTCTCCTGCTTCCTACGCTTGAAGTCGAGCTCGCAGAGTTCAAGGTGCACAATCTGCTTGATCGCGACGTGGCCCACGATGAAGAGGAGCTGCGAGAGACCGATGGTGCCGTCTCTGTTCGGGCGGGCACCCGGTTGCTGACCAGGGCCAATCACGGTGGTGTTGCCAGCGGCATCCGTCTCGACAGTCTTGGTCTCGTCTCGAGAGCTGGGCCTTGAGGCCTGGGGCGAGAAGACCATCCTCGTCTTGCGGCGGATGATCTCGGAGCAGAGCACGTCGGGGTGCTTGGAAATGGCATAGATGGCGTTGATGGCCTGCTCGGCGACGCCAAACCACTCCTTACTCTCGGTGGGCACCTCGGTGATAGCGGCAAGCCTGGCTAGCACGGCGTGGTCGTTAGGCAACCGCGAGAACTTGATCGGCGAGTCCTTAGCTTGCCGGCCGATCGGGTTGATGCGCCGCAGCGCAACACAGGTAAACTTGGCCAGTTGCAGGTCGCCACGGCCATGGGGGCCGAGACCGGTGCGCAACATGGTCTCCATCTCGCCGACAACAATGCCGGGGTCGGCGGTGGCGAGCATGCCCAGCACAATGATGGCGCCGCGACGTTGCGTCCGGGAGATCTCCCTCTTCTGGATACCGTAGACCTGCCAGAGCTTGGCGATGACGATGTCGGGGATCATGCCGCCCTTCATCATGGTGGCCAGGAGCTGCTCTAGTGAGGTAAGCTCGGCCGGCGTGGCACCAAAGGTCAGACTGATCATGTTCCTGGCAATGTAGTTGGCCGCGTCGTTGGGACTGAAATTGTCAGGAGCCTCAAAGAACAGGCGCTTGTAGCACTCGATGAGGTGAGTCTGCACGCCCTTGCCTTCGTCGCTGTTGCCCTTGGTCCAGATCAGCCTGAGCATACGCCGAATGCCGACCTTGTTCTTCTCGATGTTGTAGGCATCACCAATCTCAAAGTACTCCATAGCCTCAATGACCTCGCTCTTGTTTCTTGAGCCAAGCAGCTGGCAAATGGTCTCGGTGGCGTCGTGCAGGATGTCGATGAATTTGAGTGCTTCCGAGTAGTACTTCTTGGTCAGAGTGAGCTTGTTGATGGCCTCGGAGGTGGCGGCCTCCTCCTGGGCCTTGCGGATGACCTCCATCTTCTCCTCTTCAGTCATTTGCGAGGGGTGCTTCTTGGGCGACTCGATCTGGGTAGCCTCATCCAGCAGCTCGGGATCGACCGTGGTGTTAGCCTTGTCGCCACCATCCAGCTCGGGAGCGCCCGCAGGTGGCTTAAGCGCGTTGATCTCTGCGTCGACCTTGTCCAGACGCTCTTGCCAGTCTTTCCTTGACAATTGAGCCCCGTGCATGGCCGTGAAGGGGTGAGTCTTGATCAAGCTTCCGAGCAGTTTGATGGCGTTCCGCCGGACATTGCTGCTCTTGTCCTCCAAGCTCTGGTTCGCCAACTCGGCCGCCTTGAGGCGACGCTTGGGAAACTTCATCTCCAAGTCGCACAGCTTGACGTAGACCTGGATCGTCCTGCATCGGCAATAGGGGTTGATATCTAGGAACCGCTCCTCAAGGACAGTGAAAAAAGCGTTCAGCTGGGACTTGTGGTCTTCTCCGCGCTCATCTTGCTTGCTCAGATAGGCTACCATGTTGCCGCAGACCTCGATCAATGCGCAACGAAGGGTATATGACTGAAGACGGCGTTAGAAAATTCTGTCGGCGGGGAACTTGTCTGTGAAACTGCTTACCTCGCTGTCCATCTGCTTTATCAAAGAAGCCACCTGTTTGATGACCAGCCTGGGCGCCAGCTCGGAGAGCTTGACAATGAAAGATGACACAGACTTGGGTCCCTTGGTGTCATTACTGCTGAACTCCTTGCCACTGAGCTCGGCTAGAATGTCGTTGGCCAACTGCTCGTAGTCGTATTGTTCTGACAGGATGTGCAGAAACTCGGCCATGGGCTCTGACAAGTGCTCAAAGTAGGTCAAGTTCTGAACGATAGATATTTGGGCGGCTGTTCGATGTCAGTTGATTGCTATTATCCTTCAGCTAGAGGAAGATAGAGTACGTACCATAGCCGTGGCCGTGGTGCTTGACGGCCATGCACAGCACCTTGAATGTGTGCATGCGAATGGAGGTCGACTTGACCCGCTGCTCGCTCTCCAGAATGAGGTATGCGGGCCTGGTCAACAGACCGATAAAGGTATCACGCTCCGAGGTGGTCAGGAAGATCTTCCCCAGCTTCAAGCGCAGCACCTTGCACATGGTGTCGAGCGAGGTCTGGAGCTGCGCAGCAGAGTCCCAGCTGCCCTCTTGGTCGGCGCCCTTCTTGCCCTTGGGTTTGCCGCGACCTCGCGCGACGGGCGCCGAGGACGACTTCTCGGCAGACTTGGTCTCGACGGCTGCGATGGTCCATTGCAGTAGGAAGCCGTAGATCTCGAGCAGCTGCTTGTGGTGGGCGATCAGGTCCTGCTCGTCGGACTCGAGGTCGTGGTGGACGATTTCGGCTTCGGCGGCGAGGCCGGACGTGATGAGATCAAAGACCTTGCTGAGCGCGTGTGTGGGAAGAAAGGCGGCGTATTTCAGCAGGAACTGCAACGAGTCGAAATGCGCGCTGCGCGTGATGGCATCTGGACTCTCGGCGACGGCATCGACGATGGGGTTGAGCACGGGGTTGATGACGCCGTTGGTCAGCGCCTCGGGATCGTTCTCGCAGTCGAAAAGCGCGGCATCGGCCTCGGGGGTCGGGATCGTGGCCGGGTCGCTCATGTAATGCTTGAGCGCATCGTTGATATCAAATTGGATGTTGTCCATGGCTGGACTCGGCGCGCGCAAACGGCGATGCGCGATCCAGCGGTGATGTCGGGGGTATCAGAGAGGGAGAGAGTATTAGAGAATACAGAGAGAATCAAACAATGGGTCAGATGTTGGAACCCGGCAGCACTTGCGCCCGGATTGACTTCGTTGCAGGCAGGCACCCGTTGATGGCAACTGTATGGTCTGGCAACGGCGGTGGTGATGTTGTTTGGCGAGTTTGGTTACCGCACGAACCCCAGCAACGACTTGTTTTTGTTTTCTTGATTGCCTGTTTCGGACGCGTGCCCCTCCACCACGGGCGGCCAGTGGGCCAATTCCAGCGCTCGATGTGGCGGACGGACCCAGTAAAAATGGCGATACCAGGCGCGTCGCTCGTTTTTAGCACCACCACATGGGTGGCATGTACGGTGTACCTAGTTATATTGCTATGGAGGTAGTTATCCCTGTACTTGTATGAGCGGGCACAACCACACACGAGTGAGCAATTGGAAGTACGTCCAGTCGTAGACCGACCATACACCGGCATACCTACACCACCCCTCCTCACCTCCGCGCCCACCACTAGCAGTTGAGGCCAGACGCACCTCCACGAGCAACATAGAATCACTGCGAGAAACCTGTCTTACTTTAGCTGTTTCTCCTCTACCTACCCTCCCTCCCCTTCCCTACCTAGCACTCTTTGCAGGGCAGACAGCATCCACAGCTGCAGACGTCTGGTCTCTCGCCCTGCAATTGCTGGCTGCACTGCCTTTGTTACAGTTACAATGGCAGCTGCCGTCACACGCCGGCGTCGTGCCGAGTCCTTCGACATCCACGAAGATGTACCCTCAACCGAGGAGACCGAGATGCAGACAGACGCCGTCCGGCAAAGTGAAGCTTATACGGACGAGCAGCAGCCCGAGGACGACGAGCAGCAGCAGCAACAACAACACCAGCGGCAGCAGCATGAGGAACAGGAGCCCGAGGAAGACGATGACGCCTCGGAGAGCTCCGACGACGACTCGATAGACCAGAACGTCCAGTATGACATGGAGAAGCTACAGGATACGTTCCCGGGCTTCCTGCACAAGTACAGGCTCATCAAGCGAATCGGCGAAGGTAGATCACAACTGATTGTACTGAGCCATTCGAACACCCCTGCTGACATATCTGACCAAGGCACATTCTCGACTGTCTACAAGGCCCAAGATCTCCAGTACGAGCGGTTTGACAACAGCTGGGACCTCGAAAAGGACAACGACAAATGGACGCCCCCGCCCATCAAGCGCTTCACCGAGCCCACCCGCTCGCCGTCCCTCGACTCCCGTCACAGTGGCGGGCGCCAGACCTCCCAGCAGCCGCAGCAGCGCCGCAAGCCCAAGTACGTCGCCATAAAGAAGATCTACGTCACGTCGTCGCCGCACCGCATCCTCAACGAGCTCGAGCTGCTGCACGACCTGCGCAACTGCGACTCGGTCTGCCCCCTCATCACCGCCTTCCGCCACACGGACCAGGTCGTGGCCATCCTGCCCTACTTCCGCCACCGCGACTTCCGGGACTACTTCCGCAAGATGACGGTGCCCGACATGGCCATCTACCTGCGCAGCCTCTTCACCGCCCTCTCGGCCGTCCACGCCCAGGGCATCCTGCACCGCGACATCAAGCCCACCAACTTCCTCTACGACCCAGACGCCAAGCGCGGCGTGCTCGTCGACTTCGGCCTCGCCGAGCGCGAGGGGTCCGAGTCCAAGCCCTGCCTGTGCCACGAGGACGCGCAGACCCGCAAGGCCAAGCTCCGCGCCGCCTACGTGCCCTCGGCGCCGCACAACGGCTACCCCAAGAACGACACGCGGCCCTCGCGCCGCGCCAACCGCGCCGGCACGCGCGGCTTCCGCGCCCCCGAGGTGCTCTTCAAGTGCACCGAGCAGACGACCAAGATCGACATCTGGTCTGTCGGCGTCATCCTGCTGACCATCCTCTCGCGCCGCTTCCCCTTCTTCAACTCGGCCGACGACGTCGAGGCCATGATCGAGATCGCCACCATCTTCGGCTCCCGCCGCATGCGCGCCGCCGGCCACCTCCACGGCTGCATGTTCGACACCACCATCCCCACCATCGGCTCCCAGGGCTTCACCCTCGAGCGCATCATCCTCTGGAGCACCTGCCGCATCGACTCGGGCCAGCCCCTCAACGACGAGGAGAAGCTCGCCGTGCACTTCCTCGAGCGCTGCCTCGAGCTGGACCCCTCGCGCCGCATCAGCGCCGAGGAGGCCCTCGAGCATGAGTTCCTCAGGGACAAGTCTCTGTCGGCTGAGCTGGAGGATGATGACGAGATGGACATGGTGGCCGTGTAGAAGAGGTGAAGAGAAGGGAAGGAAAGGAAACGGAATACGACGATGGGATGATATTCCGTGTATGATCAGCATGTACTATTCATTGGTGGCTTGTTTTCCTTGGCGTTTGCGCTTTGTCATTCCTGCTGGCAAAGACGAGGTTCATGGCATTTGGCGTTGGTGATGTGCTCGCATGTATTACATGTAGAACCCAATTGGTTCGGAAACATACCTAGATTCATAGTCAATAAATACGCGTCAGTAGACACATGCAACAGACACTTAAGGAGATCAATGCACATGTGAATCAATCCAGAGCAAGCAGACAGAGGAAACAATTTGGAGAAAGTGTCTCTTTCCATTCATTGAACTCCCAAAAGAAGCCATTTGTCATGCGATGCGAAAAGCCGTCCCTGGACCCCGTCCTGTACAACCAGCACGAAAAATCGGTGCCCTTTGAAATGTCCGGATGCCCCCTACTGAATTACTCTGATTCGTAAGAGATCATCCTTCGGCCCTGTGATCATTGCCTGCCAGATTTTTCCACTCCTTTGCAAAATGAATTCCCCAACAACGCTGCGCCGCGCTCCATCTATGCAACCAGCTCGACAGCACCACCGGCCTCGGTGATCTTCTTCTCAGCCAGCTTGCTGACCCATCTCGCGCGGACGACGATGGGGATCTCGGGGAGGCGGCCCTTGCCAAGAACCTTGGAGTAGCCGAGGGGGAGGAGGTCGAGGACGGGGGCGGTGTCGGTCTTCTTGCCGGCGACGTAAGCATCGCGGGTCTCGATGGGGACGAGAGACCAGAGCTGCAGAAGCGCTTCAGTCAGTACAACGTTCTGATTGACCATTATTCTCTTTATTCCCTTCCATCTGCCAACAACACAGCCGTGCGTCTTCCGCTCCTCTCCCAGCAATTGGTCCCTCCTCTTCGCATCCAGCACTTCTCCAAGATCGTGAAGTTCCCAGACGCCCCGCTTGGCTCGTTGTTGACAGGTGGAAAAATTCTCTCCCCCTCGATTTCGAACGTACCTTGTCCAGGTTGATGACAGGCTTCCAGAAGTGGTTTTGTTGCTTGTGGAAGTACCTCATACCAACCTTACCGAAGTAACCGGGATGGTACTTGTCCATGTTGGTACGGTGGTGGTGCTGACCACCGGCAAGACCACGACCACCCGGGTGCTTGCGGTGCTTGCCAACGCGACCCTTACCGGCCGAGACGTGGCCGCGGCTGTTGAAAAACAAAGAGTCAGCATGGGATCCAGAAGATTGCGCGAAATGCGAGATCAAGTTCCTTCTGTCAGTCGAGTCGAGTCCTCCATTTTTCTATTGCGAGAAGGACGAGAACAAGGCAATTCGGCATCGTGAGCAATGCTCCCTGCCCGCCTGCTCATCCTCTCCCTCCTCCGCCCACCATCGTCTGCGACAATCAATCTCCCCTCTACCGGAAGGACCCGACCGCGACCGACGACAAATGACAGATGTTTGGTTCGAATAAGAGGAACGGGATATCGGTAGTAACGTACTGCTTGCGCGTCTTGGAGAATCTGGTAGGCATCTTGACGTTGGCTGTGGATGCTGTTGTCGATGGTTGAAGGTCGTCGGGAACAGGCGTTACTAACGTATGGTGAACTTTTTTCTCACTAGGATGTTGATAATTTTGAGGGTTGACCAGCCCTAACGATGTGCGGCAGCTGATTGTGCGGACAGGTGGGGCATCTACCAGCTGGCGGGACCGAAGCGACTGGATCTGGTCCTGCAAAAAGAATTGAACAAAAACAAAGCCAGTCAGGTGACTTGTTTTCTGGATAAACTCCACTCTTTTGCGCTTGCCTGACTGGAGGACCGCGGACCCAGCCAAATCAACGTCAGCCGTGGTGTGATTGGCCAGAGCTTAGCTTCACCTTGCCTGGCATCACTGCCGAGTCGCTCATCTCACGAAGCAAACCCGATATCTAAGGTCTGCTCGGAGGACCATGTTCAGCACCAAGCAACTTGTGAACGAAAAAGGACAGGCATGAGAGATCACTTTCACCAGCATTCGAATTCCAAATCCCACCATGACGGATGGAGGTGACACACCGCTCTCTGATGGGGTCGATTTCCACCATCCATACACTCCTTATGATGTTCAGCTTGACTTTATGAAGACTGCGTATGATGTCTTGCAACGCGGCGACGGTCAGATAGGCATTCTGGAAAGTCCCACAGGCACGGTAGGTCGCCATAATGTTCTGGTATTCGCCCGCCAATTCAATTTTTGGGTGTCATGTTTGTACAGTTACCATTACAATTTCGTTTCTTTTTATTTCTTCCGTTCTAAAACATGGCGGCTGGAAACAAGAATTGCACATTTTCACTTTATGTATTCATGGCAATAATCTTACACAGTATTAGGGAAAGTCACTATCTCTCATTTGCTCGGCCTTGACGTGGTTGAGAAACTTCAAGAAAAGTCAGCTGGAGGTGTCTCTCGGATCCGCCGCAGAGGAGCTCAAGGACGAGCCGGATTGGATCGTACAGCAGCTCTTACAACGAAAGCGAGATGACCTCGTTAAGGAATGGGAGGAGCGAGAAGAGCGCCTGCGCCGCATCCGCGAGAAGGAGAAGCAGATGGAGGCTCGGGTTGCCAAGAAGAGGCGGTTGGAAGAGTCCGGACACCGAGCCGGTCCAAAGACTGTCGACGAAGAGTCCGAATTTCTCGTGGACGACTGGAATGATGACGATACGATCGACGACAAAGATCCCTTGTCGCAACTGAGTCGCGAAACGAGAGCACTGCTGAAGGAGATGGGAATGGGCGTGCCCGGTAGGCGTGATGAGGCCGAGGACGAACAGCTCGAAGACGAGATCAAGGTCAGCACTCCTCATGAAAGTCCCTGCGTCTGAATGCTGAACCAGTTGCAGATATTCTACACATCGAGAACACATTCACAGCTCACCCAATTTGTCTCAGAGTTACGCCGCCCCTCATTCCCATCGTCAGTTCCAGCCGCACAGTCGACGACGAAGACGTCGCATGAAGACCAGTCCGAAGGCGTGAAACACATTCCGCTTTCGTCAAGGCAAAGGCTATGCATCAACCCCGGTGTCGCACGCCTCGGCTCGGTGGCTGCAATCAACGATCGATGCGCGGAGCTCCAGAAGCCCAAGTCCGCGAACAAATGTGCATTCTTGCCCGGCGCTGAGAAGATAAGCCAGACTCATCAGTTTCGGGATACTGCCCTTGCGACACTCCCTGATATCGAAGACTTGCATCAGCTCGGCAAGACTCTGCACGTATGTCCCTATTACGCGTCGCGCACGGCCATCCCTGGTGCGGAAGTGATCACCCTTCCTTATCCGCTTCTGCTACAACAAAGTGCCAGAGATGCGCTGGGTATCAAACTCGAGGGCAACGTCGTTGTCATCGACGAGGCACACAACATCATGGATGCCGTTGCCAATGTGTATGCTGCAGAGGTCCGCTTGAGTGAGCTGCGCAGAGCACGGCAGATGCTCGGTGGCTACGTCAAGAGGTTTGGCAAGAAGCTCAAAGGCGAGAACAGAGTCATGATTGGACAGATTGCGAAAGTCGTGGATGGCCTGAGTGAGTGGCTGAATAATGCTACGCAATCAAAGGTTTGCTTAAATGTTTAGTCTCACCAGAAGATCCTCTGTTTTGCTGACTCTCACCACAGACCTCCCAAGGCATCGCCGACCCAAACGAATTACTCAAGCATAAGGGCGCTGACCAGATAAACCTGTATCGCCTCGTCAGATATGTACAAGAATCGAAACTTGCGTTCAAAGTAGAGAGCTACGCATCCTACGCTGAGGAGCAAGAGAAGACCGATCAGTCGAAGCCCGTATCCTCAACACCGGTGCTCCACACGCTCGTGTCATTTCTCATCGCGCTCACCAACCTGAGCACCGAAGGTCGTATATTCTACGAGAAGCTGGCGCCTCCATCAACAGACATCAAGCTCTCGTACCTGCTTTTATCCCCGACTCATGCATTCTCTTCAATCGCGTCAAGCGCTAGGGCCGTCATCCTTGCTGGCGGGACTATGTCTCCCTTCGAGGACTACAAGGCACACCTATTCCCTACCCTGGCACCCACCAAGATTACCACACTCAGTTGCGGACACGTAATACCACCCTCGAACCTCTGTGTCTGGACGCTCGCATCACCGAAACCTGGCCGTGCTGCTGGCCCCGAAAGTTTTGAGTTTAGCTTCCAGAAGCGGAGCGACATAGGCATGGTACGACAACTGGGGCTAGCGCTGTTGAACATATGCGGCATCGTACCCGACGGGGTCGTCATGTTCTTTCCTAGTTACGGATACCTGGATGAGGTTGTTTCAATATGGCAGGGCAAGGATACCCGGGACGACTCAAAGTCTGTGTGGGATCGCCTGCAGGAGAAGAAAGCGATGTTCCGAGAGAGTAAAGGTGGATCCAGCGACGAGGTGCTCAACGAGTACAGCCAAGCCATCCTGGGAGAGGCTGGCTCGGGGCCGAGCGGACCGAAAAGGAACGGGGCGCTCCTGTTGAGCGTGGTGGGCGGGAAGATGAGCGAGGGCATCAACTTCTCTGACCGCCTCGGCCGCTGTGTGGTCATTGTGGGACTGCCCTACCCAAACATCAACTCTGCCGAGTGGAAAGCGCGCATCGAGTACATCGAGTCCTCGACACTCGCACGTCTCACCACTCTAGTAGATGCGGGCGAGCAGGATGCTTCTGAGGATGCCGCACCAAAGATGTCGAGAGAGCAGGCTCTTGCAGCATCGAAGCAAGCTGCAAGAGACTTTTACGAGAACGCATGCATGAGAGCCGTGAACCAGAGCATTGGCAGGGCGATCCGGCACAGGAATGATTACGCGTCCATCGTCCTGGTTGACAGGCGCTTTGGTACGGAGAGAATCAAGGGGAAGCTGCCGGGGTGGATCCGAGGAGGGATGGTGGCTGGGAGTGAAGAGAAGGGGCTGCCCGGTCTCATGGGTGCATTGAGCGGGTTCTTCAGGGGAAAGAAAGGAATATGAATTGAGGGGAGGATAACTATGATACTCGAGGCTGGACAGATAAGGAGATTCGGTGTTGGGTGCCAATATGCATATCGCTGCCTCGGATATCCGAGCAGTTTCTACTGATAGGGCATATGTAAAGGCATGCTTACCTGGTAAATGAGAAGTACTTGGGGGACTCGTCTCATGTATCTTGCGCTTATGCACTCCCGACCTGACAGGTGGGTGGGTGTAGCTGAGTTTCGATGGTACCACCAGAGCCACGGAGCTGGACAGAACGCGAAGCATATCTGATAAAGTTAACCTGATAGCAGCAAAACCACTCTCAATTGATAATTCCTTGTGCTCATTAGTGGTGAATGTGGGAAATATGAAACCAAAGCATCGTGAAGTTTGCAGCCTTGTGCGGCCAACCCGGCCACTTTCTTTGAAACACAGCTACACCACCAACAGCAAACTCTATCTATTGCGGACGGACTACCGAAAGGATGGCTGGGAGACGGCAGACACGACGATGCAAGTTGATGCGCCTGGCAGAACTGTGCATATAAAACAGAGCTCTCCGGACCGCCACGTCCACAACAAGACCTTGGAAACTTGACCTCAGACTCTTTTCTTTCTCATTGATGAGATTCAACTCTACCCGAAACTGTGCCTGAGTCACCCTCTGGCAAGATGCACCTCAAGAAGCTGCTCGGGCTCTTGGGCTTGGCGGCGACGGCCTATGCTGCCGCAGTCCCTGACACCTCCTCTGACGGTGACCCCGACTCCTGTACTCAGGATGAGTGTCTTTCTGGTGCGGTTGACCCAAGTTCCGGGCCAGATATTGCTATGCTCGAGAACTTTCTCGGCCTGATACACATGATTCCTGACGCTTGAGGTGTAATTAGCTCTTCGGATCCCCTGGCGTCTCGGCCAGGCCAAGCAGGACTGCGGGAAGTGGTGGGTGACTACTGTCACCCCTCCGGCTGTGTAAGTGATCTTCTCGTATCTCTCTCTCTGTCTCTCTCTCTCTCTCTCCCTATTTGTATCATCAAGGGCCAAGTCGATGTTGGACAAAGGCTGACCAACCAAACCCCTATCCGCACAGGACTGTGACCGCCACCACCACCAGTGGCACCACAACCATAACAACGTCGTCGACAACTCTGACGTCGACGACGACCACGACATCGACCTTCTCGATCACCTCGACCGCCACCCAGAGCTTCACGGACGTCGAGACCAGCACCTCGACCTCCTTCACGACGGTGGTCACCGAGGCCGGCAGCTGGCAGAAGCGCGCGGCCGAGGGCGAGGCCGACGCCGAGGCCCTCCCGCCGTACGCGGGCGCCTGCAACCGCGCCAAGTACCGCAGCGCCTGCGCGTGCATCGGCGTGCACCACAAGACGGTCACGGCGGCCACACCCACCGTCACGGCCACGGCGACGGCGACATCAACCAGCACGAGCACCACGGTCACGACGTCGTCGACGACGACGACGTCGACGAGCCTGGAGACGACGACGACGACGTCGACGACGCAGACCACGACGACGACCACGACGTCGGTGACGTCGACGCAGACGGCCACGTGCGCCAGCTTCTACATCTTCGTGACCTTCAACGACGGCTCGACGGGCTACGTGGCGACGACCATGACCGCCGGCAGCCCGCTGACGATCCAGACCTTCAAGGCCGGCGCGCAGTGCTGGTTCCTCGACGCCACCAACATGAACACGCTCACGACGGCCAGGAACAGCGCGCAGTTCATCGGCGCCGTCAACGAGCCCCAGGGCAACACGGACCCGGAGCAGGCGCACCTCGACGTCAACTCGGGCACGCTGCCGACCGACGACGTGGCCATCACGTGCAACCCTTCGCCCGGGTCCAACCTGCTCAACTGCGTGGCCGGCCTCTACACGCAGACCGTCTCCGTGGACAACGTGCTCAACTTCCAGCCGCCGCCGCAGCAACTCGGGGGCGGCAACAATTACCCCATCCCCGTCACTCTTTCTGCCGTGTGCTGCGACCCATGAAACAAAAGCACCAAATGGAAGCAGACGGCGGCGGCGGCGGCGGTGGTGCCGGGAGTTTGGCTTATGTTCCGCGGATTTGTCCTGTGGAATCTATTGGTTTGTGTATGTTGAGGGAGGAGGGAATTGTATTCTTCTCTCTACTTCTCCTTGCGTCATGGGTGTTGTTTTTGACGGTTCATGTGTTTGCATTTGGTGACTTGGAGGGATCTTAATTGGTGTGCATGCACGGGCAGATTGAGACATATACGACGCGAATGAAAAGGAAATATTTGCTCCAGATATTGAGGTATCGCCGGCTGCATCAGAAGCTTACCTGCATCCTCTGGCAAACGCGAAGATGTGTGGGGTTGTGTGGTATCATGAACTCATAACTGCTATTCATACACATCTCACACTCGTGCTCCCCCTCGTGCGAACCCAAGTCTGTCGTGTCATATCAACCAAATGCATAGATCAGGTCGTGGTCGTCCACCCACTCCTGATACCGGCTCCGCTGCCTCCTGATCCAGTACCCAAGCTCGCCATCGCCCCCTTTCCCATCGCCACTAGGCACCACGGACCTCCAGAACCGCTCGTCCCGGGGCCGCGGCCCCGTCTCGACCCTCGTAGCCGCGGCCTTCTCCTTGCGCGTCCACGCGTCGTACAGGTCGTTGAGCAGCACGACCTCGCAGTCCCGCAGCTGCGGTCCGTACTGCCGCACGAGCCGGTCGAACGGCGGCGCGACGCCCCACAGGAACTCGTCGCAGGGGTCCCGCGGCGGCTGCATGAAGGTGCCCGCGACCATGCCGAGGGGGCTCGTGCGGAAGGCCTCGCGGTCGGGGGCGACGGTGTTGAAGCCGACGCGCAGGCGGCGCAGGGCGGGGAAGGTGGCGCCGATGGAGAGGACGAGGGCCCAGAAGGCGGGCCAGCCGCGGCGCAGGCCGAGGTGCTCGGCGGCGTGGGCGTAGAGGGTGGCGCGGTCGAGCAGGACGGTCAGGCTGGCGACGCAGGCCAGGCCGGCGGGGCTGAGGAGGCGCGGGCCGAAGAGCAGCAGGGCGCCGGACTGGACGTGCCAGGCGTTGGAGCCGTAGAGCACGGCGAGCCCCTCGGCGTAGGCCTGGCGGCAGGCGAGCAGCCAGCCGTGGGCGCCGACGTAGCAGGCGGAGGGGTCGGCGGCGGCGTCGTTGGCCGGGTCGCAGGTCATCTGGTAGCCGCCGGGGCTGCACTCGTCGTGGGCGTAGTCGCGGTCGGGCAGGCGGTGGCAGACGGAGGAGCGCCAGGCCCAGGTGCGGGTGGGCAGGTAGCTGGCGCCGGCGGTGTGGTGCGGGTGGGTGGTGGCGACGCGGTTGAAGGAGAGGTCGACGTGGATCTCGCGGGCGCCGAAGGCGGCGGTGAGGATCTGGGTGCGGACCTCGGCGGGGAGGAGGGAGAAGAATGGCGATGAGGAGGAGGAGGAGGAGGAGGAGGACTGAGGAAGAGGAGGAGGTGGTGGTGGTGGGATGATGGGGAGAGACGTCAGCGCCGTTGCGCCTGCGGGCGGCGGCGGAGGGGTCGCTTGGTCTGGCGATTGGCGGAACCACTGGTGATAGGGGCTGAGATATTGTGACATGGAGGAGAGAAAAGGAGGAGAGAGCGGTGACTGTGCTCTCCCGATGCTGTGGAGGTTGTGGTTCCAATTGCTGTGAAGGAGAGTGCTGCCATGAGAAACACGGACGATGACAGAGGTGGCGCAGATGGAGTGCAGCCTGATTGATGGAGGGACGTTGGTGATGCTGCTGATGTGTGTGAGGGGCGGGCCACTTTAAAAGCTTACTTCTTGACTTCAATCATCCCCATCGCTTCCCAGCACTGGCGAACATGATGATCCAGTCGATGCGATGCGTCTTGTTCGATAGCATCGCGCGCGCAGTCTGGCGATAGGGAGCACGCACTGCCACAAGTAGGTACTCGTGTGTTCGGGAGAGCAATATCCCATCCATATCGTTAGCTACATAACTATTACGGAGTAATATTGCATCGCAACAAGCGGTGAGTGGGCCTGGGCCTCTTTCAATGTTGCATTAAGCTGAAGCACGTCGTGGTCAGCTGGGATGACTGGCATATACGCATGGCTGGGGGATCCCTATCCTTAGCCTAGCTAGGCAATTACTTGTCACTTCTCACAAATCTCTTTTCCTAAAACAAGAGCTGCATGTCTTATTCCTTGTTTATTGTGGTGTGAGGTTGAGAAGCGGTGCGTCAGCAAGCTGCACCGCACCGAGGGCTCAGTCTGTAACTACCGACTCATGGAGATCAAGGATAAAGAAGATGCGTGGCTAAGACAGTACATCTCTCAATCCGCTCGCTTTTCTCTTCATTGTTGTTTCAACGACTCCAGCCACTCCGTAGACGAGAGCACGTCGGCCTGCCTCTCAAACACCTTCTGGGTCAGCACCCGGTGCACCTCCTCGTCCCAGTCCCGGCACAGGTCCTCCAGCACGACGAGCCCGTAGTCGAGATCGCCCGCCTGCCGGACCGTCGACAGGACGGCCCCGCTCGTCGCCACCCCGGCCAGCGCCAGCGTCTCGATGCCGAAGCTGCGCAGCACCACCTCAAAGTCGGACCCGGTGAAGGCCGAGGTCCGCTTCTTGGTGACGACGACGTCCTTGGTGCCCGGCGGCGGCGCCACTATGGGGTGGAACTCGGTCGACGCGTCGCCCTCGGTGAACTGGCCGCTGTCCCCGACCATGGCCACGATGGGCGCCATGAACTTGTTGCGCGCCGACAGGTCCGGGAAGCCCTTGCGGAAGAAGGTGTTGACGTGGATGACCTGCACGCCGGCCTCGCGCGCCTTTTGCGCTGTGGCGGCGACGCGCTCGAGGTAGACGCTCGGGTCGGCGTCGCCCACCATGGGGATGATGCCCTGTTGCAGGTCGAGGAGGACGAGTGCCGTCTTGGCTGCCATGGTGCTTGATTGTGGCTTTTTTTTCCAGTTCAATGGCCGATGCAGTAAACTTGTGTGTGTGTGTGAAAAGCAATTTGACGAGCCTCAAGGCATCAACAATCCTTGGACAGGATCTTATATAGGATCTTATATATATCTACAATTATGCATTTGCACTTTTGAACCTCTTATTGGCGGACTTAAACTGCTTTATGTCCAGGATGTAGCTAAGCTTTTGGGCGTTTTGATGCTTAATCCCGCTCCACCGGCACCGAATCGGCAATCGATCGTCGAGCCACGATACGTGGGCAACTAACACGGATAGTCTCAGTTTCAGACATACTTGTCAAGTTCTAGAAACCAAGATTGTCTCTCGTCATGACGTGCATCATCTTTCGCAAGTGAGTTGTCGTGTGCCACAACTGCGTGAATTGCTTGTGATGGCATACATCACTCTGCACACCCATGCGATTAGCGTCCTAGTGGCCCTTGATTACATGCTGTCAACATTTATAACCTTGATGTATTCGAAAATCTTCATGTAGGGCGCTGTATTGAATCCGGGGTATACACAGACTCGTGCTCTCTCTTCATGGCCATCAATGAAACCCGGGATCCAGCAAAGCCCCAATCCTCTGCGAGATGGAGCGTGATTCCTGCCCATGCACTTGACTAGCAGCCACCATGGCATATCTCAACGCAAGTGCTGGGAGTATGTGGACAGTTCAGTGGCCACAAAAGCTTCACTGTGTCAAGCAGAAGTGGTTGAATCAATTCCATTGGCTAGAGATTGCTTTTGATACCAAGCAGTCAACGACCCTAATCCGACCATCACTTGACCCCGCAGTTGTCAAACCACTCACTCGTCTTACTATTTTGGTCACGCCTCACCGCATCATGGACTGCCCACTCGTCTTTCACGCCTCACCGCATCATGGACTGCCCACTCGTCTTTCACGGCACTGCCATCCACTCCGTCGGCTTGGAGCAGCTCGAGATCTTGGAGAATGCGGCCTTGGTCATCGACACCGACGGCCGGATAAGCGCCTTCCACAAGAACATCGCCCACGACGATGCGGCGCTGCGAGTCCCGGGGGCCCGTCTTCACCGGCTCCGACGCGGCGACTTCCTCGTACCCGGCTTCGTCGACACCCACAACCACGCGCCCCAGTGGTCCATGCGGGGCCTCGGGCAGGGCCTGCACATCCTCGACTGGCTCGACCGGGTGACCTTCCCCCACGAGGCGCGCTTCGCGGACCCAGCCTACGCGAGGCGCGTCTACGAGAGCTGCGTGGATGGCTTTCTCCGGCAGGGCGTGACGACGGCGTCCTACTACGGCTCCAGGCACTCGGAGGCGACGCAGATCCTGGCCGACGTCTGCAAGGCCAAGGGTCAGAGGGCCTTCGTGGGCAAGTGCAACATGGACCGGAACGCCCCCTACTACCTCAGAGACGAGTCTGCCGAGTCGTCCCTGCGCGAGACCGAGGAGTGCGTCCGCCACATCAAGAGCATCGACCCCGAGGGCGTGCTGGTCAGGCCCGTCATCACTCCCAGGTTTGCCATCTGCTGCACGCCAGAGCTGCTGAAAGGGCTCGGCGAGATAGCAGCGCGGGACCCGCAGCTCGCGATCCAGACCCATTTCCACGAGGCGGAGCAGGAGATCAATGCCACGAAGGAGCTGTTTCCCGGCTTCAAGAGCGAAGCGGACCTGTATGAGAGCTACGGCTTGATGAGCACGAGGTCCATATTGGCGCATTGCACCTTTATGAATGACTATGACATGGAGAGGGTGCAGAGTCTAGGCTGCGGCGTTGCGCACTGTCCGATCTCCAATATGACGGTCGGGGGAGGATTCATGACGGCGCCGATCCGGCAGTTCTTGCGCCGGGATATCAAGGTCGGGCTGGGGACGGACAGCGGAGGTGGTTTCTCGTCGAGCATCCTGGACAACATCCGCCTAGCTGTCATCGCATCCAACGCGCAAGAAGTCACATCCAAGGGAGCGGACAAGGCTTTGTCACTGGAGGAGGTCTTCTACCTCGCTACCCTGGGCGGTGCGAGAGTCTGCTGCCTGGAAGACGAGATCGGGAACTTTGAGGTCGGGAAGCAGTTTGATGCTATCTGGGTGACGACAGAGCCCAACGAAGCCATGACTGTTCCCGAGGCGGAAGACTCGACCCGGACGATTTTCGAGAAGTTCATCATGACGGGAGACGACCGGAACATGTCACGTGTATATGTCAAAGGTCGCTTGGTTAAGGGGTGCTAGAGAATGATCATTAGAAGTGATAGAAGCAACAATAGCTGGGAGGCGGACAGAAGTGCGCAGCAGTGTTGTTGCGAACTTTGAGGGACCTATCCAAAGAAGGGAAGGCCAAAAAGGTCAGCGGAAACGATAAATCCGGACTGCCTCGTTATTTCCGGGCTGCCACCATAGTGTGATCACGGCACGAAGTAGAGTAGCAGCCTCTGAGAGGAGCTCATAGGACCTTTGCATCTTTGCAGATCTGCATAGAGATGAAATTTATCTTTCAATATTCTTCACACAGGAGGAGATACTGCGTGTTCAAAAGGTTGGAGAGCGGATTGAAGTGAATGATCTTGGGTGCCAAGGAACACGAGGTCGTATTAGTGAAGTTTGATCACAATCCACACCAGCGGAGCTATGGCAAAACTCCGACCGCGTCTCAAAATCTCACTCGTCTGGTGTGGGAGCGAAGTTCGAAACCCTTTGCACGTTGAGTAGCGCTTTGCACATACCGCTCTTGTGGTGGTGACAGTCGTGTTATTGCCTCCAGTCGGATCATGGAAAACCTCACTGTGCGAGGAGCAGCAACAGCAACAGCCGCCAGTCGCGAGACGAGCATCGCCAATTCCGCAATGCCGACGCCCTCGAGCTCCAACACCACCGGATTTGCCTCATCTCCGGAGCACCACGCACCCGCTCCTACTCCGGCAGAGCAGAAGAAGAGGAGCCGCATCCGGTTCTCCTGCACGACCTGCCGGGACAAGAAGTCTGTCTTTCCTTCTCAATTGGCCCCGTTCCTCCGCTGCACCCTTGACCACATCGATGATACCAGGACATGTCACATCATTCATTGGCTGACACCGTGATGCTTGTCTAGGCTGAAATGCAACCGTGCCTCGCCCTGTGACCAGTGCGAGAAGCGCGGCATCACGGCAACATGCCAGTACATCCCCTACCTGAACCCGCGTGAGGGCAGACATGGCCACGCTGGCGCAGCAGGGCCTCGGCCGGCCAGCGCTGGTGTGCCGCGCCGCGCGCCGCTCACCGCCGATCCGGCTATGCAGACTAGACTACGGCATCTTGAACGCCTGGTGTCTGTTCTGAGGTCGCAGCGAAGGGATGGGGGAGCAATCGACCCCCAGTTGCTTCCTGGCGATGATTCGCATTCTTCAACGCGTCAGAGCCGTGATGACGAAGGATCCGCTGACGGGCGACTGACTCTCCCGGAACTCAGAGAGCCTGGGAGTGCAGCGGCTGGATATGGACAGTATATTGATACCGCCAACTGGGAGGCAATCCTGGATGATGTAAGATGAGCTCTGAATCGTCACTGACGTACAATTGCTCACGCAGTGGCATCTTCAACAGGTCTCCAAACTCACCGAAGATCTCAAGTCCTACGACGACGGTTATGAAGACCAGGACACCGACTATGAGTCCTTTGTACCGGCGCAGAAGGGCCCCGTCCTCCTGCTGGGCCCCTTCCCGCAAGCCTCTGTGCATGATATGCTGGGCTTTATGCCCCCGCGATTGATCACTGACAGAATCATCGCCAAGTTCTTCTCGGCCAATGAGCCTGCTTTCAGTACGTTCCCACGATCAATTTCTCATTTCAGCTCCTGCCTGCCTGCACTGACTCAAAATGTAGTGATGTTTCACGTCCCGTCGTTCTTAAAAAACTACGAGGAATTCTGGGAGAATCCTCAGGATAGCACCCTCACATACCTAGCCCTCCTCTTCATGATGGTCACGCACGCTGCCCTCCTCTGCCTCCGGGGCGAGGAAGAAATGCCAGGGAACCTTGGCAGCCCACAGCAAGTTGCCACCGCCTACCGCGGCCGCGCTGCGCACTGCCTCGCGCTCGATGATTACACCCGGCCCAACATCAAGTACAAGATCGAGGCCATGATGCTGTATTTCGGCGCCGAGTACCTACTCCAGGTCGATGCGCAGCCCGGCGTTTCCATTCTCCTGACTGTCACCATCCGCCTCGCGCGCCACATGAACATGCACCGGGATCCCAAGCACTTTGCTGGGATGACGCCGTTCGAAGGCGAGATGCGGCGTCGGATGTGGACGCTGTTGACCGAGACCGACGAGCTCATATCCTTCATATTCGGCCTCCCGACCAACATCCATCCTAATTCCTTCGATACTGAACCGCCAGGTAACTATCTCGACGAGGACTTTGACGAGAGCACCACTGAGATGCCTCCCTCCCGCCCCGAGACAGAGCGCACGCCGGCCTTGTACGTGATTGTCAAGAACAGGATGATGCGCATGTTTGGCGAGATCCTCACCCTCGTCAACTTTAGCAAAGTGCCCAAGTACGAAGAGGTCATTGACATGGACAAGCGGCTCGAGGCCATGCACGAGGCCATGACTCCGCTGCTGCGCATGCGGCCGTTCAGCCAGTCCGTTACCGATCCTATAGACATCATCATGCAGCGCTACCTCCTGGAGCTGATATACCAGAAGAGCCGGTGCGTCCTGCACCGCAAGTTCTTGGGGCTCGCCCAGACGGACGAGAGATTCGCGTATTCGAGATGGGCATGTGTCGATGCTGCGACGAGGACGCTGAAGCATCAGTATGATATCCACAACGAGATCCAGCCTGGGGGACGCCTGTCGAAAGAAAAGTGGTTCATTTCCAATATCAGCATCCACGACTTCCTGCTGGCGGATATGATTCTCTGTCTCGAGTTGTCGCACGCGGTGAGGGCGGAAAAGGACCACGGAAAGGGGGCTAGCGTAGCACGACAACCTCCCGAGCAAGGCAAGCACGCCGTCATGCCAAAGGAGCGACTGCTCGAGATTCTGGGCACTTCTCGATCTATCTGGCAGGCGTCGAGAAGCCACTCCGCAGAGGCGAACCGAGCCTTCAAGATCCTGACTCGCATGCTCGCGCTGTCAACGGGGCAGGAGTACGACTCGAGTCCAGACTCCGCGATGGGCAGCATCTCTGGGAATGCCACAAGCTCGTCCATGATATCCCATCTACCGTCTTTCCCTGCGACGGCACTGCCTAGCGTGTCGCCTCCCTCGGTCCCGCCGCTGAACTCGATGGGCCAGAGTGCCACCATGAATCCCGGTCTGGTTCCCATTCAGGCTGTCGACTCGTCGTCCTGGGCGAGTACGAATACTTCGGCTAGCCATCCCTGGCTGCCTGGCTGGGGTGACGGACCCCCCTCGCTCTGGTCGATGGCGGGTGGGGAGCTTAGCGACCTGGACTCGATGATGGATCCTGTGATTACATCTGACTGGGTAGGTCAACGTATTTCTAGCCGCTTGACTTTTCTGTTTGACTTTTTGGTTCTCACCGGTTGGATGCTTGGCTGACCTGTATTGACTTTACACAGTCCATGTGGGACAACCAGATCATCAACGCGAGTGCCGAGACCATGCAGATACCCTGGAACAACTTCTTCCCCAACGGGCCCTGAGCGCCGCTGTTTCTCGAGCCTAGGATTGCCTGTTTAGGAATAGGGCGTGTAACTGTCTCCGATCCCAGAGGATTCCCATCAGCAATGAAAGGCAAGAGATCTTGGCTAGGAAGACAAAAGTGCAAAGTGTCTCGTAGTGCATGTCGCACAGTCCCTTCCCTCCTTGCCACTTTGTGGGCGATCGTGAACTGGACCAAATCGAGCATGCCCAGGAAGGTTATCAAGAGAAAACTCAGTTCTATCAATTCATGTCCCAATTCTGAGGTGAAAAGGACTGGCTCTAGAGCAAGGGTAACTATCTCACAATACAGCACTCGGGGGGTCACAGAGCGATCCCAATGCGTGAAACCGATCAATGGGTTGGATGACCAGCGAAGTCCTTCTGCTAACACCCAGTCAATCAAGCTGAGTCTTCCTCCTCCTCTTCCTCCTCTCCTCCTCCTCTTCCTCCTCCTCCTCTTCCTCCTCCTCCTCTTCCTCCTCCTCCTCCCCCTCTTCCTCCTCCTCCTCTTCCACCTCCTCCTCTTCCTCCTGGTAACCGACCAGTTGCTCGATCCAGGCTCTAAATTCTTGATCGACCCAGCAGCCCAACTCCCGTAGAGCGGCAAGAATACGGTAAGCTCCTCTTAGCGACTTCGTACTGCCCAAACACAAGTCGCCGACGATGTCGATCTTGCCATTAATGTGACATGCAAAGTAGCAAGTCCAACTGTCAGACACGACAAAGATAATCGGCAGTATGCATGGTTGCATGGGGGAGGATGACCTCAGCATCTCGAAGCGCTTGAACCATGCCCTTGCCCACAGACCTAGCTGAGTGCGCCCCACCGAGAAGGTGCCCGAGTCGGCCTTGGTCTCGATCAGGACGCCAGTCGGTGCGTCCCAAAGACCTTCGTTTGTTGTTGGGTTGATAGTCGTTGGATTCCAGGGCGGGCTGCACTGGGAGTGAAGGAAGCTGGTCATTTGGCAGTACAGGGGGGAGCGCAGGGGAAGCCGAAGAATCATGGCGTAGTCGATCATCCTACTACCCATGGTGGAAGTTGAGGACTCGCTAGTCCCTGCTGACAACAACGACGTCGGCAACCTAGTGGCGGAGGTAAGGAAGGCTTGGTCGATGGGTACACGGGTGAAGTTGACTGCCCGAACATGATCTAGGTACTTGACAGCGAGACGCAGCAAGGGTGAATGGACCTCGTCGTTCCACGCTGGCTCGCTTGGCATACCCAGAACGCAATTATGCGTACTCTCGACGATCTCTCGAAGGACCTCTAGCTCGTAGAGGAGCTGGAAAGGGGCCTTGGTATCGCTGTTGTCATCGTCGTCGTCCTCATCGCCGTTGCAACCACCAGCCACATCAGCCTTATCAACTGTGAAGTCTGAATCGATGCAACGGAATCTCTCGACAGGATCTAGCTCTCCCTTCACCTCAGTCGGGATACAGGGTGTTATGCCACCGGCGATGTTTCCAAGCCTGCGCACTATCTCGATATGATCTGGACACAGCTCCATGATATCCTGGACACAGCGAATGACATCCCCCGTAAACCACCGGACAGGCGTCTCGGAGAGAGCATTGAGGGGTTGCGTATTTTTGACAGGACTTGCAGATCGTTTACGCGAAGTGGTGCTCTTCCGCTGCGGTGACGAGGGATAGTCCAAGCCTTGTGCGTTGTTAATACCAACTGCAGGTGGAAGTTGGTACATGGCGTTGGTGAATGTTGAACTGCGGAGGCGGACGCCGGATCCTGACGCCCTTGGTGTGGCATCGAGGTCGTCGCTAGGTTGATCCAGCTCGCTGTTCTCTTGTCCAGTGCTGTCGCCATCACCATCGCCACCGCCACGCTCATCCTCACCACCATCATCTCCCCAACGTATGGCTGTGTTCTTGGTTGGGCTGCCAACGCGTTTCCGTTTTTTGGCCGGCATGCCGATGATGTTGAGCTGCGGTGCTTGCGTGGATATGGATTGCAAGGCTTCTCGATGTCGCTGTCCCTGTCGTCTTCGTGCGAGGAGGGGGAAGTCGGCGCACAGTGAATGCTCTGCGGCAGCCGTGGCAGCAGAAGTAGCAGCTTCTTCTTCATCTCGCGTGCTGGAGGCGGTTTTGGGGGATAGTTGAGGGATCTCGGAGAGCCAAGCGGCAATGACGTGTGGATGCATCTGTGACTGTGAGAGCTGTCAAACGGACTGGAAAACAAGCTGGAAAGCAGGCAAGCAGGCAAGAAGGCAAGCAAGCTGGTGGACTGTGGTGATGGCGGTGGTTGTGAAGGCGGTGATTGTGATGGAGGTGGTCGAGATGGTAGTGTCTTTTCTTCTTCCAGCGGTTCCATTGCGGTTGTTTGATATCGCACTGGTGTTTTGTTTGCGCGTCGCGTCACGTCACTCTTGTGACTCCTGCCCCGAAAAACAGCCGGCATAGTGAATACAGCGGACTTACTCTGCTCCCTAACGTGCCAGAAGCACAGAGATTTCAAGTGGCTGTTCAGCTTTGTTGCACCAGCGAGCGCGTGCCACCCGCCGATGACCATCACCTCGCCTCAGTGTCAAAGCCGCCCCCCGCGCGAGCTCAAGTTGTGTGTCACTGCCTAGCTTGCAAGAAGGTAGTCTAGCTGGCTGATTCACTCGCCCGGTGTGGTTGCACTGCGTGTCGGCTGCCACATCTCGGGCATGGCGTGCCCGAGTACTGGTGTACCTACATGGAGACATGTCTTTGTCTCCCCTTGATTCTCGTTGACACTTATCACCCTTACATGCCCTATGGGGCGTACCAGGGACCATGTAAGTCACTGAAAGGCCGTCTGAAGTTCTTTGCCGGAGCTGGAAGACTGTGTCAAATTGACCCGATCACGAGTAATCGCCGCCAATCTATCCAGCTTACTTCCTCAGGAAAAGCACCCAAGTTATCTCCATTTCTGATGTCTCCAGTACCCATCTACTTTTCATACCACACACAGCATTTTTCTTCTTCTATAATGAAGACTTTACTCAGCTGTTTGATCTTTAAAGCTGATAATTATATCAGATAGGAAGCGCTTACGCCCTCACGAACTCGTGCACACGGACATCCAGACTCGCTGACTCACGGACCACCAGGTAGAGGAATCCTGCCGAAACATGCCGGGATCAATGCATCTCACCGGCCCTTGTTCAATTTATTTGACCTCCTTGGATCCATGGCTGCCTGTCTCTATTACACGACTGAATGAAAGTGCTAAGCTCTCAAGACATTGTAGAGGCAGACAGCATATTCCCCCCCCGCTTAGAATCGGACATCAAAATTATCACCCGATTCAGAATTCAGGGCTGGAACGACGAAGCTGATTTCCTTTCAGCTTTGGTGCGGCGCCCTTGTGTCACTCGCCTCGTGCCTTAGTGAGCCATGGCGATGTCACAATAGAATACAAGGGATAACTGATCGCCATGTCGTTCTCTTTGCCGCCCCCACGCAATCTCGTCTGGGTACTCTTGGCTTATCTGCTTACCTTTGTGACAACAAATTGAGTATGCTATATGGTTCCTTGTTACTTTCTTTCTCGAGAGTGCGTGAATCGAGAGGTAGACAAGAAAGAACAATGACACTGAACAAACATGGCGCTTGAATTCATCTACATTGAATGATTTCAACCCAGGTAGATGTGCTACTACGGGGTGTGAAGTCCGTGTCGTCCTGGACCAACCGGCAAGCTTGCCACGTAACCCTGCCGAGAATCTGATTTGTTCAGAGCAGGGAAGAAAGAGGATCCCAAAGGATGGATTTACCGCAATCTCAGAATGCTATGCCCCTCACTTCCAGCCTTGGCGTTGGGCTGTGACTGGCTGAGCTCGGGGGAAAAGAAATGCTACCGTTCTCCCCGCAAATCCCCGTCTCTGGCAGCTTGTCACCGCTCCGCACTTCTGGAGTCCGCATGTTGGGGCAACTGGGGATGCCTTCAGCTCAGGCCCGCTCCCCCCAGACTTGACTATCTTAGAGCGTGGGGAAAGGAGGGGAAAGGGTTCTTGTCTGTTCATTCATCAGCCAAACATTTCAAATCATCTGGGGATCTGGGGTAGCACTATAATATCCACAAGTCCGCTGGACGTGAGGTCGACATATCCTCATATCCTCATATCCTCATATCCTCATATCCTCATATCCTCATGTCCTCATGTCCTCATGTCCTCATCTCTTCAGCTGCGCCGCCTATCAATAGATTTCTCTGTTCTCCCCTTCTCCAGACCACCCTTACCCACCCTTTCCACCAGCCTCTAGAGTTCCAGAGACACGGATCACCAGCCATGGCTGGCAGCAAAGCCCGCGCCACTCCGGTGCGCGACAACATGAAGTGCATCCTCATCTGCCTAGCTATGTCGATGGCCAACTGTCAGTACGGTTACGACACAGCTACCATCGGTGGTTTCCAGGTACATGCGTGCCCTTCCGAACCCTGCAGAGTCCAATGAACCTATTAATCGTATGCTGACATGTCAGCACAACAGGCCATGGTTGGCTTCCTTCAGGTATTCGGCTACAAAGACCCCAAGGGACCGACGGGGTACAACATCGCGACGACGGTGCAGCAGCTCATCACGTCCTTCCTCAATGTCGGCACCATCATCGGCGTGCTTCTGACCGCCACCTGGGGCAAATACTACGGACGCAAGCCCGCCATCTGGGTCGCCTCCCTCATATCTTTCGTCGCTGCTGGCCTCCAGATCGGCTCCGAGCACGTGGCCGCCCTCTACGTCGGCCGTATCCTGATTGGAGTCTCCAACGGCTTCTTCATCACATTCGCCAACGTCTACACCGCCGAGGTCAGCCCCGCCCATCTGCGCGGCTCCATCGTCTCCTTCTTTGGCATCTGGGTCAGCATCGGCAGCATCCTCGGCGCCATCGCCAACAACTTCGCCAAGAACATCAAGAACAAGCACGCATACCAGATCCCGCTGGCCAGCCTCTACGCCATCCCCTTCTGCCTTTCTGTCCTCGTGTTCTTCCTGCCCGAGTCGCCCCGCTGGCTGCTCGTTCAGAACCGCCCCGAGGAGGCCCGCAAGTCTCTCGAGATTCTGCGCGGTAACTCGTTCCGGAACCACCCCGAGCTGCTCGAGGAGGAGTTCCAGGAGATGAGCCACGGCATCGAGGAGGAGAAGGAGCTGACCTCGGGCTCGTCGTTCATGGACATGTTCCGGGGCCCCGATCTACGCCGCACCATTCTCTGCTTCGCCGTCATCGTGTCCCACACCTCGTCTGGCCTGTGGCTCGTCGTCGGCTACGCCACCTTCTTCTTCCAGATGGCCGGCGTCGACCAGCCCTTCCTCGCCACCATCCTCAAGAGCGTCTGCGGTCTCGTCGGCGTCATCTCGTGCATCTTCCTCGGGCAGAAGTACCTCGGCCGGCGCTCCATGATGCTCATCGGCCATTCCTCGTCCGCTCTGTTCATGCTCGGCATCGCGGTCGCCTTCACCGTTGCACCCTACACCAAGCCCGCGGGTAAGGCGATCATGGCCTTCGCGCTGCTGTACCATGGCTTTTACAACGGTTTCTCTGGTGCGCTCAGCTGGCCCATCGCCACTGAGCTATGCAGCTCGCGGCTGCGTGTCATCACCATCGGCACGGGTACGGGTGTCAACTACGTCTTTGCCTGTAAGTCCAGACACTCTTTCTCTCTTCACAACTGCTCGAAAGCCTCAATGTTCTGATCATCTTTCACACCATAGGGTTGACCTCCTTCACCGCGCCATACTTTATCAACAAGGAGAATCTGAACTGGGGCCCGAAGTACGCCTACATCTGGGCCGGATCCAACCTCATTACCTTCATCTTCTTCCTCTTCTTCCTCCCCGAGATGAAAGGCCGCTCGCTCGAGGAGCTGGACGAGCTCTTCCAGAACCGCGTGTCGGTGCGCGACTTCCCCAAGTATCAGTGCGTCTCATCGGAGCGGGCCAAGGAGGTGGCGCTCAAGGTCACGCACGTCGAGGTCAGCGAGCAAACGCAGCCCCATCAGGTAAAGGAGGTCAAGCCCGACGAGGATGAGGTGCGGAACAAGGTCTAAGATTGCGAATACCTGGCCGGGTTGCGATAGGTGCTGTCAGGTGCCTCTGGATGGTTACTGCTTATCTGTGTCAAGGTGCATTTCTGCACGAGTACCAATATATGCTTTCCATGGTGTTCTGGGAGCCCGGGTGACCCCAGACTTTCTCCTTCGACTTGCATATATCTGGTTTCCACTACTTCAATGGGGGATAGTTCATATTATAGTGTGATCTAGAATCAAGATCCGTAATTCTGTACGTTTGTCAAGGCATCAGCAGCGCAGGACATCTATGCAAAGCTAATCAAATTACGTTGACGTCCCATTGGCTAATAGTGATACGTCCTCCGCCTGAAGAAGTCCGGTGAAATTTGTGGAGTGGCTGTGATCCTAGTTCAAGTTCCTATCGCCCCTCGGAAATAGGTGGAGAGTGATGTGATCGCGCAACTCGCGTGCTGACAACACATTCGCTATGGTCGTGGTTTTGATCCGAACGATATCCACCTCGCGCGATATAAATGTCAGCATTACCTTCAAATTAGATCTTTTAGCCCCTGTCTACCCCCCAGTCCATGATGCATGCCGTGGCTCCTTCTCCGGATGCCTCGGCGAAGTATGAATGAGTCTTAAGCTTAATGGGGGGAGGGGGGAATCTTTTAGCATAACTGCCCGTAATGCGAACAAAGGTCCAAGGTATCACCATAATTGTTAACCCTCACAGCACGAGATGTACTTGAGCGTAACGAAGAGTTTGATAATTCGTACCCCTAGCTAGTGATCGAGTCGTCCTTCTCAAGCCAACTCAAGATTTTGACAAGGTACACCACGAAAACACTTGGTACTTAGTACAATGGTCCAGACGTGGCTCATTACCGGATGCTCCAGTGGCTTCGGTGAAGAGTTTGTCCGTCAGCTCCGTGCGGCGGGAGACAATGTCATTGCTACAGGGCGGAACATCGAGACGAAGCTCGCTCATCTCAAAGACACGGGCTGCCCAATTCTAGAGCTCGATGTCACTTCTCCCGAAGATGTGATAACCGCCAGGATAAATGAGGCCTGGGAGATCTACGGTGGCATCGACGTCATCGTGAACAATGCAGGGTACCTGGCCATCGGTGCCTTCGAAGACACTACGTATGCTTCTTCAACTCCATATACAAAGACGATGTTGGTGCTGTACTGACTCGAAGACGACGCCATGAATCAGGCAAGCGAACATCGAAGCAGCCATGAATACCATGTTCCACGGCCCGCTCAACATCACGCGCGCCGCACTCGGCAAGATGCGGCCGCTCAACAAGGGCACGATCATGTATGTCAGCTCGTACTTCTCGAGGCTCGGCGCCGCCATTGCCACGCCCTACTGCTCGGCCAAGTTTGCGCTCGCGGGCGCTGTCGAGTGCATCGCCGAGGAGCTCGCGTTCATGGCGCCGGGCATCAAGCTCATCAGCCTCGAGCCAGGCTTCTACCACACCGAGGTCCACAGCAAGTTGGTCTGCGCCGAGAACCGCGTCCCCGCCTACGCCGAGTTCAGAGAATTTAGCTTGAAGACAACCCAGGACATCTTTCTCGCCGCGCCGGGTGACGCCAAGAAGGGCGTCGCAAGGATGATTGACATTGGGAAGGGTACGGGGCTTGCTGAGGGTAAGACGGTGCCGACGAGGTTGGTGTTGGGGTCGGATGCGCAGGAGGTTTGTAGAAAGACGAGCCAGGATGCGCTCAAGGTCTTGGACGAGTGGGAGGATGTGGCGAACAGCACGGATCTAGATGGTTACGTGAAGCCTGCTGGAGAAGCCTAGAAGATGTATTTTGGCTACCCTCATTTCAAGATAGCTTGGCCGAAGATGTAAAATATCTCAAAGGCCTATGTAGCTCATCGTCATTGCTCAAGACTCCTCCACAGTCTCGACAAAAGCCAGGTCGGCATCAAACGCTTCAGGCAAGTGCTTGCCCTTGATATCAGACGTCTCGATGAAGTAACGAATCTCCTTCTCGTCCTCGTCACTCAGTTGGATCTGCAAGGCAGCCCAGTTCTGCTCCAGCCACTTGATCTTCCTCGTGCCGGGAATCGGGATGATGTCGTCCCCCTGCTTCAGCAACCAAGCGATGGCCAGCTGGCTCGCAGTGCAATTGTGCTTGGCAGCCAGCTCGCTGAACTTGGCTACTATCTTGGCGTTGTGGTCTTTGGCCTCGCCAAGGAAGCGGGGGAGGGACTTCGTCCGCATGTCCTTTGGGTCGTCCTCGCCCGGGGCGGCGAGGGAGGCGAATGTCGAGGTCAGCATGCCCCGGCCGAGGGGCGAGTAGCAGACGACCGAGATGCCGAGCTCGCGGCACACTTTCAGAGTGTTGTGGCCCTCAGGACCCTCGATTATGCGATGAAAGGCCGAGTATTCAGTCTGCACGACCGAGATTGGGGTGATGGCGTGCGCCCGCCGGATGGTTGCGACACCGCAGTTGGACAAGCCGATGTAGTGGATCTTACCTTGCCTGGAAGATGTATAAGTGAGAAGAGTAACCCACATACAGCTTTGAAAGGGGTTCTTCTTACGCTTTGAGCTCAGCCATGGCGCGTATGGTCTGTTCGATGGGGACCCTGGGGTTTGGATGGTGGAGATAGTCTTTGGTAAATCTTATTAGATAGGTTTACCGTGTGGGCCACGATGCCATTGATTCTCAGGCAGTCTGGGTGGATGCCACTCACACAAGTCGATATGATCGGTGCCGAGAAGACGCAAACTTTCCTCACAAGCTTTCTTACAGTATTCGGCCGAGCTTTCGACCGCATAACCGGGCTCGCCTTTGACGAATCCAAACTTTGAAGCAAGGAAGATCTTGTCCCGGTTGCCGGTCCGCTTAAACCACCTGCCCAGTAGTTCTTCGCTGTCGCCATACAAACTTGATGGAACCATCTGCTATTAGTTTCGAGCCTGCTTTAGAAGACAAGCTAGGACGAGGACTTACTCGGCAGTGTCCCAAAAGGTGCAACCCAGCTCCAGAGCCCGATCCAGCAGCTGGAAACGCTCCTCATCTGGAGGGACTGTTCCGTATGCATATGACAGCGGCATCAGGCCAAAGCCCATTGCTGGAACCTTGGGGCCGTTCTTGCCAAGTGAGCGCAGAGGAATGTTCTGAGAAGCCATCTTTGACCAGTCGGAGGGTGGTGGTACACAATGATTAACAAGACAGCAACTTTGGTTTTGAGACTATACCCGTATTTAAAGACAAATTTCCTGAACGAAGGAGCCTGGGAAGCCTTTAAATACGCGGCCCATTGTCCTGTGATGGAGCGTCATATTAGCTTGTGCCGATAACATCTCCACCACCAGTCTCTGAAGCTACGCCGGACATAGCTGATACATTACAAATAAAGTCCGTCAATCTCCATTATATGGTCTATAAAGAGGTCGCGTATGAGAATTGAAACATGGATTTCTTCTCAGTCTATCGCTGGCCATACTTTCCGACACGAAGTCTCGGTCCATCACGACGATTTGCTTCAGGAGTCGAGCTGAATCCACAAGAGCTGCCGAACAGCAAATCAGCTTTCAGAGAGTCCGACCAAACCAATCATACTGAGTCAACCGTGGAGCCATGTTTCCACTTATTCTGGCGAATGAACCGCCCGAGTTTGCGAGCTCCGGGTCGGACTTAGGACGGCTTCGAGAGATGTCGTGTCTTGAGTCCCGACGTGGCCGGATTTCCTTAATGCCTCATAGAGGTGTCTTGCATCACCTGTATGGGAAGAGGAGTGTGGTTCCAGCGCCAAACTTTGAGCCGTCGCGGAAGAAAGGAGTTTCCAAGATGACAGACGGGGACGCAGCTACACGCTGCAAGGGACTGGGACAAGCGCCGGCCAACCAGCCCCAGCCACGGACCGGACGGCGAGCCAAAGTCAAGTCCGGGTGCCGTACCTGCAAGTAAGTGAGCCTGCCACTGCCCCCATCTTCTCTCCAATCCCCACTGTTTTCTCTACGTCTCTCGGCCTGTGTTGACAAAATTCCGCAGGATCCGTAAAGTCAAGTGCGACGAGGGCAGGCCCGCATGCAACCGATGCATCTCTACCGGCCGCACATGTGACGGCTACGGCGTGTGGGGTGGAGGGAGCCCTGCATTACAGAACCACGGCCTGCCCAAGTCTCGCCTTGGTTCCAATGCGCTTGCTGTCGCCGAGACGAGAGCTAGCGGCATCGTAGTGAGAAGGGACCTTTCAAGCTCGCCGTTGATTGTGAGCGATAGCGAGCAAGCCTGCTTCGAGTGGTTCGCCCGGCGCACTACGACAAAGATGCCGGGCTTGTTCGTCGCGGAAATATGGAAGTCGTTAATCTTCCAGGCCAGCACCACGGAACCGGCGGTTCTACACTCGGTTCTAGCCTTTAGTTCGCACCACCAAAAGGCCGCTAAGAAGGGCCTCAATCTCGGCAGAGTTTCTCAGGACCTGGACGAGCAAGAGCAGTTCATGCTGCGGCAATACACCACTGCCATCGTCCACCTGCAGTCCGTGCTGTCCCGCAGTGATCACTCATCAACGCAGATAGCGCTAGTCGCCTGTGCCATGCTCACTTGTCTGGAGATGCTCCGCGGGCACTTCCAAGCGGCCGAGTCCCACTTTCGCAACGGCCTTGGCCTCCTTCGCCAAGGTGCAGCGCCGTACTCAACAGTCGGGGACAATGGTGCTCGAACGCTGAGTCCTTGTGATAGAGCAGCCAGCGGGACTATTGCTCAGCTGTTCCACAGGCTCCAGGTGCAAGTTGGCTTGCTTGGAAACCGTCATGTTGCTTTTCCGGCCATAAATCTACCGCAACTGGAGCCCGGACCACCAATCACTGGCTTCAGAGATCTGAACCATGCCAGAGACCACCTGGACAATCTGCTCAAGAGGGTCCAGCTCTTGGCAGTGCGCTGCCGAAACAGAGCTACAAATAAACAACCTACTCATGCCCCAGAGCTGCTAGTGGAGAAACAAGACATTGACACGGGCTTGTCGTGTTGGATCGGCTCTTTACAGGTTTCCAAACTGGACTCTTCCCCACGAAGTTTGTTCGCGGTGGGTTTGCTGCGTCTCATGCACACTATGGCAAGGATCATGCTCCGAGCGAGCCTCTGGCCCGACGACGAGTCGATCTACGACACCCATTTTGACGACTTCCTATCCATAATCGTAAACGCTGTGGAGGTGAGGAGCCACATTAGGGAGTTTGAGACGATCGAGCACAAAATGGACAAGTCTCACTCCACCGTCGATCTGGGCTGGCTCCCGCTGCTCTACTTCGTGGCCACAAAGTGCAGGCATCATCGTCTCAGGCTGCAGGCTGTCAAACTTCTGGACACCTCGCTCCACCGCGAAGGTATCTGGGATTCCCGGGTCGCGGCCATCGTGGCCAAGAAGGTCATGGAGATCGAGGAGGGCGACTTCTACCCGGCCGAGGTCTACATCCTGGACGATTTTGACGCCGTGAGCCTCCCGCAGGAATGGAATCTGACTCTGCCAGTGCTCCCAGAGTCGCGCAGGATCCACGATCTGGACATCGAGCTGCCGGAAGACCCGCTCGGTCAGGTCGCGATTAGTGGCAAAATACGAAGGGAGGATGGTAGGGAGGAGGCATTTATCAAGACGTATAATTTCGCTCGACAATGGTGGATAGATGGCCCCGCGAAGGGTGCTTCGGAGACGCCAGTCTAGTACCAGTCGCCCACAGCTACGAAGTGAGGGTGTGATCAAACCTGGTCATCCCCCCAAGCTCAACCAGACCATCCCAACCATTTTAAACCAGCATTCCAAACGTTCGCCGGGTTTACTAGGCTTCCAAGCACCGCGACTCGGGAGGTGCCGCCTGGCCTCGACGTTGTTGTTACGCAAAGGTATGGCTTGGATGTTCACCAGCAGGGACTTTAGCCGCCACCACCGCCTTTCTCTGCTGCAGCTGGGCACCGCCCCTTCTCTTCAGACTAGCGAATCAGCTTGTCGAAGGTCTGAGCATGGGCTGCTCGATGACGAAAGCCGTGGCCATGCGACTGCCAGATCGGAGCACTCTATCGCTCCTAGAAACATACTAAGATGTAGATTACTTTGCGGAACAGGGATGCAAAACTTCGAATAGCAGCGACCTTGACTGCCCGATACTTTGATGCCCAGCGTCTAGGCCCTGCACATGCACCACCCTGCATATCGCGGTTTCAGGCCTGCATCTCTCTATTTTGCCCGTAAGCATGGACGTTGAGCCCAGCGGCGGTTGTCACACGCCCAGGATGATTCCGTCTGCTTGCGTCATTCCGCGCCTTCCATAACCTCTCCGAGCTTTGTAGAAGGCAGGAATTAAACAGTCACGCCCCCAACCACATGAAAGCATCTAATTACATGCGATCAGGAGGCGAATGAAGTGGAGAACGACGCCGGCGTAACGACTAGGCCGTTTTGCTAGGCCCGGGCCCGAGCCTATCGGGAGAGGTAGCTTGACCAATAGACAAGGCGATGCTCTCTTCGGTTTCACAACCGAAGAATGCTCAACTTCCAAGGAAAATGAAAGATCGGTCTGCAATGGGCCCCCACCCCCTAATCGATTCGCTAGGAGAGATGTGTGGGATGGGTGAAGAAGCTGGGCCAGGAGACCGCTGGGGCGAATGGCAGGAGATCTCGATACTCCATCCAGGGTCTTTGAGGTAGCCACTTTTGACGTCAGCATGCGCTGAAGCCACATCCTTGCTGGAGACCCTGACGTCAAAGCCACACATCATCATTCATACCGGATTTGCACATTAGCAAGGAGCGAGCACATGCTGGTATTTTACCTGCTATGACCATTCTAACAAGAAATTAGAGACTTTTAGACTTTTGTACATAAGAAGCAGCTATTCTCCCAGGCAATACCTTCTTCACACCCAGTCCCGACATCCTGTTTTTATCAAACCCAAACACACAGCCAAAACATCAATCAATTACACAATGTCGAACCAGCAGAACGAGCAGCAAGGTATGCTTCCCCCTTTTCCTTGTTCTCGCGTTGTCTCCTTTCTGAATTTTTCCTTGCGTCTGGCCTCGGTCCGGGCTGATCTTAACACAAAGGGGGTCTCCTAGGTGGTCTTTTGGGAGGCGTCACTAACACGCTTGGAGGTGTCGTTGGCGGCGCTACGAATGCCGTGGGCGGTGTTGTAGGTGGTGTTGGCAAGGTATGTAACCCTTTCCTATCGGGCAGGTCTTGATGGGGTGGTCTGACCCGGTTTCCTGTCTTCAGGGTCTCGGCGAGGGCGTTGGAGCCATTGGCAAGGTACGTTGAGCACAAGCACATCGGGATCGCTCTCTTGGAAATCGAGTATTGACAGCGGAACAGGGTGTCGGTGAGGGAGTAAGCTCTGGCACGCAAGGTCTGGGCAGCACTGTCTCGGGTAAGATTCGGTCTTTCTGTTGATAAACATATCTCCACCGATCAGGACTAACACCGATTATTAGGAGCGAGCCAGAACGTCTCCGATACCACGAAGAATGTTGGTCAGTCCGTGCAGGGTGCGCTTGGTACCAATGAGCACACCGGAAAGGCACAGACGGCGGACAATCCCCTTGGCTTGTAAGAAGATGTGGCTGGGTTTCCACCAAGCTGAGAACTAGGCAGGAAGCGAGACGGAGTTTGTACAACAGAGGGCTAGATTGTGGATGAATATGATGATATTTCACAACCGGACCATGATGTGCTCCTATCATTTTGTTGGTGCTGTGAACTTATGAGCCACTACTATCTGGCCGATTGAAGAGTTGAGTAGCCGCCAATGCGAAAAAGTTGATGTGTCGACATCGGCACGACGCCTTGGGGCTCTTAAGGTCTTCAGTATGTTCCAGAGATGCTTAGAGAGAGAAAACCTTGTCACCAGTATCTCCAGGTCCTTGTGAGGCAGTCATAATCCTACACCGGGCGACCCAATCACGCTATCAACGTAGAGGCACAAGTAAGATTGATTGGAACTCTTCTTGTACAAATACAGATACGATAATATTGCAAACTCGGAAAATCGCTAAAGAAATGAGGTAATGTCACGGGATCCGAGCAGCTTCCGTAACGATCCCTTCCAATTTGACACAGCAATTTTAGGTATGCGTGTGTGCCTCGATGCCTGAATCAATGGTGCCCAGCGTGCAGCCTTGTCGACCACACAAGTTCTGTTTGAACTCTTTCCACATCAACTTTCTTCAGCACCACAACTGAAGCCTTTGCAACGATATCATGGAGGCTGCTCTTACATTCGGGAGTGTAGGCGACATCATCGCTATCTGCCAGATAGTGCCCAAGAGTACCAAGAGCTCTGTCGAGACTTGGATGCGTTTGTCCAGATTTTGTTGCAGGTGAGGATCAGTATCCAAGAACTTTGAGTCTATATCTATGGCTAAATTATCTCTGAATGACGAGCAAGGTTGTCGCGACGCATCAGCGCCACAAACCCACTCCATACCTTGACGGCGTCGACGCCCTAACCAGAGCGATCATCAAGGACTGTGCTGGCCTGATACAAACGACACTGAACAGCCTCCGAGCTCGATATGGCGACAGCTTGGGAAGAGACGGGATCGAGTCTCATAGGAAGCTACAGGGCATGTTCAAGAAGATTCGATGGTCCATGCTGGAACAGTCTCGGTTACAAGTGCTACAAGAGAAGGTTCAGAAAAGCACCCAAAGACTGCCTCTTCTTACCGCCCTAGCTATTCAGTATGTGCACGCGAATATTTGTTTGAGGGGATCCTTGTACTAAGCACTTGATATCCACTCAACCTGATAGGCAATCTCAGCCATTTGAGAGTAAAGCCACACTCGATAGAATCGATGCCCTCGACCATCACTTGACTAATTCATGTCATGTGGAGAATGAAGAAATTCGACGACTCTTGAACGACATTCAGCAAATGCACCAGCATCAACAGCAGAAGATCGCAGTCCAGAACGACCAACTGTTTCAGGTCAGAGACATCAGTGCAAGTGTGCTGGCCTCAACGAAGGCTTCCTTTACGGCTATCATACAAGTTAGAGGCACATTGGTCCGACTGGCACTCGATGTTAAAGCTGTTCAAAGTCTGGTTCAGGAATCGATCTCGCTCCGATCACTGGATCCGACGAAAGAGGTGCCCGTCATTATAGAAGACGCGCTGGGCAGGCATTTCTCCATACCTGCGGAGTGGATTGAAAATTTAGATTGGAACGTAAGATCCCTATCCCGCTCCAATGATGACTTCATGTCAGGCCCTAAGATTGCATAGGCGTTCCATCCTCTTCTTGAGGGGCAGTTCAGAGGTCGAAAAGGCTATGATCTGGTCCGTAAGCACCAGTATGCACTGGAGGATAGCTGCTCAGATAAAGAACTTGATCGACAAGTACCCCTGTTTTTGACGCTACGAAGAGGGATGAAGATCAACATGAGCATAATATTCCCGCATGAAGGGGACAGGAAAATTTGTCCGCGGTGCAGAGGACCCCTTGACATACTAGGAGATTCCACAAAACAATGGTGAGGTGTCGGTCCTGTACTTATGGTTTCCAAGAATTACTGCTAAATGGACAATCTGACAGTCAAACCCCTGGTTGCCAAATGTGGGTACGGTTTGTAGACTGGCCTTCAGGAACACAACAGCAAAACATCGATCAAAAGTCGTTGGATAAACCCTCGGATTTCCTCCGTGTGAAAATCATTGGCTCACGGTTGATGGATTGGCTCTCTTACTGGACTAATGTAGGAGATAAACTCATAGAAACCCATAGAGAAGATGGAGATGGTATGATCCCCGACTTGAGACTCGAAAAGGACTCGAAAAATGGTGGGTTTAGGTAAATGATAGGCAAGTCAACCATCTAGACAAGTAGCCGAATGAATATCTGAAAAAAAAAAAAAAAAAAAAAAAAAAACCCGGCCCGAAAAGCCGGGAGATCGGGGTGAAAGAATTAGCCAGAACTCTGAGCTCACCTCGTCTTGGCTGCAACAACTTGGAGACAGTGTATTGAATCATTTCAGATGCTCACTTGAGCACGATGCGACTCAAGGCGCCAAGTTACCATTCCGACTATGGCCCACACTCATAGTACCAAACTCCTCCAGTCGGCAAAACACTCCATTCAGCAAGCATTACTCCCGATAACTGACACGTTATCCAACCCAAGGAACAACCAAGTCGGGTCAGAGTTCCCCCACTGGAAAGCATACACTTCGAGCACAAACTCAGGCTCGTCCGTCCCCGCCCTCTGCCGGCCCAGCGACCTGACCTCCTGCCACACACCGCCCGTGGACATGGCGATGCCGGCCCCCTCGTACGACCCGACCGCGCACGGCACGCCGCCAACGTACGCCACGGCCTGAACGCGGGCGTCGATGGCGCCGAGCATCAGGTTGGACCGCCACGACTGGACGGCCGCCTGGAAGGACCCGGAGCACTGGTACGTGTCGCCGGCGGCCATGCCGGCGAGCTTCTGCGTCATGCGCACGGCGCGCTGGGCGGAGACGCTGGCGTTGTTCCCGCCGGGCTCGCTGAACATGGCGTAGAGGTAGCGCCCGGCCTTGTCGCCGGCGACGACGTGCGGCTCGTCCTTGTCCGTCACGGAGGCGAAGTGCAGCTCGGGCGCGTAGGTGACGACGAAGGGGTCCGGCTTGTCGCCGTCGAAGCCGCCGTTCTTGAGCCGTTCTGCCGTGCATGCCCTTGGCTGGATGGGGTTGTCTTCTGTCACCCGCTTGGCCGTCTCTGGTGCTGGCGAGTCCGCATCTTGGTGGGTAGCCGAGAGTGCCGGTTGGCGTGGTTGTCCCCGAGGGAGTAGTATGGAGGCTGAGGCGTAGCTAGAAAGGAGTAATGCTCCGGCAACGGAGACTTCTAGTGTTCGGAAGAACCTCATGTTTATTAAGGAGGATATGTGTTGAAATGAAGATGCCCCTTTGCTTGAAAAATCACCGTGGCTGAGCCAAGATGACGATGACAAGACGAACACTCCTTATACACAATGACATTGCCGGGATTACTCAAAGGGAAACAAGCATGGGCATTCTGGAATGAAATAAATACATCATTTCTCACTACTCGCATGAGCCGCCTGCCGGATGTGGTTTGTTGTCTCTCGTCTCGCCGCCACCCGAGTCAGCGAATAAGACACTGGAATGTGCCTGTCACCTGTTAGTTCTGGGTGTTTTACCACGTTTGTGCTCCCGATACCCACCAACTGGTCTGGAGATAGCATGGCGCCGAGATGCTAGCGCCATGCTAGACCACCTGCCACGCTTGTCGTTGTCAGGGTTTCATGGCTACTTTTGGATGACCGACTCGTGCCTTGTCAGGTTCAGGTACGATATTTTCACAAACCAGTGTCTAGTCCCATTTTGAGATACAAATCCCGAGTACCTAAACACTGCTACCTAACTGCGTGATTTTAACGGCTCGATTAAGGGCCCGATGTTTCCAGCAAAACCATCACGCACGGCCTAGAGATGGTGTAGTAGTAGGGCATGGTCCATCAGTAGTAAACGGCCATGCCGTGTAGCACTGAGTACACTGTGTCGACTCCGGGCAAGGAAGGGTAGACGTCGAAGTGACGATACTGAGCCTCGAACAGCCACACGGCAGAGTAACAAGTGCTGGCAGATAGTGTTAGCTTGGGCAGCACCTTGGCCAACAAATTAAGAGTACCACATACAGTCCACGATGCAAAAGTCCGACACGCATCCCTTTGTACACTTTGCCGTCTCGTAAATGTTTGCCGTCACCGTGGTAGTGCAGCTGGCAGCCGTCTCGGTCGTGGTCACAGTTGTCTTGGGCGACGGTGGCGTGGGAATAGGCACGTCGTTGCAGGTCGATGTCGACGTCGCGGACTTGTACATGGTCAAGCAGCCTGCGCCACAGTGCTTGCCGTCGGAGCGACAGGGGAAGTCGACGGTCACGGTGGGCACCGTGCGAGCGCAGTCGCAAGGGTTCGAGATGGTGGACCATGCCAGACACTTCGGAACGGCGCAGGTGGAACAGACGCTGCCGGTGCTCGTCACTGTCGGACAGTGAGTGTCCTTTGCTGGAGGAGGGGTCGGGATAATCGCAACCGCAGGGTCTGGAACTGCGGCTGCGAGAGATCCTGTGAACCTGTCATCGGAAAATCATAGCGTGAGCAAGTGTATGGTGTGCTGAAAGTAGCATATGGCCCTGATACTTACAACGCTGATATAGCAATAGTTATGAACTTGAGGTGCGCCATGATGAAGATTGATCATGCAAAGCGTTTGATACAATAGTGCTTAGAGCTACTCTAGATTGAAGTAGTAATTATAGGGCACTCTCCGTGATCTTATACAAAGATGGTCGTCTCGATTCCTGACCGAGGACTGCGGAGTAAGGTCCCACGGGAATGTAACCGGGTTCCCATCCTCGTATTGCAATATCGAAAGGCCATGAGATTGAAGGAAATGAAAAACACAATGTCGCAATGGATAATGGGAAAGTACCTGGCCAAGAAAATGCCGTCCATTTGCGGACACGGCCAATTTAGCCGGCTCGAAGCTCATTATTTGAACCCCCCGACGGTCCACCCCGTCATGTAAGACATTGGGGTTGAACCAGGGGAATCTGATCAGCAATCCGCATCCGGACTTGCCTTTGCGATATCTTGTGACCTGGTAATGACTGAGACATAAGTCTAGATTTGGATTGCATTGCACTAGTTCCGTTGAGCTGGATTTGCTTTCCCCGTCCCTTTTGGGACTCAAGAACCTTCGGGATATCTGTGCTATCCCTTACTACCGCAGCTGCTAAAAATAGCTCATCTGTCATTTATCTCGCTTGGCATAAGATTGAACGAGAACGATTCACAGATCTCATGGACTAATAATCACATCACAGTCTAATTGGGGGGTGAATCAGTACCAAGAGCAACCTCGCTGCTACAACAGTCTCTCCCAGAGTGACACTATTGCATGGACTTCAATGTTGATGCAACCACACAGTCCAGATCCTCATTCTTCAGACCAAGTAGATCCATCGCAAACTCTGGTTTAACCTCCCAGTTGCCGTCGATGGCACCCAATGCAAAGACCAGATCTTCCACCGCCTGGAGGTCTCCCCCGTCCGCGAGAGCTTTGTGCTTCTTGATGAACTCTTCAGAGTCGAACTGCTCGACCGTCCACTTGGTCCCCGTCGCCTTCTCCAGCGACTTGATCAGCTGGTTCTGAGTGATACAGAAGCTCTGGATAAAGAGGAGCTTGTTCTTGGTCTCCTCCTCCTTCTGCAGGATGGCGACCACAGCCTCACCGACACGGCCGAGCGTGGACAGCGAGCACGGCTGGTCGCCGCTGTCGAGGATGTGCGCCGTGCGCGTCTTGACGAAGCAGTGCAGGAAGTCGTGGCGCAGGCCCCAGTCGAAGAAGTGGCCGCAGATGATGCTCGACCAGCTGAAGCCCGGGTGCGAAGCGGCGAGCCGGACGAGGTGGTCGCGGACCTGGTTCTTCTTGTCGAACAGCGGGACGACCTCGCGCGCGCGCTGGCTGCGCGAGTCGCAGCTGCCGTAGTCGGCGGGGATGAAGCGCTTCACGCCGGCGGCGGCGGCGGCGGTGGCGAGGCGGTTGTGCTGGGCGACGTCGCGGGTGCGCGAGAGCACGACGACGGCGTCCTGGCCGCGCAGCTTCGCCTCGAGCACGTCGGCGGGCCAGTCGTCGGGGACCTCGATGATGGAGACCTCCTCGGCGTGGGCGGGCGTCGAGGTCGACGAGGCGCGGCGGACGACGCTGACCTCGAAGGTGCCGGCCTTGACGATGGCGTCATAGACGACCTCGCCGAGCTCGCCCGTGGCACCGACGACGGCGACTTTGCGGAGGACCATGGCGATGAGAAGGGAGGGACGGAGGAGTGCGATTGCAGAGACCACAGACCGAGGAATTTATTTGAGGGAAAGGTAACTATCAACAGATGAAGCGAGGAAGGGTACTGCAGGGCGTCCGGAAAGGGCCCGTCTTGTCTGTCGTCCCTCGGGAGGCGTCCCGCCAGTGGGACGCTGGTGGGGCTGCGATCTCGGGGCGGCGCTACGGCGACACAAGCCCTGTGGGCTGGTGGCTTCAGCGCGTTCAATCAGTGCGGGGCAGGGCTGCTTGTGCTGTAACATCTCGAGCGAGCCGTCCAGTGGATTTCCGGCTCCAACAAGTAGTGCTCCGTGAGTTGACATTCGGCCGCCCGGGATGTTACGGAGTGCTGTGGTATTCGGCTGATGACGGTGGGATGAGCCTTGGGTGGCGACTCGTACACGGAAGGACGGAGGACATTCACTACCCCGTCGGCCAATCTGGCGCCGCTGGTTCAGTCCTGACCCTCGCTTTCGCTCATCAAGAACAGGAATCCTCATATATGATACTCGGCAAACAGCACCTTGAGGAAGGTAAAGTATGCTATTCAATTTCCGACTCGGGTAATATAAATACCCGAGCACTGCAAACATGGACTTCACTCGCTGCCGACGACGTCCAGCTCGGGTCCAATGATCTCGTAAGGCAGAGCTGCAATAACAGCAGTCATCGAGATTCGGTGCTAGAGCAAGCCGCCGTCCAGAAAAGTGTCGTCGGCATTAAGCGGACCTCATGCGGGCGCGAAAGAGGACTTGCGCCCGGCCATCGCCCCTAGTCATGAATCTTTAACTCCGCGGTGACGGTGACTGGTATTAGATGGACTACCAACCCTGGAAACCTTCTTCGCAAGCTAGGATATAAAGAAGTCGTACTTCTACAGCTGGACTTCGTTCATTAATACGTTCTCAACTGAACCAGCTTGAATGTCCTGAGCTTTCTCACGTACCCTGATCGATTAAAAGCGAACCACAATGGCCACCGACGGCAAGAAAATCGTCCTCATCACTGGCGCCAACACAGGCATCGGGTACGAGACAGTCAAGGCGCTCCTCCAGTCCACCCAGCCATACCACATCATCCTCGGCAGCCGCTCAGTCGAGAAGGGCAACAGTGCAAAGGCCGAGCTGCAAAAGGAATTCCCCAATACCCCCACTAGCATTGAGGTGCTCCAAGTCGACATCAGCAGCGACAAGTCCATCGGTGACGCATTCGAGAAGGTCAAGGCCAACCACGGCCATATCGATGCCCTCGTCAACAACGCAGGTAAGGTCAACTCTCCACTATCCACACCTCGATCGAGGAACTTCCACATTGCATCCTAGGACACCCGAGCTAATCTGCGGACACACAAATGCGTACAGGCCACTCCGTGCAGCCCGTGCCGGGAAAGCGCACCCTGCGCGAGGCGTGGAACGAGGACTACGACGTCAACGTCTCGGGCACGCAGGTCATGACCCACGTCTTCGCCCCGCTCCTGATCAGGGCCCCCGGCGCGCGCCTTCTTTTCGTTACCAGCGGCCTCGCCAGCCTGCAGAGGCTGCACGGGTCGTGGTACGCGGGCGGGCCCGAGCCCTCCGAGCCCGGCTGGCCCAAGGCGTCCGAGAACCCCCTGAGCGCCTACCGCTCGAGCAAGACGGCGCTCAACATGATGATGCTGAACTGGCACTACCTCCTGAAGCCAGACGGGGTCAAGGTCTTCAGCATATCCCCCGGCATGCTGGCTACGAACCTCGGCGGCATTGGCCCGGAGCGTCTCAAGGCGATGGGTGCTGGCCATCCGTCGATCGGCGGCAATATCATCAAGGATGTGATTGAGGGTAAGAGGGACGCCGAAGCAGGTCAGGTTGTCGCTGGCCAGGGGGTCCAGCCATTCTAGGGCATCTTGGCGATGGATATAACAATGAGACATGGAACATGCTTCAGGTGTTCTTTGAGATAGTGGTGGATAGGCCTAGTCCCCATATGAAGGCTAATCTAATGCTTGAGAAAACCATTTCAATGTTTCCAGTCTCTTGAGGTCCTTTGGCGCCGAGAGCAGCAAAGACCTGAGGTCACCCACCGTCTTGAGCTTGCCCTCCGCCTTTTGCACAAATACCTCCAGCTCTCCTGCCGACTCTCGCTGCCAGCCATCCACATACAGATCCAGGTTCGTCCCCGCCAGAGAAGCGGCGCACCACATGGCAAGCATCTTGACCCCTGGGTCGCCGCCAAATGCACCGCATCCCCATATCCCCGTCCGGACGGCATCGTAGCGCCCGGACTGGAAGGCTAGCGCGGCCTTGTTTATCTCCCGGTCCACATGGCTGGGGAAAAGGTCAGGCAAGCCATGCTCGTCAGAGATCATGTCGATTTCCAGCGCGTCGATGAAGAGCATGGTTCGCTCCCTCCACGCTTGCATGCCCCCTTCCGGCTGCGGCATCGCTTCTGACCGGATGTCGCGTCTCTGGCCGATCAGATTCACCATGGCTTGTGCGCCCTTCACCACGAGAGCTTCGTGCGTCTGGAGCGGCGGCGTGATGAGGACGGCGGGGCAAGCTTCGGGCGAGATACCGACGTGGATCTCCTCTTGAGTTGCAGACTGGCCGAATCCAATGTATTTATTCGCAGATATGACTGTCGCACCTCCAGGTACTCCCAAGGCAGCCGGAACCTTGTCGTAGTGGTCAACATTTGTAACTTTCAATGTCGTAAGTGGGAGTGATAGCCCTGGGGTGTCTTCTTCCACACTGCTCACGGGCGATGAACGTAGCGAGTACGAAACCGACCAGCTCTCCGTTGAGTTGCTCCATATGTCCAGATTGCCCCCGCCTTGTTCGAAATAGAGGAACAGCGCCTCCAAGTATGCAAGCGGCGCGGTGCCTTGCCGCTGCTGCGAGTTATACCAGACGTCGAACTGGTAGATGTTGTCGTCCTTCCATGCCGGAGGCGCCAAAGTGCACAAGAACTGATGGACTACCAAGCATGCCGCCTGGCGCCGCGAAAGAACCACACGGTCAGTCTCGCTCGACTGCAGAACTGGCAAGGAATCTCCAGGAAACAAGTCTGGAAGCTCCAAGGCCAGCACTGCCAGCTTCGGCCAGATGTCGTCAAAGAAGCGCGGGCGGGTTTCGAGGAACCGCTTCAGAAGGCCATAATCCCCTGCCGGGCCAGGCGTGTCGCGCAGCACAACCGCGATGCTTTCGAGCACTTCAATGAGTTGCGCATGATGTTGAATTTGAGCTTTCAGGAGTGTTTTAAACAGAGGCCAGAATCGGATCCGGCCGTACTCGTCCTCCTCCACATCCTCTGAACAGATGCTGAAGCGGTCCAGACACGTATAGGATTCAGAGCAGGGCAGTAAGTAGTTCCCTGGATTGCTGGTAGACATTTGTGCAGTTGACAAAGGTCCTTCATGATTTGATCCTGTCCTGAGTTTGTAAAGACGTACTTGATATGAGTTTTATTGCCAGGGCTCAGCCACACAGCGTAAAGAAATGTTGTGGGGTTCGGCCTGACTCACTCTAACTAGGTGAGAACAAGAAGCAAACAACTCCAGCTGTTGCTGCACCAAACCGTGCCTAAACACGCACTAAAAGACTCCCAAATGCCACGAACCTGCCTTTACCCCATGGTAACGCTCAGCTTATCCCCTTTCTTGGTCTTGACCAGGACGAACCCTCCCTTCCCCTGACCAGCGACGGCGACCTCCTTCGCCCCGCTCTCGCCGATCGGCGTCGTGCCGACCGTCAACCACGCCTGGCTGCCCAGTCTACTAGTGAGAGTGGCATTCTTGAAGCCGCCGTCCGCATCCCACTCCATGTCGACCTCGAACCCTCCGCGCGCGACCAGACCGCGTACGGAGCCGCCATCCTTGCCGGCCCACGCGGCCGGAAGCGCGGGAAGCAGCCGGATGAGGGGCACCTTGGACGCCGGGTCGTCGCCCAAGCGAGCCGGCCGCAGCGGCGCGGTGGCGTTCGTACCATCCCGCTGCTGACTGTTACGCCAGGTGCCGTTGGTGCCGTTCCCACCACCGCCGGCGGCAACAACAACCACCTGCTCGTGGCTCTGCAGCAGCGCCTCCGCGACGCCCGCCGTGCCGCCAAAGTTGCCGTCGATCTGGAAGGCCGCGGGCCCGCCCGTGTTGAGCATGCCGCGCGGGTAGGTGCACTTGGTGAGCAGCACGTGCAGCGACTCGCCCACGAGCGAGGCGTTGTGCGCCCGCGCCGCCAGCGCGATGGCCCACCCGCGCGACCAGCCCGACTCGCCGCCGCCGAACGACAGCCGGCGGTCGATGGTCCGCCTCGCGGCCTCGAAGAGCCTCGCGTCGTCGGCCGTGATCTCGGAGCCCGGGTACAGGCCGAAGAGCGGCGACCAGTGGCGGTGGCCCGGCTCCGTCTCCCGGTAGTCCTCGATCCACTCCATGATGCCGCCTAGGGACGGGCTGACGCGGAGGGGCGGGAGCAGGGCGCGCACCCGCGTGAGGTTGGCCGCCAGCGCGGCGTCCTCCACGCGCAGCACGCGCTGGGCCTCGAGGACCATGCCGAACACGGCCCAGATGATGGAGTTGTCCATCGTGGGGCCGAGCGTGAGGGCGGCCGTCGCCGTCGTCGAGTTGGGGAGGTAGTACGAGTTCTCGGGCGAGAGGGACGGGCTGGTCACCTTCCAGCCCTTGTAGTCGGTCACAAAGTTGAGGAAGAAGACGGCCGAGTCGCGCAGGGCGTCGTAGTGTTCCCGCAGGACCGAGACGTCGCCCGTGAAGAGGTAGTGCTCGAAGACGTGCGTGACCAGCCAGGCGAACCCGCTGGGCCAGAAGGTGGACGGGGCGTAGTTGTCCTGGGGTGCCGCATCGCCCCACAGGTCGGTGTTGTGATGGCCGACTGCTCCCTCGACGCCGTACATGGCTTTCGCAACTTCACGGCCCCTTTTGTGGAGATTGTCAATCAGGTCGAATAGGGGGGCGTTGAGCTCTGCAAGATCTGTTGAACATGCGTTAGCCAAGTCATCTTTTCAAACTATCTGTCAAACATACTCGTGATAAGTGCAGGCCAATAGTTCATCTCTGCCCAAGGTTCGTCAGCAGTCACTCCATACACAACTTCAGCACTGATGCTTGGGAGAACAACTCACGCGTGTTGATGTTGATAGTGAACTTGGATCCCCACTCAGGATCCATCTCGGCCAGCCACAAGCCTTGTAGGTTCGCAGGCACCGTTCCCTTCCGTGACGACGAGATGAGCAAGTACCGGCCGAATTGGAAATACAAAGCCGCCAGCTCCGGGTCGAAGGCCTTGTTCAGCCCAGTGAACCGCTCGGCCGTCGTACCCTTCCTCTGCTCGGCCGTAGACGCACCCAGATCCAGCGTCACCCTCCCCGCGAGCGCCTGATAGTCCGCAACATGCTCCTCCCGCAACGCAGCATAGTCACCCGGGCCATTACCGACCGCCGCCAAGTCCGCCAGCACTGCGTCCCGAGGCGAGCCCTTACGCACCGACGTCCAAGCCGAGAAGTAGACGACAGCCTCGTCGGCGCCCTCGCACATGACGTAGTCGCCAAGGGTGTACACCTTGCCACCCGTAGCCACGACCTTGGCCCCCGCGGCGTACTCAACCGTGTGCACGCTCGCGCTCCCGCCGCCCATGACGACCGTGTCGGAGCCGACCTTGCGGCTATAGTCCATCCAGCGGTTGAGCGACTCCCCGCGGCGCAGGTGCGTGTTGAAGCTCACGGCGCCGGGCCGGTCCGCCGTGACGCGGATGGCGATGACGCCCGCGGGCTCGCTGGCGATGTACTCGCGCGTGTAGGCCACGCCGCCGGCCGTATAGTACACGCCGGACGAGCTGTCGCCGACGTCGAGCCAGCGCTCGTAGTTGCTCACCACGGCGCTGTGGTTCATGTTCAGCTGCAGGTTGCCGAGCGGCTCGTAGTGCCGCGTCGACACGGGCGTGCCGGTGTAGGCGAACGAGGCCAGGGTCGCGGCGTCGGCGATGCGGCCGCCAGCCAGCTGCGCCTGCATGACGGGCATGTTCGCGAGGGCGTCTGGGTTGGCGCGCTGGAGGTGCTGGCCCGACCAGAAGGAGTCCTCGTTGATCCATAGCTTCTCCTGGACGGCGGTACCTGGGATGGTGGCTCCGATGCGGCCGTTGCCAATGACGAAGGAGTCCTTGAAGGCGGTGGCGGCAGAAGAGTCCCAGATGCGCGTGGGTATCGAGGCCGAGTTGGGTGGTGATATGGAGGCGGCGAGGATGCAAGGGGAGGCAAGGAGGAGCGTGGCGATGCTCCTCGCCGAGATGATAGTGCTTCGAGTGCCCATCGTGGTCGAGTCTTCGTGTTGTTGTCGATGCCCATGGCCAGCACGGAACGGACATGTCGACTCGAGCCTTCCAGCATCTTTATGTAGGCATCACGTCCAGGCTAATCAGGGCTTGGAGAGGATCGGCACAGTTCTCCTCTCCGTGATGCGGTCGTGCGGGGTGCCTATGGGAGCAAGAAGCGTTCCAATCACTTGGATGCAACCGGGTGTCTCTTTCGTGTTATCCCGCATGCTGGTAGCGGTGCAATCAATCGTCATTGTACGGGCTGGAAGATCTGTAGTTGACCTCGAGCCTGCCTTTATTCAAGGCATGAGAATTAGTCCAACTAAACTCTCGCTATTACGGCTAAATGAAGCTGTTCTGAGTACCTGACGGATTTCAATTCCCGCTTTGTACAAGAACATTGGTCGGATTTCGTGACGTGAGACCAGGTCCCGAAGGATCGAGAGAGTGAGAGAGATGATGATGCAAGCTCTCGTGGGGCGTGTTTGCCAATCTACCAACCGAACGCCGCCGGGTCAATGGGCAAATATCCACTGGGTATTTGACGAAATCTACAAGGATCTCTCCTATCATCGTCATTCTTCTCCGCACCTCGCCATCTCCCCGCATCTCCCGTTGCGGACCGGATGGGCGTATTCTCGGACCGGGCACGGAACCTGAGCGGGGATGATTCTCGATCCTACAAAAAGAAATACCCGAAGGGATATCTTGATGTTCCCGACGGGGGATTCTGCCACCGACACGAGGCATAGGAACAAATGACCAGAATTTGATATCGGAATGTTGGCTCCGCTGCACATGAAGCTTCTGTGAAGGCGATATCGTTTCCCGTACTTCTAAGCCTTCGGCGCGACCAGCGGTACATACCGCACCCCAAACAGCTTCTTCTTGGTGACCTCGCCGTTCTCGTCCTTGTCGATCGTCCAGACGTGCTGATATCCGCCGATGTCCAGCGCGCTGGCAATACCAGAGGCGTCGTCGTCGACGGGGATGAACATCCGGCCCGGCGCCCGCAGCTGGTCGACCAGCTCGGCGTGCAGCTCGCTCGCCGAGGCGCCGACGTGGATGGCGTCCCACCCCTTGCCCCTCTGCTCCACGACGCCGGCCTCGACGGGCCGGATATCGGCGTCGGGCTCGACCCACCCCTTGCGGCCGTCGCCGACGCGGAACTTGACCCTGCCGGACGCCAGGAACGCCCTGCCCTCCTCGCTCTTGCCCATGTTGCGCTCGCCGAGGTCGCGCAGGGCCGGAATATGCTCCACACCCACGACCGTACCCCGCTCGCCGACGAGCTCGGCGATGACGTGGGTCAGGTAGCCGGACCCGGAGCCGATGTCGAGCACGCGCGGGGCCGGGTTGGCGTCGGTGGGCAGGATGAAGGGCAGGAGGTGCTCGATGGCGCAGGCGTGCATGTGCGGCGCCGAGATGGTGGCGCTGTGGCCGATGCTCTGCGGCGAGTCGCTGTAGGGCGAGGTCGGCGCGTAGTGCGCTCGGTCGACCTGTGTCCAGAAGATGCCCGTCAGCATTCTTGTTTTGAAAAGGTGTTGTCGCCCTTTACGCGAGCAGCAGGAAGGATATTACCTTGAGAAACGCCTCCTTCACCTTGGGCTCCGTGATCAGGTCGTTCCGCCACAGGTTCTCGACCAGCTCCTCGTTGGACGCGCCGGAGCTGCGCCAGGCCATGCTGTTCGCTGCGCGGGACTGTCTCTGTAAGTCCGACTTGTTCCGCCGGGGGCCTCTGTTGAGCGGCGTGGGGAATAGTACCAGCAGTCGTAGGAAGTGACGCTTGAATGAAGCCAGCTTCGTATGCGTCGAGGCAGGGTGTGTAGTAAAAGGTGCTGCCGATTAGCTGATGATGCTGTCGGGCGGGGTGTTCGTTTCACACAGTTGAGCTGGCCTTAAGCTGGCTTGGACATCAGGGGATGCTGTCCAGTTCAGAAGGGATCCTCAGGGTGCAAATCCTGGCACGACCGCGATATGTACTCATGTAAGAGCAGAAAGACTCGAGCATGGGTGATCGCCCATGTTTGCCGTCGTCTGGTTGTTGAAGAAGTTGGAGCGGGAACTGACGTGGAATGATGTAAGACCCACGACAATGCCGAGTAGGGCCCTCCAGGTGGTCCTCCCGCGGGGGATGGACCCCACTGGCCATCACTACACCATCTTATGATTTCTTGTCACAGCCGAAGTCGTTTTGGCCATGAAATTCAACATTCCAGGGAGGAGAAGTCGTTTGTGAGAACATGTCACGAGTAGCACAAAATGCATACCGGTCGTGAGGTCTGTTGGATCAATACATGTATGTACCATTGTATATTCAACCAACCGCCGCCATGCGCTCCAGTGTCAAAAGACATCTTCACGGGCACTTCACAGAACAACCAAAAAGCTTCCTAGTAGACCCCATGGAATGACGTGGTCCAGAAAAAAAGGAAACGAGTATGCATGCCATGCGCTATGTAGGTATAATAGTAGGAAGGCGAGTAGTTCTTCAACGGTGGTGAAATCAGACAACAGTCGACGGGTTCTCCCCCTCGGCGATCACAGGGACGCCCAGCCCCCGGTCGGGGCTCTGGAGCACCAGCTGCTCGTGCCTCCGCGCCTTGAGGTAGTCGCTTACCGCCCGGATCAGCACGAACCAGCCCACAATCATGAGGATGTACGCCACCCAGTCCGAGCTCGCGACGTCCGCGAACGATCCCGAGTCGCCGCCGGCACCACCGCTCCCGGCCCCGCTGGTCACGGTCGAGGGGTCAAACTCGTGCGCGTTGGGGTCCGGTGGCGCCATGTAGTCATCCGACGAGGACATCTGGCCACCGCCGCCGCCGCCCATGGGGTCGCCGCCGCTCTCCGTCGTGCCCTTCATGTAGAAGCCGTACTGGATCAGGGTCACGCCGAGCCCCGCGCGCGACCCGTTCTTGGCCGCGTGCGTCGAGTGCAGGAGGTAGGTCAGCAGGAAGCCGACCAGCTGGAAGGACATGGAGATCATGCCGTTCCACACAAAGGAGAAGGCCGAGCCGACGGGCATGCCGTCGATGTACACCTCGTCGGGCCCTCCCAGGCCCGGAGCGAGGATGGTCGTCTCCCAGTACGGCGGGGCTGAGTCTGCTGCTGCTTGTTCGTAGGTCTGTATAGAAATGTTAGCATCGATTCCCTCTGCATAAATGAGGACCGCGATTGCCAAAGAAACGTACCGGAGGCTGTTCCTCCTTCACCTCTCCACCCCTCTCGGGCTTGGCCGTCAGGTTGGAAAAGACACCGTCGGATTGAATCCCGCCTCCGTAGATCCGCGCATTTGAAGCCCCGGGACCACTGGGAGCTGCTGCGACCGACGGCAACTCCGTCACATTGCGTTCGGGGCCGGTTGGCCTGGACGAGACCTCGTCGCTCGAAGTCGGGGTGGCGTTACCCCGGACCAGTCGCTGTCGGTCGTCGGCCTCGTCGTCACTATCATCGCCGTCGGTATCGAATGCGTCGGCCAATGTCGGGTCGACTCTGTTCTCCCTGGGCGCTATTGACGACGATCTCGAGTGGAAGGATGGCGGTGGTGAGTTGGGAATCGGCTGCGTTGTCCGGGGTGGAACTGCGCGTGTTTCGGGTTCGTCGTCATCGTGGGCGTTTACCTGCGAGAGTACAAGTTAGCATCTCGGTGGTCTTTTGAAAGAGCCTCCCAAATATAGTCTGAAGTGATATACATACCCGCTCATAGCGTCCCGACATGATGGGCCAAAATGTGAAGAGTTGCTTCAGCAGGTCGTTCGTCGCGGCGCTGTGGTCGCCACAAGAGTCGATGATCGGGCCCACCAGGGATCGTCGGAGGGAGCCTGGAGACAACAGAGGAGCGCGGTGGCGGGCGCGCTACAGGTCTCGGGATAGGTTCGTGTAGTAGGAGTCTGCGCAAAGGAAGAGGGTCGACAAAGCGAAAGGAGAGAAAGAAAAAGTCGAGCCTGGTTCAAAGGAGAGTCGATGAGGCGGTTCGGTGGAAGCGGGCCAGGCTGACGACAGCACTCCAGTCAGTCGAACAGAGAGAGAAGTAGGGGACTTGGTCAGCGGGTTTTAGGCGTTGGTGGCTTTAGTCAGGTGTTGGGACCAGCGACCCGAGTGGAACCGAAGGCCATGGAACGATAAGGAGGCCGTTGACTTTGGATAAGAGACCGGGCGGACTCAATGCCCACTTCGCTCCTTTATTTGCACAGCCACTCGCGCCACTCAATGCCATTAGGTAGTTACCACCCACATGCACTCACTGGACGGACGGTGGACTAACAGCCTGCAACCTCCGACCCTCCAGCGGATCTTTGACGGTCTTGGCAACAAGCCCCAAGGCGCCAATCACAGTCAGGCCTTCACTCCGGGGACCACTAAAGTTTATGACGAGGACATACAATTTGATCGAGAGCTTTCGCGACAATCTCCAATTCCCCTTACGAGCCGACGACGCAGGGAGACAGACTATCGCCAGCTCCCGTCTCGCTTCCTTCTCTTTGAATCGAGCGTGTCCGTTGCCAGTTCAGCCATCATGGCGACCCCTGCGAGAAGCGTGAGTAACCCGCTCCATGCCTCGAGAACCGAGACCGCCGAGAGGACATCATGTCACTGACATCCAGTCGCATGCTTGCTGCAGGCCATCTACAAGCACTACCAGCGCGCCCTCGCCCGCTGGCCCAAAGACCCCCTGCGTCCGGAGATCCAGTTCCAAGATGTCCTTGCCAAGAGGCTGGAGAAGTCCTTTGCGGCGTCGGCCGCCGTCAACGAGCAGAAGGAGCTCAAGCAGCTCAACGCGCTGTACACCCTCCTCGATGACCGGTACAAGACCAAGGTATAAGCACATTTGAAGGGATTCGGCTGAAGTGGCGCGAATATAAGGTCATAGTACTGATTTGACCCTTTTCCTTCAATAGTATCGCATCACCGGATCCCTTCTCGAACCCAAGAGCAACCCGACCTACTACACCGATCTCATGACCGAGCTCGAAGAAGCGCCCAAGAGGAGCTGGTTGGGCCGCATCGGAAAGCGGCTAGGAGGACTGATCCGGATCACGAGGTAGCTGCCATTGCCGCAAATAACTCCTACGGCCAGGTGAAGCTTCTGCGTTGGGCCAGGCTGGCCTACATTGTACTATTATAGGTGCATGATGCATTGGGTGCTCGGCGTTTTGGGACGGGACGACAAAATCTAGCAGCGCATTTCTGCATGTATGGGCGAAAAGAAAAGAAGAACAAAACTGTTGCAAGAATAACACATAATGTGTACATCATTTTGACGGCATGTCTCCTGTCTATATGCAGACATCTGGTATACAACTAGTCAAAAAGAAAAAGCAAGGTTCTCCCTAAACGCCTTCTTTTTTTGTCCTGCCGACTCTATCCATGACCCCCTTACGAGTTAAATGTACTTGGACTCGGGATCGAGCGTGTCGAACAGGTCCATCGCCTTCTCGTACATGGTGAACACAATGCCGCCGCTCATGACCAGCCGCACGAGCCGGGGCAGCGCGCCGCTCCAGAACGTCAGGATGCCTTCCTGCTTGAAGATGATGGCCGCGCACCGCGCGCTGTTGCCGTACAGCGACTTGGCCTCGATGCTCTGCATGCGCGTCTTGATCGTGTCGAGCGGCTGCGTCGCGTACACCGTGATCAGGCCCGCGAGCCCGCCCATGGCGAACGTGCCCACGGCGCCGAGCTTCTCGCCGGGCGCCGTGTAGCTCTCGGCCAGCTGCTTGAGCGTCGTGTAGGACCCGAACCGCACGGCCGAGTTGGCGGCCTGCCGGGCCGTCGTCGGCACGAACCCCTGGAAGAAGCCGCGGATGCCCCGCTCGCGCGCGATGATGGGCACGGCGTGCAGGAAGCCGCGCATGCGGGGGTTGGCCGACTTGCGGTCGTCGATCCTGGCGGCGCGCGCGGGGTCAGTCTAGGTCCGGTCGGGAGGGGTTGGGGGTCTTATCTGAGACTCACAGCGTCGTCTTGATGCTCTCGGTGGGCGTCACGGCTAGCAGCGACTCGGTGACACCGGCTCCGAAACCCGCCAGCACCGTTCGGGGGCCCGAGAGCTTGCCGTCGGCATCGGCGAGGAGCCTCTTGTACTGGTCGAATGCGACGAATCCTGTAGCGGAGCGAAAGAGTGAAAACATTGGTCAGCGTGACTCTGTCTTCGGCTGTGCGCGCACAGAGGTTCCGTCTGGGAAACACGTACTGATGCCTGCCTTGGCCGAGTTTCCTATGATTAGGGTCGTGCACCCGGCATACCACTGCTTTCCGAATGGGGGCCACGGGAGCTTCTGCCCGTCTGCTAATCGGCGGTTGAGCTGTGTTCTCGTCTTGGCAACTGTTTGGCGCACAGTGAGGTCAGAACATTGCAAATAGCTGTCGAGGGGCTGGGGTTTAGCTCGGAAGGCAAATTGCTCCTACGTACACTCGGCGGGGTATGTGATAGCTATTGCGGTAGTAGAAAAGTCAGTAACAAGCTCCTGAATAGGACAGAAGTCGGAGGAAGGGGCACGGTACCAATCTCGACTGCTCCGGCTGTTGAGCCGGCGAGGACCGACCGGAGAGCACTGGGCGTCTTCTTGGCCGTGGCCTGGTCGTCCTTTGCCGCAGCGGACGCCATTTCCGAGCCTGTCGACGGTCAATTGCGCGAGGGCAGTGTGGGAAGGGTCGAGCAGAGGATGCGACGTGCGTACGGCGTGGAGTCGACGAACGCGGGTTGACGTTGGTGCACGATGACGAATTTACCGCGGCAGAACGAACTTCTTGAAGTTTTTGGCGGATCCATGACCCAATGATGGATGTTGACGGGCTGAGGCCTGCTTAGCCGGGGCCGTTGTCGGCGGTCCCCACAAGGCACTTTGAGCCCTGGAGGGTACTGCGGAGCCCCGCTGAATTCCAGCACTTGACGACCTCTTCAGTTGAGCCTCCAGCGCCTTCCCTCTAATCTAGCGCGTTTGAACCGCTTCAAGCCGTCCAAGGCCGACAACCTAGGATCTCCGAACCCTGCCATTGTCACGTCTTCCAACACAAAGATACTTCCTAGTCAAGTTAAAGTACAGGTTGGGGGATCTATCTACTTTTGGACTGCAGTTCTCGCAGAACACACAAAACCACCCAGTGGACGAGACGAATGAGAAGTTAAAGTGCTGATGGTTGCCAACCTGCACATCCAGACTGCGTCCCCAACGGCACAGCACACAGCCGACACCTAGTTATAGTAGTAATTAGCTTCAAGATTAGGCTCGAGGTCCTCTAGCGAGTTGTTGGCATTTTAGAGTCGCTCTTGTTCAACTCATTGGGTGGGAAAACAATAGTGGGCCTTCCCAGTGCTTGTGCGTGAAAACATGCCCGCTTTACTCCCGCTTTACTCCCGCTCAATGCCCGTACCGAGTCATTCCACAGCCCCGTCGTCCACGCACATCAAACTCGTTCGATCATAGCAATATCTATCTCCGCTGGAGTCCCAATCAACTCATGTCCGAGATGCCGGTATAGAGGAGAAGACTACCGGGGAAAACGGGGCTGCTATCTATTCAAACTCCCGCCATTTCTCCCGTACCACAGTAACCTTTGTTTTCATCATCTGCTCACAGTCGCCGTCTCAGGCTCTCGACGGCTCGCGATGTATCTAAAGCGTGGTATCAAGCGCCAATCTTGTGACTTTTGCTTTCGGCGCAAGGTCAGATGCGATTGGATATCACGGAAAGCCGAAGGCTATCCTCAATGTTCGCACTGCGAGATGCGGGAAATATCTTGCACTGCAACCCTCGACAACGCCCGCGGCCGAAACAAACGGAACATGAGCCATGACACCCGCCCCGTGAATGATCCGATCTCATCCAGTCCCGGTAAAAGGCAAGCGGCAAATGGTAGTAATCGGCTTTCTGCTTGTACCAACGACATCAGCAATGTTGTCGATACCGACGAGGCCGCCTCTGTCCTCCATGGCCCTCACACTCTAGCCTCAAATGCAGCTCCACGCCCTGCGTCGCCTTTTTGCATAGATGCACCATATCCGGGTGTTGACGCATGGCAAGATTTCGGCTGGGATCTGGGGCCCGACAGTATCTCTTTCCTCGACAGTATCTTTACGCACGATTACAACTTCGACATGACACCTGATGCACCTGGCATGATCGCCAATGAAGAGGATGCAGGCGATTCGCAGAGCCCGTACGAAATCTACGGGCTAGACCCCAGCACTCTCGAAGCAGCTATCGGGGCTTACTTTGACCTAGCGTCGCTCGCTCTTCCAATACTGGACCGAGACGCATTCCAGGCTGACTACACAAGCCGGAGAGCGAGTCCATCTCTGGTGTACGCAATCGCGTGCCGAGGGTGTCCTTTCATAGCGACGAGTCAGAAATGGGCGGTGCAGCAGCAACTGGCGAGCCAGTTCAGACGGGCATGGCTCGAGGCACGATCAGCGGCAGGAGACAAGCAGTCCATCCGACTAGACGACCTCGAGGCCCTGGCTCTCATGGTGGACTTCGATTACGAGACAACTGAGGATGTCACTGCATCGATCCAGTCCCAGCTCGGCAGCCTTTTCTTAACACACGACTCCATGGTTCTCATGACTCTGCAGTACCAGATTCTTGGCCACGCATCCTTGCCAACAGGTGCTTCTGCACCTCTACACGGAGCAGCAGAGCGGAAAAATCTACTTTTCTGGCACGTGTATGGCAAGGATGCATTCCGCACCCTCGAGCGGAAAGTCCCGTCTCGCATTGGGGATGGGTATATCGAGAGTCTTGAACAACTACCAGGGCGCGAAGACAAAACATATCTAGATGCCATACTCGCCCTGGCTATTGTTGCGAGAAAGATACACCACACGTTTCTGGGTCGTGCTGCTGGACATATAAATGTCTCCCACCACGATGTGATCAACTTATACAGGCTCCTGACCGAGTGGCGTACGGCATTGCCCACCTACCTCCAAAGTTACACCAGTGGAGACGGCAGCCCAACTACCCTTCGCGGTATTGGGAGACAGGCTCAAGCACATCCGCTGCACCAGGCTGTTCTTTTGTTTCTCGAACACAATTGCTACATGCAGATCGAGGCGTATGCATCGAAATGCGGGATCAACAAACCCACCTCACTGGAGACGGTGATGCTGGATCACCTCATCGAATACAAGACCTTGAAAATGGTGAATGAGATAGTGGAGTCTGTTACATGGCTAAAGTCGAAGAGTGTACGCCAAAATACACCTACGGACCTTGTCACGTATCCCCTAGTCGACCTCGCTCCGGAGATTCTGCGCAACATCTGTGCTGGCACTTCTTATTGGCTGACTGAGCGCGGGAAGAGACTCATGGCCCAGGACATGTCGAGAGGCGCCTCCACCAATACCGAGACGCAAGATCGCGCAAGTCACGGAGCAGGCTCTCTAACGGAAGGAATTCAAAGCTTCGTGGCAGGAGCAACGACTTTACGAGACGTGTTGCCAGCTGCAGGATCGCACAGGGATACATCACAGTTGATTGAGAGGCTAGATGAGCAGTTGTCCTCTTTGAAGGAAATGATCAAAAGTGGCAACGGTAGTTGATGCGCTGCCTTACTGCCCCGCCGTACACTTAACGTTTTTATTTCTTTACATTTCTTTTCAAAGACTCTAGCATTCTGTTTATCGTTCAAGATGGATTTCCTTGATTACTTTGTGATAGCTATGGCCTGAACGAAAATAGGCACGGGGAAAAGACAAACCCCGCGAGACGCTTTGAGTGACTGAAACCAATATCCGCAGTCCAACAGAGTCGCCATTCAAGATGATTGCTACTCAGCATAGCGCCGAGCCATCCCCAGAGATGATCAGTCGTCCTAACTATGATTGTATCGAAAGCTACACTTAAACGACCAGTGGGTTCGAGTGCATTTTCAATCCCTGGCCTGTACATATGACATATGATAATTCCCGGCTTGAAGAAGCTTTCCTGAGCTAGGTCTGCTGGCCCCCAGCCATAATTCAGGATGAAGCACAGTAAGAGTGACAGTCATCACTACCATCGGGACGCTGTCTAGTGCAAAGAACACACCTTCCATTGACGCGAGAGGGCCGTTGAAACCCCCGCTCAACTCGGCACATCGCCAGCAAGATCGGACAAAGAGGCAGGCGGCAGCTACAGCTAGGCCTGGAATGCACACTCATCAGTTGTCGAACTTTGCCTGGCGTTAGGACATGCTTACCTATTACATATGGGTGTCTATTCTCGGAGCGGATGCTGTACCAAGCCCGGCGGGTGATGGCTCCAAGGGCCAAGCAGAAGATGGCCGTAAAGAGGACCTGAACCGCCAAGCCGGCGATCATGAGGTCTACGCCAATGGGGTTCTCGGCGAAGATAGCCGCAAGGGAGCCGCCGCATCCTATGAAGCAAAGACAGAGAAAGTCTCCGAGGATGAACAATGTCGCTAGCAGGCGAGGACTAACGCGCGTGAACCGAGATGACGGGTAGCGTTGCTGAAGCGTACTGATGTTGAGATACATGGCAGCGGACAGAAAAGTCGGTCCCAACGTGAGGCCGATGATATACCTGCTCACGGCCACGGCCCGGAAGTTAGAGGTTGTCTCAACAGAACAAACAGGCGGGAGCCAGAGCCTACATGATGTAACCATCCTTGTTGCCACGATCATGTGAAAGTTGAACCTTGCCACAATATCCTATAAGTTCCAATAAGACACCACATATCATCCCGACGGAGTACCCATAGAAACGCCAGAATCGAAGAGCGATGAGTATATGCAGAAAAAGGCAAACAGAGTAGAAGGAGAGGAAAATTGCATTTGGAGCCAGATCCGGTGAGAAGTCTATAGCCGCGATGCCATTCCCGTGTGCGGTAGTTGTGTTCATCGTCACGTAGTACTAACTTAGAGCAATGTTCGAGCGAGGGCTAGGGAATGAGAAAAAAATAATTGGAAAGCTAGATAGGAGAATAATGGAGAGGGAAGTGAAGTGTGATTTAAGATTCCATTCATAGGAATGGGGGGATGGATGTGACAAGTAAGACGAGCAGTTAGGCTGCGCGTGCTGTCCGCTTAATCTCCTGGAAACATCCGCTAAACTCCCGCTTGCTCCCGATATGTACCTGTCCGAATAGTTGAGCCTCATTGAACAGCCACCAAGTGCCCCAAACAGAGAATCCCTTAGATTGGTAGATAGATTAAAAATCAAGAAATACGAACATCCACTAAGTTTCCCTCTCCCTTCAATTGTCTAGCTTAGGCCTGCTAATATTAGCTTCGCGTGGAATCTAGGCCGCGGCGAACACCTGGATCACTGCTTTTCACGGCCTGTAAGGAAATTGAGTACAGAAACTGTGCTACCAGTAGCCGCTAGATAGCTGAATATCTGTTCAGTGACCATGATGCCGCCCTTGCTCAGAAAGCCAGGTGTGTTAAACAACTGATGAAATCTTATGCAATAGTGAGAGTCTTCGTGAAGACTTCTCCCCGGAGAAGGGCAGAAAGTACGCAACCAAAGTGAATTGAACTATATACACTAGTAGATTATACAAAAGCAGCGACCGACGCACCCTTCCACCAAGTCTATGTTTTAACCCACTGCTGGAAGCGCCTAGGGCAGCACTGAAATCAATGCCGCTGCCTTTCAAGCCGAGTATTATTGAAGGCACTCAGAGTGATACTGTGAGCGATGCCGTCCGCCGCAAGATCGATGACAAACTCGTCGACAGATACGCCTCCGTACGTGACGGAATCCACTGCGAACCAGCTGGAACAGTACGGGCTGGGCGGTGAGGCGGCGTCGATGATCTCGTAAACTGCTCGCCAACTTTCGCTTTTAGCCTTTCCACACCCTTTCATCTGGAGTCCCGTCGGGTACAATCTCATGCTGACGTTTCCTGATCCGCTCGTGGACCCTGAGATCATCAGACGGATCGAGTCAAACATGTCATGCCCATCAAGAAACCAGGACGTGACTGCCAGTCCCGGAAGATCATCTTGCACAGCGACAGTTATGCCGCTCTTTTCATCACCGTATTTTCCACTGTAGGTCCGCTTTGCCTGCCTCTTGGCAGCCTGCTCCAATGCTGGGACTAGCCTTGAAGCTACCAGACCCGGAATCGTGCCGGTTACTCCCGGAGCGCCACTTCCCGCAGCCAGGACGGTGAGCCCCACGCCCCAATCAGGTAGCAAAGCCATCAGACTGTTGTACATCCCTAGCTGGCCACCCTTTGTGTACATCCAGTTGGCTCGCTTGGTGGTCGATGGGGCGTGTGCAATCTCCCACGGCGCGCCGACTGCCAGCTGGAGATCGGCAGTAAATGTAACGGGCTTCATCCACCGTCGGGTCTGGGAGGGTGACAACATCTCATACGACAAGATTGATTGCCCTATTCTGCGTAGGTCTGCAATCGAGGAATAGATTCCTCCGGCTGGCCCTGCATCGCCCGTGTCGACATCATACCAAGAGGTGCTGGGAGTATCGGGTATGATGGAAGAGTCGGAAGTGGCTGGCTTGGCGTATGTAGTGGAATTCAGACCGAGCCGGTGGATGAGCTGCCGAGAGAAAATGTCGGCATAACTTGAACCTGTTATATTCTCAAGTGCATACGCCAGAATTTGGTAGCCAGCGTTCGAGTATATAGGCGTTCCAAAAGCCGCCTCGACTGGGTGGCGTAACCGCATGGCGTCAAAGAATTCTATGAATAGGTGTTAGCATTAAGCGAGGACCCCCTAGCCAAGAGCCTCACGTCTTGCCAGAAGAAACGACTGTCCAGAGTTCACGTACCAGTGCGGTTGCAGGGATACGAGGCGCCACTTCCGCAGTAGTCGACTCGATTTCCTGGTTGAATTGGTGGAAACCCCAACCGAGAGAGTTCGCGGTCCGCTGAATCAGACCTCGACAAGTCTCGCGGTATGCCAGCCATGTGCGACGCGAGAGCGCCGATGGTAATGGCATCCCAATCCACGTCCTGGAGAGCAGAAGCTGATTCATTTCCGGCTAATTTTGCCAGCTCGGGTACGTAACGTGTGACTGGCTGATTGAACGACACATCTCCGACCTCGAGGAGGTAAATATAAGCCGTTAGCAATTTGGATATGCTACCTATGCGGTATATTGTCGTATCATTGACGGTTCGAGTGCCGTATTCATGCCCCTGCAGGATTGGTGCTGCATGATGATAGCTGAACAACGATTGCTGGTCCATTGCTGAATAAATATCCACAGAGAATGATGTGTTCTGGTAGTCGATGTCGAGGTTTTGGCTTGTATCAGTCGCGTTCGGACGTAAAAATCGCAAAAGTTCGGATATGGTATTATTCATTGAGATATCATCACCCAGTGCTGTGGGTATGGGCAAGTCTGGCCCAAGCAGGGGGCAAGGGCTGGAAGCTGCTTTCACCGTGGCAAGGCTCAAAAGAGCCGCTGCGAGAATAGTGATGCGCATATTTAGTGATGCCAGTAGAGTAGAAATCTCGATTTCGTTCTTTCTTCTCTACATAGCATAGACCAAACACAGAAAGAACTGAGTATTTGTAGGCGAGACATTCCTACCGGGATCCCGGTGTACATAAGGTCATCTTGGATTTCCTCCCACTTGGAGAAGAGATGGATGCCGGAGGGCCGCTCAATCTCCGTCTATCGGCCGTTGATACGCCGCTAAGAGGGTTTATTCCACCGTTTAATATCCGCAAGGATGGACGCCACCGTCTTGGTCCGGATCCACTTGCTCCATTAACAAGAAGTCTTCGTGGTCTAGTACTGAACTCTGTGAGGGAAGACATGCCGTTTGTAGGCCTTATTAAGAATGTGCCGCTTGCTCCGGCAATTATAAAGTATTTGCGTTCCCTGACTGATCCGACCCGTTCAGCATGCATTGTGCTTCCATACCTATTTGTACTCCTTGCACGGCGAAGACTGAAGCTGCCTGTTGTTTGCCAACATGCCTCCACATTTGAACAGTCCACAGGGTTCTGTGAGCGTCAGTACAAGTGTCGAAGGTTGTGGCCATTGCCTAACGTCCGCCGCCCTCAAAACGCTGACCGCACTGATATAGCCGATGGTCGGTTAGGACTCAGTCTTCGACATGCCCAACGACGCGCGAACCTTAGTACTTTTCTCCCGAAAAATGAAACCAATGCCAGCCCTACAACGGGATACTCGTCCGCTGGTGTCGAGAGCGAGAGCGAGAGCGACTCTGAGTGGATGCTCGACGTACCCATTCCGACGCGATTATGTATCGTCATTCAAGTTGTGGGATCGAGAGGAGATGTCCAGCCTTTCGTAGCCCTTGGTCTCACCCTACACAAGAAGTACGGCCATCGGGTCCGCATCGCCACGCATGGAGTCTTTCAGAGGTTTGTCGAACAGAATGACCTCGAGTTCTTCGATATCGGGGGCGATCCGGAAGAACTCATGGCATTCATGGTTCGAAACCCTGGCCTTCTACCAAGCTACAGCTCGTTGCGAAATGGAGACGTGAAGCAGCAGAGGGCAAACATGCGTGCCATCTTGGACGGCTGCTGGAGATCATGTGTGCAGCCGACTTGCGGCAGGCCGTTCATTGCAGATGCCATCATTGCTAACCCGCCGAGCTTCGCGCATATCCATTGCGCCGAGAAACTCGGTATTCCTCTCCATCTCATGTTCACGTAAGTCTACACCCAAGGAACTAGTATCTGACTCATGGCTAATCGTTTCGCAAGCAGAATGCCGTATTCTCCCACAGAGACCTTCCCACATCCTCTCGCCAACATTCAACGGTCCGACCTCAGCCCTGGGCTTACAAACAAGTTGTCTTTTGCCTTGATCGAACGGATCACTTGGCACGGGCTAGGCGACATAGTCAATAGGTTTCGGGAGGAATCGTTGGGGTTAACGCCTATCAACCTGGCGTGGGCCCCAGGCCTCATCACACGATTGAACATCCCATACACTTATTGTTGGTACGGCCCCTCACTTGCCGAGTTTCAAGGAACGCTCATTCTCATGTTGTGTGTCTTCGTTCTAGGTCTCCATCGTTACTAAGAAAGCCAAAAGACTGGGGTCCCGGGATTTCAGTATCTGGCTTTTACTTTCTACCCAAGGAGGGCTCCTTTGAACCGCCGACAGATCTCGTTCAATTCATCAATTCAGGGGAGCCGCCAGTCTACATTGGCTTCGGCTCGATCGTGGTAGATGACCCGCAGTCTATGACAGAACTTATTTTTGCTGCAGTCGAAAAGGCTGGGGTACGGGCGCTCGTATCTAGAGGATGGAGTGGGATTGGCGACAACATGAACGATGCAGAGCCCCCGGCCAGTATTTTTCTACTCGAGAATGTCCCACACAGCTGGCTCTTCGAGCACGTGTCAGCAGTGATACACCACGGTGGTGCGGGTACTACTGCCGCTGGGCTTGCTGCCGGAAAACCTACTGTCATTGTGCCTTTCTTCGGTGATGTGAGTCTTATCCTCTCACCGTATCTACAGGTCTCTGACATCCCTAAAGCAGGCATTCTGGGGTCACGTAGTTGCAAATGCAGGAGCAGGGCCACATCCGCTACCGTATTCAAAGCAGACCGTCGATACGTTGGCAAGCCACATTCGACAGGCACTGCACCCGGATACCAGGCTACGCGCGAGGCATATTCAGATGAACATCCGCAACGAGCAGGGCTGTGAGAACGGAGCGCGCCATTTCCACAAAATGCTGCCTGCAAAAGACATGCAATGCACGTTAGACCCTAAAAGACATGCCGTGTGGTTTGTAAAAAGAAAAGATATCAGATTAAGCGCAATGGCTGCTGCGCTCTTACTTGAGAAAGGCTTTATAGGCGAAGCAGACCTTGCACTGTATGTCCGCATCCGCAACCATCCTTTCTTCTGGTCGACACATGATTTAAGCAAAATGCATAGATATCGATCCAAGGAATACGTCGTCAAAGACCTACCCACAGATCCTCTTACAGGTGGCGCATTCGCATTCCTCGGATCCTTTAGTGACGTCTTGTACGAGGCGTATTCCCTCCCACGGGCAATCGCTAGGGACATGTCCGACAGTTCACGGACACCTTCCTCTTCCTCAGCCCCATGCTCAACCCCAACCAACTCTGTAGCGGCCGCGTCTGTATCTCTGATGGAAGAAGGCAAAATGTCTCTCGATCCTCGCGACTCGACCTCCCCTAACCTTGCTACGAGTGGGAGAATCGCAATCACAGCTGCGACCGGGATTGGAAGATTCAGCAAAGCCGTCCTCTCCGCCCCCATGAACTTCAGCATGGGGATTGCTCGGGGTTTCCAGAGCCTACCAATGTTATACGGAGATACAACGGTGAGAGAGCCAGAAAAGGTGACTAGTCTACTAAAGGGCATCGAGGTGGGAAGCAAGGAGCTTATGTATGGCTTTTACGATGGCATCACTGGCGTAGTCACACAGCCGATACAGGGAGCCAAGAAAAGCGGCGCGGTCGGTTTTACGAAAGGTCTAGCCCGGGGACTGGGAGGACTTGTTTTGAAACCCGGCGCAGGGCTGTTCGGACTCCCCGCTTATTCACTTCAAGGCGTGAGCCAGGAGGTGCACAACTTACTCGGGGTCAACCACGAGAGATTGATAGCACACAGCCGCCTGGAGCAGGGGAAGGCAGAGATGGAGGAGGCACCAGAGGAAGAGAAGTGGATGATCTTGAGGGCTTGGAAAGCGATCTCTTGAGTGCGCGCCACAATCCCATATGCCATTGTCTAGGTTTCTGTCATTTAAGTCGAAGTGCTCTTTGGCGGTTGGCCTATCAACTGAGAGGTGGCTGCTTAACTAGCCACACTTCGGTTATTTCTCGTAATGACCGTTGGCAACCCCACATAGTTAATCCACAATTGAGCAGGTTCGAGCTGTTTTGACTCGGTCTCAAGTCCATGCTTTGATCCTCGTAATGCGCCGAGCTTACTCGGTAGTATGTATCATTGCGAGATCATTGTGGGCTGTTGTGCGCTAGTGTCCGCTCTACGCATGCAACGACGGTAGGAGGAAGCAGCTCAACGGCCAAGCCAACACTGCGATGGCTCTGTTCGAGGAAATACTTTTAATGCGGTGAGGAGTGCTGCTATGAAACCGCTGTCTGCCTTTCGCCATTGACTCCAGCTCGCCCGCGGCGCCTATTTAGTCAAGAAATATTGCGAGCAAGGAATCACGATTTCAAAAAGCTCCAAGTGAGAGAAGAAGCCCTTCTGTTCCTCATGTGCAGCTAATACATCCGTAGTGGATTATCAAAGCAGACTGGAGAGGCAATTCAAGTCAAGCCAAGACTTGAACCCTTGTTGTTCGGGTACCCAAGTGAGCAAATATCACCACCTAAGGTCTCAAAACTTGCTCACGCCACTCCGGGATGCGCCCAGCACATCCGGGTTACACCTCCATCTGGGTCCTGGTGTTTCTTTGCGAAGTAAATAAATAGCCAGCTGAAACTAATCTATCCACACTGCCGAGATTTCGCCCGCGCCAAGCTCATTACACCAAAACCCTCCCTTGCTGGTTTGACTGTCGAAGAATCATCTCCAGGGCATACATGTAATTGCTTTGACCGAATGTTGGAATAAGCCCTTCTCTGCCAATGGGGTACTTTGGAAAGCATCGGCTCGGGCCGCAGAGGGTGATATGCTTTCTCGTTGAGTTCAGTCTCTTCACAACCGCACTCGCGCTGTTCTGCTACATACATACCGCCAAGCTGCCTCAACTTCTTTGGGAGGTTGGCGGCTTGAGAGGATGGAACTCGGACCCGACAAAGCGCATATACTTTTATGCCAACCACCGGGAACCACCACCTGTGCCTGCCATCTGGAGCGATAGGTAAGTATTTGTCCACATATAAGTCCCGTGTGCCTTCTCTCACAGTCAACTTGATTAGGCTCTCCGAGACAAATGTAGCCATAGCCGCCCTCAGCGTGTTTGTGTGCTTGGTCCGGCTCATCTGCGCTCGCCTCCGATACGCCTTCCAGACCATTCAGCTTTTCTACGATTTGACCCTCGCCTGCCTCTGGATATACAGCATCGCGTTGCAGTGCTCTAGTGACTTCTCAGACCCAAAGCACCTCAGTCTCTGCCCTTGGTACATCCAAAGAGCCTGCGAAGACAACCTTCTGGCAGGGCGGTCCGCCTGTCAAGTAGCCAAGGCAGCGTTCGCATTCTCCGTGCTCTCAGTGTGAGTATATGCAGTCTTTCCATATCTACTTTCGCCCACTAACAATAGTCCTCTAGTTGTTTCTGTATGGGAAGGGCTCTTGCATCTGCGCTTTGGTTTGCTTACAAGTGCGGGCAAAAAGAGAACGACAGCGTGCTTTTTGAGAGTCTTGGCCAGGCGTTGTATGGACACTTTGTAAGGACCCAAAGAATCATCCTAAGGCGTCCCGAGAAGGAAGAAGATCTTGAGGGTTGGATGTAGTCTGCCGACCAGATGGAATATAGCGACAGTAGCACTCATCATCATGAAGGGAGCAGATTGCCCACAGCTGCACCACCTCCTTGATTCCAATGATGAAACTCGCAAACAGTTTATCGTGAAAGACCCTGCTTGACTTCCTTGCCTTCCTTGCACGCGACAACCAATGGATGCAGTGATTGAACAAGTTTTACTTCGTATCTGCTACCATGCACCCTTTCCACATCTGTTCATCGTGGGCAAAATGTCCCACACTCACTCTCAAACGTGGGTCTCAAGTCATCATCATCTAACCCTGCGCACCAGCACTAAAGAACCCAAGCCTTTCATTAGCCATCCTCCTCATCTCCCTCTGGCCCGACCCCAGCCCCTCTTCGTCCTCGTCAAACGGCTCCAGGCCCAGCGCACGCAAACCCGCCAGTGACAGCACATTCTCGCGCCTCGCGCCGTGGTCTGCGTGCTCCCTCTCCAGCTCGCCGTGCTCATACTTGACGTAATCTCGCGGGATGCCGACCTCGAGGAAGGCGCGGCGCATGTCCATCATGTTCTCGAGGTTGTAGGGGCACAGCGGCGCGCAGCCGTTGTACACGACCGACGAGTCGCGCTCGCCCGGGTGGAACTTGTCGACCTCGTGCACGACGTCGCAGTGCCAGAAGACGTAGTCGCCGGGCCTGACGGGAGGGATGCCGACCATGCTCTTCTCCATTGCGAGGTGCGGGTGAAGCTCCCGCGTCGGGTAAAACTGCAGCGAACCCGGCGTCGCACCGGGGAAGAGGGGCGTCATGTCGTCGAACGTTTCGTCCAGGATGAAGAAGGGGCGCAGGAGCTGGTAGGCTGTAGTAAGCTTGAGCTCTGGGAGCAGGCGGAGGGTGCCCTCGCCAGTGCCGGTGTGCGAGAGGCTAAGCCAGCCTTGAAACGAGCGGAAGACAGAGTTTGACACTTGGGATGGGTTAGTGATGAGCCCGGAAGATGATGCCAGGGAAAGGAAACCTACTTCCGGTCGCATACAAGTCTGTCTTCGCATCTGATCGGTGGTCTGCGTTCCACGGATCGTGGTCTTCCCAGCGGCCTTCGAAGACCTCCTGGTAACATGCCCGATAGGCTGGATCCTCCCAACGCTCGATAGCACCACTGTCTTGATGAGCATTGAGAGAATACTCCTCGTCTTGGAAACAGACTACATCAATATTGCGCATCCACAAATAGTCGTAGCAGAGAAAGATTGCACATACTAGGCGATGGGTGACGGATGCGAAACCTGTCGGCGTACGCGGCCTGGCTAGACATGTCGAAAAGAGCGCCATCTTTGCTCACATGCCATAGCTTGCTCATGGCCTCCATGGCCTTGAGTACTCGTGGATGGCTGCGTATCTGGACCTGAGGTCGTGTCCAGAAGAGACTGAAGTTTTGAGGGTCATGCTTCGGGAATCCCGCGACCCTGGGGTGCTTCTTGGTGTATGATCGAAGCTCTTCTTCCCAGTCCGAGGCTTGCTTTTCAGGCACTACCCCACGGATGATCAAGCAACCTGTTTGCCGCACAGTCTCGGCCAAACCATCGGGAAGGCGGTCGCCATTGGTCTCAATGTCAGCAAAGGCGATCTCTGGGATGGCTTTGGGACCAAGTGTGGCAATCCTCTCTGCCTCGACTGCCAGAGCCTTGGTCAGTCGTTGGTACGACTCGACCAGTCGCTCCCGGTTTTCTGGCTTGACAAGGGCCTGTTTTAACTTTGAGTACTTTTCTTCGAGTAAAGGGCACCTAGATTAGAATAAGCACTGGTCGCTGAGAAGATGTAGTCACAACAACAATCAGGGAAAACATACGGGTAGTGAGCCTGCTCGTACTCAACCTTATGAGGAGACATATTGCCAATGACTACAATGGGGATGAATGTTCTATTAGACTTGGGGAACAAAAGGAATGTCGGTTCGAAGGATTGGAATGTCTGATCGAGGCCATCTTTATATCTAGGGTGAACAAGTTGCGTGATGCCGTATGCTCACTGACGGAGTTGGCCGCGGGGCGATCAATGTTTGCACGGTTTACCTAAAATCGAATAGTTTCAACGAGCCGCGCACATCATGCAGTATTTCGCTCCACTCTCCATATTTTACACTCCTCTCTCCGTTGCACACATTCATACATGCATCTTTACATGTAGAAAGGCACACCATGCTCATAGCCGTTGCGCCCAATTGACAGTTTTCCGCTTCGTTAATGCGAGCAGTAAATTAATCTCCTTTTCTTTATCGCTACATTTCGGGTAATTCGTCTTTGTCCGGCCCTGAACTTTCGTTGAATCTCTCCAGTAACAGATTCAGTCTCAACAATGGCAAGGCTGCAAACTCGTACCGATTTGCCAATGTCTCCAAAAATTGGCGAAACCTGTCTAGTGTGCCCTGGCGAGTCTGGTAGATCCCATCATCCGTACTCGACAAGAGAGCAGTGATGATAAAATTACCTATAATAGCAATGTTGGATTTGGTGTCTGTCAATGGAGTGAAGGGTTAGTCTTGTCGAAGGACTTGGAGCAATACTTGTCATAAGAACTCACAACTTAGCCAAAGTCCATCGATGTTTTGGTATTGAAGCAAGTCCTCAAAGACTTGAAACAGATCTTCAAAAAGAAATGTCTCCTTTCCAACGTCGTAATAAGAAGTCCCGCCAACACAGGCAAAGAGTGCTCGTTGGATGGAAACTGCGATGCCATAATATGCAAAGACGAAAGCGTAATCTTTGACGGCGTGCTGGTCAGCTAGTGTTTGCAATCACACTGAGCAGAGAGTCTGTTCACCGCCTTACCATTGATGCATCTACTTGGGCGCAGAAGGACAGATCCTTGTTGCTCAAGGCACCCTTTCAGCTGCTGCTGGCAGATGCTAGCACGTGACAGAGCCTCTTCAGGGGGCATATCGCTCGGTCCATGGCGAATGGTGTAGAAGTTGTCGAGAACGCTCGACAAGCAGATGGTCAATCTCGAAAGCATCACGAAGGACGTGACCAAATGGGAGAGGCGCTCGTCTACGGGTGGTGAGAGCAGTTCACTAAAGTCTTCAATGCCCAACGGAGAAACGCTAAACTGTCTGTCGTCGATATGACTAGGCCGTCCCAGCCAGTGGGCCAGCCTATTATCGTAACACTATACATTAGTATTGGATTGGTAGGTGACTGGTTGTTCGGATAAAGGAGCAAGCTGACCATTTATCGTGCATGTATACGGCCCACCATAGGACACGGCGCTTTCGCCGCTCCACCGAGCAGATATTCCATTCCGTAGGGTCTACATGTAGACCTGTTTCTTGGGCAAGACCCACGAGCTACCGCAATTCAGAAACCACAGTGCTTATCGCCGGGCGCCGATTGCGCTTACCTGGGATGTCAGTGTCCAGAAACCAGGATGATTAGGTTCTCGAACCCGCAGAGGCGGTAACTGCATGTACAGCAACATGGCCTGTATGGTTTGAAGCGACGGGGTTCTCGTTTCCAGTATCATCCTAGCAAACGCAATATCACGCAGCGGTTGTATTGCCTTTTCTGCCATTTCTTGGAGGACCGGAGTCTCTTTCGCGAATTCCATCGCGGAGCAGTATACGGCTGCTGCCAAAGACGTGGGGACCGTTCTCGATGCGATTGCAGCCTCCAAGTGCGGCCTACTGCCTAAGATGGGCAGGCTGGGGTGGATATATGCATAGTAGAGAGTCAAAAGCTGCGACTGATGCGGACTGACCAAGGCGTCGACTGCTTCCAGATCATACAGCCCAGAATCGACATCGAGCAGTGTGTTTGGATACGACTGGGAGTAGGGAGTTATTCAGTCATCAGATCCATGTGGATGTGAGCACGGAGTATGGCATACCGTGAAGTAGGCCGGTGTCTTCTCGTCAGCAAGGATCTTCCACACCCGCCAGTTTCGGTGGCCAAAGCTAGCCCTCTCGTCAAACGGCAGGTGTCTCAGTAGATACACATCTTGGTCGCTACTAGTACCTACGTACAAACTCGATCGGCCCGCAACTTCTGTTCCATCATAAGGAACCGGGTCGGCAGTATCGCAGGATGGGTCGTTGTCGTCACGCATGGACACAGGAGCACGAGGAGGTGGAGTGGGTGCCGAGAACGTGCTGGTTAGGTCTGCATTCGGCCTGGTCTCCTCGGTGGGCAGGGCCCTCCGAGCGGAACGGACGCGGCCTTTCTTGACAGGTGCCGCTAACTCGAAAGTGCAAGAGATACCCCTGTGGTGGCAAAGCGTGCAGTTCTGCTGTCCTGTGGGGACGAAGCAGCCAATGCGACGACGCCGACATCCATCGCACCTGGGAGATCGGTTAGTCAAGCTCTGCTGTGAATCACCTGCAACCGAAGCCGGGACTTTACGGGCGCTGCTTCTTGGATCGATATGGTCGGGCGGCACCGCTTATTGGCGGTGACGATGTCGTGGTGGTGGAGTCCGTCATGAGTGGATGGCAAGGATCAACTAGCCATGCATGGTCTTGAAGAGGAGTCCGGCTCTGGTACAATTCTTGGCTGAACCCTGGTCCGGATACTCAGAGCCGAGATATCTGGGGTTGGCGCTCGGGAGATTGCCGTAACAAGGGCGTTGTGTTGATATGGTCAAAGCCTGGACAAGCGTGCAAACAGTTTGGAAAGAGAAAGATCCAAAGATGCCCGCGGGGCGATGGATATGACGGCTTATATTTGGCCATCCCTTCATCTGGGCAAGTCTTGATACTGAACAGCTAAAACGGTTTCCCCAGATCCAGCACTGCAGGCTAAGCCTGGAGGGGCCTAAGATCTTCACGCCCCGCAGTCGATGAGTTGGCCGCGGGGCAACTCGGGTTGTCGTTCAGCACTGCTTATCGTTAGCAGCAATCTCATTGGCCTCTCCACAAACTGACATAAGAGGCACCGACTTCCCCATGATGGATCTGGATGCCACTGCAGATCAAATAGGTCAAAAGGCCTGTGTCGAGTTGTGCTCATATGAATTCATTCTTGCTTCGGCGGCCGTACCTCTCGCTCCTTCGAAATTTGGAGTCATTTCACTGTCATACTCCTTACGTTGTTGTTATTGTTACCCATGGCTTTGAAGAAACCAACGCTCCTCCGGGAGCTTACGCCGCGTTTGCTCCGGATTTATCTTTTTGCCTCAGTAGGTCAAGTCCGAGTCAAGATGGAGATACATTGCTAACTATGTTTCTCAATAGGTCGGCGCGATGGTAAGACTGTCCTACGGCCGCGGTCCATCATAGCTCGGGGTCGCAGATACTAATACTCGGCAACTAATTCAGAACTTCGGCTATGACAACAACTGGTGGTCAGGCGTCATAGGATCGCGGGTTTTCAACGATCACTTCGGCCGTCATCTGGACGGGCCTGACCAGCCAAAGAGCCTGCCCTCAGACTGGCTATCGATTGCCAGCGGCACTCCTATTGCAGGATGGATCTTGGGCTGCGCCGTCGCAAGTTATTTCACGAGTACTTGGGGTCGCAAGATGACCATTGTCATTGTCTGCGTGATTGCTCTGATAGGAATGACTATTTCCTGCGCTGTCAATAGCTACTGGGGCATCATGGCTGGAAGGCTCGTCAACGCTGTGTCTATGGGCATCGAGGCAAACTGTGTACCTATGTACATGGCCGAACTTGCGCCGGCATCCATCCGTGGCGCACTTGTCAACTTTTACCAGAGCTGGCTATATGTGGGTGCCATCCTAGCGCATTCAACAGTCTATGGATCCATCACGCATCTCTCAGGGAGATGGACCTATTTGACTCGTATGGGAACCCCTCCTCCCAGGTAGTATGCTTGCATACATGCACAACTATGAGCTAACGGAACCCGTCTCACAGCTATCATCGTTCAATATGGACCCCCACTTCTGCTGCTCGCAGCCGTATGGTTCATCCCCGAGTCACCTCGATGGCTTCTCCAGAAAGGCAGACGCGAAGAAGCCCTCGAGGCCCTCTTGTACGCCCGCGAGGGCAGCGCCAGCGCGGATGAAATCGCCTGTGAGCTCGGTCTCATCGAGCAAGCCATGCAGCACGAGGCAGAGAACCACCGCGCGACGAGTTACGCCGACTGTTTCAAGGGCTCTAATCTGCACCGAACCTGCATAGCCATGGGTGTGCAGTGCCTGCAGCAGGCGCAGGGCAACACGTTCGTCACGTCGTACCTGGTCATCTTCCTCAACCAGGTCGGCGTCGACCAGCCGCAGGCCATCGCCATCGCGGTCATGGGCTGCAGTCTCGCGGGTTGCATTGCCGCCTTTTACCTGTCGGACAAGCTGGGCCGGCGGCCCATGCTCATGATCGGCTCGTTCTTCATGGCCGTCCTCATGTGGATCACTAGCGGCCTTGCCAGTTGGACCCCTGGAGGGGTCAACGGATCCGCTGCTCAGGGCGCTATTGCTGCTCTCTTAATCTATGTAAGCAACTTTCATCTCTATTGCCCGGCAAGGCGTTTCCCCCACTGACAAAGTGCACCCGTCTAGAATGTCTTTGCGGCAGCCTGTTGGGGTTCGGTCATGTGGGCAGTCACAGGTATGTCTTCACACTGCCAAGCATCGCTTCTTTCGATACTTTGCGGGGCCATGGCTAACATATCCTGACCCAACAACCAGCCGAGGTTGGGACCACACAGCTGCGCGAACGCACGATATCGATTGCCACCATCGCCAGTTTCTCCACAAGCTTGATTATCACTTATGTCACTCCCTTCATCCAGAATGAGCCAGGCAATTTGGGGGCGAGAATCGGGATGATCTTCGGCAGCCTGTCTATCTTGGCCCTGTTGTTTGTCTATTTTGTTGTTCCGGAGCTCAAGGGGAGGAGTCTGGAAGAGTTGGACGAGCTATTCCAGTCGAGGACTGTCCCCTGGCGATCGACTCGATTTGTGTCCACCGGCATCGGCGCTGAGATCACGAATATCGAGAGGGTCAAGGCTGACAGTGGCCTTAGCACAAAGGCGATTGATGGGGTTGGACAGGGCAAGCAGGCCGACATCAAATAGAACGGGCGTTCACGATGCTCTCATGGAGAATGTCTAGCTCCCACAAGAATAGATTCCTGATGGAGCTCAGAGCCTCATAAATCGCAAACGCGAGACTACCTAGATTCTTCTCTTGTCTTTGCAAGGTGTTACGTTCAGTTTCCACAGGTTTCACGCTAGGTAGGTAGTCGGGGCACTTGGCAGAGAGACACACAAACAAAGAATTGATCACTCCCGCATTCCAGTGCCGCTCTAATTCCTTTTGGTCGTCGCTGTGGCGGCGGCTGACTTGACTCGTGACGCTACCTAGGTACTATTAGCACACACAGTAGACGTAATACCGTATTCGGCGAGTCGAGTCCCTCATAGGCCACCGCCTCGACACGCGCGTTGTGGCCACTCAAGTAGCGTTAAAATAGTTTGGGTGGGGGCGTACCAATCGGGACAAATTTGATACCAAACGGATCATTCATGCAGCGACATCGTGGACTTGCCACCTCATCGTTCGTTTTCGCGAGGCTTGGTGTCACCATCCGTCAAAGACAGCTAGAAGCACGGTCTGGTTTTGAGAGAGAGAGAGAGAGGACAAGCAGACAACCGTCTGCAGGGACGGAACCGGACCCCGCCTCGCGCTGCCGGATCAAGCACCAGCAGGCTCGGCCTCTGGCTCGGCCTCGGGAGTGCACATGACCATGAATGCGGCGTAAACATGCCTTCACCCGCGCCGACAGGCCGTCGCCTCTTACCCAAGCCCGGCACCCCGGACCAGAGTGATACCGCAACGGATGAACTTGCGCCTGCGTCCAAGAAAGCCAAACCCAACCCGACGCTGATCGCCTGCGACGCATGTCGCGCAAGAAAAATCAAGGTTTGTCTTGCAGCAGTCTATCCCGCGGCTATGCACTAAGATTCTCTCCCTCAAAGTGCGATGGCCTGAAGCCGTCCTGCTCTCAGTGCCTTGACCGGAAAGCGGCGTGTCAATACCGCACGCGCGTTCGGGCCGAAACTCTCCACCAGGAGGCCCTCGAGCTGCGAAAGACGTCGCAAGGCCTGTTCCAAGTCCTGGAGCTGTTGAGGACGGCGCCGGAAGATGCCGCCATTGACTTTCTGCGCGTTCTCCGCGATGAACCTTCAGTATTCGACTTCACCTCGTCGCCGTCTCTTGCCAGTTGGGAAGCAGCCAGATCCCTGGCCCTCGCTCGGTCCCCGAGTCTTGCCAAATCTCCTGCGCCTATCGATTTTGAAACTGAACTAGGCAACCAGTTTCCTGGCGCATTCCCTCCTCTGAAGCCCTTGGCCCTTGCAGATGTCAACCTGCGCCTTCTCCATGCCAGCCCTATTACGATCGCAGACCGCACCAGACATAACAGGAAGCGGCGTCGGTCTGTTGACGGCTCACGAGGCCGACCTCTACCCAGCGCTGATTCTCTACCGCAGTCGACAACTGGTGCAAGCAAGCGATATGTTGACTATCGTCTTGAACATCTGAATGTTCAGCCCTGGACGTCGGTGCCAGTCTCAGACACACTCGCAGCAAGAGCACTGTCATTTTACCTTAGCAATGAACATCCCTTGCTAGGGGTCTTTGATCCCGACCTTGTCATCAGAGATCTAGTTCGTGGAAGTGGTCGTTTCTGCTCGCCTCTCCTTTTTAGCGCGTTGATGGCCTGGGCTTTTGTGAGTACAATAGATGTCTGCAAAGTGCTCACCAAACTAACTCCTGCGCAGTCCACATATGCACAGTTTGACGACAGAGGAGCGCTGTTGTCTGTCCAATTCTTCGAGGAAGCCAAACACCGCTGGACACGAGAACAGTGTCAAGACTCCATCGCAGCTGTTTCGGCAGGAATACTGCTGACCTTGACTTGCAATCATCATGCTAATGATCGGGATGGTCTGTTATACCTCGATGCCAGCGCCGAGATGGGCCTCCGACTTGGGCTTTTCAACGCCTCTCACGTTGCGATATCAGAGCAAAACGACGACGAAGAGTACAGATCGGCTGCATGCTATGCTGCCTGGGGGATTTTTGGATGGCATACGTAAGTCATGAGTGCCGGATAGTGCATTAAACTTGTGTCGCCTTTTAACCACGTAAAGCAGTTTGCATTGTATATACTTTCGACGACACCATCGTATCGAGACCCCTCCCGCGTCTCCAATTCCCGGAGACATGGCCGACAGCGGTCAGATGAGCCCCAAGCTGCCCGACTATATGGGCAGCACATTCACCTGGGTCGCCAAGTTTTGGGTGATTGTGCACGAGTTCTTTGGCAAAGGTCTCTTAGATCTCGAGGAGACCAATTTTGAAAGAGCCGAATTGGCATATCAAAGGCTCTTGGATTGGTCGCACGGACTACCAGAGACGGTTAGAAGGACAGATGGCTGCTCACACCACGTCTTAATATTACAGTACGTATCGAATCAAGATGATGTGACGAACTTTGGTTGACGTGTAAACAGTGCCTGGTATCACACAGTGATTATGCACATATGGCGGCCGTTCATAGAGGCGCGCCAGCGAAACGGCTTGCCACCACCTACCTCAGTCACTTTGGGAGATCGACCTGCGATAGCTTACAGGGCATCCGTCAACCAGCTAAAGAGAATTCTGCTGTCATACCGGGAGCGGTTCGAGACCACTCACCTCACCATGCTCATCACGCCGGGCTATCTCTACATGCTGAACGAAGTGTTCCGGGACAGCGACTCTCCCGAGGCGCACTTCTACTTCCTGCTCTCCATGCGCGGGCTGCTGTCCATTGCGCCCTGGTGCCAGGGCCTGAGCGGCATCGCAAAGGCATTCTTCAGCCTGGGTTGGCGCAACGGCGTGTTTCGCCGCCACGGCTGGGCCGACAACCTGATCGAGGATGTCAAGCTCGCCACGGTCGATACAAAGTACAGCAGCCTCTACCCCATTGATCTATCGCAGGCAGATGACGACACGGGGAGGGGCAACATGGAAACCCTAGCGAGCGAGTTCCAAAATCTCGTGCTTGCTTCTCATGATGCGGATCACGCGGATGGACTGGAAAGCGATGCTGGCGATCAGGTCCCGATATGGAAGGGCGATCCCCGCGATCTGGATTTGTCGCTGAGCCAAGCCACGAAAGAGGAACCTTAGTAGATCGGATAATAGCAGTCTGGTCGTTGATTCAATCGCTCTGGTTGTCAGAGCTGGTACCGGCATTGGTTCCACATCGACAAATTAATCTGTTTGACCGTGTATGAGCACGGGAGACTTAATTGGCTTAGCGCGGCCGAAGGGCGCACCACCAGGCGGTTGAATGGCCATGCAAGGATGACTTGTAGACAAGTGCCTTCCTTCAGTCCAACCAACATGAATCACTCGCAATCCCAATAGCTGCCGACACCGCATTCAATTCCCGAGTTGCTGGGCAGTGCAGCAACAATCCCGACGAGCAAGAATGAGCAACCCGACTTTCTCGAGGGATCAATTGGCGCGGTACTTTGACCACATCAACCTCCCAACCCAATATCGCGACCAGCTCATCGGCGCCGGTCCCGGCCGCCATGCGGCCCCCCTCGACATCGCCGCGCTCACTGCCCTCCACACCCACCAGATCGCGGCGATTCCCTACGAAAATCTGAGCCTACACTATTCCAGAGACAAGATCATCAGCCTGGACCCGCAGGAGCTGTATACCAAGTTCGTCGCCAACGGGCGCAACCGCGGCGGCTACTGTATGGAGGGCTCGCTCTTCTTCCTCCACGTCCTCCGCAGCCTGGGCTTCCACGCCTTCCCGACCGGCGTCCGCATCCGGCTGCGCGAGGACGGCGTCCCCAAGGGCGACTACGTCGGGCTGGTGCACCTCGTGCTCGTCGTCGAGCTGCCGGGCGCTCCCGACGGCGGCGGGCAGCAGCAGCAGCGAGACAGGTACGTCTGCGACGTGGCGTTTGGCGGCGACGGCCCCACCGCGCCGCTCCCCCTCGTGCACGGGCGGGTCACCCGGAACCTGGGCGCGCAAGAGGTGCGCTACGTGCACGACCACATCCCGCAGGTGGGCCCCATCGGCGGTGCCGGCTCCGGCTCCCGGAGGCACCGGTACTGGATCTACTAGTACCGCAACTCGGAGGCGCAAGTGTGGAATTCCTTTTACTGCTTCGACCCCGAGACCGAGTTCCTCGAGGCGGACTTCCAGATCATGAACTACTACACGAGTTCTGGCCAGACGTTTCAGCGCAAGATGACGCTGATTGTCAAGTTTCTACTCGAGGGCGAGAGAAAGAGCGCCGAGGAGGGCAAGATCAGTAATGAGGGGCAGAGCAGCGATGGAGGAGACAGGAAGATCGTGGGCAAACTAATGCTCGTCAACGGCATCGTGAAGCGGAACATGGGCGGCAGGACCGAGGTGGTCCAGGAGTGCCGAACAGAGCCTGAGCGTATCGAGGCTTTGCGGAGATGGTTTGGGATCACGCTCACTCAAGAGGAGATTGAGGGCATTGCGGGAGAGGTTACCGAGTTGAAGGATGTGGAAACCATTGTCGCCTAGATATGCTGTATCTCGATATCACCCGTACGAACATGAGAACATGGAGATGCATGCCACGATCACTTGCCTTGGCGCTGTTGAAACCATGCAACTAGTCGAAGTTCATTCAATATATCTTGAGCCATCCGGATTTTCTCCGCATCGCTTCTGGAGGCGGCAAGTACTCGGCGGGGAGCAGTGACCGAAGCTCGGGAGTCGAAAGCAAGTCAACCCAGCCATACACCCATAGTCAAACGTATCCAGTAGCTTTGTATATGGAATATTGCCATGTATACCATCGTACTTGGCTTACTTGATGAAGGGACCTTGGCCTGAGGCCCCATCGGCCGTGCCAAGGCGGGGTCGGAGGAGCTAGCGTACGTTGCCGAAATCGGCACCGAAGAGTTGCCTAACCGTCCCCGTGACATCTCGATATCGACTTCACCATCTGCTCGTGGAAGTATATAAAGCAACAAGGGAACGCATCTCAAGTGAAGGCTGTTGTTATTGACAGCAGAGTATCCACAAGTCGAGACCTTGACAAGAGGACCGCAAGCCTCGCATCACAATGACGGAAGTTGACAGAGCCGACTACGAAGAATGGAGATACCAGGAGAGTCTCCCAGACGAGAGGAACCAGCTGGAGCATGCGTTTCGCCTGCTCGAGACATACAGCGGCATTCCACACGATGAAGTCGAGGAGCATGTCCGCGTTCTTGTAGGTGCTACTCATTAGTGCAACCCCGCTCGCGCTATGTTGGACACTGCTGACAGGTGAGAAACAGCGCGACAAGGCCTGGGCTGTGTTCCCGTACCCATGCATCGGCCGCTGGCGGTTCCTCAACATCTACCTCGCTTCGACGCCATACTATCCAGAGATTCTGCAGACCTTGAAAGGCGAGTCGGGCGTCTTCATCGACGTCGGATGCTGTTTTGGACAAGTCCTGAGGCAGTTGGTCGTGGATGGCGTCCCATCCCCCAAGCTTGTCGGCATTGATCTGCGGCCCGAGTTCTTCGAGCTTGGGTACGAGCTTTTCCGCGACCAAGACCGTCCGCCGGCGAAGTTTGTCGCCGCAGACCTTCTCAGCGGCGAGGGTGGCGACGAGCTCAACGGGACCGCGAGCATCGTGCACGCGGCCAGTGTGTTTCATCTATTTGGCTGGGAGGACCAAGTTAAGTTGGGCGTCCGGGTGACGAAGCTTTTCAGGCCGGAAGGCGAGGCTGTTGTGTTTGGCAGGCAGGTAGGGAATTATGAGCCCAAGGAGCTAGAGGAGCACACGTCTCTCGGGCTGAAGAGGTATTTTCACAATCCAGAGACATGGCAGAAGCTCTGGGACGAGGTTGGGAACTTGACCGGGTCAAAATGGAAGGTCGATGCGACAATGATCGACTGGGTTCTTGGGACAAAGATGAACCGGCCAGGCATTCGCTTCGCGGTGAGAAGGCAGTAGGCTTGAGCCAGGAGCTGCTGAATCTCCTTGTGTCCTTTCTCGACGCTTCTGCTACGGCTCGGGTTCTTCAATTGATGGATTGTCAAATAGCACAGTGAACGCTGTCCTTCCTCGTTCGTCATGTCCAGCCCAGGGAGCATCCGTGCTATCACTCGATTTCCTCGGCTTCCAAATACTGGCGAGATTGCACCCCAGTTTAATATGTATATTACTTACCGTGATAAGCTCAGAATATTGGCTGAATTTGCCGTTACCTGGCCATTCTGGATTTGAGGCCGATTGCACGTGTTGCTGCTGCCTTGGCGGTGATGTGCGATTCGCACCTTCCTGCATCTGTGCCACTTCGGGTGGACAGAAAGGCAGGCATCCTGGATTTCTTTTTTTCGACCAATTGACCTCAAATGAATTGCTTCATTGCTGCTGCCAGGATCTGTCATCCATTCACTTCTCGCGATACCACACCACGGCGTATTATCGTATCTACTAGATCGCTGCTCAATCCCGGGGCGTCGAGATCCGAAATGCGTCGGAGAAAATGCGGCGAATCAGGGCCCTGCTTGGCCAAAGCCGACAGCACCCTGGTCGTCAAGCACAACAGTCCAAGACAAGCTGCCCAGACGCCGGATCCCACCGCCGGAGATTCAGTCCTCTAGACCCAGCTTGCGGAGCTTTCCTACAGACCTGCAGCCCTATCAAAAATGGGACCGTCATCTGGACCTTTTTCTACGGCATTTCTCGTCCGCGATGCCGGCCTGCACATCGTCCACTCGTTCGCAGACAGCACCTGCCACGTGAAATGTGCGAAACAGTGATGCTAGCAGCAGCATGATCAAGAGATGAAGAGGGCAGAGGCAAACCACTTCTTCGAGTGCGAGGCAGCATACGAGCACAAGCGAGCGATATACAGTGCTGGGCCAGCTCCCGAGGTCGAGATATGGCTTCGCGGTCGCTAGGCTGTTTGAGCGGCATCTTGCGGATAAGCAGAAAAGCAGGATCTCCACACTGCGGCGGATGGCAATGGTTCGGTCCTAAACGACACAGCATTAGGCGAAAGCGATACGATCATTCATTACGGTCGGCCCAAACCCGGGACAATCCCTCTGCTGATATGCGAAAGAGCGATCGACCTACAATTGAGCCTCCTGGCGCTGTCGCAGGAGGTAGCATCCTATCATGCGCCGCCGTCCAACCACCGCACCAAGGTTTTGGGAGCGGCTGAAGAGTCGTCCCGTTGCTGTCAACCTCCATCCATGACTACCGCAACGTCGCCTCATGTCGTAGTGTTCGGCCAAGGGGACCGGAACATGCAGGGTTCAGGCATGTGCGATCTGGGGGAACCACCGATTAATCACAGATTTGGAGTTCCATTTGGGGTCTGCGTGGGAGCGCGAAGTGGTGTCTCGTTTTGGTCCCCTACAGACGGGCGACAAGACAATGCCCATGCGAATGCAAATGCGGGGCAGACGTGGCGAAACAGTCCAGACACTGGGCTGGGAGAGCGTTTGCTGGCCGAATACAGCTCTCACAATGCACCACTCCGATCGACTCCTCACAGGCCGGCCTTACCTTGCGCCTCCAAGGTCGCATCAGCTGCCGAGCCGTTTGGCGACGACCCCGAGGAGGGGGAATACTCCAATACGTCCGCGTGCGACTCCGAGGGTGTTGGAGGCTGCAGCGTTGGGGAAGTAAACCAGCCAGAACACCACCACCAACCACACCCACAGCCACCCTGGGCCACGATACAGTTCTTTGACAGCGGCCAGCGGTCCACTCTTTCTCAACACTCTTGCAAATACCCATGTTAGCCAGCGAAGACCACTATATATCTGCGCGTTACACCATCTGCACTGTTCAATTCCTGTCTTCCGACTGGCGGCGCTAGAAGCCGTGGAGGGATGGCTCGGTATGAGGGCGCGAGCGGAGGGCGTGACCAGCACTTTAAGCCCAAATGGCGGCTAAAAAGGGGCGCGTGTGCAGCTTGTATGGGAGGCATGGGAACGCAAGCCACGTTGTTCTGGCGGCTGTCGCTGCCGTCGTTCCATCCTGCCAAGCAGGGGAGACGCTGGTGTGCTTGGGGCCAGACCGCATCCCCGGACGCTCGATCTCGCGCTATTTCGCCCTGAAGGATGAAAGGCCCGTGGCGCCGCCAGTCCCGTGGAGCCCCGACCCAGCAGGCGGGCCACTCTTCCTGGTCGCGCTCCTCTAAGGTTTTCCTCTTTTTTTCACTTTTACGAACGAATCTAGTTGCTCTAATGCTCTCCCCACAGGGACCCCATACACCAGATCTGCCATCGACTGATTGGGCATTCGCCCTCCAAACGGCGGCGGAGGCATCGGGCAATTCCTCCCATTTGTCGGCCCTGCATTTCGCATAGCCTGTGAGGATTCCCCATGTCTCCCCATCTCGCGTGTCGGAACATCTGCCAATGCACAAAGGGTTCGACGGTACCACAAATCCCCCGTCCTCTCGCTTGCTCCTGGCCTCGGGCTTGGCTTGAGGCTGCTGAATTGCTTGCTGCGGGTTTGTCAAGGCGAGACGGGACGAGTACAAAGTCAGAAAAGAACGACCAGGTCCAGTTGCCAACCGCGTCAATCTGCGACCCGGGCGGCCGATAGTGACCAAACACCTGTCTCGATTCGGCTCCCATCTGGCCCTCTTTTTCTACTGCTCTCCGGGCCGTCAATTGATTCGCAATCCTCTTGCATCGCTTGTAACTCTTTTACTCGACTGCATTGGATACATCCTGTCTTCATCCCACCCCTCGAGATAATATTTAAAACGACCAACAGCGCCCCCGTCGATCACTTTCTTCATCCCCCCTGGACTCCAGGAAGAGATCAACAAGCGATCAATCAGGACACTCTGTCGCCCGCATTGAAAAGACGTGATCTAGGTCTCAGGCGGAAAGTACGGATACACAGGGTCCGCAACGGACGAAGAAAAGCCAATGACGTTTGAGCTCTTTTAGGCTACCCCTACCCGTTTCCATTGCCCCAGACAGCATCGCCGAGATAGAGGAGCCAAAGACGCCGTTCCATTTGCTTATTCAATTTCGAGAAGCCCCAAAACAGGACGAACTAGAGGAACCCACTCCATCTTCACTCTACTCCGGACTGCACCCGTCGGAACATTTTCAAACAAACAAAACCAACAGCCTCTGTCGCCGGTTCACACTGTCCCGTTTGAAACCAGCTCTTCATCAATACCCGCGCCGCCTGTTGCCTCATCTACAGAGAGCGTGTATATACGTACATCCAGATACGCACAACACCATCAAACGCAAGCAGCAGCACAGCAGTACCACCGCCTCTCTCGCACACACACTCGCTCTCGCGTGAGACCCTTGCCTGCCTCCTCCTTGTCATATATTCTAGGCCAGTCATTTACCCACTTACGCCACCCGAGAAGCCGCATCCCCAATCCGCAATCCGCAAACACCGTCCCAGATTCCCCAAAACAGACTGTCCCGATCCAGGGTGTCCCGGTCTAGTGTGCTTGCCCACATAACCTTGAATCTTGCTTCCCACGGGGTACCTTTGCATTTACACGCCACACATCCATACAACCACAACCCATAGTTATTCCCCACGCTCGCTTTTCTGCCTTTCCCTTTTCCTTCCGCTTCGCTTCGCTTTTTCTCTACTGTGCTCTCGACCTCCGGAGAGAGAGGCTGAGAAAAGAGGAAAAGAAGATCAACAAATTTGAAGCAGAGGCCGTCACAGAATCAAGGGACAGATAAGAAGACCTGATTTCCCAGGTCTTTTCTTCCCGAACAGTTGGTATCGATGCCCTCATCCCTGGTCTGTTGCCTGCCCTTTCTTCGAAAGGAAGAAAAGAGCAGTCTAGCCACAAAGCCGTCGTCGACTGCCACCGCCAGCAAAGACCAATCAGAAAAGCAGACGCAGCAGTCGCCTGTAACGCCCACCACCACCATCACGCCGTCGTCTTCCAAACTCACCAAGACGACAACCACCACCGAGACCGCCGAGATGACTGCACTGCCGCCACACTCCCGCAACGTCGTTCTGTCCGGCGGCGCCCGCGGCGTCGGTCGTGTCGTGGCGCGCAACCTGCTGCGGAACGGCCACCGCGTCTTCCTCTTGGACTTTGACGTACCGGAGCTCGAGCACTGCGTCAGCACGCACATGCCCGACGCCGTCGAGGGGCTCCGCGACGCCAGCCCGCCCCGCCTCGGCAGCGCCGTATGCGACCTGCGCGAGCCGGACTCTGTGCGCGCCGCCGTGCGCGCCGCCGTCGACTTCTTTGGCGACGGCCACATCGACGTGCTCGTCAACAACGCCGGCATCGCACGCGCCGGCTGGACGGGCGGCCGCACCATGGAGGACCCTTCTGTGATGGACGAGTGGCGCGCCTACATCGACACCAACCTCACGGGGCCTTTCGTGCTGACGCAGTCGTGCCTGCCCTACATGAAGGCCGAGGGCTCACACCCGCCGCAGGGCCCGCCGGAGGAGTCGTTCCTCTCCCCCGAGGTCAAGGACCGCATCAAGCAGCAGGGCGAGCGGGACGCGCAGCTCGGCCCACGCCAGCGCGGCGGGTGCATCGTCAACATCTCGTCGTTCCGCGCCACGCAGTCGCAGGCCGACTGCGAGGGCTACGCGTCGACCAAGGCGGGCCTGCTGGGGCTCAACCACGCCATGGCCGTCAGCGGCGCGCGGTGGGGCATCCGCAGCAACGCCATCCTGCCCGGCTACATCGAGGTGCAGCACGAGTGCCGCAAGGGCGACGAGAGCGAGATGCGGTGGGCCGACACGGTCGAGGAGGAGCGGCACCGGCAGCACCTGACGGGGCGGATCGGGTTCGGGCGCGACATTAGCGATGCCGTCGAGTGGCTCATGGGCGCGAACTTTGTGAGCGGGCAGGAGATTGTCATGGATGGCGGGGTGAGCAAGATTAAGCATGCTGCTGCGTGAGGGATGGGTACAGGCGAAAAGAGAAGAGAGTGAGGAAAACATGGGGAAGAACGTGATTACAGAAGCGTAAAAATAAAGAGGGAGCAGAAGAAGGAATGGAATTATCATCGTCATATAGGATGCCGTTTGTCACCTCACGGCAGTTTTGGTGCATTGTTGAGAGACGGATTGGGGGATTGAGGAGAGATTGGGGAGGGAGATATGATTGACGGGCCTTGACAATTCTCTTTTGAGTCTGTTCAAGGCGCGGCTCTCCCTTCCTTTTGTGTATGGACTTTTCCTTGTGGAGTTTAGAGCGCATTTATGCCCCTTTCTCTTCTAAGTTCTTTTGTTGACTAACTTGTTCCCTTTGTCTACATATCCTGGACTGATCTTAATCAGATCAGTTGTATGGTAGCTCGGTACATATACATCTTTTTGAATAACACAATTCGAATTAAGTGGCTCGTGCCTCGAGTTTGGAGTTGAAGCAGCGTCATGTAGAAGAGTAGGCCCCCAGCGACGTACAGGACGTGGCGTGCAAGACACGTGCAAGCGGTCTACTGTATGATAGGAGCCCGATGTGCATCTATGCAACAGACAATAGAACAACATGCTGGGATATCTTGCCATGACACCAACAAAGTAAGTTCGAATTGAACCTGAAAGAATGGAGTGTTTTCTGTGCTTTCAAGTCAAATGGGACTACATTCGGCTCACCAGGAGGGTGTGAAGTTGAAAGGGGTGTTCCTCATTGGTGATTCACAACTACATGTAAGCCAAAGTAGTAGTGCCTTTGTTCGCTTGTCTCCTTGCTTTACTTGTCCAAGACTTCCAGAACCTGACAAATGAGTGATTCTTTCATTTTTATATCTTTTGATAGTTTGTTAGTCTTTTGTTTCAGAGTGTCAGTTGAGGGCCAGTGAAGGACAATTGCCTGCACAGTTCAAGATAACGGCATGCTTCAAAACCTGGATAACTTTTAAGCTCTTTTCACATGAACCGTTACTAGGATGATAGTTTACCTGCTGGTATCCCGGGAGTAGACTGTTGCACAACAAATCGTGCCAAGTCACATGTCTGAGTGTCACTGCCGACTTGATGCAGATGGTTGTGACACATCGCTGCACTGTTGACAGCTCATCTATATCCAAAATGCAAGAACATGCCAACCTAGATGCATTACTGGCATGAACATTACTTTTAATATATATAAAGTCAATAAGTACAGCATTCACTTCGCTCCACATATGACACTTCAAAGCTTACATTCACTCCTTGGTCAATCATATTAACTCTTCACCAAACACTGGTGAAGCTCTGATAGCTGACCGGCACTTGTATGTTTCACCACAAATTCTTCTTGTGCCCCCTCCTGTCCTTCAGTATAAATTGAAGCGGCTCGCACTTTCAAGGCCTATTATCAACCATCTTCAGATCCAGATTTGCCGCTCCACGCACGTCAAACATGGCCGACTCACGCAGAATCTGGGAATACCGATACTCCTGTCAGCGATGTGGATATGAATGCTATCCAAACGGACTGTAGGTCCAGAGTCCAAATTCATCTGTGAAGGGAAGGTGGAATCTAACTATCTTCCAAAAAGACACGTTGATGGGCACCTACCGTGCCAAGACACAGATATCACGGCGTCCATCCCAGAGCCGCGATTTCAAGCTTCTGGCCGAGTCCGGCGCGAATATTGCTACGACCAAATTGACAGTCCCCGTCTTTCACCTGCGTTTGACAACGACCCGCCTGATCACCGGTATGTTCGACGCGAAGGCTATTACGATGGATCGAACAGCCCTCGACAGCGGTATCGCCGAAGCCTCGATGGCAACTCAGCGTATAGAGCTAACTCCTCTCGCCGCCGAAATCCACCAACACGATCTCGACCCGCATCGCCTGCACGTCCGAGGCAAACACCACTCGCACCCCCACCGCCTTCAGCGGGTCATCGGTCAGTTCAAACTGCATCACTGACAACAAAGAAAAAGAATGCTGGGCGAGGCTAACAAATCACAACTCTAGATTCTGGAACAGGCTGAGGACGATCTTCGACAACCGACCCCGAGAAGATGAGGGTTCGCTTGGGAGTCCAAGCACATTCCCTTCCCAACGCTCCCCTGCACCTAGAACTTCATATGACCGATACCATGATCGATCTCCACGAAGCCGATACACAGCAACACTACCGGAATATGAAGACAACAACACCTTCGAGCCGCTACATGTACATCGCGTGCAGAGAATGCCGTCGTCTTTCGTCCCAGGCTACGGTGGTCGCGCCTCACCACTCCGACACACCCACTCTTATGAGGCGGAGATACAAGAACACCTGAGGACCAACGACTTGAGAGGTCACGGGCCGTTCAGATACTGGGGTGGGGTTCCGAGGATGCGGTTCGATGACTACGCATGGACGCACGGGGACCATGGTCATGAGGGTCCGACCTCGGTGAGGAGTGGCCAGGATAGGTGGCTGGACTGGGACTGGCAGACAGCCGAGTACAATCGAGGTCGACATTCTGCGGAGATGTTTTACAGCGACAACAGCCCCCCTGTTTCGCTACCACCTCCTCCGATTGGTATGCATCGTCATACGAGGTGGGAGAGTGGCTGCGAGGATGAAGTTCCTGGAACCTACACCGGCAGGCGCTGAGCCCGTCCAGTGAGAGAAAAGGACCACTTGGCGACGACCCATTTTTGGCATCAGGAAACCACAAGACCATGTGACTATTAATCACCAATTCCCACTCGATAGGGCTGTGCTTACTCGTCACTTTGCTAGCATGGTACCTGGAAATCAAATAGTCTCTGATAGTGTCCATCTAACTTAACTAGTCATATGATGCGATGCGACTTAACTGTCCTCTTCCTACCAATGAAACCACTGAAGAAAACACAACTTAAAAGAGGCTATTCCTCTACGATATCATCGCTGGCTGTCACAAATGTGTCCGGTCCTGGTTTGAACTTGAACATCGACAAGTCACCGTGGTCTCCCTTCATTATTATCCTGACTTTTCCCCTGACAAGCTTACCGGACTGGCCAAACTGACTGAGCTGGATTGACACAGCCGGATACATTTGGCCAGCAATGTCCTTCACCACATTGCCTTCAATTTTGACAATACTCGAGGTTAGCGTACCCTTGTAAGTCATATTATTCGCCCTAGGCGACACGCTTCGAGGCGGGTAATGACTTACCAACTGCATTTCCATTGAGGGCAAATCGAACCATTTTCTGACCGGGGTCATAGGCTACGCCGACAGTATCGCCAATATCGTATTCCGGGCCGCTTCCCTGGCGGTCGTCGTCTTCGTAGAAATTGCCATCATCGCTGTGATAACCTATGCCGCCGGATTGCCACCCTGCCATTTCATCCAGATTGTGACTCTCTTGTAGTAGCCCAACTGCGATAGCACTAGTGGGAATTAATCATCAACCTTTGAGTGACACGGCCTGGGGTATGAGAGGCTGCTATGCTCTTACCAGTTGGCTGGACATTCAAGAACCTCGACCTCGAAGTAGAATAGACCTCCATCCATCGGTATGCAATGATCAGCGCGGACTGATGCCTGAGCATAGGAGATAAACCGAAAGACTTCAAGAACTGTGAATAGCACCCGAACTTAATTAGTAATACGTTCTTCGGTCCTTAAACAGGGGTTGTATTAGGGGCGTTGGGGGCGCTGCCATACCTTGGATCCATGCCTCCAGGCCATCCTCGGACAGGTTCACATTTGGTCCTTTGTCAAAGGGAGATAGCCTAGTGGGGTTCCGTTTATGAGGGCCTGTCGTGGCTCCATGCTTTTCCAGTGTTTCCATCTCATTCGCCAAGCTGTAGCACTTGGCTAGATCCAGGGCTGTCCAACCACTTCTGTCAGGAACGTTGACATCAACACCTTTGTTCTCGAAGATTGCCTTGAAGATTTCCTCAGCCCTGGCCTTGAGCGCTGCTGGTATTGCTTCCGCAAGACGGGGCTGTCTTTTATCTATTGGCAGCTGCCCAAGGATGGCGTTAAAGTTGTCAATGGGTTCAATTCCGTAAGCTTTGGGAGAGCCCATTGCTGCGCAATATAGAGCGCTTCTCCCACAGCCGTCCGGCAGTTCAATATTCTCGCCAGCCTTGAGCAATAGCTCTATCATTGTGGGTGAGCCGAACTGTGCAGCTGCGTGCAACACAGTGTTCATGGAGCCGTCGAGTGGCGTCCTGAACGGTATTTGGCCGACTTGGATGTCATCTTTCTCTGCCAAAAGCAGCTGAACTAGCCCTGTGTGTCCGTACCACACGGCAGCATAGAGAGGCGAGCCAAATGGACCTCCCTTGGTATTGGGATCACCACCAGCAACAAGAAGTCTGGTAGTCAGGTCTAAATCGCCCTGCACGGCTGCTGCTTGTAGTGGGGAGTGAAACGTGCCTCCATACAGATTGGGGTCTGCCCCTGCCTCCAACAGGAGATAAGCAACATCGCTGCACCGCTGCTGTACGGCTAGCATGAGCGGGGTGACTAGAGAGTTCTCCAGCCGGACATTCACCTGCGGGCGCGGGGAAACTTCCAAGAGCATCCTGGTCACACTCGAAGTTGCGCTGGCGTAGTGAAGCGCTGTCCATCCTCCAGCGGCTGTTAGATCGAGATCAGCCTTGATTGGCGGTCTCTGCGGTCTCTCTGAATCTTCGTTCAAACCTAGAATCGCGCCCAAGGTGTCATCCTCACAGCTCTTGGAGGCGATATGGACCGCCGTCTCTTTCCCTCTTCTAGCTTGATTGGGGTCAGCTCCGAAACTCCTGAGAAGGCTGATGATTTCCACTGCGCCTTTCTCCGCGGCAAGATGCAGCGCTGTACTGTCTGACTCGTCCTTGTCGTTGGGACAAGCCCCACGCTCGAGCAGTAGCTGAACTATTCCCTTGTCGCCTTGCTTAGCGGCAATGCATAACGGAACGAGCTTGCTATCATCTTCAGGCCCAGTGCGCCAACCATTGTCCAAGAGAAATCGGATAAAATTGGCCTTGTCTTCAGCCCTACCGTCACTTTCTATGACTGAGATGATTGTCCTTGCCGGACGTCCTTCCGAGTCCCCCAGTATTCGGCCATCTTTCCAGGCAATGAGTTCCTTGAAAGTGTACAATTCACAACTTTCGGTAGCGACTTCGAGGGCAGTATTGGCCTCATCATTCTTCCGGAGAACCTGTTCTTCGGTGGCATCACGCAGAACCTCTCGTAGGCATGTTTCGTGGCCACGGCGAGCCGCATAATGAATAGAGCTCTCCGTACCGTCCCATTGAGAAGTCAACCCTTGGTTCACTAAATACCTCACCATATCAGCTTTGTCATCGCGAATGGCCCGATCCAAGAGCGAGTTATAGGACCCATCGTCAGTTTCGATTGGTATCCCGGCGTCGACAAGCATCTTTAAGATGTTGAGTTGTCCGTAGTCCACGGCCCAGTCCAGATACACCTCAGATTCGGAGTCTGAAGCTTTCTGGGTCATAAGGTATTCTACGACCTTGGAGTGGCCGTTCTCGATGGCATTCCTCAAAGCCGACCTCAACTCGGCTTCCCTCTGCTCACTGGTCAAGACATCATTCTTGACTTGCAACTCCAGCTGAGAGGAAATGTAGCAAACGGCGTCTAGATGTCCGTTCAAAGCAGCCAACTCGATGGGGGATATGTCCATTCCCGAAAGCTTGGCGTCGGCCTGAGCCAGCGTCCTGACAATTTCCACATGACCATGTTCGGCAGCCAACTGCAGCAGAGTTCTTGTTCCAGTCCCCATCTCGAGATCATGCTTTCCTGCTGCATCTGTTGGCCAGGCTCTGAGAAGGAAGTCGAAAGTGTCCACAGAGCCCTGCATGCAGGCAATGTGAAGTGGAGTCCATTCGTCGTGATTAGTGGTTTCCACTGCTGATATAAAGTATGCCTCTCGGTGCTTATGGACTGAAACTAGTGTAGGCAAGTCGCCAAAGTGAGCTGAAAGATGGAGTGCTGTGTCCCCTTGATGATCTAGAGCCTCGACTCCATGTCCAAGAGCCAGCAATACCTCTATGGCCTCGGTCTGGCAATTTGCAGCCGCAAGAAGAACCGAGTCATCAGCCTTTGAGTCTGACTTCAAGTCATCTTGTTCCGACTCTGTGAGCATCTCTGTTAGGGCCTGGATAGCGTTGGTGCGTCCATACTCTGCGGCACTGCGTATGGAAGGGAGTAATGATGCTTGGGTGGCAGTGTTCCGGAGCTGTTTGAGGATTTCGACATTCCCAGTGCTAGCAGCGATTGATAAGGCATCGTTGGCCTGGGATGTATCCTCTTGTGCATTCTTCTGGAGGATATTGCGCACGACCCGGCCCATTTGAAACTGTGTCGCTAACAAGAGTGGCCCGTTCAACAGACCAGTCTTCCAACCATATGCTCGTACACAAGCGTTTGACAAGGATTCCAGTGCCTGTCCTCCAGACCGCAAAAGCTCCAGAACTTCGTTGTCTAAGCCAACATCGGGGTTTTCAGACAAATAATGCTCTGGCCAGTATAGCTGCGCGTAGTCGAGAAGAGCTGCTGCTATCCTCACATGTGTGTGTTTCAGCCGGTCATGATGCAGCTGTGACTCGGATCCATAAGCGGAGCATATGCGGAGATACATTATGCAGTGTCGAGTTATTTCCTTATGGAAGTCAGGAATGAGGATGTCTCCGTGTGCCACTATGCTTTGCCGAAGTTGGTTGTGGACCAGGAAGACTCTGTCGTTCGCAACTCTAACGGTAGATCCGAAATCGTCACCCATATCCCTCATCAGGTCCCAAGAGACCTTATCCACTAGGAAGTCGAATGTAAGGTCCGCTGTCTCACTCCCGGGTATCAGGTCCGCACTAAGAACCATTGCCACAGCGAGCTCGGAGACGTTCATAGGCCGCAAGGAATGGTAGATCCAATTAAGTGCAATTTTGACCGGCCAGTTGTTCTCCAGACCATGGAGCATCATGCTAAAAACTCTGTCGACACCGAGGAGTGGAGACATGAGTTGTTGATCTAGTCCTTCCCTTGTCGAGGGAATTTTGTTGGTTTCGAGGGCATCAAGACTCATCATGGTGTCGAGATACGTAAAGTTACCGGTGCATAGCTTCGAGATGATGATATCTCTCGATTCTCTCCACACTTGACGCTTCTTGAGTAACTTATCAACTCTAGTGTCGACCACTATCCGAATAGCTTCTTTACAATCGTCACAGTCAGTCATGAGTCTATAATAGAAATTGTCATCAGGACAACCCAGCGGTGTCGAACTTGTCGTAAATAACTTCAGTGGCACTTTGATCCGTTTTGTGCGAACAAGGTCCGCCAGTTTCGCTGTAACAAGCTGCTGGCACTGGTCCACCGCATTGACGATGATAAATACCGGGGAGTGCTGCGGAATTGCCAGGAGGGAGCGAAATAAATCCCACAGTTGTTTGCATGAGACAGCAGACATGCCAGATATAGCATCGATAGTATGCTTGCCACGGTTGAAGAATCCGGATCGCAGAGTCAGTAGTTGGCGAAGTAAAGAGGAGATCAGACTCCTCTCTGAATTTCGTCGAACATCCCAGCTGTAGAATCCGAAGCTCAGGATTATGGTCTTTGTGTTATGATTCTGAGCGACTAGAGACTGTAAGACATCGGTCGACATGCGAGTCTTTCCAGATCCAGGTGGACCAGTAACTTCAAGCATGGTCGATTCTTTGCTGTCCATCCAAGACCTATAAGTTATGTTCTTTTCTAGCCAATGGGCGGCTTGTGGATGCACCCAAGCGCTCTCCAGCCGGCATACAGAGGCATCCGGGCGAGAGAGAAGACCTAGGAACTTCTGATATCCAGAGTCCAAGCCTGATCCAACCTGGCATTAGCAAACCAGGTTGTCACATGCCAATAGCGTGATAAAACACTTACGGACGGATTGTGTGCGAAGTGCAGCCCTGCCGGAAAGGAATACATCTTCCATTCGAGAAACGTCATTCGCAAAGTTCCAAGGATCTTCCGATCCAGTCTAGTGACCGACAGCAAATTGTGCATCTCAGCCCGTTGATCCATCACGAATGTTAGGCAACGGTGAGACTTACAAATACCTGATTGGCCTGGTCTTCGGGGTTGCTTGTCTTGATATCAAAAGCTTGCGAGATGGCCATGAACTGAGCCTCGATACGTGATAGTACAACCGGCAATGTGCCTATCATGGTCGGGAGGTTCGAGGTGGGTAATCTGCCGTTGGCCATCAACTGCAGCAGAAACTTCTCCCAGTCTCCAGGTCCCGTGTTGCCCGGTGACTCGACGAAATACTAAAGATCTCATTATCAGACGAGGATGGCCATATCATGGGTTCAGCGCGAACACGTACGAGCGCCACGGATGATAGAACGATCCACTGATAGCGATGATCTTCCGCCGCAAGAATTAGAGCCTTGATCGAATAGCGCAACTTGTGGTTAGTTCAGGCTTTCGACTGTATCTCGAAGTTTCCACTTGCCTGTTTGACCAGTGTCGCTCCTGTGTTGTGTGCGATGAAGATTATGGGAACGATGTTATCCTGATCTCAATTAGCGCACACAGTTGGAGGATAAGATCAGATCTGGGCAAATGAAGTTTCTCGTACAGGGTTGGAAAACCTGGCAGATAACTCCAAGTGCTCAAGGATAGCCATAGCCTTCTCTCGCATGGAGCCCTCATCGATGAAGCCATCCCGGTCAATTGAGTCGATGACCTTTATGTTGTCCTTCTCAACGACCTGGCGGAACCGACTGGCAAGGACCTGCTCTGTTTTCTGCAAATGCTCATTCCCATGCCAATCATCGATCCCGTTGACAAGCACAAGCCTATTGCCAACACACGCATCCAGTCAGCAAAGAGATTCCAATATGGTTCTAGGACCGGTAGTGGAGGTTAGCTCACTGCGCCATTCTTTATTTGCTTTTGGGTGTGATTGCTGATATTGCTGCGCAATGTTTCGCAATGTTGAAGGCAGCGTTGAACTGCTCCAGGAGGTTGTTTGTCACTTGAGCGGTCGGTGCCTGTCTCGACGAGAGGCCCTTTGCCAGGCGTATGAACGGCCTCAGGTGCACAAGTCGATATCAGGCACGTTCTCCCTGCCTCATCTCATAGAGATGGTGTGGGGATATGCTAGACGCTCCAATCAGTTACGGCGGCCCCCAATCGCATGAATGAGACCCGAGGTTGCATTGCAGCACGCCACAATGTGCAAGCAAGTCCATATGTGCAGAAAACTACCAATTTCATTGGCTTATTTAACAGGAAATAACGAGCTGGCTCCTTCCTGCTCAATCTCTCAGGGCAAGATGCAACCAGGCTAGCTGAACAACTAAAATAGAAGGGTTCAGAGGTGCAGATCTAGCCCTGTTAGGATGTCCTTGCCGATGCTGACAATGCCACTACAGTAGCCACTGCAGCCTTGACTGCCTCTGTAGCTTTCACTACTGCTTCAGCTGCCTTTGTTGCTGCGTCTGCCGCTCGTGCCGCTGCCTCCCCTGCTGCCTCTGCTGCCTCCTTCGCCGCTCGTGCCGCCCCCATTGCGGTTACCAAGGTTTCTGCGTCAAGGCCTGTCGTTCCACCAATGACCGACTTGACATTGAATTCTGGTATGTGACTCTGTAGTAGTGGAGAAGTCGAAGCGGTCGCTGAAGGATGCGGAGGCTGGGCAGTCGTTGGGCTTGTGGAGCTCGAGGTTAATACCGCTTTCGTGGCATTGGCTTGAGGGTTCTTGAGTGCTTCAAGGGCAGGAAGCGGCGGCATTTCCAGCGAATCAGGCGATTTCGAGGCCATCAAATTGGATTTCTCGGTCATGTCGGTTGCCGGTGTGTCCGCAGACAGAGCAGGCGTGAGTATGTCTTGCTCGGAAAGGCTCAACCGGAAGTAGGTCTTGATTGGAAGCTTCTCCATCTCGCTAAGCTGGTTCTTCTGCAATCCTGTGGCGCTGTTGTTTGACAGTTGCACTTTACCTGGATTGAACGTAACATCGTCGATGATCTTGTCCTTATCGGTAGTGACTGGCAGGGAGCGGCGCCCAGCTGAAGCGATGTCAACTTCGCTTCGGACTCGGACTTTAGCGATGAACGGCCTATTTTGCTTTCGTTTGAGCAGAACAGCGGCTTGTAGAAATGATGGAATACCATCTTTCTCGCCCTTGTTCTCTTCCATGCTCCACCTCGCAGCATTCTCTTCTCCGTATTTGTGTTCACTGAGGGTCGGCTTCCCTGAGAGCGTTGCTTTGAACTTGTGTGGCTTAGTGTACTCGACCTCCCAGTGGGTATCCGCGCTGATACCAGCAATGTCGTTTCCGGCCTTGAGTCCAGCTGCTGAGCCATACTTGGTGGCCTTGTTGTACTCCGTCTTATTCAACCAGTGCATACCGTTCGGCGCCACCATTGAGACCACAGGATCTTGTTGAGCCATTCTCCCTTTGTCGAAGAATTCCAGCGTCACCATCGCAGACTGGTACCGGCGTTTTTGTAGGCGGCTCTCGAAACGAAATTCGAATACCAAGAGCGTGGCCTGGTATAGTTCATCCTCTGGGTCGCATGGCACATGCATGGTGCCATGGTGCACCTCGGTGAGCTTGATTTTCATGCTCAAGGGGGAGGCCTCATTTGGTGTTTCCACGAATACCTGGCGAAATTCTTCCCCTGGTAGATTTGGTAAGTGGAAAGCGTTTTCACCCCCCTCAGGCCGAAGATCAAGTGTAATCTCGTCCATTATGACTTCATGGGCGCGGGCTGCTGGGAACCCTTGTTGCTGAACCTGTTGGAATCGGGATCATAGGTAGTTGAGATAGCATAATTTAAGTCTCAAAAGCTTGATCGGCTATATAGACGAGACACTTGCTGATCAGGAACCTTTCCTTTCGTGTTCGTCCTGCCAATCCTCTGCATTGTGCCAAAGCTGTGTCAATTGATCCCGTTCTACCTAAGAATAGCTGGCCCAGCTAGTGATAGTGGCTGCATTGAAATTGGGACATTGCATGATCCACGAATAGGAATTTCCGCTCCTCCACCCTCACGGGCCATGCATGCGACCCTGAAATCAGACCTGCCACTTTACTCAGCATGTCACTGGAACCTTCGTTCTGCTAACCTGAGAGGAACAAACACCCCCCCGCCCTACGAGCGAAGTCAATGGTGCATTTTTGATACTTCTTGGTCATCTTGCCATCACCTGGCTCTCAACCACATCCCGACTGTGCTCCAATGAAGGAAAGAAAAGGAGCAAATCTGGATTATCTCAAAAGAACTCTCTTTCGTGGTAATCTATTCTCTCGCATTGACCGATTGTTCTTGTGTGGCTCGTTGCGATGGCCAGAAAAGACTTGAAAGATCGCAAAGGCCAGACACTGGCGGCAAAGACCACACCTGAAGATGCCCGTCAAGATGCCAAAAACATCGATTTCAGTGATCCAGCTGCCTGCAAAAGCTTTGAGGAGAAGCATGAAGTACACCTGAATCAACAGCCCGACGACACAGCCGATCTCCAATCCTGGCAGCAAGTAGACCACGGTGTGCTGCATCTTGTGGCTCAACTGTCTGGACTGAGCGGGTACGAAGCTTTTGTTCGCTGGGCCATTGATCACCACAGGCAATTGTTGAGATGCAGAGGAGGCCAAGGAAGACTGACTCCGCTTCATTATGCAATTGCCGGGTCCAACCATGAGTTTGTTGGGCTAGTTTTGGAGATGGTTGCCGATATCAAAGACCTCCTCGACCTTGAGACAAAGGACAAAGAGACATGTCTCCATTACGCAATCATGCACAGAAGTCCGTTCACAGAAGAGATTATCAACAGGGCACTTAAAAGCTTTGACAAGCCTGGAGACTGCAATGATTCTACAAGGCATCCTGATGACTCCAGAGATGACGAGTTGCCTTCTGCCCGACCAGGGTGCGAGCACTACTTCACAGGGGCGGTCACTAACGGAGAATTTGAGGGCATGACAGCGCTCCATATTGCAGTTAGCTTGGATCTGAATAGCACCAACGACAAGGTGTTTGAGGATCTGGTTTCGCAATCTGCTCCAGTGAGCTCTGTCGTCAAGATCGCAAAAGAACACAAACAGGGCGGGACTCAGTCTCCCGTGAATCAACCCAACCAACTCTCGAACATCCAAAGCACAGCCCAGGTCACTTCAGCAATTGGTTCCAATATTCCACCCAACTTCAAGGCACCTCGACGGGTTTTGACCGGAGATCGCCCTCTTCAACCAAAGGCGGGTGATGTTGAGATACCAAAGAAAAATCTGGACCTGTTAAAGGCTGGAAAGAAGTTTGATCTCCGCAGAGTCGTCATAAAGCTTATTAACGCAAACCGCCGTGTCTTGGTTGAGTGTAGAGACGCGGAGGAGGAAACGCCATTCCAGGCACGCCTTACCGAGCTGATGAGACAGGCAACAAAGTCGTCTAAGTTAAATCCTGTCGAGAAAGAGAAATTGCGCCACAAGACAATAGAGAGTGACATTATTCTGTCCGACATGCGCACTTATATCATCGAACACTTCTACCGCAAAGACGCAATGACAGCATTGTACAAGGTCGGAAAGGGTAAGCTAGCCGGAATAATCATTCGCTCTTTTATGCCTGCGTAACACTCTTTACTGACCTTCCCCAGAACGAGTTCTTGAGTTCGACCTTTCGGGTCTTCCACATTCCACTATCGACTCAGAATTTCTGAAAGGCCTCCGGAAGGTTTTGCGTTTTGAGGGAATGCTAAAATATGTCGCTCTGCCACGCTTGTCGGTAGAAGTAGAGGGCGTCCATGACGGCGATGTTGGCAATACCGAGTACAGCCAAGCCACCAAACGGTGAGGCCCCTCGAGCCATTGGTTCATCAATGCCGCTAACAATCATACCAGCAAAGGAAATGGCCTACAAGACATGTGCACCATATTCAAGTGGCTCCGTACGTGCCATGTCACAAAGGTTTTGAAAGTAACAGTGGTAGACAATCAAGAACCGTCTCACTCGGACGAAGCGATTGAGACTTGTGTGCGCGGCCTCGACATTCGCTCGTGGAACTGGTATAAGTTCGATCTTTGTTCTGACGTTCTGGAATCTGCTGCTCCAAACCTCCAGGATGCGACACTGTACTCGTCGGGCAACAACGCCGTTCTCTTAGGATGGTCCAGTTCGGCAGGTTTGGCCAAGCTGCAAATGGTGAGTAAAATTGGACCTAGGGCGGCTCTGTGGAAATTTTGATGCTGATCTTTTGTCTTACAGCTCAAAAAGATACACGTCTTTGTCCAAGAGGTAACTATTTTTTAACCCATCGACGAGGCTGGATCTGGACTGACGGCAAGTCAAAGGGACTTGAACGACCTGAGAGACTTAAAAAGAACATGAAGACTTTTGGGGAACGGCTGCTCGAGCAGAAACCTGACATCAAATTCACATGGTCCCCTCACAAGCTTGATGAAGACCGTGACGCCATCTTTACGAATAGGGTGGCAGATAAATCAACGTTCGTGTCCACACGTCTATATCGATTCTCAGACGTCGATATTCAGGTTGTACATATTGCAATACTAACCATTCTTCTCGGCAGCGATTCGACTTGGATGAGGCCTCTGAAAAGCTTCGCCAGTTTCCTCCGATCCGATGTCTGCCCAGCGTCTCCAGTGCCAGATATCAAGATCGCCATCATAGACGACGGCATCGACACGACTCTGGACATCTTCTCAGGGAGAATACAGCTCGGAGATTCGTTTTACCAGCTTGGCGAGCTATCAGGCCGCCGGGGCGCCTACTATGTGCCATCAGGGGCGCACGGCACACTTATGGCGGCGCTGATCTGCGAGGTGCTACCCCCAGTCCGGCTATATATCGCGCAGCTGGAGGTCCTCCGAACGCAAGATGGCCGTCGTTCATTCACGGCTGAGTCTGCTACAGAGGTAGAACTACACGAGCCCCCGTATGCTTGACATTTGGCATGGCTGACCTAAACCACAGGCGATTGGGTGGGCAGTGGACCAGGGAGTCGACATCATTTCCATGAGCTGGTCGATCCGCACAGACGGAAACCTACCATTGCTGGATGCAGCGCTCAAAAGAGCAAGCGATGACAACATAGTCATGTTCTGCGCATCCATTGATGAAGGTTCAACCGCAAAGGACAACACTTATCCCGGAAAGCATCCAAGCTGCATCAAGATTGGAGCTTGCGATAGTGCTGGCCATAAGCTTTCATGGGTCTCGGAGGCTAACAGCCGTTTCTTCCTGCCTGGTGACGCTATGCAGCCAATATCAGAATCCGGATTCTGGTCTCGATCGCAGATGGGCTTGGCGGGAAGCTCTGTATCGACGGCTCTCGCGGCTGGCTTAGCTGGGTTGCTCTTGTATTGTGATCGACTAACTGACAGACCTAAAGTCCGTGCTCCGCTTGTTCTGGGCGGATTGGCGAAGTCCCTCGGCAGAGCTCAGGACGTGAAGGAAGTGGATGATCTTCGATGGCCGAATAATATGATTCAAGTATTTACCGAGCTCGCCAGAGGATCAGAGGCAAACAAGGTCCCTCAACTATGGGATTACCTCCCAAAATCGGATGAGTTGAAGTGGGAGAAGGGAGAACAAAACCTGGAGACCAAGAAACTTCTACGAGAGTTGATGGATAGATTACGGAAGTGAGACGATCTTTGGACATTTGGTATTTACTGCTTTTGAGGAATTCAACTACTCGTTCATTGCACTGTGCTGTACTGTGATATTGATAAAACACAGCCAGTATTGATCTGGAAACTACTCCCAACGGCATCTCTCCACTACGTGACTATGTATGCAAAAATGGCTATCCAAGAATGAAACGGCATCTTAGGCTGCAAGCCACACCCAGAGCCTATCTCCGAACCGCAAAGTCATAATGCGCCGTCAGAGCCAATCCCCAAGGTGTCTTGCCCGTCTCAAGCGGGTCATCGCCCATCAAGTCGATGGGAAACCCAACATCAAAGTCCTGGAAGCTCTCAATGGTCTTGATCTGCTCCTCTGTCAACTTGATCTTGAGCGCCGCGATGTTCTGCTCCAGGTGCTCCACCTTGCGCCCGCCCACGATGGGGATGACGTGCCGCGCCTTATGCCGCACGTATGCCAGCGCGACCTGCTGGACACTCTCGGCGCCCACCTCGGCGGCAACCTTCTCGAGGACCTCGCTGGCCTTCCGCTCGGTCTCAGTCTGGCCCGCCGCCCAGAAGGACCGTAGCCCTTCGCCAGCGCGGTCCTTGGCCTCGAGCTGCGCGCGCGACTGCAGGCGGCCGCCGCCGACCACATCCCAGGGCACGAGGCTCATGCCAAAGTGGTTGGCCATGTTGATGATCTCGCGCTCAAAGTCGCGCCTCATGACGTTCCACCGGCCCTGGTAGACCGAGAAGGGCGTCTTGCCGCGCTCGCGGGCGTACGTGTTGGCCGCGGCGACGAACCAGGCCGGCATGTCGGACGCGCCGAGGTAGAGGACCTTGCCCTGCTCGACGAGGACGTGCAGGCCGTCCATGAGCTCCTCGACCGAGGTGAGCCAGTCCCACCAGTGGACGTAGAGGAGGTCGATATAGGTGGTCCTGAGCTTCCTGAGCGAGGCGTCCACGGACAGGAACATGGACTTGCGGTGGTTGCCATTGTACATGACGGTCCGACCCTTGCCGAGCTCCCAGGCGCGGTAGTTGCTACTGAACTTCGTGGCCAGGACGACGAGGTCGCGGTTGCCGCGGGCCTCCATCCAGCTACCGATGAGCTTCTCCGACTCTTCGTCTTGATAGTTGCTGGCGGTGTCGATGAAGTTGCCACCAGCATCCACGAAGGCATCAAGGATCTTGTACGCCTGCTCCTGGTCTACAGAGCCCATAAACTCGCTATGAGCAGTCCCTAGACTCATGCCACCTAGGCATAGAGGTGAGACGGGGATGCTCGCGGATTTGGCTAGGATCCTGTACCGTCCAAGCTCAGTCTTGGGCTCGGGAGCGGGCACAAGCTCGTGATGAACTTTGGTGGGATTTTTTGACGCCATTGCTGGGGTGCTGTGAAGGCTTGTTTAATGAGAGAGGGTGAATTGGAAGTTTTGTCTTCCGTTAATGTTGTGTGATTTGGGCCAGTGACTCGAACAGAGGAGCTTTCCCTTTTATTTATAGAGCTGGTATTCGGAGTTGCCGGACCCTGCTTAGCAAATGCACAGGATTCCGGACTGAAGACATTGTCCGATCATTTTGTCTCGAAGGTTTGCGGTTCAATTATTTGGCCGTTCTTCTCCGCTGCGTTGGTGCGCGGCGGTGTTTTGGTGTTCGTTGAAAATGTCTAACATTGGGACATGGCTCTTTGTGCCGAATTGAATTGCTCGAAACATATATTCTACATGGACGGGACATTCTTACTCCGAAAAAGTGACCTGAACTGCAGACAAAGGGTACGACTTTGATGCACAACACTCGCAAATGAGCCTTCCTTTGTGTCTCTTCAATGTGTTGGGTTGCTGGCGGACTTGACTAGCGGACTTGGCGGCGTTGCGGAGTTCTCAACTTCGGCAAAGGACGAGATCCCCGACTATGGAACTGATGATAGGTAGGGCGGGATAGACTTCGGAAACGCTGATGGCACGAGCTACCTAATTTCTCAGATTGATAACCGATAGACCTCCACATATCGGGGCCTCGTCCAGGATGTGTTTTCCTAAGTGACGTAGTGGTGTGGGTGCTAGGGCAATCACCCACCCCGACGATAACCGGGGACGCGACACGCGCGGATCAGTTGTCGAGATAAAACGAGTTTCAGTCACATCTGGCAATCCTCAAATCTCATGAAAGAGTCATTCAACGGATAAAACACCATCGGCAATGTCACCCTCAGCCAACCAGTCAGCAGCAGAGCGCCTGCGGGCGCGCAAGCCCGTGCCCGCGCCGGTGCCGGCCTACCTGCCGAAAGCCGGATCTCCGCTGACCGTCGACACCGCCCTTTACGACAGGGCTCAGCAGGCACCTCGCGTGCTCATAGAAGAATTCACACTGCCGATCCGGTCCGGCAGAGCATGGAAGGCGCCCGCCGGGTCCATCGTGCGCATCAGCACCCCCGAGGGGCCGCAAGTCGGTAAGCAAAGCCGAAAACACTCAGTGATCCCCGCACATGCCTTGAGACCCAGCTCGCTCCGTGTAACCGACCCCGACTGAGCATGGGCGAATATGAGGAACGATGTAGGCGACCTGAACATCTGGAACGCGCACAACCCGCGCGAGCGCTTCTGGGCCAGCCGCACGCGGCAGCTCTACGCCTCGCACGTCTCGACGCACGACCGCCTCTGGTCCTGCCTACCCTACATGCGCCCCCTGGCCACCATTATCGCCGACACACTGCGCTGGTACGGCCAGGACGAGCGCGGCGGCCGCGCGCACGACCTGCTGGGCACGCGGTGCGACCCTTACATCGCGCAGGTGCTCGGCGGCAACGGGTACGACTTCCACTGCCACTCGAACCTCGTGCGCGCCGTGTCCAGGTTCGGCCTGCTCGAGAGCGACGTGCACGACGTGATCAACCTGTTCCAGGTGACGGGGCTGGACGAGAAGGGGAGGTACTACATGAGCCCCTGCCCGGCGGAGAAGGGGGACTACATCGAGTTTCTCGCAGAGCAGGACCTGCTTATGGCGTTGAGTAAGTCCGGAACGAGAATATTCAGTGGGTCTGCATAATAGGGGCTAATGGGGACGATGACAGGCACTTGTCCCGGCGGTGATCTTTCGCTCTGGGGTTTCGGAGCTGACAGCGAGAAGGAGATGGAGAAGTGCTGCCGCCCTCTCAAGGTCGAGGTCTTTAGGCTCGAAGACCCGTCACTGCTGGAGAAAGGGGGATGGAAGCCCGCGGATGTTTCTGGGTATAAGGGGATGCATGGTGTGGCTGTGGTCGAGGGCGAGCCCGAGAAGAAGAGGATGGAGGCGGAGGCTCGTTCATGATCTCCTCTTGGAGCATGGACGAGGTTGCAAAGTCCACCAGGCAGGCGTGAAAGTTGCATGACCGCGAAACTCGACTAGCTCCAGAGTGTATTAGCCCGGTACAAGCATGGACAACCAGGTGCCGATACCGGGCCGAAGAAACAATACAATCCAGCTCACATACTGTGCACCTGTGTACCTTCTATCGAGCCTTGTCGTCCTTTCTCGATCGCCCAGATAAGATTGTCCAAATAGCAAGATAGCAAGCAAGGAGAAATAATTCTAATCGTGACAACGAGCGGAGATGATCTACGCACTAAGCACAAGCCACTGGGCGAGACTGCTTGACCGCCGCTAGTCTCGAAAGTACGCTATGATCCGGGTACCAAAAGCCTCAATTCTGGATGCAGTAGTCAGGGAAATGGGGCTGTGGAATGCAATCCACTAACTAGGTGACATCTGCTCCCGAACAGCCTTCCATCCGAGATGTTGAGCTAGACAGACGGTTGACCACCGCGAAGTTATGCCTCTCAACATCATTCGCGGAACAGTAGGAAACACTGCTCATGCTCGACCTCAAATTCAATATCTTCATGAACGCCAGCGATGGCAAGTCTTTTTTCACAGCGACAGAGCACAACTACACCCGCGAGTTGACGCACTGCCTCTGCAGCCTTTCATACCTAGATCAGGCATCAGCTTCACTCGCTATGTATGTGACCGGAGACGAGGATTCAAGTAGCTTGCAGTTCGGTGAAGTTCCGCTCACCGGAGCTGATTTAAGGTTTGAAAGATCATTTGACGCAGTGCGTGTATCAGGGGATAAGCTGTCGGCATGATTGGGTCAGCCAAGGCAATTGTCCCTAAGGATTTTGAGCAAGAATCATTTAGTTCGAACCCCCGTCACTGCCGGTAGAGGAGCACAAAGAGGGCCCGCCGCTTGGCAAACCAACTAATTACACGCGTCAGCCGTCGAATCTTTCCTCAATACCAGCTGCCCATTGAGCTCTCAAGCACTGGCAATGTTGATGAATAGTTGCTTCTCTTTTTGGAGATTTCAACTTCAAAGACAACACCAACCATGAAGCACTTCGGAAACGAGATGATTCGTCAATCAGTTTAAGACCTACGAAGCACAGTCTGGACACAGCATACAGGGCTAGGGAACAAAAGAACGACCTCATGCCGGGGCGCTGTTCCTGCATCTGGTGCCGCTCCCGTGTTTGGGCTGCATACCTGCCGGCTTTAGAGAGGTACACTACTTTGTAGGTCAAGCTTATTGACCCACAGACACGAATAATTAGCAACGGCAAAAGGCCTTACTCCGTACTCTGCAGGAGCGGCACCTGGGCTACTTTGTTCGCCACTCATGCTGAACACGAGTTGAGCTGGTGCTGTCTGTTGGCGGGGGTGGTGGGGGCCAGAATATTGGGTAGAAAACCTTGCATGGAGAGAGGCCAAAGCACCATCCGGACAAGGGGACTAAGACATAAAGGTCCTTTCGGAGCCACTTGCCGAGAAGAATAAACACGCATGAGTGGTGGGAGATCATCAAAACTGGGCCCTGAGAGTTGGGAGAACCGACATCGGGGCAGGGTTTGATTGTGTGGCACCAGGGGTTGGATCTAATCAATCAGCTCCATGAGCACAGAGATTGAGGATGTGTGTGAAGATGCTCCACCGAAGGCGCTTCATTTTCTTACGTATTGGGCGGCATCACAGGGGAGAAGGCCTCGAAGCCCTCTCGCTTAAAAGTCTTCAGGTCCTGGCTTGTTTTGATGAATGGGTCCGGCCAAGAAAGAGACTCTACCCGAGGTAGCTGGACACCAGACTCTGCAAGTCGCTGTGTCGACTTCTGAGCGTCGAGGCCAAGAAGGTGGAGTGGAGACGGAGCAGGGATGTCGATGAAAAACACCATTGATTATCAGATTATCAGACGATCTGATAACTCTAAAGCTACCACGCCAGACCCCGGTCGCTCCCGAGCTGGTGTAGCTGAGAGCGTGTTAGCGCCAACAACCCGCCCACGCCGGCCATGCCCCGAACGGCCTACTGCGTGAATTTCCATCACCAACAGACACTCTGCTCGCTACGCAGATGCCTGCTCTCCCTGCAAGCCACTCCGGGCTAGCCACACGTCCGGCGAGGCACCAACACTCTCACAGTCCCATCGTGTGGAGACGCCAGGCTCATTCTGGCCTCAATAGCCCGGATCTGTTCGGATGTCCTTGGTCGCAGCTGAAGGTGCTTGGTTGCTTAAAAAGAGGCATTTGCAACGGCCAGCCCGTCCCGTCTTGGGTTCCTCTTTTCCTCTGTTCCTCCTCTCTATTCCTCAGCCTCCAGTCTTCCCAAAAGTCGTCTTAATCTGCTGCCTGCTGTTCGCAAACACCTGACACTCGTTCAGTCCCTTCCCAACGCAACAACACAACACACTCGCTCTTTGCCAGTTTAACCCGTTCAATCCAAAGATGAAGACCGCTGCTACCGTCGTCGGCGTCCTGTCCATGGCCTCCATGGCCCTGGCCATCCCCCAGTGCGCCATCAGCTGCTTCCAGAAGGTCGTCACCGAGCACCCGCCCCTCGACTGCAAGGAGAAGGACATGTACCACTGCTTCTGCAAGATGCCCTCCCTGCAGAACTACTTCTACCAGTGCGCCACCGGCGGCGGCTGCCCTGACGCCGCCTCCGGCCAGGAGGCCATCGGCTTCGGCGTCAACCTATGCAGCGAGCTCGGCCTGCCCATCACTCCCCCCGGCGGCAGCACTTCTGTGAGTCCCTCCTTGATAGGCTGATGCTACTTGGCTTTGGGCTGACTGTGTGTGTTCAATCAATCAGGCTGCTCCCAGCTCCACCGCTGCCCCCACCACCGCTCCTACCAGCAACGCCCAGCCCACCACCAGCGCCCAGCCTTCGGCTTCTCAGTCTTCTCCGGCCGCCCAGAGCTCCGCTCAGAGCTCGGCCGCCCAGTCCTCGGCCGCTTCCAGCCGCGCCTCCAGCGCCGCCTCTTCCAGCGCCGCCGCTCCCTCCAGCTCCAGCTCCGCCAAGCCCAGCACCACTGCTGCCTCCACCTCGGGCGCCGCCAGCAAGACTGGTTCCGGCTCCGGCTCCAAGACCTCCTCTTCCTCCTTCGCCACCGTCACCAGCCAGGCCAACGCCGTCGGCCACGCCGGCAGCATGATGGCCGCCGCCGGTGCCGTCGCTGCTGCCTTCCAGCTCCTGTAAGCTTTTGGCTCATGCGTCTCCTAGAAGATTGTGCCAGATATGAGCTGCGGGGGTTGTTCAACGAGTTGGCCGAGGGGAGTTTCTAATGTATACTTCTTAATGTAACTGCACATGGCTTGTAGGATAACTCCATTTCCGTTCCGGGGTTTGATCAATCGTGGAATCTCAGAATGTAGGAACGGAGACCAGCAGCAGAGTGCTACTTTTGTACATGTTTCTTTTGACCCGATGCCAAACCTCGATTGCGCGCAGATGCCGAGGTACATTGGGTATTCTAGAATAGTCCTTGGCGACGAAAAGTAATAATTTGGAAGTTTTAGTTGCCTCTCATTGCCAATCTGGAAAGTGCATTTGTCCGGTGTCACATCCTGACAGATTCCTGTTTGTCACCCTCCTTTCTCCCAGCGGCCGTGACTGAATATGCGCCTCCATGTGTCGGTCCTCAGGCTGCATTCTCCCTCTCTTTGAGAGCCGCCTCGAGATCAATCACCCGGGATTCTAGAAATAGGATCCGAGCATCGAGCATCGCGATGCGGTCGTTGGTGTGGCCATAGGCGTCTGACGAGGCCTTGATAAGCGTGTCGATCTTTTCGTCAACTTGGCGATTTCGCTTGATAACGTCCTAGTCGGTTGAGAGCAATTAGTACTTGTGAAACGGAAAAGGGGGCATTTCTCCTTCCCAACCTTCTTGGCCCGGCGAATTACTCCCCTAATCGAGAAGGGAATCCTCGGAAGTGCGTCACCCAAATTGACGTTACTCTCGAGGCCAGTCGCTTCAGCCTCACCTGGTGGGCCCGGGATATCAACAGGTGGCACAGTGATGTTGTCGCTTCCATTTTGACTCGGCGAGGTGCCATTCTGTGGCCCCGAGGGAGCAGGATCCAGGCTAGGCTCTCGGTTACAATGCAATGGACTCTGGGGAAAGTTATTCGATTCCCCATTGATGTTCATATGAGGTTGTGGATTGGGGTATTCGTTGTAGCCGTGGGCATTCTCCTGAGCTGAGTTGGATGCGAGATAGTTGATGGGCATGGGCATGGGCATGGGCATGGACATGGGCATGGGCTGTAGCTGCGGTGGTGGTGGTATGGGAGGTGGTGACAGCATAACTTCTGGGTGCCCGTAGTACGGGCCGGGAGGGTGAGCATAAGGATGGTTGTGGAGGTAAACTTGAGGCATAGGGCTGAACGGCATGTAACCTGAGGGAATCTGTTGGGGTTCGGGATGACCGTGATGCGTTGTCCCGACGTCCGGGTCATCTGCCCGGGCTCCTGTCTGCTGCCATACAGTTAGCGATAAATATTTTCTACCCTGGCATTCTCCTCTTCTCTAGGTACGCAGCTTCGCCGAGTACTTCGTAGTAATTCCAAAGACCAGTATGACGAACCTCGGTTTTGCGCGCCTTGCGGGGCAGGTTGCCCTTTTTCCCGGGAGACTTTCTCTTCTGGTTGCCCATGGTCTCTGACTGAATATCTTGACAGCGTCTGTTTTGAGAGCCAAACGAAGCAGAAGTTTGGTAACATGTGAAATGGACTTCCAAGAGTCAAGGACGCATTATATGTGTTTTGCAAGCACTGTGTTGATACGCTTTGAGTTTGTTGAAGAAAGCGCCTGTTCACTGTTGGCGGGCCACCATCAGGTTGTTTTGCAAGCCTCAAACGAGCAATTGAGACCATGAAGTGACTGGGACTGTGCACTAAAGCCAGAGCATTGTCACTGGTCTATGCTGATGAGTGTGTTCGACTGACATTGTTGGAAAAGTGGGGCGCCAGGCTTCCACCTCATTCACTCTTCTTCGATTGATCTCTGAACAATAGGCCACGCGACCCAAACAACAATGTCCTCATTAACTTGAGAGTTTAGCCGAAATCAAACAGAAGATTAACCGAGCCCACAAGCGTCTGTGACCCGCCTTTGACGGGAATAAATAGATGGCTCGCCCTCCACCTTCAGCAACTTCCTCCTTCTCTCTTCCCACAACTCCATCATCAGCCCGGCTCATCAGCCCACCTCTGGTTGATGAGTCTTTATCAAATTCTTCCCGCGCCTCCGTCTTCTCCAGAGCATCTCGTCCTTTAGACCCCTCACTCGGACGACTGATCGTCCGCCCGGTATGTTTTCTCACCTGCTATCCCTCGGCCAGCTACAACTCATCCCGGATTCAACATGAGCTCCGACAACCGCCAAAAGTACGGCCCGCATGGCCGGTCAGCTCAGAGTGCGACACCGTATCCCAGAGAAGGGTACCAGGTAAGCTACCCACCGGACCCCCATATCCTCTGGGCTCTCAGAGCGACCAGCACAGGTGCTTGCGCCTTGACCTGGTCTGCACCCAAGTGGTGTGCGCGGGTGAGCCTGTGAAAAGCCCAAGCCTGTTTGAGAGGCCTCTTCAGATCCACGTCTGTTTAGGTTGTGCTGGGCGTCTGCTTGTGACGATTCGATTGCGAAACTCCATGGCGCAAGCCTTGAGACCTCGCATCCTCGGACTCTTGCTGCGCAGTTGGACTCACTCTTCTCTCTCTCTTTTCTTCTATTCCAACCTTCACCGCGCTCCCCAGGCGCGAGGTTTACTCCCTGGTGCGAGAGAGTCAGGCAGCCCGGCTTCCTGTGCCGTTCTTACACGGACAGGAAGTGAAGCAGATTGTATAGCTGTGGGGATATGCGAAGAGGTCTGGAGCTACGTTCGTCACCTTGCTCACGCGGTGCGATCTCCAGCAGTCGCGGCTTCACTGACTGCATTGCCTTGCGGGGTACTGTATGCGGGCCAAGTGGCTCTTCATGGAATCGACTGGACATTGACAAAGTCTTCCGTCTCTTGTTTTTGTTCTTCTGCAGCTTGCCAGTGAAATTCGTTTTTCGCTGACTGAGAACAGGTCCCACAGATTGCACGCCCGTCCGGAAGCTGGTACTCCCCCGCGGCTCCAACCTATACCCAGAACAACCCGTCCTACGGCTATCCGCACCCGAATGTTCAGCCGTACCCGACTTACCAGAGCAACCCGTCCTACGGCTATCCGGGCCCCAATGTTCCGCCGTACCCGACTTACCAGAACTTCTCCCCCTCGCAGACAGGACAGACTGGCTAGCAGCGGTCAAACCTGTCTGCAAGTGCTGCAGAGTTCGTCCCTAACCAACCTCACCACGGCGCAGGCGGCGGCCAGGACTTTTCCCAGAGGCAGAAGCATTCTCTCGCCGTAGTAGGTACCTGTCCTCACTGTTCTTTGGGCAACTTACTAACCATCTATCAAATAAAAGCACAAGGTCCGTCAGCACCAGGAGTCCGATGACAAGAGTGACCAAATGCGCGATTTCGACCGCAGGCTCAAAGAGATGGAGAGGTCCCATAAGCAGGACAAGGACGACAACAAGGTCTCTTTTGCCGTGGTTTGGGAAAAGTTGGAGCAGCATGACAAGGCCGTAAGCTTCCTCGAACCGGCACTTGTCGAGAAGATCTTCAGCCTGATTCCGGCCACTAAGAAGGAAGAGTCCAAGACCAACACACTTCCTAAGCCGCCATCGCGCAAGCGCGCCCGGACCGAGGAGTGAGAGGTCTTCAGGGAGCACACCCCGGTGTCCGGGGTGGCCTTGTTACAGTGGTGCGGCAACTGGCCGAGGGTGCTTGGAGGCTAGTCTTTGAGGATCAGGAAGCGGCCTTTTCACGCCAATTGAAGGTAGATGACTGGCTTGGGACTGAGTATTGAGTAGCGGAAATGAATTTATCTCGGGTAGGCACAATGTCTGCTTTCTGTGACATCTTCCAATATCTGTCGCTGTCATGTGTATCCTGTTCCAAGAGAATAATAACAACTTGACACAATGGCTTTTGCTCGTTGACAAGCTGGCCATGCATCGTTCCATGCTACTGCTGGCCTGCCCACGGACCCGTTATGTTGGTATATCTACGCGATTCACAAAAGCGGTTCTTCGACCTTTCCACGATATATTTTGGCCGGGGCCCGGCGGGCACGATCACATAAATGCAAGCGGCTTCAGTATTTGTGAGCGCAATCCTTCACGATGGATGAGGCGTCTCTCCCAGGCACATAACGAAGAGTCACGTCAATGTTGGCAAGACTGCCAACCGTGTAAGTATTGAAAAGTTTGTGCTGTCCTTTTAAATTGGTTATGATTTGGCTGAACCCAAACAGCCAGCAGGCTAGCTTTATTGCGACTCCTCGAAGTCTTGCTCGCCATGGTTCTTGTCCGCAGAAGCCGCATTCTCCAATTGCTCGACTCGGGCTTCCAGGCGGCGAAACCGCCTACTGAAGTCCATGTGGGACCTCAAGGCATCGTGTCGCAATGCATCGATAAGGTCCTGGAGGATGCCGAGCTTATGGTGTAGCAGAGCACAACTACCTCTGAGTTCCTTGTGTCCCCGAAAAATTAGCATTTGGCAAGCGATCACCCTGATATTGAGTATACATACCTTTGAGACTCTGCGAACGGCGTCTGGGTTGGCTCGCTTGGACGGTTTTGCTTCAGTTGCTTCTTGCTCTGCCTGAGAAGCAGGAACCGATTCCTTTAGGGCCTTCGGCTTGGTGGCAGTGGGCTTTGCTCGCACAGATTTTGCTTTTCCAGTGACATGGGAACCGTCATCTCCTTTCTGAACGCAGATAATTAGCGTCCTTCTGCCTAAAGATGGGGTGTTCTTATTTTCAAAGAGATCGGAATGATGGATTTGTTCTCATACCTGGATCTTGAGAGCCTTGTTAGGGCCTTTGTCCTTCCTTCCTCGCTTGCGTTTACCACGAGATGCCATGATGTGATGCAGGAGTCTTGCCGATTTTGATGATTTTCGAAGTCTGGTAGGATCTGGATTTTATTTGTCGTGCTCGAAAGAAAAAGTCTGTGGACCAGACTGGTGACAAGATTCGATTTATTGCTTGAAATTTCAGGACAGCTGCTGCCCGTGTCATTGCACAGCTACGCAAACAACTCTCCAGATTTCTTTATCAGCCGCAGATGGATGCCTAAGCTCCCTGCACGCGCTCGGACCAGTAAGTAAATTCTTTGTCGCAGAAGCTGTCAGTCAAAGCAAAGCCTTATTGCCTCATTCATTCTGGCATCAACTGGCTCCACTTTTCCAACTTCAATTCACTTCATCCCATCTTTCACAGCGTCGACCACCTTTTGACAGCCAGAAACTTCCAGTGAATGCTCGAAGATTTATCGGCAGAATGATCCAAAAGGGGAAATCTAGCGAGCCTGCAAACACCCACACCGCCTTTAGGATTCTATTTAAACGCCAGCTTTCCCCTCCACTCCTCCCAATCTCTTCCTCCATCCAACACACTCCACCAGGTCTTCCACAGACTCGACTCCCAGCTCCCCTGCACAACTTGCCTTCTTTGGCTTCTATTCCTGTTGACGACAATCTACTAGTTTCTTCTCCCAATACTTTTCACCCTTTACTTCTCTTTCTTCCCTGGCCTTCCTCCCTTTCGCACATATTTCCCCTTCCGCCTCTCCACAGCTCCAGACTTCCTCCGGCACCTCCCACTCATCGCAAGATCGACTTTCTCACCCTCCCTCTTCATCCTTACTTCTCATTTTGCTCTGCTCACTATCATCATCCTCGTCTCACATTCGCCTTCCACCGCACCCTGCCTTAAAGAGCACCGCTTCCTCCTCACCTTGACCACCACATTTATCTGGTTCTTCTTGGTACCATCTAAAAACCTCGCCATAGACTCACCATGGCACCCAATAACAAGGGAAACGGACGCTATCGGCATCGGCAAGAAGCCGCGAGGAGGCGCGAAACTCAAAAGAACGAGGCCAATGACAATGAGGTAAGCCACTCTCCAGATCCCCATATCTTTTGAGTGCTCAGTCTTTGCTTTGCATCATGGAGTCCAACCCTCCATGCTTGCAATGCAACGCGCAGTCCAATCCTGCGTGCTTTTTCAGTCAGAGACGAGAGCCTGTGAAATGGCTGGTGATGCGAGGTTTCCATGGGCGTTTTCTCGTCCATGGATTCAGCCAGTCAACTGCTCTGTGGCAACCTATACGCGAGTTCCAGACTCGCAAACTCTGGTGATACGGGAGCGGGTTGCTCGCCGACAGTTGGGCTCTTGTCTCCTTCATTGCGACCAATTTCTTCCTTTCCACCGGCCGGCGGGATCGCGGGCTGCCCCTTGTCGACACCCCGCATGGTTTCTGGGTATGGGTCATGGACGAAAGTCCTAGGATCCTCTGGATGCGGAGGCACAATGAGTAAAGACCCGACGTTCGGTCATTATCGCACGATGACCGTCTGCATGCAGATCGTATATACTGAAGAATCAGTATGCGTTGCACTAAAACGGGGGCGCTGCTCGTGTCTTGTGGAATTGGAGGTTCTTGGGACCTGCATGAAGTTTCTCTGTTTTTTTCTGGAATGGCCCAGCCATTCAACGCTTACCAGCGAGGTTTCCCTCCCGCTGACTGAGAACAGGTGCAACGACCGAATCAATGCACTGCAGGAGTCGGCAGAGGCATATATTGTGTCATGGCTTGAAGTGGCAAATGAGTTGGCGATACACGCCAAGCGCGTGACAATACTCCAGGTACGTCGCTCCTCCCATAAAGTCGCGGTGAGTGCTAACCACTAGCTACAGCGTGATGCGATATTCGCGAGAAGGCTCTGGGGCATCCCGGATAGGCCGGTGGAGGACTGGACTCGGCCCGGTGGCGGTAAGCGCATGTCGCAGTATCTTAGGAGGCCCCACCCTGAGTCATTATCAGATCCGACGATCGATGAAGACTCCCCTCCAGCTTCCTGATGGGGAGGTATCCTACCCTGTCAAGGATATCCCTCCTGTCGAAACTACCTAGGCAGTCTTGAGGAGCTTATGTTCACGGAGAAGAAAACCCGAGACGCCGTCGCCGCCGTCACAGACCAGAATATCGCCAAGATCGTGTTCATTCTCCCTTAGGTTTGCAAGAGAGATTATGACGAGATCCATGTTTTTTCCTTGGGATATGCCCTGCTCAACCTATGGAATCCAGACTTTCAAACTCCTAGAATCATACACGTGCAAGCTACCCATGTGTCACATCATTCCCCGCTTCCATTATTTCCATCCGCCGTCGTTGTGCATCAGTAGTCCCTCCGTCAATCAACCTGCGCTCCGGGAGATACCACTAACGATGACAACTCAGTGCACAGTCCAATGCTTCCAACGCCACTAAGCCAACCACGCCCGCCAACTAACCACTTTGGCCGCTCCTCCTATACCGGTAGGCTCACCGCCTGGTACTCGGCAGTCCAAAGACATAGATACCAGTGGCTCGCCTAGTGTAACTGGCCATGCCGCCACCCAGACTGGTTCCCTACTCAACGTCCAGGAAGTGCAGTTCATCCGACACCAAAACCATGGACCTGGTTCACGGGGTCGGACAGTTGACTTTCAAAGTGATAACTCCTGTCTAAACCGCGATTTTGGCCTTGTGTCACAGTCTAGCTCACCGTGAGAAGAACGAGGATGGGTTCCACGTGGTGCTATCTGCGAGTTGGGGTCCAGCTGGGAGAGTAAGACACGAGAAATTCTGGGAAGTAAATGTGCTATTATCCATAGACAGTATGACAGCATTAAGTAGGAGAGATCAAGAATTCGTAGTTTATTTTCGCAGAACTAAAATTAACAGGAAGGGATCGAATTCTTGTAAACAGGAAGGAATCTTCCAAGGTCTGTGACAATCTACAGCGAGACAAAACGTTGTTCTGCCGAAAGGGGTTTGATGTTGGGCAGTCCAACTTCATATGCAATGCACAAAGGCAATGCCGTTACTGTTATTAGGGCTACGACTCCGAGAACGGCCACAGAATTTAACATGGTGCCTAATGCTAACTGGTCTAAAAGGTGTGTCCAGCCATCGGGAAAGCTCTGTTGTGCGCTGTTCGCCCATTCCTCCCGACACTGGTAAAAGAGGACCAATCTGGTCAATCAAATGGTATCAACGGTATCATTTGGAAGCATTTACATACGCGCGACATGATTCGTGATGTCTGATGTCCTTGCCTTTTCTTTGTTCCTTGACAAGTTGCATATGAAGGAACTTGTCGGATACTTCAACAGCGCTGATGGTGCTAAGTGTTGATGCTGCGCGAAAGAAGTTAGGCACCGCAAGACGTCCGGGGTTACCTTCTTCAGGCGGTAGACTAATTACTCAATGAATGACGTCCGAGTCAAGTCATCACAACGCATGAACAAAAGCAGAATCAGAAAGTTGCTCGGTGCATTCTGTTTGGGGATCTGAGCTGGAACATTATCAATTTCGTCAGAGAGAAACATTGCTCCTTCTGGTTCGGCCCTCTTGACGTTCAGAAAGGAATCCTCTACGATTTTGGACCCCGCATTTATCATACCATCCTGTTCATCGGTATCACATCCGTGATGTTACCCCTGATAAGGCTGACGACACTGAAGACTCTGACGTATCGAATGCACCTGATGGTTCCGATGCATTTGCTGAGGAGGACGATGGTCCTGGAGAGCAAGCAGAATGCAGGTGCAAGGGTACGTGAGTCCCTGCTTGTGTTGTCAGTTCTTCTCCCCTCTGGCAATGCGTGTAGTTTGCACCATATCACCTAATTCATGTATCAGATACCAGGAGCCTCTTGTAGATTATCCTCTTGTAGATTATCTTCTAGACACAAACAGAAGAACTAGACACTGTACCACACAACCTTTTCCCACACTTCAGTAGTTGACTGAGCCACTGTGGCGCTTTCTTGGGGGGAGGCCCCGGTTATCGTGTTTATCTACGGCCGCCTTGACCATCTCCGGCAAGGCGTCGAGAACATCTCCACGAAGTCTCTGAAAGTGTTTGCGTATTTCCTTTTCGTCATCCATGTGGCGAATGAACGCATCCGCGCCCAGGCCCCTGATAACCGCTCGCTGCGTGCGGTGCTCCCGGAACATGGCCTCCTTATCTTTCTCAACAGCCTTTGCCAGATCCCTTTGAGACACTTTGAGTTTCTCCATTTCCGCATGCATTTCCTTCCGCCATTCCAAAACATCTTTTTCGAGGCGTGATATCGGTGCCTACAGTGTCGTTAGTGGAGGAGACCTCTGCATGTACAAAATGGGCACACTTACGGTGGACTCTTTCTTCTCCTGAGTAGGAGCGGCAGGGGAACTCTCGGGAGGGAGTTTCAAAGACGTGATCTCATTTGGCAGCTCCTAGCTTGGCAAGGTGTCGATTTTGCTAAGGGCACCGGGGGGCACTCGTGAATGCGCAAGCTCGTTCAGGTGTCTCGATGAAGCGGAGGGGAGGGGAATCCGGGACTTCCTGCTGCGCGGAGGGGGCGGTAGAGGCGGTCGGGGCGGCAGGGGCAGACCATCGGGAATAGAACGAGGAACCTGTTCTCAGTCAGTGGGGGGAAACCTCACTGGTAAGCTGTGCACGGCTGGGCCGTCCAAGATAAAGAGCTCATGCGTAGCTCAAATTCACAAATGCCTGAAACCCTCTGATGTTCCCCGTGAAGCGTCGCAAGCGGGTGGTATGCAGCCGTCAAAGACGAGAGTTATTGCACCAGTTCCCCCCTTATACTTTCGCTTGCCAGCGACCCTCGAGAGGAGGTCGGAAGCCAGGCCTCGGGTTTCAAGAGCATGAGGTCGCCGAAGCGCCCACATGCGGCGGCAAGTGTGAAAGTGATCGCGATAAGGCGACAAGAGCCCAACTGCTAGGCATCCAGCCCCTGTGTCACCAGGGTTTGCGTGTTTGCCACTCGCATATTGGATGCCCACCAGGGATGACAGGTATCGTCCAAATGCGCCGAAACACAAGTTGGAGTTCTCGAGATACCAGGCGTTTCACAGGCTCTCCTCAGCAAAGAACGACGACGCAGAATTGGACTGCGAGGTGCAGTTCAAAGGACCTGAGCACTCACGAGATATGGGAGTCTTGAGAGTGTGCTTACCTGATCATATCCCTGTTGGGGTTGGTTGGGATAACCTGGCGCATGGCCCTGCTGCTGGCTTTGCTGGTTCATGACGATTCTGAAACACAGTCTGGTCAGGTCTGGTGCGTGAGGCCGAAGCGAAGTGGGAATGTGGTGAGCTGGAAGATAGGAGGGACGAAGAGAAGGAATGAACAAGGATGAGTTTGAGGTGAGAGGTGAGAGGTGGAATGTGGGAGCCTATGAAAAAGGAAGAGGGATGAAGTTGAGGTGAGAGAAGAAAGCAGGGGAAGGGGAGATGATGAAGGACTTGGAGACTTACCAAGTGATGATGGAAATGATCAGCTCGAAGTCAACCAGAAGCAAGTTGCAGGTTCGAAGAAGTGTGGTCTTCTGATGGCGGAGGGTAAGTGATGTTGTTTGGGAGAGGAATGGAGCGAGAAGAGGGAGGAGAAGGGGGTTTATATAGAACCCCAAGGCGGTGTTGGAGTTTGCAGGCTCGCCAAATTTCCCCCTTTGGGTTATTCTGCCAGCGGGTGCCGGTAGATTGTCGGGGATTTGAGGTGAAAGGTCGGTACATCTTCGGAAGCTCAAAGTCAAGTCAAAGGCCGGTAAATCGTCGGAAGCTTGAACAAGTGAATCATTGTGTGATTGGGATCAAGTGATTGTGGGGCCGCCTGGCTTTGTCAATAGATGACTGAGAGGTTTGGTGGCGACATTTGGAACAACTTCTTGGTCCGAGCGACCAGACAAAGCTGTGGCAGCAAGAAAGAATTATGCCTGAATCGTGAACCGTTATGTCACGTTGAGTGGAGGGACATCCCAGCTGTACCGCCATTCCCCCACCCTCTTTTTGCCATCTCTACACTCGACAAACAGCATCAGGGACTCCGTCAAACCCTCCAAGCATCTATCTGACAAAAACACCAAATCAGTTCTCATCATGGCTGCTCGTGGCAAGCGGAGGCGAGGCAAAAAGAACAAGGGAACGAGCCAGGCTGGTAAAACCCACCTGCAGGTAAGATGTCTTCTGGCTCTTTACATCCTGCTGTCTCGGACATCGTCATCCGTTCCACTCGCCGTGTCCCTCTCGTACTAATAGCACGAATAGAATGGCAAACCGAATTCCTACTCGCTGCCCAAGTCTCAACCAGCCCAGAAGCAACCCTCCGGTGCCAAGCAGCACGCTCCCCAGGCGAAGCAAACGCTTCCGTGCGATTCAGCTAGTCCAGCAGACCGTAGGAACTGGAAAGCCTATTTAAAGTCTCTTCGGAGAGACCGACAGGTGAGCCTCGCTCTGGCCGGTGCCCACACTCTCGGATACTGATTCCTGAGACTTTTAGGAGATGAGACGGTAATATGCAGAGTTGGAACACCTCATTGGCAATGGTCGAGCGGCTTTCGAGCTCTTCCGCAAGGAGATGATCGTGTGTCGCAACGATTTCAAGTATGTCCTTGGGGGTATGGACGACAGACTGAGAAAGCTCGAGGAAATGGTCCTCCCGGATGCGGACCATGGCAACGCGGATTTAGGGGATACACTTCATCACGACATCTACGAAGACCCCGACTTTGACAGCTACGAAGCCCCGGACGATATGGAAGAAGAGCGCTTCAGCGAGGCCTTCGCATCATTCTGCGACGACTACTGAGAGGTCTGCCCTTCCTTAGAGGCACTGGCTCGCTGATGCTGGATAGTATTGGACGAATGCATATTGCATTGTTCGCAACTCAAAGCCCCTGTCAGTCTGATGAATGATGAAATAGTGGCTGCAGTATGAGTTTGAGAGGTTGAATGTGCGCTTTGTATTCTGGTTGTGCGGCTATGGCCTAATAATATAAGATCTTCCCTTTCTGCTGAACCGCTCAAAGCTCTGTGACTTCTTCATTGTCTTGAGAGGAATCTTGAAAGCGCTCGCGATGGTAACCCGGTGTACAACTCTTGCAACGCCCTCAATAGAACTTGTCACGCATTGTGTCACGACTTCGCTTACCTCGAGACATTTACTGTAGGAATGCTACCGCCCGCTGGGCCGCGATTTGTTTGTTATTCCAAGAAGGACTTTAAAGAATCCAGAGCCCGAGTTCGACTCCCAGCATCGCAACAGAAATATATAACCAAAGCCCGACGACAACACGGGCCAGAACTCGACGATAGTGCGAGCCTGTGCGGCAGTAAGTTCCTGAAAACTCCCCTCCGGGTGAGTCTGTAAGCTTTTGCCGGCCGGGCTGACTTTTTTGCACTTCTATTCTCATGGACAATTTGAACCGTGCCGAAGATAACTCCTCCACCGTGCGAGCCCTTTCTGAGCTTGCTTGCTGAAGGTCATTTTTTGCATGAACGGACGCTCCAGGAGTCTGCGGATGCCCGAGCGAGCCTTACTCAAATCCCCCACAAAGTTCAGGACCTCAAAACTTTGCTGTAGTACCTGACATCTATCCGGTGATCCGAAATACATCACGGAGGCAATCCAACTAATGGCTCGACGATCGCGGCGTGATAGGTGCGAGGAGTGGGCTGAATTGACTGTCTTTCCATTATCGACCTTTTCGGCGAGAGAATAAGATACGAGAGGTTCTGCGAAAGAACTTGCAAGACACCAGTACTCTCTAAAGAGCGAGCTTTAGTCTTTCACAATCCATCTTGTCTAAACCGTTTTCTACTCGTAATGTGCGCTGTCTAACAATCGCTATATAACGCCCCTGAAAAGGTGTTCCTGGGGCTGCATCCTCTCTCGAACCCCTTTAATACGACGCCTGCGTCACAGACATCCGCCCACCATCGCAGGCCAGGACCAGACCGTTGCAGAACGACCCGGCCTGACTTGCCAGGTACAGGACCGTGCCACCCATCTCCTTCTCGCTGCCAAACTTCTTGGCCGGGATAAAATCAGGGTCCGTGAACGGCTCGTCCTCGGGCTTGCGGTGTGCGATCATGGAGTCGGCCATCTCGGATGGGAAGACTACAAAAGATGACTGGGTGTCAGTACTCGGTCTTTCTTCCTAATGGAGCCATCGATTTACCGCCTGAACAGGGAAACGAAAAGAAGAACTTACATCCAGGCGCGATGATGTTGGTCCTGATGCCAAACGGAGCCAGCCTGCTCGCCGCCTGCTTGGCCATCTGGATCACGGCGGCCTTGCTGCCCGCGTACGCCGGCGCCGCGCCCGTGGTGCGCAAGTACCCGCCGATGCTCGCCGTGACGATGACCTGGCTCTGCACGTACGGCACCTTGCCACCTTCTGTCTGCGGGCGGCCGTACGTGCCCTGAGCGACGGCGCGCCGGTTGCCCTCGTCGAGCAGCTCGAGGAAGGCGTAGACGGTGAAGAAGGCGCCCGTGACGTTGACGTGGAAGACGCGCGTGAAGTCGTCCATGGCGACCTCGTCGAACATGGCGCGGCGCATGGCGGCGACGCTGTCGAAGTCGTAGGCCGCGGCGGGGCCGTATATGCCCGAGTTGGCGACGACGAGGTTGACGTAACCTACCTCGGAGGCGACGCGGTCGACGGCGGCCTGTAGTGAGGGCTTGGAGGTGATGTCGCACTGGACGGGGACGATGACGGCTGGGTAGGGGGAAGCGGCGTCTTGGAGGGCTTCGAGGCGGCGGCCGAGGATGTAGACCTTCTTGGCGCCGTTCTCGGCGAGGGACTGGGCGATCATGCGGCCGATGCCTGTGCCGCCGCCTGTGACGACGGAGATGAGGCCGTCGACGCGGAATAGGGATGTCGCGGTGGAAGCCATGGCTGTGATGTTGGGGGAGATTGGTGGCTGTGGTTCAAAAGCTGGCTTTAAATGTGGCTTGCGTCGACAAACCTAAACGAACAGTTTGAGGATCTGATGAGCCAGCAATCCTCTATCGAGCTCTGACGGCGAGCGGTGTCATGGTAGTTATACATTGTGCGTATCGGTCCTGTCCTGATGCTGTTCGGGTGGAACCATGCCGGTTGAGGGCACTGAGCGGCCCTATCCGGACTTTAACGGGCACGGAGAAGACGGGAGATAGCGACAATGACAAGTTCCTGAGCTTTTCCCGCGATCTGAGGAATCGCTGTGGCCAGTCGGGCATGGCTTGCATGGTGTCAGGCTTCTGCAGGTTATCGCCGAAGCAGTTTCGGCGTTAGAATAGTGGCCACATCGGAGTTTACGAACCTGGATCAATGGCCGTGGGGTGTTTTTCCATCATGACCGCGCCATACTGGACGGTATGCCCTGCTTGAACTGGACAGCTCGGGAAAATAACCTGAATATCAGGTGCTGGATTGTCCTGATCGTGTCGGGGTGCTGGTCTGCGTTGCAGTTACAACTCGGCAGCACTGAGATGTTGCAGCGAAGTGTTGCTTTAAAGTGGAGTCCTAGTGTGATAACGGAGGAGGCAGCGATCTGACCCAGGGCGACGATATATATATTCGCAGCATTCGCAGCCTTCAAATTGAGTGCCCAACTCTTTCAGCGTGAGATGAGAGATAGCATCAAATACTCCAGGCGCTCGCTCGGCTGTGAAGTTGTGTCTCGAGGTTTCCAGTCGGTGGTGAGGGATGCCATGATGACGCCGAGTTCCACGAGGCTGGGTGTCTCCAATGCCCGATGCATGTCGAAGAATGTAAATAGCCCTGCTAGCTGAGTCGGATCGTTTCGGGAAGAGTACCCTTGAAAATGAAGATGGATATCTGGGATCAATCGCAGAAGGCTTTCGTGTCCTTTACACGTTTGTTCAACACGTAAAGGTTTCTTTCACCATCCTGAGAATAGCTTCTTGACTGAGAACTGCATGTTGTGCCATGGACCTTTAGCATTGTCGTCGTTCAAAGGTGGCTTCAAAGGGGGCAAAAGTACTGATCTTCCGCCAAGCTGCATTGGGTGAGGGCGTTTGTCGCGTTGTACGGGGTGCTCCTTCCTTGCGTCACCAGTGAGCATCGCGCTTTCCGCTTTGGGTTGTTTGTACTGCACCTGCCCGCCTGACAGTGTCTGTCCTTGGTTCTCGTGCGCCGGCATGTGTGGTATTTAGACTGCTCCTCCTACCATCTGCGATGCTGTTCGCGCGACACATCATCCCTCAGGCGCTTACCTTCACCAACGCAAGGCTGCGATTGATCTTCAGCCGAGGTGCTGGGGCTGAGCAGTGGTGTACCCAAAGGCTCGGCGGGATGCTCCGCCGCCTCACTGCTGCGCGGACTTCCAAGCCTGTTTGCAGCGCGCAGGGAGCCATTGTTCAGCAGCCTGGCGCGCTTCCAACGCAGTGTTCGGGCACCGCATCGATACCTTACTTTCCTCACTACCTACCTTAAGGAATAGGTAGGTAGGTCCTGTGCAGAGGGCCTGGCGAGACAGAGAAAAGCGGGGCATCCTCCAAGGCCACCAACCACAACCACAACCACAAGCTCGCCCTCCGTCTATTCATCTGGCAGAGCACCTATTGTCGAGAGGAATACGGCCAATCAGGTCACTGGATTAGGCCTATTCATGCTTCTCAATTGTCTCAGCTCTCAGGATAATACTATCAAAAACTATTGAGCTCCTCGCTGCACTCGGACCAACCCAGTCCTTAGACACGAATCTCGACTTATCCGACAACCCTTCCACTCTTCCCCAATTTCTCCTTTTCTTCAACAAACACCAGCTTGAAGATCCCAGACCGAGAAGACCAACACAACTTGATTCCACCGTCTCCATCCAACTTCAAGATATTTGTTTCCGGCGTGCGCGCGCAACTTCGTTCTCATCAATCTACTTGCATCAGCTACTTGCAGTGCCCTCTTTCAACTTTTGCCGCCAGGTCAAATTCCTTCGGTTCACCACTGCTCAGAAGAAGAAACGCATCTCCATCCAAGGTTCTTCATCGACGATGCCTCCAAAGCTTCGCGGAAAGAAATCAGCTGTCTCCCAGAACCAGAAACAGAAGCGTGGAACGCAGAGCGTTGCCGCGCCTGCTCCCAGTGAGGAGCCCATAGAGGATTGCATTTGGGTCCGGTCCGGCTCTTCTTCACCTGTCAGTTCTCACTTTTTCCCACGTCTGTTTGCTGTTTGGCATGCTCCCCACAAACAACTATATCCCAACGCACTTTGGCGCTGCACATTTCTGTTTTTCATTATCCGTTCCTAATTTCCTCACAATCTTACGCTGCGATGCGCGAACGCGAACATCTGTGATTTAACATTAATCTACAGATCCCCGAGATGATGCCTCCATCACGAACCGCTCGAGGCCGAAGCGCCCAAACCCCCATCGTCATTGGTGATGTCGATGAGGACAACCAGATCATGAATCCTCCCTCTCCCAAGCGCAAGCAGTTTGTGAATATCAAAGACGACTCTCCCCGCCGGAAGCGCGTCAGGTACGGCCTGGCGACCCCCGAAGCTCACATGTTTAGGCGTACTCCGGCCCCACTTCAGCCTGTGAACCAGCTCGGTGGATTTCCCATCCCCGCCGACAGCACCAAGAAGAACACGACCTTCGAGGCAGAGAAGCTCAGAGCTGAGAACCGCGCCCTTCGACAGCAACTTGACCAGGCTCCCGCGCAGCTCGAGCTCCTGAAGCAAGCCAAGCAAAGCGATGACAGCGCCAAGGACCGCCTCCTCGCCAAGGTTCGCGAGCTTGAGCAGAAGAATGCACAGGCCGAAGCAGCCAAGTTAGGCCTCCAGCAAGATCTGTCCCAAGCCAAAGAGTCTATGGACCAGCTTCGCAACACCAACCATGAACTCGCCGCCGCGCGTGATGCCTCAAAGGCAGCCGAGGCAGAGGCCAGAGCCGCTCAGGAGCAGTCCAAGGCTGCAGAGGAGCAAGCCTCGACGCAATACCGCAAGATCGCCAGCGCTCTGTACGAAAGCAGCATGAGCCTGCAATGCCGCCAGCTTGACGTAAGTTCTGCCTGACTTTTCTCTATGCACCCTGTCTAACAAATGCACAGATTGAGAAGCTCAAGCAGGAGAAAGCCGAAGCTATCGTCGGTCAGGACCAAGAGCTTAAGGAAGCCTGGGACGAGGTATGCTAATCCCCACCCCCCCAAGATCCAGCATTTTTCAACTGCACCTTTGCTGACTATTGGGAACGGCAGACCGACAGAATCCGCAACCTGAACCGCAAGTTGGTCAGGGAGTCGGATAAGAAGCTAGAGTCGATCAACTTGCTGAAGCAGGAGATCACTGGCAAAGACGAGACCATCCACTGCCTACGGACCAAGATCCGAGACCAAACCAAATCGATCGCAGAGATGAAAGTCCTCCTTCAGCAGAGAGATGCAGACACCGCCCACAACGTTGACATGCTCCGCGCCTCGGAGGATGAGGTCACCAGGCAGCAGGAGGAGATTGACCGACTTGGAAGGGCGAATGATATTGCCCAATCCGCCCTTATCCATCTGCAGGAAACCCTGGAGGATTATGATAGGGAGGCAGCTCGCCGCGACCACGAGCACGACCAGATAGTCCAGGAACTGGAGCGAGAGAAGTCGGGCAACTTCAGACTTTCACTGGATGAGGCCCTGGATGCTTATTGGCGCAGGTACGACCAGGCTGTCCTGGACCAGGAGCAACATGATGCGGAGGGCCAGCAACTTGGGGCGGCCGTCCCGGCTGCCGGCTTGGCCTCGGGTGTGAAGCTGGAGGAGGATCATGACGAGGGAATCCAATCCCTCAACGAGGGCCACGACTGGGCCCTTGTGAATGCGGACCTCGACCGAGTCAAGTGCAGCTATGATGAGCTGATGCAATTCGCGGTTGAGCGGTCCCATAGCATGGTCGAGTTGGGCCGCGACCTGGTCAAGATTGGGAACAACTTCTACAAATTCTTCCCTGATGCCAAGGAGGAGGAAGATGACTAAAGGGGTGATAGTCAGGGAGAGTAGGAGGTTTGAGACGGCGAGACAGTGGAGTGGGGAATTGGAGTAAAGTGTTGTTGTCATATAAGAACAAGCATTGTTATACCCAAATTCATTGAGGTTATCTGGAAGAGGCCGAGGAACTATCGAGAAGTGTTTCTTCTGTGAGATGACGACCATGCAAAAATGTCTTTGCCAGGCTGCTTATTTTCCGGGCCGGTCGCCAGTTTCTCAGCAAGGTTCAGCATAGGTAGCACAACTTGTGCATAAGCTGTGTACGCAGGTTGTGTAAGTCATTTGGGGCTGTGAGGCACGACTTTGGGGTTACACAACGCCTTCTAAATATGGGGATCACAGATGAGGCTTCATGGTGACGTATACAGAGGGCGCAGTGATATGGCGAGGGGTATAAATTCCAGAAACCCCGGGCTCGAGGTCTTTGATGAGTTTCTCGCCGAACCGCGATATGCATGTAGTCCTAAATTTCATCGATTCCCTAAAGTGACCGCACGTTATGTATTCAGCAAATACGAACCACCGAGCTCCCGCCTCACAATACTCCCTAGGAAGCTTCGATTTCGAGCCGGTGTCGCCGGTGACTGAGGAGTCAACCTTCCAAGACGACACCCCACGGCTAGTCAACGTGCCACTCACACTGTCGGAAGATCCCCTCTTATCACCCGAGTCACCAGCACACAACACTGTCGGCAATGCCTCGCTCGACCCTCTTCCCCAGATCGCATCACAGAGTCCCATTCTCCCAGAGCACAAGATCGATAGGCTGAGGAAGCGGGACTGGCTTCTAGAAATCGCCGCCTTGTTCATTAGTACCGCGTCCATGATCAGCCTCTTCGGCCTCCTGCTTCAGTACGACGGCCGTCCGCTGGAGTCCTGGACGGCTCATTTTTCGCTCAACACTATTGTGTCCATCTTGTCTATAGCCATGAAGACGCCGCTGGCCTTCGTCATCGGGTCGTGCCTCGGACAGGGGAAGTGGGCGTGGTTTCGGAAGCGGCAGGGTCCCATCGCCGGCTTCGCTGCGTTCGACGAAGCGAGTCGGGGCCCGTTTGGCTCGCTCTTGCTGCTCTGGCGATTCAAGTCAAGGTACGCAGTCTCCCCCCCTCCAAGGCAGGTAGATTGAGCGGTTTCTTAGATAATTTAAACGCAGGCACTGGGCATCCTTGGGCGCCTGGGTAACGCTCGCACTCCTCGCCGTCGATCCATTCCTCCAAGCCGTAATCATGTATCCTGGAGAGCCCAGCGGCTGAGAAGAAAGCCTCTCGACAGCTGCGAGGGCATCCCGCCTCGACATAGGGGATTGGTCCTTCGAAAACGCAGCAAAGGTGTTTTACAAAAACCAGGAGTTCTTCAAGAGCTATTACCTGTTATCCGACATCCAGACATCAGCAACTTCGCTCATGGGTTTTGTGGGCTCAGCAGTCACAAAGGCTCTCGAGACACCGCCTGTGAGCTGCCGGACGGCGAACTGCACGTGGGCCCCGTACGCCTCGCTCGGGGTGTGCAGCACCTGCACAGACATCTCAAACCGGATCAGGACGGAAGCCAACGTTGGCATGCCCGACGAAAATCAATTCTCACCCTGCAAGCTTACCAGTTACACTTTCGTCATGAACTATACCAACTTCGTCGTGCCCTACGGCCCTGATGGACGGCTCGTTCTTCAGAGGATAAACGGGCTGTTCAACCAGAGTATCTGCACCGGCCTAGACCCCAAGGTAGCCGTGGCCGTTACTTTCGCACCGCATGGGACGTTCAGCTTCAAGGATTCTGAGAGACTGTTGGCGTCTTTCGTTGTCCTCCAGGCGGAGGATTCTTACTGGAAAAACGAGATACCTTGGGAAGAATCTCGCGTCACGGCAACAGAGTGTTCCCTACAGTTCTGCGCTCGCCTGTACGATTCTCAAGTGCACAGCCTAGTCATCCGCGAGGTTGCCGGTCCGGACGTCTCTGTTCGGCGCGCCTCCTCATTCAGGCCCTTCGGCATTGGGAACCAGACTCTTCTCGACATGTATGAAGTGGAAAACGGCCTGTCACTGAGCGATGGCCACGCAAGACCTGTCGACGAGAAAGACATCGTCGGGCGCATGGGCCATATCGTTCCCCGACACGACCTCCAACTCGAGATCCCCGACGCCCCCGGCTTGGCGGAAGCCGATCGCCTGTTCAACGTGACGCAAAAGAGCATAGTGACGTGGCAAGACTATTTCGCGCAGGGCAACACGATCGCCCAGATCACATACGCCCTGGCCAACTCGACCAACATCACAAAGTCCTTTGAGAACGCCGCGCAGCTCATGACCAACAGCATGCGCGAGCGCGACGGCGGCACGGTCCTGGGGCGGGAGTCGCGGTGGGTGGTCTACATCCGCATCCGGTGGGGGTTCCTCGTGTTCCCCGTGATATCGGCGCTGGCCGGGCTCTGCTTCGCCGTGGGCGCCGTCGTCGAGTCCCGCAGGCTCGAGCTGCCGACCCTGAAGACCGACGCGGTCGCGATGCTGCTCCACGGCCTCGACAGCGACACGACGGCTCTGCTGAGGGACGCGCACAGAGATCACACAGCGGATGGTCTGGACATCCTGGTGAAGTTGGAGGATGGGAAGGAAGGGCTGAAGCTTAGGTCCGGTGACTAGGGTACACTCTTATGGCACTCTGCTTACGGACGTGACATCAATACCGAGTAACGAAGAAATAATGCCTTGGGGGTATGGTAATTAATGGAGGATGTGGAAGGGCATTCTCTGTCCAATACTAATGCGAGCTTGCTGTCCCAATGAGTCGCCATGATTGGGAAGTAGGACAGCTACACGTTGCTATTTAGTAAACTCTGATGTTTCTGACAACAACATGCGCTTGTCGCCTCGTCAACTTCAGAATCATGATGTCCTCCGCAGCCTTTCACCATACTTCCAGAGTACGAGAGGAACAGGTATGCCGATAACCAAGAACAAGAATGCCAATAGGCTTGTGCCCCATCCGTAACCCAAGGTCTCATACATCCGCGGCGCAAACAACGGGAAGAGGAACCCTGTCAGGTTACGTGGGAACTGACTCCCGGCGGTCGCGCTGGCGACGTGCTCCGGGTAAGCATCCATGACCAGCGCCTGCATGGACTGTGTACCCAGAATGATCCCGCAGCTAAATATCGCTATGCCAAGGTCTGGGACCACCCAAAATACTCGATACTCAGCCGTCCACCCGTACAAGAAGAGACCAGCGGGCAGGAGAACTGCGCCAGGAATCATCACCGGGATTCTGCTCTCGGGATACCGGTCCATGAGGTAGCCTCCCACCTGCGCGCCGACCAAACACCCTACCGCCATGGCAATGTAGTGTAGCCCCGATGTCGAGATCGATTGGCTGTAGTGGGTGATGGACAAGTTTGCAAAAGTGGAATGCACAATGTATAGCACGCCGTAGTTGTACGCTAGATACAGCGCGGCGAGCTGCAAGACTGGTTCTGTCAGAAGTAATTTGCACGGTCGGAGAAGACTGGTGCCCAGGATACGCGCTGGGGAGATGTCGTTGTTGATCTCGTCCTCGGTATAGTACTCGGGGTTATGTCGGCGAAGGCGCTTCGCCTTGCGTGCGAGAATCGTGCCGGCTCGGGTCTCGGGAAAGAATGGCAGGGCGGTGGCGATGAGGGTGGCGTCGAAGATGGATAGCGCCCAGAATATGCCGCGCCAGCCTCCCAGTCTCGGCGAAGCAGTCAGAAGGCCGCCGAGAATGGGCCCTAAGGCTGGGCCCAGGAGAGGGAGGAAGGTTGCGATAGCAAAGGAGCGTCCGCGTTGAGTCTTGGGCCATATGTCGGCCAGCACGGGGAGTTCGATCTGGTGTGGGTTGGATCTCGTCAGTGAAACAGAGCAAAGACGAAATAGAGGACAATACTTGGCATGAAATGAACCGACAGCATATTGAGCGCTTCCTCCGAGGCCAGAGAAGAACCTTCCTGCAATCATTACCCCTGTGTTCTTCGAAAAGCCGCACACCGTATTCCAGAGGACATAAAGACAGCACGACAGCAGCCAGACTGGCTTTCTCCCGTACACTTCGCTCAGCGGCGCGAGGACCATGGGTCCGAAGGCGTAACTCAGGACAAAGATTGAGAGAGTGAGCTGCGTGGTAGCATCGTCGGTGTGGAGGTCTCGAGATATGGAGGACAGGGCCGGCGCGATCATAGTGGAAGATGTCATGGTCGCCATGCCTCCTAGGGAGACAAGGATTGTGACAGCCCATTTCTTCCGCTGTGGCCAGTTGAGAGGGTTTGTTGGATCTGCGGGACCACTCCAAGTTACCTGTGCTTGCAAAATTAGCAGGTAGATCATACCAAAGACAAGTCAAGTCGCATACAAGGGTTGGGTCTTCTCTTTCAACAGAGTTTGGTTCAGACTTTCCTCGTGGCCCCAGACTACAAGCTTGCATGATGACGGAAACTTGATTCGATTGTTCAGACCTGGATATCTTAACTGCTCAGTTGTGGTCGAGTTTTGTTCAACCACTGGAAGAAGTTGAAAGGCCTGCGAACAAACAGCTAATACGAGGAAAGCAGCAGAACATAACCACTGGTCTTCACTCAACAAGGAGAGTCTTTGTACTTAGCTGCATCGGAATGACTCAGATCGAGGGACAGTGAAACGCACCTAAATGATCGGGTCGGCCACAAAAGTCTCGAGTTCAATCGCAGTGGTCTCACCGTCTCACAAATCCGAGCTTAGCTCCGAGACGTGGCGACAGAAGAATTCATAGCATCAGCACGCAACAGCACACAAATCAGCAGCGCAAGGTCGGAGATTCGGCACAAGGGGCAATTCATGACGGAATACCAATGGAACGAATCCATACACGCAGCGCAGATCTCATTGCCTCGGAATAACATCATGATCGATAGCAAGACTTTTCTATAGAACAAAAGTAGAATTATCACAGCCTGCAAGTCTTCCCCGGGCACACAGTGATCGTGTGCACGTAGCGCAGCTTGCCATTCTCCAGCCGGAACTCGTGGCTGTCCGCCGCGTTCATCATGTGCTGCCACACGCACAGGATGCTCACGGACCCCATGTCCTGGTCGATGACGTAGCGCCTGTCGGTGTTGGGCTTCTGGTTGTGGTTCGTGGGGATGCCGGGCCGGCACGAGTCGTCTGGCTGGCCTTTGCCCGTGTACGCGGACCCTTCGAGCCGGGTGCACGGCGTGCCGAAGGGGATGGCGTTGACGGCCGTGGCGTTGCTCCACATGTCCATCCAGGCGTCGCCGGCGGCCTGGATGGCCTCGCGGCTGTCGTGCTTGGAGGCGGGGATGGGATCCCACTTCTCCTGCTCCACGTACTGCAGCGTCTTCTTGGCGTCGAAGAGCCAGGCGCCCGTCGTGGAGGCGACAGAGTCGATCTTCAGGATCTTGCGCCTCGAGGCGTCGAGGTGGAGCTGCGTGCCGATCACGTACGGGTTGGCCGGGTCGGAGGCAATCAGCTCGGTGTAGGTCGCGCACTGGAGCATGTCGACGTTTGTCCGCTCGTGGTCGATCTTGAGCGCTTTGGCAGGCACGCCTTTCATAATGTCTGTCGGCGAATTGTTCTCGATGTAGGTGAAGTTGGGCGAGAGTACGGGTCCCAGCTGGCCCGGAGTGCCCGAGTACTGGGATGCGATGTAGTCATCGGTTAGATCGAGAAGGGTTTGTCTGTCGCACTCTGGATCGTCTGCCTGTTCCAATGGCGCTGCGGTGGCGAGCGCCGCAAGTGAAGAGAAAAGAATCGAGTAACGCATTGTGAATATGCACCAAACCACACAGAGCACGAAATATTCACTTTGCTATTGCCCACCTGGAAGTACTAAATTACTACAACGATCGAGAAGGAATTCTATTACTTAGATACCCGGTCAGCGGTTCCTGATCGAGCGGACATCTTTCAAGTGCCGATAATTAGGATGCGGCTATATCCACAGTCAAGACGGCAAAATCAAGATCCCCCGCTGCATGTTATCTCCGCAGTACCACCACCATATATCATGTAGACTCCCAGACAGGAAGTAATCGAGTTGACTACATGCTAACCCCGCCGCGGCTGCTAGATCAAATTCCGCGTTCTTGCGTGGGTAGTGCAGTTGAAGACTGGATCGGACCAAGAAGGCAGCTGCTACATGCTGGACACCTCGGACGGCACTGTGAGGCGCTATTTTGTGGTGAAGTATCTGTATCAGCCGACGTACGACAACGACGACCCGGGAGGCTGGCGGGATAGGACGTGCGATTCAGAGACGGTGATGTTAGCGGAAGTGCTAGAGAAGTACAGGGATAGAACATTCTTGGTGTTGACTGACGTGGATCGTGGAGACTATGTGACTTTAATATTCCGAATTCCAGAGGACGGATCACGGAACTACCAGTGGTAGGAGACTGAGGCGAGCTGACATGCCGAAGCCTTTTATGTCGTTGCAGGCTAACACAAAGGACTGACCAAGAGCTCCGAGATATCTACCAAGCACACGGCTGACCAGATAACTACGCCTGGAGGCCTGCCACCAGGCGCTGAGGGAGTGGTATTGGAAGTGCCTACGACGTACTTGAGTGGACTATGTTGGAGGAATTTGACACGGTCCAAGTCCACTCCCTAGGGGTAAAAACGGATTGCTTGGAAATAATCCTGAGTTGTCTATTGCATTGTGACTGACGCGGCTTAGAATGCGTTGATTACTTTCATGGTCCAGGACAATTATCCCAACATGCGGATCAGTGATACCCCCGAGAGCCGCTTGTTGCAACTTTGCAATATGATCTTCAGGGCCCGAGAGCGCAGATGTCGCCGCCGGGCCAGTGGCAGAAGCAAGGGAGACCATTGAGCAACGAGACATGGTCGACAGAGAATCCTAACTTGGAAGTGCCGAAGGCCTTATAGTCAAGGATAACAATACTCACAAGCAATAGCGGCGTATGGCAATATGCCATAGTGGTTAGGGGTTCGGGTTGTTGAAGCGGCGGCATTTCAGTGAGGTTTCCTGGTGCAATTGGGATGCGTTCGATTCCCGATGATGCCAAAGTCGCTATTCTTTTTGTCTTTTTGTTTTTTTTTTGTTTCGGTCCCCCTTTTCTGCCCTTTCGCCATTTCTCACTTTTTACCCTGATCAAGGTCACCGCCCGCAGTCCTCGTGTCATTTGGGCGGAAGCGGTGGGTGCGGCTGGGCAGGTGGTGGTCATGCAGGGGAGCTCGGGCGAGATTTATATGGGTGTTCATAGTTAATATCAGCTTGGGCGTGTCTGTGTGGCATGCGGGCCATTACCCGTGGCTGCAGGCGTTGAAGAGGCGGCACAGGCTGCAGGCGTTCATGACGCGGCAGAGACTGCAGGAGCTGATGTCGGATGATTGGAGGGATCCCAGCTTCATCGAATACGTCGTATGTCCCAGGATCCTGGTTGTGTAGTTTGTGATCTACACACACTGGCAACGAGCCTTGATGGGTTCGAACATGCTTGGTTTGCCCGGGGAGTGGTTCGCAGATTGCAACAGGGGTAGAAGGTGTCGATGCTCCTGAGAGGCCTCTTGAGGTGTACAGCAGAACAAAGAAAAAAGGTTTGCGATGTTGGATGGCAGGTTGCTGCATAAAGAAGGGACGTGATGAAAGCAATGAGCGCAAACATTCCGTCTTGCGAGATGCAATGTTATGCAGGCTGTCAATAAAGACTCTGCTTCACCAACCTCCCTTTGTCTTCTTTAGGACTAACTCTGCCGAGACGGGCAAGTTGCACTTTGACCCCCGCCGTTGGTAGATGCCAACCCGTTGAACAACTTGGCGTGATCCTGACGAGAGACGAGACCCCAGAAACACCGCCAATAAGGAACAAGCTGCGCCCGGGGGGTTACATCTCCTCCACATGGCACTATTGACACTGGGCTTACCAGAACGGATGACGAAATGCGACGCTGCCTGCGGCTGATGGGTTCCGAGCACGTCAGCCCGTCAGCCACGAGGGTCTGACCACCTGGGCCACTCGACCGTTGGAACCTGTTCGGCATCATTCCTCTAGTCTCTTTCGTGTCAATTTCTGCCTCGGTATTGCCTCTTGTTCTGTAACACACCCAAAGGCACGCAAAATGCGACCATTCCAAATCGTAACGAACTAAGTCAGCTGCCAAACCACATTCGGACGGCGACACCGGGGCTTGCCTTGCGCCTGGTTGGCTCGTTTCGTCATGCGCACCCGCCGCGCCGCCAAGTACCACCCACTAAGCACGTCAGCGAGGCATAGCGAGAGCCATGATGAGGCACACGGACCAGAGAAAGATCCCTCGGTGCCTTCGGCAGGCTGGAATAGGCAGGAGGAGCATGGCGAATACGAAGTCAAAGAGTCATCAGCGAAGCAGGTCGCGGTCACGGACACGTTCAAGGCCAAGGCCAGGAGGCACCCGTCAACCAGGTATGCGCACTGCCATTAACAGGACCCCTAATATAATATAAAGCGACATCACTGCAGCGATGGGCCCCGGCATTGCGGATCGAAGGATGAGATAGATTGCGGTTTTATTGATCCTGCATATTACAGCTTCCACACTACCTTGGTCCGAGCCATGTTGATCGCGACCACTGCCGCTCTCCTGCTGCTCGTTGGCAGATGCTGCCTTGCCGGCCCGTCTCGCCGGAGCTGCTCGCAGACAGCTACCTGCAACAGCGGTCTCTTCCAGGGCGCTGTATCTCTCCCCGGAGTCACTGTCACTATCGAGAAAGTGGACCATGTCACCAACGGCACATATGGCGAGCCCGACGACAAGGGCTTCCCGCAGCCCGCGGACCTGCTACCCGAGGTCTGCGCCGTGATCGTCAAGATCAGAAACACGACGGACGCGATCCAGTCAGACTACCGCTTCGGCATGTTCCTCCCCCCAGCGGCGAACTGGAACTCCAGGACGCTCACGGTCGGCAGTGCCTCCTTCGCGGGGGGCATCAACTGGATCGAGATGGGCCAGGGGCCGCACTTTGGCTTCGCGACCATCTCGACCGACAACGGCCACAACTCGATCGGCAGCGACCTCACCTGGGCCACGCCGGCCCGGCTGCTGGACTGGGGCTACCGGGCCATGCACGGGTCGGTGCTGGTCGGCAAGCTGCTGATCGGGCACTACTACGGCAAGGCCCCGGCGTACTCGTACTACAGCAGCTGCTCGACCGGCGGGCGCCAGGGCCTGCGGGAGATCCAGTACGACGAGAAGGCCTTCGACGGGGCGCTCATCGGCGCGGCGGCGTGGGACACGGCGCACCTGATGCCGTGGGTCGGCAAGGTGGCGCACGACCTGCTCAGCGCGCCGCGCGCCGACCTCTTGGGAACGCAGCAGATGTCCATCCTCGCCGCCGAGGTCCTGCGCCAGTGCGACAGCATCGACGGCCATGTGGACCGCATCGTCAGCTCACCCGAGCGCTGCAACTTCGACATCAGCCAGGTCGTGTGCTCGGACCCCAACACGTGCCTGACGGCGGGGCAGGCGCGGACAGCGCGCCGGATCTACGACGACTACGTCCTGGACACGGGCCGGTTCGCCAGCCACGGCTTCCAGCTCGGGTCCGAGGACCAGTGGGGCGTGTACTTTGGCAACGTGGCGACGATGCAGGGGTTCGACTTTGACTACGAGCGCTGGTGGCTGTACAACCGAACTAATTACAGCTGGCGCGAGTTCAACGACGCCGTGGTGCCGGACTCGGAGCGCGTGGACCCGGGCCGCCCGACGGCGGACAAGTTCGACGTGTCGCCGTACCGCGACCGCGGCGGCAAGATCGTCATGTACCACGGCACGGGCGACGGGCTGATCTCGCCCAAGACGTCGCTGCAGTACTACAACGCCACGGTCGCGGCCGCGGACGGCGGCGACCTGGCGGCGACGAGGCGGTGGTTCCGCTACTTTGAGATCCCCGGCATGGCGCACTGCTTCCTCAGCAACGCGCGCTACGGCGCGCCGTGGGACATCGGGGCCGGCGGGCAGGCGGCGGTGCTGCGGTCCGTCGGGCTCGGCGACGGCTGGTCTGTGCCGGGCCACCTCGGCGACCCGGCGTACGACGCGCTGGCGGCGCTGATGCGGTGGGTCGAGGACGGGACGGCGGTGGGGCAGGTCATTGCCACGGCGTTCAACGCGGACCTGTCGACGAACCGGACGAGGCCTGTGTGCCCGTGGCCTGAGAAGGCGCTGTTTGTGGGTGGTAACATCGATGACGCGGCGAGCTGGACTTGTGGGTAGGGTAGGGGCTTGTGTCGCGGTGTATTGTACAGTTGTACAGCGGGTGGTCGATAATAGTTTGCAAGGCAGTCAGTTCTTCTTGTATTCGTTACTCGATTGACAGTCGTTTTTAATGTCCAGCAATGGGACCAATCCAATTCACTGCTCCCCACGAGTCGTCCAGGCCTTTGTCCGCGGTGCAGGCCGTCCTCTGGTCGCCCTCCAGGCACGGCGTGTTGAGCTGCTCGAACTGGTTGTCGCCGCCCCAGCACGCGCGGCCCATCTTCAGGCTGTCCACCTTGTAGTCCGCGTAGCCCATCAGCAGGCACCAGAACGCGCCGTCCCGCAGCTGGCACTGGCCCTGGCACCCGGTGTGCAAGCCGCGCGAGGCGCACTGCGGCGCCTCGGCGGCGGCAGCGATAGGGGACTTGCCGCAGGCCGGATCGCGCCCGACGGCCAGATTGGTCGGCTGGGGCGCGCCCGCGACGACCCAGGTCGAAGGCACGGTGGCGGTCGTGGAGGAGAACTCTGTCGTCGTGGCGCCGTCGTCGAGGTAGGTGACGCGCGACTCCCAGGTGATGCTCATGATGGCCGTCTCGACGACGGTGGTGGGGAAGACGGTCGGCCGGGGCGCGTCCTGCAGGCTCGTGACGGTCTGGGTGGTGTAGACGGTCATGCGCCTCGGGTTGATGAAGGGGATGGCCGTGACGGTGGACTGGACTGTCGACCAGACGCGGACGGTTCTTGCGGCCTGGGACAGGGCGGCCGAGTCGACTGTCCTTGCGAGGAGGAGGGCGCAGAGAGCGGCGTGGCGGAGTGATGGCGAGGATGATATTCGCATCTTGATGATCTTGCGAGGACAATGAAGAGTTCGAGAACGAAGGATGAATTGATTCTTCCGAGACAATGGAATGAACTCAGGAGAGTTATGAGGGTTTAATAATAACAAGCTTTCCTAAAGGAGCACACTCGCCTGCAATATCACGGCCGTTAACAAACCTGGGGAAGGTATTTACCCGAGCCAGTGACGTTGAGGAGGATTTACCCAATTGCTGGGTACTTAATAAGGAGCTCTCCATCCGGGAAGCTATTCCCATCTCGGAGAAGTGTTGATGTATGCTGAAAATGGAAAGCCATGATATTTTGTCGTTCATGTTGGATGAAGAAGCCAGAGTCTCGACTTGGCAAGTGAGAGGAGGGTATTGCTGGCAATGACCAAGAGCGAGCCAAGCAGTCACCTCCTTTGATGTTTAGTCTTCACAGACTCACAGTATCGTAGTGCAATGTCAAAGTTGGATGACTGACATGTTGTATTTCCTTCACTGCACTCCAGTCAATAGCCCTGCTGAGGTTGTGAATAGTACCTATTGTAGGTAAGGTACCTATAGTTATTTCTGTGTCAACTTGGACAATCAAATCAAGACAAGCATGAATCCTCTGAGGAGAAGGTCCGTGCCCTTTCAGAGTCCAGACCACCAGTTGACCAAAGCCAAGAGACCGCCGTTGTTTTTCCATCCTTTCCATCCATTCCTTTCTCCACCTGTGCCTCCAGCCTACTGCACGCCGTTTCTCCCCCCACCACTAGCTAGTTAAATCAAATCGCGACAAGGGAACGCCCGCCAACAACTCCGCCTCGGCCAACTCTGGAGAGTCTCGGTTCTCCCGATGACCGGCCGCTGGCGTCTGCACCATGGCGGATTACCCATTGCCAGATAGGCAGCACGGCGCTGCTGGCCCGGCTGTCGCGACTGCTTCTTCTCATTTGCCCCCTCAAGCACAAGCTGTCAATTCAATCCCAGCGCTTCTCGCCGCCCCTTACCAACCCTACGCAACGTCGCCGACATCCTCGACTCCCGGCGCATCCATCGCTGCAGTGTCACCGATAGCTTCAGCTCCGTCTCACCATGACCTCGAGGCCCTCCAGGCTGCGACCGCCGATCCTGGCTACAATGGCATGCATCGCCTGCCGCCCATTCCCGGCTACTCGCCGGCGACGTCGCCCAATGGCAATCCCACAGTGCCCATCCCCGCAAGACCGGGCCGCTCTACAGCACCGCCCTCAAAGCAGACCCGGATGCGCCGCGCCTGCGACATGTGCAGCTCGCGCAAAGTCAAGGTCAGTCTGATCTCCCCTAGCCATTCAGTCTGGCTCCAAAAAGTGACAAGGAGACAAGGAGCTGACCGCCCTCTCTTGCCCAGTGCGACGAAGCCGGCCCGCCCTGCAAGGCCTGCATCTCCCTCGGCGTTGAATGCACTTATACTCGACCCCAGCGACGACGAGGCCCTCCGAACCGGCACGCCGAAGCTGCCAAAGCCAAGCGAGCTCGAACCAACTCCAACAATATGTCACCCACGCCTCACAATGCCGCCGAGACCCTCGTGTCCATCTCGGCAGACGACACCCCTACCCCTACCCCGACCCGCACCCCTCGAACGAAGCCCCTCGATGCCGAGGACATTGCGCCGTGGGACATCCTCGTCCTGCTGGTCGACGACTTCTTCACCTACATCCACCCCTTGACTCCCTTTCCGCACGAGCCGACCTTCCGGCAGGCCTTCCTCGAGAGGCGAGACCGCACGAGCCCCCGCTTTCTGGCCCTGCTCGCGAGCATGATCGGCACCCTGGTCGCGTCCTTCCCCCGAAGCGCCCGGTACCACCTCAAGGCCCAGCACAGCGCCGACCTGTTCCCGCGCGCCATCCTGATGATCGAGCAGTGCCGGCTCGTGGCCATGCAAGCGCGCGGCGTGACCTTCATGGCCAAGGAGGACTACGACGTCTACGACGCCGCGACGAGCTACTTCCTGGGGCTCGGAGCGGGCTACAGCCTGCAGTGGCGGGTGTGCCACAGGTACATGGCCGAGACCATGGCCATCACGCGCGAACTCGGCCTGCACCGGCCGCGAACACAGGAAGCCGGCCTCTACTACGCGTCGGCCAACAGGCCGCTCAACCACATCGAGTACGAGATCGGCAAGCGCATCTTCTGGGTCCAGTTCGTCGGCACGCGGTCCATGACCCAGCTGGGCTCGACCTCGATGCACCCCATCATCCCGCCGCCGACAGGCGCCGAGCCGTACCCCGAGCTCCCCGCGGACGTCAACGACGAGCACATCTTTGCCGACGGCATCCAGACCCCGGAGCCCGGCACCATCACCCGCATGACCGGCTTCATCAAGGGCTGCCAGGTCTACATGACCATGAACCCCATCCTCGGCCATGAGCTGCACCACGGCTTCCGCACCCTGCCCTGGTCGCAGGCGAAATACATCCTGCACGACTGCCTCGCCAAGGTGAACCAGGTCACCGCCGCGATCCCCGCCGAGCTGCGGCTCGACCTCCAACCCATACCCGGCATCAGCACCTCCCCGCGCAGCGACGACGGCGGCCCGGCGGCGGCCGCGGGCGTCATCGGCCCCTCGGCGCTCAGGCACCTCCAGGAGGCGCACGGCCAGCAGTACTACCCGGCCGGCGAGCCGACCATGCGCGAGAACGACCTGCGCAACATGTTCTACAAGGACCCGCGCCGGCGCCTGCAGGTGCAGTTCGAGATCCAAAAGTCCAACATCTACGCGTCCTCGCTGGCGACGCGCTCCTACTTTGTCGAGCTGTACCTCAACCTGCGCGACGCGAACCGGGCCCGGCAGCAGCTACAGCCCGTCGACGTGGCCGCCGCCGCCGTCCGCGAGCTCGACGCCCTGTCGTCGTCGGGAGCTAGTGCCGGCAGGGCGGGCGCGGAGGACCCGATCGACGCCAAGATGACGCTCGAGCGCGAGCTCATCGTCGAGAACACGCTCGTGCTGCTGACGTCGATCCCGCAGCGCAGCATGGAGCCCAACGGCAACTCGCTCATCAACAAGATCCGCCAGGTCGCCTCGACGCTGCTCAACGGCGCGCGCGAGCGCAAGGGCCCCGTCGCCGTGCGCGCCGACCAGTACCTCGGCCGCTTCCTCGAGATCCTCGTCAAGCTCGAGAAGCTGGGCGGCGTGGCTCCGACGCCGCTGGCGGAGTCCTCGTCGCAGCAGCAGCAGCAGAGTAATATGAACTACGACGGCGCGCTCGAGACCATGACGCCCGAGGACGAGGACCAGGAGCTGCGGCACTGGGCAGACCTGAGGGAGTTTCAGGTCAAGTTTGCGCAGAGTGGTGGGTTCTTGGGCATTCTATGAGAGTGGGCTTGGGTCTCGGGTCTTGTACTTTTTTCTTTCCTTTTCTTTTACGGTTTTGAACTGGGGTTGAATGTCTCTACTCTGTGAGACGGCAAGGCGTTTGGGGTTCCTTGTCATGGCATATGGCATCACTGCATGGGTATCACTGCATGGGCATGGTATTGCGACATGATCTGGAGTATGGCGTTCTTTTCCGATGTCCTATCGAAGCTAGATAGAGACCCTTTAGGGCGCATGTGTGTAGGCTCTTTGCACAATCAATACCCATTTGACGCGGTTTTCCAACAGACACCGTCCGTATATGCCCTTCTTCTGCACCACAGCTTCCCTGTCCTCTCTGCTCAACCGCCCATGACAGACATGGTGTGCACGAACCGCAGCTTCCCGTTCTCGACCCGGAACTCGTGGCTGTCGGGGATGGACCCAAACGTCATGAAGATGTCGACCGTGCCCATGACCTCGTCGATCACGTACCGCCTGTCAATCAGCTTGACGCCGCTCGGCACGCCCACGTTGCACGAGTCCGTCGGCGACCCTCTGCCCGTGTACATGCCGCCCTCGAGGCGCTCGCAGGGCGTGCCCCAGGGCACCTTGGCCGACTTGTCGTTGAACAGGTCGCAGTAGGCGTCGCCCGCGGCCTTGATGGCCTCGCGGCTGTCGCGCTTGTCCTCGGGGATCTCGGGCCAGGCCTCGCGCGAGGCGTAGTACAGCGTGCCCGTGGCGTTGAACAGCCAGTCGCCCTTGTCGGTCACGATGGACTCCATCTTGGTGACCTTCGACGCGTCGCCGTCGGCGAAGCGCATCTGCGTGCCGATGACGTACGGGTGGGCACCCGTCGCGGAGACGAGCTCCGTGTAGGTCGCGCACTGCGTCGTGTCGTAGATGCTGCGGTTGAAGTCGATCTTGAGCGCCTGCGAGAGGATGCCCGTCGCCACGGGCACGGTCTTGAAGTTCTCCGAGTAGGCCACGTCCGGGGAGGCGTCGAGGGCCGTGAAGGACGGCTTGCCGGCGGCCTGGGCCTCGACGTAGCTGCTCGCCGCGGCTTTCAGGTCGTCGCGGGTGCAGGCTGCCGAGGCCGAGGTGGCGGCACCGCCGAGGAGGAGGATAGTGTGTAGGGTTGTCGAGAGCATTGTGATCGATCGGTGTGTTGTTGGGGATTGCGGTATCAGCTTAGGGACATCCAGGGTGATGGATGCTGATGACAGTCGAGTCGGTTGGTCTTGGCGAGGAGAGGGTGCCAACTGGGATCCGGCTATATAACGAAAGACCTGCAGTGCGTGGAGAATGATTCAATCTCCGGGGCTCCGAGAGATCAATTCCCCGGGAAAAGGGGGCTTGCTGGAGACATGACCGGCACTTGGGATATTCAATATGACATCCCTAGGAGACGGAGACCTGATTCGGCCGCGTACCTGGCACTTCCCGCGGGGCAGGGTTATATGAATGTCGTATCGAGGATTGCCCTGGCGTGGTACCTCTCGGAGTGTAATTGCGATTGGATGAGGCTAAAACAACTGGTTGCGGGTGAATCGGCTATGTTGCACGCCCTCGCGGAGGCGCCAGGAGCACCGAAGGGTCCTTCTCGGGACTTGCAGCTGAGGCTGTCTGTGCTGTACAGTTATTTCGTGCAGCTCATTGTAATCCAACCTTCACCATTTATGTACTGTGTTGATATGCTCTGAACTTATCAAGATACTCCGATTTCTAGCCATATACTTTCAAGATCTTCCAGAACAAGGTCAACTTTCAAGACAACTTCACCATGTCCAGTCCCAACTGTCAACTCAGTTCCACCAGTTTTGGGTTTTCTCTAGCCATCAGCATTTGCGGTGACAACAGGGATGAATCGCGGTGAATATGCTGCTCCTTTGGCGGATGATCTTGCTGCTGATCTGTCCCTTCACTCAGCTGTTCCAACCGAGCTACGAGCTTCTTCTGGGTTTTACTGAGCCGCGAAACCCAATAGAAAATTCCAATGATTGCTGCAATCCCAACGCATGAGCTAACAACGATAGCTGCGACAACTCCTGGGCTCAAGCCTGAGTCCCGTGATGACCCGTCATCGCTGGCTATGCTTACAAGCGACGGGATGTTTGTACTCGTGGTCGATGTCGATGTCGCTGAAGAGGAAGGCAACGGCGTAGACGTTGATAACTGCTTATCGGTAATGTTGAAGTAACCTGAAATAAAGTAATGGTTGGACCGATTGCCCTGCTGGCTGGCATCACCTTCACACAGCCAGAAGAAGAAGTGGTTCGACTTTTGGAAGTCCATCGAGTAAGTCTGCACAACCCAGTCGAACTGCGAAACCGGGGATCCACCTTTGATTTCTAAAACAAAACGATCTCAGTAGGACGCCTCTGAAGAGTGGCAACAGGACCTATTATTGCAACCGTCTCACGCAGAGGACTGAACGCTGGACGTGCTTACCGAGAAGTACAGGTCCCAGTGACGAGCCCTTGCCATTGTTCTCTTGCCAGAGCGCGAGGGTAAACTTGGGCATTGCCGTAAACCATTTGATTCTCTGGGTGTCTCCGATGACCAGAACATCCTTTTCGCGCGGGCTTGAGAAATAGTCGGTGGAGCCAAGCGCCACGTGAAACAGGGCGGCGAGGATAGCGAGGCGGCCTGAAGATATCATCGTTGTCTGTCTGGGCATTCTATCAATCTAGTAGATCATGCTCGGCCTTTCTAAAGCGCATACAGCATGAGTAGCGAATAACGAGCAAGAGGGAGGGAAATCAACGAACGAATGGATGAAAAGCTTGGGCATGTGGCCACGATTCGAATCGGCCAGGGACAGCTGAGAGCATATCTTTCATTGCATACGGGCAACCCCTATTATATCATCGCTATTGGGTCAGCACCGGGCCATTGCTTGCCCCTATGTCAGATCCCTATTCACCATGTAAGTTGGCCTGACGTGCTGAGCTGATAGGTGTGAGTACAGAGGTCCCTTGCACATGCAGGAACTTCGAATGTCCATGGAAAGAAGGAAGCGGTTACCAATCAGATAGGGTGAACATGCAGTTCGGCCCCCAGGTGTATACGAGGTGACACGGCTGGCCAGTTGCATTGTGTGGCGCATACCGTTGATTGAGCCGGAACCTCGCATGGTCCGGCCCCCTTCAGATGCGCAATGGCCGTGTTGGCAGTGCTGGTATTACAACCAACATTCTCCCCGCCTTGCCCAAAGCACGCTATGACAGCCTTCAACATGACTGCAGAGCAGAAGCAACGCTGCCAAAAATGAAGCACTCCTAGATGAACATCCGTCCACTTTTCTCAGCACGACTTGGTTATCTTTGGGCAATGCATCACGGTCCAACATCTTGCCTGATGGCTGTATTTTTAAAATCCTGCCCCCCCGCCCCCAAAAGGCCTATCGCTCATATCGGTAACTCCCATTATTCCGATCTCTCCCGTATTTTCAGAATGTCTTATCACTTGGCCTGCCTTTGTGGTGCGCTCGGGGCAAGGCGGAGGAAAGCCACTTGCCTTTCAATCAGACAGGCTGCCGGTTCTATTCCGAGTGGCGACCGAACAACCATCGTCTCCCTCGTCTGCAAGTTTGATTCGTAGGAAGCTCAGAGTTGCCTGGAGCATTGGGCCACTCATGCGCCGTGACAGTTTGCCTTCCTGATTCGCCATCCCCTTTTTGCTTCTCTCCTCATCCCCGGATGCCAATTGGCCCTCTAAACGCGGCGACATGTTGGGCTTTTCAGCTCACCCCGCTCAGGCTTTCTTTGATTCTTCAGGCCAAACCTGCTTTCTGTTCGTGCACCTGCTCTCTTCGCTGCGGTCGTGCAAGCCTGTAGTCAAGCTCGCATTCGTTAAGCCCAAGTGCAACATCTCTCCTCGCCCTCGAGCATTCCATCAACATGCGTCCACAATGGGAGAAGTTCAAAGAAAAGGCCTCGCCGGGGAAAAAGTGCCAGCCAAAGACTCCATCTCTACTGTCGGGAGGTGTCGAGCTGGGCAACGCGAAGAGGGAGGGCTCTGGGCCGTTGTCCGAAGACTCCCCGCCCGATTCTATCTCGGACAATCAGAATGGCGCCGGCATCGACGACGAGCCGTCGGAACTAGTGCAACCAGACTTGAATACGACCCCACAAGCCCGTCTCGAGCAGCCCTCCCGTCCTCCCATTCCCGAACATACGCCCAGCCCATCGCTCCTCCTCATTGGAACACTTTGGAAAGATGCAGCCGATAGCCTTGAAAAGAAAGATCGTGAAAAGGTCGACCTTCTTCTATCCAAACAAGGAATGGAGGGAATGACTGAAGGGTGCAAGGAAAGCTCACCACACGATGGTGAGGATGGCCCACCCGCCGTCGTCAATTCTATTCTTTCCAAGGCAGAGAAGATCAAGAAAGCCAAGAAGGGAGCCTTGGCTCCTGTAGGCCTCATCTCCCCTAGACGCGCAGAATACATGCTGACTACCGGCTCCAGGCAATGGACACAATCATCACCGGGGTTTTGAGATTCAAGTCTCTCGGCGACGCGGCGGTGAAGTTCGACAAGTCTGGCTATGCAGCCCTGGGCTGGTCTGTCCTGTCGTTCGGCCTGCAAGTCGCTGTAAACGAGAAAGGCGCTCGCGAATGCGCCATCTCCAGTATCGAGTTTATCACGGATTTCATGGCAAGATATGCCGAGTATGAGAAGCTGTTCAGAGGGCAAGCACAGCCTGATGGCAAGTTTGACCACCAGCTAGTGCAAGTGTATAAGGCTGTCCTTCTCTACATGGTAGCTTTGGACGAGTATTTGTGCCTACGGAGGCCAGGTTCGTCCTCATCGTCATCCTTAGGCCTGACCTTCCTGACAACTTTTAGCGCGCTATACACGCGCATTTTATGAACCTCATGAACGTGCCATTCAGAAGGGAAAGGACGCGATTGTTTGTGCAGATGCTCAGGCTCAAGCTTGGGTAAGTCTCGAAGAGATGCACCCACTCCCTATATACGTTCTGACTGACTCTCTGGCAGCTTCCCATTGTCACGTCTAGGATTCAAAAGGACAACTTCGCCAACCTTTTGGAAAAGCCCACAACACAATGTTCTCCAGTAAGCTTGCCATGGACACACGATTATTTGGAGTCCTGTCTGAAATCGCTGGCCTTTCTCGAAATGGACGATCGGACTAGGGATATTGATCCCGCTTTTGAGGGTACTTGCGAGTGGCTGTTTAAACACGACATGTACCGGCGCTGGGTTGCTTGTGATCAAGGCCTGCTCTGGATCAAGGGGAAACCCGGTTCGGGAAAGTCAACATTATTGCGATACGCTCTTGATCGTGTCCGTGTTTCTTCCAATAATAGGGATAGAGCTTTTGTTCTCTCATTCTTCTTTCACGGTCGCGGTAACAAGCTCCAAAGGACGCCGCTCGGCCTCTTTCGGTCGCTCCTCCATCAGCTCCTCAGTCGCGCGCCCGATGAGCTGCCGGATCTCAAGGCTGCTTTCCAGAAACACTACAACAGCTTTGGCGAACCGGGCAAAGGCTGGGAGTGGGAACTGCCCGAGCTGCAACGTCTATTCGAGTCAGCAATCGCAAAAGGCTTGGAGAATCGGCCGATCTGGCTATTTGTTGACGCATTAGACGAGACCGGCAGACAGAATGCGGTTGAGTTGATTGGGAAGCTAGAGTCCATGGTCGGGCGTCTCACAGCTACCAAGTTTCCGTTTCGCATTTGCTTCAGTTGTCGCCATTACCCCATTTTGGAGTTGGACTGCAATCATGAAATCTGCCTTGAGCATGAAAATGAAAATGCAATTGCGGCCTACGTCAACCATAAGCTTTCTGGCTTCTCAAGAAGAGCATCATCTGTGATTCCAACTTTGATTATCAGTCGCGCAAATGGTATCTTTCTGTGGGCGTCTCTCATGGTGGAACGGGTTCGGGCCCATGAGCGTGACGGTGATGGATTGTCGAGGATCGAAGACGAGATCCGTTCTATCCCTCCAGATCTCTATCAACTATACCGCGACCTCTTACGAGGCATGACATCAGACTCACTCAAGTTGGTCCAATGGATCTGCTTTGCCACCCGGCCCTTGTCTTTGGAGGAACTACGATGGGTCATGGTCATCGACGCCGATTGTCCCTTCAAGTCCCTGAGGGAGTGCCAGAACGCAGGGGATTTCCCAAGCACTCCCGACATGGTGGAGACGAGACTTAAAAGGCTAACTTGTGGTCTTGCTGAAGCCGTGGGGTCATACAAGACAAAGGTTGTGCAATTTATTCATCAGTCGGTCAGGGACTTTTTCATCGACCAAGGCTTATCAATCCTCACTGGGTCCCGCAAGTGGGTTGCACACTGTATCCGCCAGTCGGCCAGGGACCTTCCAAAAACTCTTCAAGACCATTTTATCGAGAAGAGCCTATCAGCTTTACAAGTCAGTCCAAATATGTCAGCAACTTTGGTCGGGTTTGCTGCGGTGTTCATGTTGTACGTGGACTGCTTCATCAGGGTTCATCGAAGCCTCTTGCCGCATCAGGCTTTCCCGTTACCTGCCGTTCTCGCTATCGTCACTGCTTTCTGGCTGCACGAGGCGTCAATAAAGGCCGCAAAAGCCAAGTTCGCAGTCGGGACCGCACACTATCGGCTCTCTAGGACCTGCTTGCACTACCTGGCAATGGAGGAGATAGCACTTTCAACAAGCTATGGTAGAGATGGCCTTGAGTCTCAGTTTCCGATGCTACTCTACGCCACCGAGTCATGGGTGGAGCATGTACGACAAAGCGAGGAACACGGGATCTTTCAAGGAGACCTTCTGGGCCACTTCTTGCCATCCAAAGACCATTTCCATCGCTGGGTGAAGTTCCACCGTATCATGCAGTTGCAGCCATTCGACTGCCCATCAAAAGGAATGCGTATGATTCACATGATGTCGGCATATCAGTTGATGGGACCCTTACAGATGCTGTTGCAAGAAGCAGACAAGGCTGGCACTGGTGTTGATGAAAGGGATGGGGATGGCAGAACACCGTTGTCATGGGCTGTCTCAAGAGGGCATGAGGCTGTCGTTCAGCATCTGCTGGATAGAGGGGCTCAGGTTCATGCGGCTGATTGGATGGCCCAGACACCATTGTATTGGGCTGTTCAGACAGGGAATGGTGCTGTTGTGCAGCAGCTGCTTGATCGAGCAGGTAAGCTTACTAAAGCTGATATATGGGGCCAGATGCCATTAATTTGTGCTATCGAGAGAGGGGATAAGGCTATCGTGCAGCAGCTTCTTGATCGAGGAGTTGATGTCGATAAAGGTCATCGAGTGGGCGTGACGCCATTGTGTTGTGCTATCCAGGCAGGGAATATGACCATCATGCGGGAGCTTCTTGATCGAGGAGCAAATATCGACAATGGTGGTCAATGCGCCCAGTCGCCATTGTGTTATGCTATCGAGAGAGGGGATGTGGTCATTGCGCCCATCGTGCAGGAGCTGCTTGATCGAGGAGCAAATATCGATAAAGGTGATCGATTGGGCGTGACGCCATTAATACGTGCTATCGACAGGGGGCATAAGGCCATCGTGCAGGAGCTGCTTGATCAAGGAGCAGATATCGAGACTGGTGATGAATGGGGTAGAACCCCATTGTGGTGGGCTGTCGAGAGAGGGGATAAGGCCATCTTGCAGTTGCTGTGTGATCGAAAAGATATTCTTTAAAAACCTTAGTTATATGCTGGGCTATCGATAGCAGTTATAAGCCACATGCAACATGCAATTACTTGACCGAGAAGCCAAGGCTGACACTGCTAAACGGCTATAGCTATTCCTTATCTCAGCTGGTTGGTACTCATCAATATTTCTCCTCCGATTTGTTATCGAATAAAGGCCTCGTAGGTCATGTATACACAATTATTTTCCACCACTTTATAATTGATTTTATTCCATTCCGCACCGCCCCTCTCCTCTACAGAGCACTGTATGTCTTTTCACATGCGCCCTGGTTTGGGCACGCCGTCGCGTTCAAGTGAAAGTCATTCTGCTAGGGAACCTTTTTCGTTCCCATCTCACTGATGACATCACTCATATGCAGTCTTCCATCGCTGTCGAGTATGGCATGCAGACTAGCGACACCCAAAGCCTTCACCCTAGTGAGCATGAATTGCTGAGCATGACTAAGCCTAGACAAGGCTTGGCTAATAAGATGACAATTTTGGAGTAGCTGGCGAAGATTGCGTTGAGGCTTTGGCCTCTCCATCAGGTCGCCGCTTTGCTGATTTCTGTCAAGTGTATATATACAACGATGGTTCTTCACAATAGATGCTACACATTAGCTTCTGCAGGAAGTAATTACATCTCCAGCAGGCATAACACCTTTAGATTATAGTGGAATTTTCTGCATGGGGGATGTCCTCCAGCTGCGACAGCTGACACGAACAGTTCTTCGAGTGGACATTTCAGACAACCGTCTTAATGCTCTCCTCAACGGACTCTTGGCATATTGTTATTACGGGCGAGTCGGTCCAAAGTATTGTTGAGATCCTGCTATGAAGTGCTTCAGAAGGAAGTTGACGGCCGTTCGCGCCTCCAAACCCGCATACTCAAGCGCTCCACCAAAACCCACGCAACGTGTCTTTGTTTGATCTGTGGCCTGCAAGACTATTCTCGACACTGGTTAGGCTGGTTGCGAATATTGTTTCTTGAATGAAAGTGGTTAGGGGATGTTCTGGAATGTTACTCTTTTCGTATAGGCGATGATGTACGTCGTCCAGGATGTTTGTTCTTCTGTACTTGTATTTGTGGAATCGTTGTGCTTCCCTGCGGGTCGCATGGGTGCATAACATCGTGATAACTGTAGTCGCTCTCACTACACATGTACCGGTACCAGCACCATTTGCATGTAGAGGGGGGATACCTAGCATATAGCCGCTGAAGAAGAACAACAACAACAACAACAACAACAACAACAAGGTGGGGCTCCGGCATGATCGGCAAGGGGCGCAACGATGGTGGATATGATTTCACGTAGACATCATGCATGAGCTACTACATCTTCTAGAGCCTTTCTTTTCCCAGACACAACCTGCGGTGGATAGGACCTCCTTTATCTACCCATTCCAGACTCGGCTCAAACCAGGACCGTATCAACGCAGCCTTACGAACAAGGAAGGAAAATGCCGAGGGTAATCCGGAATTGTGGAGTGCGATAATTGGCTGGAAAACATTGCATAATATTCTAAGAAGTGATTGATTCTTAGTCATGAGATTCAGTATTGAGGAGCTCAAGGATACAAATCCTAGGAAAGAACCAACCATGCTGCAAAGCCACTATTTAAGCCTACCACGCTGCTTCGGTCCCTCTATATATCTCTTAGTATCCCATCCACATATTCCCTTCCGAACCCCCGATCCTATCAGGGCTGGGACCAAACGAAGATCTAAAAAGACTTGAGAACTGATCCATCGTCTGAGGGAACGATGCGAAGTCCCAGTCCAGAGGCGGCGGCGGCGCGGCGGTAGGTGTCATGACCTGCATCGGCGTTGTCCCGGCGCGCGCGTAGTCCCCACCATTGACACCCCCGCCTCTCGCTCCGTACGTCATCAGAGGCGGTGGCGGGATCGGCCCGGACGCGATGTCGGACATGACCCTGTCGAAGCTACTCCCGCTGCCACCGCCGCCGCCGCCGGGCCGTCGCGTCCCGCCGAACACGCTCTCGCCCACCACCGCACTGCTCGACGGCGAGTCGTTCTGCCACAGCATCTCCCACTTCTTGAACCGCGCGTAGTCGGACTCGGCCCCGGGCCCAGCCCCACTGCCAGCGCCACCCTCCTCCGCGGCGTCCAGCCGCGCGATGGCGCGCTCAAACACCTCGATGAGGGAGACCTCGGAGCGGGCGGACTCGCCGCCGGCGGACATGATCTTGATGACGGCGATGCCGTCCCGCAGGGACTGGCGCAGGCGGTCCGTGCGGCTGCGCAGGCACTGCGTGATGATGACGAGCAGGGCCACGCGGCAGGAGCTGAACTCGGTGTAGGAGGCGCGCGCGGCGCGGACGCCGGCGCGCAGGACCTTGCACGTGTCGATGACCTCAAGGGCGGCCTCGACGCAGTCTGCGACCAGGGCGGACCTGGAGTCTGCTCTGCGCTGCGGGGTGGCGGCTTCTTGTTGCTGTTGTCGTGGTTGACCCGGTGTCTCGGTCTGTCGACTCTGTGGCTGGATCTGTGTGGCTGGCGAGCTGGACGCGCTGGGGTTGCTCTGGGTGGGGACGCGGAGGAAGATGAAAGGGCGGCCGGCGAACATGCGGACTAGGCAGTATTCGAGCCGCAAGTGTATCTCGGAGCGGGTGACAGGGTACGGTTGTGGCGAGGATGTGATGTCTTTGCGGCAGAGTGCCTCAGGGAGTGCGTCCCACCATTTGTGCACGTCGTTTTTAAGGTCGACTAGTCGCGCGAGGGTGTCGAATGTGCTGTGCCTGGATTGGGGTTTCAGGCCCGAGATCTCTTGCGCTATCCTGCTCAGGAGGCTGTGGAGTTGAAGGGTGGCGAGCATGGCTGGGATCTGGCTCGGTGTGGAGGATGGCCAGAGATCCAGACGCTCGACTGGCATATCGGCATCGACGTCGCTGCTCGCTATTGATATCGGCCGTCCGTGGAAGATGCCGACACGTCTGGGGAATGATGAGCTGCGGACTGTGGAGCAAAGCGGTGTGGACGATGCTTTGACTTACCGTTCGGTAGTGTACGCTGTCCACCATACGCGACACCGCGTTTCCTTGAGCATGGGATCCAGCCCCTCGCCCAGGTATCTCCGATGCATGCCGTTCTGTATGGCGAGCTTGACGGCCATGTTGAGATAGATGTATGACAGGCCGGACGGGTCGAGAGGCAACGTGTAGATCCCGATGAGCAGGCACGCCTGCACGCTCTCCAGCGAAGACACCGTAATGACATCGGGTACTAGCTTACACGCCTGCTGATAAAACATGACGCCTATCGCGTCCTCGGTGAAAGGACCAGTATGGTTATCTCCATCGCTGCTCGTCGAAGAGGCGAGATAGGCGTACTGGGTGCCAATGGCAAGGATGATGAAGATCATGCACACGGTCCCGACGTCCCTGCGGGTCAAGATGGCGGCGTTGCCGTACACGATATCGAGCTTGTCGAGTAGCCAGCCGCGCTCGACGTAGAAATAGTTAGTCTGGGCGTGCTTGAAGAAGGCCTGCACCAGAAAGTCGGCAACATGGCGCGGAGGAAGCGCAGTCAATGATGTGAAGGTATCGGATGCGGTTTGAAGCTCCTCGGGACGGTAGTACTCGCGGTAGGTGGGCGTGTCGGTGTCATTCTAAAGACTTGTCAGCAAGGCGAAGCACCAATTGTGTATGCCGCATGGGAACGTGCGTTTGGTTGCTGCTCTGGAACGCATTGCTCAATCCATTGTTTTATCCTCATGGAGAAGTTCCAGTGTGAGAACTCGCCGGAGTAGTCTGCATCTATTTTAGTGCGAAGGAAGTCGAATCGTGCAAGGTCATAGCTGCTGCTCACGAGTGATGTTGTTTTCGAGAGGCTTCACAGTGAAGTTCTCCTCCTCTGCCCCGAGGTAGTCGGACGCCTGTGATACAGACGTCCCGCCAACAGCTGGCGGCGGACTGCTCCGGTCCACAGCCATGGCAAGACTTCGGAGGTTATCCGGATCGAGGTTGATGTCTCCGGCGTAGTGCTGGAGAAGTCTCTCCAGATCCTTCACACGGGCCGCCAGCTCATCATTGCCAGGGCCAAGGCTGTGTGCTTGCGATCTTCAGCCATGAACGAATTGTTAGCCTCGCTATCAAAGGTCTACTGCGTCGGGAGACGACTCACCCTCTGGCCGATGCAACCTCCGTGGCCGGGCCGCCGGGTCGGGCGACGCCTAGCCCTAAGAACTCGCATTTCCTGCGTAAGCGAGCGCATCTCCGGCACGGAACCCCGCCGTCGCACTTTTCCTTCTGTCGGCGACAGCCATCGCATCTACATACAACGGCGATCTGTTAGCATGGGCTTTAGTTTCGTCCCGGATCTGCGGCAATTTCGCAGGTGCTAGCGCGAGACGCAAACGTACGCTCTCACCGCCCGTTTGCGGTCCCGGTCGGCGATGCGCCGTGATTTCTGCAGCTGCTGAGCACTTTGGAGATCCTCGGACGACTCCATGAATACATTGCCGCGCGTGGGCGGGGTACGGCCGGCGGGAGATCTTTCCCCAGGAGTGAACGACGGTGATATTTGCAGGGGTGACGCAGCCATTCATTCACTGCCGTGACTCGGAGGAGAGGAGGAGTGAGGATGACGGGTAACTTTAGGACATCAGTCCCATTCAAGCATCTCTCTAGCCGACTTTCTGGGCTGATAAGCGCCTTACTAGCGGGCCCAGTTCGTCGGCGTTGAGGGCCCCATCTGTGTACAAGTAATTACAGACTTTACCTACTGGACTAGGCCTTGACCGAATGCGGGGAACATCCACGGCTGCCTGGCTCACCACACAGAAGAGGATCTACAAGTAGACCCTGTTCCTGGTGGCTATCATCTAAGAACGTCCAGCAATATCATAGCCATCATGAATAATGGCTCAACCGCTCGCAAGTAGCATCGTCTTCTAGTGTCTACGCGAATTGCCCATCAAAACCTTCCCTCCTCGAAGCGCGGTTAATGAATCTTCAGGGGACGATCCTTGCGCCCAGCTCTCTCCTTGCTTGTCTTGGAGATTCTTCGCAAGCCAGTCCATTCGGATGGTACGTGCACAGATAATCGCCGCCGTTACTTTAGTCGAGAGAAGAATCTCAGGCACGTCATGTCCGCTGGAAACTGTCATGATATACTGATCTTGCTTGTCCGGCACTGTGAGAAAATATCCATTAACCCAAATGTCCTATAGGAAGGTTGAAAAAGTTGTCACTTACTACCAGTCCAGAATCAAGACCTCCTTAACCTCTAACTCTGAAACCATCCAGTCGGAAAGTACCGTTGTCTGTATCCATCCAGGCGTGACGCCGTCTTTTCAACCACGCGCAGTACCGAGCCACCGACCCTTGTTGTGCCAGAAATACTGCATCGCGCCGGTGACGACATCGCTGCCGTTTGATGACGGGGGCTCACCACTCCATCCTGGACCAACTTGCGATATGCTGCCTCCTTCTGGTTTGCATGCTTTCGATCAACATAGATGTCGAGCACTCTCGTCGGGTGAAAGTCAGCCCAAGTTCTTGCAACGAGCGGCTAACACATGCGAGACTTCAAGCTCTGGGGCTGCTTCCGACCAAAGTGTGCGTACTTGGGCACATTGAAACATGTGTCAGGCTTGACATCTAGTCTCTAACCATTCATTGAACTGCTTTATAATCGTGTGTGATCGCGAGGGATTGTATAGCCGGTACAATAGCAAATAGTACACGGTCGGCCGTCTCTCCAGCCCCGGACCACTTTGACAGGGTGGGACCGGGGAGCTGACCGTGTTTTGGTGGGGATTCTTTTGTGGGACCGGCAAATTGCCGGTCGGATTTGCCGGCCTCTCTGATGCCATTGCCGGTCGACACGCTCCCATCGAGAGCTTGCGGGCAATACGAGGCGATAATGCTATCAGTGATATCGCCGGAAATAGCGATAAGGAGCGCGATAGACATGATTAGATTCGTTATCAGCTTGGGGCCGAATTGTCTGTCAGGTTCGATCTTATCTCCTGGCGGCCTTCCTGAAGCCGTGACAATCTGGCTCCTTTCCAAGGAAGGCGATGACGCATCTTGGCAGACAGGTTCGAATACGACTTCTCACTTCATGTCGTACGATATGCACTCTTGAATCTGGTGTCACTAAAAATCACTACCGCAAGGATCTCACATCACAATAAAACCGTCAAGTCGTCTACTTTGGAACTCTTCCTGTATTTGCTCTCTAAGTATCTATTTACTGCAGGCTAGAAAGGACCTGGTCTAGGGGCTCAATCAAAGTAGGAACTGTCATCACTGTCAGTACGATATCATTCTAGTTGTAAACAAAGATGAAACTCACTATGTGCCTCCTCGAAGATGAGCATCGGCCGGAATCGGACGGTCTGGACGCCGCAAGTGCCAACATTGACACCGCGGGCTTTCATGGCTTTGACGAGGGCTCCAGCATCGACAGTGTCGAAAGCAAGATAGGTCCTATATCTTGTTAGCTCACTCGCATGAGGATTCTGATTGCACCATGGCCTTACCCTTGACCCTTGCCGCGGAGGTTCATCACCAGCGTGGGATACTTGCTCGCCAACTTTTCGAACTCAGCGTAGAGCACCTTTCCAACTCGCGCCTACATTTTCACAATCAGCCCTGGCTTGCTTACAATCAAGGATTTGTCACAAGTCTTACGCATTGCGAAACGAGATCCTTCTCCAGAATCTCGCCAATAACAGCCTTGCTCATGATGACACGGGCGGGATCACCGATCCAGCTGGGCAAAGTCAGTCTCGCACAATTTGCCCATCCCTATCTGATGACTCACGTGTTGAACTGGCGGTACGCCTTGTCCGGCACTAGCATACGATCGCCAAAGAAATAGCCGGCCGTTTGTGCCTTCTTGGAGAAGGTCACGATATCCGGCGGCGACGTCAGGTTCCAGTGCTCGTGACCCCAAAATTTGCCGGTGGCGCCGAACCCGGTCTGCACCTCGTCGACGATCATGACGATGTTGTGCTTCTTGGTGAGGTCTCGCAGACCCTGGAAGAACTCCGGCGAAGCATGGTTGTCGCCGCCCTCGCTCTGGATCGGCTCGACAATGACGGCCACGACGGGAAAGTGCCATGACTTGATGAGGTTCTCCACCTCGAGCAGGCAGCGCTGCTCCTCGGCCTTGTTCTCTTCAGCGTACTTCTCCAGCGGGTATCTCAATTTAGGGAACGGGGCGTGGGGCCAGTCGAAAGAGGGGATGTCGAGCTTGTGAACGGCCTTGGATCGGGTGGTAGAGAGACTGCCGAAACCGCGGCCGTGGAAGGAGTCGGTGAAGCTGAGAATGGCCAGGTCAGGGGATCCAGGTTTGGTGTTGGAAATGCAAGATGCGACCTCCTCGTCAGTCCACTCGGCACCCTCTCCACGCTCCCGTCGGCGATAAAGCATCATGGATGCCTTGTACGCAAGCTCGTTGGCCTCTGAGCCAGACTGAGCCGTGAAGATCTTGTCAAGGCCTTTGGGAGCAACGCGCAGAAGGCCATCGGTTAGCAGGTCGGGCCACCTGCTGGAAGGAAAGTTGCCAACCGCGGGTCGGTTGACGAGGGCAGAGATCATCTCGGGAGACTTGGCGGCCTCGATAAGTGTAGCATTGTTGTACCCGACAGGAATCGAGGCGATTTGGGAGTACCTAGTCAATTCTAGGGGTTAAAATTGGGCACTTCGTCGCATGTGGACAGTGAACTTACACATCGAGATAGCGGTTGCCGTCCACGTCGACGATACTGCCCGCTGTTAGTATCCGTACACAAACACTGGCGTGGTGTGGCGTGCGGCACATACTAGTTGCCAGAGCTCTTGTCGTAGTCGACGACGAAATGGATAGCTCGCGCATCAAAGAAGGCGTCAAGGCGCTTCGATGCTGCCTTGGACAGCGGGCCAGGCACCTCCGTGGCGACGGAGTTCTCAAGGACGGCAGGCATTCTGACGACGATGGATACACAATGCTCGATATTGAGAATAACGGGATGGAAAGGAAAGTGTAGATAGACTGTAGGCCTCAGTCGTTCAATCTGGTTATTCTTCTTTGTAAATCGTTTTCAAAGTGAAGACGGAGGGCCATTTACATGTGATCTCCAGAGGGCTGGGCCGGATGCGGGGAGACAGCTCACGCTTAGGGCGGCTCTAGACCGGATGTCATCTGCTACAGGATGTGACTCTGTCTCTGCCACTTCCGGACGCCAACTTTGAGGAGAGTGCTACTCAATATCCGGCTCGGAGTCAGGCGCCCATGGTAGATCGGAAGCGGGGCTCGTCACTTGGTGTGCGATGCCACCATGGCCGGCCCGTGTCGTGTAGCACCCCGGGCCGGACCATCTATCTACGACGCTAGAATTCACGTTGAACGATGCCGGTCTTGTGACAAGATATCCAATGCGTCATTACTCTTTTGTATCAAATAGATTTTTTGAGCGAATAATTAAACTCACATCAAAGGAGTATCGTTGCTGTCTATCGCAACGTCAGCTCTTTAATAAACAAGGGCAACATCGAGTTGACGATCATCAAAGCATTAGAAAACTTTGCAGTGAGAAGGTTCTAATTTGCAAGTATCATTTGAGACGTCTCTATATGAAAGATCGAGTACATAGGTACTAGCTCCTTTAGAAGGTGGACATCACCCAGGTCAATTATCGCAAGTTATGGATGATCGGAGAGTGCTATTGCAACCTCAAAGGGTTTTACGTGTTGATACCCGTCATGATCATCTTCGTGATAGTAAACTCATCAATTCCGTACTTGCTTCCCTCACGTCCAAACCCGCTCTGTTTCACACCACCAAAGGGGGCGGCAGGATCGCTGATCGCACCTAAGATAGCGTTAGTTATTGCGGCTCCGAATGTACATTACTTTGCCACTTACCGACGTTGACACCAACCATGCCAACCTCGAGAGCCTCCGCCACCCTCCAGCAGCGTCTTGAATCTTTACTGAAGAAGTATCCAGCCAGGCCAACTTCGGAATCATTCGCCAGCTCGATCGCCTCTTGCTCGGTGTCGAAGGAGAAGAACGCCGCAACAGGGCCAAAGGTCTCTTCACTGCATACCTTCATCCCGGGCTTCATATCGGCCAGGACCGTAATGTTGAAAAAGTTGGGGCCCAAGTCCGACAGCGGTTCTCCACCGAATACGACGCGTGCACCTTTAGAGACTGCATCCTTGACATGGTCGTGAACCTTGTTCGCGGCACGCGCATGAATTAGAGGCCCGTGGGTCGTTGCCTCATCAAGACCGTCGCCAATCTTGAAATTCTTCACAGTGTCGACCACTCTTTGCAGGAAAGTCTCGTAGATGCTGGAGTGAACCAGAATCCGATTGGCACACACGCAGGTCTGGCCAGATATCCGGAACTTGGACGCAATTAGACCGCGCAGCGCAACGTCAAGATCTGCGTCCTCAAAAACAATGAAAGGAGCGTTTCCGCCCAGTTCAAACGAGAGCTTCTTGAGGGTTGAAGATGACTGGTTCATCAAAAGCTTTCCCACGGCCGTAGAGCCGGTAAAGGAAATCTTCTTGACAATAGGATGCGTTGTGAGGACCTTTCCGACTTCCACGGTATTGTCCAAGGCCGTAATGACGTTGAAAACACCGGCCGGTATTCCCGCACGATGAGCAAGCTCTGCGAGGGCCAGAGCGCTCAGAGGGGCCTCGCCCGGGGCTTTGATAACCACGGAGCAGCCAGCGGCCAGAGCTGGGCCGACCTTTCGGGTGATCATAGCAGCAGGGAAGTTCCAGGGCGCGATCAAGCCGCAGACACCAATTGGCTCTTTCAGTGTGATCAGCCTGCAGTCGGGGTTGCTAGCCTGGATGGTGTCGCCATAAATCCGAGGTGCCTCTTCCGCAAACCACTCAAGGAATGAAGCCGCGTACTTGACTTCGGTGCGTGCATCTGCCAGGGGCTTGCCATTCTCCAGAGTGATGATGAGGGCAAGATCCTCGATGTTCTCCATCATGAGGTTGAACCAGGCACGGAGCAAATTGGCGCGCGCACGTGCAGGCGTCTTCCGGTACGACTTGAAGGCGACATCGGCGGCCTTGATGGCAGCTTCTGTATCCGCGGCACCAAAGTCCGGACATTGGCCTACCTCTGCGCATGTTGATGGGTCTGTAGAGACGTTGGTCAGTCGTTGCTGAGTGGAAATCGTGAGGGCGAGACTCACTGTCAACGGCGAAGAGCTTGCCAGACTGGGCTGGAAGCCATTGTCCGTTAACATAGCATTGCTGCTTGAACAGCGACGAGTCTTTGAGCTACGTGAAGAGCATGAGATCGCTATCTCTCAACCGGCAGAAGAGCGTGTGACAGTTCATACCTGGGATGTCATGGTGAATGCAGGTGCTTGCAATGACGCGTGATACAGGATTGTCTCGCGGAGTCAGATGTTGCCTCTGCGGCAGCCTTTCTTCAATTGAGTGACGCAGCTTGGCTGCCAGTGACTTTTATCGTTAGCGGTTGTAATACACTGTGCCGCAAGTTTCTGGAAACCGGTCCTGGTAGGCAAGACTCTGAGTATCGGCCACTACCCTAGCGCCGCCGAAAATCGCATGCCTTATCAATTCGTTGTCGGACAATACCCGAAGGAATGGGGGGACCGGCTTTATCACGACCGGATGCAGCTTGCCGGGCCCACCGCCGGCCCTGGATCTCTAATAACAGTTGGGCCTCCGTTCCCAGCTATTAACACCGCACTAGTCCGGCTAGTAAAGAGCTGACGATTCACAAGGTGCATGCACCATAAGAGCCAAGCACAATGAGCCAAGGACGAGAGAGAACGCGGGGAAGATCGTCAGAATCTTGGCTTTCCCGGTCCCGTCTGATCAGCAACTTCGACGCCATATGAAAACCCTAATGGGACCTGCCTCACCCCAGCCCTCTCTGTCAAGATGCTCCTACTGCAAAGCTCGCTCGAGACAATTTCACACGACGAAAAGTGGTCAAAATCGATGAGAGACTGTTGCGACTTCTTCGTACACTTGATTTCGAGGCCGGCATCTTCTCTGGTATGTTATTCCTGTCAGCAACAGTAGCTTCGTGAATGGCGCCATCAGCCGCCACTAGAAAGCCGTCTACGAAAGTCGTTTGCGGCCCTCAAACGATTGGCCTCGTTATATCAAGACCTTTGCCAGCAACAGGGCCGTCACCCGGTTCGTCACGGTGCCAGCGGTGTTGATACCCAATACCTTCTTTGCTCTCCTAAAGCAGGCGCGCCAAGGCCGAGAGGAGATGCTCGAGACAGAGTGGGGGTGCATTCAGGGTACCTGACCTTCCGGCGAGGTCAAAGATCTGTGCTATGGCTGGAGAATAGGTGTGGTACTAAGTAGTGAAGCAAATATCGCCTTGGTGAGTGGTTGGAACTTCTTTGGTCACAGCAACTAGATGGCTTCAGACATCAACGCTATACGCATTCAGTGCTACTATGGCATAGCTAATGAAGGAAGAATGTTCGAAATGGTTGGAAGTCTCCTCTCCATATCGATCATATCTTGTGCTCCTCCTGCCTGATCGAGGTAGTCACCTTGATAGACTTGGACCTTGTTTCTCTGCTTGGGCCCGTGAGTTCCTCATCGCTACCTCCTCCCCTGCTCGGCCACTCGGAAACGACATCTCGGGTCCAAGACTTGTCGTGGAGGTCATTCCTGAACTTCCCGGACCGGGACTCCTCCTCGTCTTCGATTCGGTAGGCGTCGTCGTCGCCCCTCATGAATGTTGTCAGCGAGAACGGAGCACGGCTGCGAGGCTGGCTGCCTCCGCTCTTGGGTTGGCCGCGGTACCCAGATCCGAGTTGGTCTGAGCTTTGGAGTCCGGATTTGTTCGTGGTCAGGGTGCCAAATTTTGCGGCAAGGATGCGGAGCAATGGTCGTAGGGTGGCTAGGCTGCCCGCAGTTACGGCTAGGCCTTGTTCCGTAGTGGACCAGAGCGCGATGTCGAGAGTAGCCCCTAAGTATAGCGTCAGCTCCTGGCATTGTATCGGACTTTCTAGCGGAACTTACAAAGGAAGTCGGGGTTTCTAAAGTCCTTGACGAAGGGGAATCGCACCACGACGGCGGAGCTCGCGCTATTATTTTGATCAGTATTGGACTTGGACCAGGGCACAGAAGCAACAACTTACACACACGCCATCGCCATGATGGGGATCAAGGCGATCTTGCTCCTCCGGTCCATATTCAACTTCCAGACCAAGAACATGGGAAGGATGGCGCAAGTAAAGTCGGAGATGACACTGAACACGCTGTACAGGTACGTGAGTGCAATGATGACCTCAACGTTGATGCACGACCCCTCTTGGTCCCTGTTCCAGAAGAAAGATATCGGCCGGCACTGAAGCAAGGTGACGAAGAAGAAGATGGCTCCGGTCAGAACGGTGATGCACATGGTGCCGTACACGAGGAAAATGTCGATCCTCCGAACTGTGATTCGAAGGAGGAAGTAACCGATGGAGATCTTGGACGTAATCATGGAAAGGCAGTACCAGAGATAGCAATACCACCAGTACTAGCAGTCACTATTAGTGCGTGCTTGACCAATTGCGATAAACAGGATTTCTCACCATCATTGCTTGTTTGAAGTCCTCGGCATCCAAATCCGCGCGGTGCCGGCCCGTTCCATAATGAACACCAACCAATGCGAAGCTAACAAACAGAGAGAAGAAGATCTCCAAATGGCAACTGTTAGCATTGAAGGGAGGTCAGCCCAGTCCGGAGCGGAGCGACTCACATAGGCAAAGACCATCAAATAGTCGTCAATGCCGAAATTCTTGACAATGCATGTTCTCACATAGACCCTCAGAGAAATGGCGATTGTCGCTGCCGTGATGAGGGTGTAGCAGACGGCTTGCAGCTCCGGGCCTCGATTCTCGATTGCCATGGCTGCTCGCTACTGCTGTGCCGCCGGGAAGACCTTGGGAAAGCCTGTCTGACAGGGTAGAAATAAACGGCCCTGTCTGTCAAGCAGCAGAGGCGCCTGTCAGATATATGAACCGTTTCCAAGTCCCAGAAAATTTAGACTACATGCCGCATTCCGCTCCAGAAGTGGGTAAGGGGAACACACCAGACTGAGGATTGTAGAGAGGAGGTCCACACATGCAGACACTGGCGTGCGGTCAGACTCGCCTATCTTTTGGTAAGCATCGCTCATCCTGCGATGGCGATGTACTCCATGCATGCTGACTGCCGAGTGCGATTATCGGTTTTCTGCTCCAGAATGGGTTAACGAGACCACGAAGCAGGTGGTATTTTGTGGTGCAGGGGGTGTCTCCAGTTCGCGAGACGGGGCATCGTGCCTCGGCGGGACAGGGAACTGGGGTTGGGAGACTTGACCTATGGTGGTGCTGACCATCCACTCCGAAGGCAATTTCTGGAAGAGTCGGCCCACCGCAAGCTCCATCGCCAAACCATTTGCATGTGCAATAGTCAGGGGCAAGCATCAAGTCTCGTGGTAGTCAATGGCTAAGGTGTTTCATGCTGGAAACCCCGCAGGAGAGTCAACTGCGACTCAAGCACGAGGCCATGTTCTTTGAGGGAGAAATGCTACGTTCTGTGGCATTGACATGTTTTGTGCGGATCTTTCAGGGGTTAGACTTGGGGAACCACGTGGTTTGCACAAGATGTCGGGTCTGTCTCGCCATTGTTGGGAACGTGCCGCTCCGCATCGACACGCAGACGATCGTGGAGATATCAATAGCTTCTATATCCACTCAGCTGACGAACTCTCAGGTGAGGCTTCAATTTCACGTTGCTATTGGCATCCACTCCTTGGGTGCCACAATGGTTCTTTTTTGCTTTGAAGCCACTCTTGATCCGCACCGCATCAACTTGAAGAGTCTGGCCTCCCAAGCCGGCGACCACTACCAGAGTGGTGGATACGGGAATGGGTCTACGCCATGACCTCCGCCCCCGACACGCACGCCGCGACACCAGACTAGGGCCGCATCTTCGTTGGATGTGGCTGATCCCTCTTTCCCTCGGCAATTTTTGCTGTAGATAATTCGCCGAAGTCGAATCTGGACCAGAAGAACCTGACTCGAGATCCATCCAACATCACATATCAGAAATCCAGTCGAACGACGGGTCGATGGGAATAATGGGAATAAATCGTGATTTCTCCACTTGCGAGTTCTCGCCACCGCTCGCTCCCCCTTTCATGTCAAAGCGGCACTCCCAGCGCCCAGAAAGCCTCATGCTTGGCTGTGCACTAGTTAAGCGAATTCTCCGCATGGGATCATGTTGAATGTGCTTCAGTCTATCTCAAGCTTCTCCTCATGATACGTGATATCTAGCGACACAACCTTATTAGCCCCAGCTGATTTCGGACACAAGGACTAAGACTTAAGTAGGTACTCTTGATCGCCCACGGATCGGCAGATCTTCTCTTGAAGCCCAATTTCCCGTCAAACTCAATGTAGCAAAGCGGGTATGAGTACGAGCCAGGCCAGCCACTCACTGTCGAAACCGATAGAATTAGCATTCAGACCAGGCCAGTGTCGCAAATACGCGAAGGTTTGTCCTCGTCTCCTTGATTGTCCTGCACACTGAAGTACAATGAGAAGAGCGAGACTTACTGCTCGTCGGCTGCCCTCGAAGGCAGATGCCGTTGTAGAGCCTGTCTTTCGACACTGGTTCCTCGTACTACTCGCCCTCGCCGAAGAATAGCACAGACAACACTGTCCCACAACGAGTTGGGAAAAGAGAAGCGGCTACTTCCGTTGTTGAACTGAATGTTGCCAGAGCTATCCTACCACACTGCGGGCCATCTGTGATGGAGAATGTGTAGTTGCGCTTGAACACCCAAATGTCACGCACTGGTATCTGTAGGACGTCAATACAACTTCCCAATGGACCACCAGGGGAACCCCATGCCCTCATTTTGCGTCTATCGAACTGCATAAAGCCGCAGGGATAGGCATGTCTTCGTCATAGGTAGTGAAGCGCTGCCTTGCGCTGCCCTTCTGTGCACCATCCGTCCACCAGACTGGACTTTCGGGCCAGCTATTGATGATAAAGAATGGATACTCCTTGTCCAGCTCCAGTGATGGGGAACATACAAGGATCGTCCCAAATGACCCTTTCCTCCACGCGATCGTCTATATCGGCACTAGGTCCCAGCAATCTAACATTCGTCTTGAATTTGGAGAGCAATGCTACCGAGAGTGAGCCACAGAATGTCAAGCGATCTCTTCCATCGGGTTCATTGACTTCGACTCAGTTACTCACCAACGCACTGACTATGTACACTGTTCCGGTACGACGGAACGCACCCCTTCCTATTGAATAGAACAAGGCTTCTCGGTCAATTTGGTTCGTTAAGCTTTAATTTGAAGTCTAAGCTATGCAAATTCCCTCCCTCGATTCCAGCAGTGGAACATACACCCGGGCAATGAAGCTGCATCGAATGAGTGAAGGACATAATCGCGTCCAATAATCCTTAGTGTCTTGCCGTCCAGCCACTTTATGCACACTGGGAGTAGTAAGGCGGCGAGACTGCCTTACATGTGAGCCCGGCCTGAAACTGCATGTCAGTACTCATACTAGCACCGCCTTTGTAACTTGGAGTTGTCCACTTACAGCACAGTTAGTGCAGCCAGTGTACCCATTGCCACCGCACTGCTGGAACTGAGCCTGCGCACAAGCCGACCCGCTAGTCGACGACCCGCCGTTGCCGGCATCGGTGCCGCCGCTGCCTGGGTCGGCAGTGATCGCCTTGCCAGTCGTCCCCTTGCCGACCGCGCAGGTCTTCTCGCAGCCGCTCTTGCAGCCCGAGCCGGCGACCTTGGTGGAACCTCCGTCGATGACGGCGGGGCCGGGAGCGACGTAGGTCGAGACGGTCGAGTGAATGTTGATCAGGATACCCGGGTCGCTGGCCTTGTACGCGCCGGGAAACTTGACGGTGCTGGAGGGCAGCTTGCCGCCGCCGCCGCTGACGGTGATCTGGTAGCAGGTCATGTAGAGCTGGGCGCCGCCGGACTGGCCCGCGACGTGGAGGGCGACGACCTCGGCGCGCAGGAGGTAGTCGCCGTCGGGGATGTCGGCGGGGATCTTGACGTCCATGCGGCCGCAGCAGCTGTTGAGGTCGTTGGTGCCCCAGTTGTCGGCGTCTCCGGCGTAGGCACCGGACTTGGCGGACCATGTGTCCTGGAAGATCTTGAACCAGCCTGTCGAGCCGTCCGCCTTGGCGGCATTCTCGACCTTGGTCATGTAGACGAGGACGGGACCGTAGTGAGCGCCACCGATGGCCTCGTTCTTGCAGTTACGGTCGTTGGGTTGCTATGCAGGGCCATGACGTTAGCTCAACGAGAGGGAAAGTCTAGCTCAAGGTATCGTACCGCGTGCATCTCGACCGTCACGGTTCCACCGGCTTTGACGGGGCACTTCCCGGCAACTCCCCTGGCGCCCCCAACGTTGCATCTAACATCGGCGCCTCCAACATTTGTCACCGGATTGTTGTTGAGTGGGACACGAGCACATTGGGTGCCGTGCTAAGAGTGTCAGTACCCAGGCTTCTTTCTTTGTTAGCCGGCCAGGTGAGACTTATCATATCAACACCGTCAACCCACAGTTGCTGGAACATGGAGTGGGCAGCAACATTCTGGACAGCTAACACTGCAATCGTGGCGAAGAACGTCGACTTCATCGTGCCGGTGATCAGTAGTCAAGATGGCGATGAGTGGGGGGACTGGGCGAGAAACGTCACAACATTCCACGAAATACCAAGGAGGACTGCCCCCATGAGGCATATTATATCCCTCCACGAAATCAACGAGTCCAATCAAGGTGGGTATATAACCGGCATATCATAGTATCGGCCCTGTTGAGAACGATGGGGTTACCTTTTAATCAGTGTGCCGGATCGCAGTCAGCCTTCACCACAGAGTGCCTAGGCCTTAGGCTCCCACTACGCTTCCGCAGGATCACACGCAACGCCGAGCACATTTCTTCCTTGGACCTCCATATGCCGTGGGGCACACGGCCAAAGAGGACACCCTCGGGCCAAAAATCAACATCTTTAGACTGGAGTGCCAGGAGGCAACCCCCATGTCTGCCCCAGGATTGAGCCGTCTTGAAGGTGGGATCCCCACAAAAGTTCATTTACGCGGGACGAGCACGAGGGCGTTCTGCGGCAGATCGCGGCGCTGCGGTTGGCTGACCCCGGTTTCCCTCTATTTACGCGCAATTTCAGCCGGCAGAAACGGCTTCTCGTACCGTCCGGGTAACGCCGAGTGCGGTTCGTCGAAATGGAAAACACGATTGCCTCCGTCATTGGTCTCGGCACTCGCACAGCTGCCACGCATGAGATATCCATTCCTAACAGAACAAGCAATTCCGATTTCTACCTGGTCTTTGGAGCAGGAAAATGTAAGCCACTGTAGGAATAGTCAGTCCAGGCCAGTGTTGTAACAGTATTTTACTTGAACCAAGCTCGCTATGTGACAGAAACATTTGGCTGAAAGGATAGCCTTCACGTGCTGAGAAACTCCGAGGATGTTGACCATTGATCCTAACCCGTATATCGACTTCTATGGGCTAACTGCTTGGAGTGATTGTGAATGTGGCAGAGACATCTGTCCCATGATCAATTGAACAAGACAACTGTCACCCATGTTAGCTTCGTTTCCATCCAACACCCAAAGGGCTCGAAGACTCACATCATAGTTGCTCCCATTGGTGCTACCCACTTCGTCCGGAAGGAAGATCGTGGAAGGGCTGGCGCCAGAGAGAAACCTTTTCAACTGGTCATCACCCTTATACCCGACCTCATCGTAGAAGAACTCATCTGGCACAAGACCCATCTATACAGTGTAGCGTTCAATCAGCTCACAACTCACGCCCCTATGAAAGGGATGCATATACATACCCGGCAATGATTGCTACCGATCCATGGCTCGTTGACCATGAGACCGATTGAACCAACCCCTTCCATATTGTAGATTACGATCCCTTCCGTACCGGTCCATGTGCCCCACCATGATTCAAACCTGGCAACCGGTGCATTGGGAGTCCCTGCCGCGATGGGAACCGGAGCGGTCTTGACTGAGCCCCAGTTAAGAATGGTTGCGTGAGTTGCAGCCGGAACCCAGTTGAATGGGGTCAGGTTATTGACAAACAGGTCGACTGAATACTGAATTTTGTATGTCAGTATTTCCCCTCATAACATCAGAAGGTGTTCCACATACGACCATCGTGAGCTTTTTGGTCGTGAATTTGAAGGGCGAGTCAAAAGAGCCAATATTTGTAGACAACACGAAGCAGAGAACACAGCGATATACTCCGGAGCGAGGAACTCTGCATATATATACAAATGGAACCAGATATCTGGATTTCCTCCATATTCGGCATCCCCGCATTCAAACGACAAGCTTGACCAAGTAGTTTGGACGCGCCATGCCCGAGGACCTGGAGCAATCACAGTTGCTTGACTCGAGACACTATTCTCATTGGTCACAGCCCACCACTGAGTCAATATCTCCAAAACCTTATTGAGCTAAATTACACTAGCCTTGTACGTCGTCTAGTAAAGCTGAGAGACACCGTCATGCGATTGGTCCCAGCCTGGCGGGCAACGTTGCTTTAGGACATACCCGAAACCTTCTGACCCTTCTAGAAGCCTTCCTATGTGACCAGAGGAGGCTTAAGGGATCCCTAGGTAGCCATTTTCCAGCCGTGATCTAGCACTTGCCATTGATCGGGCTTCTCAGTTGATCACACACCCGCCAATTGCGGCAGGAATCCACCTTTGCGAGGCACCGCAGCCGGCGCCCTGCCTGCTACCAGGGCTGTGGGGTACAGTGGCTAAATCAGACATCTGACCGCTACCAATGACATAATCCATAACCGACAGTAACTTCACCAGCATTGGAAGAATTCAATTGGAGGACAGAGAGTTTCTGACACTTCGACACGGCCCCATGAAGAGGGTGTCCAAATGACACTAGACAGGCTCGTGCTTCGCCTTGCATTGGCTGAGTTAACGCCTTATGAGCTAGTGTCAGGTCGATAAAAGGATCAAGTGTCGGTGGCGTAGCGACAGCGCTTGTGACATCTAAGCATGGCGTTGAGGAATCAAGGTGATACAGCATTTAAGAGGTCAGACGTATTTTAGGTCAATAACAGTCAGCACCTTATCTACGATCCCTCAGAAGGCTGGTGGCAAACCGCCTGGGATGTCCTTGTGTTGATTGAATCCCGCACAGAAAGTCCAGCAAGTGCCCGTCAATGCACCCGAACAAAGCAACACTCAGAATCGAATTCAACCCAAATGTCTCTTTAATCGTTTCAATTTCTCTTTTCTATGTAGCTTAACAAAGCCCTTATCGGAGTTAAGATCCCGGTCGGGGCTTTTAGGCTTGTGGCGGCCGCATGCTGCAAAACCGTCAGCTTACACCATACCATTTCGGAGTGCAAGACCCGTCTCATTAAGCTGACGACGATGGTCATCACAAGTCTGGAAAGCCTCACTCAAAATATCCTGTGGCTGTCGGAAAGCCAAATTTCCGCAACTTGTCTTTGATAACTCCCACGATGCTCCCGTGTATATAAGTCGTCATGGTTTCTATCCTTCTGAAGTTTCAGCCCATCATCCACAACAACACAACAACTCTTAACAACAACCACACTACACTCCCAACCACTTTCACTCTATCAATCCTCCTCATATTCCACACTCTTATTCAAGATGGGTTTCCAGCACTACTCCGGCCCCGCCAACAAGTTCCCTGGCAAGGACCAGTGGAAGGACTTCAAGCACATCTTCGACCTGAACAAGCCCGAGATGGGCAAGACCGGCAACACCGCCGACGATATCAACCACATCTGGAGCGGAGTCTCCAAGGTTGCCAAGGAGGAGGGCGTTGAGGAGCGCGTCATCTTCTGTATCATCATGCAGGAGAGCACCGGCAACGTCGGCGTCCGCACCACCACCAACATGGACGGCCACGGCACTGCTGGTCTCATGCAGTGCGACGGCAGCCCCGGCTTCCCTGGCAGGCACGGACTTAGCCAGGTAGGTTGTCTTCTATTGACCCTTTTCCATATCGCAGAGGACTAACACTTTACCAACAGGACGAGATCACCTCCATGATCCGTGCCGGCACCAAGCACTTCAAGGCCAACCTCGCCGAGAACGGCAACAAGCGCGACGCCGAGTGCATCTACAAGTCCTTCCGCTGCTACAACTCTGGCAGCTGCAACCCCAACAACCTGAGCGACGGCAAGGGTGCCACCAACGACTATGTCAGCGACATGGCCAACCGCCTGTGCGGCCGCCTCCCTTACTAGAGAATTCTCATTGCATTAATGTCACTTGTTTGAATGCATTGAACCTGGCGTCTCTGGATGGATTTGGCTTAGGGTATTGGTTGGATATTTGTCACTCTTTTGGATAGATCAGACTTCTCCTAAATAAATCAGGCCTTGCGTGATGCTGGCTGTCATCTTGCATAACCATATGCCTCCTTATGAAACTGACTGCTTGATACATGACTAGTCAAAGCTTCTCCCCTGTCTAGATGGGAGTCACCTTCACGTTATTAGACTTCGACATAACATTCTTGTTCTCAGCACGCTCCTCAAGCTTGAACACCTGCAGGTGTCCCTGGCAAGGCGGACCCTTGCACACAGTGATGGTCTTCCGCGTCAGGTTGTACACCACAAAGGCAACCGTCATGCTAAGTTTAGACGTGTATCCCGTAAGAGCATTGCTAGGCGCATTCCGCGCGTCGAAGTTGGGGTGCTGGCACAGACTCTCGGGATAGCTCAGGTGGTCCGAGAACGCCTTGTGGATGCGCTCAACCGTCAGACGCCCATCCTCGTAAGGCCGGACGCCGATCTCGGCCCGCCGCATGCGGAACCAGCTGCTGCCGCCCGGGTAGCGGTCGCGCACGTCGTCGCGGCCGTTGAAGCCCTCGGCGACGAAATGGTTACTGTGAAGGACGTAGTTATCGTCGACGTCGCCGTAGTACTTGTAGATGCGGTCGGGCGCGACCTCGAGCGCCATGCCGAAGCCCTCGCCCGTGGAGACGTGCAGGTTGCCCGAGACGTGGCGCGGGAAGGCGTTGATGGCGACGAGCCCTTCGGAGTAGGTGGTGTACTCGAGGAACACGCGGCGCGCGAGGGAGAAAGGCAGCGCCGGCCTGGGGATGACGTTGTGGAAGACGCCGGAGCGGTCGGTGTAGGGGATGGGCACGTAGTCGGCTGTCGAGAGGAGCGAGTTGGCGGTGACGGCTAGGCCCGCGGCGTTCATGCCGGTGCGTATGAGCTGGCCGGCCTCGGTGAGGATGAACATGGCTGGTATCTTCTCAGAAGGGTGTGGGTGGACCTCGAGATAGATGACGAGGTCCTGCTCGTGGAGGTGGTTTGACATGTCCCAGTTCTGAACGGCCAACGAGTCGCCAGACTCTGTAGCCTTTGGCGTGAAGAAGCCGCTGGTACATTCATTGGCTAGCTCGTTCTCGTCGGACCCAGCGCTCCCATTCTGCTCAGGGTCTGCTCTCCCGCCGTCTTTTAGTAAATACATTGTCCTGGCCAGGTCGTATCGGGCATTGAGCATGATGATTTCTTCGAGAGGCACATCAGCACCCTCGGCGATTCCGCGGAGTTCCTGGAGGCCCGAAGGCCATAGCTTTTCAAAGGCAGGAAGGTAGACATCGTTGATGATTCTGGAGCAGATAGACCTAGGAGACTGTGGTTAATGGCCTGGAGATCATCGCGGTCTGGGTATAATCTACTCACCAACATGGCAGCTTTCCCGGGAGCTTGTAGTAGGCAACGTTGGTATGAATCTTGTCCTTAACCTGTGTCCCGTGCGACAGACCCCGGTCGTAAGGGAGGCCCTCGACTACAATATGTTGATAGACGGAGGGACCAGTAACAGTATCTTGCTCAAGAGAACCCATGTTTACTGTTCGTTCCGCAATGATGAGATGCTCACTCCTTCGCCCTCCTTCATTTATCAAACAATCATTGGGTCATTTTATACATCAAATAGTGCGCCGTCCCGAGGGCTTACACAGCATACGCGGCTCGTTGCCAATGATATGGAGTTCTACGTCGCGGAAATGGCCCGAAATGGACGAATCCGCGATACGCTAGGAAGCCATTTTCCCCAAAGGAGTCGAGATAAGAGGCTTTTGTGACCAAAGTGGAGCCGGGTTCACGCGGGCTGACTGGTCGCAATCCTGTCCCAAAGAGGACGCCGGGGCGATCCGAGATCCCATACCTCTTCGAGCCTGTTCAGCGACGGTCTTCTACTACGGCTTGCGGGGAAGTTTGCTATCTCTTCCAACTCTCCAACTGCAATCCGGGGTAATGGCGAGTCTGCCTTGCCGTTGAGGGATGTATTTATAAGGATTGAGGACCGTCCTTCCTCAAAGCATCCTTCAGACACTATGCTTGCATCGGATTACTCTCCCCTATCATACTTGATTCTTGCCCACCCCAAGCGTTCACAATATGGAAGACAAGAGCAAGAATATCAATCCCGTAAACACTCAAGCAAGTGTTCAGCCGGGCGTCACTGACTCTGTTGTCATGGATGAAAAACCCCATGTCCTTCCAGTTGGGCACGATGACGCGTTGGAGATGTTTGACGGTCACCCAGAGAACTTTGTGTTCAGCAGCAAGGAGTCGAGACGTGTGCTTTGGAAACTGGATCTTATCCTACTGCCAATGGTAAGGCTCCCCTTTCAAGGCCCAGGATGCATGGCACTGGTTCTAATCACGATGATAGATGATAACCACGTGGATCCTCAACTACATGGACAAAGTCGCGCTGTCGGAGGCGTCGATCTTTGGTATCCAGAAGGACCTTGTACGCACTCGCACTAGAGGCACATGCTTGTCTAACTCGCTAATATCCGCATAGAACCTCGTCGGCCGGCAGTACAACTGGTCATCGTCAATTTTCTACCTGGGATATTTTGTCTGGCAATACCCCAGCTCTATCTTGATGCAGAAGCTCCCGATCGGACGGTACTTTGGTGCCATGATCTTGCTCTGGGGACTCACGACTACTACTACCGCCTTCACGAAGAATTTTGCAACTCTCTGCGTCAACCGTGTCTTCCTCGGCTTCTTCGAAAGTTGCATGTCACCCATCCTGACTATTCTTGTGGGCCAGTACTGGACCAGAGATGAACAGCCTTTCCGAGCCATGTTCTGGTGGTCGGGTTCTGCCGTGGGCGCTTTCATCGCCGACGCAATCTCGTATGGCGTCTCTGGCCAATCTTTCACGCGCAGCCAATACTCTATTTGGCAGGTGAGTAATTCCTAGACTGATTGTCGTTGACTTCCAACTCATACATGGCAGATTATCTATCTTGTCTTCGGTCCTATCACCATGCTCTGGGGACTTGTCGTCTTCTTCGGGGTACCAACTTCTCCAATGACGGCATGGTTCCTGAATGCTCGAGAGAGGAAAGTCGCTGTTGCAAGAGTAAGCTACGCCACTGCAGATCCGAGATTCAGGAGCTAAGATATTTCAGGTTGTCGAAAACCATACGGGTATCGAGAACCGCGAGTACAAGGTGCACCAGGTTATAGAGTGTCTCAAGGATCCACAGCCGTGGCTTCTTGCCTTGAACGCCTTCTTGCAGACACTCCAAGGTGGAGGGTTCACATCAGTGTGTTCTGCCATTCCGCTTCGTCATCCTCTCACATCGCTTACCATCAAAAAGTTCTCCAAAATTGTCTTGACCGGCATGGGCTACTCCAGCCGCGAGTCTACGCTCATGTCGATGCCCTCTAACGCTATCCACTTGGTCTCTAACGTTTTCGCGTGAGCCTCGTACTTCATATTTTTACTTAACCAAGGCTAATCACAACAAATAGCGGTTGGTTCTGCGGTCGTGTCATGAACTCTCGATGCCTGATGATGGTTGCCACCAATATCGTATGCCTCGTTGGTGCCGTTCTCATTGACAGTAAGTGCACCTAATAGCACAAATAGAGGATGCATCACTGACCGTAATAGACCTCCCAAGCCATATGACCAGTTCTCGCCTTGGCGCGTTTTACTGTATGTCAGAGGCCGGTTTTTTTCAGTTCTTTTCTTGCCCCGCTGACGAATCACTAGCCATGTATGTGAGCACTGTGTCTTTTGGTATCGGGATGAGTATGGTATCGTCAAACGTCGGTGGCTTCACCAAGAAGGCAACAGCTGGCGTAAGTGTCTCTATTTATCCTCGATGCTACAGGACAATTTGTTGAACATGTCACTAGGTTATGATGTTCTTGGGCTACTGTATCGGCCAGTTCTGCGGGCCGCAATTCTTCAAGCCCGAAGAAGCGCCGCGTTATCCAACTGCATTCCGGGCATTCTACTCGTCTGTGTCTCTTCAGATCATTTTCGAACTCGGCCTCATGTAAGTACACAAAGAGCAAATTAGTTGGGGCAGGGAAGGCTGACTGTGATGTGGCAGGGCTTGGCTTATCGTCCAGAATCGTCGACGAGACAAGCTTGAGGCCGAGGCGGGTGGTCACACTCGAGAGGGGTCTGAACTCATGGACTTGACCGACTGGGAGCAGCCTAGCTTTCGTTACCGATGGTAGGGGACGTCGAACACCAAGATAGGATGTTGGGTTTCTTGGCGGTGTTTTCCACTGTTACCAGAAGATCTGTGGCGAGATCTCTTGTCCGACACTCAGGGCATATGTCTCGGGAGCCGTGTAAATCTGCCGCATTAGTACACATAGCTTGTCCAATCGATCAATGCAGTATACACATTATCAACCTTGCCAAACACGTATGTTATGTATTCTTGGATCTTTGGTCTGCGAAAAAGATCATCACTGAGTAAACATGAAGATGTGCATTTGCTTATTCACGCCACCCACCAACAAACCGTTTCTATAAACATCAATGCAGGCATGTCGCGTGAACCAGACACATAGGAACCAAGGTGGAAAGTGAATAGCACTCCAAGACTGAAGCTGCATTATGTAATTGTCCAAGACTTGGCTGATCCTAGCCCCAGCTAGCTGAGCTGAGTGGGGTTTCACTCGCGTGATACAACCTGTCAACCTGCGAACCTCAGGCTCCTCCTCAGCCTGACGTTCACCTATTGCAATTGCTCATATACGAAATAATGTTGAACATGAGATAATGCCAGCCCGGAAGCAATGTCGTGTCTGACCTGCGATAGACGCAAGCTGGACTGCGATGCGCTCCGCCCCAGATGTTCCCCATGCCGGCGCTCACACATGAAATGCGCCTACGACGGCTCCATTATCCCCATCACATTTCAGGATGAGACGCAGAGCATTGTCGAGCGCTCGAGCCGGCAGAAGAGACGCAAGATAGCAGATTCACCAGCACAACTATCAGCGCAGGCACCGGAAGCGACACCTCCAGCACCGGTTGATCCCGCAGCGTCCTTGGTACAGAACTGGTTCTCCTTCCCCGACGACGCGTCTTTCGACTTTGACCCAACAATAACCCCCTGGGTCGACGACTTGTTCGAAGGCTACATCCACAATGTCTGCGAGCCGAGTCCCTCGCAGGACGAGAACGGCCTATTTCACGTGGCCCTGGACATGGCCGCACAAGACGACCAGTTGCCGCCCATCGTAACAGCACAGCCGAACCCTGAGCCACCTCCGGCATTCTCTACACCACCCCCACTACCATCCCAGGAGCACCAGCCATCGCCCGCAAAGACCGAGGCCAGCAGCAGGGCAACCCAAGACGTGCCCGACCACTTCCTGGCGCAGTACTACACCAGCAACCTGACGGGCCGGTACAGCTCCAAGGACACGGGCTGGAACCTGCACATGCACTTCTACAACCGCTTCACGACGAGCCACCCCTTCGTCCTGGCGGCGCTGTACGCCTGGACCTCGGCGCACCTGCACTTCTCGGGCGCCATCGACTCGCTCGCCAACTCGGACCACCACTACGAGCGGTGCCTGGCCGAGATCCAGGCCCGGACGCGCGCCGACATCAGCGGCACGCCCTCCGCGGCGCCCGTCAGCGAGGCCGATGTAATCTCCGCCAGGCTCGAGCTGGAGGACGACCTCGACGCCGTGGTCGTGGCGCTCTACTTCCTCGCCTCGACGGACCACGTCGCGTGCCGCGCGGAGCGGCTGCGCCGGCTGGTGCGCTTCATGGTCGTGCTGACGCGCGCCAACTACCGCGATGGCGGCGACGGCCTCTCCGTCACCGTGTCCTGCTGGTTCTGCTTCCTCGACGCCCGGGCCTCGGCCTTTGGCGGCGGGCGCGCCGCGCTCGTCGAGGCCATGGGCGGCGAGCCGGGCGTGCTGCGCGCCATCCTCGCCACGCGCGGCCTGCTGCAGAGGGAGTACCGGATGCTGTACCCGTCGCGGGAGAAGCTGCGGGACGACGCGCACCTGCCGCTGTCGACGGCGCTGTCGCGCCTCGTCGCGCTGTTTGGGGAGCTGTCTCGGGAGGCGGGCAGGGGCGGAGGAGGAGGTGGCCAGTCGGAGAGGGCGCGGGTCCGCCGCTCCCTCGATGAGATAAAAGACGTGAGCATTCTTGCATTGAAAAAGAAAAGCCTCTGCTGCGCTATGCAAGCAACCAAGCACTGACACAAAGGCCCTAGGTCCTGCAATGTATCGACGCCAAGCTCGCGTCAGAAAGGCGCATCCTGTCGACCTTTCTCAGCACGACGGCCCTGTACAACGCCGTCGAGATCTACTACTCGCGGGTGTGCAGGCCGGACGCCGAGCTGTACGCCGCGGACGCCAACGCCTCGGCGACCGTCCGGGTGGTCGAGCAGATGCACGGCCAGCTCGGGCTGGCCAGGTCGGACACGCCGCAGACCAAGATGTGGCCGATCCCGCTGATGATGGCGGCCATCGAGAGCAGGGACTCGATCTACCGCGACTGGGCGCTGCGGAAGATGAGGGATTACGATCACGCTGGGGCGCACTATCGCCACGTCTGCACTCTTGTAGAGAAGATCCAGTCGGAGGAGCAGCGGACAGGGCGGAGGGCAGACATCGGCGCTTTGTTACGGGAAATGCAGCCAGAGTTCGTGATATAAACCGGACAGACAGAAATGGAATGATTCATGATTCAATGACTACCTATCGAACCATCGGACCTTGGAAGAGTCACAGAAGCGCAGAAGCACTGACGCACCAAAGGTTCAGCAATGTCATGTAAAGTAGTCATAATCTGTTACTTGTATCCGTACCTGTATCCGTGCTCGTATCTGAAATTACACCGCGCCTTCTTCCGTCCTTCCTTCGCTCTCTCTAAAGCAAATCACCCTGCAGCAGATAGCAACATCCAGTCCCCCTTTCGTAAAGCACTCCCTCAAGTTCATGTAACGTACTGTGCTGCAAGTATGCGAATGTCCCTCCCTTCCTTCCGTATGTTGTCCTTCCATTTCCGTATTCTCCAAGTTGATGTGTGTGCTGTGTGGGAGCGATTTCCCCCTCCTTTCATGTAAAAACAAGCAAGAGCAGTCAAAACACAAAAGACGAATGATGAAGTGACTTGAAACAAAAACAAAAGGCAACGCTACAAGAATGCAACTAGAATCTCTGTCACGTCATCTGCGCCCATCATCCTCATCCTCGTCCTCACCATCGAGTTGAGATGGCACCATGTTCCTAGATGACAACTTCCTCCCTTCAAAAATCAAAACAACAAAGAAGGAAGCACGGAAAACACAACCATTCAGGCAATGACATCCGGATGCTCCTCCTTGAAACTCATCACCATCTCAATCCTCCCCCATCCCCAACCACACCACCTTGTTTCACACCACACATCCTCCCCATCCCTTTCCCGTCCTTCCTCCCTCCACTCAACACACACCTCAACTATCAATAACATCAGGAATCTTCCCCTCGACAGCACTAATAGCAGCAAGATTGACCTCGCCCACGTGCGCCCCGCCCGCGTCGCCCACGCCCGCCAGCAGCGCCACGCACTCGATCACGTCCTCGGGCTCGAGCAGGTGCCACTTGGCCAGCGTGACCTTGGTGCTGGCGCCCACGGTGACCGTGTACGTCTGCTCCTCGAGCAGCTCCGCCTCGCCGCCGTGCCCGTCGGCCGGCGCCGTCAGCGCGCGCAGCGCCCGGAACATGTCCTCGTCGGTAAAGTCGTCGCCCGAGCACATGACGAACCCGACCCTCTCGCCCGAGGGGGACTGGGACTGTGACGGGTCGGCGCCGGCGCCGGCGCCGCGCTCCGCCGTCGGCGAGCCGGGCACCTCGGCCATGTCGGCGTTGTAGCTGTGGACGAGCCGCTTGGCGATCTCGCCCTTGTTGATGAAGGTGGGGCGGACCTCGAGGTTGGCCTTGCCCGTCATGACGTCGACGTCCCAGTCGCGCGCGACGCCGCCCTCGAGCTCCTTCTGGCACTCGCGCGACATGTGCGCGCCCTGCTCCGGGTCGGCGAGGCGGTAGTGCCACGTGAGCGCGCAGCGCTTGCGCTCGATGAAGGACCCCGGCACGCGGTCCGTGTACTTCTGGAACACCTCCATGACCTCGGCCTGCCAGCCCATGTCGAACTTCTCGGCCAGGTTCTCCCACTCGGTCTGGCCCGGGTGGCGCATGAAGCTGCCGTGCTCGGCGCTGAAGCCCAGCTCCGTGATGTGGCCCAGGTGCTGGTCGAGGAACTCCTGGTCGCGCCCGCTGATGATCCACACGGCGTTGCGGTGGTCCGACGCCAGCACTTTGAGCGAGTGGATCAGGCGCTCCGAGGGCACGGCGGCGCTCGGCTCGCGCACGATGGGCGTCAGCGTGCCGTCGTAGTCAAACATGAAGAGGCGCTTGCCGGCGGCGCGGTACTTGGCCAGCAGGTCGGCGCGGTCGAGCAGCGGCGTGGCGACGACGTTCTTGCGCGAGCCCAGCACGTGCACGAGGCGGCGCAGCATGGTGCTGATCCAGTTCTGCACGTTGCGGTTGGTGACGTGCTCGTACATGTTGCGCTGCGTGCGCCGGCGCTCCTCGGGGCTCATGGTCAGCGCGCGGTTGATCTCGTCGGCGACGTGCGAGAAGTCCCAGGGGTTGATGTGGATGGCCTCCTTGAGGCTGCTGGCGGTGCCGCTGAACTCCGATATTATCAGGGGCCCGTGCGTCTCGCGCTGGCAGATGACGTACTCGAGGCTGGTCGTGTTCATGCCGTCGCGCACGCTCGTGATGAGGCCGATGTCGCCGGAGCGCAGCAGGGCAAAGTACTCGTCCTGGCTGAGATACTGCGGGTAGTGCTGCACCGGCGAGTAACCGAGGGAGCCGTACATGCCGTTGATGCTCATAACAAGTTCGTTAACCCTGCTGGCAATCCTGGTCTCCTCGCCGTCCTTCTCCTCCTCGATCGACGTCGGGCTCGTCACCTGGATCAGCACCACCTTCTCGCGCCACTCCGGGTAGCGCTCGAGGAAGCGCTCAAAGGCGAGCAGCTTCTTGTCGACGCCGCGGATGCTGTCGAGGCGGTCGCGGCCGACGATGATCTTCTTGCCTTCGTACATCTTCTTGAGGGCGTGGTACTTCTCGTTGACCGAGTCGCTCCAGGCCAGCTTCTCGACCTTGGACGCGTCGATGCCGATGGGGAAGACGTCCATCTCGACGCGGGCGCCGTAGGCGTCGACGCCCTTGTGGTCCGAGGGGAAGCCCAGCACGCGCGTGCAGCAGCTGGCAAAGTGGCGGGCGTAGCCGAAGCTCTGGAAGCCGATGAGGTTGGAGCCGAGGACGCCCTCGAGGATCTCCTTGCGGCGGGGCAGGCAGCGCAGGAACTCGGAGGAGGGGAAGGGCGAGTGCAGGAAGAAGGAGATGTAGATGTGCGGGGAGCGCTGGCGCAGCATGCTGGGCAGCAGCATGAGGTAGTAGTCGTGGACGACGACGATGTCGCCGGGCTTGTAGATCTCGACAATCTTATTGGCGAACTTCTGGTTCATGCGGTAGAAGTCGGCCCAGTGGATGCGCTCCCTGCGGCCGTCGGTGGGCTCGTGCTGCCGGTAGTGGAAGAGGGTGTAGAGCTCGTGCTCGGCGTAGCGCCGCCACCGCGCCTGGTCGCGCAGGAGGACGCCCTCGTCGCTGCCCTCCGAGTCGTCGGCCAGCCACACGGGAACAGTCTTTATCTTCTTATCGTGCGACAGCTGGTTCTCGAGGCGCAGCTGGTCCTCCTTGGGTATCCACAAGCCCTCGCTCGAGGTCTGTCGCGGGGCGGCGGTGGAGCCGTCGACGGGGATGGGAGCGGAGAGCGGGTTGAGAGGGGGCGGCATCTGCGCCGTGGTCGCGGGAGGGGTGTCGGGCGGAGAGAGGACGTTGGGCGGGGCTTCGATCTCGCCGGTCCACGCGACGACGGTATGGTTCCAGGGCGCCTGCTCGGATGAAAGGTAGGAGAAGGAATCAAAGAGGGCCGACTGGCCTTTTCGTGGTTTGAGGTCCTGCACATCCAGAGTCAGTACATAAGCGGCTCATTTCAGCTCTCATGGAAGCTTGTCGCTTTGGGAAGATAACATACCCAGTCGGTGCCCGGCTTGTACGTCAGCGAGTGCGGGATGTTGAACGTGGCAGAGATGATGTTTCCGCTGAGCGCGAGGTCGGGATTGACCTCCCTGATCTCGGTCAGCGACTCTCGCCGGCCGCCCATCTTGAGCAGACTCATGCGCCGCAGCAGGTCACGGCCAGAGGCGGCGTCGGGGAGTGTGTTGGCGGCGGTGGCGGCGGCCGATCCTTCAGCAGGCTCCGGCGAACTGACTAGCCCTCGCTGGTCGCTGGTGAAATAGCCTGGGGTCGAGGATTGCGGGTTCGAGGTTCCCGAGGAGCCCTGGCTGGACTGCGACTTGTAGGTGTCGGGGCCTATGCCTGGTGTGACGGGCACTTGGGTGATGGATTGTCGCTCGTGCGGGGGCAGGTGAGACTCGGTGCGGTTCTGCAGACTCGGGCGGGGTGAGAGGTTCTCGTGCTCGTCTGGGCCCGTGTTGGGCTTCTCGGCAGGCGGCTGCGACATTTTGGCAGAGGTGTTAACTCGACAGGCAGCTGAGAGTGCAGCGGTCGGGAGGTGAGAGGTGGGAGGGGGTGAGAGGTGAGCGAGACGAAGATGCAGCTCCGCACCAGAGAGCACTGACGCTCAGGTGAGGGAACGGTCAAAGAACGCAGGCAGAGCGCGGCGGTCTGGGAAGTGCACTTGGCGAAGAAGAAGAAGAATAGAGGGAGAAGAGAAGAATGGAGAATGGCCCGTCTGGGTAAAACAGAGGGAGAAGGGTAGGGAGGGAGGGAAGAGAAGCCGGCAGAAGTGAGGGAATGGCGGTGATGCTTCCCGGCGGGCTGCAACCAGTTGGCGTCAAGACAAGACAATCAGGAAGACGGACGGCCCAGACAGCTAGCGATCCGCCTGGTTCTAGGCCAGGACGAGAGCCCACTTTCTCATGCACTCGATGCAGCGTTTCTTAGTCGAAAAGCAGTCAGTGTGTGCAGTGTGTGTGAGGCCAAGCTGAGTGGGGGCGGTGTCCCGGCGCTGGCTCGTCAGAGCAGGACGATTTGCTCCAGAGCTCGACGCAGGTCGATTCAGACAGGGCAGAGGTGGGCGGAAGCCAAGAGGCGGCGGGCCTGATCTGACTCTTTTTGTCTGGCACTCCAAACAACCAATGCGCACCCCAAGACAATGCTGAGGATATCTCGGTTTGTTGTTTGTCTATGCGACGCACGCGCAAAGTGCCGGATGGAATTGAAAGAGGGACCAAGACGCTTTTTTGTTGGCGATCGATCTCGAAGTTTGGCGGGGTATTTTTTGGACCAGGGCCAGCGTCACCGTCACCCGTCCCAGCAGACAGAGAGCAGACAGAGAGCAGACAGAGAGCAGACAGAGAGCAGACAGACCAGCCAGTCAACGATAAGGTGATTTTGACGTGAGCAGACGGTTCAAGGTTCCAAGCCAGCCAGCATTGGTGCATCCGAGGATTGGAGCATTGGCACCAGTAACGGGTACCTTGGCAGAGCCTGAGCTGCAGCTTTTTTTGGTTTGCACTGGTCTTGCTCCTCCCGGTCTGGCTGGGCTAGCGGGGTAGCAGTACTGGGTGAAGTGCTAAGTCGCTTCGCTGGCAGGCTAGCCAGAACAGTCGTAGCGAGAGTTCCAGGGTGTTTCTTTGTTGGTTACGTTGGTGTTGCGTTGCAGCGACAGTGCTCCCGGGACCATCAAATCATCAATCATGTGAAATGTCTCTCCGACATTCGGAACTGACCGCAGCCAATCCTCTGTTGTGTCCGCTCTCTTCTCTTCTCTTCTCTCTCTGACTGTCGAGCAACAACCCAGCACAAAGCCCAGTCACACGCAAAGATGCTGTGGCCCCCCTACCAGACAGAAAGCCAGCAAGCTTGTTGGTCAATCTGGAAGTGAACAACCTCGAGTGGTAGCCTCAAGGTACTCAACCGACTCGTCGTCGTGGGGCTCGATGGAGAACCAAACGGGTCCCTTGGCTCGCTCTGGGAGATGGGGCCGGGTGGGAATTGGGCAGTGGGAATCTTGGTGCCGGCACCAGAGGGAGGAATCCAAGGGAAATTGACTGGATGATGACGAAGACTCTGGAACAGAAGGGAAGAAAAAGCCCGCAGCAGTGTTCGCTCACTCACTCACCTTGACGTAATCGGTACCTGTCAGCGCATCCCTGACAGCGATCGTCCCAACAAATGCCTTTGCCTTCTGGCTCTAGCTCTTCGATCTAGAATTCTTCGACGGGCAAACAGCTGTTGATCTCTTGTCTAACGATGTCTTGTCTAAAATACACGGAATGAAGGTATGTATGGGAGGAAAGGAAAAACAAACAAGCGAGAGGCTGGAGGGAGGCCCAGTACAAGTACTTGAATCATTTCCACCAAGACAACAGGACACCTCTCGCACTGGAATTTCCCTCAATTGGCACGAATCGAGTCAGCCGCTTCCCAGCGCCTGCGTCGGTTGCAACCTTAATTGCCTGCAGTAAGGCCCTGCCTGTGATGGTGATGGGCTTGGGATTGGATCGCAATGCATCGTGATGGCCGTTGATGGTGGTGGCCATCTGCAGCGCCGGATCTCTTGGCCTCTGCCATCCGTCTTTTCTCCTGCATCCCGGCCGACCTCTGGCCCTTCTCTCGGCCCCTTTTGTCCCCTTTCGGCCTCACTGTCAATCTCCAGAAAGCCATAGCAGCCAGCATCCAGCAATATCGGCAAGAGAGAAGTGAGTCGTAAGCAGCGCCAGCGCTTCCTGTAGTCGAGAGCGCGATTTTCCCTCATTACCCGGCGGAATGTGTGCTGCATCTAGCTGCACCTCTCCCATGCACCACCACTTTGTCACATCTCAAATCACACCCCTTTATTGTTCCCCCCAAAGACAAGACACTCGCAGAGATAGAGAGACAAGTTGGGTAATAATGAGGCTATTCCGGCACCACACAACCTCTGCCCGTAATCCCCCGAAGACAGCGAAGTATGTAGTAGACGCACATCCCGCGCCCCGTGCCGCCCTACCGCACCGCTCTCCCTCTCCCCCTCATGCACGCTACGCCCACATGGCCGCAACCACGCCCCTCCACTGGCTGTATCGGGGCCCTGCCCGGTCCAGACCGCACATGTTGGGCGTGCAAGGTAGACAGACAAGCTGCAGACATGCATGCATGCAGGCAGGAACTCTGTGATGATCTGATACCAGTGCATCCTGATGTGCAGCCGCCAAGGCCCTGTTCTGCCCGCCTTCCAATGCATGCGGCTTTTGACGGCTCACTGCCCAATGCAACCAGTAATTTGAGCCGGATTGCCAGCGCACCTCGTCAGCACGTCTGTTACCCCAAATGGGTATCGCGAGATATCAAAGAGACCATGAGAAGTGCGGTAGAATTAATTCTTTACCGGGGTTTAGCCTTCTTCAATACTTGTTTGACCATCATGCAGGATAGTAGTTCGACTTTGTCAACTCTGTCACAGTGTCACAGATCTTAGAGACAGCCCACGTCCCGGTCCACCTGTCCAAGCATGGCAATATCCAGCATTAGGAAGAGTCTCAAATAAACTATAGCAACCCACATCTCCCAACTGAATTCTCATCCTGTGAACACTTCAGCAACCCGGATGGCTCATCTGGTCCAGTTTCCAGCTTGATGATAGTTCCGCCTCAGGCTGCAGCCTGCCACTCCGGTGTGCTGCCCTACATGGCTTCGGCGATGACATCCCGGGCCGCAAGATCGAGGATGATATATGGTCCTTGAGTGAAAAGAAGAACTCGAAGAGCCGTTTCTGGCACTCGCGTGCATGCTCCGTACTCGGAGACGTCAACCAGTCATGAAAGTCCGTCCTGAACCAGGGGCTCCTGTCACAGAGTGATCAAGGATCAAGGCAGCAGTGACGGCGGATCTGCAGGGGAGATCTTCTTGTGTTCCCGGGAAAACATATTATCAAAGGGATGAACGCGCTACAGCCCATGATAGACACTCGAACAGGAGGCAGGCGGAGTAGATCCCTTTGTCCGCCATGATGAGGGCCCAGGCCACTGTCAAAGATGACCAAAGAGGTCTGTGCCTGGGGCAAAGACAGATGTGAAGATGGGCCAAAGCAAGATAAAATTCGAGGCGTGATAAGTAACCAGGTCAAAAGCAAATGTGTCTTACTTTGGGGCCCAAGGCTTGTCGGTCACCTCCCATCAAGGATGACAGAGGAATGTCAGAGAAAAGACGATGAGAATAGTGTATGTTTATTTATCTTCTTAAACTTCCTCTGAGTGTGCTGAAGTCCCTCCTGGCGGGAGTGGGTGTATCAAAAATGCCTCAATAACTCCGTCATCTGAATCCCAAGGTGAGAAAGCGATATTCGGTCCGACCCCTCCATGATGTACGGGCCAGTGTGCATGCCTCTCTGGATCCTATCAACTATGTGATTCCACCTTGACTCGTACATCATCCCCCTGAGCCTTGAAGGTATTGCATTCCCTTGTATAGACAGCCTCGACGAGTTGAAAGAACCACAGAGGTCAAGGCTTGCCCGCTTCAGGTGTTGACCACTCAATGCATTTCAGATGCTGGACAACTACTACGTCCGAGATGCTTAGTGGATACCACATAGCCCCGTCTTGGGGTTTCTTCACCGGTTTGAAGCATTTGCCGCATATCATTGGGCCCTTGTGCATCTCGCCTCCTGAAGGTGAAGGATGCCGAAGCGACTTCAAGAAGTCGACTGCAAAGTGGGGGATCTCTTCCATCAGCTCAAACAGCTTGTCGCTCTTGAGGGTGTTGCGCCGCGCGATGCAGAGGAAACCCGCTATCGCAGTTCGCCACCACTTGGCGTTCGGGATGGTGTATGCAGCTCTAATAGCGTCGCTGATCTCGTCGATCGAAAACGCGGTGGGATCATCAATGCTGCACAGCCGGGAGATATCGGCTTTGATTAGAGTAAACAAATGCTTGCGGGTGCCCCGTTTCAGGCCAGGAAGGAGGAAGAAGTCCCCGGCCTTCCAAAGCATAACACAGCCCTTGTACCGCGACCACTGGGTGATGTTGGCCAGCTTGGTCACAGCCTTTTCAACATCTGAGTTGTCTTGGTCAGCATATAATCTCGCACTGACACAAACGGCACGTACCTTGGCTATAGATGTAGAACAAGAGGCATTCGATCAGATCGGGGTTCTCGTCAACAATCGTGACCTCGCGATCTTGAGATTCCTTTGGAAAGGTCAGTGGATAGGTCAAACCTTGACGATATGGGAAGGCTGTGTACCTTGTAATGCCCGACAAAGCATTTCTTGAACCACTCGCACCTTCGGCAGAGGATGAGCAGGTGAACATTGAAGGTTTTGTCACCGCACTTGACGGTGGCATCGGCAAGAAAACCGGATTGAAACAGATCCGCGCTAGGAAGCCATGGTGAGTAATCAACAAGCAGGTGAAGGTTTGAGAGGAGCTCACTCTGATCCATCTGGATCCAGGGGTTTTCCTTCCAAGGAGCTGTGGCCTTCAGCAGGTGCGGCAGGGGAGTTCGACATTTTGGACTACAAGCCGTGAGGAGTCTAAGCCTTGATGTCGAAGTGATGACAATGGATTCACTACCCCATCCACCGAGTGAGATTTAGGATGGTTGGAGGTAAAGGTTGCAGGTAACTCTTGAAAGAGGCGGAGAAGTATCCAAGCCATTCACAGCCAATGCTGGCGTGGAAGAAGGGTGAGTAGAAATCTGATCCGCGACTAACGGGTTGCTCCGGTCAGGTCGAAGTATGATTGAATGACAGGTGAGATCAAAGTAACTTTCAGGCGTCTTATCGTGAATAGATATGATTCATAAGGTACATCTGGTTCATGATTTCCTTCACTAGCAAACAGCAGTGTCGGCACAAATTTCACAGTGCCATAGGGCTTTGCGTCATTGTAGCTTTGTTGCGAAATATCTGCCACTGAGTGACGTCTGTTCCTGTGCTTTGACATTAAACCACAAAAGTCCAAGTATGTATCAGTGCCGAGCATGAAAATACCTCTTCCAAGGGTGGCAAAAGATCCTCCACCTTCTCTTTTACATGGCGATCTTGATGACCAGCCCGTGCATGAAACACATTTCTTTTACCTGACACCCAACACTTGAAAGGGGACCATATATTGCCACCAGGGGAGGCTGACAGCGTAACCTCCGGTGTGGCATTGATTGAACCAGATGCTTCTGGTGCAGAGAACACTCCGATGGAGGTTCCACGTCCTATCGCCGCGATCGACTTTGACATCGGCCAAATAGCCAGACTCAAACAAGAGGAGACTACGCGCCAACAGTTAGTGATTGGACCTGCATATGGAATCCAAGCGAGACTTGGAGGCAATGCATCCATCTCGAACTGATGAGGTATCCATATTCCGTTGAGCAGAAGCGAGACCTTCGCTATTGGCTTGTGGTGAGGATGCCGCGGAGCGTGGGCCGCTAAGATCGGCGGGCGAGACGGATATGCTGCGCTAGTCTGCGTGCCGTCATGAATTCGATTTATGTAGTGGAATTATGTATCACCTAAGATGCGAGGTGGGTGAGGATTTAGTACATAAAAGAAGTTGTTTTCGTGATAAAGCAGTGCCTATGGCTGAAAAGCCATATTGATAAGCAACGAGGGATGTATGGGATGGGACTCAATGCAAGCTGTGAGGTTTGTCAAGTTCAACGCAAGCTTTCCAGTCACCACGAGACGGGGCGTGTGAGGTGTTTGAGATAGCAATTAATGGAGTATGCCTCAGCATCTAGGTCTAGGTCTAAGTGAAGGTCTAGGTCTATACTCTGTCTAAGACTGAGTAGAATTACACGCACGAAGGCGCAGGCAAGCACAAGCACACCGGTTTTACCAGCAGAATCCATCGTCCATTTTCTTTTCCCTTCTTCGTTTTCCCCGTCTGCTTCGTTCAGAGATTCATCGCAATCAAGAGACAGTCGTCAAGAGGCCCCGGCCCGGGCCAGGCGGGCAACACCTAGTGGTCGCGAGTGCGCTTGCGCGAGTCGTCGCCGTTGGTGCCGTTGGCGCCGTTGCGGATCTCGAGGGGGCCGTCCTGGGCGGCAAAGTACTCGAGGGAGCCCTTGGGGTCGGCCTTCATGCCCTTGCTGCCCTGCTGCCAGCCGGCGGGGCAGACCTCGCCGTACTGGTCGGTGAACTGGAAGGCCTGGACGAGGCGGATCGTCTCCTCGACGTCGCGGCCGACGGCGAGGTCGTTGACGGTGATCTGGCGCAGGACGCCCTTGGGGTCGATGATGAAGAGGCCGCGCAGGGCGACGCCCTCGTCCTCGATGAGCACGCCGTAGGAGCGCGAGATCTTGTGCGAGGGGTCGGCGATGAGGGGCAGCTGCAGGTCCTCGCCGAGGCCGCCCATCTTGCGCGGCTTCTCGATCCAGGCGAGGTGGGAGAAGTGCGAGTCGGTCGAGACGCCAAAGACGGCCGTGTTGATCTCGCGGAAGCGGGCGAGGGCGTCGTTGTACTGGATGATCTCGGTGGGGCAGACAAAGGTGAAGTCCATGGGGTAGAAGAGGAGGACGACCCTGTCCGAGAGAGGCGTGGTTAGCACGAAGTACGCAGGAGAGGGATGGAGACGCAACAACTACTCACCACTGGCCAAGGTAGTCGGACAGGGAGATGTCCTTGAACTCACCGCCGGGGAAGACGGTGGTGGCCTTGAAGCCAGGCGCAGGGCGCTGAACGAAAGCGGTCGACATGGTGAATGGCGGTGTATGAGTGTGTGTTTTCTGTGTGAGTGGTGCTCGTCTGAGGGAAAGCAGGCTCTTTTTCCTTGATCGCGAAGAAAAAAAAGTGTGATCGGTGGTGGTGCTCGTGGAAGGTGTGGTCGTGAGACTGTGGTGATGGAGAGGAGAAGGAGCTTGGTGAAGCTTTTCAGCAGTCGAGGGATGGAAATGGGAGAGATAAGAAAAAGATGGCGTTATCAGATGGCGTCGAAGCTTCCCGAACAACTCCTGACAACTCCTGCTATCGCCCGCTCCGGCGTCGGATGGGGCAGTCGCGATCCACAAGGATTGTTGCTAGGTTGCTAGGCAGGAGCAAACGACGAAGAGACTCCAGTCTTTTCCCTCGCTCTGGATCCGCCCATTGCGTAGCTTCTTCCCTCTCTCTTTCAATTTACTCATTCCTATCCTTCTATGTGCCTCTCCCTGACCAATTGATGGGTTATTCACGCCAGAAGCCTTTGCTTTGCCCGCGTTCTGTTTGCTGAAAACAAGCAGACAAAAAAGCAATTACACCCCTGCCTGCCCGTGTTGGGAAATTGGCGTCTGACGATAACACGCACCCCAAAAAAAAGAATGAGGTGACACCGGCAGCGTTAATCCCGGGCGGCTCCCTTGCGGCGGCCCACTGGTCGGGATTTGCTGCAGGTCTCTTCTAGGCTGCATTCTAGCTGCGCTAGCGCGACCGAACAGTGCTAGCAAGGTGCCTGACAGGCTGTTCTGCGAGCTAAATTACAAGTACAGAGGGGACCCACGTGCAGATAAGAACGTCGATCGCTGATCTGTCGCCGAAAACGCGCGCTATCACGTGCCAAGGGCAGTTGCCTGACAGGCCCTTTGCGTCCTCCCAACACGCCCGACACCGGCCGGCCGGGCTGCCCGGCTCGGCTCGGAGCTCACCTTTCTCGGATCAGATCAGATTATCATTTTTTGACCGTCCATCCAGGAGGAGTCAAGTCAGCTCGTCGCCGTCTGACGTCGAGTTTGCCCCTGTGCCTCCTTGCCATCACATGCAAGTTGACTCACACCGATGTCTCCTCAGCGCATTCATCGATGCCAAGATGGAGTCTCCAGAATGGCCACCATCCCGGTTCAATTCCGCATTGCATGTCGTCATCCTTGCCAGTAATTACAAATGAAAATGTATCGGTCATTGGCTTGGCTCTGAATAACCTCAAAAGTTGGCATGTGTGCGTGGCAAAGGCTCGGCCCTGCCACGTCCCGGCCGCATAATCATGACTAATTCGTAACCTCTTTTCTGCTCGCAACTCCATCCAAGAATCTGGAGAGATACAATCGCGAAGCCCCCAGCCACTCGGCTATCCCGGCTTGTCATTCAGTCTCCCAGATACTATTCTCGATAATCGCCCGCGATATCCACTCCACGTCCTCCCCGCCGATCGAGTTCGCAACCGCCATGATCTGCTCCGCCGTGAAATCACCCCCGTCGCCCCCATCCGCTCCCCCAATATCTAGGTGAAACGGCGCCGTGACATCCTGATAGAAAGAAGGCAAGCTCGCCGAGATACCAGTAGCCGCCATGGTCGTCATCGGCATGGTCGGTGGTGGCGGTGCTAAGACAGTATTGTTTGCTGCAAGCTGCTCTTGCTGGTGTGTCTGGTGCTGCTGCGCGAGCATAGACCCGACCGTCGGCTGAGGAGCCTGGATCCCGGCGGCATCGGAGGAGCCGGGGAAGGTTGGTCTGCTGCCGCCGCCACCCCCGATCAGCCTCATCATGCTGGCCAGCTTCTCGACCTCGGTCTTGCGGAACTCGGCGACGAGGTTGCCGCGCGTGATCATCTCGTCAAAGAGGGCGTAAGCCCGCTCGAGCCAGGCGGGCGGGTCGCTGCCGAGGAGCTGCGCGTCGACGACGCGGCCCACCAGGAGGACGATGGTCGTCATGAAGAGGGAATCGAGATCGAATGGCATGAATGCCTCTACATGCATGGTCTTGGGTTAGTGAATGATGGTGAGATGAAGGGTTTGAGGTTACCACGTACCGAGAAGGCCTTGGTTTTGGAGACCATCGAGGATGTGAAGGATTTGTATTGATGACTCCATGCACATGGTCAAGAGGTTACGGATCTTGCTTGGGGGTGCTAGGAATGACTGAAGCATGCTGGATGGTGCTTCGTATTGCATGTTCAGACAGCAGAAAAGCATGGGCCTCGTGGCCAACACGATGCACTGAGATAAACAAGGAGTTAGTCACAGAACCCAAAAGATCTCGACTTAGGATAATGTACCTGATGGTATAGGATATGCAGATGTGCAGACATTCTCGATACTCCACCAAATGATTCTTCTGAATGGAGCGGAAAGGTTTGTCGGAGCTCATCTGCAAGTCTGGCAATTCCCTCTAGGACAGCCTTGGTGCTTGTCAGGAACTTCTTCCGTAACCTTCCACTGGAGCCATAAACGGCTACATCTAATTAGAATGACTTCTTTTGGGGCGAATGTGAATTTGACTTACTCCCGTTGATGTGAGCTATTACCCGTGCCAGCTTGACCTGCATTCCCAATGCGGCTGTCCGCTGCACTGAGCCGGCGAATGTAGGAAGTTGGCAGTAGACATCGTCGTCGCTGATGGATGACGGGTTGCCCATCAACGAGGTCATCTGCCGGTCGAGTATATACACCGTCCACCAGATCTTGCGGCACCTCTGCACCAAGTGCTCGCCCAAGATGCGTATCGGCATGTCGGTATTCATGCCGTAGCCCATTGCGGTACGCATGGCTTGACCAATCTAGTCGGTAGTCAGTACCTCCTTTGTGCCGAGGGAAAAGGGCTGTGGCAACTCACAAAGACGTCTGCCGAGTTGCGAAAGTCTAGTGACTGCAGGTAGAGAGCTATGCAGCAGAGTATCTCTGTCGCCTCGACAGGCTCCCGGCAGAGAAACGTGATATCGGGCAGTAGGTGAAGAGCTTTCGCAATGAAGTTGGCGCCTGATGGTTTCCTCCCCTGGTTCTTCTGCAGAGTGAACGACTTGCCGAGAGCAAGCACAGTGAGGAAGTGAATATACCAAAGCCCCGCACTATCAGGCCTATCGAGAGAGTTGGAGTAGAATCTGTGAAGGCCAGCCATGAAGTCATCCTCGTCGAAGAGGTGGAACAACTGCCCGCAGTGGAATTTGACGGCATTGATGAGGTAGATGGCATGGTCCGGGCTAGGCAATACGGGATCCGGTGGAGAGGGACTTGATCGAGATCCGTCCCATCCTATGTCGTAGGCGAAGCCGTCGAAGAGCAGCGCGGCGGTGGGAAGAGGCTCATTGTATACGTGTTCGTGTGTGAGGCTGAGGACCTTGCGAGAGAAAGACCAGTTGGATGAGGTTCCGAGGTAGACTGAGCATTTGTTAGTACCCACAGGAACACGGCTCAGTTATGGAAGAGACCTCACATGTCCTTCCGTTAGATGCAGACATGTACGTGGATGGCATCACGGTCAAGGGGTTGGTGAGATCCGCTGCTTCCGGCGAGAGGACTTGTGCCTTCATCATTGGCGGATCATCACCGTGGGTATCTGATTGAGTCGCGACGACTGTGGACGAATCATGTTGACTCGCATCGGGCGTAGCTAAGACGTCGTCGGTTACTTTCAGAAATTGAAGCTTGGGCTGAAGAACCGACAACATACCAACTTGTGCGTCGCCATCGTGATCCTCGTGGCTGAGCTCGGACGAAGCATACAGCCGCGACTGTTGCTCCTCGAGGTGGGCGATCTTCTGTTGCAAGTCGGACAGATATCTATGCTCATCATTCAGTATCATGACTATTCAGAAGCAGGGAAGCGCGCTGCGCCCTCCCCAGAAGATGGACCTACCCTTGCGTGACCAAGACCTTATTGTCGCGGCCGTCAAACACACACACCAGCTTGCGCTTGCTGCAGCTGTCGCATGGCTGCAGGCCGGAGCACTTGATCTTCTGCCTCCGGCATCGAGTGCAGCTGCGCAACGAGGATAACACCAAAACATGTCAGTTGAGCGTTCTAGCGTTCGTTTCCAAACTCATCAGCATGCCGCATCGGGGTTGAGAGACATACGCATTTGGTGATCGCTTCGTCACACGGCCCTGGGAAGCAGTCCCGGGCTCCATGATGTCGGCATTACTACCCGAGCTGTCGGATGCGGCTCCAGGAGGCGGAGGAGTCTCTGGAGCAAGGACCACGGCCTATGTGTCGTCCGGCGTCAATCGGTGAGAAGGGGGAGGGGGGGATGCTCAAGTCCCGGTGTGTTGGTGGTTGGATGTGGAGAACGCGGGGGGTGTGGGTCGCCCGAGCCCCGACGAAGATAAGCATGGCAAGGTAAGTAGCCAAGTTCTGCTGCATGCATGCATCAATGCGCAGAAGGATCCCAGAAGGAGATAACAGCGTGGGAGCTTGGGAGAGGGGCACTGGAGGGGAGGGGAAGGGGCCATGCTTTTCCACCAAAGAGGAGAGTAAATTTGCTCGTCCATCCCCGGTCTGTAGTCATCCCTAGGTAGTCGCTTTTTAAACTTTACGATTGATGGTGACTTGAACGAAGGCAGTTACGGCATGTTGTTGGTTCTCAAAAGACCCGGCACAGACAAGACACCAGAGTTTCAGGAGCTTTGTCAGTTTAAGTAACAGCGGATGCTTGAAAACTGCCCTTGCAAGGCCTGTCTACCACGCGCAGAACCAATGATGATAGCCTTTTGAAGCTTGAAGAGTTCAATTCGGAAAATGCGAACAAGGAAGACCATCTCTTTTTATGGTGGTCAGATTGAGGGCAATGGACCTACTCTTATTCATTACTGCGTTACGAGGCCACAGGGGAATGCTCAACCGTGTGGGCAAGATGGAGAGGAGTTAAATACAGGGACAGAGCGATCCTCCCCAGAGGCTGGCGGGCTTACATGCGAAATCGGAAGGCTTGCCGTAGCGCTCGCTCCTAGCGTGACCCACCACAAAGAGACCGCCGGAAAAGCCGACGCAAGCGTTCAGGTCACTCCCAACGAGCATTAAGCAACATCACAGCAGACACTGAGGTCATGATAGGGGAAACGAGGGGCCTGAATCGAGCTATAGGACTTTTTCATTCTTGAAATGTCAAAGTAATACTGCAATCGCCTGTGTGGCATAGAGGAATCCTGGGGTTGAAGCATCTCATGTAAGGTGTAGATGTATCTATCAACGGCGTCCCAACTCCTGAGAAGTGATAATGCCCCCACTACCACCATTTCCTAGCATTTGATATGTTGATTGCAGAAGTTTTTCGAAGGCGAGATCCGTTAAGAGTTAGTGGTGATAGAGCTTCAGATTCCTTCACCAGAAACATCTTTCAATATGCTCAAAGGCTGTCTATCTATGATGATTAGGACTTGAATCCAAGCAGAAGGATAATAGTTACAGCTCTTATACCCTAACCACTATATGAAACCAAAGAGATTTCTACATCTAATAGTTGCTGGGGTATTTGAACGTGTCCACCGGGACAAACTCCTCCTTGATCACCCTAGGGCTGGCAAATCGCATCAGAGAGTTTGAGCTGCCGGCCTTGTCGTTGGTGCCACTGGCACGGCCACCGCCAAAAGGCTGCTGGCCCACGACAGCCGCGGTGCACTTGCAGTCTACAAGGGATAAGTTAGCAGGACACAGCATATGGAGAAAGGATGTGGCTGGCTCACTGATGTAGAAGTTGCCGGCAGAGAAGCGCAGAGCATCCTCCGCCTCACGGATGGCCTCCCGGTCCTGGGCGAAGATGGCACCAGTCAAGGCGAAGCCCCCTCCACTCTGGTCAACCTTCTCCATGACGGAAGTCCACTCGCTGTCGGGGTAGACATATACTACCATTACCGGGCCAAAGATCTCCTCGTTGAAGAGCTTGTGGGCTGGAGAGTCGGCCTGGTACACGGTGGGGTGGATGTAGTAGCCCTTGGAGCTGTCATAGGTGCCGCCCGCTATGAGCTTCAGCGAAGAATCCTTGTTGGCCTCGTCGATGATCCCCTTGATCTTGTCAAAGGAGCGTTGGTGAATCACCGGACCCATGAACGTCTCGAGCTTCTCGGTCGGGCTGCCGACGGTGATCTCCTTGATGCCGGCGGCCATGCCGCTGAGGAACTCAGCTGCCAGCGATTGGGGCACATAAGCGCGAGATGTGGCTGAGCACTTCTGGCCGGAGTAGTCGAACGCGCCTCGGATTGTGTGATTGACGGCGTTTGCGACGTCAGCCGAAGGGTGGACCAAGTGGAAGTTCTTGCCGCTTGTCTCGCCGACGATGCGGGGGAAGTCCCGGTAGGTGCGGTTCCCGATGCCGCGGCCTATCCTCTCGTACAGGGAGCGGAAGACATCGGAAGATCCGACAAAGTTGAGGCCGGCGAACTGCCGGTGGGACAGGACGATGTCGGTGACCATCTCCGCATCGCCGGGAACGAACTGGATGACGCCCTCGGGCAGACCGGCTTCCTGGAGCACCTTGTAGACGATGGAGCTGGCGTAGACACTCGAGGGAGAAGGTTTCCAGATGACTACATTGCCCAGGACGGCTGGGCCGGCGGCGAGGTTGCCGCCGATGGCGGTGAAGTTAAACGGGGAAACGGCGTAGACGAAGCCCTCGAGTGGTCGCCAGTCAATTCGGCTGTTGGAGTAGACGTTAGCGATTGGGTCTGTTCGATGCTACCTCAAAATCTTTACCTCCATTGCCCCTCCGCCTCTAGGGGAGGCTGCCTCTCCATGATCTCAGCAGCAAAGCTGACATTGAGCCGGAAGAAGTCCGCCAATTCGGCCGCCGAGTCAATCTCTCCCTGCCAGATGTTCTTGGCCTGGCCCAGCATCGTCGCGGCCATCAGCTCGTAGCGATACTTGGTCGAGATTAAATCGGCCGCCTTGAGGAAGATGGCAGCACGGTCCTTGAAGGACGTCTGTTGCCACTTCTTCTTGGCCTTGAGCGCGCTCTCGATGGCCTCAGAGACCTGCTCCTTGGTCGCCATCGGGTAGCTGGCGAACATGGTGGCGTGATCCGTCGGCATAGGCTGAACAAGGGACTGGGATGTCGCCTGCACCTTGCCGTTGATGGTAACCTCGCTCTTCAGCGGGATCTGCGCCTTCATCTTTCGCAGCGCCTCCTCGAGCTTTGCTCTCTCGGGCGAGCCCTTGACATAGCTTGGCTGCACTTCGAGTTAGCTAATTGGCTGCCGCATTCGTGATATGTCAAACTCACATTCGGCTCATTCCGAGGCTTGGGCAGGTTCAACGAGGACAGATGCCTATGCGCTTGGCTTGCACACACTGTTCCTGCACGGTGGACAGCTGGCGAAGCCCTCCTTGGCAGGTGTGAGGCGAGTGTCCTAGCAGATGCCATACTTCTCCGTGTCTATACGATCTGTGCTTGGGTTGAAAGTGTCTTCGGAGGCTGCACCGATCCTTTGGCTCTGGAAACTTATAGGTCGACATCTTCCTCTCGCAAACACACCCCGGGACGAGATGCGGTAAAGATACTTTCATCTTAACAGGCCAATGTGATACTGCCTGCGCCATGAGCAGCATACCGAAGACCCATCCTGGTGCGTGGGTGTAGTTGCTCCATATCGGCCTCGTTACCCGTCCCTGACAATGTTGTCGGGATAGTTGCCGACCATGGGCTGCCACCATTCTTGGCTCTCCACCTGTCATGCTGCTCCTCGCTAAAAGGTCACGGCGGATACACGCGGGGTTCGTTCTGAGGCCACTAAGATAAGCATAATTGCGATTATTACAGGGCCTACCTAGGTAGTTAGTGAAGTTTACAGGTGATAGCGACCCCTCCGCTAACTGTCCGAATCCGGTACCGGATCGAGCTCGGGCGCCGCCGTCGGCAAAATGCCGAGCATCGAAACAAAACAACAAGACAGGCCCGGACAAATCGCGGGCTCACGACAACAACGGATAACCGTCGTCAACTAATTTGGAACGACTCTTGAGCCATTATACCGTCGTTTTTGGAATTCAGACAAACCATCCAAAGCCATGGTCCGAGCCCCCGTCCCCCCAAGCGGCGTCTGGACGCCCGCCGTCACCTTCATCAACCCCGACACCGACGAGCTCGACCTCGCCGCGCAGGAGAAGTACTACGCCTACCTCTCCAAGACGGGGCTCGCGGGCCTCATAGTCCTGGGCACCAACGCGGAGGCCTTCCTGCTCACGCGCGAGGAGCGCCGCGCCCTCGTGCAGACGGCGCGCAAGGCCGTCGGCCCCGACTACCACGTCATGGCCGGCGTCGGCGCGCACTCGACCAAGCAGGTGCTGCAGTACATCGCCGACGCCGCCGAGGCGGGCGCCAACTCGGTGCTCGTCCTGCCGCCCGCCTACTTCGGCAAGGCCACCACGCCCGAGGTCGTCGAGCGCTTCTTCGCCGACGTCTCGGCGGCCAGCAGTCTGCCCATCGTCATCTACAACTTCCCCGGCGTGTGCAACGGGCTGGACCTCGACTCGGACACGATCGAGAGGTTGGCCGGCAAGTACGACAACATCGTCGGCGTCAAGCTGACCTGCGGCTCGGTCGCCAAGATCACGCGGCTGGCCGCCGCGCTGCCCAGGGACAGGTTCGCCACCTTTGGCGGGCAGTCCGACTTCATCATCGGCGGCCTGGCGTCGGGCTCGTCCGGGTGCATCTGCGCGTTCGGCAACGTCGCGCCCAAGACGGTGGTGCGCATCTACGACCTCTGGCAGCAGGGGAGCGTCAAGGAGGCGATGGAGCTGCACCAGAAGGCCGCGCTGGCGGAGCAGGCGATCAAGGGCGGCATCGCGCCGACCAAGTACGCCGCGTCTCTGACGACGGCCAAGGCGGCGGGCGTCGAGGGTGCCGAGAACCTGCTGCAGCCGAGGAGGCCGTACGTTGCTCCGAGTGCGGCGGTCAAGGAGATGGTGCAGAACAAGCTGAAGGATGTGATTCCGATCGAGGAGGGTCTGCCGCTGAAGGCATAGAGGGCTGGCACTAAATTAGAGTGCAGTAATAAAAGATCCAAAAAGTTTAAGAACCACTGCATGGTGCACCGAATGATCAAAGATTCAAATCTTGAAGTGATGGTTTGTCTTAGGCCGCATGTGAGGACTCAGTGCTAAGATGCACTATGCGTCATCCGAAGAACGTTCATAGATCCTCAACTTATTGCATCTATACGCTATGACTGTTCATCCGAATATTCTTCTTCGGAGCTCCGACCTCAAGGCGGCATACTCGTCCTCAGTCCTCGACACAGCGTCCCTGTTCTCAACAGCCCGGCGAGTCAGATATGCCAGGCACTCGCCAACGGTACCCCAAGTAGAGCACTTATACACATCAGGCGCTGCTTGGCCAGCACTCTTATCTTGCAGTAATTGGAATCCCAGCGCATCAGACATTCCCTGCAACTGCCCGAACCCGGTTGACACAGTCGGCAGACCGACCGCAAGTCGCTCCTGTCGCAACCGGTTGGCCGAAAAGACGCTCCTCTTGTTGTGGCCGCAAACAAGCAAGTCCACAGAGGGAAACGGGCGACCGCCCTCCTTACCAAACTCGCCGATCTCGCGCCGGATGGCCCCCAGCACCAGACTGTCGTAGCACTGGTCGGTCCCTTCCTTGGTGTCGTGGATCAAACTCCGCTCCTCCGAGTTGATGTAGGCCCCTCGAACGACTTTAAGACCCATGGTGAAGCCGTCCTCGGCAGCCGCAGCGAGGTGCCTACTCACGAGAGCCGGTGCACCCTTGAGATATGCCTGGTAAGTGTTGTAGACCACCGCCGTCCCTTCCCGGTTGAACTTGCGCATAAGGCCCAGAACGACATTGTCAATACCATGCTGCACGTGCTGGGCCTCGGCATCGACGATAAGCCGTGCCTTCTTCGCCTTGATAGCGGCGCAGATCTCATCCAAGGTCTCGAGCATCTGTGGCGGAGGAGGGATGTTCTTGATCAGAGCCTGGTTGACTGCTTTGCCTGCTCCGGTAAGCCTGGTAGTAATGTCAGCATCTTTTCCAAGGGATAGCGGCATGTATCTCTAGAGTACATACTTGATCGCAAGCAGATCTCCCTCCTCAATCTGATCAGCCGTCTTCATGACGCCAACCCTCCATGCCTCGATCTGCGGATCCTCCACATCGGTCCTCGCCTCCTTGCTCAACGCCTCCACCGGCGCCTCGTGGATTGTGTTCCCGTTCTTATCGTAGACCGTCTCTCGCCCGTACGTAAGAATCACCCCCTTGAACCCCATGTCCTTCAGCCTCCCCACGCACGCCCTCGTCTCGGCGGTGTTCTCGCCAGTGCAGAACTGCTCGTAGAATCCCTTCTTGAGCAGAGCGTGCAGGACGGGGTTCTTGTCGGGGTTAAAAATGAAGCTCCGATTAGGTTTGGAGAGGAAAGAGAGGACGGAGAGGGTCGGCAGCAGGAGGAGACGGTGGGAGGAGACGAAGGCGACGAGGAGAGACCGGAGGAGCGCGCCGGTCGGCAGCGCGGACATGGCGGAAGGCCTCGCATTTGCTGTGGGCGCTGCGGATGTGGCCGCGCTATTCGCAGCCGTCACCACACCGACGGCGGCGGTCGAGCTGGCTCGCACCAGCTGCGGCCGGGTGCCTCCAGCGACGGTGTGTTGTTGCCGCGTACATGTCGCAGCGCAGGCAGCGATATGCTTGGGGATCGACGTCACCAGCGGTCTTACCGGCCTAGAGGCCGCGTAAGGGAGAGTGTGTGCCATGTCACGACAGAAGGCCAAGCGCAAGATGAGGAGACAGCAGTTCAGGCATTCAGGTGACCCTGATGATGCCGCCAGCAGGTCGCTATGTAGTTATCAAACGACAATCCGTCGCCACTACCACCACCACCTTTAGCCCTCCGCCCGCCTTCCTCTTCTGGTGCATACACACCGAGATCACGAGACATCGTTATCGGGGCATGTCCCGTCGGTATGCGCGATCGACGCCACCAAGCCCGAGGCCAGACTTGCCTCTGGGGCCGATAACGGGTTGCAGAGGCTAAAAAGTAGTCGTGGTGCTGCAGGCTGCCTGATGCCCCGCATGCTGTGCGCTGCGTGAGGGAGCTGGGCCGGCCCAACCGGGTTGGTGGCCGGGCGTGGGATCCACGCGGCCTAGCCTCTACGTGGTGGGCGGGGAGGAGTAGGTGCTGGATCTACGGGCGTGGGGCCGGTCGACCAATGGATCCAATACGATCTTTACATGTTGAATCGAGGCCACAGTGTTGCTTTGGTTCAGAGAGAACGAGACGAGAATCGTTGGAATCCATACATTATCCCGCACACGGCGGTGATTGACGAACATGGCGGTGTAGCCATGATCGGAGACGAGACTGGAGCTTCAAACGATGATGGAAGCAATGTATTTGGGCCCCTCTAAATCCCTCGGAGCTGTGAAGAGCGGCCGATGGCCACCAGTCGCGAGACTTTTGCCGCAAGGATACTAGATTAATTTCATACTACTTTATTGCTAGTCTCTACTCGGAAGATAGTAAAAGGTCTGTGTTGTTTCAAGGCCAGGCCAAGATCAACTCAGCTCAGCGGCTGGGCTTTATCGAAGGAAGTTGGACTTACCACTCTCCTTCTTGGAAGTGTTCAAGAACGCTTGGCCTTCAATGCAAACGCAGTCATATCCACTAGTCATCCAACTTCAAAGTCTGCTCAAGGTAGAGCTCATCCCACTCTTTACCAAGGGTCCAATCCGTCAGGACCTTCCTCTCGTCCGCGGCATCCAAATTGCTGTCCCGATGCACCAAGTGGACGTTCAGCACATCCGCAGCGAAATCTGGTATCGCTACGCATGTCTCGCGAAAGACAGCCGACTGGATGGAAAGATTCCAGATATTGTGCCCAAGTGAGAGGACGAGGTAGCGTCCAAAGTTGAGGGCGTGCGGGTAGTCGATGTAAAAAGTGGTGATACCTTCGCACATGGCAGCAATGGCATCGCCCATCTCGGGTCCTCCACCTAGTACATAGTCCAGGGTGGTATTAGATACCTCCTTGAACGTCGCTTTCAAGACCGAGCCAAGGGCTGGGATGAGGAAATAGTCCCCCAACGCCCACAGGATGATAAGGGCCCTGAATCGGCCACAGCCCTCCTTTTCCGTAACCGTGTCCAGTGTCCTCAGGATATCTACCGCCCGACACAGTCAGCCATGCGCAAATACAGCAGAGAGCGCGACAACACGCAAATAGTACATACCTCCTCCATATAGGAAGTGGAGTAGATATCCAATCATGACTGGGGTAAACGACTGGACGTGGACGTGACTGGTCCTGGCCTCCTGCTTTACTATCAGCGCTCGGCTCGGAGATCGACAAGGTATTTGGAGAGAGGCCCTTTAAAAGACGTACCTCAAATGAACCGGTAAAGGCCTTTTTGAAATAGTCGCTCCGAGAGCACAACATCACTTTGTGGACATGCCATGTCTGGTCCTCGCAAGTGATGGTGGAGTCGGATAGAGAGCCTGAGTCCAGTAGTCTGTTCGTGGATCAAGTCAGTCTGGATGCCGCAAATTTGTGTTTCTGGAAACTGGACTGACCGTAGACCCTCTGAGACGAAGCCCTGATTCTTGGTGCCCAGTTGGTGGCTTGATTTCCAAGCAGTGTCTACTACTGGTGTCTGCTGAGATGTCATTGGGCTGGAGACAGGTGGACAATCTGGACGATGGGTTGGATTCAGAGAAATAAAAGTTGCAATAAACCGCTGCAGCTCTTGCGTTTAGATGCGATCACTTAAGTGATGTACTTGTTTAATTCAAAGACCGGAGCGATCCGGGGTTGAATGGTTCCCCCCCGAAATTACCCTCAAATCGCCTCATCTCGAGCAGGTTATTCTTCCAAAAGGCCGCCCATGACACTCCTGCCACGTGTTTGAAAATTGTGCTACGAATTCCCGCCCTCCCAGGAAAGCATGAAGAATAGAGTAAAGTTTCAATAAAGTTATGATATAAATCATCGATCAGTGCAGATGTGAGAGCCCTGGAAGAACTATTGTTCGTCACCGTTCCGGACCAAAGAGCGTCACCTCAAAGAGGATGACCTCATTTCTCATCCCCAGGTCGAGTCCACATCACTGCAGCCTCCCTGACCCCAATCGTCAGCTCCAGACTTGCCCGTTCCCCAGTCAGACGCCCACTTTCCCCATCCGTTGTTCTTGTCGCGTCCCCATCGTTCAGCGCCAGCGTCGCCGGAAACCGCCGGGCTGCAAAAGATGCCCCGAGCTTGGGTGGCCTCGGCTTTGTCCAACGAGGCTTTGAACATGTCCGCTCCGAAAGCCGGAACTTCGTCGACCACCTGGCGGATGGCGGTGCCCTTGGTCCACGAGGTGTCTGCGTTGTTGAACAGAGTGACCAAGGCCTTCTGGCAGGGCTGCGCATGCGGGTGGTCGATGTAGGCAGCGACGACGCCGTCTTTGCAGGGGAGGACGCAGGTGCTAAGGTATCTGTTCTGGAGGGCCTCGATCGACTGCTTGGTAAGGAGTTGGAGCTGGAAGAAGTCGCCCATGACCCAGAGGAGGACGCAGGCTTTGCAAGCAGAGATCTCCATGGTGTCGACTGCGTGCTTGACCGTGTGGGCAATGTCTGGTGTTTGATACGATTAGTGAGGAAGATAAGTGATTTCCAGAAAAGAAAAAGAGCGTGACATGCCTCCAGTGTAGAGGTAGACCAGGATACAGTCTACCAAATCAGAATCCTGATCCTCGATGCGGATCTCATCTATGAGACCCTGCTGTGAGCCATGTCAGTATGGAAAGCAAAACGAAAGTAAAAGACAGGGCGAGAACGAGGCTGCTCACCTCGGGGCCGCCACCCATGGCATTCTTGAGCCACTGGCTACGGGAACCGAGAATGGCCTTATGAGCGCTCCACTTTCGGTCACCGCAGATGATCTTGATATCGGTGAGGTAGCCCGAACGGAGAAGCCTGAAGAGAATGAGCAGTGAGTCACACTTATCATCGAGGTGTCGGCGAGCATACTTGAGATCAGACTGGGAGATGCGAGGGGAAACAGAAATGTCGGTCATTTTCGAATGCGCCATTGCCAATGAAGGAGTACGTGAAGGATTTGATGAAGCGTCCAGCAGAAGGATTGACAGTGGTATAGGGAATGCGATGATCTTGGGAGACTAAGTAGCGATGAAGATCTGGAGGATGATCTCAAGAAGTAGCAACAGTGCCAAGAGCTGCCAGCATATGCGGCATATGTGGAAGCCGAAGATGATTGAATGAAGGGAAATATTGGGACTTCTCAAGGAATGTGGATTTAAAAAGACTGAATTTCGAAGAAGTGTGGATTTGGAAGGGGCATGGCAGAACTCGAGATGATTCAAAATTATCGATCTTTTTGTCATCTGATCTCGAACAAATGAAAGTCGCGCTTGCACTTCCAGGTTCTTTCTTTGAACTTTCCTAGTAGGCTTGCCTGATCATCGATTCAATGTTGCATTAAACACCAAACTTGAGGAGACAATGCCAAGGATATCTCTGCCGCCTGACTGGCTGTGAAGTGCGTCCAGTCGCTGTAATGAAGGATGAGAGTGATCATTCCCATCTTCAAAACTCCACGAGCTTAATCATTATGTTGTTCTCAGACATGGAACCGCCCTTTTGGGGGCAAGAGTGTATCTACTGCGTATATACGTATCTTACTGTGACCATACACACTAGATAACACATCCGACCGAGCATTATGGGACGCAATATGCTATTTTTCTATCTAGCTGCTGTCATTTTGTCATCAACAAACAGCCTGGTTTGTTCGCTGCTCTACCAGTGCAGGGCAAGTGTCATGAGTAGGATATCCCCTCATACCCTAGCTAAGCCGTCAATGCTACCACTTAAGATTCTCCACTACACTTCTAGTAGGGTACAAAGCCCCCTTGTACAGGTCGATGTAAAAGTCGGGAGGAAGTGTATGAAGTGTCAAGATGTGGTCTTCAGAGAGGTCGGCCCATGTCTCGTAGAAAAAGCCCACAAGTTTCGTTCCCAGACCAGAGACATAATGCCTTTGACAGACAAACTTCCAATATCCTCCACCCAGCTCCTGATGTCACACATTGTTAGCATGAACGGCCCACATGAAGCAAGACTACTCCCACGGAAGTCTCCTATCGCGGCAATTACCGCACCGGATCCGCCAGACCTTGGTCTTGGTCGTTGTATCAGGGTCGTCGACTGTGAAATACACTGCGGGCATGTCGTCCACTTCCTCTACTATGTTACAAAAATCGCATTCAGTAAAATCATCAGGAAGGCTCCAGCCGGCGCGATCACAAAACTCGCCGGCCGAGTTGCCGGAGTTAGTGACGCCATCGAGCAGACCGACGGCAAGCTCGGGGATCTCGCGGTACAGCTCCTGGAATCCAGGGTCATCGAAAAGAGTGACCCTTGCATCGTAGACCAAGTCGAGCAAGAGCCTCTGGCATCGCTTGGCGTTGCTGAAGACACCATACGCAAGGCGGATGGCTGAGAATATGTGTGCCGTGTCGCATTGGGGCTTGGGCAAGACACACATTGAGGTGCGGGCAATGCGGCAGTCGCGCTCCAGTGCCTCGAGGGCCTTTTCTTGGAGATATGGTAGTCTGAAGAAATCTCCCAAGGCCCAGCAAATGATGTGGCCGTCCCAACTGCTTTCGCAGTAGCCGAGATGCGCGGCCATCTCAATCGTGGTATTAACATCTGCAAATCTGTCAGATCGTGTACGCTCAAAGGAGTGTATGAAGGGACAAGATACCGTCGGTATATAGATAGAGCAGCAGCATTCTAACGCTTTTAGCATCAAAAATGTCATTCTCGATGCGCACCTCACCGTCAGAAGCCTCCTTTATGACCATTAGTGTTGTGTGTTGGGATAGCTCAGGTTCATGAAGACTTACTTTATACACACCTTTCAATGCTAGCCAGAACCACGGACTTCTTGTACAGATGATAGATTTGTGAACACGCCAGGTGAAGTCGCCACAGCTCACTAGGACATCTGCATAATTGCCACTCTGGAGCAATGTGAGATCGCAAGTGGCTCTGTCAGAGAGGTTTCTGGTGATGTGCTCCTGATCCTTTTCCGAGGACGCCGAAAATTGAGCCTTCTGTATGTCAAACAACGTCTGAGTTGTCTGAGCCGCCTGAGTCGTAGCAGATCCGGGCATGTTGCGGACAGAAAAAGAAGCCTGGGTTAAACCTGAGCCTCAGTTCTTCGTAACCAAAGGCCTAAATATCGTAATGGGTGTGTCAGAAGGTCCTGAGTCGAGTTGTTGACAAATCGTGGTCAAGGACCAAGGCGAATGCCACTCGGTGGACAGAACAATACTTTTTCTTTTATACTTTTTGGGATCAAGGCAAACAAGTCAATAGAACATAGAATCAGAATGAGATTGTCTTTTATTATTAGCGCTAGGCGTGAAACAATGTTCTTTATCAGCATTGTCAATGCTCTACGGGGGAAAGGCAACAATGACATTGTAGCTATGACAACAACGACAGGATCAAAGTACACCTGAGATTTTGTCTACAACTAGCAATGCCCCAGTAATAGACTGCCAAGACTGTGTCCGCACAGTCCATTGGTCAAACAACAACAGACCAACGAGTGCCCTTTTGGTCTCAGATAAAAAAGGGGCATTGTTTCTTCAGCAGCCATACGTGCCCAGAATGTATCGACGTTATCAAACGCCAACCCTTCCTTCCAAACAATTCCTTTCCACAAGAAGTAACATCTCCGCCTTTGACCCGCCGTTGAACGGACACAAATTACCACCAGATAGACACGCCGGTCAAATCAAGTTGGGTATCGGCTCCCAAGGGAGGTTCCAATACTTGGGGCAGGACGTGCATCGAAACTTCCACGAAGCCTGGCTGTTGGCCGTGTCTCTCCACGTAAAGTACACCGCCTCCCGGGGCGGGCTGGCGTCGTAGATCTTCTCATTACAAATCACGCAATGGATGAGATCGGGAGTGGCCATGTCCGAAATACCACCGCAATACCTTCCCGCGCTGTCCCAGTCCAGGACGGCCTTGAACATGTCGCTGGCAAAGGCGGGGACATTGTCGATGAGTGCCCTGAAAGACGGATCGGTGAACATACGGAGCCTTCCGTCGTAGAACAAGTCTAAGAGGAGCTTCTGGCAAGGCTTGGCGTGGGGGAACTCTTCAAAGGCAGCTCGGACTCCCTCTTCCAAGCAATCGGTGTAGTACGCAATGGGCGAATTGACCACACACATGGTAGTCCGAGCGCGGCGACCCCAGCCATCCATCATCCAAAGCGCCTCGTTGGCAAGTTTGGGCAGCTGGAAGAAATGGCCGAGGCTCCAGAGGATGACCCCAGCTCTCCATACATTTGCATCCTTGAGCTCGAAGAGCCTCATCCTTGCTAGATGAACACCTGGGGGCCGGACCGTGGTTAGTATTCCCTCTGATAGGAAGTCGGTCCTTGAAGAATCCTTACTTTGGGTGTAAATGTACATCAAAAGGCATTCCACCGAGTCTTTGTCGTAATCGACTTCATAGACTGGAATTTCGCCAGGAGTCTCTTCCTATTCAATGATGAACATAGGAACACATAACCGGGATCGAGAGTTAATACAGACCTGGTAATCGCCATCCAGAGCTCTGAAAAACCAGCGGCTTCTAGTACAAAGAATTGCCTTGTGCACATTCCACACAGTACCTCGACAGACGATCTGAGCATCGGCGAATCTGCCCGTCTGAAGAAGGGCCAGATCCGAACTCGCCGTGCGATTGAGACCCAGGATAGTGTGGGGCCGTATCGAGAACGCCTCCAAGCTGATGGGAGATCCCGATCTCGTCGGGCTGGCGCGGTCGGTTGCCATGCTGATAACAGGTCGTGGAACTGCCTCGCGAGGGTAAGGCTGTGATGACCAGGATGTAGGACTCAAAGAGGTGCCTACTATATGCGAACAGGAGAAAGAGAAAGTAAAGTGTGTCTGATGACCTCCTGAGAGTTTTGTGGGAAGATTGGAACTTGGCGGACCGTGCTTAGAACTGACCCATTTCCACGCACGAACTGTGACGTGACGAAGTGGTTAGTTTCTCAGCCTTGACGGTTTTAGTTGACAACGTCACCGCACAGTAAACTTTGTTCGAAGACGTGGACTTGCGCGGAGGTATGTTGTTTGCTTGATGCACACTGTCATAGGCGCCGCGCATCAAACCCCAGTTCACTCACGCTGTCAATCTCCTACCCGCTCCAGATTACCCTGAAGATGTGTTGAGTGATGTGAACCGAGAGCGTGATTCAAGGAGAACTAGCCCTGCAAGATCACATGACGCATCACCTTATGCCAGTCCTCCTCTGCCAGGGATTCAAGGATTGCTCCGTGGGCCTTCTGGTAGTCTTTGCCCGTGACAATGTCGTGCTCAAAGACCATCTTTTAACGAACCACTAGATAGTGCTAAACAGCCTCCTCTCGAAACGCGTAAATACGCCGAGTTTTATCTAGTGCCAGCCCAGGGGCGCAAGGCTCTGTCTGACAGAGTGGAACGGGGAATCAGGCCAGAGTTGAAGAAACCAATCCATCAGAGACTTGCTCGCACAGCTTCCGGCCACCCTATTGTCACTGTATAACAACTTTTGCGATTGGGCCAGGCAAGTCACACTCAGGACACCAAGATATGTAACTATTCATCCTCTGTCAAATGGCGACCTCGCCCGATGGCGTTGGCTCCGCACGGATGGTGCCGTCATACAAGGATGGCAGGCTCTGCGTCAGGTCCTTGACGAGGTCCTCGAAGAGTTCTTCGTCTAATACCTCTCCCCGGATCACGAAGTTCGCGAAGTTGTCGTTATGCCTGTTCTCGAAGTCCCATGCCTCTCTCTGAACGGGGACGACCGCATGGTCGAGGCCGAAGTACTCCGCCGCTTCCCAGAGCAGGGCGAGGGTCTGGATCTCTGGGTGCTTGCCCTCTTTGGTGGCGATCGACATCATGAAGTCTGGAGACAGGACTGTGATTAGTCAAGAAGAATAGGCAAATGGGCTTTTCCCCCTACTCACTTCCGGTGTAGATCCACACAAGGAGGGCCTCGATCATTCTAGGCTCGTGGTTAAGCTTGATGCTCTTTTCCCGTTCCTCACCTTCCTATTAATTGGTTAGCCTCGCGTGATGCCAGCCAAGCCGTGGGATGGACATACCTCTAAAGATGGAAGAAGAAACGTTGCGGAACCAGGCGCTGCGGAAGCAGACAATGTTGGTGTGGATCGGGTAGGACTCGTCTTTGCAGAAAATAGTCGCATCGGACTGGAAGCCGCTCAAGAAAAGGCTGTAGTTGTGCTCGTTAGGGTGATCTTGGAGAAAGGCTCCGAGGTCTCTGACATTGTGTCGATCGGGAGTAGGTAAGTGGAAGAAGAGTGTGTCTGAAGGCTAAGTCGGTGCTGTGGGCTGGATAGAGCAGTTGTCAGAAGATCACCGAGGATTGACTTGGACTAGATTGGAAGGAAGGAGAAGAAGAAGAAGAGATTCAATAAAGGCGTCGCTGTTCAAATAAAGGCTCCCTGACAATGAACTCGGCTAATCCTGACTTGAGGGCGAGAAGTCCGATTTGTCATAGTACCCCGCAGGACGTGCCTCGAACGTGAGCTGTGAAGCTACTTGGAGTTGGGGCATTGGCAGGAGTCCTGCGTAAGTATCAGCTAGTTATGTTACAGCTGCATACCTAGGTACAATGGCTGCAACAGCTGCTCAGTTGAACCCCGTAACTACTTGGGTAGAGGCCAAACAGCATTGAGCACCTAGCACACTACTTGCCTGGTTGAGAGCAGTGACCAAAACAATGAAAGACTCCACGGATGCATGTAAGTAAATAGCCAATACCGCCCTGCCATCTACTCTAGCCCGGCCGCAGCATATACGGCGCCATCCCCCATTTCGAGTTCCGCCGCATCCTGAGCGCTCTCGTCAGGATCGACTCTTCGTCATCTTCGCCATCTTCGTCCTCTGCGTAGTCCTCCTCGTCGTAGTCATCCATCTCTTCTTCTCCATCGTCGTCCGAGACTTGAAAGCCCGTCGCCTCATTGCCGACAGCGCCGGGCAGATAGCCCATGTACTGGACCTGCGGCGTGATCGAAACAACGCCGACAAAAGGTATGGGCAAGACCAGCGTATCTTGATCCTCCCCCATAGCTTCCGCGCCGGAGTTACTCCCCCCAAGCAACTGCCCCCCAGGCTTGCGGTACGTCACCACCACCTCCGCCCCAGCCGCCTCCAGCGCTAATAAACGCGGCAGCACATCTTCCGCAGCGCTCTTGGCCGCTATGACCGAGGTATACGAGTACACGTCATCGTCCCCGTCATCTTCGTCGTCTTCATCGTCGCCCGCAAGCCGCATCCCTTCCATCGCGATGGACGCCATTTTACGGTCCTCCGAGAGCTGCGCGTCGTTAGGAGCACCCGTGGCCGCCATGCCGCCGATGAGAGCTGTAGGTGATCGAGCGTAGCTGTCCAGTAGTCGGACGAGGAGTAACGTCGCGGCGGCCAGCCATGCGTAGTGGTCGACGAGCCGGATGTAGCCTGCGGTGCGCTCGCAGGAGCGGAGGTAGTTGAAACGTCGGAGCAGGTCGCGGCTTGCCTGGACGCAGATATTGCGGCTGTTGCTGATGCGATTACGGTTCCGACTGTGTTCGTGTTGGCGGTGCCCGGTGGTGCTGTTGTTGTTTGTGGTCGTGAGGGTCTCGCCGAGTATTGCCTGTAGCATAGATGGGAGCTCGGCTAGTAGGAGGAGATGCGAGTGAAAGATCTGCGCCTTGATCTTGGTCATGATTCCGAATAGTTGCTTGTTGTCGTCCACGTCACTGAGGCTGGGCGTGCCCCGCCACCCGCTCTGCATCGCACTCATCGCTTGTTCGAGTTCGGTGAGGATCTGGTGCGTGGTGTCCAAGTCTTCAAAGTGCGGATCGCATACGCTTCTCTCAATCAGGTGGCTGGCGATAGATGTATGTCGCCTTTCCAGCGCTATCGTAGCCGACAGATCGTCGTCGCCTGTCATGACCTCGTCCGGCAAGAATGTCAGAGTATCGTCCGGGTACGGTACCGAGGCCGGTAGGTCCAGCGCCAAGCATAGTGCAAGCTCGCTGTGCACGAGGCGGTGCCATATTACCTGCAGGTCTACTACTTGGCCATCTATCTGCTGCGTGAGAGATTTCGGGGTTGCACTGGGTCCGTATCGGCGGCCTTGGAATCCCATGAGATGCACGGCAGAGATTGCCCTCCTGCAGGTCATCCAAGACAGGCGCGGGCTGCCATTGTGTGCGTGATACAGCACCTCGAGCCAGAGGCACTCCAGGCCTTCGATACTATCGGTGGTGAATTTATCATGCGATGTCACTAACGTCGTGGCCGTTTCTGCCAAGTTCCGAGCCAGCGCACGGGGCGGTCGGGTCAGTTTGACCAGCTGCTGGTATTTGGTACTGCTGGGCCCTGCGGAACCTGCCGCGTGCAGATGTTTGAGCACGCCAGCGAGCAGAAGCATGCGTCGTGCAATGAGCACCGGGTGTGTATCTTGTGTGAACTCTTGTGGACCCCATAGCTTCTCCGACTCGAATGCGACTCTCCTCTCGAGTTGGCTCGCCGGTGACAACAGCGCTAGAGGCAGGTAAAGCGCTAGGCTATCGCCGGTGCCGGCGATGATGCGGAGATCTGAGGGTGATGGGAAAGCTGCTAGCAGCGCTTGCGATATTTCTCGGCACTTTGACCGAGTCTCATGGCAAGGCGCACTCGGTAGTAACGATGCAGGTACAGATCTACTGAGGCTGACCGGAGGCGACGGCGAAATGGCGGGTGAAGCGACGTGGCCGGCGACCTGCTCAGCCAGCTGCTGGATCATAGACTCGAGCCGGCCGATGCGGTCCCCCACCAGCCGGCTCTTGGACGAGGGGCCCGGGTCCTGCTCCGGGAACTCCTGGCCGACGCACTCGAGGCAGCGGCGGGAGCAGCCGATGCACACCTCGTCCGTGGGGTTGGCGTACGTGCACTTGACCTTGCGGCGCTTGCAGGCCCAGCAGCTGCGCGTGCCCTTGCGCGTCTTCCGCCGCTTCAGGGACCGCCCCGCGTCGATGTTGCCGCTACTGCTGTGGGAATGGGACGCCATGGCGGAAGATGCCGGGAGGAGGCCGCGGTGGAGCGTAGTGGCCTTCAGACGGCGCTGGGCCGAAGTTCGTCGGCCCTTGCGCACTTGGAAAATAGCCCTGGATTTAATGCCAGCTAAGGTGCCCGTGGATCACCCATCGAAAAGGTAAGAAAGCCCTAGTCCCGCGTCATGGCAGGGGTTGCGGGTGTGAAATCTGCGATTGATTTTGTTTGCTGAGCCGAACGGCGGTGATTTTTGGGTTGGGAGAAAGGGAGAGTGACGTCGATGGCGGCTTCCCTTTGAACAAATCGCCCGCCGCGGCGGTAAGACCGAACGGCGGTTGAACGACCCAATTAAATCCGGGACCCGGCAACCAACACTTAAACCCGGAATTGCGGCAGAAGCTCCCAGACACAGGGGAGTGAACGTAAAAATGCCTGCTATTTTAAACAATGAACCTTCCTAAAAAGCACAGTTCTATCAGAGAGGATTGATCTGGGCTTGACTTTGACTCTTGTGCCAACGCGATCAATTCTCCAGTCCAGACATCTCACGAAGTATTGCGAGAAAAAGAACAACTCCAAAAGCTTTGGAAAACGCGACTATCAAGCAGCAAAGATGGATAACTCGCCGGCCAAAGAGCCTGTCGAACGCGACGCGACAGCACACCATGGAGTACACGAGCCTGACATGAGCCACGATCAGGCCCTGAATGGGGAGAAGAAGAGGGATCTCGAGGGCGGCAATGCCTCGGAAGGCACTGAAGAGCCTCCTGCGGCGGCTGCAGATGACTACCCGGCAGGCCTGACACTGGCTCTAATTGTTGTGGCGCTGGCCATGAGCATGTTTCTTGTTGCTTTGGACATGGTGAGTTAGTTCCCTCTGGGACAGCTACGCGTTGTGACCGCACAACTAACCTCAATCTCCTTCACCCAGACAATTATCGCGACCGCTGTTCCCAAGATCACCGACGACTTCCACAGCCTCGAGGACATTGCTTGGTACGGCTCAGCCTTTTTCGTTACTTCCGGCGGCTTCCAGTCCTCGTGGGGCAAGGCTTTCAAGTACTTCTCCCTCAAGTACACATACCTCGCCGCCATCTTCATCTTTGAGCTAGGCAGTCTCATTTGCGGTGTGGCACCTACCTCAACGGCTCTCGTGGTTGGTCGAGCTATCGCCGGTGTCGGTGCAGCCGGTGTCAGCTCTGGAACCTACACGCTCATCGCCTTTGCCGCCCGTCCCGAGAAGCGCCCTGTTTTCGTCGGCATCTTTGGGCTCTGTTTTGGCATCGCCTCCGTGGTCGGCCCCCTGATCGGTGGTGCCTTCACCGACAATGTTACCTGGCGCTGGTGCTTTTACATCAACCTGCCCATCGGCGGTCTGTCAGCCTTCCTGGTCTTTCTCTTCTACCGCACGCCAGCGTGGGCCAAGCCCGCCGAAGCCACCTGGCGCGAGAAGTTTCTCCAGATGGATCCCGTGGGCACGGTGCTGGCTCTGGGCGCGATCATCGCCTACATCCTGGCCATGCAGTACGGCGGCCAGACCATGCCTTGGTCCTCCTCGACAGTGATCGGCCTGCTGGTGGGATTTGTCGTCATCACGGCCGTGTTCATCGGCTGGGAGATGTACGCCGGAGAGCGAGCCATGATGCCTCCCCGTCTGATGAAGACGCGCGTCTTGTGGTTCAACGCGACCTGGGCCTTCCTCATGATCGGCGCTTACTTCGCCACCGTGTACTACCTGCCCGTCTACTTCCAGAGCATCGACAACCTGAGCCCGACTGGGTCCGGAGTGCGCAGCTTGCCGCTGATTCTGACCACCAGTGTTGCCATTATCATCCTGGGAATGACGGTCAAGTACTTCGCCGCCCGCACGATCTACGTCATGGGCTTCTGCGCGGCTGTCGCCGCCGTTGCGATTGGCTTGATGATTACCTTTGACATCGGCACCTCGCTCGGCAAGCAGGTCGGGTACCAGCTTCTTGCCGGCTTCGCGCTCGGCTTCCCTTTCCAGCTGCCTGTCATCAATGCTCAGACCCAGTCCAAGCCGGAGGACCTTGCCATCGTCACTGCCATCGTCATCTGTGAGTTGTCTGCTGACCTCCCGATCCACTAATGTACTAACAAAGTGCACAAAATAGTCTCCGAGACAATTGCCGGCGCCATCCTCCTCTCAGCTGCGCAATGCGCGTTCGTCAACCAGATGCTCAAGAGCATCGTCCACACCGCCCCCGAAGTCGAGCCAGCCAAGCTCATCGTGACCGGCGTTTCCGAGATCCGCGACGTGTTCCCGCCCGAGCAGATCCCCGGCATTCTGCTCGCGTACATGGACGGCCTGCGCATCCCCTTTGCCATCGCGACGGCGACTGCTGGTGCGGCTTTCGTTCTGGCCTGCGTCGTCCTCGTTCTTCCTAACCGCACCGGTAAGACGGCTACTGCGGCCGGACTCGAGTCTAGCAGCGCCTCGGAGGCGACCAAAGAGGAGCCATCAAGTTCCAACTGAAGTGTTCTTTCTCATCGTCTAGGCGGGTTTCTTTTTCGCCGAAACCAGTACCGGGTGGTTGATTGCTATTGTGGAATAGATGATAGACATACCGCGTCGCACTTTACACCTTGTATTTCTTTCTTGTCAGGCCCTCGTGGCTAGAAAAGTGCAACCTTTCATACTCAAACTTCGATGATACAGAGATTGTAATTGAAACGAATAAAATAGAATACCATCGGCTGCATGCCCCGTGAAGAATTGTTCGTGGAGCGATGATGGCTCCATTTTACAATCTCTACGTCATAGCACCGATGACATAACCATCATAAAGTAGATCAACAAGATAGAGATATTACTTCCTTGCCATCCTCCCTCCACTCAGCCCTGCCAAGGCCATCCCCCACCATACGGAAACATCCCAGTCGCCCAGCTTTTTAGATCAAGCGGTACTAACCTCAAAGTGCTTAAAGCCAACACTTGCTAAACCTAAAAACAACCACCAAGAACACTAAACCGAGAAGATCATGATAGGTAGTATCATTGTGTCCGTGCTTGCTTTGCTCACTTAAGGACACCCTTGACAACATCGGGCATCAGGTGGTGCGTAAAGTTCCAGAGCTCCCCGGAGTTGTGCGTCAGGATCGCCGATCCCGCATACCACGTGCTCTTCTGCCCCTGCAGGGCCAAGAAGTCCTCGTAGAACCCGGCCGCAATGTCCTCGGCGCCGACCTGCATCTTGAACGGCGAGTGGCTCGCGAACGCCGGGAAGTTGACCACCCGGCCCTTCCCCTGCTCCAGCCGGCTCACCACGGCCGCGACCTCGGCCTCGACGGCCGCCTGCGTCTGCTCGGCCTCGTACGCGAACCAGTACATGAACATGCCCGGCACGACGGTCGGCAGGATCTCGTACTTCCCGTTCTGCGGCACGTTGTACTTGACGCTGCCGTCGAGCTTGATGTTGCGGTACTTTTGCCCCTGGCGGAGCCCCGTCGTGTTGACGACGCCGACGTAGAAGGCGCTGTGCGTGAAGCGGCCGAAGACGCCCCGCTCGGCGGCGTCGAGCCCGAACGGCTCCATGTTGCCCGGGGTCGGCGGGATCGTGAGCACAAGCCGCTTGGCGCGCACGCGCGTGACGCTGCCGATCGGCGACGCGACCACCAGCTCGACGCCGGCGGCGCCCCGCGTGCCCGACACGACGGTCGACTCGAGCAGGACGTTGTCATCGCCGAGCTCGTTGTGCGCCGCGGCGTACAGCGCGCCGTTGTCGTGCTTGCTCGTCGTCATGTCCGGGACGCCGCCAGACCCCGGACCGGAGTAGCGGACGGCGTCGATGAAGACGCTGTCAAAGTACTTCATGATGTTGAGCGTCGTCTGCTGCAGGAACGGCGGGTTGGCCACGCCGTTGGCAATCCACCATATCACCCACGCCTGCTCCTGCAGGCCGTACTTCTCGATGAACTCGCCGAAGGGCAGGAGCAGGTCCTCGGGCACCGGATAGGGGATCCAGCTGAAACCCCGGGGCGCGGCGTCGGGCCACCGCGACAGGAAGGCGGCGTAGGAGGAGAAATTGAAGTTGGGCGTATAATTGGCGGCTACGGCGCCCGTGTCAAAGTCGACGTAGGTGGTATTGTCGGCGCCAAAGATGAAGGGCTCGATGGGGATGTCGTAGCGGGCGAAGAAGTTGGTCGTCACGCTCGTGTTGGCGAAGCCCTGCACACCAAAGTCGATGGCGGCGCCCGAGGCCGGGTCGATGAATGTGTTTTGGTGTCCGCCTAGGCGGCCTTCCTTCTCAATCAAGACGACGCTGGCGCCGAGGTCCTGCAGGCGGATGGCCGAGTACGTGCCTGAGGCGCCGCCGCCGACCACAATGACGTCGCGCTCAATGACGTCCTCGTCCACAGGGCTGCAGGTGTCGCAAGCACTTCCGCAGGAAGCTCTGGCGGGCGAGGCCAGGTTGGCAGCGAGGGCCGAGAGGATGACGAGGGATGCTGAGGCCCGCATTGTGAGTGATTTGCACGGTGGGCAATGGACCGACTTCCTAGACAACACTTGTTGCAACTGGCGATTGGCACATGCCTTGACGATTCAACTGACTAGCTGGACTCGACATCGTGTGCACTTTGCCTCTCTTTTGTGCTTGACACGACTTTGATCATACTTTCTTGACTCTTTCATGCTACGCGTCCTGGGACTTTTGCCAAGCTCTTTACCAAGGAACTGGGTCCGGAGCATTTCCCGAGTCCCTGGCTTCAAGCTTATGACATTGCCTTCGAGTCAATAATTGGCCGTCACTACTGTCGTTCTTTCAGTTTTCTTCTTCTTCTGTATAATACCAAAGCCGAAAGGTAATCTATTGAGCCGTAGCCTGAAAGATTACGGAACCCACAATTCAGAATATCTTCCTACTCCTCACCCATCGAAATGCCTGACACTGCATAGAGATTTCCTTTCGTCGACATTCTGTCCGAGCGATGATGCATTGTCCAATTGCTGTCTGGCATGAGCTCCACGATGGGAAACAAATTCTGAGCTAGAAGCTGGGGCTTTTGCGGTGGGCAGCTGTCACTCCAATCACAGGACGCAATTCAGTTTCGAAGGATTCAACCCCGGCTTGAATCGTGCTAGTCGGCATTACATCGGGAATTGTCTCCATATTTGCATTTCAAAAAAGCCTCATGTGGAGGGTCTCTGTTCGTGAAGGAAAATCAGAAACGGGATTAGTGTCATGCGACGGGTTACGCACCTCAGTGAACTGCTTTCCACGATAAACAATCGTATGCCCCAATTCTCGTCAGAAATATCCGGCCGATATTCAGGTGATACGATCTAGGTGCCACGATCGATGCCTGTAATCACGGACAGAATATTCATCCCGGTGACACATGGGGGCACTTGTTGTCTCAATTGTTGTTCGCTGTAGAGTGGTTAGCGAAAGATACGGTTGTTCCCAGTAAAGTACCAGACTGTCCCGACTTACTGCTGCCAAGGTTGTTCGTGCTGATTAAGAGAATATCTTACTAAAGGTTCAGATCACCGTGCTATTGTTCCCGCTTCAAAATTGAAGTCATAGACTCCAGTTTCACATCGATCACGTCAGCGCTTCAGCACATTAGTGCGGGAGCAACGATTAGGGCCTGAGTATCACAAAGATATATGCATGTAATGAAAATCAATGCATTCCGTATTGGGACAATCTGCTTCTTCCCCCATGCTGTTCCCAGCTAAGTCTGAGTTACGTAGATGTAGACTCTTCCATTCCACAACCTTGAATCTCGGGTTGGACTGGGCCGCGCAGAGTAACATCTCACAATCGCGGTCTCAGTAGTCCCTCTTTGGGAATCTCTCCCACGCCTCGGGGAACCCGCAGAAGCGGATGAAATCCCAGTGCTTAGTCCAGGTCATGGGGCGCTGCGTGCCCGAGTCGATCATGGCTATACCAGCCTGGAGGAACATGGGCTGCTTGACACGGAACTCTGGACGCGCGTCGTACGGCCTCGACATCTCCTCAGCTAGCTTGGTGGAGCGGATGAGTTTGATCATGTGCCCGTCGTCAGCGTGCTCGCATGCGCGCGCAAAGACCTCAGGCCAACCCTGCCCGGGGCCTAGGCGGGACCGGTGCGAGGCGAGGTAGTCCAGCCGCAGCTGCGGTGCGCCCATGCCGGAGTACGTCATGAGGAACACCCTTCCGCTGTACTCGAGCAGCCGTGCCTTCTGCTCCCTGGTGATCGACTGCTCCCGCAGGATCGCGGCGTGGGCGATGCTCGCCGTCGCGCAGTGCAGCAGGAAGAAGTCAAAGGCGCACTGGTACGGCGGGTTTTGCGCCGCCGCGGCGATGTACACGGCCGTGTTGATCAGCTCCGCCGTCTTGCGCTCGAGGTACTCGTCGGTGAGCGCGCCACCCTCGTTGTCCGGGTTGTCGACGACGCGCCAGCGCGCCGCGAGGCGCACGAGCTCGGGCTTGGCGTTGCGCAGGATGCCGTCGCGCGCGACCTCCTTGTCCATGGCCCAGCGGCCCGAGTGTGCGCGCGTCTGCGTCTGGAAGGTCCAGCTCGAGGCCGTGCTGATCTTGGGGTCTTCGTGGACCATGTCCACGAGCGTGGAGAGCGGCAGCGGCGACTCTTGGGCTTCAGTGGCCGCGGCTTCGGCGGCGGAGAGGTACTCGATGTACCAGTCGTCGTGGTGCACTGCCGCCTGGGCAAGGCCTTCTGCGAGCAACCGAAGCTGACGGAACTCAAGAGCGAGGCCGACATGAATCAGGCCGTGAACGTAGCCTGCGGAGAATCCTTTTAGCGCAAGGACTGAAGCCCTGAGAGATCTTTGGCAAACTCTTACCCATGTAGAGGCGAAACATCATGTCGTCCGCCAGTGGGCTCCTGTCTAGCAGATATTTCTGCAGCGTGGCCTGCCAACCAATCTTCTTGAACATGTTAAGGAAGAACATCTCAAAGTTGCGATAGTGCTCTTCTTTGCCGAGGCATCGCGTGAAGAGAGCGTCATCCTCAAGATCTAACACGAGAGGCTCGACGATGATGGTGGCATCGCGCATGTAAAGTGCATTGCGCTCATAGTGTCTGCGAAGTTGCTCTGGCGTGGCGCCACACGCCCACAGGGTGAGCTCATGGTGGGCGATATGATTGTGTAGGTAAACCTAGCAGTCTTGTGAGCTTTTGTGTCGAGAACATAGGAAGTCTGTCCGTCGCTAATGAAAAGAAGAACAAAACTTACACCCATGTGATCTTCAAGGGTGAAAAAGATGTGGTACTTCTGGTTATTGCCCTTTAATAAGTCCTCCGTAGCCCTTGCGCTCTCAGTGGTGAGACTGGGCACGTGAACGAGACCCGGAGTCTCGATTGGCGAGACGACGAAGTTGTCAGCGTCAATCATCTTGATGATACAATTGGATAAGGTACGTAGGTTTGTCACAGTAAGCTCCGTGGAAATTGCATCGGCTATCCCGATGTGAAAGACCCATATCCTCTTTGATCTAGGTGATAGCTTGCTTTTCTAGATCCTAAATACCGACTTTGCATTCATGTTTGCTGGGCTAGAGGCGAAAACAATACCTGGCACGAGGAGGCGTGGTGGTTCTGTCTCCGATACCCGGCAACTATTTTCGGAACTTTCTTACCAATTTTACCGATATAGACGATCTATCCAAGGGATATGTGGCAAATGGCATTTCCAGGTAGCCACAAGCAATCGACATCGTGCTGACGAGTGTACGTGTAAGCAGAAAGGGCATCTCCGCGCGAAGGCACTTTAACACATCCGTGGGTCTATGCCAATCAAAACTCATTCGATTCCTATCAACAATCACTGCATTGATAAATCCCATCACTGCACCCTCTTCACCAGCTTCCAGCCAATGCGTGCCCAGCCTTCGACCGTCGAACATCCCAGTATCTCCGGTGCTCAACTATCACCCAGCCTCCACGTAGCTCACCCACTCTCCTTCCGAAAAGGTCCGATGTTCTCGCCCCTTCAGGCATGAATAGATTGCGCGCTGAGTAGGCCTCGGCATGCAGAGAGCACGTCAAAGCTAGTCACTATGTCAATGTACAGCTCCACGTACCATGCAGGGATACAAATCGGGTTTTCCGGCTGCTTACCCGTAGTCATGAGTCTGACGCTCAGCAAACGAAGTGGGCACTTCTGCAAAGGGCAAGTTTCAGCCACCAGAATAAGCAAGCAGTGGGGGCATCCTGTCCAAAGGGTAAACGACAAGGCGTAAGATACATACCTCCACTGGTAGGGTCTGCAAAGCGGCGGAGTTGATCCTGCACTTCCAGCTCTTTGCCAAGCCGGACGCGCGAAAGAGTCTGGATTCTGGACGCGCGTAACCTGCGGACTTGGTCATACAGTGCAAGCCGTCCGGGCACCAGCTCCGCTGAGTGTACATTCCTAAACAGTTCGCCCAGAGCTCCAGCGTCTTCGAGTGCTTGATTTGATCCTTGAGCGCCGAAGGGGAGCATCTAAAAGTTTCATTTTCAAGTTAGACCAAAAAACAACAATCCACTCGTTGCTGAAACTTACCGGATGAGCAGCATCGCCCATTAATCCCATCTTACCACGAACCCACGTGGGCAGCGGATCATGGTAATTGAGTGGCCAGTCAGTAACCCTGTCTGCTTTGCTTTGTTTACGGACATAATATGAGCTTCTGTTTTCCGTAGATGGAGCATTCATGTGAAATGTGATTGCCGTCGACTTACTGCATGAGTTGGACTAGACTTGGGTGGTAGTGTCCAAACTCGGACAACATGGCGTCTTTAATGTTTACGCCCAAGGATTCGTAACCTGGCACACAATAAACAATACTGATGATTCAGAGAGTCCCGAACAAAATAACTGACCCTCGTTATTGTTGTTAGAAATGCTGTCATGTATACCGCCAAAGTTCTGTAGTGTGCCACTAAAGGTGACAAGCAGATCAGATTGCATTCGTTCAACTAGTTTCAGTGAAAAGACTCACTTGCGGCAAGTGTACCAGACCATATGGCGTTCGGTTTTGTGAGATGTGTCCGCAAAGACGCTGTTGCCTCTACCTTTGACATTTAGTAGATCCTGGAAGGCCGGCTCATCTTTTAGCTCGGCCGTGGGGATCATAAAGCGAAACGCGCTCAAACCCGAGGGCGTGGGCTTCGACTCGGCCTGCTCAAGCACCACACCACGGAGCACGGAGCGCAGGCCGTCAGCCCCGATGACTAAGTCGGCAACGTGCTCGGATCCATCCTCAAGGATGATGCTGCCGCGGTCAGGGTCCGCTGAGACGACCCTGGAGCCGAGCTGGAGAACACATTCTCCATTACCTTGGTCAGCTAAGGCCAGCCGCAAGAGCTCATTGTGCAGGTCAACGCGGTGGATAGTCCAGAACGGAGCGCCAAGCCGGGACACGGCGTCCGACGTATCGGCACGGTGCAGGCCAGCGAGGGTGACGCCATCGACCACTTCAAAGGTGGACATGGCGTCAGCCCGGGCGCGCACCCAGTCGAAGCCGAGATGGTCGAGCACACGGGTGCCATTGGGTGTGAGTGCCACGGCAGCGCCGACCTCGCTGGCAAACTGTGACTTTTCGAAAACCTAGGCGTGGAGTCAGTACTCGGATAGACGGCTCTGTGAGACCAGGGTTGTGCGAGACCCGACTCGGGGGGTAGGTTACCTGCACACGGTGGCCGGCGCGCCTGAGGGCAACAGCGGCACTGAGTCCGCCAATACCAGCGCCGACAATGATGACTTGGAGAGGCATTTTGGAACCAAATTCCGGACTAGGAACCGACGGAATGCGGGATGAGGAACTGACGGAATATGATGAGATGCGTTTTGCAATGGAGGAAAAGGCGCGCAGTGTAGATCAGACGAGGCCCTTTTTAGAAAATACCTCATCTTCTTCACCGTTCTCAGTTTCTCGTGTGTTTCTATCTTTCAAGACCCTTGTGCGGGGATATCCGTGATCGTGCCACCCAGGTGTCGAATTGTGCCGGGGCCAGGTCTCAGCAATGCGCCGAAGCTCATCATCGGGGACGGCCAGGCCTCTCACCCGTCGCCTCAATAACAGCCTGGCGGCGGCCCTGAATACTGTCCGATAGGTTTAAATTGACCAAATCTGACATAAACCGACGGGCGAATGAAATGCTCCGCGACTTCTAGGTTTCAGGTTCACAGGAGGGGACTGTGGCTATCCTACGTTTCGATAGATCGTTTGCGGTATAGGGATGAGTGAGGCCATACTCGGGCTCTTTCCTAACACCCTATACTCCTCTCTCCTTCTGAGCTATAAGCATCTTTGTGCGGGGGACTACGGTATCGATCAAATCAGAAGCTGGTGCGCCGCATGCCGACCTTTGACACCGTGTCGGTAAGGCTCGAGCAAGGCAGGCCGAGAGGTACTCGAATCCTTCAAAGAATCATCAAACGACCAGTGCAGATCTGTTTCAAGGTGTGCTATTTGACCTGCTGAAAGAAGAATAGTCTGCATACCACAAACTCGCAGAGACCTGCAGGACAGTATCCGAGTGTCACGGTCGCAGCGGCCGTGGCAACACGCAGCATTCAAAGACGAGGCCTTGTTGCCTGAGGCGCCAAGAGTAGAGCCACGTGTCGTTGGCGAGAAGCATGCAGAGTAAACGACAGCATGTAGTGCTACCAGGCCTGTCGCACAGTTGAGCAGCAGGGCCGATCGGTTGCATGTATGCCGTGGCTGGGTTACCTCCAAGTCATGCTTCTGATTCTGCTCTAGCAACTGAGATGTCGCTGGGGAAACAGATGGAACTGGAGTGGGAGCAGAATAATGCATTACAAAGTATGTATCCTGCTCTTGTATGTTTACATACTAATTCAGGATTGTTTTTTGCTGCGAAGGATCGAAAGATAATTAATGCGTGGAGCGTGGGGTAGCCACTCTTCATGCGCAGTCCTTATAGGTGGGTATTTCACAACGCATGACCCATGGAGAACGCCGGCTGTAGGTAGGAACTGACCAAGAAAGCAGCATGCAAGAAGAGATCCTCCTCTGCAAGTTGTCCTGAAGGGGAGATTCTCCGGTGATAGAACGCCGTGTCCCTGGGCAAACGAAAAGGTTCCTTTTACCCGCGCGCATACATGCAATGACGCGAGACGAGGGCGAATAACAGTATTGCCAGTGCAACACATCATCCACGGAGCTGGTACTTTTCCCGTCTAAACGGCGTTACGTATCATGCAAACCAACGGTTGGTATTAGTGGTCCTGTAGTTGAATCGTCTCCAAGTCTGAGTCTGACTACTTCGTTAACAAACATTCCTGGCAGTATTTGTAAGTTGTCACACTGAAACAACCAGTCCATTACAAATGATTAGACAGGAGTGAAGAAAAAGCAATGATGATAAGCGATATCCGTTTATATAACAGCTGCATGACGTGCTCATGCCGAGACTTTGAGCTGACTGTTGAGCTTACAGTGCCGCGGGCGTGAATTTGCCCGATGAGTACAAGCTTTTGGAGTGCAGATCTTCCGTCACGAATCCCAGCTTAGCGGCCGCGGAAAGGCCAAAGTATACAGCCCTATCCATCGAGAGACCGGACTGGGCATTGCGAGTCCTTATCGAATTAGGTGTGGCTCGGTGGGTAAGGGTCAGCATTACTGAAGCACCTTAACTGGCCAGTTGTTCTGTCATCCTGGACAGGGAGTACTGTACCTCGACCAAAATCCTGCCCCCCACAATTCCCTACCGTTTTTCCTCTATTCAGGAGGCCGTAATCACTCCTGCAGCTACGACCCGCGGACATGGCGTACAATCGTTCTCGACAGTGCAGACGAAGTGTGCACATGGTGCATAATCTTTTAGTCTAGAGAACTTGGCAGCATGTTTACTTGCCACGGAGCTAGTGCCGATAGAAATGTCAGACTTCATCCCCCCCATAGAGAAGGCGCAGTTGGGAGTTCCCCGAGGATCTGCGCAACGCGAGTCCCTGGCCTCCCTACTGACCGTCGACTGTACCAAGCGAGGCATATATGGGTCCCTTCGCCCCGGGCACTCCTGGGTGTGACGAACCAACGACAACCAGAGGCCGTAAAAATAGTACTTTGGGTATCTCTCCGCAATCTTTCCATGTCTTCACCGAGGCTGTCATTCAGCCATGGGCAGAGTGAACACACCCAACCATCAAGAGGTCAGACTAAGAACGACAACAAAAACAACAACGACAAAGAGAGTAGTAACTCTTCCAAGAACACGGGACGCGTCCGCTCCGCCTGCAACGCGTGCCACCAATCCAAAATTAGGTGCTCGGGAGGGGCGCCATGCCAACCGTGCCGCGAGTCGATGTTCCTATGCACATATAGCCCAGGGCGAAGGCTTGGCAGACCGAAAGGAAGCAAAAACAAGAGAACTCTGATGCAGGGACAAAACAAACAGAAGCAAGCCGACACCACGGCACCGGCGCCGGAGCCGTCTGTCGCCGAAGACAGCAATGATAAGAAGGGCGGTGACTTTGCCTCGACGACGAGCAGCAGTATAGCTCCGATCACAAGCCACGCCGAGCCCTCGATGGACTTGGAGTTTGACATTGATGAGTCTACGACAGGCTTGGGCTTGGATGACGAGTTCGACTATGACCAAAGTGCTCTTTTGGGCATGTCATCGTCAGTCTCGTCCATGTTTGGGTCGATGGGAACGCACAGCCGCTCCATGAGCCTCGACAATAAGCCGGGAGACACAAACTCAACCAAGGTAAGGCCATTCCGCTATTGCAGATACGTATGTCTCATAAAGAAAACTGACAATTGAATTACGCTTTGACTTGTCCAAAGTGGATGTCCGCCATCAGCAGCCCATATCGCGGGCCATCAACATTTGACACATCCGACATGTTCAAGGGAGCATGCGGCACTGGCCCTGCCGTCACGCACCAGCCGAGCCTGACGCCGATTGACCCAGCACTTGCCGGGCTTTTCCAAACTGGCTCGGGCCCGTCATCCGCCGAGCCGAGCTCCAGCTCGACGGTGACCTCCGGCTGGCCATCCTCGACGGCTCCGGTCTCCACCCCAATGTGCTCGTGCATTCAACTGCACGCCCGCTTGGTCTATGACCTGGGCACCTTGCTACATGACAAGGCGACTGATGTCGAGCGCATTCTCACGGGCGTCCAGCTAGCCCAGGGGCCCTGGCAGGCACTGCTGCAATGCCCTTGGGGCCGCTACTGTGATAACCATAAGGAAGCCTTCCTTCTGTTTAGCCTGAGTGTGCGTATCCTGCTTTCGTCGCTGCAAAAGGTGCAGTCGGGTGTCAAGGCCCTCTCGCAACCTGGCTCTTCGGAGCGCGGCCCAGCGCCGATGGATGTTGGTCTCGGAAGCTTGGCCGCGTCCTCACTGGCGTTGTCGGGCGACCTCGACGGGACGAGAGTCTCTGTCGGAGGGTTTGAGGTCACTGGGGAGACTAAGCTGGAGGTCATCTCGGTGCTGATTAAGGGTGCGCTGGAGTCGATACTCTCAACCGTATCGAACCAGCAGGATACCAGCGGCACTATGCCGGTTGATGCGAGCACGATGGGCTCGTTACCCCCATACTTGGTCAACATGGCTATGCTGGGCGGTGGTAGCGATAGCGAGAAAGGGGCATCAGAGTCTCCGATCAGTGCGCGCACCTCGGTCTCGACCGAAGCGACGCAGCTATCGTCGCAACTCTTCAGCATGTCTCATCTACATCAAACACCGGATGCTGGGACTGCGCACATTGACGCTGCAGCAAATGATATCCAGGCGCTGCTCAACCAGCTTACTAGGGGATAACAGACTTAGGATCTTGGCTAGGTATGGACAGAACTTATAGATCGTTTTTCAACATTCCGCAATCGAGCATTTGAGCTGCTATAATCGGAAAAATACTGCAACATGTGCGACGTAGTACTGCATTTTGAACCACAGAGGACATCCAGCTGCTTTTGGGATCCCGCGCCGAGCGGCGGTCTTACTCTCTCAAGCTTCGGGCCACCATGTCAGAGTCAACCTTTGCGGTCACTGCGTGCATTCTGCTACAACGCTGGCACGACGATTGGGGATTTGGGCCGCTGCCCCATCATGCTCCTAATGATGACTTTGATATACAAACCTTCTTTCGTGAAATACACATACAGCTACAAGCAGTCCTGTTTCGGGTCGGCTTCTGCACACGCAACGCATTCGACAACGTTGATTATCTCGATCATTACATACACACTATGACGTTATAGCTTTAGAAACCCCCCCCTCGACATTCAGATGTGGCTTGGAGATCGATCTTGGACTCTTGGCTCATATGATAACGGTTGCGCTAGGAGCCATGTACCAGTACACAGTAGCGCACCGTATTGCGTGAATAGGCAACCGGCTTCCTAGATCTAGCTTTCTTGGGCAGTGTAAGCTGGTAAAACCGGAAAGTCTACCCCCGAGCAGACCAATCTGGGGAGAAGGTTCGGCGTGGGGGGCTAGACGGACGCCAATGGCCTCGGGTCGGCACGGGTGACCCGGCATTAGCTGGCAGTAGCTGGCAAGCTAACAGGGGCCTGAAGTGCGGACTCCCTCCCATGTCTCCCCGTTGCGTCCGTGAGTTGCTGACCTACACTGGTGCAGTTGGTAGCGCTTATCTCCCCTGACGTGCATCAATAGCGCTTATCCTCGTCGCTTCCCTTCGAAACTGATCGTCGATGCCGATACTTGGCTTCGATTAGCACGACGCACGGACAGGCAGGGATTGTGATGTGCCGAGCAAGGGGGGAGGGGGAAGGGAGCATGGTGGTGGGAATTCCCCATTGGCCGAAGTTCGACGGCCTTTCAGGGCCGCAACGGCGGTGGAATAAACTTTTGCAAACCTGGCTTAAATCCGGGAGCCCCAGATGCTTATGTGCGACTGCGGCGGACGACTGACGGCACTTTTATTTGCATTCAATCTGAGTTGGTTGAACCAGCGGAGTTTGGTGTCGGAGCCACTCGTTAACCCTCGGTGCGCCATTTCCCGGTGGGCGAAGTCGTCACTGCCTCTGTCCTCCTCAGTTGAACGCGTTGTATATACATAGCCCCCGGAGCTACGAGGTCACCCATCAGGTACGGCACAAGCCTTGCAGCCGGGCTAGGACCTTTCACCTTCTGTTCGTTGCAACCATGACCAGCCTTCCGGACTCGGAAAAAGACGCCGGCGGCCGCGGCGATGGTGCGGTCTCGGACTCGACCGCCACCACCATATCCGCGCCTGGCGAAGGCACGGTGACGGCGCCACCACTCACTAGTGGCCTGGCAACTGCCATCATCCCGCCCGAGGAGGGCGTCCGCGGCTGGATATGTGTTGTCGGTGCCTGGATCTGCCTCTTCTGCACCTTCGGTTTCCTCGCCGCCATCGGCGTCTTCCAGACCGTCTACGAGCAGACCACGCTGCGCAACTACTCGTCGTCGGACATCGCGTGGATCTTCTCGGTACAGCTGGCCCTCATGTGGGCTCCCGGCCCCCTCTTCGGCCGGCTCATCGACACCTTCGGCCCGGCACCCGTGCTCTACCCGGGCGCCGTCCTGTGTGTGTTTGCGCTGTGTATGACCAGCCTCGCCGACAAGTACTACCAGATCTTCCTGAGCCAGGGCCTCGTGTTCGGCGTCGGGTCCGGTGCCGTGTTCACGGCCGGGCTCGTCTGCGTGGGGCAGTGGTTCGTGAGGCGGAGGGGCTTGGCGTCCGGCATCGCCGCGTCCGGGAGCAGCATGGGCGGCGTCATCTTCCCCATCTTCCTGAACCGAGTCCAGGCCGACATCGGTTTACCCGGCGCGTTGCGATACAGCGCTCTCATGATTGGTATCTTGCTGGCTGCTTCCGTGTTCATGGTGCGCGCGCGGCTGCCGCGTAAGAAGTGGGATCCCAAGGTGAAGTGGTTTGATGTCGCTTTGTTCGGTCAAAAGGAGTTTGGACTCTACTCGGCTGGGACGTTCTTGACTATGTGAGTGTCTGCCTCCGGGTTTGATGTAAGGTTAGGTAGTCTGACCTCTGCACCAGGTGGGGGCTATGGGGTCCATTCGACTTTGTCTCGAGCATGGCTCTGGAGCAGGGGTTCTCGCCAGACCTGGCACTCGGACTGGTGTCCATCATCAAGTATGTCTTTGAATAGCTTTTGTGTTCAGGAATGCCGAGATTAACTAATCTGCTCAGTGCCACATCAATCCCCGGTCGTGTTCTGCCACCGTTTTATGCCGATCGTATCGGCTGCTTCAATGTGATCACAGGCTGCTCACTCATGACTGGTGCATCAATCCTCGCGCTGTGGCTACCGTTCAACTACCACCCGTCGCACGCTGGAATAATCGTTTTCTCCGCCGTCTATGGGTTCGCAAGTGGTGCCTTCGTCTCTCTGCTAATGCCATGTGCCGCCAAGGCGGGTAGCATTGAGACCATTGGCCAGCGCTTCGGAACCTTTCAGGTCGTCATGGCCCTATCGTAAGTGCTATTCTTGCACTTATTCCATTTTTCCCCAGAAGAACTAACAACCCGAAATAGTACTCTGACAGGCTTGCCTATCATGGGAGCCATCCTGGGCCGCCAGCACAATAATGACTTCTCAGGATTGCAACTGTTCTCGGGAGTGTCGTGCTTGCTTGGAGGGGTGCTGCTTATTGGAGCTACCTATTTCCTGCGTCGTCATTTTGGAACGTGGAAGACGTAGATGGCAGATCATGAGCCAGGACCTCTATCGCTAAGTGAATTTAGCTCTTCTATTAGCGGGCACATCAATCATTGTACACATGCCTCAGCTCAGGCAATATGTCGGGATAGACTTTAAAGTTCGTAACGCTGTGGGTTATATCTTCGTATGTGGCCTCTTATATCAGCACTGAATGAGTTTCGAATCTTCAGCCCTCGCATGCAAGCAACGAGTCTATTCTTAAGGTGGCTTTGAACTATTATCTCGAAGTAATTGCGATGGTTAAACTAGGCTGTGAATAGCTCCTTTCACTTTGAGCTGTCAAAATAGCCATTTTTGATAGAAAGTAAGGCGAACATCCTCGAACAAACCTTGTGCCCGGTATGCATCTGCCACGTCCAGTCTGCAAGGCCTGCCACGCGTTTCAGTGTCCAGCGACTCTCTTAGTAAATACCAACAGCACCTCTCTTTTCTGTGTCCACGGAGACCAGTGCTCCCGGAATGACCACGGTGCCGTTGATGGGACCAAGGAGTCCGCCCACCGTCGTGACGTACAGCACATTACTATCACAGCTTCCCCTCCCGAATTGCGCCGAACTCCCCTCAGCAATAGCCGTCGAGTTCAGGTTGCCCGCCACGACCGTCTGGGTATTCCCATCTGGCGTGATCCTGACAAGTGTATTCCCGCTCGCCGTGACGGCCCAGATGCCGCCCTCGGAGTCGACGGCAAAGTCGTCCCAGTGATCGACAGGACCCTTGTTGTGCGCGATGACGGTGTAGGGGCCGGCCTCTGCCCCATTTTCTGTGATCGGGACCTTGACCAGAATCGACTGTCCCGAATTGGCCGCGTACAGCGTGTCGCCGACGATACGTATGCCATTGACGCCGTGCGGGGTCTTCAGCTTGGAGAGGTAGGTCGCGTTGATAGCTACCGAGTAGTCGCCCGTCGACATGTCCACGCGGTATATGAGGCCCGCAAAGGTGTCGCTGGCCAGCACGTATTTGCCATGCGCTGCCAAGCCGTTGAGCAGCTGCGACTCTTTGACGAGGGCGACCTTGCGCACCCGAGGAAGGTTCCCGCCGGCCAGGCCGCAGGCTGCCTGGGATAGCTTGACGCCGCGCATATCGAGGCTGAATAGGGTCCAGCTGCCCACGCCGACCGACTTGCCAAAGTGGTAATCGCCAGCCAGCACGGCGAACACGTCGGGCGCGTACTCGGTGATGCCGGTCATTCCTGACAGACCTGCCTTCGTGAAGTTGTATACCGGGACTGCGCACCCGGGCCGTTGGGGGTCGAGTAGAACTAGCTCGGCACTGGTCGTGCGTGTCACGAGAATCTCGCCATTGGAACGCACGGCGAGGTTCTCTACGAAGGAGCCTTTGGGAAACGAGTAGACAGTGGAAACTGGCAGGGGCAAGCCCGCTGGTGTGGATGGCTCCGCTGTGGTCGGTGCGGCACGAACTGCGCCGATGGTGGCGAGGATGACAAGTTGTAGACGGACCATGATAGAGAATTACTTGATGCTTCTTGCCGGGAAGATGCAGATATATGCGTCCAAGAAGGCACGATCGGGAGATTCTGATGGTGGAAGAGCTTGCGATGCGGTGCAGAGTTCGAGGAAGCCCAGCAACCTACCTGACAACAGATATATCCTCTTGGTCTTGAGCCTGATGGCTGGATCCGCCGGTTCAGGGAGATATCTTCATATGAGTGTCAACAGTGAAGCGGTATTAAATCAGATGGGGCATGTACGCGTAGAATAATGGAACTAATTCTTGCATATGCATGGTGTGGTAGGATGTATTAGTCGGCCACTTTCTCCCCTCCTCCACTATGCAGGCGGTGCCGGAACTATTACCTGTATGGTCTTGGCAGCTGGAATTTTCACAATTGTCTCATTCGTATTCCATCATAATTGGCCAATTCAATTTCCTGCAAGATCATACCTGCCAGGGCACTCTTGCTGCCCCGGATTCCAGATCTACACTGTTCTTCTTGTAGCCAATCTGTGACTGCATACCCCAAAGAAAATCACATCGGCACCCTCACCGCACAAAGGTAAGGTGTCACCGTAGCCATCGCCAAATTCCAGATGCCCGACTTCGCATAGGGGTCCTCTTCCAACCACGCTCGTACTTGGCTCTCACTGTCGGCCTTCCAGACCATGGCACTGCCGACAGGGCGTAGGGGTTCATCATCATGTGATGCGAGCAAAGGGCCTGAGACAACCACATGGCCAGCCTCAATATGCTTCTTGTTGTGCGCTGCGTGTGCCGGGAGGTTGTCGCGGCGAGCTTGGAGCACGATCTCACCGCCAGGGTCGCCGTTATGATCCCGGTTGTCGGGAATTTGCACGAGCCAATCGGGCATTGCCGATGTTGCGAGAGGATGTAGGAAGAAGCGGGTCCCGTCTTTTGGTGATGATGAGCAATTGCAGAGTCGGAAAAGGATTTATCATTAAGGAACTTTGTTGGGACCCTGTCTCACAGGAGTGCTTTCAACCCACTCTGACCGGGAGTGATATTTGTATAACAAATGGTGTGTCGGGTGTGTATATGCGCTTCCTTTACTCGGCGAGTTAATACCCCCAGACGTGCACGCGTTCCAGTTTTGGGGAACTAATTCCTATTGGCTGATGGCAGATGCAAGGCTCATCAAGGTTCTCACATCAGTCGAACTACATGGTCAATCTTAAGCTTGGAAAGAAGTGTTTTATGATATCAAATTCAGCTTGAGAATAAAGGGTATGCTCGGAAATCAGCCGACCATGTTGGCAGCTGAGTGATGAGTAGGATGACTGTGACCTCGGTCTTTTGTAGAGGATAGTGGAAACAGTCGAGACCAGGTTCTAAGAATATAAGTAACCTACTCGGACCCTTGGATCAGTTGTTCTCAGGAAAACACAGCTGCACCGCTTGCCGCATCACGACACTGTCATTAGACACCTCGCTATCCTCTAGGACACTAATATTCATCATGGTCGCCATCTGCAACCCGTCGACCAAGACGCTTGCCACCGTGGCCAAGTTTGTCGGCTACATCTCCTCGCGTAACTACCAGCCACTCGCAGGCTTCTTCGCTCCCAACGCCACATGGTTCACTCTCGGCGACCCGACCTTCCCCAACGACATTGGCGGTACCGTACTCGCGGTCGAATACCTCAAGACCTTGCCCAGCGCCGCCGTATTCGACAGCTACTCGATCGACATCCAGAATACCGTGGTCGAGGGGTACTCCGCCAACGTCGAGGTGCGCATCACTGGCGACCTGGACACGCTGCACTGGGTCAATAACGCCTCGTACACGTTCCGTCTCGACAACAACTTCAAGATCACACAGCTCGACTTCTACACTGACCGCATCGCGGTCAACTGGCTGGTGAAGTGGCTGACAGACCACGCCAACTCTGTAAGCTGGCGTTATGTTTCTTGATGTCTTCCCTTCAAGAGATGCTTACCTTCGATGTGATTTGGGCAGACCTCGTCCAAGACAACGCGCCATGTTTAACGTGACGACATAATCTTGACAACCTGCCCCTTCGCTTCTTACTCGATCACAATTGTCTATATGGTGGCTTGCATGCGCATGAACAGGTGGGGTTTGAGTGATGGAGAACTGTTGATGGCAATGGCACTGAAGTCTCGCTCAGCATGTGTGAGGGATCAGCTAGAAGATGAGGAAACCAGATAGTTCCTGAATCAAACAATGCCAACACTCCGGGCATTGCCTTCAATTTATATTACTCTCTTCTAAGTGCTCTCCGGGAATGTGCCGTCTCTTGCGACCTAGCTTACGGCAGCCATCATCATGCCAGAAGCACTAATAGTCCCGTATGCAAATCATTGCATTCCCCATCGAACAGGCCAAATGACCAGGACCAGTCGTCTCAGATTAACTTTCTCAGAGAATTTGCAACTTCAGCAGAGCCTACTGACTCGCTTAAGCCTACTGACTTGCCTCATACTTGCTATACCATCTTTACCAGAGATTAATACCCATCAAGCAGGCCAATTAAAATTACATTTACCCCCTTCACCCAATGCCGTCGCACCCTTATCCTCGAAACCGTGCAGACACTCGGGCGGCGCAATTAAGCCCCTCCTGCCTGCATGGACCAGAGCGTCGATCCAGTTCCTAGCCATGATGAGAGATCCCTCAGCGCTGGGGTGCGTTCCGTCCGCCAGGTACTTCTCCGATGCCTGCATGCCACACCCGATGTCGGCCAACACGACATTGCGCCTCTTCCTCCACAGGTCAGCCACCACTGCCGGCAGCGCATCATTGTACCGAGTAATCCGCCCGTTGACGGTGGCGTTGACGTTGGGGATCAGACGGGCCACAACGAAGAGCGCGCGTGGGTTGTAGGACGTAGCTTCGTCTAGCAAGTCATACAAGTGGCCCGGCGCGGCGGTCGCGTTCTCGGGGCCACCTAACACAAAGTCCACCGTGCCAGCGTGGACGAGGACAACATTGGGGCGGCTCGGTCCGGGGCAGGTCCCGGGCGGCGCAGTCAGTTCCGGGGCGGCGGCAACGCGGATGTCATTGATGGTGTGGTAGACAAAGGAATCGCTCCAATTGTCGGCCCAGTCGCCGTGCGCTACGGAACCGGCCATCGAAACCGGGTTGCCCCCTGTGTGAAGGAGACACTCCAGATCACGCCTGTAGGAGGCGTTGCGCGGGTCATTGTAGCCCCAGGTAATCGAGTCGCCGAGTGCTAGAATACGAAGAGGGATGCCACCAGCTACTAGGGGCACGCGTGGTCCCGAAGCGCTGAGCAATCCATGAGCACCAGTGGCGAGAGCTATTCAGGTATTATTAGCGTTTTGATTACGGCCTGGCTTCTAGTAAGGTACTGTATGTTATGTTCACGCACCGACAAGGAGTAGCGATGGCAACATGGTGCGAGTTGGTGGGCTTGAAAAGGACTGTATCTCGAAGATGGCCTGGTCCTTGATGGGCTGCTGAGAGATGAGGAAACAACGATTACAGTGAACTGTTGGTTCTGTGGCATAGTTTTATTGTATATGTTCGCAATAGCTGCAAACCGGAGTCGGTGTTGCGTTGCAATAGTAGCTGCTAGTTTCGGCCAGTATCTTCGGCATTATCCGCATCCATGTATGATGTGACAGAGTGATGGAATCTAGTGCTAATGGGAATAAGATACCAAAGCACGGATCTCATGAATGTATTTTTTGCTTCCTCTAAGGTTTTTGTGGCTGCTGCGGTAGATCAATCCCCCTATACGCAGGGTGAGAGATTTCTGTTTAGGGTGATGACTTGGCTCTATGCTTCTCTGTCCGAAGTATTCTATTACGTCAGTGGTGCCTCGCCTTGGAAGCAATATCAAAAATTGCTCTTGTCTACTGCCATGCTGAGGAGTGATTCCATGATCGGAACAGAGCAAGAGCATGTATGGGCAACCCATTTAACTAAATGGTTGATGTCTAATTCCCTGTCAAAGTTTTGTTTGTTTGTTTTTCTAAAGAGCAAAACACTTGACACATTTGTGACTTGAAGAGAGAGCCACTATCTCGACATTCTTTATTTATTCAACCTCTCCTTCACAGTTTACGTGTGGGTAACCGTTTTGTGTTTTCAGAGCAGGATTACAACACTGGGTCAACAATCGGCTCGAGCACGATGATGCCGCGACAGTCTAAAATACCCATTTCCTAGTGTCGTGTCAGCGTGCCGAAACTGTCAAGATCGGCTCCACCAGACTACTTGTAAATAAGGTCTAGGCTCTAATATTCATGCACTTAGGTGGGCCTAGAAGTGAATTGTCACGCCATTTTTTAAAAGTCTGCGGGATTCAAACAGCGACCCCTCTAAAGATAGATTTCTCTCTTCGACCCCTCTACGAAGTTACGATTGAAGCTTCATAGAAACTCATTCTTTTGTGCTTGGGCCGGTAACAGTCATCATGCCGCCCAAGAAGGTCGAAACCGTCACGGACAATGTCGTTGCTTTCGGAAGGGTTCGCAAGAACCTGAAGATGGGATGCGTTGGTCTGCCCAATGTGGGGAAATCGAGTCTTTTTAATCTCTTGACCGAGCAGAGCGCCGCCGCAGAAAACTACCCATTTTGTACCATTGAGCCCAATGAGGCGAGATGTGCTGTTCCGGACGCTCGATATGTAAGCCGGGATACTCTGTAGAAAGCTCTGCGGATAGATAGCTGACAATAAACAATACATGTAGGACTTTCTCTGTGACCTCTGGAAGCCGCCGTCCTCGTACCCAGCGTATCTACAGGTCACTGACATCGCCGGCCTAATCAAGGGTGCTTCTCAAGGAGAAGGACTTGGCAATGCCTTCCTCTCTCACATCCAGGCCGTCGATGGCATGTTCCACATTGTCAGGTATAACATCCTTCCATGCCAACTAAACTGCCGTGCCTTGTTCATACTGACTTGGACGCTATGATAGAGCCTTTGACAACGACCAAGTTCTACACGTGGATGACTCGATCGATCCCGTTCGGGACCTGGGTTAGTTCAGGAACAAATCCCACGGGCTGACGGAGCTAATTTGGTACATCTTCTAGCTACCATCCAGAGCGAGCTGTGCAAGAAGGATCTCGGTTCGTATTGACCTCTTGAAACATCTATATATAAACTAACCTTTATGGTTCCAGACATTCTGGAGAAACAAATCGTTGCCGAGGAAGCAATCGTCCGAAAGGCAGGTGGCAAGTACAAGATGTTGCCTCTCTTCACAGAGACCACGACCAAGATCCGAGCTGTAAGCCCAGAACTCTCGTCGCCATAGATTCAGCTCATTGCTGTATGCTCACTCTTATGAGATAGATGCTAGAAAAGGATCAGCCAGTCAGGGATGGAACATGGACGCCGGCCGAGATTGCGCTCATCAACGAGAAGATCCAGCTCATCACCACTAAGCCGGTCATCTATCTCGTCAATTTGACGATGAAGGACTATCTTAGGCAGAAGAGCAAGTACTTGCCGTCCATAGCCAAGTGGGTCACCGAGCACGGTGGCATTCCTCGGGACATCATCCCCTTCTCCATCGAGTTCGAAGAGAAGCTTCACAGCATGAAGGATGATCCGGAGGCGCAGGCCGCCTTCCTCAAGGAGAGCAAGGTCAGCTCCAAGCTGCAAAAGATCATCACTGAGGGATTCACCAAGCTCGGCCTGCAATACTACTTCACCGGTATGTTCACACTTTGCCAACCCCTTTGCCGGGTTCCACGCCGCTAAACTTGCCTTCAGCTGGTGAGAAAGAGATCAGATGCTGGACTATCCCAAGGGGCTGCCTTGCACCTCAGGCCGCTGGAGCTATCCACAGCGACTTTGAGAGGGGATTTATCAAGGCCGAAGTCGTCGCCTACCAAGACTTCCATGATCTCTGTGAAGGCGCCAAGTCCATGGCCCCAATCAAGGCAGCTGGCAAATACCGACAAGAAGGAAAGTCTTATGTAGGTACCCACACTCCTTCCGAGGTTTGCAGAAGCTGATTCTTATTCCCTCAGGTTGTCCAAGATGGAGATATTATCCACTTTCAGTTTAGTACGTTGCAAAGCCGCCGTCAACAATAGTTCTTTCCTTGCAAGTACATTGCCTTGCTAACCATCTGCAACAGACGTTGGGAACAAGAAATAGATGAGCTTCTCGATGCCGGCGGCTACATAAGTTTGGATAACGGACAGTGCCAACTACTAGCCCATTCAACTTGATATACGTCAACCACGGATACGCGTCTGGAACCCCTTAAACGCGACAATCAATGACATTGCATTGTATGGTGTGGGAACTGCTGTTACACTCCACGCTACCATTGAAGGATGCCAAGCGCTTGGGATACTGGAATAGACAAGGTAGAACAAAAGTACGATAGAGCCTTCGATCAGGACAGGGTGTAAACCCTACAATTAGGAGGCCCAGGTCAATCAATGTCACTAGAGCTTTGATTAGATTATAGATATCTGTTTTCACTGCCAAACTCTAATGCCAAACTCTATTCAAGGTGCTTCACGTCTTCTCCAAATCCACTTGAATCACCATTTACCCATACGGAAGAGCAAAAGGAAACAGCCAGGCAGGATGGTTGTGCAATTTCATTATACTATTTCAAGTGTATGGTAGTAACGGTCTATACCAATGGAAAATATTGTGAAAAGATAACCCTAATAAATCAACCATGTGCCTGCATCTCGAGCCCCCCAAAAACCATTTGACCAGGCAGCTTCATAGACACTTACACCATCACATGGCGACACAGAAACTCGTATGCCCTTTCCACGGCCTTCCAACCCTCGCTCCTCGGGTCCGCGCCAGGCGCAAGATCAAAGCCATGTCCGATGCCTTCCACAATAGCAGCCTCGGAGTCGACACCGCGTGCCGCCAGTGCCGCCATCGTGGCTGCGGTCTGCTGTGCGGGGATCAAGTCGTCCAATGTGCCGTGGACCATAAACGTCGGCACATTGCCGTACGCGCCTGCATCGATGAGGCCCCGGGGGCTGATGGCGCGGACCTGCTCAGGCGTGGGCCATGGAAGACGAGCCCAGGGATAGTTGCTCTCATCGCCGTTGGCGAGAAATTTTAGTTGGCGAGCACCCGGGAGCCCGTGGACCAGGATCGGGACCATCTGTGCGGCCCAGTTCATGTGCGCGCAGATGCGCCAGCGCGGGTCGCGTAGCGTGATGAACATGCCTGGGCGGTTGCGGTTGCTAGGTGGATCGTAGCCGGGTAGCTGTGAATGTTGAGTAATAGTTTCATGACCCGTCTTCAAGGCTCGCAGAGGATGGAGCACTTACACATTTGTCGCCCACACCCTCTAACAGATCCTTTTCATACCCGATCTCGCTGTCTGGGGACTCAGGGATGCACGAGGGGTAGATGGGATGCTTCCACCCTGTACAGTTTGTAAGAACCCGCGAGAAGCACCCGATATATGGAATGAGAGGGATACTCACAATCATCTTCAAAATTTGACGGCGCATAAAAAGCCACCACGGCATCCGGCGGCCGAACTCCAGCAGCCGCGCAAGACCCCGCCGCTGTCATACCCAGATGCCCGCCTACTGACCAGCCGACGACGGCAAGCTTCTCAGAGTCAACATGTCGACCTGATTGAGGCAGGGTTGGTAGCAAGGGACCACGAGCCCAAGCGATGGCATCGACTGCGTCGGCTAAAGCCCCATTAACAAGGTTCACCTCCGGACAAAGCCGGTAGTCGATACTGATGGGGAGAAAGCCGAGTGCGAGAAGGCGCTTCACGTGGCGCATCGGGATGTCGCGCCGGGTGCAGGCTACATAGCCGCCTCCGTGCAGGAGAAGAGCTATTCTGCGTTGGTCAGTGGTTCGCGCCGTGTGAGCGCTTAGAAGTTCTGTACTTACCAACTGGCCGCTTGGAGCCGGGTACATCCTGGTCAGCCGGAGAGTAGACGTCGGCGAGTAGCTCCACGCCGTCGATGTGTTTCCACGCGACAGTCTCCACAGTCACTCCGGCGCGGCGGTTTAGCACGGAGGGGGGAGCAGACGGCAAGGCCGCAGATTGCAAGGACGCCTCACTGAGACCTTTGTTGAAGGCACAAATGACCCTCAGCGTGTTTGCCTCTTCAGTATCACCGCCGGAGAAGGCCACGTGGGGGAAGCCAGCCTGGCGAAGTGCCCCGTCCCAGAACTCGGTGGATGCCAGAGCATGGTCGCGACCGTCGACGAAGAGCCACCAGCCGTCGAGCAGGCCGAAGACGACATCAAACCAGAAAAGGTTTCGCGTGTACTCGACCAACGCAAGGAACCCATCGGGTTGGAGCAGCTGGCGAATGTTTCTAGCCGCCACACTCACGTCGGGTGTGGCGTGCACGCAGTTTGTCGAGATAACCACATCGTAGCGGCCCGTCAGCTCGGCCGGCGGCGACTTCTCGCAGTCGAGCGTGGCATAGCGCATGCGCTCGCTGATGTCCAGAGGGCCGGCAGCAAACTTGGTCCGCGCTTGTGAGACCAGCGCACCAGAGATGTCGGTGAAGGTATAGGTGAAGTCTACCCCGGCGCGAGAGAGCTGATCGACCAGATAGCGAGTGGTCCCGCCAGTGCCAGCGCCGACCTCGAGTAGATGGACGGGCTTCTTGGCGTTCGAAAATAGACGGACCAGGTACGTGGCTAGGAAGCGTGTAGCAGCATGGAATAACGGTCCCCGTTCATACACTTCGGCTAGCAGCGTGCGATTTGCTTTGTTGGCGAATAGCAGTTGCAGTGGTTCGGCACGGCCTGTCATGCATGCAGCAAGACGAGATCCGGTAACATCGAGGAGTCGGTGCTCAGCGGCATGTAGTGGGAAGCGACGCGTGATCTCGGCCAGCAGCGTCTGCGGAAGTGCCAAGTCAAATGGCTTGGAGCTTCGGGTATAGTGATTTTCTCCTTCTTTTGTCAGGTAACCCCCGTCCACTAGTATCTCGTGCAACTGTCGAAGGAGATGTTTGTGTTTCGAGAGAACCCCGGCCAGAGGTTGAATGGTACGCGAGGCAGGGATGGCTGACAGGTCCACACCAAGCTCTTTGAACGCTTGGCCGACATAGGCGAGGACCAGTGTGGCTTGATGAGGATACACGTTTGTCCAGAACGCGGTGAAGCCTTGGTCATCGACGAACTGGTCGAAGCCCAGCCGAGTGTCTTCGTAAACTTGTGCTGCATTTGAGAATGGAGCTAGAGGCTCAGATTGGGGAAGCTGTCCGCCAACCTTGCTTAGCACATCGTCAGCTGCAAGGGCATTTTTATGTGTGCCACTGACAATGAATTCAGTGCTTTTGGTAGGTTGGGTCTGCTGCTTCTGGAACACAACGCCTGTAAACTCAGGATCTACCAATCGCACTAGATCTGCAAAAGTCGACTTTTCGTCTAGTTGATACACATCAAGCTCAACGCCAAACTCTGACTGGACATCACTAGCGAGCTCGATGCACAGGAGCGAGTCCAGGCCCAGATCAGCCAGGTTGGCTTCCAAGGTGGGTGGCGACGGCAACTCCAGGTGTGACTGCAGGAGCGCTGCCAGCCCGTTTACCAGGGCAGCGGTTGTCGTTGGTTTTGCCTCTAGTGAGGTGGCCGATGAGACAGAGGCGGCAACAGGTGAGATCTCCACACTGCTAGCTGGTGTAGAAGAGAATGCGTCTCCATCCTCTGAGGACCCTGGTCCGGTATCGCTACCGTACGACGCGCCCTGTTGAATCAGGTACCGCACCAGAGCGTCGACGTCGGCCATATTCTCAAGGGCCGTGAGAGGTAGCTCGATGTCAAAGTGGGCAGAGATCTCGCTGAAGACCTCCATCAGCATCAACGAGTCGATACCAATCTCGTCTAGTGACACATTGCCCTTGACTTGATCTCGAGGTACCTCGGCGACGCGCTCGACTAGTTCACAGACGGCATCGAAGATGGCGCCGTTCCTATCGAGAGTGACCGGCTTGGCCTGCCTCACGACTGCAGTAGTTGGTGGCGCAACGACAGGTTGAGGTGTGGTCACTACCGGGGTAAGCTCGACCATTGTTTGCTTGCGCTTCTCCTCTGGCACAGGTGCCGGCGCACGTTGTGTAGTCTTGCCATTTATGTTGACACGAGACAGAACCTTGGACAGGGAACCTAGTGAGACCCTTGTGAATCGCGCACCTAGGATGAGGACCACTATGTGCCCAGTTGTCGCATCGTAGACAAACAAATCGTGGGCACGCTCCTTGTCGCTAGGTTGACTTTCGGTGCCAGTAAGCCAGATCTTCCAAGTCTTCCTTGACTTGAACTTTTCACCGTCTAGAGTAAAGTCTGGCCCAAAGACTAAACGTGCGAGGCTTGTCATAACAAACACCTCACCCTCGGCACACCCTTTGTCAAATATGTTTGCGTGGATTCCACTAAGCTGGATGAAGGCGTCCACCACTGACGGTAGCGTGAGCGTATACGTGTTGGCCCGATACATGGCATCGCCGTTCGACAGTGTCACAGTTCCGGCGGCTGTGTCGGTCTTTCCTCGGGTGGCTACGGCCACGTTTCGAATACCTTTATATAGTGGATCGTACTCTACCACCCGAGAGAACAGCCGATACACCATAGATCCATGCACAGACTCCGCGGTGTCGTTCTCGGTGCCGTGTAGCAGTGCGTCGACAGCCTCTTGGCTGACAAGGCGCTCGAAGCGCGCCAGCTCATCACCAGCAGCACTTTGCTCCTCTGGACTCTCCTGGATAATCACATGGCCCACGGCGTGCACCGAGACACGATCCCCACTTGCTTGTTGTCCTTGAAGCGGCTGGCTGGACACATCAAATGCCCAATCAGATCCAGCACTCAACTGGCGTAGCCGAAGCGTGACGCGACGGTCGGTGGCAAGACCTAGCGGCGACTCCATCTTCAAGTCCTGCACGGAGAAGCTTGCCGGCATAGACGTAGGCGCCAAGACTTCTCTGGCAGCTCGCACAGCCAGCTCGACATACACAGTAGCCGGACACAGCGGGGCGCCAGCAACGACGTGGCCGCCCACGAAACGAGTATACTCTTCGCACTGGGGGTTGACACCAAATGTGGCGCCGCCTTCAGAACGCGACTGGAGTGTGATAAGCCTCGGCGGAAGGCTTGGCGTCTCACCTACAGGCTCAGCTGCGGGTGCTTGGAGCTGCGGAACCTGGACGATGACTGGCTGTGGGGGAATGATATCGAGCCAGTGCCTCGTCTTCTCAAAGCTATATGGTGGAAGCCTGATGAAGTCGTACTGGTCTCGCTGACGAGGATGAAACCCCCAGAAGCGCATCTGATGCCCGCGCCGCCAGAGATTCACCGTAGCGTCCGCCAACACGTCTGGCACAGACTCTTTCTTTTTGCTCAGCACCATGGGCTGAAAGATATGACCTGTACTGCCCTTGCTGTCATCCAAGACGCGTCGGATCATGGCTGCGACCCCTGAATCCGACCCGGCTTCAAGCCACGTGCATCCCTCCCCGAACGACTCAGCCAGCCGCTGAACCGCCTGCGTAAAGTACACCGGTTCGCGTGTATGGTGTGCTATGAGCTCTGGCGTTACTTCCGACCAACTCGCACCAGGTGAGCAGGTCTCCAGACGTATCTGTGGTGTGCACATGCTACCCAATCCGCGAGCCAGATCTTCGAGCGGTGGGATCATGGTGTCGGTGAAGCGGCTGTGGAAACCGTGAGTGACAGCCAGGCGCTTCGCGCGAACGCCCTTGTCGGTGAGGTGCCGTTGGAAGATGTCGACATTCGCGGCTGAGCCGACAAGGACGTGTGACCTGGGTCCGTTATAGCATGCTACTTCCAGGGTGCCGAAATCCCCATCTGTGAGAAGCTGTTTAATAGTGTCGATAGCCGCTTCGACTGCGAGCATGGCGCCACGCTCGGAGCCCCAGTGCGACTGCATCAGCTCTGCTCGGCCGACAACCAGCCTTAGACTGTCGACAAGGGAGAGCGCACCGGACACACAGAGAGCCGTGAGTTGACCGAGGCTGTGGCCTATCACCGCGTCGACAACAAGTCCCGAGTCCATCCATGCCTTGGCAGTGGCATATTGTACTGAGAACACCATGGCATGCAGGGCGGCGATATCGGATACAGGCTCTAGGGAAAATATGCCAGGGTACAGGAGTGATGTTTGCTGTTCTTCTTCACCGCTCACAAAGCCTAGTGACTGTAGCGTCACATCGCACTGGTCTAGATGATAGCGAAAGAGTGCTGACTGCTCGTAGAATTCCTTGTCGAGATTGACATGATCGCGGACTTGGCCGCCAAAAGCAAGGACAAGTGGAGGTGCCTTGGTAGGCCTCGGGTCGGACGCTTTGCTCTGATTCGCGGCGCTATTATTTCTTAGCTGAGTTTCCAAGTCCTTCAGATCCGAGGATGTGGTTATGAATGTGTATGGAAGCTCTTGGTTTTGCCTTCGCGAAAGGCTGTAGGCGATATTTGAAGGGTTGTAAACTCCCTCCTTTGTAGTGCTGTATGCTTGTAGCTGGTCTGCCAAAGTGAGGCAATAGGTGGAAAGACTTTCTGTTGTGTGTGCGGTCACGAGAATTGGCTGCCTTTGCAGTGAGGACGGTGCGGTCCTTCTTCTAGGCTTTTTCGGAGCTTGCATCACTATCAATGCCGCGTTACTTCCCGCCGCACCGTAGTTGTTGACGCATGCTGTCAAGAAGTCTGTGTCTGCAAACTGCACAGCCTGGGTGGGAATGACGATGTTGTCAGGCCCAAGAGCGGGAATTTTCGGGTTGAGGGAACGGAAAGAGGCTTGCAAGGTTGCCGTGCGCTTCTCGATCTGCAAGATGGCTCTGATCAGACCCGCAACACCAGATGCACCCTCGAGATGGCCGATGGCGCCTTTGACCGACGAGACATAGACCGGCTTCTTGCGGCGATGCTGTGGGCTCCCGTTGCCGAACACAGCCCGGATACTCTCCATCTCAATCGGATCCCCGACAGGCGTACCCGTGCCGTGCGCTTCAACCAGCGATAATTCACTCGGTATAATACCGGCACGCGCTGCTACCGCCTCAAACAGCTGTCGTTGCGAGTCGGCCACAGGCACCGCGATGGGCGCACTGCTGCCGGCGCCGCAATTCCGGTTCTGGTTAACGCCGGTTGCGCCAAGCACGGCGAGGATCTCGTTGCCGTCCCTCTGTGCCGCCACGAGATCCTTAAGCACGACCAACCCTACACCCTCGCCCCGGCAGTAACCGTCTGCACGTGCATCAAACGGCTTGCAGGCACCCGTAGGGCTAAGGAAGTGCGCAGCAGCTAGGTTCTCTTGGATGTAAGGCGCCGTGAGCAGGACGATCCCGCCCGCGACGGCGCGGCTGCACTCGCCGTTGCGGATGGCCTGGCATGCGGCATGGATCGCCACAGCGGATGAGGAGCACGCCGTGTCGATTGTGAGCGACGGGCTGGTCCAGCCGAAGAAGTGGGATAGCTTGCCGCTGATAAACGCACGCAGCGTGCCCAATGTCGAAAAGGCGTTGGCCTGGTGCGAGCCGACATTGGCGTCGTAGTCGGTAGAGCTCATGCCAATGTATACGCCTACGTCGTGGGGCCGGAAAGGGTTGGCAAAGTAGCCAGCCGACGCCATGGCTTCGTAAGTGGCCTCGAGAAGGAGCCGTTGCTGCGGGTCCATTGAGGCGGCCTCACGAGCGGATTTCTTGAAGAAGCGGTGGTCAAAGGCGTCTATGTCGCGTATAAAGTTGCCCCAATTCTGCGGCTTCTTGCTGTTGTCCTTCTTCTTGTCCTTGTTGAGCCCGGCACGCGTCGACATCTCCTCAGTCCACCGTGATGGCGGAACCGGCTCCACACAGGACCGGCCGTCGAGAAGCATCTGCCAGAATTGGTCGACCGAGTCAGCGCCGGGAAACTTGCAGGACATGCCGACCACAGCAATAGCCCCTGCCGGGTATTGGGGCTGTTCTGGGCGTGACTGTTGAGATTTGGCGGACATGTCTGCCGCCTTGACGACCTTGATTTCTCTCGAGACCGAAAGTGGAACGGCATCAGCACCAAATGACTGGATGAATGCGCCGGGCAATGACCGAAGCGCCTCAGCAACAGGCATCATGACAGATGTCCACTTGCAACGGGCAGCGAGGATAGATCTCAGTGCTACTCTCACATGAGTGGCAGGGTTGCTATCATCCATGATTTTCCCATCATCGTTTGACCGCACTGGAACCCGAGGCATGCCAAATGATGTCGAACCTAGTGCGCTACAAGCCTCCATTATGGGTTCGACGGCGCGCTCAAGTGGCGAGAAGTGATATCGCCCGCTTAAGCCTGTATCCACCGCTGAAACCTTCCGGTCGGCCAATTCCTGTTTCAAGGCGCCAATGGACGCTGAAGGAACAGTGACGGAAGCGTCGTGTGTATCTTTGAGCACGGAGATGTATGCCTGTGATATTGTATTAGACGGATATTGCACATACAGATGCTAGGTCATTACGTACCCCGTCGTACATTGTCAGTATCTCTTCGACATCGTCCAATCCCATAGGTGCACGCCATCGTATGGCAAGGCAAGTTGTTTGGCCTTCGTCTAGAGCATCTAGATCAACAAAGATGCCTGCCGCAAATGCCAGTCGGACAGCAAAAGCCATATTATTCGCGAGCGTTACCTGATCGTGGGCACCCGCTATGGAGAGTGCGCTTAGAAGTCCAACGCAGAAGCCCTGAATGCCTGCAGCTCTTCTCTCTCCAGATTCCGGGGCTCTAAGCGCGTCTAGGAGAGTCGAGTGAGTTGCCGCGCCATCTGTGTCCGCAGCAAGTGGTATTTGATCGATAAATCTGAAGTACTGCGTGAAATGCCTCAGGACAGTCATCGGCATGGATAGTCGATTTAACATGGGCTGCTGGCCGCCCTGGGGCAGCTTTCCATCCGTGGAAGATGCCCACCGCGCTAGCTGGTCCGCAGCATCCCGGCCGGATGGGAGCCTTGCAAGCCCAACATGCCGGGAAAGCAGCTCTTCCCAAAGCTGCGGAAGGCTGCAAAGTGCGTTGACGATTGATTCCGTGCGGCCTGGGTGACTGTTGCTCGTGAGCAAAGTATCACGGACAAGTTCGAGTTCCGATTCTAGAGGCCAAGTCGTAAGCGAACCGAAGACGATGCATGATGGCAGCAACTGTTGGGTTTTGCTTTCCATTATCGCCACTTCTGATGCAAGTTTGGGGATGGAGTGGTAGAGAAGACGAGCGACCAGGTTTTGGGACTCTCTTTTCTGACTCGAGACTGCTCTCTGCCGTGTCAACAACAAATTCTTGACTACGGTACTTCACAACACAAATCGAGAGAGATCTCAATCAGCATGGTATGGAGGAGTCTTCTACGTGAGCTAAAGAGAAGTTGGAGTTAAAGAAAGATAGGCAGAGTCTTTCGTATGTAACCTGACTTGCTGATGGGAATTCTTCAGATAGGCATAGCCAGACTAGCACTTGATTATCTTACATTAATAGAGATTTAATGCCGAGATTGCGTGAACGTAAGCTGCTAAACATCCTATCCACTCAATCGGGAATATTCTCGTCTCCTCAGTCAGGCTTACTGTGCCTTCTTGCACCAATTGAAAGACTTCCGGCATTATTCCTAGTTCGCTTCCAGATAAGACAACAGCAACTGCTCTGGCTCAAAAGGCTGAAAGGCAGATAATGGATAGAAGGATGTTGCAAACGACATCAGCTTGAAAGACCCTTTTAGATCCCCTCAAAGAAGCTCAGCCGAGCGGCGGTCCAATAAATAGTCACCGAGACGACCGGCTCCTCTTTTCTAACATGGTTTTAGCAAGATACACGACACATGCTGGAGCCTTCTGACATCCCAGACTCAAGCTTTGACCCGTTAACACAAGAAGTAAATAGGAAATAGTCCCTCCCAGTCCTGTCTGTATGAAATAAATGAGAGAGTCTGTTGAAAACTGCACGGTGTAGTTTCGCCTGTTCTTGGCAGGGAGTCAATCAGCTTACTTTACCAAAGACACAACCATTTCCGGCGTCTGCTCTATCACTCCCTCGCCGAACTCCAGCGATCTATTGATTACTCAACTTTACGTAACAGCTCACCACTCGTGCCACCAATAGACCATGGCCGTCCAATCAAGATCCAACAAACAGTCCTCAGCCTTGAGTGCTGCAGCAGATGATAACCGCTTGCTAGTTTTCAGCTCTCTGGCCTTGTCATATGGGCTGGACGACTTTGCGCGTGTGCGCAAGACTGTTCTCGATACCGATGAAATCAGCTGGCTGCAAGAAGAAGTCGTGGAGCGTCTTGCGGCTGACTGCAGTAAGGCCCGGTCCGGACTTGCCGACGTCTTAGATGCAGCTACTTGTGAAGTTGCTAGGCGTGACTTCTCTGAGCTAGCTGAGGCTTTTCGCACTCCTGCTCGGCCACTCGGCGTCCCATTACCTCTCAACAACTCCCTGCTGATTCCACTCGTAATCATCGACCAGCTTACGCAATATGCTTCCTTTGTTCGATTTTCACATAAACAGAAGGAAGACAAAACGCAAAGCCAACAAGGACAAGAATCCCAATCACCTGGATGGCTGAATAGTGGTGTAGAGACTATCGGTCTGTGTACCGGGCTCTTGAGTGCCTTTGCGGCCGCGGCTGCGCACAACCATGATGAGTTCCGGCAATATGGTGCCGCTGCCGTTCGGATCGGCATGCTTGTCGGCCTTGTCATCGACAGCCAGGTCAGCACATTGGGGTTGGCGAAACGGCCACGCTCGCTTAGTGTCTCCTGGGCAGGTAGCACCTCACGAGATACACTGACGAGAATTCTAAACGACTACCCCGAGGTACGTAGCTTGTCTCTTTCTATTCCCACTCAAAGTGGCCCACTCATGTTTCTTTGGAAGCTAATGATACACGAAAGAACGAAACCTACATATCCGTCTTCTACGACACTCACCGCGCAACAATCACAACTACGCAAGACACAATAGACTCTTTGACCCAGCGCCTGAATGCTACCGGGCTCAAAGTCAATGAGATTGGGCTCTGTGGCCGCTACCACTCTGCGGCGAACCATGTTGGCGCGCTGGAGCGACTGCTCAACTTTTGCAATACCCACGACACCTTCCGACTCCCAGATGCTTCATCTTTAGCGCTGCCAACGCATGTGAACGATGCCGCCGGGAGTTTCCCCGTGGAAGGCTCGCTGCATGCCCACGTGCTGAGATCCATCCTTGTCGAACCCCCTCACTGGGCAGAAGCATTGGGCTCAGCTATCAACGATAGGAGGACCCAAAGCAAGGAGGCACGCATCTTCTCATTCGGCCCTGAACGCAATGTTCCTCCTTCAGTGATGAGTCATTCTGGGGGCATGGGCCTGGTGCACTTCTCCAGTGCCGATGCTGCTGGAGCTACGGTTCCAGCATCAACATCTGCTAGCGACACCAGAGGCAAGGCTAAAGACGCCGCCGAGAAAGACTTCCGGGAGGATGATGGTCTCGACCGCCCATGGATGGACAGTGACATCGCTGTGGTAGGCATGGCGTGCAAGGTCCCGGGTGCTGAGAATGTGGACGAATTCTGGGACCTGCTGGCGGCTGGACAGTCGCAGCACCGCGAGATCGACATGGCCGGCGCAGTGGGCAAATCAGCTTCGAGTAATGATCGAACATTCCTTGAGGGACCTTTCCGCACCACGGAGCACCCGACCCGCCGGTGGTTCGCTAACTTGTTTGAGAAGCCGGGTCACTTTGACCACCGCTTCTTCCGCAAGACGGCGCGCGAGGCAGAGAGCATGGACCCGCAGCAGCGGCTGCTGTTGCATGTCGCCTACCAGGCAGTTGCCATGAGTGGACAGTTGCGGAGGCATCACCGCGATGATGACGCCGACAAGAGCGCCAAGAATATTGGCTGTTTTGTTGGTGTTCATCTAAACGAGTACGATGACAACGTTGCCAGCCATTCGGCCAATGTCTTTTCCGCGACGGGCAACCTGCAGAGCTTCATCGCGGGTAGGGTGTCACACCACTTCGGATGGCAAGGTCCGTCATTGACGGTCGACACGGCTTGCAGTTCGTCCATGGTGGCCGTACACCAGGCGTGCCGGGCCATCGCATCGGGCGAGTGCGCCGGGGCACTGGCTGCTGGCGTCAACGTGCTCGCCGGCTCTGGCCTCTGGTTTCAGAACTTGGGCGCGGCCGGATTTCTTAGTCCCACGGGTCAGTGCCGGCCATTCGACGCCAAAGCTGACGGATACTGCCGCGGCGAGGGAATCGGCGCCGTGTTTCTGAAGCCCCTGAGCCGGGCGGTGGCTGATGGCGACGCCGTGCTTGGCGTGATCACCGCGACAGCCGTCCAGCAGAACCACAACTGCACACCAATCTTCGTACCTAATGCGCCTTCCCTTGCAGACTTGTTTGCCGGCGTCGTAGCCAAGGCACACGTACGGCCGGCGGATATCACTGTGTGCGAGGCGCACGGCACAGGCACGGCTGTAGGTGATCCCGCCGAGTTCGGTGCGGTCCGACAGGTCCTCGGCGGTGCTAAGAATCGCGATAAGGCGGACAAGCCCCTGGCTGTCAGCTCGGTCAAGGGTCTGCTCGGCCACACCGAATCCTCTTCGGGTATCCTTAGCTTGATCAAGGTGCTTCTGATGCTGAACAAGGGGCTCATCCCGCCGCAGGCAAGTTTCGACACCGCCAATCCTGCTCTAAACCTGGATGTGGCACGGGATCATATGTTCATCCCTACCCGCGTGCAGTCATGGGATGCCGATGTCCGGGTTGCTCTTATCAACAACTATGGTGCGTCAGGATCCAATGCGGCAGCCGTTGTCATGCAAGCCCCACGTGGTCTCAGCGATGCCAGCCTGCCTGCCACTGGTGTCAAGCAACCATTCATACTCTGTGGTCTGGACGACAAAGGCATCCGCCGCAATGCCAACTCTCTGAGCCAGTATCTCCTTCGGTCATCAAAGCAGGATTCCACGATAGCAGATATATCGTACAGCCTTGCCCGCCAAGCCGATGCGAGCTTGCCAATGAAGGCGACGTTCTCTGCTCGCTCAGTCGATGAACTGCAAAACGAGCTGTCCACTCTCGCATCAGGCAACAAAAGCGACAGCATAGTCCGCGTCACTAGTGATGACAAACCAAAGGTCATCCTCTGCTTCGGCGGGCAGATCGCGTCATGGGTTGGGCTCACGCGGCAGTTGTACGACACCGTGCCTACGCTACGCAAGCACCTGGACCGTGTCGACAGCGTGCTCGTGCATAAGCTAGGCGCAAACAGCATCTTCCCTGCAATATTTTCCCGCGAGCCAATAGCCGACACCGTCGTGTTGCAGACCGCGCTCTTCGCGGCGCAGTACGCGTGCGCATGCAGCTGGATGGACGCCGGCGTCCGCCCAACCGCCCTCGTTGGCCACAGCTTCGGCGAGCTGACCGCACTCAGTGTCGCTGGAGCCTTGTCACTGGGTGATGCAGTAAAGCTGGTCGTCCGACGCGCGACATTGGTGAGAGATGCGTGGGGCGAGGACAAGGGGGCCATGATGGCCGTCGAGTACGACGAGATCGACAGCGCCGAGGCGGAAGTGGAAACTCTGGTGGCCAGAGCAAACCGTCTCAAGAAGGCCAGTGATCCGCCCGTCAGCATTGCGTGCTACAACGGGCCGCGAAGCTTTACCCTCGCAGGGCCGGCGGAGGCCATGACAGCGTTGGACAACCTACTTGGTGCCGCAGAAACGGATAGAGACGATACTACTATCAAGCCGCGTAGGCGCCTGCTCAAGGTCACCAATGCCTTCCACTCAGCGCTCGTCGACCCGCTCATCTTTCAGCTGGAGCAGAGCGCACAAGGGCTTGAATTCCACGCTCCCTCCATACCGCTAGAGCATGCCACGCGGGAGGACACGACCAGTCTACCTCTGACTACACGGTTTGTTGCCGACCACATGCGCCGGCCGGTGCACTTTTCTGCAGCGGTGCAGCGAATCGTGCGTAAGCATGCCGGTGACTCGTGTGTTTTTCTCGAGGCGGGAAGCAACTCTACCGTCACAGCCATGGCAGCCAAGGCTATCGGCGAGGAGACGTCGCATCATTTCCACGGCGTCAACATCACCAACTCCGATAATGCGTGGGACAGGTTGACCGACACAACTCTCGCCCTCTGGAAGGCTGGTCTCGATGTACAGCACTGGGCACACGTACATCACAGCGGGGCACAGTCTCTCCTTCTCCTTCCACCGTACCAATTCGACCCCGACGCGCAACACTGGCTTGACCTGAAAAGCGTGCCAGTATCAGCTACACCCGGGCAGCACCAACTGCAAGCAGCGAGTACCGAGGACATTCTTACATCGTTTGGTGTTAAGAAAAATAACGGGAGGAGCACTGCACTGTTCCGCATCAACACTTCCAATGCCAAGTATCGGCAGCTACTCGCCAGACATGTGATTGCCCATACTGCACCCCTCTGCCCAGGCACGTCACAGCTAGGATTTGTCATTGATGCCCTCCATAGCTTGCATCCACAGCTACACGGAAGCGAACACGAGCCGCAGATCCAAGAAGTGCAATACCATTCACCACTGTGTGCCAATGACACAGGGAAGCAAACATCCTGGATCGAAGTCGCCGAAGAGGATGTCAGTAACCAAGCATATCACTTCTCAGTATTCAGCACAGAGATCGACACAGTGACGGTCAACGATCGAGCACGTGTAGCCCACACAACCGGGCGCATATCCTTCAGCTCCAAAGATGACGATGCTCTACAGCGCGAAATCACGAGGTTCCAGCGGCTCTTGAGCGCCTATGACCTCCGCGCCCTGAGCCTGCTGCGCGGCAAGCGGGCTAGCTCAGACGACGGCGACGGCGAGGTCCTGAGCCACCGCAGTATCTACCGTCTCTTCGGGGACATCGCCCAGTACGGCAACAGCTTCCGGCGCCTACAGAAGCTAGCCGTTCGTAATACCACATCGGCCGGGCATATCGTTGCCGAAGGCAATACATCGTCAGCTCCAGAAATTGGTTTCGATGCCCACCTCGCCGATGCATTCTGTCAGATTGGCGGTATCTGGACCAATTGCCTGATGGCGGACTACGAGCACAATGATGACACGATCTACATTGCCAGCGGCTTTGACCAGTGGATTCGGGCGCCGGGCATCCCTCGACCAAACGAGTTCCATGTCTTTGCTACGCACTCACCAGCTCAGACTCCGGATGACGGCCGTCAGCAATGGGTGACTGACGTGTTTGTCCTGGACGCGGCGTCCGGGGCTCTACTGGATGTGATCTTGGGACTCGCATATGTCCGAACGTCGAAGGAGTCCGTCAAGAAGATGCTTACACGTTTGACGGGTCCAGCATCTGTGATGGCGCCGAAGAAAATGCAGCCCCCAATCGCGCGGATCCAAACTACCCAACCCCTGGTAACGGAAATGGCAACGAAAAAGACTCGGCCCGAGAAGCCTAAGCCGAGGAGGGTGATCAATGGCGACAACAGCAAGGCGTTGCTCTCCTTGCGCATCAAGGCCGTTATCGCCAATATGTCAGGCCTGGAGCCTTCCGAGATCAAAGATGACAGCAAGCTTGCGGACCTCGGCATTGACTCGCTCACCAGTATGGAACTGGCTAACGAGCTTGAGAAGGCGTTCCCCAATGCTGGCCTACCCGAGCGCGATATCGCCTCCATCAGCGATCTGCCGGGCCTGGTGCAGTGCATACTGGCGGCGACAGTTTCGGAGATGGCGGAAGATGATGATGAGGACCTGCCTAGCGCAGAGAGCCTCTCTCCTTCATCATCGCTGTCGGGTGCTGCAACAGACAGCAGCACCCTGACGACACCAGCCACTGGCTCCGACTCGGGGAAACTAGACAAAGATGCTGATAGATTCGTGTCGTTTGAGAACTCACCTTCAACGCAGCTACGCATGAGGGACGTGATCAACGCCTTCCACGAGACCAAAGCCCAGACCGACACGCGTATCGTAGAATGGAATCAAGCGAACTACGCCTCAACCGTGCTGCCACTGCAGACCGAGCTGGCTGTAGCTCTGACGCTTGAGGCCTTTGAGGAGCTCGGTTGTCACATACGTGGAGCCACAGCGGGCCAGACTCTCACGAGAGTCTCTCACGGCGCCGAACACGGCCGCCTCGTGGATCGTCTATACCGAATGCTGCGAGATGAGTGTGGCGGGCTTGTCACGGTGGACGGGCAAACTGTCAAGCGAACTGCCGTCGCCGCTCCGACCCGATCAAGCAACGAAGTCCTGGAAGAGCTGCGCGTCCGCTTCCCCGACCATCAGATCATCGACCGCTTAACTCACCACGCCGGCAGCAACCTGGCGAGAGTCCTCCGAGGCGAGACGGACGGCGTGCGCGTCGTCTTCGGCGACCCCGTAGGGCGGGAGCTCGTGAGCCGCTTCTACGCGGAGTGGCCGCTCTTCCAGGCCCTACACGCGCAGCTCGAGGCCTTCCTAGCCGGTCTGGGCAGCCACCTCAACGGCCGAGGACAAGAGCCGCTGCGCGTGCTCGAGATGGGCGCCGGTACCGGGGGCACCACGCGGCGCATCCTGCCGCTGCTGGCGCGCCTGGGCGTCCCCGTCGTGTACACCTTTACCGACCTGGCCTCGTCGTTCGTGGCGGCCGCGCGCCGCAGCGACTGGGCCAAGGAGTACCGGAGCCACCCGAGCCTCAAGCTGGAGTTCCGCGTGCACGACATCGAGGGCGCGGGCGAGTCCGAGGAGGAGGAGCTGTTCGGCACGCAGCACATCGTGCTGGCGACCAACGCCGTGCATGCGACGCGCTCGCTCGCGCGCAGTCTGGCGCACATACGGCGCGTGCTGCGGCCGGCGGATGGCATGCTACTGCTACTCGAGCTGATGCGGGGCCTGTGTTTTCTGGACATGACCTTTGGGCTATTTGAGGGGTGGTGGCTGTTTGATGATGGGCGCACGCACGCACTGGCAACGGAGACGAGGTGGAGAGATGAGCTGCATGGGGCTGGGTTCGGGCTTGTTGACTGGACGGATGGGCAGAGGCCTGAGACGCATATGGAGAGGCTGATCTTTGCTGCGGCGGATCCGCAGACCCGGTTGATGTAGAGAGGTCTCAGCAAGTTTGTTCGGGTTGAATATTGTCGCTAGATTACTCCGTGACGGCTTGGTGGATAACGTTTTCAACTTTTCTTTGGATTTCATCTTATATTGATAATGATATAGAGCACATCAATGAGAATACCGACAAAGTTTATCCCGTTCGTATTGAACCAGTACTCAGTAGACTAACCTCCTTGCGCAGCAATGAAGTTCTACAAGACAGGTATGAAGACGCGATGTGGGATGGACACAATTGTCTGACTGGACTCGATTCGCCCCCACTGGACCCCTGCCTCGAAGCGGGCCGAGCCTAGTGAGATTGATGCACCATGAAAGTAGACACTGAAAACGATCACCACATAATCCCTGATCTGGCAATCTGGGTGTACTCAGGATACTCTTAGGGGCTTCCCTAAGCCTCCTTGGAATCTCACTGAGCTCTCCAATCTCACAAGAAGCGTCGTGTACATCCAAAACAGGCTTGTATTGATTACGAGAAGTAATCATACTTATGCTTAAGTATAAAGGAGGTATTTCTAGCTTTTAAAACACGATAGTATTTGATCTGGACTTTGCGCCGTATGGCCCTGTCGAGACGGCACCTGGGATTGGCGTCGAGGGTGCGGAGCTGGAGGATTGGATCCGTAGAGTCATCATCCCGACACACTTCTACCCGATTACGACGGCTGCCAAGAAGCCTAAGGAGTGTGGTGGCGTGGTAGCAGAGGACCTAACGTCTCATGGTACCCAGAGGCTGAGCATGGCTGACGCGAGCATCCTGCCTATGTTCCCTGGTACCAACACTCAGCAGCCTACCTATATGGTAGCCGAGAAGGTAATTGCCTTCCCGTAACGTAAAGAAAGGAGAGCTAACAAAATGTATTTAGGCCGTTGATCTCTTTAAAGTGTGCCAATAAATCCGGGCTCAAATTCATTTTCCAGCCTCCTGCGGACGGGATTATTTGTCTCGAGGCAGTTGGACTTTGTTTTTGGTCCCGCAAGGCGTGCCACACACACAATGACCATCCTACCTAAGCTGGTACGTGTAGTAAATTGTCTAAGCATATGGTATTGAGCTACGCTCGCTGATTTCCTATGTCGAATTGGCCAGTGGTTCCAAACTTACGCCTCATCGACTGCTAAGACTGAATAGCAGCATACCTATGTTCATCATCCCGTGTCATCGGAGTCATAATCGACCAGCTTCTTCACTTTGTATCTCTCATTTTCCAGTGGTTCGCCTCCCCTTTTGCCACTCTCTCCCCATGGCATGTCTGGATGCAGACTTCGCAGTCTCTCACAAAACTGTTTTGGAAAGAGCGCCTGGATCATTGTTGCTATTCGCTGTAAGTCCTCTCTCTGTACAGCTGAAAGCTGATTGATTCTTTGAAGAAGGATATTGATCACGCCGAAGAGGAGGCGAAAGTTGCTATCTCGACCAGGTTTGGCTTGCAGGCGATCTAAGACTCCATCCAAACAAACCCTAGCAAGAAGCTTCGAGAAGCCAATGTTGTCTTCATCATAGAATGCGTTGGAGTCTGGGAGGCAGCTTACGAGGCAAGCCTCGCATTCCACAAGGCCAAAGAGAACTTGGAGATAGACCGGCTCTTTAGAAGGGATGAATCGTACCTCAAAAGCAAGTCTCAAATAGCCGTCGAGTATGTGCTGAGCTTGCCATTCCCATAAAACGTCACTTCCTGAGCTTCGGTCACCAGCCTTATTCAGGAGTCGTGACAAAGTACCATTGTCCATGAGCGCCCAGAAGTGTCTCTCGACTAGGGAGTCCATTGCCGCATTCCATGACGTAAAGTATTCAAGTAGTAGCGTCAGTAATGACCAACGGTTTGTGACCGTGGGATCGTCATGGAAGCCAGTCAGGTCTAGCGTTTGGGTGTCGATAATGCAGCGTAGAAGGTCAATCTCGTCGGGCCCCCACATTCTGTCAGTCTTTAAAAAGCCCAGCGTGCTACTTCCTCCATTGAGCAAGCAAGTGATGAACGTTGTCGGCATATCCGAAAGATACCGCGAATCATTCTCGACCCTCGAGTGAATGAGAGACAATAGTCGTCGACAAACGATCTGCTCTCTGAAACAACAATGAGTCCCATTGAGGCATGGTGAGTCCAGTAAGGTTTTGTCGAGCTCATCGATAACCTTCCGGCCTCGCAAATCTGAGGGATGCGATATTTCAAGCTCTTCGAAGGCTGACAGAGACAGGTCTATCAAGTTTTGCAACGGATGCTCGTTCGACGGAGTGTGTGGCGCCGTGATTGGAGTTGCTGCTTTGTCGCTGCTTGCATCAGGGGGCGTGCTGTATCGCCCGAACCCTAGACGGATCATTGGCATGTCAAATTGTGTGGTTTTGGCAGTTGCAGTATATGCCCTCAGTAGAGATAGGTGAATGTTGTATTTGACAGGTTGCTTCGCGACTAGAAAGTCGTGCATGTCTCGGGTCTTCAAAAAGTCCCTCACTGTTCGGTGCAGAAATTGCACCAAGCCATATCCCGCGTTGACTTCAAGCAGGCCGTGACATCTGCTGTTTAGTCTCCAGGCCATTCTCTGGGCAATATCAGCTACTTCCTTGCTGGAGTATATCTTGTTCGGCATTTTTAAAACGTAATCTTCATCGTCGTATTCCTGCTCGAGGAAGTCATAAACTGTTGCATGGAGGGGCCCTGAGGCACTTATTGCCACTTGAAGTGAAGTCGACATCTTTTCCGCATAAAAAGGATCCACCGACTCAAGAATTCTTTTGAAAAAGGCCTCAAGTTCAACTGGGAAGGTCTCCAGTCGTCGCTTCAGATCTGAAAACGGATCCCGGTTCGTGAGACTCTGTCGAAGTTGTTGCGTAACAAGAAACACCCATAAAAATACACCACTAGCCCTATTCTCGATCTCCGATATCATAGTGCGCCTCTCTGGCTCCGAAGCAATAGAGAGCCACTCAGGGTGAGTCTCTAACCGGACCTTGCAATACTGCAAGATATCTTCTCGTGTCAAGTCCTGCATATAGAGCTTTGGGCCCTTGCCAAATGCTTGTTCGAAAACGCACCACGGGCGGCTGGACAAACAGAGGCTGATATGCGGAGATGTCGATAATTTTATCAGAGATTTGCAGATTTCGGAGTGGTCCCCGTCATATTCGTCTAGACCGTCAATGAAGAAGAAGATCCGAGTAGACAGTCCTTGGGCGTGTACAATGCGACGGAGAGCTGAGTGCAAATCTGCGAGCGACCAGAGAGGGGTTCGCTGGTCCATATGCAGCCCATCATGATATATTTCCTTGTCACAAGCGCGAGAGATGAGATCCGGACATTGTCGGAAAATCTCATAAAGCAATGTGCGGAGCAGGCCCTCTTCTGACTTCTGCATTGGCGTGCCGGCGTTCCAGAAATAATGCGACACGATGATGCTCTTGTCTACACCCGCATGCGACGCCTTAGAAAGCCGGCCGAGGGTCAAAAGCTTATCTGCAAGATATTTCATGAATGTTGACTTGCCAGAACCTGGTTTCCCCGAAACCCAGTATATTCCCGTGCCCCACTGGAGCCATTTAATGATTCCCGCTCGTGGTTGAGTTCCACTGTTGTCCTGGTCTCTGGATGCTGGATTCATGCCTCCCTCAACGGAGCTAGAGTCCTTAAACGCCCATTCATATGTCTGTGCTTGCGCTTCTGGAATAGAGAAATGTCGCAATGAACGACATGGAAATGTCAGGCTTCTGAGGAGTGCATGCTCATTAGCAATATTTCTCTGCGAGATTGACAGTTGAGAGAGTTCTTCGACAAGAACCCTATCCTGGTTGAACATTGATATCGACGGGATATCGGGAGCTGCTTTCTTGATACTCTGCTTGATCTTCTTCAGTTCCTCGAACAGAGAACTGAGTGTTTCGCTCTGTTGCTGAAGCTTCATATCATGGTTGATCTGTAGCCGCTGACTCTCACTCTGTAGTAGATGAAGTTGAGCGAGGCGCGCGCTTTGAATCCAGCTGGATATACCTGATTAGTAGCTGATTTCGTATATTGCGACTGCTGTTCGAAACACTAAATACCTTGTGATAGTACATAGATGAAGAGTCAATACTCCTTGTATGTTGTGCAACCGTGTCTCCAACCGATTGATTTCATCTCGTTTCCAGGATGTTGCGAGTGCTGCTTTAAACGTCTGCCAGTGCCCTTGGCCTTGTGCTTTGAGTTTTTCTGTGACGAGCAGGAGACTCTCACAGTCCTTCTTGGAGAGAAGCGATAGCTCCTCTATCGCCTTTATTTCTTTTTCTAGTCCTTTAGCAAGGTTTCTATCGTCTTTGGATGTCGTAGTGGTGGTGGCGGTACTTGACGGCAAGACCAGAGTGGTGTTCAACTCGGACAAGCGAGAGTATACTCTATTCAAAGTCAGTATCTCTTCGGATGTTCCACTTGGAGACTCGCGAATCGACACTCCTGTTTTAATTAAGTCTGAGGCAAACTGGACGAATTGGACGACGTTGGAAGCCACTCCCAGGGCGGTTAGAGGATCCATCAGTCTCCCTGTCACCTACTTCGGAAAGAGGGGACTGAAAATGTAATAAGAATGTTTCTATACGGTCGGGGCTCGTGAAGGGTATCTCACGACGCCCGGCGGAGCTGATCTCGTCTCAAACTTGTTCAATGTCGTTGGGGGGACTTTGAGCAAGCTGGGGGGGGTAGCAGATTTCTTTTAATCCCTCAATGGGATTTTGAAGCTACTTAGGATGTAAGGCCCGTCAGGCCTGCCCGATGCTGTCAAGTCGCAAGATTACTGCCCAACAATGCTGCCTATCATTCAGCCTCAGAGGCAGCCCGAGGCTTGCGCCCCACCCAAACTGTGCTGTTTGGTTTTGCCTGCTGCAACCACCCAGCAAATGAGCCCAACCACTGCAAAAGTGCTGTTTTGGAGATGCATACGAGAGGGTGGCAGTGCTGACATACGGCTGTAGTGGCTCATGAATATTTATGTGGCCACGTGTCGTCAAAATATGCTGCCTCCAAGCTCGATCTCTCTGTCAGTTTTGACTTCTGCCTCCATGACGGAGGCGAGTTCCAACACTTCTTTTAAAGTATCAGTCCAAAAACGCAATGAACACTATAACCGTATTTAAGAAACACTTGATGGTCTCCATTGCCGGACATACTGCCAAAAGAGACGGTATTCACTTCCCCAGTGCCTTAGAAGCCAACCATATATTCACTGGCGGCGGAGGACCTCAGGCATGGAGGCTTCCACTTCGACCAGGAAACACCCTTCTCTGTGACGAGCTGCTTTTGAGCCTTTAGATGCGAAAAATCTCAAGGCTGTAAGCGGGGATGACTTCCACCGGCAGGATGGTGCGATCCCTCGGTATGAGTGTGCAATTGGGCCAGTTTACCGTACTTGTTCAAAGTCAATGTGCTTCTCAACGTAGACATGTTTGACGACGATGATTTGTCGATGCTGGATCGTTGCAGCCACACAATGGGTGCTGCTGGGTGGCAAGAAAATGGTCAAGGAGGCCAGCAACCCGATCTTTAAGCTGGCACGGCCGCTCAATGCTTAGACGTGAAAGCTTCGGGCCGCCGAGCTGAAGGAGGCTTCGACTGCGAAATATTCCATCTGAAGCTCAAAGGCATGTAAAAAGATGTTGAGCCTCTTCCCCGAGGCCTTGGAGTGATAAGCTATTGACATTAGAGGGCCATAGACACCCTGCAGCCTCTGTCTTGTACTGTTAGGCTGGAAATAGCTTGCTGAGCACATCATGATAACTCGGTCTTTTTCGCTGCTTACAGCAGTCATCTCAGGGGCAATCACGATTGATTCGTATGCGGACTTTGGCAGCAATGTCCCCGAGATAGCGAATCCTCACAATTGAACCCGACAAATACTTCCGGACCCGCTGCGGAATCGACGCACAGTGTTGTCGCCGTGCTAAACCATGCTCGAGCTTTGTATGTTAGACTGGGGCCCTCGAGTGAAACTTCTCTGGCTAATGAGCGACGAATTAGTGTATGTATCAAAGGGTGGGGAATCAAATGGCTTACCGTGATTACGATTCTTTTTCTCGCTGGCTATCAGGAGTAGTGGGTAGTTGTCCCAGCCTAGTTGCGGGTCCTCAAAAATGTTAGTTAGCATCAGTGGCCATGAGAAGGATAGGCAGCAAACATCCCCCTCTACATACAATGCACGCTTCATAAAGCCACAGAAACCACGTGCTGGCCCATTTCATTAATAAAATTATCTATAGGTCCAGCGACACTTGTTTCACCCTGTATAGCTCCTCCTAAATTCGAGACATACAATACAAACTGTCACCTTTCAAAATGAATATTCAGGTAGCTCTATGAATGTGTTAATAAAGTGTGTCCAGGCTACACAAAGGATATTTGGCCTAGACCAACCGTATACATATGGTGCAAGGTCGACACGACCGAATAATAATCCCCAGCTACCCAAGGGAATATAGGGACTGAAGCTTGAGTCAGATCATCGGCTTTCCACACCACACACACAATCAACGCTTCTTGCAAGTCGTGGAGTTCTCCGACCTGAACAATAGATAGTAGAGTCGAGCTGGTGAGATATTATCTTTGTCATGGGCCAACTGATTGGATACAACCCGCCTGAGGACGATCTGGAGGAGTTGAGGGGGTGTAGCCCCTGATTAGATATGGCTTTATGCTGTGAAATGCATGGTAGTACTAAAGCCTTTGGCTTCATAAATATTTCCCGCGTCGCTAGGGCAATCTTAGACAAGTTGTACCTTAAGGCAGAATAGATTATATCTGTATGTTAGTATAGTTCTTACCTAAGAGATGGAATCAATGAAACCTACAGAAATATCTCTATATTGCTTTTGATTGGCCTTCCAAGGCTGGTTTACAAGTGTTACAATCCAACACCTTGATGCAATGTCTGGGGTATGAGCGATTTCGGCGCGAAGAACCCTCAGGTGAGACTTAGGTGCGGCTCAGCCGAGACTGGAAGTTACTCGTATGAAGCCCAAAAGGGAATTTGGAGGGGGGCTCGTATCTGACGTCGACTTTAGTGGGAGTCTTGTGTCAACTTCGAGTGGAAGAGGCAAGGGTCATAGATGACGTCAGTGATGATTCGTCGCGACGAAATTTGCTGTTTTCAGAAGATGTCGGCTAAACAGATGCAAAGGACAAGAAAACAGTCAAACAACCATCTTGGTCGCTTTCTCTTTGGTCTGCGTCTTCGCATCTCTGAACAGTGTAGCCCCACCAATCGCTTTGGTCACATCAGATCATCTGACTAGCAACAACCATACAGAGAGATTGTGTTGATCCGGCTTCACTCCTACCAACACGCTCTTCCAGGATGTCAAATCGCGAAGACGACTGGAAAAACAAGCCGCCGTTTGGCCCCAAGCCAGATGGTTTCAAAGCTCAATGGCATGGCAAGTGCCACTGCGGCAGAGTGACGTACGAGCTCAGCAGGGAGAAGCCACTGGCGTCCAAATACTGCCACTGTGGCGACTGCAAGAAGCTTCATGGAGTGAGTTTCAATTATCCGCCTTCTTCAATGAGCTCTAGGATACGTGTTCTCATTTCTCTTCCGTATACTCTAGGCACCATTTCAGTGGGCAGCGATATTCAACAAAGGCGATATCAACTTTGCCAATGGCACAGAAGGCCTGGGGTTCTACCACACTGCGGACAAAGGACGGCACCACGATCTGCCTTGCAAGGTGTACTGTGATTTCTGCCGGGCGCCAATCATGGACGAAGGGCGCAACATGATACTGCTGTTCCCGCCTCTGATCCAGGAAATCAGCAGCGAACGGGGCGTCGAGGCGTTCAAGCCTCAGTGCCACCTTTTCTACCCGCAGCGAGTACTGCAGTTCAAGGGTGATGGCATGGATAAGTGGGAAGGGCTGGACAAGAAGAGTGCGTCGCTGGACGATGATGGGAACGTCGTGGAGAAATGACACATAATACGTCGGGGTCAACTTGATACCAGATCTCCGGTGGCCCACATCGAACTCGGGCTGGCGAGACATGTTGCACCAAGGACTTGCAGATGAAGCTGAAACAACCTACAAAATTACAAGACATTTCTTCGCTTACTCGTTTGCATGTGATGCTGGATCAGGGCATCATATGAGGCATCATGCCGGGTGGCTTCACGCAGTGATGTGGAATGACATCACGAGAGGCGGGGCTGCCACAGCCATAAACCCTTTTATCCACAGCGCACAAGTGTACAATTATCACGACCCTGCGACAACATTACCTGCTCATGTCTGATTTCATTTCAACCTCCTAACAGAGCTGCAAACGAAGAATGGGTGCCTTCAGCTGGAACACGCGTTTCACGTGGTTTGTGGCTCTCCTGTGGGCGTCAGCTGCCGTGGGAGATCAGAAAATTATCAGCAGCGAAGGAAGTCAAACCCTACAGAATGACGTGCAGAACGTCCGGCATCAGTAGGGACCTGCAGGCAATCTTGATTTGGACTACCAGCTAACGACGACATTGACCAGGCTCCAGAAGGCCGAGATCATACCGACCGGTACGTCAGTATTATCTGCCTTCTGAATACCATATTGCTGATGCAAGATCATGTAGTCATTGATGACTTCGTACCATCCTTACTTGTGCAAGCAAAATGGTCCTCCAGCAACAAGGCAGAGCTTGGGAATACTCTCAAGCCGAAGAAGCTTCAAGACGCACCTTCGATCAAGCTCGCTCCGCCCAAGGACGACTTTAACTGCCAATCGGAAACAACCTACGTAGTTACTCTTACAGATCCCGACGCACCCTCCCGCAATGATCCCAAATGGTCTGAGATGTGCCATTGGATCGCCACCGGCGTGTCTGTGCCATCCGGCTACAGCAGGGTCTGTTCCGGACTTGAGATCGCCTCGCTCCACGATCTGATCGAGTACAAACCTCCTGGACCACCTCCAAAGACGGGCAAGCATCGATATGTACTGCTTGTGTTCGCTCCGGCCAACGGGACTACAGACAAGCTACACTTGTCGAAGCCCAGAGACAGACAGCACTGGGGCACCGGAAAGGAGAGGCACGGTGTACGTGACTGGTCCGCTGAGAACGGGCTGCTTCCCGTCGGTAAGTCGTTCACCAACAAGAAGCTAAGCATTTTATCGCTAAGCAATCTCAAAGCTGCAAATTTCATCTACGCTCAGAACAAAAAACAGTAAATCCACAATAGCGGCAATACCATGGGGCAAGAACAAAGATGCTGTTATGGAAGAACAAGCAAGTGCACAACAATGGCTTGTGAACAAGCATATGTGCTTCAAAGAAACTTTGTTAACCGCCTGTATCTTTTCAACTTTTGTTTGAGGATCCATTATTCCTACAAATACTGCAATATTGCTCCTCATTCCCTGCCATTTTCCACCATGATTTTATCCGGCTTATTGAAATTGTTCCTCTCCGACTCTTCTCAACTCTACCAACACAACAGCCATGGCTATCCCTCAGCTCAGCCGATTGCCAGCTCCAAGCTCGAGGCAGACATCTGGCCGGCTTCCCGTTCCCAGCAAAGCCGCTTCCACAAGCATCCCCCGAGCTAGTGGTCTGAAGCAGGCCGATATCGCGAACCAGATGAAGACGCAGAAGCACGGAGACACGGGAAAGAAGAGAGCCGTTGCTGGCAAAGGCAGCAGTGTGACTTGTCCCAGGCCCTTTGTGGTGCCTGGCGCTAGGTTACCTCCCCGCAAGTTTCCCGCTCCGGCTATCACAAAACCGACACAGGCTGGGCCGAGTAAGCTGCCGGGACCTTCATCGGGCCTGCGGAGGCCCACGGCACACCATGCTGTTGCGAACAAGCCTGCATTGCACAGGCCTGCCCTGCAGAGATCCAAGCAACAGTCACAGCCGGCAGCACAGGTTCTCGTATCAAGCGCCAAGCACCATACCGAGCTTCTCCCGGTCATTGAGAAGATGCCCAAGGGCCCGATAGCATCACCCGAGAGGGAGATATTCAACGCCATCTACCGGATCTACCTGATGAGAGTGCTCGAAAGAGATGGGAGACGGCGCCGGGAGCTGGACGAGAGGCTCGGTTACTTTCGGGGCAGGTACCCGCAGTATTTTGAGTTTCTCTGTGAATGCAATCAGTGCCCCTGGTCAAAGGATGAAAAGACGTTTGGCAGATATGCATCGGTGTCTTCTTAGTCAGGGGTCCTTATGACCGAGGATCGTGGTGCCGAGTGTGTAATCCGAAAGCAAAGGACATGTTTGCTTGAAAATCAAGAATGAACCAAATTTTAGCACATATTTGCATACACGATGCGCATTAAGCCCTGTGAAAACCCTCTATTAGATTCTGTCTATTTAAGTATTACATCCCTTTTCCCTGGTATATGTTCAGCAGACCTGCGTACACCACCGTTGCGAACTCGATTGTTCCTAACATAGGTAGAATGAAGATGGAGTCGCTTGCTGCATCTATCTTCCAGGGGCTTTTTGTCGAATTCGGCGCCCCGATATGCCCGACAGCCACCCCACAGCCACTTGTCTTGGGGAGGTGGCATACCCGACATGGCGAGATCTAGTTGGTGGTCTGTACAACATTGTCAGACGGTACATTGGCTCTATGCGTAAACTGTTTCCCGCTTTAAGCAATGCCATCAAATACGAAAGATTAACTTCTGCCGTGCTACAGCTCCGCGTTAGACATGCTATGAGACGGCAGAATCAAGAGCGACCTGTCTTGGCGAGCCATGGGCAAGCCATACTAATTATGATCCGGGCAGCCGACGCCTGTTTCGCCCCCATGACGTTCCTCCCCTCTTCTTGTCCTTGTGCTTCACACCGATGCTGATGCTGCACACGATCGAGATTCCGAGCGACAACACAGGCGTGTCGTGGCGGCTGGTGTGGGAGTCAAGCTCGAGAGCTCTTCCGAACAGAGGTCGTGTCAACGAGGCATTGGCGGAGAAATTAAGGCCTTGTGCTCAAGATCTACTGCTATGACAAAAGCCAGGTCCGGTGATTTGAGAAGGCGGGCGTGGATGGCCAAGGACGTGTAGCACAGCTTCGCAGAAGCAAGCATGCCAGTGCTCAACATATCATCATAGCAGGGCCTCAAGATGCCAATCGGGGCGTTGTTCCTGCCTCTAATGGGGCTCCCCCGCTCCGGCTATGTACGTGTTGAGGATGTGTTACACCCGCTGGGGGCTCATAGTGCGGCTCGATCGATGCCTTTCACCGGACCTCATTCAAAACTTGCAGGCGCTGTGCTACAGATCTGCCCTTTCACCCCGCACTCCCGGACTCACCGGTCTGTCGTCTAACGGCTAGTCTCCCGCAATACGATAACACCTGCAGTTGAGTGTTGCGGACTGTGCTGCTTTGAACACCTTCCGATAGGCGACCGAGATCCGAGGCGGTTCCATGCCGTCTTTGTTAGTGCGGTGAAACGTCGTTATTAGATGTGAATCCCGGTAACCCGGCTTTTGGACACCCACCTCGATGATACTCTATCGAGACATGGTGACGGTACTATCTGGAGGCGGTCTGGGGCCACTTGGGTTCTCCTTCTAGAGAGCTGTTATGTCGGGATCTATATAACCACCTCTGGGAAGTGGTAGTAGCTTGAATGCCGTATGCTTCATTGACAATATCACGGTCTTAGACCTCAGCACCTCAAAATGGTTTCCTTGAAGCAGACAGTCTCGACAAGCCTATTACTCGCCGAGTTGGCATCTGGCTACTCAACCGGTTGGAGCCAATACCTCCTTGGCCTTGACAACCTTCCAGGTTTTCGAACATTCAGTCATGGCACGTTAACGGCCCACCGGAAATGCCCCCAGTTGAGACCACTTGATCCTTCGGACGATGGGCTGCTCAGCTCTGATGATATTTTCTCGGGAAAAGATGCGCTTGAAAAGCTGGTCGAGAACCACCGGCCTCTCGTCGAGATAGACTCGATCTGCTACGACGACCTCGGAGACTTTGACACAGACGAGAGATGGAAGCCATTCAACAACATCAGCAAGGTGTTGGAAGACCACTACCCCAACCTGTACGTGACAAGTCTCACTCGAGATGCTAATGTAGGTAGCGAACGTGTACTGACGTGCAAGCCGATCGCAGCTACGAGAACGCCAAGGTGGAGCTGGTCAACACCTACGGCCTGGTGTACACGATCCAGGGCTCCGACGAAAACCTCGCCCCGATCCTTCTCACCGCCCACCAGGACGTAGTCCCTGTGGAGGAGGAGACGCTGGACCAGTGGGACTACCCGCCGTTCTCGGCCCACTACGACAGCGAGAGCGGGTACCTGTACGGCCGCGGCGCCTCGGACGACAAGTCGGGCATCACGGCGCTCATGTCGGCGATGGAGGCCCTCCTCGAGCAGGAGGACTACGAGCCGCGCCGCACCGTCGTCTTGGCCTTCGGCTTCGACGAGGAGTGCGGCGGCGCGCGGGGCGCCGGCGAGATCGCCAAGGTGCTCGGGGACCGGTACGGCGAGGGCGGCATCGCCGTCATCCTCGACGAGGGGGGCGCGGGCCTGCAGACCCTCGGCGACACGGTGTACGCGCTGCCGGCCGTCTACGAGAAGGGCTACCTGGACGTGTGGTTCGACCTCGACGTCGTGGGCGGGCACAGCTCGACGCCGACGCCGCACACCGCGATCGGCATGATGTCCGAGGTCGTCGTCGCGCTCGAGGCCCACCCCTTCGAGCCCGAGATCGCGAAAGGCGGGCCCGTGCACGAGGCCCTCGTCTGCCTCGCCGAGCACTCGCCCGACGCGTTCCCGGAGCTGACGCGGTACGTGCGCCGGGGCGACCTGAAGGGCGCGGCGGCCGCGCTGGCCGCCGTGTCGCGCGACACGCAGTACTTCATCCAGACGTCGCAGGCCGCGACGGTCGTCGCGGGCGGGCAGAAGATCAACGCGCTGCCCGAGTTCGTGACGCTGGGCGTGAACCACCGCTACGCGCCGCAGGACAGCGTCGGCAGCATCCAGCACCGCATCGCGCACCTGGTGGGCCGGGTGGCAGAGAAGTACGACCTCGAGGTCCGGGCGTTTGAGGGCGACGAGGACTACGACGAGTACCTCGCCGCGCACGGCCTTGCGCCTGTGGCGGCGGCGGCGGCGGCGGCAAAGAAAAAGAAGAAGGACGCGCAGCACGGTCTCTGGGAGCCGGTGTACAACGGCACTCTCAATATTGAGGTCCGGAGGAAGTCGTACGTCACGCCGCAGTCGCCTACCAAGGGGGCCGTCTGGGACGTCTTTGCGGGGACGGTGCGCCACTCTTTCGCAGACCTGGCGCGGCACGTGGTTGTTGCTCCGGGGGCCATGACTGGCAACACTGACACCCGGCACTATCTTGGTACGTAGCAGGGGAATGTACCCCCCCGTGCATGGGAGCGTGATCGGGGAAGAAGAAGAAGGCTGACAATTTTCCTTTCCAGATTTATCCAAGAACATCTACCGGTGGAGCCCTGGGAGTCTCAAGTCCTTCAGCAACATCCACACGTTCAACGAGAGGCTTCTCATGAGCGAGCATGTCAACATGGCCAAGTTTTATTACGATTTCATTCGCAATTTTGATCAAGCAGACCTGTGAGAGGTAGTGAGGAGGTAGAGCCCATTCGGGATTTGACCGGCTTGCTGGAAGGAAAGCCTCCAGGCTTGTCCTGCTCGGACTTTCCGAGCTTCCAATAACTTTGATCTTTAAATTACCTCATGTCGTGCGGCCAAATTTGGCGATTTCGGACGACACATGGCTCCTTATCAGCTCTTGTCCCATCATCGCTACTCCAAGTGTCTAACCTCACTATTCCGCTACGATGAAATTCATAGTCGATAGGAGAGACATCTAGAATACGTACCTGAGATGATGGATCATGCCTGTTCCTAATGAATATCGCCTCTCTGTGCAAACATGCGGAAGCGTCAATCCGATTCAATTCTTTGCACAAGATCTGTGTTTGCAGAGGCTTCGACTAATAAGCAAACGCCGCGTAATGTCCGAGCGCGTATCCAAGATCACTCAGCAACGATTGTGCCCACATTGGCCATCTCTCGAGAACCAGGATGGACGTCATCCCGACATTTCCACGAGGTGCCGTCCCAACAGAGGCGGCTCTTGCCGTAGGTCCGTTCAGGTCCCAGGTCCCCAAGCTCTGGCAAAGTCTACCTAGACCTTTCCCGCATAAGCCGAGGTAATCTGCTCCCGACCAAGTGATCGGGAGAGGGGCAGAGGGACGACCCTGATCCTCGCTTCTCAGGGACACCTTCCGTCATCAGGAGTGTAACTGTAGCCGGGGTGATACAGATCACCATACCTGACAGAAGGCCTAGTTTGCCCGTAGCCACGCGAAAAGGTCCCGTAGATGGCCCAATAGTCCAATGAGCTATTGGGATGCCCTGCATGAGAGCGGGAACGAATTGCAACGATCGAACGATCTGGAACGATTGCGCAGCAGGGATTGGCAGCGGCAGTTTGATGGCCGGGAGGGACTTTGGATGGCAGACCGGGTGTTTCTCGTGGTTGCGTGATACGTGAGGATGACGTCGGTGGGAGGTTATGACCTCATCACTTTTGAGAGGATCGAGAGATGGTCGGGGCGCAGGTACAGCCAACCACACGGACCAGCCACACCTGCTGAGTGGGAGGAGAGTGGAATTTGCCGCCACCATTACTAACCTGAAACCAGGCCAAACTTACGCTACCTTAGAGGGAACAAGTTTGGGGAGGCAAGAGGCCATGCTGGCTGATTGCTCGAGCAACAAGTCAAGTCGTGCTTGCGGAGCTGAGCTACACCTCTGGATGGCACATGCCAAGGTGAAGGAAAGACAAGGAAGCAATGCTCCGTCACGTCAGAAGGACGCGCTAAACCCGATCTCGCAAGCCTGAGTTCTCCGCTTTTCTGCTCAGGTGGCCTGGTCATTGGTGCTTTCCCCTGCCACTAGGGCTGATTTAGCGTCATAATCCCGGTGAGCAGTTTCGCCGCGAGAAGGCGATGACGTAGGGAGCTTTGCTCTTCTGCTTGCTCTCCCCGGATTAAGCTTTCCAAACTCAGCTCAGATGGACTGGTGCGCGATTGCTGCGTGAACCACCTGTGACTGCCTATCGTGTCAATCTGGGATCGATCGTTGCCTGCCAACCAAACTCTCACACCCAAACGTGTATTTAACCTTTGACAGTCCCCCTCCCTCTCGGCCATCTTCTCTCCTCTCCATCATCAAACAAGCAAAATCCAGCTTTCCATCAGACAATCTTCACATCACTCAAACACTACCACCACAAACCAAACCAAACCCAAACCCAAACCGTCAACATGGACTCCATCAAGCAGGCCGCCAACTACGTCTCTGACTCCGTCAAGTCCGCCACCTACGGCGCTTCCAAGGAGGCCAACAAGGAGGTTGCCAAGGACAGCAACGCCCCCGTCGGCACTCGGTACGTTTTTGCACAGCAGCTCCCTGTTCTTCGACCATCTCACTAACATGCTCTCCCTTACAGTGTCGAGGCTGGCTTCGATGCCCTCAAGGACAAGTCCAACGAGCACAAGCACGACGCCTCCGCCGAGGCCAACAAGCAGGCCGCTACCCACTAAGCGCGCTTTCCTCCTCCCTCTCTACGCTTTTCCGCAGCATGCACCTGAAGGAAGATACCCCAATTATCATCGCGACGGTCATGGACACACACAAAGGCAATCGGGATGATTCGGCGTTTTTTGTAGGATTATGATACCTTGGGAACAGCTGGGAGCTTTTTTACATCGTCACCCACAAATGAGAAGAAATTCGGGATTCTAGATAGCGTCTAATTGACACTTCGCATTCCCCAAAACCAACACTTGCTCTCCTACAATCACTTGTGCTTGACTGTGCCGACGTGCACCAGAAAATCATGTTCCAAATGTTCAGAGTGCTCGACTCCGAGTCACACAGATTGAGTTCAAGAGACCACCTCAGAGTCTAGCGTCAGCCGTTCGTTTGCCGTTGCTGAGCTAGCTAATGCATACCACACACAACATCATTTGTAAGCTCTCAGCAAGGACATCAACAGCTCTCTCGGTAAATCCCCCCGAGCACCCAGCACCCCATGATCCGCAGGCAAGCCGGACTACCCACTTCGTCGGACAAGTCTTCCGGCCGGTCCGTCCCGCGTGCGCTGATCTCCGGATTAGCCCCACATCCACTACATGCTGTCCGGACAATATGACCCGCCACGATTCTATGTGTGGCGCATCCGGCGTACTGCTGAGACAATGGCATGCTGTTGCGACGGGCCACAGTGAATACCATCCTTCGCCGTCCCGGGACATATACCTGCCGCAGCCTTCGTTTTTTCGCGTCTTGTGTGCAGATACAGGAGAATCGGGTCGTAGCATCGATGGCTCGGAGGTGGAAGACCGGGGGAATATTTGGAGAGGCCTGGTATTGTCAAAGTTGTCCCTGATGCTACATGTTAGCATGTTGCCTGGCATCTCCATTAGATTAACGTCCTCCTACTAGCCCAAGCTGAAAGATGGCAGCGGCGCGATAATGTCCACCCTGGGGATGGGTTAGGGTCGTAATTTCTCGTCCCAGCAACACGGTGTGTGCTCCTTGGACGTAGAACTTGAGCACTTCACTCTTGTATCCCCTTGACTGCCAAAAGGCGGCTTTTTCGTATCAAAGTGGCACCTGCCAGGGTACTATCAAATATGATGCTCTGAAATGCCCGGAGTGGCAAAATACTACCTTCAAAGTACAGGAGTTTCTCAGCCCTGTCGATGGGCTATTCATATCTAGGTTGTATCACCAATGAGGCCTCCAGCCGCTGGGACCAGCCAGGGGATTATAGTCAGGGTTGTTAAGTGATCGGTGTTGATCTTCTTGTAGATACCTGTATTTTGAGACGTCCCAAAAAGCCACATTTTGGCAGTTAAGGGGATCCCTGTTGTCTCGCTTCTGCTGTTCCAGATCTTGGGAGATTCAATCCAAAAGAAAGTTCGACTGATCTCCCAAGTTGGGTGAATGCAGCGAAGGCGAGCGGAACGAAGTGGAGCGTCACCTGAAACTACCTACCCAAGACGCCCCCCGAAAAACAGGGCGATCCAAAGCAAGACCAAAGAGGCCAATCAAAGCAGAGCGAAGTAATCGTGGATAACGAGCGAACAGAAAGCGGGTAAACGGCGAAAATAGACTCTTGCAGGGATCACTCCCAGCCCTTGGCCCCGCAAGCCGTCTCACAAGTTGCAACCGAGCGCGCAAGGGTAGCAACATGTTTTACGTTATCACCGGGACTGGGCAGATCAACAGTTGGCCCTAGCTGTACGGTCACTGCAACAACCCTTTCGAAAGCCTAGAAGACCGACAAGGTTAATATCTTACTGTATCTCAGATAACGTTGATTAACTTGCTGAGTCTTACCGGCTAGATCGCTTGTTGTTATGAAGACGCATGTATACACTCAGAATTAGGGAACTTTGTAGTTTAACCTTCATCTCTTGATCGTTAAGGATGGAACTTATCAATACTAGCTGAGATTTCTATTGGTCGAGTCGTAGCAGCCGATCAATTTGATGCCTGTTTTTATCTAACTTCTAGTCCTCGGTGACGATTTCCCCTTATCACATACTGAGCCACCTCTTGCTAATTACAACGATAGTTATGCAACATCGCTGCCCGTTTCTTGTCCAAGGTTCGGGGATGAAGACCGAGAAAGGCAACTCCATATCCTTTGCATATCCTGCAAACTCTATCCTATTAGGATTCATTTCTTCGGCACGCTCGGTGTTCAATTTGCTCATATTGACTGTGATGTACTCATGTTGACTGAGCGAGACGGGTGATGGCAATAGTCTGGAGACGCATCTGGTCAAGATCACAAGAGCACCCTTTCACTATCCTACATCTGCATCTGTGTTATCATTGGCAGTCTCGTACGTGAAGCTTTCGTAAAATCTGGTTGACGGGAACGGGATGGCATCTAGAGTCTTCTCGGATGGAACATTCATTGACCACCAACTCACGATCCCGCGTCTCATCCGGTCTGAGGGAGCAGGGGAAGCTTGCTCATAGCAAATCAGAGGCAGCCAATTACGCCCTGACCGTACAGTATAGACATCTCCAGTCACCGTCACCGAGCAAAGCGGCTGCCTAAGCCGAGACCTACACCTATCTTTGCGTCCCATTCGCAACAATGCAACCGAGACAGGCGCAGCGAGAGCCGCGAGACCCGGATCACATGCATGAACCAAGCCACTAGTTCCAATATTGTGGAAGCGAAAACCGGCACTTACTCGCCGATGCTGCGTGGGAAAATGCGGGACTGCTCGGGCCCTGTTCTGCTGCATGTCCGGACATTGAGTGGCCCACGGGCGGTGCAACCCTCCGGTTGCTCACGGGCCACCCCATCACCCCGATACCCCGGTTGACGGACGCTCAGCGCCGCAGCACCCTCCTCCCCCTCCCCTGGTTAGAAGCGCGGTACCGGACGCCCCATCCCGCGTGGCTGGCTGCAACGTCATGCGCGATCCCGTCTAATCCCAGCTTTTACGAGCTCCGACGCAACGCTGCTGCACGCGCCCTGGCGGTAGAACTTGCTCTTCTCGACCTTCTGTACCCTCCTCGACAGGAGCGGATCCCCTGCCGACAGGTGAAAATTTTCCGAGGCGGCTCCACCGTATGAAGTTTATCCCTTGTTGTTGAAAGGTTCAACCTTGTGTCGTCCCCTTGTTTTCGCTCAGGGGGCAGGGGGATTCCTTGCAAGACCGCGGCATATCGCTAGGCAGAAATAGGCGCTGCCTGACGGGAATTGCAACATCGTTCGAGGCTGAGAATAACGCTAGCCCCCTTTTCCGCGAAGGATGACTCGCTACCAACACCACGAAAGGTCATGTTCAAAGTTGTTTGTACAGACAACCACACCACGTTGCTGTCCGTGCGATATCATCAAGTCAACCACCCCGGTCGTGGAGATGCGATGAGATTGAAGGACATGAACCGTTCGTAGATCCTTTTGTTTGCTCGAGCCCAAGTTTCAATACTGCACAGTCGTGGGCCACGTCATGGCGAAATATCTCCACTACCATTGGCTCTTGTCAGGCTCCGCTCAGCAGAGACCTTGCACAACGGGCGACAGGCTTTGGTTTTCTTTTGCCAGCTTCACGTTCGAAGCGTGCCAAGCCTTACCATCATAACTCCATTTTATCATCCATTCGTTTCGTGGACTGTACAAGTAATACTGCCCGAGGTTTGAGCGAGTCAGCTGGTGGGCGTTCTCCACCAAAACTTAGCTGACAGTCGTCAGCATAACGGCATCCTCGGTGTGCACGGTTCCCTCGGCCCAGGTCTACCCCGGTCTGCAGCAAAAAAAGAAGCAAAGAAACTGTGCGGTGTGCAGAGAGGAACTTGCTTCTTGCCCCTGGAACCTGCGTAGGCGCCTGAGCCGTTCGGAAATACCACCTCCTCTTAGCTAATAACTTATCAAGACAATATCACATACCAGCCATGCACAGGATCACAGGATGGCCTGTTTATGTAGCACGCATGCATGCGAGGCACCACGATGCCGGACGCCAAGGGTGGGCATCCTCGAGTTTCTGTGCCTTTGGCGATGGATCGTTTGGACATGGTCCCTCGTAAATCGAGTGTTGAACTCCTGACGAGGTGCAGTGTTCATGGCCGAAGCCCGAGGGGAACGGCGAGTTCCTGTTTTCAGAGAGCGCCAGAGAAGCATATAAGGACGACGATGTTCGCGTTGAAGAGATGATCTTGTCTTCGGTCCTCATCCACCAGTCCAATCTTTAGGATCTGCCTGGCATCGTATCACTCTTTTCAGACTCAAAATGAAGTCGACTCTCGTTTCTACCCTTACGCTCGTTACGGGCGCCATTGCCCTTTCCATTCCTTCTACCTCAACTGGCCTGAGCCTTCCGTTCGTTAAACCTCGCCAGTCATGCCAGAACACTCCAACTTCGCGACAATGCTGGGGAGAGTACTCTATTGATACCAACTGTATGTTCCCAAACTTCCGTTCTGAGTCAGGGTCTTTTCTGTTGCCTCTATTCTCCTTGCCATCCTCTTGCAGCGTTATCCGCCATTGAGTCTTCTGCATATGCCTTGAATCGATCAGCATTTCTGACCTCAATTCTCGCAGGGTATGACAAGGCCCCTGATACAGGGGTTACAAGGGAGTATTGGCTCTCTGTGGAGCGCGGCAGCTGTGCCCCTGATGGGTATCAGCGCACTTGCATGACTTTCAACGGGACCGTCCCGGGACCCGCCATCACGGCCAACTGGGGCGACAACCTTGTCATCCACGTTACGAACAACATTCCGGATAACGGCACGTCCATTCACTGGCACGGCATGCGCCAGGTCGGCAGCGTCGAGTACGACGGCGTCCCTGGTGTCACTCAGTGCCCGATCTCGCCCGGCAAATCGGTCAGTTGCCATGCAGCTCTCATGAATAATGGAAGTATCGCTAACACTGGCAACGCAGCTCACTTACAAGTTCCGTGCGACTCAGTACGGCGGCTCCTGGTACCACAGTCATTTCACTCTGCAGTATGCCGAGGGGCTGTTCGGTCCCATGAACATCTACGGTCCTGCTACGGCCAACTATGACGAGGACCTGGGATCCGTGTTCCTCCAGGACTGGCCGCATACCGAGGCCTTCGCCCTGTGGTACAAGGCCAGGCAGGGTGGTCCTCCCGTCATGGAGAACGGTCTCATCAACGGCACAAACACGTTCAACTGCACCGGCTCTGCCGATAAGAAGTGTGTCGGCGGTGGCAAGAAGTTTGAAGTGAACTTTGAAGCTGGAAAGAAGTACCGTATGAGCGTCGTCAATGTCGCGACTGACGGCCACTTTCAGTTCTCCATCGACGGCCACAGCCTGACTGTCATCTCCACCGACCTTGTCCCGATCGTCCCCTACAAGACGGACAGCGTCCTGGTCAGCATCGGCCAGCGGTACGACGTCGTCGTCGAGGCCAACGCCAAGCCCGGCAACTACTGGCTGCGAGCGGGTTGGAACTCGGCCTGCGCGAACAACGGCAACGCACCCGACATCACTGGCATTGTCCGATACGACAAGGCCGACAAGGCTAACCCGACGAGCAACTCTACCGTTATCCCGTCCAAGAGCTGCGGCGATGAGCCTCTCCAGAGCTTAGTGCCCCATGTGCCTCTCGACGTGACCAACATCCCCATCATCTCCAAGGAGCTGCTGGGTTTCAAATTTACCGACTACTTCAGGTGGACCATCAACACCAGCAGCTTGGTCCTGGACTGGAAGGCACCTACTCTGCTGAAGATCTTCAACAACGAGACCATCTTCCCCACGGAGTACAACGTCGTTGCTGTCAACGTAAGTGTCCTTCTCCCTGCGCGTGATGGGTCTCATAGCATACTAACGCCAAGTGGACACAGAGAACTACCAAGAACCCTGAATGGGCTGTCCTCGTCATCCAGGATCAGTCAGGCCTCGGGTAAGTCCATGCCCTGATGCCCGAGCCTCCTCACATACACACAAGTCGGGTCCCCACTAACACGAGCAGCATCGCCCACCCGATCCACCTCCACGGCCACGACTTCTGGGTCCTGGCCCAGACCACGGGAATCTTCGACGGCAACCCGGCGAGCTTCAACACCAAGAACCCGCCCCGCCGGGACACCGCCACGCTCCCGGGCAACGGCTACCTCGCGCTCGCCTTCCAGCTCGACAACCCGGGCGCCTGGCTCGTGCACTGCCACATCGCCTGGCACGCCAGCGAGGGCCTGTCGCTCGAGTTCGTCGAGGACCAGCGCGACATCGCCGTCACCATGCACGACACCAACATCTTTATGGACCAGTGCCGCACCTGGAAGAATTACACCGCCGTCGAGGTGTATCACCAGGACGACTCGGGAATCTGAGCCCCTAGTGTTCTTGAGATTAGTTCCTCGGCTGTGCTGTGGATAGTGGTGGACGTGTGTGTTCTCTTCTTGTTCTGTAAATACTTGTGACTTGTTCTTTGTTATGCTGAACTACGAACTGTTATGTATATGTACGTCTATCGAGAATCAAATTGAAATCTGATTTCCCGCGATTGCAACATCTTGATTATCTTGGCGCGTTGTTGTGGCTAAATCGAAACCCAGAGCAGATAGTCTTGAAGCATCTAGTCTAATTATGTGCATGAAGTCTAAATGTGTTGTCTAAATGTGTCAGTTCGATAGTGGCAATGCTTCACAGCCCCCATCAATGGAGCCACGTTTTCACCGCAGAGGTCTGGCGGTCGACATCCCGACACTTGGCTTGTCCATCACTTTCCAACAACGTAAACTAGCCCAACCTTTTCACTCGTGCCCACGTCACTGGCAGTGGTACCACACGTGCGCGACATAACGCTCATTTGGCCTCATTGACCCAACACCTAGTTTTCCACTATCAAGGCTGAGGTCGAGGCTCCCATCCGTGCGAGCCACGCCCGCATAGTCAGATATCTGCGTCGCTGCTGGCACCCGCGACCTCGTAATGGCTTGGATCAGGCTCAGACGTTGCCTGGGGGTGTTCATGCTCCCGGCGGACATGGATTCCCCATATGATACATAGCCCAATCAAGGCAGCTATGTTGACAATGGCAGTCGCAAAGTAGGGCCGCCCTGGTTGTTTTGGCTCTGTGCGGTTGCCGTCGTAGATGATATTCTTCATAACGAGGGAGCTTAGAAGCTTGAACAAGAGCCCCGCGACCTGATCGGCGACAAATATTCCGGTCCTCTGTGTTGATTTACTTGTGGAGCTAATCAAGGCCCTGGCAAAATGTGGAAGTAGGCTGCCTAAGCTGGCAGCTGCCAGCATGACACCGAACAGCGCTAGCGAGTCTGACCAGGCGAGCATCGCACTGAACATGCCTTGCCAAAGTAGTAGGCCAGCCGCCATCGTGAGTTGCACATTTATCGAACAGTCTTTTGCGCAACAGGCAACCGGTATGGTGGCCAGTGCTGGTAGCAGCTTGGCCCCCGTGATGACCCATCCTGCATCGGGCGTGGTGCTTTTAAACCGATGTGGGATATACTGCACTGTATACTCGTATACAGCCAAGTAATCGAAGGCAGCGGGTATCGAGAAAACAGGTATCGATAAAACAGGTATTGAAGTCAGTGTTTGTATCAGTGTTCGTATCAGTGTTCGGAGATCGAAACTAAAAGTCGCTTTGAAACTTTGAGGTTTATCGACTTCCGGTAGTGGGCTGAGGAAGAACAATGCGCCGCAACCAAGAATCGAGGTTACAAAGCTCATAAACAGGCAGTACCATTCTCCAAAGGTTTGCATAACCCAGCTTGCAGCAGGGAGGCCCAAGAATGCGGCAGTATTAGCTGACGCACCAAGGAGGAGCTGCGCCGAGAAGCTAAGCGAGAATCAATGATAGGTTCTCATGGAGAGCGTTCCAATGCAAAGACAACTCACAAGTGACCTTCACCGAACATTTGTCTGAGAGCACAGTCTCGGAGTACCATGTATGTCATGCCACCTCCTCCGAGAAGAGCCGAGAGAAGCGGTGATGCCCATATCCAGCGGAGATCAAGAGACCCGTTGCTCCAAAAGATGTATGCTTGAGGAACTTCCGCAATGATGGCTCCACACTGCGCCAGGATGAGGACGCTCCGAAGCCGCAAACTGTGGAGTGGTTGGGACCAGATTCATGACTTAAGTGTACACCTATCAAGAACAGGTATACGCACCAGTGAAAGGCGACAACGGGGCACCAAACAAGTAATGCAATAATTGCTAAAGGACAGAGTTCTCAGTACACAGTTTCCTTGTTCTGATTTGCCTGCAAAAAACAGGCGGACCTCCAGGGTGGTAACTCACCAACTGCCGGCTGAATCGTGAAATAAGTAAAACGAACTGATGCTAACGTATCCATAACAAGTTCCGTGTTGCATTGCTTCTCCGGGATGAGGGTAAAACCTGACTTGCAAATGTGTTCAAAATATGAGCAACAAATGACATTTTTGGAAAGGCGGGGTACAGCAAGAAAGAAGGAGTTGGCTCCCACAGAGATCATGACAGTGGAGAAGACAAATATCCAAAAGTTCGGATCGGTGTACATGTTAGTTCTCGGCGAGGGCTCCTGCTCTGTACCTTGGAGCAAGCGGTCTGTTTCAACCGCTTCCCCCTCTAAGATCGCCGACTGCTCGTCCGGCATGGTCACGACCAGGAGGTTCGAGTGTGATCAGGGCTTGCGAAGGGTATGCAGGTGTCGAAGAATGTGAGTGGCTACCGAATAACGAACAGAAGAGAGATCACTTGGTCCAGATTACGAGCGAAAAGACGGTGAGGAAGGTGTTGGGTTCGATATTTAGGTGTGACTGGGCCTCAAGAGACGACTACTTTGGCTGCGAGGCGAGGTGTGCCAGCATCGCTGACTGACTACTGGCTCAGCTCGGTGGGAAGCTTGCCTGCACCGCCACGTCATGGCACTTGGGCATCAATCAAAGCTGGGGCGCGCTCCTTCGTAGTTGCGGCTCAAGCTAGCTCTCGGGAGCTGTATGCGTATTAGATAAGCAAGTTCTGGAATATTCACTCTTTGCTGCGCCCGAATCAGCCCTCCGAGAGATCATGTTGGCCTTGCAGGCGGCTCTGCTCTGTCACACCCCTAGCGGCCCAAGGCAGAAGATGCTGGAGCCTGACCATGTGTTCATTATGCTCTATGTATCTCCTAAAGGGCCTGTAGTCTATGTATGGACGGCTTCCGACAATTGGACCGAGGCACTTCCCGCGTCATTCGATTTGTTAGGGTATCGACGGGCAGGCAAAATAGGTCCGGCGCCCCGCCATCAGGTACATCTACCCTCCAATAGAGATGGAGGTGTGGCCAACATAGGGGTCCCCGCGCGGCGAGGGCGGTTGATAAATTGTGCTCTTTCCGCACATCATGTGCCCTTTCAAGAGGCTCTAAGGCTTTTTAGTCACATATCGGAGGTCGTTCCAGGTATCACCAATGATCTCCGCAACGACAAGCATGACGATTACCCTCAACTTTGAGTCGTGAGGAATCAAGATCGCCGAATATGTGACCTTCCTACAGCCGCCTGCTTGACCCTTACAAGACTACTCACTCGTCATGTCTTCTCGGACGACAGGCCGTGAGAAACGCCACAGTTCCTCCTCTGCGCACGCCGCACAGAGGTCGAAGGACTGCGTGCCTGATTTCGAGGCAAAGGTACGTTGAACTTTGAAGCAATTGGCCGAGCCAAATTTGTCCTTCCTGGCGAAAATAGATATGTAAAAGTCTTGAGGTCCACCTTCGTTGGAGCGCGCTAGCATCACATACTGAACGAAGCTCTAGTGCGGAAACAACCAACCTTGTCGTTTTGACGATACCCAAAATGTCTTTGATGAATGGCCGGATTTGAAGTTCGAACCTCGACCTGAACCAAGTATTCAGGACAAAAAGGCCCATAAGAAATGGGAAAGGGAATATGAGGATTGGGGGCCTCGTCGATGTAATAATGGAGTGGGATATTTTTGCAGGCAGCATGGCCGCTGGGTTGCCTGTAAGGAGGTAGAGACGCGGAAAGCGCCTGCTCGAAAGGATCAAAGGCCTGGACAGTGCCCTAAGCGGCATGAGACAGATGTGATAGCGAGACAACAATCTCTCGCATCGACAACCTCGCCTCATACAGCAACCAGTTCGACCTCTGGCACCCAAGGGAGCAATCAAAACACACCGTGGACATCGAACTATGCTGCCCCGAGCTATACATCAAACTATCAGCCTGAACAACAACCTTCGGCTTTCTCTTACTCAGCATCCCAATATTCAGCATACGCACAGCAAGACCCCACAGGAGCGAGCGCCGGGACCGCTTCGTATACTGCTCAATCTGCAGGATGGTATCAGGACTTGTCGACAGACTTTCCCTCACTAGAAATTTCGAGTAATCCAGCATATGTTCAACCCCAGTTCGCGCAAGTGGCAGCGTACTACGATGAGCCACAGGCCCCTCTTCCGGCCTCTTCATCAAAGTCCTCCGTCCCTGAGAGCAAAAGCCATGATAGCGCCAAGTCCAAAACCTCGACACGACAACATGGTTCTGGAAAAGGTAGGTCTGCACAACACGATAGCCCCGGGAGACACTCGTCATCTAAGAGCGAGGTCAAGAGGGGATCGGCCGAAAAGGGAGACGTTCGAAGCTCTGACTCACGAGGCCAAGGCGTGGACACTTCTGATACTAGTTCTCACAGGACTCATTCCAGGAAGGAAAAGGGCAAAGAATCATCATCCGGCCACCAGCCAGGGCCTCCAGAAGCTTACTATGCCACCACTGACCATTACACCACGCCAGCTTATCAAATGGATCCAGCAGGCTCAGTATACACAGCCACATGGAACGATCCCTATTCGCTTCACGGTGACCAGGAGGACCATCTTGACCAAGAGGCGGACCCGAACTCGAAGCAAAAGGGTGATAAAGAGAAGCGACGGCCATAGCCCAGATGGAAAGATGCTGCGGGTGTCGTTGAAACGCCCCAGTCGCATTGCAAGGACTGGGGCTATGTATTGGTCTTTATTGTTCGATGGCTATTGTTTGAGCCTGTGTTGTCACGACGGAGTGCGTTTTGGATGTACCAGGGGTCGATCGAATTTCACTCCAGTGTTTGCTTTTTTCTCTACATGTACTGCCACGTCATGATCTACCGCCATTCCTTCAATAGTGCCCTTAGCGAGCAACAGCTTATTTCGTATCTACCATAATAAAACCTGTTTCATCTCCTCCTGCCGTGACAGCTCTCGTTCGCAGCTCTGGTTCTCACTTGGAGCAGGGGCGGAAAGGTGTCGGAAGAGGGTCAAAAACCACAGGTAAACCGGGCGTTAATGGCGGGATAAGATGCTATGGACCTCTGCAGTGTGTGTAGCCTGTAATCTGGGAGTACCTATCACATGTGCAGCTGACTGCATGCCGGTGTAAGCCCTGCTGGACATCAGGCAGCCTCTCAGGTCGCGAGCTCATCCAAAATCATGCAGCCGAGACGCCACTGGTCTGAAATGCAGGCAACCATCACACCATTTGGATATCCCCCGAGACAGAGTACATTCCATGTCCTGGAAGACAGTTCTGGGTGGCTCCGTGTTACTACTTGTACTTTTCCGAGGGTGGCCAGACATAATATTTGGCTAGGCACCCCCTGTTTCTGCGCGAGTCCCATGTCCGTCCAGGGTCACGCATTGTTTTGACCAGAATGACACATCCGACTCGAGTGGCATGTGCGACGCGCCACGAATATCCAGTGAAGACAAGCTTGGAAGTGAGCAGGTGGAAGAAGGAAAGAGGCGGGGTTTAAATACCTTTGCAGCGAAATGCTGGCATGCTGCTGTCGAGGTATGTTCTGATCTCCATTCCCACGCTCGGCCGACCGTGTTCCGCGACAGCGCGTACTGCAGAGATAACCCCACCTCTGGAACAATCAGATCCCAGTAGAAGGAAGAAGTAGGACCCCCCTTGCTGCCTGCGGGGTTCGTTCGCCGGTTTACCTAGGCCCATATCCCCTTCGCTGCTCGGGATCGTCAGAATGAATGACTGATCTCTGGTCGCATCATCACAGAAGTCTGAGTGGTCGATTGCGGATGATAAATACAGCCCTATACTCTTCGATGCCACCAAGTTTGAGGCGAATGAGGCTGCACAGCAAGCTATCGAGGCAGGGAATCTGATCAACCGTGTGGAAAAGGAAACTGCAAAGCGGGGAGGGAAAAGAGCGGTGCGCAGAGCATTCGGCTGTGTTCTGGATCAACTGCATCGCCACTCCAAGACCATCGACGTCCTAGTGCAAGTAAGCCCGACCATCGGATGTGGAATCTGGGTACCGCTACGAATCATCCTAGAAGTGAGGCTTCCCCCCTTTCGACGATACCTGAATGTGACCCTGACGCGATCTGTATAAAGACCTATCTGGACGTACAAGACTGTTGGAAAATTGCCTTCGACGGCATTGGGATAATTCTACACCAAGTCACATTGTGGCACGACTTGTTCCCAGTCTTCAAAGACAAGGAAGCCGAAACCGCGCCGTACTTTGAGCAGTTCTATCTTGCCGTCTTTAATTTCCTCAAGTTCATCAGAAAGTACCTCGGTATTGGCTCGTTAAGTAAGTCATCTGATCTTGGCCTCTGATATTCATACTAGACTGACGGGCACTCCCAGAACGGACCTGGTACTCCTTTGTGAAACAGCAAAGCACTCCACTCGCAGCGAAGCTGAAAGAGATTCAAGTAGCTGTCGAAAAGTTGCAAGATTTGATTGCTAGTGAAAGTATGACTACTACTCCAGTACCCGTCCTACTCGGACACTTTTGAAATCACTGCTAATTCCACCCTCAAGACCTTCAACTGGGTACGGTCCTTGCTACACGACACGTTGCTCGGCTTTGATGCTTATTTTCTGCAGCCCATGCAACGAATATGATGGTCCAGGGTAAGTCGAGCACTCAGGGCTACATGCAGGATGCTGCATCGCGGTGTGACTGTGATCTGCCAAAGAAAAGCTTCCATTCCTTCCGGGCCTTCCGTAGCAGGATGCGGAACCCAGCGGAATGGGGGTCTTCTCTGCCAAGTGGCCACCACCAGGAGGAGTTGGACGGTTTTGCAGCCAGCGGAAATCGTTTGTTGATTGCCCCAAAACAAGTCCGTTCCACTGCCGGTGGAACACGCTAGCGCCGCAGTTGTGTTCTTCTTTGCATATCGATGGTTGGACACCACGACCCGGGTGATCAGATTCGTGCATCAGAGGGGATCATTCTAATTGGATCTATACAGAGCTATATGGCAGCATTGCAGCACCTTTCAGTACCCAAGCTTTGCGTAGCCAGGACATGAAAGGTAAGCTATTGACCCTTCTACCCTCTTGTAGGACACTCTCTCTTTCCAAATGAAAGTGTGCACGCGGACGCTCTGTGGGCTGTGGACTATGGTCGCCCAGAACTTTATATTAATGGATACTGATGTACCAACAGACACCCTGGAAAGAGAAGTCAGACCATGGCTCGAGTCTTGCCAACGATCCCACCCTTCCAAAACTGGCCTAGATCGCTCTCCTACGCCAGGAACCGGTCAGTGGCTGCTGGAGCATGAGCAGTTCCAGAGGTGGTCGAGTCTCAAGGGCGCAGGTTGCCTCCACATACAAGGCAAACCAGGTAGGCGATACTGCCATTTAAAGAACTCTTGGAGGAAGTGCTATCACTAATACCCTTTTAGGCGCTGGCAAGTCGTTTCTCGCGTCGGTGATCGTAGACACACTGAAGCAGGAACAGACAACTCGGCATGGTGTTTTTCTATGCCGTTTCCCGAAAAGTACGCTTGCGGGAGATCTGGTCTTCTCAGCACCTCACTACTTGGTCACTTCTCTCATCAATCAACTTCTGCATCCTTCCTATATTCTGGGAAAGCCGGAATACGGTCGAATCATTGGAGAGCTCGCGGATCTTAGGTTGAGATATCTCGAGCTCCTTGACTGCCCAGTGCGCAATCTCTGGCAGGTTTGCCTTCGTCTCCTTGAGCTCATACCTTCGTCAAAGCGCTTTCTTGTGGTCCACGGGGCAGACGATCGCTGCATACATGGCAGGAATTTTGACTTCGCTACACATTTTCAGCAAAAGCTAGCCGAGCTGTGTCTGGTATACAACGTGAAAGTTTTAGTCTTGGCTCGGTCCCAGGCCATTTTCCCGCAGGATTTGCCGACGGTTCAGAGGTTTCAAATCGTCATCACGAGCGAACTAGTGGCTGGCGACGTGAAACTGTACGCCTCGTGTTTGTTCGACAGTCACAGGTTGCCAAAGGCCTACAAAGATGCGACAATTGCGCACTTCTGCCGGGAAGCCAGAGAAAACTTCCTCTACGTATATTGCACCATTGTATATCTCAGCCAGCCGTCGTCCGATGGGACCTACCTACAACGCTTGGATGCTCGTCATTGTCCTCCTGAGCTTCACGAGCTTTATGATCAAGACATCCGTCCCAGAGTCGAGCGGATGTCTTCGGATGAGAGAAAGCGACTTCAGACAGTTCTTGTTCTTTTGAGTGTTGCCGCCGAGCCGTTGACTCTTGAGGAGCTTTCAAGAATCACCGGGAGTGAGGGGTTCGACCCTCAAGTTAATATAGTCTCGTTGGGCGCACCACTACTATCGGGCGAAAGCAATAAAGTTGCTTTTACGCATCACTCGACGATCAACTATTTCATGAACTCCCTCCAATTATTTGGATTTGGGAAAGGGCACACTGCACTCACAATGGCTGGTGAATGCCATGCCCGCTTAGCCGAGGAATGCCTACGGTGTCTCCTCGACGAGCAGTACGGGTCGAAGGAAAAGATTGGCCGGTACCTGCATCGCACCTTGGGTGCACTGGTGGACGTTATGGTTCTTGACACACCCAAAGGTGTGTCACTCGAATACGCCGCCAAATACTGGGCATATCACTTGACCCATGTGCGAGCTCCAACCGAAGAACTTCTTGAGCTCGCAAACTCACTCCTCCACACTTTTCAGTTCGCATTCTGGAGTGAATACTCAACTGCCCGCGATGGAGAGATGGACCAGGTGATTATAGCCCGGAGGAACCTTCTCAGCTGGGTCAAGTCTCTTCCTGGGGACAAGGGGTCACATATCTCGATCGACGATTACTTCGAGTCGGTGTACTGTCAGCTTAGTGACGCATATAGAGAAGACAGCGACATGGACAAGGTGTTGCAGTGGTTGGCTAAGATGCGTCTCGACATGTATTACACACGTACTGGCATGACCGAGAAGGCGCTGCCAGTTCGTAAAGCAGTTGCCGAGGGACTCACGACGGCATTAGGTGCAAAACATCCTCTGACACTTCGGGCTAAGAGGCAACTTGCGCTCGCCTACTCCTTCCGGGGCTGGTTCCGAGATGCCAATGAGCTATACTGCGAAATCATTGCAATAATGAAGGAAGTCACTGGACCAAGTCTCGAATATTTCGAGACACTTCAGGCAAAGGGCGAAACAGAGCTTTACATGAACAACTATCAAGAGGCAGAGAACACCGAGCATGAAGCTGCGGACGGGATCCTCCAGCTCGACACGCCGAATGCCAACGCATATCTGGCCGCGAGATTATGGTACTGTTATCCACTCATTGAAATGGGTCAGCTCGACAAGGCCCTCGGTATTCTGAAGCACATCTTCGACACTAGAAGGGAAAAGTATGGCGAGACCGACCTCTTTGCGGCGTCTGCTCAGTACTCCATGGGTGACATCCAGCGCAAACTAGGAGACAAAGATACTAGCCTTCAAAATTTGAACGAGGCTTATGAAGTTCGGCTTCGTCAAATCCCATTCACAACCATTTGGGTCATGGACTGGGCGATCGCTCGCATGATTGCTTTTCGCGACTTTGGCCAGCCGGAAGAGGCTTTGGATATTCTCCGCGAGCTAGATGAGCGGGGACAAGTGTATCGATTCTTTGACCGTGTGTGCCAAGTTACACATCTACGTGCGCTTTTGCTCCATGACAAGGAACAGGCTGATGAGGCTATAGACTTACTGCAAGGACTGGTCATCTCGACAGATAGGGCCTTGTACAAGCGCGGTTTGATGTGGATTCTCCTAGACCTGGCGGTCATGCTCAGAGAGCGTGGTCGGCCTGGAGACGAGAAGCAAGCCGCAGCGAACTTTGATCATATTGTCAAGGCCAGGGGCTCTGACCTTGACGTATCCATGTTGAGAAGCACTCGCCAAATCTGGGACGGCGGCGGTCATGAACCAGATCCACCGCGATTGCTGCGGCTTGCCGAGCAAGCCTTACAGCTCATGAGGGATAGAAAGTTCGATCAAGTTGACAACTTGTTCAGGGAAGAGAATATAGACTGGGTTCGACCAGAAGACTTGTGGCACTGGACTGGTGGGCCAGCTGCTGATACTGCGTGGATGAAACCGCCCTTACAATCGTATGTCATCCCCTACCCGCTGAGATATGGTGTTGAATACTAAGTCCTCAATTATATTAGGTTAACAAAACCAAATTGATCCCATTGACGTCTTCGCGTCAGCTCACATTCTCTTGGTCGATCATATTATGCATCTTATTTCATACTCAAGTACTCTGCATTCAATATATATGATACCAACTCAAGAAACTCAGTCCTGATCTGCCCGGTTCATTTCCTTTCTTCCTTTGTGTATTTCCAACAGTACATAACATCCTAGTTCAACATGGCTGGTCAGAGAATTTTCAACCTCTTAAGAAGTAACAGATTGTATGAAGGCAGAGTTGACGTTGATTTTTATCCCTTGTTTATTTAATTGTCGAACTTGAATGTGTATCCATCGCATGAGGCATAAAGCAAATTGATTCTTTCATACGTATCATTTAAATCTCATTTCTTTCCAGCACAGTGTTCACAATACAGTAAATACTCCCGGGGCTTATGACGGGGTTTCAAAGATCAAGCTCATGGCGTACGTTGATGCATGAAGAAAGCTGCTAGTGCCTGTCCTGCGTTTGTCTGCATAGGCGTTCTGGCTCACGATCATGGACGCGGTGCCAGCTACCCCGACGGTAAAGCCACGTCATTCATATTGGCCACCACCAGATACCGGGCTGGGTCACTGCATACGAAACTACGTAAGGGAAGTTTGAAGCGCTGGACGAGCGGTGCTGATTGGATAGTGCGGTGAGTTGACGCTCAGTCCTCGGCTTACACCGAAAGACAAGTTCCCTAACCGGTACTAAGCCGGCACTGGAGGCAGGGATCATCGAGCACTGGAGCTGGGCGGGTGGTGCTGCTGGTCGACTCATGCAGGTTCACGCCCGAGTTGCACGCCGTTGTCACCCTCTGCCGCTCCCACGGACCCCAACAGCACTATCACCCCTGTCGCCTGTCGACGTTGGCGGCAGATCATTTGCTGCTGGTGTGGTGGGTTCTGACGGCCTGGCCTGTTGCTTCCCGGATACCAGGCAAGCCGCGCACAGGTCGTTTGCAAGGACTTGGCCAGCCCGGCATCGATGACGAGAATAGCAGCATAGAAGAGCTGGTGGCTGCGCGTCCTCAGGATTGTGGAGGGCAAGGACCTCTTCCTGGGCGAGGATCCCGTGGGCCCATGCGATCCGATCGCCGCCAGCTATTGCTACTGCAAGAAAAGATATGACATGAATTTTGCATGGGGTAGCCACTGAAGTGTGTTCAGCTTTACTGGGCCCACTATCTTTTCGTCTCTTGCGTTGGTTGTGTATGGATGTTTGACACTGTGACGCAAAAAAGAAATGCGCATTCTCGGCATCTTGTGAAGCTTGCTTGCATGGTTGTGTCCCGAGACGAGAACCTGTGGAAGAAACATAGTGAGAGGTGTAAAAGGACGAATTCATATGAATGTCCAGTCCTGTTCGGTCCCTTCCAGTCAGAGAGCGGAAAGATGTCGCTGTCTCCATGTTGGGCAATCTCGAGATGATCTTCCTCTGGGCCCCAGCGATCATCCGCGCTCCATCGCAAAATCCCATCTCGCGTGCTCTAATTCATTGACCAGTGGTCTCCAGGGTGGATGGGCAGAAGTGCTTGACTCGACAACAGGGTCGAATGGCAGTTACCGGGAGACAGAGCACCCCTTGCATGATCCGCGATTTCCCAGCCGTCGCCAAACCCTGGCCCCTGCGACAAGAGCCAGGGCTAGCCAGACCTGCGGCCTCACTCTCGGGCGCATCGGCAATCGCCTGGGAATGGGCCTCGACTGGGCTTTTGCGTGCTGTGAGCAGTGGGAAAAAAGGTTGGGGGGGGGGGAGGGAGATTGTGAGTGGTCACATCAGGATCGACGACGCCAGGGCAGAGCCTAAAGACGGAACGGGAAGAGGATCAACGGCTGAGCGGGGAGGCTAGCGCGTGTTAGTCGCTGCATGAGCCGTGTCCACATTCTCAGCTCGAGTCTGCACACCACGCACAGTCTGATCAGTCTGACAATGGACACTCGCACAAAGGATGCGGTCTGCCGACGCCATTCGGGAGCTCTCTTGCTCTTGGTTGGACATTTGGAGGGAGGAACCGCTGGCTCCCACCTGCTAGGCTCGTTTGGTCGCTCGGCTGCCGCCACTGATGAGATATTGAATGATCTCCCGTCACATCTCATTTCGAGATGTGGATTGACCTCTTTAGCTACGGCAGTGACGCTGGCCTGGGGTTCGTTGGAAGTTTGCTTTTGCTGCTGCTCAGCGTCAGTTTGCCCGATGCACCCCGCTCCCATCTGCAGCTAACAGAGACATTGTCGTCCTGACAAACGGGTACAGTTTTCGCTATTTGCTTGGCACTTTGCTTTTGTTGGATTGCTCTGCTCCTGCAAGTGTCGTGGATGGATAGCTAGCTATCTGCGGTGCGGGTGATGATCAGAGCCGGTTCATGAGCTACCTGCCTACCTTGCTCTTCCCCTCCTCCGCCGTCAAGCTCTACATGATGACCTGCTATTGGTTTTGCCCAAAGAAGAAGCAATTCATCTCTTGTCCACTTCTCTCGCGGTAGTCTACCCACCTATCCCACTTTCCCACCTCCCGCTCATCATTCCGCGTTGCTCGAGTCTTGGCTGTCTCGTGGTCCAAGAGGCGGAATGTCCCTGGAGAGACAGACGGGGGGACATTTAACAAAGCTGAACGCTCTCCTACATTCCTGGCAAACAGTCCGCTCCCACATCTCCACGCCTCTTGTCGTCCCGTCCCGCAGACCACAAAACCTAAGAGCCAGTCCGTCTCTTTGTCCCTCCCTTCAAACACGTTTTGCAGCGTCTCCCGTGTTTGTGTGTATCGTCGCACAGCAGCCCAGACGGGACACGGGGCGAGACATAACACAACAACAGGTAGACATTTGACCTTTGACTGTCATAAAACATGTCTTCACCCCCAGCCAGCAGCAGCAGTCCCAGCGCGGCCGCTGCCGCAGCTGCCGAGGCGCCGCCGAGCGCGAACCTCGACGCCCTGGGCATCTTCTGGATCGTCTACGCGCTGACCTGGACGTGCTTCCTGGCCGCGGGCATGGTCTTCCTGCTGCGCCGGCGGGACATGCCCATGCTGCGCATCCGCGGCCTGCCGCTGTCCTTCGCCGCCGTGGCGCTGCTGCACTGCTACTGGGGCGCCGGGCAGACGGCGTACGTCTACGGCTCGCTCATGTCGTCCAAGATCGAGTACTGGGTCATGGGCATCTGGCTGCCGTTCGGCATCGCGCTGTTCCACGCGTCCAACAGCCGCTTCCTGTACGTGGCGTCGGTGCAGCGGCGGTTCGTCTCCGGGCAGAGGCCCGGGTCGCCGACCTCGGTGGCTACGAGGTGGCCTGCGCGGAGGAGGGGCGTCGTCGGGTGGTATAAGAGTATGGATTATTCGGGGAGGATGTTGACGCTGGTAGGGATTGGGATGGTGTTTCAGGTGAGGCTTTGCAAATTTGTTTTGAGTGAGGAAGGCTTGCTAATCTGTTGCGGTTCAGCTGATTTTGACTACGTTCATGTATCTCATCTCGCGAAAGTTTCATAGCAGCTTCGGTATCCCGGGCACGGAGCTGGACCCCAGCCTTACGCCGGCCGAGGCGAACGTGGCTATGAAGCATGGCTGGGAGTGGTGAGTCGCTCATGATCAAGACTCAATGTGAGCTAATGCTGACCAGTGTTATAGGTGGCACTCTATCTTCTGGCAGGTGCTGTGGGCTTGGATCGTGGCCCCGATTATTCTCTGGAAGTCGCGAAACATCCATGACACTCAAGGCTGGAGACTTCAGACCATTGTCTGCTGCCTGGCGAGGTTAGTCATCCTCCTTTCAGATGAACTTTTCATATGTCACGAGATCAAGTGCTAACATGAGCTTCAACAGTCTCCCTGCTACTCCCATGTGGCTCATCGCGCTCTACGTGCCGGCCATGGCGCCCGTCAACAAGTACTGGGTGCCGCCGCAGTGGATCGCCACCTCGATCCTCATCATCGAGATCTTCACCGTCTTCCTGCCCTGCTGGCAGGTGATGCGCCACCAGACGCTGCGGCGCGAGACCCTCGACTCGATCGCGCAGTGGGAGTCCAACAAGCCCGGGTCGCGCAAGCGGCTCGGCTCCGTCACCACGGGGTCCACCTCGTCCGCGGGCGGCGGGCGCAAGTCGTCCATCCGCACGGCGGGCTCGGGCGAGTCCATCCTGACCATGAGCGCGCTCGAGCACGTGCTCGAGCGCAACCCGGCGCCGCTGCAGCAGTTCGCCGCCCTGCGCGACTTCTCGGGCGAGAACATTGCGTTCCTGCTCAGCGTGGCCGGGTGGAAGTCGGACGGCATTGCCGCGGCGGCCAGGAGGGGCAGCAAGGGCGATGCGGAGGCGGAGCAGGTGTCGGCGCGGGAGCGGTTCAACAGCGCGCTGCGGATCTACGTCGGGTTCGTGAGCGCGCGGCAGGCCGAGTTCCAGGTCAACCTGTCGTCGGCGGACCAGAAGCACCTGGACTCTGTGTTTGGCGAGGCGGCGCGCGTGCTGTACGGGGACATGGTCGCGGCCGAGGAGGAGGTGGACCCGGCGACGCCGTTTGAGATGGTGTCCGTGCGGCGGCCTCCTCCGGCGGGGGTGCCGTCGGATGCGGGCTCGGAGAAGGGTATTATGGGGGAGGCGACAGCGACAACGACGACGACGACGACGGCGGATGACCTGACGGCCATTGCGGATCGGGCGTTCTACTGGGGGGATATCCCGGCCGGGTTTGGCGAGGGCGTGTTTGACGATGCCGAGGCGAGCATCAAGTACCTCGTGCTGACCAACACGTGGCCCAAGTTCGTCAAGGACTGCCGGCGGGCGTCGATGGACTCGCTCGAGAGTCTTGAGTCGGGGACGTCGTCTTTTGGCATGAGCTTCCGGAAGGAGAGCAGGTAAGGAGTTATCATGTTCACAAGTAGATACTCGTTGTAATGGAGGAACAAGGGACTAAAAAAAGCCTTTCCTTTATCTGTCGGATATTTTTCTTCATGTCGATACTTTAATACCAGCAAAGAAGATAGGATGAAATGACGGATTAACCGGTCTCTCAGGGTCATAACATCATCGCGCCTTTATGAATTCAACGTGCCGGACATCCGATTCGGTAGGGAAAGAGGGAGAGTAAGCGCCCAGCCTACTTGTGGTTTCAATGTTGCCATAGCCAGGCCACGATAGAACTCAATCATGTTTCAAGCATGCATGCTCCAGAGTATGCGGCACTTCCACACCCCTTCACAGCGCGAGCGAGCTCACCAAGCTGCCGTCAATCGCCAGCGCACCTCTCCACGTGGGCCAGCCGCCCTCTAATAATTGCTGCACATTGTCTACTCTAGACGTGGATGGCGAGGACGGGAGTGGCTGCTGCTACCCCAGACAGTGGTCATTCATCGGTTTCTTTGATGGGATCAGCCGCCCTTGTGGAATGTGTGTGGTGTAGAATCCTCTGCATGCGTAGCTGGATGAGTCGAGCGTTGCGATTGCACCAGATTTTAGCATGTGACGCCAGTGCTCGAACCAAAAGAGGGAAAAGTCGGGGCTGACCCAGGCGTGTTCCAGGGTGCTGCCTTCTGCTTATCGCCCTCATAAGCACTGATAAGCCCTGAAAACACCCACTGACCCACCAATGGATTACGGGGCGGCCAGTCATCGGGCACTCCATTAGCGGTCTACAGGGTCCCGTGGGCTCTTACTCGTCACTGCCCTGGTCTTTTCAGCGAGAGATTCCCCACAAGGCCAGCGCTGGAGTCGCCGTCTCGGACGCCAGTCATTCGCATTCGCTCATCGCTGCTCATCATCACAAGGTTTGGCACAAACGACACCGGCACGAACAAGAGCGAAAAGGAAGGGAGCTTCTGTCCTTGATGCAACCTTGTCCTCCTAACCTAGCACCGCGATGCATTATTCCTCCTTTCTCTGACCTCTGTGCCCTTCTTCCCCCCCTCTGAACCTCCACCCGGACCTCCCGCGGGCTCCGGCTCTCCGAAGATAGGCAGCTGCACACCTTCAGAAACCGCTGCCACCATCTCGCTCGCCCTCTGCATCACCGGATCTACCGATCATCCAGCCTCCCGTCTGCTGGTGGTCTGATACTCCGGTAACTATCCTCATGGGTCCGCGAGGGTCTGGATGAGGCCAACACTGATATTTTTGATGCATCTGGGATAGACCGCTCCTCGGGGCCCGGAAGAGACGAGGTTAGCTCGCTGTCCGCCCTCTCCGCCTAGGCTCGGACCACAGTCGACTATCCGATCCGAACCTACCTGCCTCCCTCGTCGCACCACTCGCTAGTACGGTCGTCGATATATTGCACCCAGCTGGTCCTTCACTCCGACGGACCACTCTGCCATACGCAACGACCATGTCGTCAGCACACCCAAGCCCGGCGCGCACGGCTCAAAGCCCGCCTCCAAACCGCCATGCTGCCCTCTCCGACGACGAGCCCCGCCGACGCGTGTCTAAGAAGCTGCAGAAGCGGAGGACGGGCCATACCCCCACGATGGAGCTCCCCGAGAGGTTAAAGGAGTCGACCGACGGCGCCGACGATGAGGAGGACGTGCGCGTCCCTACCCAGGGCGCCGGCATGCCGATGAACATGAACCAGAGCATATTCGGCCTCATTGCCGCTGCCGGCTCCAAGGTTGACTTCAACGACCGCTTCGAGAGCCAATCCAGCGACGAGGACGAGGACTCGTCCGTCAGCCACTCGAGCAAGGGCGGCCGGGATGGCGACCTGGCGCAGACGACGATCCTGTCCAAGAAGGAAGGCAGCAAGCGCGATGCACACAAGCGGAAGCTGTCCGGCCACAGACTGCTGCATTCACTACCCTCGCTCACGACCAAGCTCTCCCTCAAGCACAAGAAGTCCTCCAAGCCGAAAACTTCCCAGATCCTCGAGGAGAGTGCAGAGTCCGGCGACTCCTCGCCCCATCCCGGCACCTCCCTGTCGCAAGAGCTCAGCCGAGGCGAGGGTCGCCTGCCTCCTGTCATGAGCAGGATGCTCGAGGCCAAGGCCGAGATGGCGTCCCGGCCTAGCTTCGATCTTGAACGCGCGTCGATGGACCTCGGCGGCGGAAGCACGGGCCCGAGCCCGCTGGCCCGGAGGCTGAAGGACATCTTCCGCTTCGACGAGCCCGAGGAGGTCATCGAGGAGTACCCCTGCTGGCTACTGCAGAGTGTTCTATTGCAGGGCTACATGTACATCACATCCAAGCATATCTGCTTCTATGCCTACCTCGCCAAGAAGGCGGTACGTATCTCATCTCATACTTCACAGGCAGTGGGTGATCTTTGTACTGACTGCATGTAGCACGAGGTCGCCAAGTCCGGATACCTCTCAAAATCTGGCAAGCACAACCCGGCCTACAACCGCTACTGGTTCCGACTCAAGGGCGACGTCCTCGCCTACTACCGCGATCCCTCAAATCTCTACTTCCCCAGCGGCCAGATTGACCTGAGATACGGCATATCCGCCAGCATCGTCGACAAGGACAAGGATGGCATGCACTTCAACGTCGTCACACACCACCGCACATACCACTTCAGGGCCGACAGCGCGCCCAGCGCCAAGGAATGGGTCAAGAGTCTGCAGCGCGTCATCTTCCGCTCCCACAACGAGGGCGACAGTATCAAGATCTCGCTGCCCATCCAAAACGTGATCGATGTCGAGGAGGCGCAGATGATTGACTTTGCCGACACCTGCAAGGTCCGGGTCATTGACAACGACGAGACATATGCTATCGACGAGTACTTCTTTTCCTTCTTTGACCACGGTGCCGAGGCAGTCAACGTTCTGAAGATCTTGGTCGACGATGCCGCGCAACAGGCGCATCAGGAACGAGGAGGAGCAGTCCCACCTATCGCCGAAGAGGAGTATGATGTCAACGACCAGGCTTCTTCCAAGAAGAGCTCGCCCAACGCCAGCAAGGACCGCTTGACGCCGCTCAAGATAGGAAACACGAAGCTCAATGACTCGGTCCGGGCGACATTGTCTCCGTTGTCACCAGCCAGCCCTCGTAGCGCGAGCCCTCGGCCTAGCGGTGAGATGAGCCGAAGCAGCTTCGACGCATTCCGTCCCTTTGGTCGCAGGAGTGTCGAGGTTGGACGGGCGCTGCGCGAAGATTCTCCCCGCCGAAGCTTTAGCGACAGTAGGAGGTCCTTGAGCAGGAATCGCTTGGGCGACAGGACCCCGACAGAGAAGCACGGTTCGTCTGATTCGTATGTCCAGTCTCTCGAGGAGCCCAGCCAGGCGTCATTGTCGGCCCTCGTGGCATCTTCGAGCGAGGACCCCACGGCCAGTCAGATCTTGAGGGGGAGCGACGTGTTTCACCGGCCCACTGTCCAGCGTTCGGCGTCTGCCTCTCGCAGGCGGGAGCAGGATCCTGTTCTCGGCAGCGAAGCCCACAAGCCACGTTCCCCCAGGCTCCAACCTTACCGGCCGAAGCATGCCGCTACCACCGGCTCGGTGGCCGACCACCCTGGTGAGCTTGGTGACATGCAGACGCCCACCACGCCCACCCTTCAAAATCTTGCCAAGATGGGCTCCTACCCCCTGCAGCGGGCAGGGCTCTATGCCGGCTGGCTCAACAAGCAGTCGCGCCGCATGAGCAATTTGCTGGCAACCGAGTCGATGGGCTATGTAGAAAAGGTCTCGGGCATGTGGAAAGGCGGCAAACGACACTACGACGAGCCTGCCGGCCTGCGCACCGACGACGAGCTGGACGACGAGGAGAACGACAAGGTCGCTACCTCCATGGAGCGCTTCCGCGCGCACTTTGCCCTGCCGGAGTCTGAGAGGCTGCAGGCGACGTACTTTGGGTTCTTGATGAGGGTGTTGCCGCTCTACGGCAAGATCTACATCAGCGATCGGTCCTTTTGCTTCCGCAGCCTGCTCCCCGGGACGAGGACGAAGCTCATTCTTCCGCTGAAGGATATCGAGAATGTGGACAAGGAGAAAGGCTTCCGGTTCGGGTACTCTGGTCTCGTCGTTGTCATCCGTGGGCACGAGGAGCTCTTCTTTGAGTTCAATCAGGCTGAAGCACGGGATGACTGTGCGATTACTCTGTTGCAGAATCTGGAAGCTGTGCGGTATCTTCGAGAGTCGGGCATTCTTGGACAAGAGGAGAAAGAGGACGCCGAAGAGGCTATCGCCGAGCGGGATGCCTTGCAAGAGGCTCGAAAGGTGGAGTATCCGGATCACGAGGTTAAGTTGCCCCGTGACACATCCGGCGTCTGCGCCGACTCGCCGACAATCCTCTTCGATGACCCCAAGGCTTCATTCCTCAACTTCAAGCCCACCGAGCCTCTGCGCATCACCTGTCTGACTATCGGCTCGAGAGGAGATGTGCAGCCCTACATTGCGCTCTGCAAGGGTCTGCTAGCGGAGGGCCACAAAGTGCGCATTGCTACGCACGCCGAGTTTGAGGACTGGATCCGTGGACATGGCATCGACTTTCGCTGCGTGGAGGGTGACCCCGGCGAGCTGATGAAGCTGTGCATCGAGAACGGCACGTTTACGCTGCAGTTCCTGAAGGAGGCCAACTCCAAGATGCGCAGCTGGCTCGACGAGCTGCTCACGTCGGCCTGGACGGCCTGCCAGGACTCGGACCTGCTCGTCGAGTCGCCCTCGGCCATGGCGGGCATCCACATCGCCGAGGCGCTGCAGATCCCCTACTTCCGCGCCTTCACCATGCCCTGGACGCGCACGCGCGCCTACCCGCACGCCTTTGTGACGCCCGAGCACAAGATGGGCGGCGCCTACAACTACGTCACCTACGTCATGTTTGACAACGTCTTCTGGAAGGCGACGGCGCACCAGATCAACCGCTGGCGCAACAAGACGCTCGGCCTGCCCAACACCAACATGGAGAAGATGCAGCCCAACAAGGTGCCCTTCCTGTACAACTTTTCGCCCTACGTGGTCCCGCCGCCGTTGGATTTCAGCGACTGGATCCGGGTGACTGGGTACTGGTTCCTGGACGAGGGGACGGGCGCCGTCACCGGTGGTAGTTCGAAGGATGGTGGTGGTGGTGGGGATAGGGATGAGGGTGAAGGCAACGGCGAGAAGACGGCCGTGACACCGCCGCCAACGACGACGACCACGAAACCCGCTTGGATGCCGCCTGCGGACCTGACGGCGTTTATCGACAAGGCGAGGCAGGACGACAAGAAGATTGTCTACGTCGGCTTCGGGTCCATCCTCGTGCCGGACCCGGCCAAGATGACGCAGGAGGTCATCGACGCCGTCCTCAAGGCCGACGTGCGCTGCATCCTATCCAAGGGGTGGTCGGACCGCATCGTCACGGCCAAGGAGAAGGAGAAGGCGGCGCAGGGGGACCCCGCCGCCGCGGCGGCCAACGACGCGAGCAAGCCCGAGGTGCCCCTCCCGCCCGAGATCTTCCAGATCAAGTCGGCGCCGCACGACTGGCTGTTCGCGCAGATCGACGCCGCGGCGCACCACGGCGGGTCCGGGACGACGGGCGCGTCGCTGCGCGCGGGCGTGCCGACTATCATCCGGCCCTTCTTCGGGGACCAGTTCTTCTTCGGCGCGCGGGTCGAGGACCTGGGCGTCGGAATATGCCTGCGCAAGTGGGGCGCCAATTCCTTCGCGCGGGCGTTGTGGGAGGCGACGCACAGCGAGAGGATGATTGTCAAGGCGAGGGTGCTAGGGGAGCAGATTCGCAAGGTATGTCTCTTTTTTTCTCTCGCCGGATGAGGGGAGCGGGGGCGGGCCTTGATTTGCTGACCAAAAACGTTGGGTGTGTAGGAAAACGGCGTCGACACGGCGATCCAGTGCATCTACCGCGACCTCGAGTACGCCAAGTCGCTGGTCAAGGCCAAGGCGAGCAAGAACGCGGCGCACCAGCAGCGCGTGGCGTCGGCGGCTGGCGGTGCCGGCGGTGGTGGTGGTGCCCTCGCGTCGGCGAGTAGCGACGCCACGGACGCGGACGACGAGGACGACGACGTGACGGAGGAGAGCTGGACGTTTGTGGGCGCCGGGGCTGGCGGCTTTGGCAGAGTGGGAGCGGCGGCAGAGGCGGGGGATGCTAATAGCACGGATGCGGACTCGCTCATGGGGATGAGGCAGAGCGTTATACTCTCGCCTGAGGGGGCTGGTGCGGATGGTGGGCACGGGCAGGTCCTCGGGAGCAGGGCTTTGAAGACGGGGTTGTGAGAATTGGGTTGCTTTTGACCCTTTTTTGCGTTATGGAGCTAGCTGGGTTTACGTTGGTTTTCCTTGTTTTAGATGGGCGTAATACATGCACCGGCACGGCATACAGGGCAGAGCACAGCAGAGCAGAGCGCAAACGTTTTGAACGAAATTGGGGATGACTGGGATGGGATGGGATGGGATGGGATGGGATGGGGATGGGATATGGGTATTGGGAGTTTTTGCTTGGGATTCTGGTTATAATGGATTGCCCAGACGAAACGGGATAGGGCGAGGCTTCATGGACTTTACTTCCCCTTGGTAATTACCTAGAACGCTGACAGCGTGGCAGAGCAGAAGAGGAGGCCCTGCGAGGATTAGATTGTGTATGGGTCTGGGTCTAGAGGACCTGGTGGAGAAGAGACTACTAGACTGCTGGGGAGAGAGGCGTGTATAGGTTTAGACTGTAGAGAAATAGCAGAATATTCTTTGCGGAGGGGTTGATCTTTGGGTGATTCAACTGCTGGCTTCTGCAAATAGATGCCTGCCATTTATTATGTATGCCCTGCGTAGTTCTAGTGGTTCTTATGACGCTCGGCTGTGTGTACTCAGAGAAGTCGGTAACCGTCATATATCACTGCGTAAATCCTGCATTAGCCAAGTACATGGATGCGTGCTACTGCGGAACAACACCAAGGCATGTCACAACTACAATTGAAGTTGAGCAAGAGACAAACCGAACAGCTTCTCTCGTACTCACCTTCCAACCCTCTCCGGACGCCGCTGCCGATCCACATCGCCTCGTTGAGCCACCGGTACCGCTCGTCCCCGGTCTCGAACTTGACAAAGATCCGGAACCGGTACTCGTCGGCCGAGACCTTGTCCCCCTCGACGGGGTCGAGCAGGCGGGTCAGGACGTCGGGCGGACCCGTGCGCCACCCCTCGGTGCGGACCATGATGTGCGCCGCGCGGTCCGCGTCCGACGTGGCGATGAGGTAGCGCGTGTCGACGAAGGTGGCTTTGGTGTCCGTCAGGAGCTGGGCGTCTTGGCCGCCGGGCTTTTTTGGGAGTCTGTTTTCAGTATCCAAGAGCAAGGCAGCAGCTCTCTTTTTTCCAAAGATATATATGGAGAGGAGTGGCTACGTACGACGAGCGTGCCCTTCCCCCACGTCGCGCTCCATTCTCCGCTGCGGATGCCGATCCAGTTGCGCTCGCCCCAGGGGGACTTGCCGAGGGCGATCTTGCGGTCGAGCTGGGCCTGCAGGCGGAAGTCGTGGACGATGCGCGGGATGGGGAGCGAGATGGTCTGGCCCAGGGCGCCCGGGGTGAAGCCGGATGTTATCTTGTCGGCTTCCTCCGGGGTGCCTTGCGGGTCGTGCTGTTGGTGGGGCATTTTGGGAATCTGCTGTGAGTGAAGGAAGGGGGGGGGGAGGTTGGTTGATGATAGCGATAGGATCTCTGCGCTGGGCTATCCCAGGCTTTGTTATGTGCAGAAGACCGAGTAATGCTGTCGACAATGTCCAAGGTGATGTCGACAATGTCCAAGGTGATGACGAGGAGACTTCGGGGAGTCCATTGCCATCCCCCGCACAGTCGGCCATAGTCCGACATCATGTGGGGCCGAATCTGCCACAAGCGTGGTTAGGTTTTCGGCAATTGGGGTCCGGGTTTGTGGGTATTCTTCCGTGTTCCGGCAGGTGGCTTCTCCGGGTCGGCGGTGCGTGTCACGAATGCATTGAAAGGACGATCCGTACGTGGCTGTAGTACTACGAGCGGTTCTTGCATGAAATGCATGGCAGTGTCACATCCGTAAAGTATGTTTCGCCACTTGTGCAGAATGCTGTCGTTCCCTACACTATTCTTTCACAAGATGCCTAATTGGCTCCCTATCTTTTGAACCTGACTCATTGAGAAATCATCTGGAGAGCACCATTGGCCTCTCCCGACTCAAGCAAGGCTTGTATCACGAGCAGATCCCTCAAAGCCTCTTGAGGGGACTGCCGGGCGTCCAAGGCACCGTGGGCGATGCCTTCTCTAAACGCTTTGATCTCGGCACCTACGCCCGGGTCCATACCACTCCGCAGCGACTCCTCTACCTTTGTTCCGTCTGCGCCCTTCCTGATCACCTTGGTCACCATGGACGAATAGTTGACGCTTCCGGTCGTCGTCACCACCTCGATGTCGTACTTGTGGCCGAGCTCCGCGCCCTAGGAGAGGTAGAAGGTCCCGTGGGCACCGCCGCCGGTAGACATGATTGCGTGTACTGTATCAACTGGGGGCAAGTATTTCTGCAGCTGGGTCGTAAACGCCGACAGCTGGGCGATGTTCTCACCGGCAGCGCCGAGGAGCGACCGCAAGACTGCCACGAGGTGGATTGCTGCTTCCAGAATCATCCCGCCTTGGTGCTTCGGGTCTTTGCGCCCTAGAATCTCGCATTAGCGGTGCACTTTGCAGGGTCCTCCGATATTGAGGAAGAGTAAGCCACATACAGTCAATAGCGAAATACTGGAGGCCCTCGGGGAGTAGCATCGCCCAGTCGAGGCGGAACGTCACGAGCTTCCCGCCCAGCTCTCTGACCTTCTCCGTCGTCCTGACGACGTTCTCGTCAAACCGGTAGTTTTCGGCGACGCCCCAGAGCGGCCGCGGCGATGGCAGCTTCGAGTGGAACTTGATGAGTTCTCTGGCCTGCGCGACGTCGGGCGCGATGGGTTTCTCGCTCAGCACGTGCTTGCCCGCCTTGAGCGCCTTGCGGACAAAGTCTGGGATCTGCAGGATGGGTACGCAGATCACGACGGCGGCGATGTCGGCGCGGGCTAGTAGGTCGTCCACGGATCAGCCGGGCTCCTCGGGCGTGTCAAAGTATGTCTGGACGCCGCCTTCGTCCGCGAGTGCGACGAGGGCGTCTGCGCTCTTCTGGGTGCGGGAGTAGATCGCCTTGAGATCAAAAGAGGAGGTGTCCTGGATGGCGGGGAGGTGTTCTTCTCTGCGGTCAGCAGTGTTCTTGACTGGGGGAGCACTAGGGATTTCCCAGACCTTCGCGGGCAAACATGCCGGCGCCGAGGATTGCGATGCCAATCATGATGAGGTTTCAGCGTTTGCTGGACACAACGCTGGAGATATTGCTATGAAGAGGATAAGATGTATTGGAAGCGCATGCCTTTTCAGTATGATTTGTGAACCGAACCCCCAAGTTGCAGGAATTTTCGCGGAGGATTAACCTACCTTTCTTGATTGTAAACCTATGCACATAGACAACTCCCGTTCCCTCGGTCCCCGAGAAAAGCCGACTGTTGTGGATAAGCACTAGATTGATATCTTCAATCGAATTGCCAGACTCGCTTTGCTTTTCTTTTGACGCCGCATGCGACTGTAGAGCAAGCTTAGGTTTCAGCCAAGAAACAATGCCAGCCAATTGTTCCGGCGATAAGTGATGAATAGAAAGGCATCTATATATATTAAGGGAAAAGTTCATCTGGCTCGTCCAGAGGAACTCTGCTCCCTTATATCTACCTATCGAACAAAGAGAGTGTATCTAGGTCGCCGACCTTTGTCCCTGGATCCCGGATCCGGACTATCAACTACAAAGAACGTACAGAGTGTAGATTCTAACCAACAATAAGCGCTACACTTCAACAAAATATCGCAGGCTGTGTCGTCAAAGCGCCTTCCGAAAGTAAGCAAGCATATCGAGGGAGCTGCACTGAGATATTCCGTGCTTGTTCCAGGGCTATCGGTGCGGACTGTATCTGTCCTGTCTATCTAGCATACTCCTAATAGCATCTTGTTACTCCGATATCCCAGCTTCGCTCTCAATCTGTAATCAGATACTTTATCACCCCACGAGCTTAAGTTGCGCTCATTCCGTGAGACGATCGATTCCACGGTTTCCGGTCTTCGCGCCGCCTCTGATTTTGTCTTGTAGTGCCCTTGCCATGGCCATGTACTGCTCCTCGTCAAAGTATTTTGTGAGTGCTTCATTCCTCAATAGCAACTGCGACCAGCTGTAGAACTTTGGCGCCGTTCTCTGGAGCTCATCGAGATACTTGCGCGGGGTGAAAGACTGCATTTGGATGAGCGTGGGAGCTATAAGGACCTGATTACGGTCAGCACCTGTTGTCAAACACTACATATTCTAATTGCTTCTATTCTTCGAAGGAACGGTGCTGTGAAGAGCACAGGATATCTCACCTCAGCCAGAGTCAACGTCTCGCTGCCAGCAAAGTAAGGCCTCGCATCCGCTAGTAACGGCTGAACCTCTTTCACAATCCCCTCCATCGCGCTCTCCACGAACGGCACACCCGCCTCGTCTGACACTTGCATCCAACCTTTGCTGAGCGGCTCCCAGACGTAGAGCGACCACGTGCTCTCGAGAAAGGCAATCCGATGCCGCAGGAGAGCAGCTCCGGATGCATTCGAGGGCGCGGCCAGGGGGCCCGGGTGCGAGTCGGCGAGAAACCACACGATAGGTGCCGACTCGCACAGGATACTGCCGTTGTACTCGAGTGTCGGCGTTTGCCCGCGCGGGTTGACTCGGAGGTAGTCGGAAGATCTGGGTTTGCCGAGGTCGATATCCTCGTTCGTGTACGGTAAACCGAGCTGGTCAAGAACGATCTTGACCCTGTGCGAGCCTACTGGAGGTCTCAGAACCTACGTACTTGTTTCTTGCGATGTGCTCATGATGAGAGGTCATACCCGGGCAGATGATGCTGCTATAAAGCTTGATCGTGGGCGCAACTGTGGATGCCATTCTGCTTGGGTTCATTACTGTGTTAGCTACACTTCAAACGCTCCTGTATTTTGTTAGGAAAGAAGATGGCTTTGGATAAGTGTCGTTTGAAAGCTCATCAAATGGACAGCTAGGACGACGGAGCAAGTGTCAGATCTTCTGTCCTCCTGCTTACTGATAGCTTGCGTATGATGCTGATCCTAGTGCATGCGCCACTTCGAGCGCTGATGAGGGGTCATTAACGTCGGACTCTGTTCGGACGTAAGCTTTCTGCTTTGGGATCATTGTATTATGATGCACATCTAGTGTCCGTTCAATTCAATCAACCAGCCGCCAGCAACCACACTGCCGCTACTCCTCAACACCCCCGCTCATGCATCATATTGGCCAGTGTGAAACTCCCACATAATAACAGCCGCATTACCACTCAACGCCATCATACTCGCGACCTTCATTAGCACACCCTTAATCTACATCAATGACCACCTTCAAGGCGCCATGCTTGGCCGCCTCGCCGAACGTCTCATAGGCCTTCTCCATCTCACTGAGCTTGAAGCCTGCACGGTTTCGATTAGCTAACGTCCTCAAAAGCAGCGGGAGCGATGGGTTCGGCTTACGGTGAGTGATAAGCTGCGAGGGCTTCACCTTGCCCGACTGAACCAGCTTCAGCAACATGGGCGTGGTCACAGTATCGACCAATCTCGTAGTAATGGCTGTGGTCATAGCATGTTAGCCCTTATGCGGTCTCACAAGCTCACCGGAAATAGACTCACCAATGTTCTTATCCCACAGGTTCTGTAGATGAAGGTCAACCTTGGTGCCGTGGACACCGACATTAGCCAATACACCGCCCGGAGCAAGCAGCTCCTGGCACAGCTCAAACGTCGCGGGAATGCCCACGGCTTCGATCACCGAGTCGCAGCCCTTGCCCTCCGTCAATCCCTTGACCTCCGCCACGGCATCCTGCTTGGCACTGTTGACAACGGCGGAGGCGCCCAGCTTCAGCGCAACCTCCAACCTCTTGGGATCCGTGTCGATGGCAATGATCTGAGACGGCGAGTACATCTGCGCCGTGATGATGGCCGCCAGGCCGATGGGTCCGGACCCGACCACCGCGACGGTGCCGCCGGGCTGCACCTTGCCGTTGATGACGCCGCACTCGAGGCCCGTGGGGAAGATGTCGCTCAGCATCACCAGCGACGCCTCGTCCGCGCCCTGCGGGATCGGGTACAGGCTCGAGTCGGCGTGCGGCACGCGCACGTACTCGGCCTGCGTGCCGTCGATGGTGTTGCCGAGGATCCAGCCGCCCGACGTGCAGTGGCTGTACATGCCCCGGCGGCAGTACTCGCAGCTCGCGCAGCTCGAGATGCACGAGATGAGCACGCGGTCGCCCTCCTTGAAGCGCGAGACGGACGCGCCGGCCGCGTGCACGACGCCGACGCCCTCGTGGCCCAGGATGCGGCCCGGCGTGCAGGTCGCGACGTCGCCCTTGCGGATGTGCAGGTCCGTGCCGCAGATGGTGGTCTTGGTGATCTTGATGATGGCGTCGGTCGGGGACGACACGGTAGGTGTGGGGGCCTCCTGCAGGGCGACCGTGTTGTCGCCCTTGTAGACGAGGGCCTTCATGGTGGAGAGATACCGGGCCGTGAGTGAGGGTACCGGTGTAGGTCTTACTTGGCGTAGAGGGGCCACTCGGAGTGTTCTGGATAGTGCAGGAAGTGATGATCGTGAAATCTGGTTCGCAATGGACCTGGCTGTGCGAGTGCTTGTGGCCATGTTTACACACTACGTCCCGCGTCTTATATCTGAGTCGTCTACGAGAAATGCCTCACCCCAGATCAGCCTGACAACACCACCATGTGGGCGGTCATCTAGTAGTTAAAGTTTCTCAGACCATAGTTTGGGCAACCCAATCATGAATGGAGAACCTGGCACTGATCAGATCATGGCATGAAGGAGCGGGAAAGCATCATATGATTTGCCAGGGCCCCAAAAGAGGGGCTGGAATGCTTTTTGCGGGGTTGCGGCTGACTCGAATGGTGAGATTTACGGCTTCCCGGCGTTAGAGCCAGGGGACAATACGTAAGGAATACTGGGACACCAAGCAGACCGCCCCCTAGCCAAGAGGCCACTAGCAGTGATCATATGCTTCGTCTCCCCATGTTGATCAGTGTTATCTGGCCTGTATCAAATATTCTGCCAAACTGCGCACGATTGTAAGTTAAGATTGAGGTTCATCAAGCCTCTATTGTACCTTTCAATGAATTATCATTATATATCCTAAAGGATGAGAGCATTACCAGGAAACAGAGGTTGGTTGGCTAACGAGGAAGTCCAACTTCTCAAGGGATCATATTAACTCGGTGCCAGGAAGGAAAGGTCTGGTAAGTCTAAGTTACCGTCAATGGCGCTTCGAGTACAAGGTCTCGTTGAACGGTGTATACTGGGCGCAGATTTGTTGAACCCATCAGCAAGCTGCGCAGCGAAGTACGCAAGACGTTGTAACAGTACGATATTTGTCCATTTCATTTGCGGATGATCTACAAACGTCCCCTGATCGTTTCTAGTATATCAGACAACAGTGAAATTTTCGCATAGAGTACCTCTGGAATTTGCTCCTGGCAGAGAATTTCATCCACAATCTCGTGGGCGCGATCGACATCGGACCTGTTGGCATCTCGGCGCTCCCTCAATTGTCTGTTCTCAGTTTCCGCTCGTAATCGTTGTTGTCTCAGGCGGTCGTAATTCCGCTGCGTGCGGTTCTGGCCCTGCGAATGCGATGCCGTGTCGTTCCGGCTATCATTTGCCCGCGCTTGACTGGGCATTGATGAACTGGACGTCGGTATGGTAGATGTATTCAACATATCCAAGGCCGGGTCCAGCGTTGAGCATGCATGAGTGTTGTCGTCCCAAATCGGCTCCAGAGGGGTGTACACTCCTAATGACTGAGCGGAGCCTTGATACAATGGCATAGAGAAGTCTTGTGAAAAGAGCGCGGCGGGCTCGCTTGGTGAGGATTGAGGGATGTTGAAGGGCGTCGAAGACGCTAAGAGATCTGCGCTACTGATACGTGTGTTTATCGTTAGAAAAGAAAACGGAATGTTTTGATGTTATTGGCATACTTGTGTGACCAGGCTGAAGTGCCTGGTGGTGCTGATAGACCACCTGAGTTGAAAACCGGATTGGTGAACGTTAGTGCCGGGATTGTGAGGATTATATCGGGATCAACATAATCTAGCAAGGGGTGTTGAGTTTCTGACCAGCATTTTCGATTTGCATTTGAAGATACTTACATGGAGAGAACTGGGTCTTCAGTTCCGAAAGTTCTCGATTATACTGATTCGGAATGAGGAGTTGGAAAAAGTGCCACCACTGTGCCTCTTCAGACTCAAACTGGTTGCCGCTTTCCAACTCCTTCTCATGTTGGGTGCTCATGAATCGCTCACTTGTAGGCTTTTCTCTCTCCACGCATTTCTCCTTCTCCTGATGACTCCTTTCCTGGGCTTTACTGTCGAAGGATACCCAGCATCGTGGACATCGAGTTGTCATCATATGTCGTCGATTGAAATGTTGTCTGCAACTGCATTAGAAATCGAACTACTATGTCGCGGATGCACTTACTTTAAGCGACTCATGTTCTTGCAACCGCCTTCGGGGTTGTTGTGTCTTTTTCTAAGACACCCCAGATGTTTCTCGTAGGCCTGATAAGGACAGGCAAACCGTGGGAGATTACTTGGTCGCTCACATGCAGAAGTGGCACACATGCGTCGTCTCTTTTGTCCTCTACCACCATCTTCGTTAGAATCCTCGTCGCGACTGCGGTCTCGGGAACGGTTGCTGTCAGGCTGCCCCGAAGATGTCCCGGTTTCTGGGTTGGCAAGTGGAGTACCGCCTGGAGCACTTGACGGATCGCGATTCGCTTGGCTACAACCAGTCTCATCCTCACCATCAGATAAGGAGGCATCTGAACCATCATTTTGACAGGTGATTTGGAGTCGTTTCGATAAAGAAACAATATCCACGCGCAACCTGGCGAACCCAACTTGCTCTAGGGCGGGATGCTCTGGGGCCTCACGTGATACAGGCACACTGGCCTGGGATAGCATGGCAGTATGATCCTCATCTCTGCCCTTGTCAGCTCGTGATGATGGGATGGCAGCAGTAGGTAGTGGTATCTGAGTCGAGGTATGGGGCAGGAACAGGGCTGAAGTTGCAGTTTCTCCAGGGAAGATGGCCGGAAGGTCATCTTGCGCAGGTCCCGGATCGTCAAGACTCAAAATGGAGGGATCTGGGTAATTCTGAGTCTTGCGGATTTCCGAATATCGTTCAATTTCCTGAGACCTCCTCCTCGTCATTTCCAACCTCGGGTTAGCATACGAGGCTGACAATTCTGGTGCATCGTCGTTCCTCTTTCGCTTCATTCCTTTCTCAGATAGCGTTGAGGCATAGCGTAGAGTGCCTATGATAGAAATCTTCCCATTAGAGCCTCCAGAGTAGGGCCCGCTAGAGGTCTTCATAAGAACATTCCCCATAGTGAGCTCGTCAGGTGCGAGATCTGGCAAAGAACCTCGTCTAGTACCACATGTAGATGCCTTCGAGCAACTGCTACTTTCGAGTTTGCGACAGAGCCTCTCGAACCTCCACATGGCATCCGCTGATGTCTTTGGCTGTACACGGTTGTCGTCGGCGTTGTTGATTATGCTGGGACAAATCGGCGGATCATTCCAAAAGGTATTAGACTGATGCATGAGCTGCACATCCATCATTGTGACTGGGCCGCCACCCTCGACAAAGTAGAGCTGATTGGACAAAGTGTTGTTTCGTGTCGAGTTGCCCAGTGGAACTTCCCTTAGAAAGTTCGCCGTGTCGAAGGACGTCGGTGGTACCTCTGGGGGTAGAGAGTCTGGACTAGTTGGTAGTACATCCTCGAGCCACCTTGTGATCCCAGCATCCCTTCCTAAGGCCGGTATGCTGGCGTCCGGCTCATCGATATATGGCCCGTGAATACTTTGATCTCGGGAACTGCTACTCATGAATCTGGCCTTGATCTTCATATCATTTAGTATCATTCAATATTCTGCCAGGAGGCTAGACTGGTCCCGATAAAGGATCTGCCTGTTATGTTTCGAGCGAAATCCTCACCTTTTCTTCAACACCCAATTGACTTTTAGACCCTGTGTTTGGCTCACAAGCAAAGCGGTCCCCAAAGGCGCTATCATCTGACGATAATTCCACGGATTGTAGGGGCGGAACGTCCGTCGATAAGGTAGCCAATCGTACCTCTTTCTCCGCCCGTTGCTTCTGCTCCGCGGTAGATCCAACATCGGAGCAAGGTGACCGAGGTGAACCAGAATCGGAGCAAGGTGGCTGAGATGGGGCAAGAGTTTCGCCCGTGAGATTTATAAAACGCTCGTCGAATAAGAAGCCGAGCTCCGGATCATGAAAGTCATGTGAGGTGACATCTTCATCAGACTGTGGGTTTCGAAAGTAAATGTCCCCGCTACCAAGGTTTGGTAGATCTTCAGCTTCCAAGGACAGCTTGTCGTGCGTAGGGTCTTGTTTTTGAGCCATACTTTGGACCTGAGGGTGGCTGTCATGTCTTCTGAGCTAAATGGCGAGGTCCGGTGCCCCATGGAAAGGATGTAGGAAATTCGAAAGCTGAAGAGGGGCTCACTTGCTCATCAACTACGTAAGCAAGCGAATGTGCCTTGGGCATCCATGCATTTGCACACTCAACACATCTTGTGTTTTCTAAGAGCCAGAGTCTGGATGCCATTGGTCAAAATTTGCACTGGCGACACTTCTTGAGCATCTGAAGCTTGGCGTGTGCCCGCCATGCGGCTGGAGCACCTACCCAGGAACTTTCTGGATTCGAATCAGCAGCTCCCATCAGCCTTCTGCGCTACCTGTGTTAAATGCTACAGCTGCGGGTAAACTGTCCGCATATTGGATCATCATATGCGATGTTTTAGTCACGATCCTCTCCGAAGATGCCATCCCTGACTCACATAATGTGGTAATTAGTACATTGTCTTATGGTAGAGCAATGTCCAAGATGTGTTTTATGCACACTTTGATGCCACAGAGATGTGACCACCAGGGACACATAATGTTATTGTTCATGCTGAACAATTTGAACAGTGTATTTGATATTCTAAGGGAGTCTCAGCATAAAAGGTTGTGTTGCTTCTCGAAAAAAACCAGGTCAAAATGAACAGCATTAAACCTTCTAACTCAATCACCTCGTGACCAATTCGTTCTTGACTTCAAGGTCCTCCTCCCTTTGGCTGACTACCAAGATGCCGACGACCAAGACAAACAGCGACAGGACTACATCGACGAAGGGTACCAAATCGAAGAAAATGGCTGCAAGGTACAGTACTGTGTAAAACAGGAGAGTCATCCACGTTCTAACTAATAATGGACCAAGAACGAAGCAACATGATGTGTCGAGCCTTTCTTGTGAAGCTGGTACGGAGAAGGGCTCTGATCCATCCCAAGTCACAGATCATATAGACTACCAGGGTTCGGACCAAATGTGTGGAGGAACCTACGACAGCTCCTTTGATATCTTGGGAACAGGTGCACAGTTTGATGATTATTATAAGAAATAATCCAAGCACCTCGGCTGGAGGCACGGCATATCGTTGGCTGGGATGATTGGGTTTGGCGGAGTTGAAATGGGAATGCGACGGATGAAATCGGTAGTCTTTGTTGTGGGAACTCCTCTGCGGGCATCTCGAATGTCGACCGATTTGATGCTACTTGTTACCTGCTAGACGCAACAGGCAAATACCGAAGGAGTCTTCACCATGCTCTCCCAGGTCGTATTCGATGTGTCTGAGCCGCAACCCGGCGGCGTATGCATTACTCAGAACGGATTACCCGACAGTAAGCACCAAATCCTCTGAACCGCTTACGGAATAGGTCGGGAGATGTGTAGAAATGACGTATTACAGACCAGTGAGATAATAGATGAGGGGCTTTTATTAAAACGTGTTCAAGACGTGTTCTTTTCGTAGCGACCCTTGATCCTGTCATCCTTTTGGATTTTGAGCTTTAGGATCAATTGACTACCGCAATGACCTCAACGCCAGGACAGAAGCCAAGTGAACCTAGCCCCCTAGGCCAAACTCGACCATGGCCTCAGCCCTCAAAGGCAGGCAAGGCTTCTTTTTCCATACCTGGGAAGGACCAAATTGCGGAGACGGCATACAAAATCTGGGGCAGCCTTGACTCAGGCAAGATCCCCCTCATTATCCTCCATGGTGGTCCCGGGATTCCTCCCCAGTATCTGCAGACGATATCGCTAGTCTCCATAGACTACGGTATTCCCGTCGTCCTCTACGACCAACTCGGCTGCGGCGATTCTACACACCTTCCAGAGCGCTTACATGACGACACGTTCTGGACTCCACAGCTTTTCATGGACGAGCTCGACAACCTGAAGAATGTGCTCGGTATCAAAGAATTTTACCTCTTCGGCCATAGCTGGGGTGGAATGCTGGCCGCTGAGTACGCTGTCGCTCAGTCCAAGGGTCTGCAGAAGCTCATAGTTGCCGACTCGATCACTAGCATGGATCGGTGGATCAAAGTGATAACCGATCTGCGATCACGGCTCCCGGAGGACGTCCAGGAGACACTTCGAAAGGGCGAGGAAGAGGGCAGGACGGACACCCCGGAGTACGAAGCGGCGGTGATGGTGTTTTACAAGCGCCATCTGTGCCGCATCGACCCGTTCCCTGAGGAGCTCATGGCGTCGATGGGCGCCCTGGAGGAAGACAACACGGTGTACGTGAGCATGTATGGAACCTCGGAAGTCGCCGTGACGGGGTGCCTGAAGTATTGGACTATCGAGAAGCGTCTCCACGAGATCACGCCAGAGACCGTGCCGGGCGGGATCTTGCTGTTGAACGGATACTACGACGAGGCGCAGGATGAGGCCATGGAAGGATTCTTCAGGCTGCCGACGGCTAGGGTGAAGTGGGTGCAATTTGCGCAGAGCAGCCACATGCCGCAGCTTGAAGAAACTGAGAAGTACATCAAGGTCTTGGGTTCGTTCCTGACTCAGGAATAATGTTGGAACGGGCAAAGTACTAGTCTTTCACGATCATAATTAATCTTGCATAGATAGGCTATTACAGGGATGCTTTCTTCACGTAATGTTGACTTTACTCGATACAAAAACTTTGATACCTGCTGAATAAAATGTAACATCTCCTATTTAGAAGGTACTTCGCTGGTAGCCAAGCAATGTCTGTCAGCACTAATTGGGATACTCATTCGTGACGCACATAACAGGCCGATACTCCGAGGCGATGTCCCGGCTAGAGCTTCCAGAGAATAATTCGGTACTTTCATCAGGTTGTTCGGTACTTTCACTTCTGCCTGCTCTGGACACGGCAGACCTCACAGCTCTCAACCCGCCAAAGGCGTCACCGCGACAATTCTAGCCCTCGGTGTTTCCGGCCTTGTGTGATTGACCCAACCATGTCTTGGTCACTGCATTCAGCAACTGACTTAGCTGTAGCCGCCGGCGCGCTCTGGTGCCTAGTCACTGTAGGCCATTATTTGTCTCTTCTCTGGGTATTCGTGAAGCCATCCGGCATTCGTCGATACCTAAAGACCCGCGATGGCAAGCCGGCATGGGCCCTTATTACCGGTGGAAGCGGCGGCATTGGAAAACAGCTCGCGCATGAGCTCGCGACCATCGGCTTCAACGTGGTCTTGCACGGCCGCAGCCAGCAGAAGCTCGACGTCGTCAAGGCGGACCTCGCGCGATCGCACCCCAATCGCCAGTTTCGCACCATCATCATCGACGCCTCGGAGGCTTTCGATGCGGGAGCAACATGCGGGTCGTGGCTTGCGTCACTTCAAGACATCAATCTCACGGTCCTCATCAACAATGCTGGCGGGGCCACCGACGCGACGATCGCTTCTCTCGAGCAACTGAAGACCGAGAAGCTGATTACAGACATCAGCGTCAACTCCGTGTTTCCGACCCTCTTGATACGGCAAGCTATTCCTCTATTGAACCAAAGCCCGGCCGGCCTAATCCTCAACATCGGCTCCCTCGCAGACCTGGGCATACCCCTGGGCGGGAGCTACCCCGCCGCCAAGGCGTACCTGTCCAAACTGACAGAAATGCTCAGCCGTGAGGCCCGGATAGCAGGGCACAACATCGAGGTTCTCTGCGTCAAAGTCGGCCAAGTCTGGGGAACCGGCCAGACCGTGACGGAAGCCCAAGATTTCTTTTCACCGGACGCCTCGACCATGGCTAAGGCGGTCATTCGAAGGGTGGGATGTGGACGTAGCATCGTCGTGGGCCACTGGAAGCACACGCTGCAGTTCGAGGTCATGCGGCTCTTCCCTAGTTTCTTGTTGGACTCTATACTTATACGCATTGTGACTGGGTGGGATATGGACAAGGAAAATAAGAAGACGAAAGGAGAGTAATACGCCTGTGCATTCGATGGTGATCAGGGTGAAAGACTGGAGTTCAAGCCTTCTGCAAGGGCGGCGAGAAGTGCTACAGAAATTGTCATAGTGTGCCTTTTCTCAAAACAAAGGATGATACTGGATTGAGGGCATGCTGTTCTTCAAATCCCGCACTTTGAAACCGTCAGGACCGTGTGAGCATTGACATAAAAGTGTTGTTTCTCCCTCAAGTGATAGTCAGAACAGTTGATGGGAGTTTATCAGGAGCTTCCTCAATGTTAACAATACGTATTCCTGCTTCCTAAAACCGATGGGCTTGATGGAGAGTTAAGTACTTCTGTTAGCATTCCGCCAAGTACTCTGACCGTCACTTGTTCCCGTTGCCAAGCCAGGATGTATGGTTCACTTTGTTCCCGGACAAATCAACTCCATGTGTTAATCCCTGTAGCCGCCCACCCCTGGAGGTGAACAATCATTAGACGAGATTGCGCTGCGCCTAGTGCTGACGACTTCTGCCTGTCAGACTGAGGTTAAAAATGCCACACGCAGGCTGACTTCTCCCGTAATTCTCAGCCCGCACAAGGCGTGCTTCGGGAGCGTGAAAACATGCGTTACACATTTTCCCTTCCTCGCATTGCGATATTGTTCGCGTCGGTCATTTGTGCACAGAAGACCAGCTCCAGCTCCAGTAGCGGAACAGTCCTCGCGCCACCCTTACCAACCCTCGTCGATCCCCTGATTCTGCCGCGCTTCGAGATCGATGTTGTCTTCCCGCGCAACGAGACCTACAATGCTTCTGCCTCCGAGGCTTTCCCCATCGCCTTCGTGGTGCAAAACTTCACGGAGATCGGGATACTAGGGAACTTCACGATCCTGTGGGACATCATGCCCTTCAGCTACGGTCGGGTGCCGGGCGGCATCGATTACGACGCCGGGACGTTCACCTTGCCAGCCGACCCGGGCGAGGGCCCCGTGGTCCTCGTCGACAGCACCAACGTGACCAAGTGGATCCGGCGCAAGGACCGTGACGAACGCTTCATGCTGTGGTGGCATGTTCACTGGAGCTCGCTGCGCAACTGCAGCAACTACGGGCCGCACACGGTCTTCAACGGCATCATGTTCGACGTCGAGACGCCCGATGAGGTCGAGTCCCGGCGGTTTCGGAACCAGAACGCCACGGCGATTGGCAAGCCGGCCGATGTAGCGCAGGCGCCCGAATGCCCTGCCGTTGGGTCGGTCGTGGAGGTCCGGCGCAACCTGACCGTGCCCGAGTGTCCCGTTGTGTTCTCCAACGGGGTCCCATACTGGCCGCCGACGGAAGTCAGCCCGGGTATGGGAAATCCGTGTGCGTGGAAGCTGGATCCGGCGGCTGCGAGTGGCATTATGAGCAGGGCAGCGAGCACGGCGTCGGCGCGGTTGCCGACGCCTACTACGAGCAAGGCGCCGCAGAAGACGAATGCTGCTCCTGGGAGCTGGGGTCGAAATGCCGGATGGGGAAACGCGGTTGCCGCCGCTTGCATAGTTGGATATGTGGGAGGAACATGAGTATGTTAATGCCGATCGAGTTACAAGTCCAACCTGGTCGAGCACACTGCTCATGCATGAGTATTCCGTGTCTTAGAATGCCGGCAGATGAGCAACTCTTGAGCATTGCCGGTGATGAGGGGTGATGGCAGGGCATTCTATCAGGGGCCGTTGGAGTGATGTTCGCGATCATATGCCATCTCAGATTCACGGATTCATAGTGAACTCATACAAGACCACCGGTTGGGCTTTAATCCCTTGCCCGGACAGTGAGCATATGTTTCTTACCTAGAAGAGAGATTCCCGGGATCTATTGACAAGAGATGGGGAGAAGGTGTCAAAGCGCACGGGAAACCCCTAATCCTCCACTTTGGCGAGTTGGGTTGATACGACCTGGTGCATACTAACGATCTCGGCCATATTTCTGACGTGACGAGACATGTCGATCGCGCCCGTTTCTGTAGCCTCTGGGCTCCTAGACACGTTTGATGGAACACTGCATGTTATACACTTGCCCAACTAGGTCTGTTATCTGTTGCGTCTGCAAAGGTTCAGGTCCGCCCGCTGGATTGAACGCAAGAGGAAGCTTTGATGCTGATCGGCTAAACTCCCCGCATTTCCCCAGACTCTTGCCTGCATGCGTGGCGCTCTCGACGACTTTGAATCTCTACAATAGGTCTGGCCTCCTGCACTTCGTGTCTACCGACCGATGACCCGGAAACTTGCAGGAGACTGCATGCTCGGCCGGTGATTTAATCAAAGTCGACAGCTCTGAACCCCTCTCCATCTCTTTCGACTTACTATTGCCGAATCATAGGATTGAGTTATATGATGCACGTCCTTCCATGCTCAGGAAATGGAAACAGACCAAGGCTATAAATGCGATGGACATCTCCCCAGTTTTTCCGATGACTACTGGGTCAGCTAATTCTCGGGTGATATAAGAGTCGATAGTGTTCTATCAGTACTAGAAGCTATTGCCGATCATGGTCGTCCTATCTGTCCTCCCCGTGCTCTGGGCGCTCCTTGCACAGTCAGTGTCTGCTGTCAACTTTCCATACGAAAGCATTCAGCTCACAGACGCTGATGTTGGCGGCTTTGCAGCAATTGACTTTGGTGATGCTTCAAACCCAACCGGGCCACTCGTTACTGGGGACGCAGAGTGTCGCCCTCTCCCAGGCCAAACCGGATGGCCTGCTCCAGAAGAATGGGCGCAGCTGAATACCTCTCTAGGAGGAGCTCTACTACAACCAACTCCTGCCGCCGCCGTATGCTACTCCGGAGAGCCCGAGTACAGTGCCGAGCGGTGCGAGTGGCTATTGACCAACGCATCAAGCACCCGGTTCTACGTCAATGATCCGCTCACTGTCCTAACGGCGTGGACTATGGGAGACACATGCCCTCCATTCCTGCCTGGCACAACCCCGCCTACCAATGGAGAATGTGAGATGGGAGGCTTCCCAGAATACGTCATCAATGCTACAACAACGAAGCACATTCAAATTGGGGTCAACTTTGCCAGAAACAAGGGCTTGAGGCTGATTGTCAAGTAAGTCGTTGGGCGAATAAAACAGCGCTAGCCTCGACTCCGAATCCTCTAGTATGCCAGCAACTAACCTGTGACTGACCAGAAATACGGGTCATGACTTCAATGGCCGATCAGCTGGCAAAGGTGCTCTCAGTATCTGGACGCACCATCTCAAAGACTTTGTCCACTTAGACCACTACAAAATATTAGACTACGAAGGCACAGCAGCGCTTGTTGGGTCTGGCCTCGAGGCTTTTGAACTGTATGCCGCCATGGACAAGTACAACATCACCATTGTCGCGCCAGGTGGCCAGACTGTCGGTGCTTATGGAGGCTGGATAGGTGGTGGAGGCCACTCGGTGCTGACTTCGGCTTTTGGAGTTGGTTCAGACCAAGTGCTGTCGATGCAAGTTGTCACCGCAGATGGCAGACTCGTAGAGGCGAGCCCATTGGTCAACACTGACTTGTACTATGCCATGCGCGGAGGCGGACCTGGTAAGGGTCCTAAAGAATTGATGGGAATAATATTCACTAACGACCTATCTCTATAGGCACCTATGGCATCGTGACCTCTGCGGTCGTCAAAACCTACCCATCCGTGCATATCACCAGGACAACTCTAGCCTTCAACTTCCTCAACAGCACGACCTACCCCAATGGTGGAGACACGAAGAATGGCTCGGTCGCTTTCGTCGATGATCTCGAGGTCTTCTGGAGAGGCATTAACGAGTTCTACTACTTTGGCAAGTTCATCGCCGATCGCGGCGGCATCACCTTCAATTACCTTACCCCGACCGGCACTAACCAGAACTACACCTTCACCTCCGCGTTTCAGCTACCCGGATACACCTCGGAGGACATGACTGCCTTCCTCCAACCCTTGTACGACCGCCTCCGCGACATCGGCATCCCGGCCCGGCTCAACAAGCCCATAGTTGACAAAAGGTGGGGCGGCGGCGGCACCGGCGACGTGCCCGGCGACACGCGCTTCTCGTCGCGCCTCTGGCCGCTGCACACCTGGCACAACAGGCCGCTCTTCGACAAAGGTATGGAGGCCGTGCGCGCGCTCGTCGAGGCCGGCTACGTCTTCCACACGGTGCACATGGAGCCCTCGGAGGAGGTCGCACGGCTCCCCGGCGGGATCGACAACGGCGTCAACCCGGCGTACCGCACGTGCTTCATGCACGCGATCATGTTTGACCGCATGCCGTGGCCGCGGGGCAGCCGGACGCCGGAGAACTTCAAGGCGCGGCACGCGCGGCTGAACCGCTACGTCGACGGGGTCCGCGAGGCGACGAGGGTCGGCGGCGGGGCGTACATCAACGAGGCGGACGTGCAGGAGCCGGACTGGCAGGAGAGCTTCTTCGGGAACAAGTATGAGAAGCTCATGGGCATCAAGAGGGAGCGCGATCCGTGGGGTTTATTCTGGGTGCCGACGACGCCTGGTAGTGAAAGGTGGGCTGTTCGGGATTCGGATGGGCTGCCGACGCAGAATGGGCCGCTGTGTCGGACTTGATGCCCGGCTTAAGAAGTTTCGGTTAGAACGGCAGAGTGTAATATGAAACTCAATGATCCTGATATAAGGAACCTTCTCGCCAGGCAATCCGTCATCTAAATCAAGACAATGGAAATACTTGTATTTCAGCTTAGCCACAAAAGGCTCGCACTGCCACTCTCCTCTCCGTCGTTTGAGTTTCGTTTTGACCAGCAATCGTAGAATGGGAGGCTCTTGGTGTGAAAATAACTCAACCAACCAGTTTCACGCCCAATGCGCAGCTGCATTAGTTACTTCAAGTGCGGGATTTTTGTTGTTTGGCAAGCTGGGGAAGGGGGCAGTGCGAAACATCAGGAGAGGATGGGTTTAGGCGCTCGCTGTGGGAGATAGTCGGCGCTTAGAACCAAACAGTCGGAGTCGACCATCAAGTCACCAAATTCGTGATTGGCGCGCGACAGCCCCTGCTTTCTCCACGTTTACGCAGGGACCTATCACACATAGAAGCACATGCTTTGATTATCGTTCGCCCATGTTGGTCACGCTGTGGGCGACACCGAGCGCTAATGGCGTGGTAAATAAGATAGCCATTCTCTACAACGTCAAAAAGGATTTCCCTGGAACCTCTCACAGAAAACTTCTCTCTTCTCCAAGAAATGCACTGAATTCAATAACCAGGCTGGGCGTTGGCGATTCTAGCTCATTTGCAAATCTACGTCAGGCCGATGACGCGACCCGCCAGCAAACGACTCGCCAAAGAGCTGGTGGAGTCCATCTCCGAAAGCCATGGCTACATTGGAGAGGACACCCTAAAGAAGATGGAACCGGGCGTGCGTTTCAAAGTTGAAGAAGCATTATTACGAAAAGATGAGTTGATTGGAGACAGTGTGGTCACGTATGCCAAAGCCTCCATCCCTTAATCTATACCGCTAACCTGAACTGCAGACTCGCAAAGAATCTGTACACTAGCAAGGCCCGATTTGTATTCGAGCTTATCCAAAATTGCGATGATAATCGATACACCAATGCAGCCGCACGCGAAGAAAGTCCTTATGTAGCTTTCGACGTTTATCCAGATCACATCGTGGTCGAATGCAACGAAGACGGGTTCACGAATGAGAATTTGAAAGCCATCTGTGCCGTTGGGAAGAGTTCCAAAAAGGGAGCGCAGGGTTACATTGGCGAAAAGGGCATTGGCTTCAAATCTGTGTTCATGGCAGCATGGAAGGTTCATATCCAGTCCGGAACATTGTCCTTCTCGTTTCGCCATAGAGAAGGCGAGTCAGGAATGGGGATGATCTCTCCTGTATGGGAGGACAAACAAGAGCAGCTGGAAGCCTCGCTGACAAGAATTACACTTCACCTCCATGACGCTGGTAATTCTGGAGACAAAGCGCGGGAAGCCATCAAGGAACAGTTCGAAGAGCTCCAAGAAACGTTCCTTTTATTTACCAAGAATCTAAGACAGATTCGAGTCAGTTTCTATGGGGCAGATGGAACACGCACGTCCGGAACAAACTACTCTATCGAGAAGTTGGACGATGGTGATGCACTTCTGCGAATATCCAAGACGGCGGGAGGACAATTGAAACAACGCAAGAAATACTTCCATGTCACCAGCTATCAAGCTAAAAATCTTGCCAAGAACGAAAATCGCACCTACTCCGAAGCCGAAGAGAATTCCCGCGCGTACTCGAGGGGCGAAATTGTCCTGGCCTTTCCGCTTACGGAGAACTCCAATCCTATTATCAAACCACAGGATATTTTCGCGTTCTTGCCCGTGCGCCGAGTAGGGTTTAACTTTCTCATCCAGGCCGACTTTGTCACCGATGCCAGCCGCCAAGACATTGTTCGAGACTCTATTCGCAATACCGGTCTGCTGGATGGAGTTGCCAAAGCATTTGTCAAGGCAGTCAAGCGAATGTGTGAACGGGACACCCTCAGGTACACTTGGATGCGGTTCCTACCGGACAAAAACGCCACCCACTGGGGCCAACTGTGGTCGATGCTGATTGGCAAGATTGCCAATAAGCTCAGCGATGCGCCTGTCGTCTACGGGAGGCGGGAGCCCGGTGCTAAACTTCTCTCAGACCTTTATCGCCTCCCTCCTGAATACAAGGACAGCAACGGGGAGCCTCTATTCGACGATGAAAACCTGGAGAAGATCATTTCGGGTCGTTATGCGGCAGCAGATCTGGACATGCTTGCACCTTATGGGCTCAACATGGCCGGTTTTGCAACCCTGTTTTCCTCGCTATCTCTCGATTTGCGGAGCCCACATTCGCGGATGAAATCCATCTCGACCTGCGACACCTGGCATACACAAGTCGCTAAACTTCTCCAAAAGCCATTCCTCAAAAAGATGACTGAAAACATGAGCCTTCTGCAGACGTTGGATATCCTGCCACTTCAAGATGGCTCCTGGACCAAGGTGTCTTCTGGACAAGTCTATTTTGCCAAGGTGGATGGCTTACAGATTCCACCGGATATTGACCTTCGACTTATCCGTAGTAGGATAACTAACAACGCCCGACTCACCCTGTTTGAACACCTCGGTGTAGAGGATGCCACGACCAGGCAGGTTCAAGAACGAATCCATGCGTTGTATAAGTCGAAGACACGGTCAACGATCACCCTTGCGGCCTCGAAGCGACATCTTCATTTTCTCTACTTGAGCGATACTCTCGACCTTGTTCTTGAGCGTCCCTCACACTGGTGCAAGGGTATTTTCGTTTATGCAAGCTGTGGTGGACTCTATAACGCTCGCAAGTCTGCAGTCTATCTTGCGAACGACCAGCCTTATGGGCCCCGGGAACTCTTTCGAAAGACTCTTCCAGGTCCATGCTCTGGCGATGGCGCACCCGGCTATCAGGATGCCATTTACCTTCACGAGGACTACTTTGTTGAACCACCAGTCCTTGCGGCCCACAAGCAGCTATGGGCGGACTGGCTTGTAGAAGAACTTTGTGTCAGGGACTATGTGTCGTGCCTCGTACCGGACTTACAAGGCCTTGGGAGGGCGGGTAAATACTTACAGGAGTATAGACCTGAAAGGTTCATCGGCAGTCTCCTTCGCGACTTTCGGCGCCACAAGAACTTTGAAGAGCACCTGCGGTATGAGTTAAGACGTACACTTGTTCTCTGCCGCGGGAAGCAGATGTTCAGATTCTGCGAATGCTATTTTCCGACTCAGCGTCTTGTTGGCCTCGTCAAGCGGTTTGTGCACCCGACTGCTTCCTTTCCCTGGCTCAGTATAGGCTCACCAAAGACACCCGAGACAATCCCTGAGGACTGGAAGGCAATGCTCACACACCTAAAACTCGGAATCCCTTCAAGTGATCTCGACTTCGCCTTGGACATGCTGAGGTACACGGTATTTGAGTTTCCAGACGTAGTCCTTTCCAAGGATAGGACGAGGCTTTTCGATCTTTACTATCACATTCACTCTAAATATCGAGAAGACGATGATCACTCTGCCGCTCTCAAAAAGATTAGGTATGTACCGATGACCTTGCTGGGTCCGGACTCTAACGCCGCAAATAGGAAGACGTTTGCCGAAAAGGACCGTATCTACATTCCTCTCTCTCCTACCAGCAACGCTTGGGCAGGTGCCAGCGAATGCGTGTGGGATGCAACACAGGAACTGGAATCCGTGTGGGTTCTCAAACTGCTATATGAGCCACTCTTTGCTTGCGATAACGTGGACCGCAAACTAGCCCCGGTGTTCTTCGGAGATGTCCTTGGTGTTCAGCTTGACTGCACCTGGGAGATGTATGTTGACGAGCTGAGAGTGCTCCAGGAGCTGGACTGCAACAATCACGATTCCATCACCGGCATCTACAAGGCACTCGATACCTTTCGCCCAGGAATGCTACCGATAAGCCAGACCCAACTCAGGTGAGACAAAGCAATTGATGTTCTGCAGGAAAGTCGGTTTGCTGATCCTTGTCTTCCAGATCCGCGTTTGAGGAAGATAGGCTGATTTACGCTCCTTCTGGGGATGGGATGATCTGGCGTCGCACATCGGAGTGTGTTTGGTCCCATGCGGCTCGCCTTAAAGGCAAGGTCTCTCTAAATTATTACTATGAGGAGCTGAAGGAACTCTTCGTGGATCTGCTTGGAGTCAGGCCTGTGAATCTCGCCATGGCAGTTGCTGAACTCGAAGATGCTGGAAGCAGGAAGTCTGCCTCCGCAGAAGATCTCAAGGACGCCATCATGACGGTGAACTCACTCCTACCTCTGGAAGATGAGCACCCCAGCCCGGATGTCGCCATGAAACGCAAAATACTTCCGGTGAGACAAGTCGATGGTCACGTTAAGAAAAGCTCCAAAAGCATCGACTTCTTCCTCATCGACCGTGAGCCTCTCAAAGCTGCCTTCGATGGTAAAGTCAAGTTCCTGGACTTTGAGCTGGACGAGATCCGCCAATTGCGTCCCTTTATTGAGTGGGCATCTCTTGGTGACAGACTTTTGTCCACTTGTGTCAAGGAGATTACCGCTTTCCACGGAGAGAGCGCTCGTTTGCTCTCCCGCCTGGATAGACAGGTTCGGAATCGAGCACATGCCTTGCTCAGGTATTTTTGTCCATGCAACGACCGAAGAGAATAATGACACTGCTGACCAGGCGATAGAATTGCGGCGCATTATAATAGTCCACGGACTCGGTCCGCAGCTGACTTGGAAGCCTTGTACGAGGTGTTGAGACATGCAAGCATCTACCAGACCAATGACATCTCTTCAGACCTCAGCCTTCAGCAAGACGGAAACGCCCATGTAGTTGAAGGGAAGAGAGCCACTCTGCACATTGACGGCAGCCCGAACAGCCTCAAAGTCTACCTTCCGCGGAGAAAGTCCGATCAAGGACGTGTGTTCGCTAGCACCCTTCCAGGAAAGCTATTCGAGTGGATGATGACTTCTCCAGATACACTGCAGGTCCCGGAACGAATGGAAAAGGGCGGCATTATAGCGACCATGAACGCTTTAGTCGTTCCGCAGTCAACATTGCTCACTACGCTGGAAGACCTTGGCATTGCAACCATAGATCTGCCCAATCTTGACGATAGTGCTGACGAAGAGACCTCGGAGCCCGAAACAGAACGTCCCTTTACGCGAGAGCCATCCGCTCTTAGAAGTGTTGCTGACTCGGTGCCTAGTGACGAATGGGACGGCAGTTCAGCCGTTTGCGAGACCCCCATCTCCTCGGTTGCAAGTCCGTCACCTGGCATTAGTGTCATTGCTGTTTCCAGTGCTTTCCGAGCCTCCGCACCGGTTAGGTCTCGCATCTTGGCTAGTGAGCCGTACACACCGCCTGCGCCACGCCACGGTGCCACGCCGGTCGCTGCAGTACAGGGAGCAGACAGTACTCGGAATTACATCGCGCTCCTAGACAGGGTCATCGCCGCTGGTCGGATTGCTTCTATCCCGAGCGTAGGCACATTCGACATGAGCAGCCTTCTAGACAACCTTCCTAGCATCGATGCCTCCGACGCCGGTGGGATGCCGACAGACCTGGGGGTGCGGTCTCAGGCACAAATTGAGCGGGACTGCAAGGTCGGCGCAGCGGGAGAGCTTTTTGTCAGTGTGAACCTTTGTCCCCAGCCAGAGTGCTAACTATTTGAGACAATTTTCTAACGCGTCATCATGGAAGGTTTTCGAGCTGCTGTCACATTTGGAGCCACGGCTTCCAGGGTTCTCCCGAGCAAACTGGCAGAGCACCATGCGGAAATACGTCACGGTTCACCACGAGTATGCCGATATGGAACCGTGGGAGGGGCGGGAGAAGTCGGATATCATGTATCGGGATGCTCAGGGAACATTGACCGAGGCGTTCATCGACAAGGGCTACCTTGATGAAGCCTGGAGGGGAAAGCGGCCGGAGTGCTTCATCGAGGTCAAGACAACCACTTCAGCCTGCGAAACGCCCTTCTATGTGAGCAAGGCACAGTATCAGAGAGTAAGTGGAAGTGGTTCTGGGTTCTGGGGGGGGCAACTGCTGACAACCGAATCAGATAAAAGACTGTGCCTTGGAGGCACGCGATCACAAATGCGTCTATGTCATTTTCCGAGTATTCAAACTTGGACAGAATGACATGGGACTTCGAATCTACTTGAACCCGATGAAATTGAAAGAGGAGGGTTTGTTGAATTTCAGGGAAGAGTTGTGGTCTGTGGTACCAGGAACTGGCGGCGGGTGATTGGTAGGAGAGGAATCTAGATGATATATCATGTCTGAAGTTGAGTGGTGGATAGGTTGGCGTTAGTGGGTTCTCTGTGCTTGTTCAGTATACTTACACACTCTTTGGCTATTTACTTCCTGTCTTCAAGTCATTATCAGAAGCAACTCACTTCCTTTTCCCAAGCTTAGGCGCTTCATCGTCATCCATCTACATGCATCCGAATTGAAGATCCTTGCCTTTTTATCAACTCCCATGCTTACTGTGGAGAAAATCGCCAGGAACCCCCAATCATTCCTCTCACTTTCTCTTGACCCTGATTCAACCGGGCCATTCAAAGAATGTTTTATTCGGCTGCCTAAAAGAATCCCCCCATTTGCGACGCCAAACCACATTGCACCGCCACCAACGTCAACGGCGTTGAGGCTCGAATGCGACCTGCAGCTCCGTACCGAAGGGGGACAGAACTTTAATCCCACTTCGTCTAGACCGTGCGCATCCGTATACCGTCTGAAGCCTTCTTGTCGTCCTTTCCAGACGCCCTCAGCCGGCGATCATGGTCGATATCGAGGCCTCACCTGGCTCTCACCAGCAACAGCAGCCCGCCAATGATGCCACCGGCGGTGCCATCCCGCTCCAGAACTTGAGCGGACAGCCTCCCGTGGGCGCAGGCCATGACGCAACCTCGGTCAACCAGGGTAAGCCCTTGGTCCTGTACCCAGAGTCGCCCGTCGCCCAGCGCAGCATCCGCCAGGAGGTCGGCATCTGGCTGCGCGCCGCCTCACTCGTCTGCGCTTCAGTGTCCCTGGGCCTGCAGATCTACACCTACGAGACCACCCTTGGCGGCCGCCAGAATGACTTTGTCTTCCCCGTTGTTTTCTTCCTGGTGAGCTGTCTCCAAAACTCTTGTCCTTTTCAGATCGCACGGCCATCGCTGACGCCTTGAACTTCATACATAGCTTCCATTTCTCACGATGATGAACATCGGCGAGATCACCATGCTCAACAGCCGCAAGGGCCGGCGGTACGCCGCTAGGAATCGCATCCTGCGCGATTCCCTGTCACTGGTAGCTGCCGTCGGTGCCTCGTCCGGCGTGTTCTACCAGTTGACCCAAATGACCTCTCACGGCATGAGCGTCTACGGTCCCGACAATTGGGAAACGGGAACCCGGGTCAATGTCGCCTTCACGGCCATAGTTCTGTAGGTCTCTCCCTCAGGTTGATGCACCTAGAGAGCATCGGTTCCCCATCAAGTTGCTGACCCATCTTTGTTATGCACTTAGTGTCCTCCAAACTGTACTATTCGTCTTCGCCTGCCTGGACAAGCGAGATAGGATCAACTCCCAGCCGAGAGTACTGTACCTGCCCACCGGCGCGCCGGTTATCGTCATGCGCGAGGTGCATCTAAATCCTTCGCCGCCGTCGAGTACTAGAGCCACTCGGCGTTCGTCGCACCACCCTTCCGCATCGACATCCCCGGCCTGGTCCATACGGTCGTCAGCGGCGGCCAAGTCTCGACCGCCATCGTACCACGATCCTTCCATGCCCTCGCAGGCACTGACGAGACCACCTCCGGCCCTTCAGCAAGGAGAGTCTGCAGTGCGCACCGCGAGCAATACTGCTCTCAGCCCTGGCGCTGTTGCACCGAATACATCGAGACCAGCTCCCGTCGGACCACCCCTGACGGAGGAGGCAAGCAGCTCTCCAAATCCGACCGGCGAGACGGAGGAGGATGTAGACCTTAGAGTGGCTAGAGGCGAGAGCCAGGCTCAGCGGATGTCGCCGGCCGAGATGGCTCTATATTTTAGGAGAGCAGAGGAAGTCAGGTAAACGGCTCGGAATCACGGTTTGAATTCTCTATGACTATGGCGTTGGGGGTTGGGATCAACATCAAAAGACAAACTTGATGCGCAGATTTTTTAGCAAACATCAAAGCTTTCATTGACTTTGGCCCCCATCGACCATGGATGCGTTGACATGATGATACAGAATGATTCAGAAATATTGACGAAGTCGAAACCAGTCTTCATCGCTTTCCACTCATAGAGGATGAGTGAAAGCACGCTCTGTCAAACTACATCTTGACCTCCTTCTCCATACCCTCGGCAATCTCCTCAGCCTTTGCTCTGTCACGCTGCTCGGCTGTGTACAGATCCGCCGCCTCGCGCTCGAGATCTACAATTCAAGACAAGTCAGTCAAACACCCGGCAATACTTCACATACTCCCTCGATCGGGATGATCCCCTAAGAACAAGTAAAAGGGACCACTCACACTTGGCATTGTCAATCTTGGCCCGGTCAGTGTCGACCCAGTACAGCGTAAAGACGCCGATGATGCCCACGGGGAAGAGGAACCAGTAGGCGGCGTTGGTGTGGCCCGCCTTCTCGATGATGGCCGACGAGATGAAGGGCCCGATGAAGCTCGACGTCTTGCTCACCGTGTTGAACAGTGCGAAGAACATGTAGGCCTTTGGATGCGGCACGACCTCGGAGATCATGGTCACTTGGTATGAGCCCCAAGCGGCGGTCTGGAAGTTCCAGACTTGGAGGACCCAGAACTGCAAGATAAAGGAAAAGATGTCAGCCAGCCAGGAATTCGCACAAGGTGTTTGTTGGGGTTCGGCACATACCTCCCAGTCGTGGTGATACCCGATCGTATTGGTGAAGTAGCCGATGGCTCCCCACATCGACGGGCCGAGAGTCATGCACGCGCCATAGAAGACGCCCTTCTTGACCGAGAAGCGCACCTTTCTCTGCAGAAAATACATGAACACGGTGCCCAGGCCTCCGGACAGGTCGGCCACGAGCAGCATGGCGCTGAGCTTGAGGGGCGAGTAGTGGATGACCTCGTTCTGGAGAATGCCCGTGACGGAGCCCGCAGTTCCAGCACCTGCAGGTAGGCATCAAGTCAGCTCGTGCTCCAGCGTCGCTCTGGTCTTTTTCGTTTCCGCATTTCAGACTCACTCTCTTGCAGCAGGAAATATGCCAGCAGGTACAGCAAGCACTGCTTCAGGTTCACAGCCGACTTGAGCGCCGACCACACCTGCTTGGGCCCCGCCGTGATGAACCCGGAGCCCGCGGGCAGCTGCTGGCCGGGGCGGTGCTTGTGCACGAGGAAGAAGGGCACCGTGCAGGCGACGGTGATGGCGCCAAAGTAGCCCATGAGCACGTTGTACGAGTGGATGAGCTTGGAGGGCGTGTCGAAGCCGATGCCGGCCGAGATGCCGACGGCGATGGCGTACGAGACGATGACGAGCGCGGACCCGGTGATGTTGACGAGGTTGTACAGCCGCGAGCGCTCGTACGAGTCGAGCTCGGCGTGCGCCTCGGGCGACTTGCGGCCCGCCTTGACCTCCTTCTCCGACTCGATGAGCTTGGGCAGGTCGCGCACGATGCCCGGGAAGGTGGCGGCGTAGAAGGAGTTGACGATGTTGGCGGCTGTGTGTACGGTAGGAGACAATTGGTTAGCAAGAGCTTGCGGGTGTGAAATCTGCTGCAAAGGGACTGACCTAGGGAGCCGACGACGAAGAGGGCGTTGGCGGCCTGCCATTGTCCTGGCCTGGTGATGCCGCACATGGCGAATTGCATTACGTCTGTTTGTCGTCAGTTGATGGGAAAGCAGAAGTCTGTGCGGGAGATATTACAAAGAGTGCATTGACCAACAATCATGATCCACGGCCGCCATTTTCCGTAGTCGGCGTACGGGCCGAGGACGAGCAGCAGCGCGAGCTGGCACGCGAACATGATGCCGGTGATGTCGAGCAGGAAGCTGTTGATGGGGAACACACGCCCGGCCCAGTGCACGTTGCCGTCGGGGAACTGCTGGTTGACGAGGGCTTGCCTCAAGGCGCCGCCGTTGCCCCCGATCGGTGCTCCGTTGAGGGAGAAGTCTTACCCGCGCGCACCTCGCTGTCAGCATTCATCACCATAGATTGAGAGGTCGGATTGTGGGGTCTTACAGAAGATGCAGAACGTGATGTATTCCCACTTGCTCGTGGTGATACGTTTGCCCGTGGACGGAATGGCATGGCGCTGCTCAATGACGGCTAAGCCGGCCTTGCCGTGGCGAGTCTGCCCATTGTCGTCGGGCACTGCTTGGATATCATCATGCTTCTCCGCCGCTGCGAGGCGGGCCGTCGGATCCTCGACGTGCGAGACCTCGGCAGAGTGAACTGGCTCAGAGGGCTGTCTGTTATCGGCCATGGCTGCTGTATACGATCGTGTTGGGAAACAGACGTGCCCGGGTGAAAGGCTAGTAGATTCGCGCCCTCCCTCCCGGCCTATTTAAACCGCAGCCTAGAATCTCTGTCGGCGATCCTGAGGAGAACGTCTGGGCCACAGACCACCCATTCCCGGTAGCTGGTTTCCCGACATGCAAGCAGGTAGCTGCCGGGGCACCTGTGTGGCACCTCCCTAATTCGAGTATAATACATGATACTAATACGGTGGATGCTGTGTCTCTCTATCGCTCACAACAGCCCTTAGCGGCCGCTCATCAACGGCCCCTTCGCAGCGCACCGACCGAGCGTTTGTCCCCCATGCTCGTTACGAGATGCGGTGGCAGGTTGGTCGATGTAACGGCAGGATGGCGGCACATGGTCGATCACTCCCTGGTTCCGGCAATAACAGCAGGGCATAAAGCAAACATTAGAATGGGGACATGCGGGGGATAGGTGGTTTGGGTTCTTGATCCCCCGCCTTCTTCCTCGCTGGCCCAGTCGTAGGTGGCGTCTTGTGACAGTATTCCCCGGGATCGGCGGTGCATGTCACCTCCCAAAAGGGCAGGTTGGATATGCCTGCTGCATGCATGGCAGCAGATCTGGTGAGAGTTGGTTGAAAAAGCCCAGGTCAGGCAAATCAGCGCGCGCGACTGCGATTTGTTGTCCGCGCAAAGGGCCCCAGCTCGGATTCCGGACCAATCGTTCAACCTGACTTGCGCACTGAGCGGTGCAACTCTGCCCGATGAACATCTTCCTAGAATGCATGTGATCGATCAGGCGTGTAACGGTGACGTGCGGACTGCAGCAAACCTGATGCCCATCGTGCATGATCTTGACTTTCTGTCGGCGTATTGTCTACCGAAGGGGGGTTGGCCCGTGTTGGCCCCTCGAGTCCGCGACATAACAGACTCAATTGCAAACAATGGCCGTTGGGTAAGTACTTCACGTCCGATAGGTTTAACATCGTTCTCCTTTGTATTCCCTTGCTGAGATTAATGGGTTGAGGTTGGCAGACAAACTTGAGGTGTAAGCACGAGAAAGAACACACGTCGTGGCCTGAATCTGCAATCAATTCAGGGTACTCTACGTATCAACTCATTGATGCCATTTATCACCAATCTTAGCATAAGGGAAAAGACCAGTGATGAGAGCGTACCTAAGCCCTTAAGCGGTTGGTCTAGGCGCATCGAGGATCACGTCAATGACCTTGTGGTCGTTGTAGGCAGCAACGGTGCGCTCACAGAGAACCTCGACCCGTTCCTTGCTTTGAAGACCATCGGGACAGACGAGCCAGATGACGTTCGTCATGAAGGAGCGTCGATACTCTATCATGACTTCTGGGTCACCGTGACGGTCGAATCTAGGCCCGCCAAGCCGATGCAGTGTCTCTAAGTAATGGTCGAGAATCTCCATCTCGTGGGCTCGACGGTCCTCGATAGTTAACATGGCCGTCATGTGGTAGACGATATCATGGAAACAAGACCCGAAGTGGAAGGCCGACCAGTCCAGGAACCCTATCTTGCCATCGCCAGTGAAGTAGACATTGCCGATGTGAGTGTCGCCGTGCAGCAGTGTGCGGAATCGCGGGTTCCCCTCGGCGTAGTAGCGGTCCAGCGCCTCATTGCATCTCTTGCCATCCATGAGGTAGTCAGGCAGCTGAGGGCGACGGCCGGGAAGGCGGACAGTCTCGTCCCAGGTCGAGGCGATGAACTTCATGGCAGGGTCATAATTATTCCAGATCCCTATGTCAGACTTGTATTAGAGATCTGCTGGATTTCCTCCTGAGACAAGCGAGGGACTGAATAATAATGGTCACTCACATGGATGATCTTCCTGACTCCGACCCCAGTACTTTGCGTGCAGTCCGGCCAGCTGCTCCACGCCATTCATGACCATGGCCACGGGATATGATGCAACCTCGGGAGGGAATGAACATCCCTCGGCAGTCAGATCAGTCATAATGGCAATGCCCTGTTTGTCGCTCTTGCCAGCCCACCAACACTTGGGGAAGATCATGTTGTCCACAACAGGTGCGATGTCGGTGAAGAACTCGGACTCTCGCTGTGCGAGGCTGATGGTCCATGGCTGGCTTTCAATCATCTTCGGGTCGAAGACGTCCTTGACGCAGACTTTTGTCGGCTTCTCATCGCAACTTCCATCCACGTACGTGATGTCGTAAAACAGTTTGCTGGCGGTGCCCCAGATGTTGCGTGTGTTCTCAATCGACTTGACCTTCTGCCCGAGCTTGGATGAGAACCACTCCGCGGTGATTTTAGCAGGAGTGGCAGGCAGAGACTCTTTCAGCATGGTCGGCATCGTGCTACTACAATGCTAACTGTCCTTGTAATCATCATCCTCATGCGATGAGCCCCAAGCAGTCTCCTCGTTGTTTTATCCACACTGGCTCCTGCAGGCCCCGTCAGCAACGCGGGGCCAAGCTGTTGTCAGCAGACTCTCCCTCTAATTCTACTTTTGGCCTATCGGAAGAAGATTAGGTATCGATGCAGAAAGATAGCTTGGTAGGAAGTGACGCATTGGGCAAATCGAGGTACTGGATGATTGGCTGCTGATGTCAGCAATCGTATCGGGTCTGATGAAACGGTAACGAATGGCGGTGACGATGTCTCTAGTCCTATAGTCCCTGATTCAGCGACTCAGGAAGATGGGAAAGGCCAGTGCAGCGTCGAACATCATGTCATCTCGCCTGTACATGATGAAGTGTCGTTGGCGACCGGTGTTGGCGGCGTTATCAGCTGGATCATTTCGAGTAACCAGTCAAAAGTGAAGAGTTTCAAGTGAAAACAGCTGTGGTTTTTTTTTGGATCTCGATCAAGAGCTCCATTCACCTTCGGAAGTGATTGGCACTCTTCTTCATCCTCGTTCTGGGTCATACCTATCAAAACTGCATCCCTACGTGTCTCAAGGTATGGAAAACAAACCTCTTGCAGTTTGCTCTGTGCCCTTCCATTGTGCTCTTTTCATAGCAAGCGATTCTTTCAACGGGTGGAGAGTGGTTTCATCTTCGATCCACACCGGGTTAGGGAGTTGTTTCAACCAGGGTTCTGATTGTCAGTGAACCGTTTCAGGCTTGGCATGGGTGTCAACGGCCAGTGAACCAACCTGGAATGAACCCAAGTCTTCTGCCCAGGAAAATCTTCTTGAAAATCATAAACTGTTTGTTATTCTCTTCTAGATTCGCATCTTTGATGAACAGCCCAATTGCGCGCATTATTGGGTATCGATCAGACATTCCAAGCGACATGGAGCACCGCAAGACACGGGCTTCCGACACTGGACACCAAGTTGGGCGCTTCACTACCATTGAGGGCTGGCGAGATATCAGCAACGGCGTCTATCTGTTCAGGAATGCGGTCGTTCGGCTGGTAGCGGTCAATCCGGTGTTCGAGGTGGATGTCGAATGCAAGAACGAAAAACAGTCGATGCTGGCCCAAACCAGAAATACACACTCCAGCGGGAGGATATCGGACGAGGGTATCGCAAATATGCGGGATTCATCTGACGACTCTTTTGCGCTGCGATCCGAGTACGATAGCAATGCCGATATCTCAAGAATAGGAACAGAGCCCTCGGAGGAATATGACATACCGGACGATCCTTACCACGTCTTTTGCAAGAGGCAGAAGTGGTTTGTCATCGTTATCATTGGTGTTGCTGGACTGTTTTCTGGGCTTTCGTCCAACATTTACTTCCCAGCACTGGATGCTATATCGAAGGTATATCATTGGTCACATTGACACCTCTTCCCGTCGACTGCGAGCTAATCAAGGACCAGGACTTGAACATCAGCGCCAGAGAGGTCTCGCTCACAATCACCTCGTACCTCGTCGTGCAAGGGATTTCGCCGCTCTTCTGGGGCTCGCTTTCAGATGTACTAGGCCGGAGGCCCATTTACATCGCGTCCTTTACCGTTTATATCATCGCCAACGTCGTGTTGAGCTCTTCTCCCAACTTTGCTGTGCTGTTGATCTTTCGAGGCCTTCAGGCGGCTGGGAGTGCTTCTACTGTTAGCATCGGTAAGGTAATCTGTGTCTTGCCAGCATCATCTGAAAACTAATAGCGATGCTTCAAGGAAACGGTGTCATCCAGGACATTTCTCCACCTTCCGAGAGAGGTGCTTTCATTTGCGTTTATCAAGCGAGTATGTTGATCCTGCAAGGATTTGATATTCTACAGCACCAGACTAACATCGCGTCTTCAAGTTCGAAACTTTAGTATCGCTGTCGGGCCCGTGTTAGGAGGTGTCATCGCAGACCGTTTCGGTTTTCGAGCGATATTCGTCTTCTTATTAATCATCTCGTCCATTACCGTGTTGTTCGTTATCGGCTTTCTCCCGGAAACGATGAGAAGCATCGTGGGCAACGGTTCAACAAGGCCCGTCGGGATCTACCGCCCTATGGTCTACGGTGTCCGCCGGGAACCGTTTTACTGGCGAGAATCCAGTCAACCGACGGCCACGAGAAGAATCAAACCTGATGTCTTCGTGGAGCCTCTGAAGCTCCTGAGGAGAAAGGACATTGCGATCAACCTGCTGTTGAGCGGCGTAGTCTACGCCGTATGGAGCATGGTCACGTCCAGCACTACCGGGCTGTTCAAGGCCACTTTCAACCTGAATGAGACCCTCCTCGGTCTTGCCTTCTTGCCAAATGGTACAGTCTCGAAACCTTTGCAACCTTTCCGGACCACATGCTAACGACCTTTCTGCCCTTTAGGTATCGGCACAATCGTCGGATCAACCATCATCGGAAGGTACATGACACGCGACTACGCCTCCGCCGAGCAAGCGTACAAGGCCGTTCACGGCCTACCCCCGACTCACTCCTTATCAGCAAGGGACCTCCCTCCAGGTTTCCCCATCGAGCACGCCCGGCAGCGGCGGCTGCCCCTCGCCATCGCGCTCTTCAGCGCCGCCATAGCCGCCTACGGCTTCACCTTCGCCCTGCCGCAGCAGCAGCTCGCGCGCTACCTGCCCGTGCACCCGATCGCCCTGCCGCTGGCGCTGCAGTTCGTCGTCGCGGCGGCGAGCAGCGCCGTCTTCGCCATGAACCAGGCGCTCGTGTCGGACCTGAGCCCCGGGCGGGGCGCCGGCAGCACGGCCGTGAACAACCTCGTGCGGTGCGGGCTGGGCGCCGTGGGCGTCGCCGGCGTGGAGAGCATGATCGCGGCGCTGGGGCCCGCGGCGACGTTCCTCGCCCTGGCGATGGTGACGGTGTGCCTCTCGCCGCTTGTGGCTGTCAGTCGGGTCCGGGGGCCGGAGTGGAGGATGCAGCAGGGGCAGGGCAAGGGGCTGCGTGAGAAAGTTTGATTTGTTAGCATTAGCAGTACGTATAGAATAGAGACGTCATTAAAACTGCATGTGATTCACAAACGATGACAAGCATGTCTTAAATTGAGAAGTACAGCATCAAAATATTCCATTATTGTCTCCTTGATCTTCTATATCGTATCTTCATGGACACGTAACATCCTGTCTACTTCTAAAACCCACCCAACACCTAAAAGGCCTAGATCTGCTCTCTACAGCAGCAGCAGAAGAGCACCAGCAGCAACCATGGCAGAGCTCAGGTAGCCAGCGAGCCTGCTAGCCCCAGCAGCAACAACCACGACCCCGGTCGTGCCGTTGACGGCCGTGCTGCCACTGCCACCGCCCTGCTGGAACACGACGCTGCCGCCGGTGCAGCTCGCGCACGCCTCGGGCTGGTAGACCGTGCCGTTCTGGCCGCCGGTGTAGGGCACGGCGCGGTACACGACGAGCGAGCCGCATCCCGCGCCGTCGCAGCCGGCGGGCGCATACCGCCAGCCCCCGGCGCAGCTGCAGGCCTCGAGTACGAAGACGGCCTCGCCGGGCCGCGGGCCGCCCCGGCACAGCTCGAAGACGTAACCCGCGGCGTGGCAGAAGCCCGTGGCGCAGACCGCGTTGTTCGGGTTGGGGCCCGCCGTGACGACGGCCGTGGCGGTCACGACGACGGTGCCGGTGCTGGTGACCTGGTCGGCGGGGACGGGGGCGGGGGCGGGAGAAGAAGTGGCCGGGGCGGGGGCGGCGGTCGACGAGAGGGGCGAGAACTCGTAGATGGCGAGCAGGGCGCTGGCGGGCACGGAGCCGAGGCCGGCCTGGCGGCGCTTGACGCCGCCGCAGCTGGAGGAGCCGCGGCGCTGGAGGAATGAGGAGGTGCTATTCACGCGGTAGCCGCCACAGTTCTCGAGCGCGTTGCCGGGGCAGGGTATGCTGCATAGGTCGCTGGGGACCTGCTGGATGGAATCGTACTGGTCGGAGCAGTAGCAGTCCCTGACTTGTGTGTTAGTTTCAGGTGGAACAAGGGAATGGGTTTGTTGTGGATTAGGGATTGTCCTCACCTGACGTGGATTCCTGCGTAGAGGTGTCCGGCGCAGCCCGAGATGCACATCTCCAAGTCCATCTGTTCGCTTGAGAAGAGGAGAGTGAACGACGGGTAGTTCTGGCTTGAGCCAGTGCAGCCCTTGAAGACGAAGTCGTTCACGCGCGCCGGCAGGGGGTTTTGGGTTGGCACCGACGAGCTTGATGAGGCAGAGGATGAAACAGGTGAGGAAGCTGGCGAGGAGGATGGGATGTTGGAGCTTGTATCAGTGACAGCCCTGCTGGACGAGGAAGCTGACGACGACCCCGGCAGCGAGCTGCTCACTCCACTGGTGGTGGTAGCAGGCTTGGACGTCGTCGTGAGGGTGTTGGTGGTGGTAGTGGAGCTGGTGGTCGTGCTGTTATTGGGAGGATCGTTGCAGACGCCGGGCGTAGCCGACAGGCCGTAGATGCACTGGCATTGCGCGTTGCAGATGCCGTCCGACACGGCCGGGCTGTAGCCCCGTCCCTCGACACTCCGGGGCGGGAGTTGCATCCTCGGCTCACACTGCTCGCCGTCCTCAACTATCCCGTTCCCACAGAACGGGCGTGTCTTGCAGTAGCCGCTGGTCGAGACTCCGTAGATGCACCTGCAGCTGCTCGAGCAGATCGAGTTACCCGTGGGGCCTTCGTCGCATTCTTCGCCCAGGCCCCTCTCGGTGAAAAAGTTGCCACAGCCATCAAACGGCAGACAAGTGTTGGTATCGGTATTTAGGCCGTAGGTGCAAGTGCAGTTCGCCTGGCAGACCGGGTCGGCAACCCCCCCTGCGTCGCATTGCTCGCCGAATGCCTTGTCAACCCGTCCGTTGCCGCATGCTAGGGCGGACGGTCCCGCTCCCACAACGTACGGGGTTCCGGGTTGGCCGTTTTGGCCGTTGAGGGTGTTGACTTGGATTAGGTTGACGTAGTCAGGACTGCTACTAGCCGGGTAGACAACGAAGGCAGAGGAAGCAGCGCAGATCCATGCCTGGAGATCAGCCTGACTCGTGCCAGGAAACGCGAGGCTTCCAGTCTGGCCGTATGAAACGTTGGAAGTGCAGTCTGGAGGGGATCCCGTGGGGCTTCGCATGGTGAAGACCCCAAAAGGCGCCAGAGCGGTCACCGCCTCGGCGGTGACCTCGCTCTGGTAGTAGCAGCCGAAGGAGATGTAGAGCGAAAGCGCCCTGGCCGTGGACATAGTATCCAGCCCGCCCTGGAACAGGGTGTAGACATTGGTCGTGTTCGTAGGCGGCGAAGTTGCGAGTCTGGCGGCGACCTCTTTGGACAAGCTGGTGCCGGTAAAGATATGAATGCCGGTGGCGACGGTGCTCAGCGTAGTCATGATGGAAGGGCTGAGGAAGCTGATCTCGTTACGGTCACAGTTCCCGCTGTCTGCTATGACGATAGCATTGTAATTCCCAAAGTCATTGACACCCATGGCTTGGAAGTTCGCCTTGGTCACACCAGTGACTAGCAAACAGTGTTAGCCTTGGATTGTGGAAACCACCCGTAATTAGCTGCCTGTGCAACGTTTGTCTGCTCTTACCATTGAATAGGTCCGGCCTGCTCCGGAGGTAGCTGTTCTCGACGCTAGAGTCAAACTCTGAGATTACAAGAACACTCTGGGATTGCTGGACTTGGGGATTTGCGGCATGTGCGAGGCCGAGCAGCCCGGCCGTGGCCAGGGCAAAACGAGAGATACGCATGGTGAGGAGGACGACAAAGAGAGTGAACGGTCAAAGACGACCAAAAGAAACAGAGCAGTAGGAGACAAAAGAGTGTCGAGGGTCGGCTTGACAGGAACAAGGGGAGTTCCAGGAGAGAGAGGTTGGGGAGGCCAAGATCTCTTTCAAGTACTAGCCGGCCGTCGAGGTCTCTAATCAGTCTGGATCCGTCTGAGCATGCCGGCCGGGCGCGTCCTCTGCGACGAGACGACATTCTTCTGTGCCCTAGCGGGCCAAGGCTGGGCGACGGAGCCGAAGATCTGGTCAACCTGGATGGCAAAATGTCCCAGAGAGTCCTCTCTTGATGGCACGAGGTTTGGCCGAGGAATGGGGACTATCCGACTTGGGCCGTACCTAAAAGCTAAGGTTAACTTTTAACTTGGTCTAGGCAAGTGGCAGCGCCACCATTCCAGAATGCCGTCTCCGGCCAATCGCCGGCCAATGTCCGCGTAGCTCACATGGCTGACATGGAGGTGAGGCACGTCAGGTCGATACTAATGTGTAAATAATGATTTCGGATTGCTCTACGATTGGGCGACATGACTGCTCTGGGCCTTGCGGGCGAGAGTTCTCGGTCCCTTGCGGTTGGATCTCTGTCTGTTTTCGGTAACAGTCCTCCTGATTTGGCATTCCAGACTCTACCTAAGTACCTTTGCTCGCCAGTCAAAAGTAAAGAGAGGGTGAAAAACGCAAAGGTACCTCAGAGGCCGGGCCGCGGAGAGACTGCCAGCCGCCGATGTGTCAAGTAAGCCCCAATACCTGCCACGCGACGCCAGCCACGCCACGCACGACATTCCCGCAGCCCAGGGTCTCAAGTGGCGTGCTGTGCACGGCCTGGATCTAGTAATCCGGCACCTAGGGCGCCTACAGCTACCAGCCACACACCCGGCCGGCAGGATCAGAGCTCTCGGCCGAGGCGATCCGCCGACCCAATCCATCGGCCGTTGACGCTCCCAGTTCCGCAGACTTCATCCGGCGACAGTGCGGTGAGCCCTACCGACGACTTTCGAGATCCTTATATCAGACTGGCTGGCATTTCGCACCGAGATGCTGGTGAGGACGCACACAATATTATGTATCGCGTGTAGGACGCGTCGCGACGCGTCGAGTTTCGTCAGTGCCCTAGCTGACCTGGGTGGCATACATACACTCTAGAGTTCCCTGTTTCTCAAAGAGCTCAGGCCTGTTCGGAGAGGGTTGCCAGCGAGTCCAAGCTCCGAGTTACTGGAAAGAGTGTATTGCAGGTCGTACGGGTGTCAATTGTCGAAGTAGCATTATTCGTTCTGCGGGGTGAGGGGCTCTCATGAGTCGAGTCATTTGTCAGCTACTATCACTATCAGCGATTAGGAATTACATCATCATCATCCCGAGATATCAGATGTTACATAAAGGCGACTCAATTGAATGTTAGTCTTTAAGATATCAGTGAGGTTTCCAGTCTTTTGTGGCCGTGCACATCAGTAGTGCAAGCACATTTCTCCTCGAAAAGGACAGACAAGCTCTCGTATTCATTGTCACTCTCTCACCATGCCCTACGCTCGAGTCGGGGTTGTGACGGGCGCCAACAAGGGCGTTGGCAATGCGATTGGTACGCAAGCAGTCGACCCTTGCAAGCTATGTGTCGATGAGACAACTAACGTGACTATCTCTTAACTACATGTAGTTCGGCAACTCGCCCTGCAATATCCCAAGTCGCGCCTCAACTCTGGTCCATTCTTGATCTACCTCACTGCGCGCGATCAGACAAGAGGCGAGGAGGCGCTGGAATCCCTACGCCAAGATCCCCAGCTTTCCCAGGCCGGTGCATTGTCTTCTGCCGGCGGTCTCTCAGAGATCAAGTTTCACTCTCTCGACATCGCCAGCTCGGGGAGTATCAATGCGTTCAAAGAGTTCATCAAGAAGGAGCACCCGGAGGGCATCGACTTGCTGATCAATAATGCCGGCATCGCCATGCAAGGCTTTGGTATGTAACTAACATGTGTGTACGATGACAAATTCATACCTGGGCAAATCTTCTAACTAGTCCCAATATAGATACGAATGTGGTCAAGACGACCTTGCGGTGTAACTACTACGGCACGCTGGAGATGGTCAACACCTTCCTGCCGCTCATGAAGCCGCTTCCGACCAGCCGCATCGTCAACGTCGCCTCCATCTCAGGCGCCCTGGACAAGTACTCGCCGCAGCTGGTGGAGCGCTTCCGCGCCGCCCGCACCGTCGCCGACTCGACCGCCCTCATGGAGGACTTTACCGACGCAGTCATCCGCGGCAAGGAAAAGGACGAAGGGTGGCCCAGCGCGGCCTACGCCGTGTCCAAGGCCGGCGTGATCGCCATGACCGGGGCCGTCGCCGCCGCCGAGGCGCAGAAGGACAACGGCGTGGTCATCAACTCGTGCTGCCCTGGCTGGGTCGTCACGGACATGACAAGGGGCAAAGGAGTCAAGACTCCGGATCAGGGAGCCCAGACGCCCGTCATGCTGGCCTTTGGTGACGACGGCGGGCAGACGGGGCTCTTCTGGCGTGACGAGAAGGTCCTGGACTGGTAGGGACTCAGAAGTCCACCCCTGAATACAGTCCTTCAGCTGTAGCGCAGCTGTTCGTGATCTTGGCAATGATTGGCTCGGCAGGAGGTCTGTGGGCGCAGCTAGAGATCTGGCCTAACCATTTTGTCATCATCACTTGCTGCGGGTATTGACATCCGCGATTGGGCCAGCACTACTTGTACGTGTCAATGACTGCCCCTAAGATGGCAAAGCAAATCAGGGGCCTGTAAGTAAAGCTGCTTGGAAAGTTCACCTCTTCTTACCAGTGCGTGACGTTTCTCAATGTACTCTCGAAGCTGCCAGGTGCCAAAGGGAGAGCTCCAGCTCAAACCCAGAAGTGGACACGCCTCGGCAACTGTGGTTTCATGATGTCAAGCATATCGAGATGAACCCACATCCTCCACACTAGCTGCGCTCCATGTGGATATCGTCTTGACGTACCTTAAAGAGCTCAGCTCCCTTGCTATGGCCTGGCTTAAGAATAAGAAGACCTCCCCTAGTCCAGATCTCTTTCTCCTACACCATTTGACCCTTCTCATCACGACCCGGCTCATCCAGAGATTCCAACCGCCATCATGTCTACCTCCCCCATCGGCTTCACCACCATGCCCAAGCTCCTCCGTAAGTACCGCACCGCGAGTCGCGCCGCGCCGCTCGCACGGCTTCTGCCTCCTCGGTAGTTCCCGGCTAACCCTCCCCCCCCCCCCCCCCCCCCCCCCCCCCCCCCTTAGCCGTGACGGGCTCCTTCGCCCTCCCCTTCACCGCCTACTTCACCCTCCTCTCGCTGCGCGTCGTCCGCCAGCGCCTCAGCAGCAAGAAGTATCTCGGCGACTCCTCCGGCGCCGCCGGCGCCGCGGCCGACCCCTCCTCCGACGCGCTCTACGTCGCCTGCCGCGCCCACAGCAACTACGTCGAGGGCGTGCCCCTCGCGCTGCTGCTCGCCGCCCTCGCCGAGCTCAACGGCGCCAACCGCCGCGCGCTGACCGCCGCGCTGAGCGCCCTCTTCGTCTTCCGCGTCCTGCACAGCGAGGCCGGCATGTTCCTCAAGGGCGCCATGGGCGGCGGCCGCCCGCTGGGGTACTTTGGCGGCCTGGGCGTGACGGCCGGGCTCGCGGGCTATGCTGCGTATCTGGTCAAGGGGTACTGGGGCTTTTAAAAGGTGTTGAGAGGATCGGTGCATACATCGTTGCAATGCAAATGACATGAAAGGATGGAGTTCAGAAAGAGACTACTAGGTAGTCAAAAGGTTGAATAAGCGTCATCTTCTATCTCGAAATCACTAGGCCACTAGTTCGTATCTCTGGATGCAAAGCCAAGGGAAAGAGCCAGCACCGAGAATGCTAGAATATCCCATCCTTCATTCTTCCAGATCTCCAAAGAATGTCCGCACATCCTGCACGTAGAGGCCGGATTCGTGTTCCGCGAGGAAGTGGCCGCCGAAATCCCGCCGGCTCCGGAATGTCAAATTGGTCAGGCGCTCGATCCGGCTTCGAGGCTATCACGTTTGTCAGCATCAATCTCTTTCATCTATCAGAGAAGCGACCGCTTACCGCGAGAGGAAAACTTTGAGAGAGACTCGAACAGCCCATTAATCTTTCTCCGTTCGTCACAGGTAGACAACCATCCGTGGAGCATGAGAACGATTCGACCAAGTAATCTCGAACGGCCTGGTCTTGTTGTCGAGTTAGATGCTTAGTAGTAAGCTCTCCATCAGGACCGACAAAGAAAATCCCTCAAACTCGAGTGCTGCAGTCGGTATGTGCGAGCTTTTCTGACCCGGTGGTTTTGTAGAGGTATTTGCATCTAAAGAGGCTCTTCTTGGGGCGGTTGATAGTTCTTGAAGTCTTGACTGGTGATAGTGAGATTTTGGCTCGTCTCTTTCTCACTGGTGTGCATTGTAGAGTATGGTGTTTGACCGGGGTGTCACCAGACTTGACTGGACGACTTCTGTTCTGAGGTTCCATCTTGTCTTTCAGAGAGCCGGGATTGCCTGAAGCCATTTCCTTTGGTGAAGCAGGATAGAAGCCCAACAACGGGTCACGAAAGCAACGTGAAGCAGCCCAAGGGCAAGCCAAAGAATAAGGTCGACACAAAGTCCATCATCACAACTAGACGACAACTTACTGTCCCGTCATTCCGTAGTTATTTATTACCTAGATATGCTCCTAGTGATGAGGCAGCCAAGACCATGGAAGGCCCAACAGACGGCGCCACGACGACAAAAGGGAAGGACGAAACAAGTAGGGAAGGTCAAAACAAAAACTTGCTCACAGCACACATACTAGCGGCAACCACTGCCCACGGTCGAATGCTCTGATGATAATTTTTTACCGTCCGATTCTCGATAGTCGGCGACGATTCCACGAAAGGCTTGGGGAATTCTGATGCGACAATGGCGGCAAAAGGGCGCCGGGATCGACGGAGGTCCACGGCAAGTCCCCCAAATTGCACGACGTAAAACGGAGCACTGATGGCAACAACACGGAAACGGAGGCAGATGATGTTATTGGTGTGTAGAGCTATGCACTTTGCATCTTTGTGCGGTTTAGCTAAATCCCACCGGGTGTGCCACCCTCATGCGGCGTAGTTTCCCACACAACGGCAGCGGCGACGGTGAGTGACAACTCTCAACACCAAAAACTGGAGGTTTGGGATCACAAGCAACTTCCCCGTCCTGTTCTAATTCCTAGATGCGGTAGGTGAACCTTGGGACCGTAGAAGTCAAAATCCACGTATGGAGACATTTGTGAAGTTGCGTGCTTTCAGATTCTAAGAAAATCTGTGATTTGTTGGCAGGAGGGACGTCGCTCGCAGGAGGGTCTTCATTTGCAGGAGGGTCATCGGTCGTCTTTGCTGGGCCATCATGTAGCACAACCGGTTCGTTTGCAGGAGCTGGTTCGTCGATTTCCTGGAATGCCGCAGGAACAATCATTGTCGGCATTTGAGGTCCTGCTGTCCTCTTCTGGTATTGTTTGTCTGGCTTGTCTGCTTTCCCAGCCATTTTGACTTCGCCGTCGTCGATGCTCTCATACTCGGTGCTTCCATCCTCCTCGTCGTCGTCACCAACGTCGCCTTCTTCCTGTTCCTCTTGTTGGCTCTCTTTCTCAAATGGGTAATTGCCCCTCTGTGTAAGGGATCCCTCTGGTTCCATTGAGAAGAATTCATACCTGCCATGCCAATTAATCACCTAGTGTGTAACCTCTCGACCGCGCTTCAGCCCGTGGCCGATGAGTCAACTTATCCGGACATTACGGGTGGTACGGTGATCAAAAGGGTTAGCAGTAATGTCTTTACAAATGGCAAGAGACAAGAGCAAAGAAAGGACGTCACGTTTATTTCTCTTTCTGTAATGTAGGTCTCCGGATCCTTCCTCACGCTTCAGTACCCCAGCCCTTTGTCAATCTTGTTGATCAAGGGCTTGCCGTCGCGCATCCGCTCAAAGTTGGCCTTCATGATCTTGAGCAGCCGCTGGCTGTAGTGGTTCGAGTTGCCGCTCACGTGCGGCGTGATGATGACGTTCTTGGCCTTCCACAGCGGGTGGTCCCGCGGCAGCGGCTCGGGCTCCGTGACGTCGAGCGCCGCGCCGCGGATCAGCCCCTCGTTGAGCGCGGCGACGAGGTCGTCCGTCCTGACGATGGCGCCGCGCCCGATGTTGCTGACGAAGGCGCGGCGCGCGCTCATGGCGCGGAACTGCCGCGCGCCGATGAGCCCCTCGGTCTTGCTCGTCAGCGGCAGCGTGATGACGAGCAGGTCGAGCCCGGCGAGGAACTCGTCGACCTGGTCCGCGCCGTGGAACCAGCGCGAGGGGAAGGCGCCCTCGGGGTCGCCGAGCCCGGGCTCGCAGAAGGCCTCGTCGCGGCGGGACTCGGGCGTCGGGCGCTCGTGCAGCGTGTAGGCGTGGACGTCCATGCCGAAGGCGCGGGCGACGCGCGCGCACTGGCGGCCTATCGAGCCGTAGCCGAGGATGCCTCTGCGTTTGGAGAAGGGTTAGACGTGGGACAGTAGCATTTCCAAATGAAGATGCGGTAAGGGTTGGGCTTACGCTCGCAGACCGACGGCGTCTTCCGTGTCCACGTCGGACTCGGGCATGGTCCACTGACCGATCTTTTGGTCATCGAGGTATGCAGGTACTGAAAGGGGGGTCAGTTAGATTATTTGCGACACTGATTGAGGTCTGCGGTTGACTTACACCGGTGCTGGTGGGCGAGAAAGGTGGAAAACACCCATTCTGCTATTTGGGGTCTGTATTCGTGTCAGTCCCGTCGAGACTGAAGCTGTGACAGATCGAGTCCCTACCCGTGTGTTCCATTGGCCGTGCAAAAGTTTACCTCGTCGTGATCCTCGAAAAGCGGCAGGCCTTGTACCTGGTTGCAGCCGGCACTAGTGAGCTGCACGTATTTCAGGTTCGGGGCTTGTTCCCGTGTGGGGAAGATGTTCCACGACAGCATGGCCGTAGCCGACTTGAGCAGCTCCTTGTCCACGTCTTCGGGCAGCGTCTTGTCGTATACTTTGTTGCCGATTGGAACCACTTTGATACCGGGGCTGACCGTATCGAGAATCTCCCGGAACTCCTCGATCGGTATGTATGGCATCAGGATGAGGAGGACATCCTTCTGCGGCTGAGACATTTTGCTGGAGAGTGAGTAATGACCAGGTGTATCGTCAGAAGGCGGCGCCCAATCAGAAAGTCGAGATGAATAAATGTGGCCACGCGGAAGGAAGGGTGAGCAGTTTATTTGATGCAACCGGGCTCCGGATGGATATAGCGGGCGCCTTCACAAGTATTTGAGGGGTTTTGTTCGGACAGACGCCGATGTGAGATGCTAAAGACGCCCCGCATCCGAAACGGAAGAGGCATGTAGTTCCGAGAGTCGGAGCTGGCCCCGCGGTAGAACGGCAAAACTCCACCCACACCACCTCGACGATAACAAGATGTATCTCGTTGACTAGCCAAACAGATTGGGTTATCTGATAAACGGACACGGACGTTGGCGGTAATCTTTCCAAGCCATCGGCGCCTTCTGAAGACATGACACTAGGTCGCATCGCGAGGGCCGGATAGAGCCGCAGGTTAGTCTCGTTGGTCGATCCATGGCAAATTAATATACCTAGCATACTCAAGCAGATGAATTGCTTTCGCCAAAACAACGCTTCTTTTTAAAACCACTATCCTGTAGAGAAAAAGATTCATATTTTTGCCCAGAGTTTCCAGGAACTTAAGTGCATCCTGGCCGCTGTGTAAAAACCGCACCCGGCAAAGAGCATCGCTGCCGTGAACGCCTGCAACTTGTAGTAATCGCCTCCGTCGGCCGAGACGAGCGCGCCGCCGATCGGCCCTCCGGCCAGGGACGCCACGGCCACGAATATGTTCATGCTCCCCGTCCGAGAGCCCACCTCGTGTATGTCGGAGATCTGGGCCACGATGGCCGGGGTCAGAGACGTGAAGGCGCCAGAGTTGTAGCCAAACAGGGCCGCGAACACAAAGGCAGCGGCCTCGCCGCGCGTCGGCAGCCAGACGCCCAGGACCATGACGCCGGTCAGGGCCGCGGCCGTGAGGGATAGGTTGAAGTTGCCGCACCGGTCGGCCGCCCAGCCCATGCTGACGCGGCCGAGCGCGCTGCCGGCGTTGAACACCGACGCCAGCGCGCTCGCCATGATGGGCCGCATGCCGATGGAGGAGCCGTAAGCGATGAGGAAGGTAATGACGACAAAGATGCCCATCGAGAAGAACAAGGACGCCGCGGCCGTGAGCACGAACTCCGGGTCCCGGAAGGGCGTGACGAAGGACAGGAGCGCGAAGCCGCGCGGGTGCGGCGGGATGCGCGACCGCACCGTCAGGTTGACGACGACGAGCAGCCCCAGGAACATGAAGGCGCAGCAGCGCATGGTCCAGCCGAAGCGGATGGTCGGCATGAGCCGCTCAACCATGATGGGTAGGATGACGCCCGCGAGGCTAGAGCCGGCGGCGACGATGCCCATCGCCACGGCGCGGCGCTTCTGGAACCAGGTAGCCACGCAGCTGAAGCAGGGGTAGAGGATCATGCTGGAGCCGATGGGGCTGCAGATCCCCTGGGACAGGACGATCTGGTAGTACTGCGTCGAGACGGAGGCCATCATGATGCCGAAGACGTGCATGAAGGAGCCGAGGAGTAGGATGTGGCGGGGGCCGTAGTTGTCGAATACTCGTCCGACGATGGGGCCCTGTGGTAGAGTGTGTTAGGCCATGCCTTCGGGGTTTAGGGCTGGTTGGGCACGACTTACAGAGATGTAGATCATGCTTCCCATCAATGCAGGAATCCACGCGACAGTGCTTGGACTGTATTCGCTGAGCTGATGTGACTGGTAGTACGCCTGGAACACGCCCGAGCCTGCCGACACTCTACGGTCAATGACTTCTAAGCCCTATGGGACGTCTGATGTCAAATGGCCGACTCACAATTGGTCCACCCAAAACTGGTAAACAGCCCACATGCGGCACCGGCGACGACCAGCCAGGCACGCCAGCCGCCGTCGGGATATTTGCCAATGTCGGGCAGAGGCTCGTTCGAGACGCGCTCGTCGAAGGCCGCGCTCGGCCGCCTGGACTCTTCATCACTAGAGGGCTCGGACTCGGGATCGACGTCGGGCGGCTGATACTGCTGAGGAGTTTCGGTCTTGGTGTTCTGGGGTCCTCCCGTCTCGGCGCCCAGTCCGGATGCGGAGCTCATCGCATCCTTCTCCGTCATGACTATGGCGACGTCTCTAGGGTACGGAATGTGAAGCGCTATTCCTTCAAGGCAGACATTGGAAGACGAGGTTTATTTATTTTCGACGGATATTGATGTGACTCATGAATAGAACTCTACAGATCTCCCCTAATCCCAGCCTCGAACCAAATAAAAACAGCATGCCTACCACTGCACATCGGGAAATAATTAGCAAAGAAAATACTGTAAAAAGACCCCGTTACCGGCCCCTCCCACGAGGGTAGTGACGATGGCGCTAGGCTTGGACTGGTCACATTTAGGGAGAATTTCTATGGATGGACCGGTTCGACGGATGCACAAATTACGTACGGATATAGCAAGGCGGAGCCCCCTTCCTCGCTTCAACCTTCTTTCGTGGGGCGATGACTCTAACAAGCATCCGGCACCGCGAACCGGCGCGTGTGATGGAGCCCACTCTTGACTGAAGGGCGCGCGCAGGGGGATCCTGACTCCGGCCGGCCACGGATATCCGCAGAAACATGCAGGGCGTGTGACACAGACCGGAATCGGTCCGCAGTCCGTGAGCCATGCGCTTGTCGTTAATTAGATTTGAAAAGGTTCTCCGCGGGCGTGATGTATGTTGTTAATTCGTATATGTTATTGGATGTGGTATGCTGATCCATCGCTATGGTAAACAAAGAGCCGGCACAACCTCTCTAATGTTCCCATCGATATACGTGGCTTGCCCCTCTTCCTCCAGTTCCAACGACACCACCGCATCCAGCCCCATCCCGACCCTGATCAGCTTAGTCAAGCCACCAGACCGCTCGACCATGTTCTCGTTGGGCCACTTCAAGACACCGGGCGTCGAGTTGCCGGCCCCCAGCTCCAAGACGACGACCTGCTTCCCCGCGTTCCGCCTCTTGAACTCCCGCCACCGCTGCTCGCCCGCCGCAAACGGCCGCTCGTTGAACCAGTCGCCCGCGCGGACGCAAATGCTCATGGGGCCATGGCAGTATTCGCACAGCGGTATCTTGTTGCCAGAGGTCAGGTGCTGGGTGACGGGATCGAGGAAGGGCGTGGCCGCGTCTAGGTACGGCATCGTTGGGAAAGTCGCGTCCGGCCGGCAGTTCGCCAGGCACTGGAGCACGGCATATGTCCCCTGCGGGGTGGACAGCTTCTCCTCGCTCCAGCCGTTCGCGAGGAAGAGCCCGTCCGCGTTTGACGTTCTGACGTGCACATCGGCGGCCTGGCTCTTTAACCACGCGATCAAGGTCCCGTACACTGACGACTTCGGCCAGGACTTGATCATGTTCATATGCGTGAAGTAATAGCCCCACCGGTCCTGTTCCGAAGGCCAGCCTGCGAACCCAAAGACACTGTATAGCGTCGTCAGGTCATACTTCAGGAAGCCCGGGAAGTGCTTGGCAAAGAGTGCCGTTGAGGTATAGTCCAGGCCACTAGAGGCCGAGAGACCGGCCCCGGCACTGATGACGATGGCATCGGCGGACTTGAGCCAGCTGCGAGCGAGTTGCAGTGATGGGGACTGGCCAAGCGGACCTGATATAGGAACCGGGTCATGCGACCGTGCACCTTTGAGTAGGTCTTGGTAGATACTCGTGTCTGCATCGGTAAACGTGGTGAAAATCACATCGGTTATTGTTGAGTCACGGCCTTCCAACCACTGAGTAGTCGTTCGCACGGCGATCTCGGCGGCTTCGGAGGGAGGAAAGGCAAACAGGCCAGTTGAAACGCAGCACAGAGCGATTGCCTTTCTCGAACCCGCCACAGTCAGCAGCTCTGCTTCTCGCAGGATCGAGGTATAACAGCCCTCGAGCTGCCGCCTCTCTGTTTCAGTTGGTTTGTCTCCCTGGCGAAGCTGCGGTCCGACGGTATGTATCACATATGGTACCGGTAGATGATGGCCTCTTGTGGTGATAGCATCACCAGCAGGCAGCTCGGAAGTCCGGTCAGACATGATTTCGTAACACTCTTGGCGGAGCCCAGGCCCGGCCCAAGAGTGTATCACGTTATCGATGCAGCGATGGCTGGGCTGGAAGCATCCCAGCATCTGAGAGTTTGCGGCATTGGTTATCGCGGCGACGCCGGTCAGAGTGGTGATGTCCCCCTGCCACAGAATGAGATTGGTCTGTGTCTGCTTCTTTAGCGAGGTCACTGACTTCACCGGCTGCAGGGAATCGACGTGGGTGAGGAAGCGATGTGAATGGAGGAAAGCGTATATGCTCTGAAGATTCTCACAAATTCTGTCAGGTAGAGGGGGCTCGGGTGATCGCAGGCAGAGCAGTTGGCGCAACAGCTGCAACTGAGTTGAGGTAGGGAACTCATCAAGGGATTCGAGGTAGTAGCGCCTCTGTTGCTGATGTTTCTGCAATGCCTTGCTTTCCTTTATTAGATGCTGCAAAGCAGCCTTCAGAGATCTCGAGACGCCCATGATTATGTGGTGGAAGTCCGAAGTCAATCCAGTGGAATTGTGAGAAACCCACAACACCTCACCAAGTCTAGAATCCAGGTGGGTTGCCACACTTATCAATTCGGCGCATTTAGCGCACCAGCCGGTTATCCCACTTGATATTTAGTCAGCCTGGCCGAAGTTTTCGCTTCACTGAAGACACTCCGCAAGCCCCGTTTCGGTTGATTAATGTTGTGTACCCTTTGGCAACGGTGAACCCTTGGCAATCCATGTCTAGATGAAGACTGAGAAATTGAGATACAATCCATTATGCCTCTTGTCCCTCGCATTCGATTTGCTAACTAGTTCTGAGCTTCCATCTTCGCGTTTAATAACGCAGCCAAATCACGCGTCTCTCCAAAACGCTCATCACCCGCAATAAACGATAGCTGCTCCATCCACCATTTCCTGTTCTCTGTGGTCCATACATTACTAGCATTCGCCTTGCATTTCCCGTACACCCACCCGCACGCCTAGTTGGTCGCCAACCATGGCGCTGCAGCCGTGAGATCACCTGTGATCCTGTGACGGCCGCTCACTGGGCGCTCTTCGAGATTCGGATAGGCATATGACGACGGCAGAATATAGAGCAGTGCGGAGATAATACTGTAGTCAACCAGGTCTAGCATCTTAATGCGGGCGATGAAGGCCTGGAGCTTTTGCCAACGCATTCGGGATTCGGAGTCAGGAGTTTCGACTTCCGACAAGGGCTATGCAAGGCCTGGAAACTGGTTGGCGTTCATCACACCTTGTCAAGTAACGGGAAGTGTATGTAGCGGGTAATTACCTTCGACTTCCCTCTGGAAGCTCTGCGCAAGATAGTCCACCGAATGCGTGCCAAATGGCCATAGTGTAAACGTCCCGCCCAGAACAGGCTGATGCGAGTCATCGTAGAAGATACTGGGCGGCTAGTGCTTCGGCAACCCCTCGAGTAACTGAATGAGCTCAACAAGAGCGTTTTGCACAATGTGGCCTGGAGGATAGGCAGACAGCAGACTCATGCGATATAGGACATGAGCATAGCGACATGCCTTGATGGATTTGGCCCAAGGAGAGAGAGGTCGCCTTTCTCTTCCTCAGTGAGCTCCCTGCCCTGCAGCTTGCGAATTCGTGCAGTAACTTCGTTGACGACCCATTCATCAAACTCGGTTGCTGCCTGTGACGGCGTTGTGGATGACGGAATCGAGAATTTGCTTATATGCGAGGTCTTCTGGCTCATCAAGTCGTGGTTTCAGCATTGCAGCGTTGATGTCTTGTTCGGCCATGGCGGTTTGCAATTATGCTAGTGATATCGAATTGTCAAGGCATGTCGGTCCGACGACGCGAGCTTCATTCAATGGGTGAGCTGATAGGAGCTTTCTGTTTCAATCCCAATACTGGGGAACTTGAAACATATTTTATGGGGAATCGAATTAACAGCAATGCTATTACAGACCCCGAGCCGCGTGCTTGCCATTTCAGCCGCGCTGCTCTCCCTAATCGCTCTTCAACCTATGGCTAAGGTCGAGAGCGATCTCCAATCCTGAAGTCAATTCTAGTGTCAGAAGATCCTGCCTAGCCAGGCCACCGAGACGAAGCAATATCATCGTATCCTACGCTGCATATAAGTTAATTACCGGAGAAGGTGCGAAGTGATGTGATTACCTGTGGCTGAGCCCCCTGCAAGCTTGGCAGTTCTGATACAAAACTTCATTGAAATTGTAGTTAATGCCAAGCCGCCCTCCTGCCGCCCTCTTACGCCGTACATTGGTACTCGGTGTCAATGGCGCCTCTACGGAGAAGTCCGCGAGGCTGCGTTGACGGATCCAGGTGCCGAACTACTGAGAGCTGTTGCTGAAGACGTTGAGCATTAAAAGTTCGAAGCTTGTCCCCACTATTTACTGATGCAGGCTTACCGACACCTGAAGCAACTACATTTGCATCTCTCCTGAGCTTTTACCAAGATGTGTGAATACGAGGTACTGCCTTCATCCGACCACCTAGTGCTCTCTTGGCAGCTACCATGCTCCTCTATGCTTTCCTACACCTCCAAGTACGAACCAGGTCAAGAGAAACCCCATTGCAGAATCGCCTTTCTGTACTAGATGGAGCATGGTATGAAAGCAACGAAGAATTCATATGGGGCAGCATCCTCAGGTCTGAGAGATATATAAAGGCAGGTGTTCCTGAACCAAGTGCGATCATCCTCCAAACTACAACACCAACTCTATACACGTCCTAACCTCCATACTTTTCACACCCATCCAACCATCAAAATGAAGTTCATCGCTCTCATTGCTGCCTTTCTTCTGAGCACCCCTGTGCTCACAGCTCCGGTCGAGGCATATGCCTCCAGCTTGCAAGTCCGTAAGCCCGTGAGTTTCGAACAGACATCCCGATGCTTCCTGCCTGTTTTGGGGTACTTCAGGGCCATATTAACTTGAATTCTAGATCTCTGTTTTCTGCAAGGCCAAGGACGGGCGCAGGTTCGAGGTCAAGGCAGATGTGGCGAAATCTCAGGCACAGAAGGCTGGCCGGATTGGCGGCAAGAGAAAGAGTGGCTACCCCCACAGCGGGTTCAACCAAGGAAACCTTCCGAATTGCAACAAGACGACCCCAATTCTATCTGAATATCCCGTGCACTGGGTCGGAAAGAAGGGCCGAGTCGGCAAAAGACCGGAAGGTCTTCAGCCAGCAAGCTACTCCTCCCTGCGTTATCTTCTCTAACAGCAATGGCGGGATTGCGTACTGTGCCATCGTGACTTATGAGACAGCGACGTCCGAGAATCAGGACTCAGGTAAATTCAAAACTTGCGCCTAAGTGTAAGTACAATATTTGTTGTAACATCTCGACTTGATGCCGATGAACACACAGAGTGCTGACATTGAGATTTAGATGCTTTACCGACTCCAAACGGGTCTATTCGAACTTGAGCAGAGTCACACTCGTCAGAAACCACAATGCAAATAAGATCGGGAGGGGGGATAAAGGTTATTCAACACAAAACACCGGGAAATGGCCAGTATTTGTATTTTTTTGTAACTAGTTCGAATAGTAGACTATCATCCTAGACTTTCATTGATCCGTTTATGATCTCAGTCCTCATTTCTCCTCTCATTCGGTTGCAAAGCACATCGTCAATTTGATCACTCTACCCATTGCTCTTCAAAGGTTCGCGTGATCATATGATCGATATCGTGAGTTGTGTGGTGTCTCAGAGCTTTCTGACCCTTTCCTTCAGTTTCATAGGTAGTCCACCCTTGATACCCTGAGTATTGTATCAGCAACACCATTCTACGCAGTGTAAAAGAGGTGATAACCTACCATATTCATAGCTGCAAGAGGCTCATACGTCTTGGTGTCATTCGAGAGTATGACGTCAAAGCGTTGAAGAATGGCAGTGGTGATGGAAATGCCTTCGTACGTAGCGAGCGCCCTCCCCAAACAGCTCCGAGGCCCGGCGTTCCACGAGTGGTACTCTTCAGTCGGAAAGATTAGTCACAGAACAAGCAATCGTCCTCGATCCTCCTGCTTTGAGAAGACTTACTGAAAGGGCTGTAGGAGATGCTCTCTCCATCCTCCTTAAACCATCGGTATGGATTGAAGACAGTCGCATCATCGCCCCATATTTCGGGCATTCGTGACAGAACGTAGTTGTGATAGCTTACAATGTCTCCTCTGTTTGGCAAGGTCAGCGATAAGGGATACTTGTAGGGAACTCTGGCTCGTTCAACTTGCTTCTTGACATGACGTTCGGGCATATTGAGCTCTGGCACTGCCGGCAGGATATCGTCACCAGCAGCCTCCATCTGGCCCGCTGGAGAGACAGTGTCGAGACGGGCAGTCTCATCCCACATAGCATTCGTGAATTTCAGTTTCTGTAAATGCGGATCAGAATCTGGATTCCTGCGAAATACAAACTCTGCGAAACATCTTCATACCGATGTATCCGAGTATCCAAGGAAGGCATCTGCAAAGCCAAGCTCCGCGGCCTCAGTCCGCATCTTGTTTACAGCATCAAGGTGGCGATTATCTTGATGGTAGATCTCTTTGATAAACCAGGAGGTGGTGTAAGCAGTTGTGTCGCCTGGTTTGATAATGATCAGTATATGCCTGCGCCCAGAACGCACGAAGACTTACGACCTGCAACAAGGAAGCCGAATATCATTCCGCTCAGTCTGTATACATCAGTCGTGGACTGGATAAAGAGATCAAGGATGTCGACTCCATCGTCTGGGTTGTACTTGTAACCCTCTTTCATCGCGGTCAGTCGCTTGTTGATGATCCATTCAACTTTCTCATAGAACATTTCTGCCGCCTTGTTTGTGATCTTGTCCTCGCCGGAGAGCTTCTCAGTAATCTTCCACAGCGGATCACGCCTCCGGCGATCGAACACTGAAGTTCATTGTTAGCTTGGAAAGTGGTATGAGGTGAATGAATACATACGACCGGTAGCTTGGTCGAATGCCTTAACGTAGTCTGGTAGGGACTCGAGACACTTGGGATCATCGGACATGACATCGAGAGCCAGCTGGTCCTCATGAAAGGCGAGCCGCAGGAATAGGCAAAACAAGAAGCGGCTCATGAGCTCCTGGAAGTCAAACTCCTTCTCTTCTTTAGCCAAATTGGAGAGCAGACGCATCAGGATATCTAGCCAATGGTGCAGGGACTTGGTGATGTGGTTCTCAAAGTTCTGTTTACTAAAGGCGCGGGTCGCTGCCTTGCGTTGGACCGCCCATTCCTGACCGTCGGTCATAAAGATGCTGCCTCGGTGGAGGGTGCTGAAGGCATTGCGGGCAAACGAGCCACGAATGTAATTCTTGTGGTTGTGCTTTTGTATGTGTTCGAGATAGGTGGGGTGGTTGATGACATGCAGGCGGAAGAATGGGATGGTGATCTCGTAGGCAGGGCCATAGCGTCGATAGAGCGAGTACCATGCCTTGCAGCTGGCTTCGCCGTTGGTCTTGAGTTCCTTGGCGTTGCCCATGAAGGCTTCTCCTTTTGGGCCGGGTATCCAGTCCACATTCCTAGAGGAAGAAGTCCAGAAAGCTCTGTTGCGGTAGGTCCAGCAGAGGCCTGCACTCCTGGTAAGTAAATCCATATGATAGCTTCAATAGGACGAGGGAGACTTACCTAGGGTCACAACCAAGGTAAGGAGCCCAGCGTAGCCCAAAATAGTTGCCACTGAGGCCTGCGAAAGCAGGCCGTGGCCTTGAAGCAAAGCGCTCATATTCATGTCCTCAGTGGTTTGATGCCAGACGGGAGCTCGGGTTGAGGTCAGCCTGTGAGGGAGCCAGTTCAGGGATCGAGTGTGCAAAATGGTGTTTATCTGACATGCCACTCGCTGGTGACTTTGACCCTGGACATAACGGGAGGCGCTCAACCTTCAGTCTGTGGTGGCGGCGGGATACGAGGTTGCCCCAAGTGTGACATGTGGAGAAGCCCGTCTCCGCACCCAAAACACCGTGAGATGCCCCGCGATTCGGGAGGCTTGTTTCGTCCATGCCATGTGACATCACTCCCTGTGAACCAATCCCGTGCCTCCAATTCGCTACCACCAACAGCGCAAGGCCTGGTCAGACAGTCGGTCACCCACACCTCGGTGAAATATATGCCGAGTGCTGTGTGATTAAAGCTTGAAACCGAGATGCAAAAGGATAGGCAGGGTCGTATTGAATTACCAAGTCAGCATAGGGGTGGATCTTACTTGATTGAGAGGCTTATCACTAACAATTAATCAGACACACTCCATTCACATGAAATACTTGGTAAACTGCTTGTCTTGTTGATAAAACAACCTCGATATAAACAATGGCTTCTATTTTGGATAGTCTCTTACCCATGGCGATGTCATTCTGTTGCCGTGTTGAGCACTGAGTGTGAAGTGCAGTTCCCAAGAGCTTACACGCCATCATCGAGAACGACATGGCCTACCTCTCGGCATCACGAGTTTCCATCCTTTTCTAGGGATAGAAAGCTCACTCGCCACGAGCGACGGATGAAAAAGCACCACTGTCAGCGCCGCTTCCGGACCAGCGATATGGTCAGGGCCACGTTCCGGCCCCTTTGCTACACCGAGGCATCGAGCATAATCTGGTCTGACAGTAATCCTGAATTGGAAATATCCTGATCCTGGACGTGATCGAGCCTCGAGATCACTCCGCATGTACCCATCCTGCCCCAACCTCGCTCAACATCCGTAGATCCGATGTTCACTGGCGGCACTTTCTCGGGGCTGGTCGGCACAACTTGATTCTCTTCACAACCAGGCCTATAACAAGTTTTGTCTCCTTGTCGGGACATCTGCAAGCGACTCGACGACAAGCCAGACGTCCTCGACCCCCGGAAACTCGACATTCACAACTGCGGCACTATCATGCGCCACAAGCTTCGTTTCCCATGCTAGGTTTGACAGCGGTGGCTTAGCAGGATAGGACATGGAGGTCTCCAATGCGAACCTAACCTGCAGCAGGACCTCCCTCAACTCGCAGAATCGTGGTCCCTTCCAGCCCGACACGCCACCCGAGCTCGTCTGGGGGTTTGATTCCCCGCGTCCAAGTACAAGGCCATCTCGAACCCACTGCTCCTCCTGTCCCACGCAGGCATCCCCATCAGCAATGGCCAGCGGGTCCACGCGTCCGTCTGGATCATCCTGCCTACCGTGTCCAGAGCCCCGGGCTACCTATCCCTAATCGTCGGCAGGTCTATTGGCGTGACAAAAGTCGTACCGCGTTCACGCTGTCATGCGATGACGTCGCGGTCATGGTGCAGATGACCTCTGTGGGCACCATCGCGCCCTCCTAGCGGTAGCGACGTCGATGCCCCTGCAGGGTAGTACTGTCATGGGCGGCGCGTGGATTCGTTTCCGGCCGTTGTCCATAGTGAGGCTGGATTGGCCCTTTGCCCGTAAGCTGCAGGAATACTTTGGTCACACCGTTTCAGATTCCTGAAAGACAATATCTTATCTTTTTTGTAGGAGGAGACGGGGTAAAGCATAGAGAATTGCTCCTTTTTTTGGATAGTACTCAGTACTCAGCTGGCAAGGATGAGGCCTCTCCTAGGAACGTTTTCTTTAAGATATCAGGGTCCCGACTCTGCAGCGTCCTATACGCCGCCCAATGAAAGAGGTAGAGGTTGCAGGCGATGTATACAGCTCGCCCCACGTGCCACCTCTTGTGACACTGATAATTGCACATAGCGACACAGCCACACGGCTAGATTAGGCATCAACGCATGCATCTACCCCTCATCTTGGATCTCACCTCACAGTGCCTTGTCTCTTCTCCCTCAGAGATTGACATCCTACTCATAGAGCATTAGCCATATCGCAGTGGCAGCAAGCATCGCTCCTAATGGATCCGCAGAGGCATACTTGGCGAATACAGGGCATTCCCTTGGATTTCAGCAGGGAGCACCTAACCGACATTCTGCAAGACCATCCTGATCTACAACTAGGCAATACGACGGATGGTGATAATGTCGCGAACAGCGCAGAGATTCTTACTGTGTCGCGAGATCACGGAGGACGTCACCAGGTCGCCACCGTCCGGTTCTGCCATCACCCAAAGAAGCTTACCGTAGGAAACGGCAAGCGGTTGAGACTTACCACGAGCGACTTCCGCGCTGGCCGGGCTAGGCCGTCGCTTCCCGCGGGAATCACCATTGATGACCATTTCCACGGCATCACAGTATTGTTCTCGCCCGTTTCCGAGAAGCACCGTGCTGATATCCTCGTCGTTCCTGGGCTCGGAAGTCACCCCTTTGGCTCATTCGTGAGTAAGGAAGACGGACATATGTGGCTATGCAGCGAGCTTGTCAGAGACGCACCGGGAGCCAGGATCATGACCTATGGCTACGGCAGCGCTTTACAAGCTAGTCAGAGCGTTGCGCGGCTTGGAGACCTGGCGCGGTCTCTGCAGATCCCCATGTGCGACCTGCTGCGGTCTGAACCAAGGAAGCCGCTCATCCTGATTGCACACAGCCTTGGCGGATTGCTAGTCAAAGAAGCGCTGATCCAGACATTGGAGTCACAGTCAGACTCGGACTTGCTTGAGCGTGTGAAAGGGTGTATTTTCTTTGGTGTTCCGAACGACGGAATGGATATCACGTCGCTCGTTCCCATGGTCAAGGACGGGCCGAATCGCCTCCTTTTGCAATCGCTCGAGAATATGAACCCAGAGATTCTGAGGATACAGAAAAAGAGATTTTCAAAGGTCTTGGATTATGCAAATTTGGACCTGTTTTGTTTCTTTGAGACAGAACTTTCGCCAACTGCAGCCAAGGTATGAACAGATGTTTTAGAACCATGGGTCATGCTGTTGATGTTGACCAACTCACAGGACCCAGGTACCGGACGATACAAAATGAACGGCACCCGACGGCTTCTGCTGACTCAGGCTTCAGCAACCAGCTGCCTACCGGCAGAGATGTCTATGGAACTCTCGGCTCCCTTGGCCAGGACTCACTCGGATCTCGTCAAATTTGCGCTTTACGATGATGAATACGACAAAGTCTCTTCACACATCAAACGGATTTATACATCTTCGGCCAAAGAAAACCATACGAACCGGGAAAAAATCATGGACTCGCTGTATTTCCAGGAAATGAGTTACCGTAAGAGGCAGATCTATCAAGACGACTCGGGTTCTCTGGAGTGGATCTGGAAAGAGGGTAGCTTTCTATCATGGCTCAAATCACTGCAGTGTCTCTTCTGGATCAGTGGGAAGCCTGGCAGTGGCAAGTCGACGTTGATGAAATACATCCGAAATTCCTCAAAGCTCAAGTCATATCTCGATACAAATCATAGCACCCTGGCCTGGGTAGTGATTGATTTCTTCTTTGACTTTCGATCCGAGGACCGGATTGCAAATAGCTTCGAGGGACTGCTCCGATCACTTTTGCTGCAGCTGATACATGAGATGCCTGAGAAATCAGATGCTGTTCTGGGTATTGCTTTGGATGGGTTCGACCCAAAGCAAGAGGTAGAGTGGACCAGACCAGCACTACTTCAAGCAGTGAAGGCTGTCATACTCACAGCCGATACCAACATGTGCATCTTTGTGGACGGTCTCGACGAGTATGGAGGCAGTTACTTAGAGCTGATCGAATTTTTCCGGGGCATTGAGTCAGGCACTGGCAAAGCGAGAGCCATCGTCAAGATCTGTCTCGCCAGTCGACCAGAGGCACTCTTCATCGAAAGCTTCAAGGAAATTGGCAGCATTTGCGTGCAACGCTACAACGTGTCAAGCATCCGCCAATATGTGGCGGAAAAATTTCGGGTCGTACTTCAATATCACTCCGAGGCTGAAGATGTCTGGAGGCTGATCAACCACATCGTCGAAAACGCGGAGGGAGTTTTTCTCTGGGCTCAGTTTGCCACTCAGATCACCATTGAAGGCATCGCGGATGGAGAGAACTTCTCGAACTTGCAGAAATTTCTTCTAGATCTTCCGTCGGATCTGGAAGCCGTATACGACAGGATGCTTCATCGTTTGAAGCCCAGGCAGTTCCAGGAAGCATACGTGATCCTCAGTCTCGTGTCCCATGCACCCTTTTGGTTGACTCTGGAGGCGCTTCACGCGGCTGTGTGCCTTGCAACTGGCCGTCAAGTCTCAACGGGAATGCTTTCAGCGAACCCCGAAATACACGATCTGACATCAACCAAGTCTCTCTCCGATTTTGGAAAAAGGACCAGATCCTACACGTGCGGGTTAGTTGAAGTTGTTGAAGTTGTTGAACTATTTTATAAAGGTCCCGATAGTCCAATGTTTAAGCAAGTTCGCCTGATACATCGAACGGTGAAGGCTTTCTTGGATCGCCCTCAGGCACTCGCGTTTCTCACAGTCCGAAAAGAGGAGGCTTTGATCGACCCCGAGTGGCTCTGGCTAGAGATCTGCGCCGCAGAAATCAGGCAACACCCCTCTGATTTCGCGCATGCGGATTCTCGGCAGCTTGGGAGCTATGTTCGACAAGCCTTATTCCATCACGCTCGGAAAGCAGAGGAAACGACGCCAGAGTCATCTTTTACAATCCTGGATCCCCTACTGACACCAGAGGTGCTGCAGCTTTTCCGTCCCAAGGTGGAAGGAAAAGTGGTCACGGCCAGGAACGATATCGCTTCCAAGAGAGGTAGCGACACATCCCTCAGTGTCGCGGCGAAAGCGGGCTTGGTAAAATTCTGCAGAGACAAGATCAAGGCTGGTGTTGATCCAAACGAAAACGGTGGCCGTGTTCTGGAGGCAGCAATAGGAGGTCTCCGCGAAGACGTGGTGAATATGCTTCTTGAGCACGACCTGGTGATCGATGATTGGCACATCATTGACGCCCTTGAGCGTATGAGCCTCTCAACTGTACAGGCCATGTTGAAACGGGTAACCAAGGGACCCATCAAACTCACCAATCATGTTGGACAAAGCATCAAGCCGCTCTACGCGGTAGCAAGCACACCACTGCCTTGGGACGGGCGCGCCGAGCATTTATTTCGATATTTTTTACGCCTTGGAGAAGATATCAACGATCTCTCTGGCCCAGAGGGTACCGCATTGCATGGAGCAATCTTATCGGGCTTCGCTGGGTATGGGGATGCGGAAACCCTGATTCGCCGACTAGATTTTATGCTTCGCCACGGAGCAGATATCAATGCTCAAAAGCCGGGAATGTGTCATGGTCTTATTCGCCCTCTCGACCTGGCCGTCCGAACAAGCCTAGAGCATATCGGATACTGGCGTGCATGCTACGTGAGGAAGGGACTGGAACTTCTGATCGCAAGGGGGGCAGAATCTATCAATATGGACAATGTCAAGGAGACAATTGAGGCTCTGGAAAGATAACATGACATGTCGTTATGGTTGACTAAATAACGGCTGAGAGAAGTGAATGTATTAGCTCCAGTAGTGTCATTATCGAATAGATTTCTCCCACTAATTGATTCGCGAAGAAAGGAACATCATTGGGCCGGGAACTCGCTGAATTCACCATCCAGCCTGTCAAGCTTTCAATGGCAACGTAAACTTAGAGGTAACTGTCCGACAGAGGGTGGTTTGTCGTTGATGTTGTGCCTCAAAGTCATGGAGCAAATGGCTCGCCGATCTCGGATGGCTCAGAGCATTGACCGTTGAGCCGAGGCCCAGATCACGAGACTTGGTGGAGGGAATCCCTGTAACCTTACTCACTTACTCTCACGCAGCCGGCGACAAAAGTAGACTCCGGCGAGTGCGAATCTCCACCACGGGTACCGCCGGGAGCGGGCTGGCGGAGCACTAACCGTGGGCATTGCAGCAACAGCAGCCCTCGCTCTCTCACGAGCAGCGGCTCCGTCTCCTTTGCGTGATCCCACCAGCGAGCCCAGTCCCGTCCATACATTTAACCCCCGTCGCATGTCGTAGCACTACCTACAATTACATAGGCTCGCCCCGATTCCAATGGACAAGGCCCGCAGCCTGCACCATCGACACCTGCAGCGGCACAAACCCTCGAACACCAGCAGCAGTCCCAGCAGCAGTAGCAGCGTCCGCAAGCGCTACGTCACCATGTCCAAGCTGTCGCCGAGCCTCAAGGCGCTCATCAACGCGCCGTTTGCGCGGCCGGGCCCCGCGCCCGCGCCGGCCAAGATCGGCGACATCTACGCCGCGATCGCGCGCGAGGCGGCGCAGAAGAAGATTGGCGCCCGGCCGTGGATCGCGCTGGCGGTATGTCTCTTCTCTCTTCCCCGCCGCTCGCTTGCGCCAATTGGCCTGGATGACTGGGACTGACTGACCCTTGCCCGCCACAGACAGCCGCCTCCTTCACCATGAACTCGCCCGACTCCATCTCGGCGCTGTACAGCGTCGCCTCCTCCGCCTCTGCCTCCTCGTCCTCCCCGCCGACGAACCCCGTCCAGACGGCCGAGTTCATGCGCGAGGTGGGCCTAAAGTGCATCTCCTTCAACGGCATCCCGCGCACGATCAACTGCCTCAACGCCTTCCACGCCTCCCTGCCCGCCGACGTAACAGCCCAGCTCAGCACGACGCCCTCCCGCGCCGTGACGGCCCAGAACCTCGACGCCGTGGCGCAGCGCGGCCGCGCCCTCTGGGACTCGGTGTACGCGCCCTTCGAGGACAAGCTGTACGCCAAGCTCGCGCAGTCGCACCCGGACATGCCGGTGCACATCCTGCACAGCCACTACGGCCCCCTGCTGAGCGACCCGACCCCCCGGGAGAAGGGCTCGCTGGGCAGCGTGGGCCGCGTGCTGACGAGCGTCGTGGCGATCGCGTGCCTGCGGGCGCAGAGCGGCGTGGCGCCGCAGGTGCTGTCGCACGTGTTCGGGTTGCGCAAGGCGGTCCTCGGGGACGGGTCGTACCGCGCGGACGCGCTGACCGAGGAGGAGAAGCGCGGGGCCGAGTGGCTCGCCACCGACGAGGGCGGGGAGTGGATCCTCGGCAGCGTGGACCGGATCGCGGCGGCGATCGGGGGCGGGGAAGGGTCCAACTTTGCGCCGCGGCCGGCGGGGAGGGAGAGCAAGTTGTGAGTGAAGGCTGAGAGGTTGGTGAGGGATGGGAGGGTGCCGTGTTGGAAAGGCGGGCGCTTGTGTGCATGAGGTAAAGCATTGTCTTGTCTATCATGAGCATTCTATTCGGACCGCGATCTGCTTTTTTTCTTCTTCTTATTCTCACATATATGCATGATGTAAAGACAGAAACAGCCATAGAATGAGATCCAAAAACCAAAAATGCGCTTTCGTTGTTGGTCAAAATGTACAGACAAGCAATGCGATTCCCGAGCGTCGACCAGTCAATGATGAGATCGTCACCCGATGCTAAACCAACCCAATGACAATGCAATCTCTAAAAGAAAAGCAGTACACGATTTATGATATCCCCCCACCACGTCTAGGGCATCTGCTTCAGGTCCGGCGCGACCTCAAACTTGGCGTCCGTCTTGGCCCGGACCTCGTCGACCTCGACGCCGGGCGCGATCTCGGTCAGGGTCAGGCCGCCGTCGCGGCGATTGACCTGGAACACGCACTGCACAACGTTAACAGAGAGAAACTTGAGAAAACATGGGCATTTTTCGCATTTTGGTATCAGACTCACCAGGTCGGTAATGATGGTGCTCACGCACCGCGCGCCCGTCAGCGGCAGCTGGCAGTTCTGCACGACCTTGGACGAGCCGTCCTTGGCGACGTGCTCGGTCGTGACGACGATCTTGGTGTTGTCCGGGTTGGACACGAGGTCCATGGCGCCGCCCATGCCCTTGAGCAGCTTGCCGGGGATCATGTAGTTGGCCAGGTCGCCGCAGGCGCTGACCTGCAGGGCGCCGAGGATGGACACGTCGACGTGGCCGCCGCGGATCATGGCGAAGGACTCGGCGCTGTCAAAGACGGAGGCGCCGGGGACGAGGGTGACGGTCTCCTTGCCGGCATTAATAATATCGGCGTCGACCTCGTCGGGCGTGGGGTAGGCGCCCATGCCCAGGATGCCGTTCTCGGACTGGATCCAGACCTGCCGGTCGGCGGGCAGGAAGGAGGGCGCGAGGGTGGGCAGGCCGACGCCGAGGTTGACGTAGAAGCCCTCCTTGAGCTCCTCGGCTGCGCGGCGGGCGATGCGGTCGCGCTTCTCCTGCGCCTCGCTCCCGGCCTTCTTCTTCTCGGCGCCCTCCCCGCCCTCCGGCTGCCGCAGCTTGACGATCTCGATGGTCTTGTCGGCTGTCGCGGGCACGATCCGGTCGACAAAGATGCCGGGGAGGTCGATCTCGTCGGGACGCAGCTCGCCGACCTCGACGATGTGCTCGGCCTCGACGATGGCGACTTTCGCGGCTTTGGCCATGATGGGGCCGAACGACTTGGTCGTGTAGCGGAAGACGCAGTTGCCCGCGCGGTCGGCCTTGTGCGCGCGCAGGATGGCCACGTCGCCCGTGATGGCCGTCTCGAGGAGGTACGTGCGCCCGCCGAACTCGCGCGTCTCCCGCGGCCGGCCGCGCTCTTTCACCTGGCCGCCCGGCCCGAGCCGGACGGGGATGTCGCCGTCCTGGAGCAGGGTGTGGGCGCCCGTGGGCGTGAAGAAGGCCGGGACGCCGGCCCCTCCCGCGCGCAGGCGCTCGGCGATGGAGCCCTGGGGGCACAGCTCGATGGCGATGTCGCCGCCGAGGTACTTGCGCTCGAGCTGCTTGTTGCTGCCGAGGAAGGAGATGGTCAGGCGCTCGATCTGGCCGCTCTCGACGAGGGGCGCGAGGCCGCCCTTGCCCTCGACGCCGGCGTTGTTGGAGACGGCGGTCAGGGAGTGCAGGGAGGCCTTGCCGCGGCGCTCGAGGGCCTGGATGAGGGTTTCTGTTGGACGGGGGTCCTCTGCGTCAGCTTCGGTAGGGTGCAGAGTGGTGTTGTGTGTGCACGGGACGAGGACAACAGCACTCGGCAATTTGCCGGTGGTATGTGTGTACATGTATGGTGGTTTGTGGTGTGTGGCTATGAGATGCGCTGGTCACAACTTACCCGCCGTACCGCACAGGCCGAAGCCGGAACTGAGGATGGTCGAGCCGCTCTGGATATCAGCGACGGCCTCGTCGGCGCTCTTAAAGACTTTATTCCCTCCCCTCTTGACCTCGGGCGCGCTGGCGGAGCGGCGGACGGGCGTCGTGGCGAAGGACCTGCGCGGTGCGCTCAGGACGCCCGCGACGGCACATTGCGTGGGGGTCCGCGCGGCAGCAGCATGCCGGAAGGTGGCCGGACACAGCAGAACGGGGGTCTTGGCTGCGGCGGCGGCAGCGGAGGAGGCCCGCGCCAGGATGCGCGGGTGCAATTGGCGATGTGTGAGAGCCATATTTGGCTGTTTTCTTCTCGTCTGCTCTGCTCTGCTCTGCTCTGCTCTGCGGTCCTCGATCTCTGCTCTGCTCCTCTCTCGGCGGCGCGGTCACTCGTTACGCGCGCGCACGCAGCAGGGAAATGGAGATGGACGTTCCGTGATGACACAGGCGGGGGAAAAGGCTGGAAGGAAGAGCGGCTTCGCTTTGCTTGGTTCGAATTGGGGATGTCTTTTTTGGGAGCGAGGATAAAGTCGCAAAGTGCCTAAAGAAATATAATCCCCCGTCTCGACATGTGCAAGAGTGCGAGAGAGAGAGAAGCTCACGAGGCGAAAGAGCTGCCTCTCTCTTGCTCGGCAGTTGTTCTAACCCCCGCCGCGATAGACGGGCACAACCGGGCCAAGACATGACGAGGGGGATCGATTGATGCCGGCTAATAGGAGAGGGCACTAAGAGCTGAGCGCTGGTGTTCAGGCCCGGGGGTAAAAAGAATAGCCGCAAGGCAAGATGGAGGAGAATTGGAGATCAAATGCTGCCAGGGTCTGCGCTAGCTCACAGTCGGGCGGTGGCCTCTCTTCTAGGTTGCAGAGACTCTGCACCCCGCATCTTGGCTCTTATTAGGTATTCATGTGCATCTGTCCGCTCTCGAGGGCAGTGAAGGTGAGGAGTAGAGATTCAGATTCAGATTGAGAGCGAGAGCGAGAGCGAGGGCGAATCCCAGATGATCAAAGAGGGAATAGCCCCAGAAACAGACATCCAGACAGAAGCAGCTTAGGGCGGCACAGGCTACCTACTTGTACCTACCAAGTACTACACAGGCTCTAACTACAGGCTCTAGTTACAGGCTACACAGCACCTGGGCCGCCTGGGGAAAAGGAACCTTGGAAAACCGTTGGGGTTGGGGAAAAACCAAATCCCTCGAGAGGCCCCTCGTCGTCGTCGAATTGATCAGTCCAGTTAACAACTATTTCCATTCCCTTTTCCAGCAGCCGCTTCTTTTCTGTTGCTCCCCTTGCAACGAAGAACCGTACCGTCCATGGATCAGTGAGGTATGGAGCGACGACAAGGAGAGCAGTCCGTCGATCAATCAATCAATCTCCTAACGCCGCCCCTCTCTGTCCGTCCACCGTCTCCCGCGCGACGCACCGCCACTCGAAACGTACGACTAGGTGAACTTTTTATCTCCTCGCCCGCACGCTGCCCTTGTCCTCTGCTGCAGCGAAAACCCCAGCTCGGAGACAAAAACGAACAGCGCGTGGGGCCAGCGTCGGAGACTGAATGCCAGCCCTGGAGTAACTACCCCTACTCAAGGAAGAGTAGAAGAGGCTACCTAGGTAGCTAGCAGCTATCAGCAAGCCCCAGCCAAGTCGATACGATACGATACGATAGTGCAGCAGATAGGGACTGGACTGATAGTGATAGGCCCCAGCGCACTCAAAATCTGACTTCCGAGAAACACCACCACACACCCGCACCCGCACCCGCACCAGCACCACGGGTCTCGCATCAACCACGACAGGTCCACTCGGCGTTACAGCACACACCACACGCACGCGCGCGCGCATCATTCCGAGCGACCCCATTTCTCGGTATTTCGCTCCCTGTCGTGCGGGCGTTGCGGCTCGGGTCTAGCCTGGCCTCTCGCCTGCCTGTCGCCGCCTGCCTACCCTTGCTCGCGTGATTGCGTGATTGCTTGCTTGCGGGGAAGGGGGGCCTGACCTGTTCCGGACCCGATCGCCGTGCCGGCCTGGCGTACCCTGTGTCAAATCTCCGTCCATGGAGGCCACGCCGCCCCAGCCGCCGAGGCAGGCCGCCTGCCTGGTCTGCCGCCGGAGCAAGATCCGCTGCGACTGGCTGCCCAACCACAACAAGTGCAAGCGCTGCATCCAGCTCGACGCCGACTGCGTCCGCCCGGCCTTCCATGTCGGCCGCCGCAAGGGGATCAAGAAGTATGCTTTCCTCGTCTCTCTCAGTCTCTCCACCGTCCTCGAGACACCGCAGTTCACTCACCACTGCTGCTCGGCACTTCATCTGTCCCCCGTCTTCTCCGCCTCTCCGTGCTTTCGTACCCACCCCGACACACTCTCACTCACTCACTAACACTGCTAACCACCCCTGAAAAGTAAACGTAAAGGCCTGGATAAGGCCCTCTTCAAGATCGAGCAGGCCATCCGCCGCGCCCGCACCGGCGACCAGACCGCCGAGGACGACAAGGCCATCCGCGACCTGCAGGCCCTCCTCGGCGACGGAGGCAAAGATGCCGCCTCGGCCGCGGTCTCCGCTTCTGTCTCCGGTCCGGGAGGTGACTCCGGCCTCCACCGGCCCGGACCCGGCGGCAGGCGGCGCTCCTCCCACTCCCAGTCCATGTCTATGGACAGCGGTGGCGGCGGCGGCGGCGGTGGAGGCGGTCTAGGCCAGCAGGACTCGTCGAGCGACGAGGACGACGAGCTGCCCGACGCCGGGATGGGCGCTGGCACCGGCGTCGGCGTCAACGGCATGGTAGTGGGCGACAACGACGCGTCGCCGTCCAACGCCGACGAGAGCATGGGCGTCGACGACGCCGAGAACCCCCTGCAGCTGCTGGCGCGGGCCTCGCGCCTCGAGCTGTCGCCCAACGGCGGCGGCGGCCGGGCGGCGCTCAAGAGGGCGTCGTCCGGGGCCGCCGGGGACCACCACCGGAGCAGCCGGAAGCGCAAGGAGCACCCGGACGAGGACAACATCCGCTCCTTTTTCAGCCCGCTGCGCGTCAACCTCGATGTCGGGGAGGACGTCGACCCGATCGACCTCGGCCTCGTGACGGAGGACGAGGCCGAGTCCCTCTTTTCCTTGTAAGCACACACACACACACACTCTCTCTCTCTTCCACACTTGCCCAACATGGCTGCACCAGCCACGTATGCTAATCAATTCAACACCACAACAGCTTTCACGCTAACCTCGCTCACACCCGCTGGGGCCTTGACCCCAAGCTCTACACCATGGCCTTTACCCGCTCCCGCTCCGCCTTCCTGCTGACCAGCATCCTCGCCGCCTCGGCCCTCTTCCTGCCCTCCGCCGCCGCCCTCTCCAAGCGCCTCTCCAACCACTCCAAGACGCTCGCCCACCGCGTCATGACCCGCCGCCACCGCTCCGTCGAGATCGTCCTCGCCTTCATGTTCAACGTCCCCTGGTCCTTCCCGGGGCAGCACAGCACCGACGACGAGGCCTGCTGGTACGTCGCCATGGCCACCACCATCGCCATCGACCTCTCGCTGCACAAGGTCCTCGTGCCCTACGAGACCCTCCTCGGCGGCTCCGCCCCGCCCCAGGTCGCCGCCCTGAACCGCGCCGACTGCGTCGACCCCAAGCAGGCGCTCGCCGTCGACGGGTTCGGGCACGTCGCGCCCGCGTCGGACCTCGGCCGCCGGCTGCTGCGCACGCGCGAGCGCTGCTGGCTGTCGCTCTTTGTGCTCGAGAGGGGCATGTCGCTCGCCCGGGGCCGCAGCTACATCGTGCCCGTCACGCGGTCGCTCAAGGACTGCGACAGCTGGCACCGGTCGGGCATCGCGGACCCGATGGACGGGCACCTGGTGTCTATGGCGGTGCTGAGGAGGAATCTGGTACGTTTCTTGCTTTTCATAGAGGACCACGATGTACTGTGGGAGAGAGAGGAGATGACTGACGGATTACTCCCTGTGAACAGGACGGGTTGTTTGCGACGGTCAGGTCGCTCTGTGACGGGGCGCAGACCATGTCTGCTGATGGGTCGCTGACGGCTCAGTCGTAAGTTGTTTTGTTTGCTACATGAAGCAACTCTGGTGAAGCCATTTGCTAACGGCCTCCGTCCTAACAGAATACAAGGCGTCATTGAAAAGTTCTTTGATCAGTGGTTCGCAGAATGGGGCGTCACCATCGGCTCTGGACCTCGTAAGTCAACACTACCAAATAGACACCCTCCTTTCACTACAGCACCAACCCGACACCGACTGACACGCCACACAGACTGTCGACTGCCCCCCTACGTCGAGATCCTCGTCACCCACACCCGCCTCTCGACCTACTCGTCCGTCATCAACCACCCGACCGCCCCCGTCGAGGTCCGCCAGTTCTTCCGCAGCGCGGGCCTCTCGTCGGCCCTCAACGTCATGCGCACCGCCATCCAGGGCGAGGCCCAGCTCAAGTCCATGCCCAACAACACGACCATCATGATCTCCTTCGCCGCCTGCTTCGCCCTCACCCTCTCAGGGTACACCTCGGGCTCGTCGAACCTCGCGCCCTCGGTGCGCACCCTGGTCCAGGAGACGGCCGACGTGCTGGAGCGCATCGGGTCCGTCACGGCGCACCGGAACGGCCTGTCGCGGCTGTACGGGAATTACCTGCGGCGCATCGTGCGCAAGGCCGCGACGACGGCGGGCAAGCCGGCTGCTGCTGCCGTCGAGGCGTCGTCGCGGCCGCCGGCGATACCCGAGAACCAGCCGCCGTCGTCCCTGCAGCAGCAGTACCAGCAGGCGCAGCACCAGCTGCAGCAGCAACACCAGCACCAGCAGCATGTGCAGCAGGCTCAGCAGGCCCAGCAGGCCCAGCACCAGCAGCAGCAGCAGCACATCATGACGACGCCGACGCTGAGCGTGGCGTCGGACTCGCTGGCCCAGCAGGCGCAGCACGCCGACTACCTCGCGCAGGCGGCGCTGCAGCCCAGCCCGCTGCAGTTCTCGGCCATGTCGGACGACCAGATCCTCGAGGTGCTGAACCAGCCCGGCAACGAGTTCGACCCTTCGTTCGGGTCGCTGGCGTGGGCCGACATGATGACGTTTGAGGGGCTGAACTGGCCGAATCTGACCTGAGGAGGAGAAGAAAAGGAAACAACAAAGGGATGGGCATGTGGTTTTTTTTTTTTTGGATGAAGGACTTTTTTTTGTTTCGTTGGTTTCCTCTTTTGTGTCAAATTCTGTTGTAACTAGGAGGGAGGTTTTTATCTTTTCGTTTTAGCGACCTGGCGATGATTCCCAGTACAATTCTGTGTATACGAAGCAAGTCTTTTATGAATTGATGCCACATGAAGTTCATGATCGCCTCTCTCTCTCTCTCTCTCTCTCTCTCTCTCTTTCTCGCCCCTGTCGTCATTGTCGAGGTCAACTCAAGCATACGCCAAGCCCAAGCGAGCGCCTGTAACCCGGCACCGGTAAAGTGCCCAGGTGGGCGATCCACTGCCTGCCGTCTCGGCTCTGTGCCGTGGGCCCCAGTCTGGAGGTCCCTTGGGCGATCGCTGCCCTCGAATGTGCACAACCGGCCTTGGCAATATGTTTCTTGGGAGGGGTTTGAAGAATCAAATCGACAAGACGTGAACACCAGAATCCAAGGTCGATTCCGTATCTGGTGATATCCTCACCATCCATAATAGCTTGAGAGGAAACCGCTCGCCTTGTCAGCACCATCATTTGTTCCCCCTTCATTGGCCACCCTAGCATTCGTTTGTCTGGCATTGCGTCTGCCTTCTGTCGGGGTTGAACTGCGGTGAGGGGCACTCGATGTTTTGGTCGAACAGACAGGCACGGGGCGTCTACCTCCGCTCCTCAATCAATCCCAAGGTCCATCCATAAAACGAAACATTGACCCATCCGAACTTGGACGAACAGCGTCACTACCATGCCACTTTGTTTGGCAGGCTACAGATTGGCAATCATGCCTGAGCTCGCTTGGAGTGCCGAGCCGAGCGCTCCACGATCCTAATATATCCATGGACTCTCAATGCAAGTTGGACTCGGACTGTCAAGCGTAGCTTGCCCCTCCTACATGACGATGGGTTCGTAGCGGGCCATTGCCGTGCGGGGAAGAGAGCAAGTTGGGGGATTTGGGATGATATCCTCGCCGTCGGGAAATAAATGACGAGGCACACCAGTGGTCACTTGAGTCCGGGGGTAGGTGGTACTTCCCGGGCTTGTATCTCGCTCCACCGCTCGGCGTACATGCCTTGGCGACGGGGGCGGGCTCGGTCCCCGGGTCGCTCTGCAGGAGCTTGGCATCAAGCTCTGGTCTTGGATCTTTGGATGAGCATTGAGATATCGCGAGGAGCAGCTGTGTTTCAACATGCTTTGCTCGGGGAGTTAATATGCATTCCCATCATGACTGGCAGAGGGGTAGGTGTTTAGTGCAGCAACCCACTGTTGTTGATTTCTTCGATCCAAAGATATTCATGAACCAAGGATATAATCTCTAGTGGGCTATGTCTTTCCATTAGCAGTGGCATAAAAGTGCTTGTTACAATCGCTCTCGTGTCGGTGACATCCTCCCCGGTCACCTGCCAGCCCCTCGGAATGTACCGACCATGGTTGGATGCCAAACAGGCCTCATCACCACCCAATCCTGTTCCATTCCGATATTGAAAATCCTCGGTTCCTCGGTTCTCTGTCGCCTTGTTGGTGCCCATGGGTGGTACTTGCGCATTGTCGAGATGCCTGTTCCGAGTCCGCATTCGAGGCGAGGAGCCTGCTGGATCAATATCGTAGATACAACCGCTCCGTACGAGGTGACAGGGTGACAACGATGCTGCACACTTCACCTCGTATGTACCGAACAGACAGATGGGAAAGCAGGGCAGAGGCCAATGAAGGTGAATGATGCGAATGGGTGTTGGGCATTCCTCGTTCACCAACGGTCGTCCAACCCCTGGCCTGGACCGTTCTGGTTCCATCTTGTAGCATCGGATCCAACCTCCTGCACATCCGTCTCCAGATCCGCAATGACATATGGGATTCATATATCCAGGCACAACGAGTCCCGAGTTCTCCCTTTCCTGTCCTGGCTGTCTTGATACTCTGGGGTATCCCAGCGAGGCGCCTCTTCCTATAAAGACCGACATAGGAACAGGTGTTCTGGTACCATCCTTGCCCAGAATACCACCACCCGCACCACCACTGCGCCTCTCATACTGCTTGTCTCATACACCAGAAACAACCATGTACACCAACGTCGCCACCGCCCTCTCGGCCCTGCTGGCCTCGACCGCCTCCCTGGCCGCGGCCCAGGGCGTCGGCACCCAGCAGACCGAGACGCACCCCAAGATCACCTGGCAGAAGTGCACCGGCAAGGGCAGCTGCCAGAACCAGAACGGCGAGATCGTCATCGACGCCAACTGGCGCTGGGTGCACGACAAGAACGGCTACACCAACTGCTACACCGACAACAAGTGGAACTCGACCATCTGCTCCGACAACGCAAAGTGCGCCTCGAGCTGCGTCGTCGACGGCGCCGACTACCAGGCCACCTACGGCGCGTCGACCTCGGGCAACGCCCTGACGCTCAAGTTCGTCACCAAGGGCTCGTACGCGACCAACATCGGGTCGCGCATGTACCTCATGGCCAGCGCGAGCAAGTATGCCATGTTCACGCTGCTGGGCAACGAGTTTGCCTTTGATGTCGACCTGTCCAAGCTGCCGGTCAGTTGCCATGTAAATTGCAATATGAAGTGTTCCACTTATCTGATGCGCTCGGCAGTGCGGCCTCAACGGCGCCGTGTACTTCGTCAGCATGGACGAGGACGGCGGCATGTCCAAGTACTCCACCAACAAGGCTGGCGCCAAGTACGGCACGGGCTACTGCGACTCGCAGTGCCCTCGCGACCTCAAGTTCATCAACGGCAAGGTATGCCTGCGAAAGGGGATACTCCTCCTAGGCAAAAGCACTTGCTAATCACGCGGTTCAGGCCAACGTCGAAGGCTGGAAGCCCTCGTCCAACGACCCCAACGCCGGCGTCGGCGGCATGGGCTCCTGCTGCGCCGAGATGGACATCTGGGAGGCCAACTCGATGTCCATGGCCTACACGCCGCACCCGTGCCAGAACGCCGCGCAGCACATGTGCTCGGGCGACGACTGCGGCGGCACCTACTCGGCCACGCGCTTCGCCGGCGACTGCGACCCGGACGGCTGCGACTTCAACCCGTACCGCATGGGCGCGCACGACTTCTACGGCAAGGGCAAGACGGTCGACACGTCCAAGAAGTTCTCCATCATCACGCAGTTCCTCGCCTCGGGCGGCAGCCTGACCGAGATCAAGCAGTTCTACGTCCAGGGCGGCAAGAAGATCGAGCTGCCCTCGGCCAACTGGCCCGGCCTGACGGGCAACTCGCTGACCCCGGACTTTTGCAAGAAGCAGAAGGAGGTGTTTGGCGACAAGGACCGCTTCAGCGACATGGGCGGCTTCGACAACATGGGCAAGGCGCTGGCCAAGGGCATGGTGCTTGTGCTCTCCCTCTGGGACGACGTGAGTCCTTCTCATTGTTGCTGTTTGGCTGTTACTGCGATCTGTTCTGGTGAGTGAGCAGTTGCTGAATCTGTGTTTCTTTGCAGCACTACGCCAACATGCTCTGGCTCGACTCGACCTATCCCACCGACGCCTCGCCCGATGAGCCCGGCAAGGGCCGCGGTACGTGCGACACTAGCAGTGGTGCCCCCAAGGATGTGGAGGGTAATCATGGGTATGTGTTACCTTCTTTCGAGAAGAATACCCTTCAAGTGAGGTTGCTGACCGATTGTACCCAACAGCGATTCTACCGTCATCTACTCCAACATCAAGACTGGTCCCATCGACTCAACCTACAGTGCATCATAAAAAGGTTATGCTGGTCCATGGTTCTCAACTTTCGCTTCCGACGTTCGTTTGATCTGAGGTATGGCAATCGGTTGGCGTGCGTGGATTGGAGTCGTACGAAGAATACTCAGTCTCAGCTACCTACATATGTGCTCATCTGAGCCCGCGAAACTCTGATTATGATGTTGTCCCATGTTCGCGATATCTGGCTCCCTCGTCCAATGTGTTCGATTGGTTACCCGAGAAAAGTTGACAACGTTCTACGAGTCTCGAGCACTTGCAAGACGAGGCATTCAGCCATGTACATATGTTTCTTTGATGCCTATGCCTGTTGAGTTCTATCTTTGTGACCAATGACTCCACCTCAGTCTCTTACCTAAACGGGAATGATATACGAGAATTATCGTCGGACTGGAAGAGACACATACCCACGGAAGCTTCCACCCAATATAGCTTCCCACGAATCACAGTCAAAGGTTCGTAATCAAGCTCTTTACTCTTGCAGACTTATTGATCAAGTGTCACTTTAGCCTACTCTCTCACTGCCGTCAAGAGGAACCGCGCAGACACGTGCTCAAGTACCGTGTCGAGGAGCCGTGGATTCGGGTTGGGATACGGCGCGAAGCACCGGGTTCGATTTACACCGCCATCTGTAGTTTCCCAGTGTCGAAAATGACCATGAAAGACCAATACAGAAGCTTGACAGCGAACAAGCTGCGCTGTTCTCACTAAGGCTACGTTACCTGTTCATTTATCCGCGTCATCCTTCCCCACAGTCGCAGTCTTCCACGCATTCTCTGATTCAGGCTCTTGTCCAATCACTGTCAGGCTAAATCGATGCTACCCCAGATCTCAACTTGGGTTAAATTCAGCCTGCGCAATATTTCCAATTTTTCAAATGATCTCGGGCATTGACCAGCTAAGGTGTTGACTCTCATTGTCTGGTTTGCATGTGCGGTGTTGAAGATATATAGAAAAGAACCCAAGAGCAGCCATGTCGACCAGTGGAGTGTACAATCTTGTGGTGAATTGTCTGGAGAAAACCTTACAGTGTGATATCTGGTCGCAATGTTGTTCAAAAGTCTTGTTATTCTAGCGGCAGCTAGCTCGGTGCTGGCAGCGCCCTTGATGGAGAGGCAGTCGAATGCCTCAACTTGCACAGATCCTGACCTCCGCAGAGCCTGGTACGATGCTGAAGGAAATAGCCAAAAACACCATATGCGTGGTGACTGACTAGATGGGGTTAGGCACACGCTCAAGGACTCCGAGAAGAAGGCGTACATTGACGCCGAGCTCTGCCTGATGAGCAAGCCCGCAGCTCACGGACTGCGCGGGGCCAGAACCCTATTCGATGAGATGCAGTCCGTTCACGTATTGCAGTCTGAAATCGCGCACTGGGTGGTATGTGCACCCCAGAGTCTGTTGGATGGAACATTGTGGCCGCCTCGGATATACACACCTGGTTGCGGATGCTGACATTGCATCCCTAGGGCCAATTCTTCCCATTCCATCGCCTCTACCTCAGGGCACACGAGTATCTGCTGCAAACAGAGTGTGGATACGAGGGCGCTCATCCGTACGTTGGCATATCATTCCTCTGCCACCCCCATTGCGCTTGGTCATTGGGAAGGACTAACCTTTGTCACATCCCTCTAGGTACTGGGCCGAGCATCTCGACGCAGGCGCTTTTTCAAACGCAACAATCTTCTCCGCCGAGAACGGGTTCGGCGGCAACGGCGTGGGCGACCTGCTCTGCGTCGAGGACGGGCCGTTCGCCAACTACACCAACCCCCTCGGGCCGGGATACAAGGTCTCGGACCACTGCATCGAGCGGCGCTTCGCCGACCGGGTCAGCCGGGGCTCCTCCGCGGCGGTCGTGGAGGCCTGCATGGCCAAGACTAACTTCCTCGAGTTCTGGAACTGCGTCGAGATGACGTCTCACGGAGCCGGCCATGGCGGTGTCGGCGCCCAGGTGAGTTCTGTCACCCCGGGGTCGGGGCCTTTTTATGTCTTTTTATCCGGAGCATAGGTCCGGTCTAGGACGAGGGAAGGGCAAAACCATGCTGACTGGTTGAAAAATTTGAAAAAAACTCCAGATGACGAACCCGATATCGAGCCCTGGTGATCCGATATTCTACATGCACCACGCCTGGCTCGACAGGATCTGGGCCAAGTGGCAGGAGGAAGACCCATCTGTCCGCATGACAGAGATGGGCGGGAACAACAGGCCCAGGCTAGGTATGGCGATGCCTGGTGCAGGCGGGAACCCATTCGGGTCGGGACCGCCGACTCCAGGTCTCGGCAGCATGGAAGACATGATCCGCCCTGACGACGTTCCGTAAGTTTGCTGTATCGTTATTCTCGAGAATCGTGCGCCTTGTGCTAACTTGGGTAGGGCACCGGCGATCATTGGGGATCCAGGGAATGTCACGACACTGAATCACCTGATAACTATGTATGGCATTCTGCCGAACCGAACAATCAGCGAGGTCATGAACACGAAGGGAAGCTACTTGTGTTATGAGTACGACTAGATTGTCAAAAGTCTTGTTCTTAGCCTTACAAAAGTCGCGAAATAGCGGCACAGTGTGACCGAGGCTGGTAGAATTGCACGGCGATGCATCCTTCACCTTGTGTTTTATTTTCATGCTTGGCCCTTGCCCCATCTGTGACTCAACAAGTCGTCTGTCAACTTTAAAGTCCATCATATGGCTTCCGCAGATGTGTTCCAATTCACATTGTAGGCATCGTGTTTCTGAGAAGCAGTTGATCCAAGGGCTCGTGCCAATGGGGTCTTGGTAATCTGAAGGCATCGCGATGCCGGGCTTTGAAAATACGTGAGAGTGGTGAAGATAACGTAAAACCTTGGTTCCAAGTGCAATGTCAAAAGGGAAATGTGGCCCCAGCGTGCAGGGAATTAAGGGTTGCCTTTTTGACCTTGCGTTGAGATCCGTTGTCGGGGCATCGTACAACACGAGAAACACCATAGCACTGCACTACGCCACCCCCCTTGAGTCGTGTAAAACCAGTTAACCCAACGAAGACAGAATTGCAGCTGTCTAAAGCCCAAGCCAGCCTATGGGAAAATGGCTGCAAGTATGCAATCCGCATATTGGTAACTTTCAAGGGAAATCTGAGCTGAGGGCAAGCCGAGGCCATGCTGTGTCGAGTGCCTCTCTCATCTCGTTGGCAGCCCACAAAGAACATAGCAAGTCCGTCACAGAGTGCTTCTAGCATTACATATCACACCATTGATGCAAGTTCAATGGGCACATGTCTTGTCAGACAATATCTAGACTTCTTCTGTGTGACCAGACCAGCGAAAGGGTTAGTGACTCTTCGTTGACACAGATCAGTCACCTCAAATGCCTCGAGTCCTTTCCTTACTGAAGTGTTTTCTCGTTTTCCTTTATTCTTTCAATTCGGCATCTAGGATTGGAGTTGCAGCAATCAATCAAACAGCTATGGAGACAACAGGATGATGCCGGTGGGCAAAGCGGCCCATGAATCTTTTCATTGAATACCTTGGTGCGCTGCGGCGTCCTGCCTTGCAGCGAGTATGAATAATTACCCTCCAAAAGAAAGAGAAGAAAGACGCAAGGAAAAGAAAGGAGAGAGAGATAAAGAAAGAAAAGGGATCCTGCACTTCAGATCCGTACATCTCAGGACGGCTGTCTCTGAAAGTGATATAATAATCCCGCCTCTTCCCGTTGCCTGTCACAGGTCATTGTACAGCCCGTACTCGTTCGCCCGCGATACCACCCCGGCCCCAAACACTAGATCAACTCGACCGCGTCGATATCATACTCGGCATTGGCAGGGTCGGAAACCAAGACCTTGATGATGTCCTTGAACGTGTCCTTGATCGGCGTGGCAAAGTGAATGCCGTCGTTCCTCGCGTTGTCGGGCTCCGGGTTGCGGCCGTCAATGTCAAAGAGCGCCACGCCGCCATGGTAGACAGCCAAGGCCTTTCCCTGGTACGTATATACCAAGCTACCAGAGTCGCCCTTGGAGCCAAAGGCCCACATGCCGTCGCTCTTGATGGCTCCCGGCGGGGTGACGATGACCGTTGTCTTTCCAACAACCCGGATAGGCTCTTCGACGCCGTCAATTTCGATGCGCATTTCGACCGACGCGTCGACTTCGGAAATCGCGCCCAGCTTCATTCCGGATGTACGTCCTATCATGAAGACTGAGCGCTTTGGGTCGTCGGGGGCCCCGAACCTAGCCTTGAGCTCGTCAATGTCGTCAATGTGGTCGATGCCATTGTGAGGCCTAATGTGTAGGCCGTCGCTTGGGGCGTAGGATAGTCGAAGCTTCGTAGCTTGGTCCCTAGTGAGGACGCCCTGCAGAGAAGGTTAGATGTTTGCTTGGAAGAGCGAGGGTGAAGAAACCAACGGGGCGCCTTACGGGAATGCAGTCCATGTCGAAACCGACTCGGAATGGATCGACCGCCACGAGGGCCCAGTCGAGGATGGGGCCAAAGTCCTCCATCTTGGGTATATCACCATCATCCTGGCTGGGCTTGTTGCGGCCGCGAAAGGGCGATGACGCATGTCCGGAGGAGTACTAGACCGTGCCGAACCTGGGATCGAACGCCTTGCAGAGCTCTCCGCGCTGCTTCTCAAGCTTCTCCATCTTCTCGTACAAGTTGAGTACCTTTTCTTCCCCTTTGCTCAGAAAGCCTGCCTTGCGCTTGATCTTCAAAAATGAGAAGTCGGGGGTGTTGTGGTAGCTGTTTTTGACCTGGCCGTCAGGCTCCAACAGTATCTTTTGGAAGGACTCATGATCTCCGGCCGAGGGAACGCTGATGCAGTCGTTCTCGGGGTGGGCTATGATCTGCATCGGCTTACCTGGGACATGTTAGCGAGTACACATTACTGATAGTATGGCCATTGAAGATAGGACAGCAGCGTCTTTCAACTTACCGCTAACGACGTGGTGGCACGTCAACGCAGCTACAACCTCGTAGCTAGCCGGGCGGGTAGAGGGGCTCTCTAAGCCGGGCTTCCGCTTGAATCTAACACGGACATAACCTCCCAGGGTGCCGGTGCGCTTTGAACCCTGGGAGGGACCTATTGACGTGCCCGTGGTAGGGACAGGCCGGTAAGCATCTTCAAGGTAGTATCCCCACTTTCGATATTTCTCGTTGTCGTTTTCCGAACAGTAGAATGTGAAGGCTGTCTCTGTGATCTCGATAGAGAGATCGCGCAGCGTCGGGAATCTGAGTTGCGAATGATGAGTTAGTGATGATAGCTTTCATGTGAAGGATACGATAACACTACTGGAAGATGTAATCTGCCGCCTCTCTGGCCAGCTCGACTGCGCGTTCCTCGCTCGCAGCCTTTGGGTTCAGAGCTAGCTGAATAGTCGGATACTGTTCTGTGCCAGACAAATTGCTGAAGCCGTATCGCAACACCAAGATGCCGCTGGGGCTGTCATTGCGGATGATTTCGGCCAAGCGCTGCCGCATCGTCAGGGAGTGGCCTGGTGGGCAGGTGTCGAAAAGCTCAACGATGGGGTGAGGTCCAAGAGGGCTAGGAACGCGATTGAACTCCCGTCCGTCGACGTAGAAGACACTGGGTCCGGGGAGGCGGGGGCTACGGTCAAGCCGAACCCTGGCGAGGAAAGGGTTGAGGCTCCTCGCCTGCTCCGCGCTGCAGCGCTCGATGTTGTAGTCGGGCATCGTGGGAGAGGGCAGGCCCGAAATCGCGGTCGCGTCCATGTCGCTGGCAACGTGTCGTTTCTCCGAAAACGCCTGAGCGAAAGGGGTCTTGTGCTCCTCATAGGGCTCGGCCTCGAGAAGATGAGGAGCCATTGTTGTGATGGGAGCCAGTGCACGAGCCATGTCTGAAGGGAGAATTTCGGCAAAACTGTGCTGTTCTTTTTTGTTGTGAATACTGAGGCTGAAAAATCACACTGCCAAAATTATGTGCAGGCAACAAGGAAGAGAGCAAGGACCAGATGAAATGCGCCCTAGGGCTAAGCCATGTGATCTGCACTATGCCTGTGCTGAACTTCAAAATAATTTCACACCTCAGTTGCGGAGTAGTCGTCCTTTGAAATGAACGTGTTTGTCTGTAACCTGGAACCGTCTGTGTTAGCCAGGCGAGTTCAATGCAGTCTAACAATAGGAACTGATTAACAACAGAGAAGCCTGGCTGAGAACCCGAAACTTCCTTTCAGGGGTGGTGGTACTCTCTGGGCTCTGCGAGTAGCCTCGCCAACACACAAAGACTTTTTACGGCAACTCTGGTCGAGCATTTAGATGTTCTTATGGCCTTTTGCGGAATTGCGTCCGAGGTGAAAGCACGCAACCAACAGAGAACTTACTTGCTGTTTTGTGACATAGTTAGCCAATGGAACGAAGCATCTTGCTCCTGTTTCAATATGTTCTGCGCACCGTCATGATGGACACGGGAAAACAGCCTCTCAGTGAATCAGATAGTACTGAGCTACTCTAGGACTACAGACTGGCGACTCCGTGTCGTTGTTTCCAGTCACTTGGCTAAAGATACCACGAACCCATAGGACGGAAACATGGCCGCCAAGTCATCCCGTGCAGCTCGCACGCAACAAAGTCGAGACACTCTCCTGCGATGCAAATGTCAGATGAGGGTTGCGAAAGGCAATCAGTGCGAATTCCTCAACATGGCCACGATTCCAACCTCGGAAATTCTGAACAGCATCGAAATTGTGAACATCAAGTCGCTGGCCAGCGTTTCCACTGGTGTCTGTCCCCCATCAAGCTTGCGCCTTCCAAGAAGGCAAGCGTGAATATGCCCTCGGTTTCTTCCATCCTTCTTCCCCGTTGCCGTGCCATCCTGTCCCAGGACAACCCCCTTTCCAATGCAGAACCGGCCCCCTGTTTCGAAGGGGGGACATCACACCCCCGCCGCTCAGTCGCCGCTGGAGTACCACTCCAGCTCCACATCGTAGCCGGCGTTGGCAGGGTCGGAGCGCAGGACCCTCTCCACGTCCTCTCGGACGAGGTCGATGCGCTGCACAAAGTGGACGTCGCCGGTGGACGGGGGCCGCGAGAGTGGTTTCTCGGGATCCGAGGGAGGTATCTCGAAGGCCTGGTACATGCCGAACAGGCGGCCCTCGTAGTCAAAGACCGGGCTGCCCGAGTCTCCAAGACGTGCAAAGCAGTGGGTTGCAGTGTCGCTGCCGGTCTTGCAGTCGATCGGGCTCACGATGGAGACCATCCTGCCTGCGACCTCGAAGGGGTTGCCCATATCGTCGGTGGAGTCTTGGTAGGTCGTCGAGTCGACCTCGTTGATGGAGCCCATCGTGGCGCCGGTCCTCTGTCCGACTTTGAAAGCCGCGCGCGTGTGGCTGGACTGATCTCCCAGACTCGAGAAAAGCAGGGGTACATCGCAGATGCCGTTGTGGGGGACAAAGTCCTGGAAGATGGGACTGATCGTGGGGGCTTTGAAGCTGTCGAGTTCGCCGTAAGAGAGGCCCTGAGAAAGAGTTCAAGGGCTAGTTAGTGGCTGTAATGCAAGGTGCACGGGAGAAGGGGCTTTCTGGGTGCCAGTGACAGTGTACTCACACATGGAAGCCTCTGGAGGGGGACTCGGGAAGCGTCAAGCTCGACAAGCGCCCAGTCCATGATAAAAACGGAGGGGTGCGGTTCATCTTGGTCCTCGTGGAGGATGGATGACGCAGAGCCGGATGTATACTAGACAGTTCCAAGGCTTGCATCAAAGGTTCCAAGTATCTCTGCTGCCTCTGCTATCGCTTGCTCGGCTCCTTGGATCTTAGCGAGCATCGTCTTCTCATATTGATTCAAGCCAGTAGGAGTTGCCTCCTTGGCTTGCAATCTAGTCAGCGTCTTTCTGAGCCAGTATTGGTCCTTCGGCTGCTTCTCGTCGTCAAGCAGGTATCTCTCCCACCGCTTGCAATGACCTGGAGCTGGACAGTCGACGCGTACGTTGTGATCAGGATCCGGGAAAGTTGGATGAATGTTCTCTTTATTATTCGCGGGTCAGGTTAGCGTCTGGCAATCCTAGGGTATGATGAGAGAGAGTAGGAGAATAGCGAGAGACATGAAGAAAGCAAGGAAGAGAACATACTTGAAACGACATGACAGCAGGTCAATCCAGTCTCCACGACCTTTCCAATGACACCTTTTCCAGCAACGTCAACCTTGGGGATAAGCCGAACACGGAGCATTGGGCCAAGTGTGCCAATGCCGATTGATCGGTCCTGCGCGCCAAGTGAACATCCAGAGGCAGGCGAGGGACGGAAGTGCCGGAAGTTACATCCGTCCTCCCAGGGATATTCAAGATCTATTTGTCGTTGTGCTGCAAACATAATCTTGGCTTCGACAACCTCAACAGCCACATCTTGAAACTGCTTGAATCTAAGTGATGAATGAGAAGTCAGCGAGAATGAAGGCCCAAGAGGGGAGAAAGGAAAATGTGTAAATTCAGCAAGCCGCGGCCCCAAAAGAAAGCGAGAAAAGAGGGAGGTAAAAGTCCATAGAGCCTTACTGGTATAGGTAGTCCGCGGCCTCTGTGGCGAGCTCAACCGCGCGATCGACAGTGGTCTTGCCAGATCTCAACGCGAGCTGGAGGGTCGGATACTGCCCCTCGGGCCCCGTGCTCACGAAGCCGTAGCGGAGGACGTGGATCGCCGAGGGCTTGTCGCCCTTGACGAGGCTCTCCATGTGTTGGCGAATGGTCCGCTCGTGACCCGGGGGGCACTCGTCAAAGGCCTTGGCCAGGGGGTGAGGGCCGATGACCGTAGCGATACGCTGATACCAGTAGCGATAACCAGACACAACGATCATTCCTCGGGGTCGGCGTGCGGGAAGGCGGGGCGAGTCGTCGAAGCGGACCTGCGCCAGAAAGCTGGCCTTGCCGGCCGAGTTGAAGCCGGTCAAGGCGACGTCGTCCACATCGCCGCGCAGGACGTGATAACTGCTGGTGTTGTTTTGGGTGGCGACAACCCGTGGGGGCTCGTTGCTTGCCGGCGCAGCGCAGGGCGCTTCTTCGGTAGTCATCGCAACTCGAGGCTCGGAGGTTGCTGAGAGAGGGTGCCTGAGAGCAAGAGGGAGGTTCTTCAGGCAGGGTGAGAAATGCAGGCCAAAGAAATGGAGGCCAGAGTATTGCAGGCCAGAGAACTGCCGGCGTTTCGCCTCTAGGGCAACGATAAGCGACATCCTGAGTTTAGCCGACTGCACGGACCATGCATCAAATGGATTGCAACTGGGTGATGAGGTGTTTGATGATAATCGAGGGGATAAAGAAGAGTGGGAGAGGGGCACAGGGCAAGTAAGGGCTACAAAGGCAGCAGCCCTAATTGAAAGATCAGATGATTGACCAGTTTCTGCACAGACCAGTGAATGTTGGTTGACCTCTTTGTCAAGGTACCTTCAGAGTTGGCAACTCTGACTGAATCCTTGAGTCTTGGGTGTTGAGCAAAGGCTCTTGCGATAAGTATCTCTTTGATAAGGCCCTACGATAGCCGCCACGTCATGTTCCTTGAAGTTTACTATTCCTGACAAAAGCCAGGTCTATGCCCTCAACTCGGAAGCGGCTGTGTCGGATGTCACCATTCGGGAAGATATCCGAACTCACAGCACGCCGCTGGGTAGCCATACCGACGCCTGCACTCTCGAAAGTTCCGAAATTGAGGAGGCTGTTCAGAATCTACTGCCTTGGTCCCTTTGCGCAATTGGAGCCTTGATTATCTGCACACGGCAGGCCCCTGAGTCCTCATACACATTTGCATTAATACCCGTCAGGCCAAGCGGCGCAACGGCTAGCCCTCGACATCCGCTCCCCGGAAGTTAGTTCGCGGGACATAGCGCGGAAGAGCTAAGCTTGTCAAGTTCCGTGCTTTGAACAACCGCGGAAGAGCTACGGTTGTCAGGTTCCGTGCATCCGTTTTCACCCCAGGTTCCGGATGTCGCACTAATACCCCTAGTTCTGTCTCTGCGTTGTTGGCTACTAGGGCTGAGCTGAGTGTTGGATAGCCTGGAGCCGTTGAGCCAAGCACGCGCCTCAGTTGCCTGATCTAAATGGTGCGGCTGGGAACATGAGCGATGGGATCTTCGTACGGAACTCTGTCTAAAAACCAACGTCAACAGAACAGCACCATCCCGGTGTCTGCTTAAGCCGAGTCCATCGTTTCCCTCTTTGGGTAAGAGCAGAGAACACTGGTAGAACATGCACAGAACTCTACATTCATGATCGCCGGCCTGGCAGGGAGAGAGAGGGGTGGCCAACCCATGGCACCGGGTTCCAGGGACAACGCAGCCGACGACGACGCACGACACGACACGACACGACACGATAAGCACCTTGGCAGACAGGCAGGTATCGCTCAGATCCTTGCTTCTCTGCTCCCTTCGGTGGCCACACACAAGTACCAAACTTTATCTTTGTCTTTTAGTCACTTTGCCACATAGCACAGCGTCTCTACATGCTAGCACCGATGGAAGAAACAAATGCCTATCAGCGACCCTGGTTGATCTCATTGGTCCGGCGCCGTGTTGGACAAGAAAAACCAAGCCGGGACAATGGCCAGGCGCGGTTTAGTCAGCCTTGGCGGGTACATGGGAATCTGGGGAAAGCATTTCGTTCTTGTTCGCCACTTTAGTACGGATCGGGCCCGATCAGGCAAATGAAATTGGCAATCGCCTGTCCGGTCATGCAGTTGGCATTTCCCCAGAGCTCTCCGCGTTCGAGGTTGAGGCCGTTGTGGTGCGGTTGTGGACTCTACCCCAGGGGGAATTATGTAAATATTTGGTAAAATGGAAAAGGGGAACCCTCCTGGAGGCGCCACGGGGAGACTCCATCGTATGTGCCGTGCTCGCTCGTGAGACAACGGGCGCGCGGCTGTGCACAGTTGGGTGGCCTGCGGGGCCAGAGCCGGCCGCCCGCGTCGATGACACTCTCGGTGATGGATGCGGAATGGGCGAGGCTCGGCATTCGGGACGCTAGTGCTGACTAGCGGTCCTTTTCGGGGGGCCTGGAGGCGCTAGAAGCCTGCGTGGAAGCCTGCAGCTTTTGTCCGTGTGCTGTGGTACTGTGGTATTACTGTATCTATGTTCCGGGGTTGGGGTATGGATGGAGTATGGAGCATGAAGCAACGTAGCTCAGCTTGTAGGACCCGGCATCGCTTCTGGAACCAGAGTAGACGCCGTTCACCTTGGCACGGCAGGAAACGAACAAGGCCGTCCGAGGTTCAAGCTCGAGAGGCCAAGAGATACGCCAATCAGTACCCGCAAAGCCGCCGAAGAAAAGCATTCCAAGACCAAAGAGAAGGTGGGATTGGAGCCCTCCCAAGCCCGCTTGGCTCATCTCTTGCCCTTGCCCAGCCGATCTGTCTCTGCCCTGCGCCGTTCCTCACCAGCGTGAGTCGAGTTTGTTCAAGTTGTTTGTGTCGTCTTGGCTCCAAGGCTCTGGGCGCTGCGCTTGGCCCACTGCCCAGAAGCGCAAAAGTCTTATCACTTTCCTACCGCAGCCATAGCTCCGTCTGGGCGCAATACTAACCCTCAACCCGCGAGCCTTGGCGATGGTGGAGAACCGCGCGCGCCCACTCGATTTTTGTCTCCTCTCCTGGGCCTTTGGAAGAAGATGATGATCTTTTGTCGGAGGGCGGTAGTAGACAGAAACCTGGTACTCGCAAACTCAAAACTGCCCCTCTGCAAATGCATATACATAGAGCATTCGGCAGAGAGACGGACGGACGAGCACAAACATGGCCAAAGAGCAGTATCACAAATTGAATGCGCTGCCATTCCCTCCTTTGTGGACGCTACAGTCGCCGCGAGCATCCAACAGACCTCGCCCGCGCCGTGGTTTCCAACATGAACCATAGATAGGCATGCGCCGCCGGCAACCAGACAACAACCATGCTTCGTCCTCCATCTGGCGCGCTTCTGGCCAAGCTTCGTAGCGCCGGTGTCCGTCCACTCACGTCTCGTGCAATGCATGCTCCAAACCCAAAAACATCTAAGGGCCTTCCTAAAAGGAATCGTTTACACAAGTACTTGTATGTAAATACAGGCCGGCCGGGGCTAGACTAGCTTGGGACTTGTAGTCCATCCATCATCTTCTCATCCATCCGACCTGGGTACTCATCCGCATCCGCATACCCACCTTGTCTGGCGACGCAGCCGCATCGCGTGTGCGGAACGCCACTTATCTAATGGAGTCCGGACCCGAGGCAGGCAAGGAACACACACCCCTGTACAGGACCAGGACCGCACGATGTGGTCCTGACCCTCTTGATGCGCCGTTGCTCTCACCCTCCCCCATACCTTACCCCAAAAAAGGGGGGGCGAAAAGCACATGCAGGCAGGCTATCTCCATGGTGGAGAGATAGATATCGCCGTGCCGGGAAGGGCAGCTCAATCTACTCCCACATGCATCCAGGTTGGGGTTTGAGCGAGTATAAGTTTGGATCGGGTCCCCTCCCCCCCTCGCCCGTCCTTGTCGAAGTCCTGGTTGATCTGCATTCCCGGCCGTAGGGTTCGCTCCTCTCTTTTCTTTCCCTTTGGAGAATCCTCCCACCCACCCCTCAGCCTTTCATCCCGGTCCCTTCATCTCTCTTCTCTTTATCCCCTCTTTGCCTCTTCTTCTTCTTCCTTGCTCCCAATCGTCTAGAGAAGGCAGACTTGTCACACACACAGACACACCCCACACAATGACATCCAAGGCCGAGAAGGGCGACATCACGCCGCCCCCGGCCCTCGAGGCCGGCGGAGCGGACGAGCTCGAGATCAAGACCCAGCCCGCGGCCACGTACGCCGACGTGCCGTGCGACCGCAACGAGGAGGACTTCATGACCCGCAACGGCCTCAGCCTCAAGTCCTTCCAGAAGCGCTCCTACGGCCAGAGCATCGTCGAGCTCGACCGCACCATGAAGAAGCGCCACCTGCAGATGATCTCCATCGGCGGCTCCATCGGCGCCGGCTTCTTCGTCGGCTCCGGCGGCGCCCTCGCCAAGGGCGGCCCGGCCACCCTGCTCATCGACTTTGCCATCATCGGCATCATGATGTTCAACGTTGGTATGTTTTTTTTCAAAACCAGAAGTGAAAGAAATGCGTAACGAGTCAGAAAATTGCTGTGGGTTTGGCTAACACATGCGCGTCTCACACACACAGTCTACGCCCTCGGCGAGCTCGCCGTCATGTACCCCGTCTCCGGAGGCTTCTACACCTACTCGACCCGCTTCATCGACCCCTCGTGGGGCTTCGCCATGGGCTGGAACTACGTCTTCCAGTGGATGGTCGTCCTGCCCCTCGAGCTGACCGTCTGCGGCCTCGTCGTGGGCTACTGGGACCAGCACACCTCGGTCGCCGTCTGGATCACCGTCTTCCTCGTCGCCATCGTCATCATCAACATCTTCGGCACGCTGGGCTACGCGGAAGAAGAGTTCTGGGCCTCGGTGCTCAAGCTCTGCGCCGTCGTCATCTTCATGATCATCTGCCTCGTCCTCGTCGTCGGCGGCGGGCCCAAGGACGGCCGCTACGCCACCTACCAGGGCGCCGGCACGTGGTACAACCCGGGCGCCTTCCGCAACGGCTTCCGCGGCTTCTGCGGCGTCTTCGTTACCGCCGCCTTCTCTTTCTCCGGCACCGAGCTCGTCGGCCTCGCCGCCGCCGAGGCCCGCAACCCCGTCAAGTCGCTTCCCGGCGCCGTCAAGCAGGTCTTCTGGCGCATCACGCTCTTCTACATCCTCGGCCTCTTCTTCGTCGGCCTGCTCGTGCGCTCCGACGACCCGCGCCTCATGGGCTCGGGCTACGTCGACGTGCACGCCTCGCCCTTCGTGCTCGTCGGCCTCTACGCCGGCCTCCGCGGCTTCGACCACTTCATGAACGTCATCATCCTCATCTCGGTCCTGTCCATCGGCGTCTCGGCCGTCTACGGCGGCTCGCGCTGCCTGACCGCCCTGGCGCAGCAGGGGTACGCGCCCAAGATCTTCACCTACGTCGACCGCTCCGGCCGGCCCCTGCCCTCGGTCGCCGTGCTCCTCATCTCCGGGGTGCTGGCGTACATCAACCTCTCGGCCGACGGCGAGATCGTCTTCAACTGGCTCCTCTCGCTCTCGGGGCTCGCCGCGCTCTTCACCTGGGGCTCCATCTGCCTGGCGCACATCCGCTTCCGCAAGGCCTGGGCCCACCACGGCCACACGCTCGACGAGATCCCCTTCAAGGCCGCCTTCGGCGTCTACGGGTCCTGGGTGGGGCTCGTGCTCTGCGTGCTCGTGCTCGCCGCCTCGTTCTTCCAGGGCGTCGCGCCCGCGGGCAAGGAGGGGCTCAACTCGGCCAAGGGCTGGTTCCAGGACATGCTGGCCTTGCCTGTGGTCATGGCTTTCTGGGTCGTGGGCTACTTCTGGAAGCGCACCGGCTGGCTGCGGACGTCCGAGATGGACGTCGACACGGGCCGCCGCGAGCACGACTGGGACACCATCAACGCGTACCGCGAGCGGCTGGCGCAGATGCCTGCCTGGAAGCGCATCTTCCATATGTGGTTTGTCTAAGACGGCGGGTGTGGAAGGGTGTGCGTCGTGGTTCAGGGGTTGTGGGTTGGCGGTGGATGATGGGATGAGAGGTTTGAGGTGGGAAATAGGGAGGTGGAAGGGAGAAAGTGAAGTCTGACGAGTTGTGTATCTCGAGTACTATTGTCTCGTCGGATCAGCTGAAGTAGTCTCTTGATCATTGGATAGCGGGACAATCAATGCCAGCATTCCCTCAAACATACTCTCGCCATTGAATACACCTGCTTCACTGCATCCCTTTGCATCGTGACAACGAAATTAGACAACGCAACATAACCAACCACCCACTTCACTCATCCCATTCAATTCACCACCCTGCAAATCCAACAAAACTCAACACCGCACCAGCAACCACCATCACACCGCACACGACCCCCATCCCAGCGCCCTTGCCGCCGCCGTCCGGCTCACCGGCCGCCAGCCTCTTGGACGCCGCAAACATGGCCTCGGGGAACACCATCCTCGACGCGCCCAGCGCCAGCGCCGCCGCGCCCGTAAGAGAGATCAGCCACTCGCACCACCAGAGAGACGGGCTCTCCTCCCTGTGATTTCTTCCTCCCACCACCCGTGGGAGCGGCCGCTCGCGCACGCAGAGCGCCAGGCCCGCGACCAGCAGCGCCGTGCCGTTGAGGTAGACCACGGCCGGGGAGCTGTCGGCGAAGACGTGCGCGTTGAGCTCCTCGGTGAGGCCGAGGGCCACGAGGGTCGGACCGACGAGGCGGGCGAGGTAGTAGGTTTGCTGTGGCGGCGGTGACAGCGTTGCGGTGGAAGAGGAATTGGAGGTGACTGCTGTGGTGGGTGATGTGTGTGCCATTCCTGCACGGCGGGGTGGGCTTGGCTTTTATTCAGAAGGATTGCTTCAGGGGGGGGACCTGGAGTTGTCGCTGGAGAGGTTGAGTTGAATAAAAGAGCATGGAGAGAAGCACTATGCAATTCCCATGTTGTTTGGGTTTGGAGTGCATTGCAAAGTCGGGATCATATCATCTGGGGGTTGGTGGTGTGACTTCAGCCGCAGTCTCAATCGTGAGTGGTAGGGCGAGCTTGGCATTGGCTGAGACGTGCAAATATGAAAGACACACACCGCACCACGATAGACAACTTCTATGGGCAAGAAGACATCCACACATTTTCAAAGAATTGACACCAGCCTTTAGCAACTCATCCTTTTGCTGTGGAACATCGTTTTGGCCGGTCATCGCGGTCGGCCGCCCAATCGACGAGGCTTGTGGTTGAGGGGATCAGAACAGCATTGCAGTCGAAGGGCTTATCAAGTTTTCCAACTATTTAGCCGAGTTCCTTTGCGGCGTGTGAATTTACTATGGAAGCATAACCCCATGGCAGCCCTTCCCTCCTTGATCGACGAGTATATTTCATAGCCGGGGTCTGCAAACCAAGGGTTTTGTCCTCGAGACATCTAGAGAAGGCCTTCCAAAAGCTGGCTGCTGCATCATCCGAGGTCATCGACCTTTTGGGTGAGATGACTTAGCCAAAGTAAAGTTACTGTCGCATGCAATCAGCTGTTTAGGCAACGAGACCCAACCACCTTCCATCCGGGACAGACGGTCACTCGAGCTGAGATATCAAGATCTCCGATTTGCTAGAGAAGTACTGTACTCCACTCCAATCAAGCCAAAAGCACTGCGCTTGGAACGGTAAGAGAAGTCGAAGCCGATATTTGAATGCCTCCAATAATCCATTGAAACCGAGGAATCGGATCGCGGATGTCGGACAGACGGCATGGCTCCCCTGGTTTCGTGGCGATTGTAGCAAGGACTGTCACGGGCCCTTATAATTAAAAAATTGAGTCCTAGTTTTCAGGGGGGCGGCATGTGGCGGCTTGGCCGGCTGGTTAAGTTCAGGTCAATCGTGTCGTCCTGCGGAGGACTTATGATTCCATTTCGGGAAGGGGGAGGAGGGCAATGGGGGAAAAGGGGGGAGGCTTAAGGGGGAGGGCACGGGTTCGAATCGCGGCGAGGAGGAGAATTTTCGACAACCACGGACGGAGCAAAATCTCGAGATTTTCGTAGCATACCACCCTCCGGGCTGGTATGCGAGCTTTTTGCCGCTCATGACAATATATATAAATAATTTCTTTTTATCTAGACGAAGCACAGGGGTACTCAATCACCTCAAGCTACATGCCAGATGATAGTAATCAAGTCTGGCCTGTTCAGCCCTGAATGAAGTAAAGATTCACGCATCTAATGGTGATAACACATCTCCTATGAGCAACTGGATAGAATTATTCACAACATGCAGTCTTGAGCCGTACCAAAAGGCGCTCATGACATAGATGAAGGATGAATCTCTGACAGACGATCATATTCCAGACTCCGTGGAGCCAAATCAGGACCCTCCGGGCATTAGGGCTGAGTGGAAAGGCATCATGTGCATCGCTGATGCGGATGAGTCGGCCAAGGTCGTTGAGACATCGACCAAGTATGTACGACCGCTTCTATGGGCAGCGGAAGGAGTCAACCTTGGTAAAGGCCACCCGCTTCGAGGCGCCTGACTTTGCAATTTTACATGGTGAGTAAACATTCAAGCTCATTGCTTAATTTTTCTACGTCTAGGTATGGCCTGTTCCTCTGTACTTGACAACGCTCAACGAAAGTCCCTCTTGAAAACTTCAGGAAATCTCAAAGTGGTCAACCCATCTATATCAACAAGTTATATGAGGTCACATTGAGGGTGGTTGCTCGATCAATAATGGAATGGATACTCGGGCTCGAGCTCTGCGTTCCCATCCCAGGTGGATCGACCCGGGGGGATAATATTCCAGACAACTCTTCAGCAATCCCAGGAAGGAAACAACAGGCTGACAATTGGGACCCTCCTTCAAGCGTTCCCCAGTCTCTGTCAGGGAGCCAAAGCTCAGCTCCCTGCCTCCTCCGCCGGTCATTTCGAAGAATGTTTCTTGCTTACGTTTCTCGAACCTTACGCGCGGCCATCCAACCCAGAACCCATTTTCAACTATTTCCCACCAATGATGAGTTGGCTCAAAGAGTTGAGAACTCAATGCTTCTGCGTTGAATGCACCATGGACCTTGGAGATGCTGGAGATGTCCGAAAACCCAAGTCTTGAGGTCTTCACTCTCATCGGTCACGCCATTGCAGATGGGTTCGGGGCTGCCGACATGTCTGGTGGAGGGAATCAAGAGACGATGGTGGAAGAGGTCAAGTCCCTTCTTGTCGATCTTATCGAGGAGAAAGCGGTCAAGTGGACTCGATGGTTCGGTGTCGCCGCGATGTTCACCACGGGCTGCGATACCATCGTTCGGGACAGCCCAGGCGGCCGAGGCCTTACCGAACTTGCCGCATTCCAGTATGGCGGCCTCTCGGTTCTGGCTTCATGGCTCAAAGTGGATCAAAGACTCCAGGTCCAAGGCAGATTCGGCTTGCAGTGCGCCGCTGCTTCCATCGATGGAATGTCGGACCACACCGGGTACCTCCATTGCGAAGGACGCTATTTTCCAACCGCTCCTACAACAAGCGTGGCTGATGGAGCTTGGCAGTGGTCCGAAACTCTAGAAGATGACGAGACCCGGGCCGAAGTGACGTCTGTCATTTTTCGGACGGGCGTCTCGTCGTATCGCCTGGTCTTCATTGTGGAAACATTTTTGGCTGGCTCGCTGAAAGCCGTTCGACCTTTCGATCCGTCCATGGCGCTCCTAGGTCACTGCCATGCTAGATGGGCGACCTGCAATTGCACCGGAGGCGCTACCCACGAAGTACCTAGCACGGGGGCACCCCTCCAAGTTTCGAACTTTGAGACGATACTCAGCGACTGGGACCCTCTCCGCCGGAGTGGCATGCAGGCGTCAAAAGCATTACGCAGCCACCTGAACATCAACATAGCCCTGAGCTTATGCTACATGGGCAGCGTTCTCCGGACAAAGGGCACCTGTGAGAACTGCGCTGTCCGTGCCGTCTCAGAGTTACCTTCCCCCGAACACCTCGCCGACACGGGTGGTATACCCCTAAGGATGATTACCACGGTTGTTGGAGTTGATTATGGTGATACGAACAGGCTGCTAGGCCCTGCTACTGTAGGGATATGACTATAGGTTTGCTGTCCCTCTAGGTTAGTTGCCGCGGGTGGGGGGGTACAGATTACTTAAGGACACAAGCAGGCAACGGGGGCTGGAGGTTGGGAATCGAGGTCAAGGGAGGTAAATTGAGGAGCCTAAATGGTAAAGCCAACATCTTTACAAGGTCTGAACTATATCGTTCTCGTATGCCAACTTTAGATTTTCAGGTTATGTTGTTTCTAGCCTATTTTAGACAATTTTCTATAACCAAAGTCAAATTATAATAATCCCAAAGCATTTCGCTCCATCAAAGCCGCTCGCTCTGTCAGCTCCTTGCGTGTATTTGAGAGCCCCTAAAACAGGCAACTAACTCGACCTATTTTGTTAATACCTTCTTGCTCCTCCCCTAGGTATGTCTGGTCTCGACGTACCACCGGGTCTCTCTTCCCTATATTTGCCCTAATGCAAGATGGGTCACGTACATAGACAAGGGTGTTTCATCTGGTGAGACACAGCCTTACTCAGAGGATAGAAAGCCGACAGCGGGCAAAACAGCAATCAACAGTCTCCAGAGTGACCTCCAACTCGAAAAAGTGTTTCCCGGGTTGTAATTGAATTTTAACTGTATTCTTCTCTTCTCGTGACCTCTAAGCACCACTCTACTCTACTTCATCAAACACCCTCCAACTTTTGCCCTTTTCAGCCCCTTTCTGCAGCAAACCCAAAGTCTGAACGCCGCCGGTCATCAATGATACCATCTTCCTCTCGCCCCCAGGCAGTCCATCTTCCCCAAAGCACTCAACGCCCTCCCACCATCTCAGCCCCCGGCCGGAGCTTATCTTCCAAGCAAGCAAGGTTGCAGCTTCTCAGACCGAGATCGAGCCGACACGTCTCTCAGCCTCCCCCGTCTCTCCGTCTCCCCGACAGCCCTTAGTAACTACGCCCAAACATAGTCCAAGACTTCGCCAGCTTCCCGCACTGCGGGTTCAGGCACTTGGTCTCGCCCTTGACCAGGCCCTCAGGCTGCTCAAAGGGGATGCACAGCGACTTCATGCCCATGCTCGGCAGCTTCTCGCCGTTGGGCCCCACCTCCTGGTGGTCGTCGCTGCGCGTCGCGTCCTTGATCTGGTCCTCGCAGGCCGGCTCCTCGCAGAAGGGGATGAGCACGACGTTGCGCGAGTCCAGCGCCGGCACCACCTTGGCCCAGTCCGTCAGCTGCAGGCGGTGCGACCGGAACGACTCGTCGGCCTTGTTGTACAGGTCGCGCTGGATCGTCTCGAGCAGCTCGGGCACCCGGGTCTCGAGCTCGGCGATGGGGATTGTGCCCTTCTCGCCCGTGTCGCGGCGCGCGTACGTGACCCAGTTGTTGGACGCGTCCTTGGGGCCGAACTCGAGGCGCAGCGGCACGCCCTTGAGCTCCCAGTCGGCAAACTTGTAGCCCGGCGTGTAGCCCTCGCGGTCGTCCACGTCGACGCGGACCTTCTTCGACTTGAGCGCGACGCGGAGCTCCTCGACCTTCTTGGCGTGCTTCTCCTTGTCCTCGGCACTCATCTTTGCAGTGATGCCGACGGGGATCAGGATGGCCTGGATCTTGGATACTCTGGGAGGGAGGACGAGACCCTTGTCGTCGCCGTGGAGCATGACCATGACACCGATAACGCGCGTTGACAGACCCCACGAGTTTTGCCAGACGTGAATCTTCTCGCCCTTCTTGACCGGGTCTTCGACGGTGATGTCGAACATCTTGGAGAAGTTCTGGCCAAGAGCGCTGGTTATTGTCAATAATGTTATCGATCTTGTAATGGAGGGTGGGGGAAACTCACTGAGAGGTTGCACCCTGGATACCACGGCCGTTGGTAGGAATGTACGCCTCGCAGGTCGAGGTCCAGTAGCCACCAGCGAACTTCTCAGCCTCGGTTTTCCTAAGGGTATTGTCAGTACAGTCCATCTGATGTGTGCCGGCCACGATGCCAAGCTTATTGTTAGCAGGGAGGAGAACCACTCACTTTCCACGGACAACGGGAACAGCCAGAAGCTCCTCGTAGACGCCGGCGTAGAGATCCAAAATCTCGAGCACCTCCTTGGAGGAAAGCTCCTCGGTCAAGTGAGCACTAATCAGCGTCAGTCATGTCTGTCACCGAACCACTCCACCGCTCCCAAGACTCACGTGTGACCCTCCTGCCACAGAAACTCTCTCGTTCGCAGGAAAGGAGTGGTCTGCTTGGCTTCCCATCGGACCTGTATCGTCCATCAGTATCCCAGGCGCATCGAACCGAGGACAGGGGTGTGCCAAACGTACGACAGAGTTCCACTGGTTCAGGCGGAAGGGGAGGTCTCGGTGGGATCGAATCCACTTGGCGTAGTAGGGGTACATGACGGCCTCGGAGGTCGGGCGGACAGCGACGGGGACTTCGAGGTCCTTGTCACCACTGCGCAAACATTAGCCAGGAACGGTCTGATTCTGGGGAGAAAGGTCCATGGCAACATACGCCTTGGTAACCCAGGCCAACTCGGGGGCGAAACCCTCAACGTGGTCCCTGTGGTTGCATGATCAGCACAGATCCTCCAATTCCGGCCTTGGGTCGTCACATCTCGTTCGGGAAACGTACTTCTCCTGTACAGGTTGTTAGCCACGGTGCCTCTGCAGACGAAAGGGCGCGAGATCCATACCTTCTCAAGAGACTTGCTGGACAGGAACATAGGGAAGCTCGTCTCGTCGACGCCCATCTCCTCGATCCGCGACTGGAACCAGGACCGGATAGTGTTCCAGATGTGCATTGCGCCCGCTAATCCATACCGTCAGTATCTTTGTTTCTCCCCCGCGATCTCCAGCTCGATATATGAAATCGCAAGTCGTGAAAGGAGGGACAAAAGTCTTACGTCGAAGGATGTAGAATCCAGAGATCTGCACACGACAAAATAGAACCACACGTTAGCCAGCCGAACTCTTCCTCATTGCCCTTGTTCCCCCCAGTGCATGCACCCAAAGAGCGCCAAAGCGCCAAAACCACCACGGCGCAACAGCAGAGTAGGGACTCACCTCGGAGTAATACTCTACCAGCTCGGCCTTGATCACAAGGTCATGGTACCACTGGCTAAAGTTATTCTCCTTGGACACGGTAATGCCGATGATCTCCTTGCCGTCGTCGCCACCAGCGCCACCAGCAGCAGCACCGCCCTTCTTCTTCTGGCCCTCCTTCTGTTGTCCCTGTCCCGTGACGGCGCCGGCGGCGCGGACGGCGAGCTTCTCGGCCTTGGCGGCGGCGAGCTTGGCCTGCTTCTCGGCCTTCTTGAGCGCGCTCTTGGAGGGCTCCTGCGCCTGCTGCTGCTGAGCGGGGTCCTGGTCGGCCATTGTTTTGCTTTGCTTGCTCGCTCTCTCTGTTTTCTGTGCCTGGTCTGCTTTCTCGATCGCAATTTCGAAGGGTTTCGTGGGTGGTTCCAGCGGCACACACGGCGAGAGAATGTGCGTTTGTCGCGAGACAGGCGGAAAAGGTGGCTGGAATTTGTGTGTGTGTGTGTGTGTGTGTGTGTGTGCGATATCAAATTGACACGGGCGGGAAAGAAGAAGTGTGAATCAACCGGCGTTGCTTCCCAAAGACTGGCTGGCTGGCGGGGTTCCCTAGCGTCCTCCCTTGTCTTTTTTGGCGGGGTTCCCTGCAACTTTTACAGTGCGACAAGGGTTGCAGCCATCCATGGATGGCCCGTGCAGCGCTCGATCCAGCCAAGAGATAAGCTGAAATGTTTTGTGCCGCAAGTGACCGCCCATTGCCATAGCTTCACCGCCTTGATAAGAGAGAGAGGGAGAGATGAGATGACTGGACTCGGCGAGCGCAGCGGGAACCAGTTCTACGACACAGGGGCGAACCAAGCTTGAACATTGAGCGGAGCGGATATTCGTCCTAGTCCAGTCGAGTAGAATACCGGTACCAGGTGTTGCGAACCATCAGAGTGCTACTCTTGAGATACCAAGTCTCAGGGCTTTTTCCTTCGTTGCCAACATCATACACGGTTCAGGATCAAGACATCAATCATTACAGTCACTCAAGGAGATGATCAAGTCAATATGATAATGAATGGCATGGTATTAGCCCCAATGCGAGGCCCTATAACAAGCTATCCCTAGTCAGAATTGGAGAAAAGCAACGCAAGATCCAACCAGAGCAGCACAACAAACAAAATCATGGTATAATAATAATTCCCAGTGCATAAACAAAACCAGAAGCCCGTGTGACGCAAATAGGGCAAGAGACAGCAAAACCAACCAGAGTCGCAGTGCGAGCGCGCGTGCATGTGTGCGTGGAAAGAGCATAATGTCATCAGAAGCAGAAACAAAAGGTAAGAAAAGCCCAGAGCCCGCCATATATGAATGGACGACGTAGCGATCGTGTTTATCATGCATGCATGCAACCAGAGTAGCAGTGATGATCATAATAGGAAACGAAAGGAGATCCGAGCCCAGTCCAGCCCAGCCACCTCTTCTCTTCTCTCCTGTCCCCTGTCCTCCCTATTGAGGAAGACGAAGCCTCCTCCCTCTCTCATAATAAGAAAAAGGCCCCCGGGTATCGTGTGAATATCAACGGAACAAAAGGACCAAACCGTAGCAAAGCAAGTGTATGTCTTGAGTGGTAGCCGCCCATCCATCCTTGACCCAATGAAGGCAGACGTAATAACCAGACAGAAAAACTGGTTGTCGGCCGTAGATCTAATGCCCCAAAGACAAAAAAATACTTATGAGAGAGGAGTGTCCGCAGTAAACCAAGAAAAACAAGACAGAAAAAGGAAATTCGTCGCGACCGTAAGCGGTATTGAAACAAAAGAAAAATCGTCGGAGATGCTGCCAAGTCTAGAAACCCACAGCTCTTTCCCCGTCGCCGTCAAGTCAACAACACCAATGCTAGTATGCCTGCTAATACGCCTTAGCAGTGCTCCCCTCGCTCGTAGCAACAGCAACCAGCGCCTCGAGCCGGCGCATCGAATCAGGCTGTTCAGCAGGAGGTCCGCCCGCCGGCCCCGCCGTCGTGGGAAGCGGCTGCTGCTCGTGCACCGTCTGCGGCACGCGCGAGGACGGGAACCCGGTGAACGCGCTGACGTTGGGGTGCACCATGCGGTCGACGCGGTCGACGCGGTCGCCTCCCTGCTGCTGCTGATGTTCGTGCACCGTCACAGCCGGGCCGTGGTACCACGCGTGCCGCTTGGAGCTGTCGCGCGACGTGCTGCTGCCCATAGACACCGGCGCCGAGAGGGTGTGGTGGTGGCCGCGCACCAGGCCCGGGCCCATGTCTGCGCCCGAGGTGGCAGGGATCTGGACGACCTGGGCCTGCGGCTCGAAGCGCACCGTCGGCTGGCCGCGCGCCTGCTCCGCCTGGGCCTGTACAGCGCGGTTGGCCTCGCTAGCCCACGCCCCGGCGCTGTCGCGAGGTGGGGTCGTGTTGGAAGCGATGTCAAGCCTGTTCAGGCCATGATGAACCGTCTCCCATTGTGAAGTATGACGCCTGTCTTCCGAGTGGTCCATCGGAGCTGGCATCGGGGCGCTAGAGTACTGAGGCACATCCGAGTCGATCATCATCGGCGAAGGGACCCTCCGCGGCGGGCTCGCGGGGCGGCGGGCGGCGGCGGCCCCCAAGAAGGTCTCGATGCCCGGCAGGCGGAGGTTGGTTTGCTGGGTGGCAGGGTTGGCGATGGGGAGCGGTGCAGCAGACGTCTCGAACTGCGACGGCGTGATGACGTTGCTCAGGCGGCTGCCGGGAGCATTGAAGTCTCGGCTCTCGGGGTGCCAGGTTCGCCGACGCCATGCCTCATCAGCTGCGCTAGACATGGACTCCCTGCGAGAAAAGGTCGATCCGGTCGGTGACGACAAGAGGCTGCCATTGGGCGAGGAGAAGACGCCCGCATTGGATGAGTTGATAGGGCCTGGGCCGAAGAGAGGTCGGCCCAGCGCACCAGCTGGCGAGGCCTGGAACGGGTTGACACCAGACGGTACACTCAACCTGCGGCCAGGAGTCCTCGTGCCGGTAGTGTACATGCTCTGAGATCTAGAGTGCGAAGAGGTTGGCGAAGCCATGCCAGAAGCCCATCGCGGACTGCCGGGGCCGGTCGAGAACGTGGCCGAGGTGGGTGTGCTGAAATCGCTCGGAGAGACCGCCCGGTACGAGTATTGGCTGTCGGCACCGCTCCGATACGAGTCCAACGAGAGTCTCGAACGGGGGTCCGTAGCCATGACCAACGGCGCAGGGCGGCGACGGCCGTCGTCGCGCGGGCTATAGTTCGAACCAACGGAGCCGATGCTAGCAATGCTTGACGTCGAGAGCGACTTTGAATGCCCACGGACTGGTGCGCCGATGCTTCCAGCCGTCGATGCCCTCGCCCTGCCGGTAGGTCTAACTCTGTCCGTCCGTATTTGGCGCTGAAATCGAGTGCCAGTGGCAGCCAGGGAATCAATGGGGATGTCCTCGTTGACGTGTACGGTCTGGGCGTGTTGTCGCAGGTTGTCCAATCGTGAGAAGCGTCTTGAGCAATGACATTGGAAAGGTCGTTCGCCAGTGTGTTTCCTTGGCACCCATCCAGGTTAGCAGCTTGTCCTCTTAGTGTACAGAGAACCGTCCGGGAGAGGAGCAACGCTGTCACTCACCTGATATGCCTCGCCAAGTGTTCGCTGCGTGTGAAACTGAGGTTGCAAGGAGGGTAGTCAGTGCAGTAAAAGCGCTGTGACTTCTTCTTTTTGCCCGACCTCGATCCATCGGCGTTGACGCTTTCGTCATCCGATCCAACATCGTCGCCACCACCAGTTTCGGCGTCCGAGTCGTCCATGTGCATATCTTCAGAGTCCCGCGACTTCCTCGAGTGTTGCGAGTTCTCCCTGCGCGGCAGCTGGACGTCAGAGGCGTCGGGCATTTGCACAGCTTGAGGGAAGGGCGACGTCGGTAGCGGCTTCTGCGCTGTCATCGTCGCGTTGCCAAAACTGGCTCTCGTCGGCGTCGTTGCGTCATCCATGGGTCTGGGCAGCTCGAGCTGTGATTCGGAATGCCGTGCGGGGTCGGCGAACCGAGGTGTCGTCGGTGACGGCATTCTGTTGCTGTCGTATCTGTATTCTGAAGGGAGGTGCGTATTGACAGGGCTAAAGGTTGCGGCCATGCTCTTCTGCAACCTATCGGTACAGAAGCGGTGCTCGATGGGGGTGCGCAAATGCAGGTCCCCGTCGTTTTAAGAGCAGAGGAGCGTGAGCCGTTGAGGCTGAAAGTCAGGAGCGCAGTGACCTGGCGCTGCAGCAGGATGTGGCAGGGTTTCCCGGTGGAGAAGACTCCCAGCGACACGAGGGGTATTGGTTTGAAAAAGATTAGAAGGAGGAAGGAAGAGAGGTCGGAACGGGCGACGGAAGGGAAGAGGAGAGGAGATGAAATGGGACTCCGCTTCGATTCATTCGCGATTAGATTCCTGTGGAGAAGCTGGGTCTGACCAAGAGTGCAGGACGGCAAGGGAAACTTGGTACGGAAGGGCAGGCGGCGACGGCTGAAGACGAATCCTCAGTCTCGAGTAGACGCAGTCCTCGAAGTTCCAAGCCCCGGAAGGCTGGGGGTGGGGGTGGTGAGGAGTTGGAGAGGGTGCGTGCGGCGGAACAGGCTGAAGCGAGATGCAATCAGAGCGGAGCGAATTTGCTGGGACCGGCCGTCGTTGATTGAACGGAGCTACAGGAAATCGTCGCCAGATGTGTCGATGTTATGGATCGGGTGCGGTGCGCAAAAAAGAGAAGGAATGCAAACACCAGGAGATAATGCCGACGCCTTGACCGAGACGTAAATGCAGCGCAGGAAAGGGTGCGGCGAAATGCGGGTGTGTCACTTCTGCTCTGATCCTTCGTCCCTCCCCTGGCGGCCGAGCGACAGGGCAGCAAGGTGGCGATGTCCAGCAGGTTGGTACACCCAGATACACGGGGTGGTGGTTGCCGGGATGGTTGGAAAGAGGTCGAGTGGTGTGGGCTCTGTAATCACGCCGACCACTCAAGCCAAACAACCTTCCGCTAAGGCCGTTTCTTTTTTGGGTTTTAGTTTTGCTCTCGAGGTGGTGTCCCTAGCTGTGGCCGAGCTGCTTTAGAAATGCTGTGCTCTGGGAATGGCTGCTTTTCTCAAAGCTAGACGTGGATGGGATGTAAATGTAAGGACGCTTGTTGGTCCAGAACGAACCAACCGCCCTATATCTGACGACTAGCGATGAGTATGCTGAATGCGGTCAGTGCTGAATGGCTGAGGCGGAGGGCTCGGGGTAAGACCAGCCAAACAGCAGGCTGGGAATTGGGCCAGATCAACCGGATGACGATCAGCAAGCTAAGGTAAGGGACTGCGTGGCGAGAGCCGTGATTGCGAGCACAGTCTGGCGTGTATGAGACCAGAAAGATGTTGCTTTGGTTTGCCAAATCCGAGCAGGTCCGGAACCACAGCAAATGGCGAACGGGATGGATGGGGAGGCGTCGATGGTCAAAGACGTCGGCCGGCGACGTCGACTGGGGGGGTGCGGATGGCTGTAGTTTTGTGCTCCAGGCCCAAGTGTGACGAAATAGGAGGCTAGGAACAAGAAAGAGGGGTGCTTTAGAGTTGGGTGATACTCGCAGGCCAGACGCCAGGGCCACCCACCCCTTCACTGGGGCCGGTTCCTTTCCTTGGCGTCGATGCTAGGGAGCAAATCGAGACACAGCCAGGGTCATGACTGGTCTGTCAGGTACGAGAATTACTGGGCCGGAGCCAGTTGGAGTGTGTGCTCGCTGGTCCAGTCTGGTTTTCGACTCCGCAGGGTGGAATGGACAGGTGTGTGCCTGGGACGGCGGCGAGGTAAGGTACACACGCTTGCGCAACGCAAGCTGTTGGCTCTTCCACCAGCCGTCCAGTCCGGTCCTGGGAGGCTCTAGAACGAAACAAAACCCGTAGGAGACCGGTCGGCATCGGTCATCTGTCATGCATTTGACCACCCTGCCCTCTCGTCCTCCTTCAACTCTATGATCTGACTGCCTGCGGTGTGAGACAGCCAAGAGCTTAACTAGACCAGTTAGCCAGCCAGATAAGTCGTCAGTCACCTCAACGCAGCCTATGTCTATCCTTTGATTAAGCACTCACCAGCCAGGCAGGCGGATCAACGCACACTAATCAGACCACAGAATTTAGACTAGCTCAGGACGTAGAGGGGGGATGTCGACGTCTTGCCGTCTCCCCTTCAAGAGATACTACAGTACCTAGATCTGTTACTCACACGCACTTCCCAGATATCTCAGATACACGCACAGGTGGGTGACGACTTGAAACGGATGTCCTATGTGCGTCGACCTCGCTAGCCGGATGGCTGATGGATGGTGGGGCTCTTTGAGCGAGGTGTGGTGGGTATTTAAAAAGTCCGTGGTCAGGAGGCATCAGGAGGAGCAGGGGCGAGAGGGGCAAGATATCGAATCCAAGAGGTTGACAAGTCCGGTCAAAGCGGTGGTAATTGGTCGGTGGCTGTCGGACATGGTGTGTGTTCCAAGGTTGTTGGTGGTGGTGGTGCTGTGCGATGGCGGTCAAATGAACTCGATGATGCCGCCCAAAACGCAGTCTACCTAGGTAGGCTGTCCCACAGGTATGGTGTGGTGGGCATCTACTGGACGGTGTCCCCAGCAGCAAAAAGCCTGTGGACTGGCCAGATGGCTGGATGGCTACAGGGTACAGGGTCCTTCGCCGCCGCCGAGTGGGAGTGTGAGCACTAAACAAGCATCTCCATCGTGGATGGTGCAGGGGCTGTTGTGCTGTGCGTTGTGCCTGTGTAAGTACCTGGGTAGTTGGGATCGTGCCAGCCCTGTCCTGGTATCGATTCAGTGGGAGAGCCCCCAGTTCCAGGATAGAACCCTGCTGCTAGTGCTATTAAAAGCCAAACGACATTTCTCAGCATGGATGGTGGGAACCCCGCAGCGAGCAGGACTAGCGAACAGGACCTGTCGCGGGGCTGACGGTCTTTGGCCAGTTCTTGTTAGCCTACTCGTTAGGCTGGCGATGGCTTCATGCCGAACTGTGGTGGTGCCGCCCTGCCGTGGTCCACTCTCGGGGCTAAGGTGCGCCATTGAGGTTTCGTCCTCGATCAAAAGGCCAACCTCATGCAGTTTGAGGATCCTGCTGGAATGTGGTGAATCTAGCGTTTCGAATGATGAATACCTTCCGAGCAGCCCAGAAACATGATGCTTTTTTCTCCGCCTCAAGCCTCTCTCCCAAAGCTGGCTGTGGTGGCTTGACGGCGGCCAATAGCGCGGGGACCGAGAATTGTTGACTCGGTCCATCATGCAACCCGCAAAGCTGCAAAGCATGTCTCTCCCTGTCATGTTACTGTCGCAGAAATAAACGTTGGCATGTCTGAGGTAGGAATCAAAATAGCTGCTTTGCCGGCTGACTACCGAAAGTCAACCGACTGACTTTGAACGCGGAGGATGCGGGCATTTGAAGCACTTACATCATCGACGGGGGCAGCTAAAGAGGCGGGAGAGCCTCGTGCCTGGATCTGGTACGGTTGTACCTGGTGCTTTGTGGAGCCGCCACCCGTTGTCAACTTATCCTGCGCCTGGCTGGATCTTCGGGTCCGTTCTTTGAGTCAGGTCCCGCTCTGGATGTCAAGTAACTTTTTTTGGCATGACCGGCGTGCGTCTGCTCTGTCGTAGATGCAAAAATGCAAAGGCGGAGCATGCGGTGCGTTGTGCAACTGTCTCAAAGAAAGACAGGACGCTGCGTGCTCTCTCGGGCGCCCTTGACTCTTGCATTCCTCCTAGGTACAGGCTGCGAGTCATCGACAGAGGAGAAAAACCAATAAGCTTATTGTGGCGTGCGCTTCACTGCCCTCCCCAGCAAGCCCTCCACACACCCTCGGAGCGCCCACGCATTGAACACGGTGACGATCCCCGTCCCGGATCGGCTGGGATTTTCGATCTGGACAGTGCACAACGACCGATGGCTTTTAACCCCGACCGGCGAGCGGTTGGGCCTGTGAAGCTGAGCAGGTGATCACGCCAAGGCCTTCTAAGGCGCAAGGTGGGTGGGTGGCTGGCTTGCTGGGCTGGCGGGAATGATCGCTGTCGAAGATGTACAAGGATGGACAGAGACGTTCGGTTGATCTGCAAGGGCGGACCAGACTCATGCAATGCTCGCCTCCAGCTCCTCAGTCCATAGGGGAGTGGCTGCAGCTGACTGCACGCCGGCGGGAGCAGAGGCTGGAAATGCAGTGGATGACAGGCTGTTCTAGCGGCTTTCTGGAGGGGGACGTGGGGTGTTTGGAGCGATCGGCCCTGCGCGTTGACGACAGCGGGGCATGAGATTACGATACTTGACGAGCAAACAAGTGATAAGAGACGGTTAGCCTGCTCTCTGGCAGGATATGGCGACAGACATGATGATTCTCGCTGCTCTTGATCAAGTAATGTTAGGTAACTATCGAGCATCGACAGCGGAGCAAGGAAGGTCCCTGCGCGTGCTTCAATGTTCTTTCCCTCAACGAAACCGGCGCCGAACCTCTCCGTAATGACCCAGTGCGTACTTGACCCCAGCCACTAGAGGACCTACCATTTCCAACGCTGAACACACTCGCCGCCGCCGCCACCATCACCTCGAGCAACATCTTGAACTCTTACGCTTGTCCACGGGTTTGGTGATTCAATGTCCCTGCATCGATACCTGGTAACACCCTCGACTGGAAGCATCAGGTACCCATGCGAGACCTAGTCCGAGCTCTCGGTGAGCCACCAAGGGAGCTGGTATTACATCCGGCCTTTCTCCAATCTGGCCGATATTAATTATCTCGAAAACAGCGCACGCTGACACCTCCGTCCCTTATTTTCGACGCAAACACAATGCAAAGCGGTGCCTGCTGATCTTGAACCTTGACACCAACAGCTCAGACACGTCTTTGATGTTCGATAGACTTCAGCTAGGATCTTTCAAGACTTTATCACCACTCAGCAGGTTGGTTTGCTTCTACAACGCTGCCCATGATGCGGGCGTTTTCCTTTTCAGTCACCAGGGTCCGCCTGTAAGTCCTGTTCTCAAGGCCAGCAGAGCTGTCACACAGTTCGGTACCAGAGTGACGCGGTGCAGATCATCGTCCTGCAGCAGGGATGTTTCTAAATGCGAACACAGATCACGTTCGGCGTCCAGGAGATACCAGGATTCGGGCCTCTGCCGCCGTCCGGCCGGCTTCACTCTCGTTGGACGAGATTTGGAGGCTCACGGATACTTTCTCCCCTGGCGTAGTCCAGGTACTACTGGGCTCACCTTCAGGCGATAGGCCCTTTCGAGTGCCGTCATGCACCTCTGCTGTGCAAGCGAGTGTTCATCGGATGGTACCTGGCTTGGAGAGACGCGTTGCCAAGCGGTGACCACCCCCACTGCGAAAAGACTTGACATCTCCACACCACCTTGCAGTGGGGTGTGTCCTTGCCTGCCTTCGATGCCTTCGACGCCGCACTTACGTATGCGATCTGTCGAGATCCCTGGTCAATGTCGTTTCCGCCAGGATTCTCGTCGTCAAACAGAGATTGTTTGCGCTGGCCTGGCTTCTGTGCAACACGAGAATGAATCCGACACGCAGAACATGTCGACCCTTGGCAAGCCGTCATTTGCAACTTTGCCGGCCACAGGTGCGCTGTCTTATTCGTCCGTCAGCAACACGACAGCAGGATATTACCTGTCACTGTCCAAGCCAGCATGTGAAGGCGTACACGCATTGCTACGCATGTGCAACCACCACACCCATGCTGCAGCGGCGACGATGTCACCACCCCTTACGCACCTTTCTGTACCGCCGCCTTGCACCCCGCTCAACTGATATCAGTTGGCATTAGCGGCCATATTGACATGATATATCACGGCCATTTGTCGAGATCACCCCGCTATATTGTTCGCTCGTAACCCTGCCTGATTCTTCCCGAGCCTACTTGAAACAGGCACTCGTGTCCCCCTCCCTCTCTCACCGCTTTCCAGCTTCCATATTTGTCCGGCGGTATCAGATGACCACCCAGGCTTCCGGCCGTCCTCTTGAAACAATTCAGTGATGTTCATTAATATCGATCCAGGAATTCAACACCCCGTCATCATGACCAAAAAGAAGCGTTGCGTGTGGCTGTCACCATCCCGGAAACCCTTCTTTACTTGGCCATTGGGTATCCCATAATATTCACGGCACGCCGATCTTCCGAGCGCATACGGGCCGCATCATCTCGTCGAAGTTCCTGGTACATCTTTCTCGTTTCGAATCATACTGTGGCGGCGGACTAGCAGCCAAGGGATGATGAGGCTTATCAATCTTACACGTGCACGAGGTAGTCCATCTGCCCACAGAGAGCAACAGCCAGCCTCAAGAATGTTCACCCGCACTCCGCATCACACTCTTTTGCCTTTTGCGCAAAAATGTCCTGCTCCACCAACAGCGAACGCTTGGATCCTGGCTCGGCAACCCACCGCCATGATAGGCCGGCAAGTCCACCGACCGTCACGGGTGGCCGGCCTGATCCATTTCCACGCCTCCCAAGGTGGAGGCGTGCTTCGTAACGAGGAACGGTGTTCGCTGTTCCTGTGCGGCGTTAAGGCAGGTCCGGTCAGCATTCCACCCCGCTTCTCCGCCACAGCATTTCCTTCTCCTCCTGGTTTTCTACGTAACCGGCCGGCGATTCTCGTCGAATGATGCAAGGTACCTGGAGAGCATTCCCAGTTACCGCCGCAGTAGTGTCCCGAACCTTCGGCCAGCCTCTTTGAAAGTCACGGCAGAGACCCTTCGGGTACCGCCGGTCTACGACCGTCCCCGAGCCTCCGCCTCCCTCCGCCACTACTGGCCCAGATTCTGCACCGACATCGCCGATAAGCAAGCTCAAGTCGTATTATGTGAGTAAGGGCCCGACCTGCATGCTCTTAGCGCCAAAAGTACAGGCGGAGCATTGTAATGCGTTCAACTGCGCTTCTGTTGCCTAGCAGTAGGGTGCATTAGCTCGTCTTGTCAGAGGGGGCGAGCAAGAGAACACACAACGGTCACATGGTGTCTACGGAGGAGGTCCATCCAAGGGGATGCGCTAGCCAATGCTTCCTTGTACCGTCCACGACCCTGATGCTCCTCAGCACGAAAAGGGCCCTTGGGCCCTGATACGTTGATTGCGGCTGATGCAGGCATATTCTAACCTCGGAATGTCTCACAGTCCTCCCTTTGATCGTTGATAAAACAGATGCTTGCCCCCTCTACTGAGGTTTGTGTCTCTTATCCAGTCATCTCACCGCTCTTTCTGTCACCAAGTTTCATATCGAAGCATCCTGTCATCCCTTACGTCGGCCAACCCCAATCGTTGGGATTTCTGCTCATGCACAGCCGCTGAAAATGCATTTCTCGTCTGACTGAAACTCTGGTGTGTGGCGCTGTCCACTGTGAACCGTGGCCTGTTTTCTTTTGTTCACAGGCATATGGATCCAGACCTGCATCGCAGAGCCGCCTGGTGCACGCCATGCTGCATGCTACTGCAGGACTTGCAGGTGCGCCACGGATCTCGTCAGTCGTAGTCCGGTGTATCTCTCGCTAAAGTTCTCTCTGTACCTCGTCTTGAATTACTGTTGTTCATGTATCTCTCGGAACTTTGTTTCTTACTTGGATCTTGTCATTGCCTTGAGGATGAAGCGTATAGTCGAAACAGACTGATCCGATACCCGACTTGGGTCTTACTGCAATTGGAACTTTTAATTGAAATGCACTCTGCCTAGATGAAAAGAAAAATGTGTATTCTATCTATCAAGAAAGATGCAGATCAAATGTCTGATGAATGTGATGAATGTAACGAAAAGCGAGACTCTGACAGATGTACATCTCCAAATTCCATCTACAGACCTCTGACCACAACTGGATCTTGCCCCTGCCGGAAGGCCGAGATGCCTTCCTGTACACCGTCGCAAACGTCGCCTCCACGCGATCAACCCTGCCGTGCCACGCCTCCTCGCGCCGCTGATGCTGCCCACTCCCGCCGCCGGCCTGCAACCCGCGCTTCGCGTTGGCCGACGACCCGTCCATGCAGACCTCGTCGTCGACCGTGACGGGGTCCGTGGCGCTGTACGCCAGCCCCACGGCGTCGACGCCGATCCGCAGGTCCCCGTGCGGCGTGTACGCGCCCCCCGAGCCCGGGTCCAGGAACTGCACCCGCACGTCGCCCATGAAGGCGCCCGTGTTGCGGCGCAGCGGCGCGCTCGACCGCAGCGTCACCCACGTGCCCAGCTGGTCCTGCGACAGGCGGCCCTCGGCGCAGACGACGCGCTCGTCGCCGACGACGACGCGCACGAGCGGCGCCGTGGAGGCGACGCCGCCGGCGCTCAGGAAGATGAGGGACACGGTGCAGAGCATGCCCGATGTGTTGTCGAAGGGCTCGGACGGGTAGGCGGAGATCCAGGACAGGGGGTCGGTGGCCGGGTTGGTCACCTGCTGGCTGGAGGGGATGGAGACGATGGCGAACTGCCGCCCGGAGTGGGGGCCGGCGCCGGTGGTGGAGTCTTGGGTGGCGGCGGAGAGGGTGCCGCCTTCTACGGACCACCCCGATGTGCCGGATTCGAAGTCGTTGTTTCGGAGTTTGTTGGCGACGCAGGCTCTCGTGGTGGGAGTGGTACTTGTCGTGGGGGAGAAGGATGTGCTGGTTAATTTGCTAGGTTCAGGGATGGATGTTGGCGGTGCGGATGTTGTGACTGGTGGGGAGGAGGATGGGGTGCTTGATCCCAGTGAGGTGGTGGATGTGATAGGCTGTGTAGTCTGCACCGGCTCCGAAGAGAATGATGATGATGACGAGGTCGTGGTGAAGATGTCTTCTGTCGAGGTCGAGCTACTCGTCACGGGCGCTGCGGATGTCTGCTCTTCCCGGCTCGTAGAGGTTGATGTCATCGTCTCAGGGACGCCAGTGGATCCTGTGACAGACCCATCTGTGCCGGATGTAGTCTCTGTTACCGATACTTTGGGACTACTGGTTGTGATCGGCTCTGTCGGCTGCGGCTGACCCGTGCTTGTAGTAGACTGCGTGGTCGCCGGCGGCTGCTCCGTCGACGCCTCCGTAGATGCACTCTCCACCGACGACTGCATCTGTGCTGTCGACGACGACGTCTGACTCGCACTGACTTCTGAATTACTATTTGTACTGGCATCCGTCGTTGTCTGAGGCACTCTGGAGCTCGTCATAGAGTCCGTGCTTAGGGGCGGCTCCTCAGTGGACGTTGTTATGCTTGATGCATCCGTGCTCGATGTCTCTGTTGTGACCGACGGCTCATCAGTGACTGTGGTGCTCCCAGAGGGATCCGTAGTCGAGACCACAGACGGTTCCTCAGTAGCGGGCACAGTCTCCGACAGTTCCGTCGTCGTGACCGATTCGCTGCCAAGCGTGGCCGTGCTAGACGCTCCGGGATCAGAAGTTTCCCGGGCACTTGTCACAGATGGTTCTTCTGTAGGTTCTTCTGTGGCGGACAGGCTTGTCGTCGTGGACGGCTCCTCAGAAATGGCTGTGCTAGAAGCCTCTGTCGTAACAGGCGGTTCGCTTGTGCTGCTCCCGGTGGGCACTACGATATCTGAAGATGTGGTAGTCATTGACGCCTCCTTCGTCGTGCCACTGCTTGACACGCTTGTCTCCGAGATTTGGGAGTCAGACGTGGTTGCAAGATTCTCTGTGGACGTGGATGCTCCGGACGTGTTTGGCTCAGTCGTAATGGGTGGCTGCTCAGATTCAGTGGTGCTGGCAGAGGGTTACGTCTCGGACACTCCTGACTCCGTCGCCACAGAAGTCTCTTCCGTCTCAGCGCGAGTCAGGGTGATTGATGGCTCCTCTATTGATGATATTGAGTCCGTCGACTCTGAAGGCTGCTCTGTAGTCACAGATGTAGATGAAGCCCCTTCTGTGGTAGCGGGCGGCTCTTCGGTTGTGGTAGTGCTGACTATAGATCCCGTCTCAGAAGTTCCAGATCCAGTGGGTGTGACTGTAGGCTCGTCTGTTGTCACTGTTGTGATTTCCGATATGTGACTGTATCGGAGGTCTCTGGTGTTCCCGTAGTTTCATCCGTCTGGCTAGAGGAGCCTGTAGTGGAGGATTCGGGTCTGTCGTAACGGAAGGCTCCTGAGCATCCAGGCTAGTCTCTGTTGGCTCTCCTGTAGGGATCTCAGAGCTCTTTGTCTGCGACGAGGAGATCTGGTCTGAGGTTGTGGTCACTGGGTTTTCTGTTGTGGACGCCGTTTCACTCGGAGCCACAGTTGCAGTCTCAGATGACTCTAGCTCACTTGTCGAAACAGTCTGATCCAAAGATGTGCTGGAGGGCCCGGCTATGGTGGAGCTCTCCTGTTCTGTGGTCGAAGTTGCACCCTCTGAAGTGCTTGAGGGCTCATCCCTAGCTGACTCCTCCGCACTGGTGGTAACCGACGGACTCTCGGAAGTTGACGTCATGGGCTCGGTTTCGGACACTTCCTGGCTAGTCGCGCTGAGCTCACTGTCCGAAGTGCTTGAAGGTCCGTCTGTTGTGGGCTGCTCCTGATCTGAGGTGCTTGCTTGGCTCGTTGAAGTGACAGTCGGCTCCTCTGTCTGCGTCTCTTGGTCACTAGTTGTCTCAGGTATCTCTGTGGTCGTTGAACTGGCAGTCTCAACTGATGTTTGATTGCCAGTGCTCGACGGCTCCTCATTGCTGGTGGACGTGGTAGACGATTCCGCAGTTGAGGTAGTGGCAACTAGATCATCAGACGAGTTCACCTCGCTCGTGGTGGTGCCGATGTCCTCACTACTCGGCTCCGAATTGACGCTGCTGGTTGGAGAGGGCTGGGTAGTGAGGGTTGCGCCCTCAGTCGTGCTAGTCGGATCCTCACTTGTGGTCTGTTCCTGCTCATCCGTGGTGGTAACACCGGGATCATCTGAGGAACTCGGCGAAGACAAGCTGGTGGTCGGGGTGGCTGATTGCTCGTCAGATGTCGTTGGGACACTCTCTGTGGCTGTGGAGAGATCACTCGATGTTCCTGAGGCTGCTGAATCTGACTCTGCGGTCGAGGTCACTGGAGGTTCAGAGGTTTCCGCTGTCTTTGACGGAACTCCGGATTCATCCGGCCTTGTGGTACTCCCTGACTCGGACGTAGACGGCTCGAAAGGGTTTGTAGTGATCACCGGCGGCTCTGTCGTTGTAATTTCAGTGGCACCATTAGTCTCAGACGTGCCAGAGGCTTCAGTAGGCGATTGCGGTGTGGTATCTGAGCTGTCATCACTTGTAGTCGGCTCCGTCGTCACACTTGGAACATCACTAGAAGAACCCCCTATCTCGGTGGGTGACGTAGAAGCAACAGCTGCCTCAGTACTTGTAGGTTCAGTCTCATCGGGTGGGAGATCCTCGAAGAACAACGCATTCACATCGTTGCTCTGACCGACACCGAGAGAGTCCAGGCCAACAACCATGTCGTGATGCTGATCCTCGATATTGGAGGGATCCACGAGAAACATCTCCACGCGGAGCACGCCATCATTCTGGTCGTCACTCGACAATATAACGGGCTCGATACTGGCAGCTCGGCGCCACCGACTGCCAGGCTCGACAGGCATACTTTCCGCACAGATGGTGTTGCCCACCTTGACACGGACAGCCACCTGAGTGAGGTTGTCACGGGAGTCCGTTGCGTAGTTGAAGTACACTGAGCAGACAACGGGCTCCCCAAGGGGCATTTCTGCCATGCTTTGCCAGATCGTTGAAACAAGCCGGCCAGGGGTATCGGCTTGCCTATTGAACAGATCGCGTCTTCGAGAGCCTCGAGCACCTTCGTCGGGGATGAATGTCTCGAGGAAGCGGTCGCCTGTATGCGACTCCATGATGCCGTTGGATGTTTTGGCGTCCCATCCCATCCCAGTGACCTCCCCTTCTAGATTCCAAGAAGATAGATCCTCGAATCCGCCATTGCTGACAAGGTTCGGGATAACTCCAGAGGTAGCTATAGGTCCTGGAGAAGTTGAGGCTGTGAGCGAAATCGCTGGTGAAGATAGGTTACTGCCGCCGCCGCCGCTAGCAGTAGCCGATGTGGTTGGTGATGCACGTTCACTGGTGAGACGAGTAGTTGGCAGGTCTGTGGGCTCAAAGTTACTGGAGCTGGATCCACTAGCCGGAGCCTCGGACAAGCTGGAGATACCCGAATTTCCTGGAATCATGCTGCTTTGGCTACTTGGGGATGATAGGATGACAGGGACCACAGTTGTCCCACCCTGCTTGCCTGAGGAAAGGCCAGGAGTAGCATCACCACTGGGAGAAGGCTGTTCAGCTGGCTGTCGTGTGGTAGCCGGCGTGCCGTTATCCTCGAACGGGATAGTAACAGCAAAGCTTGGCCTATGTCCAGCTGGCCTCGTTGCATGGCCAGATCCTGGCGCGGGTTGTCCTTGTTGCACCTTACCACCGGCTGGGCCAGATGGCCGCTGCGGAGCTGGCCTGGTATTGTCGACACCACTGTCTACAGGCCTCCCTGTTGGGGCACCGTCGAATGATATTGTGATGCCGCTTATCAGGGGCTGAGATCCGGCATCCTGGGCCGAAGGTCAAACTGGTGGTGAAGCAGTGTTATCGTTGCCGCTTGGTGTAGTCGTTGCACTCACGGCACTGGATGGATCTGCCAGGCAGCCGATATCCCAGTCATCTTCGTCCACGATAGTGACACTGGGGATCTCGGTACTCGTTGTAGGAGAAGAAGTTTCCCAGGAGGTCGTTGGCTCCAAGGGGTCGACCGCAGGGCATCCAATTTCCCATTCTTCTTGCTCCTGCTGAGCCAAAGCTTGCCCGAGGAGCAAAGCCACCCATGTCCAATGGACCTTGAGCTTCATGATCAGATGCTGGGTTTAGATAACGAAACACAGATTGACGAGGATATACAAGAATTGGGCGAGGAGTCTACAATGAGTGTAGAAATGGCAGAGGATTCCAGGCTTGACCCAAGAGGTGCAATTGACTGAACAGGATTAACCTCCACGCAATAGCCTGAGGCTGCCCACTGCGAACTTTGGTCTTTCATCATTGACCATTCTCTTTAAGACCGAGTCAGGGAGGTACTGACAGCTTGCTAATTCTCTATTGCTCTCCAGCACTTGCGGATTAGCCTGAAGAGATTGACGGCGAGGTCTGAGACATGAATGAGGACTCTTCAAGAACTCATGATACCAAGAGTAAAGACCTTCCAGGTTTGTATAACAGATCCACCTAGCTGTAGTGTTGGTGACCTCTTGAAAAGGCATGGGAACCCACTTTGGACTTGGCCAGATTCCCAACCTGGTAGTTTATGGCATGAGTCTCCACGTTGGTGCAAGACATCAACTTTGACAAACACAAAGACCTATTTCTCACCCTTGTCCACATGGCACCAGAGTGCCTAGAACTTGCTCTCCCATCCTCAACGCTATCTTTACTGACATTTGGGAAATTGTGCATCGTGTCCTGCTAGATTCGGTTACAACTTCTCAATATCCCAAGATATGCCATAAAAGACACAACCATGTTCTCATAAAACTCCCTCACTGTTTTGAGCTTATAACCCAGTCTCGTGCACCATCCCATCCCATTCTTTTCAAGTATCTCATTCAGACAAGCTGACTGACTCCTGCAACGGATGGAACATCTAGCTTAAGAGCCCCTCATCACCGTGCCGGATTGCCGCCTCCTGGCTTGTCCATCATCTTGGCGACTGTGGATACTTGCGATCATCTTGCAGTATATGGACAAGGCCTATCGTTACCAATGTCGGAGTTTAGTCCATGGAAGTCCACCCCAGCCTATGGCGACAGGGGAAAGAGAGTCGCCAAGGCCGGATGGCGCCTTTTTTAACAAGATCTGAGTGGATCAAGACATCGTGGCCCAGAAGTCTGGATTCTGATATATCAGACCAGCAAGATCTCGGCCGATTTCCCTGTATGTCGGTATGGAGTGGCAAATCTGGCTGTACTTCATAGATTAAGGTAGTTTAAAGTTTTAAGGTTAGGTTTCTTTTTTAAATGTTTACGTCGTGCCGTGATGTGTCAGGTTTCGTGCCCTCTGCACGGCCTTTTCTCTTAACTATCGAGTCATTGAGAAGGAGGAATCGTTCAGCCCTATACCATCTTCACCCACTTTAATCATATAGTACGTTAGGCAACACAGGCCACTCTGCGTCAAGTGGACTTGGTATCTTATTTCTTCTCTCAGTAGACTGGATGGCATTAGGTCTATTCCCGATCTTTCGTACATCACCCCAGACTTCGTCGCCCCACTAACATATCTATGTTAACCACCGTATCTGCGTAGTTCTAGACTTGTCCTTTCGTATCAACAGCCTCCATACTGAGCAGTCAAGACACCCCATACCAGCCTTCCTTATCAGAAAGTCTGCCAGCGTGGACCTCACAAATTTCTCATGTCCCCTAATGGCTTTCTCCGAAGCCATGGCACCTTAGTAGAACGACAGCTGCCAAGGGCACTGTTAAGGGCACTTGAAGATCAGTGGCAGCAGAAGGATGCTCACACGAACCGGAGTTTTCCATTCTCATAAAATTTGGGGTGTTGCGTCTTCGCTGTCTTAAGAGATCACAAAATCTTCAGCAACCCCGTCCTCCATACCCTCTCCATACATGATGCCTTGTACGTAGCACGGTCCGACAACCCTGTACGAGCTGGCGTGCGGGCGCAGCACAAGTGGCAAGGACAAACCGAGGCACGCGACGATGGAGTCGCCAGCACGGGGTTGACCTTCTCCGGCCCCCACCAGCCCAGACGCCGTCCAGAAAGGAGACAGGGGCCCAGTGCGAATCAGCAAATCGTCAATGTCGCTATGCCGAAACTGCCACATGGGAGAGGCCAGCCCGCCACCGTCCACTGTCTCCCTGAGAGGCCAGTGCGTGACTTCACCTCTGCCGCGCAGCCCGAAGCCCGGGACTTGGTCCAGGGACAACAAGCGATCCACAGCTTCCGACAGGCTGCCCCCGCGGACATACATCTGCTCCTCGTGGTCTCTGAAGAAGAATGCTGCCAATGCTGTGAACCATGCCTGGATCGCTTCACGCGAGATTGTGGAAATTTCCGAGCCGTCAAGATCACCTGGCGGTGTGAGAGGGCGGTGTACTTTTCGTATCGTATCGAGGCGGATCCCACGGAACGTGATAAGCGTCTGCTCCTCGTTGATCGACAGCTTCGCTTCGGTCTCTCCGCTGACGCGAAACACGGCTTGCCAATGGGCGAGGATGGAGTGCCGCAGATCTTTGAGCTGCAAAACCCAACTACAGGCCGAGTCTAGTGGCCTGTTTTTACAAAATAGCAACGCTTGCGGGTTTCGCTCCTCCAACAGGATGTGCATGACGACATCCTTCAGCACATCCTCGGGCGTCTTGGTATAGTCGATCTGCGGCTGAGCACCGCCGGGATATAGATCCGAGTATATCGGAAACAAAGCATACATTTTGTCCCGTGGATCTGTAGCTTCCAGCTCCCGCGTCTCGTTCAATAGGTCCATGAGCGACTTGATGCTGGGACCTCGCCCAAGTGATGAGGATTGTCGGATGTCTTTGCCAGAGGTTCTTGCTTCCTCCATTCTAATTAGTGAATCCAGTTGGTGGATCCAGGGATTTAGACCGGATGCCGGAATTCTCTGAGCCTGGGCAAGATCGAGTGTGTGTTCATTTGCTACAGCGGCGTCCCTCAGAGCTACTGAGTCTTGACCGCACCATATAATCTTCGGAACTCCGGGAGTCGAGGCTTCCTGCAGAACCCAGACTCGGAACCAGTACTTTCGCTTCCTCAATGCACTCAAGCATTGGTAGTGTTCAGGCGACAGTGCGATTTCTGGCGATGGCAACGTATCCCCAGGATCTTCCCCAGGACTGGCTCTTCCAGAACATAGCATCCAAGCCTTAAAAGCCGTTGAACTGCCATCCATCTCTTCACCAAGCCAGATGATGATAGAACTCGCCGAGGCATAAATGTCCCGCATCAGTCTTAGCTGTGCGCTCTTCTCCTCGTCATCCTCTTGATTGATACAGATGGCGTCGGTCCAGAGATATTGGACTTGTTCATCCTCCTGCACATTGTCCAGTCTCGAAATGGTACCCTCAGCCTCACGATACGAATCGTGTTGTTGGACAGAACGACGTCTGCGCAGGAGAACTTCATGGAGGAAGGAGAACAGATTGTCCCGCACCAGGATCTGCTGCCCTCCCACCGTGAGCGGGTGCGTCGGAGTGTCAGTACCCCAGCAATACGAGAGGGCATTGTACTTGGGGCAATTGCTCAGCGGCACTATGGAGATATCGCATTCGAGCGGCGAGTCGTCGCTGTCATCGACGGGCGAGCGTAGCTTTATGAGTCTGATCTCGCCCTTGGATAATTGGGTGTGCTTGTACATGGGCAACTGCCTCAAAGGGCTATCGTGGTACCGATTGATTGACTGCATAGTCATACGTCTGGGCACGGCCTGGAAAGTGAAATCTCACAAGACAAGCAACCGAGATGCGATGGCAATGTGGAATCAGGACAGAGATGTAGTGTTTCAGTTGAAGTGGGGTTGACCAGAAGTTCACCCAGGAGTCCTTCTTGGCGGAAGCCTAGGTGTCACCCGGAGCTCCTATTCGCAGAACTGGTTCTATCTTTGATCTTCAATCTCAAAAACACGTTTACAGCTTCGCCCGCTCTTCAGCAAGAAGTTGCCGCCTTTCCGGCCCTCCACGACTTCCATCGCCCGGGAATGCACTGGCCACATCCTTGTACTCGGTGCGAAATCGCCATTTCTGCGCCAGGGCAGGCTCAAGATCCTTGTGGAGGGCGAGGGTCGTGTATTTGCCGAGGACTGGCAAGAATTTAAAGGCACTACCATTGGAGGATACTATGTCAATATACAGATGCACACATGCATCGCCCCAACAGGGACGGATTCATAAAAGAGGAAACGTACTGCCCACTGCCACCGCCGGCGATGAAGAGGTTCCGATAATCCGGGTGGTAGTCCATGATAAAGTCGCCCGTGGGCGTGTCGGTGTACCAGCACACAGCCGCCTGTTCAAAGGGCCTGTCGGCGAGCTCGGGTAGCAGCTCCCTGAGGCCGTCGCGCAGCCGGCGCTCGCCATCCGCCGGTATGTAGTTCTTGCGCCCGTTGGACGCGGCCAGCGGCGGTGTCGACACGTCCGACTTGAGCAGCCTGCGCTCGGCCTCGGTCGGGGCGCGCTCGTAACCCCACCCGTGCACGACCACCTTCAGCATCGACGTGTCCTGGTGCGGTGGGAAGTTGAAGAAGCCCGTGCTGAAATTGACGTAGATGGGCAGTCGCTCGTACTTGACCATCTCCTCTGGCGAAAGGCGGATGAAAGCGAGCACCTGCCCTGTCGCGAGCGTCGAGTTGTACATGGGCACCAGGCTGCCTGCCCACGCGCCGGCGGCGAGAACGAAAAGGTCGGCGGCGACCTCGGTTCCGGCCAAGGTCCGGGCAGCGCGGATTGTCCCCGAGGCGCCGTCACGGTCGAATCCGATGACTGTGCCGGCACGGCCTGACACGAACGAGACACCTTGGATGATGCACTCGTCGCGGAGGCCAGCGATGGCTTTCCGCGCGTCTGCCCACCCGGCCTGCTTATTGTGGTAACCCAGGAATCCGGGGCTGGCCAGAGGGCCGCTCAGAGTCGGGTATGTGCGTCGCGCGGCCTCAGAGGATTTGAAACTCTCCCATGGCAGGCTGGCGCGATCCATAGCATCGTTGCTCTTCTGGATGTAGGCCTTTCCGACCGGGTTACTGTTGCTGGTCATGACGACAGGCGTAGGGAAGAAGACGCCCTTGTATTTCGGCGACTGGTACCACTCGAGGTACGCCTCGTAGGCCAGCTTCAGGTAGATGTCGTCGGCATAGTCGAAACGGATGACACGCGAGATGTCCACGCTGGAGCCGTCAGGGACCTGTTGACCTTGCCGGTCAGCAGAGCCAGGGATTTGGAGGGACGAGCTCGCTCTCCAATTCTTACCGGAGGTACATGACGATCCAGGACGGTGACATTGCGGTATCCTTGCAGCGCGAGCTCAAGCGCCGTTGTCAGGCCAAAAAGGCCAGCACCGACCACGACAATATCCGAATCTTTCTTCATCCTATCCCTGCGGTCTGCCAGTTGCACTGCTTCGTCGAGTCAATAAGGTTGGGTCTAGACGTACTTCCCCTCCATCGCCACCTATAAAGCCCTCCCATACCCCTGCATTGGTATGGTCGGGATGCTTGGGATTGAGGACCGTCATCCGGCCCTTCGGTCCACGGGAAAGCCGCACGGACACGGAAGGCGGCAAGCGGCAAGCGGACGGCCGGAGGCCGGAAGCGGCATCATTCCCCGCACCTTGGCATCCTCTGTCTAGTGGGGGAGCTCCAGGCCTTCACTATATAATTATTGTGTCTCAAAAGGAAATGTACTCCCTTGCTCATAATACCAGTTGAAGTGGCATATACACGACCGAAAGAACAACGCCACCACTTAGCCATGTCGAGCGCCCAGGTTTCCAGCACCGCGGGTGCAGCCCGCTCGGCGGTCAAAGCTCCCCTTCTCATTCCCGGTCGAGGCGAGCCTGTCAAAGACGCCATCCTAGTCCACTCCGCGGGCAAGATCGACTATGCCGGGCCTCTGTCCGGGCTCCCCAAGTCGCTGAACGTTGCCCCGGAGCGGACGACCGAAGTGCCAGTTTTGCTCCCCGGTCTCTGGGACTGCCACGTGCACTTCATCGGGCACCTGGAGCAGAGCATGGACGGCATGGCCGGCACGCAGCCGTTCTTCGCAGGCGTCCGCACCGCCCACGACGTGGCGGCCACGCTGAGCGCGGGGTTCACGAGCGTCCGCGAGACGGCGGGCTGGGGCGTCGAGCTCTCGCAGGAGATCGAGGCCGGGCGGCTCGTGGGGCCCAACATCTACTCGGTCTGCGCGGCGATCAGCTGCACGGGCGGCCACGTCGACCACCACACGATGAAGGAGCACCACTTCCACGAGCTCGGCTGCCACGGCATCCCGCTCGTGGTGGCGGACGGCGTGCCCGAGTGCATCAAGGTCGTGCGGCAGCAGCTGCGGCGCGGCGCCAAGGCCATCAAGATCTGCACCAGCGGCGGCGTGTCCAGCGACCGCGACGACCCGCGGCACCAGCAGTTCTCGGACGAGGAGATCAAGGCCATGGTCGACGAGGCGGCCCGGTCGCAGCGGGCCCTGACGTGCCACGCCCACGGCCTGCCCGGCATCATCGCGGCGGTCCGCAACGGCGCCACCAGCGTCGAGCACGGGACCTACCTCAACGACGAGGCGATCGCCCTGATGAAGGAGAAGGGGACGATCCTCGTGCCCACCCGCGGCATCATGGAGGACGGCCTGACGGCGGCGGAGGTGTGGTCGCCGCGGGCATTCGAGAAGCTGAAGCCGGTGGCGGAGCAGCATGCCAAGGCGTACCGGGCCGCCGTGGCCGCCGGGGTCAAGATCGCCAGCGGGTCAGACTACGGCATCAGCCAGAGAAACACGCCGCTGAGCCACGGTCACAACGGCAGAGAGATCGAGCTGGCAGTGCAGATAGGTGGCATGACGCCCTTGCAGGCGATCGAGGCAGCCACGGCTGTTGCACCAGAGGTGCTTGGCCCTCAGGCCCCCAAGGCCGGCCAGCTGAAGGAAGGTTACGACGCCGATTTTATCGCGTTGACGTCCAACCCCCTGGACGACATCAGCATCATCGCCAACCCGGACAATGTCACGCATGTCTGGCTCGCGGGGAAGCTGAAGAAATCCCCAGGGAGGCCGATCCTGCTCTCAAGCTACTCAGAGTGATGGAGGAGGATTGGAACTAGATTTTTGATGTGGTTGACGGGTCAATAAACGCGAGTGTCGCACGTGTCGAGGGTCGAGGATATGCGGAGTGTTACTTGTACTTCTCGTAGCAACGACTCGATATAGCATATGAGGTAGCCTTGGCTGTCAATTGCTGGTGTGTATAAGTAGATTGTATCGAGAGGCTGGTAACACATCAAGCCAGGCAAGAGAGACCTGCAGACAATTGAAGCACCAGGGCGACCTCCCAGTTCATCAATCCCTGTTCAGATCCCTGTTCAGATCAATAGCAGCGATTGATGCCCAGCAGACGGAGCATGAACTTGGCCCGACCGCCGACTCCATCGTGCATCGTGCAACTGCGACTGGACGGGACTGCTGTCACCGACACGGCGACACCCCACCCCCCGCATTCGAGACACCCTCACACCTTTGAAGACTCGGGTGTTCTACCCTTCTTCATACCGTCCAGTGGTGTCTGGTCTCTGTACCCCCAAAGAGATGCCCGTGGCAAATACCATGGCGAGTACGCACAAAGGCCCGGTCGGCCCCCTGCGCCATCGTTGCTCGCAATGCTCAGCAACAGGCACCCAACTGCTCCGGTGCGGCGCCTGCCGAGCGGTCCGGTACTGCTGCCGTGAACACCAGGTTGCCCACCGCGCCCAACACAAGGCCACCTGCAACAAGATCAAGAAAGCACGCGCCAAGCTCGCCCAAGAAGACCACGGCGTCCGCAACGCTACGCCGGACTTCATGACCCCCGCCAACGCCTTCGAGACTGACGCCGGCCGCTTCTGGGGCATCCTCAGTACGCGCGACTACATGCGTGCGCGTTACGGCCTCGCGGAGTATCTGCGTCTATCAGGGACGCTCGACGGCGTCCAGGAGGCCCTCAGTCATATGCAAGACATGATCAGACTGTGCCGGAGCGACAATATGGGGCTGCGCGACCTGGTTCCGGCTCTGATGCTGCGGCTGGACCTCGACCAGGAATGCTATGATTTTGTCAAGTGGTGGGCAACGTGTGATCCAGACGGGAACTACGACTGGGGCGACCTGACTCTGCCACACCTCAACCTCCGCGGGGCTGACGCTTTCGAGGATCCGAATTTCTTGGGTGGTAAATTCGCACCCTTGAACCACACAGTTGCTATTCTGCTACTGAAACTCAAGATCCTCGTCGATGTACGCAACTTGAAGGTAACACGCAAAGTCCTTGCCTCGCATCGCCTCCCGTTGGAGCTTTGCGAACCAGTCGAGCTATCGGTGGTCCGGAGCCCCCTCTCCACCAAACTCCAGAGACTGTCTCCAGAGTCTCTTTCACGAACAGAGGAGAACCTCCTGGACCAGATCCGTGAGCTCGGCGCAAAGCTGGTTGAAGCCAACAAGCACTTCATGTTCTCCCTCTTTGAACCGGACGAACCGCTCTGCGACGAGCCCGAGGCGTACTCGATGGGCTCCTGGGAAGAAATGGCCCGCGCCATGCAGAGCTCGTACGCCGCATTCTGGGAGACGGAAGGAGTCCTGGACCTGCTGAATGATGCGCGCGCGTGCGCTGGACGAGACTCGGAAAACGAGATTGACGACATGATGGACGGTGAGACGTTCAAGTCGAGGCCTGGCTCACGCCGGACGAAGGAGGAGCTGCTGGCGGATGTGAGCGTGAATCGCATTTGGGGATATCTCGACTATGCAGTCGAGAACGCCTCGTACTTGGGTCCCTGGTCCGAGCGGCCTTCCGAGAGGCACACACGGGAGAACAGGGAGGCTTGGGCGAACGCTATTGCAGAGGACGAGGAGGACGAGTCGTGGAGTAGTGATGAGGATTAGGCTGCGCCTCTAGGGAGACTCGGCTTCTGATCCCAAGTCTTCAGCACTCCTTGGCAACGACTCACTCAGCTTAAAGTTGCAGAAACTCAGCTTTGGGAACAGAAATAGATTTTGATGTGCTTCAATTTCGTCTCCGACGTCCCAGCTGACCCCAGGCTGTCTGCCGCTCTGTTTATCTTTGTGTGCCTTCTGTCGAAGAAATGTATGTTTTCTGAACGTAAAATGACCTCCCACTTCTGCCTCCACACCATGCACCTCCCTGACTTGGCGTTCCAGCTTGTCGGTACAAAGCACGATGTGACGTTAAAGCAGGGACTTCCAATAAGTTCCCAGGACATACCCACACACACAGCAATGCATGATGTGGCGAGATAACAAGGATCCGCACATGTCAACAGAATAATAGCGAGAATAAAGCAGATACGCACCCTGGTAACAGTCGAAGCGGGCACGGCTGCCCCCCCAGACCACGCTTCCGAGCACAGCTCAACTGACTTCATGTGAAGAGGCCAGACCCGATTTGGGAAATCAGGTCTGGTCGAGAAGACTCCTGGCTTGGAGACTAGTGGCGAGCAATGGCTGGCGCCGGACTAGCTCGGCTTCTGTTATCAGGGTTGTCCGCATCCGTATTCCGCCTCCGCATCCGTGTCGCCGCCTTGGCGTTTCCCGGCGCAAAATGCTTCCCCACGGGGTCACTCAGCCCCAACTTGCTTGGATGCCAGATAGATATATAAACAGTTCGTGAATCAGGCCATGCGGATAGTATTGACCTGAGCCTTCAACACTGCACATTGTCATCATCCTGGACGCAGTTGTCATCTCCTGACGTTACCCATCAACCCCGCCGGCATGGACAAGAAAGTGGAAGCATCTTCTTCTATCAACGAAGCCCAAATGGAGGAAGCCAACAAGGGAGAGGAGTTCGCGCAGGCCGAGACGTTCCCCAGCGACGATGTGACTAAGGCGGAGAAGCGACTTCTTCGAAAGATTGACCTTCGCGTCTTGCCCATCCCCATCCTGCTGGTTGGCTTGTCGTCGATTGACAGAGTCAACATTTCCTCGGCCAAGGTCGCGGGAATGGACAAAGATCTTGACTTGGGCGGTACCCGGTATAATGTCGTCGTCCTGGGTAGGTTGCTTCTCCTCGCCCCTCTTGTGTCTCCTGCTCTACCAGTAACGTTATGCCTGAGTACATGCTGATACTGTCCTCTGGAACTACAGTCTTCTTCACTACCTATGCGCTCTCGGAGCTGCCTAGCAACGTCCTCCTCCGGCCAATCGGCGTCGTTCGGTACTTGTCGATCCTCATCCTCGCCTGGGGCACCGTCGCTATGTGCCTTGGCTTTGTGAACAATTTTGCCCAGCTCACCACCTTGCGAATCCTTCTGGGTCTTTTCGAAGGCGGTCTCAATGTAAGCTAACATCGTCGCACACTCTTTCCCGGTCACTCACACTGACACTTTCTTCTTCCCAGCCTGCATGCGTCTACCTGATTTCCTCCTGGTACAAGCGCTACGAAACGCACAAACGCATCGCCATCTGGTACACCTGCGCCAGCATCATCGCCGGCTTCGCAGGCGTCATATCCTACGGCTTCAGCAAGATGGAAGGGGTCGGGGGCCTCCGCGGCTGGCGCTGGATCTTCATCATGCCGGGGGCCATCACGATCGCCTGCGTCCTCCTCGTCTACTTCTTCGTCTCCGAGTTCCCGGAGAAGGCCAAGTGGCTGAGCCCGCGGGAGCTCACACTCGTGCAGGACCGGCTCCGCGAGGACCGCGCCGAGGAGTTCGACGACAAGACCTCCCTCCGGGAGACGCTGGAGCCGCTGCGCGACTGGCGCATCTGGGCCATGTCCATGCTCTACTTCTACCCGGCCGCGGGCTTCTACGCCATGGCCTTCTTCACACCCAGCATCCTCAGCGCGTTCGGCTTCTCCGTCGCCCTGAGCCAGATCCTGCAGACGCCGCCGTACCTGCTCGGCGCCGTCTGCTCCGTCGCGACGGGCTACTACGGCGACCGGACCCACCGGCGGTCGCCGTTCATGCTCGGGCACGCCGTCCTCGTCATCGTCGGCTTCCTGCTCATGGGCTGGGGCCCCAACACGGGCGGCAAGCTGACGGGCGTCTTCCTGTCCATCGCCGGCGTGCAGAGCATCATCCCCACCGTGCTCACCTTCATGCCCAACAACGTCGCCTCGGTCAAGGCCCGCAAGGTGGGCATCGCGCTGCAGATCGTCCTGGGCGCCATCGGCGGCCTCTGCGGCTCGCTGATCTTCCGGGCGCAGGACGCGCCCGGGTACAGGCCCGGCATGTACACCGCGTTCGCCCTCATGGTGGTCTTCATGATCAACGTCGTCGCCCTGACTGAGTACTTCCGGCGGCAGAACAAAAAGGCTGACGAGGAAGGTCTGGTGATCGACGGCGTGGAGGGGTTCCGATACACCCTGTAGGAGTGAGATCAGAGTAAGATGCAGATCGTTGTTATATCTTGGGCGGGGTATAATTCGCAGACATATGTATATGGAGAGACGTAAAGTCATCAACAGGGTCTGTCGACCCTGTCGGTTGCACAAGCCAAAATTACGGAACCTCTTTTTGTCTTAACCTAGCTTTTCGTAGTGCAATGGTGCTCATGATAGTAAGCACTGCAACATAGCTTGATTCTTTCAGGGAGCGATCTGTCCAGGCTTTGCTTCTTTAATAGTAACTCAACATCATTATACTTTTTGTAATACACATTGCGTTCAGGACAATGGATGCCTTTGTCGCTAGGTCCAAACGCTAATCTAGCGACCTTCCTGATCACTCTGAGAAATGCGTCGACCATCGCTGGCCAAGGAACGACCAATCGTTTGTCATATCTGCCGAGGTGTCAAAGTACCCGTTGGGCCAGTCGAGTTCTTCAGGCACCGCCAGTGGTTCTAAATTGATATCCCGTGTCTCCATAGCGGCCAAGTCTTGGGATGCGGGTGCAATAGTTTGCGGGACAAAGTTCACAGCCGAATCGGAGGCTTCGGGGCGGTCTCGCGGAGTCGAGCTCGCCGTGGTAGAAGAGACCACCATCCCCTGTTTACTGGAGAGTGCCGCGTAGTCAAACAACTTGGCCATCAGGTCAATGTCCTCCTGCTCCACATTCACGTCCGAGAGCTCCTCGGAGGGTATTGCCCCATCGTATTCGCCGTCTCCGTAGCTGATGGTCCGGCGGCGGTGGAGGCGGAGCGAGATCTCATCCAGAACGCTCAGCTGCGATATGTCAGAACAGATCGATCTCCGTTACAACACTGCCCCCATGCCACGACTTACACTATTCCTCATATTGGGCCATATCTTGGCCATCCTTTGGAGATAGGCATGCGCCTTGTCGTACTTGCGGCGGGCGGCATTTGCAACTTTTGGGTTGTCGTTGATAGTGTGCTCCAGCTGGATGCTGGCTGCCAGTGCAACAAGGTAGCCCATGAAGGGATCGTACACACTCATACCCGCTCCTTCCATCTCAATGATATGCCGTATCACCCAGCTCGAGTGGATCATGGAATGCTGATGCGACTTTTGCAAGGTTGTGAGAGGCACTTGGTTGTGCCGGTGACGGGTCTTCATGAACAGGACGAAGGGATGATGACTGGGATGGTCAGCATCGGGCTCAGAATCGCGACGGAGGTTGCACTTACAGGAGACATCGCGTAGCTGAATATAGTATCTGAAGAACCACCCAGGCAGAAAAGTAGGGGCGTAGATGAGGCTCATCCACAACCCGGCGAGGCGACCCAACCTTGGTGTAGCGGTGCGGGTGAGCTTCTGCTTCGGGGTCAGTGACGTCCCCATGCTAGGTTTAATCCACTCACTCATCTCGACCTCCATCAAACGGGTCTCGATGGTCGCCTGTGCAGAGTCGTTCCTCCAGAAGGGAACAGGGGTAGAGGAACCCTCGTCGAAAACGTCCATGAGGGCGGTATGCCATACATCAAGGAGTGCGATACTGCAAGCAACGACGTCAAAGGCCCCGGTCTGCAATACGCCCCCACGCGAGATTGGCAACGTGATGTCCCTAGAGCCAGAAGAGCCTTCGGGGTGCGGGGCAGAGCATTGCGGCAGGAAGAGCTGAAATGAGGTTGCCGGGACGCAGGAAGATCTCACACCCGCGCCCGTGAAAATACGATCCATCATAAACAGCGTCCACACGACCGAACGCCAGCCGAGCGACAGGCGATCTTCTAACAATTCGGTATCTTCTTTACCAAGTAGACCCCGTGTCTGAGCGAGCCTCAACCCAAGAGCGACCTGAGCTTGGGCTCGATGCGGTTTGCCGGCTACAGACCAATTTAGTACATGACAAGATAGGAACGCTCGTGGAATGGGATCCGAGACTTACTGGCAAAATCAACCTGGGCCAGTAAGCAGAGCGCCTGGAAGTAAGCCAAATCAAACTCGAATTTGGAATATTGGGCTGTCAAGAGGTTCCAGGCCGCTTCTGCCAACGCTTCACAGGTCTCGGCAACGGCCTCTCTTGTGTGGAAGAACGAGTTTTGACAGGTACGCAAGCTGAGAGCGAGCAAAGGGAACAACACGAGTTTCGGGTACTCAGCCCTCAAAACTTGCGGGTTGTCGCTCGCTTCCGATAAAAGGGGGTAAGGCTGGTTGTAGAAATGCCGGAAGTAGAGTAAAACACCTTCTTCTTGGATCTCGTCAGGGATATCGAGTTCGCTTGTGGTCCTGGGGAGAGTGCTAGAGGGAGAAATTGAGCTGAGGGAAGATGTCTCATCTACGCGACGCGGACCTCCTTCTCCATCTCTCAAGCTCACAATGCCTCTGGCTCTGGTCAAAGGAGGTCAGTGCAGCCCCTGGAATAATCCGGATACATGAAGTCTCAAACTCACCCCAAAGCCTGTGCCAACTCGCAAAGTCTGTTCTCGACTGCGTTGAGTCGGTTCGCCTATAAAACGCTCAGAAACGAATCGGGAACATGTGTAGCCTGCGCTCTCGGCACCCATCTACTTACCTCGGATGATGGCCTCTGCGCAAAGGCGAATGGTGAGCGAGACTTGCGGCCTCGACCTCGCACCCCTCTGTTCGGAGTCGCCCCTGTCAGGGAATAGATGCATCGCTGCCTGAGACGCGAGCAGAGTGAGCACCGCGGCTTCTCGCCTGAGCACCGCGACTTCTTGCGCCTACCAAGCGTTAGAGCATGGTTGTTCCTTGCGGCGGTGAGTGAGAAACTTACCGGCAGTTCTCACAGGCCTGACTGGCCCGCTTGATGGGCTCGACGAAATAGTCATCGGCAGGCGAGGGCAGATCATCCGCCATGATGGACCGGCAGTCGACGCTCGACCAGCAGGTCACTTACATAGAGTGTCAGCCGCAAAGGCGAGGTCGTGCATACGAAACTACTCAAACTTTACCCGACAGCGAGGGAGAGCCGCGGTGATGACACCCAGTGCCCTCTTCCAACAGCTTGGCAGTCACGGGGCTTGACTGCTGTTGGACTAGTAAGGACTAGTATCAGTATCTCTGTGACTGACGCTTAACATAATAGACGGCACACTTTAGACGAGTGTTGAGTAATAGATAACTCCTGTCACACTACACATCGAGACTTCGCTAATCGAGAGGCACAGCACCCCTCATTTCTGGGGCCTCCCCCCCATTCTTCCCCAGCCTCGACTCGCCTTATCTTTTCCGCCACTTTCAGAGCTGATAGCAGTGCGGCACACGGAACACGGAACACGGAACACGGAACACGGGCGCCCATGGCCCACCGAGTGGCCCACCCAACGGAGGACGGAAGACGGAAAACCAGTATCTACATTACCAAAAGGACCCAAGATGGTGCTAGTATGATTGGTTTATCTAAAGAAGGTTTCTTTCTGTTGTTATCCCGTGTTGTGGTTGGAACGGGCGGGGGATCATGCCTTTCTTAGCTATCTCTCTTGGACACGAACCAATCACCAACTCCCTGAGTGCAAGACCACGGTTGTACGGTATTGCAAGAGCGAATATCCAAGGGACCTCTTCCATGATACTACTTGAGGACATCGACTCACCAGTCGGCTTGGGGCTACGAAGAGAAGACGCCGTGCATGCGCACCTCACCGGTTTTAGCGCGGGCCCGGAAGTGCGGGGAACCGGATCCAATTAGTAGATGTGAATTTACTATCGATGAATGTATGGGCGCGATGCGGTCAAAAGCCAGCAGAATTCACAATTGTGAAACAAACCGCACTACTAGGCAGCAATGAGATAGGCTTTACAGTAGCTAATCAAGACTCTCCAATGGCTGTGAGCGACGTCATCATCGGAGGTCAACTCGGCCGTATCGGAGTACTAGTACTAGATAGGGTCCCCTGAATACACAAAACACCGACCACAGCTCCCCATTCCTCTTCAATGTTGTCGACAATTGCGTATCCTTCCTTGGATCAATCGTGCACCGTTCCCGATCAAAGATGGCCGAGAAACCCCTCAAATCCACCTGCCACTGCGGCGCCGTCACCGTGATACTGCCTCATGTGCCAAAGGAAATCAACGAGTGCCAATGCACAATCTGCCGCCGCTACGCCGCGGCCTGGGCGTACTACAAGGTGGACGAGGTGCAATTCGACTTGAGGCCCGGCGCCAAGCTCTCTCAGTATGTCTGGGGAGACAAAGAGAGAGCCTTCAATTTCTGTGCGAACTGCGGATGCGTGTAAGTCCTTCCCCGCGAGCAAATTGACTCGCTCAGGTCGGTCTGTGGATGACTTGGTTTGAACTGGGCTCTTTTAAACTGACTTGGTTGTTAGATGCTATCACTGGCCTTTTGAGGAAAAGAACCCAGATGGCAGCACGGCCAACTTTGGCGTCAACACGAGGAACATGGATCCCATGGACATCCTGCACGTCAGCCGACTGATCGACAGGTCCTGGCTGTTCCAGCCGGTCAACAACCCAGCCATGGCGCATGAGCAGGACCGGGCCACCTACTGAAGGCGGAGTGGGAGAAGACTTTAAGTCCTACAACTTCAAGACCGTAGATTATCAAAAAAGTCACAGCTGGGAAGACCTCTGCTCAATGTGACACAGAGCAATCCAAGCTCGTACAAATCATATACATTGAATACAGTACTAGGTCTATCAATGCCCAACCCATTCAATCGTAACATCCAAAAGGACGCAATCCAAAACGCCGTAACCGCCCTTCCCCCAATATATGCAAAACTAAATGAATGTCTCTCTCTCTCGCGGGTATATTTCCCACTTTCCCACACAAGATATATCCCCACCCCCGCTTAAATGTCCAACATGCTCTTGACCTGCTGCGGCGGGCCCTGCAGCGAGCCCGTGGTCCCGGTACTCGTGCTCCGCTCCGCCGTGCCGGGCCTCCTGCCGCCGGCGCCTCCGGACCCGGCAGAAGTCGTCGTCCTGCCGCGGTCCTGGTACGGCGGCGGCGCGGGCCCGTCCTCGGAGATGAACGCCTCCCTCTCGCGCCTCCTCGCCGCGACCGCCGCGTCCGAGGTGCCGTCGTCCGGAGGGCCGTCGGGGAACAGCATGCTGGCCGCGACCTGCATCGTGCGCTCGTGGCGGCGGCGGTCCGACTTGCCGGCGTAGGCCGTGGCGAGGGCGACCTTGCGCGTCGTCGAGGACGCGCCGCTGGCCGTGGACGCGGCGTAGTTGCGGTTGGGCACCATGTCGTCCATCTCGGTGCCGTCCTCCTGGTGGCGGGCGACCTGCTCGGCGTAGCGGGCCTGCGCGTCGAGCCCGCGGTCGATGTTGCGGGCCGTGGCGCGCCCGCCGCCGACCTCGGCGACGTTGCGCGCGATGCGGTCGCGCATGTGCATCTCGGAGCCGAAGACCTCGCCGTTGACGCGGCGCCACCAGGCGGGCTTGTGCACGATGCCCAGCTCGCGGTCGAGCTGCTGGCCGCGCACGCGGCGCTGGCGGATGAGCTCGCGGTCCTCGTTGGGGTGGAGCCACCCGTACAAAAAGATCTGGGTGGCGAGGATGAGCAGGGCCGGCAGGTAGCCGCCGGCGAACATGGCGGCGTTGTTGGTGTGCAGCTTGAGCGGGGACCACTGGAACTTCCAGGCGGAGAGGGCCTGGTAGGCCACGATGGCCAGGGCCAGCGGGACGATGATCTTGAAGCGCAGCGGCGTGAAGCGGATGATGCCGAGGAAGCGGTTCCAGAGGCCGCGGTTGCGGGGCTGGTAGTGCTTGATGGAGTGCCACAGCGAGACGCAGACGGAGAGCCAGCAGACGAGCAGGCAGAAGGCGGCGACCTTGAAGCGGGTGTCGGTGGCGGTGGGCTCGGCGACGAGGCGGGCCTGGTCGTCGTCGCGCTGCATCTCGATGTTGCCCCAGTTGCGGGGCACGATCATGAAGAAGTTGAGCCAGAGCCAGAGGTAGAACCACAGGGGCAGCCAGAACTCGAACTGGCCGCGGCGGTCGTCCTGGGGCAGCACGAAGGGGTTGGGGTCGATGAACTGGCGCTCCATCCAGCTGCCCCAGTGGCGCACGGCCTCCCAGACGACGGCCATGGCGCACATCTGCATGATGAACCAGAAGAAGACGTTGAGGACGATGGGCAGCTCGGGCAGGTAGTAGCGGTCGACGTCGACGTTGGTGAAGAGGCTGATGAGGGCCATGGCCGAGGTCAGGATGCCCCAGTACCACTGCCACCGGCGGCCGATGGGGTAGAAGCGCTTCTCGGCCGGCAGCAGGAGGCGGCCGTGCTTGGCGAGGGAGACGAGCACGCCGAGGAGGCACAGGGCGAAGGCGACGGCGAAGCCGAGCCCGATCTTGGCGCGGGGGCCGATGGGCTGGATGGCGGTCCAGCACCACGTCGCGTTGATGAAGGTGCCGTTGGGGTAGAGGAGCTTCGGGGTGTAGGGCTCGAAGACGAGCATGCACCAGGACTGGTTGGACAAGGTGCCGTTGGAGTAGAGAGTGTAGTTCCAGTGGTCGAGGGTGGTTTTGTTGAAGTGGATGTCACCAAAGGCAACGTCGGTGGCGTTGTCGCCGCCGGGGAACTGGATCAGCTCCCGGACATCGAGGATCGTGCCCATTGTGAGTCGCAACAATGGGCTGGCCTTGGCCTCCCTCTCGTATTAGATGTGTATGTATGCGTATGTATGCTGTATGCAGGAGAGGAGAGGTGAGGTCGGAGCTCGACTGTTGAGACGGGCCCGGATGTAGCGGATGGGATTCGATCGAATCGGCCGGGACGTGGAGAACTCTGTGTCGAGTGCGCTGCGCGGGGGATGTTCAACAGGATCCGGAACACACCATTGCGGTCGCTGTCAACCTTGTTGTCCAATTCCACGACGAGGACACACAATTGCAAATCCGTCGCAGAGAGGAGAAGAGAAAACAGACGGTCGACAGAAGAGACGGCAGGTCGGCAGAAAAAGATAGTTAACTATCGGCAGCGGAAGAGGCGGGCCACACAGACGCAGAGGCAAAGAATGGAGCTGGGGTGCGCCTTTTGGGCTGGTTTTGGGGTGGGGAATGCGCGTGCTAGCCTGCCGTAAGCTCCGGGAGCGCCAGGCGAATCACCATAATCACCACCCAAAAAAGGATTTTAATCACTCAAGACTCTGGGTAGAATGTAGAGGTGCTGACTGGACACCACAACAAGAGGGCACACATTCGCCTCCATTGATCCCTCGCCCTCCCGATGCCAACATCAGGTACAAACGCGAATGCCGTGATTCGTCCGAACTAAAAAACAGTTGTTTTTGTTTCACTGTACTTGTTTGACGGTACCTTGGTTGAATCAATCCTCAATATATCCAACTATCCATCTATGAACTGATTGATCTCGCAGGTTGAGGCTGCATCCGGGGAAGAGACAACGGACCATGATGGATTGATCGTATCGCCGTATCGCCGTATCGCCCTCCAATCCCAGCCTAACCAGCATTGTTTTTTTCCCTGATGATCTCATTTTTCGCATTCCTCGGGTACCCTTGTCCAAGCAGCCAACCTTGAAGTAGGCAAATCGCAATTGGAAATCCTTGTCGGGTGGTGTGGGGCCTGGGAATCCCCGGCGCAGCCCAGTAAAAGCCCCCACCATTTTAGGGCCCTCTCAGTGGTCACAGAGCTCCAAAGCCACAGGACACCTCAACGTCGCCTTTTAGCTTGACCAGCGGACAACACCATCACAGGATTGTTCATGAAAGAGGCGCGAGCTCACCCCGAGCTCCCCACTCACCATGGCATCTGCTCCCGCCTCCCCCATCGCGGCTCCCGCCAACATCAAGACCGCCAATGACGACGACGAGGTCTCCTACATCGACTACGAGACCTTCCTCGACCCGGCCTTCAGCCCCTCCTCCTTCGCCAACACCCTCGTCCTGGCCACGAACAACGCCAACGACAGCCCCCTCGACCTCTCCACGCCGCTGTCCCGAGTCCTCTTTGACATCCAAGAGATCGACTCGCACATCGATGCCCTGACGACACGCTCCGCCATCCCTCTCCTCACACACACCAAGAACCAGAACGATGCCAGCGCCCGCATCGTCAACGAGATCGACGCTCAACTCAAGTCGCTCAATGACAGCTACAAACAGCTAGAGAAGGAGGTCGTACAGAAGCATGCAGAGGCAGACGAGGTCCGGCAGGTTGCTTCCCGCTTGTGGGAGACCCTGCGCCTCGGTCGATCTGTCGGCCGCTGTCTGCAGCTGGGCCGCCAGCTCGAGGTGCAGCACGCCGAGCTCGCCGCCCCGACCACTTCAGGATCCAGCACGGGTGCGAACAGGAAGGAAGACCACCGAGCCCTCGTACGCTGTGCCCACACCATCCTCTCCCTCCGCGAGATCCTAGAGCACAAGGCCCCGGGCCAAGAGGGCCACGGGCTGGAGAAGGTCGACGCCATCCGCAGCCTACAGACCTCGGTCGTCTTGCCCATCGAGCGCTCCGTGCGCGAGGCCGCCGAGCGCATCGTCCGCGAGTTCTCCATGGGCTCGGGCGCCACCTTCGCCCAGACCGAGGACGCGCGCGCGCGCACCACGTCGGCCCTGGTCGCGCTGTACCTCGTCTCGCCGACGGCCCTCCAAAAGGGCGAGCGGTGGGCGCCGCAGGCGATGCTGCACGCGCTCGAGGTGTACCTGCGCTCGGCGCTGCAGAGCAGCATCGCCAGCCTGGCGCGGGCCCTCGCCGCGCTGCCGGGGCTCGACCGCGCGCTGGCCGAGGTCAGCGCCCGGTGCCAGAACATCATGGCCCTCGAGCTCATCCTCGAGTCCACGCGGGCGCCCGCGCACCCGCTGCTGCGCCAGCCGCCGCCGCCGTCGTCGTCCCTGTCCTCCGCCACGTCGTCGTCGTCGACGACGACGGGCACTGCCGGCGGCGGCAACCTGCTGCAGCCGCTGCTGGCGTACCTCGAGACCGGCTCGCTGGCCTCGTACTTCTGGCGCACCCTCGCCAGCAGCCTGTCGACCCGGGTCCAGGAGATCGTCAACCGCGGCGGCGTGTCGGCGCGCACGCTGCGGACCAACAAGGCCGCCGTCGGCGAGGCGATCCGCGAGTGCGTCCTGCGCGGCACGCGGCCGCCGGGCGCGATGGCCGCCGGGGCCAAGAAGGGCAGGGCGGGCAAGGGCGATGGGGAGCAGGGCGGCGGCGGTGGTGGGAACGGCGGGTGGGACCGGGAAGTCGCGGTCATGGTTGGCAGCGTTGTGGGCAACCTCGGGCGGTAGGCACATACCTAAGGTAGGTAGGTAGGTACAAGTACCTAGGCTAGGTAGGTAGATCTCAAGAGACGAGCAGGACAAATAGACTTGCTGGAAAGCAGCTACCTACTATTGATTCATTGACCGATCAGTTGATCTCGGGACTTCCCCGCGGGCCACGGGTCCTGCTTGCCTTTCTTCAGACTGTTATCCAAAAACATCCGCCAGACGGAAGGAGGGTCTAGGCCTCCATTCGAGACACGACAAACCTCCATCTGCAATTCAATGATTTCTCCTCCCACCATCGAGGTTTGGTGATCTCTTCCAAGACGCCTCGTTTTTTTTTTTTTTTTTGGGTCGTTTACTGACATTCTATCATCACACCTCTAACTGCAGTCTTTACATTTACAGGCGGTCTTCACGCGTATATCATACGTCAAAGATGGCGGCACATATCATCCCTCTGATTCCAGGCTTGGCGCATCAGCACGGCTTCCTCCCGCCCTGCAACACGTGTCTGTACCACTTTGTATGCATCCCATCCCCGTCTTGCCTTTCCTACGAGTGGGTGGCGAATAATGCTAACGATGGCCCGGGGCTGCAAGGAACCCTGCGATAGACATCTGCCGTACTGCAACAATTGCAAGACTCGCTGGCGTGTCTGCGACCGCGACCCGAAGCAATGCCCACCCGGCATCACAGCTGCTGGTGTATTGCTTGGTCTGAACGATGGGCAGGTCTTGCCACCGAGGCCCAGGCCCTTTCTTACCTTTCCGAGGCGCCCAGCTGTCCCGCCCGACTTGCTGTCTCTGAACCGGGAGCTGTGCCTGGGCAGAGTGCAGTTGTGCGTCGCTGACTTCTTCGACTACGAGCAAAGGGACTACTTCTTCGGGGTCATGACTGACCGCGTCCAAGCGCCTACGCAAGAGGGCCCCGGCGCGTGGATGCTGCCGCCATTCGTCGGGCCTTTAGCACCTTTGATGATACCGGAGAAATGTGTAATCGACAGCATCTTTGAAGAGTACCGGTCCTCGGCCTTGACAACCTTGTTCCCTGTCGTCGACCCAGCAATCTTCCGGAACACCATAGTCCTGGCTAGCGCGTTGCCGCTGCCTGAGAACCTCGCTGTAGTGATTGTAGCTTCTTTCATATGCTTCATGTCGTCGCTCCGACCCCAGGTCCTGGCGTTGCTCCGACCCGAACTTACCCCAAACCCGGTTCAAGAAGTAGGGGAGATAGTGATGTTGGCCAGGCACGTCGAGAGACTCCTTCCTGATTTTATCACAAAGAGCCCCTCGGTCGACGCGCTGCAGGCTGCCGTGATGATGGTAAGCCTTGGGTGTGATTCGGACTGTGCATGTTGCCGGGCCGGGTCCGCGGGCTTCAGGATACAGGCAATTTTGCTGACTTGGTGAGACATCAGGCACTATACTGGGACTTCAAGGGCAGACTATTGCACGCCTCGCGCTATCTCCAGCTAGCCACCGACTGCATGGCCAAGCTCCTCCGAGAACGGCGCAACTTCCAGCCGGGCCATCCCGCGCGGCTCTTCACGCTGTGCTGGTTCTGCGATGCGCATTTCGCCTTGCGCATCGGCTACGGGACCTCGTTCCCCCACGGGCTTTGGGCAAATGTCCCAGAGCACAAGTACGACACCCTGTGGTTGACGCCCATAGCCTGGCCCAGCGCGGACTAGAACGACAGCCCGGGCTGGCTGGCGGTCCAGCCCAGCCACGTGGACCTCACGACCCTCAAGGTCCGAGTGCTCAACACGTTGTACTTTGGTGAGTCCGAGCGCCAGACGGTCCTGTTCGAGCGGAGGGAGCAGGTGATCGATTGCCTCGCCCAGCTCAGGCACTGGCAGCGCGCGACCGCCGTCAAGGCGCCCGACGAGTCGGACCCGCCCAAGCAGCATGACTTCCCCACCGGGGCGTGCCTCGACTTCGGCACGCTAGCCATCTTCACCAAGATCGAGGGCCTGTTCCTTGAGTCGGTGATACACTACGCCCTCGCCAGTTGGGAGCCGATCGACGGCCTGACGCAGAAGGAGAAGGGGTATATCTTTTCGAGCTCGGATGCGACGATCAATTCGTGCCGCGAGATGATTGCGTATTTGTGCTGTCGATCGGACGAGTTGCGCGGGGAGCCGTACTGGTAAGTTTTCATTGTTCCTGTGCCCTCTCTTTTCACTCTTGATGTCCGTCGGGAAAGGGGCTCTTATCTAACTCGGGTCTCTGCGCGTGCGCGCGTGCGTGTCTTGGGCCAGGTCTTTCGTTTTCTATGTTGCCTGGGCCGGCCTGGTCATGTTCTACAGCACCTTGAGCGCGCCTGACTTACAGACGGCGAGGAAGGACCTGGACATCCTGCGCGAGGTGCCGGGCCTCCTCATCGGCATGTACCGCAACCAGCCTTTCGCCGGCCCCAACTTCAACCAGGCGCAGATGATCCACGGGGTGCAGGAGGGCCTGTTCCGGCTGGCGAGAAAATATGTCGAGATGCGGGCCCAGGGCGAGCTATTGAAGATAGGAGCGGGAGGTCAGGACGGAGGGAACGTTCAGGACGGAGGAGGACCGTCGGGGCTTCCGAACACGATAGTTGCGGAGGGTGTCCCAGATGCCCCAGATGCCCCGAATCTACGCGGAGGGGCTGCCCAAGATACGGATGTGGAGGATGGACAAGAGGTGGATACGGAATTCGATCCAGACGCCAGTTTCGACGGTGGTTCAGACGTCGACCCCGACACCAGTTTCGACTTTGGTGCAGACGTCGTCATTGGAGAGGGTGGCCCAGACATCAATCTGGACCTTGACCCGAACGTCAATCTGCAGTTCAACCCAAATGTCATTGGAGAGGGTGGCCAAAATGTTCATGGAGAGTCTGAGACCGATAAAGAGTCTGGCCAAGCGGGCATAGGTTTTAATGGATAAAAGGAGAGACACAGAGATTAGCCTTGCAGAGATCCAAACATGATTTTGTATGTTCCTCCCTGACTGCCCATCTCAAGCATATGCCTTCTTGACGGACTCGCGCTCGTTCAGGCGCTCGTTCCAGGCCATGTAGTTGGGGTACTTGTTTGCGATGTCGTACTTGTCCCAGAGCCCTTCCTTGAGGAACGGCATGTAGCCGATGACGCGGTTCCAGGGGATGAAAACCAAGTCGGCATATGTGCTATTTGGATTTGGTTGGCGGTCGTGTCAGTTTTGGAGCTCGTGAACGGAGAGATTTGGGATGGACCTGGACTGCCTCCTGCACCGCGAAATGAAGACCGACCTTGCAAGAACTGAGGAGAAAAAGAGAAACGTAGACTCACAACTTGTCGCCGACGAGGTACTCCTTGCCCTTGAGCAGCCCGTCCAGCACGCCGATCACCCGCACGATCTGCTCGTTGTAGCGCTCCTTGGCCACCGCGTTGGCCGGGTCGTTCTTGTGGAACCAGATCGACTGGCCGTAGTAGGGGCCCTGGCCCGACATCTGGAAGTGCAGGAACTGCTTGAGGCGCCACTTGTCCGCGCCGCCGCCCTCGTCGGACGCCGTCAGCTTGCGGCCCCGGCCGTACGTGTCGACGAGGTACTCGACGATGGCGCCCGACTCCCAGAGCACCAGGTCGCCGTTGTTGGGGTCGCGGATGGCCGGGATGCGGCCGTTGGGGTTGATCTCCGATGTGAACCACTCTGCCTTTGGGTCCGGGACGGGGACCTTCTCGTAGGGCAGGGAGAGCTCTTCTAGGGCTATGATCACCTTGTAGGGGTTTGGACCGCCGCCCTCTGTTTTTGGTGGGGTGAGGGGGAGAATTGTTAGTGAGAGGACTTGAGGTGGTGTTTCGGAGGTCCGGGGTGGGTGAGCGGACGGGTGGGTGGACTCACCGTGGACGTAGGCGATGATGGGTTTGAGATCTGACATTTTTGGTGCTATGGGGTTTCGAGACGGTGTAGATGTTTTCACTGATACTGGAGAGGGCAAGAGTGAGGTCAAATGGTTTGTTTGATGTGTGATTGCGGTGATGCATCGTCCGTCGGTGTTGTTCATATATACATACATACCCGCATCCACGGACTATCGGCAAAATCCCCACCTACGGTGAACAAACGGGACAAGACGCAGTCCGGTGAAACTCTAAGAAGCTCGCACGGCCGTGCTGATTAATTAGTGACATTATCACACTGCCAAAGTTTGCTTCCTCGGGCCGTCAAAACTATCTGGCTGTTATCGCAGGAGGCCCGGCGGGTGTCACCAAGCCCCGTTAAACTACTACATGTGCCGGCCCGCTGCTTGGGGGGGTTGTGTGTGTGTGTATTGATGCTCTGACTAATGACCGGCCTAACTTTCTCCGATGGTTTGGTAAGAAGCGGTGTGTTGACGGTTGATTGTTGTGGAGAAGTCGATGGCTCCACTGTGCTGTCTTCGTTCATTGCCGCATTGACTTCTGTCTGGCAACAAGCCAATCCGGTTCGCGGATTCGCGGAAGCCCAACTCGGAACTGTCAAGTTTCGGTCCCGAGTGGCGGCCCCCACCTGCTCAATCTTTGAGCAGCGAGATCCGGCTTGGCCAAACCAGCTTTTGAGGGACACAGCTGGGGCAAGATGGCTGTCTTCTGCCAAAGTCGTCATGTCTCTGTCTAAGAATGACCATAAAGGATGCCGTGAAGAAGCCCAAGAAACCATCGTGACCCTTAACAAATCTGCGTCGTCGTGGATACGTAAACTACCAAGTTGGAACATGATACGAGCCATAAGATGGCAAGATAGGTCAAGTATGTTGTCATCTGTATTCTATCATGTCTGCAATAAGAGAATGCACAATACAATTACGAGTGGATCTGCGCTTGAAAGGAAGAATCGCACTGCTGTTTCTATGCGCCTTCAGACCTTGAATTATATGGAGGTTTTTCTTTCGACGTACTGAGGTAGCTTTGAGGGACATGCGCTACTCATAACTCTTCCTGATAGAGTGCTGAACCAGTTGATAAGGTCAGCTGAGGCAATGTTGTAGGTTTTGAAGCTAAGAGACGCGATGAACATTGACGGAGTTAACTGTGGTAAAGGGACGTTGTTTCTTGTTACATCTCCCTTCTTTAGGCCATTCTTGTTAAATTTCCCAAGTCACTAACGAACGAAGACTTCTCTCCACAAGCCACCAAGGCCGCCGGCTGAATGTCCACATAGACTGATGGGCTGACATTGCTTCAGAGAAACGTAGAACATTTATAAAGCATGGTGAATTTGAATCTTACTTGTAAGAATAACAAATTAATCCTGTACCTAACCTAGGTATATCGAGAAACAACTTATTCAATAGGTTCATTTTAACAGGTCGTTACTAATAGGGCGAGGGGAATCATCAATAACAATGAACCTTCGCCCCCAATATGCAGCTCTTCGCGAAGGCGTGAGAAAACGCAGCGGCTTCCCACATCCAATCGTTACAGCCTGGTGCATGATGGACTCCGAACTTAGAAGAGCTCTTCAGTACAGCAATAGCCCGCGTAAGCGCATACAACGGGGCTGTACGAGCACAGCCACCATATCGGAGATTCTGCCTGACCTGATCGCCCATCAGAATTCTGAGCCCAATGTAAAGAGCAAAATCATCTGCATTCTACACCATTTTGTCTGTTCCCGCGCAATAGATCTCGACTCGCAAAAATCTTTCGTACATGCTCACTGTTCATTTACGTATCCCTAGGCGAGCGCTACGATGGCGGAAGTCGTAGGCATCATCGCCAGCGGCATCGCCCTGGGCCAGGCAGCTTGCGCGATCGGGAAGGGCATCGGTCTCCTGCGCTCCATCGCCAACGCGAACGAGGAGTTTTGGGACTTCCTCAACGAGCTGGAGTCGCTCAAAGCAGCGGTGGAGACGAACAGCTTGGCATTGGAGGACCTGGATGCGACAAACAACCCCAGACTGCAGCCGTACCTGGCCAGGCTCGACACAGTTCGGGCCAGCCTGGTCCAGGCCTTTGGCGCCCTCGAGACCATCACGACGAGGGTTTTGGCCAAGAGCAAGGGCCAGAACGACCAAGGCCAGCATCGGATACCAAAGGTCCTGTGGCAGCGGGAGAAAAACGGGATTTTCAAGCTCCGGGATGTGTGCCGTCAGTCTCACCGCCAAATGACCGACTGCATGGTGATCATGATGGCAGTCGAAAAGCAAGTATTTATCTCGACAGACTTTCGAACTGAATATCGATATATGAGCCAGGCTAATAATGAGTTTCAGCCGGAGATTTCAGCAGACCCTCACACTGGACGTTCACATGATCCTCGAGGGTAAAAGCTCCACGCGCCACCACGCCGCAACCAGACCGACGGAAAACGGGTCATTGGACCTGGATTCCGGTCAAGAGAAAGCATCGGGCGACGACGAGCACGCCGGCTCCGAACTGGTGCCGTTTGATTCTGCAGTCTCCAATGCGAACCAGTTGGAGCACATCCTACAGAGAAAGCAGGCGACACAAAACTCGGGTCAACCAAACAGTGGACCTCACCCGACAGCTCTCACCATTCACGCCACTGTTCGTGAGAGATGCCCAGAGAACTGCGGGTGCCAATGTCACATCATTTCTGTAAAGAGGTCGCCGCCATGGCTGGCCTCCGTCCTGGGCAACCTCCTGGTGTACTACGATAGCTTTCCCGTGCTGGACCGGCGACCATGTAACACCTTCCTTTGCAGGGCGAGTCTGCGGACCATCAGAGCCCAATATCAGTTTCCCAGTTGGCTACTTCGAAGGTCCGTTCACATCAAGGCCTGCTGGGACGTCTTGACGGGTACCGGTTCGACTCTCCACTGGAAAGTTCCTAGGGTAAACAAACCGCCTTTTATATGGGAAGCCATCCGTGAAGATAATAAGGCATGGTTCCAGACACTTATCGCTGAGAGGAAACTTCTGCCCAGTGACACTGACGCAGCCGGATATCCATGGATCATGGTGCGTTCAAATGATCAAGTACGATCCGGGAGATGCATTGACATCCTTGTAGCGTTGCGATACTGCCGGGGCTGAAAACATAATCCAGCTGCTTCTGGAGAATAACTTTGACCTCTGGGCGGCAAATCCAGACGGTTGGTGAGTTGCATTATGCCGGCCTTTCATTCATGTCAGCCGAATTGTTAACATTCTCCTTCAACTTCAAGGTCATTTATGCAAGGTATAATAGCATATTTTCCCTCAGGGATACCTGACTGGATACATGGTGCCTGCCGCAAGGTGGTGGACGATGCGTGTGAAGAACATGCATTGAGCTTCAGCCCCATACATAGAAGCATACTGGGGCTGAGTACATCCTCGGTTCGAAGCGCGGCTATCGCACACCCTGAGCATCTCAACACTTGTGACGATCTCGGCTGGACTCCACTTCACCTGGCTGTGAGTATGGGCGACAATGAAGCAGTTGAGACACTCCTGGACTCGGGGTGTGACATGGAGAAGAGAGCGCTCTTGAGTGGCGAGACCGCTCTATTCGTTGCCGCTCTTCATCGTGAGGTCGCCCTCGCACGAACGCTGATCGAACGAGGGGCCAATATGGCCATCACTTGCTGGGGCATGACCCTTCTCGAGTTGGCGGTTCGTGATGCATCAGCCGACTTCGTGCAGCTCCTTTTAGATGCAGGAGCCAATTTACCGCCTAGCATACTTCATCCCTTGACCGTGTGCGAAAGTATCGATATGAACGAGATATCTCGCGTCATCAAAATCCTGCAGAAGCACGGAGCAGACGTCGATTGGCGAAACGAGTGGGGAGGCAGCGTGCTATTGACTGCCTTAGTACGCAGGAAAGACAACCACTTTGTTGCTGAAGCATTAGCTACAGCTGGGGCTGACTTCGACACCGTCGATAGCAAGAACCGCAATCTGCTATTTTGGATGGCAGAGAGGAAATCTCCGCGGTGGATTTACCATCTAGATGCTGCATATTGGCGCGGAACGGATCCGGACTTGAAGAATAACGTAGGTTACAGCGCACTTGATGTACTTACGTTTCTATGCGCCCACAATCTGCCACTTCCCGTTACTAGAAAGGTACGTGAGATCATCGGGTTGGCGGAGCTCATAGCCGAGATTCGGGAGATGAACTGGAACGACGGGCTCTTCTTGGACATGAAGCACCGTCTGAGCGAGGATGATTCTCATCGTAAGCTCAAAAGATGGATTCGCTTTGTTCAGGAACAGGTGGACAACGATCCAAACTTTGCGGAAGAGGAGTGGGATGAGGATACGATGATCTGGTATGATGATATTGAGCTTGAGGACGGGCTTGAGGACGATGACGACGCCCTTGATATTCATTCTCTCACGTTACGGAAACCGAGAGACTACAACGACTCTGACGAAGAGTCACAATACGGCGACGACTCCGACGACGAAGAGTCACAAGAAACCTCCGACTCAGAGGATGAATTCTTCGACGCACCAGAGCCCTAGAGCAACATCTTTTTATGGTGGAAACGTCTTGGCCATCGTCGTTCAAGAAGGTGGCGAGGCAAAGGTAGACGGCAACCATGCCAGAGATTTGTCTTCCAGTACCACCTTGCAGGATTTGGCAGACGACGAGCCCTTCCGAGGCCGACTTCATCGCCGCCGGGTCCCCGGTCAAGGGACTGTGGCTTCTGAACCCTTCAAGGAGCAGTGCTGATCACCCCCCGTGACGCAGCTGATGGATGAGTGTCGACTCCTTTACGTGGACAGGGCACTGTGAGCTTCTCGAGAAGGGGGGGGGGGGGGGGGGGGGGGGGAGGAGGGGGGGGGGGGGGGGGGGGGGGGGAGGAGATTGTTGATGCACATGTACAGAGTAAGAATGGCAAGTGGCCATATAGTGTGGTTTTGCATTGTTAAAAGGCGCTTCAGACTCACATACTCCATAGCAAGGCGGTATCTACATAGCTAAGCAACAAGCACCTTACATCCACAAACACAACTTGCCGCTGGCGTTGCCACCCGCAACCCAGTCCATCGTGGGATGGAAGTGCGCCACCGCCGGCACCGCCGTGATGCCGTCGCCGTCGAGCTGCGCGAGCTGCTCTCCGTCCGCGGCGAAGACGTCGACAAAGCGGTTCATGTTCCCAATGACAAACTTCTGTATGCCGTCCCGCGGCCGGTGCTGCCACTGCGGCTTGAGGATCGTCACCCACCTCCCCGTCTGGTTGTTGTGCTTGATGATGTGCGCAGGGGTCATCTTCTTGTCCGGGATGTCGTGCCCCGCGGCCCACGAACCGGCGTCGGAAAAGTCGTAGATCTTGATGGTGTCATCGTACGACGAGGTGGCGATCTGCCCACCGCTGCTCCACGAGGCGTGCGAGACGGACAACCGAGACTCGTGCTCGCCGAGCAGAGCAGGGTGGCGCAGATCACCCTTGCCCGCGATCTTGCGGAGGTCCCAGATCTTCATAGTGCGGTCCAGACTTGCAGTGGCGAACAGGTGAGGATGGAGTGGGTTTAGACTGAAGCCGCCAATCTTGTGGTCGGTAAGGGACCATATCTCGGCGTCCGAGGCCTTCATCCGCAGGTCGTAGCGGCCGAAGGATCCCTGGAGTGTTGAGAAGTAGATCAGGCTGGGTTCCGTGGAAGCCATGTCCAATGCACTGATAGGCAAGTCCTCGTCAATCTCAGAGGGGGCCCACACTTGCACTGAGACGCCCTTGTCGAGGTCGAGCTTGCGTATTGACGAATCATATGAGGCTGTGAAGACCGAGTTGGCATCTGTCGGCGAGAACAAGAAGGACGAGATTGTGCGGGAGTGCGTCTTGAACGCCGATATAACTGGGTCGGACTGCTCTCCACCCTCTTCGTCGTCTTCGGCTTTGATGGGTTCCTGTGAGGCATCGAACACGCCCATAGCACCCTCTTTGTCGCCCGCGAAGATGATCGGTTTTGATTCGGTTGGGTGGAACCCCATGGAGTAGATGCGCTGAGGTACGAGCTTGATGTCTTTATGCGCACATGTCCAAGTCAGTGATCAGGTCGAGAGTCAATATGACACGCGGTTGACTTACCAGGTACAGGCCATTTTTCGTATAGCTTGAGCTCGCCCATGCGCAATCTGAGATTCTTCAAGTCCTTGTCGGTGGTTTTCGCGACGTCGTCGTCGGTGAAAGTGCGGAATCCAGGTTCGGCGCCACGAATCAGACCTCGTAGGTTCAGCAAGCCATCCATACTGCCTTGCCATTTACGGCCCTCGACAATCGTGTCGCCGAGGTTCAAGTCGTCACCGACTCGCTGCCTCTTTTGACGCGACTTTTCTGCTTCCGCCTCGGCCTCGACCTCGAACTTTCTTTTGAGAGTTTCATTGTCAGCGTCGAGTCCGGCGACTCGGCTACTCCGTCGAGTCGGGATCGCGGCCTCGCGCTTAATGGTCTCGGTTCGTCTTCGGGGAGTCGATGCTTTCTTCGGTGTAACTGGTTTCGGCGCTGGAATAATCTTCTTTGCGGTTGTGGAAATGTCCTTGAGAATGGCATTGTTCGCCGCAATGTTCTCCAGCCGGCGGCGCTCGAACGCCGACATCTCGGGAGCCATGGCGATTAACACAGTACGAGAGGCGCAATTGGCAGGGCAAGGCGAATCAATCGAAGATGAGGAGCGCGACACAGGTACAATTGAGCGCAAAGCAGCAAAGGAGATGAAGTCGAGTTTGCCACAAAGCTGAACCCGAGGTGACGTGACCGAGACGCGGTCGTTGCTTTTGACGGCGTCGAGGGGGCGCATTAATCATCAGGCAAACGCGTAGTCATGCGGAAGTTCGCGTTAAGTGCCCTTTTGGTGTACTTTCCGGTACATTGGCGATAAGCGGTCCTTATCGGCTGGGAAATTTTTGGACCTGAAAGCTTCAAAACACACCTCCTTTTTCTGTGAGGGCTCTGTTCCCAGCATAGCGATCATCGCGGCAATTGAGACCAGGCACCATGTCGGCCACCACACTCCTCCCCTTCCTGTACCAGACAAGAACCCTGCAGCGACTCCCTCGATCGAAGTTCGCCCTCCAGGTCGCCCGGTCCTTTTGCGTCTCAGCTTCGAACCGAGCAGGAGGCCGACCGGACCACATCCCCTTTGAGCTCCCGCCCGAGCTGCAGAACGACAGGAGCATTGCTCCCGACGTGCCAAACCAGAGCAAGCAAAGAAACAGGACTATCACTCCCCTGGAGCAGCGCGCATTCGAGCAGATCTTCAACGAGATCGCCGCGCGCCGGCCGACGCCCGTCGGCTTCGAAGACCAAGGCAAGCCTACCAACCTAGGCAGCCTGGGGGCCGCGAGCCACGATGGGAATGTGGTTATATCGGAGGATACTAGCAGCGCGAGTGGTGTTGCATCCGCGCGGACATGGGACCCGGAGAAGGCGCTGAAACAGTTCCCTGCCAGTCTGCGTAAGGCAGCTGGCCTGGCGCTCGGTGTGGCCGAGTCTCCAGTGGATCCGAATATCGGAGAACAGCAGGAGGAGGCAGATGGAACAGTGGAAATGGCTGTCGACGAGGCTGCTCGAAAAGAGAGGCACGAGCGGTGGCAGAAGATCACGGTCGCCAGAGCTGAGACGGAGGCGCTCATGACGCGGTGCAAGACCGACTTTGAGCTCTGGGGCGTCATGGAGAAGGAAGTCTTTGGCCTGATTGACAAGCTCGGGGTCGGCGTCGAGAAGAAGAAGGCAGAGGAAAGAATGGACGTCTACGGCCCCCTGTACCCGCTGTACCTCGTCCACGGCCTGCGCCTGCTCGACAGCCACTTTGCGCAGTCGTCGCCGCTCGTCTTCTCCGTCCTGCCGCGCATCAAGGAGCTCGGCCTGGCCTCATACGTCCTCGGCGCGTCGACCCCGCTCTACAACAGCCTCATGTCCATCTACTGGCACAGGTACGGAGACGTGCCCGCGGTGCTGTCCATCCTGGAGGAGATGCAGGAGGGGGGCCTCTTCTTTGACGGGGCGAGCCTGGGCATCGTGCGGGACATGAAGCAGTTCTACGCCAGGTGCCGCGACGGCTCCGGAGGGGAGCTGTTGGGGTCGCTCGTCAAGATGCCCGAGTACGCGGCCGCGCCCGACGGACGCATTGCGCACTGGCAGAGGGTCATTGAGAAGAATATTAAGGAGCGGCAGAAGTCTCCGGGCTACTAGAGTTCCACGTCAAGCTTGGGTGAATGAGCCAGTTTTGCCTTTTCTCCATATCGCAAGGAGAAAGGGCAGTGTATACTATATTCTGTATAATTGTTATATTCTGTATAATTGTATGATAGGTCTGTATGAAAGTAAGCTCCATGTATAAAAAATCTATCACCCTCTTTGAGTCCACCTGTCGAACAAACAATCGAGGCTCATGTTTACTTTTGCCATGTCCGCGGAGATACGGCTATCATCCGCGCCAAAGCGGAAAGCGGAAACGAGCTTCACATGAATTGGGTGCTTGGCGACTGACGTCACGCCACCGATCATGAACTTAAACCACCAACCTCCAATTGACAGCCAATTGCTTACAGATCTGGCTGGGATCGAATACCAGCACCGGAATTTTCAATTGATCAATGCGACTGGAAGCTTCGGCCGACGGAAATTCCAGCCGAGAAGGACCCGAGCCGCAATCCCGCCCCCCGCCCATCAGAACATTTGATCAGCCGGGCCTAGCTAACAACTCAAACTAAACCTCCTATCATCCTGACCTCATACCTCATACCACCCTCACTGCCATCTCCTCCAATTCACGTTCTGATTTGAACATCGTCCAATACTCCTCCGCATCCATCATCGTCGTCAAGGAAACACACAATGCAGCGCCTCGCACGCTTCACTACCACCTCACCATCGCCGGCGATGCTCGCCCGCCGCGCCGCCGCTCGCGCCGTCGCACAGCAGCAGCGCCAGTTCGGCATCACAGCTGCCTACCGCGCGGGCCCGGCCGACCAGGCCGTCCCGCCGACGGAGCACACCCCCAACCCGACCGAGTCGGAGGAGGACGTCAGCGCCGACAGGTCGCCCGTCGAGCCCCTGCACAAGCCGAGGCCGACGGAGAGCGAGGAGGACGTTAAGGCAGACCGCAGCACGGAGGATCCGATCCACCCGAAGGGGACGGGGAGGCCTGTGGCCGAGAAGCATTAAGTGGACGGAGGGGACAGGGTTCGCCAATGGAGGTTTATCAGCTAAGGTGGCTGGACTGGAGCTGTCGTTGTGGAAGAAAGATTGGAAATTTTCAAGGTTGACGAAGTCCGGTAGTCATACTGGGATTCATGTCCGCAATGTGGGAACCAAGTTCAACGTCTAAAAGGAACTAATTTCGTGTTGGCATCGAATCTCGAACACAAACATCTTTCGTGGGGGTCGTGAGAGTTTTCATGATGCAGTGTATTCATATCATAACTCTGGAGCTGAGTGAACTCATCTCCTCATGTGTCAATCTTCCCTTGTTACCGGCATACAGACCAAGGAAACCAACGCAAGAAGCATGGAATTCTTTCTCTCCACGGGACACGTAGCCTAGGCTGCAACCAAAAGAAGAAAGGTTCATAATTCATGCAAGACTTTCCATAGATCCTCCGATCTCCAAATTTGAGATCTCACTTCAGTAGCTCGTCCTTACGTTTGAGAATGTCGTGGTAGTACTGCTGCATCGAGGTGAGGTTCGTCGGCGTTCTCTCGCCCTCAAAGTTTCCTTTGCCGTGTCCATCGAAATGGACCTTCCAGGCTACAGAGGGGGTTAGGATTTGCATATCAGGAAAGAAAGATTGAGGCGTGAGCCATGGCGAAGACTTACTGCTGGCGTCAAAGCCGAGATGAGACCAACTGTCGTTGAGATATGCCTTCTCAGTGCCGACCCTGATTGTCTTGACCACACCCATCTGGCCTGGCGCAGGGCGAAGATTCTTCAAGTCGGCCGAGAGCTTCACGAGTCCGACGACGAAGGCTTGCGCCAACTGCTTGGCTATACACTCGTGCGGACCGTAGCTGAAGGCGGTCACTGCATCTGTCTTGCGCTGTGGATCAAACTTGGCTGCATCAGGGACTTCCTTGGGGTTGCGTCCAGCCTCGCCCTTTCGACATTGTTAGCACAGGCCTACTAGCAATTGCGAAAGACTGATGGGAGATCCGATAACCTACCAGCATCATGACAACGAGATTGCCGGGCTGGACAGTCTTGCCCTCGAGCTCGGCCGGCTGCACTGCTACACGAACATTGCGCTGCGAGCTGGTGAGGCGCTGGGCTTCAGCAACATAGGCATGAAGTGTCTTGTCATCGTTCTTCTGGGCGAGGCTCTGCACCTCGGCCCAGATGGAGGCATTCTCTGGGCGCAGGAAGAACTCCATGATCTCGTAAAACTGTATTGCAACATGGTTAGTGATCGACAGCGTGCAGACTTGTAACAGATTTCATGTGTATGTATTTACCGCAGTGACAGGGACGCCGATGCCTCCAAAGGCCGTAAGCCAGAGGTTGTCGACCACCTTTTCGGCCGAGTTGCCCTGTGCCAGCAGCTCCTCGACGAGTCTGTAGCCGCCAGAGCGCAGAGAGCCCTTCTTGAGGTCGGCCTTGCGGGTAATAAGCCCGGACACGGCAGACGCGATGCCAAGGCCGAGCCCACGGCTACGGGCAACCTCGTCCACAAGCGTGCGCGTCGAGTCGATCACGACCTTGGCGCCCTCCTGGGCCTCGCGGCGCCGCGTCCACGCGCGCGCAGGGTCGTTGTTGTTAACGCCCCACACGCGGATCGCGAGCAGGCTGCGGTACAGCTCGGCCGTGCCCAGCGTGCCCTTGGGGTTCTCGTCGGTGCGCAGGTCAAAGTAGAACAGGTCGGCCAGCAGCTGCGCGTTGAGCGGGATGGCGACGTCGCGGATGAGGTCGATCTGGTGCAGGCCCTCGCGCATCTTGAAAGTCTCCTTCTCGACGAGCCGGGCGCCCGCGCGCTCGACGAAGTCATGCACGGCCTGGTGCAGGTCCGGGATCTTGCCCATGGCCTTGAGCATGTTGGCGCGGTGCTCGTAGTTGCGCGGCTCGTCGCCCGCGAGCATGAACCAGCCGAGGTCCTTCTTGCCCGGGAACAGGTCGTTGATGGGCTTGAGCCAGGGCACGACGAACTGCTTCGGGCTGCTGAGCACCTGCTTGATCGAGGCCTGGCTGAAGACGACGACGGGCTTGGGCGGCGGCTTGGGGTCGTCCAGCGTGAACTGGCTCATGGTGCCCAGCTCGCGCGCGATCTGCTCGTTCATCTTCTTGGTGTACATGGGCTGCATCACGGCGACCGAGTTGTAGGGAAACCAGTTGGGCAGACCGCGCTGGATCAGCTTGTACAGCATGGAACCGCCCAGCGTCTTGGGGTCCTGCTGCACCTCATTGAAGCCCCAGTTGGTGAGGTTGGTGCAGGTAAAGTCGAGCGTGTTGAATCTGTCCGAGCGCACCAGCGTGACAGCGTCGGACAGCACCGCTCTGCCGACCGAGTACGTTGGGCAGATTCCAGAGCCGGCATTGCGCGGTGGCTTGATATCTTCGACCATGAGGCCGGGGTACAGCTCGACCATGTCCGGGTCAGTGTACAGCTTCTCGAGCAGGTTGGCGATGTCGGTATTGGCATTGATCTCGCTGAATTTTTCGTACCGCTTGAGGCCGAAGAACTCGCGAAACTCGTTGAGCGATGCCACCTGCCACTTACGGGCCTGGTTGATGCCGAGCACCTCGACGATTTTGAGGGCCTTGGGGACCATGCGGGCGCCGAAAGCACCAGCCGGGTCTTCCATGGCGTCCTTGAGGATGCGTACGAGGTCTGCATCCTTGAAGGTGCCGTCGGCCTGGCGCTCGAGGTCATCGAACGTGCGGACGCTGGGATCCTTGGGGATGCTCTGCTCGTAGGTGACCAAGGCCTGGCCGAGCTCGACCCAGCTCACATCCTGTAGGTCCTCCGCCTTGCGGCCGGGGAACAACTTGAGGAAGAAGCCATTGATCCACTTCTCGTCGCGCTTGGAGATGCACGAATGGAAGCGGTACAGGAGATTGAACTCGACACTGACCTGGTTGCCAACGCCACGCGGCACACCGTCGCCGTCGAACTGTTTGTCGATGGCGACGCGTGGATCCAGGGTCCAGTCGCTGGCAGAGTGGTGGGTGTTGGTGATGGCACGCAGGTAATCGTGCAGGCAGATGTTGACGTAGAGACCACCGACGATCAGTCGTGCCACGTTGAAGAGGTCGTGGTCCTGCTTGGCCAAGGCACGGGCACGATCTTCGGGGCTGGCATCGGGTCCACACTCGAGTGAGAAGCGACCGTTCTCATTGATCTGGAGCAGAATGTCGCAGACATAGTTGTGGAAACGGCTGTAGAGTACCAACATAACATTGACGCCGGCGGGCTGGCCGAGCAAGCGCTTCTCATGGAACGTGTCGGGCTTGAGCTTGCCGGCCTTCATTGTGCGGATCTCCAGCTGGTCCTTCAAGGAAGAGCCATACAGAGGTGCCAAATCAAGGTAGGATGAAGTGTCAGACTTGTTCATGTCAGTGCGGTTGGTGCGGAAGATGTCGTGAATGATGATGGCGGCGTGATAGAAGAGCATGGATGAGATTCCGGCTGGATTCTCCTTGAAGGTGTTGTCATCTCGGGCAAGCAGGAGGTCGAACAGCAGACCAGGATCTGGCTTGACTCCCTGAAGGCGCTTGACGGTCCTGACAGACTTAGCATAGGGCGTGCCAGCCTTGCCCAGGTTGGGCGCTGTGATGTTGTTGTAGCTTCCATCCGGCATACGGTATTGATGGAGGCCATCCGGTGCTTGTGGGACCTGCTCCCGCAGTATGATATCGCTGTCCGGAGACTTGAACTCGATGGTGTCGTAAGGCTTGTGAGACTGTTGGGCCGCTGGGTCTTTGGAGTTGACAACTTCGTACTTGACATCACCACCGACGTAGGACAAGGGCGGGTGCTGAAGGTTGCCCCACAGTGTGTCGATGAGCTTGTTAGTGAGTAGGGTCCTGACCTCAGATGTCGATGGGAGACAGGTGAGGATGCCGATCAAGAGCTCGGTCGTACTGTGACTTGTCAGAACAAGCGACGATCGTTGAAGGACAGCAGTTTCACTACTCACCCCTTCCTATCATCAAGAGGCTTCCCTTTCTCAATCAGCTCTCGGATAAGCTCCGCAAGCTGTGGGATAGACGCCGCTTCACGGACACCTGCGTAGTCCTTAACAAGCGCTGTGGCTATCTTGAGAGGGTCGTCGAGGCTCAAGGAATCCTTCTTAGGGTCCTTGTAAGCCTCGCCGGCTTGAAACTTCTCGTCAAAAGCCATAGTTGTACTTGCTCGTGGACACTGGGCGCCTACTTGTGTATGCTCGGGAAATGATATGTGGGAACAAGTGAGGCATAGATTTCTTGCTTTCGACACTTGAGAGAGATACAAGAATATCCAAAATCCCAATTTATATCTCGTACTTGCTCCTCTTTTGCTACTGACGTCTCAAGCGGCCTATCATGCCCGAGACATTACGATTTCCCCTCTTTCTCGGCGCCTCAACAAGACTGGTGACAAAACAGCACATGACGTCCCTTCTGCCACCGACAAGCCTTGGGCGCTGCATGTTGTTTTCGTTGCATACGAGCTATGTGGAAAGCCACACGGAGAAATCACAGCTGAGGAATGAAGCATGCATATCTCTGAGGGCCAATCGATTTGCAGCCTTTGGAGATGCTGAACGTTGTTTGGTTGTCCAGTATGAGCCACCGAAAAGCAAAGAGCTTAGTCAAATGGGAGCGGATCGGCATTGCATGATGCTCGTCCCGGGTCACACAACTACCAAAAGGACACTCGGTTCTAATATCTCAGTTGAACGGGCGTAACTGGGCGCTAACCCCCATGAGGATACTGCATATCGGCAGATTCCAAGTGGTCTCATTTGTTCGTGTCTGAGAAGTGCAGGTTGGAAGTTGAACCGTGGTCCTTCTTGCTCAATGAAATGCTGGCCGCATGCCAGTGTGGATGTACCTCGGATCCGCGCGCTGCATGCACCGATCCGCTTTGGGGGTTTGTGCAGCAGGGTCTCGGATCGTTCAACACGGGATGGATCTTGGCATCGGAAGGAGTACGACAAAGCCGGGGAAGGCAGGGAATCAGGGCAGCAAAGTGAAACATGTCTACCTGTTATGTCGGCCAGACCACGGTCCACAACACACACACACAGGACGACTGGTAGCTAGCGGCAGCGACCATGGCGCGAGTTCATTTTAGCAAGCATCCAATCTAGTGGCCCTTGTCATTTGCTTGTTCTCTTTATTGTTGATCAATTGACAGCGGGACCGTCATATTAAAGTTAAAGCTAGACAATATTGAGAGTTGCGAACAGCCAAGCTCCCCAACCTCGGCAGTGTCGAGAACAGGGCTGGAGCCGAGACCTGCCTAATGCAAGCCCACCTTTGACCTGCCACCGCAGAACCCTGCACGCGAGTAATTACTGGTTTGGAGCTGAGTGGTCCATCGGGTGCACCCGTGCTACGGCTGACCCCTACCATCGCAAGCGGTCTAGCTTGTGAGACACCTGAGCTGTAAGACGGCACCTCCTGCAAATCGGATCGCAAAGGGTAAGCCGCATGTTCTTGTGGCTGCCTGAGCCCAACCGAGGAAAGCAAATGCCAGCCCAATAACGTCCACACCGACTCTGACTCCGCTGCGGTTTTGTAGCGATCAACTCGGCCAATGCCTCTCAGCTATCAAGTGATTCATTCAATTGAGCAAGGGATCGGCGCAGTTGCAGAGCTGGTCAAGATAACGCTGGTGAAAGGAATGAAAATGTGTGTGGGGATAACTGAATCCTTGAGACGGCCAACCGTCACACTTACTGGATCGTGATTGGCTACGTGTAGCCTAATAACTCCCATCAGCTTCGGTGAGACAGACAAAGTTACGCGATGGCGTTTCTTAACAGCGTGTAAAAATAAATAAGGGGAGCGTCTGAGCCCCCCAGAAAGCAGACGTCTTACTCCCATTAATATCGAGAGAACCGCTGCGCAGCTTCTTCGCACTCACTCACTGTTTCACACTCGTAACCTACCATAACACTCCTTCACCAACATGCCTGGCCTCGAGAATGCTGACCTGCCTCCGGAGCATGAGCCCAGGAAGCTCGTCCTGTGCTTCGATGGTACTGGCAACACATTCAGTGGATCCAATGCCGACACCAACGTCGTCAAGATCTTGAGCAAGTTGGATCGTAATGATCCCAACCAATTCCATTACTACCAGAGTGAGTATTGCACCGAGCATGTCGAATTATCCCGTCACTAATCCACAAAACAGCTGGAATTGGCACATACGACATCAATGAGACCACGGTCAATAAGACATGGTACGGAGACCTAAAGAGCTCCGTCTCCCAAACCCTGGACCAGGGTTTTGGAACAACTTTCGACGCGCACGTCATGGCGGGCTACCGCTTCCTGATGCGTTACTATGACTCTGTAAGTAAAGACGAGGCTCAAGCTGGCTCTGGGAGGTTACTCACTGATTCCAAACTGGAATAGGGCGACAAGATCTACATGTTTGGCTTCAGCCGCGGTTCTTTCACGGCCAAGTTCCTGGCACGCATGATCTACACCGTCGGTCTGCTCTGCAAGGGCAACGAAGAGATGGTTCCCTTCGCATACCGCCTCTACCAGCGCTACCTAGCCGGTGAGGTGCAGAACAATGTGGACCCGGACCCGGAGCTAGATGGCGCCGACCCGTCGGTACACCGGCACCACTGGGCGCGCGACGAGATCACGGCCTTCAGCAACACCTTCTGCCGCAAGGAGAAGGTCCGCCACTGCGGCAAGATCGAGGAGCGCAACATCAAGGTCTACTTCCTGGGCATGTGGGACTGCGTCAGCTCCGTGGCCGTCCTGGAGCGCGAGGCGCCGAAGCCCATGCCCGTCAAGGGGACGGCGCAGTTTGTCCGGCACGCCGTCGCCGTCGACGAGCGGCGCGTCAAGTTCAAGGCCGCGCTGCTGGCCCAGGACATCCGCGAGACGGCTGCAGGCGACGACGACAGCGATGACGACGACGACGAACATGCCGAGGACATCAAGGAAGTCTGGTTCCCCGGCTGCCACGGCGACGTCGGCGGCGGGTGGCCCGCCAGCAACGAGGACGGCTACAAGGACCCTGCGACGGACGACGGTAGCAGCACGCCGTCGTTCTGGCAGCGCATGAAGACCTTCTGGGCCACCCGCAAGCCCAAGGAGCCTAGCAGGGATGTGCGGCTAGACCCGTACCAGATGAGCGACATCCCACTGGCCTGGATGATCCGCGAGGTAGAGCTCGTGGGGAAGATGGATCCCCCCGCTGCCGTCAAGTGGACCTTCCGCCTGCACGGGTTCCGGAGGCGATTCAACAAGGACCAGGCGCTGCGGGGGTTCATGCACGACTCTTTGAGGTTCAGCCACGGCACGGGCTTCTTCACGGTGCTGCTATGGAGGTTTATGGGTAAGTTTCAATGCTAGGGTGCTCTTGTCTGTACTTTACACTAACATGGCTGAACAGAATGGCTTCCTATCATCAAGCGGTGGGAGCTTTCGGGCAATGAATGGAAGAATGTGCGCTTCCCTCTTAACAAAGGAGCGACCCGAGACATCCCATCCGATGCTGTGCTGCACGAGTCGCTGCTTTGGCGTCTCCGCAACAACCCCGGATATCATCCCTGCAATAACCACGGCGGCTACCTGCCCCCTTGTCTCAAGCACAATGGGGTGCTGGCTGAATTCGCGCCAGTGTCTGAGCCAGCGGAGCAGGCAGACCCCGATCACCAAACCTACAAGTTTGCAAAGCCTCCTGTGCACCACGCCTAATGCGTGCGCTTCTTTGGGGACGTACATGGGGCGATATCACGCATGTTTAATTTGATCATTATGCCAAATACAAGTTGTCACGAGTTTGAACAGAGTTGGATGAAGGGGGGTAGGAGACTTTGGGTTTCTCGATCTCGGAAATGCGAATGGTGTGTTAATCCAAGTCGATCTGTATTTCATCTTGCGGGCGGTAGCAACCCAGAAGAGGACTATGCCGACTCGCCTATATCGTGTCGTGATCCTTCGCGTGGTGTTCTGCTCATGATCGAAAAACACATGCTTGTGATGTGCGGAAATGCACGCCTCTCCTCAATTGTGAGATCCTATTGGTCACGGAAAAGGTGCGGCGTAGCAAATTTCGGCGGTTCGGCGAATTCTATCTTGGGTTTCCGTGCCGCACGCTACGTTGCTGGCCTAGTTCATAGCCACCCACGACTGCGGGATGGGCCATGTGTGAGGCGGGGTGTCAAGGGATTGTGGGATTGCATTGCGGGATAACGTTGCGCGATTTGAACTTCTGAAGATGTTGATTTGGAGTCCCCGCACAACTCGAGCGATCTACTGTCACAGTGGTTGGGGTAGTGCGGAGACAACACGGACAGCCTGAGACATATATATACCAGGAGTTGACCCTTGGGATTTGATGATCGAGTCCCTGACGATCCGGAACAATCCTTAGCTACGGTCCTCACCGCCGTTGTCACGGACTCTGTTGCCTATCATGCTTTCCCCCAGGCTTTTCGCTGTTTGCACCCTTCTGACGAGCGTTTGCGCTTCGGTGTGCGCTTCGGTCACGACCTATCCTCGGCCCGCCCTCTACTCCGCGTCGACTGATTTCAGCCTCACTGTCGGGGGAACGTCTGTCCCCACTGTCAAGTTCTACGATGGCTACGACTATGCGCAGCTGTCCATGGACGAGGGCAAGGACACCGAGTACAAGATCACGCTCAGCAGCGGCGCCTCCATTTCCTCGTACTCCATCAGCCCCAAGAAGCTCAAGATTGCGGCCACCGTTTCGGGTTCGACACTCACCTTCAAGGTCAAGAAGGCCTACTACCTCATTGTCAAGATCAATAGCCTGAAGGAGTTCGTCATTGTGGCCGATCCGTCCGAGACCGACAAGCCTGCTTCCTCGGGGTCTGGGATCTTCAATGTTAAGGACTACAATGCCGACAACACTGGCAAGACTCTCAACACCGGAATTCAGGATGCTCTGAATGCTGGCAAGGGCCACATCGTCTATGTCCCGCCAGGTATCTACCTCACCGGCAACATTGTCATCCCGGACGGCACCTCCCTGTATCTCGCTGGAGGCTCAGTGCTCCGGTTCACGGGCAACCCGGCTGATTACAAAAACATGTACTACAAGCCCGGTCTCGGTTATGGTACTTGGTGGATCTCCACGGCCATCAACTCCAATAACATCAAGATCTACGGTCGCGGAACGCTCGACGCCAATGGCTACGGCTACCAGAACGGGAGGAATGTTTCTCAAGCTCTTGTCCCAGCCGGGACCCAGAACTTCGTCGCCGACGGTCTCCTGATCCGCGAGAGCTCCTTCTGGACCGTTGTCCCCACCCAGAGCAACAACGTCTACCTGAACAATCTGAAGATGCTGAACCGCATCGACATGAAGCAGAACGACGGGATTGATGTTGTAGAGTCGACAAATGTCTTCACGACACGAGCTATCGCCATCGCACATGACGACAGCTTCAGCACCAAGACATGGCCCGAGGATGACAACGACATCTTCAAGGCGTACCCATACCCCCCGCGTCCGCTTTCCAATGTCACCTTCACGGACCTGGTCTCCTGGACCCGATGCTACAGCTTCAAGGTCGGGCAGGGTGTCTACAACTATCAGCAGGGCATCACCTTCCAGGACGGCGTCACCTACACCGCTGCCGTTGGTCTTGGCGTCGACCACAAGTTCGGAGACGGGGTTGCCCGGGATCTCACCTGGAAGAACATCGAGATCGAGGCTCTCGCCGGCGAGAACATGCCCGGCGTGGCTACGTGGATGGCCATCTTCGTCGAGATCTCGGGCAGGGGTATCGGACCCATCGAGAACTCTCTCGTCGAGAACATCCGCATCTATGACCTGGGTGCCAAGGACGCGTGGATCAAGGGCTACAACTCTTCTTGCAAGGTCGTCAATACCAAGCTCAAGAACATCTACCTGAATGATAACACGACGCCGACAACCGACCTTAAGGCTCTGAAGGTCGTTCACATGAACACTTTGAACACCACCATTGAGTAAAGGGCTCAGTGTAGCTAGGTAGTCGTCGCTTTGGCACTTGCAGGAGGCTGCATCAATATAGACCATACTACCATTTATGATGTATAATGCTTGACCGTGTCTCCCCGCAGTTTGTCTATGTGAATGTCGGCGGAGAGGCCGAAAGGAGATAGGTAGTCATTTGAGACTAGAGGCTTGGGATTTTGGATAATACCAACAGTGCCTACCGGTTCACATCTATGCATTACCTTGCACTGAGAAGGGATAATAACTGGCTAGAATTATGCTCAGTCGCCTTAGTCACCTTAGTGTCACAGTCTCCTGAAGTGTGAGATACTGAAGCCTCAAGTATAGGTACTTGCAATATAGCTAAATTCGCAATATTGAAAAGTAAATGCTGTTAAGTGTGCTGAAGCCAAGAGCAACAGCAAGTCCGACTCAAGGCAGTCAAAGAATCCCATAACACAGTTCTATGTCACTTGTGAAACGAAATGAACCCCGTAGTAGTCTGCAGATAAATTGACAACATGTCTAACCAATTCCAAGACACCATAGAACAAATAGCTCTGCATTTGCCGTTCCCCAGTTGAGTGGGCGTGCACACCCCGAGTACGGTTCAAGCCTCGAAATCAGAAGCTTCGAAGGATTTTAGTATTTGATGTCTCCTCAGTAGATGCTCTACTCCCCGACCGGAACAACGACCTCGCGCCGACGTGTCGCCTCCTTGTTCGGGTGTCTTGCCGCAAAGATCTCGTCCAGCTCCTCCAGAGTGTAGCCCTTGGTCTCAACGAAGAAGAAGTATGAGAATACAGTTTGGAAGGCGGTCCAGCAAGTAAACACTAGGTACGTCTTCCACCCGATATTCTGCAGCGCGTTGGCCGTGCCGAACTGGTTGACCAGGGCCGAGGCAGAGTTGGCCATAGAGTTGATCGCCATGCCCTTGGCGCGCATCTCGTAGGACAAGACCTCGACTGGATACAGTGCCTGAAGTGGGGTCAAGCCAAACGAGAAGATCGACTGGAACAACCAATAAAAGAAAATGCCGACGATCGAGGAGGCCCTGGTGTGGTTCGCAGCATAGGTTGCCGTCCCTGCCGTAATGCCGGCCCAGCACAAGCATAGTAGACCCTGTGTGCCAACGATAACCTTGCGACGACCCCAGGTATCTGCCATACTGGCGCCTGTAATAGCAAGAGCACCGGACAGCACGAACAGCCCCAGGTTCAAATCCAAAACAGTCGTCTCCTCAGTGATGCCGGCGGACTTGTAGAAGCCAGCAATGTAGTAGCTGATGCCGCCCTGGGACCACTGCGCAAATACGGAGAGGATCACATTGCAGAGAATCCGGCGAACATTGCCTCTGGATCGCCAGAAGACACTGTAGTCCCAGAACCTCTTATCCGTACCATCTAGCTCCAGGGCGTCGGCAAATTCGCGCAGCTGCAGGGCAACGTAGAGGCTGTCCGGGTCGTCGTTGCCGTGGTATTTGACCAGAATCTCCTTGGCCTTATCCTGTTGGCCGTGGGTGTAGAGCCAACGCGGGGACTCGGGGAAGAACAGGATGAGGATGAACACAATGGCAGGGAACGCCATTTGCATCCACGTGGGGATGAGCCACGGCAGATTGCCGGAATAGTCCTTCGACCCGCGCGTGATACCGGCAGCCAGAATGGCACCGGTGTAGTACATGCAATTGTATGTGCCCGTCATGACTCCTCGGTATGCCGGGTGCGACATCTCGACAACGTAGGTAGGCGCAGCGGCAGCGGTGAGGAAGACGCCGAAGCCGAGGAAGAAGCGGCCGGCCATAAACTGTGGGAGGTTCGCAGTAGCGGCCGACGTGCCTTCGAGAATAGTGCCGATGATGATGATGCCGGTTCCGAACATGGTCCCCACACGCCGACCCCATTGATCGGTGAGCGGTCCCATGAACGGCAGTGCAGAGACGCCGCCGATTTGGTACATCGCGGTGATCAGGGCAGACTTTTCGCCCACCACGCCGGTCTGAAAGGTATCGCGGTAAGACTTTGTCACGAGAATGGTGCCCATCAGGCTGCCGTCGTAGCCGTGCGCGGTCGAGGTCAGGAACATGATACCGAGGAACATGTACAGCTGGAGCATGCGCTTCGAGAATAGCTTCACGGGTTCGAGCAGCTTGGGTGCGGCCAAGGCTTCAGAACCCACGATAACCTTGCTGATGACGGGTCCTTTGCCATTGTGCTGCTCGTGCTGTTCGACGGCCGGCTCGGCCGAGGCTGCGGGATCAGAAGTGTCCTTCATGGCGAAGGAGCTGTCGACAGAGAAACGAAAATGGCAATAGTGTATGTTGGTGATATCTTGAGCTATTTCACCTAGCCAGGGACCTGGATGAACTTGATGAGCAGAGCCCGTTCTGGGGAAGCAAGGATGATATGTTTTAAATCAATTTGGAGAACAGTATTCCACCCATTACCCCATACCCCAGGGCTGTGGTTAAGCTTTCGGGACATGCATGGAACAGTCGATTTGTGTGTGGGGGTTGTGGGATGAGCGGGCGAGCTGAAGAAAGACTGCGGGATGCCCATACAAACCAGGTGTTCTGTGAATGCGGGATGGGCCAGCTGTTGACAATCACTATGTGGTGTGCACTCAATCAAACTAAAGCTCACCAGCCGTAATGGGTTAGGGTTGTACTCAATTAATTCAACACCAACATAGTTACCTCGGAAATTCCGACCCGTGTCGGTGCTTACATCGGGAATAACATACAACACCTGCAATTCTCCACACGCTAGCCCTCCCGCAGATTTGATTTTACTGTATCAGGCATCCCAAACTGGGATTGTGGCAATGGTGGGAGGGCTTTTCAATTGGATCTTGGCATATTTGATCGGTGGCAACTGCCCGCAGGCTGGCCTGGTCTCCGAGGTAGCTATAGTAAGGGATCAAGTCTCAAAACACATATGTCAGACAATCTCAATACGTAATCGGAAGAGAGAGTCCAGCCCTCTTGAAAGAGAGGAGGAGTCAATCATTTTGTGGAGGATTGATTACTCAGGACTTTCCCGGGGCATCAGTGCCTTCATAGTGAGATAATGAGGCTCTAGAAAGCCTCCTTAACTGTCTTCCTCGCTACGTTTTTATCAAGCATTAGCTAAAGTATGCAAGCAATCGGGTCGTGTAATTGGTGTACCGTTGAACATTGGATGTAGCCGAAACGAGGATGGACATTTCTTTGACAAATCTTTGCTTTACAAGCGTGACTGATCAAACATTGAGGACCTAAACTCTATATACCAGACGTCATAGAGACATGCGTGAAGTTGGGTCAGAGGGCATCGAATCCATGTCTCAAACGTGATGGGCGCCCCTGGGCCATCCTTGTCACATCGACCCTCTGCCGAGGGCTCAAAGCCCTCATCAGTACCAGGCTGTTTCCCTCAGTTGTGAAGCAGACTTTGGACATGGTTCTGATCTCTCGCTCCCGAAGAATATTAACAAACTCCTTCAATGGGGAGACAGTATTCTTGTCCTCAATGAAGTCCAGGCCATCCAGCACCCAAACCAAGGATGGGGGTGCATATTTAAGTAGGCCGTTTATCAAACTCATTGCCGTCGGAATGCTGTTCAACGTCCCATCAAGAAGCTGATATTGGTCCGTGTCTAGCAGCTCCGATGCCGGGAACCTCGGGGGGAGGAGGAATGTGAGTTGCGTGATGACGCTGTAGAGAAAGCTGATTATGCCCGCCGCAGGGTGTGATAGACCTGTTGCTGCAGCAGTGGCGTAGCGACGCTTACCAAAATACGAGATACAAGGGAGCCCCTGGCCCTTAGTGAGCTCACAGAGATGCAGGGCTGCGACAGTCAAGGTGCAGCCATATTCCGTGTCCGGTGCGCCCTCCAACCAGACCATCTTCGACTGTGTATTGGCGATCCAGACTCGTAGCTCCACAATTGCTTCCTCTGGAAGAAGGGCCGAGAAGCCCCTAAAGTCGTTGGAGATATCTACGCGGCCATCTTCTATGAAAGGAACAATGGCCTGGGTGCATAATTCAAAATCGTGACGTGTGCTTTGCTCGTCTACAATGGCCCAAATATTAGTTTTGCGACGTACAGAACCCGACAGGTATGGCGCGAAAATATCAAGGACGAATCATAAACTCACCTTTGATTGAGACACCACCGGATGCTATATCTTCCTCTTCGATTGAAAGGTGTGAGCTTTCTGGGGACACATCCTCAGTCGTAGTCAGCTGAGGATCAGATGCCGTTTTCCCCTCGGTGAGTGTCTGCAAGATACGTATGGCATCATCTGTGAAGTGAAGGGTTAGAACCTTATAATACGATATACACTAGACGAAGCTGAACAGACCGTGATTATGGTGCTCTTCAATAGATGCCAAAGTTCGGGTGGATGCCTTTCCGAGGCCCTCGAAGATGCAGATAAGCTTTTGTTCAGTGGTCAGAGCCCCGTCATCCCTGCAATCGTTGCCCAGAACCCGGAGCTCTATGCAATGACGGTTCGATATAGCCTCCTTGATATCTTTGATGTCTGCTTTCATTTCTTGTATGCTTTGCTTTTGGACATAGTCGGCCTCTTTCGTGATGCTGCTTATTGTCGACCGTATGTTGTCGACAAGTCTCGATGCAGTGCTGTCGTAGTAGCTCTTGCTGAGGGAGGCCTTAAGTCTTTTTCTCTTCGACTTGAACCAGGACATAACTTCGCAGAGGAGGCTGAAAACGGCGACGTAGAGCTCAACCACCAGTTGTTTCGTCCTTGCGGTGTCTGCGAGCGGCAGCTCTCTCCGCACAGACCTGAGATCCGAGCTAATCTCCGACAAAGCAAGAGAAAAGCATTCGGCAATCTTTTGATAACTGATGGATGCCTGTTTGCCCAATTAGACAATTTGAGTACAGTAAATGGAAAGTGAAAGTGTACCAATATACCTTCACGACGGAGGAAACTACCCCTGTGATGAGGCTCACGTATTTATCTCCGCTAGGGATAACTTCGAAGAGGTAGGAGTGATCATCCATATGTTTGATGAAGTTATTGAATCGCCTCTTAAAACGCTTCTTATCTTCCGCCGCAGACCACCCTGCCTCGGCTTGCTGGACGGACTGCAGCAGTAGGCTGATCTGAGGCACATGCCTCGGAGATTCCGCAGAGATTGATTCATCAGGAAATAGATGGCCAAATTTCGCCCACAGGCTTACTACCTCCTGGCGTTTTCTTTCGAGGGGCACAAGTACCTCATCCCTGAGAAAGGCAGTTAGTATTGGATCACTTGCAAGGTATTCCGATGCATTTACCTCGGTGAATCGGTCAGCACGAGCCAATCTCTCCACTCATGAATCTGCTCTGCCATGGCCTGGGCACTCTCGTCCTCTCTGCGAACTGTTGTGCCAAGCGCTTCGCTCAACGTGTCGTTTGGGTTTTCACGGGAGACTTGAAGGCTGTATCTCCGGACGAGGGGAGTAAGTTTCGGATCCTTGTCGGCCTCGTCCATCTTGCAAATCAATTTGATGATAGTTCGCTAAAATCTAAGAAGTGATGGCAAAGCAGATTGCACACCTTTCTGCTCTCTTGCGGGAATTTCGTCGGCAAGGCTCAGCCTGATCAACGACCTGAGCAAAGGTATGTACGATCCAATGCACCAGGTCGGGCCGATACGCCACAAATGCATGTTGGGCTCCAATTGAGTGGATGGCCACTGTAGCTGAAAGTGAACGGTCACGTAAATAGGTACTTTCGGTTCTGCAGACGAATCAGCTGCGTCTATCTCAGCGCTTCTGCAGGATGGACAGGTTGGGGGCCGAAAGCAGATTTGTCCTCACCCAATCACAGTCAAGTTCTGAAACGTCAGCACGCACTCGGCTCTTCCAGAGTTGACAAAGCATCGATAAGCAAGGCTTAGTGTGCTCGATTTTAATAGAAGTATGGCATGTCCTACTTCTTGGGGAGTTCTCGAGGAGATCCGTGAATAAAGACTACCTTCTCTCCGATCTCTACAGAGCTCGGCATTCTTGATTGACTAGTCTTTCATGTCATTGAGCGACAGGTGTAAGCCCGATGACGCAGGACAGTCCTCATGATGGTCCGAAAGGACACATCGACCCTACCAGCCAAAGTCTCACCACAGACGCTTCGCCTAGGCTGGATGACCCTGCCCCCAAGGAAATTGCAGCAGATGCAGCAATCAACCCAACCCTGCCTAGCACAGAAGGACAACTGAACGATGGCGAAATACCTCACTCCTGCCAGGCCGAGAACCCAGGATGCTCTAGTGGAGAGGAGATTGGCAATGCCCAGATCCCGAATCACCCCAATGAGGCTGATGAGAGCCAGGTTTCGGAGTATGGAGAGATCAACCAGTCCAACGCCGCTCTGTACTGCCAGAAGAGTGGGCGGCTGCACGTATCCTTCATAGGCATAGGGATCCTCGACTGCCCATATTGTCAACAAAGCTTGAGGGCGCCGAAAACCCCTAACGACGGACCATCGGACCTTGACAACACACTCCGGCATTTCAAAACCGATATGAGAGTCTACTTCAGGACAACAGACGATGATAACTCTCGTGAAGAGGAGGTGAAACGATTCGGCGTACACAGTAGCGGACATCTAAGGACATCGGAAGAGGACTCGGATAGTGATTCGGAAAAGGAGTCGACAGAGCAAGAAGGCGAAAAAGATGCTTCCACTGAGCCGTTGGTCTCTCACCTTGTGGAGTATAGGGACGAAAGGGACCGCGTCGTTTTGATAAGCCCTTGCGCAGCTGATTTTGATCTCGCAGAGGCCAGAAAGGCTACAGGTGCCATGAGTGGGTCAATCTTTGACGTGATCACGGTCATAGATACCTCATTATCTCGCTCGGAGTTCCGTTACGACTACCCATACTCCGAGTCTGACATCTTGAACAACCCCAAACTGACACTGAAAGTTCGACTCAAGCAGCTTGTGATCCACTCACACATGATCATTGCGGCTGTCCGCCGTGCTGTTCGATACTATCCGTCCCAAAAGTTCAATACTGAGGACCTTGTCATTGAAGAACCCTACATGCTTCTACAGCATCACGTGGAAGAGTTGAAGTCTATCCGAGAATTGTCAGAGCAAGGACTCGGAGTGGAGCCGAGAAACGCCGAGCAAGAATTGAAATTCCAGGAATCGCAGCATCTTGCGGCTCTGCTGAACTTCCTTCAAAAGAGCAGTGCTACCGACATTGAGGAAGAGAGAGAGCGACACAAGCGGGGCATGTGCACATTTCGCATGCTTTGGCTCTTGTTCAAGCCAGGCACGACTGTATACGCAGACATCTGCGGGACATTATCTGCGTATGTGGTCCGCAAGTTCAAGATCTTTAGAGGAGGTTACAGCAAGGAATATAACATCTCGATCTGGAACCTGGTCTACGATGGCAAATATGTCGGAAGATCGAAGTCCATGGTCACAATCGCACAGTTCGAAGGGGAAAGGCAGATCCAGTCTATGAAAGTGTTTCCTAGCGAATTCCATGATCGGGAAGATGGCGGCAGACTTCGTCAGCAATTGGAGACGAACGGGGAAAGTTGGTTCAGCCTTATCCGGGGGGCGCAAGTCTATTATGAAGGGCCACTTCTCGGCAGCGCAAGGCGACATGTAAGGACCTCTTTCTTGCGATCCGATATTCCACGAGACTGACTATCTACCAGTTCAAAGGGCGAGCATACGTGGACAACGCCGCATACTTCAATCTTGACTATGGGGTTGGTGAGGAACTTGATGTCCGTGACTATGGCAAGGAAATGAGCAAGTGTCAGTGTGAGCAGTGCCATGGACGTCGACCTCATCCCCCGCCGGACTTCCCATGGGCGCGGTATGACCTCATTGACCCGGAAACGGAAAATAATTTGGTGCTTGCCAACTCACCCGAGGGACCTCGCCATCGCTATATGTTATGCAGTCCAATACTGTGGGGTTTTGACCTCAAGGCTCGAGAATGGAGTGTGTGCCCTTGTCTTTCACCGCTGCCTCCACTGAGGTCTTGGCTAATGAGAACACAGAGGAGCTCGATGTGAATTGCTGCCGCGAGCCCAAGATCAATGCGGATATCATCGACACGCTCGTTATGCCACCTGATAGAAAGGAGATGATCAAGGCACTTGTTTACAAGTTCGCAGATTCAGGGTCACCAAAGAAGCCTTCCCAACCCTGGGGAGCAGATTTCATCGAGAACAAAGGCGAAGGACAGATCTTTCTTCTTCATGGAGGACCCGGCGTTGGAAAGACATATGTGAGTTTCATCAGCCAAGACATCTCATGAAGTGGACTAGTTGCTAATCAATATCGTCACAGACTGCAGGTAAGCTAGATGCGACAGAATCTCTGTGGCGTTGATTTGACATAGTACTGATTGTACCAGAATGCATAGCTGAGTTTACCGGGCGACCACTTCTCTCGTTGACCTGTGCAGATATCGGTACAGATGAAGGCGTCATGGAACAAAAGCTTTCCAAGTGGTTCACTCTAGCCGAGAGATGGGGTGCGGTCATGCTCATAGACGAAGCAGACGTCTATCTCGAGCGAAGGCAGATATCCGATCTCATACGCAACAGCCTAGTCTCGGGTATGGAACAAGTCCACCCCCTTCTTCTTATGCATCATTATGCCCTGGAACAGAATCTAAGCTAACGTTATTCTGGTCTTTGGCAGTCTTCTTGCGCTGCATTGAGTATTATCGCGGCATCCTATTCCTCACGACCAATCGAGTGGGGCATTTCGATGATGCATTCATGTCACGCATTCACGTCATCATAGCTTACGACAACCTTCAAGCCGAAGAGCGTGCAACTATCTGGCGCCAGTTCTTTGACAAACTCGAAGAAGACCGTACAGACTTCGTGATCACGTCGCGAGCGAAGGAATACGTGCTTCATGACGAAGCAATCACTAAGCTAGAGTTGAACGGGAGAGAGATTCGCAATGGTACTGACCGAGACAAACACCACTCTTCTAACGCTGTAAGCTGACATAAAGGTAATTCTATAGCCTTCCAGACTGCGGTAGCTCTTGCAGAGTACCGCTTCGCTCAACGGCAGCACCATGCGCGTGATCATCCCAGGCTCGACCAGAAGGACTTCGAGCAGGTGTGTGCAATGATGCAACAGTTCAAACAATACCTGGACAATGTCCATGGCGCAAACGAAGACGGCCGTGCATTCAAATCCAGGGCGAGGGCATATCCTGATGATGTCCATGATGCAAACCCGGGTTCATCCTTAACACACCATCCGGCTCAGACTAGGTCGGATGTGCACCACCCAACAAGGCCCATGGGTAACTATTGATGGCCAAAATTTGACGGATGTTGTTCTTTCCACTTCTTGAATTCACAGCTGTAGGTTTGGGAGTATCGCTCCGTCTGGTTCTGGAGAATTAATGTCACTATTTCCTAAGTGCTTAGGGCAGATTTTATAACATCGTACGAACGCATCCCCGACGTGTCGTCTCTAGGAAGCATCTTCTAAATGCGTTTGCCATCGCAGTTGCTGTGCCATGCATGACTGTGATCTCGGCACTGTCTGCCTTGAGTCATCAAACTTTCCCACTGTTATGCAGAACCGCAAGGACCAATGAGAGTACCTTCCGGTGCGTTCATGTGCTGCGCGCCAATGACCGAACCTATGACCGGGCTTTCCGGGTACCATTGGTTAGATCTATCTGTTAGGCCAACACAAAAACAGCAAGGTATTTGAATGCCAGGCCATCCAGTCCAGTCCAGTCCACTTATCAAAGAGTGATGTCCGGTTCTTGACAATGCGAATCTACGCCTGATTTGGCGGTCCAACAGTAGCGTGAGGGCGATTACACCTACAACGCCAACCCTCAACTTGTCCTGGATCACTTGTACTTGTAGACTGGGATGTCTCCTATCTGTTAACTCCGATCTGCCGATTCTAGCGTGTTGGCATAGAGCTCAATTTACTCCTTGATCATTTCTCTATCATATGTACTTATGTCAAGACGTCCAGCCTCTCGCGAGCTCTTCCTCAGTGACGTGACCACGGGCAGAAGAATAATCAGTGCTCTCAACAGGTGTCAATTGGATGATGGCCTTTTATTCTCTCCCGCTACCGAGAGTCATTATTCGGGTATGACGCCCTCTGAGCCCCGATATTACAGATCCTGCATGTGAGTGGTCCTATCCAAGCCGTGACCTCCGAAGGTATGATTCGGGTAGACCATCCACCTCCCTCTCAATCCGATTATCCCTACCATCCATAAATTCGCTCCTCCTCCTTCCCTATCAGTCTTACATCTTGATATTTTGCACTCTCGCATCAATTATCTCACTTCTGAGTGCATCCTTCTTTTCGTGTTGAATCCTCTTCAGAAGAAGTTGGACCACAATTCAGATATCAGTATTCATAGTACCAACACAAAAGGCATCATCAACCTGCGTTTTGAGTGATTCTTTACCCGCTTGCACATTAGCCATGCCTCAAAAGGCAATTGAACTGGAATCTGCGTTGGGGTCCGCTCTGTATGTGGTGCTGCAAACAACACCGACTCTATTCACTCTGTGGGAATCATAACTCACAAAGGTCCAGATATTTGTCTCCTAAAGACACCAAATCCCAGTCATCTTCTCAAACCTCATCCTGGAACACTTCTACCTGTCCGTCTTCTGTCGAGCACCGCCCTGTCGGCCTAGGAGGAAACATTTTACTCACACCCACGCCAGAATATTGCAGCATCCCACGAGTTGACATTCATGTGGCATTGCTAGGAATTGGATCCCAATTTGACTCCCGAAAACATGTTTACGGATAATTTTACAACGAGTTTGCGTTAAATTTCCCTCCAATAGTGACTAATCGGGGTTGGGTTGGCGATCTTCATGCTATTGACGCCTGCACTGATAATTTGACATTCCCGCTCGCTCAAACAACAGCAGGGCATGAGAACTCCCTGCTCGAGGTGGCAGACATGTATGAACCACAGGAATTGAGCTGAGCTTGGCCGGATGTTGTTATGTGCGATGAAGGTAATGCCGCAAGACGTTATCGGGCAGATGGGCAACTGTGGCACTATGACCGGGCGTCTTTGCGTGGAGGGGTAAAGTCACGATGCATGCGCCTCTTCCTGTGCTTCACCGCCAGTTCGCAGTGATTCTGAATGACTCGGGGGTCCGGTGGCGGTGTGGCAAATTGCGCTGTGACAGTTTTGTCCAATCAACTCAAAAACTGCCATGTGTGGCGAGAAGCCTCGCTCCCGTGTAAGGTCACCATTGGCTCGGTGACTAAATCCTTCATGCGTGTCTTCTGGTATTAATTTCACATTCCACTTGTTGCATCAGTGGCGCACTGCGCGGGTGCATTGCAAAGTGACGCCGCGTTTTTTCGTGGCATGAGTGGAAACGGAATGCCTATCAACAATAACATCGACGACTGAGCGCCGTGGAGTTGAGTCGTCCAGAGCGGAGTAACGCTCTTGAAAGGGTTTCAAGCGCGACTGAGCACCAGCAGTCTTTTGAAAGCAAGGGTCACAGAAGCCTCTTAAAACCCCACAGCCGCTGGATTGTAAGAACAGGGCCTTTCCTGACATCCCATCTGACTGTCAACAAAGCTGGATAACCAAATCAAGAGAGGAGCTCCTCAAACGTAAGTGAAGCGCCTAAACCTATTCGGAATCAGTGACCAATGTATCATCATACACAGCTGAGGCGCGCCACCCTTATCGCGGCAATGTATAGAGACGCAGTGGCAATGCGTCTCACCGAGAGCTTCAATGTCAGCGCGGATACTCGGGAGAGGCATTTATTCCCGCAGACCTTTACACTCTTACGGGCGCGCGCTTACCAAGACAAGCGCCGCAGTCCGAGTAAGCAAGCGCGCGATTGCCACGTCACAGACGCGCAAACAGCCGCAGATGCCGGGCACATTGGTTCCAGTCTGCCTTGGTTTATGCAGGTTGCTCAAGCATGCTGGACGAGCGATAACCAATAGACCTGGGTGTGGCAACTATGCATGCTTGTGGTTCGCGCATTCTCGTTTCTGACTGGCTCCAATCGCCCTGTATTGACTTGTCTCGAGAGCGGGGTAACCAACAGTCCGTGATTACAAGTGAGAGAGGACTACTGCATCATGCGGGTGAGATTGCAGAGAACGCCTCGTGTTGAAACGTTTTCGACGGCAAGCTATCAAGGATGCAGAACGCGCATCTGCCGGAACACGAATACGAAAACTGGGAGCATAGATGCCTTGCCACACATAATCGACGATTTCGGTAGTCCATCTTGAGATACCAGAGTTCTCATGCGTAGGTGCTGCCGTGGGTTGCATGTACATCAAAAAGCGTTTTGGGTAAGAGATGAAAATATGTATCCAATACTGAAAACTTCGGATTTGACTCTGCATGAGCAAGCAGCAAAGGATTGCTGCCTCAAACATTCTATGCATAATGTGACCCGTGATGCCTTCGGGTTTGCACCTAGTCTTGCTACAGCGCAAACAGCAACACGTGCTGCGTTCGTGAAGTCGTGTTCGGGTGGCGTGCAATCCACCACAAAAGTGACTTCCATTTTCAACACAACTTTTGCCATAGCCCGCAGAAGCAGCAACTATCGGTGGCTTTGATGGATTGACACGCAGTATCCTGAAAGTATATGTCCGCAGGCCACCCTTGTAACTTCGGTGTCTTATTCTCCGCTGGGACTGTCTGCTTGGCAATGGCTCAAGAGCAGGGCATGGAATTTGATCTTGCAGACGGCTGAGAAATGGCCTTCGTCTGTCATTGCATGTGGCCTGCATCAATTTGTAGCTTTATCTCCTGTATGAGTACATAAGAACTATGCCGGTGCATTCTCGAAAAATCCTGTCATTTCGTTCACGCTTCCCACCAAACTGCCAAAGTTAGTCATTCACCATTACTAGACCCTACTCCTTCCATTACTAGCACTTTCAGGCACGGTAACCGCCCTTGCACTCGGAGGAATCGTCGTACCAAAGCTTGCCTCGCATACGCTCAGAAGTCGTTGCTGTCTACAACATGAAGAACACTCATGAATCTATGTATGTGTACTATGTTTAAGTCTTCTTCGTGACAGATACCAGTGTACATGAAGCTGAACTTTCTCTCAGATCCTCTGGATATTCAACCCGCTACCGCTCAAGCAAAACAGGGTCAACGAAACCAGAAGGAATCCATAGCACGACGCAAGCTTCGTCCGTGTCCGAACAGTCAGCGTCGGAAGAATGGACTTGGACAGGCCATGGTCATAATATGACTTCAGGTGGCTATGAAGCTCATGGACAGTGTCAAGGTGTTGATTTACTGGGAATCGGATCGCAATTCACTGGCCAGGGGGAAAGGATATCGTACAATGAATTGGACATCGAGGTTTAAGCAACCGCTCATGACAGAAAGCCCAAGGCCGAATAGCCAGCCATACCATACTTGATCGCTTCTTTGCTTCCTCAGAGTCTGAAGGACTTACGAGGTTAGTTAACATTTCAAATTAGGTAGCACTGATATGAGTGGATCAAGGCAAGGTGGTCCGTCCTCGAGCCTGGTGATCATCGATATCCCCAGGTCTTTTGAAAACAGTTCAATCCGGGGGTGGGATCAAGTGCTTCATTACAATGATCTGACTGCTCGGGCTGTACTCGGATTGCAATTCCAAAGTTCCAGCAATAGACAGTTGTCATTCTTCCATCCTCGTAGCTATAAGCCCCTGATATTCAACATTTCTTTTCAAGAATTGCAGCGTTACGCAAAGTACGACAATGCTCCGGCCCTTCCTTTGAGACACCAATAGGACCGAGAGCTATCCCGCGGGCTGGGATTAGTGGTAGCGCCATGGGTCTGGAGAACCAGAATATCGGGCAGACTATCTTACCGAGACGGCTCAAGCGTTCATTGACCTGGACCCCACGCGGGATGTCTCCAGCCCTACGGACCGCACTAAGACCAGTGTTCTCGAACAGTCCAGTGTGTGAGACGGGTCGATTAGAATTCATGCAGGTTCTACCGGAATAGGTAGCCAATGAATGAGCGGCTGTCTGGCAACTCGCGCTCGAGTCCATGTCAGCATTCCATGCAGGCTGCGAAGCCAAAGGTCTGGCCAAAACCCACACCAGAGTCCTGGCAAACGAGCAGCCACACGGTCAATTCTGTCTCTTCAGTTCTGGTGTTCCTGGGAGCGGCACAGATTTCCAATCCATGGTTCCATCTGTGCTACAGCACATGGACAATCGGTCCGTCGCCACGGCAGGTGGATTCCAGAGTCACAAACACAGGTAACGCGACTGAGCTTCCAACCGGCGCCCTGGGCCAAATTTTGATAGGATGACATCACAGTCCCGGGCGAGGACACGGGACAAGGTTTGCGGACGTTTGTCGTGGATTCCTGAGGCCCTAATGCCGCATGAGCAGATGGCGGAGTCGTTGGAGTAACTGTCATACGTTGATGCTCTCGCATCCCTGGATGTGTCTGAGCTACTTGATTTCCTGCCTCCTATTGGGGAATTCCACCCGCTGTTGGGGAGTGCTGGGACCCTGCGGGTCGTTTAAGTTGAGCTCGGGCCCGGCGCCGATGACAGTTTGCCTTAAGAAGCTTAAAAGTTCGGCCGAGATGTCTCATGATCTCGGCCAACCCGGCATAGGACACGGCCAAAACGCCATTAATGTTCTCGTGGGGACGGTTTGGCTCTTCGTTTCGGCGCAGATTGGTCTCGGTCAATTGATTTACGGCCGGGTTACCGAACTATCGAGTAGCAACTTGTAATAGGTCTCACGATGGCCCGCGAGATAGACTGTAGACATCGAGATGTGTTTTGCTGTTGTTAGGGGTTGGGATCGGTAGGCATCACGTATCGATCGATCAAGAGGCTTTCTCATGATCGCGTACTCCCTTCAGCATTGCTTGTGCTGGGGCTGGTCTATTTAAACAGCATCAGGATCACCTCTCTCTTGAATCTGCAAATCTCCATGGTACAATCAGCCAACTTCTTCTCCTTGAATCTTCCAAGATCAACAGATACTATCCCACGTTGAAACAAGTTTGCAACTCCTCGAAAATGTCCAACAGGTAACTCGCAGATCTCATTGCCCCCTTTCACTTGACGAAGCACTACTGCCTTGGCCCTTAAATGGCCATGCGATTGTCTGCGACTTGCCCTTTTTCAAAGCTAACTCAACACAGAGGCAACCCCGACGAGTGGAGTACAGCAGCGCAATGTTCGTCTCCGAAGCGCAAGACCAAGAAGAGTACCTCTTCGGACACGAAAGAGTCAAAGAAGACCAAACCGAAGAGCGGAAAGAAGAAGGCCAAGGCACAGTCGATTTCTTTGCTTGAAGTCGGCTCGCAGTTCCAGGGTTAGCTAGACATGGTTTCTTTCATTGTTCGTGGTCGATGTCTAGCTACCAATGTCGCTTCAGTTGAGTGAATACAGACTAAGGGTTGGAAACTCATTGTCCCACACCTTGAACTTGTTAGCCCTGCTTGCAGAAGATATCACGATCGGTTTGGCCACCGTGACAAAACATACCATATCATCTAGAAAACTTGGAATGTCGAAAAAGGAGTCCAACTGCGCATCCCCTAGGACTAGATCCGGAACGTCTAGCGGAGGAAGTGTAGTGTTTGTAGCAGAGGCCAATCTCCCCTGCTCTCTTCGCATCTCAGTGGCAGTCTCGCTGGCCCCAGCCTCTTCGAAGATTTGTGCCGCTTGCAGCAGCGCGAGCAGAGACTTCTCGCAGTCGAGGTAGTGATGAATCAAATTCATGGCTTTGAATATGAAAGTACTTGCATAGTACAAGGTCATGCCATTGTAGTCCTAATGGTCTCATTTCAGTTGATTTAAATCTTGGTAGTTTTGCTTCCGATAATTTCTGTCTTACCATGGTGTATCTGATGCCTCTTCGAAAAGATTCGGATTCGAACTGTGTTTGTATCAGAAGACATGCATTGTCGACTGCCCTCTTTACGAAACCGATTCGCATAGAGTCCATTGGATTTTTATCGGCTTTGAATCCATTCAAGGCGAGGCCGTTGATGTACCTTGCTCACATAGAGTGGTCAGCAGGAGCTGGGAATGGTTTCTCTCTTGGCTTCTGTGCGTGTATCTTACAGCTTGATGAAGGCATAGGGGATCGTGAACCGCTGGCTCCGGTCGTCTAAGGGCTGGAAATGCGGGTCGGTCCCGGTGTTCATCTCTTGGAACCAGATATCTGCTCGTTGGTCCAGCCCCATTAGAGTCTCGGCGACCTTGTCCGGCAACGGTTGCGCCATCAATCGAGACATCTTGATTTGTCCTTTGGCGTCACCTGCCATTGAATTAGCTGCTAGCTAGGCACTTTGTAGTTCAACCTTATCCTCCCAATGTACCTGTAATGGTGAAGCCCTGCACATATGCGTAGATGTGGTAGTCAACTGGCCGGCGGTAAGGTGATAGAAGCAGTTCACTTGCTTGCGGCAAGTATTCCTTCATGCGGTTGGTGAAGAATGGACGGGTGACATTGATACTAACAACATCAGTCTGGGCTGGGAATGCTTGTTCAACTCTAGGACATGGCTACTCACGTCAAATCAAAGCAGCAAATTGTATACCACAGGCGTCCTCGTTCAACCATGTCCTCTGTTTGCTCGATCGTGCGGTCACCAAGCTGCAAAGCGCTTTCGTTGAGTTTCAGCTCGATCGCCACGGAAGAGATGAAGCCCCAAAGTCTTATGCGCCCGGTCCATGCTGCGAGAAGCATCATGGCAACGAGACTAAGCTTGTCTGGTGCGGGCCCGTTGAAGTAGTCCTTTATCAGGTTGTCGCTCTGTCCGATGAAGAACTGGTATCTTTCGGGCTTGATTGCTCTTGCAGCGATAGCGCATATGACCAAAGCTAGCAGAGGATACTTCCGGGCTTCCGTTTTGGGTGGTATGATCTGTTCATCTAGAAACTCTATGGTTTCCTTGCAGTTCTGTTCGTAACTTCGGGAATAAAAGATGAGATGTTGGGTGCTAGAAGAGTTTAGGAATGGGCGAATACTCACAAATCGTACAGTTCCTCCCACTCTAGTCTACTTATTACTCCTCGGGATATGATATCTTCAGACCGAGATGGGCAATCGGTCCCGAGCTCGTTGCCAACTGTTGTTCTGGAGCGACATGTGAAACGGGCTGCAGTCCCTTCCGCTAAGTCAAGTGGCTGCGAGACGACGTTGTCGGCCTCAACACCAATTCCTCGACTGAGGCGATATACTGTTTCTCTGAGCTCAGACATCTGCTGACTAAAATGGTCCTCCATCAATTGGAACCGTTGCTCAAGGCTGGTTATTTTCCTGCAGCCCTATCAGTGACATCGAAGGACCACTAGGGAGAAAGACTCCGAGAACCTACGCATCATAAGAGCCACCGGCTGACCTATCGATTGCATCCTTGGCAGACGAGGCTTTGGGTGCGGCGAAGACACATTCGGCGCCACTGGCGCGACATCTTCGGCACGGAATCTCGGCCGGGCCTCCGCATTTGAGCTTCTGCCTCCGGCACCGCAGGCAAGCCGCGAGGGCTCTATTTCAATGGTCTCAGCAGTGTATGCGATATGAAGCCGAAGATGGTTACGTACCTGTTGACATCTGACATTTGACCTCGCTTGTGCTCTACGCCTGTATCTAGAATAGCGGATGAAGTCGAAACAAAGTGTTGATCGAGTCGGAGGGGAACCGACGCCCAAAGTGGAGCCCGCCAGAAGTAGTCGGATGCGTGCGTTAGCGCTATCGTAGCAAAAGTTCACTACACAGTCTACACAGCTCCCAACCGTATTTGGTTAAGCTTGGCTTTCACGGCTGGAGAAAGGCCATGGTAAGAGAATAGCGGCTTTTTGTACGATATACAAGCTACAGTGAGATTATCCATTTACACGAGACCGATTGAGTGAAATAAATGCTGCTGTTCCCTCCAGAGCCTGTAGATACTCAGTCGTCCGGCCCCAGGCTGTGCTCATCGAGACGAGAAGCTTGCGACCCTCCTGCAAGATGCCCAAGGGCCCCTTGGCGTCATAGATATCCCCAACGCCGGCAACGTAGGCCCGAATGACGGAGGGCCGGCCGGATCTCACAAACAACTGCACCATCTCATCATCGCACGGCCTGTCGAGATGGATGAATGTCGGATCGGGCGGATCTTCCGCGCTACTCTCGCTATTCGATGTCCGGGACGGCAAGGGCGCGCGAGATGCGTAAGAGCTGTAAGCCCAGAGGACCAACGTGGCGAGGAAGACCGAGGTTGGCTCGTAAAAGGCGTTGCAACTGTACCGCCGGACATGCCAGAAGAAACAACCGCAGTGGAGAGCGGCTAGCCGAGCTTTGTGCTATTCGCTGTTAACATCTTCTGGAGAAGTTGAAGCTTCACTGATTACTGACCTCGTCCCTCTGTGCCCATTCCAATACCTCGCTCTCCAGTTTCAGCGTAGCCTCCCTTTGGGTCAAAGGACTTCCTTGAGGTGTCTCGGCGAGTGACGCAAGTCCGGAAGCAAGCGCACGTATCTTGCTGTACGGGGAGAAGAGAACAACTCTGGAAAAATGAAGATGAAAAACCGTGGCATGCTCAGCTCCAAGAAGCTGAGCGACGACGCCATTCGCGGCCCAGTGTAACACATCGACACAGTCCATTGCCGCACTGCGCCAGCTAGCTAAAGTATTCTGTCGTTCTCTGTCTGACGCACTGCCTCCATTTGCCACGGCAGGATTGAGATGGCCCAATTGCGGGATCGATGGCACCCAGCCGGACAAGCCTCGGTCAAAATATGATTTGACTTTGAAAAGCTCTTGATAGACGCCGTGTAGGAGAAGAAGGTTGCTATATTCACCCAAATCGGGTTTCATTTGTCGTTCTACAAAGAGTTTGTGCACTTCAGACACAAGGGTTGGATTTTCTTCGGTCCGATGTCGATGATCAGCATGGTTTATGGCAGGTAATGGATGCCGAAGGATAGGAAAACTCACTTGTAGAGCTTCTAGACTTTTGCCGGAACACTACAATATCCTGCGCACCCCATAACTCATCATGGGGTAGTTCCCACTGCGCAGATTCTAGAGCCAACAAAGGCTGTAGCTCGAAGTGATACGCTGCCATGCAGTCGAGGAGCTGGAATGGGTAAGCTTATTAGTTTTGTAGTTTGCTCAAGCACAGGGATGAAGTCAACCAACCCATATCGCATAACAAAGGCGGCGTGTTGTTTCCTCGAAAAGCCACTGTGACCAAAGTCCTTCCAAGGACTGCTCGGATACGTCTCTCGTCGCACACATGTCTTTGAGTTGATCGACACCGGAAGAACTTAACGATTCCAATGCATCGACGAAGAGACTCCGTCTGGACTTGGCAAGGCGTCTGAGTCTCGCAGATCCCTGATAGAGCATACCGACCTGGCTCAGAATCGTTGCCTGGAGTAATGTAACAGAGACTGGACTGCCATCTTGTCTCTCAAGCTCTGTAGCAACTGCTCGGCGTAGGAATTCATGTAATGGAATAACGCATTGTGAGAATTGTTGAGTTTCGGTGTATTGCGAACCAATGGTCGCGATTGCTAGTGCGAGAACCCAGTGCTCGTTAAGATTCGTCACTCTATCGTGATAGATCGGAAGGATGGGGTCGAAATTCTCAAAGTATAGATGAACGAAGAACTTGAAAAAGTCCAGATCCGGAAAGTTATCAGCCGCATATGGAGCGTAGAGGCCATGATTGCTCAAGCATAAAAGCTTGAACTGGGATACGATATGATCGTATACACGAGACTCCACGGTTCTCGAATAAGCGTCGTTCTCTACTGGAGGACATGAGATACTACTCAGATCCGGGAATCGCATCCTAATGTCTAAATTGTCTTCCGCGGAGAACCCCTCGGCTTTCGTTGAGACAGGCTTCAGAGGGGTGGATCCCAGCACGCGGATGGACTTCCTCTTTCGTCGGGCGGTACAAGGGATTCTCGACCCATTCGTGCTGGTAGCATAAATCCCACCTCTCGCTAGGAGGTGAGGCGAGTGGGATTCTGCTGAGAGACGGGATGCAGTCGACGTCGTCCCCGTTAGCGAAGACGCTGAGCCAGGGGTCGATGTCTCAGTCAACGGGGAAGCTGCAGTCTGCACAGTCTGGGGTATTGGCGAGGCCAGACCGAGAGTGGATTGACTGCCCTCCTGTTGTGGGATCCTATATGGATATTGTTGCACACTTGTGGCGAAGGGCTGCGAGAAGACGGGTGCGCCGCCCGAGCTGCCACCGAGCCCATTATCCAAGCTTGAAATCTGTGCCGTATCGAGCTGATTGTTTCCCAATCCTAGGCCGAACAATGAGTTGTAATCCACATCCATATCGTAATCGGTATGCAGCCAGTTGATAGGGAGCTCAAAACCCCCATCGTCGCCCATCCCGCTGGCGAATGCTTGGGCCGAGGTATCGAAGCCATCCGCAGTACCATCGTAGACACTCGTTTGTTGCTCTATGGCCATGATACTCCCTGGCATTTCTAGGTATGGCGTTGCGTCTGGCATGTCGGCGGGCACGGAAGGGGCATCTTCCATATCTACCATAGTCTGCCGGGGACGACGCTGTGTCGACTCCTCGACGGGGTAAACACAGTCAAGAGCCTTGAGACGACACCTCTGACATGGGTCCGTTTTATTGCATCGCCCTCTCACTCTTGCACACTCTAAGCACGCTCGCCTTCGGCTGCTATCTGCTTGCTGCGCATCTTGCTGATGAAGCGCTTCGTGACGGTTCCGAATGTCGCTAAAGACAGGCCAAGGTCAGCGTGAAAGCCTATAATGATACCTCAGCGGGTGAGCCTGTGTTGCCTGACCTGCGCGAGAAAGTTTTGGAGCAGACAGAACAGGACAGACGACCATGCGGCTTGTGGCTCCGTTGATGTCTTGTCAGATGTTCTGGTCGCTTAAAGGTCCGCGGACACGTCGGACATTGGTGTCTGCGGTATGCGCTCTCCGCAGGGAGCGACAAGGGGTCTGCATTGGCGGTGATGGATGCCATGGACACAAGCAGACTGAGTCACTCGGAGTCGGATCGTAGACATTAGGATAGATGACCTTTGACCCGTGCTCGACAGAATGTTTGAGGGGTAAAAGTTGGGGTAGCCGGGATTGAGGTTCACTAAAGCCTAATAGTCTAGCCAATTTCCAGGCTCACGTGCACCGACGAACAGCGTGCTCTTGCACGGTTTTACGCAGTTACATTTCTCGAATTTCAGGACAAATCTTAACTCAATTCTATTGAACTAGTGAAGCTACTGATCGTTTCTCTTTGCTTGCTGCTATCACATTTCTTGTAGCAAGCCTACCCTCATGTGCCCCTTGCCTTTCCTGTTGGACCTGAGATAATATGGTACAAACACTATCTTCCTTGGATCTCCCAGAGCTAACTTTGTTTCGTTGACGTCTCGAGCTGGATCGGAACCTTGCGGCTGACTCTCCCAAGAACTTAGGCCTCGCTCATGCACTGATGAATGTAGCGCAACATAGGAATGCTCAGGATTTCCCATGACGCAATTCTCTTCGGTAAGCCGGGCGTTCGGCGATATAAAAGTATTCTTGAAGTGATCTTGAACCCAGTCGTTGTCGCAGTCCTCAACACAATAGATCAGAGGACCCCGCGCTGCCGAAATTGTGTTTTGGTTCGTGTAAGGATGCGGCGCGACAAATCGAGGCTCGAAACCTCCGACTTCGAGTGTGAAAAGCGGATGTTTCTCTGTGTAGCTAGGTTTGAGGATGACGTATCCCTTTTCAACTTTTGCTGTCGTGCACGGAGGATGGAGCTGAATTTTCCCATTGTCAGCCATTGCCTTTAGCAAGCACGGGAAGTCGGCGAGCATTCTTACCGAAAACTGGTTCTTGGCCCATCCTGGAATTCTCAACCGAAGAGTCGTTGCAAGTGACGGCGAAGCCTGAAGCTCTATCTGCACCTTTCCCTTCCACGGCCAACTAGACGTCTGCTCCAGTATCACACTGCTCTCATTGTCGACCAGAAAAGAAACCTTTGCCGAGGTGTAAAGATGAACATTCACAAAGGCCTGCCCATTCGCTCCTCCGTAGTCCCATAGATAACCACCCAAGCTGCCAAATAGCCGCATCAAGTTGGGTGGGCAGCAGGCGCACTCGAACCAGTCATACCTCTCGCTTTTGTCCTTTTCAGAGCTTGCCAGCTGGTTGACATATGTAAAAGCTGTCCCTTGAAGATTCGTCGCAGTCATAACGGCGTTGTATAAACAAAGCTCCATGATGTCGGCATACTTCGAGTTCAGGTCCAGCTCTAACAGGCGTTCAGCAAGCATGATGACACCAATGGCTGCGCACGTCTCGTTGTAACAGCCACCTTCGTCCGTCCCCTGAGGAAGGAAGTAGGCGATACCAAAGCCTTCCCAATGCTTGATGGCTCCAATACCTCCCGTTACAGACATTTTTCTGTCTACCATATTGTTCCACAGGCGGTCCAGGGCCTTGGACCAGTCAAGGCGCCGTTCAAGGGACCGTGACGTGGGCGCCTGCCGGTCGATGCAGAGGAGGTCCGCAACAGCGGTTAATAAATACATTGCTCTGACAGAATGCCCTTCAACAGATGGTTGTTCCAGAATTGGCACGTGAGCCTGGTTGTACCAATGACTGCCGGCTTCCGGGTAAGGGTTTGGTCGAAGGTGATGATGGTCTCCTCGTTGTCTTTCTTCCCAATCGTAATAGTGCATTCCTTCTTGACCATGTGGGTTACCCCTCTCCTCAAGAAAGTAACGAGCCAGTTCGTATGCTGGTTCGTTTCCCGTTGCTTTATAAAGCCGTAGTAGCGCAAGTTCGATCTCTGGGTGACCGGGATATGCATGTCTTTGGTTTTCGCCGGGACCAAAGAGTGTACTGAGCAACTTGACGTATTTCTCGATGGGCTCTAGCAGGAGATCATTGCGATAGTATTCTCTATGAGCGAGAGCAGCTTCGATGAGATGACCGGCATTGTAGCTTTCATGATATCAGCCGCTTATCTATCAAGGTCTCGCCAAGCTCAACTTACAGTTCATGCTGATCTCTGATATTGGACCACCTTGCGTTTGGCTCAACAACGGTGAAATAAACATTCAAATACCCGTCCTCCTGTTGGGCGCTTCGAATGTCATTGACCAGATCTCGAACCGCCGTATCAACCTCTTGGTCATAATGCTGCGCCAGGAAATAGCAGGCTCCTTCTATCCACTTTGCAATATCGCTGTCCCAGAACAGACTCTTGGGGACGGGCCAGAGATAAACCTTGTCGTAGACAGGATGCCATTCGAGCTTGAAGCAGTCATACCTGCCAGTATCTCGCAGCTGCTTCAATTGCGCCTTGACAGTCACTAACCGGACCTTTTCTCTTCTATCGAGAAGCAGTGACGGTCCAGTGAAGGATGTATCACGGAATGAGAATTGGGGGTTTGTCATGGTGTTGGAAGGAATGCAATACGTTGGAGACACTAGTATGGTCGGAAGTTGCGAGATGAAAGATAGCTCTCTGAAGATGTAGTCACGTTCTAAGTCCTGGCTTCAGCTTTGTGCGTGCCACAGACATGATGAATTCCCATTGGACTGTGGGTTCATCCGGCATGGATCGTTGCTCCCAACGATGCGTGCTATCCTCGGCATCTGGCAGGGTACATACGTCAGTGAATCATTCATTAGATGTTCACAATGAGGCGGCTAACATCGATTCTCCGCACGCTTGGCGTTCCTCCGGTGGGCTCACTCCGGTGGGAGGTTAGCACTGTCGGCAGTTTAGTCTGTTTTGCCCACCGGAGTGTCCAGGATGGGGGGCAGAGCCACGAGCCGCTCCAATCATAATGCAACACCAACGGGGACTCTTCTCCATGCGCCCATCATTCTCCCCAAAGCTCGGAAACCTTACTCCATGAGCATCAGGCGAGTTGACCACCCGATCCCCATGGGCAAGGGCCATGGAGGCAAGTGCCGATTGAATGGCGTGAGCCAATCGATTTGTCTGTCACAGCGCGAAGTATATATGCGTATGCTTCCCAGCTGATACGACCTTGTTTTGTCTGCGGATCTTCTCGCCTGCACAAGCTCGGCGCAGTTTGTTATCAGCTACAACAGACTGTTCGTCACCGGCACATTCGTCAAGATGGGTTTCATGGAGACATTCCTCCCCGCGAACGACCGCTATGCAGCGTTACTGCTGTATAGCATGGTCTTTAGCCTGGCCTTTAATGGTAAGGCTACCTAACAACCAGAAGCCACGTCATTTCTAGAGCTAACATCCGCGAAAGGCTACGATGCCGGTATCATGACCGTCATTCTGGCGGACAAGCAGGTACGTATCGCTTCCAAGGAAAATCGAAGCGCACATGCAATTTAACACGATACAATAGTTTATCCAGTACTACAATGTCGACTCTACAAAGACCGGCGTGATCGCGACGATCCCATGGGCGAGCACGGGTCTGGCTCAGCTGTGCATTGGAGGCACTCTGGCCAACCTCGTTGGTCGCCTCTGGGCTCTCCGTATCTCCATCAGTGTTAGTATCGGCATATCTCACTAGCAGTTGAACTTCAAACCTGAGAAAGGCTAGGTTATGATCATTGGAGTGGTCGTTCAGAGCGTTCCGAACACCTACGCCGTCCTGATTTTCGGCCGTCTATTGACGTTAGTGAAACCCAAAACCCCGAGGTATTGAATCAACAGACTAACGATCCTGTAGAGGTCTCGGCTTTGGTTGTATCTACATCGCTAGCAGTCTATATGGTGCGTACGCTTTGCGGGCTCTCGAGGAGATGTCCTAACTTGTGAACAAAGTGGCCGAATGCGCTCCGAAAATGTTGCGAGGATCTTTTGTCGGCACAGTGACGCAGTTTGGCTATCAACTCGGGACGTTGATAGCCTTCTGGGCCGGCTACGGCATGTCTTTCCACACGAGCCCTTTCAACATTGCCTGGCGCGTGTCCAATGTCATCCAGATCCCAATTGGCCTTGCTTTCCTCGTTGTCTCCTTCTGGTACCCCGAGTCGCCTCGCTGGCTTTATGAGAAACACCCCGATGATCCGAGTCGGTGCCTTTCCACCCTCTGCAAGCTGAGGATGGGCACTCCCGAGTCCGAACACGTCAGCATGGAGTTTCACGACATTGTTGCTTCGTACGAGTACCGAAAGACGTTTGACACCGGTTACGCTGGCATTTTCAAGTCGAAGGCCTTGCGGAAGCGCTTGGCCTATGGTCTCTACGCTACAGCCTTGCAGTAGGTGCTTCAATGTGAATCATCGCACCACAACCCGCTGACAAATTACATTAGGCAAGCCGGTGGAATCGCTGCGTTGACCATGTATGCCGCTATTGTAAGGCCCTATTTGCCCCCGAGTGAACAGCACATCAGCTAACATAGTTTGCGATCAGATCTACGAGTCACTAGGCTGGAACTCGGGCCATCAAGCCCTGGCCATCAACGGTATCCAGTCTGTTCTGCAACTGCTCATCGTCCTCGTCAACACGTTCACGGTCGATAGATTCGGGCGCCGAGGCCTCCTGATCGCCGGCTTTACCATCCAAGCCCTCGCACTCCTCATCATGTCGTCTCTCACTACAGCCTTCCCGAACAACGACAACAAGGCCGCCGCCGTCGTCGAAGTCGCCATGCTTTTCATCGTGGGCCTCACATACTGCTGGTCCAACGGACCCATCGCGCCGGCTGTGGCATCGGAGATCTTCCCTCAAGAGGTGCGAGACAAGGCATTTGGTGTCTCCCTTCTAGGCCAGACAGCCTGTCTGCTAGCCATCACTCAGCCGTGGCCGCGCTTCAATAGTGAGGTCGGCGGCAAGAGCTATTGGTTGCTCTTTGGCCTGAACACACTGTGCCTGATCTCGGTCATATTCATCCTGCCGGAGACAAAGGGAGTGTCTCTGGAGCGCATGGACAAGATATTTGGAGAGGTAGATGCCGTCGCGGCTGGAGAGGAGTCCGGCAATGCTGTCAAGGTTGAGGCTGCTGCGGTGGGGCACACGGAAGACATTGATGAGAAGAGAGTCCAGACTGGGCAAAACCATGAACAGGATCAGAAGGTGTAGGCACCAGACAAGATCATTGTTCGCACCACTCTTCTAAACGTCAAGGACAGTTGTGGAGCCAGCCCAAATTGTATCCAGATAGCGAACAAGCTTTCATCCAATAGATCCAAGCAGTTCCAATATGAATGTATCGAGATGTGCGATCTTCTATGCCCATAATTATGGCCAAGGCACAAGCGTTTTGAATGGAGTTAGTGGACGAGATTGTAGTACCATAGCCAACTCTTTCCCACTCAGACTATTGGTCGCTATTCGTCGTAGGGGCATTGGGATTCCGAGTTTGACGTCAAATCAAGCCAATTCTACAAGATTGAGAGCAGATTTATTATGTGGGAAAGATCGTCAATTTGTTACAGGACAATGACTAGAGCTGAACTTGATTTCCTGTACAGGCAACGCTTCAGATGATGGAGCCCTTCCCATCGCTCGCACTCGGTGCCCCGTCTTGCCTCCGTCACCCCTTCACGTCAGCCGTCAGCTTTTCTCGGTTTTTCTCTTTGTGATTGACATGGAATACTATTTAACAGTGTTAAATAAACGCCAATATAGACTCATCAGTTTTATCGAGAAAACTCGAACGCATATGCGGTATATGCGTCCTTCTGGTAGATGGGGAACGACAGAGTGTTTCCACTGTAAGCATGCCCGTACGAGCCCAGATCAGCCGGAGCATCGAGCCGCGCGTAGTGGTCGCCTGAGCTTGTGAATCCCCACGTATGGATGTTGAGAGTCCCACTCTGCGGTAATCCGACAGCAGCCAGGTTCTGCAGCTGAATGTTGAACGTGCCCGTGGCAACCCGTGACCCGACCAAAAGACGCACGGTCGTGTCCGACACAACAGCATAGACCTCGCCACGCAGGTCGGCAGTCGGGGACGTCTGCACACGCGTCCCAGTCATGTTCTGCGCGTAGTACTTGTAGACCTGCCACGACGCCGTCGGGAAGTACCCGCCCGCCGTGGGGTTGTACGCGTTCGCGGCGCCGGGCTTGCTGATCAGGCTGGCCATGAAGTCGTGTAGCGCGTAGCCGGAGAGCCAATTGCCTCGGAGGCCAAAGGCGTTGACGCGCTCGAGCTGAGCGATCCACCATGCGCTGCCGGCGGCAAACTCCTCGTCGAACACGGCGTACTCGTTGATGTTGATCGTCCGATCTGTCGCGAGGCCCCTGCTGCTGAGGATGCTCTTGTAGTTCGCGACAGAAGACTGCATGTCCCCACCGCCTCCTTCCATGTGCCAGCTGTACTGCTGCGGGGCGCTTTGGTTCTGCGCGATAAACGACGACCAGTTGGCCCACCAGGAGTTGGAGTTGCTTGGTCCGTTCGCGAATGAAGGACCGGAGATGACACAGCCAGGGAGATCGCGTCTGGAGCCAAATCTATTAGTACACATATGTCTGACACTCCACGAAGCCAAAAGTGTCGAGTGACTTATACGCTGAACTCACTGCAGTCGATGATATGTTCTCCCCCACATCTGGATGTACTGAGATTGTGGCCTGTTCCAGAAGATGCTCAAGTCTGGCTCGTTCCAGATGTCGATTACCAGGCCGTCATTCATATTGTTCTTCTTCAGGTCGGAGATGAGCTGGGTGAGGAAAGTATCATAATCGGTCCAGTCCCCATTGTCGCCAGGATACACAGCACTCTTGGACTGCCCTCCGTCGGCGCCCCAGATATCATGAGGAAGCAGAATGAAGGTGCCTCCATACTTGCGTGTGGTCTTGTAGTTGCTTAGGGCAGACTGAAATCTGGTCTAACCTTCCGAATTAGCACCAAGAGACTTGTTCAGAGATTTCATGACCGTACCTGGTACCCCTGCCTGGAACCGATCCATCCCCGGCCAGGAAGTTGAGCACCGCCTGCTCTGCAGTACTTGAAGGCAATATCCCTGAAGAAGACATCCGGGATCTGGTTCTGGTCTTCTGGAATACCGTACAGGATTCCAGACGCAAGCTGGTGCGGCGACCCGGTAGAGACATCAAGGCGAACCGAGGCTGTCCCCGAGACACTTGCACGCTTGTCTAAGACGGCGTAGGCAGTAGCACAACTCGTCAAAGAGAGCAAACAACAGATAGAGGTGAGCATTGTGGCAAGCGTACAGCCTTGATACGATTGGAATTGTCCTTGGTTAATCTCCAGTACCCGTCTAGACCCGCTGCAATCAACACAGGCACCATTCTCTAATTTATATCCCATCGTGCACGACCGTTTTAAATTTGTTGATCTGAGCTCCCCTCTTTTACCAGGGCCATGGACATCAACAATGCAACCTCAAAGACTTATCCGGCGCGTCTTTCGCCGCTTTTCTCCAGATTCTACGGGGTTGACGGAGGCGACTGATGCGGGGTTTGCGGGGAACGTTTGCGATGAGTCGCGGAATATTTTTCATTGACCCTAGCCAAGCATGGTTTATTTCACTAGTGAGGTCAGTCAAATGTAGCACAGTCAAGCCATTGTGTGAGCATCCTTCCGATGGGCAGGCTGCTCCGGTGGGCCTTACTGTCATCCAAGCTCTCTATTCATCTTTGAGCCGACAGCGATAGACGCAGGTCCCTCTCTCTGAATACAAATTTCGATACTATAGGTGTTCGCTACTCCTCGTGTGTAGCTTCTCAGCGAACTTGACACCTCCTTTCCGACAATCGAGGCTGCAATAGTTTCGAGTCATAGGAAAACCGTCAATTCTTTGTAATGTTGCTTTATAGATCTCGTAGTTTGTGAGGACTTATGATGGGAAAAAGCTATCGTGTCACCTCGGGTGATGAAATGGTGGTCACGCAGAATGGAGGAGGGAGCTACCGGCGATGAGGCTACGTGATGCAACTGCCCTTTCAGTGTTGCGAATGGACTGCATTCTCTTGCACTTAGTTTGAGCTGTCTAATGTTCCAATTATTGCGCGTCTAACCAATATCAATTAATGCTTAGCACCTGTTTCTCTGGCAACTCAACTTCCTTATCGACTTTGCCCGACTCATTCATTGCCTGCGCTCCAACTCGCTAAGGCTATGCGCCTTCGCTGCTTGATGCCTCGGCCTGCTTCGTCAGGTCAAACTGAGCGGCGCTGAACTCGGCCATGTACTGATCGAAAGTAAAATCCATAATCTCAAGGATGTTGCCCCACGGATCTTCGACACAACATGTCTTGTACTGGAACGCAGGCATAGTGGGGCCAACTCTCTTCCCGCCGTACTTAACCAGCTTCTCGCAAAGGTCGTCGACGTTGGGCGTGGTCACGCCCAAGTGAAAGAATCCGCCTCTGTTGAAATCCCGGGCGAAGTTGTACTTCTGTTCTGGTGCGGGCTTGGGATCTTCGAACTCGAACAGTTCCAAGCCGGTACCTTGGCCCGTGCTCATGAAGGCGACACGCATCTTGGTTAAGTTTTGGGGGTAGACTTTGAAGACAGGTAAGTCTGGCGCGGCCGATTTATCGGGCACCATGATCGGGCCGAGCTGCTTCATCCCCAATACCTCCGAATACCACCCAACAGCCTCTTCAAGGTTCGGCACGGAAAGGGCAACATGGTTTATGGGACACGGCGCTGTCTGCTGTATGATCAGTCTCTTGACCTAGACCTCTACGGAGAGAAATGGAAAGATTCTCACCGTCATTCTCAAGATCTAAGTCGCGGAGGATTGGTTCTATAGTTGCATATTTAGATCAGGGATCAAGTAGCTTTCAAGTTCCCGGCACCACTAGTGACATATATATGCGGCCTCCAACCAAGCGACCTTTGACAAGACATGATCGACTTCCACTATCCTGAGATCGTTTCTCGTATTCCAGGGAGTGGAGATGTCTAAATGATGACGATCTTCTTGGCGCCGTAGATAGAATCTCTTTGATCAAACAGCGGTCTTCCTAATTCCTTCTTTCAACACAGTTGTCTGATAATCTTCAAAGGTTCAAAAACGCATTTGAGCTCGGGAAATGCTCGGTGTAGTTTAAGAGAGTCATAGTTTTCGCCAGGACCATAGCAGTCCGGTATTCCTTCAGGGTACTTATAGCCTAAATTTAATTCATCCAGGTGCACTCCCTTCCAATCTTCATCACAAGGTCACTCTCCGCTGTAAGATTATAGTGCACTTTCCAAAGTCGCAGCTGCTGGACCTAACCGTTAACTGCTGTCAATCAGGTAGCCATAGGACCAACGTTACGAATTCAACTGTTTTTGTCCAGACCCACACTGTCAACAATCCTCCGAATGCGCCGGAGTGTTGTTTATATTAAGCTTACTTAAACTTTGTCAGCTTCCCCCGCTGAGGTCTGGGTCACATCGCGCGCGCAGCGAGATAGATTACTCCAGATTGCTACAACCTTCCCTTCCCGGATCGTCTCGCGTTTACGAGCCCGCAGCTGTGATGGGTTGGTTTTGCCATGTCGGATGTCCGGGCGGAACCAATGGCCTCGAACGGTTTTCTGAGTCCTACCTGCTACTGGACAACAATTCACTAATATAAAAGGATCCTTGCTGCATATCTACGTCCTTGCAATTAACTGACTGCCATGTGCGACGGACAAACAGATGCACCGGACACACCGGGACAGGCTTCGGATGCCTTTCCGCGGATCTCAAGCGCCTGCGATTTTAGTTATAAATCCGTGGATCATCAGCACTGTACCACTCCGAGGCTTTGCTATTGGAGATAGAGGCCATTGACGACGGTGACACTCAATGCAAAATGTCTTTCCAATCGGTATCACGTCTAGGTCTCCCCGCCCTCGTGTTCACGGCTGCGGCCCAGGGAATCGCCATACCTTCTCCGCCTACTTGGCCATCTGGGCAGTGCACCGACAAGTCGCTCACGATACCCAGCTGGGTTATCGCGGACTACAAAGTTTCCGCATCGGGCACGGTGACTTTTGGGATTACCAATCGAGCAGCCGACTCCCATGGAACCGTGACCTGCGCCAAGTCCCAGCCATGTACCGTCGCCGGCAACTCTCAACTTGCTGCCGCCGTGTCGGAAGGCTCTTCCGGCCCAGTGGTGACAATTGAAGAGTCCTGGACCTGTAATGATCGTGAAAAAGCGTAAGGGAATGCTTCTTTAACTAAACAGAGCGAAACAATAAGCCTAACGAGTGCAGTCTCACATTCAACGCGACCGGCAGTGCAACAGTATTCTCCCTAGAAAAGTCATCCTCTGGCGACGCATCCTCGCCCATCACCTACCTCACCTACGCAACACTAAGCGAACCAGTACCGTTGACCCCAGTGCAACCAAGCCCTCCGCCCGGATATAGTCTGCCTACGTGCGCCGACGTGTCCAAGTCTCCGGCACTGTTCACCGTCACTGATATCTCCTTCAAGAACGTGACCAGGACTCAATGTAAGACTTGGTATGGTACTATCTTCTGTCTGGATCCGCGCCCTCCCACCGAAGTAGTTTACGCGGGTTTGTACCTCAACCTTACAGTCCGCAACGAGGCAATCCAGCACACTCTCTCTTGCGACCTCACGATGCCCAACGCCACCGCACCTGACGTGGTCACTCCCGTCCGGTGCACTGGTGGCAACTTCAACGAGATTGCTCTCGACATATCCATGGCGGGAACGCAGCCAGAGATTACCATCGCTGTGGATGAGATGTGGTATTGCCTGGAGAATCCAAACCAGAACACCAAGCCCACGGCGATCTTGGCAACGGGTGCCGCCCCGATCACGCTATCGTGCATCTCGAAGCCTGGCATTTTCGGCACGCCGGACGACGTCATCACGACATGCTCACAGCAATCCGGTGGGCCCCTGGGCATCAAGGGCAAGCTCAAGGAGAAGAAAGAGCAGCCAGCGTACTCCCTCGTCACAGCGCCGCCGACATCGGGAGGCTGTCTAGTCACGAGCCTGGTGAAGCCGGAGTGGAAGATCACCAACCCCAGTTTCTCGACTAACTTTGCAAAGTCGACCACCAACCAGAGCCTGTGGGAGCTCGGGGTCAAGCTCGGAACTCCCCGCTTCGAGCATTGGTTCTACGTGTTTGCCGGAGAGAACAAGTACCCCGGTACAGACGATCCTGACACTTGGTGAGGAAATTTTCAAGGCTCCAACATCTAGAGATGAGGCTCTAACCTTTAGATAGGTATCGATGTGAGTGGTCCATTCCTGGCGGTTGGCTACCTTGGGACTGCAAGGTTCAGTACAACTACCATACGACTACCTTGGGACTCGATGTCATCTGGGGGTGTGAAGAGAAAGATCCAGCGCATCCGTAAGCTCACCCCTGTTTTCCATTATCAACTTTGCTTTCAGTCTCAAGCTATTGGAGCAAGAACGCTGATCTGGTGCAGTCTGTTCTTCCACTCTACTGGCTCCATTGTGATGCCCCACGATCAGAGTTGGTATTGCGGAAATTCCAACCCCAATAGAACCACCTGCGCCTACCAAGGGTTATGGGAGAAGACCTTCCCAGTCCCACACATCACGGTCGGATTGACCAATGTCGAGCCGCCAAAGCCATGGTGAAACCCTATGGATATCTAGGTTTTGGCCCTAAATTGGTTGCCTGCCAGGGGAGTCCATCCCAGAAGCATTGTGACGGATATGATATCGCAAGGTTTTCATCAACTATTCAAGCGCAGTTGCAGCATATATAGCTTTGTTTTAGGTTACGCGTAGCAGAAAAAGAAGTGATGATGCTTACTCCTCCATCGCGTCCACTGGTACCCTTTCCTCCAAGCTTCGCTTTGGCCACACTATCCACTCACTCCATTCTTCATCCAGTGTTCTCTCCGCCAGTCCCATGATACTCTTGCTCCATCCATGACTTGCCCACTCCTTGTGCTCATAAGGCCAGCTCAGCGCGGCGAAGTGGGCAAGTATTATAATCGCTATGGGGTGACCAGAGTCAATCATGTCCAGAAAGACGCTCGGGATGATGATCGGCCAGCTCCATATGTGAGGCGCGGCATGGATGTCTGCAACTCGGCGGCAGTCCAAGTGCGTGTTTCTGAGACACTCGAGGCTGAGGAAAGTGGCTGACTGCGGATTGATCAACTCGAGTGATCTGGGTAGCTGCCGAGCGAGGTGCTGCAGCTTGTCCAGCCGGGCGTGAAAGGGGTTCGCTGGCTCCAGAGAAGAGGCCCGAGGTGCTGGTGACAGGGCAGTAGGTGCAGGCGAGAGGCTCTCCGATGCGCAGCGTAGCATGTTCCCGAGAGGCGCGTTTGTCAACCACTGCTCGAGAGGTTTGTAGTCAATTATGAGGCGGAGTCCTTTCAATAGCTGGAAAGACTGTGAGACATCATGCGTAGTAAGAACTGCAGCCGGCCTTGCCACGTTGCAGAGAGAGAGGGTGTAAATCAACGACGCGAACAGGAAGTAAGTCTCGCAGTTGTCCTCACTGAGGTCGTTGATCAAGGCCCGAAACTTCTCAAGTGCCAAGGTGGAGTAATGAGTCGAGATGACGTGATACTCAGCTCGCTCAGCTGGATGGAAGTCTGCGTAATGCAGAGCGGAAACGGCAAGTAGCCCGTGCATTATGAAGTCCTCCACCCTGTATTAGCTCGCCAGGTAAATAGACTGATATTGATACGGGGTACCCACATGGTCGACGGCTGCATCAGGCACCGCCTTTGTATACAAGTCCTCCGTAGCAGGGTTCCTCCTTAGGGCCCGTGAGACATGTGTATTAAAGTAGTGAAAGAGCTGAAGGCTCTGCATCCAGGTCTGTGCGGAGCAGCGACAGGCGCACGGGTGACCCGGGCCATGGTGCTGTTGGGGGAGTGATGGAGAATCTGGCCATCGAGTTACTACACAGATCAGGAATGATGTTTCAGGCATGATACGACGCAGACTTACCTTGATCATGCCGGCCTTGGCTATGAGAAGATCGCGGCGTGTCGAGGGCAATGGGTGCATGCGTGTACGACGACGGAGTTCCCGCTCCGACCGGCGGCGGTGGAGACTCGACACACGCAGTCGAAACCGATGACCCGAGTGCCGGGATAGGAAGCGGCGCTTCCTTTGGCCGGGTTACATCATCGTCCTGGAGAACCAAGCTGCAGGTAACCTGGTGACGGACGCAGTGCGAACACGGCCGACGTTCGTCACACTAGGAAGCGGTAAGCATCACCGTCCGAGGAGTACAAAATTGACTCATGCGACCCATGCGGGCGCCTCACCTTGACTCGTCTCCCTTTGCAGCGAAGACACCCTGTTCGGGATTTTCTGTGGCCTATCCGTTTTCCGGGCTGCATCGCAGATGCTCTCGCGCGTGAGCGGCCTAAGCGAAGCTCGGGTTCGTAAAGCGAAATAAATTGGGCAGGCAATGATGGGCGATGTGCGGGGGTGCCAAGCTCTTAGCGGATGGTAAGAAGCTGGAATCCGACATTCCTTGTCATGTCAGGGGTATGCTCGGATGCGAATGCGAACCCGGAGTACGAAGGCCGACCTAGTATTGCTCTAACTCGATGTGGACGCAACATCTTCGGGATTTATAACTCTAGTGTGATCGCTATTTCCATCTATCAAAATGTTCCATGCAAGACATCCCCAAAAGTAGCTACGTCTGTTTTTGTCATTCCAGAGATATGCTCTATAGGCTGCTGTTGTCAAATTTCATCCGCAGTTTCTCTCCATAACGTTGAATGAGAAATGGAACCGGGAGAAGAGCAAGGGCAATGAATGCGAGCAGGGAGTTGCCCCAGCCCAGACCCAGAGTGGCGTACATTTTAAGTGCACACAAGGGCAAAACAGCGCCCGCAATGGATCGTATGACCGTATTGGCCGCGAGCGCTGATGCAGAGTACAGGGAATAAGCGTCAACCAGGTACATGCTAACGGCCATGAAGCAGATGATGTTGCCTGAAAGGTGGTTGTCAGTACCGAAAGAAAGATCAGGGGCAGTGATATTTGTAACCATACCAGCTCCAATGACCGTCAGGCCTATGATCGGTCCCATCCAGTGCGTGTGTTTATCTGCAGTCCACCCGTAGATGAAGAATCCGACCGGCAGCAGTAGAGATCCCACAGGTAAAAGACCGAGCCGTACCTCAGGTTTAACGTCTCCAGTTTCGTGTTCTCTCTCCTTCATCACCTTGATCTTTCTAGTCGTGTCAACAGAGAACCAGGCCAAGCCGATGAAAGAGCCAACCCCGAGGCCAAGATAAACAAGCCCAACGGTGCTAGTACCAAATCCGTAGGCGCCCTTGAAGACGAACGTAACCGACGTGAACAAGAGGTAGAGATACCCGTAAACCAGCGCCATGAACAGCGCGAATACAGTACAGATGGGCGAAAAGATGAGCAGCTTCATTGGCCGGACGATCGCTCTCTTGAAAGTATCCTCCTTCGATAGGCGGGAATCAAGCTTCGAGCGCAGATCAGTGTTGCCCGTCTCCTTGATCAGCCGCTTCGTCTTGCGCTGCAGGATGACCGGGGCGTACGTCTCGCGCATCGACACAATCATCGCGGCCGACAGAGCTCCGCTGACAATCGCTACAATCCAGAAAACCCATCTCCAGCCCTTTTTGTCTGCTACCACGCCGCCAACGACAGGTCCGAGGATAGGGCCAATAAGAGGGCCAATACTGAAGGCCGACATGGCGATAGCCCTTTTGTCCTGGTGTATCATGTCGGAAATGCTTCCACCGCCGTTCGTGAGGGGACATGCGCCAAAGGTCCCCGCCAGGAAGCGAAACGTGACGAGCGCACCCATATTTGGAGCCAAGGCACAGCCGACCGTAAAAGCAAGGAAGCATAGGTTGCAGATGTGGTACACGGGCAGTCTCCCATAAAGCTCGGAGAGCGGCGCCATCACAAGCGGCCCTATGGCGAATCCAAGGACGTAGATCGATACCACGAAGGAAGCCAGCTCCTGGTTGCTCTCGCGGAAGTCTACCATGAGAGTAGGCACGGCCGGCGCAAATATGGACGACGCGAGCGGCGTTACGAACGTCAGCGCGCTGATGAGGCCGCAGTTGAGATACTTCCGCCAACCCGGCCAGTTGTAAGGGTTCTCGGGGTCATCTTCGCCATCCCACCAGACGACATTGGGGTCAACCTCTTGGCCAGCGTTGTTCGGCGAAGGTGTGTTGGTATTATCGGAGGACTTCACAGGCTTCTCAGAGGACCTGTCATTGACGTGCTGTTGGCCTTCTGGTATAGTCTCGGCGTTCTCGGTGTCGGTTTGATCGGGATATGTTTTAGCCAGCTCGACGTCGGTTAATTTGTCACTCATTTTGCGGATGCGTCCCGGCTGTGCATGGTGCAGATCGAGAGGACGCGGGAAATGAATTGGTCAGGTTCTCGTTGGATCGTTAATGAACAGACATAGAGAATAGAGGTCAAGGAAAGACGACAATACACAGGTCCAGATCATTACGACATCAACTGAGGGGATGACAAACGAATTGTCTGGGGCATCACACCCTCTTAATAAAGGTTCGTTACTTGGGTCACGTCTGTGGGTTCCTTTACGAATCCGAGGCTCAGACCCGAAGTTTGCGGTCCTAGCGCATCCTTGCCCGCTATCCGCTACGGCGCTAGGTACCCCATCATTTCCTGAAATGAATGGAAGTTGGCGGGGATACGAGTGCTACCCTAAACTCGAAAGTTCGCCGGGATTAGAAAATGGTGAAAACAAAATGTGTGGTGATTGGAGTCTGTGCGCCGCATATTGATGTAGAGCTTCCAAAGGCTCCGGAGCTCTTCAAAGCCTTTTGAGCTCTTGAACACTTGGAAGGTTGCAAGACCGACCCTCCGCTACATAATTATGCTTAGAACCTTGGATGGTCTGCATAGTCCAACCTCGCATGGGCTTGACCAGCCAATTTTCGATGCAAAAGCATAGTGACGACAGAGGGATTGTCCATCGGCTTTTAAATAACGTTCAATCAAGATGCTCCATAACCCTAAGGCTCTGTTGTTAAACTGATGTAGGAAGGAAGGAAGTTTATGTGTGGTTTTAGAGTCAAGACCTTCACATACCTCTGGTAACAATGGTTCCGCCTGTATTGCGCCTCAGATGATTTGCATGGGAATCCAATCCTTTCTATACTTACTGGCTGATTAGTCTCTTTGTATCATTGGACGGGAGATAAACACGGGTCGACTCCGGAAATGACAGAGCGGCATCAATCGCGGATAACCTCGGCGGCGCGGAGCGCGGCCCCACACGGATATTGGAGCGGACCGAAAGCCGTGTTGACCAAGGCGAAGATGTAACGAATTGTTTTTCACCGTCACAGCATACTGGGCCTTCTTTATGTAAACGCCTCATTCTCTATGTTTCAGGGTCGATCTCCCCATGATCATTTGTGAAAGCCCTCTCCACTGAGCCAGGCCCTATCTCTCATTCAGATCATGTCGCCGTCAGCTGTCCGCGTCGTGGAAGTGGGGCCGCGGGACGGCCTCCAGAACGTCAAGACCTCAGTTCCGACCGAAGTAAAGTTGGAATTGATTAGTAGACTGAGAGATACGGGTCTTCAGAGCATTGAGGTCACGTCAGTAGTGTCGCCGAAAGCCATTCCCCAGCTCGCAGACTGTCGACAAGTCTTAGCATCACCGACCGTGAAGAGACTTCGCCGAGAAGGTGCCAACCTACGCTTGCCCGTCCTTGTGCCAAACAAGAAAGGGCTCCAAATAGCCTTGGACTACAAGGTCACTGAGGTGGCCGTGTTTGTAAGTGCGACTGAGGGGTTCAGCCGCGCAAACCTCAACTGCAGCGTGGAAGAGGGCCTCAAGCGCGCGAGAGAAGTCGCATCCGACGCTACAGCAGCCGGGATCGCTGTTCGAGGGTGAGCAACCAATAGGTTATTGAAGTCTGCGTGCACAACTTGAGCTAAAACTCTACCATCAGTTACGTCTCTTGTATCTTTGCAGATCCGTTCGACGGCCCTACACCGCCTAGCGCCGTCCTTCGATCGGTTCAAGAGCTGGCCCAGGCCGGCTGCTACGAGGTGAGCTTGGGCGATACCCTGGGTGTCGGAACAGTGATAGAGGTTCGGAACCTCATCACCTTCTTGGCCGACCATGGTGTCAACCTCCACCGGCTAGCTGGTCACTTTCACGATACCTACGGCCAGGCTCTCGCAAATGTATGGCAAGCCTACCAATGCGGGATCCGAGTCTTTGACAGTAGCGTGGGCGGGCTTGGGGGATGCCCGTTCGCGCCGGGAGCAAAGGGCAACGTGGCGACCGAGGACGTCGTGTACCTATTCCACAAAGCCGGAGTACAAACCGGGGTCGATCTTGACAAGCTGGCAGGAGTCGGTTCCTGGATATCGCAGCAATTATCCAAGCCCAACGACAGCCGTGCGGGAGCTGCCATCGTGTCGAAGCGCAAAGCGGCTAGTGGCAAAGGCAGCGCGGTGCAAAAGAAGGCCAGCAAGCTTGTCTGGTCCCTAGAACGCGACACCGGACACGTTCGAGTCTACCGCGCCGGAGCTAACGGCAAGATTGTACTGAATAACCCCAAACAAGGGAATGTTCTCAACTCGCACACGCTATCACAACTGAAAGATGCGTTTACGGCACTGGAGCAAGACTCCACGATCGCGCGTATCGTCCTGAGCGGCACAGGCAAGTTCTTCTGCACCGGCATGGACTTGAGCCAAGCAGCCAAGGCGGCGGAGCAGGGATCCCATGCGGCATCTGCACTGTCACGGAGTTTGACGGAGTTGTTTGAACTGGTCGACAATTGCGCGAAACCTACCATTGCAGTGATCAATGGCCCCGTCTTTGGCGGCGGCATCGGGCTGGCATTTGCCTGCGACATTCGTTTGTGTCTCAGCTCGGCCACGTTCACACTCTCCGAGGCCAAACTCGGGCTGTGTCCGGCGGTTATCTCACGGTACGTGATACGAGAGTGGGGATATCCCCTGGCCCGCGAGGCCATGCTCACGACGCGAGCCGTCACGGCGGCAGAGCTCAAGTCGATCTTGGCAGTGCAGCAGGTAGCCCAAAGCCAAGAGGCGCTGGAGAACGGCTTGGAGAGCCTTCTGCAGAGCCTGAGGTTCTCATCGCCAGCGGGATCCGCCATGTCCAAGCAGCTCGTGAGGCTGGCATGGGCCCATGCTGGCTCTGATGAGCAGGAACGAAATATTTCTCAACTTTTCCAAAATATGCTCAAGGCCGGCGGAGATGGCCAACACGGAATTGCGGAGTTTCAGAAACGGCGTAGGGTGGATTGGGATTTGTACAAACAAAAGAAGACTCAGGCGAAACTGTAGACTAGATTCCATATCGCAGCAACTTGTCGTTCTTCATGATAATTCATTCACACAAGTGAACTCAGCCATGTCAGATTGGATGGTCGGTGGCGGTCCGCAAATGTGGACCCACCGTCTCATCTAGGAATGCCCCCGTACCTGTACAAGGTGCAGAAGCTTAGGAGCGGAACGGCATCAGACGATGTGGATCTGTCTACTCGACCTGGACAGAACCAAGAAAGACATTCATGATGATTGGGTCCCTCTCATCTTGTACAGAATATAGAGTACTTCGCGTTTCTCTTTCCAGAAAAAGAAAACCCCAAGAACCTAGTACTATGAGCACAACAAGAGCACCTACAGTGGTAGGGAAAGAGCAAAAAAAGAACGTACAACACCAGGCATTCGCTGGTCGTCACCGACCCAACTACTACTCCGGCGATTGGCAGCTTATCTATGGGAGAGCGGACGGGATCCCGAGTTCTCTACCATCTATGGTCGTACGTGGAAGATGAAGTTGTCTAATTGATACATAACCTCTGGAGCTTGAGCAGCCTGACACCCCATTGTCGCCACGGCACGAAACCCCCACACTAAATCCTAGCCAGACTTCGGAAGCTCTGCGTGTTTGCGACCTCGGGCAGCTGGACCACGTCCAGGCACATGCCGAGAACGTCACGGGTGTCCCGGGGATCGATCACGCCGTCGTCGATCAACATCGAGCTCGTCGAATAGCAGTCCGAGTCCCTGAGCGCGTCGTCGCGCAGCTTCTGCAACTCGGCCTTGATGGCTTCACTCGGGGCCCCGGAGCCGCCCTTGGTCTTGATGGTCTCCATCACGCCCGCCAGCTGATCCGGGCCCATCACGCTGCAGCGACCCGTCGGCCAGGTGAAGAGGAAGCGGGGGCGGTAGGAGCGGCCGCACATGGCGTAGTTGCCGGCGCCGTAGGACGCGCCCAGAATGATGCTGATGTGCGGCACCTTGGAGCAGCTTACTGCGGAGACCAGCTGGGCGCCTGTCTTGATGATGGCGGAATGCTCTGCTTTGGGGCCGACCATGAAGCCGGTGACGTTGTGGAGGAAGATGATCGGCATGATTCTGTTCCGTGCTGTCAATAGCCGGGGAGTACAGAAGGGCAATGCTGGCGACTTACTCTTGATTACAGAGCCTTATGAACTGAGCAGCCTTTACGGCTTCCTGGACGTGAATGACAGGGGTCTGGTTGGCGACAATGCCGACTCGGAAACCTTGTCGTAGTCAATAACCCGAAGAGTCTGAGGAAAGGAGCTACATGGCCTACCATGAATATGCGCCCAAGTGGTGAGCATATTGCGCCCATACTCTGGCTTGAACTCGGCCAGTCGCGAGTCATCCACGATCCGCAGCAGGACCTCACGCATGTCAAAGGGCTTCCGGATGTCGCAGTTGACCAACGACAAAATGTCCTCGGCCGAGTACCGAGGCTCCATCGGTGTCGTGGAGGGTAAATGACTGCGCGAAACTCGAAGCGTAGCCATCCAGAGCCGCGCTTTGCGGATAGCGTCGAATCTGCATGTGTTCAAAGGTCAGTGATCGCAGGCGCAAACCACTCAAGGGTCTGGAAGGCATACTCGTCCACAGCCATCTGATCAGCGAGGCCTGTACGCGTCGCGTGCACCTTGGCTCCGCCGAGCTCCTCCGCTCCGATGGTCTCTCCTGTGGCCATCTTTACCAGAGGAGGACCGCCTAAGAAAACCTGTGCCTGGTCCTTGACGAAGATCGTGTAGTCTGACAATGCGGGGTGGTAGGCGCCACCAGCAGTGGAGGGGCCAAAGACGATGGCGCATGAAGGGATGCCCTGTTGTGAACGGATTGCGAGGTCACGGAAGAGCTGCCCGCCCTTGTGGAAGACCCGGAATTGTTGGGGGAGGAATACGCCTGCCTGTGAGGAGTTAGGAGCACGGTCAAAGGATTATGATACATAAGGGTGCCGTACTGATTGCACCAGTGATATAAGAGGGAGATTGTTCTCCATCCCGATCTCCATGATCCGGTTCACCTTGAGCACTGTAATCGACCTGGTTAGAGGTACCATTTAATACGACGCGGGAGAGACTGGATGTCTGACCTGTCAATTCATTCCAAGCTCCGCCGCTTTGAGTGGGAATGTGTGACATCAAGAGACATGGCTTCCCGCTAGACCTTGTCAGCTGGTTGAAGCACTGGATAACATCAAGTTACTCACCTCACTAGACCAATGCCTGCGATGATGTTGGCGCAGGAGTTGGATCCCTCGACTCCGAAGCCAGCAAAGGCCCCAAGCTCCAAGAATGGTGAATCTGCATCTAGTAGTAGAGCTATCCTGTCTCGTGCTGGTAGTGGGGGTTAGTGACCTCGTCATTCGCCAAAGTTTGGGCAGATATATCGCACGTAGTAATTGGTTTCGTTCGACGTGTCTTTGAGTCGACTTCTCATTTCCTTCTGAGGCGACCTGCTTCAGATTTCCCTCGAAGATCCCGAGTGTCGTGTCCCATTGTGTACGGTTGTCCTGGAAACTCGGCGCGCCAAAGTTGGTGGTTGCTTTCCGCACGGGGAAGGGCTGAGCGGCCATGGCGATGAAGTTTTGGAGAACGAAAAGTTGGGGAGAGGCCTGTGGCTCGAGTAATGGACGACAGATGTTTAATTTTCATAGCATACACCCTATCTGCCTCTTTGATGAAAATCACTGGGCTCTGTCTCTGAGCACACGCCTCGGCAATTTTGTGGGGAACACGGCTGGCCGGCTTTGCGATATCCGTGTCGGACCGTCCGCAGAATCACGATGCGAGAGGACTCCACAAAGGCCCGGCAACCCTATTGACGTAATATCGGAATTACCTGAGAGCGATACTGCTATTCATTTGTCTCCTTGTATTTGAGTGTAATCTTGAAGTGAGAAGAGCAGCAATGCTCGACTTGCGCCAGATGTGGTCAACGACATATATACAGTCTCTCATCCTCGACCGCAATTCCCATCACACAATATGGAGATACCTGCCAATTTATCACGATTACAAGGGCCAAACTACAAATCTTCATTTAAACGAGATCAGATGCGTCCGGTCCCGTTGAATATAGCACATCCATCAGCAACAAGTCATAGTCAACGCAGTCGTCAGGCAGGCACAGTATCACCGTCAATGATCAGTGTTTCGTCATTGTGTCTACTTCAACTCACTGAGAATATCATCCGCAGCCTTCTCACCAACCATATACGTTGACACTGCAGTGAACGTGCCGGGGATCCGCGGGTAGACCGAGGCGTCTACAACGCGTAGTCCAGTAACGCCCCGAACTCTGAACTTCGAGTCTAGTACGGCCATCGGATCACCGTCAGCGCCGATAGGGCACGTTGAAGAAGCATGATGGCCCCAAGCGGTGTCCTTGATGTACTGTTCCACGTCCTCTTGCGACTGCACCTGCGAGCCTGGCAACACCTCAGTCACCGGAACAAGCTGTCTCTTGAAGGCGTCGCGAGCCAATTTGATGGCCTCGGAAATGGCCTTCAGATCAGCATTTGCATCCCCCGAGCCGGTGTCAAAGTAGTTGTACGTGATGTCCGGCATGTCGAGAGGGTCTGCAGACCGCAAGGTAACAGTGCCAGCCGTATTGCGGGGGTGGCCCTTGAGGATAGCCCATGTGTACCAGTCATGGCGAGACGTAACGTTGAGGCTGTAGGTGGGGAAATAGCCTCTGAAGTTTATCGGGCCGCCAAAGATGAAGGTGTCGTAGTCTCCATTTGCTGTGACGCTCGAGGGATAGAGCATCGTCACGCCGAATCCACCAGAAGCATACGTCCCACGGTCGCCGAGGAAGGGGCGGTTCCAGCGGTCGAGACAAGGGTCGGGTTGCCCGTTGACGCTGAATGTGCACCCCTTGAGCGCTGAGAAGTCCTTGGGCGGATGTCCCTGGACCGCGACTTCGTAGTGATCTTGCAGATTGGTGCCGACGCCAGGCAAGTCAGCGATGACAGGGATGTTGAACTTTTGGAGCTCGGCGGCTGGGCCAACCCCGCTCAGCTTGAGGATCTGAGGCGAGTTGTAGGTGCCGCCAGAGATGATCACTTCACGAGAGGCACTCGCGGTCCCGGGAGTCCCCGGCCCGGCATTCTTCGAGCGCGGACTGGCACGGTAAAGATAGGCGCCGTCGAGGAACTCGACTCCAGTAGCGCGCGGTGGTTTCACGGACTGGTCGAAGATGACATTAGTGACGTGGGACTGCAATCTCACGTCAAGAGGGTACTTCTTGCTTCCATCCCGATTCGTGGCATCCCGAACCGAGACGACAAAGTCGCGAGAGCCGACACGCTTGCCGCCACTCGATGAAAGAGGAACCTGATAGAAGCCCGGCGTCTTATCTCGCCGTTCGGTATCGGCATTGGCGTCTCCGATCAGCAGAGTCGCGAGGTTGAAAATGCTGTGTGTCAGGTTTCCAAGCGCGAAAGCTCCCCCGAGGAAGAGGCTGAGGAGCTGCGGATCCTTCAGCGGGATGGACAAGGGCGCGGTCTCCGTGCTGAGCCACCCGTCATGGCCGTGTCCGGGGGACAGCGGCGAGTACTTGTTGTGTTCCAGGCGCTTGAAGTACTTGCGCATGTTGGCGGGGTTCCAAGACGCGTCGCCGGTCATGCTCGCGATGTACTCAAAATCCGACTCGTAGGGGTACACGGCGACAAGGGCGTTGTGCGCGGTGCACCCTCCGAGCGTGCCGGTCCTAGGGTAGAGCGTGCCTTTCATCGTGGAGCCTGCTGGCGGCGAGAGACCGGTGTACTCGCCACCATCGGGTGTCTCATATGTCGTCTTGTAGTCCCGTGCCTGTCGTTGATCGTCGGCGTAGTGGCGAACAAAGAAGTTCCAGGCCATGGTCTCGTCTTCTGATGCTTTCGCCGAGTAGGCTGGAACCGTGTAGTTTGGATTCGCACCTTGGTCATCGCCTGCCTCGATCAGCAAAGTTTTGTGCCCAGCAAGGGCCAGGCGAGCGGCCAGTGGGCCACCACCTGCCCCTGAACCGACGACGATGTACTCATAGCCAGTGCTATTGAGGCAAACGACCCCATTCAATAGGGTCACCCCTAGATATAGCAGAGATATGAGTTGCATCGTGGAAGCATACTGTCGAGAGTTGCAAACGGGGGATGCAAAAAGACCACGGAGTAGGTGGGGAAAGAAGCAACAATATTTAAAGGAAACCCACGATCTCATGGATATGTCGCTCCCACATGCATGCAACCCAATTGTCTAGAGATAGTCTCATTTACTTGCAGGCATCCCTTCTCCCAGCTCCCCAAATTAGGATTAGCGTATCCTGGGGAAAGGATGGGATCGGCGTCCCGACCTGGTTCTGTTCACATGTGTCACCGATGTCCTACCTTTACGCACATAAAACTAATGAGGATCGGCAGTCCTTCCTCGGCAGTCCCCAGGACTCGGATCCTCCCCCAGATCAACATCCCACGAGCTCTCGGAATCTCCATGTTCATATGTGGACTTCCCCAGCTATTATGTCTTTGATTTCGGTTTATTCCGCCTGATATGGTCGACTGCAAAAAGAGTCAAGACTATCATGTATCGCCTGTCGTTTCTTGTCTTTATTTCGTTCTTGACTCAGCCCTAGTCGGCAGCAGGCCTAGGCCGCCTTGGCACAATATGTTTCGAGCCCGGATCCGCGGGGCCAATTTTAGGAGAGACATGGATTTCAATCCCGAATGCGCTAAGCAATCAACTTCGTACGCATACTGTCACAAGCGTCAAAATCATACTCGGCGGCATTGCGGCGCCGAGACTGTTCACATTATAGCAGGTCCACGAGCTACTCTGTCGGTGCAATACCTCATCGCAGTCTCGCCCTACCCGTCTGTGGAGCACAGACTAGTCCCAGATCAGATTCGTCCGGTCGGGTATTGGCCGGCAAGGCTATGTTACACCCTTCAAAGACTCGGTATGTTCTGACAAAGCTGGGTAGCAATGAGTCTCGGGAGTAGCTTCCCCAGATTGCAAAGAGCATATCCATGCTATAGCAATGTCTCTGGTAGGATCACGGTTTACGGAAATCGTTCGAGCCGAACAACGCTACACCAGGTAGTTCAAGACGTGAGGAGCCTGCTCGAAAGCAGAGAAACACAAGAGTAATCATGTCACATCTAACCGAGGCCAAACCGTGGTCGACGGGTTTACAACATCGCGACGCTTCCTTTCAGATGCTGTTTCAACGTGCCGGTGAGGCGCATTTAGGTTTGTACCAGCTCACCATCCGCGTACAACCTCCTTGAATAGGCAATGCGCCGGGCCATCAGCACGGGCTTGAACCGTGGTGTCGGATCTGAGATTCTCAGCCTGGAGCGTCTACCTCCCAGCTAAAGTTGCGCAAAGAGCCCATACAGAGGATAGTAGCATCGTAAGTAATGAAATGAGATAGACAGATTGGCACAGTTTATCTTGTCATGCCAATTTTAGGTGCCGAGGATCGGAATTCCACACCAACTCTAGAACTAGCACAGATGACTAATCGAGAGCACAGCACCTTGTGGATCTCCAGACCGCTAAATATTGGTCAAGAACTTTCGCACGTCATTCCAACGAGGATATTCTGAGCACGGCTGTCACGGTCATGTCGCACGAAGACATGGGGGATGGAAAGGCCAGAGGGGGGCCCGAGAAGCCAAGCTCGGCCCCCGCACAGAAAGGTTTGGGCACATGGCTGCCACCAAATCGAGATACGCGAAGCGCTGACCAGATCGCCGATAGGCTGCGCCAAATGCGATCGGCGCCGCATCCGGTGCGACCTACAGAAGCCGGAATGCCAGAAATGCATCCGGAAAGGCTTGAAGTGTCCCGGCTATGGTCGCAAACTTCGTTGGGTGGAGGGCGTTGCCGCCAGAGGCCATCTCCGGGGGCGCCGAGTCCCGACTGCTCCGGGCAGCTCGCCCCCAGGAGACCAATCACACGCGCCTGATCCGGCAAATACTCAAACCGAGCAAGACGTCGAAGTGGTTCACCGAGAGCCCAGTGACGTTGACATGCAACGCTGGCAACTCCAACGACAGATTCAACGGCCGTTGCCAGGCATGGCTACCAATTTCTCGGTCAGCAATCTCATGGCATCGACCGCCCGATTCCTAGACTATTACCAGCAAAACTTGGCCGGGCTCATGGTCTGGCTCGATTCCGACGAAAATGCGTACCGGAGGACGGTCGCTCCCATGGGCGAAATACAGCCCGCGATCGGCTTTGCGATTATGGCCTTTGCTGCCCAGCATGGCGCCATCGGCGGGAACCAGGAGGGCATGGATGCTCTCGCCGAGTTTGCTCGCGATAGATGCTTGGAAATCATCCAGCAGAGAGCACGGGACATGACGAACCAGCTCACGCAGGGCCAGCATCTCAGGTCTGCCTCCGACATTGCCGATGCGGAGTGGATGCTCGCGTCGATCTTGATCATGGCCAACTACGAGAACAACCTCCATCGCCCGACCATCGCCGATGCGCACAGGCGTGCTGCTCGCACAATTGTCAACCTATTCAAGGATGAGCCGGCGATTCGCAACCGAGGGCTATTCTCCTTCCTAAGAAATCAGCTTGTCATTGATGATGTCATCACTGCTTCTACCTCCTTCGACGTCGAGTATGTCCGCAATTCCATCACGCCGGGGCCGGAGTCGGACCACATCATGTTCTCCCAGTTCCTGCGACTTCTCCATGAAGTGACACTGCTTTCCCGGGAGATTCCACTGCGTGACCCATCAGTGCTGTACCCACCACACAAGTTCACCGTACCCTTTCTCAGGCTCGAATTTGAGATGTGTCGAGGCGCTACCCTCATGGCAGCCGGATCTCATGGGCTGCAGCCGCCGTCCAACATGTTTCGCGACTTTGTCCGCTTGGTAGACACTTACCACACAGCGGGCCTGCTGTACTCTTTCCACTGCCTCGAGCTCGTCGACTCGAACCATGCTGAGTGGGTCATCGCCGTTTCTCAGCTCTTTGATCAGCTCATGAGCTTTGACAATCACACCCCCTGGTTGCATGTCTTGGGATGGCCTGTTTTTATAGCGGGCACGGCCTGTCATGGCAACCCAGGGCGACAATCTCTGATCTCTGGAATCTTCAAAGACATCTACCGGGCGACAAGATTCGGGCAACATAGATCCGCCATACAGTTCCTGGACGACTTCTGGGCCGGCATCGATACGGACTGGCGGCCTTTGGCCTATCAAAGGGAAATGGAAGGAAGAAGGATTCTTGTCACTTAAGGAGTTCTGTATTGCCTTTGACTGGCTGCCCTCTTACTAAATCCTAATCCATCAACATCATATCTACATGTTGACAGTCTCTTCATCCTCAACCCCAAACAACACCCTCATGGGATCTTGGTAATCTAGGAAACCCACTCCTGGCTCGAGCAGGCCATATCCCAGCAGTCTCTGTGCTTTCGGCTTCATCTTCCGGACCTTTTCGAGTGGGATTGTGAGGAATTGGTTTTCGGCTGGTCGTAGGTATGGCTTGCAGAGGAAAATGCCGACAGTCTCACGATAATCGTCCCTGTCATCACCAATCCGAAGCCGTCAGCACCTCAAACGTTTGACAGAAAGATTTTCTGGGCCTTTATCGCGACTATCGAGGCTTACTTGGTGGTATTGGCTCCGCCCGCATGATACAGGTTGCCGAGGAAGATGAGGGAGTCACCGGGCTCGAGCTCCGCGGGGACAGCTTCGTGGTCCAAGGGCTGGCGGTCCGGACCCCATAGGTGCGAGCCTGGAATCCCGACTGTCGCGCCATTCTCCTTGGTCGTCTTTGTCAACGCGGTCACGGCGCCGATCATGACGGGATCCGTCGTGTTGTACGTATAATAGTCGCTGTACGGCCGCCAGATGAGTATGTTATACAGCCACGAGACGCAATGCCCAATAGGACTGCCTCAAAATCTTACTTGTCATCGCGGTGCAACACCTGCTGCCGCCCGCCTGGGTTGACTCGGAAGCCTACCGTTGACGAGATGATCGGCTTGCCGGTTGTGGTCTCCTTGTGGTCACCCCTCCAGAAGGTGTACTTCGCTGAGATCAAGGCGTTGGCGACAGCAATGTACAGCGGGTTGCAGGCGAGCTCGATGCAAGCTTCGGAGATGCCGAGGAGCCCTGTGGCTCTCTGGGTCGTTTCAGGGAAGAAGCCGTACTTATCCGGGATGTCGCGCTCGAAGTGCGGCTTGAGATCGTGCTTGATCTGTGCGGCGAGCTCCTTGGAGATTAGCTTCTCGACGATGACACCGCCGTCGCGCTTGATGATCTCGACGATTTGCTGGGAAGTTGTGGTTGGGTCGGTGGCGTCCACGCGGGAGAAAGATGGCTTCGTGGTGATAGTCATGGCTTTGGAACGACTGGATCGAAAGGAACACATAGGGAAGAGCCAAATTCATGGTCGATGACAGCCTCAGAGAGTGCCCCCCTTGCATTATCTCTTTAAGTACCCCTGATGGACTTCGCTACGCTTAAACCTAAGCTTGGTGTTCTGTGTGAGAGCAGTTCCTCACGGAGGAGGTCAAGGCTGCCCCTCATCTCAAAGCATTGCCTATTGCGAGCCTAGTCTGGTCATCAACACCTCAGGCGTCCCGACTGACCTACGAACAAAGAAAGCATATTCTGCCAGGTTCTCTATCACTTAATGGCATGCTGGCTTCGAGCGTGCTGTAACTTAGACCCGCCATCTCCATAATTTCTCCAAACAGCGGCCGGTTTTGGCTAGCGCGATGTTCCGATGCTAGGAGGGCCATGCAGATGTTATCTATGAGAACAGTACAGCCACTTGCATTGGAGTTATTCCCATGTTGATCATATGCATCGAAGCAGACAATGTTGCTTATCGTGCAGGCTATGTTACGAGCGAAAGCTACTGGCAGTTGAGAGTTCTCCTTGTCCCGTTGGGCCACATGAGTAGACGCCGTAGGGCATAACTTGGAGTCTTCAGAACCAAGCAGGCTGCAAATTTCCCAGCATAGCTCGATCTTGCCATCATGAGATGCAAGTGTAAAGGAATAGCAAGATAGTCTGCCTGAAGTTGGAGTATACCTCAAAAAGTGAACAATCTCCCATTGAACCCTAAGCCAAGAAAAGTCTCAATAACAATCGCTCTACACATGTTAACAACTATCTGGATATGTATTTTCGACCTACTCAGATGACAATGTCTGGCTCTAATGAGCGTACCGGGGGTCTGTACTATGTATGTCCTGCCATAAAGAAAGTTTTCAACCCCAGTGAGACGACTTGCCGCATTGTGCCTTGCAGAGGTATCCTAATACCCTTATTTGTCACCTTTAACCGAAGATTGGCCAGTGTAGCTCCTCCATCACCGCATTCTGCGCACCGTTATGTGCGTCCTGGACCTTCTTCCTTATGTTCCAGGCCTCATCTCCATCCATCAATCCTTCATCGTTGATATACCCAAAGATCATATCCACAAGCTCGAGAGGCAACACGCCCAGCAAGTCGCTCCGTACCTCGGCCGTCCACTCCTCACGCCAGTCTCGCCGTTGAGCCGGTACGTTGCGCGTCGAGCAGAGCCGGCTCATGGGGTCCACCAGGTACACCGTCAGGCATCGTCTATGACCGGGGCGGAACGGGTGGATAATCTCGAAGGCCTCGTCGCGAGCCTGCATCGAGTTCGAGTAAGATACCATGCGGCCCGGCTGGAGTAGCACGCTGCCGGTTTCCTGTGTGTGCAGTCTGTGCCAGGTCAGGAACATGTCATCGAAGTTGTTTCCGGCGGTGGGGAAGTCGGCGCCCAAGATTTGCTCCTCCGCGGTGGTGGTGTCCTTGAGCTCCGGCGTGCGCTGTCGGAAGGTGATGCGAGAAGGCGTGATGTTGGATGTGGAGAGGCAGTAGGTCGTGCAAGCTACAATCTTGTCGTTGAGGGTACCTGCGAATGACCAAGGGGAGCCGTTGTATCGCGGGTTATCCTTGTTGAGGTCGATGGAGGTGAGCTGCACTATCACTTGGAGACCCAGGTCGCGGAACTCGGACTGCAGTCGGAGGGGGGTATTGTTCGGGTTGTGATGGGTCCACCATTCTGGGTAGAGGTCGACGTTGACAGGTGGGTGTATGGCATGTTGCGCCTCCCACTTCTCCTGCGCAATCTCTTTCAGCCTCTCGTCTTTGATGGTGTTAGAAGTGTGCCGAAAGGTCTCTGGTCGAACGCGTCGCCATGATCCGATGTATCGTCTTGCCTTCTGCAACAAAGCCCTGTGTTTGGGCGAGTCAGTGTTTCCTTGCAGGAGATCTGTCCACCAACTTGGCTGGTTCTCGTGGTTGACGATGGCTCCCTCGCCTCTCTCGATCCTCTTCTTTGACGTGAGCTCCCGGGGCATGAGGACACAGTTCCATGGCTCAATCGATAGCCCAATGATATTCTCTATTGCCTCATACAGAGCTTTGTGCTTGACCGGATGAAGATTGTTGATGCACGACGTGATGCGCACGTCTGTGCTATTTGGATCCCCGACGAACGACACCTCGCACGGTAGCCACTGGAACTCGTCCGAGAAGCGGGTTCCGTGGCGATACACAGCCCTTCTACCACGCCAGATGAAACCATCATTCTTCCATCCATCGTCTATAGCCCGCTCAACACGTGGGGAAACTCCAGGCATGACGTGCGGAGGGGCGAAGCTGCCTTCCAAAGACACGCATCCGCCCTTCATCAAGACCGGGGTTCGGCCGTAGATGAGCGGATAGAGGGACGGGTCGACGATATGTGTGACTAGTTCGGCCTTCTTTGTTTTTTCATCTGTCTTGCACAAGTTGCGGACTCCGTACTCGTCCATGACGCGCTTCACGGCTGCGGCGATGTCATCTTGCAGAGCTTTTGACACCACGGTGTCGGACTTGAATACCCGACTCCCTGCTTCGAGCACGTAGGTGCCCTTCACCTCGTCGAAAACATTCGCTTTCTCGGTCAGCTCGGCCTGACACCATCGCCACGCCTCCTCGCTCATGAGCGGCTCCCGCTCCTCCCGCTTCCAGAGCGACCAGAACGCCTTGTCGTCCACGTCCAGCTGCCAGCCCGGGCGGTCGGTGATGTTGTTCATCACGCGCAGCATGGCGACCTCGCGCGCCAGCACGCGATCGACGCACATGGCGGCCAGATCTAGGGCCGCGTGCCTAAAGCCAATGACAATGCCACCGCGGCCTGGCAGAGGGGCGAAGACGGGTACCCCGTGGAGGCCCGGGACGTGGAGCGGTGTGCCTTCGGCTGTAGCGTTGGAGTAAGCGGGGCCATCGGCGGCCGCCGCGGCGGCTTCGGCAGTCTTGGGGCTCTCGACGAGCGGGTCGGGCTTCCAGGGATCGGGGGGACACATGGTAACTGGCTTCGTACAGCTTGGAGCTTGGGTCTTTTTCTCTTCAATTGTCGAGTTGAGGAACGGCTGTGCGAAATGGAAAGGTGCGGATGGCTCGATAACCCCTCAAACAAACAGTTGCGGCGCAGGCAGATTCGCTACCTGTCCCTGTCCCTGTCGCATGTTTTGCCTTCTGCAGCCAAGCGGCGTGATTGGCTGGGGTATTTTGCTGCCTATTGTACATAGGCGGCATCGAGCAGGCAGTTTGTTTCGTGCGATTTTGATATAATAAGCCTCATTGACTGTCAATTCTATCTCTCATATGATTTTCATTCAATGATTTCAATTCAATAGATGGCCTATCGTACTACCTTTGATGTTTTCTGTTGCCATGTTTTCTAATACTCTTCCAGCATAAGCTTATGCTTTGCCTGGCTCAGACAGGGCTTACTCGTCGCCAATGGCCCGGACTGGATCAAATCGCGAAGTAGGTAAATGTCGCGAGTCGCCCGCAGATATGAGGTTGTGGACTAGGGCTCGCTCGGGGATGAGTGATAACGATACAGGAAGTCCGGTATGTATGGCTTCATCTCACGATAGTGAAATTGATTCTCAACCGACATCTGTTGAGACGACGCCGGGTTTCTCTCGCGGTCCAGCTCACGGCACTGGCAGGACTGGCTTCTACGAAAATCTAACATGGCTCTTTGCGACAGCATCTCAATTGGTCGAAAGCGAATATGCTTGGATTTCTGAAAAGAGGAACCCACAGGACGGTGTATGACCTTAAGATACTGGGATTTCTTGCATCTGTCATCTGTCATCTGTGCTTGAACACTTGCCCACTATGCAAGCTGTGTTACATACGGGATACGGTCTGCCATGGTTCGTTACTAGGTGCTCCTTGACAGCATTTGCAACGTTGTTGAATATACGTTAATAGTGCCACGTTCTATATATTATGTTCGTCCTGTTTTCGACCGAATCTATGGGCCTCACCGTATAGGGACTCGTTCCTGGGCTTGGCTTGACCGCGATGAAGAATGAGTCGGGCAATACATTGGTCCAGATTTGCTATGCAGGCTCTCCGTGTCGATTGGAACTAGGTCTGGTCTGGGTGCCACGCATTATTCAGACACAATTTCAGTGTACGATGCTCCGCTCTCGAGAGTTTGGGAGATGGCACACTGTATTGTAAATGAGATAGTTCATTCCTCGCTTGGCAGTTGAGCTAGACCGCATCATGATAGACACCAGAGGTTGTTATTGCCTTCCTCTGACTAAGCGGATATAGGGCTCCCGACCCCTCGGCGCCTCAAATTTGACTATTTAAGGTTGTGCACGCCACCCGCATGACCGGAATGTGACTGGCATAGGTGGATGCTCGACCCGATCCGCACCGAGACGCGGTTATGAGCTCAAACTGCTCAAACTACAGAAACACCGATAACCCATGTTTTTTATCACGATACCAAGTCTTGGAACCACGTCACGAGACTTGGCCCCATGCACGGCAGCGGAGTTTGCTCCTCATTTCAATGATACAGAATGATCGCGTGTTTCTTTGCCTGCTCGGTGATGCCCGACCACGGCTCGGCGTTGCTACCCGCCGCGCGGCGGCCTGTGGGGTGGTGGAGGTCCTCAGTGCCGAGATTCCGGCTTAGCAGCTTGGCAGCTGAGGCGGTACGGGCATTGCGGTACACTACCTCGAGACTACTTGCTGACACACAGCAGGTCGCTGCAGTCGAGATTATGATGACATTGGTGGCTTGGCAGCAGGGTCTTGGATGCACTCCTTGCACTCGTTTTGCGGTACCACAACACAGCACCATGCTGATCCCAGGTTTCAAGATTCAGGGTCGCCCCCGCCGGGCCTGGTTGCTCCCTTTTTCTTCTTTTAGACTTCATCTTAAAACTGGGACGGATCCAAAAAGTTCTAGAACCCCGGGCTTTGGTTCCTTCCTCTGATGCTCCGGACAACCAAGTTTGGTCCTTAAACGGTTCGTGTGCTGTGTGCCTGCTTCGGTTTGCCAATTCAGCCTCCAGCTTGAGAGGGGAATCGCGGTCGGGAGAGCGAAATATTACTATTGCTCTCGAATCAAGCCAGGACAAAGAAAAAGCCTGATTGACACTGCCACATCAAGCAGTATCCATGCCGTGTAAAAAGCGGCCGTCATGAGTAACACTGCCGACGATGAGATCACGGCGGCGCCAGCAACGGCTGGTCGACCTGCGCCCGAGCCAAGGGCCGAGGAAAAGTTTGAAATCGACTTCAAGGCTGACGAGGGATCCGTAAAGGATAACAAGTTTGCATTCAACCCTTCCCATCTGCACAAGCTCTCTGAAGCTCGCACCGTTCCCGCGCTCCGTGCCTTTGGTGGCATCGCTGGCCTGGCAAATGGGTTGAGGACCGATACCAAGGCTGGCTTGAGTCTAGATGAGGACCAGCTCGATGGCACAGTGACGGTCGATGCCGCGCTGTCAGCGGCGCGCAGCGAGAAGCCGCTCGAGATTGCTCTCGCTCCCGAATCCGACAGCCACGCCCACCAGCATCGTAGGCACTCTGTTGCCGAGGTGCTTCACCTGGAACCGGCGGACAATGCCTTCAAGCAGGCGTTCTGCGACCGCCGTCGCGTGTTCGGCGAGAACCGTCTTCCCAAACAAAAGCAAAAGTCTCTACTGGCACTTGCGTGGCTCGCTTTCAACGATAAGCTAATTTTCCTGCTTACCGCCTCCGCGACGATCTCCCTAGCCCTCGGCATCTACGAAGCAGTGGTTCACGGCGAAGAGGGCGGTGGTGCGAACTTGGAATGGGTCGAAAGTGTGACCATTATGGTCGCTATTGTGGTTATTGTCTCGGCAACGGCGCTCAACGACAAGCATAAAGCGTACAAGTTCGAGAAATTAAACAGCAAGAAGGAGGAGAAATGGGTCACGGCAATTCGATCGGGCAAGAACAGGAACATATCCGTGTTTGACCTGATGGTGGGCGACTTGGTCCGGATCGAGGCAGGCGACGTGATCCCGACCGATGGCATCCTCGTCGAGGGTTTCGGAGTGCAGTGCGACGAGTCGCCTGTGTCTGGAGAGTCTGAGCTGGTGGACAAGACGCCTGCTCAAGATGCTGAGCGTAGCCGAAACTCAGCAGGCGACCCTTTCATCTACAGCGGTACTCGCGTGGCTCATGGTGTTGGTTCGTACCTGGTGACAGCAGTCGGTCCCAATTCCATGTATGGCCGTATCCGCCTTTCACTACGGAGCAACGTCGAAGAAACGCCCCTCCAGGTCAAGCTCGCCCGTCTCGCCAAGTACATCATCATCAATGGCTTCGTCATCGGCACCATCTTCTTCTTCATCCTCTTTATTCGCTGGTGCGTCCGGCTCAAGAACTACCAAGGGTCGCCACAGGACAAGGGCGAATCATTCTTGGATATTTTCATGCTTGCAGTCACGGTTGTGGTCATTGGTGTGCCGGAAGGCCTGTCTCTGGCCGTCGCCGTGGCCCTGGCTTTCGCGACAACTCGAATGCTTAAGGACAACAACCTTGTGCGATTGCTCCGATCCTGCGAGACGATGGGCAATGCTACGACAATCTGTTCGGACAAGACGGGAACGCTGACGCAGAACAAGATGACGGTGGTATCTGGCGTAGTCGGGCACAGCTTCAAATTCGAAGAGCTTGGAGATCTGCCGCCGGGACCCGAGAATTCAAAGGACAAGGCCGACGAGAAAACAGTGACCTCTGCGACCGCATTTACCGAGGCTCTTTCGGACGAAGTCAAGGAGATGCTCAAAGCCAACTTCACTCTCAATTCGACTGCCTTCGAACGAGACGGTGAGGGTACCGGAGAGTTTGTCGGCTCCAGCACTGAGACAGCGCTACTGAAGTTTGGCAAGGAACAACTCGGCATGGGCCCTCTCGCCGAAGAGCGCGAGAACGCAGAAGTCATCGAGCTGTTTCCATTCAACGGCAACAGGAAGTGGATGGCAGTCATTGTCAAGAGGGGAAACGGATACCGTATGCTCGTCAAGGGTGCTGCTGAGGTGGTGCTCGCCAACTGCCACGACACGCTGGATGACCCTGAGACAGGACTAGCGACTAAAGATCTCTCGGCCGAGATGAAGGACAACCTGGCTGGACTGACGCAGGAATACGCAAGCCGTCTTCTACGTCCCATCGCTTTGGCCTACCGTGATCTTGATAGATGGCCACCACCGGGGCCCAAAAAGACGCCGAGCAAGCACCATCAGGACGACATCACTCAGCACTTCATCCACCTCTTCCACCACCACATGACCTTTGTCGGCATCTTTGGCATCCGAGACCCCCTGCGTCCCGAGGTCATCGACTCTGTCCGCGAATGCCAGTCGGCTGGCGTCTTTGTGCGAATGGTCACTGGCGACAATTTCCTTACCGCAAAGGCCATCGCCGCCGAGTGCGGCATCTACACGGCGGGTGGTATCGCTCTCGACGGCCCGACATTCCGCAAGTTGACTTCTGCCCAACTCGACCTGGTCATCCCCCGCTTGCAGGTCCTCGCTCGATCCAGCCCAGACGACAAGGCGCGCCTAGTGCAACACCTCAAGAAGCTAGGCGAGACTGTCGCCGTCACCGGAGACGGGACCAACGACGCATTTGCACTTAAGGCTGCAGACGTCGGCTTTGCGATGGGCATGTCTGGCACCGAGATTGCAAAGGAGGCGAGCTCCATCATTCTCATGGATGACAACTTTGCTAGCATCGTCAAGGCCCTGGCTTGGGGGCGGACTGTTAACGACGCCGCCAAGAAGTTCATCCAGTTCCAGTTCACTATCAACATCACCGCTGCCTCTCTGACCATCATCTCTACCCTCGTCGGTGACGTCAACTCGGCGGTCTTTGCCGTCATTCAGCTCCTGTGGCTGAACTTGATCATGGATATCTTTGCCGCCGCAGCTCTGGCAACCGACTACCCGACGTCCGCACCACTTAAGCGACGGCCCGAGCCACGCAACGCACCCATCATCAACGCGACCATGTGGAAGATGATCCTCGGCCAGGCCATCTACCAGCTCGCCGTCGTGTTCTCGCTCCATTACGCTGGCGAGGGCTACTTCCTGGAACCCAGTGCTCAAAATCCCGGCCGCCAACTGCAGACGTTCGTGTTCAACATTTACATGCTGATGCAGGTGTTCAATCAGACCAAGTAAGACCTTGAAATCACTTTGCTCCCTTGACACTTTATATACTAATACTTCTCGATAGTTGCCGACGCGTCGACAACAAGTTCAACGTATTCGAAGGCGCGTGGCGTAACCCCTGGTTCATCGGCGTCCAGCTCGTCACCATCGCCGGCCAGATCATCATCGTCTTTAAAGGCGGCGAGGCCTTCCAGACCGAGGCCTTGACTGGCGTCCAGTGGGGGTGGTCCATCTTCTTCGGCTTCCTTACCCTCCCTCTCGGCGCCCTGATCCGCATGATACCCGACTCGTTCGTGCTTACCGCCGGCAGGGTCCTCAGCCCGCTGGGCTTTCCCGTCATGCTGGTGGTCAACTGGTTCCGCAAGCGCAAGGCCAAGCGCAGCGGCGCGGAGACGGCCGCGGCGCTCGAGCGTGCCGAGGCAGAGGAGCAGTACTATGACGAGGCCGATGAGGAGCGCAGGCTCAGGCGGATGCAGTGGCAGTGGGTCAAGGCCGGCCTCAAGAAGGACCGGCGCTTCTTCTCGCGCTTCTGGAGATTCGGACGGACGACCAAGCTCGGCAACGGCAACATTGCTGCCGGGCTGGCGACCGCCGGGCTGGAGATGGCGGGTGCTAATGTCGTGGTGAGGTTTGAGAACGATAGGGATAAGGCTACCTCGAGAGGTCAGCTCGACGATGGAGAGGAGTCGCCTCAGGAGGAAGAGCTTGACCTGGTCCGGGCCATTGATACGTCAAAGAGCTCGCCTCACGACACGCCATATGGGCTGGAGGTCAACACGAACACTTCCAAGGAGGATCCGGTCATTATGCCGGAGGTGATCCAGAGCAAGCTCCCGCCCAGCCAGAATCCGCTTGTGTGGCGCCACTTGGGGATCTGGCTGAGTGATACAGTGGAGTAGAGGAAGATCACGCTGTGTGCAAGAGGGTATTTAGACTTGAAGCTAAAGTAACCAAAATATAATGACATTTCATAGACGCTAACCAAACTTGACGTCCCGGATGAAGAACCCCACCGTCTTGGTCCACACGATGTCCTCTGTGAACAACAGCAGAGGCTGACCCTCCTGTTTCCTCCTCGATCGGGCATTCGCCTTCTTTGTCTCGTCGCCACCATCATCATTCTCGTCATCGTCGGACTCGACGATGTCCTCGTCGAGGTGCAGATGCGCCATGTACTCGCCCGGCACGCCCGTCCTCACTGCCCTCGCCCTCGAGCCTTTCCTCACGTCCACGGAGATGAGATGCTCACCTTCCTCGTTAATGACCTTGAGGATGAGGAAGCCACTGGCCAGCATGGTCGACAGCTGCACGGGGACGTCGATGGAGAAGGGCAGGCCCTGCGACTCGCGGTTGAAGAACATGCCGTTGAACGGGCCCCGCGTCTTGAGGATGTGCTGCCGCTCGCCGTGCAGAAGGTACATGAGGATGATCTGCGGGTCGACGCCCGACACGTCCTGTACGTCCTGGATGCTGGTGCACACGATCTGCCCCCGCAGGAAGTCGTGCCACGGCCACTCGCTCACGTACCGCGACTTGGCGAGGATGACGAGGAAGCCGGCCAGGATCCAGGAGAAGGAGGTGATCTGGAAGGGGTCGACGCCGCGGATCTCCTCGCCGACGGTGAAGGGGATGGCCATGGCGCCGCAGACGAGGGTCGCGGCGCCGATGATGACGGACAGGACGTAGGCGCGGCACTTGATGGAGATGGATGTCTCGTCGATGATCCACGTGTCCATCTTCATCTTTTGCTTGGCGTAGTCGTCGAGGATGTCCCTCGTGCGGGCGCGGGTGTCGGCGCTGAGGTCTGAGTTGCGGTGGAGCATCAGGTTGGTGCCGGCTGTGTGTCATTGCAGTGTTAGTCAGGGTGGTTGTAATCTTTCAGGGGTTCTTGCTAGGGGGATGCTTACCTCTAATACCATGTCGGAGAGGACTGGATGCCAGTGACCTGACCTCGGGGTTCTGAGTCAAAGTCTGGGAAAGGGTGCGCTGCCGGCGGAGATACTCCTCCGTCGAGAGATGAAAAACGGCTTGGAATGCTCGTGGGGGAGGTGTGAACTGCATAATGGGTGCCTCCTCGGTTGTACCAGAGCCCAGGACGGGCACGGCACGACCGATGGAGTCTGCCATATACACGGTGGACATGCAGACTGCAATAGCGATCGTGATGATGTCGTCTATGCGATGGAACTGGAACCGGCCTTCTGACGTCTTGGTGCTCCCCGATTTGTCCCTCCAGTTCCAGTTGAGGGTTGCGCCAACTGCTGGTGGCTCAGTATTAGTGTCGACAACACGCGTTTCGGTCGACTGCATTTGTCGTATGGCTTCCAGGTTCTGCATCAGGAGAACCATGGCGCTGTACATATTGTTGATGTGCGCCGGCTCGCAAGACGTGTGAATGTCTCCGTACCGGTCGTGGTTGATGGTCGTCGTCACACCGTCTAGCCCCGTCTTGTACACCAGGGCGCACATCTCGAAGGACTCGATCGGCCCGCTCGCGCGAAACTTGTATCGGTCGAACATGGCATTGATGACGAATTGCAGAAGCGGCTCGAGGCTGCGCCGGATGAGAATCTTCTCGCGGTAGTAGCGGCTGACGATGTCGTCGCGCTCGTTCAGGGCCGAGTACTCCTTCTCATGTGCGTCGCGACCCTCGCCGATGCGCACTTTGATAAGCATCGGTTTCTTGGTGGCGCCGCCTTCGACGACTTGATCGAGGATGTCCTCGCCATTCGCCAGGGATGTCACCGCGGCTCTGTGCGGGTCGTATGCAATGACCTTGAGCTTGACCGCCCAGGCCGCGAGGACGGCAAGCATGTGATTGTCCCAATAGCTTCCCGACGCCGAGCGGACCCAGACGCGTGCGATGCTGCCCAGAAGGTAGTCGACCATTGTATGGTACGCCTCCTTATTGCGAGAGGGCGGCTCTAGCAAGACTGGTTGGCTTCCCTCGATGAAGTCCTCGTCGACGTCATAGCGACTCAGCAAGAGAGTCCTGGTCTGCTTGAAGTCCTCGATGGCGACCGACATGGACATTCCCGCCGTCTTCTCCAGCGCGATCTGCTCCGTGTCGTGGCGCAGGATGGCATTGTTGGAGTAGACTTGGTCCAAGACGTTGGCGACGTCCTGGTAGTCTTCGGCGCCGACGCCCTTGAAGTGCCCGCCACTGCTGAAGAGATAGGGCTCCTGGCTCGCGGCGACGAGGCAGAGCTTGTGGATCTCCTTCTTGAGCAGAGACTCGTGGGCCTCGTCGGCGAGGCCGTACGGCTCGCAGTCGTCGAACTTGCGGAGATCTTTGAGCTTGAGGTTTGCGTACTCGTACTTTTTGTAGTTTTGGGTGATTTTGAAGATTTCCTCTTCGTCAAAGTCGAATTTTCTCGCCTCGCGGGAAATGACGTTGACAAGCATGCGCCTTTGGCGGATTGATGAGCTATTGTCTAGCGATCAGTTGTCTGCCTGCCGGCCGTGTCAGAACGACTTATTCAAATGTACCTTATCTCGCCATCTTCATTGCCGCTGGATGCGTTGCGACTCCAGAATTTAGAGGGAGGGGCAGGCTTCTCGTCGACTGGCACATTGATCCTGACGCGTCCGCTCTCCACGTCAAGAGATTGCGATTCAGATGTGTGCGCGTCTGACATTTTGGCAGCCAACTTGCTGGTGTCCGCCATTCTCGTGTCAATCCAGAAGATGAGTGGGTGTCAAGACACGATGTGAAGCATTGACGGCGGAGCGACACGAACGAATTAGTGTTCGCCAGAGATATAATCTCTGCAACCACCCGCCGTGCACATCATTTGACATCATCGAATGTCAAATAGGCCACAATCCGCCCCCAACCTTCTGATCAAGTCCATGGCCTCCCACCCAACACTCTGGACCGTGTCAAGGGCTCGCTTCCCTGACCGGCATTGGTGGTGGCGATGCAGGGTTGCTAGTCTCTGGCGGCTGAGGCCCAGAACTGCCGCTCCCAGTGGTTCTTGCGTCGTCGGATGATGGCTTAAATCCGATGGTATCCGATGATTGGGCCAGATGCGATTCTGCCTCCCAAGGTTGGACACGATAGGTCGGTGGCGTTGCGCTGAGCAGGGGCAGGCTTGCATTAGCGGGATGCTCACGACAGGGCATTTTGGCATCGATGTCAGCTGCGCAGAAATAGCATTTCACATAGAGAGTCGCGCGGTCGAACATTGGGCCGTTCAGCCTGTTCCAGGCAGCTGGGAGTGTGACCTGCAGGTTACCATGCACAGCCCCAGTGCATATCAGAATGGCAATTGAGGTTGGGGGCCGATTGTTCAGTACACACATATGGGGAGACAAAGGCTGGGGATATCCCAAGCGGTCGATGACTGAGGTTCTAACCTGGTCACATTTTGGCATGCACAGAATCTTTTGTCGTCACGAATTCGGACGAGACAGTTCAGATCTCCAAAACAGTAACAATGTCGGTCGAGGATTACGACACTGAGCTTTCCGACTACTCGTCCTTCGCGAGTGATGATCTATACTCGCCGAGGGCCAACCGACATGATGACGCGGCGAGCATTGACCATGACAAGTCAGCCCAGGTTGAGGGCATGAAAGCGGCTTTCATGGATGTGACTGAAAGAGAGCGCTCTTATGGTGATCCAGTCATCACGCCCACAAGTCTTGTCGCCAAAGGCCGTGATCGAGACAAACCCTTCACAAAGTATGCGCTCTTGCTACGGCGCAGGATCAACATCGACGGCAAATGGGTTGGGACTCAGCTCGAGATCCGATCGCCGGTCATCCAAGCTGCATTGCAAAAGCTGCTTGCGAGCTGCTCGTATCTGAACCTCATGACCACGCCTATCGTCATCAAAGCGCCATACGCGGTTCTGTTCCAGTTCCGACATGAGATTCGGGAGTATACCAGCTCTAGCGAGAGAACCCAGGAGGAAAAGGCGCACATGCGTGAGCTAGTCCAGTTCATGAATGTGAATCTGGAAAAGCTGGAGAAAGAGTACAATCAGTATGCGCCGACGGGTCTAACCACTTGCGACTTGCTCTGGACGCTGTTCCGGCCGGAGACACTTGTCATATATCGGACGGACCACTTTCAAGAATGCTACAGAGTCAGCGATTGCAGCGCTATTGTCATCAACGGAAGCACGTTCTTCTCGATCACTGCGTGGTCATGGGACTATAACGGCATTTCCTTCGGGCCAAGTAGGACAACATTGCACATCCCCGAGTTTCAGGGCGCTCGGAAGGTCACTGAGCTCAACATCTACCCATTCGATGCTCTGTCTCCTGCTGAGCAGAAGGAGCTAGAAAGCAAACTGATCGCTCGAGGCAAAGTCTGGCGCAAGTCCGTTGACCTTTGCCATCGGGAGTATTCAGGTATGCAAGCTTCCGTGCTGATTCATCCTCAGTATGCTAACAAGTACGGTGCTTTGTAGGACCGGCCTGGGTAGAGAAGGACCCCTCTGGCTACCGTAGGGCGGATAACATCCGTGATCTTATTCCTGTCCATGTAGGTCTTCTGATGCCTGTTTGTTCCTACCACTACTGACACCTGGCTCAGGTGGATGGGCGGATCTTTCTCGACTACAAATCCCACCAAGAGGAGAATTACGCTCTATCAACCATCCTCTATGGCCCAAGCGGCGCTATCAGACCCACGGATACAGCAAGCTCCTTCACATATCGTCGTACACCTCCACGCAGAGTCCGCTCGAGGTCAACCTCGCCTATCAGGAGAGATCCCGTAGACATCAAGTTCCTCAACGACATGAAGAGCCATGAGAACAATGAGGACTACGAGATCACCGATACCCAGGCACTTCTCGCGCCTGCTAGAATCCGCGGCTTCACCCTGACCGAGAAACTTTGGGCGTTCTTCCTGGTCGACAACGTCTGCGAAGTGCAGTGGTCGGAGAACGCGTTTGATGATCTAGAGCTTGAATACTCGGTCAAGAAGACCGTGCAATCGCTAGTTAAGAACCATTACCAAGGCAAGAGGGAGACCAACCTCATCTCGAGGAAGGGCAAAGGTCTGGTCATCCTATTGTACGGCCCAACTGGCACTGGTAAGACGTTCACAGCGGGTATGTTGACTATCTCTTTAATCCTTTTCACCCGACGTTGTTGCTGCAGGCCTGACAGCTGCTCTAGAAAGTGTTGCCGAGGCTGTCCATCTACCCCTGTACTACGTGGGTGCCGGAGAGCTTGATCGAGACTTGCATCGGACGGAGCGCAAGCTGCAGCGCATTCTCGACATTGCCAAGCTTTGGAAGGCCATGGTCCTCATCGACGAGGCCGACGTCTTTCTGGCCAAGCGCACGCTCGACGATGTCCAGCGCAACGGCCTCGTGTCCGTGTTCCTCCGTGTCCTAGAGTACCACGAAGGCGTTGTCTTCCTGACAACCAATCGCATCCGTGATTTTGACTCAGCCTTCCTCTCCCGAGTGCACCTGCGTATCCAGTACCCTCCGCTGAACCCCGTGAGCCGGGAGAAGATCTGGCGCACAACGCTGAGGAACGTCAAGGAGGCGCAGGAATGGCCCGAGGACAAGTACCAGTATCTCGCAGAGACATTCATTCTGAATGGAAGAGAGATCGCCAATTTGTCTCGCACTGCCCTTTCGATCTCACAAACCGATGAGTCGCCGTTGACGGCAGAGCTCCTAAGCTCATTGTACGAGTTGAACAGAGCAGACGAGACCCTTCGAGACGGCGAGTCAGATAGTGAAGGTGAAGGCTCTGGAAGGGAGCGGAAGGCAAGACTACGTCGTCGACGGCTGGCTGAGCAACAAGAGGCCTACTCACCGCCACCGCCACCAATCTACCCTGTTTAATGCATGTAGTCATGTCATCTACTTGCACTGGGCGTTGGAATATTTCATCTTATCATGATACCAAGCGTTGTTTAGCTCATATCAGTGTATATTAAGTATCTATTTCTTAATAGTTTTCGATTCTATTCATGACATTGATCAATGGCTTCCCTTCATACATCCTCTCCAGATTTGTTTCAATCAGCTGCAGAGCCCTGTCCCAGTAATAGGGCGTGGCCCAGCTGACGTGTGGGGTGATAAAGACATTCGGTGCCCTCCAGAGGGGGTGTTCTTGGGGTAAAGGTTCTGGATCAGTAACGTCGAGCGCTGCACCCCGGATCTTACCGGTCTCGAGCGCATCGATCAAATCGTCAGTCACTATGTGTCCTCCTCGAGCCACGTTTGCGACGTAGGTCTTCCGCTTATTCTTGGACAAAATCTCGAACTGCTCACGGGCCAAGACACCCGTGGTCGATTTCGTCAACGGCATGGCAATGACTAGGAGATCCAGATCTTGAGCTAGGAAGTCATTGATGGACTGCTTGTCGCCGCCATGGAACCACTTGGCGGGCAGTAGTCCGTCCGGGTCCCCGGTGCCAGGAACGCAAAAGCTATCGTCGCGGCGCGACTCCGGTGTGGGCTTCTCGCTTCGTGTATACGCGTACACTTCCATTCCCATGGCTGTGGCGACCTTGGCACACTGACGACCAATCGCGCCGTAGCCTAGCAGACCGCTGTTGTGTAACCGTCAGCCAGACTTATAAGTTGCAGAGAAGATACGTCAGACAACTCACATCCTCTTGCCAGGCGAGTCCTCGACACCATTAAACAAGCTCCTGTTCCACTCCCCGGTCTGCATGACCGCGGCATATTGCATAAACTTGTGTTCTTCCATCAGCCAAGCCCCTATCACCCACTCCGCTATTTGCGCTCTACACTTGAACGATTAGCTCGGGCAATTCTCCCCCTTCAACGCAGCGACCCGAGACCTACGCGTGGGTACCGTTGCCCGTGCAAAACACCACGTTCGGGTCCTTGTACTTGTCGTTGTCGAGCCACTTGTCCGCGCCCGCCGACGTGAGCTGCACGTAGCGCACGTCCTTCATGTACTCGGGCCGCACGGGCATGAAGCAGCTCAGGATCGTCACCCCGTCCCAGAACTCCGGGCCCAGCGAGTCGGCCGTGATGCGGTTCCCGTCCGGGCCGACCTCGCTGGGGCTGCGCCACCGGATGCGCAGGCCCGGGAAGCGCGCCTCGATGCGGGATATCCACTCTGGTCGCGGCTTGGGGATGAGCCACATGGCGTAGACGTCGCCGTCGAGCGGGTGCCTCTTTTGCGGGGGGTTCTGTACGGAGGCCATGGCTACTGTGCAAGAGTTTTGGGCAGAGTCGAGGATGCTGATCGTCGCTGGCAGCAGACGGGATGTACGTGGATGGATCCAGGCTCGGACCCCACGCTGTTGAGCTGGTGGTGGGCGCTTTGATCGTTAATATCGCACTGCACAACCTCAGGGCAAAATGGCGTTTGTTTTTGCGATAAGTGGAAGAGTGGCCGATTTGTCAGTTTTTACCAAGTGGAGACTTCGTCGGAGAACATGGCTGGAGCCAACCGCTTCCGACAGAACGGGGAGTGGAGATTGCTCCGGAAGCTTAGCAGTTTTTATTCAAAGCTTGTGCTTGTTGTTGAGCAAAACCGTTTTCGAGATCATCTCACAGGGCGCCGTCGAGGTAGCTCAATTCATTCCTCAATAACCGGGGCTCCTTGTCAGACACTAGTTAACATGGAAATCACTCAAGGATAGCATTCCGGACGTCGAGTAGGGACCATATACATACTAAGATTATATACAGTTGTGAACACAAGGAATGTAGAAGAGGCTTGGCCATATTTAGGGAACTAAATCTCCAACGAGCCTCAATATTTCAACATCAACTCGTAACCCATGGACGACGGAGGGGAACAATCCAGCCTAACAGCCGACGTATCCTAACGACAGCTTACGTAACTCCAGCCTACTACCATCAATACGAAATCATCATACAAAAGCTTGTGCGAGCCTGCAGATCCCCTGAGGGACCTGAGACTACTTTGTAGATTAAAGGATGGTCTAGCTGATACGCGTTAGGTACGCCAGGGGTGCGTTGGATTTGTAGCCTCAGCTAGCTCGTTCTCGTTATCGGTTCGCTAGCTGCTGACGTCTATACGTCACCGCTAGCTAGGCTGTGTATCTGATCTACATGCACACGCCGTAACGCCAGATCCTTTTAAATACCGCTGTTGAAAGCCAATTCTGCACTCCCCTTTTATTTTGTTTCTATCTCTGGTCTTCCTTTGGGACTTTAGATAAAGTCTACCACCGACAGTCTTCTGTTTTCCATTATACCGACCAATGAATCGTGGGCAAGACAATCCTGACGGCCAACGGCAACGATGGCCTGCCGGCGGCCCTGTCGGCAAGATGGTGCGAGGCATTGCGGCCGGGATAGGTCTTGCGTCCGAGACCTACCACCACCACAAAGCGAATAAAGCCTCCAAAACGCAGGCGGGAAGGGACGCCGACAGTGATACCGCGATGGTGGCCCAGGATGAAGCCGAACAGCGCCATGACGCTCACTTGTTACAAGAAGTGGATGAGGTTGCCTGGGAGTTGGATGAAGCACAAGACCAAGTAACGGGCCAATCATCCGAGCCACATGCAGCTACAGAAGAGGAGGTCACTGGGCTTGCCGACTCGTTTCTCGACACTCATGCTCAGGCCCCGGCGTATTCCCCAGGCCAACTATCTCTTCCCGTCGTCATCACCCAACGGCGCCCTGGGTCTCGCACAAAAGGATTTGTGCGCGCCTACTCACCCGTTCTTGCCGATGTGGGCATTGACCAGGCTACATTCCTCGACTTTCTGGACAAGCTCAACAAATCCGTCCAACCCAGCCCTTGGATTCAAGCTATAAACTTGGCTGGATTGGCGGGGAACGCAGTGCCTTTGCCCTTCAGTATTCTTATCAGCGTTGCTGTGAAGAAGACAACCGATGCAGCTGGTGAGCTTCACAGTCGGTCAAAGACCAATCGCTTTCTCGACAGGGTCAATGAGTCATTCTTCGCGCCTCGGGGGCTGGTGGCCCTGGTTATGACTTGGAAGCCCAGCCAGAAAGCCAACATGTTCACACGGGCCGAGTTTGACATGCAGTCATCGATTGCGACTGCTGCGGATGGCAGTAAGTCGCGTCGAATGTTTGAGAGCTCGAGTGGTGCTACCTCGTTCGAGTGGCCTGAGACAGCGCCGCTTGTATTTCCTGCTCTCGATGAGCTGGCGGACGCTGAGGACAACGATGATGGCGCCGCCAAGGTCAAGAAGCAGTCAGCCATCAAACGCAGTGGTAAATTCGTCGGCGAATACATGGACAAGAGAGCCAGGGCCAAGTGGGCAGGGGAAAACCCCGATAGCAGCATGGCCAATGCTACAGGCCAAGAGACATTTTCGTCTCGATATGCCGATCCCAACCACCCTGCTAGTAGTGGAGATCCCATCGCGTTGTTAACGGGAGGGTAAGTACCGCTCTTAGCCTTACATTTGTAACTCCGTGGGCTGATGACTTGTAGATCTCTCCAAGCAGGACTGGGAAGAAACATCCGGGGCAGTCCAGCAAATGATGCGCGAAGTGGTCTCCGCGGCCGTCATGGCCTTGTGGGGCTTGGACGAGGGCGGGGACGGGGACAGCTCAGGAGCGGAGAAGGCTCCAGCGGAGGTAGGGGTGGCCTTCTTGGCAGTGGAATCGGACCTCTCAGCTTGGTGAGCGGTGCTCGAAAGCTTTTGCAAGATGTGAGTAGAATTGACTTCAACGAGCTTCGAAATGATGCTAACCCTGGGCAAGGACGTGCTTTACCTCATGATTGTGCAACGGCCGACTGAAGAGCAGATGGCGGAGGCAATGACTTACATGAACTCTGTCCGGAAACATGTAGATATTAATGCGACCAGATGATACGAATCTTCAATTCACGGAAAGAAATTGAGGTCTGGCTTCCAATGTCGGATAAATAGTATCCCAGCTCATCTCAGTCTAATTGTATGAAACCTTGTAATTCACAGTCATAGATCGACGATGTAAAGATCCAAAAATGTTGTGATAAGCACTCAAACCCATGCTCGAGGGGAACAAGCTGGTGTTATCTCCCAAGGGTATTGTGGAATAGACTGACCTGCTCGGGTGGTCTTACGTGAGATCTTAGGTACCATGTTAATCTCCAAGCATCACCACAGTCCGAGCTTGATTTAGTCCGAGCATGCTCTAGGAAATATGACAACTTAAATCGTTTCCGCACTAATGTGTCGACCATCTAGATCCTCACTAATACTTGTTTTAAATGAAGTATACACGAACAACAAGCAGCATGTTCTCGAGCACATCCTTATTTTACTCGGCGTTACTGATCTCGCTGGGCTATATTGTACTGCAACGTGTTCAACGATCTCAAAAGGGCCGGTTGCCTCCTCGGCAATTTGTTGGACCTCCCACCTCCGGGGACTCTCGAGTGGACCCACTGGTCGAAACACAAGGAGCTCTATGGCCCGATCAGCTCAATCAAGGTGTTGGGACAGCTCATAATCATTCTTCACGAAAAGCAGGCCGTCATCGACATCTTGGAGACACGTGCTCTTAAGACCGCCTCGAGGCCTCACTTGGTCTTTGCTAACGATGTGTATGTTGGGAGGAGATCCTGGCTCCAAAGCTACGTTAGAGATGTTTTGAACTGATTGAATGAAATAGAGTGGGTTACAAGGATATCATGGGCATGATGCCGTACAATCGAAGGTTTCGGTTGCACCGCAAGCTTACGGCGACCCAAACTAGCAGCAAGTCAATCACTCGCTTTGCACCTGCCCAAGAGCTAGAGGTTTCGCGGTTCCTGAGTCAACTGCTAGCCGACTCCGAATCAGGCTCCGATAACCTGCAGGATCATCTCAACCGGTAATTACACAATTTCATCCAAACATATAAGACATTCTGACAGAAGATCCAGACTATCTGGGTCCATAATGCTCCGCGTTCTATACAACTATGAGACGCGACCAGGAGAGAACGATCCGTTCGTCAACAGAGCGAACCAGGTGATGGAGGAATTCTCCAAAGCTACAAGTCCTGGTGCCTGGGTGGTAGATCTGATCCCATGGCTCCGCCACCTTCCAGAGTGGGTTCCAGGGACCGGTTTCCAGAAAACAGCCAAAATTTGGAGAAATCATCTCATGCATTCTGTCGAGGACCCTTACAACTATGTGAGAGAGCAAATGGCCAAAGGCAATGACAACGTTTCTTATGTTGCCGGCCTAATCAAAGACGTCCATCGACACATCGACGCAGAGGAAGAAAGTGTCATCAGCTGGTCTGCGGCCTCCATGCTCAATGCAGGTACTGATACGACCAGTGCTGTTCTTTTCTCCTTCTTCCTCGCTATGGTGCTCAGCCCTGACGTCCAGAAGTCAGCTCAGGAGGAGATCGACCGTGTAGTGGGGCAATCTCGACTGCCATCATTCGAGGACAAAGCCAATCTCCCTTACGTACAGGCCATGGTCCAGGAAACGCTGCGCTGGCACACGCTGGCACCCATGGGATTTCCCCACCTGACCACAGAGGATGACAGCTACAACGGCTATTTCATACCCAAGAATACCCTTATTATGCCTGCTGCTGCCGGGCTTGCGCACGATCCTGCTGTATATCACAGTCCGGGAGACTTCCAGCCAGGTAGATTCCTCGAGCCTCACAACGAACCACCTGCATCCGATGTCGTGTTTGGATTTGGGCGGAGAGCCTGCCCCGGAAGACATATCGCCGAACAGACACTGTTTCTTGCTATTGCTCAAACATTGGCGGTGTTCCACATTCGAAAACCAGTTGACGAGAATGGAAATGATATCAAAGTGGAATATCATATGCTACCGGGCGTCATCTCTCGCGTCAAACCTTTTCCGTACTCAATCACAGTCCGGAGTGACAAGCGCCGGAGCTTGATAAAGTAGCAAATATACGCATGCTGCATGGGAATGGGACCAGCAGGAAAGAGCGTACAACGATAGTTATCAGCGACACCGCATTGGGAATTGGCTAATTCACTGTAACGCGACCAAAGTAATCAACTACCTAGACTGCCTTCTGACCCAATGTTTCAGTGCCTGCAATCCATCGTTCTTCTGTTTTAGGGTTCCGCTGTTGTTTTCCCGACTACTTCGGTGATGGTGCCATCGTGAGCGACACTGATCTTTTTCTTTTCCAGGCTGGCCTTTACCGGGTGTTTTGAGTGGAACAGCTCCTCGATTTCTTCCAAGCTCCACCCACGGGTCTCGATGAACGTAAAGTAGATGACGACAATCCCAAATGCATTCCAGAAGACGTAGAGAAGATAGTATTTCCACCCAGAGTTCGTAATGGCAATGGGCGGGACGTATGTGTTCATGACCTTGACCGCGTTGTTCATGAAGGCGAGGTAGGCCATGCCCTTGGCGCGACTGTTGAACGAGAGCACTTCGACGGGATAGAGGGATTGCATGGGAGTCTGTGCATAAGTTAGAAAATGTCATTCAGATCCTGCAAAACTGCCACAGATACTTACCCAAGCGAACGCAAACATGACGAGAAAGACATAGAGAAAGGCAATGCCGGTTCCACCGACCGCCGGCTTGCCCGCTTGCTGCGCAGTGCAGGCCGTGATGATGGCCATGGAGATGGTCATGCCGGCGCTTGAAGTCATCAAGAGCTTACGGCGGCCAAACTTGTGCATCACATTGAGGCCGACAAGAGCTGCAATGGCCATGACCGGCGTCTGGATCGCGTTGAGCAGCAGCTGTGTGTTGACGCTGGTGATTCCGACCGTTTTCACTGTACGAAGCAAGTCAGAGCCTGACCAAATAAAGAGCTGGATTTTATGAGGCATACCCATCAAGGGAAAGTAATAGCTTGTGGGAGGTAGATCGAGTTCACCGAACCAGGAGATGCAGGTCACCAGGAATGTTCGATATCGCGCAGCTGGAGAGTTAAAGAGGCACCGGTAGTCCCACCACCTCTTGTCCGAACCGTCGAGCTCAATGACTTCCAGCATCTCCTGTAGTTCCAAGTTCACAACCAGTGACTCCGGGTCTCCATCTCCGTGATACTTGACAAGAACGGCCTTGGCGTCAGCCTCGCGACCTTGGCCAACGTACCTATCCACAATCGACATCAGCCTTTCTGTAGGAACATGCGAAACAACACAGACTTACCATCGAGGGCTTTCGGGAATGAACCAGATAGTGCAGAGAATAATGACAGAGGGAAGGCCTTGAATTGCAAGTGGTAGTCTCCAGGGATAGGCAAGATCCGTCTTGATGTGGTTCAGGCCGTACTCCAGCCAAGTCGACACGATTGTACCGAGGAAGAAACATGCTTGGTAGCCGCCGGTAAGTTGAGCCCGCCATTTCGGGTATGACATTTCGACGACATAGCTGGGCCCAGCTGTCTGCACGAGGACGGCTCCCATGCCAAGCAGGAAACGACCGCCCATAAGGAACGACAAGTTTGTCCCAGCGGTCTGGATCGCAGCGGCAATCACGCAGATGGCTGATCCGAGGGCCATTCCAACTCGCCGACCGTATGTATCCGAGCATGGACCCGCGAAAAGCGACCCGGCGATGTTCCCGATGACGTAAAGAGCGGCGACAAGACCTTGATTCTGAGTAGTGATGCCAAAATACTTCGTGAACTGCGGGATTGCAGAAAGTCCTCCTGTATGTCAGGTCAGCGAAGTGTCTGGTGCATGTGCCCCTCAGCAAGTCAGCCATCAGGCCATCACGTACCGAATGTATTAGAGTCAAAGCCATTAGTAGCCGAGCAGAGGTATCCGACGAAGATACAGCCGTAAAGCTTGAGGAAACTCTTCCGGAAGACGGGAGGGTTCTCTCTTAGCAGAGCCGCCTGCATTCGTGACTCGGTCATGATGTTTTGCGTAGTGGGCTTCAATGGGCCCTCCTCGTGGGTGACACCATGACCAGGCATGGCCTTCGGATCGTCCATTGCGAATGTCCTGCACAATCTGATGATGGTCTTTGTCTGGTTGTAGAAGGTGACGAAGTCGGTGTGGGCGATGACTGATGTTGATCGTCTCGGTCTCGTTGCGACAAGGACTGCTGATATATATCCGTTTGGTTGTTAAGAGTCGACAAACGACATACGACTTCCCCACATGCTCTCCTGCTCTCTCCTGCTGACTTCCCCAGGCTTTCTCCACGATTTGGAGGTGTCTGCGAAAACCAGCCCTGGCCTCCGCATTCCGTTAAATCCCCATCTCAAAGGTCGAGCTCGGCTGTTCCAAAAGCGAACGCTTGCCGAGCCGGCCTAGGAAGTGGGTCTAGGTACGAGAACCCAGGAGACCTCCGTTGATCCCTAGCGCCGCACCGTTGTGCTACTAAGAGATCAAGTCGCCACAGTATTGGCATTCAAGCTCCAGTCTCCCATAGATATGCCACCCTTCAACAGCTTCAGTATGGGAGACCAGAGTACAGGGGTTGTGTAAACCTTTTAGAACAACTATTCACAAACAGCGCAGAGCAAAGAAAAGGAAGAATAAAAAGAAAAAGGAAAAGTCAACACCAGGCATTTGCTGGTCGTCACCAACCCAACCACTAACTACTCGGCTATCCAGATCTGAAGGACCGTCGTAACAGCCATAAACCTAGAAGATTAGCAATATTACCCCCCTCACCTTCGCCTTCGTTAAAGACTAAAGCAACGTAGAGTTTGTCAGCAGAACGTGTGGTTTGTTCATTCTAGCTGCCCCAGGTTGCGCAGTCTTTGTCTTCCTATCGGTCAGTTGAGCTCATCGCATGTAAAGCGCATCCAGCCCAGGTACCGTCTTGTATATGACATGCTAGTAACTTACATGACCTCTGTGGTGTCTCCCAAAGAAGTTGCCTCTTGGCGGCACTCGTAAGAAAAAGCAAGAAACTTCCCCTCGGCCATCTAGTCTGTTTAGAGCGAACGATAGACAAGGATTGGGCCGCGATTGGCATCCTCGACGAGCACAACCTCCAGCACCATCCGGAGGAGTGTGACCTTTTCGCCGTTCCGTTTGGCGACACGAAAGTGTGGTGGGTCGGGCGGTTCCCTATCCCAGAACTTGAGATGTTGCACGTAATACAGGGAGTTGCAGCCACTGCAGGAGCCCAAGCTAGGTCTGCTTTCGAAAGATTGTTCATCAGCATCAACACATACGTAGTATCTCGGGTCATTTTGACCAAAGAGAATTCGTCAATAGAAGCCGTCGAGTCCAGATTCATGTTCAAAGTTCGAGCCCGGCCGCCATGGGGTTTTCTTCAAGCGTCCAGCAAATATGACTGAGCTTAGATCGTGCGGGTAGCGCTGGAGCCGCAGTGTGCCTGCGTCAGCTCGCGTGCCATCCGTCGAGCGACTTCCCTGGGGCTCCAAGTGCTGGCGTGCTACGGTTGCTCCAGGGTCTGGCATGGCGCACGGGTCCAAGTCGAGAACATTCAATGACACGTGTCAAGCAGCCTGAGGGCCTTTATGTATCACCCTGTTCTGTTGCTTATGCAAAGGCATTGGGAGGCAGAAATAAATCAGGGCGAGGCTATGGAAGAGAAAGATGGGTCGGATGATGGGGACCTTGTACGCTCGCCGCGGGAGGGGCTTTGCGGGCGGGAAGCGTTCTCGTGATACAGGAGTGTGCCGCTCAAGGAGGCCTCGTTCTCGGCCATGTTGATGATTCATGCAGAAGCGTTACGCAACCACTGCATGCTTGATTTTCCGTGGACGCGTTGTGATTCATCTCCCAGCACTGGTGATCTCTTCCTCGCTAGTCGGCACCTATGCAAGACAAGGTAGTCGTGTCACTGCCACCATTCTCATCTCTACCTCCTAGACCCGGGTCATACACCACACCAGACTCGCGCTCATCGCGCAACTAGGGCGGAGAGGCCTGTGGGGGGTGAGTGTCGAGCACATGCGCTTCCCACGCACCTCATCTAGGACGCCGGAAAGGCTACTCAGACTGCTTCCTGCGCTAGTAAGTGACACGCTGATGCAGGCTCTGGTAGACTTTGCTATAGAGTAGGCAGCATCGGAATGAACGAGGTCACGCGGCCAGGTGATGGTTCCACGTCTGTGACCCAGAAAAGACCAAAATGTTCCGGACTCCTCTACCACCTATTATGTTCGTAAGTGATAGGAATAATATCACTAATACTTATGAACTGTATCACCCAGTGCAAAGACTTGACTTTAGAGCAATAGCTTATTGTAGTTAGGTCTAGGTACTCTGGTCTATTATGCCATCACTTCTCCGCAAACTCAACTGGTAGGTCCATGTGAATGAAAGCATCCAGCTTCTCGAGTTCCTATTTCGCTCCTGTCAGTGAAACATTTCCCATTATGATTTACTTCAATACGTACCTCCTGTGTAACAGGCTGAGATCCGATCGTAGAACTGCCAGTAACTAGAGCAGCAACAGGGTGTCCCACAGCCAACAAGATCTCCTCGCCTGCATTGTTCTTGACACCCGACCGGTCAACAACCGACACGGGCGTGCTTGCATTTGCGGACTTCCTCAGGGTCTTGACCGCTTCACACGGTGCGAAGCGCTCCGTGATGCCATGGACGCCATTGATCGTGTTCCGTTCATCAGCCAGTGTTGCCAGAAGCGCTACGTCCAGACCTTCGTTGAAACCGCCCACGGCGATCCGGTCAGGGTGGCATCCCTTCTTGATCTCCTCGTCAACAATCTTCTGCACTAGAGCCTCGTTCTTTGAGATGCTGTTGCCGCGGGGAGTCTCGGTGTAGTCGAGGTAAGGGAAGATAAAGGCGATATGGTTGCAGTGCCCGAGCTTGCGCAGGGGGTCGACCATGAACTGCCAGTCGCCGCCCTTTTGGCCCCTGCCATGGCACCAGACGTACGTCGACGTGTGGCAGGTGGGCACGGCGCGGACGCGGAGGTAGTCCTCGGTGAAGATAAGGGGATCGAACGCCATTTCCGGAGAGGTGCTATAATGAAGGGCTAATATACTGAGCCAGCAATCACGGTTAAAGATGCCTAGACTTTAGATCAGGGGTAGCGTTTCCTGGTATGGCGAGCTATTTATGTATCGCCATGATCGTTGTGAAGACTTCGACTTCTACTCCACAAACATTAACAACAGTGAAGTTCCAGCATAGATCTCTCGTTCCTCTTGTCCGGTAATGGGGAAATAACACAGGGCTAACACGATATCGCTAGCTCAAGCATGCAGGATGACGGCGAAGAGGATAGAAGCGATCACCTGATCGGCTAGCTGTGTATCTAAACCAAGGAGCTCGGCTACTAGCACAAGGTCGCAGGTTCTGGACTCTACCTAGGCTAAACCTCGAATCGGGGTGAACAGCCGTGCTTCAGAGCATGATCTGAGACAAAGGGTAGGCCCCCAGTAGACATCATCTAGCCCGTCACATGAGACTTGCTTGAGGTGCATCTGCCACCGCGTTAGCACGAAAATGAGTGGCACCTCGAATCTAGACTTAAGAGAAACGAGTTATGTGACTAGTGTCGTATGACTGAGATCACATTAAAATGATCTGAGAGACTGGCTCATAACATCTAAGTGCGACATTAGAGTGCTAATATACCAAATTGATAAAGATGAAGGCATCTGCAGACACAAACGTACGCGGGCATTGATTGATCCACGCTACAAACTACAATTCTCTAGTTAGATCCCATGCTTGCTGTAAAGCTTGTATCCCCTGCGAGGTTGTAATGGTCGTGAGCTGTTCGATTCTTATGAGCATCCTCACCAACTTTGCCTGATCTTCCGGGCTTTTTAAACACCGGCCACCTGCCTATATTAGCAACCAACACACAGAGAAAGACTTGGCGCGCCTTACAGATGACTAGTGGCTGTACGGCATTCACCAAAGCACCGTGATGTCTATCTTCGAGGGCCGTGGTCATCCCACATAGCTGAATTGTGTGTTTTGTGATCTCGGCCTGAACAAGCCTTAGCAGCCGCTTGACCCGGTGTACATAGAGTTCGACTTACTTCGAGGGTTCGAGCAAAGTGCAAGAATGCAATGCCATGGCTTCGATGTGGATTGTGTAAAGCCAAAAGCACCTTGACCAAATGATAGAACTGCATGGCAACAACTGAACAATATTGGGATTAGCTTGCCTGAGGGGTCGCAATGACTATCAAGAACTTACTGTGCCAAGTGCAGAGATACGAGATCGTAGGAAATGGCTTGCTATCTTCGATCACGTACAAAGGACGGAATGATTCGGGTAGGTTTTCCTTCCACTCGTTGACGTCGCGTTGTAGCTCGTCCCACCTGATTGTGTCGCCTTCTTCGCACCGACGCTCCTCTGAAAAACAGTAATCAATGACTTCAGCAGTCAGCATGGTCACCTTCTCGGTCATGACATGGTCATTATCTCCCCCCCAGGTGATGTCGGCCTTCCACTTGCCCGGGTCGATTGTGGTAGGCTTGCCAGTTGCGAGGGCGACCATGATCTCCTCTCGAAAGTATGTCCAGAACGCCGTCCGTTTGAGTGCTCGGTAGCCGATGTTCTTGCGATTATGCGTAAAAAGGGAGGAGGACCCCCTCAGATGGCGCTGGTGATCCGTTTCGTAGCTCATCATCTCATACATGCGAAGGATCACAGTGGATATAGGTAGCACGTTGTCAAGAGCAGTTGCAGGATCTGATAGTGCCGGGATCAGTTGCTGTATGCACAACTCATGATATGTCGAGGCTGAGAATTCGTTGTAGGAGCCGTCAAGGCGACTGAGATGGCAGGCTGAGAAGGCCAGAACAGCATGTAGGAGGATCGGGCAGCTAAGAGCGAGGTATGGAACAAAGGTTTCGAACTGGCGCTGAGGGTCGTTGAGATCAAACTGTTTTTCATCAGAGCTAGTCTTTTGATAATTCAAAACGGATGGGCGAGGTGTATACCCAACAGGCCAGGTTATGAATGTAGTGTTGGAGTAAGCCAGTGATCTGTGGGTCAGTAAGCGGCTTGATGGGGCCCTGTATGTACAGAGGCGATCCGGACTCTCTCATGCGAGCGAGAGATGTTATTGGGTCAACAGTATCGACACTAGAGACACTCATGATGGAGTGGGGGGATGTAAAATTCAAGGCGCCGGGAGATGGCCCAGGTGTCGATATCTGATTCGAGGCACCGGGGGCAGACATCGCTGTCAACGACACATTCGGGGAAGGATCTATCTTGGAGAGTTAGGTCAAATCATGAATGTCCATACATTCTATCACCTACCGTCCACTGACAGCTCCGCCGGCGTTGGTTCGTCCAAAGGCGAATCTGACAGAGGACTCGAGACTGTAGATGTTGAATCCTCTACCTCGCGGTCCTCCTTCCCGATCTCCACTGTATGGACAAAGGTGACTGTTCCGTAGTATCCCGTCAGAGTTGTGCCACTCACTTAAATATGCATCTGCAGAAAGGCAAGTAAAGATGGCTTACCCTCGGCAGGAGTATCAAGCCAGACATGATCAGGCGCAAACTTGAAGGCGCTATTGTTGCCGTCGACTCCAGTTTCTCTGCCATTGCCAGCCAAGTCATAATGGCAATCCCTACTTCCTACTTCGCAATGTCGACATTGAGGCTTCCGTTCATCACCTGTTCATCGTCAGATCGCCACGTCCTGTCGCTGGTATGACCGAGGGCAGGCATACACTTCATATGCCGTTTACGACACGTAACGCTGTTCGTGTCAGCTCTGCCGAGCGATGCTCTCTCCCTCGAATATCATAGTGCCTTCGGACTGGACACTCACCAACCTGAAACGAATTGTGAGCATGGCCATTCTATCAGCGCATCGCCGGGCTCTGCCCAAGTTGCTCACCAGTCTTGACGCGCCTGTGGATCTCCCGGGCTGGCGCCATTGCCTCGGGCTTGACATGATCTGGAACGAAACAGCAAGCACAGATATTTTCCTACTGCCAACAACTCTTCGTCTACGGTTTCCGATGGTACAGCGACTGGCTTTCTGTGTCCGAAGTGTCGGGAGCGATGGATCGAGTAAAGTGGCGTCGAGATGGATGGATGGTGAATGGATGTTTTAATTAGTTCACTGGACAATTCCTCCACGTGAGCCTAAAGTTGCTTAAACCCCGCTCGATTGGGGGCACTAGTTCAACACGTCCAGGGACCCTCCTCAGCATTTCAGCACCTCCAGCTGTAAACGCGTCATTGGTACAAACTGAATCACTGGAAAGAACATTGATTGTTTAATAACGGCGATCGTTGAAAATCCGCGTTTCAATACAAAATACTGGTTAAAGTGATCTATACGGCTACTCTAGTACAAGTCGACTTTACCTCCGCCCGAGCACAGGCTTTCGATGATGGCCAGATCGTTCAAAGCCTCTTCCGGCCCTGACCTAGGCTGCGCCTTACCAGTCTTGACGGCTTCGAGGAAGGCCTTGATTTCAAGCTCGACCCCGTTGCTCTTGAGAGTCTGACTCCTCTTCTCGCCCGACTGTGGCTCGAGCGTCAACACATACCCTTCCGGGCAGTCGGTGAGCGTGAAGCTGCCTTTGGTGCCGATGATGGTCAACTCCGTTGCGCGCTTTGTCGCCGCGAACGACATGGATATGGTACCTGTCCCTCCGCCGCTGAGGAGAATGCCGGCGTTCACGGTATCTAGCGGCGGCAGGTGAGGCGCGACCTGGCGGGCATAGCCGTGCGTCTCAACGACCTCCTGCCCCGAGATGTACCGGAGCATAGCTGTCTGGTGGACGCCGCCGTCGAGCAGGAACCCGCCCTGGTACTCGGGGATCTTCCGCCACGGAGTCTCGTAGTACTTGCCGCCGGGTGCCTGGTTGCGCCAGATCCTGAGGTGCAGCTGGGTGATGTCCCCCACGGCCTTCTCGTCGACGACCCACTTGCGCCCGAGCTCGAACTCGGGCATGAAGCGGAACTGCTCGGCGATGCTGAAGACGAGCCCCTGGCCGGCGTAGTTCTTCTTATAGTCCTCGATGAGCTGGCGCGCCGTCTGGACGTCCTTGGCGACGGGCTTCTCGGACAGGACGTGCTTGCCCGCTGTGAGGCATCGCCTGATGATGTCGGGTTGTACGGTGATCGGGAGGACAATGACGACCGCCTTGATGTCGTCGCGACGGAGGAGGTCGTCGAGGGTGTGACCCGCGCTGTCCTCGGAATATAGCTCGACCCTTGCGTTGCCGAGCTTCTCTGCGGCCGCGACCAGGGTTGACGCCGTGGCTTTGGACCGGGAGTAGATAGCCTTGATGTCTGCCTTGTTTGACACCAGTGCGGGGAGGTGCTCTGTAAGTGGGTGTCAGCACGTGAAGTTGCTTGGTTGTTGATGCAGTCGTTGCTGACCATCCGTGGCAAAGATGCCAGCTCCTATTATTGCGATACCAACCATTTTGTGAAGACGTTGACTCCTAATTTTGAGTTCCTCGTTCGTTCGTGTTCGTGGCTTGATGACTTCTGGAAGAATCACGGGTCTCGATATATACTAGATGTGCAAACAGGCATGTGAGAGGCAAGCCCGAGCAGCCCCCAGCGACTGTCTCGAAATCCCACCTCATCCCACCTCATCCTTCTTCCCGCATCAAGTGTGGCAGCAAGCCGTACACGCAAAACAATGCATCGAGTAGCTGCCAATTGTGGAGACCGATCTGCGTCAATGCGATGATGTCCTCGGCTGCAGCCTAATCTGGCTGCTAAGCGATCATGTGCCCGGCTAGTCCACCGTGTCTGTTTGCTTTCGAGTCTGAACTGACGTCGACGCTTGGAGATCCCCACCCTCAGTCAGACTGCGCGACCCCGCAGCAGCGGCCGGCATCGCAGCCGACTAGACGTGTCAGCTTTCAACGCGTCCGGGAGTCCCCACGCTCAGACTGCCGAGGGTCATTGATCATAGATCACAACGGGGTGAAGCCTCATTGTTTCTTACATAACCGAGATGCAAGCATGCCCGACGCGAAGGCATCGGACCGGTGCCAGAACCGTAATGATCACCAAGCGTAGTATAAGTTGAATTTCGACTGCTCCCTTGCGGAAGTCCTGTATCACCAGCCCGGCATCTAATTGTTTTGCTACCCTTGTCCGTACCCTACTGTACTGTACTGTACTGTTGGCGTGATTACAAGATGGCGCAGTTGTCAAGAGTGGCCGTTGACAAGGGCTGGTATTTCAAGCAGGCGAGCAAGCTCAATGATTCCACTGCTTCCTCTTTCCTCCCCGTTGCCCAGTTCCCAACTGTTGCGCACATTGACCTTCTCCATCACAATCTTATCCCAGACCCATACATTGACGACAATGAGATCCCCTGCCTTTGGGTCAACGACGCCGACTGGACATACCGCACATCCCAGATCCCTGAGGTCGATGTACTCAAGTCTGGACAGCGTGCCGTGCTTGTCTTTGAGGGGCTAGACACGGTGGTCGACGTTTTCCTCAACGACCAGCACATCCTGGCTAGCAAGAACATGCACTTGCAGCATAGAGTGGATATCACCGATTCGCTGAAACAAGCCAAGGGCAAAAGCGTGCTCGAGCTTCGCTTCCGGGCTGCCCCTGCCTTCGCGAGAGAAGAGAAAAAGCGCGTTGGCTATAAGGGCGATGAAACACAGGTCAAATACGGCGGACCGGAGAGGCTGTTTCTACGCAAGGCGCAGTACCACTGGGTAGGTCCGAACATCTTCGAGTCCAAGCATGTCGGGAGCTGAAGGGCTGACCAACCTCATAGGGGTGGGACTGGGGCCCAGCAGTCAACACCTCGGGGCCGTGGAGGCCTATATACCTCGAGTGTTTTGAGAAAAGGGTCGATCAACTCCTTATCCGACAGCAAGTCTCTCATGACCTGAAGACTGCTTTGCTGACTATCAAAGGGTCGGTGGAGGGTGTATCCTCAGGAGAAGAGGTTGTCTTGGAACTTCAGGATCCATCTGGTGCTGTTGCCCAAACCCATCGTATCAAGGCAGAGGATGGCAGGTTCCAGTCCGAGATCATCGAGGAGCAGCCTCAGCTGTGGTATCCTCATACATATGGCGGTCAGCCTCTCTACACTATCATCGCCAAGATCCCGAACTACGATAGCAAGAGTCAACTCATCGGCCTGCGTCGGCTCCGCCTGCTCCAGCACTCTCTGGAGCACGCACCTGGCACCTCCTTCGTCTTCGAAATCAACAACGTCCGCATCTTCTCCGGCGGCTCGTGCTGGATCCCAGGCGACTTCATGCTGCCACGCATGACGCGCCAGCGCTACGCCGACTGGCTGCATGTCGCCAAGAGCGGGAACCAAACCATGATCCGCGTTTGGGGCGGTGGCATCGTCGAGTCAGACGACTTCTATGACGTTTGCGACCGCGAAGGTGTCCTTGTCTGGCAAGACTTTCCCTTTGCTTGCGGAAACTATCCTGCCTCCAAGGACTTCATGGAGAACGTCAAGGTGGAGGCCGAGCAGCACCTGAGACGCGTGGGTCACCATGCGAGCCTGGTGATATGGGCGGGCAATAACGAAGACTACATGGTGGCTCAGAGGTATGGGTGGGAGCTCGATATGAGTGACGAAAGCGGCCCGTGGGATAAGACCAATTTTCCGGCTAGGGAGATTTATGAGCGGTTGCTACCGGGTCTAGTTGAGGAGCTGGGTGGCGATGTTCCGTACTGGCGGAGCAGTCCTTATGGAGGTTCCTTCTCAAATGATACCACGGTTGGTGATGCCCACATCTGGGATGGTGAGTTCTCTTCTATCAAAAGACTAAGTGACGGACTGGAGCAATACTGACGATGGTACCCACAGTCTGGCATGGCAAGCTATCCCCGTACCAAGACTACAAGAACTACACGTCTCGTTTCATCAGCGAGTTTGGCTTCGAGTCTTGTCCCTCTTTACGCACCTTCCACCGCGGCATAACTGTAGCCTCAGAGCGGCACGCCCAGTCCCGCTTGTTTGACATTCACGACAAAGGGCCGGGTCACTCAAGAAGATACCCCATGTACATGGGCGAGAACTTCCGGTTCCGAATGAACCCTCTCAGAGACTTTGTCTACTGCACCCAGTTCCTGCAGGCCGAGGCCATGAAGTACGCGTACAACTGCTGGCGACGCGAGTTCCGCGGCCCCGGGCAAGAGAACTGCGCTGGTGTGCTAGTGTGGCAGCTCAATGATATCTGGCCGGGCACAAGCTGGGCTCTGGTTGACGTCGATCTGCAGCGCAAACCCGCCTATTACATCACGAAGCGGGCGCTTGCCAAGGTCGTCGTGGGCATGGAGCGGACCGTTACCGGACAGCCGCTGTACATCGTCACGGGTTACCCGCCAGAAAAGCATGCACTGGATGTCTGGGCCGTTAACGGCGCGCTGGAGCCACTCAGAGCCACACTGAAGCTGAGCGCGTTCAATATCGAGTCTGGGGCTCAGGTTTCACTGCCCAAGAACGTTGCTGAGCGAGAAGTTATCCTTGCGCCAAACCAGACAACTGAAATCACGAGCATCAGCATTCCAGATCCAGACCACACCGTCATAGCAGCGTTCCTTGACGACCCAGCCACATCTACGCGCCTTGCACGCTGGGTGTCCTGGCCTGAACCTATGAGGCTGATACGCTTCTCGCCGAACCTGCAAGTCAGTATTGATGTCTCCAAGACTGGCGACAAAGTAGCCATTAGCGCCAATGCTCCTGCCAAGGGAGTCATGCTTTCTGTGCCGCTGGCTGAGGGAGGCCAAGACGCGGTCTTTGACGACAACTTTATTGACTTGGTCCCAGGTGAGACCATCGATATTGGTGTCCAAGGCCTCGACGGAAGGAGTTTGCAGCCGCGATTCTTGTGTGACTGGGAGCTGGAGGAGGGGTTCGAGCTGTAGCCCGCATGAAGATGGCTCACACCGTCTCTCACGCCATCCCAAGAATAACTCGATAGACCATTCTGTATTAATTGCATTCTCTTTCTCTGGTAGAACTTGTCATCATCTTGAACATCGTCAACTCATCACACATCATCGCATACACGCACCGCGTCATCCTAACATGCTCTCACTCTCTCAAACGCCTATCACTCCGCCCAACCCCATACCTAGCCAGGCCTCATATACGCCGGAATAGTCTCATAAGCCTCCACCCCCTCGGGGATCGGCACCACGGCCTCCTTGGTGAACAGGTGCTTGGCGCTCTTCCAGTCCAGATCCTTGATCAGCCCGCCCTTGATGGCGACAGAGTCCCTGGGCGTGCCGTCCTTCTCGATGATGCGGTGCAGGATGCGCACGCCGCACGTCTTGCAAAAGTAGCACTCCCCCTCGCGGCCCGAGTCGGACTGCTCGGCGGGGCGGATCCATCGCTGCGCCGCGGCCTGGTTGGCCTCGGAGAGGGGCAGGATCCCCTGCGAGGGGAAGATGGCGGAGGTGCCGAACGCGGAGCCGGTCTGGGCGCGGCACTGGCGGCAGTGGCAGTGCCAGACGGCGATCGGGGCCGGGGTGGGCGTCTTGAAGGAGACGGCGCCGCATTGGCATTGGACGTCCATGTTTGTTGGTGTTTTGGGGGGTTGTGCCAAGTCGTGTTCAGATTATTCGCTTGGGCGGAAGCTGGGAAGAAGGCTGGTTGCTGGACGTGAACAGCTAAGGACAGAGGTTGAGAAAGAGCGCGTCTCTTCTTGAAAACAGCGACGGGCCGCAGTTTTATCGGCGAGTACGGGCGATGACGGCAGAACGAGATGCCGGTGCGGAGTAAGCTGAGGCGGTTGCCACTGTTTGCGGACGAGCATTGCCGATCTGGCGCTAAAGAGCTGGGCGGCGGAGCTGATGTCAGACCAAAGGCTTGACAACACTGCAAAAAGCGACTTCGAAAGTGATTTCCATTTCCTCTCGACTTTGATCCCTTCTTCTCCCCTGTGAATGTCACGCCAGGTTGAGCATTGTACTTCTTTGAAGGCGCCGTGGCTGCTCATTGAAATGTCGGCTGGAATGCAACGACACTTGTACAAGGACCATCCACGAACGCCATAGCATCCAATGCTGTCGATAGAAATGTAATGCTTTCCTACTACATAATGGTCTAACAGCCTAAAAGCCCTATTCAACTCCAGCATTCAGCGAGAGTCCCTCCCGGAAGAAACATATGAACCGCGCTGTGCTTGTGGTATATCCGTAAGTACGAGCAGATGGCAGGGCGTTCTAGTCGGGCTCTGAGCTCGATCCACCACACATTCTGGGCCTTGCCATACCATAGATACATCAAAATCAGAGCCACAGGGTCTCTCTCATACAAAAGGCCCTTGAAGCGGCCATGTATACAGCGCGTAAGGATTTGGGTGTGGCCGGTGGTGATCTGACCGTTTGGGACAGACTGGACATGAGCTACCGCATGTGCGGCACTAAAATAGGCGTTGTTCTCTGCCGTAGAGTCCTCTCCCAGCTGGCAGATTTCAGCCAAAGCTTTCGGTATGCCACTAATACCCTTCTTTGGCGAGGCCAAGTGCATTTGAGCAAAACTCGGTGCCATGACACGGAAGACGCTGTCCGGCCGCATCGGGTTGACGATATGCCACAGCGACATCTTTCCCTTACCCATCCGTACCCATTCTAGGTCGGAGGAGGGATCCAAGGGCTTCAAGGGCCATGACTCTTCCACCGTAGATGCGTCAGGGAATGCGAACGACAATATGGCTAGAGCAGCAGCAGTACCCCAGAGAGGGTCCTTATCTTTCGACTCGATGGGCAGTTTCAGTCTTCTATTGAAGAGGACCGTGCTTTTATACCAATGGTAGCACTCTTCCGGTGTACGGCGACTGCCGAGAGAGCCGTTCTGATAATGGTCATATGCAAACGACACCGCGAGACTGGCGTGCATTAGGTACGGGTGCTATGGATCCTTTCTCAGCACGCTCATAAAAGAATAACAGAAAAGGGGAGTGACGGGTGGCGGTCGAGACATACGGTGAAGGTTAGTTCCAGGAGATTTCGATTGACCTCGATCAGGATGGGATCGCCTGGACTCATGAGACCTCGATCCAGGTACCGAGTGAGAAAGTCTTGGCCCTTTGGACTCAGTTGATATGAAGCCGTTGCATCAGACGTCCAAACAGCACTGGAGATAGGAGCCTGGGGCCCTGATGCAGAAGTGACTGATGACCTGATCGAATCCTCGGCAGCGGGCAGGAGATCGGCAACCCCATGCAAGTAGTTGCACACGATTCCGAACGAACAGCATCGCTTACACTGCGGTCTACATTCGTCGCACTGCGAAATGCAAAGGTTAGCGAACCAGCCATCAGGAAAGGCGACCGAGGGCAAGTACCTTGACCTTCCTGAGTTTGCAATTCCGACAGCCGAGCCTGGACCTCCGGGTCAACCGCCGTGCCCGACTATCTCTCGCAGCAGCTAGCGGCATTTCCTGCTCTCGATTCATTGCCGAAGATCTTCTTGAGCTGAGCTCAGGTAGGTTTTGGGCGAGGAGGAAATATCGGAGCATCTATGTCAGGACAGCGAAGCCATTCTCCAAGTTACGAATCACTACCAAACCATCCTACGCTAACCCTCCTACGGCTATTGCGGCTCCTGATTGGGATACATACCAGTTAAAGTGGGGTTGAGTAAAAGCACTCAGCATTAAACACAAAGCTCCGGAGTTTACGGGGATACTTCTAGTGCTTAGAGGTCTAGCTGCTTGTCGGCAGTTGGAAGCCCTCATTGGCTCATGAGTATGGGAATTCCGTGAAGGCTCTGTGGTGTGTATCAAAGGTTGATCAGATGGCTAAGCTGATCTGTCAGGCTTGGTGGTAGGTATGGGACTAATAAATTCACCCTTCCGTGCTTCTGGTCATTGCAAGCAGGGTAAGTACTCAAGCTCCTCGAGAGAATAACCCTCTGTTTCCCGAAGGAAAACACAAGCATTTCGGACGCTACACAAGCTCCTTTAAGCGCGTTCACCAAAGCCATTCAACGCCATGATAGTCTTTGTCACGGGCGCCATAGGAACTATCGACAAGGCCGTGACGAAAGGATTGCTTGCCCTTGGACATCAAGTCCTCGGATTCGCCCGCAGAGATACGGGAGCGGAAGAACTCAAGAGCCTCGGTGCTGATGTCCAACGTGGCACATCGACCGATCTCAATGTCCTCACCAAAGCAAGTGACTACGAGAAATGCATTGGAGCGTCTGTTTACATGCCATTTAGGCTGTCGTTCAGTCGCAGCTGTTTATTAAAAGAAATACATTCAAACAAGAGTAGACAAGGGTTCTGATACCAGACCCGCTTAGAGTTACGAGATACCTTCCGGGATCCAGTATTCCCTGTATTCTGGGCTGCATGTCTATTTGAGCACTTATAAGATTCTAGATATCATGTGTCTGTGAAGAAAGACCTCGGATGTTGGAGAAGAGTCCAGTATCATTTGGAGACTATCGAATATGAAAGAAACATACTGAAAATGTGCCGTACCATAAATAGACAGAATTTAAGAACGCAATTCGCCTCAGGTTAAACGATAACGCCTGCTCTAACCAACGCAACCAGAGAAAGCACTCAAACCGATCTTCATTTGTCGATATTGTACCCAGTTGATCTCAGAAAACAACGCGAGGGAGAGGAATAACACGATCGGGAAAGGCTTTCGAGCTTTGGCAACTTCGCATCAATTCTTCCTGATGAAGGTTAGCAGAGTAGTCCCCAGGATGGGACTTTCTCGGTCGTGGAACTCACCAGATCGACCGGCTTGGAAGATTCAATCTTGTAGACATTGTGCCTCATCTGGAAGCCAGTTAAAGATCAGTCAGGCAAGCGACTTTGTAATGGTCCGTTATGTTGGCTATGGCATACCTGGACTCGAACTTTTGCACCTTCACCAAGTTGCTGTCTAAGACGTAGCCGTAGCTCCTCGGGCCCAGCAAATTTGGTGTGAAGCTCGACCTCTTCGCCATCACTATCGGCGCTCACTTCCAAACCCGAAGTCTTCCTGTCATTCTTGGCATTCTCAGGCATTGGCTAGTACTTGTTTCCACTTCAAGCGTGTCGACTAAATCGTTGTTGATAAGGAAGAAAAACTACGGGCTGGAAAGGAGTATGTGCGAGTCGGTTTTACTGAAGCATGAGAAACGCGCTTTACTGGAGTCTAAGTGGAAGGGGGGTCATTTATGCAATTATATGTCCCGCAAGTGTGACTACGAACCAAGTTGGGGGTGGCAAAGCCCGGTCTGAGCCGCTGTCCCCATGACAGCATCAGTGGTGCAGCTACGACGTGATCTCTGGAAGGGGTGCCAAAGAAAAGGCAGCCAGGTCGTTTTGGTTAGGTGCCCCCTTGCTTAAGTAGGACAGGTTTGAGGTCGCCAAGGTCTGTGAGGCTGACAGGCATATTTTGTCCACTTTGGCCAATCATGTCCGGCATGCTGCCGAGTCATCACATCACACGGCGCCGGATGTCGCAGTCGTAGACCTTGAGGTAGCGCTGACCGAGGAGAAGAATGCCATGGTGTGTCACTACATCATGGGAAGATGTTTTTGGGTGATGGGTTTATCAGGCGGCCAACTCTGAGTCCGAGCCTTTCTATTTGTGTGTGTTGGATGCAGAAATAGCCAACAGCCCACCATCTTCATCATGAGCCAAATCAGACTGCGTAAGCGTCGCCCCCAAATGTACCAGGAAAAGAACAGAGATTCTGATACAGGGATGAGAGTAACCACAACTTGTCATGATCCTCTGTTTCCCCTAATGTTTGGTGTAGACGAAGAACGATGTCTTGTAATGCAAGGCACATCCACAATTCATTACAGACGATCCAAGGCCAATCTAGGGTGAATACCTGCAACATTCTCTCTCGTTGCCCATTCATCAAGGGAGCAGACGATGAGCTCATTTTGGAGAGGGGAGGGTGTGGGAACATATCGGCTTCCAGCGAACCACCAGGCTGGCGGTCGGATGAGACACCTGGGCATTCCATCAGAATCCATGGGGGGGCAACCAGCATTCGGGCACCTCCTCGTTTGCTTTTTTAAGATGATCAGCTCATGCTGCGGACCCAACCACTGTCTGCTGATGTGTTTCGACCTGCCATTTATGCCAAATTCAAGGTCGAGATGACAGCGAAGCGCGTCGCACACGAGGAGAGCTGAAAGGTCGTCCTGGGGCCTGCGCCCTGCTTGGGTACAGAACATGCCGGCCGCAGGAGGATCCTAAGAAGCAGATAGATCGGTGGTGTGGCATCCTCAGACGTAATAGTGGCGGTGGCAGACCGCCCCCAATTCAACCTTGGCGTTTTTCTGATCTATTGGCAGCCCGGGGCTGCTTTTACGCAGTAGGTGTGTGTGGCGCCTGCACAAGACATACCTAAGGCACAGCCCAGCCTTAGAGCACACTGCATGGCCGTCACACACCGTACTTGCGTGAGCTGTACTCGGAACGACTGGACTCCAGGATGTGCGTTTCACGGGGCTTGAGCCTCAAGGCCTGTGAGTGCGCTTGCTCCGGTACTGATACTTAAATGACACCGGAAGAAGAACCATATCTACCTCCACGAGTCCTCTTGCCACCGAAGCGTGCCTCGCGAAACATACCGATAACAGCCATGTCCGACCTGAGCTCCGCGTAGCACCCTCTCGCCTCGTACCTGTGCCAGTCACCATGGAGCCCGTCGGCACACCTATCGAGGACGCCGTCAGACCTGGCATTGGGACGAGTAACACCCGTACTCCCCTACCTTTGGACTCCAGTTCCACCTTCAATACTCCCGATATTGGAAAGCTATCTCCCTCACAAGCACCAGGTCATCCGTCGCTGACTGCCCAGAGCAGCAGCCAGGTCACAGTCAATGACTTTGGGGATTCCAAGGAGCTTAGCGAACATCGACCGCCCAACAATGCCGCTGAAGACGACCGAAAATTTGATGGTGTTCTGGAGAAATGCGATGATTCCGGGAGCCCTAGTGCCATCGACCATGATCCCCCGAGTCGTGACGAAATCGTGTCCCACGCAGGAGGCCACTTCCCAGACAGTCTCTCCCGACACCAAGCACTGAAGGAACAAGACCTCCGAGACAGAAGCGCCAATGCATCACATCCTGACACAATAAGAGAGCCTGCAGTCCATGAAGAGGCTTTGGAGGAAGCTCTTAGAGCTGCGTTGTGCAACTGTCCCAATTCCAAGGATGGGTTCGTCCCGTTTGACGCCTTGAACCGTCTCATCACCAAAAGCCACGTTCTATCAGAACTATCAACCACTCTACCTGGTGTTGGGAGAAAGGTTATCGAGGAATATTCCCAGGCAGTTCTAGCTCGCAAGGTAATTCCTCCTCCTGGACCAACTGTGATCCCGACCTCGTCTCCAACGTTCACTACCCGGCGGAAGATCTTCGCTATCCTCGTCCTCCTCGGAAAGGTACCTGCCATCGTCGATTTTATCAGAGAGGATCTCTATGACAACATCCTTCCGTTAAAGATAATCGATAATCACAAACAAGGAAGACCCTTTCTGTATTACCGACCTGTCAAAGATGGTGACCTGAGGCCCCTCGAATTTGCTATACCCTGGAGAGCTGCCGACCGCGAGCAGTTCGAGCAGTACCAGTGGCGTTTCCTGGCCCCCTACTTCGATGTGTGCAACGAAAAAGGGAAGAACAAAGTCCACCACTACGATTTACCGGATGGAACCGTACTCCCCTTTATGAAAAAGGACCAGTATCTCAGAGGCGGCTACAGCGATGTTTGGCGGGTGATCATACACCCTGCCCACCATAACCATCCTCAACAGGTGAGAGTTCATAATGTGTTTACATATGAAATCCCTGGCAGTCATATACTAACTACTGCGCAGAACAGCCCGTCTTTTGCGATGAAGCGGCTGCGAGATGGCACCGATTTCAAAGTGTTCAAAGCCGAAGCTTCAAACCTCAAACGATTTAATAGCCAAGGCTTTCCTCACCTGATCAAACTTTACTTGACCTTTCGCCTCCAAGGACACTATTACCTCCTCTTCCCATGGGCAGATGGCAATCTACTACAGTTCATGAAGACCACATTCCCCGACCCGAGAATACCTTGCCGCACTCGCGAATTGGCGATCTGGTTCATGGGAGAGTGCTGCGGTGCAGCAGAAGCATTGAGGATGATTCACACCTTTCCCACGAGTGAGCAACCATCGGTGGTGTCTGCGCCGCAGGCAAAACATGGTTACCACGGGGATCTGAAGCCAGAAAACATCCTATTCTTCCTAGACCACGAGGGAAGAGAGGACTTGAATGGGTTGAAGATGGCAGTCCTGAAAATTGGTGACTTCGGCTTGATGCAGTGGCACAACTCAAGTTCGGTGGAAAAAGTTCAGGCCAACGCTGTTTCGCGAACATACAGGGCTCCAGAATGGGACATTGGAAAAAAAGTGGTTTCCCAGAGCCACGATATCTGGGCTTTGGGGTGCGTTCTTCTCGAGTTTTGTGCTTGGTACCTGGGAGGTTGGGAAGAGGTTGATCAATTCTCCCAGAGGCGCGCTGGTGGAGACTCTGGTGATAACGGTTGGGACGACTTTATCCGAGAGGATGCTTTTTTTGACTACGCCAAGCTACCGACAAGCGGCCCAGATGATCCAGATATCTGCGTTAGAGCCAAGCAAGCGGTCTATGAGGTGCGTTTGTGCAATCATTTGGGAGAGCTGCTGTCGATATGCTGACCCGACAGTCCAGGAGTTTGCCTCGCTTCTAAATCTGAGCAACTGTACCGACTTCATGACCAAGATGCTCATTTTTATCAGAGAGCACCTCTTGAGGATAAATTCCAGGAACAGGGCAGATTGCGACTACATCTGCACCGAGCTGAAAAAGATTCACCAAGAATGTATTGCAGATGCAGCTTTCTGCACTGAGCGTCTCAACGTCGGGACAATTCGTGTGGGAACGGATCTCTCGGAGACGTACGCTCTCAACCCATCAGCGGTGCAGAAGGATCATATCCAGCGGCAGAACCCGTTGCTTAATCACACGGGTCCAGTCAATGCGGGTAACGTGGAACCTCTTAATCACGACTCCGAAAGCCCAGGGCCCAGCCGTTCTTCCCGGGAAGCAAGACAATCCATCTCCTTCCCAGAAAAGGAGTACAACATAGTTGGCAAGCTCATGGAGAGTAAGCACGACAAAGGAGAAAATATCACTTTGGTAGTGGAGCAGTCTGGCGCACAGTTACTGTCCGAGGATCATGTAGTATCCCCCGACAACCAGGACCAACAACCGCGAGATACTACGATCGAGAACGGAAATAATCGGAACTCCCATTTGGTGGCATCCCAGCCGACATCACCCTGTGAAGCCATCGCTGAGGATGAGCTTGAAGAGGGGATGCAAAGCCAGAAACAGACAGGGGAGATTGAGCCGCAAGTCAATCAGGCTCCTTCCAATGCCAATTGTCCCAATGCCGCTTCTTCCCTGAATGTCCCACAAGGCGCTCCGAGCCATCATTCAGGGGCGTCAGTTAAGAGTGGGAAAGGGTCTCGTGGAGCATCGTCCATCACCGCTACGAATCGTAGTCAGGAAAACGGAAGCTTTGACCCCGGCCCCAGTCCAGCACCTCCCGGCGACTCCGAGGGGCCACAGCTGAAGCGGTCCTTCCGGTCCTTTCTAAGACGTCTCTTCTGCTTTTCGTCCGAGGTTTGATTGTAGCACTTGGGCGGAATTTAGAGTGAAGGTGCATATAGAATTTCGCCAGAGGCAAGGTACCTGGAGTTGCGGCGTTTGGGGCATGTATGAGGACATGGCGCCAGGGGCTTTCTGCACATTTGTACCTAGTATCGTGGCATGTACATGCGCGTTTTTAATAATCCCTGAACGGACGGCTCTAGACTAGGGGCGCAGCTTTCTGTAGTTACAAAAGTGGCTGAGTCCACCCTGCAGGAGGCACCTGCATCTGTGCTTTTCATCCTAGCACTGAGATGTTGATACAGTCCCCGTGTGAGAATTTGGGTGCCTGGGCGGCCTGGCCACCCAGAGCGCCAAAAAGTCCTCGGAAATATTATATGTCACACATTGGGGCAGTGACAGCACTGATCGAGCAAATGAAAGCGAATAGAATTGCGCTTGTGCTCCAGTCACGACGTCAGGGGGTAGCAAAGTCGTCGGGGCTGAGCACCCTCCTGGCGTCCGCCACTCAAGGAAGCGAGCCCAGGACCCTCAATTGGCGCTTCCAAGCTGAAGTTGCGATGTGAAAATATTACTGGATACCAGCAGGAATCCTGCATAAGCAACGCGTGGCACTTGTCTTGATTTTATCAAGGGTACGGACGTGATATTGGATGCCATTTCCAATACTAATTTGATGGCAAACCAACAGCTTGCCTCCGGAGATGCTGGACGGACCCATCCCATCCCGTATTTCGGCGTATATTCGGCTGACATGATTCGGAGCAACTCGTCCAAAAGCAATACCTGGCTTCTATTTTTATGGCCACGTACTCCGCCATCGGACTGATAAATACTCGGAGCAGAATCCAACACCTCCGTAGCAGATCAATATCCCTAACACATACCTGTTAATAAACATATCTGATGGAGGGAGGCAATTCAATTCAAGGCCATGGCCAAGATAGCTCCCAGACGCAAGAAATTCCATATCACCAAATCAAAGACCCACAGAAGTTATCATCTCTTCTCAGACACAAGTTTGGGCCAGGCGGTTATGAGGTTGAAGTGAGTGTTGGTTGCTAATAATCCCCTATGGCTTGACTGACATCCTTTCTGAAGATGAGGCATAATACGTACCATATCAGGGCCCCCAGAAAGCTTACCGATGTAAGTGAAACCCAAGCTTCAGGGTATCGGATCCTGACTAGTTTGAAAAAGTATGAGATCAAGAAGTATACTTGAAAGTAAGGTTGAGCTCTGAGAAGCTGGCTTCAGTTGATGGATGGACTTGTCCTTTACCAGTGTGACATCACTTTCATGAGCTAAGGCTCTGTATGGATGAACATGTTTTCCTTTGAACAATTGGTTCGATCCTGTATCACCTTGAACATAGACATTATCTGCGGCGAACCATTGACAAATACACCACTTTTGCACAATCCATGTTGTAGGAGTAGACTTAGAACTTAGACAATCTGAGTTTCAGGGTCCAAGAAAGCTAGGGGGTTAATCGATAGGAATGAAAGAAAAAGGGAATAATGCGAATAAACACAACTCCTTTGCCTCCGGATCTTACCCAACCTCCTCGTCACTTCTTGCCATCTTGGACCGTCTTGAGGGACGGTACTGAATGAAATACCACCAGAGACCAACGGTTAGGAGAGTCAATACCACTACCGTCAAGGCATAGATCCAGATGTAGCTTGATACAGAACCAGAGTCCCCGTCCCACTTGAAGAAGCCCATTGAGAACACGCTCTACATCAGATTAGCATTTCCCATTTCACAAGGCCAGATTCTGCATTTAGCTCGAGCTGCCAACGTACCGCTAGAAAGGTCCCAGGGAGGAAGAACATGGTGACAAAGGCAATAGATCTCATTAGCTTTGAGTCACGATTCGTGCCGATAGCAATCTGAACATTCGTTTCTCCGTAAGCCTAAAGCAAATTAGTTCGAGAGACCTCAATATGTAATTGCTACATTCACTAACCCATTGAGTCGCCATCGCCATGCCTTCGATTCTCATGGTGCAGTCTCTGATTTTATCATCATATTCGTCGATGATGTCCTCAAGTCGGTCATGAATACGACGGCCAATACGACGTAGGGAAGCCGCGGCCATCCCATCACTGCGCTCATCCACCTTTGATACATCACTACTGTGGTCTTGAATTGACTGAAACGCTTGAGCTCCTGAGGTACAAACGTTAGCTTGACTCAATAAAGACCGTTGTAGGACGGGGCGAAGCTCTAAGCGGAGACATTCTGAGCTTTCGGATTTCAGTGTAAGGTTCAAACTTGCCTTGGACTGGAACTTCAGGATTGGTTGACACCGTCTTCTCATTTGTCTTCTGAAAGCAGGAATGAACTTGGTCGTGTTCAACAAGCGCCTCGGCACAAGGCATCTCGTCATTTAGATACTTCAAACTCGACATGTCCTGTGTTCGGGATGGATGATAAGAGCGGGAGTTTGGATGGCTTGTGTTGGCAGTCAAATCTACTTCCTCAGCATGGCGAGACATCTTCCCTAATTGGCGGCTCCAAGTGATGAGTCCATTCCTGAGATAGGTAGTATCAAGCCATGCTGACCGTTTCTGTTGGTTTCGGGTCTCGGTTTCGGCATCAGGGAGGCCCTCCATGTCCTTTCGGGTGAAGTCTAGCTGGAAGATCTTGGTCTCTATTTCATCGATCACAGCTTCAATGAAGTTCACATGTCGTGTCCTCTCTAGCTCGGCAAAAATACCTGGTAGAATCATCGGATGCTCACATTGTGCAAGTGACGCCGCTACCCTCATCAGGATCTCCTGCTCGACTTGGAGAGGACAGCCGAATATGATAGCAAAGGTAAGGCCATATTCGGGGAAGTAGGTCGCAGATAATGCTAGGTCCATCTCCCAGGCGTTGCTTGTTCGGCAATTGTACACTGCATGTGATGAATGGGTGAGCAATGGGACAATGTGACCCCATCAGCGTAACTCACCATATGCGGGATGATCGTCCCCATTCTCATCCTCCAGTCGTACCTGGCTGCTAGAAAAGACCGGAATATCAGCTCGGCTGATAACTGAAGCTATCGAACCATGCGTGTGAAATTTTGCTGTCAGGCTTCGGAAGACCTTTTGAGAAAAAGGCAAGGATCGGACACTTCGTTGGCCGCTCATGACAGGGACCTCTTTCGATGAGCCTACGTGACGCGTCTTCTCAGCTATGGTCTCAAAGGTGAGTGCCCGGTGTGTGATTCGCCGTTCTGGTGTCAAGTTATGCTCAACCCATTCTGCGAGTGGGATCTTCCAAGTACCATTCGTGTTGAGAATCGCCAGAGGTTCGTGAATGCGCTTGGCGATACTGCGTTCGTTAGACTGTCTCTAGTCAACAATGCACGATGAGGGAATATTGCTGACACGAAAACCAGTCCGGGGCCAAAGTCACGGTCAATGCTAGGGCATTCCTAGCATAAGTCAATATCTGGCCTAATCAAGACCTTGCCAGTTAGACTGGGAAACTCACATCCTGTAACCAGCAGTCCCATTCAGTGTCTCCGCTCAGATTCCAGACGAACGCCTCCTTCATAATTGTCAGCTTGGGAATGCTCCAGGTTCGGGCGGCAGAACTTCGTTACCTTACTCCTCGCTGACACCCGCACTACCGTGCTCTGGTCTTCTCTATACTTGAAGACTTGGCCGAGATCCCCATCTTTCAGACCTGAGTGATCGGTGATCCAGTTCATTCTCGATCTTCACGATCAGCTGGCCTGTAGGTGTGGTAAAAACTGCTGCGATGTTTTTGGGAAGGCGGGCCGCGAACCAGGCTGACAGCATGAGAAAAGGCCAGTGGATCAGTGGCGCAGTTTTGACCAATGATTACGGGTCCAGTCGCTATCCATGCACAAGACTGTGCATACGGTTGAGCACAGCCTAGCATGCGTGTCTTGACGCCCGATCTCGCTGGCAACTTGCCTGGCCCAAGCTCTCCGAGTGTAGGACTTGTGACCCGCAACATGCATCTGCAGTGGCACGATCAAATCCCTCCAATCAAGCAAAACTGGCACAGGGCGTGCATTGGCTCTGCCATAAGTACCAATCCCGCCCGCGCTCAGTCTTCTTCTCGATTCTATCATGTGCGCCCAGCGAGCCCAGTCTTTGAACACCATCTGTCCGCGATGCCTGTTGCGATTGTTCGAGCGACCTACACCGAACAGAATGCCTTGGAGACATTCTTTACCAATCTATTCGGCTGGGGCAAAACATCTGTTATTGTACGTGAGAATATGCCCTTGAAGCCGCCTCAACTAGGTCTAACATGTAGTACAGTGGAAGCGAGGGAGATATCAGTGCACGATCCCTCGTGACTTGACGCCGGTAGGGTTCTTCGCTCGCTCAATCACACTGCCATATATCTCACAATCCAGCAAGGCCGAAATCCAAAGCCTCCAACAGGCTGTCCACCTCGAACATTATGGGTAGTCCAGATCCGCTGAAGGGCTATGCTCGGGGACATAATCCAATATGTTACTAGCAGCAGTGCACAGGGACTGTTGTGGCCTTATGTATGCGTTGCCATCATTCACCAACCCATCTAATCGTTCGTGGGAAGCAATATTTCAGCATTTTTGCTATGGGGGGGATAAGGAGAATACTGAGTAGGAAAAGGCAGTGTAATATTGGTATTCCAAGCAATCTTATCCATCCAGAACGAAAATGACCCCGAGATGTGAAGTAAAAACTGCCAAACTGCAAGACCAGGATACTTCTCAGGAGATATCCATACTTTCCATCTCTGTTCCAGCCAGTGGCTCCTCCGGCTGGCCGACAAACTCGCTCAAGGCAGGCTTCCGTTCATTGATAGTTCGTTGTGCTATCGGGTTCAAGTCGAGTCGTACCTCTGGAGTTGACAGTACTTGACGAGATTGGTGAAGTGGTCGAGTACAATATGCTTCATCTCGGATAGCCTTGGAGTAGATCTCACTGAAGTTGATGTCCAGTTCTTTGGAAGTCGCTCGAACCCGGTCTTTTGAAAGAACGACCAGCATTGTCTTTTCAATGACATCCAACACGTCTCGAATGAATCCAGTACAGTTCGGGTGGTTATGGAGTTTGGAAAACCACTAAGAAATGTTGGTAAATCTGTGTCGTCGTAACATTGTCCAGGACGGAGGTGGGAACCACTTGCCTCAGATACTGCCGGCTTGACTTGAGCTGCATAAAGAACATGGTCTTTGTGCTTCAAGACGCCAAAGAATATGTTATTAATCCCCCCGGTGATGTAGATGGTTTGTCTATCCTCTTCAAATTTGTCCCGGAGTTCTTTACCTCCCAGACACCAAGCCATAAATTCCATGAACAGGCAGCCGAGAGTCCATATGTCGAAAGCTCGTGACACTTTCGCGTCTTTGACGTCACACTCAGGTGGCCGGTAGCCTGGGACTCCAGGGATTTTCTCATTCGGTATGTTCGAACGACTAGTATCTCGATTGAAAGATGACAGTCCCATATCGGCAACCACAAGAAGGCCTCTCGGATCTTCGTTCGTGCTGAACCAAAGAATGTTATCGGGTTTGATGTCTCCATGTCTCCCGTATTTCTTTTCTCCCTGCAGATGTGTCGGGTCATGAATGATACTGATCGCGCGAACAATGCCCGCGCATTGGCGTGCCACCCATCTGACAAAGTCCAGATCCAGCGAAGTCGGGATTTTGTATTCCCAGTAGTCTTCCAAATTTTGATTGGCCTTCGGAAAGAGGAAATGATATTGAGAAGAAATCTCATAGGTGGCAAGAAGCGTAATAAGGTTTTTATGGACTAACCCACCAAACCGTTTGAGTTGGTCCAGCTCATTTCGAAACTTTGCGGCGTTGTTGAGACCGTTGCTATGCAGAGTTTTGAGAGCGAACTCGTCACCCTGGATTCCAAGCTGTACATGACTAAGTTAACACAAATGCGGTTGGTTTTCTTGGAGCTGGGTGCGACGGATTACTCACACCGTCGAGAACTCTATCGAAGTTGTGGTAATGGCGGTCAATCTTAACAATCCTGACATCCGCGTACCCGCCGCTGAAGCTTTTCGAAGCTTTGCGCTCCTGAGTCCAGGGGAAGATCGTGTCCTCGTCTAGTTGATAGTGCTGTGCTTTGTTGTCATGATCAAGTTCAAATCTGTGTACTGTGAACTGTCGTTGTTTTGCGATGAAGCTATCCAATGCAGCGGGTCTCCAGGATTTCAAGCATTTGAGCTCTTGATCCCTGTTGCCTTGGCGTCGAAGTCTCACCTTACCGTCTCCCTTGTCTAGCATGAATAGAGGAAGATCGTGGTCGCATAGCTCCTCCTTCACAAACTCTGATATGAGGTTTGCTTTATCAACCAAGACGAGAATAGCGAAGATCACGAGATACGTCTTTTTCGGAGGAACCGCCGATGGAATCTGTGCTGGGCGTACGTAGTCGAGATAGTTTTCAACTCCAAGGCTTTGCATCTCTCTTTCAACTCGTTCGCGAGTCAAAAGATCCCAGACCAGCTGTCGAGGCCAGAATCTTGTTGTACCCTGGTTTGCCAGACGAAACCCGTGGGCTCGAAGGAACTCATCCAAATTTTGATCTTCGGCGCTCATGGTATCTTCCTCGTCAGTGTCGTGGTTTAACGCAGAGAGTGCATCGATATCAATCGGAACATCGTCGAGCTGGAACTCTGGCAAGGCAGCCATGGTGGGCGGCCCTACAACGTACGCAGAGCCCGGTTTGCGTCTCCAGAAACACTTAGAATGCCAGTGATGTTTGCCGGGTGTTTGATGATTGGAGAAACTTGAGTGTGAGTCGGGCCATCAGGTCTCTTCGTGGTTTCTGTTTGCTTGATCCTGTTTGCGTTTAGACTTCTACGCACAAAGAAAGGCAATTAATATTGGGAAGACCAAACATAATGATCAACATGGGTGGAATTGAAGGAGAAAGAAAGAGTAGTGATAATGGGACGAGCAAAAGGCTGAACAAGACACGTCATCGGTCGCCTATTGCCCTGGTTCGCAAACCAGGCTGGCGGCAACCGGACGACTTCTGGTGTCCTATTCAGCAACTTCAGGGAGACGGCTGACAAGCTGAGATGCACCTATGCTCATGCTCGTTCATTTTAACTGGCTTGGCTTGCACATGCAGCCTGCAGCTCGCCCGACGAATGTGACCCCTCCTCTCACCGCATCTGAGCATCATGCTACACAGCAGGGCCGAAGCCGGAGGTTGTACCAATAAAAGCGATATCTGACCAAAGCGAATTTTCAAAGTACGTAACACACTGAGCAATCCTAGAACGTCAGGTGATTGGTCAGTCAATACCATGAAGCTATCACAAGGTGAGTAAACCGAATGCAATATGTTTGTTAAGGACGCCAGACAAGTGATCTTATTCCGTTATTACCCTGTATCTATCAGTGATTCACTGAATGAGTGTATCTGTCTATGGTCGCGGAAGCGGAAAAGTATCTCTTTTGAATTGGGTATGCCATGATGTTATGCCACATTTGAACAATCTCAGTTCATTTACTATATGGGTTGACGATTACGGTGTATTGACCGGAGGCGGTAATCTAGACCGAGCTAAAGACTGGTAGTGTTCAGAATGCATTCTCATGACCATATCGCTCAGAACGGTACGTTTAACGCGAAGGCATGATGTCTTTGGAACAATGTGAATAACACCAGACTCATCACAAATTTCTGAGACTGAACGACTAGACCGAGTTCTTCCACACATCTGCTCTACTAGAACTTGTGACATGACTTTGTTGGCCTTACTGATTGAATGACCAGTCATTACTTAAGCCCGATGGCTTCGATTGTAAGTATGACTACATGCAAAGATCTGATCTTTCTCTCCTATTCCAGGTAGTAGAGACTTACCTTGACTTTCACATGCCAATAAATTGGATTGAAAACAAAGCATGGAACTAGAAATCTGCTTTGCATTAGGGGTTGACTCATCATCTGAAGGAAACTTTTTGTTACCCGTGTTCAAACACTTCTGCAAGTTAATAAGCAAGACTGTCCATCCCTTCCCTTTGGTTTCTTTTGGCTTGATAGAGCGCACATAGACATCAGGTCCTGGGCGAGATGAAGTCAATGTGACACAACTCTCAGGGTACCGTACCGTTTGATAAGGCGGACCAAGGTTCCAGAGGCCTGATTTCCGAAGCTGAGGCATTATGGCATCAAGGGTGGGTATTCCCTAGGAAGCAGTTGCATATACACGCCTTTCCAACACGCGTTTAGCTGTATGCCAGCGACAATGTTTGGTTGCGATCCGCCGACACCCGAATGCAAACACCAAGTCTCGAAAGCCTCGGGCACCAGACTGGAGCTATGCAGCTTGCCCGATCACTTGCCACCCATTTTACTGTCAAGATGCTTGGGCAATGGTGTTGTAGATAGGCAATTGACGTGGTATGGAATCAGGCACTCTCCCTATCGGGTTTATTCGTTTTGGGCACAAAACAGCAGATTTAAGGACATGCGACAATCTCATAGGCTGACGATTGGTGCTCAGTGCTGAACACGATGAGCCAATGCGCGCGCACTGAGCTTCGGATCGTACCTATCCACTTCAAGGATAGGATTCAAGCTCTCACTGGAGGCCCAATAACACCCAAAGTACTGGAGGCCATAGAGACAAAAGATCACAATTGCTCCTCTGGGCGCGAATACCATCGTAATTTTAGACCAAACTATAACCCAACAGCATAGTTCAACCTGGTTTTGTGTTGGGCAATCAGGTCCCTTTTCAGGCTGGGCCCCAAAGGAAGGCAAAAATAGGCGTTGCTGTGGTGGAAGGAATGCATGAATGGACAGGGGCAGCTGGAACGTACGTTGCCGAGAAAATTTGAATCCTATCTTGATCTGGTATGAAGCCGATGCTGTGGCCCGATTGTTCGCGTTATTAGAGACGCCATCCTATTGGCCAGCGCGCGAATAAGGCACACCGGGCAGATTTAACCATCGCACAAGAACATCCCCAACCCCTCACGCGGCTGAAGATCTGTATCCGTCCTCTCAGTCTTTGATCAAAGCACATTCGACCTTCTTCTGTTGAAAGTAACAAGTGGTGACAGCAACGTCAGTATGGCAGAAGTTCCTCCCCATCCCAGAGATAGCGGCAAGAAGACGACTGTCCAGGAGATCCACACGCGCCTCGCACCAGACCCATGGATCCTTCTGCGATACCTGAAAGCAGTCTACGGGCCTGGCAATTTCAAGATACAGGTAGTCTAGTCCTTTCCAAGTTGTTCACCCACAGGCTGACGGGAATATTCCATAAGATGCGTCACGACGTGTACAATCTCGAGGCCCCATTTCGTCTATCAACTGTATGAACCCCGGTTGGCTGTCCCGTTACTGCTAAGCTAGAACCCACGCAGGCCCAATTGAATCGCATACTCTCGTAAATCCTGATATTGTCATGTTACGGTGACAAATATACTGGTGAGTCTCAGAGGTCACATGTGTGAAACAATCCATGTTTGGAGCGGGATTAATGACAGACCTGTGCACTGCAGTACGTTGCGATGAGTATACGAGTATGGATCCATTCTCTCGAATATGATGAGCGACAGCATGAGGGGTGTCGGAGGATTGGGCCATATTTCACTTGGTGATTGAGGACTCTGAAATCCAGCCTTTCGGGCAATTCTCGACATCAATTTTTCAGTCAGGAGCCTGTTTCGATCTCTCGGATTCAATCTGTCTATTATGAAATAACGATAGCATCTACCTGTACAAGAATGAGGAACACCCCAATCGCAAGAGACGCTGGCATTACCGCAGGTGATGTATAATGCTCTCAGTCTCGTGCTCACGTCCAACTCCAAGCAGCGATCTGCCTTCTACAATAGTCTCTGTGAAGCCATATCGTACCCTCTCGTTCTTTGCAAGTATTGACAGATCGATTCCCTCCATTTTGCCGGCATGAGCAGGCAAAGTGACATGCCTGGAATCGCGAATGACCGTGGACGCGTAGCCAAAGATCTCGGGCCCGTCCGCAAGGTGAACAAGAGCAACACTCAGTATCCCGGCAGAGAGGAGAATGCTACAGGCCACAACGCAAAGCACCACCCAGAACTTGGGGATGGTATAGACTTGGACGAACTTTTCCGTATCCACTGCGACTGTGATGTTTGGGTCAAACTTGGCGTTTGGGTCTATGCTCCCAGACGACATCGACAAGAATGTTTGACTGAGGAGCAAGTAGGTATTGAGCAGCTGTGTCAGGCGGTTGCTGAATTCGGCATCACTGGCTTGGACGAAGCCCGACACATTGAGCGCCTTGTCTAGATCTGCGAAGGTTGGATCGACTAGGTATTGAACTGAGAGGTCTGCGCCGTAGGCCGATGGACGTCCGCCCGCCAATGGCATCTCCTTGGACACATAGCGAAAGATCTGGGAAAATGAGAGCGGAGATATGCTTTCCGGGGGCTGCTGAAGTTGCGAGGCACGCTGCGCTGTGACGGCGCAATTTTGGCGGGCTGATACCTCGCGTCGTGAGCAGTGCACGCGAGATTCGACGTATTGCTGACGGACAGCGCATAATGCCTGAACCTTGTATGGTTTGTACGGATACATTTGCTGGATCGCTAGCTCAAAGTTGAGCTGCGTCGGTCCAGTTTCGATGCCGATCTCGTGGGTAAATATAGCTGGTGTCGCTACCCCATGGATTAACCAGGCACTGTCAACGAAGCGATCCAGGCCTAGGCCCCACGCGGTAGAGGCCGGGGTCTGATCTCTCGTGAAGATTTCACTTCTGTTCCTTGGAAAACCATGCGAAGTTCCATTCGCTCGAGTCAAATTGTTGGATGCTCGCTGGCCAATCCAATCAGAATCATCCCATTCAAGATCCTGTAGCTGCGGCTTGGAGTAATTCATGGTCTCAGCCTGAGACTTTGAGCAACGGAGACTGATGTGGCTGGACTCCAGCGAAAATGTCGTGTTCCCGACAGCAACATGAGTGATGGGTATGCCAGCCAACGCTGAGTACGATTCAAAGTCGGGTTCCCCAGCGATTTCGTGCCACGACTCATTTTTGGAATCAGAATTGGATGACGCCAGGAGCGGAATCTTGAGATTGCCCCAAAGATCCATTGTGTCGTTCTTCGAGGCTCCCGGTGTTAGCAAAAGGGTGCTATACCAACTCGAAAGCCGAGACAGTCGGGATTGAATCGTCTCCCAGTTGTCGTACTCGGTTTGAAACCAATTGTAGAAGTTGGACACGGCAGCCGTGTCAAAGTACGAGACAAGAGAAGGTCCAACCCTCGGCTGATAGCTCGAACCAAGCATTCGAAGAATAGCTTGAGCACCCAACGGCGATAATGACCAGAGCAAAAGCAGGACGATGCCAAGGAAGTTGAAAGAGCGCAGTCTGATCTGCGTCAATAGGGTTGTGCCCACGGTCTGGCTGCCAATCAATTGTTCAAGCGTCCCGAGGCTAACACCTTGTTCGAGCTTCCATCTGGCAGCTTGATATACCAGTCTTCCAACAATTGAAGCAAACAGAATCGGGAAAATAGTTGCTGACTGGGTTTTGTCAGCGATATTTCTTTTGCTTTGCTTAGACTCCCCATGCATTCTTACAACTGTAATTGCGTTCCGCCATTTTGCATAAACGTCATCTTCGTAGTCCTTTGCTTCTAGAAACAGAACTGCGAGCGCAAAAGCCAAAAACACAAGTGGTGCAATAATAACCACACAATCTGTCAACAACCGGTATGGTTGAAGTTTCTCCCTTCTGAACTCTCGTGTGCCGTGAGTCCCCCCTGTCTCGGGGTCGTTGCAAGGTAAAGTTGTGGAGTCGCTATTATATATGTCGCTAAGGTCGCTGACACGGCAAGATTGCCTTTCAGCATGGAGAGCATTTTCGAGGCCAGATCTCTCGGCGCCTCCGCCTGGCAGGGTTGTCTCTGCTTCCTCGGATATTGGGGAAACATTCTGCGACGCGGTCTGATAGTGCCCTCGAGGCACCACAACCTGGGTCGGTGGCCGTGACACTGACTCCATGCTGGGCACCTAAGACTCTTAATTGCTAAGAATGAGGTCGAGATTTTCCTGGTCGTACGGGAGTTTTGTAGCCCGAAGAGCAGAACAGACAATGGTAGGACAGCCTTCCCTCATCCGCGCCAGGCTGACATGCGTCTCAGCCACAACCACAGGGTGACACTGCAGATGAGGATTGTGCCCCCATATCAGTGGGACAGTGGGTGTGACTATGGACGAGACAAGTTTAGTAATATCACTGCAGATCTTCCCCCAGCTGAGCTTCTGGAATCATGCAGAACCCTGTCCCGACCACATTACAGGTTGGACATCGCTGAGGCCAAAAAGACCCTCAGGCTGTATTGAGGCTCTGTTTGAACATCAATAAGGCTACTGTAGTTTCACCGATACGTGTACAACTTGGGATTTTATCAGTGCATTGACCCTCTTCCAAAAGCGCACAAGTTCGGCAAGCCCTACATCATCAGCCGTAGAAAGTTACTAACGCTTGGTTCCCTCGGCGGTGCTGGATAAGTGCTCGACACAGCCCGAAGCACATCGAAGGCAAAGGGAGTTTCCTCCCAGGCAGCACAATAGGGCTTTATGATCGCCGACGACTCTTTCATCAACCCAGCCGCGGCCCCCATCCGTCGGTTTTCGAGATAGAGGGTTTCGGCGATAGGAATAATCGGGATGTCTCCGACAGCGATGCGGGGGGTGTCCAGCATCACCTCCCACACGTAGGGGTTGGATCGCTGCATTGCCTCGTACAAGGCACGGAGGTCTGAAGCTATGGCCTTGATCGTCGTCTCAACTATTTCCCAAGGCATTCCACGCAGCTCCTCCCGCCCACGGTTATGCACCAGCACCTCGTCTACCACCTTGTCCACTAGCTCTTGGGGAAGGCGCCCGACAAGCAAAGCCATCGTCAAGCGGTAGTGTTGCAAGATAACAAGATTCCGGATGCCGATCAGCATCGGCGCCAACAGGTGGCTCGAGTGAGCATCCTCCGCTTTCCACGCGATCGGCTCGAAGAGGTTGGTCTTGGTAGCATCGACGAACGGCAGGTCCAGATCCTGCCAGTCGTAAGCCGGATCTCTCGCCGTCGTCTCGAACCACTCGATAAATGTGAGCCCCTCAAGGTCTCGTCCCAGGCGTATGAGCAGCGCGGGTGTCCGATCTCGCATGCGCGTATACCAATCGTCCGCGCGACACAGCAGCAGCAGGTCGAGCTGGTGCTCCAGCACGACCTCGACCGCCTCCTGGTGCCCACCCGCGCCGCCGAAGTACCTCCACTGGCCCAGCACGTAGACCTGCGTGCTCTCCGTGCTTGCGAACTTCCCGGCCGAGCGCTGGAAGCGGTTCGGCGGGGACGCAGGGCCGTTGCCGGGGCACGCCCGCAGGTAGTTCTCCTCCTGCTCGAGCGCGACCTTCCAGCGGTTGACGGCGCTGCACGCTGGGTCGTGTGCGGATCTGTCCGCCTCCATGTGCTCTGGGCCGCAGTAGTAGACGATCCGGCACAGGCCTCAGGTGTTGCATTGTGGCGGTCTCAATTCGGGAGTTTCTTGCCTGTCGGGAGGAGTGTTCACTACTATCAACAAGCCCATGATACCATATACACTAATACCACTTGACTTTCCGAGATCTTGAGGTATTTCGATGCGGCTGAGGCTGAGAGGGAGAGCTCTTCGCGGGGTGGGATGCGGGGCAAGGCGTACAGTGCCAGCGGTCAAAGGATCTTTTTTGTGTGACCCCTTGAAGGGCACATGATACAAGACCTTGTCTTCTACGTGATGATTGAGCAGGTAAGGTTTGCACGTCGTTGATGGTTTTATTGGTTGACCTGAAGACTCAGGCCCGTGAGCTAGCGCGGGGAAGCACCCCCTGGTCTTTCGATCCGCCCCCTGGCAGATCTTGATATCCTTCGCTGTACTTTGCCAATATCAGACAATGTTTTGCTGTACATACACAGCATATCCAGAAGGCTTCCACCTCGCTCATACGTCGATCCCCTAGCATCTGCTCTGGCCGTTTCCAGTAAAGTTGCCAGCCTGGTACATCCCATCTGCGTCGTTCAGGCACTCGGCTAGGTATCGGTTGCCATGTCAGCTCTGCGCCACAATCATGCTTACAGCCATAGTCTCAACAGCAAAAAAAAAGCCCAGCGAGGGAAAACAAGAGACTTACCGACGGTGACGAGCTTGAGGTTGTTCGTCTTGGCCCAGTTGATGAGCCACGGCACGAGCTGGTTGACCGTCGTGTCGTACGTCTCGTGCATGAGCGGGATGTGGCCGTTGCCGCCGGCGCCGGCGGCCGTGAACTTGGCCTGGCTCTGCTGCGGCGACTCGTGGTTCCAGTCGCCGGCGTCGATGTCGTCGGTGATGACCTTGTAGCCCAGCGCGCGCATGGTCGACAGCACGGTCCCGCCCGTCGCGAGGTAGGGCGGCCGCATGTAGGCCGGCTTCCTGCCGAAGATGTTGACGAAGGCCTGCTCGAGGCGCTGCATCTCGGCCGTCAGGCCCTGGGCGGACAGGGAGCCGAAGTTCTGCGGGTGCGTCCACGTGTGCGACGAGATCTGGTGGCCGCTGTCGTAGGCGTTCTTGACGGCCTTGGCCTGGTTGTAGATGCAGCCTGTCGTGTTCATTAGTATAATTACACACGAAGGGGGGTTTCTATGCTGCTTGAGTGCACCGGGCCAGGGATGTCAAGTAATACGCACCGTACAGAGTGCCCGTGAAGAAAAATGTGCCCTTGGCCCCCGCGGCGTTGAGCTTGTCGACCAGGTTCTGCGTGTAGGTGTACGGGCCGTCGTCAAAGGCCAGCGCCAGCACGCCTGGCTTGGCGCACTTGGTGATGACGGTGCCGGGAGCCGGCGCGCGGCGGATGACGTCGACGGGGCTCTCGATGGGCACGGCCGTGGCGCCGAGGCCCAGGAGGAGAGTGGCGAGTATCGTCTGAGGGAGCATCGCGGAAGTTTGGAACACACACGCACGGATGATGTATCAAACGTCTCTCGAATGGCAGTCCGCGTGGTTGAGGGGCGGCGTGGTAGCTCTCTATCCGTCAAGTCGTGGAGAGGCATCGCCGCGTTTTTAACTCGATGATCGGCTTCCTTACGTCCATTTTTGCCTTTCTAACCCCCTCATCGACCCCTGCTGGCGCATTACCGGGCGAGCGCAAGTGCTTGGCAGCGGAGGCGAGGTGATCGCAGGGTATAACGTGTATACAAAACCTATATTGTCACATTAGGTTCCTCTCCGCTCCGCCTGTCTCCGCACATCGTACGGGCCATCATGGCACGCATCGCCCAAGAGTTTGGCCGTCCATACCCAGCCGAAAAGCTATCGCGATGGCCGCTATGGACAAAGTATCATCGCGCATCGGCCACAGCCATCTAGAGCAGTCCAAAAACCCGGCTGGGCGCCGCGGGACGGCAGGCGGATCTCAATTCTTCCATACTGGGACTTGGGGGACGAGATCTTGCTCCAAGTCAGCGCCAAGCCGACGGTCTCTCCAGGTCAATATTTGCTTCGGGTAATCTGCCCAGACCCTGGTCCATCGGACCCAGAGTCGACTGACTCTGCTTTACCTGGAGCGCCCGGTGGTTTGGTGGTCATGCTTGCTGCTGGGTCTTGCTCTATTTAGCCGCGACAATCACAGCAGCGTCGTACACCGACAGTGTTTCCCCCCGAGCAGTGGCTTTTATCCCAAAGCGGAACGGAGGTCTTCCCGCCACGTGAAATTTGGAGAGATCCCAGGAAGGAGACCCAGAGAGTCGAGAAGGAGGGCATTGCGTGGGGACAGCGTAGTGCCGCCGAGCGCAACACAGACGGAGCTGATTCTCTCGTGGACAGCCACATGAGGATAAAGCTGAAGTTCCTAGTCCCCCACGTGAGAGTTAATCTCGTTCTCTAACCCAGATATGAGCATCGCTGGACGGAGTGATTTCGGTTTTGCTCGTGCCGGGCCCGCGTGCACCCTTTTTACGGCTGGGCTGCAGACAACTTGGCCCCAGTCTGGTCACGGAGAGAGATTGAGTAGAGAGGGACGGGACATCCTGCGATGTAACTCCCCGCCTCGGGCCCAAGATCTCGCCTGGTTCAAAGCGGAACCGGCTATCGCGATCGGATCACAGCATGTGCCTCTGCTTCCAGGTGCTTGGGTACGCGACAGTGCGGAAGGGGCTCGAACATCCCGACCAGAGCATGGCAGGGCTAAGCTATATCGACCGGGCGACAGGAAGCTCTGATGAGGCTCTGGGTACGTTTGCTTAGCCCAGAGACAGATGAATGCCCAACCATTGGACACAGGCGTAGTCAACACCATATCTGATCTCATGTTTGGTCACCCATCACCACATAAAGTTGGGTTCCGGGGTTGAGATCGCAAGATGTAACGGCGAAAGAAAAAGAGCGCTGTCTTTTCTCTGCCTCCATGCTCTTCTTGTTCCTGTTTGCTCTTTCGAGATATATGAGTCGGAAGCTATATACAGATAGAGTAGGTCTGGTAGGTAGATGGTGATGCAAAAAGAACAAATCGCAGTAGAAAACAAAACAGCCAAAACGCAGATATTCGGGCTCTCAAATCAAAGCATAAACAAAAGAAATAGACAATCCTCCTCTCCCTCCATGTGAATGTAGAAACTGCAATTACGCAGGCCACGTCCCCATCTCGAGATATGGCCCCTCACGTTATCTCTCTCCCCTCTCTCTCCATCGTAAGATGCTATTCCCTCTTGGCCCTTTTTCTAGTTGGACTTCTTCTCTTTCCTTCCTTTCCTTCCCTTCCTTCCCATCTCCTACCTCCCTTCTTTGCCCCCATCAGGCGTACTATTCCTCGTCGCCATGTAGAACTCGTACTTGTCCGGGAACAAGATGATATTCGCCAGCCGCACGAGCTCCGCCTCGGCCGCCGACCGGGCAGCGGGCGTCTTGCCCCTGTCCTTGTCCTTCTCTCTGTCCTTGCCCGCCCCAGCTGCGCCATCCTCCACGTCGTCATCATCATCATCGACATCCATCTTCTCCCCCGCCGCCTCAGCCTGCTGCTGCTGCTGCTGCTCCTGCTCCTCGACCTCCATGCGCGCCTGCACCTCCTTCTCCGCACCGGACAGGTCCCACGGCGCCATGCCCATCGCCCGCAGCCCTTCCTCCCCGCCCGTCTCGCGGATCTCGGCCTCGCCGGGCCGCCCCACGTGCTCGGCCTCGCTGCCGAGGCCGGACCCCGTCGAGTCGAAATCCGGGCCCGGGTGGCCGCGCAGGAAGGCCTTGCGCTGGCGCGCGAGGTACAGGGCGTTGGTCTGCGTCAGCGGGCAGGCCGGCGCGTAGACCATCATGGGCGCCGAGGAGACGACCGAGGCCGGCGTCGGCGTAGCCGTCCCCGCCCCTGTGGGCTGGGGCTGTTGTTGCGACGTAGTAGTAGTAGTAGTAGTAGCAGTAGTAGTAGACGGCGGCGTCGAGGCGCCCGTGGCGCCCGCGACGGGGGAGGACGGCGCGGCGGCCGGGGTGGCGGGCCGGCTGGGCCCGGCGCTGGACATGATGGTGTAGGCCGTGTCGCAGTGCCAGATGATGTAGTCGCCGGCCTGCAGGTTCGGCGGCGCGAGCAGGCTCTCGTGCAGGCGCAGGTGCGGGTGCCACAGCTCGGTGACGCGCTGGGCGTGGCCCGGCACGGCGCCGTGGATGACGGTCGAGGTCGAGGCCGAGGCCGAGGCCGCGGCGGCCGCCTGCTCCCCCGGCGGCGGCGGCGGCCGCTCGAGGGCCCAGTTGTCGGCCGCGAGGAAGGCCTCCCATTCGGGCCCCTCGCGGACCTCGGGCGCGGGGGTCTTGGGCGCGAAGAAGGGCCGCAGGAGGAAGTAGGCCGTCAGCAGCTTGGGCGAGGGCAGCAGGCGCACCATGCCCGGGCGCACGGCGGTCAGGGCCAGGATGCCCTGGAACATGCGGAAGACGGAGCAGGCGCCGAGGCCGTTGTACAGGTCGGTCGTGGCGACGATGCGGCCCGTGGGGTCCCAGGGGTTGTACTGCTCCCACTGGCCGCGGAAGATGTCGTCGTAGGTGCCGCCGCGGCCGTAGCCGTCGGGCTCCCAGCGCTCGAGGCTGCCGCCGTCGACCTGCGCGATGAGGGTGCCCGAGGTGTCGGCGGCGGCGGCGGCGGCGGCGGTGACCGAGTCGGCGGCCGAGTTGTTGGCTGGCCGCTGCTGCTGCTGCTGCTGCTGTTGACTCGGCGGCGGTGGCACCTGGTCGCCGACGTGGATGCGGATGCGGTCGGCGTAGCTGATGGGGAAGCGCGTGGCCATGCGGTCGTCGTCCTCGGCCTCCCAGAGGCCCATGGCCCAGCTCTGGGCGCGCAGGACGTTGGGGTGGGCGCGGGCGCGGACCTGGGCGGGGGTCCAGAAGAAGTCGAAGCAGGTCGGGTCCTGGGGCGGCGGGGGCCGGACGTCGTGCTGGTGGACCTCGAGGTAGGCGCGCGTCTCGGCGACCCAGGCGGCGGCCTCGGCGTCGGGCACGACGCCGCGCACGACGCCGACGCCCCAGCGCTGCAGCGACTTTTGAAAGGCGGCGACGCGGGCCGGGTCGCCGATGTCGGCGAAGCCGATGCTGGGGAAGAGGCCGTCGTCGGCGGCGGCGCCGCGGGCGACGACGGTGTCGATCTCGTCGCGCAGGGCGGCAAGCAGGCGGGCCCAGGAGGCCTCGATGGCGTCCTCGTGGCCGGCGATGAGCTTGCGCTTGATGGAGGCGAAGCGCGCGGGCAGGGGCACGGGCTGGGCGCCGTAGAAGGACATGACGGGCGGCTCCATGGTCTTGGCCCGGTGCCGGAGCTTGGCCAGGCGGCGGTCCTTGGGATCCAGCTTGGAGCGCTCGGGGGCCTGGAGGCAGGCCTGGAGGTGCTGCTGGAGCTGCGGCGAGGAGGAGGCGGAGGAAGCAGAGGACGGCAGCGGAGGGGAGGAGGAGGAGGCTGCTGCTGCTTGTATGGCCGTGCTGATAGGGGTTGTGGAGGAGGTGGATGAGGAAGAGAGTTGTGGGCTACTGCTGCTGCTTGTAGGATTATTGCTGGGGATGAGTGGTGAGTGGTGAGAGTGAGAGTGAGAATGAGGATGTGAGTGTGAGTGTGAGTGAGAAGACTGCATATGGTCTTGGTGGTGGTTGTGGTGGTTGTGGTGGATTTGCTGGTGCGGCGCGGGGCTACCAGGATTGGAATTAGCGCTCGCCTTAGCGCTCCCCGAGCTGGAGGAGCCGCCGCCAGTGCTGCTGCTGCTGCTGCTAAAGATGCTGGCGCTGATGGTCGGCCCGGCTACGCTGGTGGATGCTGTCATGGCCGCCGTCGGCGTGGCGGTTCCTCCTCCTCCGCCTGCTGCTGCTGTCAATGCCGCTGTCGTTGCGGCAGAAGAAGAAGACGAAGAAGAAGAAGAAGGAGAGTGGTGCATCCGCGTCGTGGGCGGGAATCTCCTGTCGCGTAGCTCTGCAATCTTGGCGTCCTTGAGGTCGCCAGGGTCGGCAGATGCTGGCCGGGCACGCAGCCCGATCGAAAGCGATCCCATCTCTGCGTCGTCTGGTTGCCGTCGGATCGTCCTGTCGTGTGCCTCCGTGTCCAGCGTGTCTGTCTGTCTGTCCTGTCCCCCTTCTTCTTTCGTCAAAGGAGGGTTACCTACTGTAGAGTTCAGTTCAATTGGACATCTACACACCAAACCCCACCGGCAGCCCAAGCCAAGGCCAGTAGTGAATGGTGTATGTATGCACAATGGAGGGTGCCCTGTTCGATGCGGTGGCGCCGGCCGGAGCTTTTCCAACTTGGAACCAGGGAGATTTGCTGGTCGAGAGCCCAATACATGCAACCCCCGGAAAGGACCCCCAAAAGACCCCTGACTAGAGGGGGTCTTGCAAAGATGGCACCCCCGGTTGGCTTCCTTCTGCGGCCTCCCTTTGGCTGGAGGATGTTCCAACGCGGGGAAAGACGGCGCGGCGCGGCGCGCGTGCGTGCGGGTGACAGACAGCACAGGTGCTCTACAACGGCAGCGGATCCGCCTCCAAAGATGATGATCGAGCTGATGATGCCCGGTGATGCTGGACAGGCTGCTGCTCGAGCTGCTGAGCTTTTCGACCTGAGCTCGGTCTTCCCTTGGCCGGCACAGCAGCTTTTCTCGTCCTCCCTTGGCGTCGTTCTCCCGCTGGCTGGCTCGGCTCAATCAATACCCAGAGCAGATGCCCGTGAGGTGTGCTCGTGCTGTTGCAGTGCGCCACGGAGTGCCGTGCTTCCGTTCCCTGCCAGTCCTCTTTTTTTTTCTTTCTTTCTCTCTCTCTCTGCTACTGCCAATCTCTCAGATCTGGATCCCTCCTCCTTGCGCTTCCTCGAGAGGATCAAAGAGCCCTTGGGCACAGCAGTCAAGTCGCCACGGTGTCTGGCAGCGTGACCCAGCAATCCAGGATGCGTGCGTGACTGCGTATATGGTGCGTGTGTGTGTGTGTGTGTGCGGTTGTGCGACGCAGGACCTTGTGTGTGTGCTGCCAATCCTGTCGTGTGCTGGCGGCGGCGGTGGTGGTGGTGGTGGTGTTGTCCCCGTGATGCTGCTGCTGCTGGATGGGATGGATGCTGTGAGCGAATGTTGTTGTCCCCCCCCCCAATCCAAGCCAATCCAAGCCCTGGGTACCCAAAAGCCCCGTCCAAGCCAAAGAGTCAGAAAAAAAGAAGTGTCTGCTGTATCTCGACGGTCCAGGTCAACGGGGTCGAGAATATCGTTGCAGTCTTGGTGCTTTTCCTCTCCCTTTCCCTTTTCCTCTTTCTCGTCTCTTTCTTTCTTTCTCTTGGTTTCCCTGTCCTCTTTCTGGTCGGTCAGATCAACTCAAACTCGTCCGGGCCCAAAATCAGCAACACCGTCGACTCGACAGCAAAACAGGCGACCCCAGCACCCTTTTTAGTGTTCCCGGGTTCTGCCATTGGCGTTAAGTACTGGTGGCCCCGTCAGGCATGGCCATGTAGCTAAGGTAGATGATGATTATGCAGGTAACAGACGGGAAGGCCCAGATAGTGGGTGGGAGGGGCGGCGAAAAGGCACGGCGGCCAACCGTCCGTTCCAGACTCGGGATCGTGGGCCGGCTGGGCCTTTACCCTTTTCCCTTTGGGGGTGAACACTGGTGGTTGGTGGGGGGGGAGGGAGAATGAGTGAAGACGGTGGAGGGGACCGGGGAATGGACTGGAGGACGCGACACACACACACACACACACACACACACACACACACACACACACACACACACACACACACACAGCTGCCGACCTAGTTAGTTAGTCTCTGCATCAACTAGAGTGTATCATCCCAACAAGGAGGACCCCAGCCGGGGTGTCTGTCCGAAGGCGGAAACGCTGTCTGTCTGGTCTTTTTCAGCTGCACTACAATACTTGTACTTGTCACTTGCGTCTTTCTCATCATGGCCGGCCAAGATGAATACTCCGAGCTAGCTTTCCCTATTCAATTTTCCGTAATATACCCTTGCGAGATTATTCGCACCATCATTCCTCTCGCGTGTTCCGGAACATGTCCCTCAGTCGGAACGGTCCATCTCCACCTGGGGCTCAAAAGAAGAGATCGGATCCAGATCCAGACCAGGGGAAGATCATGCGTGCGCGCCCCCCAGCAAGGAAGCCAGCAAACAGTCCGCAATGCCGTAAGCAGTCAATCAAGCAAAGCAGACGCCAACGAGCGACCCAAGACTCGGATGTCAATTTCGAGCCGGCAAAGCCAATCACTCTCACATTGATTGCACCCGGTAATTTACAAGTACTCGATTGGCAGTGAGCGCCCCTTTCCCGCTTTCGGCGGCCGGCTGGATGGCCTCTGGTTTATCTGGCCTTGATTTGCCAACCGTCTCGTCTCCCCTTGCCTTTCTCTGGCCTGCTTGATTGCTCTTGGCTTGCGGCGGCCTTCTTCCCGCTAGGGGCTGTGACATACCTTACTTTGTTTGCTTATCTGGCCTCCTTCTTCGTATGGCCCTGGTAGACATTGATCCAGCTTCTTTTTCCTTACTTCAATTATGAAAGACGTGAAGCCGGGGGTCGAGGCCGACAGACACAGCGCGGCGGAGGACGGCGGCGGAGTTTTTGTCCTGGCTCATCCCGCGACCATCAGGCCAACAGTTCAGAGCCATTCCTCGAACCGACACCACACCCATCCATCCCATCCCATCCCCTTCCCTTCCCTTCCCTTCCCATCCCGCAGCAGAAGCAACCAATAAAGCGGGAGGCGGATCGTGGGGAACTGGCGCCGGCATTTCGGGACGATGGTCTGCCGCCCAAGCGGGCTAGCGCGGGCCTTAGCGGTAGGCTTCCAGGGCCGTTAGCCCCCTTCTCTCCAGTGGAGCGCACAGCTCCAGCGTACTCGACCTAACAGTAACAGGTACGGAGCAGCCTAACCTTTTGCTGAACCGTTCCTGGACCGGCCTGGCTAAACTTCGGCGATTCTTGTCAAACCCTCCAGACATCCGTAATAAGGGATCAGCAAAGGCGGACCCCATATCCCCCCTGAAAACGGAACCGCGAGAAGATGGACAGTCGGCACTTCTCTTTTGCGCGCTGGGCGGGCACACGTTACATCTACGTTACCCTGTAGCTCTTTTCCATAACCACCTGCTGGGTAGGTAGCTACAAACCTCTAGGGCTAGCTTTCCAGGTCCAATGTCTGTCTGCCTGCCCGATCCCAAAAGGACCCCTTGCCATTCCCCATTCCCCATCCCGTTAGCCGGCAGCGAAACTGGAGCGCGGCTCTTTGTGCTGCCCGATACGGCCCGCCGCCGTTCCTCGAAAGCGCGTGAGACTGCAAGTCTTGCTTGCGTAGGTAGGTATCGCCAAACGGTCCAGGGGTTCCAGACGCGGGCCCAAGCCAGTCTCCTCGCTCGCTTGCGATTACTGCCTCGGGTCGGCCTGCTGCTGTCGACGGCCGAGGTCTCCTCTCGCTGTGCAACCCGCTAGGCCCCAAAAAAGCCATTCATTCCATGCGATGCAGTCAGTCCCCGCTACATCGGCCCTGGCATCTGCAAGTACTGTTTTCTGCTTCCAAAGATAGCAGTATGGACGAGACTGCATAGGCGTAACCCCCACCGAGGCGGCGTCGACCCGGCCCAAGGGTGGGTGCTTGATAGGCTCGAATCCATGATGCCTCTTCCCCTGGTACCAACCCTCCCCCCTCACTCAGCCTTTCGAAATCCTCGTGACAGCCAGCCATAATCATGGTTATTGTTCCTGAGGAAGGACCTCATATACAACGCCAGCGTCTGATCTGCCCATGACGCCCGCTCAATTTTCGTACTGCTTTCGTAACCAGCTATCCAATGCTCTTCCCTCCCTCGCTTGACGGCTATTGTGGCGGCAAGGCAGACTGAGGAGAGAGCGAGGTATAGAGAGAGAGAGAGAGAGAGGGAGAGGGAGAGAAGAGAGGAGCGGTACCCGGTTAAACTAGTCCTTCGCCGCGGAGATCAGCCAGGAACAAGCGAGGCCAGGCGGGAGACACATGATGACGATGCGACGCACAGATTGGGCTGGATGAATCCCATCTCGTCTTGCCATCCCTTTTTTTTACTTATCTCACACACGTGCGCCCATCGACAAGAGCAAAAGAAAGATAGGGAGTTCGCGACGAGGGCCAATATGGGCGCCTCCGGCTGGGAGTTCTTCCACGAGTTATAAGCTCAGGGATTATATTGCCCTCCAGTCCTTCCCAAGGACACGACTTGTCTGGTTCAGGTGTGCCCCCCTGCTCGCGCTGCTCCCCCACTGGCACCCCCGTTGGAATCGTGATGGGACCGCGCATGGGGGAGGGGGGGGTTCCGACGATGAGTTTCGTCGAATCGGGTGTCCTGGATCGTGGCCCTTTGGGGGGGAGGCGTGTCGTGTCGTATCGGGTGCAGAGTTGGCTCCCGCAAAGACCAAGTGTTCATGCCCCCTCACCCCAATCCGATCCCATCCGATCTCATCCGGTTTTACCTACTGGTCAGTGCGACTTGCAAGATCGAGATGGGACGAGTAAAAGGCCCCAGAGAAGTATCCTGGCTTACCTAGCTGTTCTGCTGGGGCGGTGGTATCATCGTTCAGATTGGTCGTTGTCCCCTGTGCTTCCTGGTCATGCTTTCGAGGTGCGTGCAGTCATGGCTTGTCTGGGAAAGTCACACGGTTTACACCGAAACCAATTACCGACATTGTTCTGTTGCTGCTGATGTTCCGGTCCAACAATGTTTGCTTGCCGGCCATTGTCATGAATCATCCAGAGCTTGCAACCCGTACTGAAGTGATTATGGCCTCGGCCACACGATGTGGAGATAGTATGCCGCGCGCAATGGCCCAACCTGATACCTCGTCCGCTTCTCGGCTGCTCTTCTTGACTACTTCGGTCGACCAGAACACATTGTTCTTAACCTTTGTGGTGGCGGCATCTACTGCAACCAGGCAGTCATCGCGAATAGCTCGTTTGTTACACGCGCCGTGCGGTCTGGACCATCGTGTCTCCGCTACGTATGTGAATATCACCCTTTCTGCACGGCCACCCAAGTCTTGGGCAAACCCCCCCTCGCTGGCATGTCTCAGCCCTATGGATGTCGTCGTAGCTACGACTGGCAGAGCGGGTCGACTTCAGGAAAGAGGGATTCCTCGTTGATAGCTTACTGAGTAGCATTCTGAGTAGCATTCTCAGTAAGAGATAGGGCGATGCGGCTTCCAGATCCGCGTATTGGCAGCTCCCACGCTTGAATGTTCTTCCACCGACTTCCCCCCAAGATCCGCGGCGGCCGATGGACGACCCCAGATATTCTACCCAGCATGTAGTTCCTGAAGCAACAGATTCTTGCGTACTCCTTCCATCAGTCGCCCCGGGGAATAGAAGTCGACCATATATGCCGTCAGCACTATACCTCGCCGTCCACCTTTCGAGTCGGCAACACGGCACCACTTGACACACGGTGAGTGCCCCAGCGAGACAAGCTTTCATCAACATGGAACATCATCCCGACGTCCCAAAACACCCAGCCCACCGCTCCAGTGGCGAATATCCCTTCTTTTTTTTTCTTTTTTGTGCTTGAAGATCGGATCGAAGCCAAAAGACCAAGTCTGGCCAAGAGGAAGAGCCGCCAACTCAGTCCCAGTCGATCCGGGATGACTGACGGGCACAAACCCTGCTGACGGGACGCAGGACCCTTTCCACCCTTTTTCTTTTTATGCCGTGCATAATGATCGGCATAAAGATTGCCAATCTCACGGGTCAATCTCACGCGGCCGGGACCCGTCCTGCTGGGGAGGGTACATAGTAGCTGCCTATTGGGTTGTTGGGGTCTCGATGTCAACGGGCTGGCTGTCAAGCATTGACGTGCACTCTCTCCAGTCTGCTGTGGAGCCGGGGGGGGCGGATGTGCGGGATGGGGTTCGAGCAGGAACACTAGCTCGCCAACCCCCACGGGCCGCGAGCCCGGCTGGTTTTCGCCACTTCGTTGCAAACAGCTGGGATTGGGTCGTTAGAGTGCTGCCCGGGACCGGGCCTACGGGGGGACGGGGGGAGCCTCTTTCTTCTCGGGCGAAGCACGTTTGAACTACGCTTCATGATCAACCAGTGATGTCCTTTCGATATGGGCTTCCAGAATGGATGAAACTGACAGCTGTGCATTGTTGCTGGCTCGAAACCTATCTATACCAGAGACCACGTGCGTCTGGGTTTGACATTAGCTATCCAAGGAGCGGGTTGAAGGGATTGCAGGGACGACGGGCCTCGTAGCCAGAGGATGTCGTCGATTCTCTTCAGTACTATCACTTCATCCTCGGCGTATACTGAAAGTTGCGCTCAGAGTCCTAAGCCATTCCAGAGTGTAACTCAGCCTTAGTCTAAATGTGCCGCAAAGACAAAAGCATAATCATGTACATGTCCTAATATCATCCCCTTTTTCTTCGCCGCCCATCCTGCTCACGCAGCAGCCTCTGCGTCTCCGCCTCGTCGTCGTAGCTATACTCGACTATCGGTCTCGGCGCGGGCGCAGCCTGGATGTGGTGCCGGCCCGGCGACGAAGGCACCGGCCGGGAGGCCAGTTCGGCCGGGAAAGCCGTCCAGTTGTCGATCTCGCCGGCGCCGCCTCCCCTCCGGTAGGTCTCGTCCCAGTCCCACGGGTCATCGCTCTTCTTTGCCCTGCCCTCCGCGGCGCCGGCGCCGGCGGCGGACGCCTGCACCGGGTCCCTCCACCAGTATCTGAAGTCGTACCATTCCACCATGATGCGCGCCAGGATGTACTTGCGCCAGCCGAGGTCGTTGTACTCCATGTTCTTCTCCATGAGCGCGATCTTGTCGGGCTCCTCGGCCTCTGATGACGGGTCCGTGATGTAGATCCTCTCCCTTTCGCCGATTGGCTCCCACCGCCTCGTTCGCAGTCCCAGCTTCGGCAGATACTCAAAGAGCATGTACCACACGGCGTATCCCGCGGCCGCGCCGCCAACAAGGGCCCAAGCTATCCACTGGCTGACGTCGTGGAGATCTGCAGACTGCGGGACCCAGCCGCGAACGCCGAGCTCGGACCCAATCGTGAGGCAGAGCGCGCAGGCCGGGAGCAAGGCGTAGAAAGCGAGCGAGAAGAAGTACCACGCCGCAGCCGCGTACTTGGCCAGCCTGCCCCGCCTCGCCGACTGGCTCTCCCTGAGGACCACCAGCTGCGCGAACGCGGGGGGTTTGTCGTCGCCCGCGCAGTAGGCGTACAGACGCGCCGCGCCCCTGGCCGGCCAGTAGGCGAGGACGTACAGGAGGCGCGCCTCCATGGACATGGCGCGCAGCAGCAGCAGCCTGTACCGCACCCAGACCAGCGCGATGATGGCAAGCCGCTTCCTCCTGGACTGCCCCTGCGCTCTCGGGTGGTAGTCCTGCAGAAGCCGCCGGAAGAGGTAGTTCCGTGTCTCCCTCGGCGAGGAGTTGGCGAGCACCCGCGCGCACTGGTACATGGGGCCGGTCAGGACGTACGACCACCATAGCATCCGGAGCAAGTTGTCGTACTGAGCCCCATGCATCGTGGGCGCTTTGCCGATCCACTCATTCCCGGCCACGCCTGCCGCCGCCGCCGTCGACGCAGCATCCCAGTGCCAGAGTACGGGAAGCAGAGGCGGCGTGCTCTCCCCTTGGTTGTACTTCGACACCAGCCCCAGATTCCCCTCGCAGGGGTTCGCACAGACGCCCGTCACAGCGTCGCAAGCAGCCGGCACGACCGCCTCGTCGCCCAGACGGCTAAGCGCCCCAGCCAGAACAAAGTACTGCAGGACCGCGCGCGCCGCGAACAGCGCGTGGCACCAGATGTGGTGAAACGCGCGCAGGACCTCGCCCTCGGCCCTGGACCGGCCGTCCCCGTCATGGTTCCCCCGCCGCCGCCGAACTGACCCGACGAGCAGGAAGAGCACGGACCCGAGCACGCCGTGCTGCAGGGCCAGCGCGAAGGCGAAGACGTTGGCGTCGTGCGCGGGTACCGTCGCGGACGCTGCGAGGACGAGCGCCGTCAGGGCCGTCGCGGCCGTGTACGCCAGGTGGCAGCTCGTCGTGAAGATGGCGGGCTTGCGGCCCAGGGGCGCGCAGCTCGCGAGCAGGAGGGCGCATAGCAAGAGGCGGTACGACTGCGTGTGGGAGGCGACGACGGGCCAGGCGCACCATACCTCCATCATCCCTGACGCCGCGGCGGCGCGGATGCCGTGCGGCGACGCCTGGGGTGAGAGCGTGGAGTTCATGCGCCGTGTGGCATCGGCGGTGTCTGCCACCCTGCCTATCTAACTTGTTGTGAATCCCGTCAACGTGAGTCTGTGGTGATGTGCGGCGTGAACAAGTTTGCCGGTGGAAGCAGAGTGCTATGTTTCGAGATTTCAAGGCAGTTTTTGAGGCGCCGTTACCCGCTCTGGCTCCACTAGGCAAACTCAGCTTTCGACAATCTTGACCCACCTCGGGGCCGCAGCGTGTGGCTTGTAGATATCAGTCTGGAATTGATAGTCAAGGTGCAAAGATAACATGTGAATGGATTGGGAACAAGCTGCTCTTGTAATACAATTATGTTGGCATTAATTGCCCTAGGGTACTTCTCTTCGTTGTGTTGAAAGACACGGCGACTTGTACAGTGATAGAAATCATTCTGTCGTCGAGTATTCAAATCAGTCAATCAATTAAGGAACAAATTCAACAAAATTGATTATCAACACAGTCGATTTCCAAAAGACCATATCCAACGTGAGAGATATTGCGTATGTACAAGATGCCCAAATATATGCAAGAATAAAAGGCAGTATATACTGAGTGAACCATAAAGCGACAACGAATGCATCATGACCTTCAAGTCGGCCCCATTTCGAAGCCACATCCTCACACAACAGCACAATTTTAAATAAGATCAAGCGATGGTGAATGTGAGAAGCTTGACATTGCCGGAAGAGACAGTGCCAGAGGCATTCTCACCATCAGGGTTGACATCATCGTAGGAGAAGGCGTAACCCTTCCCATCAGGCTCATACTTGTGCACCAGGCGGCCATAGTGGCTAGTGGGGTTGACAGTGTAGTACTTGGACGACGGGAGCGAGGGCTGCACATCGCCACCGGCCAGCAGCAGAGTCGACCGGTAGAAGGCGGCGCAGAGACGCGGGATGACGGCCAGGTGCACCGCGTTCTCGCTGCCGTCCTTGCCAAAGGGCCCGCTGTTGCAGCCCCAGATGTCCTTGGCGCTGGGCTTGGCGTACGACTTGTTGTCGCCGGGGCAGGTCATGACGTTGTTGGCGACCCTGCACTGGATCTTGCCGGCGCTCATCTGCGTGTCGATGGTCAGGGCCCTGCTCGCGTACGCGGACCAGACCTGGTCGACGTACCCCTGCCAGTAGTTGGCAAAGGTGTTGGGGTTGATGTCGGTGTAGAGGATGGGCGCCAGGGCGCGCACGGGCCTGCCGGACGAGTCGGCGACGCAGAGGGCCGCCCAGGCGCGGCCGTCGGCGTTCTGCTGCGCGCGCAGGTCGTTGCAGATGCTCTGCACGGCGCCCGTGACGAGGCCCTGGGCGGCCTGGGTCGCGCCGCCGTTGACCTCGAGCTTGGTGCCGAGCGAGAGGCCGACAAAGTCGACGTACGAGATGTTGGCAAAGACGACCTTGTCCCGGGTGAAGGTGAACTCGACGAAGCCCCAGTTGATGTTGGCGCTGGGGTCGGAGGGGTTGGCGGCCGAGGGCTGGACGAGGCCGTCCTTGCCGCCGCCGATGCTGACCATGAAGAACTGCAGGTTGCCCTCGGCAAAGTAGACCCGGCCCGACTCCAAGACGATGGGGAGGTTGAAGTTGAGGGCACTGCCCTTGCCGCTCATGGGGATGGCGAGGTCGGCGTTGATCTTGACCGGGACAGTGGACCCGCCGGACGACGGGTAGACGAGCTTGCCGCCCGAGGTTACAAAGACAATGCGTCCATCCGAGTCCAGACCCTGGATGTAAGCGTTGACTTTGCCCCCAGAGAAGTTATTGACGAACGACATGGGCAGGTTGGCTGTGAGGGCGCGGGCTGAGATTGTAGTTGTCTCATCAGGCGACGGAGCTGTGGCGTTCAGAGTGTTCTTGGAGGTGATGACGATGTCCTCTATTCCACCAGGTGTTGCCGGGGTGAAGCCATCAGGGTCTGTAGCCGGAGCACGGTTGAAGATTGAGATAGGAGAGGCCGCAGCTGCTCCTAGAAGCGCAGCTAGAATGGTGAAGGGGCGCATGTTGAGGCAGTATAGTGATGATGGAATAGCAAGGAGTGACTACTGAAGGAATGTACAGATTGGTTGCGCTAAGACAAGGGAAAGGAAGTCAGGGAGTAGTTGTCTCCCACTACAGGTGAGTTAACGAGGGATACTTGAAGATGCTGCTATCCTTCTCTCCTCTTTATAGTTTTTCACGCATGTATCTAGAACTCATCTGCTACATCCTCTTTAACTGTACTCTATACCCAGAAGCCTAACGAAGATATTGGTAGGCCCATGACTTAGCTCTATGCTACCGGTGCCGTGCGGGAGGTAGGGTACAATCAGCAGGGGTCCCTGGCCAGGGCTCCTTTATTGCTCCGTTGTTACCTGTTCTAAAAGACAGACTAGTCAGTTACTAAAGGAGCAACTAGACACAAGTGCCCGGCTCTTCCGCATCGAATGCAAGTGATTGTGCCATTGCAGAAGGGTCGGTGTCTTCTCTGCTTGGTTCAAGGCTCACATGAGATGCCGACAGTTGTGGTGGTGGCCCCATTGCTGACGCCTTTGCTAGTCTTGGCTGTTACTTCGTGCCATCGCCGAATGTCACGGTGCCTCATGAATGAGGGGTTCTTCTTTCTCTAAGCGCCGGAGTCTTCAAGATAAGCAGCTGACTTTGCCTGCACCAACAGAACAGTTTTGAACACTGGGGGTGCCCAGCGGCGACTTAGCTCTCCACACAGGTTGACATGTCCGAGAGCAGGCAGGCAGCTAGCTCATACAACTCAGGCAAAGCCCGTCATCAGATTAGAGTTGCTCCCGATGCAAACGACACGCTTGGCAGCACACAAAACTTGGGCTGGGCCATAAGAATTAGGGTTGGATGGTGTGGAACATCTCGGCCCCTGCTTAGAGCACGTTGTTAGACCTGTCAAGCACCCATCTTGCATTTCAACGCTGGCATCTATGCAGGTGTGTGGTCCGTTCCGCAGGGCAATTGAAAGGCGAGCCTACAAAGATTCAAACGCCAATATTCACTGGCAAATAACACCCTGTTGGCTGGTCCAACCCTCTTGCATGGTGCAGATGTCAAGTGCGGCTTTTGGCCGCACTGCACTACTCGATGCCGCGATCGTTCTGTCCCCTTGCTTGTGAAGTAAGGTGTGGCTGATGCCGTAATGTTACCTTCGTGACCGCCAACGGCCCACTGTCCGCGTGTTTCTTGGTGATGAGGGACCGAAGTGCTATTCTGCACTGAGTTGCTTGGCCGCAATGAGGATAGTCTACAAGTAGAAGTAATTGGAGCCATGACGAAGAGACGTTTTAGGAAGTTGGATAACAGACTGATACCACATGGAAAAGGACAGGGCATAATTCGGTCCGAACTATGAACATGTGCACAACAAGTGGCCGCAACCAGGGTCTCCCCTTTCTCGCCCAGCTGGGGGAAATTAGACTGTCTCGCCAAGCTTTTGTGTAATCTCCTTGGGGACGCAGGTATTAGGCCAAATTTCCAGACCCCTGCCAGGTACTAGAGTCCACAACCCAGAAATTGCATAACCACCTGAGAGATTTACTGATGGTATGACCCCCAATAGAATACAATGGCCTGGTAGAGTTCTAAGAACTTACGCCTGATACCTTTGTACAAATTCGTCAGGATTAAGCGCTCGTTGCGGAATGCTACCACCGCATTGGTCAATGCAACGCGCTTACTCGGATCAAGGAGATTGGCCGTGCACTTCCCTCTTGTTAGCTATGGAGATGGAGTAGAGAGATCCGGGAGTCATGGAACGTTGCAGGGCACCCTTTTTCCGACCGTTGAAGATAGATTGCTCAAGTTCTATAAAGCCTACGATACCCCCCTATGTGACGGCGCATTCAACGTGCATGCGCTATTGTATGGCGCTCGTCATGGTGTCTGTACTTTGCCCCGTAGAAGCCCCGAGAACGGGTGGGGGAGAGACGCTACGCCCTGAGGAGTTGAGTCTCATGACGACGCGGGATACATGTATACAAGCTCTGTTTACCGCCGCCAAGGAGTTCGGCTTCTCTGTGACCTACTAGAATGCGGGGAATGGTTCGCCGGACAGATCTTGATCGGTGCCTGGTGATCAGAAGCAACCCTGGCCAAGGTGCGGACGGATTGTCTGCCCAAAGGCGGACTTACTCGGAACCTTCCGCCCCTTCCTTTGTATCATTGATCGTCCCTCAACAGCAACGGCGCGCCAGTGGTATGTAATTGACTAGTCAATTTGTTCTAGAACGCGACCAAGCACCAAGCCGCTCAAGCGGTCGCCTATGGGAGGTGTAACAGGGTCTTCTGGAAGGAGACTTTGCATTGAGCTTCGAAAGCTTCATACCAGGTCTGAGAGGTCGATGGACGAAAGGCAAGATACGCAAAGAACTTGTGGAGTATAGCATATGCATGGCATTCGCAAGACAGCCTGTGACTCATTGTAGTCAAGATTGCCCTACTTCCGACCTGCTTTGCGAGCCGTGGGGGATACAGTCTTGCAAGTCTGGCTCGGCACAGAATATTGAGTCTGCGGGCTGCTGCCGTCAAGAGGCGATGAGTGGCCAAGCACTTCGGACATCCAATCTAAGTTTTCGATAGGTTCTCCCATTCAAGCTTCAGTTTCTCCCCTATCTCCAGGTGTAGAGCCGGTCTGACCGTGTCAGCTTCTGGCTTTGCGTTGATAGCGATCAGAGCATACCTACTAGTTGATGCTGTTATAGCAAGACATTGCACCTTCCTCTGCCCACGCGGCGCGAGTAGTTCTTTGTCCACCTCATGCATGTCGCTCGTATTCTCACTGCCGGTGAAACATCCGTAGTGGTAACGCGTTGACAGCCTTTTTATCTTTCGACCAAAACCTCTGGAATGAAAATAGACAGAGCTGGACACGTGATTCCGACTGTATGGCTGCATCTGCATGGGATCGACTGTACATTTCCGATGGCTAAGAACGAGAGGGCCAATCATATCCAAAGCAGGACATGAAGACTCGAGACGCGAAAGAGGGGATAGATTGGCTGCTTCCCGGCCGACTCGGTGGCGGCCACATCGGACCGGACCGGACCGGAGAGGCGATTCAGGAGGGGCACCGTATGCCCATAATCGGCTGGACTCAGCGTGTCGGTGGCTGTCCGGCTCACACAACTTCGTTTTCCCGTCCTTCTCCTCATCGTGTGCTGCGTGGGATCTGAGAGTTATCTCGTAGCTTAGTAGGGCTTGGCGTTGTGCTGCACTACGAGAATTGAGGTCCATGTTTAGTCCGCAGAACTCCGGATCTAGTGTTCATGTCTGCGGCACCGGTCGAATCGCGAGGACTTTCAGTTGGCATATCGCCAGCCTCCCTGGCTGTATGCACGCCACGTGCAAGCTGCTCTCCTGCACCCTCTCCGAGATCGTGCAACACGGCTAAGCCTGTTGGTCTTATTGATGGTCAACCGTCGTCTCAGTCCGCAATCCGAGGTACGAGTATTTCCTCCGCATTGATATTTCGAGTCGGTTCGCCTAGCCAAAGCACGTGGGACGATGACGATGAGCAGATCCGAGCGAACGGAAAGGGGATCTGGTAGCACGGGGCACCCCCAGCGTCGGCATCGGCTACCTAGCGGCGGGATGAGTGCCGAAACGGGCAAGCTATTGGTGGGGTTGACAGGGAACATGGCAAAGTGGACAATGCGCCCAGCGACACGAGGTCGGGATCGTGTCGTCTTGGAAGCAGTTAAAAGACTCGCGATGTGCCCGCTCGAGAGGAGAGGAGAGAGAGACAGACATGTTCGGTATCCCTCCCGGACCAGTCCTCTCGGTCGTGTCTCCTGCCAAGCGGTTCTTCTGAAGCCTTGTACTTGACTGAAGAGCATCATGAAGTCGCTCATTCTCCGTGCGCTCGCAGCCGTGGCCGCCGTGGCCTCCTTGGCCAAGGCCGATGGCGGTGACTTTAGCGTCCTCACCATGAACGTCGCGGGCCTTCCGGCGATCCTCAATAGCAATGAGGTACCCGGAGACAAGGCGACCAACGCCGGCAACATTGGAAAGCTGTTCGCCAAGTACGGATACGATGTTATCCATGTTCAAGAGGTACGGATTCTCATTTGACTAGGTTCATGGAGACCGAATTCACTGACGAGCTCCCTCACCCATCTTAGGACTTTGCGTATCATGCGTAAGTATTCTGGGGTGCCCGGCATGGATCTTACTTGAAACCAAGTCGCTCACAGACCCCGATCAGGTACATCTATGCCACGGACAACCATCCATTCCGTACCCCGACCTCGGGTACCGTCATTGTGGGCGATGGCATGAACACTCTGTCCAACTTTGACTGGGTTAACTTCACTCGCGTGCGTTGGAACAAGTGTTCCAATGCGTCTGGCGCCGACTGCCTGACCCCCAAGGGGTTCACCTTCATGCGAGTCAAGGTGGCGGAGAGCGTGTATGTCGATTTCTACAACCTCCACACGGACGCCGGGTAAGTAGGGATCGCTCCAGCCAGTCTTAACAACACTAATCCCTCTTGCAGAACCGAGAATGACGACGAAGCTGCTCGCACTGCCAACGTCCAGCAAGTCGCTGACTACATCGACAAATGGTCTGCCGGCAACGCCGTCGTGGTCATGGGCGACACCAACTCCCGCTACTCGCGCACCGCCGACAACATCAGGCTGTTCGGGACCCAGAACGGGCTCACGGACGCCTGGGTCCAGGTCGAGCGCAACGGCGTCATCCCGACGGTGGAGTCGCTGTGCAGCAACCCGTCCACGACCGACTCCTGCGAGACCGTCGACAAGGTGCTCTACCGCGGCAGCAGCATCTTCAAGCTCGAGGCGACGTTCTTCAACTACGAGTCCAAGAAGTTCCTCCAGCCCGACGGCAACATTCTCAGCGACCACAACCCCGTCGGCGTCAACTTCACCTACTCGCTCAATGGGAACCTGCGGCAGTCGGGCTACTTCGGCGGCCCGCACGGCACCTGGTTCTCGGACCTGAGCGCGCTGGCGACGAAGTCCAAGCCCGCGGCCAAGGTCCTGACCTTCCGTGGCGCCAGGCGCCTGGACTCGGTCGGGCTGACGCTGACCGACGGCACCGTCTTCACGCACGGCGGCACGGGCGGCGACCCGGCGACGCTGACCCTTGGCTCGGGCGAGTTCTGGACGTCCGCCGTGCTGTGCCAGGCAAAGTACAAGGACCGCACGCGGAACTTCTACATCAAGGCCACGACCAGCAAGGGCAACACGCTGGAGTCGGGCAGCTCGACCGGCGACTGCGCTACCTTCACGGCGCCGAGCGGCTGGCAGATTGTGGGGTATATGGGCCAGGACGGCGATGAGATGGATCAGCTTGCTTTCATCTACGCGCCGCAGTAAGGGGCTGGGTCATGCTCCTTACGACGTCAATAGACCTAGGAACTTTCAATTTCAAAGGCTATACTAATCGTAATCTAACATATCTATTCCCCAGGGTACTGAAGTTTGTCAACCTCCGCTTACTGGTGCTGCTCGGTGGGAATCTCGATTGCAAATCCATGAATGCTTCACAAAGTCTAATGCTCCGATGGCGTGTAGTTCCCAGGATGTCTTGAAATTGTCAAAGCCGTGATCTTCTCCGGCTGCGATATCGAGCCTGACAGTAGTATCCGGTGACTTGTCCCGAATTAGGTCCAACAACTTGTGAGTTGCCCGAATGTGCACGACGCTGTCGTCGTCGCCATGCAAGATCCAACTGCACAAGGTTAGCTGCACAGGACATCAAATTGGGAATCTCCTGCAAACAGCTTACAGTTTCCGCGGCAGCCTTGCTCCAGCTGCGAGCCTCTTTAGAGGCGAATGCTCAATTCGGTCCAGGCCGAGATGATCAAAGATTTTGGTATAGAAAACTCCATCCTGAGCTGCGGCAACAGCATATGGTCCTCTCTCCCACCCGGCCTTTGACACGACCGTCTTCCGAGCGTCTTCAATCCAAGACATTACTGCCTCCTTAGGTGGCAAGTCTTCGACGGGGGTCCTCATTATCGACGGCTCTCCGACGGCAGGGCCCTTGAACAAAAGAGGGTCGTGGGGGTCGACAAACGGGTACACGAGAGCCATGGCGGCAATTTCGTCCGGGTGGGACATGGCGATCTGCGTGGCGCAGTACCCACCGGCGGAGCCGCCAGTCACGAGGAGGCGGTTGTAGTCGACCGTGTGGCCAGGTGCGCGGCTTTCAAGCACGGCGGGGAGGCTGGAGCGCGTCCACTTCCAGAAGTCTTCGAGGTCCTCCAGCACGTCGGCCACACCATTGCTCGAAGGGAGGAGCCGGTAGTCGGCGGAGACCAGCACGGCGTCGTTCTCGAGGGCCAATTTGAGTATCCAGGGCGCGAAGAAGGGGGCGAAGAGAGACCCCCCATAGACGAGGAAACCGCCGTGGAAGTTCAAGATGACTGGGTGAATACCGGGTTTGGCTTTCTTTGGTATCAACACGGCGGCTTTGATTTCGTGCGAGTCGACAACCTTGTATCTGTATGATGGACGTCAGGACCTTCAACATGGGAGATTACATCTGCGGCTGATATTGGAGAGTCTCACGTCTCTTCAAACACGGAAAAGTGTTGAAACATGCTGTCATCTGGCCACTGAACGGTCGACATGTTTGCTGTTCTTGGCAGGTTTTGCTAGAGCACTGGACGAGAGTTGAGGAATGGAAGGGTGCACACAGAATTGCGAGGACTTGAGGATGCAATTGGAGCACTTGATTGAGGTCATAGACAGCTGACTATCTGCCCCAAGACCAGACGTTTTATATAGACGTGTTTGTAATCACGCTGTGGAGATCACGGAAAGTGGAGCGGACGGATTGTGGGCCATGCTTTGAAAGCGAGGACGGCGGTTGCTCGAGGGTGAGAAAGCTGAGCGGATCACGGCTTATGGGGCATCGCCGTTGTCATCCGTGGATAGCACTGGGCTTACACAACCCGTACATCGTGTATCGTCCCACATATTACTAATTAGAAATTGCTTGCCGTAGACGTTGTACGAAGCTAATGTGGGATATAAAGCGGTGAGCTGTTGGACTCTTCCCCTTCGTTTGTAGTACATGCCAGCCAAGAAGTTGCCTGCCTGCAACAAAGAAAGAACGGCGAGACCGATCTACACCAACAACATCGAGACACACATACCCTATAGATCGCAGAGTCAGACTGTCGAAATGCATCTGTCTGTCCATACTTGGATGAGGCCTGAGCCTTTGGAAGTCAGCCTCAAGCGCGCCTCCGAGCTCGGCTACACCAGCATCGAACTCGCGGGGGAGCCCGGTCTCTACCGTATTGAAGAAACCAGGCAATTGCTCCAGAAATACGGGATCCAGTGCTGGGGAACCGTGACGATCCAGCAGGGAGAGCGAGACTTGATCGCTGCCGACCCACAGCAGCGGAGAGCCACAATCGAGTACATGAAGGAGGTAGTCCGGTTATCCAAGGGGCTGGGTGGGGAAATCACCACGGTCGTGCCTGGCAGAGTAGGCAAGTTGATTGCTACCTCGACCCCGGAGAATGAGTGGCGATGGGCCGTCGAGGGCCTGAAAGAGGTGGCGGCGCTTGCCCAGGAGCTCGGCATCAAAGTCGGCATCGAACCGCTCAACCGCTTTGAGACGTACTTCCTGAACCGGACGGACCAGGCGCTGGCTCTCGCCGACGAGGTCGGGTACGGCTGCGGCGTCACGTTCGACCCCTTCCACCTCGCCATCGAGGAGCGAGATCTGCTAGCCGCCGTCCGGGCCTGTGGGCCGCGCATCGTCGACTTCCACGTCGCGGACAACAACCGCCTGGCTGCCGGCGAGGGATCGTTCGACTGGGACGGCATTGTGGCTGCGCTGGCCGAGACGGGCTACGACGGCGGCCTGGCGGTTGAGTGCATGCCGCCCATCGACCGCTCACCGGTGGGCGAGTTTGGCGCCAGCCAGCTGGAGCAGGGTGATGCCGATGTGCACGCGGACCACCTGCAGTTCATTGTCGATCACGGTTCGGGTTTGTTCTCCGATGCGTACTACACCGGCCAGCTTAGCAAGTCGGCGGAGACGATGCGGCGATACGTTCATTGAGGGAGAGGCTTGGGCACCGGTGTGACGGGCTGGGCAACAGGCTTAGTCTCTGTGATGACAGCACAGAATACCTCCCGTGTTTCAGTCACGAGATAGCATGCAGCTTTTCTTGCTTCTTTTGTTGTTAGCGTAGTGAATGTGCAGCATTGGATCGCATATAATTGGTGCAGATCCGTTGATGTGATCGGGAGCAGCCTGTGTGCTACAAGGAAATCGCTAGTGCGTCAGCAGCGTATGAAACGAAATCATCTCCAACCTCCCCAAGAGCAACCACCCACCGAGGCTTGAATGACAGTCCCAGCACCATTCCCTGTACACACGGAATACCAGCGAACGCGCATGTGAGATGGCGGCAACGGAGTAATGATGATTATGAGGAGGAAACCGCGTGTTGACGTGGCCTGCGACTTTTGTCACCGGCGCAAGGTATGTGTCTTCTCCTCTTCCCCAACGATCTGTGAACGCGTCGGTTGATGTGACGGGCCACCACAGCTGGCGTGCGACAATGCAAGGCCTCGGTGCACCAGTTGCCATACTTATCATCAAGTATGTACGTACAGAGGCCCACAGCCTCCCATCGCGGTTGCTGTGGATGCCGCCCGTCCCGTATCCGCCGACCAGCCACGGGATTCGGTCCTCGTTGGATCAACGCGGATTGACACTGGACTGGAATACTCTACTCCAACGTCCGAGGAGAGAACACCTCGGGAAGCTGAGTACTATGGCCCTACCAGTGCCATTTATGATGCAGAGCGGCCAAATGAAAGAGACCACGTTGCATCAGACACCACAGATGCGTTCGTCAAGACTCAACTCTTCGCAGAATCTGCCAGACAGCGTGAGCACATTCGCCATAGCTACAAGATGCCATGGATAAACTGACTTGGACTGACTTGTTTCCTGTCCACACAGGCCAGCTAGAGCTGGTCAATCTTCGATCCGGCAGGCTCGACTTTGCGGGGCTCGAACCCGAGCGAGGAATGCAGCTCCTGTCACTTTTTTGGAGCCGGCAGCAAGCCACAGGGACGGTGGTGTATCGGCCCGCCTTCATGCGAGATATGGTATGCAACGGACCATACTTCTCTAATCTTTTACTCCATGCGATACTTTTCCTCTGTACGAAGAACTGCCAGGAGTCCGGACCGGGACAATCTGCCGCCACAGATGTTTGCGAGGGGAGAAAAGCACTCCGGCGGAAACTCGAGAAAGCCATCTATCATCCTAACACCCAAATCCTATGCAAGAGTAACATTACCACCATTCAAGCCCTGCTTCTCTTTTCCGATGGACTGTTCTCATGGTGCGACGAACCAAGTCTTTCATGGCACTACCTCGGTATCGCTATCAACATGATATTCGATCTGGGTCTTCACTCGGAAGCATCTACTTGGAACTGTTCACCAGAAGAAGTAGAAATCTCGAGGAGAGTTTTCTGGTCTGCATATGGTATGTTCTGTGCTCCCACAAAACCGTTGAAGGGGCGTTGTCTCTAATTGCAGGTCAGTTATGGACAAGACTCAGTCCATTTACCAGGGCAGACCTCCGCGTTTGTCCTCTGCATATCACAATGTACCTCTCATGTTCATAGACGAGTACGAAGAACTTGAGCCCATTGATACAGCGGCGGTTTATGGGTCTGTGTCCTCGGCAGACCGAATGAGGCCCTCACCTATTTACAGCGTGTCAGCGTTCGAGCAGCTCTGCAAGCTGAGCTGTGTTGCGGACCGTATTCTTTGTGAGATACACGGAGAGAGTAGGCCTGCGAGGGGCTCCGAGGCGCTCGTCAGCACAGCACACGAGCTTCGCGCTGAGCTTATGAACTGGCTCGCCGCTCTGCCTGAGCATCTTGGACCCCCGACCGACGCGTATGGGAGCTACGTGTTCACACCGTACCACGCCTCCCTGCCACATATTCTGTGTATAACGTGAGTCATTCATATCCGTTGTCGACTATTTCTTAGACATGCATGATCCTTTCGACACACTGACTCCTCTCTCTCTAGACTGGAGTTCCACGCGCTGGTCATCCTGTTGCACCGCCCCTTTGTCCGCGGAGGACACCTCGAGCTCGAACTAGAAGACGGTCCGTGTGCCCGCGATGCTCTTGGCACATGCGTGCAGGCCGCTATGTGCATTGACCAGCTCCTCCGGCACTACAGGTCAAAATGGTGCATCACCTCACCGCCTTACTTTGTCACGTATGCGACGTACGTGAGCGCGACAATCCACGTGCGGAACGTTGCTCGGAGGGTCAACGACCTCCATTCGCGCCGGTGTCTTCAGAACTGCCTAGAGATCCTTGAGGCGCACCAGCACGTATCTCGTGTGCCGCGCCGGGCCCTGGGTATACTGCTCCGTCTGTGTCGGCGGCTCAAAGTCAACGTCGGCGATACTCGAATGGATGTCGATGATACTCGAGTGGACGTCGGTATTGTGCGTGGGGGCGCGATGTCAATCTCCTCGATGTTGAATCCGCCGATGGCCGATACTGAGACGGTTCAAACGGATACAGGGTGGGGTGATGCGGCACTGGCAAGTCCCGACTCAGGGCGGGCGCACGTCAGTGAAGATGCTGAGAGACAGGCGCGAGGGAGCGGAGGGCCATCGGAAATCACTGACCTGGACAGCTTTTATGCATCCATCAACGATCTGCTAGAGGGTTGGCGTCCTGGTGTATCGTTTGATCTCGATCCACTTTTGGGTTATGACCAACACGCATGTTAAGACAACTCGGACAGTCTCCCCAACGATCCCATTGGCCATTTTTTGCCTTATCTACCAATATCTAGTTGATCAAGTGTGGCGGTTGCTATTTCAGTCCTTCAGTCATATAATGATGCCGAATGTATCAGATTATAGCGTCCCTACTCTCTCAAGAGTCTGCTTTTCTTTCTCAGCCGCGGGCCGTATACCCTAAAGGCGTATGGTATCGGGATCATGACTGCAGCCAGGCATCCAAGCAGCGTGGCAGCCCACTGCACCCCCAGGTTCTGAAACATCTGCTTTGAGAATAGCGGAAAGCCTGCGGCTACCGCGGAGCGGAGGATTATGTTTGCCGCTACAGCTGATGCCGCACTGTTATCAAGCATGATCAGTTGGCATCGTATTCCAACAACTAAGGCCTATCCCCAAGTCGGACTTACAATGGCAGATAGGCGTCGACGATGTAGTTGAAGCAGGGCAGGAAGACACTGACGTTGCCGAAGCCGATGAAGACACCAGCAACCGTCGGCACAGCCCAATGAATGTTGCCCGTGTAAGCGGTCCAGCCAAACCTGGCTGTGTCAGCTTTTGAATGTCGGGACGCCACATAGAGCTGATTGGGATCCAAACACTTACCAGAAGATGCCAAGTGCAAAGATCGGCGCTCCAACCAGTGGAGGACCTAACCGCCATTCGGGGATTGGCACGTTGTTGTTCGCCCTCAGCTTGCTCACGTACGCCTTTTGCCGAGACACTATGACTCCAACCGCCGCTGCCTGGCCGACGAGCAACCCCAGGAACGGGAGACCGCCGACCCCAGGCTTCATCCCGTAGATGCCCTCAAACACCAGCGGATACGCCCCGAGAAGGCAGTACACCAACCCGTAGATGAACGACATGTACAGCGACACCAGCAGGATGGTGGGCTCCGTGACCAGCATCCGCACCGGCCGGCTGAAGTACTTGTCCACCAGCACCCAGGGTTCGACCTCGACCCGCTCGTGCCGCGCGTGGACGGCCCAGTTGCCCGTCCGCCCGCGCAGCGCCGCCGCCCGCGCGACCAGCAGGCGCGGCGCGTACGTCTCGCGCAGGAAGGCGAGGCACGCGGCGCCGCAGGCCAGGCTCAGTATGGCCGGGACGTACAGCGCCCAGCGCCAGCCGCCGGACGCGACGGTCACGAACCCGCCCACGAGCGGCGCCGTCGACGGCCCGCCAAAGACGCACAGCGCGTAGAGCGAGACGGCGGCGCCGCGGCTCGCGTCGTCGTACAGGTCGGCCAGGACGCCCGGGACGACGGCCAGGGGCCCCGCGCCGCAGGCGCCGGCGAAGAAGCGGCAGACGGCCAGCGCGGGCGCGTCCTTGGCGGCGGCGGCGCCGAGGCCGAAGGCGCCGCCGAGGAGCGTGGACGCTGCGAGGGGCAGCCTGCGGCCGCGCAGCTCCGAGGCGGGCGCCCAGAGGACGGGGCCCGCGGCGAAGCCTAGGACGTACAGGGCCGTGCCGAGGGCGCCTACCTCGGCGCTGACGTCGAGCTCGGCGCTGGCGGCCGGGGCGGCCGGGGCGAAGATGGCGGAGGCCAGGGCTGCGATGTAGGTTGCGCTGCAGGCTAGGATGGAGGTTAAGAGCCTTGCCTGGGGTTAGTGAATTGACTGTGTTCAACCAACGGTGCAGGGGGTAGCGGTCTGCGTACTTGTTCGAGCGGTTCCAGTTGTAGGGATGCTCCGGATCATCGGGCCCGTCAAACTCGACAGTGTAGTCTTCTGGGTTGCCAGGCAGTGGAGGGAGTGGTCTTCCCATGCCCATTGAAACTGACTGGTCCATCGTCCTAGGAGCTTCTTGTTCGTCGGTGCAGACCCCTAGCTCGAGGTCTGTATCGTCTTTGGGTTCGTCTGACAATCTGCACTCTGTCATTGCTAGTTCTGCAGCGCAAGCAGAAGATCGAGACATGATGCAAATCGGCACACCCTTTTGCATCATGGGCATGACTCCTTGGGAAGGAACAACGCATTATATTATGTTTCAATCAATAACGTCGGCGCCTTTGAGCGGACTTGCGTCACACCTGGCATCACCGCCGTAGTGATCGTCATGGGTTGCTTACACCCGCAATAGCCGCAGGGGTTTAGGGCCCATTGAACGGCGCCTTTCCAGGAAGAGAAGAGGGCAGCATATTACTATCAACGTGAGTCACTGATACCAGTGCATAGTCACTTTCTCTTGTAGTAGGTATTTGCATGCAGACAACTTGAAATCTGGTTCTGCTGTATCTATCACATTATGTAACTTCAATAATGGATTTCAAAATTGTAGAAGTTGACTGAAGGGGTATTTAATTAATAGCCCAGTACTGTAGTAGGATCGATCTAAACGATACAAGTCTTTCAATGCCTCGAAGCTTAGCAAGAAACAAATCTGGTCGCCGGCCTGTCGCAAATAATAACAAAACACATAACAAAACCTCACAAGCCCGACCCATCCGGAACGCCGCCAATCATGGGAAAGCCAGCCCCCATATCCGCACTCAAGAACTGGTCAAGATCCACCCCCTGCAGGCCCGGGAAGTCAGCGACCAGCGCCTCGAGCCACATATTCTCCTGCGTGCTCGGGGCGGCGGGGGCGGGCTGGTCCGCCGGCGGCGAGGAGGGAGGCACCTCGGCCTCGGGCTGGTGGTGGTGCACGGCGAGCACCTCGCCAAAGACGGCCACGTCGTGCCGGCGCCGCTGCTGGTGCAGCATGACGAGCAGGCAGGCGGTGCTGTAGGCCTCGCGCATGGTGTCGGTCGGGTACGTGGACGCGACGAGGCCGACGGTCTGCATCGCCTCGGGCAGCAGGCCCAGGGACGAGCGCGTGTCGAGCACGAGCAGGACGCAGATGATCTGGAAGGGCACGTTGGCGACCTGGTGCCAGGGGCAGCACGCGGCGACCATGCGGCGGGCGCAGGCGAGGGCCTTCTTGAGCAGGGCGAGCACGCGCTCGGCCAGGTCGCCCGAGATGTCGAGGTTCTGGCTGTGGATGCGGCGCAGGATGCAGAGGGTCAGGTTGGACTGCGCGAGCACGGAGGGGGGCTGCGTGTGCGAGCTGCCGAGGACCCTGATCAGTTTCTCCGTCAGCTCGGCCTCGTCCCTGGACCGGCCCGGGTCGAGGCTGATGGACACGGGCAGGAGGCCCATGACTTCGGCCGTGTAGTCCGAGGCGCTGGACGGCGCGGGGAGCAAGGGTAGGTCGTCGGACTGCGCAAAGACGCGGGACAGGCCGAGGTCGAAGGAGGCCCATGTGTTGAGATGGTGCGCCACACACACGAGGCCTCTTTCGATGTCGGGGTTGCCGTGGGCGCTCGGGAGCAGCACAGACGAGTGCGACCTGGGATGGAGACCCGACGCCTCGACGAGGTGCATGAGGGTCGAGCTGGCTATCCACGTCGCGTGAGGTGTGTCTGTGAGCCGGAGGTAGATCGTCCGGAGGGTCCAGCCGGTGAGCAGATCCAGAGAAGGAGGGCCGGCGAGGTGGTGATTGTCCAAGGTAGATGCGGCACAGCGGACCAGGTGCAGCTCGGTGATGGTGACGTTGCGCTGGGAGAAGAGGCACCCGAGGGCCGCCACGCCGGCGAGGACTCCGTCGTACAGGTCTGGCGTCATTGCCGTCGACTTCCAGCGCATCTCCAGCCGCTCCAAGAACTGCTCCTTGTCGACGAACCAGTAGCATGGGGCCAGCTTGTCGAAGTAGAAGCCGGCCAGGGACTTCATGTGCTCGAGCGACGTGATCTCGACGACGGAAAGAGTAGAAGTCGTCGGCGGCACGAAATCAGAGGTCTTCAACTGTCTCGCGCCGACGTTCCAGCCGAAGAGATGGAGCCTCGGCGCCCCAGAGGGGTCCATCTTCAGGCCGAGCTTCCTGACAAAGGCCGCGCCGGAGTTCGCCTCGAGATGGCGGACGAGGCCGGTGTGGTCGGAGTCGACGGTGCTGGGCGCGCCGGCAGCAGCCGAGTGGAGTCCCTGGCCGGTCTGGGAGACGGGCGAGGTGAGGGATCCTGCGTGGAAGGACGCCCGCCGCCTCTTGGGGGTCTCGTAGTGACAGTCGTAGCCCCATTCCGTGCATGTGACGCAGGGGTCCTGGCCGTCGCACTTTCGCTTGCGTTCTCGGCAGGGCTTGCAGGCCAGGCGTGAGCGCTTGCGCTTGGTGGAGTTCATCGCGAGGAGCGCTGTATGCGGCCACGCACTCTGTCTACCGGGGATCGCTATGGAGAGGATCTTGGAGATTGTGGCAATTGCGGGTGATTGACTTTAAGACGAGCGGCACCGCGAAGGAGGGGGCGGTTAGAGCGGGTATTGCGGCAAGACGGCCTGACTCGAGAGATCTGGCTTGCCAAGAAGTTAGAACACACTAGCAAAGGCAGTCGAGTCCAGTTGTTCTCCCATTGCTCAGTATCCATATTGTCGTGCCAGCAAGTCCAATGTCCATGGTGGAGACTGGTGGGCGCTTCGCTACTTACGGACTGAAGCAGAGCAGTTTACTCTACCAGGTCCTAGTGATGTTTGGTTGGATTGAAATGAACCGTGTACTCGCTATGCCGACATGTATCCGCCTCAATCTTGGCCATCTGAGGGTATTCTTGGGTGTACTATCCCGGGACCCAGATAGCGACAATGTAATTCTAACTCATTGAGGGTAGTGCTCAAGGTTGCATCCTACGACGATGGATCTCCAAAGATCTGATAGCGCAGTTGAACAGCTCTTCAGATGAATGAAGTCTACTTACTCTGCTAAGAGTATAGAGAGAGTTATTATCAAGAGCTGAATGGCCATTCACTAGAAGAGTCATGCACACCCTCTACGTATTGTATATATATCCTCTGTGGTTGGATGGGTATAAGATTGGGGATGGCTGGGTATCATCGGAGAATTTGAGAGCAAGCCCTCGTTCAATTCCAGGCTGAACCGGTACTGCTCTCCAGTAAACATGGAGCTCTGCTCGAGAGAGAATCTGCGCGGCATCCGGGGACAGCATCCATGAATGCATGTTATCACCAGCCAGCCCTGGAGATCTGCGGTCCGGCATCCATCCACGAATGGATGCCCACAGCCGACCCAATTAGCGTTGGCGGGCGCTAGAATATCCACTGTAACCCCTCAAACTCCAGCGCCTCTCCTCACTAGTTATTGCCGGTCCCGCACTGCATGGATCTAGACTACCACGCGATTGCGGGGAGCGTCACACCCGTGACGTCTATCAACGCGAACCTGGATTGCAACTTGGAACTCGCGCGCAGTTCCCGACCCTCCATCTTCACACAGCTGATCTACTTGTACAAGTAGATACAACTCTGTTTGATGAAGAAAGTAAATAACTCTGGATCCGCCTCGAACCACGCCACTGCCGCAAGCGAAGCGCACCCGGCACGCTCCACTGCCGGCAGAACTCTGGTGATCCGCACTCTCGATCATACCAGTCCAGCTTTGTGCATACCTACCTGCTCAATCAGGCGGTAGCCAAGTTTCCTTCTCATCACCTGACGTCTCAACCGCGCCTGATGCGCGTGCTGGGTAGGTCTCTTTGGGATTCTGCTCTTACCCTACCGCTCCTCCGATATGCCGGACCCCTCGAAAGGCCAGCAAGACGCGGCCAACCATGGCTCTCTAGAGACCAAAGCGGGTTTGTCTGCCCATGGACGGGCCAAATTTGAGGAGACTGTATGGCTTTTGGATACGTATAAGACTAGTCGCCATCCCCGTGCCCGTAGTCCAGCCGAGAGACTGCAGCGCCTTCTCATCATTTTCTGTGCCATCATGTTTGTCGGATATCTAGGACGTTTGGCCGGCCTGGGCAGCCTCTGGGCAGCATCCCACCTGCTTGGTCAAGCACACGGACAAGGCGTAATCACCGAGGATACGCATTTCTACGGCCACTCGCCTCCCGTCTACCCATCTCGTGAGCTGCCTTGTCGACGCCAAACCGTGAAGGACAGGAGCTGACACGCCGTTCCCAGCCGACGGCACTGGCGAAGGCGCATGGGCGGATGCCTATGCTAAAGCGCGCAAGTTTGTGGGACAGCTCACGTTGGAAGAGAAGGTATGTTGACATGAACTGGCCCGCACGAAATGCGCGCTCCCCAAAGAAAGTCGTGCCGGCTAAATCGCGTCCAACCCCCCCCCAGGTCAATCTCACGGGCGGTATTGACGCGGACAACTCGTGCTCTGGGAATATTGGCGCCATCGCCCGTCTCAACTTTCCTGGTCTGTGCGTGAGCGATGCCGGCAACGGGCTCAGGTCCACCGACTTCGTCAGCAGCTGGCCTTCTGGGATGTCGGTCGGCGCCAGGTATGTTGTATATGACTAGGAGGCATGCTAGAGGACCGAGGATGCTAAGAGCAAGTCTAGTTGGAATCGCGAGCTGGCCCACCGGCGTGCGCTGGGCATGGCCGGCGAGTTCCGGGCAAAGGGCGTGAACATGATGCTCGGCCCTGTCGTGGGACCCGTAGGACGCATCGTGAACAGCGGGCGAAACTGGGAAGGTAGATCACAAAGCCATAAGTTTGTCTCCATAAGGCGGGAATGCTCACACGTTCTCAGGATTCTCGGTCGACCCGTATCTTGCTGGCGCTCTCGTCTCCGAGACTATTGTTGGCATGCAGTCCCGCGGCGTCATGACGAGTACCAAGGTGGGAGAGGCCCGGGAAATTTGACAGAGTGATTCACCATGGCTGACAGGCCTTAGCATTTCATTGCCAACGAACAAGAGACGAACCGCAGCCCCAACCCTGAGTCAGGCGTGCAGGCAGTGTCTTCCAACATCGACGACAAGACTATGCATGAACTCTATCTCTGGTATTGCCTTGACGTTCTTCCCACCCTGGACAAATCTCATCTAACCATTGATCGTACAGGCCATTCCAGGATGCTGTCAAAGCCGGTACCGTGAATATTATGTGCTCTTACCAGCGCATCAACAACTCGTACGGTTGTGCCAACAGCAAGACTCAAAATGGTCTTTTGAAGACTGAGCTTGGTTTCCAGGTGGGTGGCAACGATATGGCTACACTGGTCCGCATTACCAACGCTAATAATTATACAGGGCTTCATTGTCACGGACTGGTGGGCGCAGCACAGTGGTGTCGCAACCGCCCTGGCCGGGCTCGACATGGTCATGCCCTCAGGAGACGACTTCTGGGGCGCCAATCTCACACAAGCTGTTCGAAACGGCTCTGTCCCAGAGTCTAGAGTCACTGATATGGCCACGAGGTAAGAGTCTGAGGGGAGCTGGCGCTGGGGCTCCCTAGCTGACAGATTATAGAATCATGGCCACTTGGTATCACATGGGCCAGGACAAAGACTTTCCCAAACCTGGTGTCGGTATGGCCAAGGATCTGTCGAAGCCGCACGAAGCCATCTTCGCAAAGGATCCAGCCTACAAGCAAACTCTGCTTGACGGTGCCATCGAGGGCCATGTGCTGATCAAGAACGAGAAGAAGGCACTCCCGCTGAAGTCGCCGCGCCTGATATCTCTCTTTGGCTACTCAGCCACCGCGCCACAGATCTTCAACCCCGAAACCCACCGGTGGAACGACGGCGGCGAGTCCGTCGGACCTGCCGACCTCGTCAGGTTGGCAAACGGCACTTCTTGGCACTCCCAGATCGCCTCCAACGGCACCGTCATCTCGGGCGGCGGCTCCGGCGCCAACGAGCCGGCGTACATCAGCTCCCCCTTCGAGGCCCTGAGCCAGCGCGCCTACGAGGACAACACCAACCTCTTCTGGGACTTCCAGTCGACCAACCCCGTCGTCGACCCGGCCTCGGACGCCTGTCTCGTCTTCGGCAACCTGTTCGCCACCGAGGGGTGGGACCGCCCGGGCCTGCACGACGACTACACCGACGCCATCATCAAGAACGTGGCCGCCAACTGCAGCAACACGATCGTGGTCCTGCACAACCCGGGCACGCGGCTGGTCAACAACTTCGTCGGCCACGACAACGTCACGGCCGTCGTCCTCGCCCACACGCCCGGCCAGGACTCGGGCCGCGCCCTGGCGGCCCTCCTCTACGGCGACGCGAACCCCTCGGGCAAGCTGCCCTACACGGTCGCGCGCAACGAGTCCGACTACGGCCCGCTCGCCAACCAGACCCTGCCCGACGGCATCTACGCGCTGTTCCCGCAGTCCGACTTCGCCGAGGGCGTCTACATTGACTACCGGGCCTTTGACCGGGCCGGCATAGAGCCGCAGTTCGCGTTCGGCTTCGGGCTCAGCTACACCACCTTTGCCTTCTCGGGCCTCGAGGCCGAGCTGGTGGTGCCCGGCGCCAGGGCCGGGGCCGCGGGCGAGTACCCCACGGGGCCCGTGGTGGAGGGCGGGCAGGCCGACCTCTGGGACGTGGTGGCGTGGGTCAAGGCGCGGGTCGAGAACACGGGCGACGTGCCCGGCGCCGAGGTCGCGCAGCTGTACGTCGGCATTCCGGGTGAAGACAACCCCGCGCGGCAGCTGCGCGGGTTCGAGAAGCCGTTCCTGCGGCCCGGCGAGTCGGCGGCCGTCGAGTTCGCGCTGACGAGGCGGGACCTGAGCGAGTGGGACGTCGTGGCGCAGAAGTGGAGGCTGGCAAGGGGGACGTACAAGCTGTTTGTCGGGTCGAGCTCGCGGGATCTGCCGCTCGAGGGGGAGATTGAGATTTGAAGAATAGAGGGAGGAAGAGGGAATGACAAAGGGGAGTGAGAATGTGTAACATTTGTTGAAGGGCTTGGCTTCAGCTGTCTTGTAAGGTCGCATAGCTCCGCAACTCTCAAGTAGTTTATCTACCTTTTCATCGTTCTAATCATGTCGATGCTTACCGCCGGCACCGATTCAATCCTACGTAAATCTATATTTCCTCACGCCATCTCGCTAGAGCATGGCGACGTAGGTCTTTGCACCCTCCTCTACCTGCCCGATGGAGGAAATAGATGACTTGCTATCATTGGCTGGGATATTGAGACATGCCGGCTGGGGCTTTTTATCGCGTCACCGTCCACCATCGCTTTAGCTGAGGGAAACAAATATTGATTGAAGGTATTGTATGGTATATGCCTTGAACAACGGCTGTGCCCGGGATATTACGAACATCGTGCCTCGGACTATTGATTGGCTGCCAGACTTGGAAGGACACAGATTGGGTTCCGAAAAAGCAAAGAGAAAGAAGAAAATGCCTGCACCACGCAGACAACACAGACTTGCATTGCGTTCTTGATCCATGAATAAAATAAGAAGCACTAACTAATTGGCCGGGATCAGGACAAGTTTTTATATCAGCGAGTTATGTAAAGGAATTCCTCCCCACTTCAATGTACGAGCTCTCGCACTATTTAAGCCTCTCATCTATTCGGCACTAATTCGACCGAGGCAAGCGTTTGGTGCAGTTTTAAGGGCTGGAAATAGTCTGCCAAGCTCCAAAAGGGTTCTTGTACTATCACGGGACAAGCTGCAGGAGCATGTATCGGCCTTTGATGTGCGAGACGCTACAAGTTGGATGTTGGTTTACTTCACTAGAACAGGTCGGTGACAGCCCCATCAGAGGCGCTGCCAACCAGCGCGGCGTACTTGGCCAGGGTTCCCCTCGTGACTGTTCGTCTAGGTGGTCTCCAGGCCTCCAGTCTATGCCTAATCACAGCATCGCTAACATTCATGGAGATCGAGCCGGCCTCGGCATCGATCGTGATCTCATCGCCATCCTCCACGACCGCGATGGGACCCCCGACCGCGGCCTCGGGGACGATGTGCCCGACGATGAACCCGTGGCTAGCACCCGAGTACCTCCCGTCCGTGATGAGCGCTATGTTCCTAAAGTTTGCGCCGATCAGCGTCGCAGAGGCCTTGAGCTGCTCGGGCATCCCCGGCCCGCCCTTGGGCCCTTCGTAGCGCACGACCAAGACCAGGTTCTCCGTCTTGGGGAGGTCTCCTTTGTTCAGCGCGGCGACCAGCCCGCTTTCTCGCTCAAACACCCGCGCCTTGCCCGTGAAGCGGACGCCCTCTTTGCCCGTGATTTTGGCCACAGCGCCTCCCGGCGCAACGTTGCCGTACAGGATGGTGATGTGGCTGGTCTGCTTGACGGGATCGGAGAGCGGGCGGATGATGTCCTGGTCTAGTGGCAGGGAGGGCCAGCTCGAGACATTTTCCTCCATCGTTTTCCCCGTGACAGTCATCAGCTTGCCGTTGACGAGGCCGCCTGCAATCAGAAGCTTCAACACAGAAGGGATGCCCCCAATCTTGTGCAGATCCTCCATGCTGTATTTGCCACTCGGCAAGAGGTTCGAGATCCGTGGTGTCTTTTGCGAAACTCGCTGGAAGTCTGCGAGGGTTAGGGGCACGCCGGCGGTCTTTGCCATAGCCAGCATGTGGAGGACTGTGTTGGTCGAGCCGCCCACGGCCATGGAAACGACCAAGGCGTTCTCGAAAGACTCCTTAGTCAGAAGGTCGCGAGGACGGATGTTCCTTTCCATGCAGATTTCTATGGCCTCCGCGGCCTTTTCGCACTCTTTCATCTTCGACGGCGAAGCAGCCGGGCTGCTCGAGGAGCCGGGGAGAGACAAGCCCAAGGTCTCAATGATGGTGGCCATGCTGTTCGCCGTGTACATGCCCCCGCAGGCACCCGGGCCCGGCACCGCGTGCCTCTCAATGTCTGACAGGATGTCCTCCGGCGAAGCCTTGCCGTCCTTGTCCCAAGATGCCAAAGCCCCGAAGAGATATGCGCCCTGCGCTTCGTAGCAGGTGTTGATGTCGATCGGCCGCCGAAGCAGCTTGCTGCAGCCCCGCTGCACAGTGCCTCCGTAGATGACGACCGAAGGCCGATTGTGGCGCGCGATTGCCATGACGCACCCTGGCATGTTCTTGTCGCACCCCGGGATCGCGATGCAGGCGTCGTGGGCTTGTGAGCAGGTGATGGTCTCGATGTTGTCCGCGATCAGTTCCCGCGATTGCAGGGAAAATCTCATGCCTTGCCGGTTTCGTCAGTCTCGCTCTCTCGCTCTAGCCCATCCTTGTTGCAGACTGACCTTCATGTCCCTGGGCGATACCGTCCGACACGCCAACGGTACTGTACTGCCAAGGGAGGAAGCCTTTTTTCTGCACTGCGGTCTTGACAGCTTTGCTCAGATCCAGCACTTCGGCGCGCATGCTATCAGTGTCTCGCTTTGGTACACTTGACTTGATCAAGTCTGTCACTTACAGTGCATACTACGACAGTGTCAGTGCAAACTTTGCGAAGGCACAAGATCCTCCAGAAGCATACTTGCAAGGGTTGCCTTCCCACCATACTGATGCGATCCCGACGTGGGGGCTGTTTTTCATGGCAGCTTCATCCGGAACCCCGGCAGCGTAGAGCATTGCCTTGTTGATGATGTTATTAGCTTCTAGCGTCCTAACCGCCTTCTAACAAGGTTTTTGTCACCGACCTTTGCACCGGGAAAGTCATGCTCTCGAGTCAGAAACGTCGAGTATCTGTTTAGAACGAGCTTCCCCTCCTTGTCGGTAGCATCAGGCTGGACACATGGGAAGTCTACGTATCTCGCCGGTGAAAGCTCCGGCGAGGTCGACGTAGATGCTTCTGGTATCGCCTGTTGCGCCATATTGTAGTGCAACTATCGCTCGAGTTGAGATGGGCTAGAAGGAATTGTTTGGGAGACTGGAAGGACAACACACCCGAGGATGTGCTCGAAGGTGTGCTCTATCTACCCGACCGATGACACTGCTTAAATAGGTGACCATCGGATCGGTGCCTATTGGCCGAGGATGGACAATAATGGGCCGTGGTGTGAGGGGTTCCCGGACAGTTTCGAGCCGGATCTCCACCACGTTCAACTGCTAGAACTTCGGCCCAATCCTTCTTGGGTCTTGGCTGACTATGATCGACAGCGGAGCGTGGACAAGCCTTCTAGGGGAGCAAGATGGCGGGAGCATTACATTACATCGCTCACGCCTAAGTCCGATAGATATAGACATCTGCTGCCGCAACTGTCGCTTTCGTGCATCGGCCGTCGCAGTGCTCAAGTAGTCACCCGCGGGACAGATATCCGACTTCCTACCTAATCGTGCTCCAAGAAGACGAGCGTGGCGTGCGCTTCGACCTGAAGCACGTATCAGGGAGATTAGAATCAATGCCAAAGGAGTGGTCGAAATGAACCAGCCGGTAGTCTAGTTCCTGTCATTGTACTTTCACGTTCCTTGAGCACCTGAACATTATGCAGATAGGCAAGTCAAAGAGTTTGCCATTGCTCTGTTCACTTAGCTCGTGCAAGATCAGCCCGGATGCGATCCAGCCTGTCTCGCCGGTGAAGGCGGTTGGAATTGACAGCCTTGCCTTTTGCTTGTTTACTGCCTCCTCTGCTTGATTAGCATGGATCACTCTACACATCAGATCCATTACAACTTAGAGCGCAGCAATGCGAGAAATACCGACTGCACAAGTCCAGATATAACGACATCTTTTCTCATTGAGCCTATCAATCCCGTCCTCTGATGCGTGGACTTGATCTAAGCAAACTATTTGGCTATCAATGACCGCGTTCTCCCTTAGCCCTTCTTAATGTCCTCCATGAAAGCGCCAGTGTCGCATTCCAAGAGCAGGTCGTTTCCCCCTCACTTATGGGGAATGCAGTCTCCTACATCGTCAACACCGTCTCCTCTTGGCAGAATAATCTCCTGCGGTGACTAGAGGCGCTGCTCATCCTTAGTCCCGGGATACTCCTGCTTATACAACAGGCTTATGCCAGCCCCAGATAATGGTTCTCGGCGGAAGTGACATACGATGCTAGATCGTTCAGATCAATCGTGATGGGCAGTGCAGGGATGCCATCGCGCTGATTGGCCGGGAATAAGTCATGCAGGGTCAGGTAGATATGACCACCCTCCTTGGTAGGTTCGTCGTTTGACGTTCGGAACACCTATAGCGACCAGATATTAGTTCTTCTGTAAGTTGGACGTTGCATTGCCACAAAGGGAGTGAGGGGGGCATGCATACCTTTGGCTCGTTCTCATACATCTGAGTCCATTTCCGTCCTTGTGCATCCTCGGCCATGCGGGACCTCCATTCATACACCGTCGCCGGGCCCAGGCGGCGTGGAACACTGATAGCCAGCACGACATTGATGGCGCCATGAGATTCGTAGATATACTTGCTTGCGATATCCCTCAGGTCCCTCTCGTTCTGCTCGTAGGATATCTCGATCACAATGCCCGCAGCTCCCAAGTCAAACTTACAGATATGCGAAGGGGGCCTGCCAATCGGCCCTCCGCGTGCATAGAAGCGTTTGCCTTGAACCGAGCAACCGTCTGGCAGCCACGCGTTGCCGAAGGGGCAGACCGATTTCCATACTCCGCCGAATATCGACCAGTCGAATGGGCAGACGACGGTAGGCTGCGCCGGATCATCGCGGATCTTATTGACCTGGTCGAGGATGTCGTCTGCCACTTGGGTCGCAAGCTCCTCGTGGAACGTACTCCGCTTGTTAAAGGTGAGGAGACCGGCGCTGGGGTCGTAGTCATACCTGTGAGTCGGGGGAAGTTAGACGGCCGGTTGCGACGGCAAGTAGGGGGAGGCAATGAAGACTTACAGGAGCTTGTGCGTCCAGAAGGGGCCAAGGCTATGGTCCTTCTTGACCTGTTCGATAAGCTCGAGGTAATTGGCGGGAGACATGGGGATCTGCTTGGAGAGCCTATCCCCGTCGAAGGGAAGTCGTGGATTGTCTCGACAGGCCTTGACAAACCGGAGGCCCATTTCGACTTGGAAATTGTTGTCGTTATTGTCGTTGTGATCAGAAGTAGCTGTTAACGACGACATCCTGCTTTGAAGTCGTTGTAGAGGAGGCAAACGGTCGGTAAGATAATATCAGATTGCAAAGGCACTGCGCTGTGTCGGACTATCGTGCGATATGGTGTCTATACTTGCTGGAGACTTGAGAGTTCGAGAAAGCAGAGCGGTGGGTTGCAGTCGATGAGTGTGTTGGAATTGCGATGGCTGATGGCCCGTTTTATAGAAGGAAGAAGGAGTCGTTGAACAATAGACACTATTAACTGGTCACGAAGGACAGGTACGCACAAAGGGTGAATACAAAATATGTGGCCGCACTGTCGGACGCCGACAAAGAGACCAGCGACCAGGGGTGAGAGTGAGCGTGAGGGTAGTGGCCTGGACAATGCTTAAACACTTCCTTTTTGTAGTGAATTGAATCGAATCAACCACCAGCCACTTTAACAAGCGGAATGACGACAAGAGTCTCGATAATCATGAGCACGACCTAGTCGGCTTGCCTCCAGTCATTTGTTGAGATTACGTAGCTATACCCGTGTCATTTTGACCATATTCACCTTCCGACTTACCACAGCATAGTAGGGAACCATTATCGCTTGGATCAGTGGCATTCGTCTCCTTTCAAACGTTGAGAATCAATGCATGCCTCTGGTCGTGAACGGCAACAACTTCGACATCCTTTGCGGGCTATGAGCTTGGATCATGGAGGGTAGAAACTCAGCATAGAACGACAATCTTTTACATAGACAACCTCATATACGATGAGTACACCAGCTTTTACACCAAACAGCAGCTGCATATGCATACAAAGGACCTCCTCTTCTCTGCGATCAGGAATCAAACTCGAACAGGGACTTGAAGCCGGTCGCGTTGTAGTTGGCGTAGATGCCCAGCTGCAGGAGGATGCGCGTCTTCTGCGGGTTGAGGAAGCCGCCGGCGTAGTAGTACGTGTTGGAGGAGTCGGGCTCCACGTAGCCGTCCATCGTGCGGCGCGAGTCGACGATGTGCGTGCCGTTGCTGGCCGCCAGCTGCTTGAGCACGGCGCGGCCGGCCTCGGTCCAGCCGCCGGCGCCCATGCCGGCCATGACGAGGCCCTTGGCGCCCGAGGCCACGGCGGCGGAGGCCAGACCGGGGTTCAGCGCCTGGTAGCCGTAGAGGACGTCGACCTGGGGCAGCACCGTGGCGGCGGTGATGTTGAACTGCCTCTTGCCGACGGGCCAGGCGGGCGGGAAGTAGAAGATGGGCTTGATGTCGATGAGCACGCCCAGGTAGCCCATCTCGTACGACTTGAAGGTGTCGGGCGCGTTGGCGTTGGTCTTGGTCACGTACCAGGCGCTGGCGATGCGGTCGTTGAGGACGACGAGGGCGCCGCGGCCCCGGGCGGCCGGGGCGGCGGCGACGGTGACGGCGGACAGGAGGTTGATGGGCCCGTCGGCGCTCAGGGCGGTGGCGGGCCGCATGGCGCCGGTGACGACGACGGGCTTGTCGCTGCGGACCGTCAGGTCGAGGAAGAAGGCCGACTCCTCGAGCGTGTCGGTGCCGTGCGTGACGACGACGCCCTGGCAGTAGGGGCTGTCCAGCTCGGCCTGGATCTGGCTGCTGAGGTTGACCAGGATGGACGGCGTGATCATGCCCGAGTCGAGGTTGGCGACCTGGACGCCCCGGACGTTGGAGACGTTCCAGAGCTCGGGCACCGCCTTGATCAGGATGTCGACGCCGAGGGCGCCGGCCTGGTAGCCGGTGGTCTGGGTGATGTCGGCGGCGCTGCCGGCGATCGTGCCACCCGTGGCAAAGATGGTGATGTTGGGAAGGCTGGCATTGTAACGGGGAGCATCCCGGGTCGAGAGCTCGGGCACGGTGTTGTGGACGTACGGTGCAGCCGCCACGAGCCCAAGGCCCTGGAGGGCGAGCAGTGCTGAGGTGAGAGACAACATGACTCCGGCGTATAACTCGACACAGTGGGAGGTGAAAGCAGCTTTCGTCTACAGAGCAAAGGTTTTTCTTCAAACGATAATACGCCTCAGGTATCAGAGAGAAAGTCTTGTCTTGGCACAGGCGGGAGAAGACCTGCCTGGTGTTTATATACACCTTCTCTCTGACCGTTCCCCGCTCCGTGAACCGAGTAATCGCTCATTGATAATGATCTTTCTGCACAGTGAGAATCGGAGTGCGGAGCTGCCGGCCGACCCCAGACGGTACTTGCAGAGAGAGGCACAAGATCTAGTGGGCTAGCTCGGCATATTCACCGGGCGCTAAGTGCAAGTGGCCGATAAGGATCCTCGCCGTGGATGAGGGTGGTGTCCGTGGCTGGGAAGAGATAAGAGAGGAGAAACGCCATCGGGGTCCAGAGAACTAGCAGAACTATGCTGTCTGGTTGTCGATAGTCTCAGCTTAGGCGAGTTGATCTCACGAGAGAGTGTTTGCTAACTCGTAACAGCTGCGCCATCGGTCGTCGTGGACTGGAAATACCCTCATGTGGCCAATTGGAAGTCAGCACTTACAAGGGAAGAGAGATAAGGCAGACAAAGCCCGTTATCTGTGCGGAGCACTCGTACGTCGGCAGGTATAACTATCTCTTGTTCGGTATACCCACTGGGCTAGTTTGGCCAGTGTCGGTAGATGGTTATCGACCAACCGGGAGCGAGACGAGGGCTCATGGCCGGCGGGCCGGATTGATCGGTCAAAACAGCGACGACGCTTCCCACACCCAACTCACGTGCAGTGCAGGTGGAGATCGGGCATTCACTGGAGTACGGAGTAGTTCCTGCAACATCCTTGTCTTGTCGTCGTCGTCTTCGTCTTTTCCCCACATCACACCAGCAACCACCACGACAGCCGACGCCCTCACTGCACTCCGTTGCTTTGCCGTGAAACAACAACTACGAAAGTGCTCTCCTTGCCATAGCTATAGCAGGGAAGAATGGCCATCGGAGGCCAAGCGCGAGGGCAGGTTGTCGGGGCTCTCGCATGCCAGCGCAACGCCTACTTGCGCACGTTGGAAACTGCGGTTGTGTCCTGCGAGAAGGCGCCAGAGAGGAAGCAGAAGCAGCCTCCGTCTGCAGGCGGCGGGAAGGCCGGCAAAGGAGAGCACAGAGTGCCGTCGGCCGGCGATGGCGAGGCCGAACGCTGGCTCGTCGAGTTTGAGGACTCGGTGCTGTTCCCCGAAGGTAGGAAGGAGGAGGCTCGGTATCTTCCGCCGGAGACGGCTGCGTGCGATCGAGCTCTGACCATATATCATCATGCCAGGTGGAGGTCAGCCATCCGACCACGGCACGATCACTCTCCAGTCGGATGCAGACGCGACACCTATCCCGGTCACCTTCGTGGAGAGAATCGGCCTTCGATGCGTGTGCCACTCGCCGCGACCCTTGGAGCCTGGCGATCGCGTGCTCCAGGAAGTCGATTTCCAGCGCCGCTGGGACCATATGCAGCAGCATACCGGCCAGCACCTCCTTTCAGCCGTCCTCGGTTCGTCCAGCAATCTCGGCACGGTTGGCTGGGGCATGGGATCGAATGGAGCGCTCAATTATGTTGACCTGGACCGCAAGCCGTCCCAGGACCAGCTGGAAATCGTCCTGGCAAGATGCACAGAGCTCATCCGGCGCAGTCTGCCAATCACCGTCGAAAGCCCCCAGGATGCGAGGCTCGACAAGATACCGGACGATTATGACCAGAGCAAAGGGTGCGTTCGCGTCATCTGCATTGGCGATATCGACCGCAACACGTAAGTCGGATCTCTTGACGCTCGCCGCCATTGCCCGCGCTGACGCAATTTTGCCGCCGCCGCCGCCGGCCCCCCTCGTTTTTCAGCTGCTGTGGAACACACCTCTCGTCGACGGCGCACATATCTCTCATTCTCACGCACCATGGCGAGACGGTGCACGGCACCAACTTCCGTCTGTACTTTTCCGCTGGAGACAAGGCCATCCGCCTGGCAACGAGCTCCGTCGGCACAGTCGGGTCCATTGCGAGGCTCCTGCAGTGCAGGAACAGTCCGGAGGACGTGATGCAAACGGTGAAGTCCACCCGGGACACCGCAGCCGACCTGAGGAAGAGGGAACGGAAGCTGTTGGCCGACATTGCAGACCTCGAAGCTGAGGCTGCCATGGGCAAACTCCAAAGAGGCCGGGTTGTATGGGTGCACCGAGCCGATGGCACCCCTGATTTCGTCAAGGCATTGTTGGCGAAGATGAAAGGCGTGTTATCGCAGAGGCCTGGTGCCGTGGTTGTAGCGACTGGCGAGGAGCGACAGAGCGGGCAGATAACTGTGCTCGGGGAAAAGCAGCTTGTCGACGCTCTAGTGGTTAACAGCATCAAGAAGCTGGTGCCGGGGGTCAAGGGTGGTGGGGTGGGAGACAAGTGGCAAGGTAAAGTGCCCGAATGGGAAAAAGGAGCGCTGAAAGCCTTGGAGACGGCTGTTGGCAGTGCGCTGGGGTGACATCACCTTTGATGCAAGTTGGCTGCTTTGCAGGTCAAGGTGAAAAGAGCTGGTCGAAAGAGAGCTGATCCCGCACGTCCGGACAATGGAAATCTCCTTGAACTTGCAAACTTGACGATGATGCCACGGAATGACGATTTTGGTTCGGAAACGGCGACCGCGTAGATCCGCCTGCCAGCCAGCTCATCTGGTGTATCTCGAATTCGCCTTGGAAAAAGGAGAAGGGGAGGGGGAAAAAGACTTGATCATGAGGCATGATGAATGGCTGCTGGATCAGACCCTGGAGTAAGATCTGGTGGTCCGGGATTAGGTAGGTACTTAGGTATAGGTAGCTATCACCCATCTCAGGCTGGCATGAGAAGCACTGTGGCGGGGTTACGCCTGCTACCTACTGGGCTTGCAACCGTTGCAGCACATGCTTGAGGCCCATTCATACGCGCTGCCGCAGAGGTCTCTGCTATCCCGCTCTGTCTCGGCTCTTGACACTCTTTATGAGCATCTGTCGTGGTTACCTGGTTTTACAGCCGAGTGCTTCTCAGGGTCACGGTTATTCAACGTGGGCACAATGATAGGGAGGCAGGAAACCTGACAGGGACGGGCCATGACACTCAAAGTGTAGAAACTGTCCAGCAAGAGTCTTCTTCAGAACTCGTGGCCAATCAGGAAGCTAGACCGGCTGGTCTGCTGTCCCAGTGTTGCAGACCTGACAACTTGTTGCGGGTGCAGCAGATGTCCAAGCCTACCTACTTAGGTAGGTATGTTTCCTATTAATGGGGGGCGTGGAGAGGGTAGACGTCCAAGAGATTGAGGGAGCCGCCACATTCACTCGAGGGTGACTCGCAAGCTCGATTCCAAGCCAGGGAGCAACTATCAGCGCCAGCTGAGGGAGCATCTCTTCAACAGCCTAGACACTTGCACCAAGATCAGGATCAATAATGGCAAGGCATGTCGATAGAAACAACAGTGATGATGTGGCATCCATCAACCTCCCATGGCTGTGACTAGCAATGTAGGCAAGTTTAGCCGAATTGTTTGCGGGCCGGGCCGACCCATGTCAGTCGCTTTCATTCGTCGTCACAATGGCCGCCTCCAAAGTGAATTGATCCCGGCCGTGATCTCTTCACGTCCTGACTTCGTACTTCGGTTAGGTAACGAACTACCTAGTTTGTTCACCAGGCAGCCACCTCAGTGACTCAATGCAGTCACACAGTGACAGAGACCAGCGGGGTACGCGCCCTCAGGGGGCCTAAGGTGGATTCTTGTGCTCCCTTGGGGGAGAAATCACCTCCGTCCTACCTGTATTGGAACCTAGGGGAACCTGCCTTAGGTACCTACCTACCTAGGTACCTATAGGAGGCTGGACAAAGAACTCGAGGGCTGTCTGTCCTCTTCACTGAGTTACCTTAGGTACCTCCAGCTCTTTCAGGTGTCAATGAATTCCAGGTTGCCTAGGGGGTCACATCCGCGCGCTGCTCAGCCTTAGGTAGGTTAGGGAACGTGCACACATAACGCGCGCGCGCCGCTCTACACGTAGCATTTCCCTTTGCCCACCTCCAAAATTCGACTCGGACCTCCAGCATCAACACGCCTTGCGCCCATCCATCCATCTTCAGCTTGTGTGCGCACGCCTCGCCATGGCAGTATCCCAAGCTACTGGCGGAGGCGACCAGAAGCGCCAGGCAGAAGACAACGGCAAGACTGCCGTGAAGGCCGGAATGCCATCGCCAGGCCAACCACCGCAACCTCGGGCTTCCATTAATACCCTCCTCAGACAGCACTCTAATGAGCGACTCTATGTCAAACCTCTGCTCTGGACCGCACGCCACCTTGAGATTCTGGGCTGTCGCTTTTTGTCAGGTGACGGGCGCCGGCACCCTTTACGACCCTTTACCTACTCCTACCTACCGCTCTCTCCTCCGGCCTCTCCAGCAGACAACCCCCAAGATGGCACCAGTGATAACAGAAGCAGTGACCACAGCAGCAGTGGACACGGCAGCAGCGGCGACAATGAGGTGGCCGGCTTGGACCCCGAGAATTGCTCGCACAAGAGGAAAAGGTGTGGAACACGGTACGTGATGTCAGCTTTTAGGGACCCTTGTCTGCACTGGCGAAGGGATGCAACAGTTCGGCTTCTGAATTGGGGACTACTTCGAACAATGTCTTTTAATGCTATTTTGGACTTCGATTTCAACGGCAAACCTGTAGCCTCGGTCCAGCCAGTCACCATCTTCGGCAGCAGGCGACCTCTCTGTCTTGTGAAGCCACACTACAAGCGGGAATCCTTTGACGCCCCTGTCGAAATCCCGAGATACCCCCTCGTCCTTTGGCTTGACTATCAGGCTTTTGCAGTGGAGCCGCGCCAGGCAAGATGCAATCCTGTCCGCGACAACGAGCCCGTACGAGCCTTGCGGGAGATTGAGCTTCGCCGCCTCGCCCCGTCCGAGCAGAAGCACGACCCATACCTCGCTGCGGCGCTGATCTCACTAGCCCAGGATCAGCACCGCTGGGAGACGGAATATGGCCCCAGGTTGGGACGCCGTGTTGACCGGTCGCACCTGTTCACGGTAAGCAGCGCCGGCCCATCCCCAGAAGGGCGACCGCACGTCAGACCTCGCAAGAACTAACCTGGCATTATCTCAGACCAGACTGGTGGTTGCGGGCCTTACATCAGAGGACATGTGGCACGTCTACACAGCCGACATACCACTTTCCTTCCTCGACAAGCTTGACCGACCGTCTGTCGCATCAGATGCCCCTACCGTGGATATAATATACCACCAAGTCAAGGCCCGGCCATATCACTCGTTTCGCGACCGACTCCTCGAGGGGCTGGGCCTGAGCAATAACAAGAAGGTTGGTGAACAACCAAAGCAACAGGGTATCGAGCGCAAGATGTGGGAGTGGGAGGAGGACGATAGCTCGTCGGACTCGTCGGGTTGGGACTCGGGGGAATGTGACTCGCCGGAGGGTTCGGAGGACGAGAATAGCTCGTCGGGCTCGTCGGACTCGTCGGGCTCGCCGGATTGGGTCTCGGTAGACTGTGACTCGTCGGAGGATTCGGAGGACGAGGATTGCAAGAAGGGTGGTCTGAAGAAGGACGTCCTGGAGAAGCGGGGTGTCAAGCGCAAGAGATCAGAGGCAAGGCAACAGAACAGCGAGAAGGAGGATGACTCGCCGGAGGAGAACCCGAAGAAGAAGGCTAAGAAGGCTATGGAGTGATCTGAAGGAGGACAACATGTCGGAGGAGGACTCGTCGGAGGATTCGTCGGAGGAGAGTTCTGAGCATGACTCGTCGGACGACTCGTCAGATGGCGAGGTGGCCTCATGGTAGGATCAACAATTCCTCCCTCCTTCCTTTGACACTTCCCTTGGTCACACTCCCTGTTACCTGTCTATCGCCCTCGAGGGCGCGGGACGGAGATAATCTAAATGGTCGCAATGGGGGATTCTTTACGACGCACGCGTTCATCATGTATTATCATTACCTCTGCCACATAGGCTCGCATCATCGCTCGCATGTGTAGCGAGTATGCGCTTTGCTGGGGGTTTACCCAGGCAGCAGGCAATTACAGCAAATGTAAAAACAAAGAAGAAAAAGAAAAAGTTACAAATCAACCTGATGCTTCCCCGCATGTTGCACTTTTCCACGCCTTTTTCACCCAGGGAACGGTGACTGGTTCTTTTCTTTGCAAAGAAGGACACTCCAATCTATCACGCTGAGAGCAAGAAATTATCATGCAATTACTTCGACTCGTCGACGGCCCGGCCAGCGCTTACACGCACGGCGCAGCTCAGAAAGACAAAGGGAAACCACCAGTAAAGGGGATTCGAGGCACGCATGTTCCTACATGTCCAGTGCGAGCCAAATCACATGCGTGTTCGCTCTTGCTAATACTCCTGGGGAAACGGTCTGTCTGTCCCTGGAAGTGTTCTTCGCCACAGTAATACCAGCAAGGTGAAAGCTGAGCCCCATTCCCATCCCCCAACACGATGCGCAGCCAGCTCCTCGCCACCGTCGTTGTCACCCTCATCCCGCCGCGCTTCGATGGCGGACTGCACAACGCACCGGTTCGGCAGCACCTTGCTTACTGTTACTATTATTATTACTCATCTTCATCATCATCATCATCTTCTTCTTCTTCTTCTTCTCCTTCTTCTTCTCCTTCCCCCACCTCGCCCTGTCTCCTCTCACCCTGCTTGTCTGAAAGGAAGTGTTTTGTGTGTGTCTGTTCCCAATCCCCCGGATCCCAAAAAGTAGTACAATGGATGCATTTGTCGCTTTCCAGCGACATGCCGGCAGGCAAGCGCGTGAGCAAGAAAACCAACAAGGTTCGTCCGCTTGACCAGCAGCCAGGCGCACATCACTGTCACCCAACGGCACCGACGAGGCGTGAGGGGACGAAGGGGGCCCTGCCTTTGGATGCATGCACTTTTTGCTGTGCTGCCACCAAACTTTGAAGCCGGCTTGTCAGTGCCGCCGCCCATTCCTTGGACCGAACAAACCCCGGAGGCTGGTGACTGCATCCCAAACATCGAAAAGCAAGAGAGCAAATGAAAACCGCAAAACCCATGAATCTATCACCCAAGTGGGCGGTTTGCCCATCAGGTACAGCCATATGCAAACAAGCTGGTCTGGTAGACTGATTCCAACTGATTCTAAGAGCTGCCAAGGTGTTGTCACGAGAAGGAAAAGCACTTCTCAGTTGCGTCGTTATCACTGGGGCACCATCATAGTGTCTCTGGAACTCAGGTATTCCGTTCATTGTGTCTCTTTGACGACTGTGTCTTACTACACTGACAGGTTGACCGAACACCGAGTTGTTATCGGGCTGTGGGACGCCTGAAGGATGGCTTCAGGCATGTACATTGACAATGTCCGCTCAAAGGCCACTTTTGCGAACTACTTGGCTTCGCGAGCTCGAGCTGGCCGCCGGAGGAGTGACGCCTCTAATGCTAGACGTGGAACTTCAGGCAGCAGGTGGTCCGCTTCCGAGCTCCAAAAGTATCAGTTGCTTCGCAAATCTCAGCATCCACCGGCTTTAGAGCCAAAAAAGTTCGAGATCCCCCCGAAACTGAGAGCAGCTATGAAAAACCCGACCCGGGACAGGGACGGCAAGCGAAGGTCTCAACGCCAGTTATACAGGAACAACGCTCTGAGCATCTTTTGGGGCGCTCTCTTTCGCATGACCCCCGACCCCAAATTGGCATCCCCGAGGCCCCACAGAGCGTGTACGGAACACACACCCAGCTATTCAGAGCCGCCACCCAGCCCTACAAGCTCGGAATCATCCCAAGGCTCCGACTATGTGGACGAGGACGTCGTGCGATCCATAGCCGCTCGCACGTTGGAAGACGAGACTCTGTATCTTGCACAGTCTTTTGTACACGTCGTGCTGAACGAGCTCCAGGCGCACGGCGCCACACGGCTCGTGGAGATTGATGTCGCGAAGAGGACTTACTCGGTCACTTGCGGGCCATCAGTCCTCTGGAGCGCTACAGACGACGGAGGCCTGGCCGTGAGGGCTCGCGACAACGACGGGAACTAGGTGACCGGTCGGCGCGTTGCCATTGTCGAGGCCAAGCACACAGTCGCGTTGAGGGCCAACACCCCGTCTTTGACGGACGAATGCGTCGGCCAGATGCTCGCGGAGGCGCTGGGGAGCCGCTTGACAGCCGACGAGCCAGAGGTGGAAGAGTGAGTGAGAAGGCCCCCTGCGTTGCATCTCCAGAATTTGCGCACTGACGACGTAAAACAGCATCCTCGCCATCCACATCGCGCAGACGCACATCGCCTTCATCCAATTCCACATTCCCAACGACTACGTCGAAGCGATCCGAAGCTCGGAAGAGCTTGACAAAACCCGCGACGAGCATTTCATCGAGATGTACGCGACGCCATTTCTGGACCTCGACAGCGATAGGGGCAGGCGGCAGGTCGTCAGGTACCTCAAGGCACTGGTGGAGTGGTCCGAAAAAGCGATACCCAGTCCCCTTGGCGTCACGTCTTAGCGGGAGAGCCGGTGGGGGCGCGCCTGTGCCCCGGGCAAGCGGCGACGGCGACGACGATGGGGGTGGCGGCAGCGGAGGTGGCGGCATGGCAGTGGAGGTGCATGGCAGCGGAGGTGGCGGCATGGCAGTGGAGGTGCATGGCAGCGGAGGTGGCGGTATGGTAGCGGAGGTGGCGGCATGGTGATGGATGCCCGTCCAGTTGTTGACACCGAGGCATCTCCTGGTAGACTTATTCTAGCTTTATTCATCCCTTTAGACGCCGCAACTGCAGCCATGTGCACTGATTGCCCTCTTCAGTAATCGAGATCCCTGTAAATCCCTGTCTCTGCCACTCTCATTAGTGGGAGATAAATGGGAATCATGTGGCTGCAGTTGCGGCGTCTACAGGGATACCTACAGACAGTACCTACCTAGGCAGGTAGTGATGAATGGCCACGGGTATTCGCGATCTTCTGCGCCCTCATGACGCTACGCTGTGTCTGCCTCGCCGCTGATTGCTTTTGCTTGGTAACCAGACAATTTGCGCGCACGTCCTCCATGGCCCCCCAAAGTAGCGGGTCGAAGTAGTCGATCCCGTATCTGAGGCAACAGGCCCGTCCTCGAGAGTCGCTGGTTCGCGATGTCTGAAGTTCACGGAACGATGTTTTTATTCTGTGCTGTTCCCGTATCTATGGGCATCTTTCATACGCCCACAGTACTTAGGTAGTTAACTTTTGCTCAAGCATGTGTATTGATGTGTTTGTGTGTGTGTGTGTGTGTGTGTGTGTGCTCTGCAGGTAGGTACCTAGGTAGTTAGGTAGCTGCAGTTAGTTATGTTTACAGGGACCAGGGGACCAGGCGGCATGGCAGCAGATTTCACGCAGCACAGCCCCCACCAATTGAAGGAATTCTTCTGCTTTCCGCATCCCTACACGAGACTCCTGGAGGATTGCTCCGGTAATGAATGTACGTACATGGAATAGCAGAGGTCACGTTCGCCTGGCGGACCTGTGCGGCGGCCTCTCCCGGGCGCCCGACGACGTCACGATTTCATTGTGCGATTGATGGGCTGTGATCGCGGCCACTCTCATCGACCATTGCCGACCACCGGTAACCTGCCTGCCTCTGTTGTACAGTGCCTGTACCTATACCTACCCAGGCCACCAATGGATACCCAAGAAAGCGACAAGACAGTCCCTCCAGGCCTCTCAAACCTTGTCTTCGGGCACCTGCTCGGCGCCCTTGTGGTCGTCGTCCCCAGCCGCGAAGCGTTCGGCCTCGAGCGCCACCCGCCTCTGGTCCTCGCGCCGGCCCTTCCACATCAGCCCCGCCGTCCAGACCGCCAGCGCAATCGAGCACGCGATCATCGCCCACATGCCCCTCTGCAAGAAAGAGTTAGAGAGAAGAAGAAGAAGCAAAAAACAAGTTTGTGTTCAACCAACCAAGTAGGAGGAGGAGGGAGAGAGAGAAGAAAAACAAAAATAAAAACTCACGTTGAACCAGGGCGCCATGCTGGCGCCGTAAAAGATGATGCTCCACCAGGCGTTGACGGCGTTGTTGCCGAGGTTCATGCCCGCGAGGACGACGCCGCGGAAGACGGGCTCCTCGTAGCGCATGGCGTCGTTGCACCAGGCGAAGAAGGTGGCCTGGCAGGCGTACACGGCGCCGGCCCAGTAGTACGCGGCGAAGACGACGGCCGTCGACCGCGGGCTCGCCGGGTCGCGCTCGGCGGCGAGGACCATGGCCGCCGTCGCGACGCCCGTGACGCCGATGAAGAAGCCGACGAGCCAGCGCCGGCCGCCGAGGAAGTCGGTCAGCGTGGCCCAGAAGAGGGTCGAGGCGATGCCCACGGCGGGCACGCCCGTCGGGTAGTTGTTGAGCTGCGCGACGCTGTACTTGACGGCCGGGTGGGCCTTCATGTAGAGCGCGAGCAGGGCGTTGGAGCTGAAGGACTCGGTCTCGCCGGCGATGCACCACAGGCCGACGAACCCCCACCAGTACCACGAGGTCAGCACGCGCCGCAGGAAGTGCAGCGAGAAGGTGCCGCGCTCGGGCACCTGCGGCGGCGGCACGCGGGAGCGGGCGAGCTCGCGCTCGGCCTCGGACAGGTAGGGCGCGACGGTGGTGGCGGGCGTGTCGGGGAACAGCAGCAGGCCGTAGACGGCGACGGGGATGGTGATGAGGCCGTCGATGATGAAGAGCCAGCGCCAGCCGGTCAGGCCGCTCTTGTTGTGCAGCGACTTGTAGATGCCCGCCTGGATGAAGCCACCGATCATGGTGCCCGCGAGCCCGGAGGCGGTGAAGATGCCGGAGCGCTTGCCGAGCTCGCGCTCCGTGTACCAGGAACCGAGGATGTAGTGGGTGCCGACAAAGGTCGAGGCCTCGACCATGCCCTGGAAGAAGCGGATGGCCATGATGGCCTGCGGGCTCTGGGCCGAGGCGGTGACCATGGTCAGGCCGGCCCACACAAGCATCATGCCGGGGAAGAAGAAGCGCGGCTTGAAGTAGTAGAGCGACAGGTTGGACGGGATCTGGCCCAGGACGTAGCTGCATGCATGGTCAGCGAACGCTGTTGGGTCTGCGCTTCGTGTTTATAAAGGAAAAACCAGGTGTGGTGGAGCCAGAGCCACACATACCCGACGGTGAAGCAAGTGTTGATGATGTTCAGCTGGTTGCCCTGGAAGTTTAGGTCTTCCTTCATGCCCGAGACGTAGGCATTGTTCAGGTTAGAGCGGTCGAGCTGTGGGTGAGCCGCGTCAGTAATGGTGGCGATGAGTCAGGTTGGTATAGAGGCCGGTGGAGAGCATTACATAGTTGGTAAAGTACATCAGACAGCAGAAGCTGAGGATGAAGAAGTCGAGCTTCCGGACCAGCTTGCGCTCGCCGGGCTGGTACTCTGCATGGAAGTACTCGCGGATCTTTGAGAAGGCCATGGCTTCAAGTTTCGTGCGCGTGGCGCAGAGTGAATCGCCACCCGGCTTTGTCTCTCTGTCTTGAGAGTATGTGTGAGAGGCTCAATGAGTTCGCATCCAGACGCCAGTTATAGATATATATGCGGCCAATGGGTTGCCGAAAGTATGTGTAGAGCAGCAATCTCAAGACAAGCCCGAGTCAAGGACTCTTCAATCGTCACAGGAACATGGCTCAGGCGCAGTTCAAGTAGTCGGTCAGTCCTCTCCCCTGGATTCGAGGAAGAGTTGAAGTCGCGAGAGTCCGAGTGCGGTCGGCAAGGGGCACATTTTTAGTTGGCACTAAGCACTAATCTGATTGGGGGTCGAGATAACAAGGCAGGCTAGATTGCAAATTAGCGTGGAGGAGAAACAAAACATGCCAGATGTGTGGAGGGAAGTCTTCTTTCCCCAGGTCGAGCTAGCAGGGGGGGCTACAGAGACTCTCACGTTCACTTCGAAAGTACGGAGTACCCTTGAGGCCTTGAGGCAAGAGGGGAAAACCTCGAGAGGGGGACAAAGGGCGTGGCTCTTGACCAATAGCCCGGGTTCGCGACGACAAACGCGGTTAGTTTACCAGGAGATACGAAGCAGGATGGCGCGCTGCCCGTGAATACCGAATGAGTTACCTGAGCACCGACCGATATCGCTGGCCGAGCAGGGGTCCGCGCTCGACTGCCGAAAGACCGCCCCGGCCGGAGCGTGCCACATGGTCGCAAGGATCAGTCATATCAATCATCATTGCACCAAGAGAGAGTGACGCGACACGGCGGCGGCTTATCTACGGAGTACGGATCCGTCTCACCAAGTATGTGACTGCCTACTCCGTACCTTGGATATTGTCTACCTAAGTAGATAGGAGAGCAAAGATGCGAGATACTATGATAGTTAGTCAATATTCCCCGCCCCAATCTTCACGGACAGGGTCGAGGGCCCGGCGGATGCTCCGACGGCTCTGCATCCAGCCCTCACCTTCTCGGAAGGTCCATGCGGTAGTGCGGTACGAACCGAGTGATAACAGCGTCCATCTTCCCATCCCATCTTGCCCCCAGCCAAGCTTCCGATCTGGGACTGGATCAGCCCCATTTGCGAGACAAGCATTGGTGGCTTTTGAGACGATGCGCTCTTTTAGCGCTGTCCAAGTCGGCCCCCCATGCCGCCGCCATCTTCCCCGCACGCACACCAGACTGCCTTGACCTGGCTTGGAGCGGGGAGCAGCACGACTCGGCAGGTCGACGAATTCAAGTTGGCCGAAAACGAAGCGACGACGGGAGAGCCGGCGCTCGAACGAGGTGGCTCGATAGTTTGGTCCAGCACCGGGTTTGGTCTGAGCGCGATAGGTTGGCTGGCTAGTGGCCAGATTCCTAACCGCCGAGCATCGGACGTCCTGTCAAACCCGCCGCTTGCATCCCGGCAACACCTCTTGGCTTTTGAACCCTTCTTTAGTAGTCGGCACGTCGCTCCAAAGATTGGTACCATAGTGGCTCTGACACCTGCCGCTGCTGCTGCTGAGGAAACAATAACGACAAGCCAGAGAGTCTCTGCCCCGATCATGATACTACAGCACTGAGTCAAAAAGAATGACCATCAACGACAGTCACCCAACAGCAGACGACACCATGGTCAAGAAGAGCGACGACGCAGCAAGCACCAACGGCGCCAAGCCGAGCTGGGAGGAGATCGCCGCGAAGAAGCGGCAGGCTCTGCTCGACTCCATCCCCGCCGAATGGCGCATCCCGGCCAATCTCGTCACGCCCGACACGCAGGACGACGTGACTGGGTGGCCGGAGGCGTCAGGCTGGTTCACGCCGCAGGAGCTAGCCATTACCAACGCCACGGCCGCCGACCTGCTGCCGCAGCTGGCCTCTGGCCAGTTGAAATCCCTCGACGTCACGAAGGCCTTTTGCAAACGGGCCTGCGCCGCGCATCAGCTGGTATGTAGTTATTGCCCATGCCAAGGCTCAATCACTGCCCCTTTTTTTTCTTTTGGCATTTCTTTCCCATGGGTTGTAGTTGGTTGTGTATTGTGTGTCGTATGGTAGATCTCCGGCGCGGCTGGCTAACTCTCTCGCTGTAGACAAACTGCCTCTCCGACACGTGCTTCGAGCGCGCCCTGTCCACGGCGCGGCGGCTCGACGACCACCTCGCGCGGACGGGCAGGCCCGTCGGCCCCCTGCACGGCCTGCCCGTCTCGCTCAAGGACAACTTCAACCTCAAGGGCCTCGACGCCACCGTCGGCTTCGTCTCCCACGTCGGCGACCCGGCGCCCTACGACTCGGTCCTGGCCGAGGTGCTCGAGGCCGCGGGCGCCGTCTTCTACGTCAAGACCAACGTCCCCACGGCCATGATGATCGCCGAGAGCGTCAACAACACGTTCGGCCGCACGACGCACCCCAAGAACCGCAAGCTGACGAGCGGCGGCAGCTCCGGCGGGGAGTCGGCGCTGCTGCTGTTCAAGGGCAGTCCGCTCGGCGTCGGGACTGATATCGGTAAGCTCCTGCAACTGTAAACTCCTCACCGCACGGTGAACACCGACGTGCTGACGCCTCGGGGCCAAACAAAAAAAAGGCGGCTCCCTCCGCATCCCCGCCGCCTGCACCGGCATCTTCACCCTCCGCCCCTCCTTCGGCCGCTTCCCGACCCTGCGCTGCCGCTCCGGCATGCCGGGCCAGGAGGCCATCCAGTCCGTCAACGGGCCCATGGCCCGCACCCTGGCCGACATCCAGCTCTACTCGGCCGCCGTCGTCGGCGCCGAGCCCTGGGCCCTCGACCCCAAGTGCCTGCCCATCCCCTGGCGCGCGGTCGCCCTGCCGGCCCGCCTGCGCGTCGCCGTCATGCGCCACGACGGCATCGTCGTGCCCACGCCGCCCGTCGCCCGCGCCCTCGAGCACGTGGCGCAGCACCTCCGCACCGCCGGCCACGAGGTCGTCGAGTGGCAGGAGCCGGGGCTGCAGGCGCAGGGCGTGAGCCTGCTCGAGCGCATGTTCGTCGCCGACGGCGGGCGCGCCATCCGCCACGAGGTCGAGCGCGGCGGCGAGCCGTGGCGGCCCGAGATGGCGGCCTACCAGGACGCGCGGGAGCTGGGCACCTGGGAGATGTGGAAGCTGCACCTCGAGCGCACCGAGTTCCAGAAGAGGTACCTGGACCGGTGGAATGAGGCCGGCATCGACGCGATACTGTGCCCGACCATGCCGTTTAGCGCCGTGGAGAGCGGCAAGTTCAAGCACGGTGAGTACCGGATTGTCTCTAGAGGTTTTAATGGCTAAATCATGCTAATAACGGAGCAGTTGGGTATACCGGCGTCTTCAACGTCTTGGACTACTCTTGTGTGTCCTTCCCGACCGGGCTGTATGTCGACAGCGCCATGGATAAGGCTCTTGGAGATGCGCACCGGCCGTTGAGTGAGGTCTGCGCAGCTATTCACGGAGAATGTGAGTGCACTTCTGTATCCTTGACTTTTTAAACTTACCCGTGATATTATCATACTGACCACGGCTATGTAGATAATCCTGCCGCGGTGCACGGTATGCCGATCAGCCTGCAGCTCGTGGCTAGGCGGCTCGAGGAGGAGAAGGTGCTGGCAATGACCAAGGCCGTTCTGGATCTTGTGCATTGAGAACACAGGCGGCACTGAGAGTACGATAGACCATCGAATAGAGGCGAAAGCCTGTGAACACAAACATCCAACCCCCTCAACAAGATTCATACCGGCAGACTTTTGAAGCCCATAGAAGTACTGAAGATTGAACAAAAGCATGAAGTAAAAAAGCTCAAGGTACACGATTGGCCGATCTGCCGGCATTTTGCGAGGGTCACATCCGGCAACACTGGCGCTGCATGCGCATACGAGTCTGGACCCCCCTCCCCCCGCGGATATCACCAATCGCTGCCCCAGCCAGGGAAGCACGCAAGTGGCATTTCATCATTTCATGATATGCAGGCGTCGTTATGCACCAGTGAGAACTTGGGGTCGATAGGGCAGGTAGGGCCGGACCGTCCAGTGACAGATCAGCCTTGGATTGCCCGCCCTCCACCACAGGCAGGACCCTTGATAGCCACGGGAAGGATGACGGAGGGTCTCTCCATTGGGCACATTGGCTCGGCTGCTCACCCAGCCGGTTTTCTGAAGGAGCTAGAGGATGCTGCAATCCCCCCTGTGGTAGGGATAGCCCTGGAGGGGTGCCTGATGCTGACGGGTAGGTGCATGTCGACTGGTGTGATAGGGCAAGCACGCACATACACGGATGCACACAGGCACAGGTGGCTTGCCCGGTGTGGTCTGGCCTTGTCCCCCACCTACGATGCATCATGATGCAAGACTGGTCGGCAGACTGTCGTGCTCTTGCCGGCCGGCCATAAAGACTGAGGAGCCCGGATTTCCTCCAGCCCGGTTGGAAAACACTTCTGGACGACAACAGACACAGCCGCACGCCTGAAGCAGCCCTCCACAATACTCTTGATCTCTCTAGCACAGGAAGACTCCAATCCAACTCGAGACACGCACGGCCATGGATGGGATGGACCAGCACTTCTGGATGCTAGCGAGCTACGTCGACGCAGGGCCAGCCCCGGCACCCGCTCCACGTGCTTCTCACGAGACTGCTCGTGGTGCCGTTGCCCCTGGGCCGACGCCTACCCAAAAGTCATCTTGTAGGTTGATCATTCAATGTACTAGAGGTATTATCGTCACTGATAAGTTGAAAGCCAATGAAAAGAAGGGAGCCCATATAGTCGTTCGCGTTAATTCGACCCACGACCAACTGGCTCACTGGTAGGGGGAGCAACTGTGAGCACCTGCACACCACAGATGCCGTCACTTGGGGATGTAGTTGTCTAACTGCAGACAGGGACAAAAGTGTGGTCCGAGAAGATTTGCGGTGCACTGCCAGGATACATCCGGGAGACAGTAGATAGCACCAATCTGAAATGCAAATCTGGTCATGGATGTTTGCCCATTCTCGTGAGTGGACTGGTGTTGTTGTAGCTCAGTCATGTGCGATGGGTGTGCTATGGGTGTGCTTGATACTGGCTGGCACTTTCGGTAGCTTGATTATACATCCTACGCGCCTTTAAGTACGGTTCATAGAACAGTTCTGGGCTTTTTGGTAGAAGAGGCGGATTGGGGTGCATGGAGGCGACCCGGCTCATGGCTGAAGACGCTGTGAAGCCATTCCAGGCCTGGGCTCTATCACAATAGCCTTTGATTCTATATTACTACGTAGCCACCAATCTATAATGTTTCCGCGCTCTAAAATTGGCTTCTAGATTTTTCTCTGTGATATATTTTACGAGGTGCTTGACGGATCTAGCACGGCAGGAGAAAAGCCAACCCCGAGCGCATATTGTGGCTAGATCACACAGAGCTGTATTTTTCTATTCAATAATCAACTTGGCGCTTGGTCTACCTATCAAGTCTACCTATCAAGTACAGGTTAAATCACACTGTAAATCAGACACCTTTGAATAAACGCAAGGAACACAACACCCGTATTTGAAAGATTCTATGACGGTTCTCAGTCACAAGAACGTAATCTCAATCAGGCGACATCGGACCTCTACAAAGATACGCTGGATCTACAAGAAATGCCTGGCGGCGGAATTTGCCTCCAAGAGTCGACTTTGTTGGGTCCGCCATAAGTGCAAGACCCTTGCCATTTGATAATGGCATGCTGTAAGTATACAGCGGCGCGGTGATGTGACCCCTCGACAGCACATGAGCGTTAACTTCTCGCACCCAAGGGCAACATACAACGTGCTTGTCGTCCTACTCCACCGACTCCTCTTATCAGAATCAGCTCCCTCGTCCGGTCCCATGCGGGGAAGAGCACTTGCTACCTGCTGGAGGGCCGCAAATGAGATTTCCCAGATCCTGACGGCGCATGAAGAAGCATACAAGCCGTTCAGCGAGACATTCATCCTCTGCTATGCGGCCTACGTTGCTGCCACTACCCTAGTTCACGTCCTAGCGCATCATGGGAATCAGTTCGACGCGTTGACCTCGCTCCGTACATGGCTCGGGTGCCTGGACCAGCACCTGGTAATCTACTCGGCCGCCAAACGGGCGAGGGAGATCATTGCTCAGCTCATGGACCATGCAGAAGTCCGCCTCTGCGCTTGTGGCGAACTTGTCGGGCGACGCGAGCATCCTTCCTAGCTGTGGCCCTGCGGCAGTAGCCCCTTGATGAGTGCAGATCTTGAGAGTGGCGGGAGCACCCTTCAAGAAGAGGTGCACCTGAGCCTTGCTGGGCCGGTCTTGGATGTCCTGCCGACCCTGGAGTCGGGGCAGGTCGATGGTGATGCTATCTTCGAGTACTTCTAGAGGCTGTTTGAGACTTCGGCAACTGAGGTACGTCTTCCGGACTATCCGTCATGTTATGATTTCTGAGGTGATGCTGGATTACGGAGGGTAGTCGAAGGGTTGAATGATGTAAGGACCAATTTCGGATGTGATCGGAAGAGGTGTGTCATCACTGGGTACGTCGTCGGACTCCAGTGATGAGTCTGCGATGGTAGACTTGTTCTAGCTACCAATGGATTTCATACATCGTTTCGGGCAACCTGCGCCATCTCACACCGTTTTTTAAAACCCTCTGCGTACAAAGGCACTTGATCTAAGGGCTCATTGAGTCGAAAAGAAGAGATATGTTGTCATGCAGCTCTATCCTACACAAAATAGTCTTCTCTTTCAAGAGCGGGGAGAAGGGGAAATAGCTCCGTCGCTCGCTCTTCCAACCACCCAGCCTAGAGATACATATTCATACATCGGGTTCTACACTAATAATACACCCCACGGAGACTCGTGGCGGGGATCAACCTCAGTTGCCGCGAATAGATCGAAACACATTCCTTCTTATCCAGAGAAAGCCCGCGACACCCCATCCCATCACTCTTCCCAGGCCGAGAGGAAGGCCGAATCTGAACCACGAGGTAGGCTGCCAGAGCCTGACCTCCGGAACGGTGGCCTTGTCGACCCTAGCCAGCGGCATGCCGGGGTCTTGAGCCCGGAAATAGTCGAGCGCCTCCACGATCAGCGCGACGACGGCGTCCGGCTGGCTCAGGAAGGGGGAGTGGCTGGTCCGCAGCTCCCTGTGCACGACGCGGGCGCCCATGCCCCGCGCCATGCCGACCGACATGCGCTGCGCCGCGACGGGCAGGCCCCTGTCCTCGAGGGTGCCGACGTACATGCTCGGCACGTCGAGCCAGCCGGCGTACGCGTGCTCGGCGCCCTCGTACAGCGCGCGCAGGCTCTGCGGCGCGAGCTGCGCGACGCACCGCGCGGCGTCCGCGTCGGGCAGGTCGTGGTAGAAGAAGTCGCGCGGGTCGGCGACCAGCTCGGCGAAGCCCGTGGCCCGGTTGGCGCGCCACGCCGGCGGCGGGCGGCCGAGGAAGGGGTCCATGAAGGCGAGGCCGGTGAGGGTGTGGCCCGAGGCGATGAGGACGAGCCCGACGACGTGGCCCCGGGCCGTGCTCTCGGGGCTCGGCGGCGACGGCCGCAGCGCCGCTGCTGGCTGGGCGGCGAAGCCCTTGATGGCACTGTTGGCCACCATGCCGCCGTAGGAGTGGGCGACGAGGACGACATCGCGGCCGCGCTCGGTCTCGTCGCGGACCGCGCGCACGGCGGCGTCGAGGTCGTCCTTGAAGGTGGCGGCCGGGTCGCCGTTGGTAGAGGGCAGCGTGACGCTGACGCACCGCAGATTGTGGTCGCGGGTCAGGGGCTCGATGATCCGGCTGTAGCAGCTCGGCCGGTGCCAAGAGCCGGGCACGAAGACGAGGGTGGGCGGCGCCTGGGTCTGCATTGCTGTCGTCGCTCGTCCGTTGCAGAGTTTGAGCAGCGGGTTGCCGTTTGAGCTTTAAGCTGATTGTGCTGACGGAGACCAGTTTCTTTTTGAGGCGCGTGTGATTGGAGTCTGTGTGTTGCTGACTCGAGTTTGTCCTAATCGCGGGATCGCCCGAGGTGGCGCCGCCCCCGTGTTTCGCCGAGCGCCGCTTTGGGCTGCGGGCTCCCGCCCGGGCGAGGCTTAATTAAGTCGTCAATCGGGCATATTTCCGGCGCATTTCCAGTGCACGTCCTTATATGTTGGAACTTTTCAGTACCTTTCAAACTTTTTATTGGAGCTGCTCACCTCTTTGCGCAAGGTTTATGCAAGGCTGGCTTTGATCTGGGCCCGATGGTCTGGGACCTGCATTGCAGTTGTAGACACCGTTTCTGTCATTCCAAGCGATTGGCATGGATTGCTTGACGTTCTCAACCGAGTCATAGCATTTACCAGCACTGGAGTTGCTGCATTAGACACGGATGTCTTTGTTATCGGCGACGCGTATGTAACTATGCAATATTAACAACAAGGAATATGCTACTGCACCACTTGGTGCCTGTCTCTATTCATAGTACTCGGGCTTCTCCAAGCTGTAGTGCGTGTATCAAACATGACCTAACTACCTAGGTAATGGAATATCTAAACTCAGAGGGGATCTGGCTAGTGAAACATACCAGGTCGCCTCGTACTGAAAGGAAACACTTGAAGCTGGCCTTGGCTCACTGCTTTGCGCCCTCTATTGCATAGTCACATGGAAGACATGGCAGAATCGACTGGAATACGGGCCATTGAAGCCCGGACAGTCACAGATACTCAGGGCATGTTGTGAATGTTGTGAGCAGATATGAGGGACAGTCTTCAAGAGCGAGAGCGAGGGGTGAGAGGAGCGCTTGTCGTTGTGTTGCTCGTCCGAGGGAACACCAAAAGATGGTGATTCCTTCTGTAGATGAAAGGTCTTCCATCATCCCAGTGTACCTAGGTAGGTATTATGGAAGCTTGCGATATCGGATCACCAACCAAAAAGTTGATATTCCAGAGTTGAAAGGCAGGCAGGCACCTTGCGCCGAAACGGAGCTGGCTCGAGCGTATTCCAAAACGGGACGGGACGGGACGGTGGGTGGCCCTCATCCAATCCTACATCCCAATCAAGACCCAAAATCGCTCGTGAATGGTTGCAACCGTTCCTTTCACGTTATATAATTCCTCGGTATCTATCAATTGGTCCTTACAGAACCATCCCAGAGCAAGCTCTCATTTACCGCAGCACGCGTTTTGGATGACGGCGGGCGCCGCTTGCCGCCTGGAAACGACAACAAGTGCGTGCGGGCGCGCGTCAGCAGCTGAATCGGCGGGGAGATTTGCCCCTTCTGGACCCAAACTCGATCCTCGAAGAAAATTCCAGCTCTTCTCGTCGTCTACCCGAGCAGCCGAGCCTACCTGATGGATGACGGAGGCAACGTACTATACAGTGTCAGGATATCTATCGCTACAATACCATAACTCGGGCCACAAATCAATGCTGCCAGCATCCCATTCCCATCGCGCCCAGTTTCAGTTCCGCCTGTGAATTTGGGAGGTGGTGATAACCCCGCGTTGGCCCGCGAACACACCCCGCGCGCCACAGTTGCGACACAGCAAACAACCTAGGTAACCATCTCGCGCAGCGCGTGCGCGCGCCCGCCGAGGCGTCATCACTCGAACCGGCGGCTGTCCCACCGCCCGCTCACCTTGTGACAGCAGCCATCACCGGTCGGAAAGCAGAAACGGACGGCCACTGGCAGCAGAAGCACCCTGTGGAGCACATCTTTGCTGGGACTTTTTCAAGGCCAGCAGCCCATGGAGAACTACCAGAAACTCGAGAAGATTGGCGAGGGTGAGTGATGCGGTGCGGTGCGGTGTGCCCGTGTCAAACACACTCTTGCAAACAAATATCCCCACAGACGTGACAAAAGTGACAAAAAAACACGACTGACATCCCCCCGGGTCCACAGGCACGTATGGCGTGGTCTACAAGGCCCGCGACCTCGGCAACGGCGGCCGCATCGTCGCCATGAAGAAGATCCGCCTCGACGCCGAGGACGAGGGCGTGCCCTCCACGGCCATCCGCGAGATCAGCCTGATGAAGGAGCTGCGCGACCCCCACATCCTGCGCCTGCTCAACATCGTCTACGTCGACAGCCACAAGCTGTACCTCGTCTCCGAGTTCCTCGAGCTCGACCTCAAGAAGTACATGGACGCCCTGCCCGAATCCGACGGCGGCCGCGGCCGCGCCTTCCCCGTCGGCATCGGCCCGGGGCTCAGCCGCCTCGGCCTCGGCGACATGATCATCAAGAAGTTCATGAGCCAGCTCTGCAAGGGGGTGCGCTACTGCCACGGCCACCGCATCCTGCACCGCGACCTCAAGCCGCAGAACCTGCTCATCGACCGGGACGGGAACCTCAAGCTCGCCGACTTTGGCCTCGCCCGCGCCTTCGGCGTGCCCCTGCGCACCTACACGCACGAGGTCGTCACCCTCTGGTACCGCGCCCCCGAGATCCTGCTCGGCGGCCGCCAGTACTCCACCGGCGTGGACATGTGGTCTGTGGGCTGCATCTTTGCCGAGATGTGCACCCGCAAGCCTCTCTTCCCGGGCGATTCCGAGATTGACGAGATCTTCAAGATCTTCCGGTATGTTGCAGTCTCTTCCCTTGTCCCCTCCCTTTTTCTACGGGACTTGTACTTTGCGCCTATCGACAAATGAAGTGCAGATCAACTAACGGGATCCCTTTGTGATGGGCAAATGTAGACTGCTCGGCACTCCCACCGAAGAAATCTGGCCCGGCGTGACCTCATACCCCGACTTCAAATCGAGCTTCCCCAAGTGGTCGCGCGACCTTTCAAAGCCAATATGTACGAATCTCGACGACGTCGGGCTGGACCTGCTGGAGATGATGCTGGCCTACGATCCCGCCGGCCGCATATCTGCCAAGCAGGCTTGTAATCACCCATACTTTGAGGAGCAGTTGGAATAGGACACCGATTCGCAGGCCACGTAGAGTGTGGACAGCCACGACGCTTCGATACACATGTCAGACGATATACGGTCAGTGTAAAGCTGGAGCCAGGAGGCTTCTCTCGCGGGTTGGGCCCGGGTGCAGCGTAGGCGTCCTTTCTGTCTTTTGTAAATGTACCCAGTGTTGATAATTGCATTATTCAATGATATCAATTCGGTTCAGCGTCTATCGTCAGTCATTTTGATAGGTCAGAGAATTGCGTTTTCATTCAGATTACCGCTCCATCGTGGCCCTGGGAAGCTCATGCTGTATACACATCAAGATGACCGACCCAGTGGCTGAGAAGCCCCGTGAACCCCTAAAGTTGTCACGGGTTTACGCCACTTGGGCTTGTTGTCCGGCAGCAACTGCGAACAGCTGCTCGAGCAAAGTTCTATAATCGTTTCTGGCCTTCTTTGGTTGCCCTCGTAGTTTTCTCGCACCACATTAACTCGACTCGCTTTATGCTGGGAACTGTGATTGGGTTCCTGTGAATCACCGAGTTCACAAAGAAGGCGTGGGTGGAGAAAAAAAGGGAGCAAGTAGCAAGTAGCAGCACAGATATCTCTTCTGGCATACTCAAGGTATCTAGCACTATATTCAAAAGGCAATATACAGGCTTTCGCCATATCAGGTAGATAAAATGTTCGTATATTCTTTGGCTGTTGAATCGCCCATGTGACTACCTCCTCCACGAGGAGACCTCGGGTTTAAGGTAGTATTCATCTCTACTCATTTCCCACCGGTTCCCAAAGCACCCATCAAACGCTGCCTCTTGCGTCCAAATAAACCACGAGCAGCCTCTCAGAGAATGTACCGGAATGTCGGGTGCCTGTACCCGAGCCTGCTCTGCTGGTCCTCGGTCAGGCCCTCGAGCCGGTGGTCGCGCTTGCCGGCGTCCCTCTGCTTGTTCTCCCACCAGCAGTAGGCGATGCCGAAGCAGGACAGCGCGACGACGCCGATCTGGCCGCCGAGGTTGATCTCGTGGCCGGTGTGGTACTTGGGCGCGTCCCTGACCATGTACGTCCACCTGTTGTTTGGAAACCGTGATTAGAAAACACTTGTCCTAGAATTCCCGGGAAAAAAAAGTCTTCACTGGGCTGGGGGAACAACTTACGTGGCAACGATACCGCCGATGGTGCCCAGGCTGACGACGTAGCCGCTGGTCACGGCGCGCACCGCGGGCCCGGCAGAGTCTAGATACAACACGATTAGCCATTCTGCATCGAGGAAACCCAGACAAACTGACTCCAATGTTCTGTATGTGTTGGGAGAGATTTGCTTACTGTTCATCGCCCAACTCAGGAAGCCAGGACCGCCGGGGAAGGCGCCGACGGTGACAAAGTAGACGGCCATGTAGCGGATGTTGGGGTCGGAGTGCCAGCGCAGGATGGCGAAGCCGATGACGGCGATGCTCGAGAAGACGGCGAGGTAGACGCCGCGCAGGTGCGTCTTGTCGCTGACGTAGGCGATGGCGATGGCCACGACGACGGCGCAGACGTACGGCGGCACCGAGTACAGCTGGGCCTTGGTGCTCGTCCAGCCGAGGTCGGCCAGCAGCGTCGGCATGAAGAGCGAGATGCTCTGCACGGTGATGTTGATGAGGAAGAAGCCCAGCGCGCACGTGTAGTTGTGGATGCACAGCACCGCGCGCTTGAAGTGGCTCCACTCGACCGTCGTCTCCGGGTGGCCGTTGTGCTCGCGCACGAGCCGCTCGGCGGCGATGCGGCGCTCGCGCTCGCTGAGGAAGTAGGCCGTCGCCGGGTCCGTCGGCATCCAGATGGGCGCCAGCAGGCCCACGATGATGGTCACGAGGCCCTCGAAGAAGAAGATGTTGCGCCACTCGTAGATGGGGCTCGAGGCCGCGCCCCAGCGCGGGATGCGCGCCAGGCCCGTGGCCAGCAGGCCGCCGAAGGCGCCGGCCAGCGAGGCGGCCGAGACGTAGATGCCCACGCGGAAGAGCAGCTCCTTGCGCTTGTAGAAGCAGCTCAGGAAGAAGGCCATCCCGGGCATGGCGCCGCCCTCGAAGACGCCGAGCAGGGCGCGCACGCCGAGCAGGGACTCGAAGGTGTGCACAAAGGCCGTGCACATGGAGATGAGGCCGAAGCCGACGACGAGCATGGGCAGGTAGAAGCGCGGCCCGATGAACTTGAGCAGGATGTTGCTGGGCACCTCGACGAGCAGGTAGACGATGTAGAAGATGGACAGCGCCCAGTTGAAGCGCACGCCCGTGTTGAGGCCGAGCTCGACGCCCATGCCCTGGATGCGGGCGTTGCCGATGTTGGCGCGGTCGAGGAACTGGTTGATGGCGACGCGCGGGGTCCCGCGGTCAGCAAACGACACGTGAAGGAGGGCAAAGAGATGTCTCAAGCTTGCGGTGTAGGACTTACGCAGAGCAGGTACAGCAGAGTCACCAACGGCACGGTGTGCCGGTCGATCTTGCGGCGGATCGCCGTCTCCTCGGCCTCGGTCCAGTCGAAGTCGCCCACATTGGAGCCGGAGGACGGCGCGACCTCGTAGGCATCAAGGTCTCCATCTGGACGTATTCCAGCAGTGTCAGCGTGTATCGGTGACAGTCAAGGGGCACAGAACCAAACTGGGACGTACCTTTCTCCGGATCACGGCTGTGGTCCTTCAGGACCGCGAGGTTGAGGGGATCCAAGGTCGCCATCGTGAAATCTGGTCGTCTTCGATCCGGGGCTGAGAAGGCGAAGAGGGACTGTTGCTCAGAGTTGGAGAGGAGTGACAAGATCCACAGACAGATCAACGAATGCGGAGTAGACGTGTCTTAAGTACGCACGTTGTATCGTGGGAGCAACACAGGGATCAAGTTTGACACGGGCTGAATCCCTTGCACATTCGCCACACCACCCACCCCTTGTCCGCTTGCTTTTATATGGTCTGGATACACACGATATTGCTTTGCCCAAATAACTAACTAAGCTGCACCCCCTGTAGCGCAACCCCGAAATGTTGGGGGAACGGGCCTGTGGTCTCTGCGGAGGTGGCGAGCGGAGATGGTTCCCGGAAACGAGGGCTGAAGCCGCCAGCCAATTGAGCCCCCTTCGGCAGATCAAATATCGCCGTTAAACGGGAGCTCTTAGGCTCAAATGAGCCATTGCCAAGCCTTGCGGGGTAAACGGACAAGAGACAACAAGAAAGAATTGAGGGCACGGCAAAGGAGGACGGCGTGGAGGATCTCGCTGGCGTGCTTGGCAATGCGGGTCGAGGTTGGCGATCCTGTGTTTTGTTTGACTCGCTTACCACGCCCTCCAATGATTCGCCCGCCTGTGACTGGCCGGCTGGTTTTCTCGGGCATTTTACCCTGATGGCTGCTGGACATGGCAGATAGAGGAATGGCAGGTGCATAGTAAGAAAATAGGCAGAGTGAGAATATGCGATGAGATGAGATGGATATACACAAGTACATAAACAGAGTGGTGTTATCTAGCGAGACAGACTACCATGACATTGCAGACGCGGCAACTCAGAACAGCAAGGCTTTTTGCTATTGCAGTTTGCTAGTATCTCTCTGCCTTGCTTGCTCCTTGTACAACTAGCTGTGTCTTTTCAACTCCCTGCCTCGCCTGACTAGGTATGACTTCATAGCCTTGGAATTCCCCAGCGTCGTCGGCTCCATTGCGTCGTAAGTAAGGATTGAGTATTCCTGATCATGCCGAAACAATAAATGGGGGGGCACTCCAAGCCTGGTCGGCAAAACTTTGCGCATCCGTCGACGCGAACGAATCATGCAGCGCGTCTCTGGGCCACAGGGGATCCATCGGTCCAGACCCCAGACCGGCCGGCCCGACTTACCAGACTCATCCCTGCCCCAATCATCCAGCCCATTCGCCCTCCCCCCTTTATTTACTAGACCAAGCAGCCAGCTTCTGGGGCTCCTCCTCCTTGGCAGCTAGCTGGTGTGTGGCTTTCTTGGAGTGATATGATGACCAGTCGACTGGGCGCATGGCCGATGGTCATTGACCACGTTGCTCATGCCTGCCAAGTCAAGTCAACCCACCCCTTGACCGTTCGCCCAGTACTTTATTGTGCTTATGCTTACGCCCGTCTTTGTAAAGTTCCGTCCTCGGGTGTGCTCGCTCTAGCATCTTGATCTGCTATGTGCCAGTCTGTTACTTAAATGACACGGCCGATTAGAAGAGACGGACTGACCGACCCCACGGGGTTGGATCTCTCTCTCGCTGGCCGGTGAGATTTGGCTTCCAGAACAAACGAGCCTAGCGCCGAGCCACTCCCGATCCTTCCCCGTTCCCGTCCCCAAGAGCCGCGACTTTTTAGCATCAGAACGCTGAGCCGTTGGTTTGCAGCCGGACCCCAGAACCTAACTCGGATAGGGGGGTGTTGCCGCCGCTAGAAATCTTGAAAAAGTTGCCGAGGTGAAATTCAGCTCGTACACGCAAGGATCATGCCCCAACCTACTCCGGCAAGTAAAAGTAGGTTAATCAGACTGCTGCTCTCGCTCTATTCATCAGGTCATGTGTGGTCAATGGCGGGGAGCAAAGTAGTGGTATTTTGTAAAAACAACTGCAAGGTCATAACTTGTCAAACTTACCGTCTCTAAATGTATGTAGAAAGACGTTCAAGAGAAGAGAATCAGAAAAAGGGGAGACCTCCAGAAAACAAGCCAAGTGTTGCTGATCAAACCCGTTGAAGCAAACCGTCCACGCACATCAAGTACTATCCGTCCCACTAACATACACCTCACCAACCAGTCCATATTATAGCCGTCTTCATCTGACAATCCTCCCCTTCAGCCAAGCGACACCAAGGGGTCCTGGCCGATGCCAAACAGCCGGAAGTTGAGGCAGTCGACCATCGACGGCCCGCCGGACGACGCGTTGCCCAGGCACACCGAGACGGCGTTGTTGGCGTCGTAGACGCGCAGCGCCGTCGTGCACAGCGCCACCTGCGCCGCCAGCGCCGCCGTGTCGACGAGCCCCGCCATCCTGGCGCACACGGCCGGCAGCGTGGTCAGGCAGGCGCCCTGGCCGATGACCGACAGCGCCGAGGTCAGGCACGACACGATCGAGGACCCCTGCGTGAAGATGGTGATGGACCCCGTGTCCAGGCAGTTGGCGATCGAGCCGACGGCGCCGGCGGCGCCCAGCGCGAGCAGGCACACCGGGACCTCGACGAGGAGCGTGAGGCCGTTGAAGTTGACGAGCGTCGTGCACGCGCTGGGCAGCGCCGACGCCGTGATGGGGCACCGCGGCTGCGGCACCGGCGCGCCCGGGCAGCCCTGCGGCAGGGTCGGGCTGACGACGGGGAAGCCAAAGGCCGTCTGCAGGCAGGCGACGATGCCGATGCCGTCGTAGTTGACGCTCGTGTCGAGGCACGCCTGCGCCGCCGCGCCGCCCGCGTACGGCCCCAGCGCGTTGCCGCAGAGCCGCACGTCGTTGTTGAGCGTCGAGCCCGCGTTGACGTCGACGACCAGCTCGAGGCAGGGCGCGGGGAGGTTCGTGATGCAGGGCGTGCCGACGAGGTAGGTCGTCAGGCAGCTCACGACGGACGGGCCCGCCAGCAGGGTCGACGCGAGGCACTGCGCCACGTCGCCCACCGCCCTGCCGCCCAGTGCCAGCGTGCAGCCGGCGAGGTCGAGCAGCGATACGGCCACGATGATGCCGTTCAGGCGCTGGCACGCCGGCGGGAGCGAGACCTGGCAGAACGGCGCCCCGTTGGCGCCTGGATTGGGCGTGCAGGGGCCTGGCGGGTTGTTCGGGTCCGGGTTGTTCGGGTCCACGCTCGCGGTGGGGCTCGAGGTGGACGTCCTGCTCGTGGTAGACGTTCTGGTGCTGGTGGCTTGGTTGGGGCCGTTATTGACGCCGTTGCTCGTGATGGGTATCTGTACGATGACGGTGCCTTCGCTCCCCGAGGCGCCAGGCTGGAGCGTGATGGTCTGCGTCACGGGTCCGTCGTAGCCGTACGTGATCGTCGTGTAAGGGCCGTTGAAGGCCGAAACGCCAGGCGTCTGTACAATGACGGTGCCAGTTGCACCTCCATTGATGGGATCTAGTGTGTACCGCGTAGGACGAGAACCGGGAGGCCCTGCCACCGTGATCGTGACGAAGGGCCCGTTGAACGGGTTCGGCGCCTGCGTGACGACGACCACAGTCCCCTGCGCGGTCGAACCAACGCCAGGAATCGTGATTCTTCCCGCCGAAGCGCCTGGCTCGGTGATGGTCGTGAGCCCACCGCCACCGCCGATGACGGGGCCGTTTGTCCGCGGAGCCGGCGTGATCACGACAATAGTGCCGGACCTAGTACCGGAGGGATAGATCGTAATCGTGGTCCGAGATTGTCCGCTGCCACCTCCAACCGTTGTCGTAACATATCCGGGGAGAACCGCAGTGCTCTGTTGAGGGCTGTTTGGAATGCCGGCAGGACCATCCAATCTTCCAGCGGATGAAGACGAAGCGCCCGCTGTTACGGTACCAGGTACGGTAGGCACTGGGTTGTTTGGTCCGCGGAACCCGGCCCCACCGCTACCGCTGATCTGCTGGATTCTAAAGCCACATATAGTCAGCACGAGGCCCTCTCGGGTGGTCATTACACTCACGCAGTTGCCGTCCTTGTCGAGTACTCGGTCGAAGTGATCTGGGTGCTGATGTCCACTGGGGCATTCATGATCTCAAACGGCAGGCCGCCGCCTACGGTGACCACAGTGTTGGCTCGTACATAGCCTGTAATGAGGAAAGGGTGCTGGATGATAGATGTAATGGTCTGGACATCGACCTCGATCATTCCGTTAGGACAATCCTGCGCCGAGGCATGCTGTAGGCTGAAAGCCAAAGCGAAACTAATGAGCCCCGAGGATCGCATCTTCCTAATCCTTAGAGATCTCGGTTGGTGTACTGTGGGGTAGGAAAAGAGTGAACGGAAGGGAAACCTCCCAAGACAATAGGAAAAGTCAAGCTAGCATCCCTTTACCAGAGGCTATGTGAAGCAAGGCTGGGGTCTGCTCCTGAGCTATTTAAGTGCAGACAACTTTTGGACTACATACAAACAAGCCTTTGCTGATTCGGTATTCCTGATTTCAACTGTGTGACGACAAGATTGTTGAGCCAAGGGCGAGGCCTTCACTGTAATTAACGCGCTTCGTGTGTGATCTCTTGAATGAACCGCGCTGGATCCAACAATAAAGTAGCAGAAGCCTCTCTGCGGCAGGCATTCCGACAACCCGTGATTCCTGAGGTTTGATTCAGCTTCAGCATCATAGATTATCTTATTCGTGACACAAGGACACGGGTTTGCGGTCGGACCTGGTGGAGGGACCGGGAGTCTGGCCATCAACTCCTCGACTTGCCTGCCTGCCGAGCATTGCAGGCGGCGCGGCACAGGACCGAGGTATGGCAATGTGTAGCACTAGCATAGCGCTTCATGTGTGACCTACAACTATTGTCGACTAATGACTTGAAATATATGGATAAGGATAGTGTCGTAGTAAAGACGTAAGTTGTAAGTGATTGGTGTGGTCTGTCGTCAATTTGCCTGCCAAGTCAACAGTGTGCAAAGCCACAGTACCGCAGTCTGAGGGGGAAAGAAAGTCTTTAGCCACGATTCCATGAGGAAATTAATGTCTCTCGAAGCACTCTCCATTTTTGAGCTCTGCAATTGTTGAAGGAGTACAACTAAACGGGACGGCACACGTATGTGCCGACGCTTCATTTCAGTCCGAGGCAAGTGCACTTGGGATCAATCAATCACAAGCGTGCCTGAGAGTAGTCTAGATTAGGCTACACTACCTTCTCAAAGCCTACCTAGATGATGGGGTGGAATGCTATCGATCTTGTGCTAATGTAGTTCCCGTGCTGACGCAAGGGGTGAGCAAACGCTATTCCTGGAATGATAGAAAACGGCTGGGCAGCCCTGTGCACATGCAAACGACACGCAGGACTGGCAAGAGCAGGACAAAGACAAGAGCGCGTTGTTGTATGCTGGAGAGCAGCGCGACCCAGAATCCCGGTCTTTGATTCGTCTCGAGAGCCCAGCTGTTCGGGAAGCAGGCCGGGAATGAGCTCAACACGGAGTAGAAGCGCGTTTTGAAGGAGCGGCTCCCCGGAATTTGGGATTGCTCCTCATGCTGCGCGTAACGCATCAGTAACAGGTGACACGAGTCCGGCGATCTATTATATAGACCATGTCCAGACTTGCAGTCATAGGCCTTTGGATGGATCCAACACTTTCAGAGTTCGCCCTCTGCCCTCACGCTCTTTTCACCACTGCTTTCTGCTCAGAGCCACCAAGCTCTAGTCACTCATTCACTAAATCCTTTCCCGAGTCCATCCACCCACAAGATGGCTCGCCTTTCACTCGTTTTGCTGTCGCTGCCCGTGGGCATGATGGCCAAGAATCTCCCTCGCCAGGCTGACTGCGAGGAGATCAAGCAGCTCGCCGCTCGCACCATCGTGACGGTGGCGCCGGTCCAGACCGTCGCGTTCCCTCAGGGCTACAACGGCCCCAACATGGGCGCTCCTGGCGGCCCGGGAGGAGCGGGTGGCTATCCCGGCGGCGCTGGTGGTGCTGGCGGCAATGGTGCCTTCCCCGGGGGCGACGGTGGAGCAGGTGGAGCGGGTGCTCCAGGAACTTCCAGTATCCAGGGTGGCGAAGGCGGTGCCGGCGGTGCTGGCGCCCCAGGAAACATCAACGGCCCTGGCGGTGCGGGAGGCCCGGGTGGACCAGGTGGCGCCGACGGCGGTGCAGGCCCAGGTATGGGCGGACCTGGCGGCCCAGGCGGTCCGGGTGGCCCCGGTGATATGAGCGGCCCCGGCCCATGGGGTCCTCCGGGCGGTTCCGGCGGCATGTGGGGCGCCGGCCCTCCGTACCAGTGGGTGCACCCGATCACGGTCGACTGCTACGGCGTCAAGGGGCTCGAGTACAAGACCTACCTCGTCACCGAGCTGTGCGCCGCCTGGCCCTGCGCCGCCTCGACCGAGTGCCCGCCTGGCTTCACCACCTCGACGGCGACCTGCACCGCCGGCTGCGGGCCCACGCCCATCACCGCCGTCGTCACCGTGCCCTGCGAGGGTACCCCGGCCGTCCAGATCCAGACCTACCAGCGCGTCTACGACTACTTCTGCGAGACGGGCGTCGGCCCGACCACCTACGTCATCACGCAGACCTGCCCGCCCGCGGGGCCGTGCCCGACGGTGCCGCCTCCGTCCATCGTCCCGCCCAACTTTGTCGTCACCCAGACGGCCTGCAACGTGGGCTGCGGCCCGGCACCGATCACCACCTCGCTGACCGTGCCCATCACCCCTGTCCCCGTCGGCACGGGCGCCGTCGTCTGCCCCGGTCCGTACTGCACCTGCCCGGGTCCCAACTGCGTCAACCTCTGCCCCGGTCCCAGCTGCTCCCCGCAGCCGACGTACGTCATCGCCGGCGCGCCCAAGGCACTGCCCTCAGCCGGCGCGTTTGTCCTCATCGCCGCGGGTCTGCTGCTGCCTCTTGCGGCTCGCCTGTTTTAATTTCTCCTCTTGCTCGCTATTCAAGCGTGCGGGTGAGCAGCATTCTCTTGCTGTCATAATGTTCTCTTTTTTCGCGTTTAGGTTCCGCGGTTCAGAATCAGGAGTTTTGTGTCTATTCATTGGGAAACATCCAATTTGGATGAGGCGACACTGGGGTGGTAAAAACGGGCAATGTAATTTCGGGCGCGGTATCGTCGCGTGCTTGCGCGTAATGTACTGTCTTGCCGTATCGTTCTTGTTAATATAAGGGCTTTTGATCTCTCTAATCTTGTTCTCTTCGATCCAAATACCCGATAGTCACTGCTGCTCGTACGCCTGGCAGTCGGCCATGGACAACGCGTTACGCGGCTTTCCGTTCCCGGTAGATTGTGGAAGGCGACGAATGACGGCACAGTGCATTGGAATGGATGCTACCAGGAATCGCTGTTTGCTTAGGAGTACGATGGTGTCCAGCAAGGGCTATGCCGTGTTTCTGGAACTTAATCGAGCGCCACATTCTCTATGGACATTTATCAATGCTCACTACTCCGTAGATTCACTGTCCGATGATGCTTGATTCAGTAACATGAGCAAGGAGGTCTAGACTGTCATGGACTCAAGAAATCATCGCTTCAGTCTTGAGAGTCAATGTTTAAACTTGGGTAATTCAAAATGCTTAGTCTATTTCCGCTTTACAAAAACCAACTTCTATGTGAACGAGCCACAGTTGTCTCGAGACCTGAGAAAGGAGCACCCGCAAGGAAGCGCCTTATCACTTGTCACCCCGTCCGCACAGCCTTATCTGTAGAGTTCTCACGCGCCGGCTCATGCGCTCAGAGAAGGTCTCTGCAGCAGCCCGTTGTTGGGCAAGTTCCCGGCGTGCTACCTCCTCGGCTCGAATCTCGACACTTACGGCCCTATTCGATGCAGAATAGTCACTGAGAACCTGCATAAACCTATCCTCTTCTTCACGCTGGCGACTGATTACCTCGCACACGCGGTTGGGAACATTGTCCGCCCTAGACTCGTTCTCCTCATAAGCAGGGGGAGCCCTGGACTCTTTCTTCTCATAGACAGGAGGAGGATCAAAATCGTCCGGCTGGGAGGCGAATTGCGAAGCTAATTCGCGCAGATTGTGGTATGCAATGGTGAATTCGCTCATATTGTGGTATGCAACGAACAGGGCGGAAATGATCGGCTGAGGGTTATGCTTTTGGGTGACTGGAATTCCGTGTGTGGGTATTGCGATAGGTTCCGAGTATCTTGTAATACTCGCGAGATATCGACTGTCGTGGTCACGAAGGAATTGGTGAAGCGCGGTTTCTACCCCTTTATTTAAATACCGAAGTTGCTGCTCTTAGCAGGACGTTTGAATAAAGGCGGCAATACAGTCAAGACAAAAGGGTTGTTCAATAACGGCGGCAATTATCTTTTCTGTGACCGTCTTTGTGATATCGACAAAGGCCTGCTTCGTATGAGACAATGTTGGTTTCCTTTGATCCAAGATACCAAACAACACACTACAAAGGTGTTGGATTATGGGCCTTTGTAAATCGGTCGGGCGGGGTAACGATTTCAGTCTTGTCTTCATCACCCAAGCTCAATGTCAGGCTAAGTCTTAGAGGCGCTTGTATTTCTTCAATTCCTTCAATATTCCTTTCTTGGAAGTTCTTGTTGCTTCGTATGGCTATCCCTATGTCTCACTCCTGAAAGGAAATCTTCCCACATGCCTATCGGCCGAAGCAGCACGCTGCTGACATTTTCATCGACCACAAGCGACGCACTATCATAATTTGGAATACCGATTATCTGTCGTTATCGATACTCGCGGTCTAGAATTCACCCTAGCAGCCCACCCAGCTCGACATTGTATTGTTCGGGCTGCTGGTCTATTGATAGGGACATCTCTCCGAATGAGTGGCAAGGCGAAGTCTGAATCAGAACTTGGACCGAGCTAGCTCCAGAAGAGCTTCAAGGAGAGAGGGATCAAAAGCGGCCCAGAAGTCCACACAATCCCATTCATAACCTCCGACACACCCTCGCCACAAATCCTTGTTCATCTCGTTTTGGTGCCCTTCAGGAGATGCGTATTTGAGTTGCATTCCCAAAGCGCGCTCCAGAACCGGCACAAGGTTGCGCCACTGGGCTTGATCCAGCTGGATCTCACCATCGAGTGCGTGCTTCAAATCAAGATCAAGGCATCCCCTCGACCAGGTCGTGAAGACGTTGAAGGGGGCGAAGTGATTTGGAAGGACGTAACCGGTCGTTACCTCAGAGCAGCCATTGATCATTGGGAAGCATGGCGGGGTATCCTCCTGGACCTCGCCCACGCCGGTATGAAGCCAAGAGCTGCTGAGTAATAGAAAGAGAGACGGCCTCATGGTGAGCTTTCGTGCTAAGCAGAGGCAATCCGACGGACGTGCGTACAGAAGCACCGGGGATTGGGTTATGTATCAACCCGCGAGTCGGAGTATGATACGTAACAGCTTATCCGCTGCAAGGCCGCCGACGAGTCCGAATAGAGAGATTCTGTCTGGGGTATGCAGAGTATGAGATTTGGTTGATGTTAGCATCGAAAATTTGGCCATTATATATTTCTCAAATGCTCTGCTCACGAAAGCTAGAATCCTTTCTTTGACCGCAGAACTTCTGTGAAGCAAGCAAGGCTGGTCGAGAACACGCTGTCTTTGAACCATTCAATTTCTCGCTTTTATGGCTCTTTCTCACGTCCACCAATCAAGCTATGAATGACACAAGCTTGCTCCAATATGCGATGGGCTAGTCACCCAGTACGAGCCATTCAGACTTATTCTGTAACTATCCCTTATGTTGTTCTGTATACCAGAGATTGCCAAACACGGTGCTTTACTTGTGCAATTGTGTCTCTACCTGCTGTCTTGTCTATCTATGGTGTTTGACCCATCTGACAGAGTCCAAGTGATCTCATGATCCCCAAGTAGTATTCATCCCTCCGAATCTCCATGGGTCGACCCGAAGCCGCACGTAATGTATCCGAATCGCTAAGCAATATCCTCCTAGTTCTCCAGTGCGGATTTAATTCTCGCTAAACGTCGGATTTGGGTACAAAAATCTTGGAATGAGCCTCTTCCGCAAGAATGAAAAGCGCACGAGGTTCCTGCCACTGAAGGTAGTCGTAGCATTGTCCCCAGTGTTGTTCCTGCTTCAAGCAGGCTTTCTCGAAGGATCGCTTTACAGCGTGACCGTCGAAGACCTTGATCAAGGTCGAGAATGGATCATCAAACTTGCCTTCATGTTCCACAATATTGGTAATGGAGTGCAAGGCAACGCGCGCCTCAGGAGCAGTCCGAGACGGCCACGCCACAGGTGTCCGCTCTCGCGGCTCATAGGATACAGGATATCATGTCCCCAGAGGCCACAGGCTAGACCCAAGCAGAAGGTAACAATGCATGTGAGAAGTTTCATGGTGAGCTTGGGGGATGCGGAAGCCGTGGAAAGAGGCCGGTGTATTCCGTTATGTAGAGGGATCGAGAGGTATGGGGGAAATGGCGATGAAGGATCGAGTCGTGCGTTGATAGTCTGAGGTGGGTGATGTGTATCTTTGGTGTCTTCGGAGACTCTAAGAGAGGTCCAAGAAGAGGAGTGTCGAGGCTTGTTTATCTCGAGTGCTCTTGAGCTTGGGGTGTTCGGATGAGAGTGGCTGAATCGAAGTTGGAAGAGGCAAGAGATGAGCAAACGGGCCCCTTTTTATAAGTGGAAAATGGCCAGCTCTGTCGCTGAACTGCGAGAATATTAAATAGACACCTAGGAGAAAATTAAACAAAGAATCAAATTCCATTTTCTTCACTTGGTAATTAAGTTGTATCATTGAGTTTGTGCGATTTTCAAGTTGGGGGGGGGGGGGGGGGGGGGGTCAGCAGCGGTACAATTTGGAACCTTTGAAATAGGACCATGGGCAATCCAGAAAATGAACCGCAAAGATCTTCTTGAACCATGTTGTTCAAATAGATTAAGAAGTGAAAATCATGGATCCTAAGGTAATGAGTTGCAACACGGGTAAACAAGTTCTCTGCCACTTGGTGACTCTTGACACCTCATCCACGCTTCTTAGTACTGACCCAATGCTGTGACAAATCGAGGACCAGCACCCATTGGTCGACACTCCACCTCTAACTTCACTAGGAACCTCCTAAAAGGGAAGGTACGCCCTTTGAGGCAACATGTGACATCTGCGTAAACCTCAAGGCGTGTTTCAAGACACCTCTCCGCACGTCAACAAATATAGACACATAAGTATCTCCTTAAGCCTTTGATCTCATCGCAAGACAATTGTGTCAGTCAAACTTCCTGTTCTTGCAATAAGCAATGCCTTCACCAATACTCCCGAAGAGGCTCGAGCCGGGAGCGACGATAGCCTTTGTCTCGCCGTCAGCTCGGCTGAACCGGATGCTCCCGGGCACCATGGCCCGAGCCACCGCCGTGCTCACCGAGCGAGGCTACAAAGTCCGCGAGTTCTTCTCCCAAGACGCCGGCATCCAGTCCTCGATTGAGAACCGCCTGTCGGAGCTGCGCGCCGCCTTCTCGGACCCGACCATCTCGGCCATCATCTGCACCATCGGCGGCCCGTGCTTCAACGAGCTCATTCCCGCCCTGGCCGCCGACACGGAGCTGCACAACACCATCCGCGCCAACCCCAAGATCGTCGTCGGCTACTCCGACATCACGGGTCTGCACTGGTTCCTGCATGCACTCACGGGTCTCCGCACCTTCTACGGCCCGGGCGCCATCCCCGAGCTCGGCTCGCCGAGCTCCGCCGACGACGAGGACTCACCGGTCGCCTTTTGCCTGAGGCAGCTCCTCCGCGCCATCGCGCAGGCCGAGCCCCTCGGCGACGTGGCGCGGTCGCTCACCTACGCGCCCAAGCTGGACCCGGTGTTCTTTGACCCGGCGTCGACGGCGCCGCCGGAGCTCGCGCCCACCGCGGGCTGGCGGTGGCTGCGGCCCGGCCGGGCGCGGGGCCGGCTATTCGGCGGGTGCCTCACCGTCGTGGCGCGCCTGGGCGGCGTGCGCGCCCTCGCGCCCGACTGGCGCGGCCGCATCGTCTTCCTCGAGACGGCCATGAGCGACGCCGAGGTCACGGGGAACCCGATCCCGCGCGTGCGGGCCGGCATCGCGGACCTCGTCGCGCACGGCGTCTTCGACGAGGCGGCCGGGCTGGTCGTGGGGCGGCCGTTCGGGTACGACTCCGAGGAGGCGAGGGACGAGTATGCTGGCGTCATCACGGCGCTCTTGTGCGAGGGGCCGCTGGCGGAGAGGAACAGTTTCCCGATCTTGTTTAATATCGATATCGGGCACACGACTCCGATGGTTACGTTGCCGATTGATGCTCTAGCCGAGCTGGATTCAGAGACGGATCGCTTTGCTATTTTGGAACCGGCCGTGTGCTAGGTACGTACGCAGAAGTAGAGCAAATTCGATTGTTATGGGATACTTCAGCCTTTTTGCTGAGTAAGATCTACACTTCTCTGCAAAAATTGGTCCCTCAAACATCGAACTGGATCATGACAGGTAGAGACGCATTTGAGGCCTCTCAGTACGTGAATGGTGGGTACGCCACCATGGACAAGGGATGCAGCTGAAATGGCTGCCTGTCAACACCTTACGTAGCCCTTTACGAGCAATACGAAATTCTCCCTAGCCTGTAATAAAAGACCGGGGACCGCCAAAAACAAGTCGAAAGTGATTGCGATCTTAATTCGTCGACAGCGCTGGGGCAACGGACCTTGGCCAGCAAAGACTAATTACTACCCCCAGCGGGAATGCTGCATCATATGATGACATAAATATCATCATCCTCTCTCGATCTCATCGCCCCCGCAAGTATCGTCCAAGATGGCTTTTTCAAACGTGTATGACAAAACGAAGGGAGAGGAAGAGCACATCCTGCCGCTCCCGGGCAACAGACAAATCGCCTACGCCCACAATGGCCCTCCGACCGCCCGGACCGTCGTCCTCTTCTTCTCGGGCCTCATGAGCGTGGGCACAGCCCGAAGAGTTCCCGAGCCGTGTCGCGAGCTAGGCGCGCACTGGATCGCGCCCACGCTGCCGGGGATGGGCCGCTCCAGCACTCGGGACAGAAGCGTCCCTTACCATGTTTCCCTGGCTAGGGATATGACCGCCCTGCTCGCCCACCTCTATCCGGACGGCGCCTTCGACAGTCTCTACGTCGGCGGAGGCTCGTATGGCACCGTGCAGGCGCAGATGCTGTACGGGGCGCCGTACGAGATCTTCCCCGCCGGCAAGAAGATTGTCGGGTGCGTCCTGCTCGCGGGCTTCTCCCCGTTCAAGTACCATGTCGGCTATGCGCAGACTCTCACCTGGCAGAACTGGTTCTCCGTCGGTCCGCCTTCTCAGATTGTGCCCTTTCACCTTCTTCAACGGCTCTTCAAGCTCATCATTGGGTCTAAGCTGGGAACGGTGGAGGGAGCTCGGTCATTTCTCCGGCAGACGATACTCAACAAGATGGACCGGGAAGAAAGAGCCATGCTCACAATTTGGCTGGGTAGAAATGACCTGACTGAGGAGCAGTTCCTCGATAATATGGCGCGGGGAGTAATCAGGTGCTGCCATAATTGGGATGGGTTCATGGAGGTGTCCGATGTGGTGCATTCGGACTGGGGGTTCGAGCCTCGTCAGCTTGATGACGAGCACGCGTCGAAGCCGATGCTGGTGGTGAGCTCTATGGATGACCATCTGGGAGGAAGCACCAACCAATGGATCGTCGAGAACTATTGGTCTGCAAGTCGCAAGGTGGTGCCTGGAGGACATATATCCTCGTTGTTCTACATGGACGAAATCTGGCAAGAAATCATAGACCGTAAGTGATATTCATTTCTCATTATATGCCTCGTCAATGGCGTTGACATCAATATAGTGGCTAGCCAAGAACTTCCAAGGAGAATGTCCATGTAGCTCTTCCTGATTCGCGATTCAACCGCCTTGTACCTTAGTTGTACTCCATCAATTATCGTGTCATCATGAATGCTGGAAGTGTGGCTGCCGCTTCTGCAAGAAAGAGTTGATGCCCTCCTGGAAGTCGTTGAGGCTGAATGTCGAATAGTAGAGTGACTTCTCGTGGACCATCCCGGCGTCAAGGTTGCTGTTCTCAACTGCTCGGCTCGTCAGCTAATCTACCCCCGAGAATATCGACTGATAGTATATCACCTACCAGTGAGGACTGCTTGTTTGGCAGTCTTGATAACTGGGCCCGAAAGGCTCGCGATTCTCTCCGCCAGCTTCGTTGCTGCGTGCAGGACTTCTGACCGGGGAAACGCTTTGCTGACGACTCCCAGCCGCTCGAACTCTGCGCCGCTTGCAGAGTCACCAGTGAGAACGAACTCCATAGCCTTCGAGACGCCATGTTAACCCACCCTGGTCACCAAACAACGTCAAGGTTCAGTGGTTGACAGTACTTACCTTGTGCTTGCCCAGTGCTCGGGCCAGTCTTTGGGTGCCACCAGCGCCAGGTATCGTCCCGATCTTGACCTCTGGTAGACCGAACACCGCATCTTCCGCAGCATAGATGATGTCACACTAGAGGACTTGTTAGCCCAACTAATTCACTTTCCATGTCGCAACCATTTCCTACTTACAGCAAGAGCAATCTCGAAACCACCACCAAGCTAAATTAGAAACGTGTTAGTCCAAGCTTGAGGCTCTAGGGTTGCCAATCCACATACAGCAAAACCAACAACCGCGGCGATTATTGGCTTGGAGAATCGCGCGAGGGCATCTGTCAGATCCTTGAGAAAGTCGATCTGGTGGGCCTTGGCCGTGGAGATCTGGACCAGCTCGTTCAGGTCCATGCCAGCTATGCCGCAATGTCAGTCAAGTTGTGGCCAACGCACCGCTCCCAACCCTGATTCTGTGCTCCAACATAGATAACAAACAGCATATTCAAAAAAGGGGTAGGGTAGCTATGGTTTAAGCGAGCATGTTGCATCCGATGCATGTCACTCCAAGGGCCTTCCGCGACCGAATGGTGGAAAATCTTCACCAGAATTTCTTGGCCTCGGCTGCTGAGATGAAGGGGGAAGGAGGCGGCGACCTGAAGGCGTTGACAAAATGAGGAAAACGCCTACCGCAAAACGGGCCGTCTGGACCACCGGTGATGATGACCGCGCGAACCGTCTGTAGACTGTCCAGGTGCGCTAGAACCGCGACTAGCTCGCCGATGGTGCTCTGGGCGAAGGCATTCCGCTTTGCTGGCCGGTTGAACTGGATCAAAGCCGTGCCCTTGTCATCATCGACAGAAAGCTTGATATCCCGCAAGCTGTCCATTTTGGGAGATGAAGAGAATGCTGCAACAGGCAGGAGAGACAAAGTCTGGTGTTGGGTTACGTCGAATATCTTGGCAGCCCTCGAGACGCGAGATTGGGCTTGGTGGTTGAGGCGAGTGTGTCCAGTGCTCGGCTTGACATTTTGAACGGAGCAGTCACGTTTTTGTAATACGATATGTGTCCTGGGGCCGAGGCATCTCGTGCTGAGGGCGGGCAGGGATGCAGGATGTGCGGTGCGAGGGCAGCTGAACAGTAGGACGATTGATGAGAAGGACTGGAACTATTGCATGTTTGACGTTTGACGCACCGGTCGCTTCACAGCGCCGTTTGTAACGACCTTCTCCATCCGCCGTGCTGCCCCGTGGAATGGTCGGCCAATAGCCGGCGAAGACGGTGATGGTTTTGGTAAACACCAAGTGGAGACCATGACTTAATAAGTTCTTAGACATGCAGAGGATGGGAGCTGATGCCCTGGAGATTCGGTCTCCACAGATTAGTTTCAAGATCCCCCGATGCAAGGGTCTCCACTCCGAGAGGATAGATATGCAAGTATGCAAGACAATGGTTCCCCATTGTTCTTCATCACACCCTCCGTCCGTCTTAGTTGGGGATCTTGGGCCGAACTCATTCCCTCCGTTCCCGTTTTAGGTTGTGCCCATCTTGTTGAAGAATCTAGCCCGCATGACGAATCGGGACGGCCGCCGCGTGAGACCCTGAGATCGCCACCAGGCCCGGACCTGGCAGAGTGGAGTTCTGATATACCCGAAAACCCCTGTTCCCCTGTTTGACTTGGGAGCCTCGATCTCAAGTCAAGAAACACTCAAGGAAACTAGTGGCATGATATGTATGACCAATATACTGACCTTGGAATGCTCCCGGGTTGGACCCCGGAGAGATGCTCGGGCAGATGGCAATCGCCCTGGGCCGTCACCCACACGGGAGAGGCAGACATGGCGCAGCGGCTCGCCTACTTAAGCCCTCGACGGGTTCGGCTCCCGCTGCGCTTTTCTCACGGCCAGGCATGCCCAAAACATCCACGGCACAGAGCGTCTGCCCGTCATGGCTTCATTTTCTTCTTCGTTTCACTCTCTAGAGTCACTCTCCCTGGCGGATCGAGTGCTCTTCAACACCTTCAGCAGGGGACCCAGCTGCCGGATACCCTACAATGTCGTCCACCACGCCTTCGAGGCCATCGCCCTGGCACACCCCAACCTCACTGCCGTCCGCGACAGCGATGGCACTACGATCACATACCGGGACCTCAACCGCCGGGCGAACATGCTGGCCAACGAGCTCAAGGACACCTACGGGGTGAGGGTCGGTGACCGTGTGGTGCTTGTTTACCAGCGGTGCATCGAGATGGTCGTCTTCATTCTTGGCGTCCTCAAGGCCGGCGGCCAGTACATTCCCCTCGACGGTGGCGTCGTTACCGATGAGACGCTCGGCTTCGACATTGTCGATTCCAAGGCCCCGGTCGTCATCTGCCTCCCTAAGTACCGGGAAAAGGTGCTGCGGAGCCTCCCTGCAGATCACCGCTCCCAAGAGGGAGGGAACGGCGGCAACGGGCGGGTCAGCGTGCTCGATCTGGACAGGAACGCAGAGCTCTGGCAATATGGCAATACCAAGCACCCCTTGGTCCAGGTGGGGCCCGACGACGGGGCCTATGTCATCTACACCTCTGGGACCACGGGGCGACCCAAGGGCGTGGATGTGCGCCACGGAGGTGTCACCAACACGCTGCTCGCTGAGCCCTCTCGCCTGGGGATCGCCCCAGGGAGGAATGTGGCGCAACAGCTAAATGTTGCTTTTGACATGTGTAAGTTTTCTTTTTCTTTTCATTTTTTCCCCCTTCATGCCACTTTATTTGTATTGTGATATGTTTGCTTTTTTTTTGGGCCCCTTCTCTCGCTTGTCGGGTACCTGCGCAAACACATGTTTTCAGCTTACACGGACACTCGACGCTAACGACCATGGCTTTTTGTGAATTATGACAGGCGCCTGGGAGATCTTGGGCACCGTCATGAACGGCGGCACCCTGCACATCCGCGGCAGCGGGCCGGGCCCCTGGGCCGAGTGCCTGCGGCGCGTCGACACCGTCATCGCGACGCCCTCGGTCGTCCTCAAGCACATGCCGCGGCCGCGCGACTTCCCCAACGTCGACACCATCGCCGTGGGCGGCGAGCCCTGCCCGCTGGCGCTGGCCGAGGCGTGGGCCCCGCACGTCCGGTTCTGGAATGTGTGCGGCCCCACGGAGATCAGCGTGCTCAACACGGCCCACCTGCACCGTCCCGGCGCCCAGCTGTCGATCGGCAGGCCCAACCCCAACACCAATGTTTACATTCTCGACGACGACGAGAGGCCCGTCAAGGTCGGCCAGCCGGGCACCATGTGGGCCGGGGGCGCCGGGGTCTCGAGGGGCTACCTGAATCTGCCCGAGCTAACGGCCGAGCGGTACAAGCCGGACAAGTTCACCCGCGATGGGTAAGTTGTACCTGTTTGAGCCTTTGACGCGCAAGCTCAGCTTGGCTAGACCTCTGTCCTGTTGAGGCTGTGGGAGGGGCATACCAGCTGAAGAACATGCCGCGGTCTTCTTCCCGAAATGGAAACTAACCTGTTTATAGACGCATGATGTTCAACACTGGTGACCTGGGCCAGTGGACCGAGGATGGCTGCCTGCTCCCCTTGGGTCGCAAGGACGACCAGGTAAAGATCCAAGGCTTCCGAGTGGAGCTGGATGGCGTATCCCGCTCCATCGAAACGGTCCCCTCGGTCATCAAGGGCTGCGCGCTCAAGATCGATGACCGTCTCTGGGGATTCTACTCTGCACAGGCGCAAATTGACGAGAATGTCCTCAAGGAGGCAGTCGCCAAAAGCCAGCCTTTCTATGCCGTCCCGACAAGATGGATGCACCTACAGACGCTGGCATTGACACCCAATGGTAAAGTAGACAAGAGGGCACTATACCAGATCGCCGGAACAGCGGCACCAGAAGTGCCAGGTGTCAAGCAACAACCTTCCGAGACTTCGTGGCCTCTCCCCGCCGCCTCCAGGCCTCCATCCAGCAAATCGAGCGTCTCCACGCTCGTCGCTCCAGCAGACGCTTCCATCTTCGAGAAAGATCTGGAAAAGAGCACGACACGCTTTTCCGACGACGACACCGATGTGGAAGAGGAAGAGGCCGAGCTGCCGGCAAAGAAAGGCGTCCATGGCTTGCGGTCGCTGCGGTTCCGCGCGTTCTCTGCGTATCGTAGGCTGTTCGCTCTGATCTTCTTGGCCAACCTGGCCGTCTTTTGCTTTCTGCTGTGGGAGAGCCGCGATAATGGCTTCCATCCGTCAGCCTCCCACCTCGCCGTCGCCGTCGCGGCAAACCTCCTCGTTGCGGTGCTCGTGCGCCAGGACTACATCGTGAACATCATATTCCTGGTATCCAGGCTGCCGACGTCCTTGCCGCTGGGGATCCGCAAGCACGCCGCACGTGTCTACCACAACGGCGGCGTCCACTCCGGGTGCGCCGTGTCCGCAACGGTCTGGTGGGCCGTGTTCACCGTGACAACCATCCGCGACTATCTCACGGAGGGAAACCCGCCGCCCATCAAGAGTGCCGTCCTCGCACTGACCTGCGTCATCATGGCTTTCCTTGTGTTCATCCTCGTCATGGCCTACCCGACCATCCGCATGAAGATGCACGACCAGTTCGAGTGGGCGCACCGCTTCGTCGGGTGGTCCGCCGTGGCGCTCGTCTGGGCCCACGTCGTCACCTTCACGAGAGCCACGAGCCCGGGACAGCCCCTAGGCCTAGCCCTGCTTCACAACCCCGTGTTCTGGCTCCTGTCCGTCATCACGCTGAGCATCGCGCTGCCCTGGATGAGGCTCCGCCGCGTCAAGGTCGTGCCCGAGCCGCTCTCCAAGCACGCCGTCCGTCTGCACTTCGACTTCGACACCCCGCCCCCCTGCACCTCGCGCGGGGTCCGCATCACCGACCGGCCGCTGGTGGAGTGGCACGCCTTCGCCGCGATCCCGGAGCCCAGCGGGAAAGGCTTCTCCATCATCGTGTCCAGGGCCGGCGACTGGACGTCGCGCGTCATCGCGGACCCGCCGACGTCGATCTGGACGCGCGGCACGCCGGCCTCGGGCGTGCTGGCCATCGCGCCGCTCTTCAAGAAGGTCGTGCTCGTCGCGACGGGGTCCGGGATCGGGCCCTGCATGCCGGTCTTGATGGAGCGGCGTGTGCCGTGCCGCGTCGTCTGGTCGACCAAGAACCCGCTCAAGACGTACGGGCAGGGCATCCTCGACACCATCCACGCCTGTGACCCGGACGCGCTCATCTGGGATACCGACGAGAAGGGGCGGCCGGACATTGTCAAGCTTGCGTATCAGGCGTACAAGGAGAGCGGCGCCGAGTGCGTGTGTATCATTTCAAATAGGAAGGTCACTGCCAACGTGGTGTATCAACTGGAGAGTCGCGGCATACCCGCTTATGGGCCTATTTTAGATTCCTAGCCCTGTATTGATTCTCTTGAAGAGATCTCCTTTGTTGAGTTGTATATAGATATTCTCTTTGCCTCTATCTAATACACCTCCATCAATAATGCATGCATCTACTTCCCCAAATCCATCGACTGTGCCTGTTTTCCAATGCAAAGACTCAGCGTTGAGCACTTCGGACGTAATAGCACGTCTTGAGGGTTTGGATGGAAAGACTGAGAACGCATTAACGAGATGGAGAGGCTGGGCAGAGTCCCACCCCGATTCAGGGGTACCAAGAGAGGGTCGGTAGCATATTAAGGGTCGCACGGGTGGGTGAAGAATAAGATCCAGTTTCTGGAAACATCAGCTGCCCTAACTTAAGACGTCGCATTATACGTTTCTGTTGAAGCAGAGCTGCTTTCAATGACTAAGATGGTTCCATCGACACCATACGACATTCAAAAGTACGTTATGCTGCGCCTCCGTTGCACAACTGGAGACAATCCACCTACACGACGTCCTTGCGGTAGAAGTCGCGGATCTTGTGGAGCAACGACTTCGAGCCGGTGTTTGCAGCGCCCTCAGCAGTCTCGTCCCTCCTCTGCGGCACGTCAACCAGCTCGCCATCCAGACCCGTGTTCGTGATAGCATTCTGCTGCTTGCCCAGGTAAAAGTCGGGCATGAAGAAGGTAGCGACGAGGGGCACGCAGGCCATGCACAGCGCCGTGACGGCGATGTGGCCGTTGACGTAGGCGTAGGCGCGGATGGCGCCCTGGCGCACGGGCGAGTCGAACGCGTAGCTCGTGCGCAGGCGCTTGATGTTGGCGTAGAGCTTCTGCAGGGCCGCGTCGTCGACGCTGGCCGGGATCTCGAGGCGCATGCGCTCGAGCATCTCGCTCGTCCAGAAGGCCGACGACACGGCGCTGCCGATGGACGAGCCGAGCGTGGACCACAGCGTCAGCAGCGAGATGACGGACGCCATGTCCTCGTGCGGCACGGAGGCCTGGCTGCCGACGCGGGCGCCGACCACGTTGAAGGAGCCCAGGCAGAAGGTCAGCTGGGCGATGACCAGGCGGGCGGTGTCCTGGACCATGTGCCCGCTCGGCTGGACCAGGAGGCCGTAGGCGATGATGCGCGCCCCGGCACCGAACAGCATCATGGTCTTGTACCTGTGCGTGGCCCTCTGGACGAGACCGACGATCGGGCCGAGGATGCTCAGGCCCATGGTCGTAATTCCCAAGAAGATGATCCATTGGTAGTTGGTCCAGTCCTTGATGATCCAGATGTACGAAGAGAAGTACGTGTTGCGAGTTGCGGAAGCCATCTGGTTGAAGGTGTAGATGACAACGGCGGCGAGGAATGTGCGGTTCATGATGATGCGCCGTGTCATGAGGGGCTTCGGGGAGAGGTACATCTCAAACAGGACGTATGCAACAAGTAGCACGAAACCCATGACGAGCATGGCAATGATACGGCCGTTCGACCAGCCACCGGGCATGAGCTCTCGGATGCTAAACGGCAACAGAATGAGCGAAAAGGACACGCCGAGGATGATCAAACCGAAAATATCGATATCGATCAGACCTTCCTCCAAAAGCTTCAGCCAGTAGCCGAAGCCCTTGGAGCTTGAGACTTCGTCCTCACCAGCTCTCACGCGCCTCGAAGCAGCCATTGTCACGAGACCAAACTTCTCTCCGCGTCGCTGCATGGCGTACAGCGTGAATATAGCGGGCACTAACAGGCAAGGGACCATGATAGCGAACATGCCCAGGCCCCATCGCCAGTTATCGATAAAGGCATCACCGATAAACCCGTTGATCGGTACGGTAACGATGAACGGGATCGACAGGGCAGCACCAAAGAAGCCACGCCACTCAAGGGGCGTCAAATCACCGACGATAATGTCGCTCAGCAGGTCAAGGCCGGATTTGCCGACAGAGGTAAAGCACATGCCCACCGTGTAAGCGGCAAACGTGCTCGAGCTCGCAGCGACAGCAAAGCCGACAACGTAGAAGACGAGGATGATGACGTAGGTCGTGGGACGCGAAGTGATATCAGACAGCTTGCCGATGAAAGGCTTGCTGATGGCACGGATGATCTGGCTGGCGGTGCTGATGGCGGCAAGCTGACTGTGCTTGCCGAAGGTGGAACTGGCCATGGTGTTGAACACGCTCGTGGTGAGGCCCATGTCGAAGGCATAGGCGAACATGGTCAGGCCGATCGAGATGCCGACCAGCCATAGCAAGATCTTGCCCGACCTCCCGGACTGGTACAGCACCTTGTTGAAGGCTTCGACCTTGCTCACACCAATGGGGGCTGTTTCATTTTGTTCCACCAGCTCGGGTTTGAAAAGGCCAGGGCCTGCGTTGTTCTGATCATTGTTGGCCTCGATGCTGGCCCGAGGCTGATCGGCACCAGTGTTTTTCGCAGCGGGGGTCGACATCTTGTCTTCCTGGGAGACGCAAAGAAGTGTCTAGAGTGAAGGTTGAAGCTGGACGAGGAGATCAACGATAGAACATCGGCGTCACGTAGGATGCATGCCTTTACATACTACACATGCAATCACACGTGCGAGTTAGGTGAACCTAGCTCGTGTGCTCGTACAGCCCTTGTTTTACAAAATTTTTCATTTCGCTCGTCTTGGTGGTCGATATCCCTACAAATCGGGTCTAAGTCGCAAGAGCTATGAGGCCAAGATGCCACTACCAGGTGCTGTGCCTCACATCGTGCCACTGGCTCGCGCTTTAGTCCGCATATATTCAAGATGCCAAGCCTTGGGAGCGGCCTTGACTCGCGGCACAGTTGGATCAGATTATCACCACGGATACTTGTCCGTATCTGATCATCTGATAATCGCCTTGTACCATCTATCTCAGCTTTATCAGATCTTTGCCCAGTGTTCTCGATTCTTTGATTTCCCGGTCCCTGGAAGGAACCGTACATGTCTTCCTCACAAGACCTGCCGCGGACAATCTTGTGTGGGACAAAGGTGAGCGAAACCCAGTTGAATCGAAAGAGAGCCTTTTTCCCCCTGAGCATATAATTTCAGCTGGCCATTCATAAGTTTCTTATTCAAGTGTCGAAGGGCAACTCTGAGTCCAAAACCCTCGGAGGCAAAGCACCGCTTTCATTCCTGAGACGACCTCGCAGGCCAAGGAACCCAAGACAAGCCCAGGCGTTTAGTTCTATTGAGCCCCACCGTTGGGTTGATTACCTATCGCGTCTGCAAAACCCTGCGAGCGCCCTACATTTCCCGATGGAACGGAAACTCCACATGTCTGCTTTGCAGTTGTGGCTGCGTCAATGTTTGAGAAGCGCCGATACTATATACTAGCTGATGCCAAAAGATTAAGGCCCGGAAAGCCAGATAGTGAGACCGCAACCCCCTTTAAGAAAATTGGACGGAGATATCAAGCCTGAGGGCGGCTGCACGAGCCTGGTGCAGGACTCGGGAGTTAGGGCAAATATCAAATATTGCAAACATTGCCCAGAGATTGCGGTTCTTGAGATCCATCGCACATGTCGTCGTACGAAGGATAAGGCCATTGCATTTAGCAATGCGTAGCCTTGGCTCTAACCTTTCCCAGATCGAAACATCTGGTAAGTGATGTGTATTTCTTGTTGCGATACTTGAACCAATATTAAATGGCTAACATCAACCTGCGAACATAACATTCATCTGCGATAGAAAGAGTGACAGAGCATGTTGTGAAACACTGGTATCTCGAAACGCAATCTCAAAATACAGCCTACTCCGGGCTTTCTTTAACGCCACACTTTCATTCTACCTCCAGAATAATATGATGACGGGTGATAGTCATTGGTTGCTAAGGTGTCTGATTCCACACCTATCCCAGCCTGATACTCGATTGATAATGGCACGACAAAAATAGAAACTCATGCTCCAAGCTTTTCAATCCTGGATTTCATGCCGAGCCTGGTTGTCGGCAAGCTGTCAGCACTGCCCCCTTCAATTTTCTGCAGGTCTGACATCAGAGGGCGTTGATTTGACCCTGTGTAAAGTTAAGGCTGACGATCACTTAACCGCATTGATTCATATCTTTCGACATGGTCACTGCAACGTGGGGACTTGCAACCCAATCACAGCTTGCGCTGTGGGGCGTATTCGATACGAACTCAACTCGATTGGCCAGATTCAGTGCGAGATACGAAAGCACCCTTGACGTTGTTAGTCTTGATACACCTCATCTGGCCCGAATTGCGTCCGTTAAGGCGAAGGCGCAACATGTAATTATATATAGGCTGCACCCTCCACACACGCTGTCCCGTGAAGACTCCTCCAGACTGTACATTTACACACGTTTGAACCAGATAAACACGTCCTTTCAACATGGCCCACGAAGAGAGCCACGCACCGCCCCACGCCGGCCACCCAAACCCCGGGACGGCGGCCGCCGTCAACAGCCGGCAAAATCCCCATTGGAACGAAAGCATGTTCTCATGCTGTTCTCCCTTCGATCTGTGTATGTGGGCTAGAGGCGTCTTCATTTAGCTTGCAATTATGTGATTGATTCGGTTTTAGGCATGGCAACATGGTGCTTCCCGTGCGTCACTTATGGCAAGACAGAGGCGAGAAGGAAAGACCCCAGTCTGAAGGACTACAATGGAGTCAACAACGAGGTGCGTCCGATTGGTTTGATCGAAAGCCGACGTGCTCCGGCGCGAGCAAGACTGTAACAGTGTTTTGCTGATGAATCTTTAGTGCTTGGTCTACTGTGGTCTCAGCGTCATCATGCTTGGCTGGATCCCCCAAATGAGGAGGCGAAAGGCCATCAGAGAACAGTACGGTATTGAAGGGTCGTCTGGTGGCGATTGTATGACTGTCTGCTTCTGTCCCTGCTGCGGCCTGATTCAAGACGACAAAGAGGTGACGTTCCGGGAAAGTTTTGGGAAAACTGAGGGTTACCAGAGGAACGGAGACATGACCTATCCATGAGACATGCTTCCAGTACACTGTATATATTAGTGCGCGTCAAGTAATTTTCAGACAGGTTGTACATTTTCGGCAAATTTGTTATCTTACTCGACGTCAAAGACATGAGACCAAGATCTTGAACTACCTAGGTAACTAACTATGCTACGGACACGGGGTCAACCCATTTACTTTTTGTCCCTTTTCTATATCAATACAAATGGCTCTCTTAACGACCCGAATAATTCTTCTTCTCAATCAAGAACATAGCAAGCCTCCAGTGAAAGAAATCCTCAACCTCCATAAGGCACTGGACCTTCCTAATTATCTGCACCTTGGCTACACAGATAGGGCAAACCCGCACCTTACGCAGTGTTGTTGCTACCAGAATTCCAAACTTTCTCGAACTCATGGATAGCTTTCTTGGCCTTCGCTCTTTTCTCTTTCTTGATCATTTCAGCATCCCGCTGATTAAAATCCCTGCATCCAATATCGGCCGAGATGGAATCATCCCCTTCGAGATAACGGTCCATCATCGGGACTTTCTGGGCTTTCTGGGTTTTCTTATCCCGTCCAGGCCTAACAATATTAGTGATAACATCATGCCGAGTAGGGCAGATACATGCGCTTACTTGGACTTTGAAGTAGAGCTTCGGTGGCTTGAAAGGGACATGATTTCGAGTAACGGGGCGTCTTGAATGAAAAGTTTTGATCACTGTGTAGTCTCTAAAGAATGATTTCCAGTAGATTGAAAGTTGCTTGAAACGGGAGGATCTAGTTGAACTACATGTTCGTCTCTCGTGGCTCCAGCCTCCTATTTATGTCTTTGATGAGTGCAGATTCTGTCCTCTGAAGCTTCTAATCTACGGGATCTTGTAAAAGAGACCACGTCACGTCACCCAACAAGACTGACAAAATCTTCCACAGGACAAAATATGCGTTTCGATATCGCCTACCCTCCGAGCCCCCACTAGACGTTGCCACACGACAGGGAATGATAAAGTTATGGGAAGCTGGGAAAGCTCCGGCTTTAGGCACTATACCCTCCTGAGAAGAAAAAGCAAGCGAGAGTCGTATCATAATGCGATGGGAGATGCCACACTTGTGTGTCGAGATATGTTGTTCGGAAGATTTTGTCATGACCTTTTGGTAGCTACTTGGACAGCCAATCGTATGCCGTTCATCGTAGTTTGCGTTCGGCACGGGTCGCCATCTGGATGGGGTGACAAAATAAGCACCTGCAAGCAATGTGAGGGTCTCATTTGACGCCCCTAGGACACCAGGCAGCGAATCCAGGACCAGCTGCTGCATGCAAGTTCTGGGCCCAGAATCGGTCGGGCGAATGAACCAGGCCATAATCTGCATCTCATAATCTGTGTGCCATAATCTGTGCGCCATAATCTGCGCGCCATAATCTGCGTGCCATAATCTGCGTGCCAAAATCTGCACCAAGATTCTGCGTCGAGTTCGTGGTGACGTGGCATGCAGACCCGATTATGCCTTGCCTGACAGGGTGGTAATATGGCTCGCGGACCACGCTGCTTGATCTTCCCACCACATACAAAAAGACCAGACAGTTCCGCTGAAGTTTCTGAGAGTTCGATACCCCAGTCCTAATCCAGCAGTATTGCTCTTCCAAATACCTTCACATCCCTCAGCCTTGTACAGGCCCCTCCCCAGACCATCTCTCCGTTTTCATCCTACATCAAATTACTTTTGACGCCACGCACACCACACGATGGCTCAACCAATCCCAAAGGAGGTCTGGAATGACCATAAAGAGGCCATTGTGCGCCTTTATATACACGAAGATCTGCCTCTGGACAAGAAGGACGCTCGCAACCTGATTGACGTGATGAAGAATGACTACCAGTTTTCTGCCACGTGAGTTCCATTTTGCTACTTATTTAGAGTATTTGTTCCTGATGTGACTCGGCAGATCCGCACAGTATCAGCGACAGTTCAAGAAATGGGGCCTGACGAAGAATCTATCTCGAGATAGTTGGGAGTCAATCTTTCAGCACCTGGACCAGCCCGATTCGCACAACACCAGCCATCAACTGAGGTTGTCTGGGCGGGTCTTGAGCAAGAAAAGGATCAATAGGTCCCGGAGACATGTACGGCCAAGCAACCGTTCCGCTCAGCAAGCGAGTAAGTATTTCATCACCAATCTGAGTCGCGAAATCACCGGCTAACAGTCGGATAGGGGCCTCGCAGCTCATGGCTTGCAACCCGCAGATAGAGATCACCGAGTTGGACGATCTCCAGGCGGACACCCCCCTTGCAAGTCTTGGTGAGGTACCGGCACCATTGCGAGACGGCACAAGCACCTCGAGGATTGCGAACCCCTGCAGACGACCCGGTACACCCGATGGCGATCATTATCCAGATCCTGAGCTATTACAATCACCACCGCCAATATCTCTGGAAATTCCATTCCTGCCCGTTTACGATAGCTCGTGCTTTCAACCATCATCGACCACACCATGTGTTCTTGGTGATTTGGAGACAGCAGAATCTTCACAGGGTATTGCAGGAATGAGCAGTCATATGCCGTTGCCATCTGAGACACAACACGGTCATGGAACCCACCGAAAACCTGTCAACCATAACGGGCATATACCAAGCGATAGGGATCTACCCTCCAGGTCGACAATCAAGTCGATCTCAAAGTCCGTGACTGTTCATACCTCAAGCCTTCAGCTTTGTGCAGATCTTCAGAACAAAGCCGAACATAATCTCCAGTGGCCCCAGGTTTTCAGCCCATGGCGCAATGCTTCATTCTCAATATCGCAGAAAATACCACTCCCTATTCTGGTATCCATATGCCTTCAGAAGACCTTGTCTTCGCTGACACAATTTGCATTCCACTACTCTACGGACAAAAATGATTGCATAGCTTTCATCGATGGCATGGTCTCTACACTTCCGATAGCAGTGCAAAAGTCGTCCAGCGCATCCAACTACGACGAGGACAGTAGCGCGATGTTCTTCAAGGCCGTGCTTTTCTCGCTGATCAATAATTTCGCTGGCATTGGCCACTTCTCCCCAGCCTTCTTTGTTGAGTTTATTTGCATTCATCCTAAACTTGGGGGCCATATTATGCGTGGCTTAGGGGCTTGGGATCAATTTGTCACCAGACCTCTTGCAGAAAACCTATTTCGGTCTGCTGTGCTTGCCGGCCAAGTAGGCATCATTCGAACTATTCTGCCTATTTTGCAGAATACTTTCCGTGTCGACCTGACCAGCCTATTCTCCGAATATCTGGGGCTAAAGTGCACTCCATTGGAGATTGCGGCCAAGATGCGAAGCATTCAGACATTGAAAGTTGTTCTACAAGCTGGATTTGATCCGAATCAATCATGCCCTGGCAGTTTTACTCCAGGTGCGCTGGCAAGCTTTCTAAGTGAATTCACTGAAGCGCTATGTTCTCACAGAGAGAAAGACACAGATATTGATATCCTACGTCTTCTACTTCCCTATCATAAGAATGGGCCTGGATGTCTGCACAGATTTGTCAATAACCACCCTCAGCATGTGGAAGCTATGCGACTTATTCTAAGCTATCTTGCTCCAGAGAGTCACGACTATGTCTTCTCTCGCATCCTTCTTACTATTCGCTTCACCAATGATGCAGATACTGTCATCAATGTCTTGAAGTCATGTCAAGAGCGAGGCTGCTTCGGACAGCACGAAAACTGGAGAATAACCTTGGAAACCCTTGTACGCACTGCCACCGCCACTGACGATTATCCACTGGTGGAGTTCCTTCTAGATATTACAGATTGCCATAGTTATGCACTATCTACCGCAGTCAGGAGTGAAGATGCTGACATGGTGCATTATCTCTTGGGAAGGGGATTTGACGTCGACCCCGATCCCTTTGATCCTTTCGATCCTTTTTATTCCACATTAGAGTGGCGGTTCCCACCCCGGCATCACATTGGCGACATAATCAGAGCAGCCTTTCCACACAATGGAGTGGTCGTCATCACGCCCTTGGCACAGGCTATAAGACTACAAAACTCTCATCTGATTCAGGAACTCGAGGAAAGGGGAGCCCTCAATCACATCTCCGAACCAGGTCGCTTCCGGGCGGCACTTATAGCAGCGAGTGAGATTGGCCACGAGGCATATGTTAGGATGCTTTTGCGAAAGTGCCCGAAGCTCGATGCCGCGAACTCGCAGGGTGCACTATTGGCAGCTATGGAGAATGGGCATACGTCGGTCGCCGTAAGGCTTTTCGAAGCGGGTGCTTGCCACAATGACAGGTCTCGCTTCTGCCATTTTCCACACGGTCTTCTAGACAGTGCTCTAGCATCACATGACGATGTTATGATACAGCTCGCGTTCGAGTGCGATATATCAATCAATGGTACGGCTTTCAGCATCGCCCTCAAGGACCAGAACACTGAATTAGTAGATTTACTTCTTCGGCTTGGAAGTATTGCTACGTACACCACCGACTTCTTGAACGACATTGTCAAGCTAGGAAACAGGGAAATTGTGAAATTGCTTCTCGAACATGGATTTGATCCCTTTGAACCCATTGCCGGCGAACACACGGCATTTGGAACAGCAGTGCTGTACGGGGATCCCATAATGATCGACATCTTGCTCACAGCAAACCCAAACACAAGCTCAAGAACGTTGTTCTTCGAAGTTTTATGCGAGAGCCCCCAAGAAAACAGGCAGCTGCTTATCAACGCATATCTGAGCAAATACGGGCAGAATATATCCGGCTTTGGTGGTGACCAGTTCATTCAAAGTTTCAGAAACAAGGACCCCGACCTAATAAAAACCTTGCTAACTATTCAGGCTGATATAAACTCACTGACGTCTTCCTGGCATTCGGATGCTTGGTCACCATTTGGTTATGCTGTCAAGCACCACAATGATGACATGAGTCTCCTTCAGACACTCCTCGACGCTGGAGGGGATCCCAATTGTATTGCATGGCAGAGCGAGCGAGGTCGAACACTGGGACAAAAGACCGCATTCCTGGTGGCGATAGATGCCTGTAATGCGGAAGCTGTGAGATTACTGGTCGAAGCAGGAAAAGCAGACGTGAATAAGGCTCCGGGCATGGGAATCCTTCGTACACCCTTACAGGAGGCCAGTGAGACCAGTACCTTGGGCATAGTCAAGCTCTTGCTGGAGTGTGGCGCATTTGTGGACGGATCTCCTGCGATCAGAGGCGGTGCAACTGCTCTTCAGTTAGCCGCCATTCGTGGACACATTCCCATCGCCGCACTTCTGGTTGAGAATGGAGCGAGCATACATGCCCCTGGGGCAAAAGTATTCGGCCGTAGAGCTTTCGAAGGCGCCGCAGAACACGGTCGTCTGGATATGCTGAAGTACCTTTGGGACGCAGCATCGGGACGCGGCTTCAGCATCAAAGAACTGGAGAGGGCATCGGCCCTGGCTACAGAGCAGGGCTATCCGGGATGCGTGGAATACATCGAAGTACTCAGGAGCGGATTGGCATTTCTCTACGAGGACACTGATCTCATTGTTGACGATTCTGTTTTGGAGCTTATTGGAACGGAGCAACCATGAAATGGTTCTGGGCGATAGTCTTGTCGAGTATTTATCTAAGGAGGGCACGGATGACAGAATTTCTTTGTTTACATCCAACGGGACTTTATGAAATGATACTGACCCGCTTTCTGGTCGGGTCGGGAACCTTGCTTGGAGAACTCTGGTAATAGTACACTTATCAAGCCGGATGATTTCTAACTCAACGGTGTCTTGAAAAAGTGCAGTGTCAATACAAGTAAAGACAAGTTTGAAAAGCGACGAGGAGGATAAATGTATCAGCTCCTCAACAAGCTTCCTGTCTGGCAAATCGGGCATCGACGGGGTACCGTCTGCCGGATCGCGTCGACATTGTGTCGATAGTGGGCCGGGTGTCTTGGACAGGGGAGATTCGGGAACGGCAAGACACTGGTACTTGACATGGGCCATTAGGATTCCGCCCAATATCGCCAAAACACTTTGGAGTGCACAAAGGTCCTTAAAAGCACCATTCAGAGAGCCAATCTTCTTACTTCAAGCGCAATCACTTCATAAACCGCATCGCCGAGTTCACGAAGCACAACGGCTAGATAACAGTCCATCATGAACATGGATCTAACTCTGTTAGTGATGAAATGTTTAATGCTTGTGCCAAACTGGAAGAAATGTCTTTTTCTCTCATCTCTCTACTCAAGACACGAAACCTTTCTTACATCCTACCCTTTTCCGACTCAACAGTAACCTCCCGAATCAAACTGTTCCTCCTGCTCATATCCTGCTGCCACTCTCTCAGCTCAGCCTGATGCATCCTGTGCCTCGTGGTGTCAACAGGAACCTCCGACTGCGAACCTGCAGCACCTCCAGGTGAAATAGAGCCTCCAGCACTCGACTTGTTTCTCTCGGATGCTGCCACACCACTGAACCCATAGCTTCCCGTCCTCCGCCCCGCAAGTCCGGGTCTCGATGCACCGGGCGTGACAACACTGCTCCTACGGCTGCCACCGCCGACAGTACTGCTGCGGCGACTATTTGCCGCGCTGCTTCTGGCCGCCGCCGAGCTCCTCCTGCGCTCTTGGAACCCAGCATATCCGATCTGAGCGCTGGGCAGGCGCGAGATACGCCGTCCATGCGCCCCGACTGGCGTCCCCGGCGGCGCGGAGGCCTCGGCCTCCTTGGCCGCGCTGGCCAGGCTCTGGGCGAAGGGGGACCGCTCGCGCAGCGCGGGGCCCTTCCAGTAGATGACGTAGACAAAGACGACGAGGAGCACCGAGATGCAGAAGAGGATGGTGCTGGCGTACTCGAGGTGCTTCCGGCCGCCGATGTTGGAGTAGAAGGGCGTGGCGGGCACGGTGAGCACGCCGGCGAGGAAGTCGCGGGACCAGCCGTTGCCACCCGTGGCCGAGGCCGAGTAGGGCCCGTAGGCGCAGATCATGTAGTCGATGGTGGCCATGTAGATGGAGTAGTTGGCGATGCCGATGACGGCGGAGCCGACCATGGTGCCCATCCAGTGGACGGGCGGCCCGCCGCTGGTCCAGGCGAAGATGATGAGGCCGATGGGCAGGCAGGGCGCCGTGAAGAGCAGCCACCAGAGGCGCGACTCGTACTGGGCGTGCTCGCTCTGGGGCTTGGCGCGGCGCTGGGCCTTGTTGCGCGCGATGGCGGGCACGAAGGAGAGCCAGGCGAGGACGTAGCCGACGCCGATGGGGATGAAGGCCAGGCCCGTCTGCACGGCGGTGAAGTTCCACTGCTTGTAGACGAGGGCGAAGGACTGGATCTGCATGAAGATCAGGGCGTCGGAGAAGCCCGACAGGAGGGAGAGGGTGAGCACGATGGGCTCGGTGAGGAACATGCGGAAGGGCCGGATCCAGGTCCAGATGAGCTCCTTGAAGGTGAAGCGCTCCCGGAAGGGCTCGAGCTCGTTGGGGCCGTACAGGTTGCAGTTGGGGTCGGCCTTGCGGCGCTTCTTGGCGATGCGGTCGAGCAGGATGGTGGTGCGGGTCTCGGGGACGAGGATCAGGTGCAGGATCTGAACGAAGCCGCCGAAGATAAGCTGGATCCAGATCGCCCACTCCCAGGCGAGGTACTGCTCGACGAAGCCGCCAATGATGGGGCCCAGGATGGAACCGCCGACAGACGAGAAAACAATGTAAGCGACAGCATACTGCTGGTTGTCGGCCTCGAAGATGTCGGCAATCATTCCCAGAGTTACACTACCGCCAGCCGAGGAGAGACCGCCGAGTGCACGGCCGGCCAGAAGGCAGCCAAAGTTTGGCGCGAGCGCAACTGGGAGAGTGAAGATGTTGACGAGGAAGAGCGACGCTTGGAGGATCGGCTTGCGACCGAACTCTGTAAACTTGACGTCAGCAAATCACGAACATATTGCATCTCATAAGGGAATTACCTTACCCTCAGACCACGGCGCCCAAAGCTCACAGCCAAAAGCATACGTGATCAGAAAGATGGCAGCGCCCACTCGCGCCGCCTGCTCGCTGACGTGGAACTTCTCCGAGATGCCGGCCAGGCCGTTGGAGTAGAGCGACGTGTTGAAGTTCATCGACGTCTGCACCACGAAGATGACCGTCAGGATGGTCCACTTCTTCCACGTCGGGAAGCAGTACCCCAGCTCCTCCCAGGCGTCCGCCTCGGTCAGCTCGACCTTGCCGTCTGGGCGCTGAGAGCGGCCGGGCGCCCACTTCTCGCCGAGGGCCTGCGGCTGCTGCGGCGCCGGTGTCGCGCGGCCGGAATCGGTTCCGCTGGTCGTGCCGGAGGTGGTGGCGCCGCTGGCGGGCTGCTCGGTGTGCTCGGCCTGCGGTGTGGCGGGTGTAGGAGTGCCAGCTTTGTTGCGCTGGAAGTAATCGGGCTGGAGGCGCTCACCCATGGGTCCGATATTGGACCCTGGGGTGCCAGGCGTGCCTGGCCTGCTTCTATTCATCTTGCTGGGTGCCTAGAACGTGAATGTGAGAGATTTGTTGGCTGTTGAAGGAAGCTTGGAGTGATGTCAATTTGGCTGCCAGAGCCGTGAACGGGGCTTGATGCTACAAGACAACCACCCAAGATAACAATGGAGCAGGAAAGTATCGGAATGCCAGTAATGGAGGGTGGTTTGCGCTCATATATGAGACCAGCCAGTCACAACCCCAGACAACAGGCAAGACAGAATCCACGCCTCGGCCGAGATATCTCCCCAACGGTTGCGGAGGGTGTGGGTTCGCTGCAAGGCTAAAGTGTCTCGTGCAAGTTACATCATGAAATGCCCATCTTCAAGGACACGAGTAAGAGCTTCAAGTCCCACTAATATGACGCTGTGCAAAAGGTTGCGCCGCCGGGGCGAAGATAGTGGCATGAGTGGCCTCCCGCGCTACTAACGGGAATACCAACAGCTACCGTCCGTGGTACCCCGAAAGCTGGCACTCCTAGCTTCGCGGCGGAGCTCCGTCGATACATCCAATGGTCGGGCGGATCCCTTGAGGTGTCGACTTGATTAGACATGGAAAAGCCAGTCGAGCTGGAATGACATAATTATTAACACAGACAAGACGAAAAAAAGGTGGCACGATACCAAAACGGTGGAGTCTTTTGTGTGGTCCTCTGACTCGAGATCACAATATGCGCCGCACAACACCGTAGACAAGGTTTGTCAAAATAGCTCTCGGCGCCGTATTGGGTGGCAGCAAGAGAAGATCAACCTGGATATAGGATCTTCTGCCATTCTGGCTCGTCCTTCTGATCTTGCCATGACCGGTGCAGAAGAGCGGCTGAATCTGCTCGATGATAATTCGACCGGAGCGACCGGCCCTTGAATTGCTTGTTTGTGCTTATTTCCTCCTTGTGCTCCACTGATGAAGTCATTGGAGTTCTTAGTCTCGGCATCTCTGCGCCATGTGGATCCTCCCGAAGATAGAGTGCGGTGCTAACAGACTGGCAAGTGGGCGTCTGAATAGTTGACGGAAGTTCATCAGGAGCTACCTCGATCTTAACAGTCAATATCCTTGTCACATCCTTGCCCTGGGACTCGGAAGGGCTATCCCACTACCTAAATCCGATTGGCTTGATGGGAAGATAAGTACTTCTGTTAGCAGTCTGTCAACTAATCTGACCCTCACTTGACTGGACACACTACTCCGTACTGTTCATCTCGATGGCGGCGATGTTTTTTTGACCACATCGCAAGGGCAGGCAGCGGTGAGAGAGCTATCTATTCATAGCATGGCCGTCGCGCACGGAATTCTGTAGGGAGACTTGACACTTGGATGTTCATCGATGCGGAGGACTTTGTTGATGATCCGGGGAGAGTCTCGTGCGAAATACTCGTCTCGAGGGGAGCAAGGTGCTTCTCCAAGACCTTCAGTTCAACATCCACCCCCCTGAACTCCACATACCGATTCCACTCCTCATCCTCCAGGAGCCCGTCCAAAAGGTCTTTCTCGTAGCCCAGGTTGAACTCGATTCCCTCGTCGCCCCCCTGGTCCCCCACAACCTCGTCCACGAGCCGAGCCGGCAGGAGCAGCCCGAAGTCGGCCTCCCAACACGGGCCTCGCAATCTGGTGGTCCGTCACGAGCATCGACATGGGAGTGTAAAATTCTTGGATACCTGGTGTCTGCCTGCGGTCAGCCAATCAAACCCAAGGAGAGAGCGATCCGGTATGGACGAGAATGTGGGCAGCAGCGAGCCGCCAGGTGCGCCTGAAATGATGAGCTCGCCTGCTGCTACTCGCCTGAATGCGCAGTGTCCCCAATCCAGTCTGGTCACCTCGAGACTTTGAGTGACCGTCGACGGGCACGGTGTGTGCTGGTGCCCGGCTGATGTTGCCAAGTCTAGAGACTAACCTGGGTGTCAATGGAATACACTTTCGCATCCGGACAGAAAGATGTCTTCTGTTAAGACATCATTGATTTGATCGTGTTATGGTGGGTTTCGACGTCTGCTACTACCGCTGGTAATGCGCTGCGGAGGTGATTTCGGTGAGAAAGCGATGGAGAGCAAGGTACCTAGGCAAAGGAGTCAGTCGCATCGAGGCGCGATCCGTCGTGTAGAAGGCGCCGTGGGCAAGCTGAGGATGAAATGGCGACAGCTTGATGCGAAACGGATCGGTGTGCAAGGAATGTATGGACGCGGTCCGATAATTAAGGCAGCAAGACTGGTCATAGCGCCATGCATGCATACATTTAGATCACAGATGTCAACTTAGACTTCCTTGGTTAGCTACCTGCTTTGGGCCAGAAAGTGTCATACAAAAACGGCTTCAAAGCACCCAGATACCTTTTCTTTCTCCTGTCCCCCCGCATCCTCACTCGTGCCCATCATCACGCACGCACGCGCACACCCCCGTAAATCACTACTACATCATGGTCGCCATCCCCAAGACTGCAGCAGACAATGCACAGGCGGGTCCAAAGACGATGATTGCCGCCGCCGCCGCCGCCGCCGCTGCTGCTGCTGATGCTGACGCCGTCGCTGGATCCAGCACCGGATTTGGATCCGGATCCCAATCCTCTGCCATGACCACGTACTACCCCCCACCTGGTCGTCGCAGCGATGGCAACAGCGACAACGACAACGACAACGACAACGACAATGTCAACGAGACTCGTGTTTCTGCCTCTTCTTCTTCTGGCCATGACCTCGAAATCACCCAGGCCCTCACCTTGTTCCTCGAGCACAGAGCAGCTGCAGCCACCACCAGCAACCCAACCGTGTCCAAGGTCGAGTCCCTGTGTGTCCCGCTCCAGCCAGAGCATTTCCGACAGCTTCAGGAACTTGAATACTGCAACCCCGAGGTAGCCTCGATCTGTAGCCACATTCGGTACGTCCCCCCTGTCCTTCTGACCCTGTCTGTCCTTGTTTTCAACCGCTAACCACCTTCCCCGTTATGATGAGGGGACAAACAGCTACAATTACGATTCGAAGCCCGGTCTCCTTTCGATCAAAGAAGCCATGCCTACCCCGCTGCACGATGGCACCATCGTCGAACTGGGCCGTCTCGTCCAGAAGCTGCTTGACTACATCACAGCGCAGGGCGGCCCTGCTGGCGACTTTGCGGGCCGCATCGAGCCGGAAAGCAGCACCGACGTCGATATCGAGCGCCGCCGCCGCCGCGACGACAATGAGAACAACAACGATAATGCCGCTGAGGTCTTCACTGTCTTGCGCATCCAGCCCGACGAGCAGTTCCGACACGAGCGCGCCATGCTCCCCGGCCTTGTCATCGAGGTCTCGGTGACGCAGAAGTGGGATGACGTCCGCACCAAGGCCGAGAGGCTCCTGTCCAAGGCCAAGGGTATGATTGCTGCCGTCATCAACGTGGACTTCCCCGACTACCTCCACTCCAAGGAGGCGACCTTGACCGTCTGGCGGCACGCCGCTCGTGACCCAAAGGGTGGATGGTATCCACGGGTCGAGCAGGAGGTATGTTCAACTCTACAGTCATGTTACTCAACATAACAAGTGTGTCTACATGTAAAAGAAGCTTACATATTAACACAGCAAGATCCTGTCCTCGGATGGCAAGCCCGCCGCCGCCCTTGCCGGCAAGCCCGCGGTTTCCATCCCCCTCGGCGACTTTGCCCCCAGCCTCTACGGCGGCGACGAGGGCACCGACAACGACAACAACATTATGGCGGAGGTGGCGCTGTCGCTGTCGTTGGACGAGATTGCGCGCGCCGTAGCTGAGGCTCAGCACCGGGCCGATATCAAGGCCGACCTCAAGAAGCACCATAGCGTCGCCTATGTCTCAGACAGCGACGGCTCGGATGGATCTTATTCGGACTATTATTAGCGAACCGGAAGTGCGGGCCAACAGCGCACTTGTGGTTGCTTGTTCTTTGTCGTTTTGTCATAATAATGTGTCCTTTAGATAATACCCAACCCGACTTGACTCGGCAAGTGAGGGACAGATTAGTTGACGGACTGCTAACAGAAGTACTTGTCTACCCATCAAGCCCATCGGATTTAGGTAGTGGGATAGCCCTTCCGGGTTCCAGGGCAAGGATGTGACAAGGATATTGATTGTTAAGATCGAGGTAGCTCCTGATGAACTTCCGTCAACTATTCAGACGCCCGCTTGCTCGGGCCCGCGATTCCTAATCCAAAAACGTTTCTTCTTCTTCTTCTTCTTCTTCTTCTTCTTCTTCTTCTTCTTGTTTCTTATATGCCAAACGAGTTCACACAAAAAGCATCCTTATGAACCACCTATCGCAGAACATTACTTTGCAACTGGCAAGCGCATTGCCTACGGCATCGGCGCCGTCCCAAACCCGTCTCTGGCTGTCGCCTAGCCAATCATGAGCGCCTGGATTTCAACCCTTGGCATCACTAAACCTGCTGTTGGGGCGATGCGGAGAAGCCCCCACCCAGCTCTCTGTCCCCGGATCCTGTGCCCCATTTCCCCGCTCCAACCCAGCTCCAATCTCCTAGGTTCTCCATTTGAGGTCTTCTTGTGGAGGTTTCATGCCTGCACTCCCGGCGTCGGTTTCCACCTTATGCACGACTCGATCAGCCGATATCTTCTCCTACTATCCCATAGTGTATCCGCCCGGCCTTCTTGATGATGTCACCGTCTAGTCGGGATGCGCAGACTGTCTCGGCGACGCGAGCCCGATCGGGGTGTTTGAACTGTCGGAAGCGGAGAAAGAATATGTGAGCACCTGCAGACGGTCCCTCATGCAGTTCAAGTATTCGTCACCTTCCAACATATCTCTAGGCGACGAAAAGAAGCCCTCCTGCGTGAGATGCCAGTAGCACGGCGATGACTGCAACTGGCAGCCTGACTATGCCTTTCGCATTGGGGGCGTTGAGGCGGGGCATCCTTCAATGCAACAATCCAATGCCCGAAAGCGTTCCTCTCGTGCGGATTGGAAGGTACTTTCAGCGGTTGACGTGCATGTGTGCAAAGATACTACTATTTGAAATCTGCGTTGAGATTGTCGATGTGACATTCGGCCCTCAGGGCCCAAAGAGAACTCGGCGGCGGCTTGTCGGGCATCCCGTCAACCCTGACGATGTTGGCGCAGATGCTGAAGAACACCCTGGAATGGACGCCGGGACTGCAGAGTGTTTGCCGCCAGGGAGCGAATCGCTGCACCTTCCCTCTCCCCGAGATGAAGATCGGCTGACCGCGCACGGCACGCCCAATGACCAAGACCCTGCCTTCACCGACAACGACAGAGGGAGACAGAGCCGAAGGCAGAATGCATTGCATCTTGAACCAAATGGGAGTCACCAGGAGGTTGACTCCGAAGTAGCTGAAAGACAGCCCATCCTCAATAATAGTGAGCATCGTGGCCACGATAGGGCGACTCTGCAGCCGTGCTCCTCATTTCTAAACACTGTCTGCCAGCCAGGTGTGCCTCCGGGGACAACCAGTGCCGCAGATCCCACAGCTATGTTGATGGAAGACAGCCCTGCAAGCCGACAATCTCTCGACCTTGAGGTCTTGGATTATCTCGCGTCCAATCCGTTCAACCTCGGCCACCTGACTGAGCATCACTGGTCCGACCACGCCTTGGCCGCAGATAACTTCACTGGGGCAATGCAAGGCTTCTCACCAGTGGTTATTGGATCTGCCACAGGGAGCTCTCCTGATCTCTGCCGGCCAGCCTATCATGACACTTCATACAAAGATCTTGATTCCCAGCTCCATAACCATGTGGTCAAGACTGCGAGGAACATGGCCTTGACGCGCCAAGGCACCCCGGAGATGGTCCCCAGCACGCAGGCAAAGAGCACACCACGACCTACAAGTTGGGCCAGCGGAGGAGACCCTCTTGCAGGTCCTTCAGGCGGCAGGAGTCGGCTTGTAAGCCTGCACATCTCCGAAGCGCGCTACATCGAACTGTGGCAGAACTATCTCGACGAGATCGCCCCCTGGCTAGACCTTTTCGACAACGAGAACCATTGGCGCACGACAGTGGCGCACATGGCGCAGCGCGTAGAGTGTCTACAATACTCCCTCCTCGCCCTCTCTGCGCGCCAACAGGAGCGTAGGAACCCTGGCAAGCCGCACATGGAGAGTCTCAATTTGTACCAAGAAGCGATCAGGCTGATCATGGTACAGCTCCCTACGCTCTCGACCGAGGTCATAGCAGCATGTGTGCTCCTCTGCGTGCTCGAGATGATGTGCACGTCTCCCCGAGCCTGGGGGAAGCATCTTGATGGCTGTTGCTATCCTGTTCGAGGCCGCGGACATCAACGGTGTTGTTGGTGGGGTGAAGGAGGCCCTCTTTTGGACGTTTGCTCGTATGGATGCCTACCGAGCATTCATTGGCGACACCATTACGACTCCTCCGACGAATCGATGTTTCATCTCCGCAGACTCGATGTCTGCTGCCGTCCGCCTGTTCAAGAGTAGGTCAGGCAGCGACAGCTACGCCAACTATGTGGTGTTTCTCTGCGCGGGGGGTCATGAACATATTATCAAACAAGGGGTCGTCGGCATGGGCTCAGCCTGACAACGACGGCAGCCACGCAACGTTTGTGTCCCGGTGGAAAGCGATGTACGACTTGCACGAGAGCTGGTACAGTGAGAGGCTGGAAGAGCTCCGGCCCCTGATGCATATCCCGTCAGCGAAGAAAGACGCCGAGTCGCCGCCCTTCAGCACCATCCTATACAGCACGCCCGTGGGCATCAGCAGCAACACAATGTACCACGTCTCCGTGATCTTACTGCTGCAGGACAAGCCCAAGGAGGTCACCCTTCCAAGGTCGCACAGGTCGATGCTGTGGCACGCCCGGCAGGTTTGCGGGATAGCCTTGTCGAACAGCGACCACGGCGCGTTGATCCACGGCCTCCAGCCCATGTGGATAGCCGGCAGATTGATGTCCCATCATTCTGAACATCAGGCCATCCTGGACTTTTTGAAGCGGCTTGAGGAGGAAAGCGGCTGGGGCACGGCATGGAGGGCTAAAGACCTTCAGGATTACTGGGGGGGCGGCGACGAAATAATCTGAGTTCTGAATATACATACACATACCTGTGGACGAAGGAGAGCTGTCTAGTGGATACCAAGCCATACTAGATCGTTGAGAGCTCAATACACAATTCTTGCCACGATTCCAATCGATTCAATAGTTAAGAGCTAACTCAACAGTCAGAAGAGTGTTAAAGAGAGGCATGCATGCACATAAAGAGCTCTGTAATGATGAGAGACGATGATAATCCAGCACAATACACCATCTAGCGTATCAAACTCTCAAATGCTCAAAATGATGAGGCCTAACGTGATTGCCCAAGTAATCCAATATATCGCCTTGTCTGAAGCTGCCGTACTCTTCCTCGGGCAAGAATCTGTGATCGTCTGTGATCGTCTGCCATTGGCCTTCATCGCAATGCATCTGCTTGAGCATGGCCGCAGAGACATTGGTCGATATCGCCTTGGCTAGGTTCCTGTACCAACACTGACTTGCCGGGACATTCTCGTCTATAACAGGACATCTCTCGCCTTCTTGAATTGTCGTTCGCATATCGGTCACACGAATAGCCGCGGCCGTACCATTCGGCGGCACAGAGCACGAGTTGACGATGGTCTCGATGTCGGGGAGCGGTGCTCCGGGTGCTGTGCTGAATGTGACTCCTTGGCGCTTGCTTGCGAAGCTCCCCGTTGTAAGTCGGACAATATGAAAACTGTGAGGTAACCCTCACTCGCTTACTACTTGTTAGCTTGGAGAATGGATGGGTATCAGCTTGCTCGCCTACTTCACTCTTGTGATCCTGGCAGGCATTGGCACTTCTTCAGGAACAGTGGCAGTCATCTCAGGTGTTCTCAGTACATGCATGTTTCTGGGTACAATTCCGGTCTACTGGTATGTACGGCATCCCCAGCGATGATTCGAGCATATCGGCTGACTCTCCTCCTAGGACTATCGAGAGATTTGGTCGCAGATCGACGATGCTTCACAGTGCCATGGTCTCCTCGGTCTTGTTCATCGTATTCATCGTTCTGGTGGCCGTAGGCGGGCCAAAGGCGCAGTGGGCCTCGGTCGTCATGCTTTTCCTCATCGTCTTCGTCCAATCATATGGTTGGCAGGCAACCAAGTTTCTCTACAGCAGCGAGATTGCCCCGCTCGAGTATCGTCATATCGGCGGTGCGTTCTTCTCTAGCGGCGAATGGCTCATGGTCTTCATCACGGTCTTTGCCTCGCCGATCGGCTTGCAGACATGTGGCTGGTCGTTCTGGTTCTTCATTCTCGCAGGAAACATTTGTGCTGTCGTCTTTGTATGGCTCCTCTGCCCTGAGACTTCTGGTAAAACGCTTGAACAAGTCCATTACCTGTTCATCGGCAAGGGACTGGCAGGATTGTACCAAGGCCCTGCAGACGAGAGTGTCTTGCACATGGAAGAGAAGATTGGTCACTCTCATACCGAGGTTCGTGAAAAGACCACGGAGGAGTAGGAATCGTTTTGAATCGGCTAGGTTCAACGTGGGGCCCGTATGGCCGAGGAATAGGCACTACCTATGCAAAGGTGGAAGACCGCTCGTGTCCCACTCGAGGCCCGGTCTTGCTCAGTCGATATGTAAAACCCATCCGGTCGTCCGGAGTGTTTGTAATTCAACCTCCTTCAACAACTTTGAAAAGACGTCTTCTCTACACTACTTCTCTCTAGCATGGCTAGTCCACTTGCGATTTCACGTGTTAGTTCTCGACATAGAAGTGGCAAAGCCAAGGAAGAGTATCCAGGAGGCTTGACTAGATCCGCGAATGCCGCGATGGCCATTTTCTGTATCGACCGGACATCAGATGATTCTCAGAGATCCACGGAAATAACAGATCCAAGCCTCGAGAAGGATGTGATCTGCACCCCAGCTGCCCCCACGTTGTGAGGAGGAAGTGGGTTAGGTAGCTGTGGGGTCTCCAGAAGGACTACGCAAGCTTGGAGGGATATCCCTAAAACGAACATGCGAGGCGCCAGCAAAGATCTCCTAAAAGAGAAAACCTAACCGCCGCCATCGTTTCATTCTCATGGAAGCTTGGCCTTCTGTAACTTTATCTCCTTGATTCTATTACGATCATGAAAGCCCGTGTGCATACCCGTCCCCGCATTCCTTGGTTTCGTGTTGGAGTCAAGTGGACCGGTAATTAGATTCGGGATGCATCATGCATTCTACTGATCGCGGGGTTGGCTTGTCTTAGATGGGGAGAGCTGTAAGTCAACCTCGGCACACCACGACACGCGGTTGCGCGTATTAAAAGATGTCTTGCTTAAGCAAGTGCGCATACCCCAAAAACTCAGTTGCATCTCCAGTAACAAGCCACAGTCATTGAAGAGATCCGATATCTCGTTCCTCCTCATACTTCTTTGCATCACCAGTCCATAATGTCCACCGAAATTCCTAAGCAGGGATGGGCAGGTGTTGTTGTAAACGAGGGTCCGGACTTCAGTGTCGAGGTCCAGAAGCTGGATGTGCCAGAGCCAAGTGAGTTCTGCAATGGCCTACACTAGAAGCCATCAGAGGCTAATTGTGTGGCAGAGGATGACGAGCTTCTGGTCAAGCTCAACGTGACTGGTCTCTGCATGTCCGATGTCCACTTCATGGTCAACGACTGGGATACTCCCAAAATGTCAGAAATGGGGGTGAAGTGTGCCGGCCACGAGGGCGCTGGCATTGTCGTCAAGGTCGGCGCACGATGCCAGGATTCGTGGAAGGTTGGCGACCGCGTCGGCATCAAGCCGCTGCTTGATGTCTGTCACAACTGCGAGCAATGCTGGAACAACAAGGAGAACTACTGCGCCAAGGCCAACTATACCGGCCTCCACTCGCCTGGCACGTACCAGGAGTACATGGTGACCCCGGCTATCTATACGAGTCGAATCCCAGACGGCGTGCCTGACGAGGTCGCGGGCCCGATCATGTGCTCTGCGTCGACGATGCACCGTGCGCTCATCGACTCGGGCTTGAAGCCGAGTAACTGGGTGGTGTTCCCTGGGGGTGGTGGCGGTGTCGGCATCCAGGGCATTCAACTGGCAAAGTAAGTCCTATCTCCCACTCTACGTATCCATCAAAAGCTGCTACAGCGCACAATTACCGATCGGTTGGAAGACACAGACAGCGAGTTGCGACTAACAGAGCATCTAGGGCTATGGGAATGCGTCCCATTGCGATTGATGGCGGAGAGGTCAAGAGGAAGTTGTGCCTGGAGATGGGTGCCGAGGCGTTTGTTGACTTTACGCAAACGGCTGATGTTGCTGCCGAGGTCGTCAAAATCGCTGATGGCGTTGGCGCCCATGGTGTATTAGTCACAGCCTATCAGGCTTACAAAGGTAAACACAGACATCGCCCCCAAAGAGCACAAAGTGCTGACTGAGTTCTACAAGACTCGATCAAGTTTGTGGGCAACAGGATTGGCGCGAAGATCATGTGCATTGCTCTTCCTCCATCGGGGGTCGTCCAGGTCGCCGGCGAACCGAGTATATTCGTGTTTAAGAACCTGCATGTTATCGGGACACTTGTCGGCACGATGCAAGACACAGCTGCTTGTCTGGAATACGCCAGGCGGGGACTGCTGAAAGGAGTCTGCGAAGTGCGAGGCAGATCGAGGTGGGCCGAGAGCGTTCAGGAGCTGAGGAGGGGTCAGGTCGCCGGGCGAATCGTGATAGACTTCAACAAGGATTAGCAAATGACTTTATGAATGTTTCAGTCGTTATCTTGCGAAATAGCAAAGACTAAGTGTCACCAAATGCTAGTCTCTCCGCAAAATCAAGGCAGTTGTCTTACGGGAAGGCACAAGTTCAAGATTTTGCCCTACATAAGAGACAAGGCTATCCCGCAATGTTCATGCTGATGGGTCCTTCATTCCATCTTGTACAGTCTCCCACATGCTTTCAACAGCTTTGAGCGCATCGCCGTCCAAGGGACCCTTCCTAAAATCGTCTACATTACTCTCCACATTCTCGATAGTTTTCGAGCCAAAGATGACCCCATCACCGTCCTGTAGAGCCGAGTGATGCATGATCCATCGCTCTGCTGCCTCTTTGACTGAGATCCTGGGGGATGCAGACTCACAGACGGCTTTGAGCCTTCGGATGGCATCATGCATGGCGGGCGAAGTGTATTTTGAAACATACACCGGAAACACACTATCTCCCTGCCAACGTGTTCGGTTCAGGCTTGCAGAATCTCCCGAGTCCAAGGCTTCGGTCACCTTGCCTGTGAGGAAGCCTCCTGCTAAAGGACTAGAACGAGTCAGTTTGCGTAATCGGCACTTTTCCCAAACCGTGGTCTCCCCCCTACCTGTATGCTTGGAACACGCAATTGTGTTTGCGCAGCAAAGGTATCAATCCCGCTTCTGCCTCGCGGGACAAAGCGTTGTAAGATCCCTGGTATACCGTGGGCTTGACGTAGCCTTTCTCTTCACAAATCTCGAAGTACTTGGCCATGTCCTCGACGCTGTAGTTGCAGAGTCCAAGCTGGCACACAAGTTCAGTCATGAACCTGTAGACTCTTGTTTTATCGCGGGCACTCACCCTCTCAAACCGTCCCAGTTGGTGCTGCCTATGAAACGCAGCTGCCGTTTCGTCCAGGGGCGTCAGAACATCCGGGAAGTGTGAAAACAAGACTGAGACTTTCTCAACGCCAAGAAGCTGCAGGGTCTTCTCTACACTGGCATTGATGGCTTCGTCATTGAGCTTTGGGCCCTGGACGTGACCTGCAATCTTGGAGTTGATGATGAAGCCGGCATCTGCTGCCTTGGCCTGTCCGAGCAGCGCCTCTGTACACCATGGGTTTTTGGGTGGATATGAGGCAGCAGAGTCAAGCTCCAGGACCTCAAGACGCTTCAGCACTGACAGGAGCTCAGCAGTCTTCTCGGGCGTGTGCCAGGTGAAGGTGAACGACTTTTCTGTTGTGCCAATGCCTCCGGCACCGAAAATCAAATGGGGTGGCATGGTGCTTCTTTTCTCGTTGGTTAGGTTAGGTTGTGCACTAGGGGGAAGTTCAGCTACAGCAGGAAACTCGAATTCTGTGCCGATGGATCCTGGAAGAACTACGGCTTTAATAGTAAGTCTTTATTGAGTGATTAGTCATTTGTTAGGGAAATTTACGCGATTCCGGCCCTGGTTACCAATTGAGCCTCAAGTTGGAACAGCTAACGCCTAAAGATTCGACAAGGGTCACAAGGCGGGGTTAGAAATTGTCAGCCCTACATAGTCATTACTTTAACCTCTAAAATAGTGAGAGAGAAATTACTCCTTGAAGCTAAATATGCAGAAAGCCTTCTTCAATGACGAAGTAGGCTATTGGCAGGCCGTGAGATTCAGCTCGAGGTGGCTGGGTCAGCTCTATCTTCTTGCGATTACAGTATCGGCCGGTGCCGGCCTACAGCACGTGAATGGTGAAACGTTGCATGCTTGGTCTTACCAGCCAACTTGAGGTTATGCCAAGATTGCAGGAGGATATATTGATGCGAGTGTTAGTTAATCCCTACACTGTATGTCATATTATTGTTCCTCAAGAGGTGTATGGTGTATAAGAACGTTATAATCTTGATTGATTTGTAATTCTTGACTACCCTAATAGCGAATCATATTTAACCTCGTCTGTCGGATTCCTCCCTGAGCAAGAAACCCATAGTTTCTAAGTCGACCAATAATCTAAGGCAGAAGGTGTTAGACCGGATAAGAGGACCTAGAGGGCTGAAAAAGTAGTACATGCTTTTTAGCCTAGCGGTCCAACAGAAGGTGATAACCTCGAAGTCTACAAAGTCTATATTTGACTACCGCAAGCATAAGTGCGCAGGGTTGTGTCTTATGCACAGGTACAGTGTCTAGGACAAAGAAATATTCGTTATAGATCCCATGACGCCTGTTCTGGTTGACGAATGCCCTTCGGTATCGCTTTTGGGCTTGTGGGCTCGGTGACCGACAACAGGAAGCAAGACTCACCCGTGAATGCAATTCAAAGACGAACAAAGAGGACTAGGAGGCTCTATATTTGTTGGCGTAGCCGTATCGGCCTCTATCCGTACCGTTGGGCATATTATCGAGCCCAGCATAGCTATTCCTGTTATTATCGGGTGGCCTTGAGGATAGAGTCAGCCTCTTGCGTGACTCTGGTATCTCGAAATACACACGGATGGTTGAATGACCGGCCCCAAGATCATTATGGGAACCAACCGACTGGTATTCGCCTAGATCGAACTCGCGAATCGATGCATACTACACTATCCAGCGTGTGTGTTAGCTGTCAAGAGGAGTGAGGCGGGCGAGGGCGGACACATGGTTCTATTTAGCGCAGCCAATCGAAGGACTCACCTCCGAGTTGGTGCAGCCAACATCACTTCACAGCCAATTGGAAGCGCCGCGAGTTTGTCACAGCGACCCTCAGGTCGCATAACCTGAAACAGGCTGAGCAAACTGGACAAACACTGTCTTCTGCCTTGCTAAAAGTAGACGCATCACGTAGTTCGACGAGCTGACGCCAAGGCGCACGCACCTCTTCCTTTTAAGACTTCATTCAACGCGAACGGAGGCCTTGCAACTGCCAGCCCAGAAGTCATCTCTAACAGCCCTGCAATAGCTCCGTTGTCTTTATGCCCAGGGCTACCTGCTATGGCTGAAGGCAGTCAACAAGCGGTCATTGATAGCGATTTGGACCGAATTCCTCTACCAGAGTACGAGGAAGAGGACAGCTATCTTCCTAGCAAAGACGACGCTTCGTTGGACTTCTATGAAGCATGCGCGGATGGCGATGTCGATGAGTTGGCATCGTACATTGAGGAAGAGCACCCTGACCCGAGAGACCTCCAGTATGGCCTGGAGCACGCCGCATTCGCCGGCAACCTCGCCACCATCCGATACCTACTCGAGCGTGGAGTACGGCTACATAGAAACGCATTCCACCGCAAGCTCTCTGTGACAGAGACGACGGGTGGACCCAAGTCACAGACGATTTTTCATCAGGCCGTTCCGCGAGTGATTCAAATTCTCGAATTATACCTCGAATTTGGATGGCATCCGAACCAACACTGGACGGATGCGGCGTCCGGAACCCGTGACGTCTTCATTCTGGAGTAGGAGGTTTCATCCTCGGCCTGACTGGCAATCGTTCCACTAACTCATCGTCTCACAACAGATGCGGATCCGTTCTCATGGAGAAAGCATTGGTAGAATGGCTCCTGGATCACGGCGCAGATCCGACCACGCACACGCCAATTCCAATTGTTGACCTGGCCGCCATGTGCCATCAGGTTGAGGTACTCGACCTATTGCTCTCGCGTGGCGCCTGCGTCACGGAAGCAAGACCTTTGCAGAGACTCGCCATCCTTATGGGCGGAAGGGTCGGTGGCGGGACTGTCCCACCGGGGCCGGACCCTTTTGGCCGTTTCAAGACGGCCGAGTGGTGTCTCGACCACGGCTTCGATATCCATGCCGTCGCAAACGTCAAGGATAGGTGCGGAATACCAATCGGCATGGCCGAGGTGCCTGCTACTGCCCTTGGACTTGCCTGCGCTATGCTGGATTTTGAGTATGCGGAGTGGTTATTTGATCACGGTGCGGATCCAGACACTGCCAAAGAGATCGGCCCGAAGCTTTTCGGAGTGTTTTCCAACAAGGCGAATGATCAATATATCGAATTCGTTCGGAACTTGTGCACGAAACGAGACTCCAAACAGCTTGATGAATCTTCAGCTGACGACATGTCCCAGCAGCAGTAATAAACGTTCTGGGTCGGCAGAGGGGAGGGGAAGCCTACATAGTGTCGATTCGTGACCTCGCTCATTCCCAGCTCAGAAGATTGAATATGACTTGATTATTTTTGTCTATCCATAACGATATTTGCCCCCTCGGTCTTCCCGATAACGAATAGGACCCTTGTCGTGACCAATACTCACAGGATTGGAACGTGCTTCGCCGACTTCTCCTGCTCCTCGTCAAAGAGGTTAATATCCCACTTGGGAGAGTCTACAGATATGCAGTGTTAATGCTCGAACTGTTAGATCTAGTCCCAGATTGCATAGTACTTACAGGTTGTAGGAATGTTGAAGCGCTGGGGGTTCTCGCCAAGCTTGTTGACAGCCTTGATGGCCTCCTCGTCAAGCTCGACCTCCTGGAAGTTCTCCCGGATGCGCGATGCGGTGACTGACTTGGGGATGACACTGTGTCCATCGAGCTGAGACCAGGCCAGGATCACCTGTGCAGGCGTGACCGTCTTGCCCTGCGCCTTGGACAGGCGTTCAGCGATGGCCTTGGTCTCAGGAACGTTTACCAAGAGCGGGAGGTTGAAAGAGTTGTTTCCGAACGCTGAGTAGGCAGTAACATGGATGTTTTTCTTGGCGCAGTACTCCATCAATTTGGGCTGCGGGTTGCGTGGGTGGCGCTCGATTTGAAGGACCGCAGGAACGACACCTGTCTGCTTGCTGACGTGTTCGATCTACGACAAGAGATTAATATTCACATTTCCAGGATCCTCCTGGGTCTCACTGTAGTACATACATGCTCGATAGTGAAGTTAGAAACTCCGACAGTGCGAACCTTGCTCTTGGGCAAGCTGGTCATGGCTACAAAATTAGTATGTCAGTCCACGCAAGTCAGATTCAGACAATTTGGGTGCTTACCCTTCCAGGTCTCCGTCAAAGGCACACTATCGTCGATATCAACCTCATTGTCGTTGCCTGCTACTCGAGGGAAAAGATGTTCGCCCTTGGCAAAGGTAACTGGCCAGTGAATCAGGTAGAGCTAAGATTGCAGCCCGGATCAGCATTCCGCCCTCTTGCACCAAATTTTCGGCGGCGAGGCTTACATCAAGATAATCAAGCTCCAGCTCAGCCAGAGTGTCATCCAGTGCAGGCTCGACCTCATCAGCACGGTGCTTGTGGTTCCAGAGCTTCGAGGTGATGAAGATGTCCTCCCGCTTCAGGCCAGGGATATCAGCCAGGGCGCGTTTGAAGCCCTGGGCGACCTCCTTCTGGTTCTCGTAGATCTTGGCCAGGTCCAGGTGGCGATAGCCAGCCTTCAGGGCTTCGTAGACACCATCCCCAACCTCGCCAGGCTTGGCCTGCCAGGTACCATACCCGAGTGTTGGGATCTTGTGGCCGGAGCTGAGAGTGACGGTCTTACCGAAGGACATTGTGACGATGTTATGGCGGTATCGGAGCGGGTATCGAATAGGTGTTTGAAATTCAACGTGACAGCTCAAGAAGAGTAGAGGAAGGAATCATGTGAAAGATAGTCAACAGCAAGGGTCAGGTAGAGATAAATAGGGCCGGCTAATGCCCATTCCTTGATTGGCTATTTCAGTCGAGGAGGGGTATCGTCTCCAGAACACGATAATCCCCCACTTCAAGTCGAATCAACTCCTCGCAACGAGCATTCTGTTTGGCTGTTTTATCGTGAAACGCCGCTGAAGAGGCGGAACTGTGGCCGGCTGGCTGGGTCGGCTGGGTCGTTTGTGGACGTTCCGGGCGGAGAACCGACGCCACGCAGCCGAGCTCGGTGCGCTTTTCCTCATTCGGTAAATCCACTCCGGCTCCGCGTCGTGCTAGAAGAGCGCCAGCGGGGTTTGGGTTCTCGGTGCAGGCTCAGTCATAGAGTTGTTCGAGTTGGAGATCTCATTACAAATAATGAAGCCGGGGAATTCGTGACGCCTTTTAGGGATAGCGTTCAGCCATCCCCGTGCGGAGCCGTCCAGAAAAAGGAATGAAAGGTTCCCGCAACCCCCGAAACTTAAACGGTCTCACTCGGTGTTGCCATAAGCTTTCAGGAATTGTGTGTATTGTTATCGTGGCTCAACGGGGTTGAAGAGAGAAACTCGGTGTTTCTCACAGGACAAGATCAAATGGTGATCTCCGGTCTGTCATACCTCAAGTCGAGCCAACCTAAACTATGCTCTGGTCTCGTTTTATACAATTAGGTTCCGTCGACCTCATCGTTTCAACAAACAGCTGTTTCAGTCCTGAGAAAAGAACAGTCTGGATAATTCACTCAACTTGTTTTATTGTTTTACCACCAAAGTCAGCTTCATGCAGGTGAAGCCGGCAACCCCGCTTTAGTGCTTTTCCAGCCTTGGCTGATCCCCCACCAGATCTCAACATGTCATCCTGGTTGTCAGCTCAGACTACGGAACTCTAGAGTAGCAGTTGTCTTACTTCGTGCTCTTCAAGGAGGGGGGCTTAGATCGCCGTTGCAGTTTCGATGGAGTCTCCTTCGTTTACTTACACCGCTCTTCCACCAGGCAGGTTCTTCCGCCTGCTCAGTGTGCACCCAGGCGCCCCTGAGGACAACCTCATCTGCGACCTATTTCCCTACGAGATAGACACAGCCCCGCCATACACTGCCCTGTCCTATGTATGGGGCGACCCGACCAAAAGTGCAGAGGTGACATGCTCAGGCCACGCATGCAACATCACGCAGAGCCTCTCCGAGGGGCTCCGCCGCATCCGCAAGGCCGACGAGCCCCAAATCGCCTGGGCCGACGCCATCTGCATCAACCAGAATGACATGGTCGAAAAGGGCCATCAGGTCGACCTGATGGGCGTCATCTACGACACTGCGAGCAACGTCCTGGTCTGGCTGGGCCCGGACCCTTCCGACAGCGCGCGGGAGGCGTTCCGGTGCCTGTCCACCATCAACGAGAAGATATGGACGCGGACGGACCAAGTGTGGTACAGCCCGCCAGAGGAGGAGGTGCCCATGCGCAACGTCACGCTCATCTCCAGCTCCGGCGAACAGCAAGAGGTGTCGGCCCCGACCGCCAGGAGATCCATCCTCGGCGACGTGCTCGGCCCGCACGGCAGGGACGCCATCAGCAAGCTTTTCGGCCTGACGTGGTTCACACGCGTGTGGGTGCTCCAGGAGGTCGGCCTGGCCGAGGCGGCGACGGCCTTCTGGGGCGACGCCGGCGTCGACTTTGCCGAGATCGCCGTCTTCATCGCCAACGTCTACGGCGAGGAGGACCTCAAGTACTTCCTCGGGCCCGAGATCTCCGGGTCCCTCGCCGGCTCGCCCCTGTACGCCCTCTGGAACGTCTGGTGCACGTACGGCAAGCCCAGCTCGTGGGTCTACCGGTCGCCGCTGCTGCGGGCGTTCGCGGGCCAGATCGCCGCCACGTGCGACGTGGACTTCACTCTCGTCCTCGAGGCGTCGAGGTACTTTGACGCGACCAACGAGCTGGACCACGTATACGCGTTCCTCGGCCACCCCAAGGCGAAGAAGCCGGGCACCGACCAGGCGTGGCTCCGCGTCGACTACGCCCTGAGCGTCAGGGAGCAGCACCGGCTGCTGGCAGTCAGCATGGCAGAAGAGTCGCTGAACTTTCTCGTCCAGGCGCAGCACACGGACGAATCTCTGGAATCAACTGCCGACTACCCGTCGTGGGTGCCGAGGTGGAACGAGAAGACCCCGCTGCACGCAGACGCATTCTGGGAGGCGTACGACGCGAGCCGCCGCAAGGTATCTCGGGAGCCTTTCAGGGCACGCGCCGACGGAGACAGGCTCGCCGTGTCGGCAACGATCATCGACTCCGTCGACAGCTCCACGGCGCGCATGGATAAGTCCGGCTTCGAGCCCATCGAGGAGGCAGGCGGCCGCCTGCTGGAGCAGTGCTGGGCCGTGGCGACGCAAAAGCCCTGCCCGTACGGGCCGCAGGACGCCGTCAACGCCTTCGCGTCGACGCTGACCTGCCACTACAAGCCCCGGGACGGCGGCGGCGGCGGTGGAGGCGGCAACGCGCCGGGGAGCCACCACTCGGTGGTGGAGCAGCTCGCGGGCTTCTGCATGCGCGCCGGCGTCAAGTTCTGGCAGGACATCGAGGCCACGGGCGGGCTGTGGAGCCTCGACACCACGCTGGTCGCCGGCAAGATGTTCGGGCCGCAGTTCAAGGCCTACGGGACCAACCGGCGCTTCTTCAACACCGAGGAGCGCGGCCTCTGGGGGCTGGGCCCGGCGGCGATGCGGCAGGGCGACGTGTGTGCCGTCATCTTTGGTGCCGATGTCCCGTTTGTTCTTAGGCCCGTGGACGACGCCAGAGGCGAGTACAAGGTTGTCGGGGAGTGCTATATGTACAAGTTCATGGATGGAGAGGCGGTGTTTCCAGGGCAAGGTGGACAGGTTGGTTTTAGCAGGGACGATATTGTCCTAGTCTGATGAGTTGCAAGTGGGTGAGAGTCATCAGTCTCAACTATTGCGATACTTTGTCAGCCTCCCATCAGACTGGAGGCCGGAAATCATCAACCCCCCGTCGCCCAAGCAGACGCTCATAGATAGATAGCTACTCCATGATCTTGACACAGCCATTATACTATCAGCCTCGCCCGGAAGGAAGAGTACGATGAACAGCTGGGAGACTGTGATTTATTCACCAGCCACCGTAGAATCAGACTACCGTTGCTCCTTCGAAAGAATCACAACTGGAAGAACCTTGCGGTTGTCAACCATAGAACTCAAGGACAAAACGTAAATCACATGTAACAACCCTCAAAAGATGTTGCATAGGACAGATAGATGACTTGATTCGGACGCAATTATGTACGGATATCACTGTATGTAGACGAGCGAATCGTCAAGACCCTGTTCTGCCCTGCCCCAGCCGGCTCTCTCAAAACCGCCATCATCATCATCATCATCCAGGTCCTGCAAAAAATCTACCAGCTCTATAAGAACCCCTCCCCCCCTTCTTCATGAGACAAATCCTCAGGTGAAATACAACAACACACATATGCCTCCTTCACCGCGAAGAGCCAAACCTTCAGATGTCACCTCAGAAACAAGCACCAAGTCGCTACCCAGAACGAACCCTCCTTTTCCGCAGCAACCTGCATACGAGGAGGTCAAGGGGGGGCCCCGAATCAAAACCACCACTCGGAAGAGGCTCCAATGGGTGCTTACATAACAACCTGCAACATAACATGTCAGTCAAAATCCGCACTGATCACACACGAACGGATGGAATCAGATGAATACTCACGCAGTCATCATCACCCTTGCCCTGCGGGATCCCCATCTCCTCAAACGTAGCCGGGCCCTGACCGCCAGCCTGCTGCTGCTGCTGCTGCTGCTGCTTGCCAGCCTTCCCAGCCTTCCCACCGCCCTGCATCGTACTAGCAGGAGGCGGACTCGCCATAGCCGGCCGCCCACCACCACCGCCGGAAGGCGGCGCGCTCGCCCGACCCGGCGACGTGTCGAGGTGCGAAGCCCGCCCGCCGACAGGCCGCGCCGCCGCCTGCCCGCCGCCGGGGATCTGCGCAGGCAGCGAGTCGACGCGGTCCGGCCTGTGCGCCGCCATGCCGCTGACGGGCCGGATGCTCTGCTGCGAGGGCAGGCCGCCGTACCGGTCGTAGCTGTTGTCGGCGGCAGCCGGGCGCGGGACCGAGGACGTCCTGGGGCCGTAGTCGCGGCCCGGCTGGGCGGGCTGTGGCTGGGGACCGCCACCGTATCCTCCTCCTGCTCCTCCCGCGGGGGGGAACTGGGGCTGCGGCTTGCCCAGGTTGGGCTGGTTCTTGGTGAGCTTGTTGCGCGTGGGGTCCGCGACGGGGGCGTTGCCGGCGTTGGGGCCGAGGGGCTTGCGCAGCGGCACCTGCTGCTGCTGGTGGTCGTACGGCTGCTGCTGCTGCTGCGGGGGGGCCGCGTACTCGCTCGCGGGGCGGCCGGGGCTCGGCTGCCGGTAGCCACCACCGCCGCCGGGGCCGCCACCGGCGGGGAGCTGCGGCTCCCAGCCCGCCGACATGTGCCTACCACGCTGCGGGTTCATGCCGGCGGGCGGGATCGGCTGGAGGTTGCCCGCGGACTGGGAGGACGTCAGGCCGCCGCCGCCGCCGCCGGGGCCGCCCGAGCTCAGCGGCCTGATGCCAAAGGCGCTGATGGGGCGGTCGGCCTGCGGGCCGGCGCTCGGCCGGATCTGGGGGTTGAAGTGCGGCGACAGCTGCGGCTGCCGGCCGAGCACGTCGTCGTCCGGGTACGGCACCGTCGACTTGGGCCGCATGTAGCTGTTCGCCGCCGGCGGGGGCCTGTCGTCCTCGGGGTACGGCGCCGCCGACTTGGGCCGCATGGCGAGGCTCGGGTGGCTCTGGTCCAGGTTGATGGTGAAGGCCGGGGTGCGGGCGCGGCTGTCGCTCATCGCCTTGGCCGGGTCCGGGAAGTCGACGACGTTGTCGCCGACGGGGGTCGGTCCGTGCCTCGGGGACGGGCCGGGCGAGACCCGCGGGCTGGGGCCCTTGGACAGGCCCGGGCTGGTGCCCTCCACGGGGGTGTTGGGGCCCGACTCCGTGAGGGTCGGGAGGCTGGGGTCCTTCGCCCTGAACCGCTCCGGCCTCTTGCCCCGCTGCGAGCCGTGCTGCGACTTGATGCGCGTCAGGGCCGTCGTCTCGTGGTCCGCCTTGGACAGCGTCTTGGACTCGTTCAGCGACTCCAGCCTCTGGATGGCGTCCTTGTTGCCGGCCTCGGCAGCCTTCTCGTACCACCGCCTCGCCTCCCGAAGATCTTTCTGCACGTGGATGCCGATCTCGTGGTAATAGCCCATGGCGAAGTGGCCGGTGGCCAGGTTGTGCTCCGCAGCCTCCTCCGCGTACTTGTACGCCAGCTGCTCGTTCTTGGCAAAGACGCCCTCGTAGCCGAAGAGGAACCACCGGCTGACGCCGAGGGCGGCCTCTGGCTGTCCCTGGCGCGCGGCCAAGCCGTAGTAGTGCAGGGAGCAGGCCGGGTTGAAATCGCAACCCAGCTGGCAGAGCTCATAGGCTTGGCCCATCTTCAGCTGTGCCTTTGAGAATCCCAGATACGCCGCCTTCTCGATGTATTGCCTCGCGACGGCGAGGTTTGCTTGCAGCATGCCTTCGGGGATCATGATGTCTGGCAGATCCCGAGCGATCAGCATACCGTAGACGTAGGCACCTTGGGGCGCGTCGTCGTCGGCCGTGTCGGCGGCGGCCTCGATAAGCTCCAAGCCCCGCTGGAAGTCCTTTCGGTATCCGTGCTGGCCTAGCAGGCTCATCATACCGAGCCGATACGAGGCAGCGGAATCCTTCATCGCCAGACCTTGCTGGTAGTGCTTGATCGCCTTGTCCATGTCGTTTGAGTTCTCGTAGAGCATGCCGATCCGGTACTCGGCGCGTCCCCAGCCCTGCTCCGCGGCTCTCTTGTACCCGAGATACGCCTCCTTCTTGTCCGTCCGATGTCCGAACTTGCCAAACTCCAGCCACTTAGACCGCATGAAGAGGGCTTCCGGGTGGTCCTGGGAGGCGAGGTAGCTGACGATGCTCAATGCGTCGGTGCGCAGCTCGTGCTCGACCTTTGGCGTCTGCGGCCGGGCGTTCTGCTGTCCCTTGTTCTCCCGCTCGTGCGTTTCTTGGGCCGTCTCCACCCAGGCGAGGGCGTCTCGCGCCCAAGACAGCTGCATGGCGACATTGTTTGAGTGCAGGACATGCTCGCGAGCGTTGTAGAGGATCCCCTCCTTGGCTTCGTCGCTCGGCGGTATGTTCTCGCCCTTGACCTTGGGGAACGGAGAGAAGGAGGGGCCCTCGTCGGCAGGCATGTCTGAGTAGGTGGTGTTGTTGTCCTTGAAGGGCTTGAAGTCGGACGAGTCCTGCGAGAAGTGGTGCTGCTCGCCGGCCGAGGTGTAGGTGTTGTTGGTCAGGACGGTGGACAGGGAGGGCTCTCGGGCGCGGTGGCCCGAAAATTGGCTCGAGGTTGGGGAAGTCGTGGCAAATTGTCCGGGATCGATGTGACGTGCCTCTGTTTCCATCCGCTGGAGGCCCTGCTGCATGTTCTGAGGCACCTCGGGCATTACCCTGCAGACGCAAGCCCACCAGTCAGCATAAGCTCAGCTGTTGCGGTGAGGCCGCTGCTGATTGGAGCGCAGCCGCCTCGCGGTCCCAGACAACAAAAGGAAAATATTTCTGGGTAAAAACAACAGACGCCAGAGACGCACCTTTGAGGAGACGGTGCGACCACCTCGGGCATGTAATAGTCATCGTATCCGCTGGGCACGAAAGTGGCACCGAACTGCGGCATCTCGTAGGTTTGGGTCCGTTGAGGCTGAACCGTATCTAAACAAAAAGCAACGAAGCAGGGGTGTTAGCGACTTGCGCGTCCTCGTCTCTCTCGACCACAGAGTGCAATAGAAGCACCAGAACTCGAGCTCGTCCACAGTGTCGCAAGATGTGTCCGGCCAAGCGCTTCGGGATGTAGAAAGCTGGGGTAGGGTGACAGAGCGGGCTGTCGGTCACTGCCCAAAACCGGATTGACGTAGCGGCGCTTGGAAACAGACCCCTGTCAGGAGGGGATAAACGGCGTGGAGATGGCGGGAGGGATCTGCCGTCCTTTGCAAGAGGGTCTTTTTTTTCCTCCTCCCCAGTGAGTGTGGTTGTTAATGAGCTGCCGTCAGCCTCCTCCTGCTGACAAGGAGGGAACTCTTCTTTGCTGACTATCCCTCAACTACTCGGACAAAGGCTTCTTCCTCTTTCTCTGAGCTCGGCACAAACAGATATCTCGGTCGGCTAAGTTTGCTGTGGAGCCAGAGAGGCTGACCAAAGGAACGGACTGTGAGCAGGCCCGTCGTCCTGTTGAGCCTGAGCTGACGACGGGCGGTCTGGCCGACGGTTCGGGGTTCGGAGGAAGGGTGGTTGACAGATGCTTTCCTTGGTTCCCGGGCCGTCCGTTTCCTTGGACACCGGGTGTGATGGACGCAAGGGAAGACTGCGGGAGCTCGAGGTTCTGGTGCAGGTGCCGGTTGCAGAAAAAGAGCTTGTCTAAAGCTTGTTCAACTTACCTTGCGACTGGTAGTAGGGACCTTTGCTGGGAACAGGAGGGGGGACGTCGCCAGCAGGTCCCTGGGACTGCCACGCGTAATGTGGATTCGCCATCACTGGACGCACTGGCGGTGTTGTTCAGAGCACCGCATGCGGCCGCGCGACACGGTGCTGGCGAATCTGACGGCGTAGCCTAATGCGCACTGCGATTGTGGGGTAGAAGAACGTCGTCCATGGGTGTTTCCAGGAGAGGGAGAGGGCGTCTGGATCTCGTGCCTTTCCAAAGAACTCGTTCGCAAGTCGCAATGGTCGTAGTCGTAGTCGCAGTAATAAAGAAAGGCTGGTGAACTCGGCGTTGTCGTCGTTGTTGGAACTAATAAAGGGCGTTTGTATTGAGCCGAGCTCCCCAGTGTTTGTTTGCTTGCCGCCCCGCCCGAGCTATGTTGTTGTTCTGCTGGCAACGGCTTGAAAAAATCAAATAAGGTAGGCAGTGCCCAGCTCAGCGCACTCGCTCATGCGCCGCCTCGCAAGGAGGAACAGGCAGCCGTTTTATCTGCTTTCGAAGCTTTCCGGGGGGACACCGCCGCCGCGCGCGCGCTCGAGGTGAAATTACCGGGGTGGTTCCGATCCGAGTGTCACGGAAGATAACGTTACGACAATGCGACGTGGACCCCTATTTTTCTACACTGGAATTTGCAGGAAAAGAGGAGAGGGAGGGAGGGATAGGTACGGAGGGCCCGGGGTCTAATAACATTCCTCAACAGCCAGCTGGAGCGGTCATGTTGACAGACTGGAGCATCATTTGAGCTAGCACGCCAAGTCGCCTGATGGAAGGAAATGATCAAGTGCAGGGCTGTGGCGGCGAGCGGAGACCCAACGAGGCCAGCAGTGAGTGAGTGAACCTACGATCATGACCCTTTCAACGTTCTGCTCATCTGCTAGGATGTACGGAGTTAGGTCATGGCCACAGCCGCGACGGACAAGTCCAAGACATCCGTGGAAGGATGCCGTGGCTGCCGCCGTCGCCAGTCCTAATAGCAGGTAGCAGCAGGAAGCCCAACAGAAGGCCTCGCTAACAGATCCGACTTGCAGCGCACTAACCAGCGCACTAACCAGCGCCTAGTCAACTGATAGTGGTCTGCGTGGTGGGGGGCCCCGGGGTCCTCTTCCCGCATCCCAAGTGCGCAAAGGCAATGAGGATCTCCCGCTGGCGCGCGACGCCAAAAGTGCAACGCTCGGAAATGCGGCGATGCTCAGCCACCCTCTTGTTTCTATTTTCAGCGCGGCTGCACAAGACGCAAAGGCGAAACAAGCTTCACTTGTCACCACACGCCACGAGGTGGGTTGGTTGTACATGAGGCTAGTACTTGTACTGTAGATCTCGAAAGAAAAGGTTGCTCGTCGAGCTGGCTGCGCCTTTCCTCATCTTAGAGACCTTGGTAGGTGTGGTGTCTCGAGCACTTGAAGACAAGCAGAGCTTGTGCTTGGAATGAATGACGGTTGTTCAGCTCGAGATACCACCCCCCCTAATGACGAACACTGACCATTACAGAGATTGCCACACTGCGTACATTAGGTTGGTGGGTTTGATAGGCGAGTCGAGTAACTAATCTGACCACTGCTCGGAAGGGAGACGTGTGTGGGCATGCGCCCTCTTTACACTGAAGACAGCCGGGCTTGAAAGTAGTGCAGAATGGGATCACAGGGTTGCGCATGATCAGACCTATCTACTCCGTAAATGACGTAGAGACAGGCGGCAAAGGCAACTTCTGGTGCTCTACCGCGAAAGACATCGCCCAAGCCGGCAACTTGGTCCCAAGAGACGGCTCTGTGTTCGTCTCCAGAGTGAGCTTGACATACGTTTGCGTCGGAGCCAGGGTCTTTGTGCAGCTTGACTTTAAGGACCCCAGTGGCGAAACAGAGGGCAGCTGATGGGACGAGATCCATACGCCGAAGTAGACTCGGTTTCCCCATTCAGAAGACAGACAGTGAGTTTTCGAGACGGATTGTACTGGAAGAACACAAACATGTGAGGCCTTGCACTTGTACAGAGAGGATTCAACATCGATGACGGATTACATAATCCTTTTCGTGGGTCCGTGCCCCCAACCGCATCACGTCGTCAGCCTCATTCAGCCTGGCGTGGACTCCAAGCTGGCCTCGCCTATCAAATCGCCGTACCAAAACCACAACCACACACATCATACAAGCATCCATTGCCCGCTTCCGCCAAAGCAGAACAGGCCAGATAACTTGAGAGACATCTATCCTTGAAACTCTCTCCATTTCCGGGCCGCATCTCCCCCCCCGCGCCACTTTGCAACCCGGACACACCTCAGCATTCCCTCCCGAACACCACACAAACACCCATCCCCCCCCCCCCACAAAGAGGAGAGTCGACCTCCGCCATGGCCGACCGCCAGCTCATCCAGATCCTGACGCAGCTGCGCTCCAGCCCCGCGTCGACGAGCTACGCCGACGCCGCCAAGCTCCTCTCCAAGGCCAAGCTGCTCCTCCTGCAGCTCGGCGCCCTGACCCCGACCCCCTCGGCGCCGCAGCAGCTCCTCGCCCTCGCCCGCGAGACCTACGAGCAGGGCGCCCTCTGCAGCATCCGCGCCCGCAACCCCGAGGCCTTCACCCGCTACGTCGCCCAGCTCGCGCCCTTCTACGAGCTGCCCGCCTCGGCCCTGCCGCCCAACCTGCCCGAGCGCAACCGCGTCACGGGCCTCTACCTGCTGCTGCTGCTGACGCAGGGCCGCTACGACGAGTTCCACACCGAGCTCGAGTCGCTCGGCACCCGCGAGGGCGGCGGCGGCTCCGTCGACGTCGAGGGCGACCGCTACCTCGGCTACCCGATCCGGCTCGAGCGGTGGCTGATGGAGGGGAGCTACGACCGCGTGTGGAAGGCCATGAAGCAGGGCGAGGTGCCCTGCGAGGAGTACGGCGTCTTTTCAGAGGTATGCCTTTATTTCTCTTCATCACCATCACCCACTACACACACACACTCTCTCTCTGTCTCTCTATCTCTCTCTCCCTTTCCTTCACGCCTTATCCCTTTTCGTCTCTCGTATCCACAAGAAGATCCCCAAACTAACGCCTTTCTCTCAGATCCTCACCTCCCAAATCCGCTCCGAGATCGCCTCCAGCAGCGAGCGCGCCTACCCCTCCCTCCCCCTGAGCTCCACCAAGTCCCTCCTCTTCCTCGAGTCCGAGGGCGCCGTCGTCGACTTTGCCCAGTCGCGCGGCTGGCAGATCCGCGACGGCCAGATATTCTTCCCCCCGGCGGCGGCTGCGGCTGCGGCGGCGGCGGCGGCGGAGAAGGACGCAGAGGGCGGCGGCGTCGGCGCGGCGGAGAAGGAAATGAGCCAGATGGTCATCGAGAACACGCTCGGCTACGCGAGGGAGCTGGAGACCATCGTCTAAGACGACAAACAGGAGGCAAAAGAAAGCGCCGAGGAGACAGAGATGTAGATGTATGTCTGTCGTTATCCACAGACGGTGGACGAGAAAGGCGAAGCAATATCACTTTAGACACCTCGCAAGCAGAGCAGAACGAACGAGGCTGGCCTGCCTGTACCACTACCACACCCATGTAGCTAGATGCGTTCCATCATAGAGCGAATCAATAAAGGCAAAACACAAAGTAATACCCACCCAAACACACGACCGACATCTTTCACTTCAAAGTTCTCAAGTAAAAAGTAATTCATTGATTTTTTGCTCTCGTGAGTGGCTCCAGTGCTGAAAGGAGCACACCTCGACTAGTTACATAAAGGACCAACATTTCATGCATCTCCCCCCCCACCACCGCCGTCATCATGTCAGCGACCCGTCTAATCTGTAAAAGAAGCATCGCATTTTTTGACCCGTAGACCCCAAGAGAGTAAAAAGGGACCTCTCGATTCTCTCCTCCGCTTGCCGTGCCTTTTCACCTTTCACACCGGGAGAGGGATGGGGTGGTGTCATTATCTATGCCTACGTAAACCCGTTTCCATTTCGTCGCTCTTGCTTCTTTTTTTTTCCTTTTCAGGCAAACAGCTTCAGGCCGCTGCCGTGCTTGCCAATCTCGCACACCTCGCAGACCCGGCAGGTCTGGCCCTTGTACTTGGTGTGGTACTTGGAGCCGTCAAAGGCGCACTCCTCGTACGACGTGCCGCTGTAGATGGGGCTGTGGCTGGCCGCGCAGACCTCAAACTCGGCAAACTGGTCAAACTCGATCTCGATGGCGTCGTTGGGGTTGCGCTCGCACTGAGCCTTGTTCTTCTTGGCCTGTTGCAGCTTGTTAGCTTCTAATTACTTCTCTCATCATAATGCGGCGTGTTGACACTTACAGTCTCCAAGATCTTGCTCGATCCTCCATTGGCAATGATCCGGTTGGCGAAGCTCAACGCCGAGTTGTAGTTCTTGCTCCGCATGGCCAGGTTCATGGCGTTGAGAAGAGCCAGCTGGCGATGGGGCACCTCGATCTTGGGAATGGTAAAGTAAGCCGAGAGCTCCAAGCTGCGCTTGAGGAGCTCGGGGTTCTTGGCCACCACATCGTTGGTGCCCAGCTTTCTCCTGGCAAGCTCGATCTCCATGGCCACGGCATATTCGCTGGCGGAAGTGATGAGCTTCTTGGCCTCGGCAACCTCGCTCTCGTTAGAGACGGCGTTGATGAGGACAGCGTGGAGGATAGACTTGAAGATCTTGAGACCATCTTCAAGCTTGTTGCCCTTCATGCAATCGTAACCACGCTGCAGATCCGTGGCCGCCAGGGACTCCAAGTCGCGAGGAATGATGGGCAGAACCTTGCGGGGATCCGTCTCGTCCACTGTCCTGCGAACATAGTTGACGAGGGGCGGCAGGCCAACAGATGCTGGCAAAAAGGTCTTTGACGCCTGGTAGACCTCGAGGAAGCGGGGTTTGAGGGGTGCGAAGTTGACGGCTCCAACCTGGCGGTTGAGCAGTTGCATCGCAGTCTCGAACGAGCCACCCGCAACATGGTCGACAGCCAGAGGCGAGTTTCGTGCCCACAGATCAGCCTCACTGCTTCCAGCACCACCAGCGTCGGTAGTCTCCACATTGACAAAGTCGCTATCAGCCTCGGGAACGATGTCCTCGCCCATATCCCATCCTGCAGCATCCTCCTCCTCGTCGGCATCAGGAAGAGCGCCGTTCTTGGCTGCGGCGTCCTCATCGTCCTCATCCAGACCGAAGCCATTTGCAGCGGCAGCAGGTTGATCCTCAAGCGACAGACCCTCAACCTGGCCAAGCAGAGCCTTCTCAAAGACAGAGACAGAGGTAGCCCGCGTGGGCCAGTTGGCCTTGAAGGTGGGAACAACAGCCTTGGGCGGCGTCAGCGGCTCGCCCATGGTTGGTGTGGTCAATTGGTCCTCGGTGAGGCCGGTGGCCTCCAGGATAGACTGGCATTCATCCTCCAGGCCATGCGACTTGGCCGTCATGTATGCAAGAGGATCTGAGTTGGATTAGCAGCGTTCAATAACAATGGCATGTCGACATGGAAATACTTACAGAGGTCAATCTCCTTGAACATTTGTATCCTGTCCTCGACGTCGCCAAGATACAGAGCATTTTGGAACCGAGCAGTGAAGTCGCCGCGGTGTTCGGCAATCTTGGCCATCCTGGCGAGCTTGGCTTGGTCGCCTGTGGCAAGATACAGGAACGACAGTTTGTCGAACTGCTTCAGCTTTTGGTAGCACATCTCAACAACCTGGTGGTTTCCGTGAGCAAGCGCTTCTGTACTCAGGCGAGTCCAGAGCTTGGGGCGGTCAAGCTGCTTGGCCATCTCCACAGCGACCTCGAGGTTACCGCACTCTATGGCAAGCTCGAAACGAGTGGTGGGGTCCTGGACGAACTGCAGAGCAATCTCGGGGTAGCCTTTCTTCTGAAGGTAAGAAATGATCGACTGGCCGACCAGCGAGGAGTTCTGAATGATGTTAAGCATCTCCTCGTAGTTGCGCTTGACAAGCGCAAGCTTGAAACGGTACTCGGTCGGGTCAATGTGCAGGATCCTGGGTTTGGCATTGCGGTCCAGGCAGTACACATTGCGGCCTTTGACACGGACCAAGTAGACAGTCTGGTCAAGAGTGCGGACGATACCATTGTCACCGTTCAGAAGGGTGTACTTGACGTGGTTGAGGGTCGAGTAGAGCAGGACACCGGCGTCGTCCCAGGTGGCGCTCTTGATCCTGATAGTCTCGTGCAGGGTGCTGACCTGCTCCAGAGTCTTGGTGACAATGGTAACATTGTGCTTGCTCAGAAGAGCAGCGTAGAGACCGTCGTTCGACCAAACAACGTACTTGACACCGTTGACGGCAAGCTCTGCCATGGTTTTCCTCTGCTGAATGTCGTACAGATGAACCGCCGTAGGCGTGATGATGAGCAGGTTTCCAGGTCCACCAAAGTAGATATCGCTGGTGCCATGCGGGGGCTTAAAGGAGCGGGTCGTGTTATTAGAGAGGTCCTTGATGTCAACAGTCTGAGACGAGGTGTTGAGGACGGCAAAACGGTTGCGAGCAACAAAGATGGCCGAGTTGCCCTGTCCTCGCTTGGACTCGGTGGGCTCGATGGCGCCGGAGCCCTCGCGCGGCAGGTTGATGAGTTCATAAGATCCTCCGTCAGCAGTCGAGGTCACAAGGACGGATCGCTCAGCAGGGTTGTATGATAGCGTGCGAGGAGGAACCCAGGCGGGCCCGACCTTCTTAAGGGACAGCAACGTCGGGGACTCGATGTTCTTCTGGAAGTCATACGACTTGACGTGCTTCTCCTTGGTGATGTAGAAAAGCGTGTTCTGGTGGACAGCCGAGGCAGGGCGCTCCCGCTCCAGCTTGAAGACCATAACTCCATTGTCGTGGCCAGCAGCGAACAAGTTGATCTCGGGGTGGGCAGCGATGACCCAGAACCGGTCGTTTTCCCTCTTAAAAGACTGGACAGCAGTTCTCTTGTTAAGATCCCAGACGCGAATGGTCTTGTCCTCGCCGACGGAGAGAATCAGGTCCTGGTGGGGATGGAAGAGGCAGCCTGAAGCATTCTGGAAGTGTCCTCGGCAGGTGTCTACCTCCCAAGCCTTGGTCTCGCTCATGCGCCAGAGCTTGACCAAACGGTCGTCGCCGGCCGAGACAATGAGGGGCATGGTAGGATGGAACGCAACCCAGTTGACACCCCGGTCGTGGCCCTCGAGGACAAACTTCACCACGGCATCGGTATTGCCGAACATATCGGTCTGGTTCGCATTCGCCCTAGCCATCTGATCTTCGAAAGACATCGAGGTCGGCGCAGAGTGCTTCTTTCGCAGGCCCGAGATATCCCAAACGCGGACCGACTGGTCGAGGGAGGCAGAGACGACGAGATCGTCCTTGGGGTGGAATTGGGCGCACATCGCGTAATGGTTATGGCCGGTCATCGTGCAGACTACAGGACAATTAGCATGCGTCGCCAAGGTACCCGCCAGGCGGCCGGTTGTGACGTACTCAGTGAGCGATTCTGCCAGTTCCAGATACGGATGGTCTGGTCGTCGGATGCCGAGACAATCCAGGGCAGCTCATGATGGAAGAAGACGGTCCGAACATAATCCAGATGCCCGTTCAGGGTGAAGAGGCACCTCCTCGTCTGATAGGACCAGACCTTGATCTTGTAGTCGTCGCCGCCCGACACGAAGAGGGGTTGGGTCTTGTGGAAGTCGACACCGCGGACAGGGCCATCGTGCTCTTCGAAGCGGTCAATAAGGGTTCCCATGCGGTAATCCCAGAGCTGGATGGTCGAGGAGTGTAGGGAAACGAGGATCCATGGTCTGCAGCTTGCTTCGTCAGTACGGTCGTGCCAAGGTGGGGTTCTCAGGGAGCTGACCGCTTGGGGTGGAAGGCAATCCCCTTCGCGCGAGATGACTTGGATTCGAACTTTTGGGAGTGTCAGCATAGAAGCGCATAATCGAGAGCGTGTTCCGAAAGCATCTCCATCTTATGCTTTGGGCTCGTCCGTCAAGGGAGGGGAGGGCCGTACTTTAGTCAACATGCCCGAGGAGGACTGCATCTTGAAGGGGCGGGATACGAAGCCTAAGCTTCACGCATCAACAGGAAAGGTACCAAAAGGAAAAGGACCAATTGATCAGATCCCTCAAGAATCGTGAGCCGGAAGTGAGCAAAGATCAATGCGCTCAGTTCCAGAGGGAGGAGGTAGAAAGGGTCGTGTTGTAGAGGGAGGGAGCTAGCAAAGCGGCCACCTGTGCTGTCTCTCCTGGCGTGCGTGCACCGTCACTGGAATTGGTGGTGAAAGCGTGGCCTCGATCCCCCGAAATGTGGGTTCGCCTGAGGCACCGCCGCTCTCAAAGTTTCTCCATTTCCGAGAGATCCATTGACTGCACTGTGCTGGACCCAAGCTGAACAGATAAGGAATTGATAAGAGGTGTCTTAGCGGGCTTGAGGCGGGCGGGTCACAGCAGTAAAGGTACAAGTAGTGCCTGGAGCGGTGGGTCTGTCAAACATTCAGGGGAGCTCTCCCCTGCACAGCTCCTGATTCGCCCAGCTATTTTGGTGATGTGTTCAATTGTCCGGACAGACTTACACATCACGGTGCAAAAGTGCCGAGCGGATTGACAGGACACTTTTCGTGCTTTTGCTGGTGGCGTCTCAAGCACTACATTTGCCCTGCTGGAGTACACTATTCTATCTTCTCTTTGTCTGCGTCATGTTCACCAACTAAGCGTGGAGACCAGATCCCCTTCTCTGAAGTAGCTCTCCAAATATCGCCGGTGCCCCTCCAAACCTTGTGCTTTGGTGTTCCGCAGGCGGAACGTGGCCTTGCAAGTATCTGGAGACTCAGACTTCACAACCCCCAATTATCTGGTCAATTTGAGGCTCAGTAGCATCATGGTACTGCTCCAGGGGCTACCGTGGGGCCTCGTGGCTTCTCTCCTGGCCACGGCCGCTTCGGTCGCTGCGACGCCTTCGGTATCGGTGGGCATGAGGGCTGCCTTTCCGTCACCTCCTTACCTGATAGAACTCTTGTATGTTGGCCAGGACTCATTCTATGTGGGAAAGTTGGTGTCTAACTTTGTACTTAGGGAGACAGCCGCACAAGAAAACGAAACTGCCTACTTCCCTCTGCTCGACCGCATCGCTGATGGCCATTTCGCCAAGGCATCAACCGACAAGTCTTTATACGACACATTCGTCAGCCTGCTACAAGATGGTGGATACATCCAAGGAGAGGCCCTCTCGACATTCAAGCTCGCATTGTCTATGCGTTCGGCCGCACCCAAAATCGAGGCGCATTACCAGTTCTACAGGACCGCGATTGACACCGCCGCAGAAGGCAGCGCAAAGGACTGCAAGACATGGGTAGCAGTCAACGGGAAGCAGTATTGTTCTTCTGGTCTCGAGTCTCCGACCGATATCTCTGTAGCTATTGCCAATGACCGCCAGCTACCCTTCGATAACAAGCTGGGTCACGGTCCGGAACACGTTCTCTACGCCGACATTACTTCACCTGAGTTTGGGAAATTCCACAAAACTCTGGCTGGCAAGGCAAGGCGCGGAAAGATTGCATACAAGCTGCGACATCGTCCTAGTTCCACCCTTGTGCAAGAGCCTCTCCCCGTCAGCGGTTACGGCGTGGAGCTGGCCCTGAAGAGGACCGACTACATTGTTATCGATGATCGAGACGCTGACGTGACTCCACCACAAAAGGATGCCAGTGCTCAGGTTGTTCTGGATGGAGAAGAGGAAGTTGCCGACCTCAAGGCTCTGTCCAAGTCGGAACTGGCCGAGCTCGGTCTAAAGGCTGCCGATTTCATCGTGAGGAGTGAAAAGCCTTTCGAAACCCTATTCAAGTTGACCCAGGACTTCCCCAAATTCTCGACGTCCATTGCAGCCCACAATACCTCGGAAGAGTTCTTGGATGAACAGCGCGCCAATATCGCACAGATGCTGCGTCCCGGCATGAACCTGCTCTGGATGAATGGCGTGCAGCTAATTGAACGGCAAATCCAGTCCTTTACCCTTGTCGATATCATTCGACGCGAGCGCAAGCTTATCAATGGCGTTCTAGAGCTAGGTCTGACCGGCAAGGAAGCAGTGGACCTCCTCGGCCATCAGTCCGTAGCATCTTCCAAGAGCGAGGACGAGCCACAGCGGTTCGACTGGCGCGATCAGGTGGAGGAGGGCCGGGTGATCATCTGGCTCAACGACCTGACCAAGGACTCCAGGTACCAGGACTACCCTACAAGTCTCATGTCCTTGCTGCAGCCGACCATGCCCGGCCAGGTACCGCCTGTTCGGAAGGACATCTTCAATGCCATTTTCCCTGTGGATTTCAGCAAGGAGGAAGATGTCACCTTCATCACAGAGCAGATCTTGATGTTTGTCAAGCGCAGGCTGCCGATCCGGTTCGGCCTCGTTCCACTGACCAACTCAGCTGAGGCTACCAAGCAGGCTAAGACTGTGTATTATCTCCTCGAAACCTACGGTCTATCTGCCATGACATCTTACTTGCAGGCCTCATTGGAGGAGCGCAAGACCAGCAAAGTCAACCACAAGATCTTCGATCGGGTAATCAAAGAGCGCAGCCTCAGAGCAGAAGCAACTCCTCTGCCATTGGATGATGTGCTCCAATCAGAGGATCACGAGGCTCAGATTCAGCTTGCAAAACACTGGGCGGCCAGGCTCGGTTGCAACACGCCAATCCCGCCCGTTTATGTCGACGGCATACCCTATCCTAGAGATGAGTCATGGCTGCAGGCAATGAGCATGAGGATCGGCAGTGATTTGCGTGTGGTGCAGGAGGGTATTTACTATGGCATGATCAACGAAGACACTTGGATCCCGGGACGCTTCCTCGAGAAGGCCGCCATCAGGCGAAATGCCTACATCTTCCCCGAGGATCCCAAAGCCTTGGCCATGTTGGATGTCAAGCAGATGTACTCTGACCACGCCGATCTCTTCAACCAGCTCCCTGTGATCGAGGCGAGCGAAGACTCGGTAATGGCAGATTGGGCCGCTTTGACTGTTGTAGCCAACTTGGACGACCCGTCAGGCCTTTCGCTGCTCACTGCGGCCGTCAAGTTCCGTCGACAGAACCCGGGCATCCGCCTGGATGTTCTGTACAATCCTGATGCCACCAAGCGAGGCGCCAGAATCAACAAAGAGCTGTTTGAGGAAGCCGCAAGACTGATGGGCACCGAGAAAGATGAAGATCTGGAGAAGATCGCTGTCAAGATTACAAGTGAGGCCTCGCTGGACTATGATGCCCCTCTAGACCGCTTCCTTGAGGCTATTGCTACAGAGCGGGGTGCCAACAAGCTGATCCTAAATGGCCGGATGATTGGGCCCTTCACCAAGGAAGATCCTTTTACCGAGCTCGATTTCCAGACATTCCTGGAGTTCGAAAGAGCTTCGAGAATCATCCCTGTTTATCTGGCACTTGAAGACCTCGGTCTCAAGTCCAAGGTCTCATCTCCCCTAGCAGCCGCCAAGCTTACTTCCATCACGGCCATGTCTACTATGTCGGACTTGCCCGAAGGCATTTTCGAGTCCGCCCCTACCCTACGTATCTCGGCCTTCAACGAGTGGAATGCTACTCACACCTCGCTGGAGGTGGGCGACATTGCTACTGCCAACATCCATTTCACGGCCCTCATCAACCCAGCCAGCGAGCAGGGCCAGCGGTGGGTTCCTATTCTGAAGGTGCTGTCGGAGCTTGACGGTGTCTATCTCAAGATCTTCCTCAACCCAATGGAACGGCTGGGGGAACTGCCGGTCAAGCGGTTCTACCGATACGTGCTTGACTCGGCGCCGCAATTTGATCAGTCTGGCAAAGTCAAGGCCGTCGGTGCCGAGTTCAAGGGTTTACCTTCGGAGGCGCTTCTCAACCTCGGCATGGATGTTCCTCCAGCCTGGCTAGTTGCCCCCAAGGAGTCTGTCCATGATCTCGACAACATCAAGCTTAGCTCTATCAAGGCTGATGTCGACGCCACCTACGAACTAGAGCACATTTTGATCGAGGGACACTCTCGAGAGCCTGGAGGAAAGCCTCCGCGTGGCGTGCAGCTTCTGTTGGGTACTGCAAGCGATCCCCATTTTGCCGACACCATTGTCATGGCCAACCTGGGCTACTTCCAATTCAAGGCCAATCCCGGCATGTACGACATCCAGCTCAAGGAGGGACGCAGCTCCGACATCTTTACCATCGAGAGCGTTGGCTCCAAGGGCTATGAAGCTGTACCTGGAGACGAAGGGACTGAAGTCGGCCTGATTGACTTCCAAGGCACTACGCTCTATCCTCGCCTCATTCGGAAGGCGGGTATGGAGGCGGAAGATGTACTGGAAGAAGTCGTTGCAAAGGAAGGCGGTGCTATGGGCATCGTCTCGAAAGGGATGAAGTTTGCGGAGGGCATCCTCGGTGGCTCCAAGACACCATCCGGTGCCAAGTCGACCTCGGACGAGGAGCACGCCGAGATCAACATCTTCTCCGTAGCCAGCGGGCACCTCTACGAGCGCATGCTGAACATCATGATGGTCAGCGTCATGCGCCACACCAATCACACCGTCAAGTTCTGGTTCATCGAGCAGTTCCTGTCGCCGTCCTTCAAGGACTTTATCCCCTTCATGGCCGAACAGTACGGCTTCAAATACGAAATGGTCACGTACAAGTGGCCCCACTGGCTGCGGCAGCAGAAGGAGAAGCAGCGCGAGATCTGGGGCTACAAGATCCTCTTCCTGGACGTGCTGTTCCCGCTCTCGCTCGACAAGGTCATCTTTGTCGACGCGGACCAGATCGTGCGGACGGACATGTACGAGCTGGTGCAGCACGACCTGGACGGGGCGCCGTACGGGTTCACGCCCATGTGCGACTCGCGGACGGAGATGGAAGGGTTCCGGTTCTGGAAGCAAGGGTACTGGAAGAACTACCTGCGGGGGCTGCCGTACCACATCTCGGCGCTGTACGTGGTGGACCTGCGGCGGTTCCGGGAGATCGCGGCGGGCGACCGGCTGCGGCAGACGTACCACCAGCTGTCGGCGGACCCGGGCAGCCTGTCGAACCTGGACCAGGACCTGCCGAACCACATGCAGTTCCAGATCCCGATCCACAGCCTGCCGCAGCGCTGGCTGTGGTGCGAGACGTGGTGCAGCGACGAGTCGCTCGGCGAGGCCAAGACTATCGACCTGTGCAACAACCCGCAGACCAAGGAGCCCAAGCTCGACCGGGCGCGCAGGCAGGTGCCCGAGTGGACGGCGTACGACGACGAGATCGCGGCGCTGGACCGCAGGAGGAAGGGGCTGCCGCCTGTTGCGGCCGCGACGGCAGGGGCGGAGGAGAAGCAGAAGGTTGTTGGGGGCGAAGGGGGAGCGGGCGAGGAGAAGAAGGACAAGGAGAGGGAGAAGGATGAGCTGTAGGCGGTGTAAGAAGATATCGTCGAAGTTATATATAATTTGCAGCATAGCGAATGTTGGTAGCCAAAAGGAGTTTGCTTCCTGTTCAAGTGTTTGGACGAGAAGCCAGTGCAAGTGAGCGAGATTGAGGGGGGCAATCATACAGTCACAATATCTCACAATCAGCGACTGCAGAATTATGGATGGGTTATGGGATCCTTCGAGGAACATTCAAATGCACACGCATATTTCGATCTGATATTGGCCATATGAGTACATAGACCTAGGTAGACTACCTTAATTACGAAGTAAGGCAGCTTTGGACCGGTTGCTTCAAAGTTGGTGGGGCAGATACCTACACACAGGGGTCTAGCTTATCGATCGCGGCAGGCAATTAGCGGTAGTGCATGGGAGGAGCCTGGGCAACGCCTCAAGAAAGTCGCGTAAAGTACCTGCAACACCAACTTGGTCTACGCGACTGCACGCTACAGCTGCGCTCTGAGGTCTGAGGGGACTGGCAAACTGGACTGGACGACAAATAGAAAGCACAAACGGAGATCCCTTCAAAAGGATTGATTTCCAAGTGCTATTTTTTGTTCTCGCGTGGGCCGACCTCTTCTGAACCTCTTCTGAGCCCACCTTGAGGCGTCGCTCACCATTCACTGACGCCTTCCTCACCTTCAAATCGCGACTCTGTGCAGAGCGCCAGACAATGCCCTTGTCTTCATCTCACTTTCTACGCCCTGCCATCTCAGCTCCTCTCCTCCTCATTCCCGTCTGATGCCGTCAAAGCCAAAAGACGACCTGTCTTCTACAGGAGGACCCGCCTCCACGGCTCAGGTGCCTCCAAGAAAGTCAAGATATCCGTCGCCTTCTGGGCTCCCGCCAGCTGTGGTTCTTCCCAGAAAGTCGAGGTACTCCTCGCCATCTGGCCTCCCGCCAGCTCAGGTCTTTGCGAGGAAATCCAGATACGACTTTGTTTCCAAGGGGGACACCACTCCACAGACCAAGGACGCCATGGGTGATAGTTCTTTGTCCGAGTCGCCATCGCGCGGCGCGCCCAACGAGACACCAATACCCTTACCCCCGCAAGTGAAGCCAGGCTTTCGGCCATCGCCATCCCCAGCAGGTCAAGCATCAGCTCAGAGCAACGGCACGCCTGCAGACACGCCCTCTCGTCCCGTCTTGACAATGAAACGGACAGGTGGTTTCCACAAGCGACCCACGGGACATCCGCCTCCTTCACGCACCACTCCTGCTTCTAACAACGAAAAGGCTTCTGCTCAGACCGCGGAGTCTTCTTCTCCGCCCAAGACTGCCGAAGGTGCTGAGCCCGAAGTCTTGCGTGTGGTATCAGACGTTGTCGACACAAACGGCCGTGCTTACACGTCAACGCCCCCAGCGACAGCTCAGCAGCTTCTCAAGCGCAAAGCGGACGAGTCCCCTCCTGACCCTCATCCAAGCCAGAGACTGAGAACTTCGTCTGCACTTCCAACCTCGGACCCGGCGAACGGGACAAAGGAGACAGCTCTAGCTGCCGACAGGGATTCGGCTTCCCAAGATTCTACCGTCCAGGACTCCATGCTTGCCGGCCTCAGCAGCGAAGATGGCGATGCCGACCTCAATGCGGACCTCGATGCTACCCATGATGATTCCCTGGATGACGACGGTCCTGATGATGCGGAAGATGATGACCACTTATCGCTGGATGAGACAGCCCTCGATCTTGTCGACATGGATGAGAGCATGGCAGATGATGTGTCGTTTGTTTCCCAATCAGCTTCCACATCTGGCAGGAACCTTCGGGAGCGGCCACAGGTGGTCAACTCCATGGCCTCTAATGTCAACCCAAAGCAGCGTCACCCTCGCCTCGACTCTCGTGTGCCGGACGGGCTGGAGAAAACTCTGTCTGGCAGGGCATACACGTCTTGGCATGGTGAGATCCCCTCGTACTCTCAGACCATCGGCTTCAGCCGGCACGAAAACTAACACAGTATTAGATGGGACACGCCTCGTCGCTACGACAGGTGTACTGTTACCAGATAACTACAAGGTGAAGGTGGTGACCAATATGCCATGGATATGTCCCATCCGTTCATGTCGCCAGCTGTTCTACACGATGGGCAGTTTGAGTAAGCACTGGCAGGTATGCTCATCGCCCTGCTCATGCGACTGTAAGCCACTACATTACTAACGTGACAAAGAAAACACACTACCGATGCAAGTTGAATGACAACAGCGACGGAACGTTCTCGATCACGGGTCATTACGAGGCCACCTCAAGCACCACCAGGCTCTCGAGAACCCCAGCTGTCGTAGTGTCGAGGATGCCCCTGGATCCCAAGGAGCCTCCCATGGTGGAGCCGCATTATGTGAAGCCAACAGCCGTTGAGCCGAAGCCACAAGACAAGACTTTGCCTGAGACTCCTCGAGAAGGATCTCATGTGCTCGCCTGCACCACTCCAGCTGGCAGGCATCCCATGTGGCAAGTCAGGAGGACCCTCAAGATAGCCTCGGACAACCGGCCCTACCATCTGTGGAAGAGTGAGTTCAACGATCGCTCGAGGCCTCCCTAAAGCTAACAAGCTTGGTAGATGACGACGGCCAGCTCATCAGCGCTTCTGGAGCGTTGATACCCGCGAACTACACATTCTCTACATACCCAGGCCATCCTTGGGTGTGTCCCATCCGGGACTGCAGGCGTGTCTTCAAGAAGTTACTCAACCTCGGGGTGCATTTTATCAGAGTATGTTGGGGGTATCACCAGTCCAACCCCATAGGCCCGGCTACTGACAGCATCTAGAAACACCCTGGTCGTATCTTTAATGACAACCAAGACGGCACGCTCTCTGACATAGGTTCTTACAAAGTACCCGGTGGATCCGGTGCCAAGACGCTGCCTCCTCGAGTTCTCACGTCCAAGCCTCTGAGCCCCGACGAGCCTCCAATGGCTGAGGAGGGGCCACCTTCTGCGGGTTTTGTAACAAGCCAGACACCGATACCCCCGCCTCCAGTCCCGGCGCATCTTAAGAAGACGTATTCCACTTCTGGCGGCATGACCCTGGAGCCAGATACAGATTGGCAGCCTCCGCCGTTGACAGCTGCCTCCTGGGAGACGTGGCGATATATCGCCCCTTACCTCCAGAAGCACAAGGGCGATATCATTCCCGACACTGGCCACCTTCGGGAGCTCCTCTCCCAACCCCGCATCCGCGATATTGCAATGAACGCGGACTACATCAAGTATCACGACTCCATACCCAAAGACATCTCGGCAATGCTCATCAACCTGACTGGAGAGCAGGCCTCGGAGCCTTGTTCAAGATGCCGGGAGGGGAAGGGACCCTTCAAGGGTTGCTTCGTGCTGAAGACGACTTCCCCTGTCAACCAGCAGCGATCGATCCTCAGCTGTGGCAACTGTCTGTATCATAGTAATCAGACGAGCTGCAGCCTCAGGCAGGCCCTTTCTGCTCGGGTGATGGAGCTATTCCCCGATCCCACCGCCAAAACCGAGCATGACTACTGGAGCCGGCACCACTGCTCCATGGCCATGAACTGGGCAAAGTACAACGAGAACAAGCGCCTGGGTTTGGTCAAGCCCGATGCTCTCCCGCCCTCCAACACCAAGAAGGCCGCGCCACTCCCGAAGACCCGCCAGGAGCCGCCGGTGCACGAGGACTCCGACTCTTCCGCATTTGGGGCTAGGCGGTCCGGACGGATCAGCGCGATGGGGAGCACGGGATCGGAGACGGAGAAGCAGCAGCCCGCGTCAAAGGCAGTCTCCAGCCTGCGCAAGTCGACCTCGTCGCTCGCGGCTGCGGGCACTTCTTCTAGGGATGCAGGACCCCCCGGTGATATTGACCCGCACATCGCTGAGCTCTCGGCGCAGGCGACAGCCACTCTTTTGGCCCGGTGTGCCAATGCCCCATCTGCTGCCGGAGCGCTCGCGTCGTCGTCGTCATCTGCACTCGTCTCTACGGGGCGTATCGCGCCCACCATGACGGCAGAAACCCTGGAGATGGAGGACTGGGAGATGGCGCCCGGACGGATCCGCAGCGTGGCGTCTGGATCTATCGACAGTGAGTTGTTCTCTCCTTTCTTTCCCCTTGCCATTAATCCCCCCCCCCCCCCCCCCATCGCCCTTGTCCCTCTTTCTACCCTTGACACATCCCAGCCATACTGACACCTTGTGCGTGCGCTCTTTCCAGACATAGCCTTCTCCAACCCCTACCTCACCACGAACCAGGCCGTCCCCGTCGACGACGGCATCGCCTTCCGCGTCGAGGTCGTCCGCGCGGGCCAGTCGCGCCGCCTCGGCCCGGAGCAGGGCGCCACGCGGATCTGCTCCCTGGCCGCCGGCAAGCTGCGCGTGCGCGTCGACGGCGAGGCCCCCGCCGCGCAGTTCTCCATCGGCCCGCACGGCATGTTCAAGCTCAAGCCCGGCGTCGGCGCCACGGTCGAGAACAGGCTGTACATTGACAGCGTGCTGCACATCTCGAGCGTGTCGTGTTAAGTACACATCCTGCATGCATGCACATCGGAAGAGAAGGGGGGGGGACTGTGTTTGTACGAACATCATTGTCTTTTTTTTCCTTTCTTTTCCTTTCAAGGCTTCTTTTGACTGTCTACACTGACGGTAAGGAGCTCATATGCTGTGGCCTTGGTACATGATTTGGGGAGTCAAGAGGGAAAGGCTCTTTCAGAAGGGGATATACGTCATTGACGACGATCAATCTTCTTTTTCCGTGCGATGTGTTCACATCGATGTTGTACATTAGCACATATACCTCTGTTTGTGTCCTCTGACACAACCCCGATCTGTGCCCTGCATGGATTGACAATGATCTTCGCCTGTAACAAAAGATTATCCTCAATTGTAATAAAAGATTACTGGAAGTTCTCTAGATTGTCATAGTGAGGTTCTATGATCTTTGTCTCATTGTCATCTGGTAATGCAGTATTTGTATGTCTAAGCTCGCTTGCAACAATCATCAAGGCGAAAAGAGTATGTAGAGCAAACAATTCCCCAATCCTAATCCCCAACTCCCCAGCCCACCAGAAACTCCATACGCTACAGTATCCGCCCATCAAGCCAAGCAGGTCTTCTACCATTCTACAACAACAGCCACACACAGCTCTATCCCAGGATAGCAGGCACACAAAACACCCCTCCCTCTTTAATGCGAGATATACTGAAACACAGCCGACACCTCGCTCTCGCCGCACTCCTGCCGCAGCAGCAGGTCCTGGATGGGCTTGAGCCCCTCGTTGACAAAGTGGTTCCACGTGCTCGTGTCGCCGTAGAGCATGGCGGGCGCCTTGATGAACTGCTTGCCGTCGGGCTTGCACCGCTTGCACTTGAACGTGTCGTGCGTGTCGCTCGTCGTGTCGCCGCGGTACTGGAACAGCTCGCGCAGGCTGTCGAGCGAGAAGTGCCGCTCCACGTCCTCGGCCGAGTCGACGACGCACGACGACAGGCTCTGCTTGTGGGACTGCCGCTGGAAGATCTTCTCCTCGATCGTGCCCGTCGCGATGAAGCGGTACACGAAGCAGTCCTTCTTCTGGCCGTCGCGCCACACGCGCGCCAGGGCCTGCTGGTCCGCGGCCGGGTTCCAGTCCGGGTCGAAGAGCACGAGGCGGTTGGCGCCGATGAGGTTGAGGCCGCAGCCGCCGGCTTTGCTGGACAGCAGGAAGACGAACTCGTCGCCCTCCGGGTCGTTGAACTTGTCGACGAGCTTCTGCCGCTTGTTGACGTTCATGGTACCGTCGAGGCGCAGGCAGCCGTAGGCGCGGTTACGACAGAGGCGCTCGAAGAGATCGAGCGTTGACGTGTAATTAGAAATGAGGACAATCTTGTCGTTCGTATCAGCACGGATTCGGGCGAGCATGCGGTCCAAGACCTGCATCTTGCCGCTGTACCAGGGCTTGACTTCTCTGTCGCGGCCGCGCGCCTCCTTTGGCACGTAATCCTCAGGGTAATGCTGCTCGGAGCCAGGCAGGTCCTCGGCCAAGTTGAGCAGATCGGGGTGGTTACATAGCTTCTTGAGGATGTTGATGGCCTTGAGGGGCTGACTTGACTTGCCGCGCAGCAAAGCCTGGATGTCAGGAGATGTGATAAAGTAGTTGTAAAGGTCAAGCTGGAAGGGAGCAAGGTTGCAAAAGACGACGTGCTCATACTTGACGGGCAGGTATTTGGACAAGATATCATTGGTGCGACGAATGATGAACTTGTTGACGACACCCAGAAGCTCAGCGAGGCACTCGTCGCCTTTTTGCCTCTCTTTTTCGGAAGCATCGGCATCTCGGCCTCGCAAAATAGGAATTTCGAAGCGCTTGCGGAATTCCAATCTGGTACCGAGCAGGTCCGGGTTGGCGAAACTGATGAGGGCGAAATACTCGGACAAGTCGTTCTGGATCGGCGTACCAGAGAGAATGACTCGACGGGAGACGTTGAGATTGTTGAGCGCACCAAACGTCTGGCTGTCACCGTTCTTGAGCCGGTGGCCCTCGTCGCAAAGCATCAAACCAATCTTAGTGTGCTTGAGAGCTTCGACGTTCAATCGAAGAGTCTCATACGAGACAATGATGACTGGTCTCGTCACTGCTCGCCCACTTGCAGTCGACCATTGGTGCAGCTGCCTCGTCAACTCCTCTTTAGACGCCTTGCCGTCGATCGCGAACGGCGTAATGGCATCAGCGCCGAGCCATTTCGTCAGCTCGTTTGCCCAATTGCGCACCAGACTCGACGGGCAAGCCACAATGGCTTTTTGAATCGTCGACTTGCCCGCATCCGGCGACTGCTTCAGCAGGGTCCACAGCAGAGTGATGCACTGCAATGTCTTTCCAAGACCCATCTCATCTGCCATGATGCATCCATTCGCCTTTTCATCGATCATGCCAGTAACACATCGATACATGAATTTCACGCCCTCAATCTGATGTGGCCGGAGAACTTTGGCGAGCCTCGGGTCGATGACGACGGGTACTCGGGGATGTTCGCCTTCGACTTTCTTCTTGATACCCAGAATCTCGGCCAAACTCTTGTGCACAAGAGGGGCATCGAGCTTCGTCTTCTCTTCCTCCTTACTTTCTTGCTCCTTAGGCTTGTCGGTAATCTTAGGTTTGTCATCGATAGTTGGGTCATGGAGCACAATGGCAAACTCGCCGGTCGGGTCATGTAGTGGCTTGGCCACGAAGACCGCTCCCTGCCGCAGACCCAGTGTCGGAGGAGGTCGGTTTGGGTTGTACGAAGCCGTGTTCTTGTTGAGAAGCGGCACAGCAAATGCTTTGCGGAAGATGGTTTCCTTGTCTTTGACTTGGAAGACGGGAAATCTGTTGGCGTCGCGATTGGCAAGGGCTAGCCGATCGTCGTTTGTGTAGGGTTTGTCCGCTTCGGCATCACCATCAGCTCCCTTGTAGTCGACTCTCCTCCTCTTTCGGGCAGGTCGGTCAGTTGCAAGTGATCTCGTAGCAGAGCCGGGACATTTGAAAGGCCGGTGCAGCTTGTCCACTGCTTGCGGGGTGGGAAATCTTCTGCCAGGCTGCTTCAGGTGCTCCTTGTCGCCCTTGGGCGTCGCGAGGACGTTCCTGGGAGTTGTGTCAGCCATGGCAGAGTGTAGGAAGATAAAGAATGCGGTTCTATCTGAACATTAGGTCAAGACTTACATCTTGAATCAATCAATTGGCCTCGGGATTCCTTCAACTTGTCCAAGTTTCGCCACTTTCCCGCTGCGAATTTGCTAGAATTGAATTTGGCTACACCCGTTTGTTGACTTCGGATGGCAAGCGCGACGGACGCGTTTGGGGCCAGGCACGCTATCACGTGGCTTTCTCGTCCGCTCCAGGCACCCAAGTTTTAGCGGGGCGTTGGCAAAATTGTACGGAATCTAGGTACATGTAGTGCATGCATCAATTTGTGCACTGACGACTGGTGACATCTATGGGCTCTCCTCGTCAAAGCACCCCGACGACATGAGCATTCTCATACCGTTTTCGTATTGCCTGAGAAATATGACCGTTTCATTTTTTGAAGCCTCAAGACGGCCCGGTCGTGTTTTATGGTGTGGAAGAGATGGGTTTTATTACATTTTGAGATTAGGACCAGTGAATTTGATTTAAAGTTATCGAGTACGAAGCTCTCCCCGATCTTTCATCACCTGGCAACTGTCTGTTTGAATAAACGACTCTTCGTCGTTTGATTCACGGATCGATTCCCTTCCATCAGACGTCGATTTATCGAGAACAGCCAAGAGAGGACAAGCACCTTTGCAGTAGCGTATCGCCCAAAGGGTCTGACAACAAAATATATAGAGCCATGAAGTAGTCGTGCCAACAGCAAGAAGGCTCCGTGGTGATCCCCGACTCTGACACCGCTTTCGCTATCACCGCGGAGAGTGGATGTCATGATGATGTACGTTCATTAATATTTCAGGCCATAGGCGCATCGCAAAGCTCAGGTCTGGGTCGACTCCAGCGCCTACCGTTGGAGTTTGCTTTGTTCAATCTGCCTCTCTCTCGACATCCAATCAGCCCTGCGATTCAGTCAGGTAAATCGGAGAGCCCGGCAGTGCATTGCAAGCATTCCCCAATGCCGTCAGCTCGCCAAGCATGCCCTCGAATGCATATGGGCACTCTATAGAACACGCCTTGCACTTCGCACCGCTGTTCTTTCTCTCCAAGCAACCCTGTCCACTGAGCATTGTGTTTTATGTGGTCTATTTGGTGGTTTCGTTTTTCTCCCAACCTGTGCTCGTTACTGTTTTCAATGTATCGAATCGGCTCCATCTCTTCGCGTCGTACCGCTCCAAGCAATCAGCAAAGTGGCAGGCATGTCAAGCTGGCAGCCCAAAAAAGTCCAGGGAGGTTTTTATATCGATTCCCGGGAGATATTCGTCGAACTTCGCCCTATTGCGTAGGCTAGAATGTGCTGTATCTGGACAATATGCCCTCGAAGTATTCCGAAACATGTGAGAGATGCCGGTTGCATGAGGTGTAGCAACCCTCCTACATTACACTTCATGGAGTTGCAGATATCAGACATAATAGTCCATTGCTCGCACACGAATTTCAAAGAGAACAAGTCTGTTCAACTCATGCGCTGGGTGTCAGGGTCTGCCAGTGCCTTTCGCGAACGAAAAGGGATCTGAGATCTTTGCCACTCAACAGATGCACGCATTATCCTGACCTCGAATCTAGCAATGTTGCTGAAGTAGGTATTTTTGTAGTGCAGGAAGTTATGGGCTGGGCTCGGGCGGTTTTGGGGGAGGGAATGCTTTAGGTAAGGCGCTGGTTGGCTGGTCCAAGCTTCCTTGAAGAACTTGTCTATTTTGGGAAAGATGTAAACAGACGCGCCCAATGGACCTTCCCGGCACGGGCCCCCCACTGGCACGGTACTCTTACACGCTTCAATCAAAGCAAGAACGTCAAAGTATCGCGACATTCCGGATTTCCCAGCCGCTTGCTAGCTCTACCTTACCGCTTCGCACACGACATTTTTGTTTGTTACAGCGTTATAAGGAAGCATTGAAAAGTCTGAGCATTCCTTGTTTTTTGCCACTTTTTTGGCAGACAATTCCCAAGAACCATCCATGAAGTGGACGAGGCCAAACAACGCGCCATTCCGATAACTCCTCCCCACCAACCTTGGAAGCCATCACGATGGTTCTTCCAGGCTTGGACGGCCTGGACACGCCCAGGACGAATGTTGGGGACGCGACATACCTCAAACAACCAGACTTTGACATGACACAGGAGCCGTCATTTCAGTCCCCCTCGAAAGACAACAACATATTTCAGACGATACAGAATGGCGGTCGGCCGAACCTCAGGACGCCACGCGGTGGACGGGGCGCCCTCGGTGAGAGGAGGAATCTTCCTGCCGGTTTGGGAGGCGCCGAGTTCACCCCAATGCTCAAGTCGGCAACACGAAACAGCGCGCGACGATACCGTGGAAAAGAGAACGGTTTGGCCACCCCGGCTTTCCTCGACAAGATCAACGAAGACATGACACCCGTCCCCGACATCAGCTCCTTCGGTGCTTCGCGAAACGGGTCCTCCTTCATGGACGCGACCCCCCTCCCTCAGGTCGAGAGCAGCAGCGCGGCATCAACGCCTCTGGTCATGCGTACACGGGTAGATGGCAAAGGACCCCTACAAGATGGGAACCAGCTTTCGCTTCGAGAACAGGAGAACGTCATCGATAGGATCGAGAAGGAGAATTTTGGGCTCAAGCTGAAAATTCATTTCCTGGAAGAGGCACTGCGCAAGGCCGGCCCCGGCTTTAGCGAAGCCGCACTCAAGGAGAACACCGACCTTAAGGTGGACAAAGTTACGATGCAACGCGAGCTGCAACGTTACAAGAAGCACCTGACCACAGCGGAGAAGGAGCTTGAGGGCTATCGGCAGCAGATTCTCGAGATGCAAGACAAAGCCAAGAGGAAGTACTTGGACGAGAATCAACGCGCTGAGCTAGAACGTCTGCGCCAAGAGCTCGAGGACAAGGAAGCCGATATCGAGGATCTACAGAGACAAGTTGATGGGGATCAACAAGACAACGACCGGTTAGAGAAACTGCAGGACGATATCGCTGACCTGGAAGCCGAGATCCGCGAAAAGGATCGGATCATCAGTGAACATGAGGACGAGCTCGACGACCTCAGGGCTAAAGCCGATTCTGCCGAGGACCGGATGAAGGATGCTCAGCGTCGCATCATTGAGCTTGAGGAGCAAGCGCGATCGAGTGAGCAACTAGATGAGGCCAAGGATACCATTGAGGATCTAGAAGCCAATATCCGGGATCTGGAGCAACAACTTGACAGTATGAAGGACAAACTCGAGGAGGCGGTCTCTGAGAAGGATCGCGCGGAGAACGACCTCGAGGAACTCCAGGAGGAGATGGCCAACAAGTCCGTCGTGACCAAAGGTCTTTCTCGCCAGGTGGAAGAGAAGGTATCTCGTCTCCAGAATGAGCTGGACAACGTCCGCCAGGAAAACTCAGAACTGGGGCAACAACTCGAGCTGAAGCGGAAAGAAAACGACGATCTGAGGAACAAGGTCAAGGACGCGCGCCAAGAGCGTGACACAGCCGACCGAGAGCGCCGGGTGCAGGCCGCCAAATTGGAGGAAGCCCAGAACGAATTGCACACAGTACTTGATCAGAAAGCCCTTCTGCAGACTCGCCACGACGCACTAACCAACGAGTCGGCGTCCTTGCAACGTGACGTCTCCAAGCTGCAAAGGACTGTGGCCCAATTAGAGGACGACCTTGAACGTGAAAAGCAACACGCGCTCAACATCGAACGCGACATCCGCTCTCAATACAAGACCGAAATTGATCGCCTGAACGATGATATTTCTGACCTTCAGGCAGAGGTCCGCGAAAAGGAGAATCTCTACGATAACGACAGTGAAAAATGGGAAACTGAGCGACACAATCTCGAGTCTGAGCGTGATCGTGCCGAGGAGCGGGCCGCTGGCCTCCAGCGAACGATCGAGAGGCTGCGCGAAACCGAAGGGACACTGAGCAGCAAAGAAACGAAGCTGCAGGAGGCAATCCAGAGTGAGACTGAACGGCACCGCAGCGAGGAAGCTATTCTCGGCCGACAGATTGCCGATCTGCAGCAAGACTTGGAAGGGCGACAGGTGCTGCTTGAGAGTCTGCGGAGTGAGCTATCCACAGTTCGGGATGAGCTTCGTCAGACCGGCCTCGACTACCATGCCCAGACCAAGAAGGTCGAAAGCCTAGAGGATGAGCTCGATGTGCTTCAAGCCGCATTAGACGAGTCCGAGAAAGGTGGAAGGGATTCCATTTCTATCAAGCAAGAATGCGACGACCTCAGACGAAAGCTGGCAGCGGCAGAAGCGGCTACTAAGGATGTCCGTGTCTCTTCCTCTGCTACGCAGGAATCAGCGAGGCACAGCAATGAACTCGCGGATAAACTCAAGTCCCAACTGACCGAGTCGACGTCAAATCTCAGCAAAGTCACCAAGGAGAAGCAGGCACTACAAGACCAGCTCGCGAACCTCAACATCGAACTTCACTCCCTGCGTACCTCGGTCGCCGAGACACAGGCTGAACGTGATGAGATTGAAGGCCAACTCCGGCGCTTCAAGGCGCAGGGCGAAGACACGTACAAGCTTGATCAGGAACGTATCGACCTCCGGACAGCCAAGATGAAACTCGACAATGAAGTCAGAAGACTCAGAGACGAGAACAGGTCCCTGGTTGATCAACGCCAGGGTCTTGAGAAGTCGCTGGAGGACGAGATTGAGAAGGCCGCAGCCGAAGAAGAACGCCTCGGTCTAGAGATACAGCAGCTTCAAGCCAAGCTCAGACAGCACTCGGAGTCACAAGACCTAGCTACTGCGCGTCGCACCATCCGTGAGCTGGAGCGGCGCATTCAAGATCTTGAAGCGCAGCTGGCGGCTACTCAGACCTTGCCCAATCTCAACATCGGCGATAGCTCCGAGCTGTCCCTCATGCGCCGCGATCTATCGGAGGCACGACAAAAGGAACGCGACTATCTCCAACGAGAGGCCTCTCACAAGGAGACCATCAAGACTCTCAAACGCCAAATAACCGATCTCGAGCGAGCCGCACACCAAGCTGAGATCGATCGCCTGATTGCCTCACCCAGATCGGACAGCAGCTCCGCCCGCAAGAGCGAGGTCTCTGAGCTCCGCCACCAGCTGTCTACAGCACATCAGTCCCTGAACGAGTTCAAGAAGTTGCTCCGCGAGTCAGAGCGCAAGGCCGCGTCGAAGGAACGCGAGCTGCAAACGCGTCTCGAGGAAATTGACGACGAGCGTATGGCGCTCGAGCAAGCCCTCGACGACGCAGAGGCTGTCGCGGCCGAGGCGGCCGAGACACACATCCAAGAGCTCGCCCGCCTGCAGAGCAAGACGGACAAGTACAAGCGCGAGCGCGACCAGTACGCGGCCGAGCTCGCAGCGGCCCAGCAGAACAACTACACCGGAGGCAGCAGCAACGGCGGCGGCAGCGAGGTCAGCAAGGAGGAGCGGCGGGACCTGCACGCCATGCTGCGCAAGACGCAGGTCGAGGCCGACGGCCTGGAGCGCGAGGTCCGCGAGGTCCGCGACGCGCTGGCCGAGGTGACGCGGGCCGAGGAGGCGCTGCGCAAGAAGCTCGACCGGGCGCGCAGCGAGCGCGCCATGTACCGCGCCGACGCCGAGAGGCTGGAGCGTCAGGTCAAGTCGCTGCAGGTCGAGCAGGCCGAGGAGGCCGCCGCCCTGGCAGCGGCCGACGTGTCGGACGTGACGCCGACGACGGGGGCCGCCGCGGTGGATGCGGACGCGCTGGTGCGCGCGTCGGAGCAGCAGCAGCAGAGGCACAGGAGGGAGCTGCGGGCCATGTGCATGCAGGCCGAGTGGTTGCAGGCGCGGTGGGAGCGCGAGCACAAGCTGCGCAGCGACGCGGCGTTTGCCAAGCGGTACCTGCTGCTCGAGCTTAGCGTCAGGGATGCATGGTATGTTTTTTTTGTTCCTTTCACCTATGTGCCAAGCACTTTTTGCTAACTGAGATTTCTTTTTCTCCCCTCCTTACAGCAACAAAGCCGACCTCGCAGCCCTCAAGAAGATCCTCGTCGAGCTCGGCGTCGAGAACTTCCCGCCCCCGGCCTCGCCGGCGACCCTACCCGGCAGCAACAACAGCAACAGCAACAAGCGCAGCTCGTCGTCGGCCGCCGCCGCCACCATCATCGGCGCCGGCGCGCGCAGGGCCGCGACAAACACGATCTCGTCCCCTGCGCTGCGCAGGCTCGCCATCGTGCTGCGCTTCGTGGCGCGGGCGCGCCTCGCCGCCGGCAGGTGGGCCACGCACCAGGCCTCGCGGCAGAGGCTCGTCGCGGCCGCGACGGAGGAGAGGAAGGAGGCGCGCTTGGCCCGCCTGCGGGGGGAGTGGCTGGCCGGCAGGAAGGGCGCCGCGTCGTCGTCGTCGTCGCCGCCGTCGCCACCGCCTATTGTTCCGGCCCGGGAGCGCGTGCCGTCGGGTGGTTCTGGTGCCGCGGCGGCGTCCAAGAGGCGGAGCGGCGGGGCCAGGGCCTGATGGACGGGGAGACTTCTGTCGTCGTCAGAGGGGAGAGTGAAATTGGCATAGGTGCTCCATGGGAGACGACGGGATGGGTGGTTCTTGTTAATTCATTGTTCATACCGGTTCATGTCGCCATTATCTCCTTCTCTTGTTTCTCCCCCAGGTTTCTATCCATTACTTGCATGAGCAGAGAGGGAGGGAGGGTACGGCGGAAAAGAATAACTGGGTTTTTGAGGGAAGGGAGAGGCGTTCTTTTGTTTTTTGTTATATTGCGGCGCCTTGGTCATCGAGGGGGCATTCTTGTTTTTTTTATCTGTCTATTCTCTCTCTTCTTTGCTGCCAGAATGGCCTGCCAGTCTAGGTACTTATCACGCCGTTACGACAAATGTCAAGCATGTCTTTTTTCTCTCTTTCTCTCTTCAGTAGCATTACGGGAAACAAACTTGTCGTAAGTGATTCTTCGCCGTGCATGCTGCTGGAAAGTAGGGATAGTCTTGGTTGGCCTCGCCTCATCGACAGGACACAACAGCAAGATTGGAAAAGATTGCTTGGTATTAAGAGGCAGCCTACATCGATGTGACTATTTGCCCATGCTTTTTTGCCCATCCAGAAAAGAAGAAGAATAATAATAAAAACCAGGGAGAAAATCTTCAAAAGTCATTCCCAATTCAAAACGCTATGTTCCAGTATACCCAAAAGAAAAGGCCAACAAAGACCAGAGACGACAGAAAAGAGACGGAGAAAATGTTGTCGTTCGTGTAAAATCATGGCCCCCCTTACCCATGCCCAGCACGACCCCGTCGCCCCATATGTGAAAAGATCCAAAACAACGAGAGTAGATGACCGGCGCTATATTCGACAAGAAAATTCTCTGCCCCCGAGGATATCATCCGTGCCCACGCTAAACAAGTATGCCGCCTCCAGGTCGCAACATCGGGGCCTGTTACCGAGAGAGAAGAAAGAAACGTTGCATATACAATGTTGGATGGGGGAGAGGGGAAACACCCCCTTCAGTAACCTCCTCCTGCTGCCCCTCGCGCATAACGACAGAGTGTTTCGTGATCCACTGGTGAGCCAAGTATTTACATGACGAAGAGAACGTTAGTGTCTATTGCCCTGGAGTTAGTAATGGACCTCAGGTAAAGCTGGTTTGCCGAAAATTCCACAATGTCTTACTCAGTGGATGGGAGCATGACAGCTGCGGCTTTTGGGTGTAGCGCGTGGCCAGCTCGTCCCGAATGCTGTTGAGCAGCTGCACGTAGCTCTGTTGAGGGTTCTTTCGGAGGGCCGTGATGAAGGCCCAGGACATGGCGCCGGTGGCTTGCGAGGCAATCGTGGCATCAGCCCTGTGGACAGGAATGTGTCAGTGCATGGTGCCCAGGAAGTTGGCATGTACGTGTCCGGTCAGAGACGGGGTCTGGAATGGATGAGCAGTCGATCCAACCTAACTCGTCGCCCTAGATTCAAAGCAGCAGCTGCAGGATGAGCTGTGCTTGGAATCTAGGGCGTGAGGGCCAGAGGATGCAACTAGAATACATGCAAGTTATGTGCTTATGGATCACTTTGTGCGCCCCAACACCAGAGAGCCCTAATGCCATCCTTCAATGCCAATCCCTCCAAGAGAAAAGAGGACACGGTGGAAACAATCATACACGCGGGAAAACAAAGAAAGGGTATACGAACGAGGTTTGGTCATCTTTACTGCCAGAAAACATGACGACATCGGCAGGAGAGGTCTTGGTAGCGAGGGCGCGGTTGTGTGCGTCTTCGCCCGTGGTGGCTTTCTTGAAGAAGCCCACGATGTTGTTGGCCACACCGCTGAGATCGCCCTGGCTGTAGGAAGAGATGACTCCGAGAAGGCCTTGGCCAGCTTCCTTGGCCAGGTTCGGCTCCTTGAGGATGCCCTGGGTGGAGTAGATGTACGGTAGATCGAGTGCGGTTCCGGAATGGCACGAGTCGAAGATGGCAGTCAAGCGAACACCCGCCTGTAGCGGCTGGACCATGATCCGGTGCATTTCGTCGTCGGTGATGTGGCCGACTTGGCGGAAGTCGACAGGATAGATGACTTCATCGTAGCCATCGGGCTCATCTCCATCCAAATCCTTCGTTTGCCCGCCGTGACCTTTGGTCTTCTGTTAAAACATCTGGCGATGAAAAGGCTTTGGTCGCAAACAACTTACCTGAGTAATGGAAGAATAATGAGTCGTTCGGCCGAGCATCCTTGACGAGCCAGTGCATGGCCCGGAGGATGTTCTGCTTGGTAGGTTGGCTCATGGGGTTCTGCTGGTCGTCGGTGAGGATGACCATGTCCTCGCGCTTATAGCCAAAGTGTTCGCACAGGTAGGCCGACATGTTTCTGACATCGTTTATGCAGCCACGAAGCTGTCCGCGTTGGCCAAAATAGTTGATGCCTACGAGTAAGGCCTTCCTCCTTCCGGTGCACTGGGAGTACTGAAAGTTGTAGCCAGTGGGAGCACCATGGCCGAACTGCTGAGGTTGTGCGGGAGGTGGAGGCGGGCCGGCTCTCCCTTGTTGACCACCGAATGAGCTTGAGTTTGGGCTTGGGGCTAAGCGCAGTCACGGTTTAGTATGCACACTGCTGAACCGCGACGTTTTGGCACGGATTCCAGGGCTTACCAGGGCGGCCATATTGGCCAGGAGAAGGCTGGTTGTAGCCGTACTGTTGTTGTGGTGGTTGCTGCGGGGCACAATGTGAGCTGCTTGATACACAGGTCATACTGTTGAAGGAAGATCAACGGACCTGGCCGTAGTACGGCTGTTGAGGCGGCTGCTGGTAGCCGTAGCCAGGTGCTCCCCCTGCTGGGGCACCTTGAGGGTAGCCGCTATAGCCTTGCTGAGGGCTATATATCAAGGGTCAGCATGACGAAGCGAAAGGCAGTCAACGGGCGCAGAAGGGGTTGGGCGTACGGGTAGTAACCGCCTTGGGGCGGGTACTGTCCAGGCGGAGGACCGCCGTAACCACCGTGGTATCCCTGGCCCGGGTACCCAGACATAGCAGTCGGACGACAAGTGTTTAGGTAGCGCGAGGAGGACTAGATGCGGTGGTCGGTCAGTGCCGAAAGGGCCCTTCCCTAGGGATTGAGGTTGTTCCGAGCGTTCGAGACTGTGCGATTTAGGAGACCGATGAGGGAATAGACGAGGATTTCGGTTTTATAGACCTGCACGGCCGAGTCACTTCGGGGGCTGAGTCGAATCGATGCCTCTGGGGATGTGTGCGAAGGTTATGTCGGTAAGTGTAGAGAAGCGGGCACGGATGTGGCCGAGGGTGTAAGCTTTGAGCCTGCTGTACGAAAGACGATCAGAGACGGGAGCAAGTCTCAAACGGGACAAGGCGGTATGGTATTAGGCGGGTAAAGGTAATGATGAACACGGACAGATATCCAGGTACATGGGATTCTTGACTTTTCCGGGCCCGACGCAGAGGCAGATGCAGGGTAGCCAGCAGAAGAAGCCCAAAGAGAAAGAGGGCGACCGGGGTGGGAGAGGAACAAGATGGCGGGGGACTGGCGCCAAGAGTCGCGGACCTACTGTCAAATAGCAGAGCTAGCTGAAGTTTGCTGCAACGTCTCTCCCAAGGCGTCGCCGAGTGGACAGCAAGTCGTGGATCAGCCTTGGACTGAAAAAGTGTGTGATGCAAGAGGGGAGAAATGTCGTTTTGTAAGTAGAGAAGAAAGCTCCTGTGATCTTGGGTGGTGGTAGTGGTGGTGGTGCTGGGCAGTGGATACAGCCGGCAGGGTTGCGAGCTTGCGAGGTCGGTCAGAGGGTCTTTCGGGCGGCGGATGATGGCCAGGATGGATGGAGATGGTGGTGTACAAGTAGTAGTCGGAGTAGTAGTACAAGTAGTAGTAGTAGTACCTAGGTAGGTAGTTCCTGGTGGTGGGCAATGGATGAACCAAGTGGGATTGGCGGGCGGGTGACGGCGCCTCTTTTTGCTTGCCACTAACTGACGGGGAGGGAGAAATGATGATCAAATGTTCGGCGGACGGCGGGGCCGCGAGACAACCTGGTCCAGAGGACAGTACCTCAGTACCTACCTAACCTAACCCCAAAGCATGACCAAGCCAGAGCTACCTAACAGGTCGCTACAAGTGTGGCAGCACCACTGTAGAATTAGTTGCTTTCCTTCTGTCAGCCTCTAGAACCCTGCTCGCCGCCCTGATTGGCCCGCCGCCCGCACCTGGGAAATGCTGTCAACAGGCAAGATGGAAGATCACGGCGATCAGGCAGGAGCAACCCGAGGCCAACGATTGGTCCAATGGCGCCGTGGATGCTTCAAGTTCTTGCCTTTTGGGGGTACAGCAGCTGCTGCTGCTGGGCATCTATCTACTTTGTACAGGCAGGTACATTATTATCGGTCCTCTTTCCCCAGCCCGGCACTGCGAGATGATCATTCAAGGATCTTCATCGCCAACCTCACCTCCAGCCCTTCGTTCATTAGTTATCAGCCATACAAGCATCCTCGAGTCCCCTCCCCTCGACGATCTACAAATGTGGCGTCGGAGTCCTCTGAGACCGAGCACAAGCTGAGGGTCACCGGCCACCGTCATCAACGCGTCCCCCGTCATGTCTCAATCAGGTATTTTTTCCTCTTTTTTCTGGTGCTGGCCCCATCAAAAGCCGGTGCGTCTAAGCCACACCCGTCCAGCTGCACGAGGGAGAGCAGCGCTAACGCCTCCCCGACCACATGTAGTCTACGCAATTTCGGACGAGACGGAGATGGGCTCAAAAAAGGACACCAGGAAAAGAAACAAGAGAAAGACAGAGAGGACGAACATGCCCCGTTAAACCCGTCAAAACAGGGCCAGAGCAGGACGCTAATGTGCAACAGCGCCCGTGGAGCCGCCGCTGGTGCCTCCACCCCGACGAAGGCTCTTTGGTGAACATGCTGCCGTCCACCTCGGCACGCGCCAATTTCCACACTCGGTTCAGCTGCCATGGCCTGAGCTACCGGACACCAGTAAAACTCAATGATGCACCTATCAGAAATGCCCTGGCTAGCGACATTGCTCAAGTTCGAGGCCAGCCACCACCAATGCACTACTCTAGACTGAGGTAGCTGGCCTTGACCTGGACCTTGCCTACCAGGCTACCATCACCCAGCCCCAACCTGGCCGAGTTGGCCAAGCTGGCTGGTAGGTATGCAAGCCCTCATCCTGGCACCTAGCCACAGAAGAAAACTGTGATGCTTGGCGATACACACCATGACGGGGACGGCCCTCGCCATGACGACGATGATCACAATTCCACTCCAGGTCGAGACACAACGTTACCTGCCTGTCTGTATGTTGTGGATACCGCAGGTATACGGAGTGCAATTCAACTAGGCACATACCTACCTACGATAGTGCCGCGACAAAGACTACCGAGTACGAGATGACGTGCAGGAGCAAGCAGCCCTAGACACGGATGAATGAGCAACAACGGCACTGCAGCCGATGTTGGATTCACTCTAGAGCGGGACAAGACGGAGATGGTCTCGGCGGTTAGCTAACCCACCGACCGACCCACTCGCTCGAATCCCTTGGTGCTTCCGAGTCTTGCTTTCCAGCGCCCGTCGCCCAACTGTCGGCTATGCAACGGTGTTTGAGTCTCAGATGAAGGCTTGGCCATTCGGCGAGACCGTGCATGACGAAAACGCTCTCCACAATGGAATGTTGACCGCAAATGTGCATGCCCCGGCCAAAGCGCCGCGTATCCGCCCCGAGACAAGTGAAAAAAAAACGGCAAAACAACTCTACGGCAGTATTTTCAACTAGGTAATTGCCCAGCATTCGAAGAATCACATGGAGACGACGATGGCAGCCACCAGTCGTCATCCAAGCGAGGACCCCCGTCTCAGGTGAACAGTCCAGACCTCGGGCCGCCAAGCTCAGCTGCTTCAGGTCATTTTGATTGCAAAAGATGGCTTTTCGCCAAAGCATCATTGATTCGATCAATGAAATGCGTTTGCGAAAGGGAAATTTATTCTGCCGATGCAGTTCTCCCTTCCGGGACTAACGCCGGCGAGAGCGACAGCTGAGGCGCATGTCGGGCCAGTAAGCCAAGGGTCCAAAAGGCCAATGGCCAGCGATCCTGTTGCCAGGGTCTACCAGGCTGGGCTCCACCGCACGACCCTAGCTTACCGCGTCTCCGGCACCGCTAACGTGGTAAAACGTCGGCGAGCCATGCCGGCGCGCCGGAGTCGAGCGGCTGTGGCTCTGCACCGCAAAAGGAACCAGACGCAGCACACACCTCCCCGGAAGGAAAGTTCATATGGCCAACTGGACCAAGCTGCGGGCCTTCCCCCCTCGCCTGCCAGCCGTCTCTCTGCAGATGGTGCGGTCACATTCGCTGACAGACGTTGCACGGTCCGACTTGGAGAGAGGGCTCGGCAGTCTCTTTTGCTTGCGGCGCCACTCCATGTTTGTGACACAGCTGCCGTCAACGTCATGCGTGCGACTCGAAACGCTCACCGACTTTGCGGGCTGCATGAAACCGCTCCGGCTCACTCGACGCCTCTTTTCGTGTTGTGCAAGCCCGGAGGCACACTGGGATGGCGATGCCGGGTGTATTACGTGAAGCTTGACAGACCTCGGTTTTGAATAGAAGTCGAGCCCGGACAGGAACGCTTGAGAACCTGGTCTGTCAACGGCTCTGTACTTTCCATGTGAGATACAGACCGTGCATTACAAGCGTACTCGCACCGCTCTTCTCCCTCCAGTTCGTGGCATCTAGGTAAGCGTGTCATGTCAGTTCAGTCTTCATTGTTCCACTTCTGCCATCCATTCTTCTCTTATGCTCCGCCATTGGTTTCGTAATGGATCCAACGCTTTCTTTTCACTGAAGTTTGTCAGTGAAGAAAAAGACTTGCGCCACTCCGCGGCGAGTCGTCGACTATTCAAGCCACATTCTGCACGAGCACCCGTCTAGCACACAAGCTACCAGGCTATTGTGAGCTACACCACGCACGATAAGCCTTGCCAGACCCTTGCCATGCGTGGCATGGTTGCAGGATCTCCCTCCCTCCCCCGCGTTCCCGTTCCTGGCTGTCGGAACCACCGCTTGGTGGCCCGAATCGGCCAAGTGCTACTCTTGTTTTTTCCTGCAGTGACGATCCAGCCTTAGCCCCTTTGGGCAGGGGGGCAGGGACGGCTATGGCCGAAGCAACCCTTGGTAGTAGCGGCGTCTGGTCGAGGCTTGGGCTGCAGATATGCATACATACATACAACTCTGGCTGGCTAAAGCCTAGTCATCCTTTAGGGCTGACGGGGCGGGATGTGAAAGACCCGGGGGACTGGGGCGCGGGTTGGTGTCCCTGGTCCCGCGTGTCTGGTCTGTCCGGGGCAAAATGCTCCACTGCGTGATCGTTGTGGGTGGTGGTGGTGGTGGGCGAGTGAGTGAGTGCCTGGTTTTTGGAGACAGAGAGGTATTGTGTGATTGGAGGAGGTTTACAACGTGGCGGTGTAAAGTGTCAAGTCGCAGATGGTTTGTATCGGTCCTAGTAGACGACGACGGCAGGTAGGTTAAGATCTGTCCGGCACGGTTTGAGGTTGTGACTGCTTGGAGAGCCTTTCTCTATAGCCACTAGCTAGTTTCCCTGCGGCCTTCTCTCTTGGGTGAGTACGTTATGTCGCGTTGGCATCTAGGATGTTCCGGGAACAAAAGGGCTATGAATGACCTCCAGCGGCCTCTGCAGGATTGTGCATGAGCAGAACAACTCATTCTCGTGTTGAGCCTGAGGTAGATTACATCCGCCGAATGCTTCAAGCGTCTTATATGAAATAGATATCATATCAGGATTGTGGAGAATCAGGAGAAACCACATTGATATTGCTGAAATTGCAACATGACCTAGAGCAGGTGCTTGAGTCTGTTCCTATCCTAAGGTTTGCTGCAAGTCAGTCACGCAATTCGATGGGCAAAACTTGACTGTCATGCTCAAAACCACTTCGACCTAATCAGTGAGTGGCCTGCGTTCCTATCATCGAACCGGGATGGATGTGTCTAATAGTTTGTTCTGATATCATTACGATCAAGTTGAAATTTTCCGGCTTCAGCATATTATTACACCACCAGACCGAAAAAAAAAGGAGGTACACAGGCTCAAACATAAAATAACCAACAAATGAGAAACATAAAAAATCTATTATTCTCATGAAAAGTTATATCTTTTTAGCAAATACTACTTTATGTATAGCTAGCTACGTCGTGCCATGCAAATGGGGGTGGGTGGGTGCCTTCTATCCCACATCAATCAACCATCATCATCCCATCCCATCCATCACAAAAAGTTTCATCCACCCCCTTCCCTCCCTCCCCCCTTTTTCACGAGCCGCCCATCTCGACATCCCCACCGCCGCTCTCCGCGCCCTCCATCTCCCTCCCCGCAGCAGCATCCTCTCTCCCATCGTCGTCCCCATCGTCCCTGCGCATCAGCCACGCCATCATAGCCCACACGAGCTGCATGGCCCGCACCCGCTCCTCGGGCCGGAACAAGTCATACCAGGGACTGCGCACGACATCCACCCGGCCCCAGCTCCTCCTCATCCCCCTCCTCCTTCCCCCCGAGCCCTTCTTCGTCCCCATTTCCTCCCTCTCTCCGTCCCCCTCTCCGTCCCCGTCTCCGTCCCCGTCCCCATCAGAGACGTCAGCCCCGTCCGGCGCCCCGTCCAGCACCTCGAGCAGGCGGTCCGGCACGCGCACGCGCAGCACCGAGACGTGGTGGAACAGCGCCGAGACGACAAAGACGTCGTCGTACGCGGCGCCGCGGGCGCGCCCGACGGGCGCGTACCGGGCCTTCTTGTCCCAGCTGGCCGAGGGCGGGCGCACCATGCGGTAGTTGTCGTACATGGCCATGTTGCGCCTGGGCTTCTTGGCCGCCGGGGGCTGCCCCGACGACGACGACGAGAGCGACGAGGCGGTGAGCCTGCCGCCCGGGAGCGAGCGCACGGCCATCATGGCCCCGCTGGCGCTGGCGCTGCCCGCCGGCGGGGGCGGGCCGCGTGATGATGACGACGACGACGACGATGGCGGCGTTGAGGAAGACCCGCAGCCGCCGGCGCCCTCGGCCCTGCTGCTGACGGCCTCGTCGGTGTTGGGCGGCGCGCCGGGCCCGGACAGGGCGTCGATCTCGCGGCCGATGGGCCCGCCGCTGCCGCCGCCCCAGCGCGGCTTGGTGGCCCACCAGGCGCCCTCGCCGTAGCGGCGCTCCGTCTTGCCCTCGCGGGCGCGGTGCTGCGCCGTGAGCAGCGCGGCGACGAGCTCCCTCGCCAGGTCGATCGTCGACTCGCGGTCCGGGTCGACGCTCGGGTCGCGGCCGGCGGCGGCGGCGTCGTCACCGCTGCCTTCGGAGGAGGGCGGGGGCGGGAAGGAGGTCGTGTGGCGGGCGCTGACGGCGGCGAGGGGCCCCTCGACGATGCCGGCGCGGGCGGCCTCGCGGGTCGTCGGGGTGCGGAAGATGAATGTGCAGCCGGAGGAGAAGTACGAGCTGCGGCCCTTGGACGGGCTCGACGTGCTGCTGGCGGGAGAGGTCGGATCTGGTGGTGAGTAAGGCGCGCTGTTGACGTAGAGCCGGGGTTCTGTGCGCGGCGCCGAGACGTTGCAGCCAAAGTCGTAGGCGACGAGCTTGAGGAAGGCCGTGAGTATGTTCAGTCGGTACTCGGGCGGCATCTGGGTGCCTGTGCCGGTGCGGAAGAAGGGGTTTGCAGGTGTGGGCTTGTCGTCTTTGGCATCCTCGGACGCGGCGGTCTCGTTGTCTCCGTCTTGCTCTTCTGTCGCATTGTCGTCTGAAGACTCTTGGGGTGGATCCGCGGGCTTTTCAGGAGCCGATGTGTCGTCCCAGTGCGTAGCGAAGACCTCGAGGTTGCGGAAGAACTCGTAGGAGTTGCCTAGGCGGACCTGAGATTGACCGGGCGGCGGCTGCATTCGACGAACGGAGCGAAAAGCGGCTTCATTCGGCGTCGACAGCTCGGTCCTGCGGTCGAGATATGTCTGCACGCCAGGGGAGCTGTTGCCGTTGTTGAGGGGCCGGCGGGTCTGCTCGTTGACGTCCCGGGCTTGGTCGTAGGTGAGGGTGTTCCAGGCCTCGAAATTGGGCACGGAGGTCGTGTCGGGGATGATTTCCTCGAGCGGGGCATCGGGCCGGAGGTGGACGCCGAGGGCGTTGAGGTGCCTCATGCTCACCTCGGTGGGCCGGATGATGCTCTGGAGGACGGCGGGCAGCGGGCCGGGAGCCGGTGTGGCGGCGGCGGCGTCACGGTCGTCGGCTAGGCGCGGGAGGCAGCGGGGGAAGTGGACAGGAGTGGCGGGTGGGACATCCTTGGGAGGGCCGTTGGCTGCACTCGCATTGGGGACGGGGACTAGGATGCAAAACGATCAGACGGTGATGCGCTTTGACCAGTGGTAACCGGGAAAGCAGAGCTCCGGCGCAGAGGGTACAGCGGAGATCTGGAAGCTTCGCGGCGGCGATCACACAGGAACAGCATGAGGAGCTGGGCTGGCGGTTATGCCATGCCCAAGGACACACGCACGAGCTTGAAGAAGACGGCCCTCGATTCCGGGCGGGACGGCAGAAGAAGAAAGCACATGTTTTACTTACAGAGATGGGATAATGAGCCAAACATCGTGGGTCTCTGCGCTGCGGGGTGAGCCACCAAGCGAGGCAAGGAGAGGGAATTATTAGGTAGCGTGAGGCAGCGGACCCGGCAGCACAGAACTGGAGAGAGGCTTGGGCTGTCAGTCAATTGAGGGGGGACGTGAGAAAGACTGGCAGTCCGGGACTTGTCGCGATGGCCCGTGTATTCTATGCCAACGAGCTGCCAATGGTGTCTTGTGTGGATTGGCAGTAGAGAATGGATGAGTGGCAGATCATCATCAGGTCACAGAAGAGAAGCTAGCGAGAGAGAGAGAGAGAGAGAGAGAGAGAGAGTGAGAGTGAGAGGTCTTGTGCGGGTTTGGTGGTGAGCTGCGGTTGCATCAGAGTCGAGCTGGCTAGTGGCCGGGGGAGACCCTGACCGACTCGACTAGTTGATGGACCTTAGCTCTGGACGGGCCGGGAGGTGGATTGACGGGCAGAGACCAGAGACCAGAGTGAGTGAGGTGAGTGTGTGAGTGCATGAGCTGTTGGTGCTGTCAAAAGTCCATCAAGAGCGAGAGGGCGAGAGCAGTGGCGGACACAGGCAGAGTTGGTGGGCGAGGCGGAGGCGGGATGATGGGACCCCATTGGATCTTCTTCAGTGGATGAGTGTGGGTTGTGGTCGTGGGGGGTGGGGAACTACCTACCTAGGTACCTGCAGCTTAACTAAGCGTGCCGCTGCCGTTGGGCGGTCCCGGGCACAGGTCCCCATAAAGTTCCCACTGATGGATGATGAATGGAGGGGTCCACGGGGACGGGGGGTGCCTCAAGGATGAAGAAACTCATTGATGGCGGCAGGCTGGTGTTGATCTTGCCTGTGATCTTTGGGATAGCCCGGGCTGAAGGCTGAACATGGAAGATGGGATCTCGGCTCTGATATATGGAGATACCTGACTGAGCCTTCAGAATGCGATTGACAGAGAGTGGTTCCACGGATTGAGAATGAATGGGGAGGGGAGCTGCAGCGAGATCCCATGTGCGTGTAGGTACAGTTTCTCCTAGATGAGCGATATCGAACAAGTGAGATGCATACTCCGTACAATGTTGCTGCGTGTCGACGACTCTCGGTGAGAGAGAGATGCATGGATGATGCATCATGGACCGACTCGAGACGACCGTCAACCAGATCCAGCTGGCAAGTCCAGATGCCAGCCGTTGATTAGTTACCTAGGCGGTGAACAAGGAACAAAGAGCAGACGAGGAAGGTGCTCGAGATGCAGCACCCGGCCGGGTCCCTGCCACAAATGACATGTTCCCTCCTTCTCTTTCCCGCCGAGTCGAGTCGAGTCTTGCGCATGGACCCCACCCTAACTGAACCTCCCGTCAGGGGTTGAGCTCAGGTGCTATTTCTGGTGGCGTGGCGTGTGTGGCCACACGCCCCCAATCCCCAATCAATCCCCAATCAACCAAACTTCCACGATCGAGAAACGGCAGCCCTCGAGGGATTGGCCACTTTAAGCCAATTGACTTTGTGGAGTAGCCCGAATAACCATATCAATCATCTCCAAACAAACTTGAAAATGCTCACGTCTCGGTCCATGCCACTCAACTGCCTCGAGTCGTCGTCGTCGTGGCTTTGCCGCAGTGAGCGCGCGCTTTGGCAGCCGACCGACCCCCCTCTTCCTGAGGCGAGAGTGCTTCAAAAGTGTCGCAGGACAGGGGTCCGCACTCCAAAAGCGGCTGTCTAGCCTGCCAAGCCCGCCTCAGAACCACCAGGAACCCCTGCTCTCCATGAGGCTCCTGGTAGAAACGCCCTCTCTTCTCTGACAGCCCTCGTCCCTCTCCGCCAATCCCAGCTCGCCGCCGCCTCCCATCAAACACCACCCGGGCATCATCTTGCCACAGATGCCATGCGCGCACGGCCTCCCTCCTCTCGGAGGGGACAACCAAGTGGTCGAATGGCTGTGAGAGAGGGAGAGAGGGAGAGGGACAGGGAGAGGGGAGTTGTGTTAGAGGCAGCGAGTGGAGTCAGTCACAGTCTGTCAGTCACTCAGTCACTCAGTCACTCACTCACTCTGAATCTCAACAAGCAGCAAGCACAGGAGCCCGCCCCCCATGACAATCATCAGGATGTCGGAACCGTGGTAGCCTTGGTCCGGCCTGCCCGGACCAGCTCCCTTCCTTTGATTGCTTCTCCAGATCTTCCACTCCTCTTGTTTCTTCCATCACCAAACCATTCATCCGCATCAATGCTCATGGCATCGTCTCTTTACCCGTAGCCCGTTGTTTTCTCTTTCCTCTCCTAGCGAGAAACTTTTCCCCTTCTCTTCTCATGTCCAGATCTGTCCTTGCCTGATCTCGACCTCGATGGTCCTAGAGGCCAGCTTCTTCTTCGTTCGTCCCTAAACTCCTTCTTCTTGTACTTGTTCCATGTTTCCCTCTCTTTGATAGACTTTGATTTCTCGCGCGCGCGACTGGACTCGCCACCATAGAACGCCTTCTCGACCATGTCGACGAACGCGAACCTCCCTCCGGGAGCCTTCATCACCAGCATCAACGGGAAGAGGTGCACCGCAGTGCCCAAGAACGCCAATGGAGCGGGGAACGGCAACGCCGCAACGCGCTCCTCCGCCGTGCAGAGTGCGACCACGAGAGCCTCGACAACGGCCCAGGCCTCTTCGAGCCCTCAAGGCTCATCCAGCTCCTCAAGCAGTACGACGAGCTCCTCCCTTGTGCAGATAAGCACCACCACATCAAATCCTCCTCCTCCCCCATCGTCATCTTCACCACCACCACCACCACCACCGCCGCCGCCACCGCCACCACCACCTTCATCCGCCGCGTCAATATCAAGACCGGCTGCATCTGTGTCACTAGCATCACCACCCCCACCCCCACCACCCTCATCCTCAAGAGCATCATCCACAGTGATACATCCCTCACCATCAATAGCACTGCCCAACGCGGCCATCCCGGCGATACTTGTCCCCGAGGCAAGCAAATCGACGGCGGCTGCCTCCCCTGCACCCAGTGCCGTGCCCCCAGACTCCGCGGTGACTGCTGTACCCCAGACCAGTCGAGCTGATGAGAGCATACCAGCCACATTGGCTACAGTGCAAACCACTTCTCAACCATTAGCAATTAGCGAAGCCACGGGAACATCCGTAGCGGATTCAAAACCGCCCGCGGTGGAGTCGCCCACCATCTCTGACGCAGCAGCGCCCCTTTTCACGACAATCGGGACGGCAGCCCCCTCGAAGGGCGCCAACGGGGCGGCGGTCGGCGCCAGCACCGACTCGACATCGACCGACGCAGCAGGCAATTCCGTCTCCTCGTCCGGCGGAACTTCGGCAAGCACGACCATCGCCATTGCAGGCGGCGTCATCGGTGGAGTGGCTCTGCTCAGCCTGGTCGCCTTCCTCTGGTGGTTCTGGCGCCGCCGTGTCATCAAGAAGCGACGCAGCACGCTCCTCACGCCCCTCTCGGCCGACCCCACGAATGAACGAGGCGACGGGGAGAAGGGACCGTATGTCATCAACCGAGGGAGCATCGGGCCGACGCCCAGGACCGAGCGGATCAAGGCATCGTTTGATGCCAATCTCAAACGACTGAAGGGGAGAGTCAGCCAGCTCATGACCCGCAACAGCGCGTCGCCCAACGGAGACTTGGACCGCGGTAACTCGCAGTTCATGATGAGCACGGCTCCGAGCCACAGCCGCTCGAGCTCGGTCGAGCAGGGCAAAGTGACGACCTTGAAGAATCAGCTGATGGATTTCATGAGTCGTCTGACTGCCGGTGCCGTTTTCACAAAGAACGGCCCGAGCCAGAGGGCCAACAATGCGTCGGCCACGCAGGAGAAAGGGCCCACCAACTACAACTCACAACCCGACTTTTTGACTCTGCTGGGCATGGACGATCGCCAGCTAGAGCGGGAAGCCCAGAAACGCCGCATGAGCGCCCGCCGCGTCAACGGCAGCGCGTCGTCGACCGACCACTTCCTCGGCGGGCTCAACCTCGACTTCAACAACAACGACCCCTTCAGCGACTCCAACGCCATCGCGCACACCTCGGCCCAGCCGGCCCCCCTCACCGTGGGCGGCAGCCAGGCCAATACTACCACCACCACCGGCAACCCCTTCTCGGACGCAAACGCCATCCCGCAGGCGCCCAAGCCGACCACGTACGTGGCCGACATCCGGAGGTCGCGGGGCCAGTCGGTCAGCCAGGCGAACCGGCCGCCCAGCAGCTTCCGGGCCCCGGAGTCGGTCTACCGCGAGTCGGTCAACAGCGTCGACACGGCCTACGGCCCGCGCCGCAACAAGTTCCGCTCCGACCCCTTCGACCTGGAGCGGCCCGAGCTCCTGGGCGGGGCCGCGGGCCGCACGACGAGCAGCAACGTCAGCACGGCGGGCTCGTCGGCGCCGAGGCTCAGCGACATCTCGTCGCACGACGGCAGCAGCAGGCTGAGCGGGGGCGTGGGCACGGGGTCGGTGCGCAAGCCGGGCCGGGCTCACGAGCGGAGCGAGAGCTTCACGAGCAAGTACTCTAGCGGCGTGAGCCTGGGCGAGTGGAGCGACCCGGGCCCGGACGTGGGGCCTGCGGCGTCGGCTAAGAAGACGGATGGCGTGGGGAGGGCGATGTGATGAGAGATTGGGTTGAGATGGGAGCTCCAGCACACACATATTGGCGTAGGAGGCGTCTTTGATTTTGGGGATGTAATGCCCGGTTTTTTTTTTGTTCTATCTGATGTTTGTATGAAAGGAAAAACGACTGGCTACCTTGCCTTTGGGTGGGGGGAGGGACAGAGCTGTGGAAAATCTTGTTGGATTTGATGAACATCTATGTGTTGTTGTTGTTGTACCTACAGAGATGAGGTGGATGGATGGGATGGATGGGATGGATGGGACGGATGGATGAATGATACCCCCAGGGGCACACTGCACCCCAATATCTGGAGATGCAGTGGCGGAGGGGACCACTTACGCTCGCTATATCGCTTGTAGTGCCAGATAACAATTCATGATTTTTCTAGAAACAACGGGGAGAGAGAGAGAGAGGGCGGGGGAGAGTACCGGGTGTAATCGCAGTCGAAGCTCAGTGACGATTAGGGGGGGGATTCGACTTGGACCGGCCACTGTTCCATTAGGCGGTCGAGGCTGCGATGAGAAGTCAAGTATGAGTGAGCCGCGCATCAAACAGTGGCTCTCCAAAGCCATTGTCTGGAACTCCAACCTGCTGTCACTGCAACCGACTCCTCTGTCTGTATGGGCAAAATCACATGTTAGGGTGCGGGAATGCCTACCAAAGAGCCCTGTAAGTTGGACTGTGCGAAAGTTGCCCAGACAGAAAGAAGCCTACTACGTCAAACACCATGTGCAAAAAGTTCATCAACCATGCCCTCACCATGCCATGCCGTCATAGCGGGCAAGTTCAAATCGCAAAGCCAAAAAAAACATCAAGATATACTATACCTAAACAAGAAAAAAAAAAAAAAAAAAAAGTCCATTGCATATACCTGCGTAGGTATGATCCCGTTTCATGACAGGCCGGTCGGTCCTGACACGGTGATTGGTGACAGCTTGACAAAGCAGTTGAACAACCCCCTCCCCTCCGCCCCCCACTACAAAAAGCTTACTTGAAAAGACATACGCCAATCCCACGCGTCAGCGACACGAAATAGCGCGGGTGAACACCGCGTCGCCGACACGCGTAAAGTGGCGGCGTCACGCGTTCCAATCTTGTCGCAAAATGTAGTCCCGGGCCATCCATTGCGAAACGACCCTCCCCCCCCCCCCCAAGTCTGGCAAGGGCTCCCGGATGAGCAAGTTTCGAGAGAGACCACAGCAGTTAGAGGCAAGAACAGAGATGGTCAATGGAAGGAGTGAGGGTTTTTCAAAGAATCCCTCGCGCGCGCAACGGGGGGAGCGACGTCCCCCCAAAACTTTGACTGCGTGCAAATTGGAAACCGAGATGGGGGCAGTGATATGTATTTGAAAATTTTGTATTCATTCCGTTTGGCTTTTTTTTTCCCCTATCCGTACAATCGAGAGAAGGAATCTTGATACCTTCCTATACATGTGTGGTGTTGATTCCCTTCCGTCGTGTCTGTAATTCCCATAGACATGATCCCTCCTTTTCTTCGTCCCGACTGAATTCCTAGATATAGATCGACGGGAGAACGAGAACCATCTCTCTGTGCTGGTCTGCTGTAAAAACACCAATTCGCCGCCCAGAGAAATAACCCTATCAAAACAATGAATTAAGATGTATCGCAAAAAGCAGTCACAAATGAGACCAATCGAGTAGTGGCAACCGCAAAAGAATAGCGTTTCCCTTGCCCCTGCCCTTCCTTTCCGTCCTTCCTTCATCGTAGGTATCATGCACGCATACACACAAAGAGAAAACAAAAAAAAAAAAAAAGAGAGGAAAATGAACAAGACAAGCGTAAAAAGTCAGATGCAAAATGCAATGCTCGCAAACACACATGGGGGTGGGGGAAGAAGACAATTCATGCCAGAGGCTCGTCAAAGGTGAGCCTCCGCCGCGCCACGCTCAGCGGCGTCCGGCCGCCCAGCGCCAGGTTGGGCGTCTTCCACGGCTTCTGCGCCGGGCTCGGCGTGATGTTGACAAAGTCGGCAAAGTCAAAGGTCTGCCCGGGCGTGTTGGGGAACAGGTTGCCGCCGCCCGGCGTGGTCATCATGGACGACGGCAGCGCCAGGTTGTTCTTGGGCGGCGGCGTCGACGGCGGCTCCATGAGCGTCCGCATGCGCGGCGGGTTGGCCGGCGAGGGCGAGGCCGCCAGGTAGAGCAGCAGGTCGGCGCCCTCCTCGCCCTTGCCGTTGCCGTTCTCGTTGCCGTTATTGCCGCCGTTGCCGTCCGGGCCGTTGCCCGCCCTGTCGCCGTTGCCGCGCCGGTGCAGGCTGCGGTTGCCCATGGGTGGCGTGCTCGGCGGCGACGAGCGGCTGGCGTGGACGTTGAACGAGTGCACGGGCAGCAGGTCGTCGTCGTCCGAGGAGTGGCTGGCCCCCCTGGGCGGCGAGGTCAGGGCGTCGGCTATCCTCTGCGAGCCCTGGAAGAAGGAGACGTCGGGCCCCGTCGACGTGGTGAAGTGCTCCTGCCGCCTGGGCTTGATGGGCGAGCTCTGCGCCAGCTGGTGGTGGTCCTTCCACGTCGCGTGGCCGGCGGGGAAGGACTTGTGCGCCGAGGGAGACGAGCGGAAGCGCTTGGACGGGCTGGACGACGGGAGGTCGAACGAGGTCAAGTGATACGTGCGCTTGCGGTGGCCGGTGCTGCCGTTGCTGGATCCAATTGCGTCCGAGAAGAGGGGCGCCTTGAGCGGCGAGCTCATGAGCGCTCTCGCGGGGTAGGGGAGGTCCGAGTTGCTGGACGACGAGTCCGACAGGACGTCCCCCTCGGTCATGCGCTTCCGCCGCAGCTCCTCCTCGAACTTGGGCTCGATGGTGTCGAGCGTCAGGTCCTCCCAGCCGTATTTAGTCTTGAACTGTGCGAGTGCGAGGCGGTTCTGCAGCCGGCGGGCCATCTGTGTTGCGAGAGGCGCAAAATGGTCAGCATGTCTGGGTCGTCCTTCACGGATCTAGGGAGGGAGGCAGGCAGGCAGGCAGGCAGGGAGGGGGTCTCCCCCCGAGGGTGTCCGTACCTTGCCCAGCTCGGCTCGCTTGAGGACCTTGTCTGCGACGGCCTCTGGTTGCTTTTTGAGCGGCGACGACATGATGATTGCTTCTGGCATCGTAAGAGGGGAGAGATGCAGAGAAGTCTCTTGCCGGCAGATTCTGGTGATTGAGTTGTGGGGAGGGTGGGTTGGAAGAGGAGGTGCTGGTCAAGGATTTAGAGTGAGAAATTGCAGAGGCTAGTTGATTGGGTGCCGGGCTGGGGGTTCTGGCGCTTGCTGGTGCTGGCGCTGGGCTGGTGCGGTGCTGGTGCCGGTGCTGGTTGGTGTAAGCGAGGAGGGCCGCCCGTTCTCTGGGCCAGGTCCGAGGGGCCAGCTGAATCGGCCGATGGCAAACAACACAGAGAGAGAGAGTTGTTTCGCCAGTCAATTATGCATTGACTGAAACAGATAAACAGGAATGATCTTGTCTGCAAAGCGACCGCCACCTGGAAAAGACTGCTGCGTGCAGAGCCGTGTCGTGAATAGGTCGTGTAGCTTAGTGAATGAGGCCGAGTCACCACACCACAGGGGCAGCCTCTGTCAGCCATCAGCCGTTGTCCAGTCACTCGCTCCCTGTCGGGACTGAACATTCCTCTACCTTACTCCGTACGTCGAAACCACCCTGGTGGAGTCTCCCTAACTAGGTGCACTGATCACCTCCGGGGATGCTTTACATACCATTTAATCTGGCCCAGCCTCTGTCTGGTTCCAAGGGCTGACTTTGGCTGGGATTGCACCAGGGCGAGCCGAGCCCATCAAGGGCGGCGAGCTAGTGGAATTTCCATACCAACAGAACAGCAAGGCCCGAAGCGGCCGCCCATTGGCCTACCAACGCACCCTGTCCATCCAATTCGCATCCAATTCGGGTCTTGGGCAACGTGGAGATTCGAAGCGGTGCGCCACGACCCAGGCTTGACAATACCTATACACTCTGTTTCAGAGCGTTGTCCTTGACGAGGGAGATAGATGCCTACTTGATTTAGGTAAGCTTGTGGCATGAGAAGGCTGTCTCTATTGAGAGCTCAGTTGCTGAGCACTGGGAAACTCCAGGTGCTAATCATCCTCTCTTCTCTGTCTCTAAATCATGATTCTCGCACAAGTGCGCTAGGGCTTATTTGGGGCTTCATGATGGCCAGGCAGAGGAAGGAAATGACAAGTACCGTACCGGAAATAGCCCTTCACATCACACAAGTAGTAGATTGTGACGCCTGGGTACTCACCCTGCCACTTTGATAAGGAACCGTTGAAGCTGCGTCCTGTTGCCACGGGTGTTTGCAAGAATCCCCGGCTTGCGAGTTATCGGGCGATGGAGCCATATGCCATCGCCGGGGTGTGGACAGGGCACAACAGCACGACCGGTCCCCTCCAGCTCTTCATCATGGACCGGCTGCCGTCATAGTTACTTGTCGAGCCAACAGAGGCGGCTGATGGACAAGACAAAGCTCGACTGTCAGAGAGATAAGGTAACAATGGCTAGCGCCTGGATTCAACAGGAGCAGGCACCTTGAATGGACGGTACCCGTATGTGAGAGCAATTAAGATCCTTGTCCATGTGTGCATAAGATGCATACCCATGTGGAAACAGATTGCGGCACCTGCCTTGTTTTTATTTGACTCGATCTTCGCACCCCTGTACTTGTATGAAACGAGGACAAGCCGGCTCTGGAAAGGAAACGTACAAGTGGGATACATACATAACTACAAGTACAGCACGAGGAAGCGGATGCGGGCAGCGAGAAGAACAAATCCCACGAATTCTACAGTTGAACACCGTAGGCATCCGGATCGCAAGCTGCCCACGCAAGTTGGAGCCAGCAACGTCGGATACGGGACAATTTGTGGATTTTGAACTGCAGATGACCTGCTTGGTCACGGCTTTCTTGGAGAAGTTCGTATATGGGGCTGCATTTGGCCTGCCCGCATTTACACACCATCTCTCCAGCATCGGCAGCGAGGATCACTTGCTGCAAATCGCGGTGCCATCCGTTCTTTCCGTGCCGAGCACTGCAGCTGCCTACTTTACCTACATTACCTAGGAGGGAGGGACGACATGAACTTGCGCTTGCTGGGGACAAAACTCAAAAAAAAGAAAAACTGACTACTCCGTCCCGGAATTACAAGTACTTACACAAATCAAGTGCAGTTAGCCCTGCTCTCCCTCTGCCAACTTCCCAGTGTTCCCTTGCCTTGTCAGTCTCGCCCACTTCCAGTTCTGCTAACTAGATGCGGGACCGTTTCCAGTTTTTGTTCTGCTCGCCCGTCTGCTCCAGCACCACTCACCACCAACCACCACCACCTCCCTCCTGTTCCTGGTTTCCACTTTTCAACGGTCTAGCATTCAGGGAACAGCAGGACCTGTTTGTGACGCCGATCCTAGTTCATCCCAGCAGGCTAGCTGGCTAAAATCCCGCTTTTGGCCTTGCAACGCTGTTTCGAGCTCCTCGCCCAAGCATCTTCTGGGTCGAAACGGCGTGACAGGCATTCCCGGCAAGGTGAGCCCGAAAAAATGAGTACTGCTTTCCCACCACGGCTCCGTATCTGAGATCGCTGGCCATCGACTCGTCCGATCCGCCTGAAAGGGGAACCAGACTCTCCCTCCAGTCTCTTCCTCTTTCCTTTGACAGCGGACAATTGAAACCTCCAACTTTCCTCTTCTCTCGTACTCTCTGCGCTCCTCAATTGCAAATCCGAACACCTGTTCCTCCCCCGGTGCGACTGTCGCTCGTTTCACCTACCTAGGTAGTCTTTCTCGCTGCGCACGGCGCCGGTTCTTCCCAGTTTGGCATCCACTGTTTGGCCGTCCCCCCCCCC